ATTAATATATTATATATTAATAATTTTTAATATTTTATTTTTATAAAATTAATAATATAATATATTTAAAATAAATTTATAATTTATAATTTAAAGTTAATATTTTTAAAATAATTAATTTTATTATATTTAACTTATTAAATAATTTCCATTATTTTATAAATTAAAATTTTAAATTATTTTAATAATATTTTTAACATTTTTATATTATTTTTTAAATATTTTATTTTCTTTTTTTATAATAATACATTTATTTATTATTATTATATAAAGCTTTTTAAGAATTATAAAAATTTTTTTTAAATTATATTGTTTTATATTTATAATATTTAAACGGTTTTAATAATATTAATAAATAAATATATAAATTTTTAATAAGTTTTTTTATTTAAAATAATAATATTTAATAATTTAATAATTATCGTATTTAAATTAAAATAAAAATATTTAATATTTTAAATAAATTATTTTTTTAATTTTATTTCTTTTTTTATTATTTTTAATTATTTTTTAATAATTATTTATATATATTTTTATAATATTACTTATATTATTTATTATTTTTTTTAAATTAAAAATTTATTTTATAATAACTTATATTATTAATATTATTTTAATTAATTATTATTTTATTTTATAATTATAATAAAAAAATAAAAGTTTTAAATTATTAAAACCGTTATTATTTAATTTATTATTAATATCCGTTATTTTAAAAACCGTAATAATATAATATAACTTAAAATATAATAATTAAAAAATAATAATAAAAATCGGAATAAAAGTAATAATAATTTAAATTAATCGCGAATATAATAATATAATTTTATTTAATAATTAAATATTAAAATTATTTAATAATAAAATAAAAATTATAATAATATAAATTAATCGTAATTATAATAATATTAAATTTAATATTAATAAATTTAATATTAAAATTAAAAACTTTAATATTAAAATTAAAAGTTTTAATATTATAATTAATAAATTTAATATTAAAATTAAAAATTTTAATAATAAAATTAATGGATTTAATAATTATAAAAATATAATAATAAACGGTTTAATTATTTTAAAAATAATTATTTAAATATATTATTAAATAAGTTTAAAAAAATTTAAAAGTTTATTAATTATTATTAATGGTTTAAATAATAAATAATTAATTTATTAAAAAATTAATAATTAAAAAATTAATAATTAAAAAATTAATAATTATAAAATTAATTATATAATTAAAAGTTTTAATATAAAATATAATAATATTAATATAAATTTTTATAAAATTAATAAAAAATTTATAAAAGTTTATATAAATAATATAATAATAATTTATAAAATAATAAAAATTTATAATAATAATATATTTATTATTTATTTTAATATTAAAATTTATATTTAAATAATTAATATTATTATTAATAATAATATTATAATAATTAATGTTAATAAAATTTAATTTTATTTTTTTTATTTTTATTATATTTTTTATTTAATATAAATTAATTTTTATTTTTATTATTTTAAAATTTTTTTAAATATATTTTTAAGATTTTTTATAACTTAATATCGGTTTTTTATTTAATTTAATTTAAAATTTAAATAAAACGATTAATTCGGTTTATAAAATTTATAAAAAAAAATTTTAATATAAAAAATAAATTAATAATAAATTATTAATTTTATAAAGTTTATAAATATTAAATAACCCGTTTAAAATTTTTTCGAAATTTAAAATTATTAATAATTTATTCCGGATTATATAATAATTTTAAATTTTTAAATATAATATAAATATATTATTAAATTAAAGTTTTTATATATATTAATAAAAGTTTTATTAATTTTATTTAAAAAAATAAATTTAAAATAATTTTATTTAATATATATTATATATATCGGAAAAATTAAAATTCCGATTTTTTAAAAAAGTTAATAATAAATATAAAATTTTTTTTAAAGTTATTAATTATATTTAACCGATATAAATTTAATAAATTTAATATTTAATTTAATATTAATATATTAATATAATAAAATATAATTAATATAATTTTTTTAAATTATTAATAAAAGTTTTTTAAAATTTAATAAATAATTTAAAAAAACTCGGTTTAATAAAAATTTAAAAAAAATAATTCGGTTTTAAAAATAAAATTAATAAATATTTTTTCCTTTTCGTATAAATTAAAAAAATTATATACATATAACGTAAAATAAAGTTTTTATAATAATTTAATAAAAAAATTACATAATAATTTTTTTATTAAAATAAATAATTCGTCGTATTAAAAATTCGAAATAAAAAATAAAAAAGTTTTATTTAAATAAATAATAAAAATTTAAATTAATTATTATTTTAAAAAATAACGGAAATAAAATAAAATTATTATTTAATAAAAATTTTTAATAATATTATAAATAATAATTAATTATTTTAAATTTAAATTAATTAAAAGTTTTTAAAAAAATCATTTATTATATTAATATAATTTAAATATATAATTATATAATTAAATTAAAATATAAATATATTTTATTATTAAACGTAATATATTTTTTAAATAAATAATATTATAATTTTAAAATAAATAAATATAATTTTTATTATTAATTTACATGTGGATTATTTTTTATTTAAATTTAAAATATTTTTAAATTATATTTAAATAAAATTTAAAATAATTAAAAAACTTTAAAAATTATTTTATTAATTTTAAAATATATTTTATAAAAAACTTTATATATAATTATTAAATAATATAATATTTTATATTTAAAAATAAATTAATTTTATATTAATAAAACCGTTTTTAAACTAAATTAACTTAAATTAAATTTTAAAGAACATTACGCCCGCTTTATAAATACAATGGCACGGGCTACACGCAGCGTGGCTGGGTGTGGCTCGTTCCAAAATCTAGTCTAAGCTAACTGAGATAATAATATCCGTCCAAAGGATTTTAAATCCCTTGCCTTGAACATGTTCGAAGAACCTGTCCCTAAATCAGGTCAAAGGTCAGTTGGACAGTCAGTCCAACAGTCAGTTTAACAGTCCCTAGAACAGTCCCTAAGTCAGTTCAAAGGTTAGTTGAACAGTCAATCAACCAGTCCTTAAGTCAAGTCAAAAGTGAGTTCAAAGGTTTATTGAACAGTCCCTTAATTAGTCCCTAGGTCAATTGATCAATCAGTAATACAGTCCCTAAATCAGTCCTTAAGTCAGTCCCTAGGTTAGTTGAACAGTCGGTCCAACAGTCCCTGAGTAAGTTCACCAGTCTGTTGGACAATCTATAAGCCAGTCCTTAAGTCAGGTCTAAAACCTGTTCCTAAATAGGTCCCTAAATCAGTCCCCAGGTCAGTTGAATAGTCAGTCAAGCAGTCCCTAAGTCAGTTCAACAGTCAGTTCAACAGTCCCTAGAACAATCCCCTAGTCGGTTCGAAGGTTAGTTGGACAGTCAGTCAGCCAGTCCTTAAGTTAGGTTAAAAGTTAGACCCTAGGCTAGTCGAAAAGTCAAACCTTAAGTCAGTTTAAAGTCAGGTAAACAGTCAGTTCAACAGTCAGTAAGCCAGTCCCTTGGTCCCTGGACCTGATGACTAAGCTTACTAAAGGGATGCACCCAATCAAATGCGCCGACGAATTTAAGGTGTGTGCCAAGGCGCTAGCCTTCTAGCGCGATCAAAGAAAAGAATTAAAGGGATAGAATGTTGTATTGTCGTTGGTTTTCTAAGCTCTAAAATCTCCGCAGGAGATTTTAAATACCTCCCACAGTGCAAGTAGCACTTTCCCAGCTTGTACACCTTATCTAGTACGGACACACAAGAGCCCGCCCCGGGCGACTCTTCCTTCAATATAAATCCCATTTTGACGGCAACAACAGCCCAGGCCGAAACAACTAGTCCTCGCACAACCCTAACGAACCCACAGAACACAGCTCCCACAATGCCTACACTAGGCTAAACACCCGCGGGCCACCGAAACAGTCGGGTCCCTCCACTGTTCACCCAAATCCCCGGGACAAAACCACAGCCGGGAGAGGAACAAACGCAGGCTATACTCGTGGGAAAACAGACATCAACGGGCCGAAACGGCAGACGAGAGGAACAGCGGCAACGGCAGCACGGCAGGCCGAACGGACGAGATATATTGATGATTTTTTGACGGTGGGGAGAACGGTGCTCCAGGACGACGAGGTAACGGCGGGCGAGATAGGGCCCTCTTTGACGTAATTTTTTAAGTAAAAATACAGCTGAACGAGTGACTGAACGAGTGACTGTAATGATAGAATGCTGTAACGATATTCCCATGCGTAGATTCCGGTGTGGAGGCACCAGAAAAGAATTAAGGGGATAGAATGTTGTATTTGTTTTAGTCTCTAAGCTCTAAAATCTCCTGCGGAGATTTTAAATACCTCCCACAGTGCAAGTAGCACCTTCCCAGCTTGTACACTCCATCTATCAATAAGCCAATTGATGTGTGACAATTCCTTATCAGGTTCTTATCAATTACTTATCAATTAGATAATAATTATTTACGTAATTGCTTACTAATTAAAAAGTTTGGGCGTAATATGTCCTTCCGACGGATAATAAATAAAATATAAAATAAAATATAAAAATGTATATTTAGAATGGTATATTATATTATTCGAAAATTCTCATGTTAAATCAATCCCTTTCCGTTTCGGGTCCATTAATGACTCGGTTGACCTGAGCAATTCTCTTAGAGTACCTTCTGCGTAAGATGAATAACCCTTTGTTCCTTCGGAACCTAACAAACCTATATCGGAGTCCGCCCCTTTCCAGGAAATCCAGGTCGTAAATCCAGCTAGTAAACCTGACGAAGCCCTTGGCTCTTCGGGTATCGTAATTGCTGCCGCTGCAACGGACTCTGAGGCAACAGCCCTAGAGGGTCGAGGTGCGGTGTCTCGTGTGTAATGTCTTACAGTAGACACTTCAGGTGATGTTTTAGTCTGAAGGTGATTTCGTGATGTCCGTGGCTCGGCAGGGTCACTTAACAGGACCGCTCCGGGAGCTTTATGCGAAGCATCGACCCCTTGCGTTTGACTCCTAGAAGTGTCGATAATGGCAGCTGCGAAGAGAGCTGACCTTGTTGGAGGGCATATCCGTTGGTCGTCATGTTGCTCGCTGCTAGCCTGAGCGTCCGTACTGTTCGCGCTTCCGCTCTCGTCTTTAGCGCTATTGTCCATGGTCACCCGACCCCGTACTTCCTCGACGATCTCGGCCGCTGGTTTTTTACTACTCCTATCCTCGTCGGAAGACCGACTCGAGCTCATGATCGTCTCTAGAGTACCGTAGGCAACACTTCTCCTGCGGGCCGCGTTTCTGCGCTTCTTCGGTTGAATGGGGCCCATATGCTCCTCATCGCTTGTCACCGCCTGCAATGTGGGTCCAACGTGAGCATGGTGTCTAAACGACGGGGGTGGCGGCCCTAGGAAACCCGCTCCTGAACCTTGAGGGGCTATGTGGACTTCGTACTGGTTGCTGAGAGAGTATCTCGTGCGCGCACAAATCTCCGCTATGCGGTCTAGATCTGCGCCGACATCCTGCTGTATATCTGCTATAATGCTCTTGAATGTAAATGATTCGAGAGGAGGCAACTTGGCACCGGCCGCGGTGCGGGTCTTTTCGTTTCTCTTGTGCCGTGCCATGTTTTTTACTGGCCCATTTCGACTAGGACGTTGAGGCTGGGGATTCGGCGAGGGTGAAAGGGTAGAGACGGACACTGGGCCCCTGGTAGACGGTGAAGGTGGTACACCTGAGTATGTGCGTACCACAACGGGCTGAGAATAGGTCCCGGTAGTTGTGCTCTTAATGCTTGGCGAGCTACTTGCTCCGGTGTAGCGATGACGCGATGACGGTTGAGATCGACTCAGCTGGCGCAGGGCGGTTGTGCGATGGGCCGCGGTCGAGTCGTCGAGAGGAATTGGCCTCCCTTCGGCAGTACTGGGTATCAGGAAGGTTGAGGAAGTATTCTTCGGGAGAGGAGAGAAGACGAATGGTAGTGAACGCCGGCGGGTATATGTATCGTGGATATCATGGGTATCATGAGAATCCTGAGGATCACCACCGGGGTGAATGCCACCGTGCGGAATGGAGGAGAGAGGGGAGAGGGGAGGGGAAGGACTGCGAAGCTGAGAAGATGGGAAATGTGGATGGTATGGGGTGTCTGCCATGTCCTTCTAAGGGGGGCGCTCGACGTATATAGGAGGATTGTTTTCAGGGCGCAGGATACAAGACGCAGGGCGAAGGGTAAAAGGCAACTTAGTTCGCAGTGAGACTAGGCAGTATTGTCGGAAATGCTGTAGTAGCCAACGGGCTGGCCAAGGGGATAGCCAACAGGAGGTGGTTGATATTGTTAGAGACGGTGGATGGTGGATTGGGTTTGCTGGGTTGGACGTATGCGGCGCGTAGAAGTAGGATGATTCGTCGATACGTAGGCAGGACATGTGGTTCGAACCGGAGAACAGATTTGTTTGATGGTATTGTTCTAATCTTCCCGTATGATTGAGTATGGAAGAGGAGGTGGAAAAGGACGGACCAGGGATTAAGAGCTGCATAGAGTCGTGGTGCTGTTTAAGTGGATAATTACAGTTATTGAAGAGGGGTTCTCAAGCAGTGACTACCTAAGGGAGGGGTCCCCATTTTTGGACACTCTTATACCATAATGTAGACACACTTGCTAAGTGCCAACAGATGACTCTCCGAAAAGATCAGTTTCAGTCTTATAGGATTAGCAGTATTTCAATAGGATATCATAATAAAGAATAGCCGTAGCGTTGAATTAGTTGCTCTGACCAGGGTTGAGACTATGTCAAGGTAAAAATTATGGCTAGGAAGGGTTACACTGTTGGCACTATGTCAGGACCTGGGAAAATTATATAAAAGTGCAGGCCCCCCTTAAGGAGGCAGTTGCCAACTGCCTCCCTAGGGGAGCTCCTTCTCTTTGAAGGTTTGTGAGATTTTTTATTCTCTGGATTTTCTTCTTTTACTCCCACTGGGAGTCGAACCAGCTACCTTAGTAGATTCACTTGAATCTTACCTAAGGTATTGACCACTTGGCCACTGGTTTCAAGAAAGAAATATTAAAAATCTTTTGTTTATTTGACCTTATTAGGTTACTAAGGTCTAGTCACTCTGTCAGTGCCTTGAAACAATGTTAAATTACAAACTAGTATTGACAGAACTGTATATATAGAAAGGAAGGTGAGGCTCTCATGACTTTTCTCAAGTAAGGACCACCAATTAGGTAATCATACCGTTGTTTTAACAGTCCAACCAATAAGAGTCGCTATTTTGTAGTTGAACTACTAAGATTAGATTGAAATAACGGTCTTGTATAGCCATTCAATTGAAGTAATAATCACGGTCGCAATTGACAATAAGAACGAATATGAATTCATTGATAGGAAGCTATTGTCTTAGACATTTAGCATTATTTTTATTAAAAATACTGGCATAATACTGGAGACAGGATACCGGGTTTTGGTAACTATGTATACTTTAATTATGATGGAATAACAGTGTCCAAAAAAGGGGACCCCTCCGGTAGGTAGCTAATAACGCTTACACGCTTACACGCTTATGTACCTAGGTATCTATAGCTGTACCGACATATCGACCATGCCCTTAAAGGTAAGGTGGGGTTATCTTACATAACGTCTGGTCCGTTGGTATTACCATATCCATGTTGTATCTGAATAAATCTGTTTAAATACGTACACACCTCATTATTCCAAGTGCAGTGCTCGTAAATGAAAGTGAAACTGGCTGATTCTTGATATGCATGTAAATAGAACAAGAACAAGGCCAGGAATAAGAGCCACAATAAGAAACTACTATTCCGATTCTTTTACCGCAGCTACCTGGCTGCCTGGGTACGCATATATGTATGAGCAACTTGGCAACTTGGCTCCGAAGAATCCACCAAAACAATCTCCCAGCGCCTTACAAAGCCCAGTCTCCCAGGTCAATCCTCCATACCTTTTAGTACACCTCCAATACTCCTCCACCGCATTCTTATACCGACCGCCCACCGCTTAGTAAGCGGGTGGAGCTGGCTGAACTGGTTGAGCTATCGTACCATATCCGCGGCCACCAGTTTGCACGCGATCACTATAGACGCCGGGGGCTCGGCGGGCGGCAAAGCGGCCCTCTCTGGCCTGTTCTCGACGGTCATAGTAGACGTATTCGATATAAAAGGCGTGGATATGGCCTGGTATGTATCTGCCCTAACGTATTAGTCGGTGTAATAAGAAAGCTCACCGCGCGAATGAGTTTATCACTTCGGTCACATACCCGAGGATGGTGAGGCATATGTTGATGCAAAGATCAGCGCCGCACCCGGCAACGGCCCAGACACCGATCGGTGGGACTGTATGGCGTTCAAGTCAGCAACACAACACAAATAATATCCATAATAGCATAGATTAATCAGAGGTAACGTACAGAGGAGAGTTATGAGGACGATGAGTATAGCCGAGGCGGCGCCCATTTTGTATGGATCAAACGTTCGGTTGAGTTAGTGGAGGCTGGGGAGGCGGAAGAAGATGCCTAGGTGGTGATTAGGTTTCTAATGTTGTTCCGTGTATTCTTTGATTTACTGTCTTGATGTTTAGAGGTTGAACCGTCTGAGGAAGTGCGGGAATCGGCACTAAACACTCTCGCTGTAGACCACGTGCATACCTATTTATATATGTATACATAGACGCTACCTATGCAAGCCTTAGGTGAGTAGAAGGTACATGAGTGGTATTGGTTTACGTTATGCATTGATGATGGAATTGCTACTACATTCTAGGTACTAGGTAGGTTAGGTAGGTATTATGTAGGTACTCACTTAAACTTGAACTTTCCGTTTTCTTGGTTGCCTTTGATGCGGGACTGTCCAATGGCCGATGACGCGTGGGACGAGGATGAATGCTGATGACGTAGTGTAGCACATTACGTAAGGGGCGCTAGAGGGCGCTTAGGAACGTTTACCTGGGACCTTACCTGGACATTTGAACCAGGCTGCCAGGCTGCCAGGTATACCTATATTCCTATGTACCCATATAAAAAAATATCAAACCGAAAAAGGTCAAGCCACAGTTGACTTGTAACACAGGTTACCAAGTACGTACTTACCTAAAGTTCAACGACGCTGGTAATTGGAACTCCACACTTCTAACGACCCAGTAAATTTTTGAAAGGTCTTTTTTTTTTCGGGGTCCGGGCTAAAATAATAGTTGGAAGGAAAGAGGTTGAGGTTAGTTGGTTATGTAAGTTTAAGGGGAAGAGGGGGTCAACTAAATAGAAAAATAAGGGAAAAGGGAAAAAAAATAAAATAATAATAATAATAATCATAAAAACATAAAAATCGTCAATCGTAAGGAGATTGATCAGCCATGCACACTGCCCAAACCAACGACCTTTACTACGACGGAACCCACCTCGCAACTGTGCACATCTGTAGTTCCCGGGGGTAATTCGTCCATCGACGTGACTCGTTTAATTCTCTCGACTCTCTTTTTATTTTATTTTTTTTACTCTCTTCCTTCTTCCGCGCACACAGACTCAAACTCCTCACTCTCTCTTATCCCTCTTATCCTCTCTCCCACAAACATCATTTCCCCCATTATCGTCCTTTTTCTTCTTCTGTTTTATGTTGTTTTTCCGTACACGCCACCTCTCCTCCATTCTCCCGGCATTGCGGTATTGGTATTGTGACGTCCTGCTATTTGTAGTAGACATCCATTTACCATCCTGTTTGAGGTAGTGTGCCAGTGTGCGTGAGAGACAGCAAGAGAGAAGAGAGAAAAAAAGGGAAAAGTGGACAGGTTGGGTTATTATTACTTGTTGATCGAACCAACTAACCATCATCCGCGTCTCACCATTCTCGTCTCCTAATTCTTATTTATTTTTTTCTCCTTCTTTTCTTTCCCTACCTTCGTCTCTTAATCAAACAACATTGGACCGTAACCGGATCTCTAGTCGCTCGTTGCAGCATCAGTTCGACCCGGTGACCGCCCTTGATTAACCGCTTCGATCTTCTCGCTCTTCTCAATCTTCTCCGTCTTCTCGATCATCTCGACATTGCAAGAGTCTTTTTTTTTCTAAAAAAGAGAAGAGAAGAAAAGAAAAGAAAAGAAAAGAGAAAAAAAGACTTGGAGCTCCCATCAACCACCAATACAACTTGACAGGCATCTGTCTTAATATCTAGCCGAACCCGATCCTTGCCGAGTCTAACGATAGTACTTGTACCATACAACTGCCACATACTCGACATATATCACCTTCTCCATAGATCCAATATCCAGTATTCAATATCCACCGGCGAAACATCCTACTCCCTAAACTTACCAACCCCCAATCCTCGCGACAATACTTCAGACTTCCCTCAACATGGCGAGTCAACAGAGCCCTCCTCCCCATATCGATCGTTATGTGGTAATTCATGTTGCGACGACCTGCGATGAGCACGGAGTTTATGTGACTAAGGATTCTGCGGAGGTCATCGAACTTGGTTGGATTCTTCTGGATGCTAAGTCCCTTGATGAGGTATGGATACGTCTAGTCGGACGGACATATGACAATGCTATCTCGTGCTAACATTGCCTCCCCCCTTTTAGATCCATCGAGAGAGTGTGTTAGTGAAGCCCATCAACACACCGATTACTCCTTTGTGCAGTAAGTAGCAGTGGCATTAGCTGCATGTCTCCGCGGCCTCCCCCTTTTCCCCCTTCTCTTTGCCTGGCTTTCCCCCTTGGGACTGCATATCATATAGTTATAGGCGACAATCACCATGAAGCTAATGCATATATGCTTGCAGCCAGTCTTACAACCCTGACTTGGGAGCATGTTCGAAATGCCGGAACCTTCCGTGATGCGGTGAATCGGTTTGATGCTTTCGCTTCCGAACATCTGACGTCTCAGAACCTCGACTTTGTTTTTGTCACTCTGGATGCTTGGGACCTTCGGGTACAACTCCCCCGAGAAGCTCGTGATAAGGCGGTTGTGTTGCCGCCGTACCTTCAGCACTCGAGAACGTTCGATCTGCGCACCGAATACCAGCGATGGCAGCAGCACCACCCTGAGTCTCTTCCTTTCGGCCCGTCGATGCTATCTAACATATGCGCCGCCCTTGAGGTAGAGCCTGTCCAATCTAGTGCTCCTATCAAGCATAACCTCCCCTTTCACCTACAGGCACTTGCTCCAGCCTCGCCTCGACGTGCTATGGAAGAAGCTGTCACGCTCGCCAGGGTCCTTCGTGGTCTAATCCGAAAGTCTCAACCTCCTCAAGAACACCCGGATGTTCTAACTCGTCCCATGGATGCACGAGCTGATGTCCGCGCCTTCTTGTCAGAACGAAGCAAGGTTTTGCATATGTCTGGGCTCCCTCACGACACTACTCAGTCGGAACTCGAGAGTTGGTTTACCCAGTTTGGTGGTCGTCCCATCGCCTTCTGGACCCTACGTACCCCGGAGCAGCATAAACCGACGGGCACCGGATTCGCCGTCTTCTCGTCTCACGAAGAGGTAGGGTACCATATTTCATTTCTCGTTCCGTTATGCTGACAATGATTGTTATTCTAGGCTGCTGAAAGCCTTTGCATGAACGGCCGCGCGCTGAACGAGAAAGCCATAGAGGTATCTCCTTCTTCTAGCCGCGTACTCGACCGCGCCGCAGAAATCCTTACGCCTTTCCCTCCCAGTAAGAACCGTCCCCGTCCCGGTGACTGGACCTGCCCTTCGTGTGGCTTTTCCAACTTCCAAAGACGGACGGCATGCTTCCGCTGCTCTTTCCCGGCAGTCAGTGCAGGCCCGCAAGGCGATATGGGTTATGGTTACGGCTACGGCCCCCCGGCAATGATGGGACCCCCGCCTCATCACGGAGGTCACCATGGTAACATGGGTCATGGAGGAGGACGAATGGGTGGTAGTGGTGTCGTCCCCTTCCGAGCTGGAGACTGGAAATGTGGCAATGAGGTTTGCGGGTACCACAACTTCGCTAAGAATGTGTGCTGTCTTCGATGTGGTGCCAGCCGTGCTGGCGCTGCGGTGGTGGCTGACTCGGGATATCCTTCGCCAATGGACAGCGGCTCTAGCTATGGCATGGGCTCCGGTTCGATGGCTGGAACGCCGGGCCCGGGACCGTTCGCCTCGGCTACGGGTCCCTTTGGCGCATCCGGCGGCTACGGTCATCACTTTGGAGGACCGCCTAGCACCTACGCGCTGCCTTCGGGCATCGGCGGAGGTGCGGCACCGTATCCGTCTCTGAATACTCATTTCGGGCCCGGTCCCGGCTCTCATTCAGCCGGCCCGTTCGATAGCCGAGCTGCCGAAGCCGCCTTCCAGTCAGCCAGCAACGGCCCGGCCTCCGCAGGTCCGTCGAACAACTACTTCTCTTCCGCGTCGGAGAACGACCCATTTGCGTTCCTCTCTTCCGGCATCGGCGGGTTGTCTGTTAGCGGTGATGCCCGCCAAAACGGTGCCGGTGCACCTTCAAACAAGTCCCCTGCTTAATGATGAATCGATTCCGAATCATCCGCTTGAACAGTGTCTGAAGACCATCGGTAATATCAATCTTGGCAATACTTTTTCTCTCTGGACATGCGACGGCACTTTCGAGGGATGTTTGTTCACTTTGGAAGATCCGGTATAGGGGGGAGATCACGCGAGATACCTAGGGTTAGCAGGGTGTTTGTAGGGAAACGTTTTGTTTTTGAGAAGAAAAGTTTACACCGGTATATCAAAGGGGGTGGGCGGAACCAGGAAAGTGATAAAAAAAAGGCCAATTTTTCTAGAACGGACATCTAGGGCCTGGTCGGCTGGTTGTGGTGGGCTTGTTTAACTCTATGAACCTTCTCGACCTTGTCGCCTGATATACATTGAACGTTCTGGCCTTGATGGGCAGACGAACTTGTACAAATGGACGGATATGTGCGGCAGGGCAGGATCTGAACGGTGGTGCATAGCGCAAGGGAGTGTAAATGGTATACCTGGCCTCGTTTGTCAAGCCCGAGACTTATTGTCAGAGTTCATTGTACCTCATTTTGCTCTTGCCAACTCCCTTTTTTCTTCTTCTTTTCTCCGAATTAAGTCTTGTCTTTTCCGCATTGATATATTTTCGTTCCCTCGTTCGTGTTCACCATTTATTCAAAATGACCAGAGGAGTGAGGACAATCACCTTGTCTCTAGAATGTAGTCATTTAGTCGGCGGGTTTGGCACCTCCGGTGTTGGCGAGGGGTCTTGGTAGTGTAGGTGGGATAGCTGGCCCTTGGCCAGACTGATGGGTTAGCACAAGGGGGTCTGGGGGGAGAAAGGGGCGAGATCTTCAGTGTGTCCTAGCTCTTTTGACTACGGTTGACCGATACCAATGAAGCTGTCCTACATCTCTACTGGCCCATGGAGTCCTTTGAGGTCGTGTTATTAAATGATTCCCAGTTATTTAGCTGCTAAAATGTTTTCTGCTAACCAAGGTAAGTTTTGATGGTGGCAAGTTACCCGCAAGTGTTGAGAGGGTATGGACGGTAACCACATAGAATAGCACGTATCCTCCTATCTACCTTAAAGCTGGGTCTGTAAAATATACCGAGGACAGCATCACGTATCAGGGCTATGAGGTCTTTGTTGCTATGTCCACGAGTTGTGTAGACGCCTAGGTAATCTAGGCTCCTCACATGCGCCATAATACCACCAAACTTTTCAGATAGCAGGCCTGGGCCCTAGTCGAGGTAGCTGGTACTCAACTGCTTACGTGGGAAATGGTGATGACATCCGTAATCGAGGGTATCAATACGTTTAAGACTAGAAGCCGGCGCGGTAATAAGCTCACACTATGAACATCTCCACCCCTTGAGCATAGTATTGGGATAGTAACCCTCAAACCCGTTGCCCGCCAAAGTTTTCCTGCACCCAGACCTCTATTTACATTGTCCACCTCGCAACACTTAATTAGTCAGTTAGACTGAGATAGAGTCCTCGGTTTTATTAGTCTTTACCTGCAACGCCCCGGGCCCCTCTTCCACGCAAGGCACCACGCCCGCGTGCACGTCCGCGGCCACCGCCACGTACATCCAACCCGGATGGTGGCGGTACAGCGTTGTAGGTCGGATTCTGAGGCGCTCCTGTCATGATCGATCCGCCTGGGTTATTAATAGTGGTGCTTGGGACCATCGAACCTCCCCTACCACCTCTATTTCCACGTCCACCTCGATTCGAACCTCCACGACCACGCGAAGGAAATCTGTCGCTGTGTTGTGCCGCTCCTTGATAATTTGCTTGCTGTTGGTGGTGGTTGTTGTTTGCCGGACGATAAACCATGCTGCTGTGCTGTAAGCGAGGAGCATCGTTGTGTACCGAAGGACCCTGAGTGTTTCGTCCCTGTACCGATTGTCGATGAATGCCATTGACAGCACCCCTCCAAGATCCTCGGAGGGGAGACGGCGCGGGCGCGTCTCGGAGTTGACCACTGGGATTGCCGGGTGCGCCGTATCCTCGGGACTGAAGAGGTAGCGTCGCTTGGACAGGTCGCTTTTCTAGGCTCATCTTGGAGCTTGCAATGACTTGCTTGTTGGTGACATTAAGCACCGAATTAGCTGAGACCGTCTGCCCTCGGAAGGGTTCGCACCGGCCCCCCAAGGTTGTGCCATTCATGAAAGCATTGTCGCACAATATGTCGAGCATATGATGGTTGCCTACTGTGCTTATACCGACAACCGTTCCTCTTGAAGCCATAGGCACCTTTCCGGAGGCTTGGACATAAACTACTCGGTCACCTAGGTTGAATCTTTGGCTGCTCAGCCGTTGCTCAGCGTCCTTAGGGTTGAGCAATGCTGATCGAGGAACGCCTTTAAGTTTTCTCCTATCAGATTTGTTGGTCGTCTCCTTCAACTCGTCCACTGCTTTTTGGAGAAGCATGACCACGTCTGAGTCCAGCTGTTCGGCATCGAGAGGGACTCGTTCAAATTTGCTAGTTTCTACGGTCTTCAACCAAGCTCCGATCTCCTTGATCTTGGCACTGGCAACGTCACTATCTGGCCATAGTTGCGTCTCGTGTAATTCATTCCCTGATGGGTTCTTCATGATGGCGGCGAAGAAGTCAGGGAAGCGGGTCATATACTCTACTAGTAGTTGTATTGCAGCAGGGCTGAATTCCCACCCCGAATTCGACTTTCTCGAATATCCGAGGACCTTTTGCTTTCTTGCTTCGAACTTGAGGTTCAGTCCTAGATTAACCTTCATACTGCCGCCTATGGTGTGAACAAAAAAGGATGAAGTGATCTTGCTCAATACGAGAGGGTGAAGTCCCAGATCCTTCGCGACGGCGTAAGACGGCCGATAACCACTGTGTTGCTCAGCACGGCGAATAATTGGATGCGTAAAATCCGGTTCTTTCGTGGAAGGTACCAACAATATGATCTCCGCCCGGTTATCGCTATGACCAGATATCTCAAGGGGACGTCCGTAGGCGTAGTCGCCCAGAAAGAAAACGCGAGATCCGATAGGGAACTCTTCTTCGAGGGGGAGCGCAGCTCGCTCAATGAACCGCTCGTCCTCGCTGATGACCTCGTCAACGATCACCTGTGCTGCGTAATCTGTCTCCATGCCGGGGATATGGCCGTACTCTTTAATAGTAGCACCCTCGTCGGTTTTGACGAGCCCCCTTAGCATCTCGACGTGGACCATCGACTCGATTGTTCCAATGATTATGCCGAGTCTTTTACTGTAGAAATTTTCAATGCGGTACGATTTCTTATTCCACTCTTCAATTTCTCTCCCGGTGTGGTGAGTCTGGATAATTTGGCCGGACCCATCGGCAGCAAGCGCGTAGTCGAATAACTCGTCAGACACGCATATGATTTTAGCCTCCTGTAAAAAGGGATACCCGACATGGCATTTCTGCCCCAATTTGACCTTTGCCAACTCAACTTTGCTTCGGAGCTCTACGTCGGCTAGAGTTACCACCATACTTTCGTTGCGGCTCTCTTGCTGGAAAACGTTCACCCCGTGAAAGCCAAGAGCGGCATTATAGGGTAATGTAGCGAGACTTGGAAAGCCTGCTAGAGCGTCGACTCCCACCTTCGTGTCTTTCAGTAAACCAACATATAGGTCTAACCCCTCCGTTGTAGGCAGGTCGAATATGTTCTCGACACAGCGACAATGGGGTATGTCTGGGAAGATTCCAACCATGGACGACGGGTAGATAAAGTCAACATTGGCGTCATAGGTGAACTTCAGTGACACGCCAAAATCATTGCGCGCCTTCTCTTCCGGGGTAAGAAGCTGGTTTTTAGGTGCCATGGCGGATAACAATCTCTGCTCGTCAATGAAAGGGATCTTTACAACAGCTTCCCATTCCATTTTCTTTCCGTTCATGTCGAGCTCAAAATCTCTAGGGTAGAAATCGATAATTGGCGATTTCGCGTCTGTCATAAGTTCGTGGTATACCGAGGGGACAATCTTCTTGCTTCGGTCAGGGAGGACTCCCATGAGCTGCTCAAATGGACGGAAAGGTTGGCCGAGTTTGAAGTTGAGATCGGCATTCATGCCCCTGACGATGTCTAGATAGAATGATTAGCGAAGCCATCTACTTGAGGGCCGGGTGCCACAATGTACCTGATGTCATGGGAGAGTAATGGTAGCGGTAGAACCATGGCCAAGAAGCTACTCCTTTGTAATAATAGTATAGTACCCATTGTAGACCCTGCACATAATTCTCGCAAAGCTTTGTCAGTTCCGTCTCCTTGACCTCCGGGGCCCACTCGAATTTGCTCGCATAATACTTGTCCTTCCACTCTCGGAATTTCTCCTCGTACATGGTTTGAGCGGCGGCCCGGGCTTCTTGGGCAGAAATGTCGACGACCTGAGCGTTGTCGTAGCGCTTCATAACGCGGAATAAGGCCATATGTCCTTCTTCCTCCTCTTCTTCGTTTTCGTCGCCGTCTTCCTTTGCGGGGAACGCTAGTAATAGGTTGCGTTGTCCATCGTCGTCCTCAACAGTACGCCATTCGATATGAAGACTGTCGGCAGTGTCCTGCACAAATTTTCTATCCGCGGCGGCGAGTCCGTGGCCAAGGTTGAGCGGAGTAGGCGGTCGTTGGTTTATGAACTTTCGAATCTTCTTCCAAATCTCCTTCTGGGAACTCGTTACGACAAGTTTTCCTTTCGGCTTGCTATGTTCTTGACCGTTGGCCTCGGTTAGGTGCTTAGCCTTGAGCCACTTCGAGTCCGCGCACTCGTTCTCGAAATATCGATCTTCCTCCTTTGAAAGTTCATCGAGCAATAATTTTAGGCGGGAGAGGTTAATAACCCCTCCTTCGTTGATGTAACCATCGCACCGGGGGAGAACTTGTTTGTAGAGACGAAACATTGTTGCCAAGGCCCCTTCGTTGATGTGAAGATTAGGCAAGTTCGGAAGAAAGTCATTGCCAACGAAGAATGCCATCAAAATAAAATCATCGATGATTCTCTCCATGTCAAAAGGCACTTTTATGGAACCTTCCTTTTTCAGCTCCTGAAATTCTAGTTCGAGGTATTCTCGGACTATGCAGAGGTGCATTAGGTAGAAGTTTTGATGCTCCAGCTCCTTCGACTTAGTCTTCGAAGCGCGACCAAAAGTAACCTCTTCTCGAAGTAAGCAGAAATGGGGATCGTGACTTAATAGCCCCAGCATGATAAGATCGGCATCCAGGCCGTATAGGCAATGACGAACGTTGGGATGATAGTCCGGCTGGGCCTTGGCGTTCCTGATGTATTCCATAATCTTGTGCTCTCCCTCGCCGGGGACTTCGTGACCGGAGAGAACAATGTCGCAGACCTGCCAGTCAGAATCCTCGGAGATCTTTTTGTTGATGAAGTACTTGAGCTGCTGGGTTAGTTTGGCCATGAATTCTGTACCCGGTGTGATACAGTTGCTGTCGAAGGGGTCGTCTTTTGGGAGTTCCTGTCCTTCTCGTATAGCCTTATCGCGGGCTTGTTCGGCATCTAACGCCGTACGGAATCGGCGAGCTCTCTGTTGGTTCATCTTGGCTCTAGGAGCAACGCCATCGATAGCCATGAAGAAGAGCTTCTTCGGCTTGATCTTACCAAACAAGTGTTCGATATAATTGAATATGCGTATGAACATCTCATCTTCGCTAAGACGGAATGATGTATCGTGCGAGTCCTTGTGGGTGCAGTTGTGGATGATTCCATTCATGTCCAACTACGCAGGTTAGCGAAGACCAGTAGCGGGTATAACTTCGGGATGTCGCACGTAAAGGTTGTCAAATTCGGGGATTCGGTTCTCCGCAATGAGCTGAGATATCGCAGGATATCGCTCCGAGAGCCATCTGAAGAACTTCGGGACACTAGATAGAAGTCAGCAAGGCATTACTGGAATCGCGTATCACGAGTTGGGAGCCAGGAAACCTAGACGTACCCCATGATGACTTGATGGATGAACGGAGATTGAGATGAAATTGATGTAAAATTCGGATTGCGCGCGGCCGCGGTCGCTTTCAGATCAAGGAGTGAGGTGCGATGACGACTATGGCGAATGGATTGGGTACCAGCTGCTCCCTTAAATAGAAATATATGAAGATATTGCCCACGGTCTGAGGCCTTGAGCGTAATCTTGCGTAGAGATTTCTAAAAACAATAAATAAATAAAAATAGAACACTATATGGAATGAATGTTGTGACGAGAATAGTGCCGAGTCTCGCCAGCGCAAGGCATCTGGGGCAGCACAATGGGCTGACGGTAATGGACGGGATATATGTGGGTGTCGTGAAGTTTGAATGCGACGACGCAGATCTCCGTATATTGATGTTTGGGTAGCTTTTATTTTCGGCAACGAGGAGTCATTGACCGAGACCTCAAGTATGTAAGTGCACCTGCGCTATTGATGTAGGTACCCGGAGTGCCACTTGTAATGTTCCAGGTTGACTTACTGGGTATCTAGGTATGTAATAATACATATAGTCTGGCTAGTCCCTGGAGTAAAATGTTATTGAAGGAATCCCACACAGATGTCAATATACTTATTTGACATATACTTGTGTACCTGCCTATGTACATATCTATAATATGTAGAGCTTTACGCCACAGAACAATACATACCAGGTACCTGTATGGTATCAATCAGCTGAAAGAAACCACCTGGACATCTGAACAAGCCTCCCCCGCATTCATCTACGCAGCATGGAAATTCTTAGATGCCTGTTAACTTATGTACATAAATGCATAAGTACTCGTCTACCTAAGTATGTAGGTATCCAACAAAGAAGAACCGTAATCTTCTTATCTACATATGTAAGTACCCGTCTACAAAGAAGAAGGTGGGCCTCTGGTGCGCCATTGAAAGCTTAGAACCTTAACTGAAGCTAGATACTCTACTTTACGCGCATCGCGTTTTGTCGCGTGAAATCCATTTCTTGAACTTCTTTTTTCGTCACAACTCTAACGACCACCAAATCGACCAAACCGTATGATACACACAAATACGATTATCTAATATCCAATTTTCTGCAGCACGTCGATCCATCATGGCTCCAGGTCCTGTTGTCGAGGACGTCGACAGTAAGTCTCTCTTAGTACTTTAGAAGGCGTGTACTAACATGACGATACAAGTGGATATGGGTGCGCAGGACTATGATGAGGATGAGGAACAGAGACTGATCAATGAAGGTAACGCATCCGCAATAACTTAAGTATGATGCTTTTTCCTCAGCTCTCTTCTGACGCTTGGCAGAGTATAAAACGTGGAAAAAGAATTCACCATTCCTTTATGACATGATATTGAGGTAAGTTATCAATGATCAATGTTGATACACACCAAATCCATACTAATATATTGCAGCACCGCCCTGACATGGCCTACTCTGACTGTCCAATGGTTCCCCGATGTCAAAGAACCAGAGGGCAAGAACTGTCGCATCCACCGAGTTCTGATCGGAACACACACCTCCGAAGGTAAACCGAACCATGTCCAAATCGCCGAGGTTGAGATTCCCAAATCGGTTCGCGCTCATTCAAACGATTATGACGATGAACGAGGTGAGGTCGGCGGCTATGGCAAATCTCTGGCTGGCGACAGAGCAGCCATGAAATGGAACATTGTTCAGAAGATCGACCACCCTGGCGAGGTCAACAAAGCTCGTTACTGCCCGCAGAATCCTGACCTCATCGCCACACTAGCAGTAGATGGGCGAATCCTCATCTTTGATAGAACTAAACACAGCTTTGAACCCAACGGCAAAGTCAACCCTCAGATCAGCCTTGAAGGTCATAAGCAAGAAGGGTTCGGCCTCAACTGGAGCCCCCATGTCGAGGGTGCTTTGGCCTCAGGCAGTGAGGACGAGACTGTCTGTCTCTGGTATGTTGTTTACTGGTCTCATTGAATATCCGTATCTATAATGAAGCTAATGTTCTGAAATAGGGATCTGAAGTCACTGGCAAACGGCGGCAATACCTTGAGCCCCGCTCGTTGCTTCACGCACCACACTAACATCGTTAACGATGTTCAGTACCACCCCATCTCGAAGAATTTCATCGGTAGTGTATCTGATGATTTGACTCTGCAAATCATAGATGTGCGACAATCCTCCACCACACAGTCATCTCTAGTCGCCAAAGATGGACATAGTGATGCCATTAACTCGTTGGCGTTTAACCCTTCTACTGAGGTTCTTGTCGCCACCGCTTCCGCCGATAAGACTATCGGTGTTTGGGACTTACGCAATGTTAAAGAGAAAGTCCATACCCTAGAAGGGCATCAGGATGCGGTCACCTCGCTTTCCTGGCATCCTCACGAAGCTGGCATCCTTGGCAGTGCTAGCTATGATCGACGGATCATCTTCTGGGATCTTAGCAAAGTCGGCGAGGAACAACAACCTGACGACCAAGAAGATGGCCCCCCTGAACTGTGAGCTTTCGCCCCCTTTCCTTTCGCGCCTTCGCGAAAACAACAGCTAATATTCTATAGGTTGTTCATGCACGGTGGACACACCAACCACCTAGCAGATTTCAGTTGGAACCAGAATGACCCTTGGCTAGTGGCCAGCGCTGCCGAGGACAATATGCTCCAGGTTTGGAAGGTCGCCGACTCTATTGTAGGAAAAGACGAAGCAGATCTTCCATTGGATGAACTTGGCAGATGAAGAGGCAGGAGGCAAGCTTGGCAGGAGAGCAGCGACTAGCAATTACGATTTACTAGTGCTAATAGTCTCACGGATTGATGATAAGATGAGGAATTGGAAGTGTAAATGCCTCTGCAACGAAAGCACCGAGAAGCTAAGATACATCCGGGGGCCATCGTACCAGTCTAACAGAGCAAGCTATACGGTGTGCTTCTGCTTGCTTACCATCACCACCACCACTACTGTTCATAAAGCCACTTGCGTACTGCCCAAAAAGAGGTTACAGCAAGTACCTGACAGTGCCCAGAACAGTTAAACGGGAACCAAGTTGCCTTCGTAAATAAAATCTCGTCTTTAAGCTGATGCAAAACACGTACCAATGTAGGTACATATGTATATTGTTCAGGGGTGTGTCGCACGATGATAGAGGTGTATTCCTATCATCCTACGTAAGTAGCTGCATGTGGTACCCAGGTGAGGTAATGTAGGTACCTGCCACATGTACATGTAACTAAAGTAACTACCTGCAGGCAACCTTGAAACTTTAGGAGCCACCTTTATGGAATATGGAAATCCAATATTTTGGCCGAGCCTTCCTTTCACATACAACATACAATTAACCTTACGCCAAAATCATTTTTTCCCTTCTGTATCTTCCTTTTACTCTTCCTTAGAAATTTACTTTCGTGTGTTTATTTATGCCGTAACTTCCAGTAAGAGGCTCCACATGCCTACGAGATACAGATACGAACGCTTCTTACGCGCGTACTTGGATCGTCAGAGTGGCTCTGCTACGTCTCATTTCAACTTCCAGGTATCCGAATGTTGAGCTCCTGTTACCTCCCACCACCAAACCACCAACGTCTACGAACACCCTTATCCGACCTCGATATCGAGAAGCTCCTCTTTCTAGGAGCATGACCCCAATGCGGGAATGCCGTCATTAACCTCGTATCGTCCGACCGAGCCTCCAGATTCTCCCGTGAACGATCCGGATTCAGATGTCGACCTAGACCTTGAAGAACTAGACCCTAGCACCTCGTCCCACGCCCAAGCATCTCGTCTCCTAGGACATAACCAAAGCCCCGAACAACGAGCGCCACGGATTGCGTTACGAAATATTCGCATGGGCGGTTTGAGGCGGTCGGGGAATCGAGGTCGCGGCTATGGCGACCTTGGCCATGATAGGGACGGGATTAATGACGCCGTAGGCTTGCTGGAGGACGATTCACAAGGACAGCGATATTCGGATGGAAGCCACCATGCTGGCGACGAAGCGCCCCTCTTAGATGAATACGCCTCGCATTCCCGGAGATCCTTTGCCAGCGACAGGCTTCAAAACCTCGCCCATATTGGCTCGTCCTTAAGACTACCAAGCTTTATGTCCAGTACTAGTGCCAATCGACAGGACGAGGACGGGGTCTTCGACAATAAAGAAGATGATACCTCGACTTCGAGAACTATCGCCGTCGGTTCTCCTCAATCTACTCGTTACCCACCGAATCTCGTTTCAAATGCGAAATACACGGCGTTCACATTTCTTCCTATTACTCTATACAATGAATTCTCGTTCTTCTTCAATATGTACTTCCTCCTAGTTGCTCTATCGCAGGCAATCCCAGCCTTGAGGATAGGTTATCTATCTACCTACATCGCTCCACTCGCCTTCGTTCTTTTTATTACGATGGGAAAGGAGGCGTACGATGATATAGAGCGACGTCGGAGAGACAACGAGGCGAATTCTGAGGAGTATGTCGTCCTTCGCTTTGGGGAATCAGGGCAAACAGGCACGCCATCACACATTCCTAAGCATTATAAGCCGAAGGTCTCACGAAAAGCGGATCGACACCCGTTGACCCAGAGAGATCGACTATCTGATATCCAGGAAGAAGAGGAGCAAACTGAAGGCCAAGGTTGGGGTCATCCGTCCTCTTCGGTCGAAGAAGTTAACAAGAAGTCCCGTGACCTTAAGGTTGGCGACGTCCTCAAGCTAAGCAAAGGCCAGCGCGTCCCTGCGGATGTTGTCATCTTGAAGTGTTCTACCCCTGAAGGCGCGCAAGCTCAAATGCAGGCCCCAGAAAGCTTAGATCCGGAGACATTACTAGTGAGTCCCTTGGAAGGGGATGCAAACCAAAACGATCCTTCGTCCTCGCTTGAGACGGCCAAGAATCCCGAGCCGGGTAATTCGCATACACCCGACAGTAGATCTTCCGGAGAAACCTTCATCAGAACCGATCAACTTGACGGTGAGACGGATTGGAAACTTCGACTAGCATCCGCCCTGACCCAGGCTTTGCCTGTGGAGGAGTTCGTTCGTGTTAGAGTCACGGGTGGAAAGCCTGATAAGAAAGTAAACGAATTCGTCGGTCAAGTTGAGTTAATGACAACGCGACACGACGTCCTAAACAACCAATCTGGCGAAAGCAGGATAAGTGACGGCGGCCACACCGCCGCCCTATCAATCGACAACACCGCTTGGGCAAATACCATCATTGCCTCTCAAGCGACCACTATGGCCGTCATCGTCTATACCGGGCCGCAAACACGATCGGCTCTTTCCACCTCATTATCGCGGTCCAAGACTGGTTTATTGGAATATGAGATCAATTCCCTAACTAAAATACTTTGTGCACTTACCTTAGCATTGTCGGTTGTTTTAGTGGCCCTAGAAGGGTTTAGCAATACCGAGGGGAATATATGGTACGTGAAAATCATGCGATTTCTCGTGCTATTCTCTACCATTGTGCCGATCAGCCTGCGAGTCAACCTTGATCTTGGAAAGAGTGTCTATTCGTGGTTCATTCAGCGGGATCCCGGTATTCCGGGTGCGGTGGTTCGGACTAGCACAATTCCGGAGGACCTCGGGCGCATCGAATATTTACTCAGCGATAAGACGGGCACTCTGACCCAAAATGAGATGGAGATGAAGAAAATTCACGTGGGCACCGTTTCCTATGCCAACGAGGCAATGGACGAGGTGGTGGGATATATCAGACACGGTTTTGTCGGGACGTTGAACGACCAAGCACTCATTACGCCTTCCTCTTCATACAGTACGACTGCAGGTGTCACTGCAACTAGGACACGGCGGGAAATCGGGTCTAGAGTCCGAGATGTCGTTCTAGCCTTGGCTCTCTGTCACAACGTGACACCTACCGTGGAAGAAGAGGATGGACAGATGACCACTTCTTACCAAGCCTCCTCGCCAGATGAGATAGCCATTGTACGGTGGACCGAGTCTGTCGGTCTTCGTCTTGCGTATCGAGACCGGAAGAGGATGGCCTTAGAGTCTACGGATACAGGAAAGATAGTCGTGCAAGTTCAAATTCTGGACATCTTCCCCTTTACTTCTGACGGCAAGCGCATGGGAATTATCGTTCGATTTCAAGAACAACTGAAGCCGTCTTCTCTAGGTTTAGACGGTGGAGAAGTCTGGTTCTACCAGAAAGGTGCCGACACAGTCATGGGGTCTATTGTGGCTGCGAATGACTGGCTAGATGAGGAGACCGCGAACATGGCCCGGGAAGGTCTGAGGACCCTAGTAGTCGGACGAAAAAGGCTGTCCTCCGAACAATACCGGGCTTTCTCAGCCAGCTACCAGGAAGCCTCATTAGCGATCAGCGGCCGTGACGCTGGAATGCAACGCGTAGTCGCAGAATTTCTTGAGCACGATCTCGAGCTTCTTGGAGTCACTGGTGTGGAAGATAAACTTCAGAGAGACGTAAAGCCATCTTTAGAGCTGCTTCGCAACGCCGGTATTAAAATATGGATGCTGACAGGTGATAAAGTCGAGACGGCTAGGTGTGTGGCTGTTAGTTCGAAACTCGTCGCACGAGGACAATATATCTACACAGTTGCGAAGCTCAAGCATAAGGACAATGCCCAAGATCATCTAGACTTCCTCAGAAGCAAGACGGACTCCTGCTTACTGATTGATGGCGAAAGTCTAATGCTTTATCTGACACATTTTAGAGTTGATTTCATCTCGGTTGCTGTGCGACTACCAACGGTTGTCGCCTGTAGATGTTCACCCACACAGAAGGCGGACATCGCAAAACTAATCAAGGAATTCACCAAGAAGCGAGTCTGCTGCATCGGCGATGGTGGGAATGATGTCTCGATGATACAAGCCGCGGACGTTGGTGTTGGCATCGTTGGCAAGGAAGGTCGGCAGGCCAGTCTCGCCGCAGATTTCTCCATCGAACAATTCTGCCACCTTACCAAACTCCTAGTGTGGCACGGCCGAAATAGCTACAAGCGGAGTGCGAAGCTCGCCCAGTTCGTAATTCATCGTGGACTCATCATTGCCGTTTGCCAGACCATGTATAGCATTGCCATCAAATTTGAGCCGGAAGGCCTATACAAGGTACGTTTCTCTATTCCCCACGTTCTAGCCGCGATGTCTTATGACTAGTAGGATTGGCTCCTCGTGGGATATGCCACCGTATACACAGCAGCGCCAGTACTGTCGCTCGTTCTTGACAAGGATGTCGATGAAAACCTTGCGAACCTCTACCCCGAGTTGTACAAGGAGTTGACATCTGGCCGTTCCTTATCCTATCGTACCTTTTTCGTCTGGGTCTTCGTGTCAATCTACCAAGGGGGTATGATCCAAGGCCTATCCCAGATCCTCACCGAAGTCGACGGGCCAAGGATGGTGGCTGTCAGCTACACAGTTCTTGTGCTTAACGAACTGTTGATGGTTGCCATTGAGATTACGACTTGGCATCCCGTCATGATCATGAGTATTGTTGGGACCTTTCTATTCTATATTGGATCAATGCCTTTTCTCGGCGGATACTTCGACCTTGATTTCCTCCTTAGCTGGTAAGTGCATCTCCATGCTACCAGGCCTTTACCCCCTCATTTTGTTCCATGCGTCAACTAATTCGTCCTCTGGTAGGGGCTTTGTCTGGCGTGTGCTCGCCATCGGTTCCATCTCTCTAATACCACCGTATGCTGGGAAGTTGATTAGGAGAACAATGAAACCGCCGTCATACAGAAAGGTCCAAGGCATATGACTCTTGTTGGGGCAATGCACATCGGCTAGGCGTTCGGGGTTCATACTGTTTATACATATATAAATATATACATGTTACTTAAATCTTCGTTACCGGGTGGTATCCATGAAAACCAACTTTGCCTGCCGTTTCCCCTGCCGTCTGGTACATTGGTGCAACGTATAACTAACTAAACTCTCAAGGGGCTAATAATTTTTAAGACTCTGATCGGATAGTGCCGAGGCCGTCTGGTATACGATTCGTTGCACCTAATACAATTAATGTATGCCGCCTTTACCACGCCTTCCCGCGCAGTCCGCTTTAGTAAATTAGCACTAAAGCCATCGCAAAAATTTCGTCATGCTGACTAGTAAGGTGTTTCAACTTAAAATGAGACATACGAGGCTTACTACCAACGTATCCTATAGTTGAAACATTGAAGCTGATAGTAGAAAATTAGACATTTTAACTTCAGATTAATTTATTATAAATTTTATAGCTACCACCTGCGCAAATAAAGTAGGTACGTAAACGCAATGGCTCAAGTCACACATATAGCTGTTGCGTCATAGCTCACATGCAGCTCTCACATACATATGTACCTCTTTACGCATTGGCGCCAGACTGCGCCCGATCGAAAAGTGGACAGGCAAGTTAAGCTACTTAGTAGCTGGTTATATACATAAGATACAGAGTTTGCTAGCTCGATGTACGCATTTATGCATACAAAATCCATGTGGGATCTAAGTAACGATAACATGCGTCTAGGTGGGTGGTACCACAACCTAAAGTTCTGGGGAACTTTAGAGTTGGGTTGCGGGATTGTGGGGCCAAGGATAAGGTACTACCTAGATATGGCGCAAGAGTTTCCAGCCTGCAAAGTTTCGCCTCCAATGGCTTTTCTTCTTTTGCGGAGGTCTTATGGAGACTAGTCTAGTCCCCTCATTCCTCATTCCACATTCCACATCTCCACCTCATAAGTGAAATCCATCTTTTCCCTTTCCTCCCCTCTTAAATCTCTATTCCCATCGCCTTTGTGGACTACTTCAACCCACCAATCTAGCATCTAGCTTCTGGCATCCTCAAGGGTTCACTCAGCTGTTTGGGCTTCGAAATTGTTTGGGTTTATTCGACGATAGGTAAGTCAGCCAGACCATCCAATCATTCAACTATCTCATCCCATTCTGCCCGTTACATTTTGAGTGGGGAGCTTCTATAGGTACATTAGCTACCTAGGTATCTTCAAGATTTTAGGTATCCTTATATACGCTTCCGATGTTGGGAGACTTATACGCCCAAGACCTGAACACTTTTTTTTCCCCATCTCTCCCTCTCTCCCTCATCTCCCCTTATAAAATCCCGTCGAAGGAAGATCCCTATCGACTTGTTGTCGATTTCTTTCATATAGCTAACTCATCATATTTACTTGACATAGCTAGAATATTGGCCCTTCTCTACTTTCCTCCCTTTCGTCTCTTTCCTATTGACTTCACTCCGACGATCATCGCAAATGGCTTCCGAAAATGGGGAGAGAGCTCCTCGAGAAGTGAAGAACCATATTCTCTTTGAGGTTGCGACTGAGGTGGCACACCGCGGTATGTGTTTTCCCCTAAAAATAAAAAATAAAAAAGTAAAAAGGCGGCCGGGTTTCCCTAGGCTAACGCAAAGCTCAGTTGGTGGTATCTACTCTGTCATCAAGTCAAAGGCTCCCGTCACTACCGCTGAATATGGAGAGCGCTACACTCTCATTGGTCCTCTCAATCACCAATCTGTATGTCGTATCTTAGATCTATGTCCCGTGCGTCTTCCTAACCTAGAGTAGGCGGCTGTTGAAGTCGAAGAACTCGAACCGACTACCCCCGAACTCGCCAAGAGTATCGATGCTATGAAGAATCGGGGTATCGGTATACTTTACGGAAGATGGCTCATTGAGGGAGCTCCTAGAGTACTGCTTATCGATACAAAGACTGCATACAAGTATCTGGATGAGTGGAAAGCAGACTTATGGAACGTTGCTAGTATCCCGTCTCCGCCAGGCGATGATGAAACAAACGAGGCCATCGTCTTTGGATACCTGGTCGCATGGTTTCTAGGAGAGGTCCGTCTTTTGGCCCTACAACTAACGTCATGGCTGCTGACTTTTTGGGGGCTCATAGTTTGTCTGCCATGAGAAGAACAAAGCTGTTATTGCTCATTTCCACGAATGGCTTGCTGGTGTAGCCCTACCTTTGACCAAGAAGAGGCGCATAGATGTCACTACCGTCTTCACTACGCACGCAACCCTCTTAGGCCGCTACCTATGCGCTGGTTCTGTTGATTTTTACAACAATCTGCAATGGTTTGACGTTGACGCTGAAGCCGGAAAGCGTGGGATCTACCACCGCTACTGCATAGAACGTGCTGCCACTCACTCTTGCGATGTTTTTACGACTGTCTCTCACATCACAGCCTTCGAAAGCGAACACTTACTTAAACGCAAGCCAGATGGCGTCCTGCCGAACGGGCTTAACGTCACCAAGTTCTCCGCGATACACGAGTTCCAGAATCTGCATCAACAATCTAAGGAGAAGATCCACGATTTCGTCCGTGGACATTTTTACGGGCACTATGATTTCGTCCCCGAAGACACCGTTTACTTCTTTACGGCCGGACGTTACGAGTTCCGGAATAAAGGTGTCGATATGTTTATCGAGTCTCTTGCTCGTCTCAACCACAGGTTAAAGAGTGCCGGGAGCAAAACCACCGTCGTGGCATTTATTATCATGCCCGCGCAAACGACGTCGCTGACGGTGGAAGCTCTTAAAGGCCAGGCGGTCATCAAATCGCTTCGCGACACGATTGAGGTGATTGAGCGGGGGATAGGTCGTCGTGTCTTCGAGCGGTCACTAAAGTGGCATGACGGGGATCCGATGCCGGACGAAAAGGAACTAATTACGAGCGCTGACAGAGTTGTCTTGCGCCGCCGCCTCTTTGCCATGAAAAGGCATGGTCTCCCTCCTATTGTTACACACAATATGATCAATGACCAGGACGACCCTATTCTTAACCAAATCCGTCGAGTGCAGCTCTTCAACCACCCTACGGATCGCGTTAAGATCATTTTCCACCCCGAATTCCTGAACTCGTCGAATCCGATCCTGCCTTTAGATTACGACGACTTTGTGCGCGGCACAAACCTGGGCGTGTTCGCCTCTTACTACGAACCGTGGGGTTACACGCCTGCTGAGTGTACAGTCATGGGTGTTCCAAGCATCACCACCAACCTGTCTGGCTTTGGCTGCTATATGGAGGAATTGATTGAGAATTCGGCCGACTATGGCATCTACATCGTTGACCGACGAAACAAAGGTGTCGATGACTCGGTCAACCAGCTAACCTCCCATATGTTTGAGTTCTGCCAGAAAAGCCGGCGTCAACGAATCAATCAGCGAAATCGGACTGAGAGACTTAGTGACCTGCTAGATTGGAAGAGGATGGGTATGGAATACGTCAAAGCTCGACAATTAGCTCTGCGGCGGGCGTACCCGACCTCATTTTCTGGTGATGAGGAGGACGACTTCATACCGGGTGTTGAGCAGAAGATCTCCCGACCCTTCTCAGTCCCAGGCTCCCCTCGCGACCGTACTGGCATGATGACTCCTGGAGACTTCGCAAGCCTGCAAGAGGGGAGAGAAGGACTGAGCACGGAAGATTATGTGGCATGGAAGCTACCGTAAGTGGCATATCGACCCGTCCGCTGAAATTGATAACTGACGCAAGATTATAATACAGAGAAGAGGAAGATCCCGAGGAATATCCGTTTCCCCTAACGCTACGAACGAAGAAAGCAAATTTCTCCGGGCCGGCATCTCCTCTCGACGGCGTCCAAATCAACGGGACTCAGTAGGGATAGACGACTATCGTTTATTTCTCGGTGATGCAGGTTAGAAAAAGTGTGTAGGTAGCTCGAGTGATGGGAAAGCTGGTAAGGTCCGATGGAGTCGCGCTTTGACGATATGGACCTAGTTGTGATGGGCACAAGCGAGGGTAGTAGTTGCATAGGTATATATCATCTTGGTTTAGGGGTCGTCCGGCAACACGGAAAAAACCAGGGGTTTTTCGTTCTACGTTGATCGCATAGCAACGCATTAGCTGGCAGTTATTAACATTTTATACTTTTCTAAGTTCGCCTCCTTACGAACACTACCATTGTAATATGTATCTCAGCTATGAATATATGTATAATAGACGCGCATGTTTCATGTTAACATCAAGAGTTGGGCTACTAGGTCCTAAGTAGACAAATAGGGGCGGGGGAGGGTGTCGTAGTGTGTCGAGGCGGCTATTAATAATTGAAGGCATTGCAATCAATATGTACTTACATTAGGTAGGTACCTATATTAGGTATGTACGTATGTACATACATACCTACGTAGGTACACAAGTACGTTAGTTGGTGGGTAAGCTCAAACGATTGGGTCAAATGCAATACCAAGATATTATATTTTCAGTTATCCAAACCCCCAACGTCTAAAGAGAGCCAATGAACTACTATGACGTATATACCTAGGTGCAGGATAGGATGCCATCTACCTACTAGGTAGATGTTTTTAAGCGCGAATCCCCTGTAAGGTCCTATGTACCCAAGTATGTAAGAGCCCGTACCGTACCGACCCATGGGCCTACATGAAGTAGGTAGGAAGTAACAGTAAACCAATTGATTCCCCGCCTTGACCTTCACCTTCCTTGCAGCAACCTTTTTATAAAACAAAGCCGGGTGACCTCTGTTCAACTTTGGAAGCTTCTTATACCTACCTCTTACCACCTACCTTCTACAACCTATAATCCACCACTTCTTACCCCTATAGCCATCGCACTGGGGGAGCGCATGCGGCTCAGGTATGCACACGTCAATGCACGTATTACACGTCTTGTAGGCAGCTGACGGGTCCCGGTAGGGTAAAAAAGGGAAAGGCTGCCCTCACGCGTCGTGGTACCGCCTCGGCTTAATTTGGTTTCGCGATGAAGTTCACCGTCATGAAGTTCTTTCGGCGCAGCAAGAAGCCGCTCCAACAGCCCAAGCCGTCAAAGAAATCGGCCCAAGATGATTTGGAGAGGGATAAATATCGGATTTACAACCCGCAGCAGAGCGACTATTACAACTATGCCGCCCAAAGGGGTAGCGTGTTCGCGCCCTGGTTGGAGCTCCCCGCTCCTATATTAGAAAGGGTCTTCTCTTTTATCTGTCCCCATTGTTGTGATGAGTCGTACGAGACGTGCGAGCAGAGCGCACTCGAGAACGCCTGCATGCTTTGCGACCTACGCGACCTCTCGCATGCCGGCCAAGTCTGTAAGCGTTGGAGGAAGGCTGCCGTTAAATTAATGTGAGCTGCTCCTTAGACCGATGCTACGTGGCCCCAGGACAATGTGTTGCTAATCACTCGAGAATTTATTTCGCCATTATAGGTACCATAGCATCCGCATCGATTCCGTACATTATTGCGAGCGCGAGATCGATCTTTCCGAGAGGCGAAAACGCAGGAGTCGCTTCGATCGCAATGGCCTTCCCGAAGACACGGCTAGTGCTCGACTGCAGTTGTTGTGCCGATCGCTACGCGAAGACCCGACACGGCTTGGTTGCCTCGTTCAATACTTCAAGACGCCGTACATGTTACGAGAGTCGAGTACGTCCACGCTCGCGCGGACCATTGCCGTCTTGCCCAACCTCCGCTACGTCGACCTCCCCGAAGGACTATTTAGCGATGACCCGGCTTATCATACCCTCAAACTCGAGGTGCAAGCCCGCTGTCCAGACCTCAGAAAAATGACGTACATCGGTGGTAGTGAGCGGAGCTTGGAGGCGTTGAGTAGGGGTAATGTATGGCCGAACCTCGAGGTGTTAGAACTGACCAGAATAAACATGGATCCGGCGATGCTGCGACACGTCCTTTCTATGCTTCGTCACCTACGAGCTCTGAAGGTTTCGGACTGCCGAATCTTGGATGACGATATATTCAAATACAATGACACATTGGCGGCTTTCCCAGCCTTGGAGGAAATGATACTAATAGACACGCCGAAGCTCACCTCTGGAGGCCTAGTGGCGTATCTATCTAGGGACGAGACGCAGAGGCAGCTCAAAGTGCTCTCTCTTTCTAACACCGGGGTTCAAGCATCTACGCTACACGATGTATTGGCTCATGCGCCAAATCTTACAGCCTTGTCCATCATTGACCAAGTAGATTCCCCGTTCCCATCTCACTCGGGACCCCTCCCGCCACTGACGAACTGGTCTCTACAAACTCTGCGCTTCGAAATCACGGCGTCCCCGGCTACTGCTTCCTACGCGAGTATTACAAGCGGTTATTACAACTATCTAGCATCTTCCCTCTTTGCTGGTGGCTTACCGCGCCTATCCGCAGTCTATGTTCGCGACCAAGATTTCCCAGACATCCTCCTAGGCCTCCCGCCACCTATGCCCGGGTTTGCTGGAGGCCAGCAACGACCCAGTAGCTCCAGCAGTGACCGCATGTTCGGCATGGGGAACGGTAGTCTTTCGCCGATGAATAATGGTCACTTCGGCAATGTACCCCCCCGCTTCAGTTCTAACAACCCTTTTGCGGCAGCACTAGGACCGTCTCGCGGATTATCACTCAACCAGACGCTGGAGGTTTTCACCAAAGGGGAAGACGATGTCGATTGGGGTAGCATAAGAAGTAAGTATTTGTAAACCATGTCAAGGGACCTGTTTCAAGGTCTCGTGACACACAGTCAGTCTATATTCTTCTATCTACAGCAGCTACTAACCCCTTGTGTCGCAGTGGACCCCTTCGACGCTTACGGCGGTGTTGCGGGCAGCGGTAGCAGAGGCCGCAGTGGTAGTACTTCGAGCGGCCGCCCTCTAAGCAGTTACGGCCTAGCAGATATAGGGTCCGGGTGGCAAGCTGGTGGTGGAGCCAGAAAGAGTATACTTGTGCAAGGAACCGGCGCCGGTAGCTTCTTGGCCGTGCCAGGCGGACACGGGCGTACTGGTAGTACCGCAAGCTCCAGCGCTGTGAAGGAGGATCTATGGCCAAGACCCAGCAGTAGCGCAGGAGCCAAGGGAGACCGAGACCTGTGGCGCTAATAAGTAAACTCTAGAAGAGGACGTAGTGTTTATTCTTATAATGGATGACGATGTTAGGAGATTTTGGAGCTGATGTTCCGGTTTGCTCGGGAACAAAAGGTGATAAGTTCAAGAACCCAGTAGTAATAGGAATCATCAATTGTGCTACCAATCATCGGGTAGGCCGACGTGATGAGTCAGTACCTGGGATTTATATGTCTCGCGGCTGAATATTCAAGCTGATGAGAATAGCCAGAGTGAAAAGAGAAGTTATACGCTCATCCATTCCAAGTTGCCTATCGTGGGAGGAGACATTTAGGAAATCTTGGTAACGACTAATTCCCCCTGCGCGCCACCTTCGAGCTTTAGGAACCCACCTGTCTCTAATTTCTTTTTCCATTTTCCACTCTCATACCTCGCCAAGATCATTGTCATACGAAGCGCAGTCCGGCGACTTGAGCTGTGCTCGGCCGTTTCCGGGTCGAGGGGAGTGAATGTCCATCTTCCGAATGCCCAATTCAGTATATACCTGCCTGGACGGCTAGACGGCGTTGTCGGTGCTGGTGCTTCATCTTCTCCGGAGCTCCGGACCGTTGGTGATGTTGTTAATACGGACTTGATCCGATAGACCTCGTCTTTAGGTGCAGCATTCAACAAAGACATCAATTTTGTCGCATCGGTGACGGCACCTGGCTCCCCGGAGAGGGCGATTGAGAGAACTTCGACCTCGCTTTGGTGATCGTGGTTATGGTCATGATCATGGTCGTGAGCATGAGCGTCACTGTTGTTATTTATATTGGGTTGTTCACTTAACGCCCTCGCCAATCCGCCATCGATACCGAATATAACGTCGACAGGGATTCGTCCCTTATCGCTCTTCACCCAAGCGACGTCGACTTCGAGATCTCCGACTCGGTCAAGACAGTCGTCGAATCTGCGCTCGTCGCAGTTTTCCCATTTGCTGAAGACGATCAGGTCCGTGTATCTGGCTTGTATGCGAGCGGTGTAACTAGTATCCTCATACCCCTTCCAGTTCTCGACGTCGATGACACTGACGACGCCGTCGAGGGTGTAGTGGCCGGTGTCGCGAGCCAGTCGGTTGACTTCGATAGCCAAAGTAGCAGGGAAGGCAGAGCCAGAAGTCTCGATGACGATGCGATCGGGGTTAACGCTGGAACGCAGCTCGGCGAGAGCAGTGCTCAGCTGGCCGACGAGGTTGCAGCATATGCAGCCGTTGAGGAGCTCTTGGACGCCGGAGACGGCGCTGGACGAGGCGAGCTGCGAGTCGATGGCTACGTCGCCGAATTCATTCTTTAGCAGAGCCAGACGATAGGAAGGATTAGTGGTGCGAAGTTGTGGAATGATGTTCAGTAGCAATGTCGTTTTTCCGGAGCCCAAGAAGCCGGTCAGGATGGTTATAGGTATCGGGGCCATTCTCGCGCGTAATTTGCATGAATAAAAGAAGAAAATAAAAATAAATACCTCCTTAGAGCATCGTGGGGTACGAGGGGTCCTGGGGATACGTCACTCAGGTCACTTGCACACCTATTTTATTAATAGCATAGTTTCCCTCCCTGTCCCTGTTGAGCTTATTTTTAGTGCCCTAACCTATTATTTGATGGCGTATATTCTTGTCTATTCTTGTCATTCTCCCTGAACTTCCTCCTTAAACATCACAATCTTACACAGAATGTGATGTTCATTAATACTCAAAAGTCTGCCCAACCAGTTTTTCACTCAGCTCCCATAATCTCTCTGCGCCTTCGCGGTCTAAGGCATAAGCCGCAATTGACTGATCCATCCCACCCGCCGTAATGGCCACGCCATTCTTATCTGGAACACTTGTCAGCGATTTCGGAAATGATTCTGTAATATATATATGCATTCTCATACTCGCTAAGTCGGGATCGTAGGCGGCTTTGATATAGCTTGCCACCCCCTTTGCAGGAGTCGTCCACTTAATCGCCGGGTTGGGTTGACCATCCGGCAAAGACCAGCCCCTCAGTATGCTCTCTTCTTTCGTAACTAACCGATTAATACCTGTTTGGACAGCTATTCCAAGTTTAGTCTACGATCATATCGCTAAATCCTCAGATACGCCGGCACACTTACATCCTGGGTCGGTGGCTATGGCCCGAAGATTTGTCTTGCCCAGTTTCATAGCTAGGCCAAGCGTAAACAGGAGGTTGCCTGACTTGCTCGCTGCGTATGCCAGGAATGGTTCGTACGACTTTCCGTTGTCGAAATTAATGTCATCGAAACGGACATTGGAGAACTGGTGGCCAAAGGATGTCACGTTGACCACGCGTGCATTAGCACTCGCGAGCAAAGCCGGCATCAAGAGATTAGTAAACAGGAAATGACCAATATGATTAGTCCCGAATGTCATTTCGATTCCCTCCGGAGTCGTGGTATACTTAGGGATCATGCAAGCAGCCGCACTGTTAATGAGGATGTCAATAGCCGGTGCTAATTTGAGAACTTCGGCGGCAGCCGAGCGAACCGATTGCTGGCTCGATAGGTCCATTTCCACGGGTATAATCTCGCAAGCTAGCTCAGACGACAGTCTTATGCATTCTATAACCTGCCTCATTCTAGATTCAGATCTAGAAGCAAGAATGAGCCGCTTGGTTCCATGCTGCGCGATACATCTGGCCGCTTCCGCACCCAGACTTTGCGATGAGCATCCGGTGATTACGACTTGACGTTATATAGGTATCAGTACTATGAGAATATCTATATCTCACATTTATATATAGATATGCGAAATTAACTTACCAGTCTTGCCAGAAATATACTCCCTAAATTTGTCAGCTACTTCATCCGACGTCAAATCATGGTCGACATCAGTTACTACCCCTCTGCCTGCCGCCGCAAACCTTGGGTCCCATTTTGCCCCTGAAGCCATCGTCCAACTACGATGATAGCTTTGATGTTGTCTTTGGCGTGCGTTGATAAGCTGCGTGGGCTATTAAGAAAATGTCGGTATAATATTCGGCTCGTTTCGTTGGAGCAAAGTCGAGTGATAGGTGGCTAAAGGTGTCGCCCTCCCTCATTTTACCTGGCGTCTTCTCATCCTCATTTTATGTTTCGAGGGTCTCTACAACATATCCATACGTATATCAAAGGATATTACAATAAAGCCGTTAAAGTCCGCTCAGGCTATGCTAGCAAGCCAATTCACGACCTTCGGGATTGAGTCAAATCTCCATCCTACTTCTCCCGGAGAAAGCATACCCACTTCGAACTACAGGTCATCAGCATAGGGGTGCCGTGAAGCCTGCGTGAATTTAGTTTCTAGCTCTCTAGGCCTTGTTTCAGTACGACAGAGACCATCGCCTTAATCACTTAGCGTGCAATTAGTATATTTCACTTGTGGATCCGTGCTTCTTAAGACCGTGATATCCGAATCGTGCATCGGACGGTCGCCTCGAGACCCGATATTACGCAAATCGACCATGAGGTGGAGAGAAGAGACTACAAGCTGGCGTCAGCATCTTCTTAACAGCTTTCAATAAGCGGGTGCTGAGGTGGTTCTCAAAAAAAAAAAAAAAAAAAAAAAAATGAACATTGTTATGATATAGTGTATGCTACTGTCCTAATGGAAGTCGACTACGTTGGACAAGATATGATGACGACGGGTTGAACACAATTGCTGTAATAAGCGAGTTTACTTAACTCTTATCAAGGAGTGCGAGTGAGTTACTCCTCACTTTTCAGATATAGTCCAACCTATGATCACACGCGCACGTAGAAAATACACTGACACAGAGGGAGGAGTTATTTCATCATAAGATTGGATATATGTAAGCTGATATAAGCTAATTCTCCGATACTCTATGCGGAGGTGCAGTTAGACAACCCTGCCTGGAAGGTCTGAGAATTTCTGACATATATAGGCAAGTAATCTCGCGTCGTGAAGTTTTCGTCGATATAGTAAGAAACATCACTCGAGCTATAGTTGGAGCCGAGGATGGCAAGAAGGTCGCTCTCGATGCTTTGTGGTAGTAATTAGCCAACCATCACGCCCCGATAGGCATTCATGAAATATAGGATAAAACTTACAAGTCGACAAACACCACATCAACAACATCCGGGGTGGTACTCTCGTTAAACCCGGCCGTGCCCTGGAAGAAATCGGGAATATCATAATACGGGATCCCAGTATGCGCAGTGTCATCGCCATCCGTCCCAAAATCGTCCTTGGTCGTGTAGCCTGGAACTAGGTCGACTACCTGACGTCTCGTGATACTGGGGTGCTCACCGTGCTCTTCGCGTTTAATTCCGGAAAGGTGAACGGGAGACGGGTCGACGCAGATATCACGTTCGATGGGCATGACGCCAAGGCTGCGCTTCTGGCTGGCACCCGCCTTATTAAGTGACTGAAGCAAAGTGCTAGCTACGCTATAGGGTATTTCTGGGATATATAAGAAGTGATCGAGGAACGGCGAGACGATGAATTGGTCATCATAAGTGAAGGGTCCCTTATACAAGTCAAATCGGACGCTTCCTGTGTTGGCGATGATGTAGCGTGGTATATCTTGACGTGATTCGTTCACAACAGCCTCGGACAGCGCTTCTGATAGCAGGGGGAAGATATTCCCGGTACTATCAAAGCTCACACATGTCAGACAATAGTCCTATCCCGCCTTTAGTCAAGACACACATCATTAACCGGCCCGTGAGTAGGAAATTAAGATTGCTGACCTGAGGTGCGCAACCGTATACGTCGGTAAGGTTCAGTTGCTTTCTGTACTTCGTAATCTCGGCCGTAACGGCCAGACCATTACTATAGTCGAATTTCTTGTCGTAACGAGTCGCGGCGTGGTACTCGAACGTTCGACGGTTCCAGTCGAGATAGCGCCGTGAGTACACGAAAGGAGAAGTGGAATTCTGAGTGGCTTTACGGGTTGGGTTAGGGACGCCGGCCGGTCCGGGAACGACGCCGTGGTAGCCGCTATTATTACTGTTAAATCCAGACATCGAGAGCCAACCGAGAGTTTCGCAATACCGGCCTGCAAGATTATCAGAGGTAGGCTCGAAAGCAAAGTGTGCGTTTTACTTACCCGACTCCATCGCTGTACTGCTAGAGTCCAGAACAGCAAAGTCTCTGATGTGAGTGTGGCCTCCTATATCGGGATGAGCTGAACTGCCCCTTTACCAAAGTGTAGAGAAGCGGGGAGAGAGAGAGAAGGATAAAACAAACCCATAAATTGGATAGGGGTATTGGGATGCACTGCGCGAATGGCGTCAAAGACAACGGGAAACGTGCTGATCGAATCAGTCGGGCGCGCAGGGTTGTGGCCCAGAATGATGAAGACGTCCACGGGTTCCGGGGAATGAAGAATATCCAAGAACCATTGTTGGGTGACCATGGTCTTCGCGGGAATGACCTTGCTGACATTCGTGTTGCCTATCAGATGTCAACCAGATTGTTAAGCGGCAAAAAGGGGAATAGGGGCTTCTTAAGGACTACTGACCGGTGAAATCAAATAGCACGCCAAAGGCCATGACTCTAAGGCCGTGCTGAGTAGTAAAATACCGGTGCGTCTTGCCGATATACTGCCACTCGTTCGTCTCCGGGTTGAGGATTTGAACGTTGGATGTCAGATACTTCTCACCCCAGTAGGTCGAGATATTATACATGGCCTGGTAGGCCACGGTGGCAAGGTATAATTCGTGATTGCCGATGGTGAGCAAGTCATAATCGACCTTGTCGAAGACTGTCATCGAAATAGCACCGTCCGGTGTTGTGGCGTCGCTTAGGCCTGCCCCGTCGTGCAGGTCGCCTAGGCGGGAGGAGGTGGTGAGTTTTATCGACTGCATCTCTCCAGGAGTTGGGATCAACTAACCGGTGTCTACCAGAAGCATGTCGACCCCCATACGGCTGGCCTGATGCTTGAAGTGAGTAGAGAAAGAGACAAAGTCGCCCCAGTCCGCGCCATAGTTTCCTTGCTTCAGATGACCTTCCAGCCATCCGTGGGTGTCGGTCTTGTGAGGTTGACCGTCAGCAACACCATCTGGTGAAGGTCTCAATATTCATCGTCCACTCACCGTATGCAGGAAATTCAATTGGCCCCACTGCAGCACTTGGAGTTAGCATTGCCATTCCTTTTCCTATTCCCATTTCCCTATATATTAGGTATATATATATATGAACTCACCTCCAAAGCTCTCGTAGGTCCATAGGTAGCGTTAATCGCATCTGGCTGCATGCGCTTAACGTGTCGAACATGTTCGACATGATCTACAGGGCCAAAGCAGCCGGAGCAGGCTAGAGAACCGTCGATGAGCGGCAGGAGACCCAGGAGATTGAGGAGGCGCATCTTGACTCTTTTCTTTTCTTTTCTTTTCCTTTACCTGTCTGCCAACTTGCCAATAAAGCAGGTAAAGTATATATCGAGCAGCTTGGAAAAGAGACGGGAATTTAAATATTCTCTGGAAATACGGCACCGCGGTACCGCCGCACCGCGGCATTCACCGAGATAATACTACGTAGTAAACGCTCCTAATCGCTAAGTACATAAACAGTGAGAGAGCCGGGATACCGCACGTGGTAGTAGTCGCCTTCCTAATAGAGTAAGTACAAGTAAATGTAGGCGATAGGTCGTGGTCTATCAGCGATTATGTGGAAACCAATATACATCATATTACCTACGTGAAATCGTACAAAGGTAACTCGAATATTCAATGTCTACCCTCTATATAAACTGTGTATATACTGTATATATATTGTATATATACACATCTTCAGCTAGCCACATAGATCTTGTTCACGTTTGTAAATGTACATAAATCATTAGTCTAATGTCCCCTTCGGGAATCGCAGGATCGCAAAAATGCATGCTGACCTGCATTAGGGTATATATAGTAGATCTAACTACATGGGTAATGAGGGCCTTATTATCTAGAACAGGAAATCGATGATAACATCACAGTTGCTTGTTACGGAGTAGTGCAATGTCGCAAGCCCCCGTGCGAAGAAAACGATTATAACTCTGTGATTCCGTTCTCACCTACAATTCGATCTCTTCAACGTCCTTCCTCGCCGTATCTTCCACCTCCGATCGTGGCGTTGCTGGGGGCGTCTTATCTCCATCTTCCGCCGTCGACACCACTCCCATCCGACTGAGGTCCCCGGGAGACAATCTCCCCCGGATCCTGTAAGACTTCGCCGAATATGCGCGGTTAGAGTTATCCTCCAGGTAGAACGCCAATCTCTCTGGCTTTTGGCTTGGCGAGAGCCATCTGTCGATATCGTCTTCTAATTGCCTGAGTACTTCGATAGCCCTGCTCTTGCCTATGACCCCATCTATGTATATCGACACGATAGTCCAGTCCTGCGCAGCATCGCGCACCGCGAGACTATTATTGAAGTAAGATGTGCCGATGCCAAATGCGACAAACCTCCGCTTCTCTCTCGAGATATGCTCATCTAGGAGGTCATTTAGGTTGTCCATTGGTATTTTTCTATCTTTCGGCTTAGTTTCTCTCGAAATCGTAGTTTGTGATAGCTTAAGGTGCTTGGTAGTTTAGGCACGAGAAGGCAGAGATCCGGTTCACTTTATTGAATATCAACACGATAATTTCCGTTTGGTGTGCTACTTGAGTAAAACGGAGATCAATTGGACCCTTTGTTCTTCAAACCTCGAGGACCAGCTAGTCAGTATTTGGGGTGTTAGGGACAAAGGCATAGTTTCAACGGTGACTACTCGAAAGATAAGGAGGGCTTTTTTCACTTTGTTCTTGAATGATTTTCTCACCACCTGTGTACTTACACTGACTGACAAGTGACTGAATCGTAATTGCTTATTCTGGTTGTGGTACTACTCAATGTGATACTCGATGTGGCCTCAGCTTTTCCGTCTTCGTGGAAAGCCGTATGCTTATTAGATAATAAGACTCTTAGAGCCTTTATGATGCTGTTATAACTTATACGGCCAAGAACTAGCATTATATCATACCTTAAGGCGACTGTAGTTCAACGTACTTTTAATAGGGGTCGGAGATCAAGAGAAACTTAGGGGGATAAATAAAGATAGTAGTTAAATCAATCACATATAGCAGGATGTTAAATATTTAAACTTGATAAATATAACATTGTGTAAAAAAGCAATAGCTAACACGATAGATCCACATGCAAAATCCCGAGACCAAATACTTCCATCAACCCTAAGGATACATAGCTAATGAAAAAAAGAAAAAGAAAACACAAGTCATAAACCATATCCAAGAAATAGGAAGCGATACGTTAACCCAACCTCCATGCACCGAAAAAGAAACTGAATCCTAAACCCTGAATACGATCATTCCTTATAGAATCAAAAAGTGTCCAGCCACGAAGACGAGACCGGAGAACACGGCGAAGGCGTTCTTGAGCGACGCGGCACCAGCAGTGACGACGGCAGGAGGGCTACTAGTAGTGCCGTTGGGAGCCATACCGCTGGCGTTGCACCGTCCATTCGAGCCATTGCAGCCAGAAGAGACGCACGAGGGACCACTGCAGCTAGAGCTGGAGCCGGAGCCGGAGCCGGGGTTGGAGCCGGGGTTGGAGCCGTGACCACTCATAGATCCAGAGCCAGAGCCAGAAGAGACGCACGAAGAGCCATTGCATCCTGAGCCTGATCCAGCACCGTTGCCAGATCCGGACCCGGACCCTGAACCAGCAGCAGAGCCGGAACCGGAACCAGATCCGGGGTGAGGGCATGGACCAGGACCGGTGCACGAGCCCACAGCGTTGTTGGTAGGGACGGCAGTGTGGATGGTACGGGTGTTGGTGGCTGGGGGGTTGGTTGGGTAGGCAGTGATGGTGGCAGTAACACCGTTGCCGTTAATGCTGACAGTGGGCACCCATGTGCCGGTAGGCTGAGCACCGGGGCAGGTGATCTCGATCTCGGTGGTAGGCTTGCAGGCGTGGCAAGCGACGGTGGTGACGACGAATCCAGGAGGCATGGTGGGAGTCACGTAGTCGGTGGGTTTACCCATACAGGTCTCGGTGATGGTGTAAGTGGCCAGCCACTGGCTGGTCTCGCATGCTGCCGGCAGGATCGTCTCGTACACGGTCGTGTACTGAGGTTCCTTTACCGGATAAACGCTAGTGTGGAGAGTCGGGTACGCTGTGTGTACCGCAGACACGGTGTTGTACAGCGAAACCGGGTGGTGAGCGGAGAGCCCGGTCTGAGCAGTTGCGTTGCTGAAGAAAGGCATCTTGGTGATTTCTTTTTTTTAAGCTGATCTTTCTGGTGATGTGTTGTGATCGGTGTCAGTTAAGACTTTACCGTGAGTAAACGAGTGTGGTATATCAAATGAGTGTGGTAATGAGTAGTAATGAATGTGGTAGCCAAAAAGGGCTATGAACGAGTGACTATGGTGATTGAGAGTGAACTGTAAAAGAGTGACTGATGATGCTTCCACAGAAAAGGAGATAGAACCGGTCGGAAGCTCATGACATTTATATTGAAAATGGAAGACAGCATCTCCCACTTTAACGCGTCAAAAAGAGCCAGCATCATACTTGGTGAGAATGAAATCACAACATAATTTCCACACTTGCTGAGGATCGCCGCAATGCAAGAATGGGTTTGGATTACATGGCATTCCTTGTGTGCGCCAGCACAAGGCTCACCTGGCTACAAAATAGATAGCTGAACGGCATGATAGAAAACACGTTTGACCTGCGACTGTTTAAGACATATCTATGGATAGCTGAGACCTGCCATGCTCACCGGGCTAGATTATCAACATTGAAGCGCGTCTCAAGACAACGAGACCAATAATAGTGTCCTACATATCACGCTTACCTAGCTGCTCATACTCGCAACTGGCCCGTACATTCGGATTGTCCAGAATGCCGCACCTGAATTAATTGGATTTCATTCGTTGCATTTTCGCATTCGCATGAATTTGTGCATCGTTGGTATGTTCCCTCGTTTTTCGACATCTCCCGCACACAGTCCGAAGACGTTCGGGAGACTTCCTAATAAGGAGTTTTGATCTCCAGAGTGATTCTCATATTGAGAATGGCAACTCATCACTGTAAAGATTTCGAGGTGATGGTCGTGGCTGCTCTGTGAATACTTTTTGATCTGAGGAAAAAAAAAAAAGAAGAGAAAAGGGAAGGAAAAATTTAGCCAGCACTTTTTGCATTTATCATTCAAATTTGATGCTGGTGGGGCCTAATTCGTTAGAGCCATTTCATTATGTAATCACTCAAAAGTTTTTCTTTCTTTTTCCTTCTATCCACCCTCAGACACAATAACCTCCATATGTGCATATAGTGGGGTTACCCTCCAGTGTTTACATATCGGAACTTCGTACGTATTGGGGCCGACTAAGGAATCTCATCTTCTTTCAGTATATTCAACGAGATGCCAGCAGACGACTACGCGCCCGTAGGCGGGGGCGGTGCTCTCAAGCTGAAAGGCGGAAAGGTACAGAAAAATAAGAAGAAAAATAAGACCAAGGCAAACCTCGAACATTCCCTCGCCGTAGAGCATTCCACTACTAAGGAAGGGAAAGAAGCTAAGGAAGTCGACAAGAAACGGCAAGACGATGGAGATGATGTGGATATAATTGAGCATAAAACGGAAGCCGAACGCCGCCACGAGGAAGCAAACAGGAAGAAGGTTTGTGCTATCAGTCCTTGGAATGCTGAACGACCAATTGATGCTAACGTTGGCTTTACCAATTAGATGTTGAAAATGCTCGAGGATCCCAAGGTGGCTTCCGAATTTCGCAAGACTCATAAGGAGAGAGTTGAGGGTCTCAACACGTACCTCTCCAAGTTGAGCGAACACCACGATATGCCCAAGATTGGCCCCGGTTAATCTATCTCCTCCGATGACTTGGAATTGGTGAAGTGATACGACGCTGAAGAGAAGAGAAGAGAAAAGAAGAGTTACTGTTTCTATAACATTGGAGAATACCCCAACGATACGGCGTTTATGGAGTTTACTCTTAGCTTGTAAATACCATCACTGCACATTATCCTGATCATCTAAATTGCGTCAGCCTCGCCGATGAACTTGTCGATAGTAAAATCACGCCATTAAGCATGATTTCTCGTCGCCTGGGTCACGGGAAGGTCTATATCTGCGACTAGCCCGCATGGATTATTATTACTAGTGTTCTTACGCATGCCCTCTATTATAACCAACCCAAAACATAGATAGCTACCTAGGCAGGTGTATACGCTGTTCGTTTTTTATATCCCCCAATTCAGATTGCATAACCCAAAAAATCAGTGTAGCGTAGCCAATTTCGTTAGATTCGTCAATAGCCGCAAGGCCTTGCGCGCTCTGAGCTGACCCTTTCTCTATTACTCTTCCCTGTTGATCCAAATGAATGTAGATGCCGTCAAAATCCCATGTATGCAACAATGCTCGCCCTAGTCATGCTACCAACGCCTAGCCCGTGTTATTGAGCTAATAAACGGGAAATGCCTGTTGCCAAAACCGTTATACCAGCAGTGCTCCACCAACGATTACGCCGATAACAACCTCGGCCACCGGCTTGATCACAAGGGACCTACCAGCGCCCGATTGCAGACTTCCTGACGTTCCAGATGTTGTGCTCGCCGCCTCGGTAGCACCGGGAGTAACGACCTCAACTGAAGTGATCGTAGTCTACAGTACTCAAGAGTTAGTGATCCATTCCATGCTACTCCAGTATTGGATCTGCCATAGCGCTCAAAGACCAATTCGTCGGCTCACACTAGCGCAGGGATTACATAATTCATGCTCGGAAAACCATAACTTACCTTGGCACCTCCGGGGAGTGTCGACGTAAACGTCGATGTCCTAGGCGACGTTGTGGTACCAGCGCTGGACGTGGTGGTAGTCGCTAGGGTCGAGTCTGAATACACAGTTAGCCGAATTCGAGTAGAGAAAAATAGATACGTCGATTGGATGGCAGAACTAGACGTGATGCTGGATGTAGTTGGACGCAGACATTCGGGAAAACGAGAAGCAAGATCAGTGCAGATGCAACAATTTCTTGCTGGACGTACCCCTGGAAGAAGAACTAGAGCTAGAGGAAGATACGGAAGTGGTCACGATCAAGGGGGTGGAGGATGATAATGTCGTGGTTACGACGGTGGTAGTCTCCGAAGTCAGGTCGGCTGAAGAGCTGGTAAACGTACCGGAAGTACTCGTGGTTTCAGTAGATTCCGAGGTTGTCGTTGTCGTCTGCGAGTCTGTCTGCGTGGTACTAGAGGGGGTAGCTGTAGTCGTCGTCGTATCCAAAGTCGAGGTGGAAGATGGTGCTGCAGAAGTAGTTTCCGCCGTAGATTCTTGACTCGTGCTACTTTCACTTGTGGAAGTAGCAGCACTAGTTTCGGTGGACGTGGAAGTTGTCACGGCGGCGGTCGTATCGTTTCCAGAAGACGACTGTTGCCTTTTTGCCATCTGGACAATAGAGGTTGCTAACTCCGGATCATTCGCATGAACAGCCTCCATAGCCGCGTGATCAGAGTCGTAAACGCCATGTTTGTACGTGGAGGGGAAGTAGGCATGGAGGAACTGGTGAAGAGCCTGCGGCGAAGCTGAGCTCAGCAGCCGCGAGAATGTCGAGTCGTCACGATGGACAACATCATCAGACTCGCTTTCAGCTCGGTCCTCATTAGCGGGCTGCTGCTTGAGGAGGGCATTTGCAAGCCCGGCCGTGACAAGCAGGCCGAGAAGCAGGGTCAAAAAGCAATGCCGAGCTGAAGGCATCTTGTTTACTATATGACTTCGGCGTTGGGTTGACTGGGTGAATGGGAGAGCGGCCTTCTCACCCAGAAGGCTCTTTTCAGAAAGATTCGGTGTCATATTGAAAAGAAGAGTGAATTGGAGGATATCGCCGTTTAAAGGGAAGCCCACTGGACCAGGCCGAAAAGCGAATGAGCTAACGCAGACTACTGCAGAGTATGCTTAGGAGTGGGCGGCAAAGAGGTCGGGGCGAAGGCAGTATCGTTATTCGTACAGCTCTAGCAGACCCGCGGGCTCTGTTGCATGACAGCCGGGAAAGAGAGTGCGTACTGTAGTTGCACAAGACAAAGAGTGAAAAAGTAAAGCGAAGGTAAGTGAGATTCGAAAAGGTGAGAGGCCAAAGGTCAAACGATAGCCTATCGAGGCACCTTTACATACATAGGTAGTCGACCAACTCGGGCAACATAAGATATCGTGGCTGATGGCTTGATGTCGAAAATAATATGGTGGAGCCTTTATTTGCTACTCCGTACTTAATAGTCGTACTGTACATATCGAGACGACGAGACACTGTGCGATATCAGTGGCGTAAATCTGATCGGCTACAGAGGTACGTAGAGTCGGGTCCGTATGGATCAGTATGGATCCATATCCAAAACCTCGAGTTGATCTGATGCAATACCGCAGCAAAGCCTCCCGAATCCCAACCTTTAGCTTTGTTCGGATGGCTGAACTGCTCAACCAACCACCCTGATTTCTGCCATCACACACATCATGGATGTCGACGCAAGTAGGCATGTACTCCGTACGATCGAGATTTCTCGGCACCCGTAGACTCGGTTCGGAGCCCCTACCGGTACTGTGTATGTATGTACCATGACCATTGGTGACGTCGCTTTCTTGTTGAGAATACGAGGTTTCCGCTGTTTGGTCGAAGCAGACACCCCACTTCGACTAAGTAGATCCGCACACTGTACAGATATTTGTTTCTGTATAGCTGATGCGTCGTACTACAACATACCCGGTAATCCGTATCACCGTTTGAGCAGGTATCCAGGAGATCAGAGGGGCAAAATAACTATTAAACGGATGAGCGGGGAGCTATTAAACAAGCTGACAGACAAGACACTGACAAATGTGTGGTGACAGGGCAAGACACATGCTGACATGTAAATTCCCCCTTGCCCCCCGATTTTCATTATTGGTCTGTCTGGTTTGTTCATGCATTCGTGTCTTGTTTATTTTTAGCTTCGGTTTGAACGTCTCGAACCTGGGCGCAGCCTCAGCGGCTTAACCCGAATCATTCTTAGCGGCTTAACCCAGGAGATATGATCTTCATGAAGCACTGATAACCTATCCACCATCGTCATGCTTCCTGGTGAGAAAAGGAAGGTAAAAAGAACCGTACATTAAATGAAATAAAAATGCCGTAGAAGATGGAAATGGACACTGGTGTAGTATAGACATCGCGTAGATACCACAATGCGACTAGGTCCGTAACACAGTATCCAACCACCTGAAAAATAGGTGAGACCGATTGTTGTAGGGCTGAGTGCTTGGCGTAGGGTCGTTACGCGCAGCACAATCTGATAATTTATCTCTTACCTATAATACATACGTACATATTCAGTACGTAAGATACTTTACATTTGTAAGGTACCTAGGCACACAACTAAATATTATCGGAATCTATATAGTATTTCATTGTTCACGTGCACCCGCTGATGAAGACATCAAAGTTTGCACTAATTTCTAACCTCCCGATCAAACAAACCCATGCGCGGCAACCACAGCCGTATTTGTGGGGTCATCCATTGTCTCGGAACTTTCCAGTATCAACCTTGGAAGCTTTTGTGCGCTTCCCCCGCTATTCTGAGGCCCATTCATACTATTATAAGAATAACAACTGTATTCATTCTAAGATACTGTAGTTATCGAGGCTTTCAGCGTCCTTATCAGCTTGGTTGTAACCAAAATGAAGATATATAAGAACGTCCTCTATGTCGTCAAGACAAACACCCTCGCCCAAACAGCCTTAATCTAATTGTGGCTTGTTAGGAGAGCGAGTCTAGTTAGATAGTGAAAAGGCTGTCTTTAAGATCATTATATTGTTGCTGTGTTTGCATTTGTTTCAAACTGGAATGTTTACTTTGGAGAGTACCAGCATATTATGCCAGATTGCCTGGGTGACCTCTATGTATAGAATATATATTGTTTTCAAACTAGTAGTATTGTGGTGAAGTAAACTCGTATTAATTCTGCTTAAGAAGACAACATGAACCTACCAATGGGAAAGGTGTCAAATGGTAAATGTGGCTGACAGCTCGCGAATGACTTGATTCTGCAGGTGCTTCGAGGTCATATGATTCGTTGACGCCATGCGTGTTTAAGCTTAAATATAAACCTCGCCGACAGACGATTGCAATAGAGTTGAATCTTTCCAAAGTTACAGAATAAAGTTACAAAATAATGAGCTTCAGTGTTGTTATTTGATGTTCATATTTGATAGGTACAGGAGTACATATGTACGTAAGCCATTACCACCAGCCACACCGTTTGACGAATCTATGTACAAAATACAAGGTACAAAAGTGTACGTACATGGCTTACGACAGGAACCAAAAAAGGATGGCATGTGAATATCCAATTAACGTTTGGAACTTAGCTTGGTCCTCGACATTGAAATCCGCAACCGCACTGATCACTTGAGATCACAGATCAAGAAAATCTCAAACCGTCTTTACCCTATCGCAGATCAGATAGATCTATTACCATTGTCGCAATTCACATAACGTACATACGATCTTGACTCTAGGTACTCCCACCGCCGCAGAACATGACGGAAAAAGAACGGTCTGAGATTATATGATTTTCTTCAGCTTCCGATTACGCGCCTTTGGTGCTTTTCAATTTCCGACCGCCGGGTCTCGATAATGCCTGAGCACCCTGAGCACCTCGACCCGTCTGAACATGATACCTTGAGACTGCTCTCACGATCTCCGCACCCCTATCATCACCAGAACTCAGACCTGCTCGACCCATCCGACCTATCCGATCCCTTCGCATATAAATACGCTACAAGACACAATATCGATGCGCCGTCTGCGCTGCGCAATACCCCAAGAGAAATTACACCCAGTAGCGACAGTGGCACCGAGGCCGACGATGAACACTTCCTCAAAGGGTTACCAGCTCCGAAACGGCTGCGAAAGGGGTTACGAGGACGCAATGAAGTCTTGTCCGGGACTGCCACCCCGATACCCTCCCCCGCCCTCCTCGAGGAAGAAGGTCGAAAACCGTCCTATGACTTGAAAAAGGAGACCCATCAATGCAAAAGGCTACATAGCCCAGCTGATCGAGTGCGGAGGAGAAAGGAGATCATCCGTCGCTCTGCCGAATTGCTCATCATTACTTTCCTCGGTCTCATGCTTCATACCAATACCCGTGTTCAGCACATACTACGCAAATGGAATCGAGGTAGGCACTTATAGCTCACATGGCCGATCAATATCGCTAATACGGAGATCTAGAAATCTACACTTGGCTAGGAGTGTCAGCCTTCCTGGTCCTTCTTTACCCCCTGCGGCTAGTGATATGGGCATACTGCCACCGAACGCCCTCGAAGAAGATACCAATATACATACCACCTTCATTCGACCTGGCACCTCTCTTTTACCCCCCTGCCATAACCATCCTTGTCTCGTTGCTTCTTGCGGTTGATAATGAAGCGATACTGCTACCGAACATAATACTCGCTATCTCTTCTTTACCGCCGAGTCTGATACCCACCATTGCAAACAGTGATTTAGGATACGATCCGTTGCATTGGACACTCTCATGCTTGCCTCTACTTCTAGGGGACGGCCTCACGAAGTCCAGCATCTCTCGGATGATTATGGGGGACACCAGCCCTTTTCCGGTATTTATTTCCCTCGAAACCGCGACTCTATTATACCCCTTACATCGGAGCCTCTGCTCGGTTTTGCATTCCCTAACTACCACCAGTCTGCTCACGGCCGAGCTACAGTTATTATCCACCTCACTTATTGGTCTCTTATTTCTTTCCTCCTCCCCACAGGCAGTGATCTTAAAATCAATGCTTTGGGTAGGAGGACTTGATATCCTAGTCTCATGCAGCCATGCGATCAAGTGGGGGATATCTTTGGCCCGCGTACCCAAATGGCGCTTTAGGAGGACAGTTGCGCCATCTAAGCCGGCTTCCAGCTTTTTCTCCAGCATTATGTCGTGGAGAAGGGTGAAGCATGACCTGTTTCATGCGCCTGTGGACAATTCATCTTGTAGTTCATGTGAAGCCTTTGATGATCCTGAAGACAGCGACTGTCCGGGATCCATAACTTCCAAAGGCCCGCTCCGCGTGAATACTATATGCGATCCAGCCAACCCTACCGGAGCCGAGCAAAACTCACATCTCACTAGGGATGTAGGACATAAGATCTCATATAATATTTCGGAGACGAAAGCCGGATCCGCGCTGCTCCGCCGACATACGTTACCTAGCGTGCACAGCGCATCGCGCAAATCTCATACTCACACACCGTCCGGTCGAAGGAAGCGGACAGCTTCCTATACTGTCCGTGCCTTCTTCTCACTCACTCAGGGACAAGCCACGACTCGAAAATGGATCTACGCTGCTTATGTTTACGCCTGTATCGTGGGTGCCATATTCATCCCACTTCCTTTTATCGGCATAAAAAAGGTTGTTGCAGAAGAAGCGCTTCACGGCTACGAGCCTGTGGGCTGGGCGCTAGGCTATCTATTCGGAGATTTACCGCGGTTCAGATGGGAGGTCGTCAGCCACAACCTAGAACGATGGATATGTCTTCCTTCGAGGCCAGGCGACGATCTTGAATATTTCGAATCCATGGGTTCGGTTGATCGTCTTCGCCAGTTATATCTTGGACAGGCTAATACTCGGCTCGTTCTAAGCGCGTATTTCGTGGCTACCATTGTGGTTGGATTAATAGTCGTTTTCCGGCTATCACCTATCTATGAGGTAGATACGCGACGAAAGGTCTTCCATTTTATGATGGTTGCCATGTTTCTGCCCGCCACTTATATCGATCCCGCGTTTGCGTCGCTAGCATTATCTATCGTCCTCGCCGTTTTCCTTCTTCTCGACCTCCTTCGGGCAAGTCAACTTCCACCATTGTCGAAGCCCCTGGCCTCCTTCCTCGCCCCGTACGTTGACGGGAGAGATCTCCGGGGCCCAGTCGTCATCTCCCACATCTTTCTTCTCATTGGCTGTGCCATTCCTCTGTGGCTTTCGTTAGGTTCACTCCCGCGGACCGGGACTGGTTTTCTAGAAGGCTGGGAGCTGCCCTTCAGAGAAGTTAGCATGGTATCAGGCGTCGTGTGCGTAGGTCTTGGCGACGCCGCCGCTTCCCTAATCGGAAGACGTTACGGACAAAGAAAATGGCTATGGGGTGGTGGCAAGAGCCTCGAAGGGAGCGTGGCTTTTGCGTTTGCCGTCTTCTTCGGGCTTACGGCCGCACGTTTCTGGTTGCATGCTGGCGGCTGGCAACCGACAAATGGCAATTCAGACTCATGGGTCGTCGCAACTCAGAAGATGGGGATGAGTGCTGCCACTGCCAGCCTCACGGAGGCAGTCTTGACCGGTGGTAACGACAACGTCATTGTGCCTATCGTCCTGTGGACTTGCGTGAAGAGCCTCGGTATTTGAGTTGTCGTTACAATATTAGATGAATGAAAGCTGTTTGAATAAGGCGTCTGGTCAATGTTTCGGTGTTTGCCGGGAGTTGGGGAGGCCGGTTAGAGATCGGATATACCAGTCAGATCCTGTTGATGATTTTTAAGTGCTACAATGCAGAGATGGCGTTATACGACGAATGAAGAAGGGGGAATGAACGAAGACAACCCATTCCAACCTACCTTACTGATGGATTCATGATCACGTTCCCCTAGATAATAGCTAATGTGATAGACTAAGAATCATAGAGGGTTGATCCCCTGCTGATCGTAGACTTCGATAATGTACTTGTACGTGAATAACTATATACCTTTGGATTACTTAGGTACCTGACATGAATCTGCTCTAGAGGCGATTATAGTTGTCCTAGAAATAGTATTCAACTAGTCTCACCCCGTTAGGGATTCAAACATCGGGCTGGTGAGGATTACGGAGTGTAATTGAGAAGGCATCTTAATAGGTACAGATGACGATCGAGCATGCGTTAATCAAATTACGCAGACAATTATTTTTACTGGTTTCCGTGTCCCTTTATATACAATGGCAAATCTATGTCTATGCCAAAGAGATCTGGTGCTTAACCCATTTCTCAAGCCCACCACGGGCAATAATCTCTTGTACATTTGGCGGCAGCTCGCCAACCTTTTGACTCCACGTCTGGCCACCCTCGCCCTCGACGACAGTAACCTTGCTCCTTCTAACGTCCCAGAGAAACTTCCAGCCGGTACGCCTTGTCAGTACCTTTTCTTCCTCACCTTTGGCTCGGAATGTCTCACGCAATCTCTGTACTAGCTTGGGTACCTCAACGCCCATCAAGGCATTATTGATGCTATTACGGCTGAATATGTTGCCAAAACTGCCCGCAACAACAAGAGGGATCTCCTTAGCAAGAATGGCGGTAGCGGCCTGTTCACGGGAGCTACCACATCCAAAATTGAAGCCCGAAACGAGGATATCCCCGGCACGAGCGATTCCTTGGAAGCTCTTGTCGTAATTCTCCATGCAAACCTCAGCCATCTTCTCGACGGATATGTTGTCCTGATATGTGTACTTCCCTGGATAGATGCCGTCGGTGTTGATGTTGTCAGCATCGCAAAAAACGATCTCACCCTCGACCTTTTCGGGGAAGCCAGGGAGGATGTCCGTAAGCGTCTCTTCGCCATCGGTAGATTCCGAAGCCTCGCTGCTCGACCCGTTTTGTTCAGCCCCAGATATTAAGCTATCGGCCTGCGCAATGATCTTCTCCAGTGCATCCTCGATACTCATAGCTTTGTCCTGCTCAACGTTGCCATTACCCTCACCAATGATTACCTTCTCAACGCCTTCCGGCTTCTGGTACCAACCAGGACCAGCAATCTTGCCCTGCAATGCGCTGGCCGCGACAACTTCGGGACTTGCAAGGTAAGCCTTGGCTTCTGTGGAGCCCATGCGCCCCTTGAAATTACGATTGCTGGCACTGATACCGACCTCGCCTGGCTCGAGCAAGCCGGTGCCAAGACCAATGCAAGGCCCACAACCTGATGGCAGAGGCTTGGCACCAGCGTCCAAGAGGATTTGCCAGTCACCCGCTTCCTCAGCTATCTTTTGTTCCGTAAGAGACGCGGCAGCGATGTAAAAATTCACACCAGGTGCTATCTTCGGTTCAACCCCGTTAGCGGCAGCCTCTTTGAACACTCTCGCGGCGGCAGCGATATCCGAGGATCTCGAGTTGGTGCAAGAGACTAGGTAGGCCTTGTCGAGTTTTATACCCTTAGCCTCTAAATCACGAAGAGGGGTGGCGACCTTGACGGAATTCGGCCCCGCAACAAAAGGGGATAGGGTCGACAAGTTCAAATATAAGGATTTGGCGTACGTAGCACCAGGATCAGCAGTTAATTGATTTTGGATTAGGTCGTCGATTCTCGTGTGGGCGAATTGGTTCAGCGCAACGCCATCGCCTAGCACGGCCGATGCGGTCGCTTTCGCTCGTAGCCACGTTTTCAAGACGGAATCGATGGGGAATAATCCAGTCAGAGCACCCCATTCGGTAGTCATGTTAGAGATGGTGAGTCGGTCATCAACCGGAATACTGGACATGGTCTCTTCGGACCCGGTAAACTCGATGGCATGGTTTAAGACATCATCGTTATTGAAGAGACCACATAAGGCGACAATGACATCCTTTCCAGTGACGCCTGGGGGTAGGATTCCGGTAAAGGTGACTTTCGCGATGGGAGGAATTTGCCACCACGTCTTTCCAGTAGCCCATATGCTAGCCGCGTCGGTTCGAACCATCGGAGTGCCTAGACATCCCACGCCTCCGTACATGTTGCTGTGGCTATCCGAGGCGACAGTGACGGTGCCGGGCCAGGCATAACCCTCCTCGACCATGATTTGGTGGCCAATGCCTCTTCCGGCAGGGTAAAAGTCGACGCCGTGCTGCTTGGCGAAGTTTTCGATCTGTTGGTACTTCTTCAAGTTGGACTCGCTCTTATTTTGCACGTCGTGGTCGAGGGTCATGACGATCTGCTTGTTGTCGTGGATCTTAGAGGCACCAATAGACATGAATTTCAGAGCAACAGGCCAAGAATTGTCGTGTGTCATGCAGTGGTGAGGAGAGAGAGTAACATAGTCTCCCGCCTTCACCTTCTTCCCTGTCGCAAGGCCGACCGAATATCTTTGCACTATCTTCTCCGTCAGGGTTTGCGGCGTTTGAGTGGGCGTTTTGAAGGAGGAAAGAATAGCCGAAGAGGCAGAATCCTCCAACTGGGAGTGAAATGCGTTCTGTCGGTACTGAGAGGCGGCAGTAAACGAGCGAGTCAATGGCCGGCGTGTTATGACAGACGAGGAAGGTGAGGATGAAGCGCCATGATGACTGCGAGCTGCGAACGCAACTCTAGCCGCTAGTGATCTTGCCTGTTCGTATTATTCATAAGTTATTCTTCATAATTCAAGTTACGATTTGAATATTCATATGAGTTGACCTACTACGCAGCGACGCATTTTGAGGGAGACCGATCTATAACTACCTTGATGTCATGGCAACGTTGAAGTAGACTTCGCCAGTTCTCATCAAGGCCGGACCAATTGATCCCTCTAAGAAGAGAATAAACGTCGTTTAATGTGCACGACAGCTCATGAGCGTGTTTATGTATAATAGTACACAATTGACAGGCTCGCGAACTCTTTTCTTCTTTTTTTCTTTTCAAACTTTTTAGCTTTTACCAATGGTAAACTCCGACATCGTTCTTGATCTGATTGGTTCAAAGTTTGTCACACGAATTGGGTGAGCGTCTATTGGCTACAATGGGATGATGATGTCGCAATTATGGAAATATGCGGGGCTTCTGTGGCAGGTGTGGCTAGTGAAAGATGAAAAGGATCTGATAGGGCTTATCATATGATCCACCATAGATTACGGATAAGCATACATATACCTATGTAGTACTAGTACCGGGTAGTGGAACCTTTGAGTGTTCTCATTGTTGCACAGGTACATAATAAATACGGATACGCGGTTGCTGCGTGGTTGATTCTTGGAAAGTGGAAAGTGGAAGGCGCGGAAAGTGCAAAGAGATGGAACCATCTAGCAAAAGTTTATGATCGGATCAAATGATCCCGTGCTTAAAGCTTACGTCCATCATCAATATCCAACAGGATTATCCATGAATCTATGAATCCATGAATTCAACTCAGCTACAGCTATCTCATTCTCAACACTGACGAGACTTGTTAGATTCTTCATTGGACGCTTTGGACCAAGCCAAACTAAACCAGACTCTTCCAAGCTTCGTTGCATAATAGGCAAAGCCCATGCCTGCCCACCTATGTATTAGGTATATATCGCAATTCTCATTTCGCAAATTTCGCATGTGCTTACCAACAAACGTCAAAGGAATCTGGAAGAACTGCATGCATTCGGTTTCATCGACTTCTTGGTGTTCCTACTCTCAAGCCTCCATCTCATTGTTCTCAGACGTAAACTTACCTAGTTAGGTATCTGGCTTGTACGGTTCCAAGGAGACACCCCCACCACTTCGAGGAAGTCAGACAGCCCTGGAGTCACAAGAGTGACAGACTCAGATTTACCGTTCCTAACGTTCCACCGCCGTTCTAGCCCCTACGGTCCCTACGGCCTCCCCCCTCTGCCCCCTACCCACGGGCATCTCGACCCTCCCACCACACTAAGGACGCGGTGGCTTTAGGCAACCTAGCTGCCTCACATTACCTCATTATTCCATTACTTCATTACCTCACATCCTTTGTCTAGCCGTATCTGATGAAGATATTCTTATACAAACTTTACAAAAGATTCAGCCCGTCTTCACCAATTTTATTGGAATCTCGCCTTGATCGTCATTAGGAGAGCCAATGATAGGCCTCGACTTATTCAAGGTCCCGCCTCATCTCCGACTCGGGAAACGGATTTAAAACCCAAGCCCGCCGGTAGACATGTCGTCAAGTTCGTCAGGAAAGCCACCTCGGGTGCTTGCTTGTGTGAGTCGCCCGCAGTCACCGCGTATACAAATCTCCCGGCCTGACTTCGAATTGTTTTCTAAATATATAGGTTTTATGTCAAAGTAGAAAGATCAAATGTGACCGCAAAACTCCCTGTTCTAACTGCATCAAGGTGAGTCTTTTTAAATGAGAGAGGCCTCCCCGTCCGTCGCGTCTTTCTCTCACTCTTCTGCCCCCCCCCCCCCCCCCTCGTCTTCTCTCTATTGTCTTCTCTCTATCGTCTTCTCTGCCTCTCAGCCTAGCCCTAATAGATCGTGCTCAGGCCAACGTCGCATGCACACCAAGCACGCCGGCGCCCGCTCGTAAGAGGAGGAGGCCAAACCAAGATTTGCAGCAGAGGCTAGCGCGTTGCGAGGAATTACTTTCCGAATATGCTACTGCGAAACCTGCTGTCCCGTCATCCGCCGACTCGCCTAACCATGATGAGGTTTGGAAACCCCGCGGTGGAAAGCTTATAGTAGACGACGGCGGTGTCAAGTTCATAGATAGTTACTTGTGGGCTAACATCCACAGCGAAGTAAGTCCGTTCTCTTCATCTCTTCCCCTAAGATGCGATTCATAGTAGTCAGCATCAAGCATCGTGACATTATTTTCTATTCCATGTATTCGTTTATCGGTTTATCACCATCCACCTTGATTTTTTTCTGAAACCTTCTCTCACGATCATTAGCTCTCGGCAATGCGCGAGATACTCGAGGATGAGGACACAGTAGACGACCCTTGCACTCCCGCAGACTCGCAAGCCTCCGATCTCAATGCAGGTCTAATATTATCAGATACTTCCGAGGCGAATCTGGAAGAGCTTCATCCCCAACCGGCTCATGTGTTTCGGTTGTGGCAGATTTTCCTCGAAAGAGTTAACCCATTAACCAAAGTGATACACGTGCCCACCGTCCAGCCCCTGCTCGTCGAAGCGGCGACGAGTAGGGAAAATGTACCTAAGAATGTCGAGGCGCTGCTGTTCTCCATCTATCTAATGGCCACCGTATCCCTAACCGACGACGAGTGCGTAGAGAGATTTGGATTCACCAAAGCAGAAGCTTATAATCGTTTCTCCAAGGGCTGTCGCTCCGCTTTGATGCGCATCGGCATACTGACGAACTACGACCTTGTTGTCCTACAAGCTTTGGTACTATACTTGGTTAGTACGAGATATTTCTTCCCTCTTCGATTCCACTAACACGAACTCCCTAGTTCTCTCTTCAAGGTCGATACGACCGCCACGCGGCGTGGATTCTGAATGGTGTGATTGTAAGGATTGCACAGAAGATGGGCCTTCATAGAGACGGCGAGTTTCTTGGGCTACCGCCGTTCGAGACCGAAATGCGAAGGCGAATCTGGTGGCGGATTCTTTTGCTTGACGCGATGTACGCGCTCATGTCTGGCCTTGGTCATTCTCTCCTCCCGCGCTCATGGGATACCAAACCACCTCTAAACATCAACGACTCCGACCTTTATCCCAACATGACGACTATACAACCTAGAGATACGCCGACGGACATGATCTTCTGCCTGATATGCAGCGAGATTGCCACCGTCATGGTCGATACGCCCGAGATTCATCTGGTCATCTTACAGAACGAGATGGGATTAGAAACATATGACCCTGAGAAGATTGAAAAGGCGTACAAGCGTCTCGAGCAGCTGGATAGGGACATGACAGCTATTCTGACTAAGTACAGCGACTTTTCCATGGGTCCGGTCCACGTACTAGCAACGGAGTGCAAGAGGTCAATGATAGAAAAGCTGCGCGAACTCATCAGTCCGATGGTAACCCAGCCAGAATGGGGCAACGAGGTTCTAACACCTAAGGATTATTTATTCAAGATGTCCGTCACGGCAGGAGAACAAAATCTAAAGATGTACGAGTTATCGGCAACGAGAGGGGTTTTCCTATGGTTTAGTAAGTCTCTTATTTCGAGGGTTTGATCACCTATCTCACGCTTTACTAACACTGTCCAGTGATGTCACATTTTCAGCTTGAACTTTTCATATACATGGTTGGGCAATTGCGCTGGCGTACGACTGGAAAATTGGTAGACAGGGCGTGGGAATCCGTCGGCCTCGTTTATCGATTTCACACGGAATTGTGGGATCTCTCGGCGAAGGCACACTTATCCGCCGCTATCTTCACGATCCGGGCTTGGAAAGTACGGGAAAAGGCGTTGCAAGAGGCCACGGGCGTTGTTCCGGAAACGCCTGACTACGTTTTGAAGCTTCAGAGAATCTTGCCAGCGGAAGATGTCAAGCACACGCACCCTAGCGAGTCGTCCGGCTTGATGAGTATTAGTAACACGCCGGCCGGGTCCCAAGCCGGCATGGCACAAGCCGGAGTAGATGTTGCCTGGGATCAGATGCTTGGTTTTGTTGACGCAGGAACCATCGACTGGAGCGATATGTTCGCGACACCTAACGGCGGACAAGCACAGGCGACCTACGGGGGCTATGGAGGAGTATTTGGCGGAAACGGGATCAATTGGATGTAGATATTCATCGCGGACGGAGCTGTGGATGACGTTTTGGTAAGTTAAAGAGTCGGATTCGCTACTCAGGTCATTGGAGTTCTACATGACATTACTGTGCGTTTGGAGTGTGCACCCTTCAGGCCGGGAGGGTTTAGAGATGGAGGGACGGTATGTATTAAAGTCTACAGTAACATTGGTACGTTGAGCAAGAGCTTACGCAATTGTCCGCTTTTGTAGTGACTGAATTATGGTCTAAGGCAACAGCCGCAATTGCAACCTCAGCAGGGGAATTGATTTAGCTGGGCAGTTGGGTGTGATCGCTCCTAGTACCTACCCATCCTAGTAAACGGACCGGTGCGAAGAACTATTGGTAAGGAAGAGGGATCAGGTTATTTTAGCCCTGGAGGTCGGTGGTTCGGTCCTTAGATATAGCCGACTTCACTCCCCTATCTCCTTGTGAAGTTCAAAGAGGGCAGAAAAAAGAAAAAAGAAAAAATAAGATTGGGTATACGACTATTAGGTAATAGACTATATCCATACTAGGAGTAAAGGGAAAGGAAAAAAAAAGTTGACAGAAACTGAGTTATTAGTTAGATTATAGCGTGAAGCTATACGCATAGTGACTACCCAAAGGCACTAGGTACCTCTCTAACTACAGCACAGATGAATCTCATTACCGACTCATTTTCAGATTCAACATATTCTAGGCCGAGTCTCGATTGGACAAGGTCCGGGATTTGGAAGATCTTACCAGGGAAAACGGATGATATGTAATCATTCAGCACCGAGCACCGAATCTGCAAGAGTCGGATCTAGGTATGTCTTTACTCCGAGGTCAAATCACCCATATTCATCTCTTCCTCTCTACGACTCTTCAAAGTCTTTGAATAATCTCACATCTTTAATATTTCCCCTTTATAAGACTCCATCACGTGTACCATTGGCGGGTACACATGAATTATTATATATTTATATATCGTCTACTTAGGTATATAAACACTTCCTGTCGTATTTCGTATCGCGCCAAAAGTTATATCCATCCCATATTTGATATACCTAACGCCGTCGACAGTCATGTTGTTTCGCCGTGATAAAAAAGACCAGCCTCCGCTGGCCGTAAACTCGGACTCAGCCTCGGCCTCGGCCCCGGCCACGGCCACGGCCACGAGCAACAGTCCTACTGACAAGATAGAAGAGCCACAAGAAAATACGAACCCGGTCAACGGAAATCCATCCGACGAAGAAGAGATCGACTATCCCACCGGTGTTCGTCTCGCCTTGGTCCTCATCTCTGTCTTCGTATCTATGTTCCTCGTTGCCCTGGACCGACTGATCATCTCGACGGCCATACCTGCCATCACAGACGAATTCCACTCCCTGCCCGACGTTGGATGGTATGGCTCAGCATACTTGTTGACAACCTGCGCCTTTCAGCTCTTATTCGGAAAGGTGTACACTTTCTTCCCCGTTAGAACTACCTTCCTGGCGACTATCTTCCTCTTCGAAGCTGGCTCTGCCATATGTGGCGCTGCACCAAACTCGGTGGCATTCATCCTTGGGCGCGCAATTCAGGGGGTCGGCTCAGCAGGAATCTTTGGTGGGAGTGTCAGTATTTCTATATTATACCATCTTTCCGTATTAATGACTCTCCACGGAACACTCATACTCCGCACAGATAGTCAGCATTGTCTATTCCGTTCCTCTCCATAAGAGGTATGATGACTCTATTCAGGCGTCGCGTCTCCGAAGTTTTCGATAATTTACAGATAGTAGACCACTGTATCTAGGTTTCTTCGGCGCCGTTTTTGGTCTCGCTTCGGTTATAGGTCCTCTCGTCGGCGGAGCGTTCACGTCAAACGTAACTTGGCGCTGGTGCTTTTACATTAATCTCCCGTTTGGAGGGATTGCTATGTTTGTAATAGCATTCCTATTGCACGTACCCGATAGAAAGACGACCAAGATCCCGACGAAGGCAAAGCTCGCTCAGCTAGATGCAATTGGCACGACTCTCCTCATTCCCGGTGTCGTCTGCCTTCTTCTCGCCCTGCAGTGGGGAGGCTTGACATATGCTGTATGCTACCCCGTCTCCTTTCCATTCATGCCCGAGTAGCCCCTTTCTCTAACATAGGACAGTGGAGTAATGGCCGTATAATAGCCTTATTAACTCTTGGGGTCGCGCTTTTCATCGGTTTCGCGGCCGTTCAGGTGATAATGCCGAAGACGGCCACTATTCCCCCGCGCATTTTCAACCAACGATCGATCCTTGCTGGAAATTGGGCAACCACTTGTATCGGCGCTAGCATGATAGTGTTTGGCAAGTCTCCTCTCCTAATTCTGTTGATGTTGACTATCCGCTGACTGTTTGCAACAGTATATTTTCTGCCCATTTGGTTCCAGGCTATCAAGGGAACTACGGCCGTCGATTCAGGTATCCGTCTTCTTCCAATAACCCTTTCGATGGTCGTTGCGTCCATCACGAATGGCATATTCGTGTCGAAGCTGGGATATTACACTCCGTCCATGATCATCGGCACAGCATTGATGTCTGTGGGCGCTGGCCTCCTGACAACGCTGCAGCAAGACACGACGACGGGCAAGTGGATCGGTTACCAGATCCTTTTTGGGTATGCAAATTCTGATGCTGCCTGACTAAGATAATGAGTAACTAACCAAACCAGTTTCGGAATGGGCATGTGTTTCCAAGCTCCAAACCTAGCAGCGCAGACAGTTCTTCCAACAAGGGATGTTCCCATTGGCACCTCTCTGGTGTTTTTCTGCCAACTCCTAGCCGGCGCGATTTTCCTCTCTGTCGGGCAAAACGTACTTGATAACCAACTCCTTAGCCGACTTTCGGGTCTTCCTGGGTTCGAGCCGTCTATGATCGAAGATAACGGCGCCACCACTCTAAGTTCATCTCTCCCAGCTGAACTCCTCCCTACAGTGCTAGTAGCTTATAACGAGGCCTTACGTCAAGTCTTCAGGCTTGGCTTATGCTTATCATGTCTCACCATGTTAGGCTCGGTGTGTATGGAATGGAGAAGTGTAAAGGAGAATAAACCCAAAGCTCCGTCGGACCCTGAGAGCAATGTTGACTCCGCGCAAGGGATAAAATCAGACGGAGAGACATTAGCTGAGAAAGCCGAAGGCCCAATGAGCGAGCCCCCTATCACTAGCGAGTCGCCAATTGCCAAGAACGACTCGTAACAAATGGATGAGTCACCTTGACAGTTACCTTGACTCGTCGTTTAGGGGGCGTCTATATGTTAGCACATAAGATATGTCAATAGGATAATGGCCCATGGAACTATAATGTTAGATCTGTATAAAATAGTAGTCTAGACTAGGAGTATTCCTCTCATATGAAGATCAACCCGTAATAATAATAAATATATAATTGAATGAGGAAGTTTTGCGTATGATTCGAATAGGGGGCTTATGATATGATTGATCAAATGTTAACTAGGTAATCCGTTAGAATTGCCCTTTACCATTCATCACATCCACATATCCAGATAGACATGTCAGCTTTGACTACCACTATCAATCAAGCCTCACCTATCTAGTTTGAAACTGAACAGGCTTGAACTTAGACCGAACTCATGATATGTACTAATGCTCAAATGCCGCCTGCTTCCCTTACTGGTTCTCCTTAAGGAGGCCTAAATAATGTTAAATGTACCTGGTAGTCGAAGATGAGGTAAGAAGGGTCGGAGATTCCAGATGCTACGTACCATATTGATACATGGCGTATATACGTAGTTGTGGACGAGAACTGAAGTTTGCGACGTTGCCACCCACGTCGAGAAGTTACAAAGCTAGAACGGTGTTTTCAATTTCTATATTGCTGTGTAAAACGTCGGAAAAGCTGTTTGTTCCAATAATTGAGCTAACCTTTTCACTTACACGCCATAATTCTAATTGGTGTGTGGCTCACCCGTTGACGTTTTTCCTGCAAGACAGACTAGCCAGGCTTTCTTCAGGTTCTCCGATCACGTTTGGTGACAACTGAGCCTCAAAGTATTGTTCCCCCTTTCCCGCAAATGCATTGTCTCCTAACAACGCCCTTGATAGTCTAGTCAAGCCCAGCAACAAAGCCCTTACACCAACACACGAATCATACAAAACAGGATATTTCTTTGACTGATCATTATAAATGGGAATAGGCTTCTATTCCTTACACCTACTATCATCCGCCCGGAACCTATGTTAGCATTTCTTTCGTTCTGGACTGATGTTCTACTGATACCTAGTCGATCTTCCAGAACCCAACAGTAAATACCGTGATAAAAAACCCCTTTTTGGTGAATAAGTTGTACGCTAGCTCGTTCCACCAAAGGGAAATTTCCCATAACTTTCATTCTTCTCAGGATCTAGTTGACAGGGGGACGGGCCTAAAAAAATGCACAGAGAAATAATCAGGTCCTACGACTCTGTCGACAGCAACTGGACGTTCATGTATGTCCTAGTGTGCCTAATTCCAGTAGCGTTTGTAGCCGTGGCGATCCTTTCCATGCGGCGGGATAAGGCGACAAAACGAGAGAAGGACGACATCGAGATGGCCATAATGCATCAGAGGACGTGGTTTCCATGGAGGAAAGCAGCCTCCGATTCCGAGCGATCGAAAGACTCGCAGGGGCGGAACCCGTACGTGAGACCTCCGCCTCCGGCAGTGACGAAACCACCCATCCTACCGGCGAATTTCGGCAGGCCTGTCAGGACGAGTAAGCGTAAAGGGGTCGACAGCCGCACAGGAGATAGAGGCGCTACACAGATCGACACGGCGGGGCCGTCGCGGAGTAGGGGCGAACATTCTCCGGAGTTGGAGGAAAGGTCTCTTTAAAGATAAGTTCATCAATCATGGATAACTATTTTATTACTGATACCCCATGTCCCATAACTATCGTATGCGCGACCTGCTAACCTGGTGCCCGGGTAAGCTCATTTCGATATGTAGGTAGGTTTCGATAGTAAATATAGCATTGTAGCTGAAGTATTCATGATCAATTTGCGTGAGACGTCGTATGCGAAAGTCGAACTCAGAAGGGTATCCAAATCTTCTTTTCGTAGACGAGCTGCGGATGGGTTGTGTTGCGACCTTAAACTGCATTGCAAACCTAGGTATGTAGGTATGGTGATGCTTTTTTCCTCACAGGGCAGGATTTAACAAGCATCACAAGAAAATGGAAAGCTAAACTGAACTGTTCGCGATCATAGCCCCGCCTGTAAGGCACCATTCGTGTAGAATTTCAACTATGCTGCGAGACGTTGGTATCAATTACGCCGGCCCTCTTAATTCTAGCTGAAACGCTGTGCTCTCAAGCTCCAGTGTCGACTTCACAAAAAAATGGATTCCCTATCGTACCGTGCCTGCCCGTACTCCGTATGTTACTCCCAACGCCTTGCCATGCCGCAGTCCAGAGCACTTCCGTCTCCCTAGGTTGAATTGTGAACAACCGAATTTATACATGACGAACCAGGGTCCAAATGGGTACCAACAGGAGTATCGAAGAGTATAGACAATCGAAGGCAAATGACGGTTGCGCGGCCGATATTCCGAGCGAACGCCGGTCGTTTGCGGTAATTCAACTCTTGACGGTAGGCTTCGAACGATAGTGGTTGATAGAATGAATCCTTCATGCCCTCAAGAAACACCACCCACCACGATGTCAACGCGCAACGCCTTACATGATATTACCCATTTCGTCCTTGCTGCACAAGGGCACATACTCCTTAATTTTCATCTTCTCGCAGTTGTAGTGTTCAGCGTAGGCACCTAATCAGTGATTCTTAGGCTGCCAAATACCCGCGCCAAGAGGTTTGCTAATGCCAAAACCAACACCAACAGCGACGCCGACGATTAAAAATGCGATGAGGACTTTAGCGATGATCCTGTTTCGATGGCTAAGGCGAGCCATGCACTGGCACGATCGGTTGTTGATCTTGGCTGCTCGTGCCTTCTGTCGCCAATGATCCTGGCCAGGCCATACGGGGCAATCCGACTTGGGTCTGGGGTTACCTGACGCCGTCTTGTTCAGGTGCTCGGAGGATTTGACAGGCATCATTGCCTCGATGTCCGTGTCAAATCCGTTGGGGGCGGAGGCGGAGCATGGTGTCGATACGTTCGAAGTTCGGCGTATATCTAAGCTCCCTTCTGGGCTTCTCTGGCTGGGCGTAAGAAGCTGGGTAGAGACTGTCAATTGGCCTGGCTTGGGGGCCTTCTCAATCGAGATGGTTGCCATCTTCCTAGTAGCGTAGGGATGAGAGTCGACGTGTGTTGACGAATTTGAAGTTGAAGAAATGCTAGAATATATGCGCCGCCGCTTTTGGGACCGAGCTTGCTAGAAGGTATATCTACACGTCAGAAGTGAGGTGTACAACGGTGACGATGTTGTTCGACTGTCACAGTGGATGGGTAAATATATGCTGAAAGGAACTGTTAATCGACAGGGTCAGACATTATTCGAGGTAACGACTGGACTTACTGAAAACCCTATGACAGAATGGGGGCAAGGTCAGACTTGACTAAGATCAAGAACCAGCTGCTCTTGCGAATTTGCTCTAAGCTTTAGCAGGTATGATTAAGGTAGATAGCTCAGATATCACCAAGAGCTAACCTGGCCAAGGTGTATTTTAGGGGGCTAATCACGTTCGTGCTTTCAACGCATTGATGTGTTTTCCGGGTCGGCGCTTCAGATTTCAAGAAGGGTCAATGAGATCGTTCAAATGGTTCAAAGATAAGCTTCAAGTCTAAAAGAGGGTATGAATTGAAAGAAGTGAAGGACGGTTAGCTATGTATGTGCATAGCATTGATGCTACGCTCCTAGCAAGAAAGTGAAACGAATGGACGAGTTATCGAGGAACGTGAGGAGTCGTACGTGATCATGCAAGGAACAAGAGACCTCGAACTCTTGAATGGCAAGATGATAAAAGAGAACGAGCAAGCGGATTGATGGATACTTTGACCTAATGTTCCAGACCCTGCAGCTGTTTACCATAGGCCATGAAGCCATGGCAAGAGCACCTATGGATGCATTGGTCCGGGAACCAATGGGTCAATCAAAAGGGGCAAGACTGGGGGGTAACTGACCAGATAGGGTATGTGCTACCACCCCACCAGGTGTTCGACCATTCAAAGAACACTAAATGCTGAAGATATGGAGCTAAACGCTCGCACCCGCTAGAAATACCCCTGGACTCTTGGATTTCATCCAAACTTTCTCATACTAGGTATGTAGTAATACTACATATCTACATGTATCTCGTGTATGTACTGTGTAGGTAAGTATGTACGTAGTATTTACTTGACTTATCACCTAGGTACCTACTAGTAGGACAATAAAGGATAGGTGTGAGGCTTTCCTTTCTTCGTCTTTTTCTCCTTCTAAAAATGCAACATATTAGCCCTTAGCTTTTCTAGAACCCGTCACGGAATCCCCCGAAGCTATCACTAGAGGGTCATCGCAGCACGTGGCTATATGGATAATCCATCCATATCAAGTATTATTGCGAATATCGAACCAAAACATGCCTTTTAGGCGCGAGCTGACCTAAGTAGCGTATTCAAGTCGGCATTAGCGTTACCCCCTCGTTAAAAGCTTGGTCCTATTTCAGCACCAGCGCTTACCTTAGTTTTGACTAGCTGGACTGGGTAGGTAGTTAATAAAGATAGTATAAGTCTGAGTCGAGGCCTCCTTGACAAGTTTTCTATGGAATGTAAGTTTTATACTTACTTAGGTATATACATACATAGCACTGGGTACTATACATATCGACATAGCATTTTAATAGCCTGTTACTTGTTATATGTACGCTTACGACTTTAGGTGCTATAGCTTGGTAATCTATTGATGTTGTTTGTCTTCTAATCTTGATATTTTAAGCGTGTAAAATTTTATTCCACCAGATATACTTACATAAACATTTCGAAATTGAAAGAGGTTGATCTTGCATAAAGGATCTAATTCCTAGTCTCAGATCTCAGCATGTATCTAGTACATATGTACTATGGCACGTTGCGTTAGACTGTGGTCCTTACTTAGTAAATATTGGCGGGTATTCATGTTCGGCCTCTATTTGACCAAAGCATACATATAGCGAAAAAATCGGCTCGACTAGGACATTCATAGTAACAATATCGTAAATCGTATCATAAATCGTATACGTGGAAAGTGCGAGATACCTAATGTTTGATTGCAGGTTTGAATTGAATAAGGAAATCACGCTTATTAGGTAGCTAATAGGGAAATAATGGTCGCTCTTATTCCGAATTCGATCGCTCACCTCGCTATTGTAAAAGCTTGCTTTAATTGCTGTGCCAGGCTATCCTAGACAATAGAATTTGCACATGCACTAGTCCTTGTATGATAATGAAATGCATTAACATCCCTGCAACGATGTCATCATATCCATCTATGATCATTAGGTAAGCGTGAGACTTTGCAACTTCACATGAAATCGCTATGGCTGCATCTTCGTCCATGAGAGTTTATGAATGATTTTCGAATGGGGTTTAACAGCATAAGTGTCGTCGAAGAAAATGACACACTCATTATTTAAGTCCACCTCCCGCCGGATCGGCTGGTACGGCCCGTTATAGTATGTCCTACTTGATACATGCCTCCTGGTAGTCTGACCAACCTACAACCTCTAGCTCGTGAGCTCTAATGGAGTTCAGCAGGCCTCAACCGAATTTTCAGAAAGCAACACCACTTACTGGTAATTGATATATCTATTATATAGGTGGTAGTTGATCCAACTATCTATTTATGAAGCGACGATGCCCAAAGAATGGAAGATGACTGCAAAAAGCCATTCTTTTGTGGATGTGTGCTGTTGTTCGGTAGATCTATCTACCTTGATATCTTGTGCTTAATACAAGATTCCTCGAGCTACATTCGTCATATGTATATGTATAAGTTATATGTATCTACACGGCTGGCAGGATACATGCAGACATCGTAGGTATGGCAAGTGCCACTCCTAAGTAGAGCGTCACTGCCTTACTTGTTTCCCTAGCACTTGCTTCGGTTATCGACATATTCCAAATTCCAAATTCACCTCCCCACATAATCTATATGTCAAGGAATTCCTCTGTCCTTCCAAGTTTCCTCGTCTTTGTTTATTCCTCTTTCATTATAACAAATCCTCCAACCTGTCAAAGTATATCTTGTGATAGGATTGAGTAAGCAGAGTCCAATATTGCTTGAGTTCTTTCCCCTCAGATTCCTATCGGACTCATTCATCATGATGAAACCAACTGTTATCATGGCGGTTCTCGCCTCTAGTGGCTTTCTCCACACGGCATTGGCAGATGACAGTCTCGGTACTCAGTCTATGGTTCCGCCTACCACAACCGGTGAATCAGCCATCATGGCCAATACGCTTCAGAAGCGAGATGCTTATACTTGCTACGGTGTGAGTGATAGTGATTTCCCCTGTCTTAATGTAATATGTAACGTAAATGGGACTAATCTAGTTTACTAGTCTACGAACACCTCCGTCACGGATTGCCAGAAGATCATCGACACCATTCTTGCCGATAAGCAGAAGGATTTCACCCTCTGGCCCAATATCTGTGCTGTCTGGAACCAGGGAACCTGTAAGGTTCGCTTTTGTGCTCAGCCCTATGTGACAAGGCCTGTCAATCGATCAGGGACATGGCTGGCTACCTATATAACCAGCCCAATCTTGGATGGCTGTATCGGAAAAGGAAACATGGGAGTCTATGGAGACAATGAAAACCTCAACGGTCACGCAGGTACGTACCGAGTATGGGTATCTTAGTTCTGGCATAGGCAATAGGGGATCAGACAAGACCGTGACAGGGTCGTAGGAACACAATGATGGCTTTCTAATATGTAGCTCATATGAGAAGATTCCAGCAGATATTGGGCTGGGTTAAATTTCTATGGAGATCAAAAAGGCCCCTTACGAAGAGGTGGTCGACATGTACCCATAGTATTTGCTTCAATACCTTGGCCATTCCAACCATGTTGAGCTTTACAATATTAGAACAACTCTTGGGAGTATTATTCGTGGGTTTGGCGTACAAATTATGGTGCTAATGAGACCAATTCATTTTCTTAATGTCTTTGTTTTCTAACTTAGGACCATGACGTATAGCATCTTCATTTGGACATGTGAAAAATGTTAGGATAGGTATTAATAATTACCTATCCACATGCCTCTAGTAGGCTAAGTAAGGACACTCTTTGAACGTCGAACATATGTATGTGTTTTATTTCTCTATATACTATAGGGGCCGTGATAGAGTCATTAACATTATGAACGTGCTAGGTGCAGTTCTCAGTGAATGCCTCGTCGTAGTGATTTAGGAAATAGCCTGTAAACTTTGGATCAGTGGTTTTCGTCTCAGTACTTGTATGCCACCTTCTTGCAATAGGTACTACAGGTACGTCATTATTAGTACAGGCTGTACTATATTCATCCTTGATCACGGGAATCATTTTAAATTTCTAGCCTTCTAAATTCATATCATCGAATATCAGCGTGTCGTTCAGGTGGCCCCTTCCCCCTTCGGGTACATAAATGTACCTACCCACCGGTTGTTGTTTCCCACTTAGCAACCTCGGGAGTCACACTTGAACCAGAAGCAAACAACGTAGAAGTTTCTCGACCGAACTTCTAAAACTCGTGATTCATGCCGAACACATCAATCACAAGAATCACTACCGTCTTCATTAGCCATCGGCGAACATCAAATCAGTTCACGGGTTTCATCATGGTTCTCGTCCGAACGTCAATCTTGGTCATGGCCACCACTGGTCTCTTTGACCTAACCGGCGCTGCTGCCATCGCACCGGTAACTGGTCAGGGAATTCAACTCCCAGCTTCATCCGTCCAGCAAGTGCAAAAGACTCCTCTCACCGACATGGTCGCCGATTTTACTGCCAAGGAGATCAAGCAGCGAGAGAACGCAGTCCATCGTTGCTACCCACCCTCACCCGCCGTTGTAAGTAAATAATTCCTAGATAAATTTAAATGCAAACGGCGTAGATTGAACTGTTTCTTAACACTTGCTCTAGGACCCTACTCCCTCGGCTGAGGATTGTCAGGGCTCAATCAACAAGCTCCAGGCCGTTCAGGACGACATCGTGGTGAAGCTAGTCGAGGGCTGTTACGAGACTTGGAACGGAAATTGCACAGCGTCTGTCTGTCCTCAGAAGGACGGAACCTCCACCATCTCACCTTCTGTCGCCGCTCAGTTCATGATCGATTCTGTCATGACTGAGTGTATCTCGAAAGGTCTCCGAGGATGGTACCTGGACCGAAGCTACGGCATCGGTGTCTACCTCACTTAAGCATCGGTTCAAGCATACGGGTTTCATCGAAGATGTAAGGGGGATAAGTTGAAATAGGGACTTTGAATGGGTTTCTTCGGGCTGATAGGCTGAGCTTTTGCTAAAAAATTGATCCTTGAACCATATCAAGGCAACAATACACGATGAATTATGATCGATACGTTTCTCACCTAGAAGTATTGGATTGCGCGTGCCCAGTGCGATGAGGAATTCCGTGACGTGCCTCTACTGGATATCCTTATAATAGTTACCCGAATACCTGCCTACTGCCATCGGATCTAATACGGATCCAATACGGATCCATATGAACTTGGATTCAAGGAAATTGAGAATATGCATATCCTCTTAGATCATGCTTCTCCGAATACATCGAGGAGGGTAACTTCGACGGAACACGCTCCCCTGAAACTCGTCGTATTTGTCTCGGTACTAACTGACCATACCCCCTAATTTCCGATTCAGTATAATTCCGTAGCACATTTTCTTGTAAACTTCGCTAAGAGGGCGTCACAAGAAGTTGTACGATCGGGTGGGACAACCTATGACGAGCGGGTATACCAGTAGAACCAGTATGCAACGAGCAACACCAAACGGCTCGTGAGCCTGTGTTGTACGTATAAGTATACTGCAGTGTAGTACCTATGCTGAGTATTCGCCGTGTTCCCTTTGTGGGAATTCTGCAAGAAGAACTATGGCGTATCGTAACGTGCTTCAATCATTGTTCAGTTATTGAGTAATCATCAACTCATCGTGAACTATGATCTTCGACATGTAGAAGGTTCTTCATATTCTCCATAAAAGAAGCCGGATGAGCTGAGGTTAACAATTAAGGAGAACCTCTACCCGAGTCCTTGGGAGCCGTTAAATCCATTCCCGAAGTACCGATACTCGTATGCCCCACGTTAGGTTGATAGAGCCCCACCTTACTCCACTAGTAGGTGTATCCTGCATTCCTTGTAATTCGTACCCAGATACTTCATAGAAAACTACCTACCATCACTTTATCAACAGTAGCGATAGCTTCATAATCTCCTTGGCTACTTGCTTCTTAAGTGAACAAAAATTTGATAGATACCGACAAATCGCAAGGACCCACTGTAACAATGGTATTTTCTCCTTCAACCATCAGTCAAGGTTGCCAACCTATGTACAACACAGCCTACTCAATTAACTGTCTTCTAGAACAAGGACGGCTGCTACACGTACGTGCACATGCAAAGTCCTCGCGACGCCGACATGTTCGAGGACTTCTGCAAGGACAAACTGCCTGACGACGAGATCTACGTGCCGCCGCACCACCAACCTATCAACCCCGAGGACGAGGACGACGTAGTGCCCGACCAACACGCCGCCTTTGGTATACAGAAGGCTACTCAGCGGAGCAAAGAACCTGCTTGGAAAGACTTGGGTCTAGCTGAGCTCATGGGGAAAGGCCCCGCGTCGGGAAAGGTCGGAGGGACTAGTAGAGGTGGAAGTCGCGGTCCTAAGGTGTATCAAGGACTGCCACGATGAAGCCGTAATGGGCATGCTTGTGGGGAGGTGCAAATAACTTCGTACTTTAATGGATGGGCGGCATGATAGGCGTATAAGGGTATCTATGGTCGGAATCGGAGTCAACGTGGTATTGGTTGGGTGTAGTGTTACTGTTTTTGGACCACACATTGCGAATGGATCTGCCACGGTTCTGATAATGCCAAACCTCGCTTCTATCCCGTGATATCGTGCCTCTGTGAAATGTGAATCTACCCGAACCCTCCCATCAATCGCCCCGAACGCCATGCAATGCTAGAACGACCACGCCTCAACTTTTCACCTGTCGTGACAACGTCGAATATCTTAGCCCTTCCCTAGAAAGCCCTCCCTCTCCATAACCTCAGGCGCGAACTTAAGCAGGAAGACCGTCCGACCAGGCCACATCTCGCCCTCCTCCTGCTTACCGACGCTGTGCGCGGTGACCCTGGCGGGGAAGGCGGAGCCGTCGCAGACGCCCTCGATGATGCCGGCGACGTAGGCGGCGCAGTTGAGCTGGCTCATGTCCTTGGGCACGCTGATGTAGCGGTTGACGAGCGGCTCGTTGTCGATGATCATGTACTCGTCCGGCTTGGCGGGGTCGGACGACTTCTCGAGGCCGTCGGCCGCCCGCCCGAACAGGTGCTGCCACACGTTGATCTTGATGAAGTGCAGCAGCGTGATGATGTTCAGCGGCCGCGTCTGCGACCGCGGCGGCTCGCGGTACAGGAGCAGGTCGAGGAGCTTGAGGCCGATCGGGTGGCCCTGCGCGTTGAGCCTGGGGCGGGAATCGCGTTAGTTACACACCTCGCTATTACCTACTACCTGGACAGAGTAGTTTTCTTGGGTAACTAGTAGAAGAGAGGGGAAGCGTACCGTTTTTCTAGGTCCTGGATACTCTCTATCTTCTTGGATGCGTAGCCCACCATCTCGGAAAACAGGTAGGCGAAGCTGGAGCCGCTAAGCTCGGCGGTCTTCGTGCGGTTGAGCGGTCGGTGGTAGATCGTCTTGCCGTTTGTCGGGTACCGCAGCCCTGGCTGGTCTTTGCCGTTGCCCTTGGCGGGCTGGAGGTTTGACATGGTTTCGCTGGGGATTAATCGCACTCCGGTATGTTGTGAGGCATGAGGTAATGTTCTTAGTTACGTTTTATTAAATATTTGCTAGTGGTGGAAGTTCGACGTCGCTAGGTGCTCCTTCTGTAGGTGCATAGGTACCTAGATTAGGTTAGATGTGGAGCACACCTCATTCGGGACATCGGGGTACCGATACATCGAAGTCAAGGTTACCTGGGTACCTTCAGACATCCCAGCTTCATATAAATGCATTCTTTCTCCTCATAGCATTCGTCCAAACTCAATGCATAAAACGCGTATGATTTAGTACAGGAATAGTATAAGAGCCATCTCATAAATTAATCTGGTAGGTAGATACAAAAGCATTTGTTAATATTGACACGGCTTCCTATTATCCCTCAGTCTATAACTTGCATCTTTTCCATTATATGCTAAGTCTCGAACCCTCACTGTATAGGTACACATATTCGAATTGTCTCCACTCACGAGGCTTCCTACTTGCCTATGCTGTAACGCCATTCTAATTGTTTGCTTCACTAGAGTAACCGGGTGGCGGTGACACTCCTTGAGCGTCGTGACCCTTGAGGTAGTCCTCTTTCTCACCGATCTGTTTGCCTCCGGCTTCCCATCTCCTCACCTTCTCGGCTCGTTTTTCAGCACATAGCTTCTGCAACGCGGGCCAGTACACCTCGTGGTTGTACTCAAACTGCAGCTCGCCTCCCGGAAATTCCGACCAGAGTTGCTCCTTTGGTACAAACTGCGTCATGTCCTCGTTGAACTTGAGCTTCTCTCTCGTCAACGGGTCGATGAAAGGCGTTATAAGCTTGAAGAAACCCCATACAACCCATGGAACTGTAGTTTCGAGTTAGCAAATTCCACTTGAAAGGTATTTCTGGTAAGACCATACCATTGATAATCATCGCTCTCCCGAGCCTCTCGGGATAATGCGTTTGAAGAATGTGTAGGACCTCGCGGCCCTGGCCAATGCCGGGAGCAGTATTTGTGCGGTTTTTGCCCGATTTGAAATTTATGAGAAGGCTGAGTGTTTCTTGCTGAGCAGGCATAAGTTCAATGACTCGCTCAAGCATGAAAACAAGGTGCTGGACCTGTCGAGGAGAGACATCCGTGTTTTGGCGGCCTGGGCTCAGGTAATGGCAGGGACGGCAGTGCTTGTCATAGCCTAACAAGATTTGTTTCCCAGTCTCGTTCTCAGGCCCGATTTGGTCTGCACTCAACTCCTCGACTCCGTATTCCCTTCGCCAGGCAAGGGTCTCTTGTAGGCGCTTCTCTGCTTCCTTCTCATGCCACTTGGTGGCCCTGAGATATCTCAGAAGACATTCCCTCGTGAGCCACATCTTCTCGCTGTCAGTCAAAGGGCCGGGCTTTTCCTTGGACGGTACCTCAGTCCAGCCCTGTATTTGTTTTAGAAGCCATTCATATTTGGTTTGTTGGCTGGCAGTGAGAGCCGGCTTCTCCGGTACGCTGCTGGTTGAAGTAGGGGTTGGAAGCGGTGTCTTCAGTGTACCGGACTCCTTTTTCTCTTCGAGAATGGAAGGTTCCGCGCTCTTAGGCGCTTCTACTACCTTTGAAGTAGACATTCCAGGACGTGATGAACAATCTGAAATAAATATGCTAAAATGGAAAAATGGTTCCAAAGTAGAAATAGAAGGTACTAGGTAAACGAAGAGAATCTGCGGTGTAGGTACCTAGTTAAACGAAACTCCCCTAAGAGGAATATTGAGAAGGCGGTGCTTGCTGGTTGTTGGCTTGGCCTATCTAGTGGTAACACGGGAGGTGGGTCCCGGCACTATGAGCCCTGTACGAATAACGCTAGATCTTTGGCAAGAGCACCTAAGCAGCTCAAGCTGAGCAACTGCAAGTACGTACCTTATAGCGGGTGGAACCCCTGACCTACTAGACCCGTAGAAATTCAATTGGAACGTTTCCCCATTTGGAGAAATAAACCACTTAACACGAACAATCTCGAGACGCGTCTAATTTGTCCACTTTTGAAAAAGCGCGTCTCGAGTCCTCCAAATTTACCTATCTACCTACCTACCCACTACCAGGTAGATAATGTGAAGATCAGGAATAGGAGGGATTAACGCTCATCGCTGTTGAATTGAGATTCTCGTATAACTAATTCCCCAGAGTTCAAGTCGTTGACCCAAGCACCATGGCGGAAGCAGACTTGCAAGAGTTGAACGAGCAGTTCGGCGTGCCGAACAAGGATCTCGAGCCCGATGTCGTCTCTGAGCTGCGATCCATCATGAGGATGCATTCGCTGTCAGTCCAGGACTTATACTTTAAATGGGAGTCATACTGCATCAAGCTGGATATAGACGGAAATAGACCGACCGTGGAAAGCCTGCGAGCTCTTAAACAAGATATCCAAGATGCCCTGGAACGAAGCAATCGAACGCACCAAGTCCATATCAAGACTGAAAAGCGTTCAAGCGGGACGCCACGTAATGCCGTCAAGAATACTAGCGATGTCTATGGCATGTAAGCGGTCATGTTTATTTTGTCGGCAACATAACTGGTACGAGACTGACATTGCATAGGTTGGAAGGGATGGCTCCTAATACTCCAGCTACGGGAAAGTTCAAGAACGCCTCGAAGAGGCGGAATCCGCATGAGAGCCCCTCTATAACAAGGGTAAAGGGCAATATCCTTAGCAGCTCCCCTGACTACAAGAGCCAAAGCCCATTAAAAATAGAGAACCAATTAGACTCTATGAACATTGTCTCGTAGGTTTCCTTTGATATATGGCGCGTTCAAATATACTAAGAAATAGTAGGGCCACATCCTTTAATGATCGCCCCAATCCTGGAGAAGTAATAGAGATCCTAAACGAACATCTCAAACCACCAGCACCTGCAATAGTACCTTACGCAGAGTCTCGGGTCAAATTGAACGCAGCATCAGATCTTAAGAAGTTGGGCTATAAAACCCTTGCGATGAAATCCTCAGAAGCATCCGAGATTTTGGATGACCGGATAGACGAGTTTTCAGGCCTTGTCAGAGACCATTACAAGATAGACGAGAGCGAATTTGGTAGCGCAGCTAGCCAAAGCACCACGGAAATTGTTGCCGTTGGTCGAATTGCGTCGGATTCTTCAGAGGGCAAGCTCAATGCGGCGTCTCTTGTTTTGGAGACTTCGAGGCGGACTGGGGGAGGCCTAAGAATTCCCTTGAACTTGAAAAGGCTTGGTAGTTGCTATCAGTTTTTCCCGGGACAGATTGCTGCGTTCAGGGGTATCAACTCATCTGGCAAGGAGTTTGTCGTCCAAGAAGTGCTTGAGATACCTCTGCTTCCCAATGCCGCATCCTCTCCGGCGGCTATCGAAGCTCACCGAGAAAGACTTCGGGGTGGGCCGGATGCGATGGAGTCGGACGACGAACCGGCGCCATTGAACGTAATTATCGGCTCAGGTCCCTATTCGGCTGATGACAACCTCGATTTTGAGTCCCTCCATGCCCTTTGCAGCCAGGCAGCAGATACGTGCGCCGACTCTCTCATATTGACAGGGCCGTTCATCGACGTCGACCATCCCTTAATTGCCACAGGCGACCTTGATCTGCCAGAGGAAGCGGGAGACCTCGACTCTGCGACAATGTCCACCGTTTTCAAGTACATGATTTCCCCAGCCTTGAATCGCCTTGTTGCTTCTAATCCCACTATTACTATCCTCCTGGTACCATCTGTACGCGATGTTGTCGATAGACATGTATCCTGGCCGCAAGATCTTATCCTCAGGAAAGACCTGGGATTGCCTAAAGCGGCGCGTATAGTAGGTAACCCAATGACGCTCTTCATTAACGAGATGCTGCTTGGTATCTCATCCCAGGACATCCTCTGGGATTTGCGTCATGAGGAACTCGTTGGTGCTCGGACCGCAGAACCCAACTTTTCTTCGAGGGCCCCGAAATACCTGATCGAGCAACGGCACTATTTCCCAATATTTCCTCCGGTTGACCGGCAGAAACTTCCAAAAGCAGGCACGGAAGATGGTTTGCCTACCGGTGCTATGCTTGACCTGAGTTACCTGAAGCTAGGAGAAATGATGGACGTAAGACCCGACGTCATGATTGTGCCGAGCGCTCTGCCCCCCTTTGCAAAGGTAAGAAATCCCAGAAACTTCAAACTTTTACTCCGGGTATCAAACTTGGCCGCTAATACAAACTAGGTTGTTGAGAGTGTTCTAGTGATCAACCCAGGGTACCTCTCCAAGAGGAGGGGCGCAGGCACATATGCTCGGATGACATTATTTCCACCTAAGGTAACAGAGGAAGAGCTGAATAAGGGAGGAGTAGTAGATCACAAGGTTTTTGAAAGGGCTAGGGTTGAGATTACGAGGATATAATTCTTTCTATAGAATTCACTGCATTATACTGAGTCCCAAGTAATAGGAGAAAGGCGCAAGATGCCTTTGATCATTAGTCTGGCTCGTGTGTATAAATTCCCGAAAACTACTTGGAAGTAGCTAAGTAGGAAGGTAGCATGAGATTATAAATTGACAGACCAATTGTCTATCTGGTATCTGTCTTTCGCCTCTTGTCACTTTCGTAGCGATCCGCATCCCGTGACGAGTCCCTCTTCCTCCGACTACTATAACTATCCCGATCAGGTCTGTCCCTATCTCTGTGGTCATCTCTCGGACGATAGCTATCCCGATCGTGATCTCGTCGTCGTTCGAAGTTCCGAGGTCCTTGCGGCGCATCGGAGACGGGCTTCTTCCTCTCTCCGAGGGGAATTGCGTTGGCTCCTCCCGGACCAGAATTGTCCCTACCGTAATCTGATTTAAACCTATCGTCAACATTATACCGGTCAAAATCTTTGCCTGGCCTTGTGTCGCGGAAGTTTCCCCATTGGCCCGTGTCTTCGGATTTGAGATCCTTGTACTTAGACGCTCCTTTCTTGCCCAGCTTCGTCATGTCGCGCATTTGGAGCGCCTTTGGAAGCAAGTCGCGGTTCTTGACGTCGTCCATAATTCGTGTACCCATGATATCTCGGTTGGCTAAGCCCTCGGCTTCAGCCTCGTCCCGGTAGAATGCGCCCTTGTGGAAGTACTTCTGCATGTACGACATCTTTCCCTTGGAGTCTTTTTCATCTTTCTGCTTGGCTAGGAAGGCATCATCTTCTGCTTTGCGTTCCTCCTCTGTCAAGTTCCGTCGGCGTTCGACTTCTTCTCTCTCTTTCTCGCGCGCCTCGATGGCTTCGCGTTCCCGCTTGATGCGCTTTAGCTCGCGAACCTTCCATGCTGCATACTCAGCCTCGGGTTCTACATCGTCTTCGGTATCGACGTCCTCTTCATCTTCCACATTATCGTTCCAGTGTCCTTTCCTAGTCGCGCGGGCGGCGGCGTCTTTGCGCATTTGTTCTTCAACCATATCATCCATAGCCTTCTTTCTTTTCGCTTCTTCCTCAGCTAGCTTAGCCGCCTCGTCCTGTTCTTGAATGGATGCCTTGTTCCGTTGGTTTTTAGGTACAAACTTCGGTTTTAACATAAGTCGTCGGGGAGCCTCTTCTTCACTGCTCTCTTCCTCCTCGCTTTCGTCTTCACCGCTTCCTTCTTCACTATCATCCTCATCCTCACTTTCTTCTGTGACGAAACCTTCCTCGGCTGCTAGGCGAGCTGCTTTTACGGCCTCTACGCGTTTAATTTCGGCCTCCTGATCTTGCTTTCGGCGCTCATCAAGGTTTACCCTGCTGAGGTTGCTAATGATTTTTCCTGCACTAGGTGCTTTTGGAGGTGGCGCGATTTTACGCTTGATCTGTTGTTGCTGCTCGGCTTCGGCTTCGCTGGCTTCTGATTCGGATTCGGATGATGACACGCCTGTTGCCTTTCCCGCGCGATACCGCGTGGGTCGCGCGGGATTCGCGGTCATTCGTTTTGACTTCGTCGGAGGCGGCATTATGGAATAACAATTACGAGGGAACTTAGAGGTGTAGGCGGGAATTCTTGACGTTGACTTTCTCCAGATACTAATAAGAAGCCAAAAAAATTATTAAACAATTTGCATCTAGGAGGATAAACGCGAAAATACATACCTAGGTACCTGGGTGGAGTCGATTATTTCTTTATCGATAACACATTTCTTTCTAGTGGGGTCCTTGAACTTTGGGACCAGGATTTCGATTGGCACAGGCTTTCATATAATTGGATTTGAAGTCGACGAAGTTGATTTGGGGGATGAAATAATGTGTGAGAGAACAGCTCAAGACGAGGAAAATGGTCAGAAGTTGAAAATTATGGGCTATTTCTCCCTAACCGAAACCGCCCAGATATTTAGCCATAACCCTAATAGAGAAATCCTACAATCATAGGATCTCATCCTCTTGTTCTTCTTCCATAGCTTCTCGGTTCTCCTGCGTGGGATTTGTATCTGTGGCCGAAGTGTTTCGGGGGATTTCTTCGATTTGTGCGTCATACATCTCATCGTCCAACTCAGATGTTTCATGATCATCTTCGCCGTCCAGTTCTGCTTGTGGCTTCTTGGTCGCTGGTATTTGGTTGTTGACCTCATCCCATGTCTTCCGTCTTGTTTGTATTATTCGAGCTTGCCCTTTGCTCTTGTTGATCTTCTTCTCTGTCCTATCCATGACTGCGGCCGCTCGATCTTGTCCTTTCTCATATCTTTTTCGAGCTTTGGAGCTCATGTTCCTGCTCTTCTTTGTCTTCTTTGTCACACCAGCTCCTTGGTGTATGGAGAGTATAGAAGGACGATAGTCGACTGATTCAGCAGGTGGTTGGACATTCTTCAGCGACTTGTCGGTGTCGATGCCTGGAGATGTAGCGCGCCTTGCGGCACGGGAATGAATCGAAGGACCTATTGTAGAGAGCTATTAATTATTTGAATAGCGCTTTGTGGGGGGAGGGAAGGAATTGTAAGGCTAGATTTGCGCACCTTTCTTCTTCTTTGCGATTGTGCCTTTACCCATGATCGCCGTTATTTTTTGTGTTAGACAAAATCCAATGGAGATCTGAACTTTTGAAGTTTCGGTAGTGACACACATGTCACACTTCCAAGGTCCCTACCATGTATTTCTTTTTAAAGTCTGCCCCGCAAAGTTTCCCGATACCGATTTTTATCTCGGATGCAGGGAAGGGACCTGCGTAGCAGCTGCAGTCAGCCAATGACAAGAACAGACTAACAACTGGAGATCAGCGGATCTATACCCACATTTAGCTAGAGATCATTATGTAATTGGCAAGATTCATCTGACCAGACACCTTATGATCCACTAAAAATAAACTGTCGCATCAGCCCTGTCAACCTATTTCTTACCTACCTTTGATTGCATTTCCTCCAATTAACAACATTGGAACTAAACTTCCAAGAGAATCCATCTTTCATATCGCATTACGCACATCCCGAGAAAAAGGCAGAAAGAGGACGCGCGACATGACAACAGTCTCTCTTTGCCATGGCGACTTCAGTCTTGATTGATTTCGCAAAACTCATTCTGCCTTAATACTTAAGTTTTGACAATTCGACAGCTTGACATCGACTTCACATCATCACATGCTCAACTGGGCCAACGTGCGATAACATTTTCGCAAACACCAGGATGCACTCCCATCACCTAGAGACACAACTTGTCCCTCCCGGTAATTTCTATTCTCACTACTCTCAAGGAACTCTATTCGACCGATTACAGCAACCCAGTGTTATAGTTCCTTTACTACTCCTCCTCACTATCTTCTACCAGTCTCTACATTCCTCACCCTTTTCTAGACCTCGACATCCCGGAGAGCTTCTTTGGGACTTTTTAATTACTATCGTCCCCGCGAATGTACTCTATGCTCTCGACAACTGGCTCCATCCACCCGCCTTCCCGATCCCGGAATCTCTGCGACCGGCGCGATCACGATCATATACTGCCAAGAGTAATCTTCTTAGAAGAATACTTGGGATGGACGGGACAGGCGGCATCATTACATCCGTCGCCGATGCTGGTAGAAGAAGTCTTTCTAGTTTATCTACCAGTACCCTCTCCAAGCACAAGACCGATCAACCTCCCGGCCTAGGAAATTACGACAACTCCTGCTTTCAGAATAGCATCCTTCAGGGACTATCGTCATTAAAGTCGTTTCCGTCCTACCTCACCAGAGGTCTAGAACAGAACAAGTGCGAGAGCGACGAAGAATCCGGTTCAGCCGCTTCCTTACGGGACCTCATATCAAAGTTAACGGATGCTAGTTATAACGGAAAGACCTTGTGGACGCCGAAGAAGCTAAAATCTCTTGATACATGGCAACAGCAAGATGCGCAAGAATACTTCTCTAAGATACTAGACGAGGTCGAAAAAGAGATCTCGAAGGCGGCAAAACCGAAACGCCGTTCATCCGGGTTTGAATCAGTAGGCATGAGAGATGACACAGAAGATAGTCAACACAGCGATGATAGCGGGTATCAGTCACTACCGGTACCTTCCAAAGTTGTGTCGGATGCGAGAATTTTGAGGAATCCCCTTGAAGGGCTGGTCGCGCAACGAGTCGCATGCGTCCTGTGCGGCCATTCTGATGGGCTTTCCATGATCCCGTTCAACTGCCTAACTCTTAGCCTTGGACGCGAGCAAATCGAGCATGATCTTTTCGAACGACTAGATTCCTATACAGACCTGGAGACAATCGATGGGGTTGAGTGCGCCAAGTGTACACTGCTGAAGCTTCAGAGGCTGCTGAAAATGCTCATATCTCGTGGGAAAGAGAACAACAAAACTGAAGATGAGTTACGAGGATCTATTTCCCGATTAGAGGCCGTGGACCTTGCGCTTGAAGAGGACGACTTCGAAGAGACAACCGTACGAGATAAGTGTCAAGTACAGAAACGAGTCAGCTCTGCCAAAACCAAACAAGTTGCCATAGCGCGACCACCTCAAAGTCTTGCGATCCATATGAATCGGTCAGTATTTGACGAGACTACGGGGCGTATGTTCAAGAACCTCGCAGCGGTGCGCTTTCCTAAGACCCTTGACCTCGGTCCATGGTGCATAGGAAGCGCGGGAGGCCCCGTCAGTTCCATCGACAGCGACAAGACCGCTTCTATTAGCACACTGGGAGATGAAGAACAGTGGGTTACGGACCCGATGTCTTCCATGGTTTCAGGTGACCAAAAGCCCTCTAAAATCAGCGGGCCTATCTACGAACTGCGTGCGGTAATAACCCATCAAGGACGGCACGAAAATGGACATTATGTCTGTTACCGAAAGCATCCTGTCGAACCGTCGAAATTTGATGACAATCTCGACGAAGAGACTGAGTCGCTTGATGATGTAGATGATGGTGGTGCGACTATCGACGAGGGTACGCTAGTCGACGGAAATGATACGAAGGATGGTGACCAGGACTCGGACGGAAAGTGGTGGCGGTTGAGTGATGAAAGCGTGTGGGAGGTGTCCGAAGAAACTGTTCTGGCACAGGGTGGAGTTTTCATGCTTTTCTACGACTGCGTCGATCCACATCCTGTTCTCGTCTCGGCAATTCGACACGAAACGAAGGCAGATGACGACATCACAACCTCTATTGGAGAGCAGAGCGATGGTAATGCTTCAGGAATGGCCAACGCGGAAGGAGGGTTAATGAATACTCCGTCCGAGAGTAACGAACACTTTGGTAATATGACAACCCCTGAGCAGCTTCAGAGGACATCTCAGGCTGTAGCCGTACAGGACAACCTCGCTAGCGATATGAGCGATAATGGTCTTCAGGCAGAGGCTACCGATACCCAATCACAGACGGTCTGGCCTCTATGGTCAAGCCTTATACCTCCCTTAGCAGATGGGGAGAAGGTGGACCCTACTATTCCACTTCATCGTCCTAATTGTTGATAACTCGCAGGAATGGGGGAACTGGCCCTTACGTGGGGCGTCTAGGTTATCTTCCTACAATGCTTGAATCACAATTGGGGCAGTTGAATGTATTTTAATGGTCTGCTTCTTTGCATAGCCACGGCGTTTGGTGGGATAGCCCGTGGATAGTTTTATAGGCATGTGCATATGTACATCTACCTCCCGTCCGACAAATGGGCGTATTCAAATATAGCCGCCCTCTGGCATCTGTTCAGAGGCTTATTGGTCAATTCTAAGTGTTCTAAGTAGATGGTGAATTCAATAGCCTCTATCCTTCTACAGCCAGTTCAAAAGCTAGGAATATTGACTCATAGGAAGTTTGGCAGTAAGCTATTTTTATCAAATTTATCTCCTGGTTATCGCCACTGTAATAGGGAGGCGTCTAGGAATCAAGGGTGATTAGAATCAGCGGTCCGTGCACGGATTAAGACCTGGAACTATCTAGCCGAAATTTATCCGATTGGTCCAGGCGTTATTCTTTGATCAATGTGAGAACGTACATGTAACTTCTCAGCAGTTGGCTTTCATTCATTCATGTTTTTGATTTTGTAAACATCAGTTTGGAACACCACAAATTCAAACCCTTACGTACAAACTCTAGCCGCTAGTTTGGACCTGGTTTGGATCTAATCAGATATTTGGTCATTCTTTCTATTTGTCCCTTACAATCAAACCCCGACAATGAACGCTCCCGACCGGTCAGTAATATTTCGTAAACTTTGTCATTCGATTTCGCATTGCCCCTTCCCCATTCTCGTTCACTATGGAAGATTTAGGACGGTACGATGAAGGAATATGATTTCATATTCTGGGAGGAAGCCGCTGGTCTCCCAAAGTTGGGAATGTCGACTAAACTTCCTGGATCTTCAATTCACTTCAACTTGTCTCTCCAAATTTGCCCTCAAAACTTATCCTCAACATCTCCATCAACATGCCTCGCTCGAATATGAACGGGGATCCGGATCCGCTTCGTTTGGGTAACAAGGCCCCAGACTTCCATAGGTACCTCAATCTGCATACCCAAAGCAAAAGGCGCCACATTTGTTCCCTTCTAATCATCATCATCATCATCTTCACCATCAGCACTTTCCATCCTTCCCTCAAAATCTAACGTATATGTCACATATCACCTTGCTTTCTGATATCAGTCAACACGGGCTCGAAGAGGGCGGTGGACCAAACCCTAAATCTATTAGAATGGCATATTTTTTTATTGATGTACGATTACATGCTAACAGTTTCTAAGTTTCGAGCTCTTCCTCCTCAACGATGGAGAGAAGAAGATCACCGAAAAACCCTTCGCAGGTAAGCGGGTTCATTCAACGGACTGAAATTGCCGCTTGGTACTAACAAGTTCAGGCATGTCTAACACTTCGGACTTCATCATCTTGAAGGAGGACCATACCATCGGTAACCTGCTCGCTGAGCACTTCAAGCAGCACCCCCACGCGATGATGGCCGGCTACAAAGGTAGGACCTTGTTTTAGATATGTGTTGAGAACGAAGATTTTAATCATGGTATAGTCGCCCATCCTAACGTTCCCGAGGTTCTGATTCGACTTCAGACCGATGGCACTATTACTCCTCGCGAGTTGTTCATTGAGGTGTGCAAGCAGCTTGTCGCCTCTCTTGGACAGCTGGCGCAGAACTTCACTCGAGAGTACGAACTTCGCCGCATGGCCGGTGCTGGAGATGACTCTGGCGGTGGCGCCAACAGCAAATAAGTTCCTTGTTACTATGGCATGGCATTCTCAGGCATGGCGTTCTCACGATAAATAATGGACAAGGGCATGGGCAGAGATACCTGGCGTTACGGTTGAGAGTTGCTTCTATATTGCACTGCACTTTGCTTGACTTCGGACACTTTCGACTCGTTTATTGGCAAGAATCGCCTATGAAATTGACTTGACCTCTGATGAAGTCTTTCTAACCACAATGACCTTGCATCTCTAATTAGGCTGTCGTCGTGATTCTTGAGATGTTTGCTTCTTCATAATCGATCTGATGCATTGTTGGTATTTAGCTATGCTTCGTCATCAATTGCATCTCCTCATTAGTCTCGGAACTGGCCATTTAGTTCTTGGCCTAATCATGTAGCTACAGGGCCCTCTCCTCCCGGTATTAACTGTAGTATATGGTAAGTCTATCGTTACCAGATGTGCCGAATCTTAGAACGTACCATGCAGATGTTGTTGCCGTTAAGCAGTATCTTGGATAGCTTTGTGTGGTTTCCAGAGTAATCGCTGCCTGTTGTTAGAAATTGCTCAAGTGTTTTATGGCGGGCATATGCGCATACAATTCGGTCACATCTTCCAGGACCATGTCTATGACAATCGTTAGCTTGCTGTATGTAACCGGAGTGGTCTTACAATCCTACTTACTGACGTAGTCATCAAAACCAAGTAGGGTTCCGCTGAATTCTGATGAAATTGCTTATTAGCTACTAGATGATGCTTCTTCGGAGTACCTAGGTCATACCCTTGTCACCCTTCATAATGACCCATATCCTCGAGCCGACACACTTGTCGATGAGTTCTGCGACATGTGAGTTCACTGCCTCATTCTTCCATTCATGACGGAGATTTCAAATACCTAAAGGTAGAAGTTGGGATGCCATCTTGGAAGACAATACTGTCTTCGTGGATATTCTTGATTACAGTAGTCTCAAAAGCGTATTATATCGTCTTGGTTGTAGGTAAAATAAGAAAGTACTACAGTTAGTAGTACTTTCAATTGGGTTTAGACCCTCAAGTGCTGTATAAAAATTAGTCACCTGATAGCGAGTGGCGGACGCGTTAGGTGCGGTGCTTAGGTACTTATTCGCATGTACCTAGTACTACAAAGTCTAAGCTTGATGACTAAGCTCAACTCTGCCGACCGCATCCCGCCATTAGTGGATGCTAATGATAGTAGCGCCAAATTAACGCCTTCCAAGGTTCACATTCTCGAAATTCAATACACTCCACTATAACACACTATCCCGACGCGTCTAACAAGCATTGTGACCTGTACTAATTACACAGTCATCATGGAACATTGCTCTGATTCAACTCTCGTTAATCACCAATGACGTCCCTTGCAGGTTCAGAGATCGTCAGCACTGTTCTGAGATCTCAAAAGGCTTTGCGTGCGTCTCTCATTCCGCGGTTCGTCTGCCTTCTAGGAGTACTTATAAGAGCGAACGGCAAGGAATTTATTGACAATCAATCATTATCACAGTAATTGGGCAGTACGGAATGCTAGAATGACTGCAACGCCACCCAAATATCAGTTATGGCATCCCACACGAGGTATCTCGTTCTCGCCTGTTGCGCAGTCTCCAGTCTTGACTCCTGAAGACGCGAAAACTTCGAATGGGGCAGTGGCAGCAGCGAACCAAACCCGCTCTGCGACACCCCATTCAAATAGCTTGGAGGACTCCCTTCTGTATCCAAACTTAGAAGGGCTGTCGTTGTCGACACCAGAGAAAAATACGCCGGAATCCGCTAATGATGCGCGTAATACAACTAAGACGGTTGGTGAGGATGCAGACATCGTTTCTGTAGACGGGCAGATAAACGTGCCAGAAAATAAGGACCCAGAGGGACCTCCTATATCCGCATTGCCATTTAAGATGGTGGATAACTTGTTTTACGCTGCTAAGAAGGCCCCTGCTGGATCTACCAACTCGTTCTGGTCCTACACTCAATACAGAGCGACTTTGGAGGATGGCACGGAACAGAAAGTGAAGGTGCATTACTGTCGAAGCACGCATACGATGGAGCGGGTTTGCCAGGACTACTTCAAAGGAGAAAAAGTACTTGGCTTTGATTTAGAATGGGCCGCGGACTCGACGAGATCGCAGGGCTTTAGGAGGAACGTCTCGCTAATTCAGCTAGCAAGTCCGAGTCGTATTGGACTTTTCCACGTCGCTCTTTTCGCTAACAAAGACGACATACTGGGTCCCACGTTTAGGGCCATTATGGAAGACTCTAATGTCACCAAAGTCGGCGTTGCTATCAAAGGCGACGCAACTAGGCTACGGAATTTCTTAGGTGTCGATTCAAAGGGGTTACTGGAGCTTAGCCATTTGTACAAGCTTATTACGCATTCCACCACGGGCCGCTACAGCGAAATCAACAAGAAACTCGTTCCATTAGCGAGCCAGGTGGAGCAATATCTGCGTCTACCCCTATACAAGGGCCAGGACGTCCGATCAAGTGATTGGACCAAGCCTTTACGTATGGATCAGGTCTCATGTAAGCCGTTTCTTCTTTTAAATTTGTCGCACTCAATCTCATAGTATTATAGACTCGTCGTCAGATGCATATGCTGGATTGCAGCTTTATGCCACACTTGAGCATCATAGGAAACAGCTCGACCCCTGTCCGCCCACTCCATATCATGCGGAGCTCAACCTCCCCATTCGCATAGCCGATGGTGTGCTGCTAGCCATTAACGATGACCCGGTGGTAGACGCAACAGAAGAAACGGAATTGGAAGCTACAGCGACCGCCAAACCGAGAAGAACATCATCTAAACCACCGCCAGGCCCGAAAGACTCTCGCGTCGAGATCGCCGAAGATCGCGTAGCCCGTTACAAAACCGCCCATCCTAATGCGCAGGCGACTTTCGTGCAGCTCCGCGCGTACTACATGTGGCACGAACAGGGCCTCGACCCTCAGACGATAGCGACGCTACTGCGGAACCCACCCCTGAAGTTAACCACGGTTATCAACTATATACTCTCGGCAATCCAGACTGAGAAATTGCCAGCAGACACCGAGAAGCTGCGCGTTGAAATCTTGAGCACTGTGGTAGAGAGCACGTTGCAGTCTCGGTGGCCTTATATTACTGCCCTTGTTTCGGAATCGAGGTCGTGATGCTCTTTTCGAGCTTGTTCATGACCTTACGATTTGACCTCTTCAAATAGGGGCTTTTGGTGGCCTTAATATTTGCCTTAGGATCGATTATCCGGGAAGATAATTATCCACAATGGTGCATATTAAACGATCTACGGTCGTCGATTCAACCGCTGTTGACCTAGGTGACTAGCTAGGGATATATGGAACCCCAGAAAGCATATTCTGCATTGGTTGTATATAAGGGCAAAGCCGAAATTACTGTACTGCGTACTATAACACCATTTCTAAGGGTGAAATCGACGGTCCCTTAGCATTCTACTCTGCTATATTACTACTATTCCCCAGTCATGGTTATATAGCCATGTCAATTGATACTGTGCTATTACTCATAAAAGATATGCGATTCTAGTAAACCATACCTAAATAGTCTGATTAATATTGCCAAAGTTCGTATAAAGGCGTCCAAATCTAGGTAAATAGTCCACCGGACTTGTTAGTATATATGATATAGTACATTATAAGACCATGGCCACCTTCTAACCATATCACTTTCGCCGAAGATAGTACTTTAGGGCAATCGAGGGACATATGGATTAGACACCAAATATCTAATCTAAGTGGGTATATATTCACCATACCTTAATTTTCTCTATACACAAGTCACCGCTCCGCCAATAGCCCCATCTCAATGCACCCCGAAACAATATCCTACCTACTAATCCGCCGCGAGCAAGTCTCTGCCCGCATTAATCTGCACCATCTTATCCTCGCCACCGCTCACAATCCCCCAGCTCTTATCCCACGCCACCCCAAACACTTTAGCCCCGCGCCCGGGCACGTCGCTCTTACCGGCGCCGTTCTTCAGCCCCTTCTGACTCTCCCGCTCGATCACGTACACGGCCTCGCTTACGCTGCCGCCGCCCTCGGCCCGCGTACCCGCGCGCGCGCTCCGCAGATCCCAGATGCGACACGTGCCGTCGTGGGACCCGGAGACGAGGCTGTACTCGTTGTCGGGCGACGCGCTCAGCGCGGCGACCATGTTGCGGTGCCCGCGCAGGGTCATGACGGACGTCGTGGACGCGTCGGCGCGCGGGTCCGCCAGCGTGATGTGGCGCGCGGAGGTGCCGGCCGCGAGGAGCCCGCGCCGCAGCCAGGCGAGCGAGAGGAGCGGGTGCGAGGTCGTGATCACGTTCTCCGTCTTCGACGTCGTGAGGTCGAGGGTGCGGATCGTGTGGTCCTGCGACGCGGAGTACGCGATCGTGGAGTCGGTCGGGGAGAAGAGGACGGCGGAGGCGGGGGAGGTGTGCGGTTGCAGGAGGGCGAGGGGACCGCGTTGCGGCGCGGTGGAGGGCGCGAGCTTGCGCTTCTTGGAGGTGCTGGTGGCGCCGGGGAGGAGGGAGGCGGGGGCTGCGGGGGCGGAGGACTTGGAGGTGGTCCAGAGACCGATGCTGCCGTCGCTCGAGGCGCTGAGGATCCGTCCTGTTGGGCCGTGGACATCGAGGGATTCAACGCACGCTTTGTGGCCGTATAATTCGAGCGAGGGCTTCAGGGTACCGGAGAGGTGGTCGTCCGCCTCGATGTATTTCCATATCCGGACAGTGCGGTTGAGGCCGGCTGATGCGACCAGTGACGAAGATAAGAATTTGGCGGATTTGATGGTTGCGCTGTGCCCCCCCTGGCTACCGGAAGGTGAGGTTGCGATCACATTTCCTGATTTGTTCCATATCCTCAGCAGGCCGTCGTAAGATGCAGATAAAATCCTGTCCTGGCCCGTAGAGAACTTGTCGCCGCTCCATACTCCCGCACGCGAGCTCTCAGACAAGACGTCGACGTCGCTAACCCAGTCGTCGTGCTCGAAACCGGCCTGGTAAACGGGGGGTATCAAGCTGCGCACGTACTGCAGTGTAACCGTGCTCTCGGCAGAGAGGCCGTTGGCCTTCAGGTAGTCTTCGAGCGAGGTTCGTAGGAAGGCGCCGTTAATGAGGAAGTCGAAGGGGATGGGCGACGGGGTGTTGAGCATGGACTCCGAATTGAGAACGCGGGATAGGCCATACCGCTTTATGTCTGCGGGGACGAGCAATTGCGTTCGTCCTTCTGGGAGCTGCAGATCAGGCGATGTCGTCGTGAAGTTGACGCGGATCTGCTGGGGCTCGAGGGCCCCGGGTTGGGGTATGGACGAATCCATGCTGCCTTTCCAATGAGAGGCGCCTCAGGATCGTTTGATATTGCTGATTATTTAAGTCGAAGAAGATCTTGTTTTATTGGTTGTCTTAATAGTTTATCCTGCACTGTCAATTGCGAATGCTGGATTTTTGATTTTGTAAGTTGACTCTGAACTTTTTTTCTTATCGATAGTATGGTAGAAAAAAGGACCCCATATTAGTCCCTTCCAAAATTCACACTGTAGCTGTACCCCGCGATGCAGGGGTTTATCCAATCACGGCAGCGGCGTTTTAGAGTAGGTTAACCAAGCCACATAAAATACAGCCACGATCAATTAACGCCAAAACGCGTCGTCGGCTCTGTGAACGCGTCTTGTCAGTACTGTCTTTCAGAATTCTATACCGCTCTAAATTTCTATTCTTAAGCTCCAACAAGGACGCTGATGACGTTACTTCTCAATGACTTCACTCGATGATATTCCTGGAAACTTGCTCCGGAAGCCTTCGTATGTTCAATTGGCTCAGTTTATTATGTATATGACATATAATGATACTGACCATTCACAGGGGCAAACCGGAAGATGAGCTTGAAAGAGTGTTCTCAAATTACAAGCCGCTGCACTCGTTCAGGCTTGACAAGGAAAAACCATATAAGCAACAATTTGCTGATATGTACTTCCTAAGACTCACAAAGATCAAGCCTGCTGTCGAGCAGCTAGCATTTGAGGCATGGGATGGCAAGGTTATCGGAGACGAACCCGTAAAGCAAGCCGAACGAGTACTTGATATTCGGCAAGGTGAACTATGTTGGGTTGTCGGCACCGTTTACATGGATATGCCCCTAAAGCCAAATATTCTCGATGATGTCTCTAAGGATGTACGTGTTCGAGTTGTGGGACCTTCTTTTGATTTATCTAATTTTCTCTTTTTATTTTATAGCGATGGCTTTCGGCGCCTATATCGAATAAGAAGTACTACTCGGAGGATGGCTCTGACGCTATTATGCTCGAAGACGAGTCTGGCCGCGTACGCCTTGTGGGGGATGTGCTAAATTCAGTTATTCTGGTTACCGGTTGCATTATGGCTGCGATGGGCACCGAGAATTCAAACGGCGAATTAGAAGTGATTGATCTGAAATTTCCAGATCTACCTCCGCAACCGGATCGCTGGGCTCTATCTAATCCGTTGGCCACAAATGGCAGCATAAAGGGCAAAAAAACCAAACCAAAAGACGAGGACACTGAGATGACCGACGCCCAAGTCAAAGGTAGCGGAGGAAAAATAGCAATTGTTTCCGGCCTGGGGTTCTCTGGCAGTGACGCATCACATGCCATTGAGCTGAATCTATTGCTAGAATATCTGCTAGGAGAGTCCTTAGACCCTGCGGCGCAACAAGAACTATCACAGATAAGCCGATTAATTATCGCCGGAAATTCGATTTCTCTTGAAGAGAGAGAAGCGACAGACGAGGATATGACCGAGAAAAAGGCGCAAAAGAAGTACGGATACGATAGCAGCTCATACAACGCCCTACCATCGCAACTCCTAGACGAATTCCTCTCAACGTTATTGCCTACAATGCCAATTACCTTACTACCCGGTGCGCAGGATCCCGCAAATGCCAGCTACCCGCAGCAATCGATACATCCAGCCATGTTCCCCCATTCAAGATCATATACGGCACAACCGACCTCATCGGAAGCGGGTTGGTTTGACACGGTGACAAATCCGTGGGAAGGTGAGATTGAGGGTTGGAGGGTCCTAGGAACCGGTGGCCAAAATGTAGACGACATTTTCAAGTACGTCGGCAGCGATGACCGCTTGGGCATGATGGAAGCTATGTGTAGATGGCGATGCTGTGCTCCAACAGCGCCTGATACTTTGTGTAAGTCAACTACTCCTATCCCTACCATACTCTCTGCTGACATTGCGACTAGGGAGTTACCCTTTTCAGGATGATGACCCATTCGTCATGCAGACGTGTCCACACCTCTACTTTGTGGGTTGCCAACCTGAGTTCGGTACCAAGGTTATCGAAGGCCCGGATGGACAAGTCGTGCGACTCGTCGCTGTGCCATCTTTTTCAGCCACACAGGAAATAGTGCTAGTCGATACAGAGACCCTAGAAGTTACAAAAGTAAAGATTATTGCGGTTTAGAGCATTGTAATGGGAAAATGACTAGGCGAGTCAGAGCATACCATAGGAGTTGAACGGGCTTACGAAATGAGAAATTATTAAAAAACTACATAGTAGTACAAGAACTTATATGGATAATTCCATCCAATATTTGTGAGCGTTTACCATTTGACAACACTATGAATGGCAAGATGAGGGGATTCACAAGCTTTACAGGTAGGTTGAAACCATTTTATTCTTCATTGAGAGGAAAAGCGATTGACTCAGTCAAATATCAAATACTTTGTTACGTCATTGTGCTGATCGTGACTCCTTTCACACAGATGAGTTCCGTTACATAAGCCACTTAGGTTGAATTTAGCCGATATTTAGCCATTAAAAGTATGGCAATTGCCAAGCAGCCGCCGAATTTAGGTTTACCAACCAGTAATCCTTTGACGTTACAAATTTACCCCACAAAACTTCCAACTTCTCCATCTCCCCTCACTAAAAAATCAATCTCACTCCCATTCTCAATTTAGAACCAAACATCTTGCGCGTCCAATGCAAGTTAAACCCCTGTAGCACTTCCGTTCGATCCTTTTAGCGCCTAAATTTTTGTCTCCAATTTCAACCCTTTCTTCATTTCCAATTATCCATTCAACCTTTCATTTCGAACATCAACTTAGAAGATGGAATTGGACGTGGACATTGAAGAATTGATCGATGATCTATTAGTTGAAATCGCCTTCTCTGGTGTTCAAGGTGAGTTTAAGTTAACAATCTATCGATCGACCGATGCATAAAGTATATTAAGGCTTACCTATCTATTTTCTAGGATGCTCGGTCTCTACTCTCTTGAAAAAGATAGAAGCTTTCTTTAATGATGTAAAATTTGAGACTGGAGAATCTTCCAGGGCGCACCGTGGTGAAGGCGATGAGCCGGGTGGCGCCAACAGGAGCACTGCTATTTCCAATCATGAATCTCACATTCAACAAAACACTCGCCGTTACGACCTTTCAATTGGTTCGGAGGTTTGGAACTGGCTGGTGGCAAGGTCGGATGTCTCCGTAGGTTCCAACAGGAAATTCAACCATCTCTCGTTAGATGAAATCCTAGCTTTTCCAGAAGAGGAAGAACCTGAACCTTCGGCGGAAGACGTCAAATCAACCACCAATCAAACTGCCACTCCTGTAAAGGACAAGGGCAAGGGCCGTCCTTCAAAGCGCTCGCGAGACTTAGAAGAAGTTACACAGAAATCTAGACCTCGTCTTCACGTTTCCGAGGAGCGTCAATGGAAAACACTTGCTGGCCATGGTCCGGATAGCAAGAGGATACCATTATTTGAATGGAAGGCGCTTGTTGACATTGCATCTACAAGGGAAAATGGCATCCTTCAAGGAGATCTAGTTCGATTGTCTGGCCAGGACAAGCGCTCTCTCCCTACCCGGACCGACTCCCTCGCAAAAAAAGGGTATATCATTAAGCAACCTATCATTCTTCGAGGATGTCGCTCTAGCAAATTATGGCTTGCTAAGTTTTCCGAGAGCGCGAAGATGGGTCGTGATGGCCTTAACTTTGACAAGGTCGATCTATCAAAGGAGGCCTTAACTAAAGACCTTGCTCCAGTCCCGTTCAGTGATTGTTGGAATGGCGAAAGGCTTGATTACATAGCTATTGCACAAGCTTTCAATGCCGTCCTCAAGGCATGGGGGATCATGCGGTACTGTGATATGCGAACTAAACTGGACACCAGGGACATAGCTCAGATGAGAGCGTTAGCAAAGACGTCGCGATGGTTCACAGGCATTGGAGCGGCGACATTCGTGGCTGCTCGCTTCGCTAACGGCCAGAGACTTTTCAAGGACTGTGTCAAGTTTATAAGGGAACCGACAGCAGAAGAATGGAGAGTCTTTCGGACTACACCAAGTGCTCATATTAACGTCCCCTCAGCACGTCTAGGAAAGCGAGGTCAAGCATCTCGAGCCAGATATAATAAGGGCAAGGGGATACAGCCCAGCCCTCATTCACAAGCGAAAACAAAGAAAGTCCCAAAGAATGAACACCCAGCAGATCTCATGAGTCACGACGAGCCAGCAGTGTCGTTGTGGCATCCGTACGAGCCTATGGTTAATACGGCATTTAAAATAATCGAGAGAGCTGGTCCAAACGGAACCTCAAATGCCAAGGTTGGTCTTAGTACATTAGGACATACTTATCGCAAATATGTTGCTGCACTCACTGCGGTATTATCACAACCCAATTCACAACCTGGCCATTTACAACATCTAGACGTCGTCTCACAGCTTACTCGCCTGGGGAAGACGATGACCTACCAATTTTTCTCTGCTAACAACAGAGTCGGCCATCCTTCTACGGAACTTGGGAAAGAGGACGGAGCTCAAGGACAAGAAATTGAGGCGGCCGAACAAGCTCTTGATGGAGATACCTCGCAACAGAATCCAATTGTTCAAATAAGCAACTACGAATTTTCGCAACCTCTACTATCGAAGATTGCGAAGACACCCACGTCCTCGTTCTACCATATTAATAGTACGGTGCGAAAATCAACCCCTAGGTGGGGAGGGAAGCGAAAAAGGCTTATGATTGAAGAGCCTACTAGAGAAGCGAGCACAGGTATCCAAGAGCCTCCTACTAAGATGCCTCGGATAGAGGAATCTTCTCCAGTCAGAGAGGGGGAAGAGGAAGGAGAAAGGCCTGCGAGTGGCCAAGAAACAGATTCGCATGCAAATGAGCCCGAAGCTGTTCCCATGACAAGCTTGCGACAGCAATCCCATAGTTCAGAATTGTTATCTCCCTCTGTCCCTCCTCCATCGCCACCTCGCCCTTCTCGACCACCTGGTGTCTATCGCGAGCCGGACAACATGTTAGATCCTCCTGGAAAGAAGGGGAGGCGAAAGAAGTCACTTGTTCTCACATTCAGGCACGATGCACTCAAAACCTCGTCTTTTCTACAACCTCATGCAGGCAACGAGAATGATTCTGCATCCCAGACAGGACTTACACATCTTGCAGATTCGGGTCAAAGTGCGTCCCAGTCTACAGCTCAGGCCGATTCTACCGTCTCATCGGGAGCAGTGCCTACACAGCCCAAACGGAAGGCAAGACGTGGTGGTAAATTAGAATATCGATGCGATAAGTGCGGCAACAGTTGGAAGAATTCGAACGGTTTGGAATATCACCTTAACAAATCGCGATCTGCTTGCAATCCTACTTTCGTTCCCCCACCTATACCGCCCCCCAAGCCCCCTCGGCAACTTCCAACACCTAAGCCTATACTTCAACCCGAGTCATCAGAGATATCCAATAATCGGAACCAGCGCCGGACTCGAACTTCGCTACGACGACAAAGCTTGGATCGCAATGCATCTTATCATACCCCCGACACTGGGGACCGTCGTATCCTCCCTTCCAAACGTACTCGTCCCAATGAGACCTTCATTTCTAACCAATTTACTGAGGATCCTTCCGGTACCAATTCTATTAGAGGTACTATTGCCTTACAAAACTTGGAGGCCTACGATATTATAGATCATCGAAGACGCCGAGGAAATGGCGGCCAGGTTAGTGCTTTTGTTATGACTTCTCAACCACGTCAGGCAAGTCGAGTGTCGCCGCAGGCGAAAGACAAGAGAATTTCTGGAGCCGATGAACAAGTTATCATACCTAGTTCAACTATAGGAGAGCAAGAAAATGCTACTCGTGAGACAAGAACCGATACGGGAACCTCTTCACTAAAGCCTACAGTGCCTGGAAGCCTAGAAAAGGATACCCGATCTCCGACCACCAACTCCATCACTCCAAGTGCCACAGGAGACGCCCAAGGTGTTACAACGACTATCGAACAATCCAGCAAAGATGTACAATCGAACCAGACGTCTGCCCCAAAGAAAACTCCCAAGCGGTCTAATCCTACTGTCGGCACTCTACGCAGGGAGCGCACCAACCATATTATCCAGTATTTACTTGATAACAATGATGGAGTATTCCCGGGTCAGCGCTCTGTATACCAGGCTATGGTGTCTATTTGGGCAAAAAGACATCATGACATAGAGCCTCCTGACTGGAAGGTCTGCCAAAACGTGGTAAACCGAATGGAGAAAGCCGGTACGCTGCTACAAATGCACTTCTGCTTCCTTAATGAAAGGGGAAAGCTCGAGGAATGTGTTGTACTTGGGAAGACTATTCCAGGGAAGATCGATGCGGTAAAATTAGCCTCTGAGCCCAAAGTAGTTATTATGAAAGAAAAAATGCGAGAGATGTTCCCGGAGCCGTATATCCCGGAATCATTTTCGTTGTCGCAGGAGGAGGGCGAATTGTTTGACGCAATTGCGTCACGACATAAAGATACCTCTCAACCAAGCGATGCTCATAATCGGCCACGAAAGTCAAGCATCACTGAGGATGTCGAAGTCCTACAGTACCCGGCACAAGTCATGATTAACGTCGCCACAAACGCAAATAGTTTGAAGAGACCAATAGGTGAAGATGGAATAACGGACACCTCTCCTGCCAAGAGGATCCGCCTCGATGCCTCTACTACTTCCAGGCCTCCGAATCGACGCGAGCGCCGTGATCATCGCGAGTATTGGGAAGCTGGGAAGGTCGCAAAATACATATGGAACCAGAACCAGATCAAGAAAGGGGGCCAAAAAACTGCTTACCTTCAAGATTTTACGACCGGAACATGGTCAGTCTTGCCCCAAGGGGCTACTTCATCACAGTTCGACGTCAATAGGGTCTTGTGCTCATCTCATATTTCCCGTGGAAATGGCCCCGCTGCAGAGTGGCGAGGCAACAAGTCGAAGGCTCCTGGTAAGGCTTCGAGAGCGAAACGTATAAAGTCGTCACACTCAACTATTCGGAACCTTAAGTCTTTAGGAGGTGGCGATGAATCGATCATTGATGGCGCATCAGAATATTCTGGATCAATGGAATTAAATCGATTCGTTAAGCCGTCAATTTCTACGTCGTTTGTGCCTGACGACTCAGTATCGGAAGATGAGGATGAAGATACGATTATGCTTGATGCACAACATGACGACGTTGCAGATGATGACTTGGATGCTATCTCGAACGAAACCAGTACAAAGTTTGCGAAACACAAAGCGATCCAGAGCAAGGGACCAGGTTATTGGCCTCTGTTGTCATCCAGCTTTTTCGAGGAGAACTCAAGTTTCGCGTTGTTTGGGAATATGCCAAGCACCAAGTGGTTCATACGGGAAAATTTGCCACAATGTGCCGGTGATATTATCAAAACTTTCCGAGGAAAATTCCAGTTCAACTCCTGGGCAGATCCGTTGTATGGAAAATTTCTACGGGAGGTGAGCATCATCGAGGAATGGGAGAAATCACCTGATGGATCTCGGATTCTCTTGCACGGATCGATCACACCTGACTTTGATTGCATATTCGTGTCGCTTTCTCCTGATATTTCAAGAGCGAACATGAAACCTGTTGCTCGTGCTCTCGAATGGCAGCGCACGACCCAGTATACCGCGGAGAATATCCCAGACGATATCAAGAACTCTTCACCCGATGACGAAAACGCCGGCGTGGCAATGCCTATCCGTCGTAATAGGGGCAGGCCAAGAAAGGATTCGAATGAGTCCCCGTCTAAAGAGAAATCCAAACAGAGAGCACCCAAACCCCCAAGAAAGGTCGAAGCAGAGATCATACCCCGGGTGGAAATACAATACAAGACAAGGCAGTTCAGACCGATTCCCGTCCTGCATCGAGGACGCGTGAACAGACCGGCACCCAACGAAGATAAGCTTGGTCTTAACGGCGAGACCGACTTAATAGCCGCGTTTGTGGTCTTCAAAACTCTTCTGGGGGGCGTGGAGAAGAAGGTAGATATTGGGTTAATCCTGAAGACATTCCCTCAGTACTCTCACTCCTTCTTGAGAAAATTCTGGCCTAGGGTTAGCAAGGAGCGCAAGACGTATATCGATGCCCTGACAAAGAAGTTTCAATCCTCGTTTATAGAGGCGTACGAAAAGGGAGAAGTTAAGCCTCTCAATTATGACGACCTTGATTCGTACGATTGGAGATCACTAGTCATTTGGGCAACTAAACTCGAGACGCACGAGAATGTGAATCTTCCAGATTCCCGCCGTGCTTTGGAAGAAACACATTGGCTAGAGGACCAGGTTAATGAGATTCGAGATTGGAGAGAGACATGGTTTCAGAGCTTAGCTTCCATTTATTCTCGAGTCGAAGCAACCGCCAGCAAGCCTGTTTCCATTCCTATCAGTCGTGGAGTCACGGCGGAAGAAGAACTCATACGTCGTGCGCGATCGTGGGTCCGTTCATTATGTGTCACCCCGATCACACGCTCCAAGATGCCAGAAGAAATACGCACGAAACTCCTGCGACTGATTGGTAGAGATGAGGACGAAGCGAACAAGCTGCTCAAGAAGGTCGTAGATCGACTTACGTCGGAACGAATAGCGGCGAGAAGCAAGGGCAAGATATTTGGTCAGGCTTTAAGATTGCACGGAGTCTTCGCGAAGCAACTTGAGAAAGCCCCTACAGTCGAGAAATTCTATCAGGCTGTCAACTTTAAAGCATCGCTTGACCAGGTTTTCCGCAATGACGAGGCGTATGTTGTACCATATCTTGCCAATGACGGTACAATTATGGCAATCATCAATCTTCAAGCCCACGGCCGTATCCGTATAGAATCTATTGGTGCTCCCAACATTCCCTTTGGGTTCGAGCCCGGCAATTACGATGGTAGAACATTCCCGAAGAGCTACTATCACTTCAGCGTAAAATTATTGCGTACGGACACCTACATGTTTGATGATGATCTCCCTGTCCTTCAGCACGCAATGCGCATGGAGCCACCTAAGGAAGGGCCTCGAGATCAGATACCGATCTGGGTTGACTTCTTCGGAAACCTCAACAAAGGCCGATGGATTACGTATCTCGGCATGATGGTTTTGGGAATGGCGACCAAAGGACCTCTAACGCCAGAGACCGCAAGCGTGCTTATGAAGCCGTTTGTGGAACCGTTCGAAGCGAAGCTGATTATGGACTGGACCGATAGGCTAGGTATCCTACAGCGCCTCGACTCGGATAAAAGTGCGACAGCGGGCGAGTGGTGGTGGTTAGTCGTGGGGAAGCTGGCACAAAGATATCGTGAGGAAGTTCATTTTCCGGCGTTCAGGGCTTGAGAAATCGTAACCTGCATCAACGTTGACCCGTACATAGGAAGATACTGCATGACATGGTATGGAGTATGGTGAGGCGCTTGGAAGGTTGATATATCCCCTGGGTTTTGCTACAAGGCTTTGTTTTACATTTTCGAGATGCTAAGAAATTGAGCATAATGGATGATTTCCATAATTCCACCATTAGAGACTGGCCAGTGCCTCGTGATTTTAGCTTCGTGTCTTAAATTCGTGTGCTCTCGAATGAGTTTATGACAACTACGCTAATACTATGCCTTGGACTCTTCTATTCCCATAGCAATTTCCTTTCGTACATTCTAGGTGCTGCCTCATATACCACCATATTGTTACTATTACGTACTGCCTATACCTAGTAGTCCATAGACTATGCGGCTCAAGCGACAATTCTATCTAGAGCGCCTACTGCGGGTCAGTCCCAACATGAAGGCTTTAGGGCCGGAGACCTAACGCATAGGCCGACAACGGGAATTATTTCTATATAATCTTTATTTGCAATGAGCTGCAACATATCTCACTCTCTGGTGTGTTTCGCAAGGTGCTTTCGTCTAGTGGTAGGACAATACGTTGTGGTTTGTAGGCTACGGCCTGAGAACGACATCCGTGTAAACGGCGGTTCGATCCCGTCAGGCGCCATGGGATTTTCTCCTTTTTTATGCTTGCTTGGAAAAGTCATTAGGGCTGATTTAAGATTTACTGTTAACAAACAATAATTGATTTGACTTCCATAAAGTAATAAATCACCTACATTGGTATAGGACTCGAATCGACTCATTATTCTCGGTTTAACTTCTGCCTCAATAATTGCAAACTTATCTTGTGCTCAGCTAACGCAGCTGATGTATCTAACAGCAAGGTAACGAGATGCCAGTCACAGGTATTCTCAAAAAAATCGGACTGCTAATTTCTTGAAGGGTTAGAATCTAATACAATTCGTGGTATCAATTCCCATGACAGCGAATAATAACAATAACAGCCACGCCTGTATCCTGCCAGCCAGTAGTAACGCCGATTCCCGATGCCTGTTCTTGAATTGCTGGAACTCAGCTCAATAAAACCTTCAGAAGCATGGCGATTAACATGATCACCAGCGACGCGATAGCATAATCGATCCAGGGAGGCACCCCCGCGTTCGGGCTCATTGGTCGCCTAACCGGCGTCGATATGCCCTGGCCCACCGGATCCGGTAATGGCGTTCGACCCGTAGGCGCCGGCACCCCCTGCGCCGGCTGAGCAGCCCGCGGAGCCGCCGTCGTAGGCGTCGGCCGCAAGATCTCCCGATCAGGCACCGTCTGGACAAAGCCCTCGGCCAGCTCCGCACTCTCGGCGTCCTCCCTCGCGCCCTCGTCGCCGGCAGCCTGCGCCTTCGCCTTCTCCATCTCGTCGCGGAAGCCCATCTTCAGCTCGGCGGGGACCTCGACCTCCTCCCGCCTCGCCTTTTCCCCGGCGTCGAGCTCCTTGCAGCGCTCCTCGCACTCGGCGATGATCTCGGCGTTGGTGCGGGCGCAGGTCGCGCAGCGCCAGGAGCCGCTCTCGGCGGCCAGCTTGCGCCGCACGGCGTCGCTGGTGTCGAGGCCGCCGAGCTGGCCGCGCGCGTCCGTCTCCATGAAGGAGCGCAGCGCGACCAGCGCCGTGCGCACCCCCCACGCCGGCTGCCAGGTCTCTTCGTGGTGGCCACTGATGCTCAGGCAGATCTCCCGGTTGGCTTCGAAGCGCCCGCTCGGGGTGGTGAAGCGGAAGGAGGGGGGGCGGAGGGGGTACGTGGGCGGAAGCACGATGCGGCCATGGTACAGACCGTCGGCGAAGGAGGAGTTAGGGGGTCCGCGGAGGGTGAAGTGCCATTCGAAGAGGTCGGATTCTAGGGGGGAGGCTGTGTAGTCTGGCGATGGAGAGGTGGAGAGCTCGGCGGCTTCTTTTACTGTTGGTTATGGGCGGATTGGTTAGTTTATTGTGAGGCATAGGACGGGGTAATGGGGGAGGGAGAAATGGGATGAGATGGAAGCTTACATATGCGGCGGATGGTGGGGGATTTAGTGTTGAACTTTGCGGTGGCCATGCTGGCTGGTGGTGGTAATTTGCGATGTATCTATTCTATCAGCAGGGTGGTAATTGGTCACTACTAGTAGATCATCATGGGATGAGACGAATGAGACGAATAGAATAGAGGTAGTTCTAATAAGGCGATATATGCAGATCCTAGAATATGAAGGATTTGAGTACTGGTTTCTAGTTCGGACAGGTCGGACGGTGGTGTTACAATTGTGAGATTCCTTATGTTCTAGGAGACGAGGCCAGGTTGTCTTGATGTAGGTACATAATTCGGTGTTCCTGGATTGATGCGACACGATAACAAACGAACGTATCAAGCTGAAATAATAACCGCATACGTAAGCAGCCATTGCCAATGACGACAATCGTAGCACGTGACTGTAGGTAAGCCTTCAAGTCACGTGCTTGTATCACATTTCCTTCACAGACGTCCTTTCCTTTGTCTTGGTGTGTGACAGTCTATTCAATCTTCCTAGTAGGGAATAATTCGGTTCTATCAAAAGGTTAACAGGAATATATGCTTCGATCTTAATTTCCTTTTTTATGCATTTGTTCCATTAGTTTACAATGCCTCATACCAAGACGATGCTCCCTAACCTTCCTTCACAAGAGTCATTCTTGACTGATGCTTTATTGCTTGAAAGACACCCTTGACTTATAGGAGATAAGTATTATTCGAACCATTATCTATAATAGTTGTGTGTAAGCCGCATATGTTAACCATGATTCTTCATAATGTGGATCTCCTATGGTCTCATCTCAGGAGACTACCACTGGAGTCTGGGTAATCGTATACATGGATAGTTTCTATTATCCGATCTATCTCTAACTAACTTAACGTACATTTCGTTAAACTTTCTCAACGAATTCTTTCCTAGCCCTTAACAGGGACGAGGTTCTTTAAACCTAAGTTCTTCCATACTTGCTCACTTCAATGTGGGATTGACAACCTTACTTAAGGTAACCGCAACTCCCTCTAGACGTTGAAGAGGTAGTAGAATATCTATTTGTATTGGAAGGAACGATATAGAACAGAGTTAGAGTTTGTTGGTTCAATGAATTAGGTATATATGAGCGGAAGGTAACAGAGATCTCTTATACGTTCTCTTCACTCTCATTTTCTGTGATATTTAACTTTTCTCACAAAACATAAAAACTCATTCCTCTAAACTTCTACATACCATACCGCAACTTCGATAATAACTCTCTATCTCTTCAAGATCTTCGGGTTTACTCGTACGTATTATATGAAGTCGGATCTTCAACTAGTCATTTGTCTCTCCCTTCCTTGACAGTTCTCTATCTAGCTATACCCCCCCCCCCCCCCACTCAAGGAACAATGCCGGTTCTAAAGAACTCTTCCTACACTCCTCCTATGCCACGATGCCCAAAATGCAGGGCTACCTTCACCGACGGGGGACTCCTTCGCTCTCATCAGCATCAAGCAGGCCATTTGATTTGTGGTTTGTGTGAGGTGTCGTTCCACACAATTGAGGCCTTGCTCGCTCACCGCAAGGAGGTAAGTCTTCATTTACCAGTAACTATATTTTATAACCACCCCAGCTCACTTTAAATGCGTATAGGATCACAAAGCTGCCCAGGACCTCAGATGCCCTGGTTGTACCAAGAACTTTACCACCACTAGCGGATGGATTTATCACATCGAGTCTGGCCAATGTCATGCCATCTTTCCGTCGGATATATCACAGGGGCTCGTCACGGTTATGGATGCCATTGCGGAGAATTTGATGAAGACTCAACTCCAAGGCGAAGGAAACACTGACTTTTCCGGACCGTCCCACATCACTGATGCTTGGGATGGCGAATGGACGAACGACCCGAGCTTAGATGCCCAGAAACATCCCGAGAATTTCCCATCGCTTGTAAAGCAGAAGTCTCATCTCGCGGTTCCGAAACAATCGGACCCGCTCACCGGTGCTGGCGCCAAAAATCTTGTGCAGCAACCTGGCAACGTCTGGGCCCAGAAGAAGAATTTTTTCCCGGAGAAAGCAAAGGAGTCAGTTGTCACACCAACTCCTCAGCCATCTTTCCTTGAGAGTCCGGGGGAGCCGGTTCTCTCTAGTCGACCCACCGGACAACGTATCCTCGATCCTGACCACGAAGACTTCAATGTAGCAGCATTCTGGAATCCTATCTTAGAGACTTACAATTGCCCTCACAACAGTTGCAAGTGAGTTTTATCATATCAAATCATATCGATGAACATGTCTCACATTTTCATAGTTCGAAGTTCAACCGCTCGAAAGGACTCATATCCCATTTGAAGTCCCCTGCGCATTCTGGCGTTCGGTTTAACTGTCCAGGCTGCAGAGCCGTATACACGTCTGCTTTTTCGTGGGTCCAGCACGTAGAGACCGTCAGCTTATCTAAGTGTCGTGTTAGAGAGTCGCGTGAAATCTACGGATACGCACTGAGGGAAATTACTCATGGCGCTCTAGACGTTGATACACTTAGCGAGCTTCCTAACGCCACAACGAAGGTGAAGGTCGTGGAAGACTGGGCTAAAGCAAAAGGGCACAAGAATGATTTCGTGCCGGGAACGACTGAATGGGCTGACGCTAAGAAGGCTGAGGCATCTAAGGGACGCGCTTGATCAGGTCGAGAGCACGCATTCTAGATGAAGGACCTGGCTAAGTTATACGATGCGCTGTGCTCTCTGACCGATGCTTCCTTTAGAGAAGTACTTTTTCCTCTGGCCCGACATAATTGGCCCCAACACTGACTAATTATGCGGTGGTTATATATGCTTCGGATTCTGTGTGCTTGGCGCTTCTGATGTGCTCTGGCAATCTCTTTATTTCGCTGAGCAAAGGGTATTCAGAGTAATGATGCTCATTCATCCTGGACGTCAGTCTGACATAGAACGCTAATAAGATCATCGTACATCACTGCTCTTATAATCCGCATGATGATTTCTGAAGTTGATGATATGCCATTTGAGTTAGACATTAATGCCTACCTAAAACGAGGCACTATGGGATAACTACACTGATAACCGGCTCACTAAACAATATTGAAGTAACAACAGACTGTCTTGTTCACGTTATCCAGCCAATGAGTTACCAGGGAAACATTTCGTATTTCACGGTAAGTCATTTTATCCATGGATGGATTAAGGTTGTGATTGGATTGCCCGCATATCACTCTACGCAATTCAGCCGCCAGGGGATGGAGAGCTTATTGCCAAAGTAGATATCCCACCTTTAGTGCATGTTATGACTTGATGGCGCAGCTATATTTCCAATGTGCCTTCCACGCATATGTTAAAGGCAAGGAATTCGACTCAATGTTTCTCGCCGCTTTCTAGAACGCTCGATATTACCTATGTACCTAAGAGTATTTATTGATCTGAGTATTCTAAGTAAAGGAGGGGTCTCTTAAAAACGTTCGACGTCGAGCTGTATCGATGCAATAGGTGGGTTCTCCGCCTTCTCCATTTTTAGACAAGGCAATTTACTGTAACGATGGACATTGGAGTGGGATCGAACCCTGCATATTCATATATTGCCCAGTCGGCTGGTGATCATCGCTGTCGAGAAGAAGCCCGGCAGATGAACCATCCAGGGCGGGAGGGACTCTTATTACCAAATTGTATCCGTGATAATGGCTCATGGCGGGGCTTGACGTGGATTAAGGGTCTTATATAACATCCCTATCTAAACACCACCTCCTATCTACCCATTAGGACGTACCGCTCTTTTTGGTCCTCTCTACGGCGATCATGTATTTATACATAACGGCGGTGGCAACAGCGTGGCTTCTCGTGGGCCAAGCGATAGCGCAGGGAATAGGAAAGGTGGAGACGCACCCAAAGCTTACGACGGAGAAATGTACGATCAAAGACGGCTGCGTCAGGCAGAACACCTCCATCGTGCTTGACGCGAGCTTTCACGGATTAAGACAGGTGAACAGCACAGGCAGCTGTGGGGGATACGGCGGCGAGCTAAGTAAGGAATTATGTCCGAACCACGAGGCATGCGCGAAGAACTGCGTCTTCGACGGCGCGGACTACGAGGGCAGCGGGGTGGCGACGAACGGCAGTGGCCTGACGCTGAATATGTACACCCAACGCGACGGAAACGTGACTTCAGTGAGCCCGCGCGTGTACCTGTTAGACGAGGGCGAAGAAAACTATGAGATACTGTTTCTGAAGCATGGCGAGATTAGCTTCGACGTGGATGTGTCGAAGCTGGTCTGCGGCATGAACGGCGCGCTGTACCTGACGGAGATGAATCAGACGGGAGCCCGCAGTGCTCTCAACCCGGCCGGCGCAACATACGGGACCGGGTATTGCGATGCTCAGTGCCCGACGTTGCCATTTATTAATGGAGTGGTGAGTTTGCGATGGAGGTTCCGTGTTTACCTGCGTTTCTACTCGCTTGTCGTCTGCCTTAATGCGTTAATATTCTCTTAAAACCGATGAAAACTTACACATCATTCGCAGGCGAACATCGACGCTAGAGGATCATGCTGTAATGAGATGGACATCTGGGAAGCCAACTCGCTAGCCTCAGCATTCACCGCGCACCCCTGCGCCAACGCAGGAGTCTTCGAATGCAAGGGAGACCAGTGCGGCAGCCTCGGCGTATGCGAGAAGTCCGGGTGCGAGTACAACACATGGAAGCTGGGAAATACTTCGTACTATGGTCCTAACCGCTCTGCCTCCCCGGACGGCGCAGACGCAAACGCGACGAAGTTCACGGTAGACACGACGCGCCCGTTCACAGTAACAACGCAATTCCTGACGACAGACAACCCGTCGCCGATCAGAAACGGCGCGCTGAACGAGGTGCGGCGGCTGTACGTGCAGGACGGGGTGGTGATCGAGAACGCGTACGTCGCGGACCCGATGATGCCACCCGGCGACTCGCTGCGCATGTCGCACTGCCAGGCCAGCAGTGCCCTGTTCGAGGATTTGGGCGGCCTAGACACAATGGGCCACGCGCTGGACCGCGGCATGGTGCTCGCGTTCAGCATCTGGAACGACGGCAGGCAGTTCATGAACTGGCTGGACGCGGGCAAGGCCGGTCCGTGTACGCTGCTGGAGGGCGATCCCGAGGTTATCAGGCGCCAGAGCCCCGGGACGAGCGTGACGTTTAGGAATATTAGGTGGGGGGAGATTGGGAGTACGTATGGTAACGGGACGATGGCCAGGTGAGGGATATGTATGTGTTATGTTATGCATAAGAGGTGATTAGGTATACATTATTTAGCAAGGACCTGCAGGAAACAATTAACCGTTAATTTATGGTTTATGTTTTCCGAATTATAAATATATAGTTTATTTTAATTTAACGTTTATTTATCCGAGTGTTTATAAAATTAAACGATTTTTTATATTTTATTATTAAATATTTTTAAACGTTTAAATTTTAACGATCGTTTTTAATTAATAATAATTTTAATAAATATATATAATTATTTTAATATTTTAATTTATTTTAATTTATTTTAATTTATTTTAATTTAAATATATATAATTATTTTAATATTTTAAATTTTTAATTTTAAAATATATATAATTATTTTAATTATTTTAATTTAATTATTTTAATTTTATTATATTATTTATTTTTAAGTTTTTTAAAGTTATATATAAAATTTTATTTTTATTTATTTATTTACACGTTATTTTTTTTTTAAAAATTTTAAATGTTTTAAAATTTAATTTTTAAAAAAGTTTTTAAAAATTTATTTATTTATTTATTTATTTATTTATTTATTTATTTATTTATTTATTTATTTATTTATTTAAAATTTATTAAAATCGTTTTTAAAAATTTTAAAATTTTTAAAACTTTTATTTATTAATAACGTTTATTTATTAATAAAATTTAATAAATAAATATTATAATTATAATTTAAATATTATAATTATAATAAATTTAAATAAATTCGTATTTTTATAATTATAAATATTATAAAAAGTTTATTTAATTTAAATAAATTTAATTTAATTTAATTTAATTTAATTATTTATTTTATTAATTTTAAAGTTATATTTATTTTTATTAATTTTTATAATTTTTTATTTAAATATATTTTAAGTTTTAAATAAATAATTAAATTTTTAAACGTTTAAGTTTAAATTAAATATAAAAATATATATAAATATTTATTTAAAAAAATAATTTTTTAATGGTTTTTTTATTTTTAAATATTTATTTTTTTAAATTATAAATTAATTATTAATTAACGGTTAATTATTTTTTATAAATTTTTATACGGTAAAAAAAATATTATTATTTATATTTTATTTATTATTTTATTATATAATTATTAAAATAATATAATTTATAAAATTTTATAATTTATTTAATAAAAATTTATAAAAAATAATTAACCGTTAATTAACGGTTTATTTATTTAAATTATAAATATATAATTTATTTTATATTAACGTTTATTTATTTAAACATTTATAAAATTAAATAATTATTTATATTTTATTATTAAATATTTTAAAATATTTAATTTTAAATAATTATTTTTAATTAAAAATAATTTTAATAAATATATGTAATTATTTTAATATTTTAATTATTTTAATATTTTAAATTTTTAATTTTAAAATATATATAATTATTTTAATTATTTTAATTTAATTATTTTAATTTTATTATATTATTTATTTTTAAATTTTATATAAAACTTTATTTTCATTTATTTATTTATACGTTTTTTTTTTTTTAAAACTTTAAATGTTTTAAAAGTTAAAATTTTTAAAAAAATATTTATTTATTTATTTATTTATTTATTTATTTATTTATTTATTTATTTATTTATTTATTTATTTATTTATTTATTTATTTATTTAAAATTTATTAAAATTATTTTTAAAAATTTTAAAATTTTTAAAACTTTTATTTATTAATAATATTTATTTATTAATAAAATTTAATAAATAAATATTATAATTATAATTTAAATATTATAATTATAATAAATTTAAATAAATTTATATTTTTATAATTATAAATATTATAAAAAGTTTATTTAATTTAATTAAATTTAATTTGTTTTATTTATTTTATTAATTTTAAAATTATATTTATTTTTATTAATTTTTATAATTTTTTCGTTTAAATATATTTAAAATTTTAAATAAACGATTAAATTTTTAAATATTTAAGTTTTTTTAAATATAAAAATAATTATAAACGTTTATTTAAAAAAATAATTTTTTAATAATTTTTTTATTTTTAAACGTTTATTTTTTTAAATTATAAATTAACCGTTAATTAACGGTTAATTATTTTTTACGAATTTTTATATAATATTAATAATTTTATAAAAATCCGTAAAAAATAATTAATTATTAATTAATAATTTATTTATAATAAACGTTTAAAAATAAATAAATTATTAAATAATTATAATTTTAAATAAACGTTTATATACGTTTTTATATTTAATTTAAACTTAAACGTTTAAATATTTAATCGTTTATTTAAAGCTTAAGATATACTTAAACGGGAAGGCCACGGGAGCTAACGGGAGTAGGTGTAACGTTGGGACCAACAGGTAAACAGGTAAACAGGTCAGGTCAGGTTGAATCTATTCAGGCCAAGGAGGCTTTCTACGTCTACGAAATCTACAATTGCAGTATCAACTGCAATACCTACCTACCTACCTACCTAGGGAGCCACGCAGTTGAGCCTCACAAGTAAGTGAGCACTGCTGGCAAGTCAGTCTTGGAGATCCTGGAGGTCCTGAAGTTCCTGGCGTTCCTGGAGACGATCCTGGTGGGACCTAAGTAGGTAGGTAGGTAGGTAGGTAGGTAGGTTTTTGAAGACTTCTTCAAAGACTTTGACCCTTGGAGCACTTGAAGTTTTGAAGAAGAAGAAGGAGGTGTGTAAGTAGGTGGGTGGGAGCAAAGTCTTATATAGAACTTGAAGGCAAGTAAGTAGCACAATGATATCAAAACAGTTAGACTAGAACGATTGGCATGGCTACACACACCTTAGGATCAAAGGTCCAAAGTATCAAAATGGCTACACACACCTAGATCAGGATAGACTAGGATAGATCAGGATAGATCCAAATACCAAAGTGGTTACACACACCTATTGAGGCTATTCCCAAGTAGAAACTGTTGTTGAAACTCAAACGTTTGAAGATATTTAACAATAGAATGTAAGTAATCGTTTAAGTTTATAAACGTTCGGATAAATAAATGTTAGATTAAGATAAACCATATATTTATGGTTCGAAAAATATAAACCGTAAATTAACGGTTAATTGTGTCCTGCAGGTCTTTGCTAAGAAGGTTGTGGCATTGGGTATGATTATGTAATAAGGATCTATTGAAAGCTCAGCCACAGCCAAGGGTCTAAGCCATGCTCGCATCCGTGGGAGACCCTTGTCTTTTGTCACGTCAGCTTCTGGATCGGAAAGGTTGGAACCTGTTAACAGTCAGGGGATTCTGTTCGTTAACAATATTTTGTTTCACGATGTGATGCTTGCTTTTTACTTGACAGAAATTTGTCAATTTCCTTTCGCTATTCTAATATTCCTGTCCAAGTCAACGTTCACGCATGTATTCGTCTGAATCCTCATTCCCGTCTCCATTTTGTGCCTAATGGATAGGACCTCATCGCCCTCGCTGCGATCACCAAATATGGCTCGTAGATGGGCTAGAAAGTTAGAGCGCTATTGTTGCAACTGCCTCACTTATTTTCCTCTAGCCTTTGTTTACAGCCTGAGCACTTGGGCCGTATGGGTTGTTGTTAGTATAGGAACCAGCGCAACGACGAAGCCTGGTTGGATAGGTCCGTTCCCTTTTCCTTTCCTGCATCTATTTCCACGAGCTTATGCGACAGCTGCCATAATCTCGAGGCTCGGGATAAACTGGAGCTGACGTGTACCCATAGGAACAAAATCATCCATCGGTGGCATCGTTCTTTATCTCATGCTCAACTGGTGCTATACCACCGCCGTCTTTACGAACCCGGGCAGCACAACCAGCTCTACCGGCTACTCGAGCCTGCCTACCAACAACCCTCCGCAAGCTACGTCCTTTACCGTCAAGTCCAATGGCGAAATGCGCTTCTGCAAGAAATGTCAGGCCCGGAAGCCCGACCGCGCGCATCACTGCTCCACCTGCCGTCGCTGCGTGCTCAAGATGGACCATCACTGTCCCTGGCTAGCGACTTGTATCGGATTGCGCAACCACAAGGCTTTTCTGCTGTTCCTCATCTATACCACCCTCTTCTGCTTCTACAGCTTCGCCGTCTCCGGGTCTTGGGTTTACGACGAGATGCTAACCCAGACCCAGTACAATAATACATTAATGCCAGTTAATTTTATCATGCTAGCCGTCGTCTCCGGAATTATGGGCTTGGTTGTAGGCGCCTTCACAAGCTGGCATATACTGCTCGCGAGTCGGAATCAAACAACCATCGAATGCCTCGAGAAGACCCGATACCTAAGCCCACTGCGCAAGTCAATGCAGAATCAATTTGTCGCGCAGCATAATGGCGAGGGTATCCAGCTACCGAGATACGGCCAGCAACTATTGGATATTCATGCGAATGCGCTACCAGGCGTCACGAGACCAGAGGAAGGCGAAGTCAGGACGAGCATGGACGCGAATAATGTGCCTCAGCAGCTGTCTTATGAAGATCTGGAACGCGTCCGCGCCCAGAAGCGGTACGAGGAGTACATGGACGAGCAGGATTCCGAAAAGCTGCCTAACGCTTTCGATCTCGGCGCCAAGCGGAATTTATTGCACTTATTCGGCCCCACCCCGGCGCTCTGGTTCTTCCCGATCATCAACACTACCGGGGACGGATGGAGCTGGGAAGCTAGTCCAAAGTGGATCGCTGCGCGGGATAGGATCGCGATGGAACGGAACGAGCAAAGACGGAGAGAACGAGCCGCTGGATGGGGCGACCCTGATCCTTCATTCGTCCCTATTACTACAACCGTTGCGCGACCGAGCGGAGTTGGAGTCACGAGGAATTATCTTGGAGCACCGAGCCCGAAATCACAGCAATCCGGTAGTGGTGGTCGACGAACGCCGTCCAAGGCGGACCGCATTCTAGGCCGAGACCCGGATCTATACGTTGATCAACCGGCAGGTTCGATGTCGATGCGGACTTTGAATAAGCAAGGGATGGACATCGAGAACGAGTTCGACGATAGTAGCGAGGAGGATGATGAAGAAGATCCGGAAACTAAGGCGTTGAACCTGGTCACGAACGGTGGATGGGCAAAAAGTGGTGCCAGCGGGTTACTGAAGCCATCGCCGAAGAATGGTAATACCAGACGATTCACGCCGCCGAAGACTTTCGCCAAACAACCTCACGACGAGGATGATGAGGTAGACTGAGCGAGCTAAACGGACGCTGGACCGGCCTATTGAAAGAAATGTAGTGGATAGGGAAGGGAGAGGGCGGGGGAAGGATATGGAATGGAATGGATAACTTCAACTTGGTTCTGTGCGTTCAGTTGCGGTCGGTGTTTTACTTAGGGATATATCACTGCATGGCATGGCTCGGGCGTTTGAGTTGCAACAGGGTGTACTACATGTGATTTCGAAGGCTACACTACGGTATCGTCCTCGAGGGTATTTGGTCTCGTCGTTTTCTTCAGGGCAAAAATGAATTTGTATAATGGAGTTGACCCTCCCGGCGACTAGGAAACGGGGACGTAGGAGAGTAAATGAATTACGGTGATTCCTTCATCTATCAAAAACTTGCCTCGTCATTTTGCTTTATTCTTGCAAATATTTAAGGGGGCCCCCAGCAACTGCCAGTGACGCAGAAAAATGTCAGCGTCCCTGCTGACCTCGTTCGAAGTCTTTCTGCGTCTTGATCGGGATGTAAATGCTGGTTTTCGGGGACGTTGGGTTGATTGTAACTATCTTTGTCAACGACGTCGGAGCAAATGGCGTCGTCATCTCGAGAGACGTCGCGACAGGCGAAATTGGTGTGGGCGTAGGTGGCGTTGCGGACGTAATGGCGGCGGTTGTGTTGTTGTGAATCGATGGTGTTGCCTGTGATTGCGTATCGGGGACCCCATGCTTCATTTTGAGATCCCGTATCAAAATTTCATGTCCGTGGAAGCAAAGTCTATCGCGGCCTTCGCCTCCTTTTGGTACTGCTTTCTCGGCGTCTCATGGCCGGGCATATTGACGGGGACCTCCATGCTGCTCAGTATGGTTCTAGGCTTGAACCCGAGCACCACCTCGTTCGGCGACCTTCCCAACACAGACGACAGTGCGTTGTTTATGTCATGTTGGAGAGGGAATGAGTGAGACCCATGGCAAATCCTCTCGAGGAAGAAAAGTCTTCTTATATCTAAACTACCTTCCAGCTATTCATACGTCTGAATCATGTGCTGTCATCGCTACTTCCTTCTTCCTGACTACTTCCGTCCTCTTCATCCCGCAATACGTAGTCGTGGATGCCGACGTGATCCATAGTATGTTGCCTCGGGTCGGTGAGGTATGCCGCGCAGCAAGATCTCATGAATTCCGTGGTCCAGCCCTTGAAGGGAATCGCACGTAGCTAGCTATGAATGCTCTCTGAGTATATTTGTCCTCATCATCCCGCAGTCGAAAAGATACTTTTAGGGTACCCGAACCCCCGGTTCTGGTGAACCTCCAAGGCAACGTGAACTTCCGCTACGACCATCTCCTCGACCTGGGTTAACTGCGGCGGCTCTGGCGACACCTCGCCGAAGTCTATATCGTTGCGTGCGGAGCAGAAGGGCATCCAGGAGGGATCGTCCCTTTAGAATGCCACTGTAGTCGATCCTTGGCTATGGTTACTGATTTTGCAATGACTTCTGAACCGACCCCCGCTTGTGCGTAAGGGTGTAACCTGCCCTTCGTTTCATAAGATTATGTCGTTGTCCTCATTGTTCGTATAACACCGTCCATTCATTGCGCTTCTTTTGTTCCCGTCCTTCTTTCCTTGAAACTGAGTATGGATGCCTCTCTTAGGCTGCTGCTGATGATTCAAGAGTTCTAGTACTATACTCTAGCTATCTCCCCGGCTTTCAAAGAGAAAGAAACCACGTCTCGTGGTTATGCCGGCGGGCTCCCTAACTCCATCTGTCGTTCTAGCTGAGCCTTCGTCGGAAGTACGACTTATTCCACATCTCTTCATCTGTTCCGTGAAACTCGGGGGCAAGCATGTCTCGCAGTTGTTGGGTATATCCTTCATTGTTGTCTGACCATCTCCAGTTCCGCGCCAGATATGTATGCAGCAAGGGAGCAAGGGTTTGTCTGAGCGATCGCACGGTCGACAACTGTTCAATCAAAGCTGATCTTTCTTCTTTAACAGCTCAAAAGCTAATGCCTCTGATGCTCCCCATCTCCATGGGACGTTTCCCTGTAGCCTTGTCAAGGTATGCGACGTCTTTTGGAGGGAGACGGAGGATCGGCTGTGGTATCGGATGATGCCGCTTCTGGAGGTATGGGAATGACATCGACATCATCTCGAAAAGATACCTTAGGCTTTGGTGGCTTTGTCACATGTAGGTGACGATTACGGAGAATCTGCATGGCTGTAAAGATATTCCAAGTACGCGTGTTACCCAGGCGAGACAGGCTACCTAGAGTTCTGTCGCTTGGTACTTGGTATTCCACCTCGGCTCTTGTGAGCACTTTGCTCGTCTATGGATCGGTCTGACTGAATCGGCCACCAGTAGACTGCCGTCCTATCCCTAATCGCTGTGGAACCCCCTTTCCCTGGATGCGTTTTTTGGTCCCAACATATTTCAGGGACAGAGCCTTTAATCGCCAGCTTTTTGTCAGGAGCAGCGGAGCACCCTATATTGTCTCCTGAAAATGGAGTGGTCCTCGAGTCACAGAATTGCCTAGGTGATAGATCTGATGGCCTACCTCGGCGAGTTGAGAACTTAGTTAAAGGGCATAGTAGATATTTGCTTAGTCGTATTGTAGAACACATGATCGGTGATCTCCTCGATCACACCAAATTTCGCGTTCCTCGGAATCAGTATTTCCTCATCGATTATTCATGAGCCTGACCCGTCGACCGTGAACCCAAGCAGAGTAATCGCTGGAAAACCCAAAAACGACTTTTTTGGTGACAACGTCAACCCAATATCTACGCATCGTTGAAACAACCTTCTTTTGTAAGTGTTGGCGGTTGTACGGGTCGGAGCCTTGAGGCACTTTGCAAAGTTGCGATATATGTACGATTTTGTGGATTCTCCACGACGACGGAATATTTATCTCGTATGCTAAATCGAGAAATATGTTTCCGGTACTCAGTGACGCGGTGGGATGTGTCCCCTCGCGAGTAGGTATGCAATCGCCATGCGCCTGTCTTTCACAAGGGTGACTGAGGGATCGAGGTATATTTCAATTATCATTTGAGATAATTAACTGGAGTAGGTTGGTAGACCCAGACAATGTGTTTTGCGAATAGGGGAAGGAATTTATGTCCACGTCTCGTGTGCAGTTCTTATAGCTACAGGAGAAGATTATTATTGTAGTTAATGAGCTAATGTACTTGGTGATAGACTGATCACTTCTACATTATCGTTTGCACACAAAGCATATAATATGCTCACGTCAAGCGGAAGCTACGATTATGGCAACTCTCGTCCTACTTCTTCTTGCTGTACTGTAAGTCGTCCGTTCTTTATATACTCTAAGAGAACTAGAGCAAATTTGAGCATGTTAACTTCCTAGGTAGTGATGATGTACTTATATATGACTCTAAGTACCTCAGGTGATGTTCTTAGAGGCCCCGACAACTTCCAAGTTTTCTTGCTCGTTTACACTAGGTAGTACCTCTACCAAGAGTGATATACAACCTTGAAGTTCAATATACGCTGTTACTCCTGATTAGGGGAAACATGTGCCTCATCTAGCGGATATTGGCAATTACGTAACCAGGAACCTACTAGGTACACAAAATGTCCTGGTATTTGCCACAAACACGTGGACGTGTGTTCATTGTGACTAAAGGTCTCTCTACATGAGAATATAGAAGCCTGGTTGGAACTTGTCGTTTTCCGTACTCATCCTCCACATCCCGAATGAGCCGGCCTCTCTGAGCAATTGCCAAGCACCTACCTTCGTTAACCGAGTAGATACCCGTGAGGGTTTTGCGCATGTTCTACGTGCGATTTTTGTCCGAGCAAGCCGGGCGGAATCCTCGTTATCCTAGTTGATGCAGGTCGACTTGAAGTCTGTTGGAGTAGCAAGCTATCAATTTCAAGGGGTAGTGAGAGGGAAGGGCGTGGTGTTGGCAGGGTTCTCCTATACTTACCTAGCTAGGAAACTTGGGTAGAAAAAGTCTGACGGCGGAAAAGAGCCAAGACATGTATGTGTATCTATCAATAGACTCGTGTCGTCTGAGTTACTAATCGACCATTTCACATCTGGGTATCTATACCTGAATTTGGAGTCTCTGACTCCAATCGCCAAGTCGACCCTGTTGGCCATAACGATGACGCCGATCCAACACCTTGGAAAAGGGGTTATATTGACGAATAGTAGGTGCTTGCTAGACCATCTGTTAAACGTCAGATATGGAAACCGTGAGCCACGTACCTCGACTTACGCTCTAGGAACATATTTTCGCTCATGATCACCATGCCCGTCCCTCCATCGGCAGGGCCACCGGGTGTCTTTGATTGGAAGCCATCATGGATCGACAGGCGGGTTGTTGAGATTCGTGCCGCCTGTGCCACCGGAGAGTTTTCGCGCAGGATTATGCCGTGCGTAGATGGCTCACGCTTATTAACATCATCCCGACAACTTCTTTGGCAAGTCGGCCAACTTTTGAAGCCAGTTGGAAAAAAGCAAAAAGGAAGGGTATTTGGAGAGTCGCAGGGGCCTCCAAATCCCGAGTTTCAACCCATACCATGGACTGACAACCGCCGGTAGCGAAAATTGCACGAGTTACCGTACCAGAAGAACGCGGAAACGAGCAAGAAAGAGGCTTGCATATACGTACGTAGTATGTATAATACCCTGAGGTACTTTATGTGCGAGCTAGGTTTCCCAAGTTAGGTATTTGGCTCATTCCATGACCACGGTCAAAAGTTCCCGGTTTTTGTCAACTTACGTGCATTCTTCAGCCCCCGAGGATCGCCTTACCCGTACCCATAGTTAATGCCGTGGAGTGCAGTTCCTCCAGCCGGGGATAGGACTTCGAAAGTAACGCCGATGCGAAGCGACAGCGGGACGGGATGGGGTCACGATCAGGATCAAGGTCAAGGTCAAGGTCAGGGGGAGATCAGGGCATCAAATACCTACCAACCAAACCCTTTTTATGCAGCTCATTTTCGCACATGTAGATTGTCATCCCGCGAAAAGCAAAAGCCGCATACTAGAGTAGGTATGTATGTGCTACCGACGGCCGATCGATCATGCAGCTTCTTCCACTGAGGAAACAGCTCCAACAGCCCAGCCAGCCAGCCAGCCACGGGACGCAATAGCGCGAACTGTTGTGAACCATTGCCGCCCCCCATCTAATACTCTCGAGGGGCGCTCGTTTAAACTTCTACCCCCGCGTCCCAAGCGCTCACGTCATCCTCGCCAACGCCAGGGGAGAAAGTGAGAGTATGGCAAGGGGAGCTGGTTCGGGTGAGGATGCGTAGGGGAAGAAGAAGAAGGAGGGGGTCATGGAGGGAACAAGCGAAGGAAGAAAAACTTGGGACGCATCAACCGGGCTGCAGGACCCGACAGCATGGTACGGTAGCTCACGGGGGTCTTGCAGGACTGGGACCGTGCGCCATTGGCTCGCCCGCCTGTTCGTAAGCGGCTCGTCATCACGCAACCCGCATGCGCAGCCCTGGCCCTGTCTATCCAGTGGGATGGGACGAGGGGGGGCAACAAAACGGGGGGAGGCCCGTAAGCCCGCGTCCCCTACCCAATGAGGTAAGGGAGTCAGGCTCGTTTGGGTAAGAAGGAATGTGATGAGAGCGCAGCGCAGTAGGTTCTTGCATTGCATAAAGCAGAAGCAGAAGCAGAAGCAAGCAGCAACTGCACCACTAGCAGCGACAGCGTCACTAAGCACCAGCACCGCCAGCCAGGCGCAGCTTTGCTGCATGGTGTGTAGGTAAGTAGGTACATAGACAAGTACCTATGGAGAGAGGTCTTTTTGGGTTGGGTTGCAGCCAAGCACGGTTCTTTTCTTTTACTTTTTCTTTACCCCTTGTCTCTCTCGTGCTCGCTTCCACTGGTATGGGATTTCATCCGGGTGCTAAAAGGTGCTAGGTAGGTTGTCAAAAGCTGAAGTCGCCAAAACGCCATTTATTTCCCGTTTTGCCTTCGGCCCCTGTCGACCCCATCCTTAACCACCCTTTCCCACGTTAGGCAGTATAATACGATGCAGATATGTAATCTGTAATCCGTCGCCGCCCAAAGTTACCTAGGTGAATAAGGCGGCCGACCGTAATCGTTCCGTTCTGAGTATCGTACACACCCACTTCACCCACTGCCAACGCCTATTCCGCACCTAGCCCGCACCATCCGTATCTTCCTACAGGGGCGGTGAGTAAGGCCTGGTTTCCCTAAACAGCTGTCCTCGAAGCCTCTGGGCGTCAGCAACTGGAAGGCTGAGCTGACGGTGGACTTACTGACTTACCGTATCGAGGGCGCTCCCCCGGCAATAACGCCGCCGGTACGTGTTAATTCGCGCCTCGACTAAACGAAGACGCCTACGCGTCATGCAATCCCGCTGAAAACAGCTAGGGCAGGATGCGTTGCCTTGCTTTTTTCCTTATGGGCGGAATCATAACTGCCGTGAGCAAATTGGTATTAATAATATCCCGCAGTTCGGGCGGCCTGCCTAGTATGGCGGATATACATATAGGGCTACCTCGACGTCAGATCATATCATGTCGATGGAAGCTACCAGGTTTGCGATCGACACGAGACGGTGCGTTATGGTTTATGTCCTGGGTTACATGTCAGACCAGAGGTTGCATACATATGTAGGCGTGTCTATACATACCTAATACACCTACATACATGCCTACCATGCCTACCATGCCACACGCGTTTGCTAGGTCCCCGGCATGGGGTTCGCCCGAAAGGGAAATAAATCAGGTCAGAGGCTGAACGCGGGAACAGCTACTCCGTACAGTAGCAATCATTCCCGAACGCCCGAATCCGAGTTCACCAAATCCACCGTCTCGGCAAGCCGGCCGCTTATGCTCGTGTTTCTGTTTTGGGCCGTCGGTTACAATTAGATAAGCAGCCATGCCTGAAGCTCTAATACGATCTATCGATTCTAATTGGGCGGTCAGCAGTGAGTAAGCAACACAATACCTATTACATAGTCGGCCTTGCTTGGTGATATGTCGATAATTAGCTATCATATATGAAACATGATGGGACGACAGAAGCAGTTAGGTCACCAAGAACAATAAAGACACGTAAGGGAAAACAATAATAAGGCTTTGTGTAATGCGGAATCGCTATTGGATTCAGTACTAGTGTGCAGCGTGAGCCACCAGGTCTTGTTTATCCGAGTTCATGCAAATGCGAGCCGACATGCCTATGCTAGTAAAAGAAGAACCTGCTGGAGGAGAAATGGTGTGTCGAAGTGAAAATTTTGATGCATATCGTCGAGATATCAAGAACCGCCCGCCACCGAACCCCAACCGTATGCGAGCCCAGTGATGATTTTTATGACTTTCACCCGAATCTGATCCTCCTTGTGCTGCTGCTCAATTGCGGCCCTGCGCCTCCAGCTTGCACCTTAAGTCCTGCTCGAAAAAGCGAATGCAAATGTGAAAAGCCCAATAAATGCTTTGAATAATGTCCTCATCGCTAGGAAATTCGTGATATAACCCCCTTGCCAGTAAACACCGTAGCCCCAAATGCCACCATCCCATGAAAACAAATGAGATGATTTTTTTGTCATTTCCCAAATCTATCAATGTTTCCCTTCAACACCAATGATATGCCTTTCTTGCCGTTTGTGCCTCCGATGTGTTGCTCATAGGGAGCACAGAGAGCGAACGATTGGTATCGGATGCCCTCGAATAAAAAAATAAAATAAAATAAAAATGCATGAAAACAATCCGTAAATAAATCGCTTATGGCCGTGCTGCGCCGTCTCCCTTTTGATAATGTGATCCGATGGGGGTATTCGCTACAGGTTCAAACCAGGTGGGAAAATCATCGCGGCTCGACTGTTAACTCAAATAAAAGATGTACTGGTACAGGGCGACTCGTCATAGAATCCGAGTGAATACTGGCGTACGAATTATATAAAGGGATGTTGCGATGAGTCGGAATAGCCACCATCGACACTGCTCTTTTCAAAGCTTGACTTAGTGCTATTGGCGGATGATCTGTTGAATACATTCCGGCTGATGTTCTTCAACTTGCCAACGGCCTCGCCGCCATTATTTTCACGGGCCTTTGGTACGTAAACACTGGTGATCGGGTCGACTTTAATGTGACAAAACAAGGTTGAGAATAGATACTGGTCACCATTGGAATCCAGTAATGGCAAGGTTCGATAGCCCTGCTTCAGACCATTGAGCTTGGCCATGTAGGTCGCGATGGTGGTATTTCGACCGGTGTTTTCTCCGTCGCTGGAAAGCTTGACACTGAATCTGACAAAGACCAGCTCCGGGTGCTTGGTAGTGACGACAAATTTGGCATTGTGGTTGAACTCGGGGTTGAAGCCATTCTCTTTCACGACGGGCGTGGCCGCCTTAAGAGGAGTATCCGTAAGAATGGAGACACCGGCCATGCTGTCATGCTTGTCTCGTTTATCGTTAGTGTGGAAGATTTCGATCTCGACGTACGGATCCAGGGTGCGGTTAGAAGGCAAGGACGACGGGCGTATGAGTTGTTGCGCGGAGATAACATTGATGTGGAAGGACATGTTTTGACGTTCCAGTTTGCCGATAGCCTCTATGGGCAAGCCGTCGGGGAGTATTCGGATCTCACGCATCGACTCTGGCTTTAGCACATACCCTGACTGGTCGGTGCCTCCGTCGAACATAGCTTGATTTAGCTGCATGCCGAGGTCAAAAGTCTGCCAATTGAGCGCAGCCATTTGTACGCCTCTCCGCCAGTACATCATAGGGTTGAAATTGTCAGAAGATAGACGGGAGTATTGGGGATACACGCGCATCATGTAACGCATATTATGACGGGACAAGGCCAGTTTCGAATCCGATGCTTTGGAGTGCTTCCTAAATGTACCTTCCATAAAGGACAAAATATGGTTGCTCTTCTTGCATTCAGCCGATTCGAAACCGTGAAACTTGACACCGCTACAATAGACACCGAGCTCGCCCAATTTCTTGACTATTTTGCTTGTCCGTCGCTTCCCTCGCTTCTCTTCTTCGCTATCGCATTCGCTCGTGCTGCTGCTGACCGTATCGTGTACCTGGCCTTCATTAATAGTGTCTACGCGCTCGCCTACTACGCCACGACGAGGAGGTCTGGGTGTGGGACCTAGTAGTGGGCTTGACAAGTACCGAGCCGGGATAGGAGCATTATCGGAAGAGACTGGCTTCGAGAAGGGAGATGTCAGGCTATTCCCGCGTCGACGACCCGTTGTAGGTTCTCCGCCAGTGCGCTGCGGCTCGTGGGTTTGATGCGTACCCTTTACCTTGATGAGGATCCGGTCCTTGAGTTCCGAAGGCGTCGGAAGCGTTGTTGAGGATGGGTCCAATGGCTCCGTAACTAGACGAGAGCCGAATATGTCCCTCATGATTTCTGCCATGACTTCTTGTTGCGCAGCACCGCAATGGACCTCAAGCGAAACCCAAAGTGGGAAACGACTGGCGACAAAGGCGTACTTGTTGACAGTGTTGATGACCTCGCGGAATGAGATAGCATTCGTCATGGCATATCCGTGCTTAACTATCGGCTGACCGTCTGACCCATCCCAACAGTCAATCTCGACACTACGACAACCTCGGACAAGAGTCGAAATGTAGCCTTCGATGGAGGCAACGTCTGCGATTTGACGGCCGACAAGGTAAGTGTTATGCGAGCTAGAGATGAAGTATTCGTTGAAAGGTCGGTCGAGCGAGTACTCGGTAGGCGACGCACGTACAAGCGGGCAATTGTCCTTCGACGTAAGATAGGCTACAAGCGCGTGCTCGTTCATCGTGATCGAGTCCTTATCGAGGCGCTGAAAGGACGTATCCATTCCGTGCTTCCCACCCCGACGAGCATAACGAATAAACTTATTCTCCCATAGGGAGAGGTTGCTCTCGACGTCTTCGCCTTGTTCATCTCGTAAGAACCGCACGAATTCAGGAAAAGCAATACCCCTCTCCGGCTCCGAAGCGAAGTTGAGATACACCTTTCGAATGTCTTCTCTGCGTTTCATCTCACGGACGAATACCTGGAATTCGGAGAAATTTAGCCGGCCGGATCTGGTCTGGTCAGCAATATTGAACTTCGCACGGAGCTCCTTTTGGGCCATGTGGATGTGAAGATTCCGGCAAACACGTTCGACGCCGGGGAAATCCATCTTCTCTTCGCCAGGGGAGTGCTGACGGTTCTCGAACTGTTTAGTCATCTCGCCGTTCCAGTATCCACGGATAGCGCTATCGTTGAACGCCATCAGCGAAGCCATATGTACCTCTCGATGCTTCGATATCGTGTCTAGGGCATTAACCCAGTGTGCGAATGTCTCTTCATCCTCGGCAACCAAGTGCATTGTCTTGCTCCTTGACTTGTCAGGCACAGCATAGAAGATAGTGAAGAAGCGGCCTTCCTCCGATTCGGGAATTCCGTAGTCGATACGATACTGGCGGATGTCGGAACCTATCCTAACTTCCTTGATATCGTCGATGTAAATGCATTTGGTTGAACGACCCTTCTCCCAAGTGACTTTGCCGGCATCGGCCTCGAGGATGAAGAGCAAGCGCTTCGATTTCTTCTTCTTGGATATCTTATGTAGATAAGTCCCCTTTACCAATGCCATTGGAACAACTGGCCCGGTAGGGACATCCACAAATGATGCAGATGCCAATGACGGAGCAGCGCTGCCCGAAGAAAAATCTCGGGCCATACTCTCCGCGCCGTAAATAGAGCTAAGCTCGTTCATCTCGTCAGGATGGAACTCGTCGTCGGAATCCGTTAGCAGGACGGTCTCCGCCGCAGGTGCCGTGTTGGTGCTATCACTCCTGCGTCGAAGGATTCCTGGACCTACGCTTCCTTCCCGGCTCAGAGGAGCTGCTGCCGACTGGCGCCGAGTCCTGCTGGCAAACTTCGTCGCCCGGTTAGAGAGCCGTCTAATTAAACCCTTCCCCGAGGAGTGGCTGTTGTTCAAGGCCTCGGCCATGGAACCACCAGTTGTCGAGGGATTGGTGGGGTTAGTCGGGCCGCAGCCAGGCTTGTAACTGAGAAGGGGGTCGCCAAGGTGGAAAGGCGGAGGAGGAGGGAACTGTTCGGCTTCATGACTTTGGCTACGATAAGGATCCGGCGAAGGTTGAATAGAGCTGCTTGTGTTGGTTAACACCGCATGATCAGGGGACATGATGGGAGAATCATGCTGGGAAGAGCCAGATGCCGCGGTGGAAGCACTTATGGCTGAGGTAGGCATCGAAGTGGGTTGCGCGGTGACATGGGTAGTCTGAGTCTGAACTTGACTTGGGCGTGGCCGCCGCAATAGAGTACCCTGGGCGGCCATGATCGGTGTACTAGAAGAAGGATGCCGGGATTCGATGCTGGTGTGGGAAGGGTTGGTGTTGTTGGGGGTTGCAGTCATGATATATATGGTCGAAAAGGGGGGGCAAGATGTTGCCCGTTGCCCACGCGTGAATCGTCGTTAGTACGTGTAGTACAAGCAATATATGAGACAACGTCTATATGAGGAGGGCTGAGCTTGTGGGCCTCATTTTTCCGGATATGTCTTTCATAGAGGCACGTCCCAGCGGTAGGGGAGGATTGGGGGAGGGGGGGAGTGAGCGTAAGTAGACAGGTAGACGAATTTACGTTGTACGGGACCGTGAACCGTGGGCCGTGAAGCTTGGGACGGGGTGGTGAGAATGTATACACCGGGGAAGGCTAATTATTAAAATTCGAGGCCAAACTCGAGGCTGCAGGACCCTCGACGCCTTCCCACGATGTATGTATATGTAGATTGCGGACCGGAACGCAAGGATGCGCCCGAGTAGATGTAGTATTAGTATAAGAAAGTACAGGCCTGTCACTGGTACGGCCTTCTGACACAGGTACGTCGAGGTACGGGGCCTACAGATCCAGCCAGCTGCCCTCGGTGCGCGTGCTGTGCTATGGGCTTGCCCTAGGTGGTAGACCAGGACGTGAACAGGGCGGGTATGGGGGACTGATGTTGCAATAGCTCACGGTAAAAATGGTGAGGTGGCAGGCCGCATGCAGGTCGCTGATTTGGGTTATTCCTAAGTTGGGGGAGATGGGATTTTCCTCAAGCGTCAGATTTTCGAAGTGAGATAGTGTCTCCTCGAGGGATTGATATTGATCTGGTCCAGCCCCTGCAAGTTTCACTAAGACGGGGAACCTCTCTTATTGTTCCCTTCCAGCTTGCGATTGACTTGGAATCAAAAGGTTTGGAAGAGATATATAAGTTTATATATATCTCGCGTAATAGGATATGGCCTCTCTGAAAATCCTAGTCGCCTAAGTTGGGCTTCTTCTGGCGGGTAACTTGTCCAGAAAAAAAATCGTCTTGCTGTTCGTTCCTTAGGAGTAAAAGGTGGACCCCCTGCCGTGTATGGTGATGACTCCCTCTTGCTTCCTCTTAGTAATTTTTTTTTGCGCCGGTGGTACAACAGAAACGTGCGTTATGACGTCCAGCAAAACGAAACAGCGGTCCAGTGAGGCTCAGCAGCTAAGAAAAAGTGCAGCAGGATGGCTGGCAGAAATGCAAGCGTCCAGTGAGTTGCTACCTAGGTACGCTTGGTACGCTGGGTAGGCTACAAAGAGAAGACCGCGTTATCCCTTGTGCGACGTGAATCCTTATGTATGGGCACTCGGGAAAGTATCCAGGTAAGATTCAAGGTACTGAATTTTCTATGCGAGTGACAGTGAAGTGAATTGCGAAGGTAAGGCGGTTCGTTTAAGTGTGTGAATTGGACTGGCCAGACGGACGATATTTGAATTGTTCGACAAGGGAGAAGGACGAATAAAACATAAACTATAAAATAAAATATAATAATAAAATAATAATAATACCAAACTTTTTTTTTTTTTACCTCCTACAATTTGATGAGGTGTACAGCTAAATATTCTGCTTGCCCTTCTTCGTCAGGTGGAGGAGAGATGGGGTCGGGAAATTATTAAGTGACGGAGCGGAAAGGAAGGGATTAAGCATGGCAGAGACAGGGAAGGGGTCAGAAAAGAATACAGGAAGTACAGGTAGGCGGTCCCCTAAAATAAAAAAAAGAGTACGTACTGTGCCTGCCCTATTCCCAGTTCAAATGTTCACCTGGGCGAGATACCTAAGATAAATACATCTTAATGTGTCTACCTAACTTGCACGTACGTACCGTACCTACCGCACTTACCTTTAAGTGCCCGGGTACTGGGATGCTAAGTCGCTAGGTTGGTAGGTGCTTTGGTTGCTTTGGTGCTTGGATGCTTTAGATGCTTGGGTACTTCCAGTAGGTGTGCTTTAGTCTAGTGCATTTCTAGTGCTGAGCAATTGAAGGGGAACATCGAAGCGGGGGCTAATTGCAATTGGCAATGATACATAATACTAGGTACATACACAATGGATACATACATACGTACATACATACATACATACATGCGTACATCCACACATCCATACGTTCATAGTAGGACTTTCCACCTCCATTTCTCATCAGAACCTAACTTACCTTAGTTTTCGTTAGGGGATCATTTAGGTTGGCGTTATGGTATCGTAATTCTGGGTCTGGTACAGTAAGATACGGGGCAGTTCTGTTGGTTGGTAGGCAGCTTTCCACCAGAATTAGAACGTGCATGTATAGATGTACCTCTATCCTATCCCGTCGAAAAGTTGTTATTGTACGTACCGATGGTATCCACCGTCTACCATCAATGGCAAGCACATCGATGGGGGGTGGTCTTGGACTTGGATTGGAACTGCTGGGACGAGGAAACCCGAAAAGTCAATCAACTGTGATAATGTGGGACCTTCCATAACATCTGAAGTTAATTATTATCATCATCATTTATTCCATTAGCGGGATGAACATTAAGTAGGTGCATGTGGTTATGTGTAATGTTATGTCTGAAGGTACGTATATATACCTTCGTAGGTACATAATTACATGCCTATTATGGATTCGGGAGTCTGATAAGTGAATGCATACATGCAATGCACGTGTGTAATTATATTTAAAGCTCCATCATTTAATGATGGATTTCTTTTTGTTTTCCCGATGATCATGTGAATGCTAATAACGTACATATACAAAAGGTCTGAGCATCTGAATAGGTACGCGAAAGAATATAACACAATCACACAAGCATGTTGTGACTTTCTTATTAAAGCAATCCAGGGGAAAAGGGGAAAAGGCACCCATTGCGTGATGGTTGCTGGATGCTGGGCTTTGATGGGTTTGTGCAACACTTGAACTTTAGACTGATGTGCGATGTACGATGTACGATGGTACAAGACATCCATATCCCAATCTCATCCCAACCTGTCCTATCCCAGACTTGGAATGGAGTCAGGTGGTCTCCCGTTATGTGTCTACAAGCCTCGAGGACAATGGGAAAATAAAAAAGATTTCAGGCACACACGTTTAATCGGTTCTTTGTCAATGAAACTCAACATTATCAAGCAAGCTCAACCAAACCTTACCTATTAATAAAAGACTTTGCCAAGCACAATGGACAAAAAAAGAAAGGAATTGATCCCGAGTACCTTACTTGGCTTAAAGCTTAAGTGATACTACCAAGACCTGTATGTCTGAGACAATAGAACTCGAGAGCCTTTTCCCCAACGAACTTCAAATGTTCAAGCCGCATTGGATTCATTGGGTGCATACCATACGGACCTAAGTATGTGCTCACATACTCCATATGGGATATCTAGGTACTTGGGGCTTCAGGGCTGTAGATGCTGTATGTGATACTAGCGTGATGTCAATGAAGCAAGAAAACAGAGGCTTCGTGAGGGATTGATAGTCATAACCCTATTGTGATGAGCAATTCCACAGCTGATTTTCAAAGATGAAACAAACCTCTCGATGTGGATTCCTAGAAGCGGTCATGAGACTCGGGACGAAAAATCGACGGCACGCTGGGCGTCTAAGTGAGGGAACGGATGCCAATGCTCTGTCTCTATATCATCACTCTATCCATCTTATCACCAATTGAAAACTAGGAGGAATAAGGATTTGACCACTGCCCGTTGACCGTTACCCGTCGCCCATTGCCCATCGCTCTCATGGGCAGGGCTAGAAAGGGAAAAAAAATTTGACGGAATGTCTTTCTTCTGTCGGTAAACTCTCCATGTAAAGGAACGGACCAAAGGGCCAGAAAAGATGATGACGCTACTACGGAATAGGTAATTAAAAGTTGACTCCAGCTGGACTAGGACCGCTAATAGCTAGGCTGCTAGGGCCAGGATAGGGCAGAAAAAGACAGGGCGCAAAGGTGGGTGCTGAGCCAGGTGGCAGATGTGGTGGTCCCATAACTACATCATCGACCATCTAAGCCTGATCCACGCCCGGCTTCCCCAAGATGAGAAAAAAAGAAAAAAAAGAGCAGCGACAGGCATTATTTCGGACAGGGGTCCGGGGTGGTACCAAAGACCTGGGTGGGAGGAGGAGAGGAGAAAAAAATTAAGATAAAATGAAATCAAAACGTTCGGTTACCTGGTTACTTGGTTACCTCCCTAAGCGCTTCGGCTATATTAGATACCTTAGACTTATGTACAGTACTTCTAATGCACGTTGCACTTATATGTACTTTGTACCATTTGTGACACACATGCCTAGGTAGGTACCTAGGTAGGCATTGCTTGTGCTAATAGTGCTTGCTCCCTTTTTCTTCACATTTCGGTACTGGTAATTCCATTATTCTGTTGATTAACGAATTCTATTGGAAGCCGATCTGGTACGGGACGTTCAGATTCTGTTTCAGCTCTTCTTGGCTTTGAACTGATCTTACGTAGAAGCTACTGTGCGAGCCTAAGTCACAAGTGAAAGGAGAACCGAGAACAATTACAAAGATTAAACTCGAAGGAAAAAAAGAGAAAATAGAAAAAAAAAAATCGGAAAATGATAGCCAATCAATGGGTGTTAGGGGGTGTCAGGGGGTATCAGGGGTTTACAAAACAAGGCTCTCATCAACCTTATTATGGATGTATCTTCGGTAGGTATGCATCTTATTTAGATAATTAAGATTTCCAAACTTTTCCTAAAAGAACAAAAAAAGAAAAGCACCAGGTAGTTAAAACGGTTCAAGGTTGTTTTTCGGCAGTCGGAATGTCAACCTAAAGCCAGTCAATTGAAACCTTGGGGGCTGCCAATGCTAGGTACTAGGTAGCCAATTCTGCAAGACATTCGATGATGCGCACCGCTACCAACTCTAACCAAAAAGAAACCCACTCAAATCAAGATATCTAGATTAACCTTGGTTATATGTAGGTAGGTATGTATGCGTATCGTGGGGGGAAAGCTGAGAGTTGATAGTTTAACCGTTTGTCTTTTTTTTCTCGTCTCTGGTTTGCTGCGAGACGCTTCACACACAAATCGAAATCGAAGGAATAGGGATTGTGCGTCCATCCTTTTCCGATTCCCGGTGTACTGATCGATGATGGGGAACTGGAAACACACCACGAACGGCCAGGACAACACACATGCGCACATTCGCCGACGACGATCCCTCTAGCAAACCAATACAATTTCACTCTATTCGAATCCGGCTACTAATACAACTAATACAACTAATCCACCGGTGGTACTCTTTCTATATCCCAACTAATCTAGCTATCCAACCGGCCTCTCCCTCGTTGTGTGATCCTGTCATGGCGATAATAAAACGTTGCCTGACTTTTCCTGGCCAGTCATAACATCTGGACGACCCAAGACGCAACCTACCATTACACGCCGACCTTGCATGGCCCCATGCCGTCAACCCCCGTACTTGTAGATCTCGCCATGTCGTAGGACGGCGGTGCTAAACCTCCGTCCAACAGCAGCACGCCCCGCGGCTCCGCGAGCCCTTTTCCCTCAGTCTGTGCCTCGCGCGTCTTGAAACCATCCTCCTGGCCTAACGACATCCTTTCGAACGTTGGGCGAAGTGCCCGGCTACTCTGGTTATACACTCGCCATATAGCTCCATTACCATTTATTTCGCTTCTCGGCGGAGTTTTTTACCCGGCTAGAGTGAGCACCTGACCCCGATCGGACGGACTGATGCTTAAAACTTACGATGGTGCTCACCGCTTCCAGGAGCGTGTCGTTATTAGATTGATGACGATACTGATACTGGCAGACTGGGTATCTGCACTGATACCATAATATTATCCTCGACGGTGTATTAATAATACCACCGGCATTAGGGGGGCCCTTTTCCTTGCAAGGACATTCCAACTTCGGAAATGCTTTAGAATATTCTAGTCCCTATTCCCTCACCGTCATGGTCCGTGTGGTGTGTAAGTGGTGTGTATGCGTTACAAGGCCTTGCTTGGCCTGCCCTAAGCTTAAAAAGCGGTTTTCAGGCGCGGGTGGAGATGCTAGAAGCTAAAATTCGCCCTGCTAATATGTACCTAACCTCCTAGTCACCGGGCTAGACGAGCGAAGACGAATGGGCTAGAAGGGGGTTTGACCTCGGCGTGAGGAAACAAATGGTCCTAGGGGAAGGGAAAAAAAAAAGAAGATGCCTACCCAAGCATTTCTTGGCTCACCCCACGCGCGGACTTGCTCGAACCGTTGCGGAGACGGTGCCGAAAGTCAGGTAAAGAAGGGCACTGGAGGCACTAGAGGGCTGGAGGGACAAAAGAGGGAGAAGGAGGAATTACGTCAAAATCTCTACATAGTAGTGCGATCATCAGGTCCTGCAATTATTTTCCTCTCCACAGGCGTACGAACTCCCATTCGTCTCCCTGCGCCCATCATCATTTGCTAACCGTGTACGATTTCACACGTCAAGATAATCTTCCCCAGATCCAGCCAGACCTAGCGTGTCGAGCGGTTTCACAGATACATAGTCAGGCAGTCAGATAGTCGAGGGAACTCCTCTCAGTCCTCTGTTGTCTACCCGGTCTAACGGTCTAACGGTCTGATGGTCTGCTATGGCTGCTATGAGCTGGTAGAGGTACGCTAAGGAGAGGGGGACGACGAAGACGATGATCCGAATGTACTTGTACAAAGTAACCAACCAGCCAACTCCTGTCACAAAACGCCGAAACCGTCTTCGAGAAGGCAGATCTCTTTTCTTTTCTGCAGCCCTGCTCAAGGACCCTGTTGGGTGCATGCCTCAACTCCACATCATCATGCTGCAATTAGCGTCAGGGGGGTTCCTAGACGCTGGCCAATCGTAAATCTCGTCGCTCGACATCGATCCATTCATTTGCGCAACACCGTATTTTCGTATCGTATTTGTCCGCAGGACGAGGAAGAGTCCCTCAGATTCGGGTCATCGCCAAAATACCAAAATACTACAATGTCACAATACCACAATACCACCACATAGCAGCATCGGCTCGTATTTTTCGCTTCATACAAGAGTCGGCGAGCATAGCCCACCATCGACACCTTAAGGCTGTGAGACAGGCCATTTTTAGCACCGCGCACCGCTTTCTGCACCGCTCATCTGCACTCTGCGATGCGCAGGTAGGCTGTAACTGTTCTAAGAACAGAAACACATCTGGCGGTGGGCATATCTATTACTTCGATGGTTTATTATCACAACTTCGTTCGTCCTACGGCCCTATGATCGGGCGCTGCCCAGCCTTCACAGGTGCCTTAAGGCCGGCGCCTATATTCTATCGGACCTCCGAGGTTCGTCTGGCCTGGCCGAAATCGAATAGGCAATATGTAACATGTAATTGCGTTTGCGTTTTGTCCCCTTTCTTCGCCCTCGAGTTGCAGCAACGTAGTAGTCTACTACGAGAAAGCCGCTTGGGCGGTCCTTGGCGACGATCAGTTTTTCAGCTCCCATCAATCGAATTGCGAGCAGATCAACCAGCTTACGTCCAATCAACCCGCAGAATGCGCTCCCAATCCGCTGTCCTACGTTTTCCAGGGTAGGCAACGCGAGGAGGAGCAGAGCTGCAAGCCACGGAGTCACGGACGAGGTTCACCGGCATCTTCGGCACTGACGGCTCTGACGTTCTGACGGTGGAGTTTTATTTTTATTTTTCTATTTCTTTAATCGTGTCAAATCATGTCAAATCACCCCCCAAACCTGGAAGTCGTGGGCCAATGATCCATAACCACTCGAAGGCGATTATGTATCTCGATGCGCCGCAGTAGGTCCCTGTTGCTATGCCTTGTCGTCTCGATCCTTTCAATTTTTTCTGGTAACGAGGGTAAGTAATAAGGCGAACTTGAACCCCTCTCCTGGGCCCTTCGGACACATGATCACTTCTATTGTCGAATAAACATCGATTGATCTTCCTATCTCCCTGTAGAGCATCCGCCAAATGCGAGATCGAAAAAGGGATCCATCTTGGTGACAGGACGGATACATATCATAGGTTCCCGTGTAATCCTTGCCCTAACTAATGGGAAAACCCGTTTTGGAATCGATGCGGACTCTCACTGGTGCCATCAACACCGCTTATTGAAGTGTATGGGCCTGGTGATTGGCCCGTCGTCTTCACCCTTCCTAACAATCCGCGTGGAACAAGGCAGGGGCAGGTGTCACGAGGACTCTTTCGACCATGTCCTAATGTCTAAAGCCTCTGACATATGCGGGACGATACCACAATATTAGGTATATTTCTTCGAACAGCGTTTAGACCGCGATCACTATTTATCGAGGTTCCATGAAGTCCCATAAAGTCCCATGAAAGCGTGGAGATGTCCATTGTCAATCCCCGTCCGTACCCCTCAATCATAGGTAGCTATCTATGTCATCCTTACAGTAGACACATGCCATACGTGCCATACGTGCCATACAAGCCATACATGCCGTACAATTTGGGCAGCGGGCATTCCCGCGCTGTAGAAAAAAAGCAAAACATGACGCCGGAAAGGCATGATCGTCCGAGTTAGGATATAAAACGGCGACGATACTATGTGCTCGACCACGCCAGCAACGCATCCTCCAAACATCCTACCTCCCCGTCACTCGTCATCGCTAACGCGGGGGGTAGTCTTCGGCCTATTATCCTGGACGTAACCCTTAAGCAGTATCCAATACAGAGGATGCTCCATCGAGAGAGTGAGCGGTGCAATCCCTCTCGTCGATCCGGGACTGCGTCCCTAGCATCAGGACCACGACACGAGGTAACGTCCCCATGCAAGTAAAGAAAAGCCACTCATGCACGCCAACTGCGTAGGGCTTTTAAAAAACAATCAGAGCAGCTCAATTGGCAAGCCTAGCCACATCCTGATCCGAGGATGACGATTTAGTGCGGCAGCCATGCCCCTGCACGTCAACCTCGCTAAGAGCGGCTCGCAGAGAATCTCTGGGAGGATGGCAGTCGTCTATCTTGGAACGATTTGATCACGATGTATGTATGTACGTACGTATGTAGGATGTATGTGTCGGCGGATGTGCCACATTATTCCCTCGTGGTATTTTTATTTTTCCTTGAATTTTGAAATCGACGACACATAGTATTTCTAAAAAAGGGCCCCCAAAAAAGTTCATGCAGCCCTCATCCCCCATCGCCATCGACCGACTTTTCTCAGTCTGTGGCCACGACACCATCAATTGCACATGTATTGTCACACTGATGCAGATGCTGCCTTCGGATAGACCCCCGCGGGCGCCCGTTGCACAGCGAGCCGCCAATGTCGCGTGCTATGATTCGTAGTAATGGGAATTTCCCCGGACTCGTATCGTAACTCACATCGACATCCATCTCACTTCCATGCTCGGTTTCAAGAAGTCGGTTTTGACTGATCATCTAATCCTACATATCCACTCTTATCTCAACTTCTCCCACATCGACTTACATGATAATCAACGTGGGGATCAGCGAGGCTACATGGCTGACTAAAAGCTAACCTCAGATGCGGATGTCTCGAACCTCGCCTACGGTCCACGCGTACATACACATACATACACATACATACATACATACGTACATACATACATTACTTCCTTGGTATGCCCCTCCCACAGATCCCTCGCGATGTTACAACCGACATCGCGTAGTCGGTCGTAGGCGGTCTCGATGGTACTAGGCACGCCACGGAAGGCGAGGGGGGAAACGAGGGGGGAATGGTGATAGAAGCGATATATGTTTACGGGAGGGTTCTTTGTTCGTCGTTACGTGCGGCATCTACAGATTGCGTCCCCGAGCTGCATATGGAAATTGAGGACGTAACCAGCGCCCCCGTTCTGGGCTGCTTAAGTGGTCGGTTCCCCCCAATACCACGAAAACGTGCAACAGTTCAAAAAGAGACACGACAAGATTCGCCGAACAGCGCTGGAACTTATGGAGATGAGCGTACGCCGATCCAGCTCCTCTCTCGCTCTTGAATATGTGTGTGTGCGCGTATGTGTGTGCGTGCGGGCGGATGTGCATGGTTCATTACGGTGCACCGCGAAAAAAAACGGCCCAAAAACCTGCATGCGAGACAGTTGTCAAGGAGCTGATCCCTCTCACGGCAGTTTTATAGCTGACTGGCTGGTAAGCCTCACGATCAGCCCCTCCATAGCTTTTTCCTTTTTTTTTTTTTTTTTTTTTTTTTTCCTTCTGTTTTCTCTAGGAAATAGGTAAAAGAAATCGCCCCGTTCCACGTTCCACGTTCCCCGTTCCCCGTTCCCCGTCGCACGTCACCGGCTAGCCAACCCCCCATGTTCGTTTCTATCTATTCCCACGCATTCCAACGCCTCTTTTTCTTTTCCCACAAGCCACGAGCCAAACTATCGGAAAAAAGGCGCTCTTGCAGGCCCCCCCAGAGCCCTGAACCCCTCGGCAACCCCTCCTCGTTCGGTCGAAGAGTACGACTACGGATACGGCAACGGCAAAGCTAAGGACGGCGACCCGCGAACGGGAGACGGATCACGTCCCGGGATCGTCTATCTACAGTAATGGAACCCCTTCAGCCCCCATCAAGCTTCGACGACCGGCCACAATGATCACTTGGTAGTTTCCCGAAGAGGCAGTCGGCGCACGATGCGCTGAAACCTGACCGCGCCGGAATAATCAGGCCAGATTGGAAAAAACTGAGGGTCGGCGGGAATGCTACTTTCATGCTACTTTCGAGGTAGTCGAGCAATCGAGTATGTATTTCGTCAGACCTGCATGTATTGATATTTACTTGACTACCTGACTACAACACCAACCTATACTCTATGTGGCCTTTTGCATTTGCCGGGGACGGGGACGGTGGACGGGGGTGGCATGGGAGAGGAGAGGGGAGGGAATCATGCCTGCATGGCGACCCTATTACTTTTTTTTTGGCGAAAGTAGGTATGTATCTATGCTCGTTCTAGAGTTTAGCTACAACGCAATACTTTGTTTTGTTGCATGCTCTAGCTGCTTTGACGAGCAACGGTATGGGCATTTATGGGCACTTATAGGGTTTAACACGCTATGGAAGCATGCCCAGACAAACCTATGTAGCCTATCGACCGTCGACCATCAACCATGCATCGGCGGTATTTGCAACCAGCAGCGCAGCGCAGCGTATCGGATGTGCAAGGTGGGACAGTACGTTCGGGGAGACCCAGCCAGAACGATCTATCTCGAAGGCCGAAGAGGCTTTAAGATTTAGCACCTATCGTAAAAGACGAGAACGCCCCTTTTTAGAATTATTCCAACCAGGAATACGAAAAGAAAAGGAAGAAATAAGGCCATAATGAAGTCAAATGAGTTAGTGTAATTATTTTTAGTTGATATCGGACAGCCCTACTGGTTTGACGAGTCTTCTTGGCGATGGAAATTTAGACGGATTACCGGCATTAAGAATTAATTTCTACTACACGATAACAAAATTCCTTGCGACCCCCTTGCCCCTTTTTTGCCTCTCTATCTACCTAGGTAGGTACTTAGGTAACAAAGTTTTAATATATAGTACAAACAATTGAAGCTTTAAATAGCCTACAATTATTTGTCTATTGATTATTAGATGCTCTGTCGTCCTGCCCGTCGTCGTTAGTGGAACAGGAACCCTAGTATAAAGCCGTTTAAATCATGTATAATTCGTACTGTGTCGAGCATGGGCTATGAAGTCTCGCCGCCACGTGCGTCCACAAATCCATTTCCCTTTTCTATCATAGGCATGAACCATCATTTACTTTGCTGTACATACCTACATACCTACATACATACATATCAATGTATATCTCGAATGGATGAAAGCTCGGTCACCAGTGTTTGATGAGTGACAAGGTCCGCCTCGTCTGCTCGATCTCGCCTTTTTGGTAATTACAGCAGGATAGCGAAGTATTACTTGCTATTGCTTGCCCCTCTTTCGCCCCTTGCTGGTCGTCATTTGTTCCGCATAACGCTTTTGGCGATACACAGTACCTATCGTATCTGGCTCCTCATCTGGTATTGCTGCCCGGAAGGATCTGGTAATCTAGTATCTAATATATGTCAGATTCGCCGTCTGGGGAAAGCCCAGCAACGATTATCATGTTTGCGCAAACTACCTACGGTGTTGATACGCTGAATTGTACTTTAATACGCAGGGGTTATTTTGTTAATACTTGTCTATTCGTCACTAGCGATCTATTGGGCATAATGTGTCCTTGAGGAATGCGCACTTCTGCCCCATCATTGTCAGACCAGTCTTCCTGAAGCTTAGAGAAAAAAAGAAGGATTTACCTTGATACCTTTTGGAGGCTTGATGCCTTGATGCCTTCTTGACATGGACCAGCCATATAGAAGACCACGTTTTACCTCCCTTGATGATGTTTCGAGCTACTTGTAAAGACAAATACGAATCCTTTCGTTTCAAAGAGGTTGAATCTCGGTTTATTTCGATATTAAGCCGCTGACCGCAGCGCTGTAGCGCAACAATTGGCCAGCGATCTACCTGGTGACAGCCCCTAGTCAGTGCTAGAGGCAAACCAAGAATTCCTTCCCAACTACATGGGTTGCTTTCTTATCGCCAATTCTTTTCGATCTACGGCTAGAGATGGATGGCATTCTGTCCCCTCCACATGGGATTCCGGTTCGTGCCTAGACGTTTTTCTTTTCTTACAGTCGAGTCGAATTGGAAGGGCTAGATAGAAAAGACGACCATTACAACATCATACAACACCATACAACACCATACAACCCTACAGGCTCCACTTGCCGTGTTCATGTGAATGCAGCGACAATTCCCGTTCCAAGATTTGAGCTAGGCACTACGGTAGAATAGCTTGCTGTCGAGTCTCTCCGAGTGGATTCATCATCCTCTCGTCGATCTCCACACATCGTACACATCGTACGACAACTTGCAGAAGTTCATGATCCCCCCCAAGTGAGTGACATGGGGGGTTATTCTTGGTCATCTCGTTCGGATCGAGCGCCGTCACTTGGTGCCGACTATCTGTGTTCCAAGGTTCACCATTCCGATTTTCGTCATGTGCCGTCGTGTTAATCAACGCCCATCAACTCAATGCCCCGTATCGTGGGGGGTTTTCATTTAGTCCTGCAGTGAAGAGGTTGCCTGGTTGGAAAGTTCCCCCATCTCGAAACTTAAGCGATACGACGACGAGATGCAACGCCTTCTCACTTCTTCCTGGATGAACAGAGTCATCACCTTTCGGGAGGAGCTAGCTCTAGGTTTGCTGCAAGCCCGGCCTAGCTGCGGACGCCCATTGGACAAAGCGGTCCTGCATTAAGCCGAGGAACCCAGACAGCAGCTCAAGTTCCGTTTCCTCTTCTAGAAAACTTCCAGCGAGTGAGATGCGTTTCTAGCTAGCCCAAACATCCCAGGCAGATCCCCCGACTACACGTGAATAAAAATGGGTCCCTAACCACGCCGTCGGATCCGTCAAGCTGTCAAGGGGTTGCGTATTTCTACCCCTTTTAGTTTTGTTTTCTTATTAGATAGCCTCGAGGCTGGGGCTTATCGCCAGTCCGTGATGACGCGCGGCTTTGTACTAGATCTAATAACCAGCAAAAATACCCCCTATCGTCGCCGCGACGTCTCATCTCGTTCACGGCGACAAGATCTAACGGTAGATCGAACCTCATCTGGTACCCGCCCAATCTTGAGCTGTTACGTCAGGAAACATATTACAAACTAAAGCACGTTTGTTTGCTGGAGACGAGGGGGGGTGTGTGCGGCCCACGCGAAACGACCACCCCGACAGCAAGCCTCGGCAGCTTTGGCTGTGTGTAATGAGCTCAGACCAGTCAGGACGGCGGGCTGGCACCGAAGAACACAATGTGCGCCACCCAGCCTACATGGCCGCATTTACCCCACAGAGCTGTCAATGCAGGTTGGTGCTGAGACTGACCTGACGCTCAGGGATTCTGGCCTGCTCATAGGTTGCGGCTTCAAATTACCAGCAGCGGTCATGCCTCGCTACAGCTGCAAGGGAACTCATTTGGGGGGGCAGGCTCTCTCACTTGACGTTTCATCAAGATGAGAGACCTTGCAGGGCGGTGCCTCTAAGGGTGGCTTTTCAGCTTGAGCCCATCGCAGCTTGTCCGACGCCAGCTACCAGCCAGGTGCAAAAGTCTAGGATCTTTGTACGACCAATATCTGCAGGCGGTCATTTGCGAACGGCTATATTCGCGGCGCGCATGCGCGGTTGCTGCCCCTGGTCCGATTAGGCAAGCAACCCTCCCAGAGGCTGAACCCAATCCGTAGGAACAGCTACCTATGAGGGTATACATAAGCTTAAAAAAGTCACGGATGGAATTCTTGGGTTGTAATCGTGCCGATAGAATGGGGACCCGGTATCCCGCTTGGGCAGCGAGCTAGCCCGAACGGGTGTCGAATCGGTTCGTAACATTATACAAAAATGTGACAGGTCATATTTTGACCGCCCATCCGCGCCCTTGTGGGCATAGCTCTACCAGAGCAGCCGGCTCACCTTCAAGTACCTAGGTCTAAGATATTTGCCCGTCTGGTTACATAGGGCAGAGCTAGGGGAAAACGGGGAGGGCCGTTGACAGCTGCCATGCTGCCATGTTGCCATGCTTCTTCCCAAATGGCCGGGTTTCTTTAGCACACTTGGTTTTTCCCACCCCTCGCCGTTGGGCATCACGAATGTGGATGCAAGTTACCCCTGAATATAGCAACCACAACAACGAAGCCGCTCTTGTCGATCTTCGGCTCGACGGCCCTTGTGTTCTGTGCGTCATAGCCTCTAAGAGATCTGCGAAATATGTGCGAATGATGGTAAACGAAAACAAGCTCCGCAGGTTCTAGACGCCGTAGATGCATACGGCTCCTCTTCTCTTCCCGTATCTGACAGGTTTAAGTCCATGGCAATGGCAGGAGACCATGGCGCGTAGAGAAAAAAAAAGGTCAGTCGGTGAGACCAGCCAATCTTCACCGAGAGTAGAGTCGCTCAATGTTGTAATCGGCACGGTCTGTGCTACCTGATCTATCACCAATGGTATTCTTCCGGAGCGGCCTCCACCACTGGTGTCTCGTCGCGCAGGGAGAAGCGGGCAGGTCTTATGAGAGCCCAAAGCACTTTACTGTCACCAATGGAATAATTGACACCGAGAATTGTCCCGCTGATGAGAATTGTGACGGGAGCGGAAGGACCGGTGTAGCGACACGTCGAAGGTGCCTGGGTATAAGTCGGTATTGATGCGCTGTCGCTGTCGAGCACGGATCAGCGAAGGGCTAATAACCTACATATCGCGTATTCACGACTCACACCTACCCTTCCTCACCACGGTATATGTCAAGGTAAGTCAGCCTCATGGGTAAGTCAGCAGTAACGGCAAGGAGAAGGAAGTAGGGGCACGAACTTGACGTGTCATTTTATTGTGCTCTCTAGCCAACGCCCGTCGACCCAGCAAGTCGAACCCCCCTGCGCCCTCGCTGCAGGTTTCCTTTCGGTTTTTGGGGTCGAACCTGATCGTCAACAAGGGAGCTTGAAGCAATAGCCATCTGGTACTCAGGGTAGCATCTGGTATCGGTACTTATGGGGACGGGTTAGCCCTGCAGGGTGAACTTTGGATACATCCCATCCATCCCATTCGCCTTCGACTCCCCCTACCGTGTAGAAGCACTAAGAGCGTAGGTAAGTATAGCAGTATGCAGCCCAGCGTGCGCAGTCTTGGTCGTAAGATGTGACGAATTATCCACAACGTAATCTAGAGAAAAAAGACGAGGTGATCTCATTTGGCTACAGCAGCTAAGCGACGCATGCTTTTGTCAATTTGGTATCAGCTTACCTCACGTCGGCCTGCCTCACGCGAGCAGAAATGACCCGATTCGGATTCCGTTCTCCCAAAAGGGGTCCGCTGCAGAGGCCTGACAAAGAACTATACAATTCAAGCTTCATCGTCTTACTGCCTAAACTTTTGACACCTTTCCGTACACGTCCCTCATGATGACCGATCAGTAAGTATAGTGCAATATTCAGCGAATAACTCCCCCTATGTCACAAGCACGCACATTATCATATTGATATTATTATCATATTATACTACGACCACATGCCTTGTAAGTTATGGTGAAGCCCCGGCAAACTCGGCCACCTAGTAGGTTGGAATGACGCATCGTGCCGTCTCCGTCTTCTACGCCCCCCCTTTCCGCGCGTCCCGTTCCTCGTCGGCTCCCAACCCCCTGGGAAAGCTAGCTTCTCCGCAAAACGCCTCTGACGTCTTTCTACGCGAGGACGTTACTATAACAGGGTTCTTGTGGGTTCTTATTTTTTCCCCTCTCCCCTTTTACGACTTTTTTCGGCCCTTGGCATCAGAGCAAGTTCATGATAATCCCAAAACCCGACCGCTATTCTTCGACTTATCGCAGCGTTTCATCAGCCGTAAAAAAAACAACTGACCGTTTCAGCCATCCTTTACATCTGCGGTCATTCTATAGTCCCGTTTCTCTCGAGCCCAGACCTGGTTAGTTCCCGCAGGCGTCTGACCGCCTTAGCAATGATTAGCATGAGTTAGTAGCAAGATCTCCTATCGTACATTGTGTAGTATCACCGGCGCAGCTAGGAATCTTGGGTCATCTGAGCGTCATCACGATGTCCGTGGGGTCCAAATAGCGACACACCCTGCAACAACCTTGGGCCCGTACCTTGGCCCTTGGTCCCAGAAATAGCTCCGTGCTGTGGCAGCAGGAGTGCGCTCGGCGCTTGCTGCACCTTTCCGCTGCCCTAGGCCAAATTCGGCCCGAGACGGTCCTCATTCGAAGCTTACGAGCTAGAACATCTGGTCCCCTTCTCTCCGAAAAATGCCGGTCAGACGGGTCAACGATGGCCACGCTGATCGGGACGATAGGTCCGAGTTTCATTCGTCTCGTCTCGTCTCGTCTCAGCCCTGCAAACCAAACCAAACCGGACGCTGCACTGGGTCTTGGGACCGCTAGGATCGGCGAAAAAAGACACGATCACTGTTCGGCGCGGTTGCTGTTGCCATGAACGGCCTTCTGCAGCTCGCTTCGAAGTGCCCATGTCCCATTACCTTGGCGAGCCCATGTCGTCCGAAATACCAAACACACAGACACACAGACACACACAGGCGCGCGCATATACTTACATATACTACACTTACACACACATACACGGCTGACGTATTATTATTAGTGAGCCTCACCCGCCCCTGCGGGTGTCACAAGGCTACGCTCCATGCATCTATGCATACCTATATGCATACCTAGATATGTAAGGAGACCACCACGCTGTCGTCTCCCGCACGTGCTGCTAGGATACACCTCCTTGGCTTATTTCTTAAACTCTATGCCGCGTTTCTTGACGTGGCATTTCCTGACCATTCCCATTTTCTTGTGCTTGCGCTTACACTCGGAACCAAAGGCAAGGGAAGAGTATTTTGGAGAAGAATTAAAAAATTGATTATTGTATTGCTACATCATTGGATCACCTACGTTCCCGTGTCTATTATGGTACATCTTTTGAGTCAAAAGTCAGCAATGCCGGGGCGATAGGGCGAGCAGCAAACCGTCGTATCGTGGCCATTGAATGGGCCGGGGGCCGGCAGCTGAGCATTCTGATGCAGTTCGGTGCAGTTCAGCTGCTTACTGTGCTTGGCTACACAGCTTCGTTATCTCTCCTCTCCCCACAGCTTCGTATCGCCTTCTCCCGTCGATATCATCTCTCTCCTGCAGACTTCTGCGTCTCACAGAGTGTCAGATTCTGTGGGGATGGTGAAACGTACCACAGGCCCATCGTGTTTCCCTGCCGGCTGAAATTAAGGAAATAAAAAATAATAATTAAAAGAAAGAAAAAAAGTTGGATGCCGGCCCAAAATGTAGGCCGCAAAACGCCGCAAGGACCGCCTTCCCCTGCCCGCTGAATCATGCATTATCAAAATTTTTAAATTTTTTTTTTTTACCTGTACGTTTCCGGGCCAAAATGCCGTGGAACTTGGGCGCCTCATCAAAATCTCTGCCTCGCCGGGTGCAGCTCTGGTTGGCCGTCCGGAACCGCATTCGAACAAGGTCGGGCCTTGCAAAGCTAGGTATGCGTGTCTCGCGGAGGTCGACGCCTTCGCCGGCGTTGTTCGTCCTGGTGCCCGTGCGGACCGCGAAACAAGCATCGCTGTCCAGAAGTTCATTTTCTCTTACCTATTTATTACCTTAGTTAATGCTGGGCCACAACGGCAAACGCACCATACCCGAATCATTCACCATCATGCCACATCACCTTACGCGGAAACGGATATTGCGCCAGCAATCGAGTGATATATCAAACCATCGCCGACGTCGCAGGCAACCAAGGAAAGGAAAAAAACCAAAAAAAAAAAAAACTTGAAGGTCCGATACGTTTGCCCTGAGACTCTGTGCTCCGTACTCCGCGCCTGTGCTAGGCGACCGCCGTCCCGTGGTGGAACTGTCGCGCAGATATCAGCAAGCGGTGGCCCCAATATGGCTCCCTGCGCGATCGAGAGAGAAAAGTTCCAAAACTCAGGCGATATGGCGCGTGGTATGTACCGTGTTTCCAGGGGGGACACGCGAGCTAATTCCACTTTCCTTGTTTTCCCTATGGTCAGTTTGTCCCTTTCGTCTGCCTTTCTTCTCTGCCTGTATAACGTGGTGCAACCCAATGTTTTATATATCTGATGCGGCCCTACTGTACCTCTAATGGACGGCGCAATCCGATATCGCTACGTTCCGGCTCTGGGGAGAGGGGAAGTGACCTGTTTTCTTATTTTCTTTTCTGTTTTGTTTTGTTTCTGCGAGCTTGCTGCTCCCGTGTTATGCTTGTTTCTCTTTTTTCCCCTTGCTGTCCCTTCTTCGTCAATTACACTGCTTTGCGCCAACCATGGTAATCGCGTGATATCTGGACTGATCGCCGCCTGGTGCGCGCCTCTCCTGAGATCTGTATGTCGCCCCCCCTCGTGTGCAATACGTACGATTACGAAAGGTGATTTTTCAGATCTTCCCCTCTCTTGTACCACCTTTAGAGCTTTGGGGGAGTGACGAGAATGATGCCATAGACGCAACAGGCGGACGATGCAGTGCGATGAGAGATGGGGCCAAAGTATGCGCTTGTTTCGACTGCCTGCGACATGTGGCGCGATAACGTCGTTCTGTCGTTATGGGGTGTGACAGATGGGATATTTCTAGCTGTGGCGGATGATGTGCTGCGCGTTCCGTGCCGTCTACCCCTATTCTTTTTAATTTTAAAAAATTTCCCTCCCCGATTATTGTTGAATTCTCTTAAGCATTCCCTGAACGGACAGGGATAAATGAGCGAGAAAGAAATACGGCTGGTCCGCATATGGATGCGGGTATTGCGGCATCTGGCCAAGCATCACGATGGCTTGCCAAGCCGGAGATGGCGAGGCGTCCGAGACCCTTCCCGTCAGGCTGCATTGTATGTTCTACGCCTATTGACTTCAATATTAGATATTAGCGGTGTAGACATTAGATACTAGGTAGTGTGGTGAACATTGCGTATGTGACAACCCTTAGATATCGTGTGTGCGTGTCGTGTTGGGTTGCCTGTATGTATGTAGACAGTGTGTAGAGAATCCGCAATAGATACATACCTGTCGGTATAGAGCTAACTCCGAGGCGAGTGAAGTAGTCTGGCGGTGTTCTTGAAAAGACGTACCTCGACCTTGTCTTGACTCGGTTGGGCCCTTACGCTACCAAAGCATCCTTGACATCGCTTAGGTAGGTAGACTCCAGATCATCACTATCGTCCGTCGTGATGTATAATACAACAACATACTTTCTCTACGCGATGTCATATTGTTCTGAGAAGTAATTAGCTAATTTGTATGGGAATTTTTCAAATCGGAGTGATTGTACTTATCGTAATTTGTGCCTGCTTTTGAATGTCGATCACATACTAAAATAGGGGGAAACCTTAGGAGGAATGCAGGAGTATATATTCCTGAGGAACTTTAGCACCAATCTCCTGATCTCATGGGATGTTGCAAATCTCATCGCCACCAACCAGCCTCCTCAAGGGCTACGTAACTATTTCGTCATGGGTAGTAAGTCAGATCCACGAATGTCTGGCCCGGTCCGTCCCGCTCTGGGATATGTACTATACATTGGTGAGGGATTTTCAGGAATTCTGACAGCAATCCCTTGCTTAAACCAAGCAATTGGTATAGTCACGCGGGTGCTTGATAGGAAATCTGACTCGAGAAAAAAAGTCATAAGACTATATCGATTCATGTAGGCGGTATGTAGTTCTCATTTGAAAAATTTAATAGATAGGGGTTTGGAGCATTAGCCCCCATTGCCCAATAGTCGGCGAGCAGCCTTGGTGGTCAGGGACGTAGAGCCTTAAAAGTGGAGTGAAGCTTACTTCAACCTTCTTGTTCTCTCCCTCTAGTCCGGAGTCGACTTACTCGCTGACATAACAAGGCATTCATGCTGTGGTTTCGGTCGAGGTTAGGTTGTTTGGTTTTAATACATCAACAGCTTTCGTTTTTGAATCTACCTAGGCCACTAAAACTCTCCTAGTCATACCATCAATCACTAAGTTTTCCCTTGGTCATTGTGGCTGTTTATAGTTAGAGAGCGATCGTGAGTCATTTATAAGAATCCTGAACATCGCATTGCAAATAGGTACCTACCTAAGTGGTAGAATAGAGAATGAGGTACCAAAATTGACTAGTTGATCGAAATAATGAAGCTTACATTTGTTCATAGGCACTTGATAATCTAAAGGTAACAATTGCTTTTATCAAATTGTGATTATTGTTGGATCTTTTGAGCCTGACGCTGAGAAACTCTAAGGTCTCTCTAACCGATTGACGTACCGGTATTATTGAAGCTATACATGTTCAAGAATGACTAGACCACCTGGACAATGCTTTGCGGCTCGCTCTGGTAGGCCTACACGTCACAAAGCGGGTAACCCCTTTTCTTCTTTATTGACGATAAAACTTGATCATTTTCGAGCAACACTTTAAAAAGAACAAAATTGTGAAAACATCAAGTGGGTATCAAATTATATACTATTTACAGCAAATTTATAACCTGCCTATTACCTTCATGTGTAAGTGTGTCTCCTTGGCATTGCATTAATTACCTGTCAATCTGTTATTGGTTTTTCATTCTTGGCGAGGAGACGGCGGCGACCTAACGCCAAACTGAATCTCAACTTCTGTCGTCCGTACAATTCCATTGTATGTCATAATCTCTTCCTCGCTGGTAGTTGGAGAGTGGCCCCTTATCTCTGTCCTCCTCTTCATATCTCTGAGAGCAAAAGATGACGTACCATAGAGATGTTCTCCCTTTGAGCTGTTGCCATTCGTACCAGACTTATGAACGTCTCCTGTATTATTTGCGTATCGTCCATCCCGGTGACGGTAGTTTTGATTCGTCGTCCCACGAAGTGAGGAGAAGAAACGAGGGAACCAGATCATGAATAATGGTCGTAATGCCGGACCTGACGCTGTGATTATGGCCAAGTTTGTTTCGACGGCCGAATAAGTGAATCTGATATCGTAAGAGTAGTCATATTTCATGGGGTAGAGAGAGGTCTCTATGATCCATAACATCCGAAGAATGCTGACGATAGTAACACTTCCGAGGAATGTTAGCCCCTTACTCTCTAGTCATCTGTGTGGCTGATATAGCAAGACTCACATTGCTCCTAGGAGAAACACAACCATTATAGCAAACTTGACCTTAGAAGCCATTTTCAATCCCATGAAGATCCAGAACGGAAGGGCAAGGACTAGAACATCCGTGAAGATGGTCAACGCCGCAGTCGTCACATAGAATATCCCTGTATCAATACATCTTCCCTGAAGAGTCGGATCGGTAATACGTTCCCAAAAATACGAGATTGGCGAACACTGGAAAACCACGGTCACGAATATGGCAATCATAAGACCGATGGTGAACACATTGAGGGCATGTATCGAGTATCTTATCTTTCGTCTCTGCCCCCCTATTCTCAGAAGGAATGTCAAAACCGAACACTTGACTAGGGCGAGTATTGGGTTATAAATGATCTGGATTATGTAGTTCCAATACATCCCGAGGCTTATGTCGGCCGTCATCGGTATGTCGTATACGTGAACTCCTAGGTATGCCGTACGCATGGCTATAAAGAATAGGGGTCAGTTCTGTCTCTTATTGAATTTCGTATAGTCCACCCCAGTTAGAATAATCCCCACAATACTCACCCATATGAGAACATCCCGTTTCGGCAATCGAGAGCATCTTGATGTTTATGAGTATCACTGCTTCCAAGTGGAAGGGCTATCACGTACCATGGCGATGCATACTAGAGCATCGTCTATAACACCTTATTAGTGACAGGTCTATCGGACGAGATACCCGTTCGACCACTCACCCCATCCAAACTGCCTGCTTCTAACCCTGCCATATATCCTTAGACACACCACTATGAATGCGATTGCAGGGAAAAAGAACAAGATAAAGAAGCCGCCATGTTGAAGAGGTGAATAGGGGTAAGAGTCGGTGATGTCTCCGGAAGGTTTTCCTGGGCCCTCGAGGGATTGTCGCCTTGCTATGCTCGAGATAAATGTATATAGAGAAGACTCCATATTTTGACGAGCTGTTGACTGCTCACTATGTCCGCCAGGTCGAAGTCTAAGTGATATCTTTCGCTTAGAACAGAGATCTCCATCTATATAATAGGATATCCTTGATTTCGGTACAGCTCACGTAGTATACACGTAGTATCTGGAGGCAGCATAAAAGGTCATGTGCATTTGACAAGGTGTTTCTGTACGACAGAAGCCTTGAATTCAGCCTCTTTACTTATACAGAATTCATTTATATTTGGTTAAAAGGGGCCATTTCACCGGGATTGGACAATGCGTGGATGGGTTGTTTCTGCAGCCAAGGCCTTTCATATAGATAGTTTTCCATTCCTCGACAGGTACATATGTTTAACATGCAACGTGATCCCTTCGCGTCCCAAGTCCTATCCAAGATACTGGCAACTATATAACATGAAGAAGACTCGCAATTTGATATCTATGATATATATATAAGAACGTAGGAGTAGTCGATTCTACTTCCTTCTAAGGTGAGGAGGAAGATCGCTAGGAAAACGAACATGTAACAATCCATGTCTCCATTATCTCTTGGAAATATTACCTAAACATCTATATTAGATGGTTTCGCTATTAGGGATGGTACGCGTAATATACCGATGCCGCTTTTCGAAGTACTTGTCCTGCAACTTTTACGCCCAATGGTCGTCTATCGAATGATTACCGAGATTCAACTCTATCCAATGTCGCAGAGCAGGACAAAAAATCTAGGGTATCACAGCATACCATTGGGAAGATCACAGGGATATTATGCGGAGGGAGAAATTATCATATGCTGATGTAGAACGAGACCTGTCTTATAAATGCATTAATCATTGGGGAATTACCTGGGGTAAATGTCACCTCAAGCAGTTGCATCGGGGATCACATCTTGTGGCGGTTCTTCCATTCGCTGGGCAATTTATCCAGCCCGTCCGGTCTACAAGGGTCTGGCAAAATTCAAACCTCCTTGACTCACGGCTTTACCGGGACGAAGTGAAGGACGATTCTGATGTGTCCAGTCAAGTCCTTCTATGCTCCCTTGAATCTTGCTCTTGATTGCCAAGATATGAGACTTGAATCCCTCTCGAGTGCTCTTTTGATAGAGAAAGACTCTGGATGACTTCTGGATCTTCGATATTGATTAATAAACATCTCTCAGCCAGCTTATGAAAGCTTTCTGCAAGAAAGTAAGAGCGTGACAGCCTCAGTTGGATATGCTATCCCGCCATGCATCTTTCAGTACCTAGACCCAGCCCGACTCCCCTCTACCATATTATAGTCTACCATGGGTCCTCGGCAAAGTTGCAGAATACTGCCGATACTTTCAACATCTAGCCTGGCATGTAGAATTCGTTGGGGTAAAAAGGATCCTCGTGTGAAGATCTGCTGCTACTGTTGTACTCTGTCAGCAGGTATCCATCGCCGACAAATCCATGTGGCACGCTCCGACCAAGCTGGCGGCTACCGGTGCCCTAGCCGGCATTCCTGCCGGATCCGAACAGTCGTCGTAAGATATTTATCATTATGTAGAATATATACGGCAGAGGTAGACAGATTATACAATCTTCACTTATGATCCCTTGTTCAAATTGAGTTATTGAAACTGAGCTCGTGCCGACTCGCTGAGCACACGTAATACCGATGTCTTGCTCCAGGAAAGTCGTCGTAGGCACTCTACTGATTTCGCTGCCACGCATCGTATATGGCCAAACAATTGTCGTGAACAATTCAACAATTCGTTAGTTTGCGCTTCTTAGCAACTCGGGAAAGATAAGAAAATTGTTACTGATCACCCCCTTTTTAGCGGCTAATGAGTCCACGGTAGCCCCCGCTGTAGCTATCGTCGACGCGAAGGAGTCGAATTCAACCGCCGAGCTTTTCGAAGGAGAGACACAACAACTGACTGATGCTGTTATAGCAAACCTCACCGACTTTGGGTTGTCAGACGTCTCATTATTTAGCTTCCAGAATGAGTCAAGCATAAATGAGACATTGGCTAAGCGGGCCATACCCGGATTTTGCAAGACATATCCAGATGATCCATATTGGCCCTTCTCATCTACGTGGCAGCTATTCAATATCTTACTCGGCGGAGGTCTGATTAAGACAGTCCCTTACGCATCTTCTTGTTATGATTCCTTCAAGAGTTATAACTCGACCAAATGCGATTTCATCACCAAGAATTGGATCAATGCATCCATCTACCAGTAAGTTCCAGACTTGTAGACGAAACCAAATACAGGGAACGGCTCTAACGAAATTGAATAGTACCGAGGACCCTACCTCAATCAACGCGGTCCTATTCCAGGGATCGACGTGCATGCCACCTGCTCTCATGCCCACGCAGAGTAACTGCACAGTTGGCGGTTATCCCGAATACTCGGTCTCAATTCGCAACGTAGCGCAGATCCAGCTTGCGATTAATTTTGCCCGCAACCTCAACTTGCGCGTGGTGATCAAGAACACCGGCCACGACTTCAGCGCGAAGTCCGTCGGGATGGGGGCACTGTCGATCTGGACTCACAACCTTAAACAGATCCAGTTCTTTGATAACTACCGACAAGGCTCCTACCGTGGCCCTGCCTTTAAACTTGGTACCGGAGTCCAGGCTTTTGAGGCATACGAAGCTGCTAGGAATAATAATGTCACTATCGTGGGCGGTGAAGGCCGAGTAAGTAATTCTCAAGATCCGACACTGGGAAAGTAGTTTGGGGTTTAACGAAGATTATTAGACTGTCGGCGTCATGGGAGGTTTCTTGTTGGGTGGTGGCCACTCGCCCCTATCAAGCCTGTACGGCATGGCTGCGGATCAGGTGCTCTCTATGGAGGTCGTCACGGCCGATGGTCGATTCGTGACCGCAAGCGAAAATAGCCATCCGTCCCTATTTTGGGCTTTACGCGGCGGCGGAGGTTCTACTTTCGGCGCCGTTACGTCGGTCGTCGTTAAAGCGTATCCGAAGATCAAAGTGACTACATTGACTTACGTTTTAGCTACAGGGCCGACCCTCTCATACACGCAATTCTGGGATGCGTTACGCGCCTTCTTCGACGGCTTCATCACTTACACCGACGCCGGCAATTATGAATATTTCCGAATTTCGAGGCTAGGAGAAGGGAATTATTTCTCGGACATGGGTCCTTGGTTCGCACCGGGCATGAACAGGACTGAGCTTGAGACGTTGGTCGCCCCTTTATTCGCTAAATTTAGAGATCTGGGTGTTGAAGTCAACCCTGTTTACACCGAGTATGATGACTTTTATGATGCCTGGTATGCGAGCTTTCCGGTCGAGCCTTGGGGCAGCAACGCGATCCGTCAGGCTAGTCGCCTATTCCCGAAGTCCAACTGGCAAGATCCGGCGAGGCTGAATGCTACGTTCGACGCTATCAAGAGCGTTGTCGAGGAGGGTGGTTACATAGTCGCGTTTAACATCGCGGCCGCGCCTAAGACGGGATATCCGGACAACGCCGTAAATCCAGCATGGAGAAATACGGTGATGCACGCTATCATGGCAACACTTTGGAATACGACCAGTTCCGAGGCGGATATGAAAGCCGCCAGCGACAGGCTCACGTACGGGTGGATGCAACGTTGGAGAGATGTATCACCCGGCGCTGGTGCTTATATGTCGGAGGCCGACTACATCGAGCCCGATTTCAGCCAGGCGTTCTTTGGAAGCAATTACGCGAGGTTGTATCGAATCAAGCAGCTGTACGATCCATTCGGCGTCTTCTACGCCCATACCGCCGTTGGATCGGAAGATTGGAAGATGTCTGAGATGATATTAGGAAACTTGCCTTCACAAAACAGTAAATTATGCAGAAAGATTTGAAAGATAGCTTATTAAATTATTTTACTCTTGAGTACATACCTGCATTACTCCTCTAGCTGCGTTGGGCATAATATATTGTGATACGTATAAGTTTTTCGTCCCGAAAATGCTTGGCGGATTTTTTTTCTGAAATCCTCTCACGACGTCAATACAAAATACGAAAAGCTGCATTGGTGGGTCTGTTTTGAGTAGGTACCTAGGCAGGTTGGCTTGGTATTTTCTTTAGGTGCCAATCATGAGCTGACTATCGGCAATATCGAATGAGCGGTGACATGCTGGGTTTTGACATACGTAATAAGGGGTAAAGCGTTCACGTTAAAAATATACCACCTTGATCAATTGTTGTTTGAGATTCGATACTGAACCGAATAGATGAAATGGAAGAGAAATTGTGCTAAGGTAATAATTTGCGAAATTTTCATAGTGTGAATGGATGGAAAAAAGGGGCTGCGGGGCGTTTTCAAAGGTCCCTCACGTACATAATCCACAATAGCGGCTGAACTGTCAACACTTCCAATGTGTAACGGATGGGCAAGATGGCCGAGTTGGTCCATGGCGCGAGGTTAAGGTCATAATCTTAACACGATTTCCTCGTGGGGAAACCCTCGTGGGTTCGAATCCCACTCTTGTCAATACGATTAATTTTTTCGTCTCTCCTCTTTATTATTCATTCCTTTTTCTTTTCGTGTGCGGAGCTAGCAAATAGCAAATAGCAAACAACAACTAGCACTGTGTTGCTAGTACCTAACTGGACGGTGGCGTCAAACTTGGGCTGGCTGGGTTGCGGGGAATGTTACATAATGGACGATTTCCATGCAATTTGAGCTTCTAGAAGCACGAAATCGTTCGTTGAAACAATAGAATGCCGTAGCTATCAGCCCATCTTCTCAGCTTCCCGCTACAGCACGGTCCACCCCCGGATCTTCATGGTTATGTAAAAGCAGCCTCATCTCCTCACTGGTCTATTAACGTCGCTAATGTAGGTCATTTGCTGATCATCCGGTTCCCCGAAATTTCGAAATTATATCGTCATTTAATAAGCGTGTTCCACTCAGCTGAAAAGCCAGGATGGTCACAAGTTGGCCCGGGTGGAACATCGGAGGTCAAGCTGATGCGACGTGACGGTAACACGGTCTTCCTTTCTCGCGGTTAACTAGGCTGTCAGGTTGTACAAAATATCATATCATGAAGACTCGTATCGAGAAGCGAGTTGGGATATTTTAATTCATATATAGTCTACTACCCTGTCCATACACGTTGAGCAGGTCAGGTCATACCACCATCGAAACAAGATTCGACATGTTGATCGAATGTCGAGATCTTCTCGGACCTCAATGCTGGCTTATTTGTCGGGCCGGCAGGTGATGAGCAAGCCCCTTTCATATAACGTCAAACGGCCAGCCTTCCGACCCGGCCGAGTGGCCGAGCTTTGGTTCGGCCTGAGACAATCTCGGAGTCCGTAATTTATGCGGTTGCCACGTGTCTTCAGTCCATTTACCCTCTTTCTTTTGCGGGCCCATGCTTCTCACAACGACAATCTGCCCTTTCAAGTTATGTTTTCTATGTGAATATCATGTTAAGTAGCGAGGCAAAACTCTGACAATGTTGATAATCGAGGCTGAATAGCTTGGCAGGAAATATGAGGATCATTGCCATAGCTTGGCTACTACTAGGTACCTAGTAGGTAAGCTCTTACTCATCTCGCGGATTTCATCACTATGAAAAATGGGTACCTGCCTAGATACCTAAGCATCATGACTCCTCACTTCTTAAATTCTTAGAAAGTATGGTATGACACTCGCTGTATACCCGCTGAAGTTTACTCAACTCTTGCGGCCTGCAAAATTCTATCTGTCACCGTTACTGTAATAAACCTAGCAAGCAAACTCTTTCCCTTGTGTTCTTACCTACATAGGTAGCATTCGATAATAATATGTCATTCCCCATACCTCGAAGGAATTCTTAGCACATATGTAATCCAACCAAGTAAGTCACACATTTTCCTAATATAGAGTAGCTTATGAGAATCGCCGCCGAAATAGGCAACCCACACAGATAACAATGTGACTAAAAAGGACGTTTTAACGGAACTAACTAGATGGGGTCAAACACGTGGTTATAACGGTGACGGGAAGCAGCAAGGATCAGACAGGGAATATTCTGTTTCTAGGTAGGAAAAGTCGGGTTTCTGCCTCTTTCCGATAGAACGGACCCGGTTAGATCCATGGGTGCTACCCGAGTTGCTGGGATCGTATGTTCGGGTTCGCTGCTAGGTGGTATAGCCCGCCCGCCCTGCGCACGATGCTAAAATATCAAAACAATTTCGCTTCATGTCCGGAAAACAACTATCTAGGTACCCGATCATAAGTACGTACGATCCAAATTGCCCAGACATCTAGCTATGTGCTTCTGGAAATAGGTAGATGCCCGACATCATTTAGATACAATCGACTTGTTTTAGTCCTTAAAGTACTTACACTCCGGCCTGTCCGAGATACTAACGCTGAGCCGCAGAAGCATTAGAATTTTCTTTAGCTAAGTCCAGACATTGAAATATATGGTAAATTAAGAGCATCTATCGATGACACTAGGGCCGATCAACCAAGAAAGGGGCCTGTTGATCGACAATTAGTACATGCGTACGAGGCTAGACACCTTAGTGCCTAGTACGCCGCAAGATAGGATCAGACAATGTCACCATATCTACTAGAGTAAGTTAAGAAAGCAGGCTACAAATCCTCAGTAGTTTGGGTTGGGTCACATCGGAGGTAGTGATAGGCCAACTCGCAGTAGCATTGAGGAGCTGCTTATACATCTTCTCCTCATGGCGGAGACACCCGCCCCTCGGGTACTACCACGATGCAGATAGGATTCGGAACTGGACAGCCAACATCGTTCAAGCGTAGTTACGGTCGCGGCATGACGTTATAACCCGTGCCATCCCATGAGCGGGCATCGTAAGCTCCCTTTTCTATATATTCGCGAGGCCTATCTCACACCTTCATAGCGTCTCCCTTTCTTCACACCATCCCTTACATTCATAATTATTCCAATACCCCGCCTCAAAATGTATAGCCTAACTCGTCTTGCTATAATATCAACTCTGTTGCTTGGCTCAGCAACAGCGCTGCTTAAGCCTAATATAACGGCGGTTGCCGCCGTGGACGGCCATTCCACTATCCAGTGCTGGCAGCTTGATAATGCATTTACTTCCAAAAATGTTCTAAACAGGAGTAGTATCTACTCAGCGGATCTGGGTGGTGCTGCTAATTTATCTTACACTTTCATCCCACCCAATTACGACCAAGGTGTCCACAGTGCACCATACAACCAGTAAATCCACTCCGAGCATACCTAGGCTAATCAACAAGTACTAACAGGCTTAATAATAGATGGGTTATTTTCATCAAAGGGATAGGTTTGATAACTGTTCCCAACGATAATACTACCGCCTATGTCGCTCCGGGCGAGACGGGTATCGTATTCGCTTCCGATACTTCTGATATTACTGTTGATGGCCACCGGTCTCAGTACCTCGGTGTGACGGAATCAATCATCATGCAAATCCCGGCTCTAGACAACAAAGTCCCGGCCCACACCGTATTACATCCGGGTGGTTGTGATACGTCCGAGATGTCCGGTCTATGGGAATTGGCCTTGGGTATCTCCATCTCGTCCCAGACTTGACTTTAACATCCCTTGAAGTTGACTTCAAGTAGCAGGGAATTCACGCAGCCAGCACCAGGAAGGCGGAATTTTTCGGGTAGATTTTAACCCCTTTTCATTTATTTATGGGCTATGGACATGAAGGTGCATTTTAAGGCGTATCGGGGATATAATATGTTGTAATTTTTTCGAAGGGTTGGCTTGATGATAGCTTCGGAAAGCTGTGACGATTCAAGCTTTACGACCCGATTAGACTTGCGAAAACTATCGTGAACGGCAGTTTGAGAATATGCAAGGGAAGCAGGAATAATATACGTACTCTTAAGATAAAGCAAGCCCTGAGACTTCCGACCTAGGCCGGGATACTATGTGGCCAAGACCCCTGCATTAGCTAGTTTAATAGACTAAGTGACACCGGTCGATGGCTAACTGCCTGGGAAGCTCCACAGACGATATGAAGCAAAAGCCCAACTTCGTACGGTGCTAAACGAATCGACGATGCATATTTGGCGCTAAACATATATACCTGGAAATATATAACAAGAAAGGGGGCCTGTTCGTTAAGCGTATCGTCATCGCTCATCCCTGCCACGATATATACCTAGAAATTGCTTAGTACTAAGTTTGCCGATTACAACCCAAAACCTTCATCGCCGTCCTCATCAAGCTCAAGACTTGGATGTCCATTTGGAACCGAAAAGTTGTCCCAAGCTCCGGTCATTTGGGCCATTGCCGAATGATCCTCGATGCCCCCATCATCATAGGCGTAGTCCAGCACTGTGGGTTTAGCGAAAGCTAACTGGTTCTCTGAGCTGCGATCATATGACCATACGCCTGAATCTTTTCGATTCTGGGATCTGTAGAAGGGTTGAGGCCCGCTCGACAAGTCACTCAATGCCTGTTGAGAAAGCATCGGGTCATGATTATGAACAAGCGGTGGCGCTGATATCGCGGTCTCGTTTCTGGCATTTTGGTACGATCCTTCGGGTCTTTTCTGGAGTTCCAGCCGTTCCAACTTTTTCACGAATTTCCAACGAAGAACAGAATAATCGAAACCGGGCCGGTGATCTAACTTCGTCAGTAGGATGAGCGACAATCGAATATATCTAATCAATTTTAGTACTTACAGGGCTCTGGGATCTCGTTGTGGTAGTTTGGCCCCCATAATGCACGGCAAATCTTCTTGTAGCATTGATCTGGATTGCCCTTGTCCTTCTGGAAATTGAGTTGTCCATACGCTTCATCCTGCGCTTCGGTCATCCACTCGGCATCTGAGTCTTTCCGCCATTTATCTGGATTTGTACAACTCAACATATGCTTCTGTTTCTCTTCGCGGACTTGTTCCAATTTGTATTTGTTGAATCTCTTGCCACATCTCTCACAGCCGTTCCACAGACAATGCACTCTTTTGATATGTTCTCTAAAACTTCTGTTAATACAAGTCGTGCATGAAACAACCAGGAAGCATGTAACGGTACTTACGTCAGCTTTCCAATATCCTTGAAACCAAAGCGGTTCGTACATGCGCTTGTGACATGCAAATACCGGGAGGGGTTATGTTTCCAGAAAGGGCAAGCTAAGTTGTCCTTATGCTCCTCGATGTGAGTAAGATCGTGAGCCTCTTCATCAAATAATTCGATCACTTTGCTCAAAAGGACCACTGCCCCTCCTTGGTTGGGCATAGATGAAGCACCAAGGTTTCCATCACTTCCACATGGCCGATGCCGCTTAAGTGACATGCTTTATGTGCCAAGACCTCAAGACGTTAAGATCCAGAATATATCACACTTTCAAATGCGGCGATTTTCCCCTGAACTCTCTGCTCACGAGTCTTCGTGGTTGTTTCTCTATCAAATGAGTCCTCGGCTAGTCTTACTGATATTGGTGGTGTTGGACAGCGCATCCACCTTTCAATACCTCGGGAGCCCTCCTGATCTTCCAGAGGCCCAGCGGAATACACGCTCTCCTGAAAACAGGGTATTGTCTGGCTACTCGTAAGTATCAGCATAGAGCTGCTAGGGAACGTAAACATAAGGAATAAATCAATAAGGCAACAGGAGATTCTGAATAGTTGTTGCATTCAAGGTACCTGTTATTGGGAACTTGTCGTTTCATTTGGCATTGTAGTCTAGCTCCCCTCTATGTCGTAGCATTGAACAGGTAAGAAAGTAAATATAATGAAAACGGACACAAGCCGTTTTTTAAGTGCGGGAACAACACCCTTAGCCATAATCGCAGATGCGATTCTGAATATGGCAACCCAGCCTTACATGCGAAGAAATGCACCGCATGCTATCTCTAACCATATTTAGTATCCCGGCTTTTCTTGGCCAGTAAATGATGCTGACATGATGTGTCTGTTATAGAAATGTGTTGCGCGGGCGTGGATGCGCTATTCTAAGCAGCCCCTTTTCTGGGTATTTATAACCTACCTCTTATAAAGCCTCCTCCCACGTCTGAGAACCCTAACAATTTACCTTGTACCAATTTGGAAGATTCTTTTTTTTAAAAAAAAAAGAATCCTGTCTCTCATGAACACATTGAAGAACATTTATAATTGTAGGTAATAAGTAGAATTAGTACCTACTAGGTAGTGTGCAGACGAGCTCACTTTAGTATTTAGCAACGATCGAAAGGGGAGAATTTTAACCAAATGTAACCGACAAGCAGACAATTAATACGAATTATGAGTATCTTAGTAGCTATAGTACGTATGATGTAGTGGCTTATCTTTATTCTCATTTTAATGTAAAATCTTTGCTTGGTTACCTTCTGGGCAAATAGGTGAATAGGACTCCTTACCCGCGAATAATATTAGAACCCTACTATGAAATTTGATATACGTCAGGAGTTTTGGAAGGTCACCTAGATACGCTAGGGACCTTAGATTAATGGGCTTTAAAGATGTCACCAAAAGAATCTAGGGGTTAGCGAAGAGGGTGTTAAAACACCCCTATATGCAACTTTAGCAGGACTTGTTGAAGTTGGAGTCCGGAGCGCTGTTTCCTAATTTTACATATTCTAATAGACAAGTTCCCTTGAAAGATCCAAGTGAAACTTATACTATATGGTTTGGAATTTCCCGCCTTCTGGTTTTCCTGTATGTCTTGGGCCTGGATCTGAATAGGGCCTTGGGGATCGTGGTTTGCTATGTGCATGCTTCGATGCCGAGTATTTGACCTAGCCACATCCTAACGTGAAATTAAACTCATGTTTCATATTTTCCTAGGGTCGATCTGAACTGCTCTCGAAGTAATCTTCCTTCTTTTCCGCCATCTCTGCTTCAACATCTCTGAGCATAGATCTCAATTAAGGATTCCAGCCCGAACTCTTAGATTAATAATACTATTCGATCGAACTAATTATATGATCTAATGAACTAGGTATTAATATAGGTGATGAATATTATTTAATCAATCGAGTGTGATATAGCCCTTGTCGTGGTCGTGCAGATGATCTTGCCCTAATATATCAAAACCACATTCCTCAGCTACTGAGCTTGTCTAGGTTCGACGTTCGTTATGACGACCACAGATATCAGATTAAAGACGCGCTCTTACGTATGTGGCTACTATTAGACCTTAATTAGACTCTATCTATGCGTATCGTAGGTAGCTAGATTTCTGCGAGGTTGCCGGCACCTAGTTGTGATGTGATGTTATCGCATCCAAGGGACGCATCGAGCTTCAGTCCCCGTCATTACTATATAAACCACGTAATCCTCCCTCCATGGATGACGGTTTCCGCCTTGTATAACATCACATTTAATTTAAACACTGAGTCGTCCATGTCAGTATCGCAAATCCTCTGGGCAACTTCTCGCCCGATCGGGGTCGTCCTGGGTAATTACATAGGAGAAGAAGCGCTGAATTCGACTTCTTTACCTTGCACTTCAAAACTTTCGAACCACGGAAATGCGTTATAGTCTAAGAATACTGGTTGTCGCAGCATTTGTGTCAACCGCTCTTGCAAATTTCGCCATATATATCGGGAAGACTAACGACATCACTGACGTTGGCGTAACCTTCAGTTCCACAGAATTGCAGATTCACAAGCACGCGCCGCTTAGCTGCTCTGACATGGGCCACGTGATTCCCATCTCTGCGAGCACTATAAACGATGCGAGCAAGGGTCGCTGGGCCTGTGATGGGTGTAACGCAAAAGCGCCTAGGGATTGGATCATCAGCCGGTTCGAGATGTACAACCGGAAAAACGCCATTGGTCGTTCCACTGATCACCCTTTTCCACTATTCAATAGGGCTACTGGAGCCGTTAGTGAGTCTAATTAAACCAATGTTTACTCTAGAGCCTCAAGTCGCTAACCGCGTACAGCTTTGTATGGAACTGGAAATGGGAATTATGACATGAGGGACATCAACAATACCTTTCTTGGGACTTGTAACCGTCCTCGTCGCCCCCAGGAGATGGACTGCTGGCAGCTTATCTCGGCAACCTTTCTCACACATGTATTTACTTGTAAGTGTGAAACTATATTGAATACCTGTCTCCTCGGCTTGCTTACTAATATAATATCGTCCAGGCACCACTGACCTCGTCCCAAATGAGAGACTACGGATATCAATTTAAAAAGATAATAATATGAAAGGGGCGCTGGCCTGAGCGATGGGTTGATAGCAGAGTTGGGATAACAGTGGTGTGTTTCGTCTACGTGGCTTCAGTTTGACATTGGCTCTGATTATCATTAGGGCTTCACCATGATCATCAAAGCGCACGTGGTAGATTATCCGATCTCCAGAACCTTTCCCTAGGTACCTAGCATTAAGTACCTAGGTAACTTCTTGTTAACTTTTGGGTTGTTTTTAGATTTGAATGCCACTGCCCGATATAAGTGGTGGTAAGAAGATCAGTGGGACAATGAGAGATTGGAGACCTACCTACCCACATTCCTACTCAGGTAATTAGCTAGTTATGAAGGGTTATAACTGATTCCCAAGGCAAATCAAGGGCTGAGAAGGAATTTTAAGATGTCTCGGTTATGATTTGGACAGTTACCTACCTAGGTAGACGATGTCAATATCAGCATTCTAGCTAATAGGCATGTGGCAGAAGCAATTGTCAATGATGAATCAATGAAGATGTCATACGTCCAAACAGAAACTTATAGAGTTAGCAGCGGTAAGTTTTAGGTGTTAGCATGAAAGCATTCCAGTGTTGCCTTGCCCTCTAACTCGCGACGAATAGCTAGCAATAGATATAACGTGCAGAGACGCTTTCTGACTCGTGAATCCCTATGATGTTTACAGCCACGTTTCTTGTAGTACCTGTACCTACCTACACTCTGTCAAGTTTGCAGAGGTACGAATGATGTCTCAGCCCCCACCTACGCTCCACGCGTTGATTTGTGCGTATTATGTAAGTATCTGTCCTGACTTGAGACTGACTATGAGGTACGTGAGCAATTGGGTGAACGCGGGAAACCGAGACAAGAACATGCATTTTCATATATGCTAAACTCACCGGCTTCGCTTATTTTGGCAATTCTTGATTGCATTGCATTACCCAGGAGGGGCGAAGTCGCTTGAGGTGTAGCCATGCTGCTGATCGAGGTAACTATCTGTGTAATAGATGGCTAGGCACATAACTTGTTATTGGCTCGCGCCTTGCATGTCAGGGTGTTGTGGCTGGCGCCTCTTAGGCTTGACCAGATCGATTTTTCAGATCGATTTTGCATTTCTTTAGTGCCGTACACCTCGAGAACCGTGGCTATGGTGCCTTATATAGGCACTTACCTAGTTAGTATAGAAGGATCTGTACCATCTCTGGTGACACTAGCAGATAATATAACTTCGCATTTCGTTTCTATTCCTTCGTCTAGAGGTAGGCCTTCTCAGCGACATGTTCCATCATCTAACCTAAGTTATGGTCAGCATATCATATCTCTTGCTCGGTGCGTTGTCCTTCGCAAGCAAGTCTATGGGTAATCTTAGGCCGGTCTCCATAACTTCTCGAATCATCCCCGAATCGAGCGATAATCAGCCAAGCCTACGGCTGGTGCAGATGCCTTACAGAAGGGTGAAAGCAAATGTAGTAATTAAGGATTTTCCCGGTGAGAGTGAAGGTGAATATTTCCCAAATAAATATCTTCTCTAGTTGTGGTTTCATGATGACTAAATGGAACCCAGATCCCCGCGGCACGAGCTACTATGGGGATGTGGGCGCATCTGACCACGCCACCAATGAGGATGGGTGTACAGCGGTCGAAATAAGAGATGCAACAACGCTTTGGACGACGCCCCGGCCGCTTATTCCCACGACAAAGCCTCTAAATTTAGACAAAAGAGGATTAAGCACAGAAAGCATTATCGGAATTGCGATCGGCGTACCGAGTGTAATTCTTATGATTACCTCAATTGTCATCGCATACTTTGGGTGGAGGAGACGACGAAGCTTTTTCGGAAGGTTATGCGGTAGGCGCTGACGATCGCTCCCCACCTCATCATCGGTCGAGGTCCGGCCTTTAGATATCTACGCGGCGAGGCCAGGGGCTTTTCCAGATCTGGTTGTGGTCATCCAATGAAGATTACATAGAGTGAGCATCGGAAAGGGTAGATGTTCATGGATCTGAAAATAGAGTATTATGTTAGATGCGTACCTGCATTCAAAATGGGTAAATTAAGGGAATGCTACCTGTAGCAGCTCTGGGGCCTTCCTAATTGGGCGACGAGATTCCTAGGGGAGACTGGGGATGAGGTGTGCCACTTATTAACCGTCAGTGAAACTCGGAGCAAACCTCGGCCAATCATCCCGTCCCTCCGTCACACGACTATATATCACCAGAATAGGTAGCTCATAACATACCCAGCAGCCCTGGCAGCCCTAGCTATCTTGTATGCGTGCTGAACATAGATAAAGCAGGTCGCATTTTCTCTACCTGGAATACGACCCTATTGGCGATGGTGCTGGTGCAGCGGGTCAACTGTCAACGTTGCAGGTCATCCGCTATAATCTTAGTTCGTCATCAATAATATTATCGCTGTTATCTGATTTCTCACTAACATAAGCTGTTTCGCTCCTGAATCAATATATTGTAACGTAGTGGTATAGAGTATGAGACCTCCTCTTGCTACCGACCAACTGATCGGCAGTGAACTTGCCAAGCCCGGGATCATCGGCCGATGCACGACAGCGCTATTCCGGATCCCCTGAGGTCAGATGTGGAAGAGACGAAGCTCCTTGCCCGTCATCACGCCGACTTCCCCTTTAGCATGTGTACCAGACCTTGACGCGGCTCCTTCCCAAGCCCGGAATCGCCTTCTACTACGGTCTATGCCACGTTCAGAAATTCGATCACAGGCTTACCTTATGTATCTTCTCCAAGTACTGTGACTGGTATTCCGCGTGCATCATGTAACGTCTCCTGACATATTCGACCTGTTGGCTGGGAACATTCCAGCGTATCTGCCTAGGTATGTAAGCCTCCAAGAGCTGTATCTGTCAGCCTTCAGCTATTGAGAAGATAAATAAGTCAAGATGCTCCCCAGTTCCTCGCTCATCTCTTTTCATTTCGGTAGGCACAAGCATCGCTTCAGATCACATTCCCTTAACACACTCCCTAGAATCATAGAATCTTAGTATCTTTGACAGATCATCCGCTTCTTGTATATAGTTCGTTTTCTGTACATTTCACCTGAATTCACCAACATGCATCTTTCTACCGTATATAGCAGCCTCGGCCTTATGGCCGGATTAGCAACAGCTCTTCCCCATGCTCACAAGGCCCGTCAGTCCACAGGCGCACAGACAGTCGTCTACTGGGGCCAGAACGGTGGCGGTACCATCGAGAACAACGACCTCTCGACTTACTGTTCCTCCACATCCGGCATCGACATTATCGTCCTAGCCTTCTTGTACCAGTGGGGTAACGGAGCCGACATCCCCTCTGGTACCATCGGCCAGTCCTGCTTCATTAGCACTGCTGGCGAAGGCCAGAACTGTGATGCCTTGGCCTCGGCCATCACGACTTGCCAGTCTGCCGGCATCAAGGTCCTCCTATCACTGGGTGGGGCCACCGCCTCTTACTCTTTGTCCTCGGACTCGGAGGCCGAGTCGATTGGAAACTACCTCTGGCAAGCCTACGGAAACTCGGGCAACTCTAGCGGTGTCCAACGTCCCTTCGGCGATGTTGTTGTCGATGGCTTCGACTTTGACATCGAAGTGAACCGAGGAAGCGAATATTACCCTGCCATGATCTCCGCATTGCGCACCAACTTCGAAACTGATTCTTCTCGCACTTATCTTATTTCAAGTGCCCCGCAATGCCCCATCCCAGAGCCTAATCGAAAGTATTCCCTTCTCTTAATGCTGTGGCTCTTCTGTGTACTTATAAAGGGTTTTTTTTTAAATTTTTTTTTTTTTTTTTTTTTTTTTTTTTTTTTTTTTAAGTATAACTGTTCCTATATGACTCAAACTAACATTATTAAAGTGGGAGTCGTCATCGGCAATGCTACGTTCGATTACATCTGGCCCCAATTCTATAATAACAACAACTACACTTACCCCTGCGCTCTCCCCATTAACGGCAACGCCCCTTTCAACTATGACGGATGGCTTAACTTCACCGCCAGTGGCCCCTCAAAGGACGCCAAGATCTTCATCGGTGTGCCGGCCTCTCCCTTGGCCGCCAACGGCAGCCCGACTGGAGAGACATACTACGCAACTCCCGACCAACTCTTGACTATCGTCAACAGCGTCAAGGACGACTCGAGGTTCGGTGGTGTGATGATGTGGAGTGCCGGATTCTCGGACTCAAACGTTAACAACGGCTGCACCTACGCGCAAGAAGTGAACAGCATCCTGACAAAGGGAGCCGTTTGCTAGATGCATACACCACACTCACAGACTACCACGCCGCACTAACACATACATACCGCATTATACCCATGTACATAAACATAGTATGTGCTTGTAAATAGCAAATACAGCTTACATAACATCTCTCATATAAAATGTGTTTCTACCGGTACTATCGTTCGATATATATTATGACTAGATAATTCTCATTAGAAAACACGCCTGAGATCTAATAGTTAGATTTCGTCTGGTAGAGATGTTCTTCTATGGGTGAAATATTCCCCCCTTTATATTGGCCCAGGGGTAATATTGCGAGTTGTTACACAAGGAAGTAACGGTCCCAGAGCGAAATCATTAGCGGAAGGAAGGAACCTACCGGAGAAGAGTGGGTACCGGGGTCCGGACTCCCGGTTGCTCTTCTGTAAGTCGATCGAAGTGAAACGCCGTCTGGTATCGACTCGGTGAGTGCAAGCAATTTAGTTTGCATTTGTATGAAGTCTTGCAAGCTCGAGCGCTTCCTATTTATACTTGACATATTTACTCCGACTCGTTCGACAGCCAGTGAAACATTGCGACCGTAGAAGAATAGCGCTGCTGACCATGGATGTACGTGACATGTGACAATTCGGGGCGGCGGAGACCTAAAACGCAGTGAGAACTTTCTAGGCTATAGCATGCTAGTGACATATTGTCGGAGCGGAAGGATATGAGAAGGGGATGCTTTGCCTCACCTAGCGCCTAGCTTAATCTTGTACCTGCCGAGATAGGTAGGGTTGAACAGAGACAATAGTAGTCTGAACGGATCGCTGCAAGACTTCCAGTTATGGCATCATGGTTGGGAGGAGGTAGAGTGTCCTCTAGTCATTCTAGCTACTCTATTCGGTACTTGCCCAATTCTTGAAGAGTCTCACCGAAGACATGGTATACGAGCTAAAACAACGAAATCGGCTCATAATCATAGTCAGCGGGGTTGTCGAGATTAGGTAGCTTATCGAGAGATGAGCTCAGGCCTAACTTCAAAAGTTTTAGAAGGGGTTTCTGGGAAGTATCGCATATACATACCAGAATTAGACAGCGAGGGGATAGTATCCGGCAATGGTCAATATCGTTCAACTATTGCTTCTGGCTACATACCTACCTAGTCGCTTCTGATATTATTGCATCTATGCACTATGAGCTATGCCAAGTTCTTTGGGATTGAGATGATTCCGATGCATCGAACAAAATGTATATATTGTGTGAAGGGTACCTATAAGTTATTCGCGAAGGTAAGCAGATTCCGTGGCGAAAACCTCAAGGCATTGGCTTGGGAAGCAAATTCCCCGCGCTGTGGCGGAGGGGTTAAGCAAGCGATCGGAGATGAGCCTTGAAAGTAACATAAAATGATGGGTTCAAGACTGAATTCCAATATGGTATGTTGTTCGATAATAGTCCTATTTGTTAGTAAGGGTAGTTTGTAATATTAGTAGTAAATCCGCTAAACACCATGATCATAAATCTGCCTAGGTAAACGTTCTTCACGATTGCTCTAAGTGGTTCTATTTGGTAAAGATAACCTTAAAAAGGAAGTCTTGGTGTAAACCCACTTCACGCTGCTACGTGATAGGTGGGTTAGCTGGCTGTCATATCTAAGTCCCTATCAGATAAACCCATGTGGGGTAACCTCTTGTGTGCGACAGTAGCACTTACTATGTAATCCGATCCTGTCTATCCCTTTCCCCTCGTTTAGATTTCGTAATCGTCTAGGTGGTTGAAAGAGTCTAATTCATCTAGACATTACCTAGTTCATGTTTAAGTCGTTGAACCTAATATAAAGCGCGTTTGCCCATTGTGTATTCCGGTAATCAATTGGTAAACGTTAACTGACTTGCAAATCCTTAAAATAGCCATGGCGTCTGCCCCCTTTATTGAACTCACTGCGCCAAATGGCGTCAAGTATTCTCAACCGACCGGACTCTTCATTAACAATGAATTTGTCCTATCTGCTAATGGCGAGAGCCTAGACTCTATCGATCCTGCGTGAGTTTACCAAGTTCTTCAAAATGGCAGGGAGTAAATCCTAACAGTCAAATTACTCAGCACCGAAGAGAAGATCGCCGCAGTACAGGCCGCTAGCGAGGTAGATGTGGACAAGGCCGTTAAGGCTGCGCATAAGGCTCTCAAGGATCCTTCTTGGAAACTGCTGCCTGCGACGGATCGCGGAGCGCTTCTATATAAACTAGCAGATCTTATAGAAGAAAACCGTGAGGTATTCGCGACCATCGACGCATGGGATAATGGTAAGTCTTATTGCCACCTTACCGCTCGGGAATTTCTTAGGCACCATTTTCATACGGTGAATGGATAGTTTGAGGAAATAAGAAGTAACAGGTTATTCCTAGGTAAAACATATGCCGAAGCCCTGGAAACTGATCTGACGGAGGCCATAACCGTCATCCGCTATTACGCGGGCTGGGCCGACAAGACTTACGGTCAAACCATCAACACCACCCACCAGAAGTTCGCTTACACGATTCGCCAGCCCATAGGCGTCGTCGGACAGATTATCCCATGGAACTACCCCCTTTCGATGGCCACCTGGAAGCTGGGGCCAGCTATTGCATGCGGAAACACGGTCGTCCTCAAGGCGGCAGAGCAGACGCCCTTAAGTATCCTATTTCTCGGAACCTTGATCAAGAAAGCAGGATTCCCTCCCGGGGTGATTAACTTCATCAATGGTTTGGGAGCTGTGGCGGGATCAGCCCTGGTCAGCCACGCTCTCGTAGACAAGGTCGCCTTTACCGGAAGTACCGCGACGGCTAAGGCCATCATGGGCACGGCCGCCAAGACGCTCAAGAACATCAGTCTCGAGACCGGCGGCAAGTCTCCGTTAATCGTCTTCGAGGACGCCGACATCGACCAAGCTGTTAAGTGGTCGCATCTGGGTATCATGTCAAACCAAGGCCAAATCTGCACCGCGACCTCGAGGATTCTTGTCCACGAGAAAATCTATGACGATTTCTTAGCCCAGTTCTTGGAGAGGACCAAGACTACGAGTAAGGTCGGGCATCAGTGGGATAAGGACACCTATCAAGGCCCCCAGGTGTCCAAGGCGCAGTACGAGAGAGTTTTGGAGTACGTAAAGATAGGGAAAGACGAGGGCGCCACTTTGGCGTCGGGTGGCGAACCTGTCAAGGTCGCCGACAAGGACAAGGGATTCTACGTGAGCCCCACCATCTTCACAGACGTCCTGCCGACGATGCGGGTATGGCAAGAGGAGATCTTCGGCCCCGTCGTGGTCATCGCGAAGTTCACGGAGGAGCAGCAGGCCGTGGATCTCGCCAACAGCACGACGTATGGACTCGGCGCCGCCTTGTTTACCGAGAAGGTCGAAAGAGCGCACCGGGTGGCGGCGGAGATCGAGGCGGGTATGGTGTGGGTGAACAGCTCTCAGGACTGCGACCCGCGCGTGCCTTTCGGCGGCGTGAAGCAGAGCGGAATTGGCAGAGAGCTTGGAGAAGCCGGTTTGGAGGCGTACTCTCAGATTAAAGCCGTGCACGTCAATCTTGGAAATAGGCTATGAGAAGTGACAGTGAGCTGGTGGGGTCGGACGGTGGTCGTGCTCTAGTGTAGCGGATGTGATGTCTCTATCTTATCGGTCTCTTGAACAAAATGGAACTCGATGATAGGTTGAGACCATCTTAGCTATCTTGTGATATTGCACACCTATTTATGGTTGTGTAAGCGGGGTATCGTATATTCCGTGAGAGTGTGGATAATGCACGGTTCGTATGGTAGGGGATAGCGTGGTCCAGGGATGATACGCTGATATATTCAGACCGTCGTCCATCCTCCATGTTTCGATTTCTCGCTCTTTTTTATCAGTTCCGAATATTTCTTTGAGTGAGAAACCCGGGTCCTCCGTCTTGGCAGCTATAGTTCCGTCCGGAGATGGAGTTTTCCTGGCCGGCTTAGAAAATACGTACGATCGGGTCGCGACATCGTCCAGCATGTCGATGCCATTCTAGCGCACATTGTCCACCTCTAGAACACACCATTGCCACGCAAGATTTCCGCAATAGGCAGGTGTCGAACACAAACCCTGGTAATTTTGCCGTCGGGTGTCCGCCATTCGAGTTGGACATTGCACCATCAGTTAAACAATAAATAGCATCGCAAAAGGACAAACAGAGCAGGCAAGGGGTTATGAAAGGGGAACTACACCTCATCTTATTCTCGCTCTCTTCTACCTAGTCTCACCATGCATACCTGGATTTCTAGCTAGATAGGAGGTAGGTATATCTCAACGTAGTCTCAACGTCGTCGTAATGAGCATATTGTCTGGTCGTCTCATCGACATACAATTACCTATTCCCTGAAAATGGCGGACCCCATCGAAAACGGCGTTTCGCCAAAGCCTAAGAAAGCCATAGTGACAGAGGCGCACGTCGCACCCCTCAACGATGAGACAAGTGTAGCGCACAAGGTGGGCTCCGAAGATCCTCAGCGCGATGAAGATACTGTATATGTGAAAGGTCATCCAGTAATCCGGAATGGTAACAACTGCGCATTTTCTTTTTCTCTCTTCCCGATATCCATAACTAACAAATCCAAATAGGAGCCGATGTATCCAAATACTTGGTCTCGTGTCGCGACGACGGCGACCCCGCCTTCACTTTTCGTTCCATAGTTCTAGGCTCTATTTTCACTGCGCTTTCCAGCGTTATTACCATATTATACACCTTTAAACCGTTCCAAGTCCAAGTTTCGGCCGTTTTCATACAGCGTAAGTCTGCGTAAGAAAATTGCTGGACTTTTCTAACTCATCCCATTTAGTCTTGGTTTTCGTTTTTGGAGAGGCATGGGCATTATTGACTCCCAACCCGAATCGAGTTAAAGGAAAGTGGCTGCAAAACACGTTCCGTTTTCTCAACTTTGGGCAGCCGTTTGGGATTAAAGAGCATGTTGTGGCATCGTTAATCGCCTCGTCTGGTAATAATGGATTGTCGGGAGTCGAGGTGAGCTTTTGATTTAACTACATGACATGGTCCTAGCTTGAATATTTGGCGAAATTATTACTAACTGCTCTTTTGAAGGTGTATGCGATAGAGCGACTATTCTACGACCGAAGTGTCTCTGCTTCTACTGCGGTACTCGCTACCTTCTCAATTTCACTCTGCGGGTTTGTAGTGGCGGGACTACTAAGGCCACTGATCGTCTATCCCGCCGAAATGGTCTACTGGTTATCACTCCCGCAAGTCGTCCTCTTCCAGAATCTCCACTTTGACCGGATCGCCAATCGAGGCCGCCTCAAGAAGTTCGGTTGGGCTCTTGCCTTTGCCGCTGTCTGGGAAATATTCCCAGCCTACATCATACCATGGTTTAGTGGTATCTCGATTGTCTGTCTAGCGACGATCAACGCCCCTAAAAGTACCCGAACTGTCATCTCCACGATCTTCGGCGGTGCTTCGTCTAATGAAGGGCTCGGTATCTTCAACTTTAGCCTCGACTGGCAGTATATCCAGAGCCAATATTTGTCCTTGCCGCTTAAGCAACAACTAAATTCTTGGATTGGCTTAGTGATCTTATATGCCGCGTTGACTGGGCTTTACTACTCAAATACCTGGAATGCGAAAACTTTCCCATTCATGTCTACGTCCCTCTTCTCAGCTAATAGCACCGTTTTCCAGCCGACAGCTATTCTAAATGATCAAGGGGTCATCGACTACGCCAAGCTCAACGACGTTGGCTTACCATACCTGACCTCAGCGACAGTATGGGGTTATCTGACGCAGTCGATTGCCATTGGAGCGTTGATAAGTCATGTTATAATATTCTTCGGCAAGGATATGGTTGCTGCTTGGAAACAGGCGCGAAACAGGACGCAGCCCGATGTCCATTACCAAGCCATGTTGAAATACAAGGAAGTACCGCACTGGTGGTACATTGCCCTTTTCGTCCTCTGTTTCTTCGCAGGGTTAGCTGTAAATATCATCGGGGAAACCACGCTTCCTGCCTGGGGTTATATCATTTCCCTTCTTTTAGGGGCTTTCATCGCCCCCTTCTCCTGTATTCTCTACGGCTTGTATGGGAGCGGCGTCGCGACGAATCAGATAAGCAAGATGGTCGCAGGAGTTGTTCATCCCGGTCGTCCGCTGGCCAATCTATACTTCGCTAGCTGGTCACATCAGGTTATCCTCCTTGCCGTGAACCTCGCGAACTGGTTAAAAGTGGGAGTCTATTGCAAGATCCCTCCCCGGACTATGTTCACCACGCAAATTTACGGCACTCTCCTCGGCGCAGGCCTGAACTACGCAGTCATGACAAGCATCGTGAACAGCCAACGAGAAATACTACTCGACCCATCCGGAAATAATATTTGGAGTGGGTCGGTTGTGCAGAGCATGAACTCTCAGGCAGTGACCTGGGCTCTGGCAAAAGACATGTATGGGTTGTCGGGACGCTATGTCATCGTTCCTCTCGGGCTCCTCATCGGATTTTTCCTTCCAGTCCTGCATTGGACCCTGATCAAAATAGTTCCGCGCGTCAAAGATTATCCCATTAATACGGCGTTGATATCTGCGTATGCTGGTATAAATTACTATGGAAATACCTCGTGGATTTGGTCCTCGATTGCGGTGGGCATCTTTTCGCAACTTTGGCTAAGGCGTCGGCTGCCAAATATCTACAACAAGTACAACTACCTCATCGGAGCAGCGTTGGACGGAGGGTCACAATTGGTGATTTTCGTCCTTTCTTTTGCGGTTTTTGGCGCTAGTGGAACAGCATACCCATTCCCCTCGTGGTGGGGCAATCCATCTTCAGGAAACCCGGATCATTGCCTATAGATTATTCTGAAGATATTCGCAGATTGACTGAGCTTAGTCATCGACTAAATTAAAAGGGAGGTGAGGGCCAAGACATAAAAGGGGCATATGGTGAGGCAAAATAACTTGAAAACTTCCACCTAATTAGGTAGAGTATTAAATTTAACTATATTGTAAATATACTCGACCCCTGGATCCATGACATTTTATAACATCATAGGCGTGGCGGGTCTGTATCGTACCTCTGCGAGAAGATGACCAACGCATTGCTCTGAATGCTTGGCTATTTCATCGCGAGGCTTAACACGTCGATACCTTAATCGACTAACTGCGTTTTCGCGACTTAGCTTCGGCCTGAGCTGAGATAACGTCTTGGGCGCGATGTACACCCTCCTCTACCCCGCGTGATAACGGCCCGACCGGTCAAGAAGTCCCTTCATAGTAAGGTGAACTGGTCCATGGTAGAGTTATCTCATTCCCCAGATGACCCGAACAACCGGAGCTTAAGAGTGGCCGTGCTTTTCTCCCCGTGAGAGCAAGATTCACCAACTCGAACTCGCCCCAGGTATGTAGATCCAGAAAGCTTCTAGAAGCTTAGAAGAACCAACCGGATAAAGTATCTCAGCACACAACAACCGTGTGATACCTACACCCCAACTTCCCCAGCTCACCCCGCCCTCACACACGCCTCCGGCATAAAAGGCTCCAAAAACGGCGTCGCCACCCTCCACCCGTACACGCCGTGCCAGCTCCTGGGGCCGCGAAACGGGTCGAGGTCGACGCTCACATCAGCAACGACAGGCGTCGCGGCGCTCGAAAGCGGGGTATCGAACATCCTGACGAAGTAATCGCACGCCTGCGCGTTGGCGAACACAGGCTGGTTCGTGACGGCGCGGACGAAGTCGAGCGGGTACGGCACGCGGTTAGGCGAGGGCTTGGCCACGATGGACATGAACTTGGCGGCGGAGTTGGAGCCGGGGTTGGGGTTGGGCGCGGCCTGGCTGTGCGCGTAGGTCGCGCCGTTGGGCAGCGCGGCGTACGCGTCGCAGGGCGGGTCGAAGGTCGACGGGTGCACGGTCACGCCGTACCCCTCCGCGCCTTGGATGGCGAGCGCGTTGCTGGAGGAGATGAGGAAGGTGCTGGCCCATCGGAAGGACGAGCGGCCGTCGCCGAATATGTCGACGAAGGGGAATTCGAGGGATGCGCGCTGTTTTGGTTAGAGGGATGTCTTCTACTTGCTAGGAAGAATGAGAAGGGTCGGCTTACTGAGAAGTCGGCTATCGAGGCGTTGTATATAGGGAGTTGTATGTCGTGGTCGTGCACGATCTGCGCCATCATGGGGTACATGCCCTTAGGAAACGAAGGTAGCAGTTCTCGGTACGCTGCCTCGGCGATGCCGTATTCTTTGGGGATGAGCCGGCGGGCGGTTTTCAAAGAGATAGGTACTATTAATGTGGTCCCGTTGAGGTTCCCGCTCACGAATTCCGGGTATTGTTGAGCATGTTGATTTGGGGCGTCTTGCGTCATGCAGGTATCGTGTGGGGATGTAATTCTTTGCTGCGAAGATGACGTCCCGTGAATAGCAGCTAAGATGAAGAAATAGAATAGTAGGGAGCGCGATATCCCTGCTAATGAGAGCATCGGTGAAAAGGTATGGCTTCGTAGTGTTGCCGAGAATATAGCCATGATGGCGTGCCTTCGAGGTGAGGCTGTTTGAGTGCTGAAATTTAATAGGTATGAAAGTGAGTGAACTCAGCTGCTCAACATGAGTTCAGGGCGGCTCTGAACCGATATTAATTATTCTATTAACGGCAAACGTAATTTGGGTCTTCAGCAGGTAGGGCTAGGTTATTATCTCGCGGTCTTCCCTATAGAATAATATTGTTGTTAAAACCTGCGAACCTGGATATCGCGTGAGATTGACCACGTAGGCTGGAGTCTGTCGGGAGACGCGATCTGAAACGGATCGACGATCCCCGGAATAGGCGAGTGGGGCTTCAGATACTGGTTCTCAAGAACGGAGAGAGCCAAGACTCTGGAATAAACAGTTCCCGTTGGCTAACAGTGTGTTTGGAAGCGGAAACATATCGTATATCTGATTTTAGAAGGGACATATGGTTCGGTATATATATGATCGTCTCATGCCATCGTTCGTCGTCCTTCATATAAGCTTCTTGGCAACGATGCCCATCCCCTCTCAGTAAGGCTAGCCTAGAGCAAACGCTGGCGAAAGCAGTTGGCTATCAATTACTGCCAACATATCTATCGAGGTGGGGGAAACCGACATGGCATCAATAATCCGCTATCAAAAATGGCGAACGCCTCTTCCGAAGCCGCACTTTACTCAAACTACATCTCGGTTCTTGGTAAGACTGGAAGTGAAATGACCTTCAAACCAACATCCAATCAAACCATGATTTGTTGAAACGGAACGCTCCCAATCCGGGGCGGCACTCGCATAAGCGCGTTTGCAACTACGTAGCTGAGGTGAGAAGGGTGAAAAACGGGTGAAGTTGAAGAACCGGGAAAGAAGAAACATGCAGCAGATCCAAGTCGTGGGAAAGGTGTTTCCGGGGGGTCGGGACTGTGGATCCGGATGTGTGACTTCCGTCTGCAAGGTTCGTCGGTACCATAGCTATCCGTGAACCCTACAAATATCAAACGCTTTTTGATAGGTCGTTTCCGTATTTCGGCCCTTGCTAGCAGTTCCGAGCCGATCTGATCTTTCGAAACAACGAACAAACTATAGTACTAACTGTATTTGCCACCCACCGATTTTGACGTTGCATTATGGCGGTACACGTGGGATTGTGTAAATCGGCGATTGAAGCCCTTACGTAGGAGGTCCGAAGAAGCCAAGCCAACCAAGATAAAAGGGGAGAGGCATTTTTATTAATCGCCGTTCAGCTTTGAACAGATGAACAAATCGCAACAGTCATTCCGAAGGTATCGCCGATAGAAATGTGGGATTCCAATTAGGTGCAGCTGAAGCGCCGCGCTTACGCAGGGAACTCGGTCAACTCTCCTCCTGCTACACTCGCCTGACCCTCCCACTGTAGCTTGCTCGGAACAAGTGGTTGTAGCACCTTCAGCCAGACGGTATCGTACAGACCCGGGCCACCGTCAGCAGCCTTGCTCCCAGGCTCGAAACTGCCGTAGTTCATAGAATCTGTGCAGCACGGACTGGCAGAACCCCAGAATGGGCCAGCTGCCCACGCCGTCCATCCAATATACACGTCATTATCGTCCATATATTTGATGAAGTCTGTCAACATGTCATCGCATCCTGTGTTGTTGTGTCCGCCGAACTCGGTGATGAAAGCTTTAAGATTGTTCTCCTGGAAATTTTGTTAATTGTTTCCGTCGTTTAGATAATGCGAAGGATTCACCTACCTTTAGCCACGCCGTCACATCCGCCAAGTTTGTCGCCGGGTCGCTCACGCACTCGCTATGACTACCACTATAATCCACGTCGAGGTATTCGTGAATGTCGATTGCTGTGTTGTTTAGAGGGTCCTTGAAGTCCTGGATAATCGCGCTATTCGGATCCGGGCCCTGAGTCCACGCGTGACCTCCAGTCCAGCTATTTCCAGGGAGAAGGATCAAATTGCTAGCATTCGCGGCACGGATGGCATCAACTGCAGCCTGGTTGTTTTTCAGCACGAGACTAGTTTCCATATCGTGCGGTTCATTCATCAGTCCGAAGATGACTTTCTCGTTATCCGCGAACCGCTTAGCGAGCTCGCCCCAGAACTCCCCGAATTGCTCGGTCGTGGCGGCGGTAGAGTCCGATATGTTACCGATCACGCTACCAGAGTAGGGTTGGGACGACGGATCATTGTATCGCATGTAGTTGTGAGGATCCAAGATGGCATAGGCACCCTTGGTGACCGTCACATAGTCGACCGCCTCTTTGAAGTGATCGAAATGAGTCTCGTTAAACGTCTTCCCCAGACCAGTCTCAACAGGCGCCATTCGCTCAAGCAAGAAGGCTATGCGAAAGAGGTTCAGGTGGTTCTGGTCCACGTGGACGTCGATCCCGGTCTTATCGATGAATTGGTAGTCGACGCCAAAGGTCCCAGGTAAGCCAGTGCCCTTCTTGGCATCAGCACTCCATACACCAAACTCGCCACCCGACTCGGCGACACCAGCATAGTAGACGGTGGCCGAAGCCGTCGTCGCCAAACTAATTATGAAAGTCGAATACTTCATGTTGGGCAAATCTGCGGGAATGCTTGATAGGTAGAGGTTAGAAGGCAACCATATTTGCCGTGCGCATGAGGTGCTTCTTATAGGTTAGGATTAGCTAGCATTAGTTCGATTAGATAGGTCTACGGGTTTCGTTGAAATTAATCAATCTGCATCTTCAGTGGAAATTGAAGACGCTTCGCACATCTCCATTCCTAATGAAACTAGAGTGTGCATTGTAAGCTATTCGCCCACGACTGCGTGATCTTGTCCTATTCAAGCGCGGGCCTTCGGATCGCACTTTGAGTTGGCCGTCAAAATTTACCGTTACGGTATACAATACAGCAAATTCGGCTGGTAAGCCCAGATACAGGTGAGAAAGAGTATTGTATGATCTATGGTGGGTATCATTTGTGATGATATGTGAGATCAGATGCGGAAGCAGCTGCTCCGCCGATAGCTCGGAACCTTGGCTCGGTAGATTGATGCCCGTCTACCACCATGCTTTATTAAGAAAAGGGAATGGAAGGCGCCAATTCGCCGGGAAACGCAGAGCCACGGAGCGTCGAGTCTTCAGTTGGGCCGCCAAATGTAGCCGGGATTTTCAAGCTTCAGTGCCGGCTAGATCGTTATAACGCGCCACCGACAAGACTGACAATCCACATTGCAATTCGGACCTGTAATCCGACTCGTCTTTCCGTTTTTGCAAAGTCGTCTAAGGTGACAGGACTTGCATACTCCTGCAGCCACTTTTGCTCGTCCCCCAATCTCTTCTTCAAATCAGGGTCCCGGGTTACGATCAAGGCGCCCGCTTCTAGATCGTGGGAGTAGCTGCGTTTGGTATAATTTGAACTTCCAATTATACTCATCGACGGGTCATGTTCGTGAGGAAGGGTTATCCACAATCCTTTGGCGTGATATGTCCATCCACCCGGCTCATTAACAGTTCCCCTTCTCCATTCTTTGAGGATGACCGTGGAGTCTTGCTTTCGCTCTTTAATTGCGCGAAGAAATCGTCGGGCAAGTAGAGTATACGCATCTGGCAGAAGTCCCGACACACCTTTCGATTTGTAAAACCCATTCGCATAAGGCGATGCTGTTATTACCACGTTGTTTTGTGAGGCTGTAGAGAGTAGTAGGTTTGTGAGCGACGGGGCTGGGTTAAAATACCCAGCTGTAAAAGTCCAGGATGAGCCGGTGTACTCCGAAGAACCAAGTGTTTTCAAAACATGCGTGATCGCGGGTAGCTCAGTCGATGTGTCTGGCTTCATAAGTTGAGAAAGCTGACCCAGCATATACACTGTCGTGTCGTGAGGGCTTAAACTTGATGGTTTGGTATCCTTCGGCGCTATCAGGCTATTCACAAGCTTTGTAGCCTTTGAAACATACTCACTAGGGCGCTCTAGAGGCGAGGGTGCTGCGTTGGTGGACGGCCAATGAAGTCTAAATCCGGCAGCCTCATCTACCGCAGGTTGCACTAGGAAGCTGAGTGACGTGACGCCTTGGTAAAGCCCCCAGAAATAGTTCGTCACATCGCTGGAGGAGAACAGGTGATATCGATCCTGGCGATTTGTGAAGTAGTCGTTGGAAAGATTTGCGCTAGATGATGTTAGTCAATGCTCTCTACTGGATAACGAGCTCAAGTACCCTGAAAGGATTATCTCATCATCAACTCCGTAGAGTTTCATATGCTGTAAGCCCCATCCTTCGTTGATGCGCTTGGGTATATGCTTCTTCCGTAAACCAGTTAAATTTGGAGTATGGTACATCCGAATTTCAACGCGTTCTGGCCCAAATTCCGTGATAAGAGGGGCAAGTAGAGAAGCGCAAGATGGATCAGGTGCTTCTCGAGTTCCACGGAGCGCATCTGTGAGGATGCTCAACTTCAGCTCGGGATTGGCGCGAAGAGCATCTTGAAGTGTTTCAATCTCACTTCTAGTTAGCATAGGTATTTTATAAGATGGGTTGATTCATTCCCATACTAGTTCTTTCTCAGACTTCCCAATGTAAAGAGTAGATAAGAATATTCGCTTCTTGGCACTACGTATCCTGGCCTAGCAATGTCAACATGCTTCGTTCACCCCAATAGCCAAAATGTCATATCACCGACCTTTAGTGTTTCGTAGAAATCTGTGGGGGTTTTAATGATATGTATTTGAGACCCACTGATATTGAAGGAGGGAGCGATTTTGTCTAGTTCATTTGTGAATGGTGCCAACATTCCACCAGAGCTCATAGAGTTACTAGCTGGAGGTGTATGACTCGGTGGTGTGGAATATCGGCGACAGCATTGCTGGCCATATCGACTTATTGGACGGACCAAAGTAGGTCGTAGCTTTGAACAGCACCTTGACGCACCCCTAATTATCATTGTAATTCTTAAGAATAGACACAGCTGCTCATCGTAAGTAGAGTGTCTAGGTGAGTTAGTTAACCGGCGATTGTGTTGAGTGAAACAACCGTGAGTTTTAAAGATCTTTGGACTAGGAATGTCTTGACAAGGGTCTTATCGATATGCTTCCAGCTCTCTGCAAAATGACGTTACACGGGTTGCATGATTCTTTGAATTACATAATTAGTACTCGGGTACATGGCGGACCGATGAATACCCGAGCTACCGGACTATTCCGCCCAATTGGATTCAATGCGATGACCTCAAATCAACGCTTCCACCTTCACAATCGAAGCAACACCTGAGGCGACAGAAGATCAAGCGTCGCCCAACATGTCGACTCTCACAAGAACTATCGCCAACCTTTGGCGAGTAGGCATCAAGGTAAATAGCAAACTTTGGAGCTTAACATACTACTGCTAACATTGCGACAGGATGCTTGGCACCAAATGCAGGTACGTCGGCACGCTCACACATGAGCTGTTAATCCGAAACTAACGATCGCGTCCCCCGAAACAGTATATCGGTATGGCACAATGGGTATGCTGGCGATGCGGGGAAGTCCTAACAACCTCTAGGTGATACCAAGGCTGGTACTTTGATTGGTATCGATCGATTCGGCAACAAGTATTTCGAGAACAACGAAGAGCTACCCCGTACGTTGGCCCTATTCTCGGATGGAACAGTTGGAAATTGGAGGTTTGCTGATAGGCTGCAGTCCGAACACGATGGGTAGACTACAAGGTCCACGACTTCGATGCGTATGTATGCTGGGAAGATTGCGCTGTGGACTTGTCTACTAATGCCTCAATGCAGGGCCCAGATTGAGCCCGGCTGGCACGCCTGGATCTCCTACGCCGTCAACAAGCCACCGACGGAAGACTCGTTGCTTGCATACAAGCGACGACCTTGGGAGGACACCGATGCTAAGACGATCCCCAACTACACCTTCACACGAGGGGCGTACAAGCCATACAGCACGTACGTAGCTTTGAGTCAGATACAATTAACCCGGTCGCTAACACCTATGCAGGACGAAGGCGAAGGTTACCGCGTGGGAGCCTGTCGCCGCTGAGAGGAAGTAGGAGAGCAAACAGACTGCTATGTACATATTCACAACATGACGCCCAGGGAAACCTAAAGCCGAGGCGTTAACAATCATATTTCATTACTGACATCTATTCAAATTTGAGCTCCCATGGGGTAAATATGTTCAAAGCACGAAGCATTACTTACTGAAGTATCTCTGATTTAGTCGCTGTGTGGGTTGAAGTAAAGTACCTATTGTACAGGATTCTCAATGGGCTTTCTTTTTCTTGTTCTTGTTGTCCCGCAGTTATAGCTACTGGATCGTATCGTTGAAAGCTTGGACAATCTGCGGAGGCATATTGCGGTAGGGTGCTAGCTTGCCACCAACAAGCAACTCTTCAAGACTGACTTTCTTATAGCCTTCAACCTCCCATACTTCATTGCCAACTAATCCCACCAGGGTTCCACTACCCCACATTTTGCGAACCCACCACGCCAACGACAGCGGGATTCCGTTCTTGATGCAGGTCTCGACCTCGTCGTTGACTTTCTCTAGACTGTGCCTGAATATCTGCGGTTCCGCTCCGTATTTTTTCTTCAAAGCAGCAGCTATTTCACTCCCTGTGGCCTTCAGTTCTGAAATACCGATAACCCGACCCGCCAGCTTAGCCGGAGGCGTACTAGCGAAGATCGAGGCGTAGGCTGCGGCAACATAGTCTCTTGTGCTAATTACGGCATCTGTCAGCTGCTAGAATGTGGTAGTAAGAAGAGATATAATACTCACCATATATTCACAAATTGGTTGGCGCTATCACCGGTAAACACCATTCGATTACCTGGATAGTCGATTCCCAATATCCTATGAACATTAGTTAGGTGTTGAGTCCATATTTTGCGACTCATACTATGCTTACCCGATTGAAAAGGCCGACTCGGCAAAACAACCAACTTGGACCATGGTCGTGGAAATGTCCGCCTTCTTAGCTGCTTCTTCAACTTCGTCCTTGGTCTTCTTCATAGGAACACGGAGCCCTTGCTCATCGTCCGCTCGAACGCCAAGGTCCGAAGGGACGAAGAGTTTGACATTGGTGCTCGGGATGGCCTTAACGAAAGCATGCTGTTTCAATATGCCTTCAAGACCGACCAGGGAGCTTTGATGTTCATTAGCATGAGACGGACGATTGGAAGTTACGATTTTCAAAGGTCTTACATGACGATGTCAATGTCCTGTAGAGCAGCAATGAGCTCTTGCTGTTGCTTCTCGATATCCAGTTCGACCATGGAAACGCTCGATGGTACACTGGAAACGTCGGAGCCTGGACGGTGTATCAACTTGATTGGTGCACCTGAGGCTACGAGAGCATTGAAAATGGCCGAGCTAGCCCAGCCTCGGTGGCCGTAGACCGCAATGCGATTGTAAGACATGGTGTTTATGTGTGTATTTTAATTAGTCTACAGACAACAATTACTTCTCTCCTGAAGGGTCGCAAGGCTACGTCTTTATAGCAACGAGGCTGACAAGATCCGGCGCAGTATTACTAAACTATTTGTTTATTCCGTAGCGCATTGTAGCCTTATTCCGAAGAGCGAACGCCGATCGACTACGGCTAGATGCAAGACAAAATCGTTTTCTCGGGATTAACGACAATCAGTAAAGCCGAGGCCATTCGCTGAATATATTCATATTGGTTACGTGACTCACGCCGTAAACCATCGGCCGGCGTGGGGCTAATGAATCCTTCACAATTAACCTGGAACCTCAAGAATCAATCTGTCCTCAAGCTGTACGCAATCAATGCTAATTGGATGTTTCAACATCAACTTACGAATAGAGATATTTGAAATCACGGTTGCACAATATTGTCAGACAGTCAGACAGCTGGAAAGTATTAAGATGAGATTGTGATACGTTCGAAGCACCTCATTAATCAGCAACCCCTATATTCTCAGCCCCTGGAAGGCCCTATCTATGCAATTGGCGCATAGAAGCTGAACTTTCTCTGAGGATCATACTTATTCTTCAACTCCAGCAGCTTATCCTGGCGCCACTGCTCATAGCCATACATGTTCTGCTTCGTTTCCTCTCCGTAAGCATAGTTGACATACGTATGCATCTCCTCCCGACCCGTGGCTTCGTGGAGGATACGACGAAGATTCTCACCCAGCTCAACAGCCTTCTTGTCGATTTCCGCGTCGCCGCCTGCGTAGTTAATCACCGGCGCTATGAGAAGATTGTCGCTTCTAAAAGGATAGGCGGTCGATTCGCTAGGGATGGCTTTTACGCCCTGCGTGGCGTAGCCCTCGAAGAGGAAGAAAGATCCGTTCAACGCCGGGGTCTCCTTCGTCGCGGAAGCGAAGAGGTCGTATACTTGACGCTGGGCCGGAACACTGTACGATTCGATGTTGATGGGAAAGCGATAATTAACTAGCCCAGCCTTTTGACAGGGCGGAGAGTTGTTGTCGTTGCCCGTCCATGTTGCTAAGTCAAGGAAGCTCCCTCCCTCACCATCGGTGCTTATAGGACCCAATTCGTGGAAAGGCGTAGTATAGGTTGGGTCAACCACCATGTTCCCTTCCTGAAGGATAAAGAACATGATCAAGGGCTATTTGGTTTGTCAATAACAATGAAGCAAGGGCTGATATTTTACCCAGGCAGTTTTACTCACATTGGTAGGATCGACTTCGGGATTGTTGAAAAAGAACGAGTAGTGCATGATCTCAACCGGCTGAGAGCCATCCTTCAGGAGGTGGTTGTTGATGTTGTCATACAGGCTTTCTACCTTGTCGCCGGTGAAGATGAAACTCTCGTACGCCCAGTCACGATATATGATGTCGTAGGTTTTCAAAGTAACTGAAGTCACAATGCCGAAATTGTGACCAGCCCCTTGCATGGCCCACCACATTTCGGAACTCTCGTCGATGGTTCGCAGAATTCCGTCAGCTAACACAATATTCATCGACACAAACTGGTCGGAAATAAGCCCATAGTGTCCCTCGAGAATTCCGTGTCCGCCTCCTAAGCCGGGCCCCAGGATGCTAGTGCATTCACATAATCCAGTCACTGCCCCTATGTGTTAGTTGTGGGTTTTTATATATGAAGACGTGAACTCACCTGTCTGTTTTCCAGCAGCCCAAAGCGCATCGATGACGGTCTTGGTTTTGGCCCCACCACCAATCTTTGCCCGGGCCCCATCTTCTGAAATCTCGACACCATTCAATTGATGCATCCAGATCTCGATGCCGCCCTTCATCTTCTCGACTGTCTTGATCGCACCATGACCGCCGTTGAGAGCGAGATAGGGCATTCCTAACTCATTCGCATATTTTACCTTAGGCGTAGTTAGCACCAACAAACCCATATATAGATACCTGTCAAGTTCCTCACCGTCTCGGCGACATCATTCTCGATGCTAGGAACCACAACGAGCTTAACTTCCGGGGCATGTGCTACAGACCAACGAGTTGTCGCTGTCTTGAAATCGTCCGATCCCGGGGTATAAATGTGCGCATGTCGAGAAAGCCTGTCTCCGAGTTCTTTGACGTAGTCCCTCTGAGGGCAAATGCTCACGAGCCAGCTGCTAAGGACGGCATTTTGGCAGGCGGACGCTATAGCCCCTGCGGCCACAGCGGCTATGACCTCCATTCTGGACCTTCTCGATAACTTACACAATCGAGAAAGGAGCAGCGAAGAAAAAGGAGACGAAAAAAAAAGAAAACCCACACTTTTTAAAAAGGATGGGGAGTTGATTGCTGCCAACACAACTTGTCCCGGGCCGGGATTAAGGAGCCACGATTTCCACGGGTGTTGTGTACAGCTAGCGAGAAGTAGCCTCCAATAATAGCGGAGATCCCGCGTGCTTGCGCCGCAGGGTAGTAGATGATCCGCAGCAGCGGTGAGATTGTTGGGACTATGCAGCTTTGGCATGTGCATGATAAATGCCGACTACCGGTATAAGAACCTTGATTAACTACCTCTACGTATGCAACGCTGCTTGTAACACTAACTCGACAATTGTTCGCTCTTCTAATTCCTCTCATATCTCCCGCTTGAATTAAGCCAACGATATTATTGTTGAAATATTGTTGTGATGTGGACCACATGGATATGATCTTGGTCTCGAAGCTATGACCATGAGCTTGGCAGTTCGCCCCCTATCATATAGCCGTCCCAACGCGATCATCGCATGAGACGTACGATTCTCGAGTAACGTGGTCGCCCGGAGCATGTGTCAAATATGACGGCGATGTCCCCCGACTACTGATGCTATATATTTTGTCATATGTGATATTGAAAGTCTGGCTAACATGAATGGCGTCTTTGGATTCGGAGGCCCGGGAAGATCGGGAAGATCTGGAACTAAATAAGCTCTTGCTGGAACTAACGGCGGGTTCCCATATCAATTTCCTAAAGAGGAACTGGATCGTTGGTAGACAAGCGGCGAAGACCCCAACGCCGCATTCGACCATACCCCAGTACATGCAAGCCGTTACTCCGACTACAGCAGAGTATGTCAATATCTATAGATGAAGGAGGTTATCAACGGGGAGGTGCTTACGGATGTTATCGTCGGTAATATCGAAATTGCCTACGAAACTTCCAGCCATCATGATGAATCTTATCAAGGATACCACGACAGTGCTACTAAACGTTAGCTTGAATAATGGATCAAATTGGATATTCAGACGACTTACACCCCTCCAAGAAGGAACATCAAGCAAACACTAATCTTCTTCGAGGTAGACAGATTCAATCTTAAAACCTATGCGACAGGTCAACCCCAGCCTTAGCCAACTTATATCACAGGGAAACTCACCAATGGAACAGGTATGAAGATTATGAATAAGTCCGTGATGAAGTCGGTAATGCAGAGTATAAGAACTAAATGGAGGGTATAGGAGCACCGCGTCAGGAATTCTGTCTCAGAACTCCAGATCCTCGAGAAATCGTGACCGCACTCGAAGAGAAACGCGAAGAAGAACGCGACACACCACGCCGCTACAAAGACGATGAATCCTATGAGGATTTTGTTGATGACGCTACTTTTCTGGATCGCGAAGACGCGCATGTAGAAGAACAGGAAGCTCGCCTTCATACACGCCAGTGCTATGGGAAGCATGAGGAGGTATGCCCATTCGATCTACACATCCTCTCGTTAGAGACTATCATCCTTTCTTAGTCGATGTATGCCTTACCTGCGATTTGAGTATCAACTGCGGTGTGACTAGGTTGGAAGTGCTTCCTTTATAGCCATCTGGTACTTCAATGCGATACCCAAGCCCCTTTTTCGAGACAGCGTAAACTTCAGCGATACCAACTCCTGTAGTGACCACCTGCACACAGAAAGTCAGTATTGGAGTAAGACTAAGTCTTGCATTGCGAGGGATTCTAGTACCGTAGCGGGTATCAACAACCAGTCATCAGCCTTGGGAGGTTGCCTTTGGATCTTTCGAGCCCAGAATCGCAATGCAACAGAAACAATGTCGACCACCGACAATGCTACGGCGGCCGCGACGACATGTTCCGGACGCATATAGTAGGCTGTATCATCGCGAGCCATGGTGAACAAGACCTTGTTTTTTGGCTGGCAACTAGGTGTATAAGAAATTGAGTGATAATCCTATAACTGAGAAAATGAGAGATATGCCAAGATTTAACTCAAGCCTCGGAAGGAAAAGGGGAGAAGGTGAGTCTGGCCTCATCGCTCCGGAGTAACAGAGTAACAGAGTCACATGCATATCTACTGCCGGCAGACAGTATATATGAGAAACCTTCAAAGGGTCGAAGGGTGTATCAATGCTCCCTAATTCCCTACTTCTGTAGGCATCCCAGCCGCTAACTGGCACGTATTCTTCGGTCGGACAAGAATTGCTGCACCTACATATTGTCTTCCCAGGTAGTAGGGAAGATTGCAGCTTAACGACGTTCCACAGGCTCGAGGATCGTCCAGTTAAAGAATAGTCTTAACTGTCAGGGTGATATTGGGCTGATTTGGACCAATGCTGTCCTTCGTGGTCATGACAATGCATTGTCTCATATTACACGACTACAAAGGACAACGCCACTGAAGATCGAGATCAGTCCTTTTTGGTTATACACAGATAACGCAGGCGGTTGTTCGCTTCGGGGCGGGACCGAAAGTCATGACTGAAATCCTTCGCGAGTTGGGATGGGGCGGTGCTGACCACTGAAAAAGCTGCACTTCGCAGTCAGTTCTGCAGGCTCTAAGATATTTTACACTTGTGTAGCGCACTTGACATGCCCAGGCTCAGCGATTGGACGCCTGTTTATTGGGGGCGGCAGACCTGTCACTGTTAACAGTACCCTACAATCCTTCCTGTCCCAATTCAGAACAGCACAATATAAGCCGTAAGTACCTAGTGACTGGTCAGCCCTATGTAGTAGGTATCATATCTACCTTGCTTACCTACACCTATTAATAATTCCTAGCATTATCTAAGTCAACCCCAGAGCCTGCAGGGAACACATGCCTTAATAATCGCATGTCTCATGGTTAGTATTAAGCTAATTCTTGTGTTGCGAAGCATGAGACTTATCTCATGATGCATATTAACTTTAATAGCGAGCTACTCTATCAGAGACCACTTTGTGCATCGCAACTGTGCGGCCTTTAGACACTGATTTTTCTTTTCTATAAATGGCCCACCCCCTATCGTTGCTTACTAGGCCCTCAAGCACCAAGACATCAACTCCTGTGACTTGTTGCTCGCCTAAAGATCAGAACCCCTATATTTTGCAGTGGTGTTGAGTGGTCAAGTTTTCTTTTATAGACCTTACTACGCATGTATTAAACCGGTCGGAGGTCTAGTCGGATCCGAGTTCGACTCGTCGGAGACCAATTGGTGGCTGGCCCTGACGCGGTAAGCAGGAGTACCCTCAAGCTGGAGCGGCTCCGTATTAGCATTGCGGCGGGCGCGGTGACGAGCAGGTCAATTGTCTGCCTACCTATGTTTACCTCAACACATTGTCGTGACACAAAATGCTGGGGCCGTATTAGTTTATAAGGCACGCTAAAAATGGAACGTTATCCATATTACTAACCATACGTCTTATTGAAGACCTGAAGACGTTTCCATACGGGCCTGGTGCAGCTGGTACTACCGTTTGCTAAGTAGGCACCTCATGAATCTAGACCTTTTCGCCCATCAAATCACAGCCAGGGGAATAAAATATCTTTAACTTAAAATCCCCTACTATCAACAAACCATGCGGTTAGCCATCTCGATGACATCTTATACAGCCCATGTGTGTGGCTAGAATACTTGGAAATTCCCTGTTTCGTCCTCTTTTGGGAAAATTGGCCAATCAGCTCCCAGATATCAGCCACCAATGACGTAGGCGGCCGCCACGCCTGATCTTGTAACACGTTGGGTACCATGATCACTTACGTAGGTATTCGTAGCATTGATAGTGTGAATTGAATAGCTATATTGCATGTTCCTTATGCTCTGATATCTACTATTTATCTCCTTTTTTACCTACCTATTATCGCTCAGCCATCCAGACATTCCACCCTCACTCCTAACTCACCGAATCCCTAGACGGAAAATAAATACAATAAACCAACATGGAATGGGCAAAGCAGAAGTACAACGAGCAATACGAGGTCTGGATGCCCTGGATCGAAGACTGCTTCTTAAAGTACTTCACCAAAGACAACAAGGCTAGCTATTCGACAAAAGGTAAGGCTCCCATCCCCCATCTCCACCTCATACATCAAAACGATTCTAATCAAGTTACATTGCAATAGAGCAACTAGACAAGGCGAAGGTGACCGGCATAGATCAAGTCGACACTCTCCAAGACGGGGTCCACAACGTAGCCGCCGGGCAAGTGGGGCAGGGCGGCCTACTACAGCCGGTCGGTGATCTCGTCTCGAATGAAGGTATCAACCGAGCCGAACGTCAAGGAAAGGACGACCAGGGCGGATATCTACCCTCTTCTGTACCCGGAATTCCCGGACTTTCCGGATTGATGAAGTAGGATAATACTCCTTTATCACGAAAGTTTTTCGACGGGGCAACACAACACGTACCAAGCATCAATGACATATGGCACGGTATACGGGGAGTCAATAACGACCACTAAGAGAATGATTAGTAATACTCAATTGATTGAAGGATTGAACCGTTGGGATATGAGAGGGAGTTCCATTGACGTGTCACTTCGCTGCTTGAATTTATACTCTTTTAGTATGATTTAACTTTGACCTTGAGGACGGAATGGAGATCAGACAGCTATCGTGCCCGTTCTTTCAGAAGATCGTGAGTTTATCATGAATGCATTATAAATAAATTCACACTTAAAAAGCAACAGCTTGTAGATGGTTTCGAAATTCTAAGTCTCCGTCTTTAATATTGTCCTTAAAAGTGCGAAGAAATGAAAAACATGATATCCACGACTCTAGGTAGAATCTAAATGCGAACGAGATGCTAGTATCTAAAATGGGCGCTCAAAATAAACAAGGCGCTTCTATTCTAGGTTCGGGATTCGACAGCTGCTTTGAGGGCTAATTGTCATGATCAGCGACATGTTTAAAGAAAGTGACAGGGGATAAAGTCGCTTACCATCGCAAGTAGTTTTAGCATCACCGAACAACATCTTCGTTCCAGGCATGTAGAACATGGGGTTAGGAACATCAGCTAGGTAGTTCATCGTCAGCATTTCGGGTTCAAGTGAATCGCATCATCAGGCTCTGCTTACCATAACCACTGGCCATTCCGCGTTTCATCACTACCACCTGTTTGCTCTTCCAAGCATGAAGGACAGGCATTCCCGCAATTGGACTACCTGGTTCCAGCGCAAGAGGGTTGACGATGTCATTAGCACCTATGACCAAGACCACATCTGTTTCGCTAAAATCGTCGTTGATCTCGTCCATTTCAAGCACGATATCGTAGGGTACACTTGCTTCCGCTAATAGAACATTGCACTGTCCCGGCATTCGACCTGCGACAGGGTGAATGGCAAAGCGAACGTTGACCCCTTTTGCGCGCAACGTCTTCGTTATCTCGCTAATAGCATATTGAGCCTTTGCGACCGCCATACCATAGCCGACGACTATAATCACGTTTTCGGCGTTCATAAGTGCGTCTGCTGTGTCTGCAACATTTGTCTGGGTTACCGACCCTTCGATCTTGTAATCTGTCGTCGCAGGTGCAGATATACCGCCGAAGAGTACGTTTGTAAGAGACCTATTCATTGCCACGCACATTATGTAAGAAAGTACGGAGCCGCTGACTCCAATCAGCGCGCCGACCGTGGTTAGAAGGGGGTTTTCGAGCATGAAGCCTTCGGCAACCAGGGCAAAGCCACTGTACGCGTTGAGAACTGTGATAACGACCGGCATGTCTGCCCCGCCAATCGCGGACGTAGTTGTAAACCCTTTAGCGAATGATAGTATTGTATTTGCGCTAAGTGCCACGGCAGCAATCATAGGTGAGCCAGGAGCCATCGTAACAAAGGCACCCATCGTCCCAATATTAGCAGCAAGCATGCCAGAGTTAATAAGATGACGACCCTTAAGGATTAATGGTTTCGAAGACAACTTCCCTGCTAATTTCATGAATGCGACGATGGATCCAGTAAACGTGATACCGCCAATCATCACCCCAAGGTAAGCCGTGACGAGGTGTAAAGTCGAGATATGATCAAGGCCTCCCATGACGCTACCGATGCTAGTCAGTACTGCAGCCAGACCAACGACGGAATGGAGCGCTGCGACAGTTTGAGGAAGGTCTGTGGGCGTGATGCGTTTGCCGATAACAAACCCGAGAATGCTCCCGATAGTAGCAAGGAACCCGAATTGAGTCAGTACTTCGGGACTAAACCCAACGGCTAGTAGAGAAGCGAGGACACCTGAACCAACACCGAGGATTCCAAGTAGGTTACCCGTTCTTGCTGTAGCCTGAGAAGCCAAACCTGATAAGGAGCTTATGCAGAGAATCGAGCTGACCATGTACCCTGCTTGAACAAGTCCTGCAGCACCGGTTGAGGCCGCTGCGACATATCCACCAGCAAATAGCACACCAGGAACAGCATATAGCCATGGATATTCCGGTAAATCAGTTGGCCCTACTTTCAGTCAGTTTCCAATTCCTTTACGCCCAAGAGTTACATACGCCTAAACATGTCAAGCATTCTCTTCGTGATCACGAAGCCACCGGAAACGTTGACGAAAGCAAGAAGCACAGATGCAGCACCGAGAGCTTGTGGGATGGTTTCAGGGAGATATCCACCACCCAAAATGAAGCAACCGCCTATACCAACCATACCTATGTAGACATATTAGTTACTTCGTATAAGTCATATGTACTATTAATTAAGTCACTTACCAGATATAGCATTGGTGACACTCATTAACGGCGAATGTAGAGCCGGGTTCACGCCCCACACAACACGGTAGCCGATCAGAGAAGCCAGTGCGAAAGTAAAGGCTTCACCCATGAAAATTGGACCTGTAAACTTGCCGAGAGCAAGAGCACCACCCATACCAGCAGTCACGGTGGCTACCTCGCGAGAAGTTTTTTGAAAAGGAGTCAGCGCAACGACCTCTTCCTCTGGCTTAGTAGTCGCTTTGGGTGCCGGAGCTGGCGGTGGAGCTGGGCGAGGCGCGGGCGGCAAGATATTTCCGTTCTGAGTAACAATGGCGCCTCGAACAACTTCATCGCTCAAGTCGATACCGAATGACTTGTCTTGAGGGGCCATTGATAGGAGGAACTTCACAATGTTATTCGAATACAAAGTTGACGATTGCGTAGGTAGCCTAGACGGCAAGTCGGTGTAACCTATAATATCATGAGTATAATTCAATAGTAAGACTAGAAAGTGAAACCCTACCAATGATTTTCACATCTTTATACGTCACCAGTTTGCCAGCTTCGGTCACCTCGCAGTTGCCTCCGGCTTCAGCAGCCAAGTCTACCACGATAGAGCCAGGCTTCATGACTTCGACCATTGCCTTGGTAATCAGTTTTGGAGCGCGCTTTCCGGGAATAAGAGCTGTTGTGATGATTATATCGACGTCCCTAGCCTGCTCAGTGAACAGTTTCATCTCGGCAGCGATAAATTCGGGTGACATTTCTTTGGCATAGCCCCCAGCACCTGAGCCATCTTCCTGAATATCGACCTCGATAAATTCTGCACCAAGCGATTGAACTTGCTCTCTTGCAGCAGAACGCGTATCAAAACCACGGACAATTGCGCCCATCCTGCGTGCTGTAGCAATTGCACTCAAACCAGCAACGCCAGCGCCAATGACGAGAACTTTGCAAGGCGGGATTTTCCCAGCCGCTGTGACTTGACCGGTTAAGAAACGACCAAAGTTATTCGACGCTTCCAGGACCGCTTTATAACCAGCGATGTTTGCCATCGAGCTGAGCGCATCGAAGACTTGGGCACGAGAAATTCGCGGGATCATGTCCATGGCAAAGGAAGTCGCTTTTCGAGTTGCGAGACGCTCTACAATGTCCTTGTTCTGGGCTGGTTGGAGCATTGAGATTATCGTTGCGCCTTCTTTAAGACGGTCAATCTCTTTGACATTGGGTCCTCGAACTTTCAGCACAATATCAGCTTGACTCCAAACTCGATCCGTGTCGACTAGGGTGGCGCCGGCCTTCTCGTAAGCTTCATCCGGGAAGTCGGCTAGCGCACCAGCACCACGTTCGACTAAGACATTACCGAACCCTTTCTTCTTCAGAAGCGCGACATTTTGAGGAGTGATTGCCACCCGCCGCTCATTAACGAATGTCTCCCGCGGTACACCTACGGTAAGACCCGAGTAGGGTACAGAAGACGGCTCGACGACGGTCGAGTAAGCTGTCACAGGAATGCTTCGCCTTGATATATTGTTGCGCCTCTCAAATGGTTCCTTCGGGAGGGCGGGCAAGACGGTAGGCTGCTTCGCGCGTGTGCTATTCCATTGTCGCCGACCGCACACAACAGCAAGAGCCCCGCTAGGTTGCGCACTACAGTCTATGCATGGCGTTTTCTTAGCACCTATTATCTCTAAGAAATCAAATTGAGGCGCGTAAAGGCCTCCATTCGGATTTCATGCATTGCGACGAACCTAAGAGACGCGATACCGCATGGCGAGAGAAACCTCCTGTCGCACGCGAAGAAGCATACTTTGCGACCAGCGCTGGCCACCGGGACACCATATTGACAAGAAACAACAATCGTCTGCCATGCAGCGAAAGACTCAGAGCTTCATTCGTCGTTCTTCATTCGTAGTACCTGCCCCCAACAGACTCATGAGATAGCTCACATATTACTGGGGGGGAGAAGAAAGGAGAGGGTTGAAATGTCGTAAGAGGCGGAAAGACGACACCACGATCAAAGAACGATGGAGAGTGTACAGACTAAAGACGGATAAGAGCGGGAACTGGGAGGTCATAGAACAAATAAAAAATAAAAATACCCAGAAAGCCCGGTTGACAGATCCTAGTGAGTAGTAGTCACACGTTAGGTTCGATACAATGGCACGGTTGACGCCCGAGGCTCCCTTTCGATACTCCACTCTGGTCAACTGGCACATTTGACTTGCCATCTTTGCCATCTTTGCCATCCCTCTCCCCGCTTCTGAGCACGGCTGGCTGGACTGGCCCCTGGATGGCTGCAGACTGCAGTAGTTAACCTAGTGGCTCGGATCATCTGGTCATTTAGCGAAACCAGCCGCTCCAATCGAGGAGTCCAGGTTCTTCGATCTGAAATAGAAATATAGCCGATAGCAATGCGCATCGCACGGCGCGTGAATAGGGGAGAATGTGTTGATTCTGCCTAAGTCGTTGGGAATAATTGGGAGCGTAGGACAAAGGTGACGCAAGTTTAGGAGCTAGGCGACTTGTGAGAGGTGAGCGCGGAAGACGATCAAGCATGGGTCCCGCAATGGATTTCCATTATTGGAAAGTGGGGTTAGTCTCATGGCAGGCTATGCGGAGAGTGTGGATTTGCGGGCACCAATCAGCAAAGACTGAGGCAGTTCTGTTAAAGTTACATAGTACCTCCTAGCCACGGTAGAAGAATAAGTTCCTGCTATGTATTGAAATTCCATTCCATCGTATGATATCATACTATTTCTTGAAGTCAGTCACAAAGCTAATTATTAATAGAATTAACATTGAAAATTCCATCTCTAGGCTCTAATAGTCGTGTTTCGTGTCAACTAAATTTCACACATATTAACATTCCTGCTAGGTACCTACTACACATTCAAGCTAATTCCGTCTTAAACAACAATAGTCAATATTTTCACTGACCTGGATGGACTTATTGGGCAGTTAAATCGCACGCGCGCACCGAGGCAACGTTGCAACTAACATTGTAACCATTCACATGGTACCAATAACTAGTAGAGTTCAAGGTGCCGTGTCCGAGTCTTCCCGGTTAGAGATACACAAGTTTTTGTGCCAGACAAGCAAACCTCATTGATGATCCGACGAACTTGGCAAACTGGCGAATTATACGTATTACTAACCAATGGTATTTAAACCAATAGCATGGTCGAAAAGTCGATACTATCCCCAAGCCACCAAGCCTGTCTAATCTCAATTCACAGTATTCGCATACCACAAGTACCTAACTCATTAACTTAACCTAATTCATGAATATTATCACTTCAACGAAATGATCCTCACGAAATATATGGCTTGATCTGTTCATCACACCAATCCCAAAACTTCTCTGCTGTGCCATTTCCACCTTCTGCCTCGGTCTTCGTTGCTTCCACCAAGTCCTTTCGAATCGGCAAGATACGTCCGAAGGGAACCACTATTAGTAAGTATTATTTATTAATCTCTATACTTCATAAAGGTCTTTACGGAGGAAACACCAAGAAGAATACCTACCCCAACTTCCGCTCTTTTCAAGCGTAACCTCGGGCGACAAGCCAGCATAGAGGAGCGTGTACGCGCCATTGATGGGAGGATAGGTTACAAGGTTTACGAAAATCCTCATCAGACCCTTCATGTCTCGGTATAGTTCCGAGGCAAGGTTTCCGGGGTTCAGCGGAATACTGATGACACCGTCCGCCCTATATCGCTTGGCAAATTCGACGCCATGAAGCCAGTTTCCTGCTTTGCTGATGCCGTATTTCTCGAGATACGGCCTGTCCTTTTTCTGGTAGTCGAGATTGCTCATGTCGACACCGACTGATTTCTCGCCAAGGATCTCCGTACCCGACGATGAGACCCAAATTACGCGAGAAGATCCCTCTTTCTTAGATGTTGAGACGAGGATGGGAGTCAAGAGTTTCGTGAATGCGAACGTCCCGATTGCGTTTACGCCGAGATGGTATTCGTATCCTTGTGGTGTCTTGCTCGGTTCGGGGAGCGGATTTTGTACTCCGGCATTGTTGAACAAGACATCAAGTCTTGTTTCTTTCGCGAGGTACTCGTCCGCTGATGCTTTGATCGTGGTTAAATCGCTGAGATCCAACTTCAGGAAGACTAGGCCCCCTTTCGAAGTTGGGAAGGAGTTGCTAATTTCTTCGATCGCCCTGTTCGCCTTATCTTGGGAGCGTGCTGCGATATAGACTTTCGCATTCTTGGAGTAAAGAATCCGGGCTAGTTCCTTGCCGACGCCGGTATTCGATCCAGTGACAATATAAACCTGACAAAAAAACCTGTGAGTATTTGGCTTTACGTTAGATCTATTTGTTGTCGGTGCCACCCACTTTTCCACTAAGATCAGGTAAATTATTCTCTGTGAACTTCGGCTTCGGAGGGAATGCCTGGGTTAAGGTGCTTGAGAATTGAGCCCCCATTGTGTTGAATATTGACGTAGACTCCTTAAAACAGAGGGAATAGAAGGTAGAGTAAGACTACCTTGGAAAGGTTGGTTCGTAATACACGAAATTGTTCATTTTTAATCCATATATTTATTGAAGGAATCTTCCAAGCCTTTTTATTTTTTATTGAACGGATATAATTATAGGCATACCTTGAGTACATATCTCTTATCATCAACCCTAGAAGCTGAAAAGTCATCTCCAAGAGAGCGGACGATTAAAGAATCCGCAAGTAATTGAACCTGACCAATCACACTTCAAAATTTCCGAGCTAGCCAATAGGAATACAAGACGCCCGAGCTATGAGAAGCCCCGGCCGTGATTATTTTTCGGGGACCCGGGCGACTCCGTAAGTACCGCCCCTTTTCAAATTTCCTTCGGACTTAAAACTTTTATCTTGTATCATAGACACTAAAACTAAGCTGTGACGTAAGTTTCCATCTACTAAATGTGAGGAATGCAGCGTACCTCCATACATCCTGCTTTAGATGCTTAAATCCAGTAATTCCGTGGATGCGCAGGTTGATTATACGAAAAAGGGAATTGGTAGTTCACTTCACGGTTGTTGGGGTGTGAAGACTTGGCTCCATAAAAGGGGCTAAAAAGGTTGAACTCCTAGGCCGTAATATTTGATTAAACTGAACACCATAGACTTTCAAATCATAATAAAATCTCTGTTACATCAATTATTATATCGCGAACAAAGCATTTTACCTTTCCACTAATGGAAGATTGCCGAAAACATTGAAGGATAGGACTTTGGAATAAATGGGGCATGTATTAGGTAATGGCACTACTAGACAGCGGACTTCGTATCCCCTGGATTACCTCATCCCTATCCGCCCAAGCCATAGTGCATGTAAGTTGCCTAAATGGGCAGACTAAGGGGTAGACTGGACTACGATGCTAGGTATCCTTACTCAGTTAACTCACCAGGAAAACATCTGACCAATTATAAATGTGATTAGTAAGTTTCGCAGTGTAACCCCTTTGTTAATGAACTACGCAACAACGAACATTCAATTTGGTATACTATACGACTAAGTACAAAGAAATGCACGGCTAGGTGCATGCCTACCAATATCAATCAGTGTTATCGTTTTAATACAATCTGATTGCTTGGAATAACCCATCGTTTATATATATCATAGTAGACAGCACCCTGACCTTAGTGGGAGCATATGGAAACTACTGGTACCCAGAAACCTACACGAACTATGAAATTCATCTACAAGTTCCTGATATTGCTCTGGGTCTGGCTAAAGCTGGCTCGGGCATAAGCAATACAGAATGTGTAATTGGTTAGCTCTGGAGGTTTGTTGCGTAGGATCTAATCACCCCGTCCCGTTCTCACTCAAAGCATTGGCCGCCATGGTGCTCTGCGACAAGGTAGAATTAAGCCTTCAATTAGAACAAGATGATGGCCGCTCGCCAAGGCTTTCGCCGTTACAACACGGGTCCCAGTGTTCAAAGTTCGACCCCTTGTATGTGCGAATGGAACGTATCTACTGGTCAAGTTGTGACGCTTGTTGTAGAGCGGCAGCAGCAGTGACCGAAGACTTCGATGAGGATGACCTAATCATGGCTATCGAGTTCAACCGTCTACTTCGCAAGGAACTCGCCGAGGCGCTTCACCGAAGACCGTACGCGGAACTTGTTCGAGCCTTCCCTACTGAATTCAAAATTGAACAACGCTTCATGCTGAGCGGCTGTCGGTGGATCGAAGCGCCTCAGCCTACTAGAAAAGACGCCCTAGGTCCCAACCCGCCATTGGATTCCGAATTTGAAGGTCTGAAATGGTGGTACGACCAGGGGATGGGTGGAGATGTAGATAACGAGATTTGCGAAAGATTTTATGCCTTGACCCAACCAAAGGATCCCATGACACAGAATATTCTGAACTGGATGGAATGGTTACCTTCAGACCCAGACCAGTTCTCTGTGGTAGACAACAGAACTTTATCAAATGTATCTGTTGCGACGTCTTGGGAAGATAGGCAATCTATCTCTGAATCATATATAATTCGTTATCTACCTCCTTCGGAGTCCCCGGGCCACTCCTCGGAACATTCAGATTAGAATTTGATCTCACCATAAAGCCAGCATCAAAACTACACAGAATTTGCTGTTTGATAGTTAATATTAATTAGCCTGTTTCAGTAGCTCATGAGAAATACCACGATTTTAGATATGTGCAAAGTTTTATAGATAATGAATGTATACCCATGCTATATACAACTTTACCCTCTTCGACCTCTAAATAGTGAAATCAAAACAATTAGTAGGCTCTTGAGAAGTGACTATAAAGACCACCGCAACTGAAAGCACAGCTTTCTCTCTTGGGAGTTAGTCTAGTAGGAATGTGCGTGGTTTAACGAATGTGATAAGCCCCTTTTCCTACATAGCTATACGAGAGTTCTCAAAAACAACCCTCTATTGCTAAACCAAGTGACTTGTTAGTATGCGTGTATATTCAATGGCCGTGGATAAGGCTTACGTCGAAACAGACGTAGGTAGGTACTCCTACAAGCATGGCTATTACCATCGGTGTAGAGGACGTAGCTGTCGCCATAGAAGCAGTTGAACACGTAGAAGCCGCTATTGCCAGTTCTATCCCGTAGAAGGATAATTATGCCACACAATCGTAGAAGCCGAACCGCATCACATCCCTTTCAGTAGTATTCAAATGCGTCTTCCATTCCTAAGTAGCAACCGCCGGCGTGAGTTTGGAAGCGTGAGGAACTATTGACCCTGAATCTACACAACCTATCCTACTGAGGTTCAAGAAGAAAATTAGATCTTTAGGATTCTAAATAGTGAGGGTTATAACGATATGGACCCAGTGGATGTGGAATCAACGACGTTGTTGTATCAAGAGCTTCAAACCGCTCTGGCCTACCTAAATAGGACCATGGTAGGTATCCATGTTGACCGAGCGCCTTTTCTAGATACGTTGCCCTAGAGCTAGCTACCTACGTTGATAGGTCTTTTGATGGGCCTAACATAGATCTAACCAGTCTTTTCATGAGTGGCTATCTAATAGGTTAGGCTTCTGACAGGGCTCTGAAGTTCAAGTCGATGCCCGGACTATATCTTAACCAGTATGGTACATATCTAGAGACAAGATTGAGTCTTCGTTATCAAGTTCCTTTCACATTAAATAGGTATGTACTAGGTAGGTATCTAGATAGAGCAATAACTCTCAAGATCTATAATATCATGAACTCATGAGTCCCGCTATGCTATCCGAACTCCTTGAATGCGGCATGCGTTCGCCCATCCGATAAATCGAATCCCTTCATAATAGCACATTACCATTAATGTCGCGCCCAGTAGACGGTCGACATGCCTTCCGCCCAATATCCCCCATTTCACCTCCCATGAGTGCTTAGCAGGCAGTATACACTCCCCAGTCCTTTAAGCAGGAACAACACAATCAACCTCCTGCACAAAGTCATGCGTCCACTCGCTACCCTCCGGCAGCGTATTCAGCTCCGCGCACAGGGGCACGAACTCGATCCCCACACACCCATCCGGCAGCGTCTCGCCTTCATACACGTACTTAACCATCGTCAAGTTCGCCCTCACATACCCGTTAAACCGATTACACACAGCGTAATTCCCCGCGGCAAGACCCCCTAACGTAACCTCACCACCATCCGTAACCAAACCCAGCCCATTCGACCCCCCTCCAACATCAATCTCAACATCGTGCTCGCCAGGATACGTCGCATCGCTGCTATTCTGGTCCTGCACCTTGATGCCCCACGGGTACGCGGTACCCAAGTCATTGAGCACATCGACGTATCCCTCGGCCGCCGTGCCGTTGGTGTAGAACGGCGTGTCGCCCGACACGTTGCGCCCCCCCGCGACCGCGACGTTGAGGCCCGCGCCCACGTGGATCGTGCCGATGTACGTGCCCGCGATCGACGGCTCGAGATCCTTGGTCGGGTCCAGCAGCTGGATCTGCAGCTGGTACGCCTTGGCCCGCGAGAGCTGTTGCGCGGTTTGCGGGACCGGGGTGGCTCCCGCGAGGGCGAGGAGGGTTAGGCTGGTGAGGAGTGAAGTGAGCATCTTTTTTTTTTTGCTTTCTTTTACTATTGTATGGGGATGAGATGATCGGTAATGGCGATTGCTAATGGCGATGATGCGGCGTAATTGGCAGGTAGGTAGGTAGGTGCAGATTTGATATCTGGGGTATTAGATATTAAATAACTATCAATTATGTAGGTAGTAGGTATGTAGGTCTTAGTAAAGTAAGTCCTTGACGGTTTAGATTGATTCAATAAGTACGGTATGAATCTCTTTGTCATTCGTCGGGCGACCAAGACTTTATATCCCTCTTCACGGTCGCAGCTCGAGCGCTCGCGTGGCGGACGCCCGTCGCGAGGCCGCAGACCGCGATGTGATGGCGATACCGAATCGCCGTTCTACTAGTTCTACGTGATTCTTTAAGGAAGCGAAGTATGCACACATCGTGAGCCTTACGAGGTCCCGCCCGTGAACACGAAGAGGTAGGGATTGTCAGCGGCTGGCAATGATCAATTACTAGCTAGATCTCAAGGTGGTCGGCAGATGCAGGCCGGATACCTAAGCGCTGATTGGGTAATATTACGTTGGAGAATCTAGACACCAGCGTCTTAGAGGCTGAGTCCTACATCACGAGAATCATCCTGTCCGTGCCGCTAGACAGCAGCAGAAGTAGTAGGCTAATCCTATTAGAGCCACATCGCCCAATTGGGAAGTAAGTGCCTTAAAATAGGATGCTGATGTGATACGTCAAAAAAGTCATCGATCTCTTGCATATTTCTGTCAATTTGTTAGAAACTCTAAGCGAGGGCATTCAAAGACTGGAAGTCATCTAGTACTCGAACTCGCATATCCAATAGATGGCAGAACCATGAATACGGAGATGCTTCAAGTGCTCTTTGAAATACCCCCTTAGATTTCATGAGGCACATGTTCACAGCATTCTAATATCTATCTATATTTGGTAGGGATTCAGAAATATGGGAATAAGCCAAAGCTATGGCTGTGGTATAAATGCCGCTATGAAAAGAAATGCAATTCGACATACATTCATGATGTGACTAACGAGCGATGCTGCAACAGTGAAACTACTACGAATTTCTGCTCGCATTAACCACATGACCTTCCCAAAACAAAGTGAGTGTTTGGGTAAACTCCCACTCTCCGCCCTCTCCACATGTTCAAGTTAAGTGTGTGCTTAATTGTTGATGCAAGGTTTGTCGCAGTGAGCGATGAAGTTGGTCTCGGCGTCGTTGCGACACTTGCCACCACAAGCGCACAGGAGCTCAACCGTAGACGGCTGATCGTTCATGCAGACGAAGACAGCTTCAGAAACATCCGTCTTTGGCTTGCCATTAGCACAGAGCTCTTGCAAGCCGTTGCAGTAAGCCTTGCTAATATCAGTGGAGCCGAAGTCTACTGATGTTAGCAACAATAAATACCCCTAGGTTAATGGTTTCCTTAGTTAGGGTTCGTACTGTGACCGCTCGAGGTAAGCATGTAACCGCAGTAAGTGTATCCTTTGCCGCATTTAGGGCCGCCTGGAGAGCCGCTGGGTGATGGGCCAGGATTGCCGGGAGTCGGAACGGCTCCACCCGGAGAAGGAGACTCGCCTGCCGGTGGAGAAGGCATTGAAGGAGAAGAGCCCGATGGTTCGGCCCGTGGAAGTGGGCCCCTCCAAGCCAGCGTAGAAGCGGCTAGGAGGGTAGAATTAAAAAGAAAGACAGAAATCCTCATATTATAATATGGTATGTGAGGCTGTCATTGTCAATTCTTCGGCAAAACCGAGTATCTTATGATCTATGACCTTTTATAGAGAAATATTCTGAGTGAAATGTACGATTTCAGAGAATAGCTCGGAGTATATTCCTGCAAGAGCAAGTGTCATAGGTGAAAGAGGTGAAAGAGAATTAGATGCTCAAAAATCTCGATACGTCTTGGTGAGACGTCTTCGTGATATGACAGAATACCTTTTTTGGAAATGAGAGGCGAATGTTGAAAGCAGTGGAAACTCACTTAGCTATATAGATACCTCTCTCATGGATGAACTGCCTAATTCATCTCAACATGGTTGCGGTACGTGGAACAAGAGCACAATAAAGTGTGGCCTTGTAGATTTCGGGTCTTCTCAACCACACCCGGATGAAGCATCCGGTCCGTGTCTTGGAACCATAACACCCTACGCTCTTTTACAACTAACCGCACTTTATGGACTAATACTGTCTTCTGTAGAGTACATGGTCGTACATGTACAATTTCAAAGAGACGTATATGGTGTAACGAATGCGGTGAGATCTGTGCTACAGATAGATGTAGTTTTAGAATTCTAGAATTCGAGATAGAAGTTGGACCGTGAGGCTTAAAACGGCAATCGCCGTTTTAGGTATGTAACCGTTCGCGCGGAGCATACTGAGTACGGCTTATCGTAAGGCTCTGGCGTTCGAGTGGATGAATACACGCTAGACTTCGGATGATATCTGAATGGGAAATAGGAGAAAAGTTTAGGAGAATTGTTCAAGACATTCTCGTTGATTCAAAGCTCCTAGACCACCTAGCCAACAATTGTTATTCCATTGACATTGACTCAAGTAGAATGGATGTTGGTGAGGTTTGAAAGATTAAAGTTAAGAGTAACAGCATAGAAGTAATAAATAGGGGGCTAGTAGTTGAAGTGACCGGTAACATACGGCAGGAGCCGACCCGAATTTCGCACTTCGCGCCTGCAGGACCCTGTCCGGTACAGAATACTTGCCCCTGCCCCGCTGTTGATCCCCCTCCAACCCTCCATCAATCCCCTAAATCCGGCTGCCCTGGACCCCGCGGAAAACTTCGTAAATCTGTACACCTTCTTTGAAATTCCAAGTTTGTCCTACGTCGACAACATATAAGTACAAGCGGGGTTGAAATTTGCAATACGTGCCAATTGCAGACTTACGAGAACGAACTCTCTACTTAAACTCCTGTCAACCACCCCAGACCGGTCTATCTTTCACCAGCACTCCCGAGTATCGCACCTAGTCACGACGACCACCACATTTACACAGCCACAAACACACAATGTCGACCACCGGTACGCAACCCGCGACGTCAGACGCGCCGAGGACCGTGCTCCGCGTCGGCACTCGCAAGTCGGCGCTCGCGCTGATCCAGGCGGAATACGTGGTGTCGGCGCTGCGCGCGCTGCACCCTCACGTCGACTTCGAGATCAGGGGGATGCACTCGACGGCGGACAAGGACAAGATCACGGCGCTGTACAAGTTCGGCGGCAAGGGGCTGTGGACGAACGAGCTGGAGGCCGAGCTCAAACTGGGCCAGGTCGACTTCATCGTGCACTCGCTCAAGGACATGCCGACCGTGCTGCCGGACGGGTTCGTGCTGGCCTGCGTCACGCCGCGCGAGGACCCGCGCGACGTCGTCGTCGTCAAGAAGGGGCTGGAGGACAGGTACAAGACGCTGGCCGACTTGCCGGCTGGTGCCGTGGTCGGTACGAGTAGCGTGCGACGCATGGCGCAGATCAGACGAAGGTACCCGCATCTGGAGTTCAAGGACATGCGCGGCAACATCGACACTCGTGTCAAAAAGCTGGATGCCGAGGATGGCGAGTTCACGGTGCTGATCCTGGCTGCGGCGGGCTTGTTACGGACGGGGAAGGAGGGCCGTATCACGCAGTACTTGGACAGTACGACGGAGGGCGGCGGCATGCTGCATGCTGTCGGTCAAGGTGGTCTGGGCATCGAGGCGCGCGCGGACGACCAGAAGACGCTGGATTTGCTGAAGGCCTTGGAGGACAACGAAGCTATGTTGGCTTGTGAGGCTGAGCGAAGTGTCATGCGAACGCTGGAGGGTGGATGCAGTATTCCTATCGGTGTTGAGACACAATGGGTAGGAGACAATAAACTGAAATTGGTGGCGACGGTTGTCAACGTCGAAGGCACCGAAGCCGCGGACGCTGAGAAGACTGAGGAGATTAAGACGCGCGAGGAGGCTGTCGCGTTTGGCCTAAAAGTCGCCCAACAGCTGACGGATAACGGCGCCCAGAAGATCCTCGACGTGATAAATGCGGAGCGAGAAGCGAATCAAGACAAAAAGGAGCCGTGGGTACCAGCATAGAAACAGCATATCGCTCTAGAAGAAAACAACACGACATGGAGCTGGGAATAAAGGGGATAAAAGAGAGAAAAATGGTTGGGATGATGCTTTATAGACTTTGCTGGCCATCCATCTAGATACATATTTGCAAGCCTAGCTAGAATCTCCGCGGATGAACTTCGCCATGATGATGAGAATACCCCAAACGAGTTTATGATACAAGGTTGAGCCCGTTCTCCCGTTCGTTGGTTGTTGAATGATTTCCATTTCCGATGAACACCTACCCCTACCCCTTACCCCTCGGCCAAAAAATCTGGACCTTGCTCTACCCCGTACTGCCCGTACCTACTATGCACTTCGTACTCTCAACACTTCATAACACCTCGTAAAAGTTGTCTCGAGTTTAATGTTCCTCGGCGCCGGTGAACGCCTTGTACTCTTCGAGGTCCATGAGAGCCTCAAAGTCCTTGATGCCCTGTTCATTGACGGAGACCTTCGCGATCCAGCCACCACCAGCCGAGTCGTCCTCGGGCACCTGGTTGATGGTGCCGGGCTTCTCCTCCAGAGCAAAATTGATGCCGGTAATCTTGCAGGCGATAGGGGAGTTGATGTCGGCGGCACTTTTAACGGACTCGACGGCGCCGATGGCGTCGCCCGCGCTGACCTCCTTGCCCTCCTCGGGCAGCTCAACATACACGACGTCGCCCAGCTCTTCGGCCGCGTACTCCGAGATGCCGATCACGCCCTCCTTCTTGTTCGTGTTCAGGTCGATCCACTCGTGGTCCTTTGTGTACTTGCGGATCTCTCCTATGGTACGGAGTTTGCGGTTAGAAACTCGGGTATATGTGGGAATAAACAGTTTTGGGGAGAGCGGAAGACGCTGGCGACATCGGAGAGCTTACTTATCGATGAGGCAGAGAATGCTCGCAGCGATGCCGGTTGCCAATTGGATCGTGTGAGGGGCGTTGTCTGTGCTAGTCGAGAGAGTGTCGACGGTCGAGCTGCCCGGAGGCATCGTGCGATTGATGCCATGATTTAGAGTAGAGAGGTGGTGGTGCGGGAGGCGTTAGAGGAGGGAGGATTTTGATAGATGGTAGTTTCGGTGAAGCTTTTCTCTCAAAGCTGTGTGTGTGCGACTGATATCGTATCTATGATACCACTATTCCGTAGATACATGAATTGTTAAGACTGGTACGATTTTCTAGAGCTCGAGGCCGAAAAGTTGCCCGATGAATGGATTCGCACTGTATTTCATTGTGTATTTGGCAGGGAGTTAGACAGTGCGTGTCGTAGGAGCACCCGGCAGAACCCGGTGGCAGGTTTGGCCAATCAGAGAATTTGAATTAGCCCCGCGCCATGATGAAACTCCGGGTGGCATTCAAACTCAATTGATAAGAGACACCATTAGAAGCATATCTAAGGATATCTGCGTCTAGCTTCTATTGGTTAATATACTGACCAATGCCGATTAGGTTTACTTGCATTGATGTAGTGTACGATGTTGCATTTTATGACGGATGTTTATCTAAGAGCCTGCATCAACAACGCAGAGGAAAACAATTTGTCCGGACTGCCAATTATAATAAACAACGTCAACAATGTCTACTTGTCTGCTGACATCAACCTTTTCAGCTTCGTTGATAATCGAATGGTCTGAGACATGTCTATCCATATGTTTCTAGTGGAAGGACTTATCATGTCAAAATCACATAATACTTACATACATACACAAGTACATATGTACTCGTACTGTAGTAATAATGGAAAGTGTTTCGTGTTTCCTATCGCGAAACGTCGTTTACAAGGCTCGCGTCGCGTCCGATGAGTTGCTTGACCTCGATCCGTTTCCTGTTACCCTATTCGTCGACCGTTATTGGTGCTAAACTTAGCCGCCCCGGATTTGCGATTGCCAGCTGGGTTTAAGGACCTTGTTCTAATACGTGACGCATAGTAAACGGGAAACAACATCGAAGTGAATATCGAGGTATGTGATACAAGGTTTAGGAAGGGGAAAGAGAGAAATAAAAAAAAGAGTTTCAATTTACTTCATTGATCCATCCTAACTTCCATCTCATTCTTCTTACCCACTACAGCTCAGTAGACGCTGCTTCCCATTCGCGGCGTAATACGGTAATAGCCAACCGTCCCAACGTCCCTAAACTTTACACTACTAGTGTAGAGTTCGTCTAGCCCCTCAATCACGTACAGTAGGTATTTCGTACCTAAGGTTCCACCCGTAACATCACCCGGGATCCCGCATCATCAAAGGCAAGGTCCAATTTCTAACTTAGCCAACTTTAAGAACTTCCATCGTGCTCCATCCATCCCCAGGTCGTTGGACGTCAAGACCTTGTTAACGGGCCGTTGAAAGGTACGAAGGGTATGTATGCACACAATCTTCTATAATTCCTACCCAAACCATTTTTGGGTCTGGTCTTCAATTTGCCATTTGCGAGGAACCAATCTTCGTCGTCACCGTCCCCGTCCTCGTCCCCATCCCCAAATTTCATGGCCTCGTCCTCCCTTTTCCCATAAGGTCAGGATACATACATATCATCTCCATCACTATCTCCATATTCATACCCATATACCCATACCCATAGCTGCATCTGCATCTGCATCCCCGGATCAACAGCCTAACCGTTTACGAGTTGGCAGCCGCATTCATCTGCCCATACTAATCATAGATGTGTATTAGCATCTACATTGGCACTGACGCTGACGCTGCTCCTCATAGACGTTCGCTAAGTCGCACCGGACATCCCTCGTTCATCGGAGTCCTCCTTCATTCCAAGACTATCCAATGAAGTTAGACACACGGGGCTAATCTGAGACCTTCTCGTCGTCCGCCCCAAACTTCATTTACATTCCTTACGTCTGAATTACGGCCGACTACTTCCATCATAACCCCTCCTTATCAACACCTCTCAACGTGGATTCGTCAACATTGTCAGCAGGGTCTGGAGCCCAATTCCACGACGCCTTAGATACCATGGACCAAGATCCCTTTACCGCAACGCCGCCCGCAGCCCCGCGCGCTCCCCCCGATGCCCTCGAGGATACCCTCGGCGGTATCGAAGGGACCACGCATCTAGCGGGTGAGTTGGGTAGCCATGAGCCATATCATCGTCAGTCACAGTCCCTTGACCAAGGTCTAGCCAATGTCAACAGTGCGCAACCCGACGACATCGACCCGAACGTTCAGTATGAAGCTCAGCAGTACGACACCCCTCCTCCACAATCCATGGGAAGACCTGCATCATCTATGTCTCCTACCGGCGAACGACACTACAATGAACACGTTTCGCGAGAAAGCAATGGCAACGGTAATGGCAATGGTGCGGATCGCAATACGCGTAACCACGTTGTGATCAAGGTTGGCATGGTAGGCGATGCGCAGATTGGCAAGACTTCTCTGATGGTGAAGTATGTCGAGGGTAGCTGGGACGAGGATTACATCCAGACGCTAGGCGTCAACTTCATGGAGAAGACTATCAGCATACGCAACACCGAGATCACGTTCAGCATCTGGGACTTGGGTGGTCAACGGGAATTCGTCAACATGCTACCCTTGGTCTGTAACGACGCGGTCGCCATTCTATTCATGTTCGACTTGACGCGCAAGAGTACCCTCAACAGTATCAAGGAGTGGTATCGACAAGGACGTGGTTTCAACAAGACAGCCATCCCTATCTTAGTTGGCACCAAGTACGACCACTTCGTCAACTTCCCTCGAGAGGATCAGGAGGAGATATCAAACCAGGTAAATTCATTATGCATAAGTGGGGTTGGTGACTTGCAGCTAACACCTAATTTAGGCCAAACGATTTGCCAAAGCTATGCGTGCTGCTCTCATCTTCAGCAGTACTAGCCACAGCATCAACGTCCAGAAGGTTAGTTAAACCCCTAGAGATACTTTCTTCCGTCTTCCAAATGATGGTGTACTGACCAATTTCGCATAGATCTTCAAGATCGTTCTATCGAAGGCATTCGATCTGAAGTGCACAATACCTGAGATCGAAAATGTCGGCGAGCCCCTTCTACTCTACCAGTCAGTTTAGATTCGGACTCAGTCCAGTCTTTGGAGGTTTTCCATGAAACGGCCGTTATGCATCATGGTTGAGCACGTTGTCTGATCGCCACCTCCAATCATATTACTCTGGCGCACTTTTATGAATTTGAACGGCCGTTACGAAAGACATTAATCTCGTCTGTGGACCTAAATTTGCCATTGCTTTACCTCCATGGCCGAAGCATATTCTTGACACGAACTGGACTACTCATGATCAATAAATGCTCTAGGCATTGGCACCCAATTTTCCGATGAGCTAGTATAGCACCATCCCAATTGCCGAGAACCCATCTACATATTTCCTTTGTCTCAAACGTCGCTAGACGGGTTTCCATCTGCACACGGGTTTACAACATAGTCTTGCATTCAGGAGTACATGGGCGATTCGAATATGAGGGGGGATGATTTGCTAGGCAGCATGGCTCAATGATAAACCGTCAAAACGAAGACCATCCATCACCGACCACTTCTGAATCCGAATTTGGAATTTGCCTTTTCACATGCCTGTTTTTTCTGTCCCTCAGGAGGTCCTCAGGGGGTGAGGTACCAGGGGCAAATGTATTGATGTAATTACTAGTCGTCTCACGCAACGTTGGCGTTGGTGCGTTCGTTTCTCTACCCTTGGTGTTTTGGCCTTGCGCTTTACATCTGACCTACCACATCTTCCACCCAAACAACACACACACATACACTCTACGTCTACATGAACGGTCGCATGATATAATTGATGCCGAATCGGAAAGGGGACAAAGGAGATGAGGCGGATGAAGACGTAATTATTCACACTACCAACTACGGTAGCTAGCAGAAGCAGAAGAGAATTCAAGACTGATGAAAAGCACGTAATTTCTGTTATGAATGATCTTTATTGATGCTGTTCGTTTTTGTATATCCGTCCTTACCTATAAGTACGTGCGATAAGGTAAGTGGATCCTAGTAATAATGCCCAACCTATGGATCTCAATAATAAATGCGCTTGATAAATGCCTAGGCTCGGAAGGATATGTACGAGTAGGGATTTTTTTCTATCCATTACATCTTATCGTCACATTTCTATTAGACATGCCGCATGAGAAGCCTGCACGAGGAAAAGCGCCTTCCATGATGATTTTTGCCTTGGTCCCATTAATGACCTTCGTATTCCCTACCCCGTTCTTTTCTCTCCTTTTCCTGTATATTAGGTAGGTATGGAACACGCATTCCGTAATCGTACACTCCTCCCCCTCCCCCCTTTGCATCACATTTTCTCTCCTCTCCTCTCCTCTCCTTTCCTCCCAGTCGCCCCTTCATCGCGTCCACCAAACCTCAGTAGTTAGAGACTTCAACGTAGGCGATAAGAAATCAAAAACAATCACTTAGGCCCACCCTTCTGCACGCCCTCGCCCTCGCCCTTCTGCGGGTCCTCGCGCGGGTGCTCGGCCGCGGCCTTCTTGCTGGGCATGTCGCTCGAGCTCGTCGCCGCGCGCGTGTTCTTCTCCTCGATGATCTGCTTGTAGCCTTCCTGCGCCTTGCGCTTGCCCTCCGGGTCCGTCCCCGCGTCCGTGTTGTCCGCCGGGGGCGGGGGCACCTGCTGCCCCGTCTGCGAGCTCGTGCCCTTGGGGTTGGGCTGGGATTCTGGGGGTTCGCTCGAGCCTGAGCCGGAATCTGAGGATGAGGATGAAGATGAAGAATGGGTGTCGGATCCTGAGGAGTCGGAGTCGGAGTCGGATGAGTCCTCGGCGGCGGGGTCGGGCGACGGCTCTGAGGCCGCGGCGGGTGTGTCGCCGTGCGAAGAGCCGTGTGAGGCCGGTTTCGTAGACGGGCCAGAGAGCATCCATGCTAAGCCGGGTATGGTGATGCCGACGGAGGCGATGAGCCTATAATCCCAAGAAGAAACATGTCAGCCTGTCATGCCGGTATAGGTTTGCTGAAACATACGATCGGGGCAACCCCTCCCCACCTTCCTTCAATTGGTCTCCTGATTCTCTCCTCTCCTCCGAATTGCTTACGTCCCGTTCATGGTGAGCGGACGAAGGGATGGGAGAAAACACTTACCAGGGCAAATCGCTCGACTTCTCTGCGCCCGCGCTGCCGCCGTGGCCGCTGCTCGCGTATCCTCTCCGAGCTGCTGTGCGCATAGCTGATTGTCGGCTTGTGGGTGCTTGCGCAGCTCGTCTAGTGACGGTGCGAAGACCCGAAGTGAATATGCGAGATGTCGACATGATTATTTTCTATATTATTACGTTCCGTGTGTGTTCTGTTGGTCGACGGTCAGATGTAGGCGGAGAGAAGAGTTTTGATGTAGGTGAGTTAAGTCAATTGCCGCCGCAGTGGCTCGGAGAGTGTCCCAGAATCGAGGTGTAATGTGTAATGGATGTTTGTAGGATTCCAACGAATGTATGTGTAATGCATGCACTTGGCAGAGAAGAATGCAGCTGTCTCTTATGTAAGTCGGCTCAACAATTGCGTTACTTTTGCCTACCTACATGTACGTATACAGAAATACCGAGGTATTCTGTCGTAGTATTCCGGGACGAGAACTTAGCAAGAGGAGAGGTTGGCGATGAAGATGAGGTTTAGATAAATAAAAAGATATCATCTAACTTAATTTCACTTACATATTTAACCTTAAGTGAGGTATATCTAGAAATCTCTCGCGCTATTTGCTCCGGTCCTTCTTGACCTTCTCCATTATTCACAAAATACGTACCCTATTTAGACATGTCTTAAGGTAGAGGTACCTCTAGGTAGGTACATCGGGATGTATAATCGGAGCTTGTGTGGGGCTCTTCCCCGGCATCCCAGTTAAGGACAGAGCCACTTTCATCAAGTCTTACCTTTTATCAACGTCATTAAAACCGATCTATCCTAGCTTGCCGGGGCAATTTGGTCATAGCTCTTTTGGCTTCCGACTTAGGTAAACTTCTAAGCTCCGCAATCCTTCACAGCACATCAACAAATTACGAAATTTTTTTTCTTGCAATGTAATAGCTATGAACAAGTACATGGTGTATGTACCGACACTATGATTTCTTCTTTTAGGCATTCGACGTTCGCAACATGACTTAAAGGCCACGTGCTACTATCTAGCCAACAGCCGAGAGTCAAGAGGGCATGCCTTGAAGCAAATAACGGACCCCTTCCGTACGATACCAGTTGGTGACTTGTCGTGGCGCGTGGTGTCGCAGGTACCCCTCGCAATGCAATGTCGAATCTCACTTCATACTCTCACACTTCACATACCCATACCCATCTCCTTATTCTCTTCCCGTAGTGTCTTCAGCTGACGCTCAAAGTCCTTGTTGACCCATTCCCAGTACTGCTGCCAAACGGGATTCTGCACTGATTGTTGCGCCTGAGCGTGACCCGCGCTACCAGGTCCGGCAACTCCCGGTAGTGTGGTCTTGGTCTTCTCCACAAGCAGAAGAGTGACGCGCAACACGCTCTTGATAGCCTCTTCTTGCTTCTCAACCTCCTGCTTCACCGCACCGTCTCTAAGCTTGGTGGATAAAGTCTTCCGGTAACACTCCGCCACCGTGTCTAGCCGGCGAGTGGTCTCTTCTGGATCAATGACAATCAGCTTGCTAAGCATGAGATTGCAAAGAGACCGAATGTCATTTTCGTCGTTGAGACCGGCGATGATTCGATCATAAAACTCAAGTGAGCTGATGCGAGAGAACGCTGTCTCCATAAGAGCATACAAAGTCTCGTACGCGCTCTATATGCGCTGATTAGTAACCTGTTTTAACCAATATATATTTCTTCCCGGTGGCTTACCTTGCGAACCTCCAATCCGTCGTCCACGAGATGTTTGAATGGCCCCATCTGAACCTCGTGGATAAGCTCCGGCTTGATAATAGACTCGGTTATCACGTAGGGTATTAATTCGCCGAGATGGGGTAGGATTAGGTCGGGCTTGTTGTGGGTCGCCGAGTTCAGTGCTGTCATGCCGATACGGCGGATGTCCATGTCCTCGTCCTTCAACACTCTGAGGAGCATGTCAACTAGCACCGGCTTCAGCATAAGATCGAATGACTCGTCACTGTCCGGCAACGTGTATCGAAGTGCTTGCACAGCCACGCCTCTAAAGACCGGTGATTTGTCTCCCAGTAGTTGCTATCGAGGTTAGTGTTTTGTTTATTCAATAGCAAGATCGCGAAATCTTACCTGGAGTTTCGGAATGTAAGTCTTGGGCTCCATTATAGCTAATCGTCCTATGCACTCCGCACAGATCGCCCGGTTGTCTTCAGTTTGGGACGCCGTAAACAGCAATCCCCAAATCTCGCTCTCATAAGAGCTGATATCAGCCGATGACGCAACAACCTGGTGCAGCACTTCTCGGATGGATTGGAGAAGTAGATATTGTTGGCTGCCCGGCTTCTTGATTGTATTCAGGATAGTCGGCAGAAATTCGGGCATGTTTCCTGCGCCTGCGCGACCCAAAGCCACGGCGGCGGAAATTGATACCTTGTCCGGCTCGTCGTGGAATTGCTCCAAGAAAATACTTGGTTGAAGGCGAGAATTTGGCCCAAGTCGCAAACCAATCTCTCCTAGAACAGCTAATGCGAGACTTTGTCGAGCAGTGTCGGGTGGTGTCAATCTGCTAGACTGGTTAAGTTCTTCAATGAAATTCTCAACCTTCACACCGACCTGACCACCGCTTGCAACAAATAGGGCGCCGACGACTTTTCCAACAACAGTCGGATCGCCTGCAACGCCAACTCGCAGAACGCCTTCCATCAAGGGCTTTCCCATGCCGCTTGAGCCGACGTTAGACACTAGGGTGACTATAGACTCTAGGGCTAGACCCCCAACATTCTTCTTAAGAAGTTCACAGATGGTCTGGATGAAAATTGCCGAAGATACTAGTTGAGGGTGCTCTAATTGCAATTGGGCAACAACTAACAGGGCCGGGCTGAGAAGATAAGCGTCGTTCGCAGAAATGACGGGTAGAATAGCCGTTACGATCTCGCTAGCCGTGACTGCTTGGATCTGACCCTTAACTACCGGGCTAAGAATCAGATGCTGCAGAGCTTGAATACAAGAACTTCGGAGAGCACGGTTCGATTTTCGCAGTTGACCGCAGAGTTCCAATGCGACCTTCTCGATCCATGCCGGCTCGAGACTCCCTGAAATCGACGAGTGTGCTGCAACGTTGTCGATTGCTCGTACAGCGTGCAGGCGTGTCGTTTCATTTCGCAGACGGTCTAAAAGTAGATCCAATGCGCCCTGGCGCTTGTCGGCAGGAATCAGGGCGATTCCGTCCGAGGACGACGTCCTGGAAATCAAGGTTCCAAGTGCTTGAATAGCCTTCTGGCGCACCTCGGCGTCGGCGTCGGCTGCTGAAGCACGATCCAGTATGATGTCGTACAGTTTCTGCAACTGTGGTTTGTAATTCTGGATCGTAAGTCTAGCCCTGGGAGGAGTGATGGCCTTGACTACTTCTTCGGCTGTGCGGATAGCCTCACTCGAGATCTTGTAGAATCGATCACGAACAGCAGACACAACTCCCGCGACGATACTCTCCAGATATTGTTTGAAGAGGCTCGAGGAGTGCGTCTTCACAATGTCGCTTGTGAAGTGGAGGACCGCCACTCTCAGAGTAGTAGCAGTAGCCGATGCGGAACCCGATAAAGTCATCGACGTCGAACCCGCATCTCCCGTCATACCCTTAGTTACGTCGATAATTGGCTGCATAACTTGGTCGAAATAGTCGGCTAAACCTCCATTCTGCACCGCGATCAAATCGTCCAGCAAATTGATGATTGCCTGCTTCGTGGCAATCTGTTTGCCTTTTAGCAACTTCGTGGCCGTTTTAACGATTTGCGGAGTGAGCTTTTGAAGATCGGCGCGCGGTCCGGTGGGCGGTACTGATTCGCGAGCAGGCGAAGTGAGGCCGGTTGCTCCAAGGTACGGCGCCTTGTTGGTATAAGCGAAACCACCGCTGCTTTGTCTTCGGCGTTTTCGGTTCTCCCCGAGAGAAGGGACAAGCTCCTCGTCGGCCGAGATGGATTGTATTACGCCCTCGCCCGTTTTGCGAATCAGTAATGACATGGTGCTAATAATTTCAAGCCGAACACTCTCTTCCCGTTCATCAAAGCGCTTAACCAATGGGGAAGCAATGTGGCGATATAGGGTCCCCTTTTCCAGTAAGTCGGCGCTGCGCATCGAAACCAGGGTATACAATGCTTTTGCAGCGCATCTGCGAACCTTCCAACTTGGATCGTCGTCATCGTCGAACCCAACGTCGTCTTCAAATTCATCATCCTCATCACTCTCATCCTCATCATCGGAGTCTTCGGTCTCATCCATCTCTTCATCTTCATCAACCGCATAGTTCGGGTCATATTTCAGATAACGAAGACATGCAGCAATGACATTGTCAGTGTAATCTCTCATCTGCAGACCACAAGAGGTGAGAAACGATTCGAGTGCGACTAGCGCAGTTTCGCTGATTTCGTTAAACTCGGGATGCAGTTGGTCGTTGCCCTCATGGAGAGCATCGAGTCGGCTCTGGAATTCCTCCTGGCTCAAGGGGGATAGAACGAATTCAATAAGCTGTGGCAAGTAACCACCGAACTTATAGGGAATCGATCGAGCGAGGGAACCCATGATAGAAATGTACAGACGACGTATGACCGGACTAATCTTGGGCTGTTGAAGAGTCTTGCGTAGTTTTGCGACGAAACTATCGAGAATTTCAGTCGTGAGGTAAGGGGCCAAGATAGCGAGCGCAACAACCGCCCGTTTCTTGGTGGGTGATGGTGTGGACGCTTTCTCCAGCACCTGAACCACGACATCCTGTAGCTTCTCAACCTCCAGAGGTTGCAGTAGGGGACCAAAGCATCGGACAACCTCGATAAGTACATCAACGGCCTCAGTGTCAGGATCCTTAGTCCTGTCCAGTATTCCGCGTGACCCACCAATTGGATGCTCGAGAGTTGAAACACCCAGTATGCGTGGAATGAGAGTACGGCTAATTACCGCATAGGTTTGGATCACATCTGGAGAAGGGGTGACGCCTCGCACAGGTCTGGGGAGTGAAGTGATAGCGTTACGGAGGGCCATGGACTGGATAGAATTGTCGACTGCGTTCTTAATTTCCATCGTGCAGAGCTTATCCAACATGGTAGCAAGGGCCGAAATAGGGATCTTGGTGACTAACGGGCCAATGCTATTAAACAGCTGTTAGTAATAGCAGAAGCTAAGAAATGGCATCTTGCACGTACCACTTGACTGCTAAGTTCTGGACCTCTCCATTTTGGTCATCTAGGTGTGTGACTACGGCGTCCATGATGCGCGCTGATGTGCCATAGTCATGATTCAGGAACTCTGCTTTCTGCTTCGTGAGGATCTGATGCAGATCGTTTAAGGACATGAATCGAAAGTCAGGATCCGCATCTGACATCTTGACCAGAAGGGCAGTGATATTCTGAGGGTTCGGATTATTAACGGCGGAAGATGAAGACGCCATGATGTGAGGAGTCGGAGGGTAGTTGTCTAGAGTATGGTTGGAAATTCGGGGTGCGAAAGCAAAGGTAGAGATAGGTAATAGGTAACAGAGCAGTCCCAGAATCCTAAATAGAACTTGTAAGCACTGTATAGAAACGTGAAAAACGAAGAGGTATCTGTGAGGTAAGTAGCTACCTTCTGGACTTAATCCTAGGTCGTTGTAATGTCGAGATGATATCGAGACGACGACCTCACAATCAGATAGATGTTTGGTATGTATCGGAATGTCAATGAATGGACGCAATCCTTGAAAAACTGTAACCGGGTGTTCCTAGAATAAGATCAATAACGACAGCGCACAAGCAATAAGGCTAAGTCAGGCAGCTGAGACAGCTCGTTGCGTACCTTGATAGAATAGGATGGACGTTTTACGGAACCAACGTCGCAAGAGAACGGCGAAAGAAAATAAAACTACCTATCAAGGACTCTCCGGATTCAGGAGCATGCTTTTAAAAAGATTGTCGCCGGCTGAAACAAGGAAATTCATGGAGATGATTGGGAGAATGGATTTATTGGTGGTTACGATGAAGGTGAACTGTGAATGTTGGTAGGCGTTAGAGGTTAAAGGTGGGGGTGGGGTTGACTGAGCTTCCATCAAGTTATGTAAGCACTGTTAAACAGTCAACATCAGCTCCTGCCCCACATGAAGCTTAAAAGGTACCCAGGTACATATAGGTAACCGGTAACACTTTCCAGGCTACAGTACCTAGGTAACATGCCTATCCTGAGGTACATACCTATAGCCCAGATACAACACCAGGTACATGGACGCATCGTCAATATTGATTTCATTTTCTATACCTAACTCAATTCCGACAAACCTTACTTTCATGTTGAAAAACTATCTAGATTGAACATCTGAATTACTGTCACGGCATACTGTCTCACGATACTAGAACGAATATCTCATTAATGGCCATAATTTCCTGGTATCATGTACTTATTTTCCTACATCTGGTTGATTCCCCCTATCTAGGTACCTAAGTTAGGAATCAGTTCCAAAGCCACGACATACATAGTCCAACATGCCATAGATGGTAATATTGGTTGGATAATGGTTATATGCTTGACTACTACTGTTGAACATTATTTAGGAATCCCGGTTGTCACACGCTTGCTTAACTTCATAGCGAAATCATCACCAACGTAGCATTCATATATTTCAGGGAATTCTATCGCATCCAAGCATACCGAGGAACGTTAGTCACAGGATAGTTCCATGAAACTTAGACACTGGGCAGTTATAATGAAATAAAATGCTTGTGAACTTTCACCATACGTATTCAAACAGAGAAATCTATTGGAAACCCTTAAATTCCGAGATTCCCCTCCGGAAACGAATCCTAGACTTTCTCGGGGCAGGCTGTCAACCTACTACGCTTCATTTTCCCTAAACAGCATCTCATTAGCAAGTACAGCCCCTTACTTCATACAACAAGTAACAGTTATACTTCCTCTGAATTTACGTCGACAGCAACCAAATATGGCTATTCAAGAAGCATACTTACCGCGCCTCGAGGAGAAGCAGAAACACTACCTGAAAATTGGGAAGAGGCTTGCCAAGGCCCTCAAAAATATGGCCGTCAAAAATATCATAAAAGGCAACCTAAGCGCAGTAGAGACTGCGCAGGTAGCAGAGGTTGAAGGAAAGACAGGGGCTCTCAAGTGGAACCTCGACGAGATAGCCCGTCTTTTCTCAGGTATGAGCGGTTGCTCGCCGAGGGAGTTTTGGAGAAGATGTGCTGAGATTGAAGGGCATATCGACCATGTCGTTGTAGTCTACGAGGAATGCTTAGGGATTCTAGGTATCCCGGTGCCTACCTAAGTAGGTAGACTATCAAGTCAAAGCCGATGGAAACGCAAAGATAAACAAGCCAGGAAAAGTTTTTCTGTGGTGGAATACGAAAATCCAAGAGGTATCAGAATGCTGTATTTATTTTCCTACTTCACTCTTTCAAAATAATGACCAGGCTATCATTTTTTTTTCCGTAGTTATTTTGAGGTAAATTCGTTTCGGGTGACTTGGCGCAATGGTCCAGCGTCTGGTCCGTTCTTAATTAGTTAGTTGCCTGTTTTAGCTTGAGGGAGGGGGTTTGAATCCCTTAGTTACTACGGATTTTATCCTTAATAAAATCTGGATCTTGTTATTTTATAGCTTAAGGAAGTAACGTTAGTACGCCCTTGCTTAATCTGCTTTTTTTAGGGCTATTTACCCGGGTGGGGGGGGTTTTTAAACATTTTTATGCAATGATTTAAATATTTTAAATTATTTTTAAAATAAAAAATATAAAAAATAATGTTTTTAATATATTAAATATAATATATAATTAAATATATATTTATTATAAAATAATATAAAAGTTTTTAATTAATTATATACGTAAAAAAATAATATTTATTAAAAAAAAAATTTTTAAAACGCGAATAAAATATTTTAATAATATATATAATTAAATAATAATTTTTATATAAAAAAATATATTATAATTAATTATAAAAATAATTAAATTAAAATCGTTTTTAATATATAATAATTTTCGTTTTATAATAATAAAATTAATTTAAAAAAAATAAATATATTTTTTTAATTAAAAAAAATATTTAATATTTAAATAATTTTTTTAAATATATTAAATAAAAATTAAACTTAAGTTTATTATATATTACGAATATTATAATTTTACGAATTATTAAATTTAATTATTTAATTAATTAATTTACGAATTTACGCGTATATAAAATAAATTAAAATTTTAAAACTTATATTTTAAATTTAATCCCCGAAATTTAATTAATAAAACCCCCCGGAAATCCGCCGAAATTTATTATTATAAAAAAAAATTTATTATAATAAAAAAAAATTATTATAATAATAAAAAATTATTATAATAAAAAAAATAATAATGTTTTTATATAATAATATTACGTAAATAATAAATATATATAAATAATAAATAATTAAATAAAATAATATTTTTAAAAAAATAATATATTAACGTAATTATTTTAATTTTAATTAATTATTATAATTATAATTTATAATTAATTTTAATTAATTAATTATTAAATACGTTAAAATATTTAAAAATTATTATAACGTAATTATATTAAAATTATTATTAAAAATAATAATAATTATTAATATATAATTAAAAAATAATAATATTAAAAAACTTTTTTTATTTATATAAATAAATATTTTAAAAGTTTAAAAATTTAAAAAATTATTAAAATTATTATTAACGGATAAATAACGGTTAAAAAATAAGCCGTTTTTATTTTAAAAAAAAATAATAAAAAAGTTTTATCTTATTTTTAATAAATTATTTTAACGATAATAAAAAATATATTATTTATTTTATATTTATTTTTCTTTAAATATTTATTAATAATAAAATAAATTTATTAAAATAATTATTAAAACTTATAATTATTATTTAAAAATTAATATATTTAAAAATATATTATTATATTTTTAATAATTAAAAATTAATTTTATTTTTTTTTAAATAATTATATAATAAAATATAATTTTTATAACTTATAAATTAAAGTTTTAACCGAAATATAATAAAAATAAAATAAATTATTATATAAAAAATATAAAAGTTTTTTATCCCGGTTATTATAAAGTTTTTTTTTTATTATTTTAAATAAAATAAACTTAATAAAAAAATTTTATACCGATTATAATTATAATATATACGAATAATTAACGAACTTACGTTAATTAAATATATACGAAAAATTTATTTTATAATAATACCGAACGTTCCTTACGAACATTCGGAGTAAAAAATAAATAAATAAATAAATTTATTTCGATCTAATGACTTTGAATATGAACTGCCCCTTTTGGGTGAAATCATAAAGGTTACTTGAATCTACAACATCGATATTTGGGATAGAACAACAGGAAGAATTCCATAGAGCTACTGTCACTGACATATCTAGTATCAGTCTATACTCACACCAGTCGATGCAGTGTCTTTGCAATGCAACAATATTCAAGAAGAAAAACATCAACCTTGACGATTACTCATTAACGTCAATGTGTCAACTACTATGGTACAATGATTCAGTTTAGTACACTATTGGGTGTTGTTCCTGACAAGCCCAGTGTCATTGAGGCAATGTGTAATGTGATAATATTGTGTGAATCATGGGTATGACATCCACGTCACGAATAGCCGTATATCAAAGTCAGTATCAAGCTTTATTTTCTATTTAAAATGGTTGCTTCCGTTGTTATTTCACTCTCATCTTCACACTTTACTGCAAACTACATGAATTCTGCGAAACAATAACAATCAATCTTCAATTGAAACCGACAACAAAAACACCGCTTGCGTTAAACACCTTCCACCAAGACCATTCATCTCCAAACAGATACCCTTACCGATATTATCAACCTCATACTGTCTATCCTAAGTTTCCCAACCACCGGAATCCAAAATATCCAAGTTCGGAGAAAGATGTCTTCCAAAGACGAAATCCAGAAGAGGATCAATGAGCTAGGTCCTCTCATTCGAGAGGCACAGGCAAAGGAAGACCGATTAGAAGACTATCTCGATGAAGCAATCTCCACGGCCAGCAAGAAAGAAGTGAAGACGCAATATGATGAGGCTAAAGCGGAGCGGGAGAAGCTTGAGAAGGAGAAAGAGGAACTGGAAAAGAAACTGTGATGGGAATGAGGAAATCGAAGAGTGGTTGGGAGCGTGCCTGCCTGCCTGTCTGCCTGGTAGGTAGACAGGGAAAATAGGGGTTCGGAGGCAGGTAGTAGTAAGCATGTAGCTTTTGGTAGTAATAACAGATATAGCATAAGTTTGGAGGCGTACGTCGTGATGGCACCTGTTGAAAAATCATGGCGATGCGATGATTGAATCAATTTTTAAGTTCTTCCGCATTATGCCAACTGCCGAATCTCGGTCGCTGCCCCGACTGCTGCGTCGGCTACCATTTGCGCTGTGGGCTTGCCTATTTATACACGATCCACTGCACGTATTATTAGGCAAGTTTGCGGAGATAAATCATTATTATGTTTGGATCAGACGTGAGAGGAAGACGTCAGGCAAAACAACTCAGTATCCTATAATAGCTATAGGGTTGCTATGGTTTGTGTACTTATGAGCTTTGAGATAAACGCAGTTCGTTGCTGACCTCTGCTTGAAGAACACACAGTGGTACAGAGCCAGCAACGGCGGAAGATAGTACCGAAAACGCACGTCTCTAGCACGCTTAGCGGACACATCGTCGTACTCGTATGCCTTCCCGGAACTTAGGGGATATGCTCTTCTACTGTCCACACACCTGGCACAAACATTTCGTTACATCCAGTGGCGATTCTTCGTGGGGTTCAGAGGAGGGTTACTAACCAAACACGAGATCCGTTTGGTAGACGTAGTCGTAAGCATGTCTAAAGGACCACTTACGACTTCATCCTCAAAGGTTTTGTTGCAGTCACCCCCTGTTGACGTAAGAGGTGAAGTGTCGTCGGGATATGTGATAGGTGCATTTAGTCAGCAAGGATAAAATTGATGAGCCTTTGTATGTCAGCAGTAGTACGAATTTTGGGGCACCCTGAGAATACGAAGCATCCCAAATACATTTGCCTTAGATGACTGCGTCAACATAGCAACCCCTACTAAAAGAGACGGAAGTGTGCGTAATGTAGGCGATGTCTCGTTTCGACATCATCCGCGGCACTTTCAACTACGCAGACTGGTACTGTAACAAGAATAATAGTTGACAGCAATACGCTACCGCTGCTTTCTTACCTGCAACCAGAAAACGTGGAAAGCGGACGTGGTAGCAACGTCAGTAGCCTGCTCTATCTCTGCGAACCGAAGTTATAATAAGCGGAAGTTTTATACTTTTAATGGAAGCCTTCGTAAGTTCGTCAAGTCCTCTCAAAAAGGCATATATAACGGATACCTGGACAGGTAGGTATCTAGGTAGAGATAGACGAGTCATGTGGTAATACAATTTATACAATACGCCGATTGAAGATCCCATGCTTTAGCTGTCGTATTGGATATTGACCAAGCGTCCTCCTTTCTGTCTCCGCCCATCAATAAAGACCGCGAACTCTGCTGTTGCCCCCAGCGGTTTAAACTCTATCGTATATGAAAGTTGCTTATACTTCTTCCCAGAAGCGTTTGTCTTCCATTGCAGGTCTTTCCACGAAACGTCAGGGGTCCATTCGATTTTGCACAAAGTTGAGACCGTCCCAGTCTTCCGGCTCGGGGCCATCATGTCCGTGCATTGGTAAACTGCGAAAGAAATAGTCTTACTCAAGCTCGTCGTGAAGTTCTGAACCCATGTAGCCTGGACTGGATTGCTTCTAGACACGTCATCGCCCTAGAGTCAACGTTAACATCATCTTAATTGAAAATTGCGAAATCTTTTACGAACCTTCTTCAAGTACCAATGCATTTGGTTATCTGCTTTCCATTTACCTTCAACGTCATCCCATACTCTGTCTCCGATGATGTGTTTCCCCCATTCAAATGGCTCCCAGAAGTCAACGCCAAAATTGGCCCTCGAGATGGTCGAAGTAATGGCGATCGGAGAGAATGGCATCTTCCCTTGACTGGCTTCGTCCATATCGGTCCGGCTGTTGAGGAACCCCTTGAATACAGCACCCCGACTGATGGCCGTGCGTCTTTTAACCATGGTACATTAGTATCCGTCATGATAACTCTGGATTATGCCGACTTACGGTTTTATGCCGCTAGACTGTAGAACTGCAACGTCTTGTTTGGTATACTTATTCCGGAGGGTTTCAAACAGATACGGGCTCGAGCCGAGTCCCCCAACGAGGATAATACCCTAAGAGAGGATTGTTAGTGCTTATAACATCATCAGGCTCAGTTCATCTCACGGTGATATTAACGCCGTTATGCCTCGCCGAGTTGATTTGGCCATTAATGAGTTCTTCGATCTCGGCGAATACACTAGTAAATGCATTCTGCAAGTCAGACCTATATACGTTAGTATCCTATAAGATATGCCCGTTTCAGGGGAGCATACTCTTTGAAATGGATGCGCCCTCTCTTGATGAAGGGCTGGCGGCTTGTGTCTGTTTGAGAGTTAATGCTGAAGAAAGCTTCAGCTGGGATTGACACGATATATTCTTTTTTGCTATTCGCAACTTTGAACTGCGGCTTGATGGCATGCTCCCACTCTCCCTTCATAACTTCTCGGACGCCTACTTTGCTTAGGCGATCCCAACCCCTCCCAAGCCGGGCTTTGCAAATACGCTCAAAAGCTTCGTCAATAAAAATTCCACCGCAAAGTCCCCCTGAGAAATAGTTATCATTAGTGGCATTCTTCACAGTTACTGTAGGGTTAATACTCACCTACTCCTTCCGCTACTTCACGCACAGCAAGTGGATCGGTCCGTTCGACCTCATAACTGATTAGATCCTATTATGGAATTAGCACCAGTTTAACGTTATGAGAGCGAGAGCTACGAACGACGGTACCACCACCAGCATCGCAAATGATGTAGGCATCCCCTTTATTGACTCGCCGTCCTGGTTCGCATAGTGTGCAAAGTGCTGCTGCCTCAGGCTCAGGTGCGAAGCTCAATGTTGTATCCCCGGCATCGCGCTCGTCAAGGATGCCAGCTTTCTTGGCAGCCTCTTCCATGCTTTTTCTGGCATATCCTTTCCAGATTGCGGGAAGGGTTATGACCACGTGGAACCTGAGGGCGTCGATAACGCTTGCGCCTCGGGCCTTTGTTATTTCGTAGAGGATATGCTCCCAGAAGCCTCGAAGATAGTCAGCCACAAGATCAACTACCGTCTTCCCATTCTCTCTCATCATCTTCCGTCCCCTGAGGATATAGTCTGAGTATCTAAGCTCTGGCGCAAGGTCCTCATCCTTCAGTAGCAGCAATTTAAACCAGCGGATGGGATCAGAATCAGGGGGAACATCATAGCCCCACATTACTTGTTCATCCTCGTAGAATAATTCAGTAGGAGCCTTCCCTTCCTCCCGACCTGTTCCTGGCCAGGAAGTAATAAGATTGATCTGGCGGGCTTCAAAATCAGACGCAGTAGCCCACGCTCCGCCTGAGTAACTGTTGTTCGACTTGGTCAGCGATGTTTTCAGACAGTTGTGACCATTAACGAGTAACTTTAAATACTAACGTAGTTCCAAAGTCGATCCCAATGACCATCACGTCATCCTGAAGGTCAAGATCATTTTCTTCAGTATCGCATTCATTGTCGTCAGAATCCAAAAGGTGCGACGACCATTTATTTTCCTTTAGCCTTTGCACCAAGTAGGGTAAATCTCGCTTCGTCATGATGGGGGTAAGAATGAGTGTCCACGTTATACAATTGGATAATTTACAGTAAAGACATCAGAAGCTATACAAGTGCACCCAAGATACATAGAATTATATAGACATTTAAAATCATATGTCAATAGCTTAGATATAAAGTCCCTAGGTCACATTTTGACGGCCTTGTCTGTGGCGAACCCCTTATCGTACTATTTGTTGCCTATATCATCTATGCGTTGTTCCAGGTATCGCATATTGTTGGAAGGTCGCATATTGGGCTTGGTGTTGGTTCCTTAAATAAATAAATCTGGTTCTAAGCTACTGTGCCGCCCAATGTGTGGATGAATCGTAGCCCGCATCATCCACCACAACGTAAGCTCATTTCTAACCGTCCAATGCATTGCCTTGGTGTTAGAAGAGAGGAATGCGCGAGGCTACCAATCACCAACATTCGTAGTGTTTTGTATATTCTCGAGTTTCAATAACCGCCAGCTTTCATCAGGCGTTAATACTTCGCTAGCTTCAATTATCGCCTGACATCGTGTTTCATTCTGCAAAGCAACCTTTCAGGCAGTCTTGATAAATTACCTTTCTGACAAGTCAAATAATTGACCGTGTGCTTGCTTGAAACACTACTATAAGCGCCCGTAGTTCGACGCCAATACAATTGACCTGTTGGTTAAATATGGTACAGTCGGCGGTAGATGTTATCAAGCAGTGATGCAATACGTGCCGTTTACTGACTTGTCTAGGTACCTTAATATATACAGTATTTCTATAACATACCATTTAGCCACGGTATTCACTCCTCCATTACTAGGTACGCTGGCGTATGCTCTTTTATTGATACTGGCGGGTATCTAGACTTTACAGAGCGCGTACCTTACTAGGTCTTGCAAAACTCTAGACATTGAGTATCTGATGTTATTTTCACCTAAAAGACTCGCATATTTTATTTACGTAATGTTGCGCGAAATGGTACGCCGTTTCCCTACATCTCATTTCAGGCCGATCAGAACGAACAGAGACCGCCCTAGAGCGGAACGCTCTGTAGATTCGGCTCAAGCCCTTTGCTATGGGGAAACATCAGGCAACTCGAACTATGTCGTGAATGACCCTGGTGGTAATGTACTCACCACAGAGCGCCGAGGGACTCGGGATACGGGAGTTAACACAGATTCCAACGACGTTCGAGAAAACCCAATACCTATCTCTATTGCCGAGCGCGATGCGATCATAGATACCCTCACACGCGAACTTGAAAAGGAACACCAGGCCCGTGTTCAAGCAGAAAACGAGACTCGACAACTGAATAGCAAGTTGAAGTCTATACAAATTAAATGGAAGCGAACAGCCAACAAGTTGGACCAGATTCTCTCGCAGTCTCAGGGGTTCAGCCAAGTCACCGACGAAGAATTGAAAGAAATGGCCCTGCAACTACGATACAACATACGCAACTTTGCCATTCAATATTTCGGTGATCCCGTCGGGTACCGTAGAGCTGAGACATATCCTGACTACGTGTATTACTTGCCAGAATACTACGAGTTGTATCTCACACGACCAGAGAATTATCCTACAGTGGTTCAAGCTTTTTTATGGGACGTGTTGACGTACAAGATATTCAACCGGTTCCGATGGGCTGGGTGCATGTCCAGCAGCTTTAACACATTTTGGTCCCGTTTATTTATTAGTAAGTAGATGTTACGGGCGTTACATACATGCTTACAGAAGTATTAATTCGTTTTCCGTGCTATCTAGGGAGAAATACGAATGATACAATGGCACACACGACAGGACAGAAACTCCACGCTTGGCGCGCGACAACAGCGAACCTAGCCTCCGAATGCTTGACTGAAAAAGATCTGTCCAACATCCAACAAATAAAAGACGCCATTATACATCGGATACATGAAGTGCTGAAGTTACTGTCGAACGGAACCTACGACGGCGACGTCGGCAGCATAATCGATGACGCGATTAAGTTAGACAAGATGATTAGCTCGCAGGTGGCCATGGTGTCATGGGAATTCGGAAAGACCCTTGACGACGGAAGTACGGAAAACCCTCCTAGATCAGATATGGGAGACATAGTGGTCGTCTGTCCAGCTATGCTCAAGCGAGGCAAGTCAAATGGAGAAGATTTTGATGTCCAGTCTGTACTATTGCCAAGGGAGGAGGGATTCTGTGTGAGCGAGAAGTATAAGAAATAGTGGGCTATTCTGATATCTGTTCTATGCTACGATGGTAGTATTATGTGGTGGAATCTACTCTTATGATGGGGGATGTTGGAGTCTAGGCAACCCGTGTAACCTTTGTGGCTCAGGGGTTCAGGGGTTCAGGGGGCCTGTGTACCCTTTGTAGTGGCTGACTAAGCCAAGTCAATTTACTAGTGTCATCGATGAACAGGCAGGAACAATCCTTTATATTTATTTCCATAGTTGATTCAGATTCATTCGGACTCCCCGTCACTTCCGCCTATGACTTAGCAGCATGGCAAGGGCATAGGAAAACGTTAACCACACAAGACCAGCGAACTGCCGCTTCCTTAGGAGCAGACATCAAAACCCCTGACCAGCCCTGACCAACAATATTAAACATACACCTTTGACGTCGGAGCATCAAGTAGCCTCTCCACCCCAGGTTTTCAGGCCCATGAGCATTATCATCATCTCACGCACACATCTTACAAGCCCTCCCAATACCTCACCATCCCATCCGTCGACCAGCGCGGGTGACAGCGCGCGCAGGCCCCTCCTGGATGTCCCGAACCACCAACCTCGCGGAAAACCAGAAGCAAAAGTAGAAACGTTCCAGACATAGAGACGCCAGAACCCGATGAGCGGGTGCAGCTGCTCAGGGACCCGGAGGCACTGTACCTAGCAAACGTGGGTCGACGTAGGGCGGCAACTAGCACGGATCTGGTGAGTATGCTGTTGCCTTCTCGGCGACGGGGTGCTAGAACGTCTTGTTACTACACTACGACGAACTGGAGCGGGAGGTGCGTACTCTAATCGACGCTGCGGATGAAGGCGATTAAGGTACCCCTACACATTTCTAGCTGCCTGGAGGGAAATGCCGCGGGTTCAAAGGCGTCCGGTCAATGCCTAGTGTTTGAATTCTCGTGGGTATAGGAAAGGTGTCTAGTAAGTTGGGACTTCGGGATGGAAAAATGCAGGGTTGGAGGGCCTTCTGATGCTATGCGCGAGTTCGGCCAAAATGGATGGAGGCTGAGGTATGCAGAAGTTACTTTAGGGCAGATACGGAGATCCGCTATTAGCAACAGCATTGTGTCTTGCATAGCACCCAAAAGAATACGTTCTAGGTTCACTCGCTAAGAGATGAGGGGCCATATTTCTCAAATGTGATCATAAATTAATCTATGGGTGAGTTGTGGGGAGAACGAACACATGCACCTAGCCTGACCACGCGCACCGGAATATTTCATGATTTATCATGATATCCAGTGATTGATATTTACTCCAGCCGTGTCGTACTGTCTAGTAAACCGTTACACATAATGGGCTCCTTCTAATCCTTCTTACTCATCTCGTATTATCCGTCGTGACTCTGCTTATCTTATGGTATCTACTCGTCTTACCAACTCCTCACCCGTTTCGTCTTTCATAAACCTTTTGGCATTTTTTGGTTTGTTTAACCTGTCCATCTTATACCTTTGCCATCGTGGATGCGCCATGTACTTTTCAAACTCTTCGAGGAGTTTTGGATCCTTTACTTCATCCCAGACCTTATGCTTATTATTGAGTTTGATAGTCTGCTGCGTCATTGAGGGTGGCTTATGGCTTTCTAACGCCATGAGTTCGGGTGATACCGATTTCAACTTGCTCAGGTACACATCCTTTGCGATATATGTTCCTTTCAGGTGCCTACTCCCTGTAGCAGTATCGAACTGTTTCCGGCCATGGAGGATGCGCAAGTTATCGAATAGCACGCACTCGCCTGGTTGCATCTTATACTGGTACATCCACTGCTCGTCCTCAATCAAGTGTCGAAACTTAGTCGCAGCTTCTAGCCACTTGCGATAAAAGGAATGGAAGGCCTTTCTTGGAATCATGTTTTGGTCGCTGGACTGAAACGGAGGAGACCAAAAGGTGAGTGAACTGAATTTGTCAAGAACAGGGTGAAAGTTTTCATAAACGTGCCCGTGCTTATTGTACGCGTAACGAACGGATTTCGTACTTAGATGCTCTATGAAATTATTCGACGCAAGTCGAATTAGATGAGAAGCTCTCGCACCGTCACTAAATAGAGAGTCGCCGCCTTCACACGTATTTTCAAGGCAATGTAGGAGTTGAATGCGAGGCGTGAAAGCCAAATATAGCAAGTCCTGGTGCAGCCCGAGAAAAGAGTTCGTGTAGGCCACATTCTCTGCGTTCGGTTTTGAACGTACATCCCAGGTCCTGCCGTAAAACGTCTCCTGTATGTTTCCGATCTGATTTGCGATGGAAACAACTGACTCGTCAGAGGGTGGCACGTTGCGTAGAAATATCAGCCCATGAGTGCCGAGTCGATGCAATCCGGAAAGAAATTCACTCCCACCCGCCATCCATTCGTCGTAGTCAATGGTTAAGCGGTCCTTTTCGAAGATATCCTTGTCCCATAATATCCATTTAGGTAACGGTATGTGCTTAGCTTGAATACTGGCAGGGCCAGGAAGAAGCCGAGCAATTGGGTAGTGGGACTCGTGATTTCCTTGACTTAAGAAATCGCTCTCCCACACGATATCGAGCCCTCCATCATCAGTAAACGAGGCTCTGGCGATGGGGAGATTGGTTGGCACGTCACATGTGCCGAAGTTTTTCTGGCCGGAATCGGGGTCTACACATATGCTGCAGTCGCAAGAGTCTCTCAGCCAATGGCGATCAAAAAGTTTTTGACGAGTTCCCGGCTTGGTAATGCGAATCAGGTCGTCGTCGTCTAAGTCGATATATGAGTTATTCTTGCCCGCCGTACCTGCTGGCTCTGCTGGCTCTGTTGGCTCTGCTGGCTCTGCTGGCTCTGTTGGTTCTGTCGGCTCAGTCAGATTTGCAAACCCTCTTTTGTTATTGCTGACAATCCGAGTGGTCGCTCTGCGTCCCTTGAGCCACGGAATAGATTCACTGTCACTGGTACTGAATTGACGAGATGTACGAATGGGAAAGCGAGGCAATAATATCGAAGTCCGACCAAGGCCGTAGCTTGGATTAAGTATGCCGGAGCTTACATGATGACTTTTAGAGTTCAACAAACCCCGTGAGATATACACAGCGGATTTCATGCTGGCCGTAGTAAGAATTGGGAAGGACGGGATCTCGTGATGAATATCATGGAAGACTGGGAAAAACTAGGAATGTGGGGTAAGAAAATATATCAGTTAGTGCATGTCTCAATTTTAAGTACCTACCTACCTACGTATGAAGCCGAGGTCCACCCCCGGTCTATCTAATGATCCACCCCGTCAAAAATGACCAATCAAAGACGGTTATTAAAAGCCACTAAACTTCCCCCGGTTGTAGCGGCAAATAGCAGATGATCGTTTAATGCATAAAATGTTAGTTGAATGATTCTATGTAATAACCGGGTAGGTATATATATTATGTTGTATGGATAGCTTTTTCTTCGCTCTCAACCATATTCATAGTAGCATCGTCATTCGAGTTTGTTTCGAGTGCAGACAATTTCCCCAATTGCTTCACTTGGCATTTCTCTTCCTGGTCAAGGCATATCAAGGCAGTTCTCTTCTTCCCCTGGAGAGCACGACGATGTTTCCGCCCATTGACATGCTTCTGCCACTGATCATCGGACTGAAGAGTCATACTGCAAAGTTCGCAAGTTTTAACTTTCATCGTCACTGACGATGGCCTGCTCTCAAAAGCTGTCAAAACTTCCTTCGCCGTGCTGGATATTTCCGTCGGCTTAGCCAGAGTTTGGCCGTGAAGGAACCCGGAGCATATCCTAGCTGCTGACTCAAGGACGTCAGCCGAGAAGTTATGAGCATGAGAACTGTTCAATAAGAACAAGTAATCCATTGCTTCGTGGTCTTTGAATGCCGGAATAGACTTCGTCCGGATCCATCTCAACTGATTTCTAGCATACTGTCTCGTCGCAATTTTCATTTCTTCAAGGCCGACTGCTTTCAGCTGGTTTATCTTAGTTGGGGTTGACCCGTCTTTTTCGGCTTCGAGAAAGGGTTCCATCTGTTTGTACCCGATGGATTGCCATATTCCACGGGTCACATTTACGGGATCACCCTGCTCAGATCGTAATCGTCGGCTTTCGTGCAAGATTCTCACCTCATCTAAGAGCCCACTTTCGCACATGTTATCGACCCTCTTATCAAGTCGCTGTCTCAATACATCGGGATCTGTGTAAACCCAGAACATTAGGGATTGCCAAGGACCACTTGCTGAGCCAGAGAGTGATTTAGCCTGTTTTTGTTGAGCATATATGTCCGATGCCCGTTTCCCAGTGGTGAGAAATATCTCGAGGGACCGTTGGATCTTGCGCCGATCGTCAGGATGCCACCGATCTGCCATGTCAGGATCCACCTCTCGAAGACGTTCCAAAATCAAATCAGTCGGCCCGTCCAAGATTGGGAATTGAACTATGTTTTCTTCCGGGGAACGATGCTGCGAGCTATCGTCATTAACGCCTTGGGAACTCACTAAGTAATCCTCGAAAAGCAGTGCGTGGATGTAGTAATGGGTGCCACCCACTACAATGGGAAGCCTTCCTCTACTTCGAATCTCGCAAATGAGCCTACTAGCTTCGCGCGCAAAGACTTCAACAGTCCAGGTCGGTTCTGCAGGGTCAATAGATGCTAGAAGATGATGCGGAACACCTCGTTGTTCCTTGGGCGAAAGTTGGTTTGTGATGACCGGTAACCCCTTGTACATCTGCATAGCATCGGCGTTGATAATTTCGCCGTTGAATCTGAGTGCCAAGTCCACCGCAAGCTACGCCTAGTATCAGTCTCAACACACGAGTTATAAAATCGCTACAAGGACGTAACATACATCTGATTTCCCAGTGCCTGTTGTTCCCAGAATAGCCACAAGAGGCTCCTTGGGAGGACATGCTGTGGCCATCCCTGCCATCCTTAGAACATTTCTAAGGGAAAAGCGCAGAGAGAGTTGTCCCAATGCGATCATGAATTATGATTGCTTCATTTGAGCTAATACAATTTGGTCCATGAAACTTTACTTAATATCATTTTTTACGTATTTAGCTCGGGACTTGAATCGCTTTATGAGTTGCGAATTTTCTTGACGAAGTTGAAACTTTGAAATATTTAGCTACGTTAGCTTACCCTAGGTACCTAACTGCCCTAGGCGCTGTCAAACCACAGCATGACAGGGATCCATGGATGCTTTGTCAGCTACTGCTAAATATTATCTATTCTTTGGGGAAGCTTCCACCTACCTAGTAGGTAAGGGTCCGTCAAGAGACCCACCAGAATCCCTTTTTTTGGCGTATCCCTGTCCCTTAGAGAATGGAAGGCAGCCGGCAGCCGGGCAGCTGCAAAGGATCAATTGATATACACGTATTAGAGGTAGGAGCACGTGACGTCAAAGCTAACCTAGCAGCTTACTCCACCCAATCCACCTACCGCATAATGGACACATAGTTCAATTTGCAATTTGGGGCTCAATAATTTTTTGAAGCCAGATTTGCCCTGCGACCAAATCCTCTCTCTCCTTTTAATTCGAGACAAAACATCGCGACGACCTCTACATCAACAAGAGGGCCCTTCGTCGCTCATTTCTAATCTATTCTTCCCTTCTACCTTCTTCCTTCTCCTTTATTCCTATTATATTCTCTGTCACGTTGTCACGATGAGTAGCTGTAAGTTTATTTACCTGTATTCAATACCTACTTCCTCATCATCCCGCGATCTCTTAAGTCCCAGTCCTAGTCCTAGTCCTGGTCCCTATTGATTGTCCAAGATCGCGACGCGACTATGCGTCAATTGCCATTGAGTCTCAACGTAGCTAATCCTGTTTTCATCAGTGCGGTTTCTCGACCTTGTCAAGCCCTTCGTGGCATTTCTGCCCGAGGTTCAACAGCCGGAGACCAAAGTCCCCTTCAACCAAAAGTTGATGTGGACTGGTCTCACACTTCTGATCTTCTTGGTCATGAGTCAGATGCCACTTTACGGTATCGTGTCCTCTGACACCTCCGACCCTCTATACTGGTTACGAATGATGATGGCGAGTAATCGAGGGACACTGATGGAATTGGGTATTACGCCAATTATCTCTTCGGGGATGGTCTTCCAGCTCCTCGCCGGTACTCACATGATTGATGTCAACCTTGACCTCAAATCCGATCGTGAGCTCTACCAGACTGCTCAAAAGCTCTTCGCCTTCATCCTCTCTGCCGGTACCGCCACTGTCTATGTCTTTACTGGTCTCTACGGTCCCCCCTCCGACCTTGGCGCTGGTATTGTCTTCCTTCTCATTCTGCAACTCGTCGTCGCTGGCATGATCGTCATCCTTCTCGATGAGCTCTTACAGAAGGGGTACGGTCTCGGAAGCGGCATTTCCCTCTTTATCGCTACCAACATTTGCGAGTCCATCATGTGGAAGGCGTTCTCCCCGACCTCGATCAACACTGGCCGTGGTCCCGAGTTCGAAGGCGCCGTCATTGCCCTCTTCCACCTACTGATGACGTGGCCTAACAAGCAGCGTGCTCTTCAGGAGGCTTTCTACCGCCAGAACCTTCCCAACATCATGAACCTTCTGGCCACCCTCGCCGTTTTTGCCGCTGTCATCTACCTCCAGGGCTTCCGCGTCGAAATCCCCGTCAAGTCTTCCCGCCAGCGCGGTGCTCGTGGCTCCTACCCCGTCCGCCTGTTCTATACCTCTAACATGCCCATCATGCTACAATCCGCTCTCTCTTCCAACATCTTCCTCATCAGCCAAATGCTCTACTCTCGTTTCTCCGAGAACCTCCTTGTCCGCATGTTCGGTGTCTGGGAAGCCAGGGAAGGGTCTGCTCAACTCTCTGCCATCTCCGGTCTGGTTTACTACATGTCCCCCCCGCTTAACTTCCGCGACGCTATCCTCGATCCCATCCACACGGCCGTATACATTACCTACATGCTCAGCGCATGTGCCATCTTCTCTAAGACCTGGATCGAAGTCTCTGGCTCCAGCCCTCGCGATGTTGCCAAGCAGCTGAAGGACCAAGGTCTCGTCATGGCTGGTCACCGTGACCAAAGCATGTACAAGGAGCTGAAGCGCATCATTCCCACGGCTGCCGCTTTCGGCGGAGCCTGCATTGGTGCGCTCTCGGTCGCCAGTGATCTCATGGGAGCTCTCGGCTCCGGCACTGGTACTCTTCTTGCCGTCACGTAAGTATCCAGCATGGTGACTCGTAATATTTTGCTAACGCGATTTCAGTATTATCTACGGCTACTTCGAAATCGCCGCGAAGGAAGGCGATCTTGCTGGAATGAAGGGGATGATTATGGGATAAACACCGATGCTTATGATCAGAAGTTCTAATTACCCGCTACGACGGCGCAATGTCAGAAAGTGCAATTATTTCACGCTACGTGTAATACCAAGGAAAAGCAAAAGTTCATGAGGATTTTCACAGGGGCGGCGAAGCTTGGAAAATGCATCAATGGCGGTCTGCGGTCATTCTCGTCGGGAAATCCTTCTTAAAGGGCCCCTAGGACGAAGAGTGTATTAGTTTACATACAATAGTAACCCCGAAAACATCCATAGCATGTACATCATTTTTTTACTAATTCACTTGCTAAACTCATCAGGGATTGTTGACGTGTCTTGTGCGTACTAATTAGTTATCCTACCTGTCCTTACCTAGGTACTTGGCTAGGTGGTTCGAAGCCAATAAGCGTAAATTTGAGCAGAGATTCCTAGGTCTTCATTATACATACTCCTTGGTAGAAGTAGGAGTTAGCGTCGGTATTCTAGTCGGATTCCTTCGTCCCCAATGCTACCTAGATACAACGCTAAAAGTACTGCACTAATGTTCATGTTCTTTTATTAGACATAGTCTTACTGCCTTGACGTTGCTTCAGACAGGAATCTTCAAAAAGGCGAGATACAGTATTTACATAAGATACACATAATATCATACATGTATATAAATCTAGCGCTCTATACATCCGCTTGTGCCTACATGCAAGGTACCTAGGTAGTTTAAGCAGGCAGGTATCAAGCGCTCGCCCACTGTATCTGCAACGTCGTTCCGTGCGAACCTTGCTCGGAGTACACGGTGCCCTGGGTCGAGCCGCTGGGGACGGAATCGGCGTACCAGTCGTTCCCGTCGGCGTTCGCCAGATTGGCTCCGTCGGCCGCGAACACGTTGGCGTCGGAGCTGCTGGTGTCCGCGGCGCAGGTCAGCGAACCGCCCGATACGGTGCAGTACCCCTTGCTGGATTGCAGCGTGAACCCGCTGCCGGAAGACGCTGCGGTGAACGTGGCGCAGGTCCCCGTCGTGTACCACTTGCCGCTGCTGATCAGGCAGCCTTTGGTGGATCCGCCCGTAGCGACGTTCAGGGTGCCCTTTCCGGAGAAGGTCCCCGTTGCGGTGGGCGAAGAACCGCCTGAGGTCGTGGATGTGGGCGAGGATGTGGTGGTGGTGGTGCTGGTGGGGGAGGATCCGCCGCCGCCGCTCTTCGGCAGGTACTTGACGCCGGTGCTGGGGCAGCCGCCGTCGTCGCTGTTGTCCGGGCTCGCGGGCACGAACTGGCCGGTGGCGACGGAGCCGTAGGTGTTGTAGTAGTAGTAGACCTGCTCGATGGCGTCGTCGGTGCAGCCGACGTACACCTTCTCGCCGCCGTGGTTCTTGGACAGCGCGGCCTGGATGTCGGAGAGCGCGTACGTCTTGCTCGAGCTCGGCGTGATGCCGGCGTCGGACAGGAACTTGTAGGTCGGCAGCGTCTTGAACAGGCTCACCGTCGTGTTGAAGAAGTAGTGCACCTCCTCCGTCGGCTGGTAGCTCGCGAAGCAGCTCGGCTCCAGCGTCGAGATGCAGGTGCCGTGCTTGCCCCACTCGTGCTCCCAGAACGTCTCGCCCGTGCCGTCGTTCGGCAGCCAGTACGTCTCCATGTAGGTCAGGAGGTCGTCGTCGCCGAACGCCTTGAGGATGTCCGTGATGTTGGTGTAGGCGCGCTTGCTGTCGCACGTAGCGTCGTACGTGCCGTCGCAGTGGTCGGGCCAGAGGCCGTGGATCGTCCACGAGTCGTCCGGCCCGACCGCCGGGTCCGTGTCCCAGAACTGCGTCTGCAGGAGCGAGCCGCCCGGGTAATTGAAGCAGCACAAGTCGGCGACCGCGGTCGTGTTATGGCACGACAGCTCCGTCGTGCTCGCACATGTCTTGGGGTCGCCGCCGAGGACGGGCTGGGCCAGACCCAAAAGCAGCACGGCCAGCGAGCCGGCGGTTAAAGAGCGAATACTACTAGATGCCATAGTGTCGGAACCTGTGGTACCACCTCCATTTCTGATTCCGGGGACGGACGGACGTCCTTTTAAAGATTTTCGCGGCTTCCTTGGAAAAGGCTTGTTTGGGTTGTCAAGTTTGTTTAGGTCAGGGGGAGAGAGGGCCTCGTTATCATGTGAGCGAGGGTGTTGCGCCGCGATCTTTCCCCACTGATGAGCGATCAGCGCTACGTTGCAAGGGCTACGGGCCAGGCCACCTTCTCGTTCGGGCGAATACCGAGTGCTGCTCGCACTAGCCGTCGTCGAATCATGCGCTAGATCCGTCCATCCTCCTTTCCGCTCTCAAACACCTCAATTAGCTTCCTCGTTCAATCAGCAGCCTAATAGGGCGCTCCGTTAAAATTGCTGCATGTGGCAGTTAAATAGGCCTCAATGCCGGACGATTACCAGCTTACTTGCCAGACCGGGAAGGCTATTGGGTAGTCATTGCATTGGGTTAATCCAATACGTCACCGAGACAGCTTTTATTGATGAGTCGTAGGTGTAAGTAGGTATGTATGTGTGAGACTGGTTTTATTTCCGGGTTGAATTATTCCAGTTTTCGGTGTCCTTTGCACCACGTGGGCGACATCATTCGGTTACAAAATCTCATATCCCCCAAGTTTCATGTGCGTATACATTTGGCCACTAGCATCCAGCCATGTTAAGAATCTTCATCCCTTCGAGATTATTCGGAGTTCCCATCATCGCCAACGTCGAGACCAAAATAAATCAAACACTCTAGTTCTTCTATGCCGGGACCTTCACGCAAGTAGGACATCGTTTATGTCCATATACTCTTCCGCCGCAGTAAGGACAGCTCAAGCAGGTCTCGGGAATTGGTGTTTGGAAAGGTGGATCGTCGAAGCGACGCAAATACTCGCACCAGCAGCTATTGAGACTGTTAGATCAGCTTATAAGGAAATAGGGGGTTGAGCAGAAAAAAGGGGAGTAAGGAGGCGGAGCTTGGTACTAACCAATACCAAACGAAGCTTGATGCGTGTCGCTTCACTCCGGAGTCGGTACCTGTGTTTTGGTAAGTATCTTCAGATTAATTTGTTTGACTCAGGCGGTGTTAATTACGGGTAACTCTGGCCCTTGAACGACTCGGCATTGTGAATCAAGTGGTACGGAGAGGTAGGTCGTCTATGGTTGTGTGTAGATAATCGACGTAGAAGTATTTGGAGAATTTCGTAAACCTCTATCGAAATAGCTCGCGATCGGATCGTGAATGTTTTTGGTTCTGCTTGATTTAAAACAACTAGGTCTGTTGGAGAATATAAGTTTCGTCAAGATTGCTTTTGGGAAAATTATATTTTTCGTACATGTAGTCAGGTAGACGGTTGTTCAAGTTATGGTTTTATGCTGTTGCTGTATTCATTGTGGTTGTCATGGCGAACCATCAATCTCATTTTGGTGCATAAATCCCTAGTATTAAACGAACTTAGCCGTCGTACCTCATTATGGTATTAACAAAAGAGCACTTTACCTTTTTGTAGGTATTGTCTTCATATTCATTCTTTATATAATTAATTTTGGACGCTCTATTCCTAGAATCATTGGTCGCGGAAATGAGAAACTCAAAGCGACAACGATCCTCGTGATGGTCCCACATTCTCCCTGTGCACAGGTACCTAGAGACTAAGTTTTATAGGTACCTCTCTAGGTAATTATCACCTTTTCAAATCATGGCACAATACAATGCTTGGATACATACCGGACTTTTTTCATGATTAATTTATAAATTTTTATAAGGAGCAGTACCTAAGCGTGTAAGTACTATGCTGCGGTCTATCTTATGGATTGGATATTGTGATTCCCAATACCAGCACCCTCCTATAGCGGCGACCTAATTATTCACTTGAACTTTATCTTTCTCACTTTCTTCATAGGGTTCTAGCCATTATCATTTCCAGATAAACATTTTCTAGCAGTAATTGGGATAGGTCTCTAGCAGCTACGCACAACTGGTATGAAGTAACACCAGTATGATTCCTAGCTTTGATTTAATGAAGATTCTCAGATATAGAGAAATCCACGACATATTTGGCATTTGTTCTTCCGAGAGTGGCCTATTCTCTGGGATATGTCGGTAATCTGTATATTTCACGGCTTCCAGAAGGGATGGCCTGTCATTGGCAAGTCGACGTTCAGAAAGTTGCCTAAGCAAACTCACTAGTAGGTCTGAGATCTTCTTCTCTGATTGTCGTCGAAATTTGCAACAAATATATACAATACAAACCCCCATGATCATCCCAAGACATAGTTGAAAGATGATCAACTACGATAGAAATAAGAATCGTTTTACCAGCCCTAAGGATTCCTGGGGAGGAAAGCGTCCGTTTCTTACCTAGATAGTTTGGTAAAAGATTGATATTCCGTGGAGTTGAGAAACCATTTTCCAGTACCCTTCCGCCTCCAACTAATGAAGTCAGCTTATTGGGAAGTATAGTCAAACGGTGTAAGCTAGTTAAGAACTGCTTGGGTTTCATGGTGGTCTCGCTTTTTCACCAACTTGACCACATTATTTCTGACGGTCTGCTGGTTGATCGGGTTTGAAGAATAATTTAGAGGCATTTATGTCTAGTTGGAAGTTTGATTAGTGGTTATCGTGGAATCACTAGGGTCACATGCTCGGCCGGGATAGCTATAAAGTGGCTTGGAGCCCGTGCAAATTCTTTTCAAACTTTGTCAAGGGGCTTTATTACTGTGATAGAATCGTCGTTTCCAAGTCAGAAACTCATTCTGACATCCGTTTCCTTGTCTAGAAGTAGACGATGACAGGGAATAAAGAGACTGTCACGGATAATGAAACACTCATATTAGATTCTGGTAGCTTCTCCCCTAGTCTACTTACAGTCGTATTCATATTATTACCTACCTAGTTACAATACAATCGAATGTATCCATATGCTCTCAAGGGATCAAATCTGCCTATAGAGAAAGCCTCATATAAGTCATCATTAGAATTTGTGCTGGGATTTCGTGTGCAATAGGGCCGTATGAGGAGTTGACATGATAGACATGCGGAGTGAAGCCAATCATATCGCCCTTTGGGTTGTCTAGACTCTGCTCCGGTCTAGGGGTGTTATAGATAAAGACATTATTGGAAGGACTTGTGACTAGAATATGATAGAGTCTTAGAGGGGAAATTGTATAGTACCTACATAGTATATTATATTTATAGCTCAAGGCTCCGGTTGATAGGTATGGACCTAGTTAAGTTCTTTAATATTTAAACGCAACAGAGTCTAGACTTAAGGTTTCCTTGACACTTTCTAAGTTACCGTAACTGCTATGTTGACAATGAAAAATAGTCTATTAAGCAGTAAAGTATTCCCCCAAAAATGGGTTCTAATATGATATAAGATTAGGTAAGTCAGGGTGAAACTTGTCTAAATACCGAAGTAACTTGAGGTAGTGGAATAGGATAGGACAGCGGACGATAGTGCAGAAGGATACATATAAACGGTAAAGGGATATGAAATGATGTGGTACGATGCGGATTGACCTACTGTATGGGGGAAACAGCGACGTTGTTCCTCAAGCTTAGATCGCAGTATAGGCAGGCTGTGTCCTTCGTCTACACTGTTTCTATGACCGGCCATCGTCATGTGTCCCCCACCGGGCTGAATTCCGACCCGGCTAGACCTTCTGCAGCTAATTCTCTATACTAGTTAGACCTCCGACACGACGCGTTTGGATTATACTCTATATGCCTTGCCCTGCGTTTCTCTTGTGTTCTCTGCCTGGTCAATAACTGTAAAGATACAATACATCCAATTAGGATACATTCATCCATTGCTAAGAACTCCAACTTAACAGGTAGTTATATTTCTGGGCATGAGGGGGATTGAAACATTTTAGAGCCTCGATCTACGGCTGTAAAGAACCTCTGTGTGACTATCGAGCACAAACATCCAAATGGTACTGGCCACAAATCATCGAAGGAACACAAACACCATTATGACGAGAATTTTGATGTCATTTTCTGTCTATCGATCCGTACCCGGCTCTTGATATGAACCCAGGTGTATCTGGGCAAGTAAGCAGTCTGCCTATCTGGCTTTATAGTAGTCTTCTGGTTTCGTTTTCGTAACAAATTCGTGATTACGCAGTGATTCTTATTTTATGCAAAGAGTTTCCGTTCGAGTAACCGAACATAGTGACGGTGTCCGATAGAAAGACACCGGCCGAAGACTGAGTGCGCCACGGAGAGAGAATTAGAGGTAGAAGCCTATTCTCCAATTTCCGAAATCCGGCTAGATATGCAGGGTGGTCGTGCATTACATATATATGACTTTCGAGCAAGACTTTAGACTTGCACTGTGGAAGATTAATAAGGGTAGAGACGTAAGGGCCACTGAAGTCGCATCCAATATAGCGAATCAGACTGAATGAATTTCCAACCATGAGGCGAGACCCTCTTGGAGACCCTCTTGTATCGTCTGTATAACCTGGGATTATACATTGCTGTGTAGGAAGGTTCAGAGGCTATCTCCAGCCTCCATGGATACGGGTTGACTATACGACCAATCAGAAGAGTCGATTAGCTCTTAGTGTCATGCAATGCAACTGTCGGGAAAACTGGTGTTCACCCCGCATAAGCACCATCGCGGGACCGGAACCGGTGAGTTGAGTGGCCCCCTCCTACTGCATGTCCAACACCAAGGAACACCAAGGGAATTTAGTTAGAGATTTCGTCCAGGAACTTCTTGGGCGGATAGCTTATCTGTTCCTTCGGTCCTTTCTTATCTGAGCCGTCTGAGTCACAACTGTAATCCCTAGTAGCACCCTAAGCGAGCTCGTTATCCTGATAAAGTATACGGAAATATATAGTTTCTGTAAGATTACTTACCTATGGCGTTAGTAGATAAGATGTTGATCACGATAATCTTGGAAATTTTCATTCCGATTATTATGACTTAAAAAGCTGCAAAGCCACTGATCATGCTGACAAATGAATGCGAGTCGGTCTGATGTTCTATACCAGGCAAAAATAAGCCACGCCGTATTTAGCTCTTACTCGGTGGATGCATAGCTCCATTGATGAATACGGGATAAGAAAAGGCATTCATTAAAATTGCATGTATACAGGTCACAAATCATCTGGCTCCCCACATTCATATGTAAGACGCATGTTTGATGTTACACGTATGCGATAATTGGTATGCGCGTCCAATCGGGGCCCAATTGCAAAGAATGATATCACCGGGACAGGGAAACATTCGAGATCAGGTGGTACATGAAATATTCAAGTGGCACGCCAATCTAAATATGACATGTGCTTACAGGCTTATAGGCGTGTTCGAGAACATATGTACGTAATTCATAAACCTTTTACGTTACAATTCGGAGTATTTAATCATTGGGGGTTCTTGACTTTAGAATCTTACAAGACGATAAAAAATGTTATCCATCTTCTCTTTCGTAGTATCATAAAAGAAGACAACGGAATCACGATATAAATAACCTTCAGAGACTATTGCTTTACACAAGAACCGTGTAACATACTATATGCGGTATCTGCATTCGGAACCTGAACCTGAACGTGCTTAAGGTGGCATAGTGGGGCAAGTTCGCGTGCTAGTCAAACTAAGAAAATACCAAGGTTGGCTAGTTGGGTCCGCTATCAGGAACCGAGCAACTCGTGGCTGGAAGTTACCGAATATTTCATCTGCGTTGCCATAGCCACTGGAAGCGGTCTGAAACTGCCCCAGATGTAGGTAGGCAGTAGAATTCAGAAAGAGCCAAGCCGTCACTGCATCTCCTAAGCTCACCGTCAATGCCGGGAATGCTGTACACCGCGCCAGGAAAGAATCACCTGCGACGCCTCTGCCCCCCACCACGATACTTGGAAGGTACCTCTGACGCGTGCTGTTCGAGTTAATCAGTGATAGTGGAGGTTGCGCCTGAGTATTAGTGTGGCAGTTGTGGGAACGTACTAGCCTCCTACGCAGTAGACGACAAGTGCCCCACTGTGGGAAGCTACATTAGGTAGGTAACTTACCTGTCGTAGCGCTATGTCGCTACGATGTCCCTACATAATTCTTCCCTCCATCATCTCTGCCACTTTTTATGCTATCTCTCTCTCGCTCCACCCCCCAGAGATTCTCGACTCTGCACTTAGCTAGTAGCTATCTTCTTCACCTACTTCTATTCTTTTCTCTTCTTTTCATGCCAGATCTAATCCTAGGTTTGCCAGTCTTTACCTTCTACCAAAAAGTCTCAGGTCGCTACGACGAGTAGTACCGAGCGTCATATTCCATCTTCGACTAATCGACGACAGATATTGGCCTAAGATCTCTCAGTCTGGTGGTATCATCCAAACGATTACCTACCACTCTCGCGAGTGGGGCCGGGGAGAAGAAGAAGAAACATGAGCTTTGCCTCGTGTTCATGGCCAATATGGCGGACTGATGACTTCACGACTTGTTTTCAATCCGAGTAAGTACATACCTTTTTTGTCCTTTTGCGTTTTTTCTGTGTTCCCATTCCCCTTCCCCTTCCCGTGTCTTAGTGCGATCAATGCGTGTCTCGCCTACTAACGGCTTATAGCTATCTGCAGATCCTTTTCCCGCTTGTTCTAATATCTCTATCTCTCCTTCATCTCCTCCTTCAGACTATCTACCGGAATGTTAGGTTAAAACGCGCCGACGGCTACGACCAAATACCTGATCATAGAGATCACACGGAAGTACCGCCAGAGGAGGATGATTGTATAAGCACCGACGATGATGAAGGGTTATCTATCAATCCGAACGGCGGTGGCCGCCTTGCCCTTATCAAGACTACCTCCAAGGGTTCCATTGTCCAGGCCGACACCCCGCCTGCTCAGGATCTATTAGTTATCGTCGAGGAGGTTGCAATATGCGGATTAATAGCTGCCAATATTGTCGCCCTCGTCACTAAAACCTACAATGGACATGGGCAGCTTGCAGCTATCGTCGGCTTAGTTTCTTGGGTCTACGTTCTTATTCTCGCAACACTACGACTGTTTCTGGGGAACACTAAATGGCGAATCCCTCGACTTTGGAACCACACCGCTTCCATATATGGCTTCCAATGGCTTTTTACACTTATCGTCTTTCGCTCCGTCCTCATCCATGCCAGCTCCAGACTTGCGCAAATCCTGATTATTGTCGAGTTTTGTCTAACGACGCTCCTGTTTGGGATAGCTCTAAACACTAGGAAGGGCAATAAGACTGTTGTTATGGAATGGGAAGGGAAGATTGAGCCGTCGCGTGAACCTTTAGCTTCGGTTCTCTCTCTGTTGACTTTCGCCTGGATCGACCCTATGCTCTGGCAAGGCTACAAAGAACCTCTTGAGATTAAGCATGTGTGGAATCTCCTGCCGCGCGATAAGAGCGCCACGGTACTTGCCAACTACCGCCAGGTCAAGAAAACAACGTCTCTCGCCTTGCATTTGACCAAATATTTCAAGGGCATGCTTATTATCCAGTGTGTCTGGGCTACTATGGGCGGTCTTCTCACATTTGCTCCGACGCTTCTTCTCAAGGCCATCCTCGAATATGTAGAGATGCCGGCTAGCGCCCCGAGGAATGTGTTATGGCTCTATGTTATCCTGCTTCCCCTTGCTGATCTCGTTCGTTCTATTGCTGATGGTCAGGCCTTATGGATTGGTCGAAAGATATGCATTCAGATTCGTTCCATTATTATTGGCGAAATCTATGCTAAAGCTTTACGACGTAAGGCGGCAAGTGGTAAGGATACCGTTCTCGGGAACACAGACGCAACAAAAGAGACCAAGTTAGAGAAATTGAAGAGATTCTTCAGACTGAAGAAGAAGACGGACAAGAAAGCTGGCGCCCAGAATGGCGATGTCGTGAAGGAGGATGCCCCCAAAGGCGCAGACGAGCAAGCGAACCTGGGGACGATCATCAACCTCATGTCAGTCGATAGCTTCAAGATTTCCGAGTGCACTTCGTACTTGCATTTTCTGCTAGCGGCCGCTCCCTCGCAGCTGTTAGTATCTATTGCTCTGCTCTACCAGGTGATGGGTCTCAGTGCCATCCCTGGTCTTGTCATTATGGTTTTCCTCTTGCCGGTCAATATCCTATTGGCCAAAGGATTCAATTACACCCAGCGCAAGATCATGGCTGCGACAGACAAGCGGATACACACGACGAACGAGATTCTTCAGAACATTCGGATTATCAAGTACTTCGCCTGGGAAAACCGGTTTAGTGGTATTGTTGACGAGAAGAGGCGCAACGAGTTGAGGGCGCTGCGAAACCGTTATATGATATGGGCACTCGCTGTTGCTATTTGGAACACGGTACCAGTCTTGATTACGTTTTTCTCCTTCTTGGTATACACCAAGGTAGAGCATAAGCCCTTGTACCCATCTGTCGCATTCACCGCCATTTCCCTCTTCATGCTCCTAAGAGTACCTCTGGACCAGCTTGGAGACATGATCGCTCATATCCAAGAGGCGAAGGTTTCAGTTGATCGTGTTGAAGAATTCCTGAACGAGGATGAAACCGAGAAGTATGAACAGCTAGGTCCTGATAACGTGGACGAAAATGGCAAAAAGGTCATTGGTTTCAAGGATGCAACATTCATTTGGGGCGGCAAAGATGCAATTGCAGCAGATGGGTCAATGGCATTCCGTCTCCTTGATTTGAATGTCGAATTCAAGATTGGCAAACTCAACATTATCGCTGGTCCCACAGGATCCGGAAAGACCTCGATGCTTATGGCTCTGCTTGGTGAAATGACCATGACTCAGGGCAAAGTTTACCTTCCTGGCGGCCGTAGTCGTGAGGATGTCCGACCGGATCCCGCAACTGGTCTTACCGAAACTTGTGCCTACGTTGCTCAATCCGCATGGTTGGTCAACGCAAACATTAGGGACAACATCTTATTTTCCGCAACATACGACGAAAAGAGGTATAAAGATGTCCTTGTGGCCTGTGCATTGGAGCGAGATCTCGAAATTCTGGATAATGGCGATGAGACACTAGTAGGAGAAAATGGCATCACCCTATCTGGTGGACAAAAGCAGCGTATATCCCTAGCGCGGGCCGTATACTCAAATTCCCGCCACGTCTTGCTGGACGATTGCCTGAGCGCCGTTGACTCACATACCGCCAAATGGATTTTCACCAAGTGTATCAAAGGCGAGTTGATGAAGAACCGAACTTGCATTCTGATTACACACAACACAACCCTTTGCGCGCCTTTATCGGAGTACGTTGTCTTACTCGATAATGGAAGAGTTGATGCGCAAGGAACAGCAGAAGACATCATCGCCTCTGGTAAACTTGGCGAAGAGATCCGAACTAAATCCCGACCAGGCTCATCTGATGTTTCACGCGTTCCTTCACGAGTGCCATCAAGTGTTGGCGACGAGAGTGATCAAACTCTTATTGACCACAACACGAACGGCACCAATGGCACGACGACCGCGAATTCTACTAACAAGCAAGAGAAGCCTTTACGGAATACCCCGCAAGAACTGAAAGCCACGGGCGCTGTCAAGTGGCCGGTCATCAGCCTTTACCTTCGAGCTATGGGCACCTGGTGGTTTTGGGTCATTGCTTTTATCGTTTTCGGTGGTCAACAACTCAGCAGTGTCGCGTCGAACCTGTGGATCAAGGAATGGGCCAACCAGTATACTTCGGGCCTCGAGAGCATGTCTGCATCTGGGACATACTCTAGCATAGCTTCGCGGCTTTCTTACAGTTCTTGGCTATCACCAGCTCAATTTGCGTCGGTCACGAGCTCTGTCAAAAGCATGTCCTTCATCAAACCCGCGGACTATTCAGCTACTGATGTACCGGAAGTCAACGTGGACTATTATCTCACCGTTCTCGCGTTGATAGGAATCGCGGGTGCGGGGCTGGCCTTAACTCGCGATCTCTGGCTGTTCTTTGGATCTCTCACAGCATCTTGGAAACTTCACAACAGGCTCATGTCTGCTGTGGCTCGGGCAAAATTCAAGTTCTTCGATGTTACCCCACTCGGACAGCTAATGAATCGGTTCAGCAAAGACCTCGAGGCCATCGACCAGGAGGTTGCCCCTGTTGCCATTGGTGTTATGAGTTGTGCTATGGGCATACTAATCACCGTGGTACTTATCGCGGCCATAACCCCTGGATTCCTTGTTGCTGGCGTTTTCATCACGGGCTTATACATTCTGGTCGGCATGTTTTACCTCCGAGCGTCCAGAGATCTCAAGCGGCTCGAGTCAGTGAACCGAAGTCCCCTGTTCCAGCAGTTTGGCGAGACACTCTCTGGAGTCACCACTATTCGTGCCTATGGCGATGAGCGACGGTTTATCCGGGAGAACCTGACCAGGATCAACACACAGGCTCGTCCGTTCATCTATCTCTGGGCTGCTAACAGGTGGCTCGCGTTTCGAACGGACCTTCTAGGTGATTTTGTGGCGTTCTTCGCCGGCGTTTTCGTCATTCTAAGCCTAGGAAAGATCGATGCCGGCTCTGCAGGTGTATCCTTGAGCTACGCCATCGGGTTTTCTGAGAATATTCTATGGCTTGTACGACTATACGCGATGAATGAGCAGAATATGAATTCTGTCGAACGTGTTAAAGAGTACCTTGACGTGGAACAGGAAGCTGCCCCGATCAACGAGAAGAACCGTCCTGCTCAGGATTGGCCTGCTCATGGAGCTGTGGAATTCGTTAATTATTCTACGAGGTACCGCAAAGAACTGGACCCTGTTTTAAAGAATGTTACCTTCAAGATCGAACCTCGCGAAAAGGTTGGCATCGTGGGACGAACTGGTGCCGGAAAGAGTTCTCTCACGCTAGCAATCTTCCGTGCACTAGAAGCGGAAACTGGAAAAATCATGATCGACGACATTGATATTGCTACGATTGGCCTACAAGATCTCCGAGAAGCTATTACTATCGTGCCCCAGGATCCTACCCTTTTCACCGGAACCATCCGAACAAACCTTGATCCTTTTGACCTTTATACTGACGAGGAAGTTTTCTCTGCTCTTAAGAAAGTCCGGCTTATTGGCCCGAACGAAATACTTCCGTCAACTACTCAGTCCCTTCTGTCTTCGGCGGAGAACAGTGAAGTTCAGGATTCCCAAGAACCAACCAGCCCCTCTTCACCTACTACAACGAACAAAAACATTTTCCTTGACCTATCCTCTCCGGTTGCAGAGTCGGGCTCGAATCTTTCGCAAGGTCAGAGGCAACTTCTCTGTCTAGCTCGTGCTATGCTCAAGAACCCCAACGTTCTGGTGATGGACGAGGCTACGGCATCGATCGACTATGCTACGGACTCAAAAATTCAAGAGACGATCCGTGATCTGAAGAGCACGATCATCACGATCGCGCATCGACTCGCCACTATCGTTGATTATGACAAGGTATTGGTACTGGACCACGGTGCGGTTGTTGAATACGGCCATCCACATGAACTTCTACAGAATGAGAATGGAAATTTCAGAAGCATGTGTGAGATGAGCGGGGATATGGAAGTTCTAACCAAGGCAGCTAAGAAGGCGTGGGATGACAAGAAACTCGTGGATGACGAGTAGGGAATCATCCGCGTACATTGACGAACTCGAGATAAACGAATGGGCGGAGGGGAATGGATGTATGTATGAAGTGAGAAATGCCTTGATGACTAGGATACACCGTTCATACGGTGAAGTGCGTACCTCTTCCTATGACACTCCGGGCGTGGTTGGCGTTGGCAGTAACCAAACTGTTCCGGGGCGATTTGCCCTCTGAGATGCAACTGTATATATGGATTAGAGGCGCCAAATATGTAATGAAATCATTATTGTCATGAGGTGTCATGTTTCACGTGATGTATGTATTGTATAACGTCTGATGTGGCATTCGATATGATATCCTTGGAATGCAAACATGTCTGGTGGTTGATGATATGTGCCTGGTATGATGATGAACCAAAAGAGCTAGAATCCCTATAACCTATATCCAGGTACATTGATGAATTCAGCCACGCAGCCACATCTAGCTTGCGGATAGGTATCTAGATACATACATAGGTGTTCGGATAGCTGCGCACTAAGTGGGCCCCTGTATTCCTGCAGGGGACGTCTGACGCGACAACACGTCATTGGCCCAAATTAAAACCAGGGACCCATCGTGTCAATTGATTTGACCACATTGCACACAACGTTTTTTCCGCCGCGAACTTTAAGCTTCGCCTTCCTTAATCTATGAACTCTATCAATTGATGTGAATTGAAGCTTCTGTACTTCTTTTTCTTTCTTTTTTTGTTCCTCCGAGAAGTTAACACCCCTTTAATTCCTCCTAATCGTTCTTATATATTTTAAGGCCGTCGTCAATCCCTTTGATTGTCGTGTTAATCATCTCGTCCGTTGCCCAACATGGTGGCCTTCCGATACTCTGTTCTCGCCGCTCTGGCTCTGCGCGTCGTATCCGTCTTCGCTGCTGAGGGTGACTCTGTAAGTATAGCTTTTATGTAGATTGTCTCAAAGCAATGAGCGCTAACAAGAATTGACTTTGTAGCCCCTCGCAGATGATGCCGGTAGCCCTCCCGAGGTCGAGCTGAAGGCTCAGGTCGCCGCTACTTTCCCTGAAGCCGACGACATCTTCGGTGTCAAGCTCGTCAACGGCCGCCCGACCAAGGCTGTTATCGACGTAATCAACAGCGAGGACGAGCCTATTCTAGTAGCTTTTGTGGGAGGCCAGCTCCTTAACCCCAAGGACCAGGGCCCTGACGTCGACTTCGCCAAGTCTGTTGTCCGTAACTTGACAACTGTCCGCTATGAGGCGTCAGTCCCGGCCGGCGAGACGGCGTCGCTCCCTTACTCCTTTATCCTAGACATGCAGCCCCAGGACGTGCGCCTACAGCTCGTCGCCGTCGTCACCAACTCCGCGAACCAGATCTTCCAGCTTGGCGTCTACGACCAGACCGTCAGCATCGTCGAGGCTCCTACCAGCATCTTTGACCCTCAGATGTAAGCTTCTTTCCCGCTTTCCGCCGTTTCCCCCTATACTAGAAGCTAACGTCGTCACTTACCCAGCATCTTCCTATACATCTTCCTCACCGCCGCCTTCGCCGGTACCTGCTACTTCATCTACAAGACCTACATCGAGGCCCTGTTCCCCCAGGCCAAGCGTCCGGCCAAGAAGGCCCGCGCCCCCGTCGCCGAGAAGGAGCCTCTCTCCGGAGGCGAGGGCTCTGCTACCGGCACCGACAAGGGCTACGACGAGAGCTGGATCCCCTCGGACCACCTGAACCGCCCGGCTGCGCGACGCGTAAAGAGCGGCGCTAGCAGCAAGTCCAAGTCCAAGACCGCCGAGTAGAAACGGCGTTGCTATGTTGGGTCACCTGCTGAGTAGCACGTGCACGTATCAATTATGACGAGGAAGGGGTAATCCGGCTTTGTGAGAGTTGGGTTGGAAATAAATACGTGCATGGGCTTGGTCGGAAGACTAGCGGTGGGAAAAACGGAACCGTGTCAGGCAAAAGGGTATCTGGGCTACTACTACTGATGTAGCTGGTAGGATGTCTTGTTGTGCTGAGTGCGGATACCTATATACATGTACATGAATGGGACTGATACGAATAAGTCCTAAAATAATGCTGTTCTATTGTGAAACTATCGCCTTGATCGCGTGTAGAGTTGGGATTGTAAGTGACATTGTAGATCGCGGCTTCAAACCTGTTGAATCGGCGTTTGATATATTGCAGTTTGCTAGGTACTGACAGCCAACTTCAGATCAAAACTAAGATTAAAGTGCTTAGGTTATATAAGCTTCCACGAGGATGCTTTAAATAGGTTAGCAGATCATCTTAGCCGCTTCTCATTGAGTTGTTACTGTTATAACAACATCTTCATTACCTTACTCATGAAAGCTTTTTTCAACTGAATCTTTATAGTTGAAAGACCTACATCAGTACCATATATCATAGCCCCTTTTCTACAGGTATAATCATATTCGTTTCTATCCATGTCTTATTCTCCCATTTTCAAGTCCAATTTCATCCCAAACCAAACCAAGATAGCGTCACTATACACACAAACGCAACGAATATCCAAAATATCCATCATTCCCAGGAGAAAATACAATCAGCTCACCAAGAATTCTACACCCAATCCTCCCACCGCCCTCCCTTCAAATACCCATACTCCCCCTCCCCTCCAAAAGCCCGCCCAGTATCCTCCCAGGTCGGCCCCTCCGCCTCGGGGATGAACCCGTCGGCGCAGTACGCGTACTTGACGCTGGCTACCTTCCGGTTGTCCGCGTAGAAGGCGTCGTATCGCGGCGCCAGCGCGTCGGCGAGGGAGCGCACGGCGCCGTCGGGGTGCAATGAGGCCCAGGGGCGCTGACACCGCGTTCCGGCGCAGGTTTTGAGGACGAGGAGGAGCGCGTCGAGACGGTCGGCGATTTTGCGGGGGGCGTGGCCTGCTGCTAGGATGGGTGTTGAGGGGGAAGATGGGGATAGGAGGTTGTTGAGTTGGCCAGGGTCGACCTGTTATAAGTAAGTTGACCGATTTCTCACCAGAGCGGCTTAAAAGGGCAGAGTGTTTGAGAAAGGGGAATACGTACTGCCATATCGTAGAGCTCGTGCTCGTTGTTGCACCAGACGGAGTAGTACAAGTTATACCCCGGCCCCGAGATGCGGAGAGCCTTGTACGTGTTGTTCTGACGCGGGTCTCCTGCATCGGGAATTCGATATCAGACGAGATTCTCCAAGCTTCAAGAAAGGACATGAGAAAAAAAAAAAGGCGAAATCCTTAAAAACTCACGATTATACACGCCCTCCCCCATCGCGGACCCCCAATACTCAATCCCCGCATGCTCCCTCCTCTCGCCCCTCTCCCTAACCCCATCAATCTCCCCCCTCGTAAGCGGTATCGCCGCACCATCAAAATCCTCCCTAGGCTTCAGACCCAAAATATCAAAAAACGTAGGCGCAAGATCAGCATGCGTGCTCACGACCCCGTCCGCGCTGAACCCCGGCTCGACGCCCGGCCCCCGCACGATAAGCGGCACGTTCACGTCCTCCTCGTACCCGCAGCTCTTGCCGGGCTGCAGCCGGTGCTGGCCCACGTGGTACCCGTTGTCGCTACTATACACGACGTACGTATCGTCCAACACGCCGCGCTCGCCGAGTCGCGACACGAGCCCCGCGACCAGCTCGTCCACGGCTTGCAACGCGCGCAGGCGCTGCCGGTGGAAGTGGTCGTTGTACGCGACGTTGGACGCGTTCTGGCGCGGCAGCGCGGACACCCAGTTCGCGCCCGACGGCGCTTCCGGGTTGAAGTTCGGGGTGCGCGGGACTTTGGCTCCGGGGAACAGGTGCGCGTGCCGCGGAGCCGGGACGGGCTCGGTGAATTCGAAGGGTGGGTTTTGAGGGTCGCGCGGGCCGTGCTCGAGTTTCATCGCGACGTTGGCGTGGGGCGCGATGGGCGCGGCGACGAGGAAGAATGGTTTTTTGGCGTCTACGGCTTCGTCTAGGAGCCCGTAGGCTTTCTCTGCTAGCACGTCGGTGCTGTAGAGTCCTTCGTAGCTGCGCGGTTCCTCGCCGTTGCGCTGGAATGTGGCGTTTAGGTAGTCGTATGTGTGGGGGTCGAGTAAGAAATCCTAGGATACGGGTTAGTCCTATTGCTCAGAACTAAAAGATGGTGGTGTGTAATTGGGAGAAATACCGATCCTGTAAAACCTCCCGGGGGAGGTGAGTTGTAGTTCTCTACCGTGTGCGCGTTGAACAGCTTCCCCGTATAATACGTGTTATACCCAGCTTGTTGCAGCCACACGGGAAAGTAGTTGTCGTTAAGGCCTTCCGCTAAAAACTTAGGATAGCCGCCTGTGATTAATGTAAGATTAGGATTCATGTACATACGTACGACATACGACGTATGGTGGTATACAGGGTGGCACGTGACAAGTCGTATAGGGGTAATCCATAATGGAATAGGTTTGCCACTTCTATCTCCGCAGAGTCAACGTACCATACGGCGGTTTAACATCCGTAACATTCGTATTATGCGCAAACTTGCCCGTCCATATCGTCACCCGCGACGGGCAACAAACGGCCGTCGTAGCGTAATGACTGCTAAAGTACGTTCCTTGGTCTATCAAGTGCTTCTTCACCAACGGCATGTAGTCCAAAGACCCTAAATGGACGTCCTGGTCGTCTGTTAAAACAAATACGACATTAGGCTGTCGCCGTTGTGGTCGCGGTCCGTGGCTGTGGCCGAGCGGGACTTGTTCCGGGCTCGAGGCTGTTACCACGGCGCCGAAGCCGATGGCTACGGCGGCTGTATATGCCAAGGCCGTGACGCGCATTCTGGGGTTTAGTGTGCAGAATGTCCTCCCTTGGGAAAGTGGACTTCGATTTCGATATCTATAAGAGAATTCTTATTTTAATACTCGGTCGGGGGCGACGGTATGCATTAAATCCAATAACCATACATCATAAAAAGGTGAAAATGGTAGTCAAGGTGCTTATCTAATCGACGATCTATTCTCCAATGATTAAATGCAGGGGTCCTATTGCGTGCTGGGGAATAGCGTCGTCATCATACTATCCACAAGGTGGACAAGCCAGGGCTACCTTTCAAATCGGTGCTTTGGGAATAACTTGATTAGTTTTGCGCTTTTCAACCGTGGTTTCGCTAGACACCTCATGTCAATCAAGGAAGCAAATTGTATAACGTGAGAATGTAATTGCTATTTAATGTTGGGTTTGCTAAATGAGTAGGCAGCTATGTTAGTAAAGCTTATGAAGGCTATACAAACATACGAATAACCAGGCACAGATATCCAGGTTATAAACTACAAACTCAATGGCATAAAAGCCAACCGCAACTTTTCAAGTAGACATAGCTACCCAACGTGAGAATGCCATTTCGCTTCCATTTTTTCATCGCTTTATTCCAGGACGTGCATATGACCAACCCAATTCCCAGGAACCTAATTCCAGGAACATAAACGCCTCGGGCACCCCCTCCCGGTAAACAACCAAAGGAAAACACCGCTAGTTGAAATGCCTAGGATTGTTCGACTAGGACATATCCCAGCCGTCCAGCAAGTCGGCGCCCGCACCACCCGTTAGGCCGCCGAACATATCATCAGCGCTTCCGAAATCGAGCCCGCCGTGACCTGAATCTCCGCCGAGATGTCCCATATCACTTCCACCCCCGAGGTCCAAGCTCATGCTCGCCTCATCCTGCAAGCCATCATTTTGTGCCGCAGCAGCCAGCGCGTCGCCGAGTGCCGCGGCATTCTCGCCTAAGCCTAGGTTCGCCAGCTCACCTTGCAGCATGGACTCCGTGGGCGGGGGGACGTGCATTTGCGCCTCGACCTTGCGGTACAGGCGGACAATGATCTCGGCCATAACGGGGTCCGATTTCTGGATCGTTTTGCAGTCCTCCGCCTCGGCCTTCAGCGCCGCGCGGAGCGAGATCCGGAGTTGCGGTGGCACTACGGGGTGGTTTGAAGAATCCATCAACAGCGCGGTTTCCCCTGGTGGCGGCATGTTGGTTACGTCGGGAGCGCATATGAGGGCCGTGGCCACATCATGAGCGATGCTTCCGTGGCCAGCCTCTGTGTGCGACTTAACCTCTTCTAAGATGGTGTAAAGGAATCGCTTCGCGCCGTGCATCTTCAACGCGACTAGAATTTGACGGTGCGTATAGGAAGTCGGCATAACATTGAGACCTGGATGGGCACTCCACGTCACGAAACCTTGTATCATGTGCCGAATCAACGCCGTGAGACCTCCGTTCGCTGTCTGCGTCCATGCCTCCAGCTCGTTATTAGGGGCACTAGCTGTTCGTCGCGAAAGCCGAAGGTTATCCCTCATCGCCTTAAGAAGAGGCTCTATGGCTGGACTTTTAGGGTCGAATCTTTGATACGATCTTAGACCATACTCCAACGGTATCGCGATTATGTTCACAACCGAAGCGAGCATCGCTTGGGATTCAGTAGATCCCTGCTTTGTCAAGAGGATCAGTTGCAAAATCTTCAGGACTGCCTTATGCTCCGCATTGTGATTAATGTTACTAAGCTCTATCCAGAGTTGATTAGACATGTATAGAATTGCCGGCACGAGAGATGGGAGTAAAAAGGTATTGACAAAATCTAGAGATATAGTCAGCATTTTCTTCAAGGTCACAGAAGATTATAACTTACACTCGACACCAATCTTTAGGCTTTCTTCGTCGAGGTAGTTCGTGCTAAACGCAAGCACGATCTGGTGGAATAGCGTAGGAACCAGTAGATAAAAGTCTTGTGGAGGACACGACGATAGTAATTCATCTGCCAGTCCACCAGATTCAGTATCAAAGAGACCATGAATCCATCGTCCAAGGTGACGGTTTTCCTGCTCTGTCAGTTCACTCAGCGGTCTGTTAAGCTGGCTGACGCCCAATAGCTTAGCCACGAATGAATCTGAACGAATGCCAAGATCCATAGGGGAAAGGTTGTAACGGTAGACGAAGGCCAAAACTAGAAGAAGTATAGACCCAAACTCTTCGTAGACAGGTTGGTATTCGCCTTGGTCTTCTTCGTACCGCCAGTTGTCAAGTAACTCGCAAAGGGGATGCAGTATTGTTATTGGCTTGTCAAATAGGAGCATAACATCCAGCGACAGCGGCTTCTTAGCAAGCTGACCGCAGAGAAGCTTCAGAGTCATGGTCTCCTTGTTGTGGCACAGGCGACCGATCACCTCTGCTAGGGCCTGACAAGCTGCTCCGACGTTACCATCCATATTGTCCAATTCACCGATTAGCTTGGGAATCCTTTCGGGATCACCCACACACTCCTCAACTAGATGTCCTTTGACATATCGACCTGCCAATGGAAGAGTCTGATAAGTTATTTCCCCAAGTAGACCTTCGATGCTCGACTCTGGAATCAAATCATGAAGACAACAGGCGAAACAAAAGTCTTGTCGAACGCTATCTGTAAACGTGTTGTTGTTATTATTTGTGTCATCAAACATGGCAGATAGAGTCGGAAACGCATTTGTGTCAACCTGGCTGAGCGCCTCTGTGATACAGAACTGTGCTGACAACGGGGGATACATAGATGTTGCCAGCGTCGCCAGCAGTAAAGGCAACTTGTTGATTAGATATGATCGAAGGACGTGGCTAGCCTGTTGACCCTCATTGCGAAATACCGCATTCGCAAGGATGTCAAATGAGGCTAGGATAAGATCAATCGTGGTAGATTGAATATCTCCCTACTCTAGTAGTTAGCATCTACCTTGTGAACTATATCAAGCATGACTTACCTGGTATCTATTATGAAGATAGTTAAAGAGAGCAGTATCGTCTAGGAGCGGCCGCCCAACAAGCTTGGTGGAATTAGTAACCCGTATTCAGACGATCATACTATAGAAGCTTACATTGGCGTTTAAGTATATATATAAGCCAGCTCGAGAATTGACATTTGGCAATTCAGCGACGACGAAGTTCTCTAGAGCCATAGACGATTCAAGGTCATCCATTACGGTGTTGGTAGCATCCTTGTTCTTGTCGGCCGGCTCAAACGAAGCTAGAGTCTCGGTACGAAACAGTTCGAGCCGAGTTGCTATCTGCGACGCGCTCTGTATAATAGAAGGGATAAAGCTAGCGAGGCTCTCTGATAGAGCTCTTCGCGCGTCTATTTATCATATCAGCTTAGTTGGCCTCGCGCAAGTACAAGGAGTCTACGACGCAAACACGCACTCTTAGCAAACGGGCGGCTGAGTGCGCTCAGGACCGTCTGGTTTTCACAAATTCCTAATAGAAGCATCACAAAAGCGGCTCTCGCCGCCTCCATTTCATCTCTGGATTGTGGACTTTGCAAATGGCCACCATGTAGTTGACCCAGACCCATGGCTTCGTGGTTAAACGCCTCCGAGGCTAAAGTGAACAGCGTCATCCACTTGGCTATCAGCTTGCAAATTTGGAGAGCATCACCGGCATTCTCAATACCAGTGCCTATGGCGACCGCTTTCGTGATGCGGTAGAAGACTACCTCTTCTGACGCGTATGAGCTTCCCCATCTCAACGGGGCCTTGTCCTCAGGATCCTCGGGAAGAGGGTGGCCAGTCTTCTGGGCTTGTACGTGGGAAGTCGAATATTTATATAGCGCCTTAAGCACGGAAGGTGTGTCGATAAGCTTGCGCGACGCAAGCACATGGATATAACGTGGAATACGAGGGTCTAGGCTTTCGTGGTTCGCAGGTTGAGGTCTCAAGAAGATGTCGGCGATGATTGCTGGAGGCAACGGATGCTTCGAGTACAGCAGGGTGATATAATTATCGAAGGTTTCTGGATCGAGGCGAGAGGAGATGCATCGGCTAAGAAATCTAGCCCATTCCATCTTCGATTGAGTGTGGTCGCGTGAAGGTCCCGTCTCGGGCATACGCTCCGACATCATCATATCTACGTCCATCTCCATCTTGGAATAGTGTTTTTAGGTGCCTGAAGAAATGGGCCTGGTGGGTACATATAGTCGGCAAAATAATCCTGATTGAGTCGCGAGTCGGATTTTCTGCGGTGGTAATCGTTCTGATTCACTAATTGTTGGTCAAAAAGCTGACGAGGCTGAAGGTTTGAAGAACGGTGACTTGACAAATTGACGTCGGTGGTTATCTTTACTAAAGATAGTAGGATTAGCTATCTTAGCGACTTTAGCGATTTTAGCGCTACAACCTTAAGCTGGGACAACGGGAGTCCAGTATCGATAGGCGGTCGACCCTGTCAAACCTGTCTGGCTAAGCGAATTGATCGCTCCTGTCGCTAATCCAGTCTAGGCTCCTGCCAAGCCAGGGGCTCGGTAGGGCTAGAACATAACCTAGAGCTAGCAGAGCTACCTACCTAATGTATCCATGCATGTAGGAATTGGAGCTTGGGCCATGTGATTACTCCAGTGCTACTTAGGTACCTGCTGCGGGTAAGCTGTACCTACTAGTAGGTAGTATATTCAATAGGTATTTTGGCAATATGGAACTTCCCCCCTTATTCTCGTTAATTGTCCGAGCCTACCAGGAAGTAGACTAACCGTCACATGCAATGATAGACATTAGACACTCGAGCTTGAGATTCCTCGATTTCTCGATATAGCACACAATTCCCGTTAACCCACCACATTCCGCAATGTGTGATGCAAGATTCATGGTACACGCCATTAATATTTGGCCCCGTTTGAAACAACACCTGGCTTTTGATTTATCGAACTTCCCACAATTTCCCATCCATCCTGTGGATAGTCGTGAGCCGCATTTGCAATACACTTCTTGAACTACCTAATCCCATTATTCCCAAGTCACTCTAAGGGCTGCTCTTAGCTGCTTCAGGACACCTAGTTAGATCACTTTTAGCTCAGTAAAATGAAAATCCGTACGCCTAATCACCCTCCCGAAAAACACCGCATCTGGCCGGCTTCTAAAATCCAATCTCGTGTCCGAGGTATACAACTCGGTATATCGCCGTTATCGATGAGGTTAGAGGTTTGAAACAAAAAATGTAGGTTACGATGCCACTGCCATATAGATCAGACATCTTCACTCTTCACAAGGACTGCCATTTCTCTATCGACATCTGGTGAGCGTGGACCGACCATCCAGTCCTGCATTGCCAACCACTCACTCCAGTTTGCCTCCGCGTTAACAATCTCCTTCTCTGTCACATTTTGCAGTGGCCGTAGAAAGGGAATGCTCTGGTCGTCCGGCATGTCGTACTGGGACTTGACCTTCAACCAGCCAGCGCTCTTAGCAGCAAACAGGAAATTCCTTCGCTCGACTTCGTGGAGGTGACCTATTCCCGCAAGCCAGTCATCTCCGAAGAACCCGTGCAACACCCCAGGGAGATCTAGGCCCGTGGCTACCAACCGCCGAACGTACGGTGTTAAGGAGACCGCCATAGGTGAGTGACCCGGCATTGGGAGCTTCCCCGCTGCAATTGACGAAGGTGACGGCACGGCCTGAGGTGACCCAGGAGGCTTGGACGAGACGACGGGATGTTGCGGCCTTTGGAAAGGCAATTGAATGTTGACGAACGCGGCAACTGCCTGCACCGGCCCGCTATGTTGCGCGTGATCGAGAAAGTAGCGGACACAGGACTGAAATTGCGGGTACCACTCGAGAATGTCGAATTGAGATTCCTGGAATGGGAGAAAGGGTCCCGAGGGGTTTATTTCTGGTGCCATCCCTCGCGCGCCAGCAGAAGACGAAGGATGCGGAGGCGACCTCGAATGGGTTGGCTGGAACGACATCGGGAAGCCAGGAGGTCCACCACCACCCTGAGGACGAAATGCCATGCCGTCAAGCCCGTGATAGCGGATAACGTCAAATATATCCGACACAATCGAGACGGCCGTCTTTCCCCGTTCTAGAGTCCCTTGAAGAATGCGTGTCTAGTAACACCTGGCGGAACCGAACCGTATGGAAAATATAAAAGTCTAGATATTGTACCCTAATGCGTGAAATGTTGTCGATGAAAGATAGTGTATGTGTTAAGTAGTAAGAAGCGAGCGTACCAGTCTAAAGCATCGTGGATGCTCCACATCGAATTGACCCGCAGCACGCCAATCAAGAAAGAGAGTTTTAAAGTTGATAGTAGGTCTAGTCGAGGTCTAGAATCTAGAATCTAGTCTGAGGACGGCGGGTCGTCGAAGGTTTTAATACCACTCGTGGAAGGCTTACACCTGTCTCTACCCTTTTTATTATATCCTTCGCCTGGACCAGTGCACTTCAAGTCAAGGAAAAGGAGGGAGGCTGTAAGTCGCTATTTGAAATACAAGAGATACAAAGAGGAATATCAATAATTTAAAATAAGGAAAAAAGAAAATATAAAAAAGAAGAAAATAAAGATAATATATATTATATGTGACTAGGTAGGTCACAGAGAAGGTTACAGTAACCGGCCTTCGGCAGCTGAACCACGAGAACTACACCATAGGGTCCGCCACTTGCGGCATGTATAGTCGGTTTAACAACAGGATCTGGATGTAGTCATTGTGGGGGGCCGATCAACACTTGTGAGGCTTGGTCCCGTACCGGACAGGGTTCAACGACTTAGGGAGTTACATATGAAGGGCGGACGAAAAGAGACGTGGCCCGAAGAATAGGAACATGCCAAAACCGCAGGAAATAGGAACATTGATATCTTTACGCCTTGCAAAAAGGTACCTATTTCTTTTCTTTTCCCGTCCTGTCGGTACATTTTTGACATCCGCATGAGAGCTGCCCAGAAGGAGTATAGGGCGGCTCTGAGACGATGACGCAAAGAAATTGACATGTCGTCTTATGGGTTCTTGGACCAGATTCGAATTGGAGGGTTTAGTTGGTGAAAGGCTTAGGCGAAAATCAAACGCAGAATGCAGGACTAAACCCGACTAAGATGGTCACTTTGTCATCTAATGTAGACTAATGTAGAAAAAGATGCAGAGAAATGCAAGACGGCGAAGAAGGTAAACCAGAGCGGCGATCCCCAGGAGTTCGACGTCAGTTCGAATTGGATTTCTGGGACCTGCGAAGCATCTAAACTGTGAAAGAATAGTATGATGATGACGATGATCATATCGATTTCTTCAAAGATGAGGCTGCAGAAAGATATCCCATGCATGTGTTCGCGCATGGCGGAAGAAAGACCCTTACGAGCCCCGATGAGGCGTTCGTTGGTTCGCTGGGGAACATTTAGGGGAGTTTTTCCCAAGAAGTTCGGGTCCCCTAAAGGACCCAAAGGACCCAAAAGACCCGTTGAAAGTCAGGGTCGCTGCCGCATACGTGCCGGCCTACTGATGTAGCTAAGCAGAGCTAAGTAGGGTCCCTGTCGTTCACTGTGGTTCCTTGCGGTTGCTATGCAAAGTGAAGGGAGAAGATCAGAGGAAATTGTTAAGCAAAGGGAGAACCATTGGATAAGAAGCCCAGACTTTTTTTGACAGGAGTGAGTTTGCGGCGGCGACGGGGGACGGGGAAGTTAGAAAGGGGTGTTACACCGGCCCACTTAATTGAACGCCACCAGGCAAGTGATTGGAGAATTTCTAGCTGGAGGATGTATAGGATGTACAGTACATGTACGTAAGCACCCTGGAATTGCATACATAGGGGTGGGGGTTATGGATGTCCATGGAAATTTCAGAAGAGCATCATACCTAAATCCGGTATAATACAATACGTATTCCATATGTACAGTACACCTGGGCAACTGGATTGGGTACAGCACATTCATCTACACCTGCAACTTACACCTACTAGGTGTAAGGTGCAGGTGCCACCGCAGAAAAAAGCCAGGGCATTGAAGCTTCCAACAGCTTCTAAATTACATCGTACCTGGTCTGCCTGGTGTACCTTGGAAAGAGCTGAAGCAATATACACGTACACGTACCTACCGCTAATGCGCTCCTCCGACAGTTAAAGGTAACTGCACCTCAGGTAACTGGCATCTTGCTGCAACTAACTGGAACCTTTGGTCATTTTCGGTCATTTCTGGTCATTGGAATCAAAATTTTCTCTTCTCTCATTGCATTCATTACATCATTTCGTCATCTCGCCAACTACACAACCAGCTATCAAGTATCATCAATTATTAATGGTGAGATTCGTATCCATTCTCTCCTAAACGCGTCTTACCTACGTACCCGGTCTCTGATCTGGCAATTTGTTTTGCCTCCCAAGCATCTTTGAACATCTGTACCATCTGTACCATCTGCACCTCTCAAAACCCCTGCAATCATCCAAGACATAGCCGTTACCTCGATGTGCGTCCTCCTACTCTTACAGGGCATCGTTGATCATAGCGGCCTGTCGTATACGCAGCATCATTTAAACAACATACGCATAGCTACGCAGTACCTGCCTAGTCACCGACCTGGTCAGCTACGTAAATTGCCAAGCTTCAGTTTTCTTTTTCCTTCCTCGGGCTTACCAAGCTTACCTACGTCGTACCTATCCAACGGTGCTACTACATAGGTACTAGCCTGCTAGGTATCAGGCATCAGGTATCAACAGACGAGGTAATATATCTCGATTATTGCTGTGCGCTGTTACAGCTAATCTTCAACCCGGTCTCTCCGAGAGCCCGAGGTGGCTGACTTATATCGTGAATTATACATGGAGAAAGGCCCGATGAAATAAGTCACGAGATGAGATCCGAAAGATGCCACACTTCCAAAGTAAACGCATCGGTGGTAGACGGCTTTCGCTGGTTACGCCGATACCAGGGGCTCCTTGGTTCTAGATTCAATTGTCGGATGTCTAACCGGCTACGGAACGGCTTCAATTTACATACCTACCCCATAGGGACTGCTTCACGCGGGCTCCTCCCGCAGGATGGCCCCTTGAGAATTTGGCATATTCGTTCTAGTTCATCCTTCCATCCCTCCGAATTCTTCATTGAAGGATTTTAAACAAGCAATGGACCAATGTCATCTCAACTTTCATTAAAGTCGCGATGGTTGAAATCGTAATGTGCTCCGGTTGGTTCCGAACACAAGCAGAGGAGGAATTGGAGCCGATTGGCTCTTATAGAACAACTTGACCTATGTGATCAGTTCATCCAGGCACTTGTGTTTCCAAAATCCCACGCATTGCTGTGGATTTTGGGGAGGTCATGTCAATCAAGTTTGCCTTGGATATCATGGGAATCTTGCATATCTAGGGACAGCTTTAGGTAGTGAGTTGCTATGACTTGCATACGTCTCGGTAGAATAGGCTAAGCGCTCAAATCGCGCCTTCGACGAAGGACGATCTTCTTCTAAAAAGGAACAGCGACCTAAAGAGACGACGGCACGCACAACTCCTCAATTGGGTTAACAAACATCTTAGAATCTTGATGTCGCAATAATTCCACGACTACGGCATCGGTATTTGCCCAGTGTACCTGAATAATATCTGTCAGGACCCACCGAGTCACAACGCCTGCGCACAGCATCTCTATCATTCCGGAACATTGCAGCACCAAATCCCAAGCGGATGGGGTATATGTGGCACAACTGACATGTTGTGTGTCGACAGCAACAATGGAGATGGCATCCGACTGCAGTTAGAACAACTTGTGTAGCCTTTGGCTCATCGTTCGAAACGCCATCAGCAAAACAACGAACGACTAGCCATGGATCATACCTTACATGATACATAGCCACCAGGCTTGTTCCGCTGGAATTTACCGTGCTTAATGGTGTTCCGATCAACCAGTAAAGATCCTTGCGGCGCCTAAGTTTCGCCATGACCACCTATTATCCAGAGGGGGCAACCTATTCTTCCGACGTCCACGACCCTGCGATTCGACCGAGCAGCCTGTGGCGCTGAAGGCTTGGTTTCGATATCAGCTGAAAACGAGGCCAACCAACGGCTTTGTCATTTCTTATTAGCGGAGCGTGTCCGTTCCGTAACAAGACCGCCACTACGTCAGTAATCAATGGTAAACATTTAACCAGCTTCTGCACGACACTCCACGACATCCATATATACATACAGATTTCTTAGGTTGTCGGTTACCAGTTCCATGTAGAAGTCGACGAGCACCGCAGCTAATGCGAGCCCATTCACATGTTAAAACGAACGCCTCATCGCTCAACACTAAACAGGCTACGTCGCTCAACAATCTAGGTACTAAGTCACTATGACGAGATATTTTAGGGACTGCTGGTTTCGTCTAATTACACCGCGTAGTTTCGTAATGGCAGAAAAGATAAGGCGGACTCGCTATGTTCGAATACATCTCCACAGCATAATCGCCACATACTTTGTCGTCGATCAACCTATAATGCTCCTTTTCAATGTCGCATCTTTGGCTCAATAGCCACCTTCGAAAACGGGAGTTACTGAGTTATGGGCAAGATTAGTCTTGTGGATACCTACTGAACTTCTCCCTCAGTCCCTCAATTCGTAGGTTGGTCAGCGGTTGGCGACCCAGACACAAGACCTTACTAGTTCTCAAACCGTCGACTCTAAAATCTCGGATCATCATATAATTAAAAGTTCCCATACGAACTCATTAGCTACTAGGGTCCTAAGACGGCCAGGACGGATTCGAGTTCCCGATCTACAAGTCCTATAATAACTAGAGTGATCGCTGTACCGGGCGCCATATAAGTCGACAGGGGTGATTCCGTACCTGACTACCCGAATCCAGCACGTTAGTAACACAACAGATCGCCAGCGACAAAAACCGTTCACAGTATTGCGCTACAGATCCAAGACACGAAGAAACATGCATCGTGCTATTGCACTTCCAAATCAATTGTTCTGAGACGTAGCTACCACTCTACCGAGCTTCGCACGGCCTTCCGCATGAACGGATGTAAACGTGAACAAACAGCTGAGCTACGTCCCGCGGCGCGATCCTACAACAAATCGAATATGTAGTTACCTGGTGGCTTGCGAGGTTTGTTATAAGTTGGATCCGTGACGAAGTGGTTCTCAGAGATTAGTCAACTGTTTCTTAATTTACGCTGAATGGTTAGTCGAAATTCGCAGGTAACACTTGCGAAGAGGCGCCGTCATCTCTTAAGGCATAGGTAGCCAGCTGTACCCGATACCTACCTACGCAGTAATTCCGGGGTCCCCAAAGCCTCGTGTTGCCCAGGTGCTGCGGAAGTTATTATGCAGGGGGCCCCTTTCCGGCCTCTTCGCCATTCCTTCTCATTGGGACGATCCAGAGAGATGCGGTTTGCGAAAGGTATCGAGGCGCAAAATGGCATTAAGTGCCACGCCTCACTTTTCCGGGGGAGCTACTTTTGTGGCTCGCCCATGTCGCCCTCGCAATGATTGTCGGCTCGCGCCATGCGGCCCGAGTGCTTGGTTCCCGATTCCCGTCCCAGGAATTTGGGTTTGATGCCACCACAGCTTACTGCAGCTAACTCACGACTAGCTGTCGTCGCCCGTTAAGCTAAACAGGATACGGATCGTTGACCGGTCGACTATGCGGCCTCTATCTTGGACCCTCTAATGCCCAACGTCACCACAAAGAGAAAACATTCTGTTATCAGAACAGAGGGTTTGAAGATATCAAGGGAACTCATCTACGTGCCGATAATCTCATTTCCGGGCTCTCGCTAGAAGGTCCATGCGCAAATCACGTACTGTGGCTTTCATCCTTGAGCCTGGCAAATCATTGAAGATCCCGTTTTAGATAAGTTGACACTAATTGGGTGTGCAGTATAGCCGGTATTCTCCAAACCGGCCCTTTAACTACCAATCAACTCTCAATATCTACGAGGTACCTGCCGGTACTATCCTACTTGTATATCCATAGACTGAACAGATCCCTAAAAGGGTAGGGTATATGATGATTAACATATCAAAGGCCGTTGACCATAAGCAATGATAAGCCAGCAAGATCAGCTGAAAGGTCTTTCTTTTAGCATCAGAAGCAGAGATGAGGCCGAGAGGGTGTGTACCAAATCAAACCTCTAGTTCCAGCTCGCTCTACGATACTCGTTCGATAGTTTCAAGGGAGACGTGACAAACGAACCCCCTGCCATCGAACATTCTTACCAGGCTCAGTCAAATAACCAATCAATCTTTGTCCCGGTGTGTTACAAACAAGGGTGAATGCTCGAGTTCAAAACGTCTACAAGGTCGGCTTCCTTTTCCTTTTCTCGACCGAAACGGCCTCAGCTACCGACAGACGCGTGGTCTGGGCATATGCCAAATTTCTCGATTGGATCAAATAGACCAGAACACTGTTCCCCCTTGCCCACGATCAATGCAACATCGTTTCTCAATTCTTGCTTCTCGAACCTCTGGGCTGGGTAAGCGGCGCTCCGGCGGCAAGGATTGTTCCCGCGATCTGGGTCAATATGCGTTCTTCGACGATCGCGGCATGGGGGCCAGCTGGGGGTTGAGCAAACACGTCCGGGGTCGTAGCCCATACAGACGCGTCGTAGGTGCGCCAGCCCTGCAATTGATACATCAAGCCGCTGCCGTCAGCCGCCACAACACGGGGGTCAGGACCCCTTCTCTTTTCTTCTAGGGGTCTTTCTGAAGAGGGGTGGAGGGGAAAGGCTACCCTAATAAGGCTTGCTGTAACTCCGACAGCGGCGGAAACAGGTCCCTTGGGATGCCGGAGAAGGGTTCAGTGCGCGCGCACGTACATTTACTCTGACTACCCGGGCTATAAACAGCTAGACAGTTACATCATCCCGTCGTATAGGGGACCGCCGTGGTAATATCCCGCGCTCCCGCCTTGCATATGGATACCCTTCTTCCTCACATATACCGATATACATACGAAGCAGCGTGCGACCGTTTGATGACCCAGTAACGGGAAGTCCACGAGGTGCGTGACTGTCGCGACCCGCCTTCCCTGAGATGGGCTTGCGCAGCTAGTACCCTTGCTACATATAGACCTAGTATACACCTGGGCATACACACATACGGTAAACGGTACGTCCTAAGTTACTTGAGTTGATGCTGGTATTCGTATGTCTACATACTGCTTACCTACTTACTTAGGTACCTAGGTACACTACGACTGCCTGCCAGCAGGCTAAGTATGCTTGCTTGCTTGCTTCCATGTTTTGCCTGCCTGGAAAATTTCCAAGTAGAAATGGATGGCTCCCTACCCATTGGAGATGTGGCGTCCGCATATGTCGTGCACCCCAAACCCTCCCTGTTCCCCGGCGTGGCTTACCTGTCCAGTTATTATCTTTTTACGGAGCACGAAGATTTTTTTTTTTTCCCTTCTCCATGTCCGCGGACGATCTTCACATAGACGCTTCTAGTGCGGATTTTCCGCGCGTGAGGCTTGCCTTTTCGCTCTTTTCTCATTTGGGTAGTTGCCATGTTCGGACGATCGCCGGCTCGCACATGCCAGGTACGCCTGGGGACTGATCGTCGGCGCTCCGCCAGAAAACGATGATGCGCGGCGGATGGGTACGGTTTCGCCGGGGGACGGAAATTGGGCGCGTATGTCCGCATGTACGTACCTATATTTATGCGCCCCGTCCACCCTACCTATTAGCAGGCACATCATGCAAGGCTCTACAAATGGTGAGGCTTGTGAGCTTTACCCTATCCAGGCGGCCCTTTTTTCGCCCCCGTGGACTGATCTTAGCAGGATGTCAATGCGTGACCACTCTTGACGTCTGCGACGCATTGTTGTCACTACCTACCTACATAGGCGTATACTAGGTAAGGTATCGATGCCTGATAAGTTCGGCTACAGCAAATTTTCATGACTACTTCGTCTAAACACGAGATAGTCCGCCTCACTTAGGCGCATTGATTCGTTTTGGCTCGCTCGCGTGAATAGGGGCTCGAGGCATTGAGGCAAGGGGCCTATCACAATTTTTGACAGCCTACTCACCTAAGTAGGAGATACGTATGCGAGAGGTGACGAGTCTGCGAATATCCTCACCGCCCCTTTCATTTCGTATTGGCATAGGCGGCTATAGGTTGCTATCTACGTTGGTATCTATCGGTATTGACTTCCGTATGATACCATGGGGCTCCCTCTACCGTATGGGACTTCATGTAAGCTGCTGCATGGAGACCTTACTGTTCCAAGGGGGGTGTGGTGCCGACGAGGTTCGTTGACGAGGATAACAACGGCTTGTTTTGATGGCAGCCGGAGCTGAGATAAGCTGACTGTCTCATCAGTGTTAACCTTGAGGAAGGAAGGTTGCGTATGACTTATCACCACCTTCCTCGTCTGGACTACGAGGGCGTAGGTAAGAAGTTATCTCGAATAGAGGTATGCCCGAGTATTCTTCATAGATGCGTGTGGGATAGGTGCGAGAATTTCGAGATATCCAATTGATTTCAGTACTCATTCTCCCACGATACGTTCGTGTTGGCTATTCGAGCGATACATATGTATATCCGTTCGATAATTGTTAAACTCCATTAGTATAACATAACGAGAAAAAATGAACGTTGTGTGCCAAAGTCAAGGTGATCAGACTGGTATAGATTCCATCACTTCGAAACGTACCGTCTTGGTGATACTAGGAGCTTCTATTCAGAGGGCACAAATTTGAGCACATCTAGGTACCAAGCCCATAGGTGGTTCTGATATTTGACCTAGAAACTGACCGTATACTAATAGCGTATATTCTTTTTAAGGCCAGCTTATGGCCAAGCAGCTACCTAAGGTTGGTTCCTTGAGGCTTTATATAATTATTATGATCAGAAGGCGTAATGTGTCACCTTCACGTTCGTAATCTAAACGAAAATCATCTATCGGTAGGCATCAACATTTATAGAAACATATAGAGAAACCTTCCCGTAAACTCCTCGTAGCAGACATGACGTTTGCTTAGGTAGACTACCTACTTAAACGCCACCTTGTAGTTGATATACTCTCTATTCAAATACGTAGGTTAGGTAAGTAATACATAAGACCTTAATCTGACTCGTGTCGAGTAAAAGAATATAGCACACATTACGATAGATTCCTTAACTTGCCCCTAAAGATCTCCCCCGTAACTGAATAGGTAATTACCTAGGTATATACTTAAACAATTTATTTCCTAGGTAAGTCCTATTCAGTCCGATTTCAAGATGACACGTACCGACATACTATATCATTGTTATTAATCAAGAAGTTAGCTGTTCAAGTTACTAAATAGGGGTAAATAGGGATACAATAAGGATCCAACCTTTGTTCAAATACCCACCTGGGCTCGATGGTTAAACATGGCTTGAGAATGTTGTGCATATGAATGGATCTGACGCTAATTGATCTCAGTTAGTTGATCTTCAACTACTCAAGAACTTCCACGAGTTATTCCGTTCCTGCTACTGCTGTCGTATTTATCCCGTGGTGCTGGTAGGTACCTTTTTTTAGAAGAACTTACGTCTAGGTTCGAACAAATCGTACTCCTATGTAACACTATCAAATTTTGGGATTGCTGGAGTAATATTTCTTGTCTGACCGCATTGACCGATTATAATGTGGTCATATATAGAGAGAGGAGTTTTGAATATTCCCTAATTTCCGGTTGAAAAAAAAATATTTCCACCGTACCCCGGACTCGAACCGAGAATCTTCGGCTGTAATCGTGATAAGCAATTAGAAGGCCGACGAGTTAACCATTTCTCTAGTACGGCTTGGAAGTAACTTTGAGTTATTGATACTTATGAGGGAGTCATCGGGCAGGAGCGGACATCATGGAAGGTGCAGCCCCTTTTGACAAACACTTGCCACAAACACCAAGATAAGATGATAATAAGCTTTCTCTGGCCCGAGTCACATGTCTCTCAACTTATTACAAACACATGCATTCCATGAACATCTAGATAATTGTATACTAGGTAGGTATATTCCCACTGTTTGAATATGCGTGATGAGGTAATCAATTGAAGACATGGTGATTGGCTCGGGGAATGAGGTTACACAAAATCAACCCTCCTTAACATAAGCCGGGGTGACCCGATATAATACCGGCGCAAATGCGCTGCTGGATTAAGAAATAGTTTCCCGCAGGCTGTGACTCAACATTGGGTTGGTCAAGCTGTGCCTCCGGTAATCAGGGAAATCGCCTACTTTGACTTTAGCTGATTATTTTTTGGACTGTCATCCTACCTATATTATATAATGACATTTTTAAAATCCCGTTTCCAGTTCGGCTTTACTCGGTTTACGTTTGAAGATAGTATTCTCTTGATCCGGATCGAACCTACCTAGGTAGTCATCAGAGTGATGCCGCTTCAAAACCGACCTGATATCACGGATAGTGCGGTAGTTGAAATAGGTTCAGGAGCTACTAATGATAACATCGTGAAACGAATTGAAGACAAAAAGTCTTGTGATGTTGACAAGACTTCATGGGGTATCTTCTCTTGGGACATAATATGCTCCAGTCCATGGGACGAAGACGTCCTCTTTGCTCGCGTCCAAAACAGCGAGCTGAAAAATGAATATACTATGATACAATATAAACGGCAGATTGATTGTTTGTTGAAGATTATCTATAACATTGGAAAGGAGGTAGCCAGCCCCCACCCTCACGGCTCTCTTACTAAACTAATACCCACAACAGCCATTAAACCTCTCGAGAAGACCACCTCCACCATATTATGAGCTAGATGAACGTGAGCCGCCATGTCCTAGCTTAACGGAGAACTCCACGGTTTCTGAATCACCATTTTCGATACGGACGGTCTTCACAAGGTCATGTCGTTCGGATGCTCTCATGTCTCTAGATGATGAGGCCAAACGGGGACAGAATATAGAAAATCAGGGCCCCCAAAGGAAATGCCAGATCGAGACGGTTGCTCTGTGTGGGCTTGGGGCTCGTTTTTGGACATTACCCAGTGATCTAGAGCATTTGGATTTGTCTAATACGGTCACTTCAACAGACACATCGTCCTCGGATGATGATGAGGATGATGACCCTTTTGATATCCTACACCAGGCTATCAGACAAGCATTTTCATCTAATGCACAACTGGCGGGAAAAATCATTAACTACCTTGACCAACTCCCCCTAGATCGCCGGGCACAAGTCTACGGATACAGGACTATTACACGGGGCCGTGAACAGGGATCTGGTTGTCCTGGTAACCCAGACTATGACGATGATGGCTCTAGGTCTAGAAAAAGAACAAGGGCCAACGGGGCTTCCCAGAAAGTCTCGGAGCGCAATCAAATTGATGAAGATGCTGAGGACGAGAACCAAGTCGCAGTTGCGCGTCGCCCTTCAGCAGAGCAGTCTCCAAAAAGATACGCTTGCGCTTACTACAAGTCCGATGGAGCTAAATATGGACCGAGGGCTGCTCTAAGATACAAGTCATGTGGAGGTCCCGGATGGAAAGTATTTAATCATTATAAGTGAGTATACCTAGCTATCCATTGTCTATGATTATATCTATATAACTAATTCAAAAGAAGGCGTCACTTAGAACGGATTCATCTCTTACACCAATGTTCTCGATGCGGTGATATTTTCGAGAAGCCTGATGAACTTCACAACCATTTGGCTCAAGACACAAGATGTACCAGATCGGAAGGGGTCGAACGAGAAGGGATGTCACAGCAAAGATGGGACGAACTGAAGCAGATATTCAAAAGAAATCGTAGAGGGCATGACAATCCTTCGGATGAGGAGCGATGGTTCCTTGCCTGGGATGTTTTATTTCCTGGAATGGACAGACCAGCTACGCCCTGTGAGTTGAAGATACCATCCGCCTGTCCTGATTTAGAATTGCTAACTATGAATCTATATATATAGACTATGAGAAACCACCTCTTCCTCTTATGTTCACCCAGATGCAAGGAATCTTTGAGGCTGGCCTTAATGATATGCCAGAAGTATCTCGGGATTCAGTTCTACGAGATAGAATCATGGGATTACTTGTGAATGCCATTGACGCAGCAACTCGGAGCGCACCATTGGAGTTTGAAGCTTACAGTGCTCATAATGGTCTCCCGCCGGCGCCGGTACCGACGTTCGGTAATACTAATACGAACCAGATAAGTTACGTTGGAACAAACCCTGCGTTTGACTGGAGTACTGTAGCCCCAGTTGGTGAGCCGGACTATCTGGATAATGAGAATTTTCTGAATGATGTATTGAATATCAACTCATACGATGCCGACGTGGATTTTGACGCGGAAGGTACATGTAAGCATCACCAGACAACCTACCAACGTTACTACTCTTATTAATTAGGATGCTAACGATTATATAGAAGAAGCCAGGGTGGCTGTCCTTAGGTCTCTTAAGAATGGATTTTCCATGCTCGGGGGTGTGACTCAGTAATCACAAAAGACTCAACTGACACATTCATGTGACTACCGGGAACGTTCGAAGGGTACTAGAATAAAATTAGATGTAAGTATATTTGCCTACTATTAGTATATCAAAACATGTATCTAATATTTTCATCCATTAGAGAAAGTAGCGACTATACAAGCCAGTAGAGAGTGGGTTGGGGTTTCCCCCTTTTGAGTGCTAGTAACAGCAGCAAAACCTGTATGGTCACGGAGGTTAGAAAGGCGACAGTAAAGCTTTCGATAAGTAGGTACTTTGATATTAATCATAATAAGCGGGATAGCGTGGTTCAATTATGGTTAGAGGTGCGTGAGTTTGACTAGTTGTTCTTACAGTTATATCAGAAGACGGTTAATAGTCAAGGCGGAAAGGGCCGCGTATGCAAATTTACGCAAAGTCGGTTTCATACCTAATTTAAAAGCATCATCACATAGGTATCCGCTCAGACTCGGGACTTCCTCGCCTAGATGATATAGCTTATATATAGTTTAATCTATGTTTCATTATCAATGCTACGGGTTCTTTGGAGTTCTCATATAATCACAGTTAGACCTCCCACATCCAACTTCTCTAAATCCAAGTTGCTGATCCTCCACTACGACGGCATTTGCGCAATGATACATATATTACTTCCTTCTTAGATATTTCTAGTTCAGCTAAGATTATAAGTATCTTTAGAATGCCACCCAAACCACTTTTCGGAACCCTGGCGGAAACCGATCTTGTCAAGAGAGCACAGCTTCGTGCAGAAGACATTCCGAAGGAAGTAAAATTCCGCGCACTATTCAAGCATGAAGTTTTGTACGGAACTCGATGCCTTTTCGACGAGAATGACTTTATCTTTTTCAGATGCCCAGATGCTGCAATCCCCAGCAGCACCAGCAGCACCAGCAGCACCAGCAGCACAACAAACTCAACTAATCCCGGATTCTGGGGACGGATCGCAGCGTCTGCTAAGCACCCGTTTCGCGAACTTTGGTTAACCTGGAAGGATCTACGCCTGCTCATGGCAGCGAGGGGGGAGGTGCGAAGGGTTAAGGAGGAAATGGCGACGAATCGACATATCCAGGAATATTACATTTACAGTATCTCAGACCATGAAGATCCCGATAAGCTTGTGTGGACATGCAAGAAGATCGATCCTCTATTGTCCCAACAGCATCCTGGCTACGGAAGCTACCAGGGATATCAGCCCAAAGAGTCGCGATCTAAACAGGAGAGGGAACTTATTGGGCATCTCTAACTTGAATATCTCTTTCCTCAGGGCCACACATACATATATACCCTATGGTATTTACGAATATTCCAATTATATATCACCCGGAGGAAAGAACTCGACTTACAATTCGGGCCAGCGGGTCAGGGGTCACAACACAACATTACTGTGGTAGAATGATAAGTTAAATGACTATTGTATAAGTGAATTGGTCTTTCCTGTGATTGTGATTATGTACAATATGAGTATTTCGAAGTCATCTTCAAGCATTCCTGTTTTCACCTATTTGTTTACTTCGAATAGCATCAGTTCTATGCCTAATCTACCAAACGATCATTCTATAATCATGTGAGTATATCCATCTTCTACTATCATGTCAATCACTATATCTTCCTCTTCGTACTTATTTTGACCCTATTCCTAAACACCACAAGTCCTCTCCAGCAAAGAGAATCCACCACATAATAGGTAGACGGCACCCAATATCAGACCTCTCAGCTTTTGACTCTCCCTGTAACTATCATCAGATTATTTATGGGTAGCATTGGAGATGATGTCCTTTCAATATCACTCCTTTCCATGTGACCTCACACGAGGGTCTGAATAAACTCGCTAAACATCTATAAATCACAGGTCTAGCGCAAATGCTACGAGACATTCCCTCGGACGCCCTCGCTGCCACTCTTTTCCTCCAGCGGTGCCTCAAGTTCGTAGGACGCCTCGGGCGGGTTCCGAGCCTCCAGCTCGACTTGGACTACAGTCTCGTTCTCGGACCCATTCACCCACGCCTCCGCCTCCACCTCCCCCTTCAGTTAGCTCGTCTCCTCCTCCTCCTTACGAAGAGTTACCACCAGAGAATCCGCCATCGTATGCCCCGGAAAATGTCCCTACGATGCCCGCAGCCTCGTCTCCGCCAAATCAACCACCACCACCGGCGTACTCCGAGATGCCGAGCGAAGGTGGAGCAGTCGCACGTAGGCATCATAACTTAGCACAAGGAGCAATAGGAAGAACCCTATCCCAACACCGTAACCAAGGGATCCGGCGGCGCTCTCAGAGCGAGTCTCCTCCAGCCCCCTGGCAGAACGATGAGGGCTGGCGCCCTTTCCTTCCAGACGAGGAGAATCAGACTTGAGCAGGCAATTGGAGAAGGGGCCTGGGTACCTATACAGCGTCCGTGTATTCATGTTCTTTTCTTGTTATCATTTTGGGAAAATTCTCGCTACTTTTTGTTCTTTGGTTAGGTATGAGTTAGATTCTTTTGTATAGAAAAGCAGCGTTTGGAATTTTGCATAAAATCGTTATTTTTGGGAGGGTGTGGGCGGGACTTTACCAGCATTTTATCTTATTTTACTTTCTCAGCGCTTTCTTTTTGCATTCTTGTCCACAACGTCGGTTTGTTGTTGCTGGCCGTGGGAGAGAAGGAGACATGAAGTGATGGAGTCGAAAAAAACAATGCCTCACTTCCCTCGAACCATCCAGGCCATGTATCAGACTATGACAGAACCGACGCAACGATAGCTCCTATGCCAACCTCCTATTCGACATATACATACCTGGTATAAACGGCATTAGTATGGGCATAACGGATAGGTACGCTGATATCAACCATATCGTCTAAAACGTAGTTTACTAAACGACGACTACCTACCCCAGAGAACTGCTCCATAGATAGCGATAGAGTCTGACTAAAACATTGACCTCGCCAAATTAACACCTGATGTTACATAGGTACTATCCTAACCCAAAGGAAATCCTTGGGTAGGTGTCTAAGATGTCTTTAGCAGCAGACCCTAAATCATTGCCCCTCCAGATAGTCGCCGACCCGATCCTATAACACTTCCGGAATTCACGTTCCTCAACCACAATCTGCTCTCTCTCATCTCTATCCCAGCACACCACGAGGGCACTTCCACGATCCTCCTTTCTCCCCATGCGAACCGTATACTCGTAGCTTAAGAGAATAAGCCCCCATTGGCCGGAAGCAAGAAATCTCTCGATCTCCAACTCCAGGTTCTGGGAAGCGGGATCCAGCGGTCCGTCTGTGGTAAAATCCATGTCCCATCTCACGGCCCATTTGTCATCTTGGCGAAGCGCATCTGTCGGTTTCCCTTGGCGTCGAAAGAGAACGTTCCCAACGGGTATGCCAACGGCTTCCCCCAAAAGGAGCCGAGCATCCTCGTCGAGGCAATCGGTAAAAAACGAAAGCGCCTTTGCCCAGGGGAGCAGTGTTCCCCGCGTCCCCTGGACGGCAATGACATCGAATCCGAGCGGCTGCAACCGAGCGCCGCTCACGGCAGGCCCGGGCTTGCCGTCCCACCTCGCGCTGCCCCGCCACCCTGCCCACGTCCACGAGGGGAATTCCTCGCGTCTGGACACCGTGTCGTCCTTCTTATGACACCAACCGAGAGACACCACAAAAGCCTTCTTTTGGAAGCGCCGCAGGGGTTCCGAGCCGTAGTCCGTTCCGATCAAGCTACGGACACGTGGTACAAATACGGGCACGCCCTGCAGCGTAGCGAAATTAGCGTCGGCCTCGACGAGGATGCGCATGGCGCCGCGGAACCCGTTGATCGAGTCCGAGGACATGGTGAACTGCTTGCCGGTGTACACCTCGACGAGGCCGAGGAACAGGCCGAGCTCGACCCAGAAGCGGCCGCGCGGGTCAGCGAGGCTATGCTGTCGTTTCGTGCGCGCCCGCCGCAGTCGCCGGTCCCAGGACGCCGGGGTCAGCGACGGGTTCTCGGGGAAGCTGTCGTCGAGCTGCACGGCGACTTCGGGGTGGTGTACGGGGAACGAGTCGCACGCGTGCAGCCCGTCGGCCGCGAACAGCGCCTCGTGGTCGGCGAAGTACAGGCGCCGCGGCGAGAGCAGGGATTCCTGGAAGCACCACCCGCGGGTGAACCAGGTCGACGCCGTGATCTTGCGGTCGACCGGCGGGGGCGTCGTGAATATTGTCAGGGGCCCCAGTTTAAGGATCGTCTGCGGCGTCCTCGGCGAGCCGCCGACCCCGGGCAGGTTCCCCCTGGAGCTGGCCGCGACGATGGTGAAGGCTGCCGACCCGTAGATGAGGTCCATCTTGGACACCTGGTCCGCTACCTCGGTTGGGTTCGACTGATCGATGCAGTAGGCGTCGACCCAGAGGTATCGATATCCCGATTGTGTGACGACTGTCATGGCGTCGCGCACTACGCGAGGTATGGATCGGGGAAGTCGAGTCTTATACTCTGGCTCGCCTTCCCTTCCTAACTCCACGGTATCCTGTAATGCTAGCGCCCAGACGTAACTCAATGCCACATATTGCATATCTGGTGACTTACTGACAATCATATGCGTTTCGCAGTCAATTACTTTCATGCCGGTCACAACTTGCACCCCGTGGAATGGACGTTGGACCCGCTCATAGTTCTCTATCTCATCGCCACATTTATGCGCAGCCTCAAGGATATCATCCTCATCTTCCTCCTCGCCCTCAATTTCGTCCTCGTCTTCGCTCTCACTCTCACTCTCACTTTGCTCCGCGCTATCACCCTTCGCCTCCGTCAAATTAAGCCACGAGCGAACCATCTCAGGCTCATACTCAGCCCCAACGAACCGCGACAGCGGGTATCCCCCCTCCTCCTCCCCGGCCCCACTCCCAACCGCTGCCTCCAAATCGCGCGTCCTCGCGCAGACCAGAAACCCCGTGCGCTCGACCTCCTCGGAATTCACATACGGCAGCCAATCGCGCTCGCGCTCGCCGGCGTACAGGACGGCGGCCGTGGCCGGGCTGTACAGCATCCGGGTCTTGGACTCGAGGAGCCAGTTGCGCAGGTTGAAGGCGCGGAGACGCCACCGCTCCTGGCTGCCCGGCGGTAGCGACGAGGCGTACGTGTTTGGCAGGAGCAGGCGCGCGAATAGGCCGCACAGCGGACACGCCGCGTCCAGGCCGGTTCTCTCGGCGATGGTCACGGGACACGGGTCGAGTGGCTCTTCGCGGTTCGCCTCGATGTGGTTCAGCGCGTGTTCGAAGTTGGTGGTCCGGCATTGCTGGCAGATGGTGGCCGTATCCGACGTTGACTCTGTGGGGACCGGGCTTTGTGGACTTGATCGTTGATGTTCCACAGCCGTCGGCTTATCCATTTTTTACCCGGGTTCACGGGGTATCTCGGCGAGCTTAGACTAGTCTATAGGTAGTTTGCGTAACGCGGGCTGCGCCCGCTCTAGCCAAGGTACATCCGAACAAGTGGGTTTACATATATATCCCAAGTATAATACAATAGGTAGATACTCTTTTATTTACATATTACACTCAATTAAAAGATGATTAGTTATGATGATAAGTCATATGATGTAATTAAAGAGTTCTTCAGCAATACTAATCTTATTCATTTATAATACATAGGCTAATCTTCGGATCATTTTGCATCTCTTGCCCATTTTGCTAGTCGATGCGCGGCACCCCGTTATTAACCCCGATCTTCCTCTTGCGTACCTGCCATTTGCGGCCATCTTTTATCAACGTTTTCCTTCACTACCTTTAACATCCAAAATGCGTTGGCCAGCTCTTTTCTTCTTCCTTCAAATACAGAAGTGAGAGTCTCAATGGCTTCCTTGAGAGCATGGATGGCCTGAGCAATGCGCTGTAGGCGTTTGGCTAGCTTCTCTCTCTGGAACTCGTCGGTACAGCTCTCCGCCTCGGACTCGGATAATAAGTCAGTCAGGTTCTTTTGCCAGCAGCGTGCGATGTCCTGAGATAGAAAATACTGGAAAGGGCGCCGCTTCTGCCACTCGGCTATATCGGATCGATTCTGCATTGTTGTGCCGCAGATAATCCTGTCGAGTTCGTAACAGGATTGTAGGACATGCCAGAGCGAAAAGGCTGCAACTGGATGTGCTTGAAAAAGGCGTCCAAGCTCTAGCTCCTCAGGATTCTTCTCATACGATTTGATATCATCGCATATACCAGACATGCTGTTGCTGTCGAACTCTTTGCCCCATTCGATCAGCCGACCTTGCCACTCCGGGGAGAAGATCGCCCCGGCGTCATTTTTGTATTCATTCAATTCGTACCAGTCGAAAATATCTCTCTGCGTGGTTTCTAGTTTAATTTGCAACTTCGAAGCACGGATATCTCGGTTTTGTTTTGAGTTTGATCTCAGCTTGCTTTTGTATGGGCTGGTTCCCCGAGTTGGCGAGCTTTTACTGGAGGCACACGACATTGCCAAATACAAAACTATTCGACTTGGAGGTCTTGATGATGACAGCAGTATAATACCCTGGGAGCGTAGATCTCATTCTTTATATAAAAATCAATGTGTTAGGGGCGAAGTAGCTAATCAGTCAACCTACTGGGCTTTCGGGGGCGCCTGAGACTGAGAGCGTCAGGCTGTGAGCCAGGCGAGGAGAACCTCGGTATTTTGTACATTGAGGCTCATGTGTTTGACTGAATACGTAGATAAGACAAGAGTGGCCTTTAATTGGACCTTCAAATATGTCATGGGCGGCAGTGCAACCCACGTATTATCGTACTGCGCTTTGATTTACAAAAATGCAGGTAATTTATAAAGTAACTTTGCAACTTTCTTAAGTATATATTACCTACAAAGTAGACTTCCATGTAAGAACGGATAAGTATTGGGAGCCACATTAGTCCTAACTGACAAGCCACTAGCCACAGGGCATCAGCCACCCGTGCTAGTCAACCTTTAGTTCCAATAACCTGTAATGCATTACCCTGTCATACCAACAATAACCAACAATAAGATACATAGATGTTGTATGGAAATACTTGCACTTTAGTTAATGAAAACACAGTACCCGGTAAGATACGGGCGAACTTTAGTGCAGCCTGGGCTAATAGTGGCGGATCAGCCGGTAGCATGTCTCGGCCCTCAGGATGCACTGTAACCCTCCTTCATTGACTGATATTCCATTTTTGTCGCTGACTAAGACTGGTGAAAAACAGCCCCCTTGGGCCATGTGCCCTACTCAGACTTATGCACCTGATCCAGTAGCAAGGAGAGCAGTCAGAATGCAGGAAATGGATAGAGCACACGATCTCTTCAAAGAAATGTCTATGGATGTATTACTGGTGCTTATCGAGGCTCGAGACTACACCGTAACGATGCAAAGAAGGATACTAAGTCAAGATAGAGTAACTTCAGTCCGTCACACCAACTCAAAATACTTAGCCTTGGACTTCCATGACTTGCCAGACACGGCTTCCCCTTCCATCATGCCATAGATGAAGCATTCACCCACCATAATGAACTGCTGTTTGCCATCCTTTTTTTGCTTACGCAGAACGACCGGCACGCTAGCGCCAAGGAGAACACAGATCAAGTCCCCTTCTCGAGTCTCAGCAGGCACTAACCCATATGTATCCCTTTTCGGCCCTCCGAGTTTTACTCGCGCAAACTTCCTTTCCCAAATGACGTCCTTAACGCGTCCTAAGAAGTCCCTGACTATCCTAGAAGCATTTGGCAAGGCAATAACGTCTTTTGTGCTGAGATCACCACCGGGTCTTAAATGGTTCAAACAATCCATGCAGGCACGAGGATACCAGCTTGGTGGATTTAATCCGTTTGGGCCTCGGTCAGCGACTATCGTGCGCCAGAACCCTTCTGGAACACGCGGAACTCCTAGTGCCCATTCTTTGTGTCCATTCCATCGTTTAAGATCGAAACCCGCTATTTGGAAGGCCTCCCTAAAGATCATTGCGTGAGACGCTCGTTGGGCGAACTCCTTAACTGTCCCAATGCGAAGACCCTTGATGAATAGATGACCATCAAAAACCCTTTTCAAGGTGGTCCCAGACGATGCATCTTGTGGCTTGAAGCCAAATCTATACTCTGGCTTAAGGTCTGATGTTGCGCTGTAATTCCTATGGCCGGTACGATGTGATACCCCAACAAAACTATCTCCATTGGACCGGCCGTGGATTCTCTGAGCAGGAGTTCCGTATGATGACTTCTGAATCAACGGGATCCATGATGGCAACTCTTCCTGCGCGTCGCGAATCTCACCGGGTGCAGAGGGTATTGCGCTATGGGAAAACAAATTGTTGCGCCTTTCTTCTTCCAAAGTAGGAGCCCAGTGGCGTAAGAGTATATCCAAGGACAGCGATTTAGAGATGCAATAGTCGATGAAATCCCCATATACATCAAGCAAACTTTTTCTCTTGTAGTCCGGTGAAGGCTTTTCGTCAAGGTCGAGGTATCTCTTATTCTCGCTATGGGTATCTTTGGCCAACGACAAGACAGCATATATCGTATCCCGCGGGTTGGTTGCTTCGAATGCCAACAAACTTGAGACAAGGACTTCCAACGTCATCATACGCTGCTGTATATCCCCATTCTCACTCCGTCGAAAAAGATTATTCGTGAAGTCTACAAGTGCGTTGGCGCCTAAGTTCTTCACACCGTCAACGGCGGCTACATCCGCCAAGTAGTCAGCATTTTCCATATATCTCTTCGATAAAAGGGGATTGATTTTATCTTGATTCTTGATGAAAATTGCGATGGCGTCCGCAAAGTCTGACCAAAGCATCCTGTATTCTCCGTACACCACTTCAGCATTCCGAGCGAGTGCGAGCTCTTGGAGGACCCACCGCCGGCTGAACCATTTATTACGCATAAGGCTCACGATATTGTCGGCGTCTTCGACGAGATCGGAGCTAGCTTCTGAGCTTCTGCTGAACAGGCGTTCCAAGTTCTTCAGGTCCAGCATCTTCTGCAGGAATTGAAAGCAATGCTTGGGATCGGGCGCGTCTTCGCCCGTCCCATCTCCTAGCCAGACGCATACGTTCTTGGCGTGGAGATACAGCTCGTGCATCTTTTTGACTTGCGCCGAGCGCTCGTCGTCGTCGTTCTGATCGATGCACAAGGCATCTATCCACATTGTCATTTCTTTTTTTCTATGTCGGAACCTTTGAAGGGCGGCAAAAAGGTTCGATCGGACATATATTTTGCCGCTGGGACCCTCCCACCGCTTGTTTTTCCGCATGAAAATAATTAAGTCCTCTTCGCGCGAAAGCTGTTCGACCTTTTCATCGGCCGTCTTGTAGTTTGTAACGTAGATCTCGTGGATGGGCTCACCTTCGCCCCAGAAGTAAGAAAGCGCCGTGAACGGAATGTTAGTCATAGTGCTTGGAACCAGTTTGCAACAAATTGGGTCGTCTCCTGTGCCTGGCTCAATGATCAAGACCCGAATATCTTCGCCGAAATTCTCCTTGAAGGGCATGTAGACGAATGTATCAGAATGTTTCATTTTTGTGTGAACGAAAGCACGAAACCGTTGGAGACTCCTCTCTGCTTGTAAAGTCGCGTGCAATTCATGTGAGGTGCCATCATCTAGTCGAGGCTTCTTAACCTGGGCCGGTCGTCGCTCGTCCTTTCTCTTGCGTTTGTTTTTGCTGGAGGAGGGCATCTTGAGGATGTTAGACTTCAAAGTATCGCGTCTAGGTCCACAGTCAATGATTCGTCGGACCAAGGATGGTAGGTTCGTCTTGCAACTTTTCCACCACAAACGAACATTCGAACGGGGATCGCGGACAATTGTCACTCCATCGACTGACAGGAGTTTGGAGCTGCCCGCATCATTTTGTGGCGCATAATTTCCAGAGGACATCCGTTTCCCTACTGAGCCGACGTGCCTATCTGTCTGGTGGTACTCCGGCGCAGCCTCGTTGAAGCATTTCCATAGCGGAACTCCCCCAATGAGAACGATCTCTCACATGGTGGGTTACATGAGAAGCAGGCTGCGCTGCGCTGAGCGGCATGGTTTCGAGGTCCCTTGACTCAGTTTTCCACTCGCTGTCGGTGACTGTTTGGCTATTACATCTTACAAGGAGTGTATAGATAGGTAGTATTGCTTACAGATGCACTTCAACGGACCAGGCATAGATCTGAAATTATGAAGGCTAAAGATGTAGCTAACATTTCGGTGAACATGGCCATTTACGCCTCAAAGGTAACCTTAGCAAGGATTGAGGTATGGTCTACTAAGCTAAACCAATCAAATTGGCCATCATGCCGCCTAATCGCCCATGTTCTGCCTCCGGTCGATGGCGAGGCATACATACAGAATACTCTGAATATCTTGAGGTATTTTATTTCTGCCAGCGCTTACAACAAGTCGAGCAGTATTCGAATTTGAATCAAGACTTGCCCCAGATAAGTAAAATTGACAAAATTATTTACGTACGAAATACTTACCTAAGTAGGTAACATTCGAGTAAAGATTCTTATTACGGTCTCACTATTTACAAGCATTTTTATTAGCATGTAGGTAGGTAGGAATAGATGGCTTATATAATATTTTATAAAAAGCGAAGAACTGGAAACAAAGCATACCTATTGATAAAAGCGCGTTCGCGTCTTTATATGAAGGCCTACTCTTCCTAACCATGTAACCGATTTCTCGAGTACCTAAGCAAAGCCGCCATTATCTAATACGACAAGTATAATAGATGAGCTGTATGTACTTGCTTCGATTAACTCCCAAGGTTATTGAAAGTGTTGATTTCTGCAGTACTACACAACCCTCCAAGTTAAATACAGCCTCTCGGCAGTCAGAAGATGTCGTCTTCGCTGGCTGTGAGTTGTCATCATGCATTACTTCTGCTCCCCTATTCGCCTCTGGCACTCCGAGTAATAGCAACACTTGCTTGAACCGGGCAATGAATCTGCACACAATCGAGCCCCTCTGTTGCCTCGCCGTTTTCTGTTGATTCAGAATGCAGGATGCAATGCCAGCGATTCAAAGTGGCAGTATACACAGCGAGCGAACCGCATTCTATCCGTCGATGTGCACCTCCAAGAGAGCCCCGCAAGTAACCTTGAGAGCCCTGGAGGCGCGAGCTCATAAACGTTGACATTGTTCCATCTCTGTAGATCGACGCTTGACTGAATTCGTGAACTCGAGCTTCTAAACGCTATTGAATCTAGTGGCGAAAATTTTGGATGATTTCGTATAACCAACGATGGCACGTAAGTTTTAGAGAAATATGTAGACCTGTCACTTGCAATTACGGTCCACCCTACCCGCAACCAGCTACTCCATCCCCCCTTTTTACTTTCTACCTTTTAACATACGTTACCATTTAAGTCGGCATTGTTAATGATTCTTCCTTATTACACAGAATCCAAGATGCCGCTTTCCTACTTGTCCAACTGGGCACCTTTCCGCATCGATGCCCTCGGGCTAGTGACCTTGATAGGCGCTGAAGAAGTCAACAGAAGTGTCGGACGTTTGGTACAGAGTCGATACGCCAAGTATCTACCCTTGCTAGGAGCACATCTCATAGCGGACAATCAGTTCACGACTATGACCTCGGGATTTCATCTCTACAATGTCTCCGATGCCATCAGAACTCCAGGCCTTTCTGCCTGGCTTACCCGCTGGTTGAAATCCCAGAACTTGAAGATGAGCACTACCGTTTTTGAGTGGTCAGTTGCTCCTGGGAAGTCTCAGGAGAGCAAATCTGGCTGTGGGAAGGCGTGGGACGCCCTACTTGCGGCCCTCATCGGATTTCTCACCATTGGTGGGAGCTTGGTCCTTGTCGTAGCGATGGGTGATTGGTGGGGCTTGGCTAACACGATATCGATGATAGTCTCTGTTGTCGTACGTTGTTGCTTAGTCCAAGAGAACGTGGACGCCTTAGATAAAGCTGTCCTCGACGCCTGCTATGAACGAAGTGGTATCCAAGGCGGCAGTGAGAAAGTCAAGTTGCTAATCTCACTGGCTGATGGCAGGATGGTGACAATGTACGCTCCCCGGGGGCTTGTCCTTGAAGGCTTTACGAAGCGTCTTACCATTCTCCAGCCGCGTTTGTACTCTTACACAAGAGCATTAGGCTGGTTCGTCTTCGGCGTCCATGTTCTTTCTTTAGGCCAAGCCACATTTCTGAACCAAATATACGCAATTGCTCTTCTCGTCCTGAGTACGTGGGCCACTGCAAAGGGCATCGGCTCCAACGAGTACTACATCACCGAACATATCTCGGCCAAACGGGTCGAGAATTATCCTTTCTGCCCGGATAAGAGAAAGTGGGCTTACATACGTCTTGGGTGCAACGGAGTGGAGGAGGAGTCCTTGGCCGATTGGGGGCTCTTACCTCGGAAGGCGAACACCAAGTGGTGGAGAGATTTCAAAGAGTCTGAAGAGCAATGGAAGTTTCAAAAATATCGAAAATCTTACGATACTGCCAAGGTTTGAAAGTTATCCAAACTAGTATATCTGTCACGAGGCGGGATTAAAAGGTTAAGGAATAACGACGTTGTTGCGCAAAGAGCTCTGACTACTCCCTGCCAGGGGATGCGGTATACATACCTACGTAGATCTCCGTTTGTCTACAGCCAAAGAACTAACTACCAACAGGGCGGTCTCGTACAAACCGACTCCTGATCCTTCTGGGCTACTAGCTAACCCTGGCGAGACCTCTGGCTACCAGCTCTCATCGAGGAGGCTTCTGACAATATCATCTTGGCTTAACTGAAGAACCTTGATTCGTGGACATTTCAGATAATGGGCATAGTAGTTTCAGCAAGAAAGATTGCTAATACATTTCGAAGTCATTGCGGGAACTGTATGAACTGTTGGTGGGAAGCTAGACCAGGCTTTGAAATTGTCTATGACGATAGGAAATTTCTGATAAGGATTTTGCTGGGAGACCACTTTTGACACAAGATCCCTTTGTAAGCCCAGGGTATACCTACATGTTTGATTACATATCGTACCTTGATGCGAGGGACTGAGGTAGAAAGGGGCAAGTGAGGTATGGGCTGGAGTTCTTTTTAGGGGTATTGAGTATTGGATACCCATTGGATCAGTCATTTCCGGACATGTCCAAAATAGAGAGATATGAAGTTCCTCGTCGTGGGAATTGTCAATTCACATGTAAAATCTCAATATCTGCTAACTGAATGAACGAAGATGGCCGCTGTGTGGAAGCAACTCCAGTTAGTTATTTATCGCCAAGATGATCCATAAGTGGATCTGGTAGATATAAAATGGCTTACTGGGCACCGGAGCAAAATTCTTGATGACGAGGGGTCATTGATATTTAGACTAATCCTCTATTTTAAGAGTTCATAAACGGCTTCATAACTTAACTCACTAGATTCCTGTCGTTCACCTACCTAACCCTACCGAGCTAAGGTTGGTATCCATTTCCCACCAAAGATATGCTTGGCTCGAATCCTCAAATCGCTTGTCAAGTTCGCACTCGCTCTGTCAAACAAACTATCAAGCGATTAGGCCCTTTTATACCCTTGTACGTGCTAGGTAATGATGAAACAGGTTGGAATTAGCGGTCAAAGCTGACTGCATACTCCTTTCTATGCTGATCCCCTCAATGATTTGAAAGAGCTTTATTCGGATTTTCTCTTAAGGATAGATGATGATGGCGTAAACATTCGCTGCTTGTATAAATATTCAGAATAATACAGATTATGACATTTAATGAACATTCGTAAAGCTCGCTGGGAAGTTATTTGAGGAAGGATGGCGGTCGATCTAATATAGCAGACGCCGTGGCCCGCCGTGGCCCGCCGGGCCGAGGACCTGCCCGAATAGGAGAGAGATCACCACTCACCCGTCAGCGACGGATACCAGCTGTCAAAGCTGACACCATTACACATTTCGGCCCCGATCCATCACAAATGACTAAATTTATTTCAGACAACAGCTCCAAGGAAAGATTTTCGGTAGATCGTGCCTTTTTCAATCCTTCGCCTTTGCGGGGTTGAAGACACCGCACACAGAGAATGCTGAATTCTTTTTTCCCCTTTGTATCCCCAGTCAGCTATTATACCATACATTCGTGGCGTAACATGGAGTATGGCAATATACATATCATATTGCACACCTCCACCAAATACGTGCGTCGCCTGGTTGCATCAATGAAGTGGCAAGTGGTTATTATGTGGTACAACACGGCTAGAATTCTGGCCTGATCTTGGATCTAGCCGCAAAATACCTCCCCGGCTGAACGGCTTCCTGCTCTGGCAAAGTCTGGGTTCAACGCCGCTAAAGATGTAACTAGGGCCAGATCATCCCATCATCCTGTGCTTCCTTCTCTGTCTCTGCCCCGCGGGTTAGCTACATACGATGCTCATAATCAGATAATCCGGCACCGGTCATCAGCTAGGTAGTGTTATAAATGATGAGACAAATGACGCACGAAACAGAAAGGGGTTGCTGAAAGGTAGCCATTTCCTGTACTTCCGCACATTACCCAAAGCTGATAGTGATAGGTAAGCTGCGGCGTTTTCATCTGCGGGAGCATCCCGTCCCAATCTTTTCCCAAAGTTCCCAAAAACTCCAGAAACTCCAACGGCTGGCCGATTGGTGCGTTCGTTCGGGTGAATCGAACCAGTTCACGCGGTTGGTCATCAATATTACCTAGCAACACCTACATACATGAGTGATTATGTATGAGGTATGTATGGGCTCTGCTTACATTGCTTCTGTATGGTACCGGTGGTGAGAGCTCCGCCCCAATCTGACGTCGCACGAGTCACCCCCCCCAGGTCTCATCCAGTAATCCCAGGGTCTCATCAGCCATACTACAGAGGTGGGGATCTCGTCTCAGCTGAAGCCTCACTGGGTAGTTTTCATAGCCGGTCCCGGCAGGTAAGAAAAAAAGAAAGAAAAGAAAGGGTGTTCGCCGCAGCACACGAGTCTCGCAGGTTAAAAGCGGCTCGTCCGCACCCCCCTCCCCTCCCATTTACGGCCTACTGGCCCCCCCCTTTTCGGATTTTTTAATTCCTACTTGCCTTTTTTTTATTTCCTTTCTTTTGCTTACATTTTTATTCATCCTTCGAATGGTGTCAATTGTCGCGCCCCGTCACCCAACATGACATCCGCCCTCAGGCTGGCCACCTTGGGTTACGCGATCGCTCTTGTTGATGCCAGCTTGCTGTTCTGGTCCGGGGGCCGTCGCGACGCTGGGAATTGGGGTCCGGCCAGGCACACTGCTACCGTTGGTGCTGGTGCTGCTGCCGCCGCCGGAAAAGATCCTGTAGGATGGGTTCCGCCGCAACCGACTGCGCCCCCGGGGGCCAAGCCGTTCGACCTCGAACTTCGGCGGCGCCAACAAACTACTACTATCACGTCCGCTGCTACGTGCGGCTATCCAGTTAGCAATGTTAATGGTAGGTGACTATTTTAGATTACGTACTTTGCCCGGCCTATTTGTGAGAAGCTCTTTAACTCTTCGTAGACTCGGCGATTACTTGCGGCGGTGGAGAGTATTGTTATGAAAACCAGTTCGCAAGCGTCGCAGGATGCTGTGGCGAGGCGAACCGCCGCGATTGCAGAGTACCAACGACGTGCATTGAATCGAGTATATCAGCATCGTATTCATCCGACCCTAAGACTCTTATCTGGTAAGTTCAAGACTGACTATCCAAGACTCCTCGTGGTTCCTTCAACTAAGTCGCGGAAAGCAATAATACGGCGAAGCCTCGTTGTGTGACCTACTTGTACAATGCGAATTTCTTCGAGAATTTGTACGGGGTTAGCTTTTTGGCATGTGGCGAGGACGCAGGATCTAGTACGATTGCAACTAGCCCACCGTCGGGCTGGTCACCGACGAGCGATGCTAGTACCACTGCTGAATCTACAGGCAGTGACGCGACCGCTCCGGTAACCGTTACGGTGTTTCCAAGTAGCAGCGCATCATCATCAGCCACGCCAGTTGCATCGGGAGATAGTAGCAGTAAATCGAGAACCGGAGCTATTGCGGGCGGCGTCATCGGCGGTGTTGCCGGACTCACGCTGATCATCGCTGCCATTTTCTTCTTGTTCCGGTACTGTAGGAGGAGAAGGGACGACGGGGTGGAAGGGAAAGGGATGGAAGGCTCGCCCCCGTATCCGGGCCGGGATTACCGAATCTCTAGCGTGTACCCCGGAGGCATACCCGAGCCGCAATACCATTCCGACTTTTATGGAGAACTACCTCCGCAAATGATTCAAACAGACTCGACCCAACATGTTACAGGTTACCCACAACCGCCACCAGCGAGCTATGATCCTGTTTCTACCATGCCTAGGGATATGCACCCGCAAGGAAGACCAACGACCACGTTTATTCCCGTGTCACCTAAGCCGAATGACGACGATATAGTATCGCCTATTACGCCCGGAGATGGGTTAAATCCCGCTGACGACCCAGCAACGTACACGTGGATATCTAACCCAACGCCGCCCCCACAATCAGAATATTCCCAGTTCAGCCCGCCTCCTCCTCCTCACTTCCAGACTTACCGTCCGTACCCGGGTACGTGAATTACGCGTTGCTAGCCAACGGCATTGTGACGATTACATCGCGAGCGATGAAGCTCGTAGAGCGAGATAATGTTTCTCCAATAAAACATACGAACTTTCTCTGTACATATATATAGGGTGGCGGCGGCGTTTCTCTTACCCGCGGATTCTGGCGTCTCGGCGGGCGCGTCTTGCATATGATACCTATTGCGCTTTTTCTAAAATTGCGGGTCCCGGGTAGGGAGAGAGGGGTGATTGGATTAATATGGTGTTTATTATCGGGAAGTGCAAGGAGGCATCGTGATGATATATAAAACTGTTTTTCCGCGCTAGGTATGTCTATCTTGACGGAATCACGCGAACTATACGCGGCACGCTGTAATACACCATTTTCCCGGTCGAGATATAGTTCAGGGAAAGACGAATTGAAACTCTTTGAGATATGAGGCTCCAGTATTGATAATATGGATCAGGATTTGACATCCTCCGATGCTTTTTCCGAGGTTGAAATGTGTGTCGGCTATCTGGTGTATGGAACATATATAGTAAACACTCCATTCCTTCGAGCTCTTTAGACCTATAGCACTAATGCGTCAGTAACGCTAAACTAACATGATTAGCGACCAACCAATCATTAGGTATTATTTACTAATGGAGATTGTATACATATAGACGTTTGGAAGCGTAGGCAACTTATCGTAGTTGTGCATCCCGCGGCGAGACATCGTGAGATGCCCTAACGCGGGGAAACGCGCACCCCGGACCGGACTAGCCGGATCGCCGCGGGATCGGGTAGGTGTGTGGGGAAGGCGCCCATCTTCTCCAAGTTTCGGTATTTTCATTCAGCCGACCTCGAAAGGTGACATGTAGGGTATACGTATATAATTAGTAAGTGCTCCTAAAGATCAAACCTCTGTAATATAAGACTCTAATAAGAGGCATAGGTCGGCTATTCCAGGGGTTTGAACAAGAAGTACCTATGAATAAAACCCCCCAACGCTAGGCAGGAGTCAGGTCGCTACGTGAACATGGGCGACAGGGAAGCCGAAAAGCTGGTCAGCGTGGACGAGATATCCCAGCACCGTTCCCTCGACGACCTCTGGCTCGTCGTCGACAACGTAGTCTACGACCTCAGCGCCTTCGCAGAAGAGCACCCGGGAGGCGTGTCAGTACTCCTCCAGCACGCAGGTCGCGACGCAACAACCGCCTACTCCGAGGTCCACTCGCCATCCCTAATCAAAACTTCGCTGCCGGCATCGAGTCGCATAGGCATGCTAGACAAGGCCACGGTGACGGAAGAATGGGCCAAACCGCCGCCGCAGGCCAAGGGCCCGCCGGCGCAGAAGACGCCGGATGCTAAACCGCCGCTAGAAAGCATCGTCAACGCGCGCGACTTCGAGGTCGCGGCCGAGGCGAGCTTCACCGCGAAGGCGTGGGCTTTCGCCTCGTCGGCGGCGACGGATTGCCTGACCAAGGACCGGAACGGGTCGGTGTACGACGAGATCATGCTCCGCCCGCGCGTGCTGCGGGACGTGGCGGATGTGGATCTGAGTACGACGATGTTAGGGCATCGTATCAAGGCGCCGGTATTCTGCGCCCCGACGTCGATGGGCCGGATCTTCCACCCCGAGGGCGAGCGCGAGATAGGGAGGGGGTGTCAGCGCGTGGGCGTTCCGCAGTGTGTGTCGACGAGTTGCTCTTTCCCGCTCCCCGAGGTTATGGACGCTGTCGAGGAGGAAGGGCAGATAATGGCTAAGGAGGGTGATGGCGAAGCAGGTGTGGTTCCGGTGTTTTTCCAGTTATACGTCGATAAGAACCGGTCAAAATCGGAGGCGCTGCTGAAGATGGTGCGAGAACGCGGTGTTAAAGCTATATTCTTGACGATCGACGCACCGGTTATCGGAAAGAGGGAGGCGGACGAACGCGTTAAATCCGACGAGAGTATAAGGGCGCCTATGTCCGGAGCGCAGGCTAAGAATGATAAAAAGGGAGGAGCATTGGGAAGGCTGATGGGCAATTATATCGACGCTTCGCTGACTTGGGATGATGTGGCTTGGCTGCGGAAACATGCCCCCGGTTTGCCTATCGTGTTGAAGGGCATCCAGACGTCGATGGATGCAGTCAAGGCCATGGAGGTTGGTGTTGAGGCGATATATATCACAAATCACGGCGGTAGGAGCTTGGATACGGTGCCTGCGACGATATTAGTGTTGTTGGAATTACAGAAGTGCTGTCCGCAAGTTTTCGAAAGGATGGAGGTGTTTATCGATGGTGGTATCACCAGGGGGACCGATATTTTCAAGGCCTTATGTTTGGGTGCTAAGGCGGTAGGTATTGGTCGAGGATTTTTATATTCCCTGAATTATGGAAAGGAAGGGATCGAACATTTCGTCGATAGTGAGTACATCCCCATGAGTTATGATATGCGATGGCAAGATGAGAAAAAAGTAGGAATGCTGACTGATATACCACCAAAGTACTTACGGACGAGTTGAAAGTTACGATGCAGATGTGTGGTATCACTAGCCTTGATCAAGTTCATCCTGGGTTGCTACATACAGGTGCTGTTGACCAGCTGGTACCTGGGTCAGAGGAACATCCCTATGCCAAATGGAGGCCTAGGTTAAGGAGTAGTAAGCTGTGAAGAGGAATATAAAGGGGCTAAAGGTCAATGCAAGTAAAGGGTACATATGTTTGGATTATAGAATGATGTATACATAGGGTATAGGTGAATATAAGTACCTGACTAGGTACCTGGTGTTCGTCCCAGTCCTCGTCCGGTCCTCGTCCCCGACCCTCCTAACCACCTGCCCCGTTCACTTCCCGAGCAACATAAAATCATCTTCCGCACCACCACTCATTCTTCCACCTTTTTCAACACCAATCTTCTGAACAAATCTACCTGATTCTTTTTTCCCACAATCACTCTGTCAAAGCTAGGTACGTACCGTCCGTACAATTTTTGGCAGCTGTGCACCAACCAACTTCCAACACTTATCTCCCACTCCCCCCGCTCCGTTCACTTTCTTTTCTACTTACCCTCAAACATCAACAACCTTCTTGTCGACAATCGTTTATCTCAGTAAATTATTCAAATCACACCAACGCTTTTCGTCACTAAAGCTTTATCCTCTTACTCAACTCACTTGAATCAATTATTTCGCACTACAATCACTTAACTTGACGTTTCTTATTCGGTTTATCACGATGCGTCACGATATTCGCCGTGATGCGTCCGCAGCTGCCAGGGCTCAGGTGTCGAGCACTGTGTATACGAACGATACATCGGAAGATAACATTTACATAGAACGTTCGCACGTGGGTAAACTTGCCCCCAAGGAGGACATTGACTCGATCACCTTTTCTATGGTGAAGGGTTACTACATCGCCATGAGTGACACCAGCGAGTGGAACGACGATTCCGATGGCGTTCTGTGCCTTATGAAGACCAAGGACTGGAGGTAAGTTCCATCTAATTTTTTTTCCTTTCATCACCTTTCCTATCCTACTTCTTCTACCTTCATCTGTTTCCCACCACTTTCCCTACATATATCCTATGTAGGGAATTGCTACTCAATATCCACTATTACCCACAACAGGGCCTTAACAAGTAAAACACATGCCTCTCCTCTTCCCAAAAGTACACATGCTAATATGAAAACCAATTACAGCTGGAGCATGGTCTCCAACGTCCTCCAGCGTCCGGAGGAGGAAGCGAAGGAACGCTTCCAGTACCTAACCTCCCTCGCCCAGGAGGACGGAGGTATTCCGACCGACACCTTGGGGGAGCTCTATTTCCTCAAGATGCGCCGCTACCCGGCGCTTCTTGAGGAAATCGCGGCCAAGGCCGATGAATTCGAGAAGGCCAAGGCGAAGCTGGACGAACGCTACGCCACCGGCGGCCGCAGCCGCGCAGACATCCTGGCCAAGGGCAGCCGCGGCCAGAAGAGCTGGCTTGCTCGCTTGTCTCCCAACGGCGACCCTGCCGAGGGTAAGTACCATCCATCCCATTCCAATTCTATCTTTTTTTTTTAAAAAAAAAACCCATACCCTTACTAACAAAACCCCAAGGTCTGGATTCGTACCTCGACAGTCTCTCAAGCGCTCGCAAGTCTCCCAGCCCACTCCGCGCTCCGTCCCCGGACTCGATCGAGCGCGCCAAGATGATCCTCCGCCAGCACAAGAAGAAGACATCCTGGCTCACGAAGCACCCGAAGAGCGCTCTGATCGCCAGTTACTTCCGCGAGCATCCGGAGCTCAAGAAGCTTAACGCGGATCAATTCTTCGATGAGTGGGACTGCAAGGCTCTCGCAACCCTCGAGGCGCGCCAGCGGGGAAATAAGTGGCTTCACCTCGCCGCTGACTTCGCCAATGCTACTGGCCGCGCCGTCGACCCCGAGGTGCTCAAGGCTAAGCTCGACAAGGCGCCTATCATGGACAAGGAGGAGTCTGCTTCGTTCTACGGCTTCGAGCAGTCTGATGATGAGGATGAAGAGGCGACAGAGGATGGAGGATCTGATTAAAGGCACCATCGTGTCACAGATTTCGCATTTCCTTATTTCCTTGCGTCTTTTTTCCTATTCTCTTTCGCACTACGGTTATGGAAAACGATACCCCGGGAAATGGCATGGGCATGGCACGGGCATAGACGGATGATGGCCGGATCTCCTTTCGTCTCTTTTATCGCAATGGAGTTCGATAGATCGACTTAGAATGATACAGGTACACGGTCAGGGATGGAATACGGCAGATTTCCTTTCGTTTTTGTTTTTCCTTCTTCTTCGCCTTTGCGTCTCCCCTCCGGGTGAACAGGCACTCGTCACTTGGGTCGGGTCTGGTTCGAGGTGGTTGACCATTTCAGAAGTAACCTATTTTGCTTTAATAGATAGGTACTCTTGACCGCATGATTGGCAAGAGCAAAAATGAAATCACGGTGTTCTTGCAACTACCTCGTATTATATGTTAAAGTTAATCGGGCATTAAGTGAACACGCAGGCTAATGAAGCCACGTACATGTTGTTAAAGGGCAGTAGAACCTGACTTCATGATAGTTTCCATTCTTTCAGAATAGGTCTGTATAGACCTTCGCTTCCAAACTCTAGAATATGGACACAATATGAAGGATCAATTCTAACTCCCCAACATGATAAACACCTACCTTGTACACCTCCTCACCCAAGCCCTGAAGCAAATCACAGTAAACAGTCACTAATCACCCACCCTAAGCCACACAACTCAAGTAACAACATCTTTTTTCAATTCATTCCATTTAATCGGAGGAGAGAAGAGAGCTCTAAGCTCTAGCCCAGCCTATCGCCCAGCCAACCACATGCTCACTGAAGCCCGCCTCGGCCCTTTCCCCGTTGCCGTTCTATCGAATCATACCAGCCAAACCAGACCAGCCGTCCCCGTTCCGAGAAACCGGTGTCCCTACGCCTCTCCGTTCATTTGAAATTCTTATATTATTGAAACCACCCATATTTTTTGTTGAACCCAGAAAGATCACGCCGTTATAAACCAGCCCATTTCCCCCTTACCGTTTCTAGTAGAATGTCCCTTGGTCGTAAAATTTCGCTGAAGTAAAAGAGGAGAGAAGTAAAAGTTGATAGGACAAACGCCGCTAACCTTTAAAGCCCTGGGTTGTTGTGCCGTTGTATATGTCAACCATGTAGCAGACCTCGAACCAGTCAGATCGCTTGAACCTATATATCCGTAATGCAAATCGTATCTCGTCCGAACCTGATAGTCCGTTTCCCATATCGTAAATGAGTCCTTGGAAGAAATCAAACCCATAATTTTCGTTCAATCCCTCGTATATCAACAATGAGGGCAGTGTGAAACATGCTTCGCGCGAAGAGTCGAGGGCCCCTTACGCCGACGATTTCCCAGCGCGGGCATCCCGTCTTCAGGTTGAGCTCTGTCTCCAGTCTCGAATCGCTCATTGCCGACCACGATGACCTTGATGACATTACTAAGTCCAATGGCCAAACTCGCACGGCCGATCCTCGCCATCGGTCCGAGACTGTTGACGAAGAGGTGTCCGTCATCCTCAACCTTCGAACATAACGGGAGCGTCTCCCATGTCTCCTTTTTACCGAAGTGGGAGAACATCCATACTTGCCAGTTATTATCTGGGGCAATATGGCCATTCGTAGGTTGAGATGGTTGATGACGACGTCTAAGGTTACTGAGCTGTTGGAGATGCGGAGGATCATCGTGGCCATCCGCTCGAGCCTTCTCTGATGTTTTCTTTCGGACACCCACGATGATCCCACAGGGCAAAGCGTCCCAGACTCCGGGATTTTTGATAGTCCGTTTCGATACCTTGGCTCTTTGCCATGGGCAGCACGTCTTTCTCGTCGGTGATGCTGGTTCACAAAAGCACAGCGACTCTCCCTCATTCTGTGGACTATAGGTGTGTACCATCAGGTCTCGGGTGTAAGCATGGTTATATGCTATCGTGAAGCTCCATAAGGCAACAGAGCCACATCGCATCCTTCGTGGTCTCGAGTGAAAGCATTTCACGCTTCTCGGTTGAATAGGGTCCGTGTTGAAAGTATAGATCGCTCTGAGCGTCTGGGAATCTACCAGGTCCACGGTCTGAAATCGGATGACGAGGAAGAAATCCAACTCTGGTAAGGATTGGATTGAGACAAGCTCACGCTCGGTCGAACTGCCTTCGTTCACTATACTAGAGGACCATTGAGTGCCATCTTGGGTAGCAATGCGCACTTGACCTTCGCGAGTAGAAGCTATAACTTGAGCAGGATACCCTTCAATTGTCAGTGACACTGATCCTATCATATAAGTAATATGAAAGTTACTCACCTTTTTCCGCAAGAGAGCTAACGGAGACAATCGAACTCCCTTTGGTAAGCATAGTGCTATCGGGTCGTACTTGATCTATCTTCAGTTCCGTGAGAGAGCCATCTCGCCGAATAACTACCAAAGAAGGAACGGTTGCAGAATCATCGGGAACGAAGAAAAAGGCTTCGGGCTTATGTCGATCCGGCTCTACCTCGAGCATAGGACCCCACCGAAAATCGACGAGATGCCACAGCAGAACTTTGCCCGAGGTTAAGAGTGCTAGCCAGTGAGAGTCGTCGTCAATACACACGGCCAAAATAGGAAACGGGATATTAAACAGGTTGGCACTGTCGCCCAACACGTAGCTCTCGCCGCCAGCTTTGATATCCCATACTCGGATAACTCGGTCTAGCCCGATAGACACCAGGTGACCATCAGAGGAGGCTGTGAGTAAGGCGACGTCCAAAGTATGGCCTCTGCTTAGGGTTTTTACCGAAAGGAGAGGATCATTATCAGCACCATCAATCCTCGCAGAATCTGCTAATTCATCCCACAGTAGGTAGTTCATCAGTAGGCGAACTGCAGCCGCAATGACTATCATAGTTACAATGAAAGGGGATGATTGATGGCGAAGGAAATCGTAAACGGCTGGCGGAAACCATGGCTCGCTTGCTGAAAGGCTCCGGTCTGATCCCTTGAGAACGAAAATTGTGGGATAGAAGACCCTTGCGATATAGCTATGGGCATCAGGCTTGATAACGTGAATAAGTTCCCGGGCCGTCTCATGATCCTGAAGGCCTAACCACGATGCTGGACTTCTGCCTTGATGAACTTCGCTCAGAGATGAAGACAGCGAAAGATTCTTGTATTTCGGAGAGATGCGGAGAATCCGAGTCAGTGCTCTTATGACACTTTCATTCTCGAAAAAGTGCCACTGAGAGATGAGAACGAAGCCGACCATCACAATGGTTCCGGCAATGCGTGTTGACATGGCGATCCTCCCCTGTGGCATCGCATCTAACCACGTTTGCCGCGACTGAGGGTCGGAGGCAGACCGATGAGATCGGATCGAAGCTTTTGCGAGTGCATCGCTAAGCTCGGTACGTCGAACATCGACACTAAGTACGGATAGGAAGAAGGTTGATAGGTAAAAGAAGTCAAATATTAACGCAATCGCCGTGAAGGTGCAAAATGCCGAGACACCAGGCGATACGAGCTTCGACAGGAAATATAAGATGACGAGATTTTGAGTGACGCTGGTGAGAGCAACGTAGCCTGTCTCACCGAATGCGTAGCCAATCCGCTTACTTGTGTTGTGTTCGGATGGAGTGAGAATGACAGCATTTATGAGACGGAAGATATTCTCCAAGCTCATAGAAAAGATAACGACCGGGTATCCTAAGCGGGGAATCCTCGACAGATCGATCTTAAAAATGGCACATATAGTAAAGCTTGAAAATATGGCGAGGACAATCTGAGCTATGACGGTAACCATCAATCCCACCTTCGACTTGACGGCCCGTAACTTAGACAGACTGGTCAAGAAGTAAATGAGGACGAGAATATAGGCTAGCCCTAAAAGAAAGACATCCTGAGACGACATAGGACGAAACTGAAACTCATACATTTCGCTGGTTTTTCCGTTCGGAGAATAATTAAATATGTCCCAATTATCATCCGTGTTTTGTTTGAGAGCTTGGACTTTCTCCTGCCATTGACGTCCAACCGGAGAGTCTCGATGATGGACAAGGGTGATGACAAGGGCATCAGCAGCGACGAGCCGGCGATCCTGGAAGCGTTTCCCGCTAAACACAGTCGAATGCCTTAGGGTCACATTGACAGATGTCGACTGCGTCTTTCTCTCGTTTGCCGTAGCAATAATATCATCATCCTGTTCTATGGCCTCCGGGGAACACGACCAATATTGAAGTGGGGACTGGAAGAACCAAGACTGGTTCGTTAAACCGTTGGCAACATGAAGGACATCGCGCTGGTCGAGTGTGAGGTCCGTATTCGTAGCATTGGTAGTATCGATTTCGCCAGCGATATAACGCCGTGGGTTAAAATTAACTGTAGGGCCAAGCAGTTTGTCCTGGAGGTCCAGCGCACTTAGCAGTACGTTCCTATTTAGAGCCTGGAAATAATTGCCATGAACCCATATCGAGCGCATAATAACGTCAGGTTCGACTCTGTTCTTGTCGACAAGAGGTAAGGTGTCGGTCCAGGCATGTTCGGGGAGGATAGACGCGCCACTGGTAAAGTCGGTGGTATAGAGGAAAGGGAAGGGATAAATAAGGACGGTAGCGACAGCGACGGAGACCAGCAAGGTTGTCACGACATGGCTAGCGGCGTACCGTCCGTACCGCGCGAAGGCGATACGTAACGGATGCGATTCCTCTAGCACAGGACCTTCGGTAGTTCTAGCATTGTTTTCTGTCAATTGAGCCGCAAAATAACAGATAGGCGGAGAGAAGCAGAACATACCCTCTGAAAGGATAGAGAAGATACCAGATCATCCTTCACATACGTAGCGGGCAAACACCAGCTTGCGAGCTGCCCAGGATAACACGGCGCGCCAGACGGAAGGGAGGCAGGTGGCCTTTCGTGAGGTCAAAGGAGGGGCGCATTCTCCTCACCACGTATCACATGCGAAGAGTATGTAATCCGACTAGATCAGACATAGATGGCGTATATGTAAGTACGTAGGTAAATAGGTAGTCTGGGTTTTATTTATCAAGCGGATGAGACATAGTCGTGACGAAATCTATATAGTGTAGTAATCTTGAGATCGAGTGGAAGAGGCCGAGGCTGGTGGGTATTCGTTGCAGAAGGTGAGAATTAGGGCGAAAGAGGAGAGATCGGACATGGAGGCGGGCGCTATTGTCGACTTCTCGTACTTCATGAGAAAAAAAAGAAGGGAATTGAGTTAGCGAAGACGCCAATAGAATATTAAAATTGTGCTGGAAGAGGACTAGAGCGGCGCCGCCGTGTTTAGAGTTGTTTCCTACTGTCTCGCACTTGACTTGGCCGAGTTAAGTATCCCAGGTAGCTGGAGCCATACAAATTGGTTTGTACCTAATAGCGTATGCGTAATCGGGCAAGTGCGATGTGAGAGATGATAAAAGGTTGGATCAATATGCAATTTCATGGGTGCCGGATGCGATTCGAGAGGTTTCCGATGTTCAGCTGACCGTGCTAAAGATAAACTTGCACTCGGCACTTTTCCTTTGAGATCTAGGAAAGAGTAGCTTCCGGGTTTCCTAGACTTTTTGCGACTTGGAAAACTCCATCGTAAATGCCAAGTTGGGACCAAAGTTGGGACCAAAGTTAGCCCTGGGGACTTGGGTAGGTAACTGCGCCGGCGGGGCGGATTAGGCGGGACTTGCGCGGACAACCGGGGAAGTTCCCCTTCCCTGCTAGCTTTCCATTAGGCGTCGCTCTAGCCCTTCAAGCCCCTCCAGCTCCGATTCTACAGAGATCCATGGGATACGTCGTACTCCCCCTCACCCTTACCCCTCACAGCTATTGGGCAGAGCTGCTCATGCCCCTTCTGCCCCTTTCTATATCGAGATCGTACCTGGTCGTCTTGGTCATTTCCGTCATTTTCTCATCTTTCATACCGCCAAAGTGTCGAAGTGTCTCGGACTTGACAACACATCGCAATGTCGGGCGAACGGTTAGGTTCAAGCCTCTCGACGAAATTGGGTTAGACTACATATGTATAATCAGAACGGTCGAATTGGTCCGGATACATCGTTAGTGGCTGAAGAAAACGATTACATATTGATAATATGTAAACCGTCGGCTAATGGCTTGTTAGCTGTTGGCTGTGAACTGTTAGCTGTTAGCTGTTAGTTGTGTTAGTTGTGCACTTATTAGGTTCTGACATCGGTGTGCCCAGTGTGCCTCGGTCATCAAATTACATCGCAAACAGGGTAGGAATCATTTTATCGAGATCGACAAACATCGAATATCGTGGGAAATATATCTAGATAGAGGAAATGTCATATCTGGGGTCTGGGGAACCGCCGGGACTTTTTATATATTTAGGATTTCTATCACTTTTGTAATCGACCCATAAGGAGCAAGAACTGACCGCTTATATTGCTACCTTAAAAGGAACAAACTCCATCATAATCATGACCAACAATAAGGAAGGCGGGGTTCGTCAAGTCAGAATCAGCTCATTTTTCTCGCGATGCCTTCCATTGGCGTAAGATAATTGGTGCGCCGTGGGTAGATTAGGCAAGGGCTTTGTAATTAGATCTACCTAACCCAGATTTCCGGATATGCTAAACTCTAAATATCTGGAAAATCGTCCCATTTACCAACGCTAGATCCGAAAAAAGGCTGTAGGGCTGAATTGGTTGATGCAGTACCCGCGTATTACAACTTTTTGCTCGCATCCTCCCATCATATCATTTTTCATACCGTCGACGGGACGCATGACTGACCCCAAATTACCGTCACCGATTCCCCGTTACCTCCATTAGGAACCCCTGCGACGACAGTGCTTAGGTTGCGGGATACAACTAGATATCTGGGAAGATGGATGATCTGAACGAAGATCTCATCACGGAGCTGATCACGAGCTTCAATGCGCTAAATCCTAGCACCGTCGAGGAGTTAGACGAAGAGCCGAGTCCGCTAGAGTTCATGCGGTATGTGGCAAGGAACACACCTTTCGTCGTGCGTGGAGGCGCCGCCGACTGGCCGGCTACACAGCGCTGGAACGCTGCTTACCTGCGCGAGTCTCTGGCCGGTCATCGTGTAAACGTTGCCGTGACACCATTCGGGAACGCTGACGCTCCCACCATCGTGGATGGAGAACCCGACTTAATTTTCGCCAAACCGCACGAGGAGGAGCAGGATTTCGGGGAGTTTCTCGATTATCTGACGACGCAGGAGAAAGCCGAGCACTCTTTGCCCGAGAGTCGCGGGGAGGTAAGGTACGCGCAGACGCAGAACGATAACTTGCGGAACGAGTATTCTCTTCTCTACTCGCAGGTTCCGCCATCCATTCCGTTTGCTCGTATCGCGCTTCAGGAAGACCCGGACGCCATCAATATGTGGATAGGATGTTCCAAATCCATAACGGCGATGCACCGCGATAACTATGAGAACATATATGTACAGATTACCGGGCGTAAGCATTTTGTCCTGCTACCGGCGCTATGTCAGCCGTGTGTCAATGAACGGGAACTGCGTTCCGCCTCCTATGTCCGAGGAGAAAACGGTCTTAACGATCTTCACTTGCAAATGGAGGACGAGGAGGAAAATATCCCTTTTGCTACATGGGACCCGGATAACCCGACTATAAGGACTACTAAGTATTCGCATCTAGCACGACCTCTCAGAGTCACGCTTAATCCAGGCGATATGTTCTACCTACCAGCTATGTGGTGAGTCCCGATACCTAGATCAACTTCCGCAGATATCAGTTGGACGTTATCTAGATGCTCATAATAGCTCAGGTACCACAAAGTCTCGCAGTCCTGCTCGGAAGAAGGAATGTGTATCGCCGTCAACTATTGGTAAGCCTCAATCAAGCACAGTAAAACAACCTCTATTTCTTAAGGTCCGAACTTACCTAGTGTACTTCTACCAGGTATGACATGGAATTCAGCGGACCGCTCTATCCCTTGAACACCTTCGTTCGCAGTCTTGGTAGCGAAATAATCAAATAAATAAATCACAATATGTAAAAAAGCACCTCTAGCCGTAAAGCTCTCATAATCATAAGTTGTCGTATTGAATTCCTACTAGTATGTAGTCTACACCACTGTACTAACTAGAGTTAAAACACCAAGACCATCTAATAGACCCATACTCCTATTAATATGTACGGGTCTTCGGTCCAACCATTCATATTTCCATAACTGTACCATAGTACTCCGAACACCTTGCGAATCCAGCACGGTCCAATGGGGATGTCATAAAGACTGTAAGAGGTAGAAACTACCAGTGCAAGAACACCCTTCCTCAAATATTCACTCGAACTCCCAACGGGTTGCGCGTACCGTCGTCCAACCATCTCCCCTTATCATCGCCAATCTTCCTGCGGAACAGGGCCAAGTCCTCCAGGAGATCGTGCATGTAATCCTGCACATCATTCGCCTTCTCCTCGTACACATCAGACTCGTACCCATCATCCTGATCATAATACGCCTCATCCACCAACCCACTGCTCCTGCGTCTCCCACCACCACTCTTCCCCTCCTTCACACCACCCTCACCCTCAACCTCCCTCTCCACCTCATCCTCACGCACAACAACCTCCGGAATCGGGTTCTTCAAGCTATCAAGCGCAAGCTTTAAGTGCAACCTCAGCGCCTCATTCTCCGTCTGCAAGCTGCGAATCTTGCCCTCGGCCACGAGGCTGCGCTCCTCCATCATGCGCTGCATGGCCGCGACGCGGTTCTGGTACTCCTCGAGCCTCTCCTCGCTCTGCCGCGCGTCCTCCTTCTCGCGGTGCCGCGTCTCGCTCACCGACAGCTGCAGCCGCCGAATCTCCTCCGCCATCGCGCTGATCTGCTTGTCCCGCTCCGCCGAGCTGATCTGGTCCTGGTTCACCACCGCCCGCGTCCGGATCCGCTTCGCCTGGTCCGCGTACCGCAGCGTCGACAGCGTCTCCTCGTAGTCGCTAGGCGAGATGCACGCTATCATCGCCGTCTTGCTGTTCCCGCCCAGCGAATCTTTGAGTAACCACGTCAGGATCGAGTCCCGGTACGGCACTATATCACGACTACGGTGATGGTGGTGCGATTTCCCGCTTCCCGGATGCGACGACGCCTTCGGGTCCGCGAGCGCTGCTATCACCCGCCCGAGCGTCGTCAGCGACTTATTGATATTGCTGCCCTCGCGGAGCCGCGCGCCGGTGGCCTCGGTCGACTTGGCGCGCTCGCTGCCCGCGAGGTCGACGAGCCGGATGCGCGAGCTGCGCTCCGTCGTCTCGTCCGTCTCCATGTCGTGGTGGATCTGCTTCAGCATGATCGTGAACACCGCGTGGCTGCGGCTGCTCGTGTCGTTCATCTTCGTGCTCGCCGTCGTACGGCTCGCGTCCCCCGCCTTCATGTACCGCAGGATCTCGCCGAGGTTGCGCACCGGCACTTCCGTCAGGTCCTTCACGTACGGGCCCTCCGTCGGCGACTCGCGGATCTTGAGGTAGTACGGCGCTTGGTTGGGCACCACGGGCACGAGTAGGTCGCGCACGTGCTCGTTGTAGACTTCGAAGTAGGAGGCGCGCACATGGTACGAGATGTTCGGCGTCTCGTTCTGGGCGGCCTCGATGCGCTGGAACAAATCCTCGCAGGTCCTCGGGATGAGGCCTGGCTGGTCGGGCGTCCCCATCATGGTATACGATTTTCCAGAGCCGGTCTGGCCGTAAGCGAAGATACATGTGTGATACCCCTCGAAATTGTGGTCGAGGAATTCCTCGCCCAGGCTGTTGTATACATCTTCCTGATGGGCATAATGTTCATCTCGTAAATCATGACTCCAGAATGAATTGTCGAATGTGAAGTCTTTCTCTTCAATTACTTTGCGGGACTTCGCTCTTGAGTTAGCGGGGTCGTGGTCGTTTGGTACGTGGAGGATCGTCTGCTGAGTGATCGGGTCCATGCTTATCAAGCACTCGGCACCCCTTTCGATTTCTGGCAATCAATTTTAACGTTAGCAATTGTCGATCCATCACCAAACTTTTCGTATATCTAGGATATATAGCAAATACACACCTCGAGGCAAAAATGCCCTCACTCTCACGACAACTCTAACGTTTCCTCCGGCGTCCATCCTCATGTGCGGCGGCAACGTGCCATCTCTAGCTCGCAGCGAAGGCGTCGAAGCAGAGGAGGGAGAGGCCCTCATTGTATCTAGACCAGGCATCAGGCGTGAGTCTAACATTCCGTTCATTCCAGTGTGAAGTGTCTGGCAAATGTCGTCGATAGCGTCCCTAAACCGTGCACGCTGGTCGTGTGTTGGGATGCCGTAGACTGGCATGTGGGACCGGGCAGCTGTGGGAGGTCGTTTTTATTTACTTCAGACTGTGATGTGGGGCTTCGTTGCCAGGGAAGCGCTGTGCACGGTTCAATTTTGGGTAAGTTGCATTGGGATCTCACTTAGGTGGGAACGCGATTGCCCCGCGATGGAGACTCTTATGACTTGCGTGCAGTACTGTGTAAAATACCTAAGGGAGGGGCACGGGTAATGACGAGTTGAAGATCTTGCATATCGAAGAATTACATGAAGAAATGTAGTTATCGTAGCCTTTCAAAAGATTGTAAGAGTAATTTTCGTCCTAACTCATATTACACGGTATTTGTGAATTTAGTGCCGAAGCCTGTCGCTACGGAAACTGTGTAATGGGATGTGTGCCCTCTGTGATACATCTGGACATCCATAATCTGTTCCCTAACCCTCCCGGCACCAGCTAAAAGAACCAGCGCCTGCTTGCTATAAATCGAATTCAAACCTACTTATATAGGTGCCTAATAAGACAGGAATAGCTTCTATGGGTCTGACGTGCGCATATTACACCCCACGTCTATTTTCTCGCGAGTCCCTTCCCAAGTAGCACTTGTCCGACATCTCTAGTAAGATCAGTCTTAAACAATTTCTCCTTGGCCAGTACAGTCCCTTGTGCATCCATGGATCTCAAGAGGTCTATCAATTCTCCTTCTAAAGGTAGACAGTATGTCATCAACCCGAGTGCTAAAAGCATGCCATCCAATGCCTCTTTCGATGATTCCTCTTGTGATATAGCCTCTAATAGTGATGCTGCTAATTCAACTTGGTCTTCTTCGGGAAGAATATCGCCGGACTCAAGTCTCTTTTTGAGGTTTGCGGAAGCAACGTTGAATAATAGCGATGAGGCTGCTACTCGGATTGTGCTATGCTTGTCGTCGAGGAAGCTTGATGAGACGAGCTGCGTAATAGCACTTCGTAACTGTGGATTACCGAGAATCTGATCCGCGTAAAGGTGACTTGAAAATAGATTGCTAGCCATTTGCAGTGTCACCAACCGTAGAGCGTAAGGGCTCTCCGTGTCCTTGTTAACGGCATCCACGATAGCAAGAACTGTTTCATGGCCATGCTCTTCCGCGAAATAGCCACTAACCCGAGTATCTGCAAGGGTACATCGGAAAAGATCCACAACCGTAAATAAGACTTCCTTAGGTAAATCTTTCACTGCCGAGCGCATGAAACTGGAAAATGCTGACAAATCCGGTAGATGAGCCAATGCGGGGCCCTGGCTCTCTTTGGTTTCGATAAAGCGTATCATACCCTGAATTGACTCGTCATCGGCCTTGGATCCTAGCTTAGCTAAGAGCTTAGGAATTGGAACAACTTTTCCGTATATTACTGGTTTCGAATCCAACCACATGGAGTGGTTTAACCTTAGTAGTTGGTGTGGATGACTTGGAATTGCCATTTGGGCCAGGAGACCAACAGTTCCCCTTAATTTGGCCGCATCTGCACCCGTAAACCGTTCTTCTTCTTTACCATGAAGGAAAGTAATGAATGTAGGCGTCGCCGTGATGTTGTATTTAGATGCTACATCAAAGGCTTGGTGTATATCAACCTTGATGAGGGTGACCTTATTTTGATACTCCTGGGCTAAGCTGTCGTATAGGGGGTAAAGTGCCCTACAGGGGCCACAGTTTGCCATGGTGAAGAAAATAATCGCACATGATTTTTGAGAAGCGTCTAGTACTTGGTTCAGCTCCGAGAGACTTGTAATAACCCTCACAGAGGCTGTAGAATTGGACTTATTTTGAGGCGTAGTTGCGGAGGCGGCTCCATTGGTGTGTGGCTGAACATTATTCTGGATACCGAGCAATCCACCTTGCTGAGCTTTTCTCTCTTCAACCATCCGGGCCAGTTGAGGTTGCATCATTCTACCGAAAGGCGAATCGAGCACACTTTGAGGCATGTTTGCTATGTGATCGGGTATTCCCTTTCCAACAAGGAATGTAGAGAAGTCATTGCTGAAGTTGTTACAGTTGTGTCGAAAAAGATCGTACGCCTATGAGGTTAGCATGAAGAACTAGTATGTGAGAGTAGCATTATAAACTTACCTGAGGTGTATATATCTCCTTTAATGATTCAAGATATTCGAGAATTATCTCCATAGGCAATTCACTTTTCCCTAGATGTATTCGTTCTAGCGGTGGGCCTAGGTGAGAACTCCCTGGCTTTATCACATTGATCCCACCGTCGTAGACATACTCCATGCCATCTAGCTCAATGGAGGTATGATAAATAGCATCGAGTTGAAACCCCAAAAGTCCGAAAGACAGTTGTTTGGCTAGACCATTTGATAGGTCATAGACAAGAAGATGCACATCCATTGCGACAGTTTCGTGATGAATAAGTGATTACTGTTGTTATCACACCGGCAGATTCCAGGGGCCTTTATAAAATCCGTATCATCAGCTAATGGCGAAGACCCCGGGAGCAATGTACCTCGAGGACTGGTCTAAGAAAGAAGGTTGAGAAAGCTGCAAGGTCAATTTGCTATAATTGACAAGTGAATGGTAAAAGTTAAGGATTTAGTCTATCGAAATACACTTTAAAGAGTGAAATATGTAGTAGGTATGTAGCAGGAGGCAACGACCCGTACGTCAGACATCGACACAGATGTGAAGCACCTGCTGGTGTGACAGCACCTTCTAGTAACTTTTAGTACCTAGGTACATACCTAAACGCTCCGAGGTCCTGGGTCTTGAATGCGGCTGATTAATGGAGGTCCGGCGAGAGGCTGGGTACCTAGGTACCTACTTAATGCGCATACGTGGCTGTGTAAGTGGGGCTGCTAAGGCTTAAGAGCCAAGAAACAGGGATCAAGGTACGCAACTACCGACCCACCGAAGACTAGACGCTGGAGTCGCAAAGGCCAACTAAAATTCGAAAATTCCAAGTCTTTCAGGGGTTATGGATAAGGACATTCAACCTTTCCCATTGAAATTGGCAGGAAAATCTTCGAGACGAGATTGCCTTCTGAACAAGTTGCGCTGCGCTCGTGTTCGCCCCCCTTTTATGTAACCCTTTTTACAACATTACGCTTTTTTATCCTATTTAAATCCGCCCCTATTCTGGCATTGATCCTCGTCCACCTATTCTCGTCTTGTTGAATGTTCAGCTGATCGCTCGTTCTAACTTCTTTCACTCTTTTTCTTTTCCCCTTTCTTCCTCCTTTTCTCCTCCCTTTCCCCATTCAAAGTTCCCCGATCCACTTGGGGATGCATCGCATTTGAAGGTTATGAGGAGAACATCGGTCTCGTTGCCTACTAAGCAAGTACACCACGATCCTCACGAGAAACCTGCGCGTTACGACTCGGGCCACCGAGAACCCGGCATCCTGGAGAAATTACAATCCGCGACGATGAACCAGGCCCAGAAGACGCGATGGCTGAAGACCACAGCCATCGTTGTTTTCATGGTGTTCCTGTTCTACTATTTCTCGCCGAAGGGAGTAGAAGTAGTTAAAGGAGGTATGCTTATTTAAAAACCAAGCCAAATAACCGTTTCCAATAGTTATCTGACTGAATGCTGCAGTATCACATACTGGCGGTCAAACGCCTTCCGATTCTTCGTATGGGACCGACAAATGCACGAAATCGTTTTCTAAGGACAAGCCGATCGTACAATATGTCCTCATGATCGACGCCGGTAGCACTGGATCGCGTATCCACGTATACAAGTTCAACAACTGCGGCCCGACTCCGGAATTGGAGAAGGAATATTTTGAGATGACCGAGAAGAGCGTTGGTGGCCTGAGCAAGTATAAGGACGACCCTCTCGCCGCTGCGAAGACCTTGGATGATCTTATGGCCGTCGCGATGAAGACCGTTCCCGACAAGTTGAAGGGCTGCAGCCCAGTTGCCGTGAAGGCGACTGCTGGTTTGCGAATGATTGGCCCGGAGGCTAGTGACCGAATCCTGGAAGCCGTTCGCACTCACCTTGAGAAGGATTACCCCTTCCCTGTCGTCTCGAAAGAGGAGAACGGTGTTGCGATCATGGACGGTTCCGACGAGGGTGTGTACGCCTGGATTACTACCAACTACCTCCTGGGCAAGATTGGCGGTCCGGACCAGAGCCCCACTGCTGCTATCTTCGATCTTGGTGGTGGTTCTACCCAAATTGTCTTTGAGCCTACGTTTAAGGGAGCTGCGGGCGGTGGCATGCCCGAGAAATTGGCCGATGGTGACCACAAGTACGAACTCTCCTTTGGCGGTCGTAAATTCGAGCTTTACCAGCACTCTCACTTGGGCTACGGTCTAATGGCCGCTCGAAACTCGATCCACCTCAACCTGCTTCACGACATCTACAGCCAAGAGAAGTCGAAATCCTTCCTAGAGAAACCCATTCTTAACCACCCCTGCATCAACTCGGGCCAGACCGACACTGTCAAGGTCAAGCTCGGCGACGACAGCCCACTAGGACAAGGCGAGGTCGAGCTTAACGTGACTGGCCCCGCGACTCCGGCCCCTGCCCAGTGCCGTGCCCTAGCTGAGCGCATCCTATACAAGGACGCGACCTGTAAGCTTGCGCCGTGCTCCTTCAACGGTGTACACCAGCCCTCGCTATCCAAAACGTTTGCTACGGAGGATGTGTACATCTTCTCCTTCTTCTTCGACCGTACCAAGCCGCTAGGAATGCCCGACAGCTTCACCTTGCGCGAGCTACACGAGCTTGCCCATGCTGTATGCGGTGGTGAGCAAGCGTGGGACGCTTTTAGCAATGTTCCTGGTGCTTTAGACGAACTCCGTGACCGTGGAGAGTATTGCTTAGACTTGAACTTCATGATCGGCCTGCTACACACCGGCTACGAGATGCCGATCGATAGAGAGGTCAAGATCGCCAAGAAGATCAATGGTAATGAGTTAGGATGGTGTCTAGGAGCCAGGTAAGCTTCCCCCGCTTTTCATTCCGCCTCGTCCTTACAAATGCTAATGAGATATACACAGTTTGCCCTTACTATCCAAGAACTCCGGCTGGTCGTGCAAGGTCAGCCAGACTTACTAATTAGATCGCATGATACCTTGACGAAAGATCGAGGTCATGATTATAGAGAGACCTTACAACCTTTAATGAAATGAGGAAGGCACGGAAACGTGGATGGCACGGTATGCCCTACGAAAGGCTGGCGTTTCGGATCATGAATGATTGCTGTAAAAGTGTTGCACGAAGCACAGCTTCGGTATTCTCGTCTTGACGAAAGATGGAATAGAGGTACTTGTTACGTTAGGTTAGGGTAGTACTGAATTGTACACACAAAACTACGAACAACCCAACTATTAATACTCCTGAAACCGTGAAATGCTCATTGAACATAAGCTCGAAATGCTCGACTTGATTATCATTACTAGACTCTTAAATCGATATGGTACTTCTCGTTCTAATATATATATATATATAACCCGGGGTATCAACATCACAACGGCGCCTCCACCATCCCCAACACATCCTCAATAACATACTCCGCATCCACACCCTCAAGCAACGCCTCCACGGCGCCTAATTCACTCCCCCACTGCAAACTCCTCTCCTCCGCCGGCGCCGCGATCCGTACGCGGTGCGCGTACGTCTTCTTCGCCGCGAGTCCCACCAGCGACGGCGTCACGTAGTCCAATCCGTGCAGCGCGGCGAGGCTCTTGGCCAGGGCCTCGAAGTGCTTCGTGGCCTGCGGCGTCACGCCGCCGCCTCCCGGGGCCACGGCGCGGTGCATGCGCAGGAAGGAGACGATGTTCATGAGGTACCGCAGCACCTCGACGGACATGTTCACGTTGCGCGAGAGCAGGGCGAGCGAGGCTATGTCGGCGTCGGCGAGACTCGGGAAAGGGGCCCGAGAGCTGGTTATTGAGGCGCTGTATGTGGATGCTTGGTCGCCTTTTTGTGGATGCGGGTTGGTGTGCGTACTGCGGGTGCGGCTCACGCGCGGTGTGCTAGGCGTCTGCGGGTCGGTGATGACGCTGCGCCGGACGACGACGCTGGAGGCCGATGCGCTGCTATCTGTTTCGGCGCCTCTCCTGTCTCCTTCGTTATCATCATTACCCCTATCTCCACCTCCACCTCCGCTTCTATACCGCTCCTGTGCCTCCTCCTCTTCCAAGTGCGCGAACCCATCCTCCGGATCGTGCCAGTGCGAGACGTAAAACAAGTCGTTCAGATGCGGGACCAGGCGCGCGGCACCGCCCGACTCCAACACGGCGACGAACAGGAACTGCTTAGGCGCCGTCTGCACGCTCGTGCGCGTCAGGATCCGCCGCGTGCGGAGCAGCTCCAGACATTGGATCTGCACGTCCTTCGGCGCGCGGTCGAGGTTCTTCGCTAGGATCACGTTCGCGATCTGTGGCGGCGGGTGAGGATGGGGAGCTGCTGAAGAATACTGGTGGCCGTGGCCGTGGCTGTGACTTGGTGTGCTAGGGATGCCGGTGGTGCTAGGACCGGTCGTGGTGTTCCCGACTACGGGACTCCCGCGAAAGTACGAGGACTCGGTGCCGCGACGCCGGAGGGGCGATGCGGAGGGCGTTCGCGGAGTCGGGGTGCGGAGTTGCTGCTGCGGCTTTGGCGTAGGTGGTGGAGGAGGCGCGGGCGGATGCAGTTGGATGGAGGCGGCGAGGTCGTCGAGAGTGGTGTAGGGAGTGCAATCTACGACGGTGGAGGACAGGTGGAATGTCTGCGAGGCGACGAGTCGTAGCTCCTCGACCAGGTCATCCAGTTCGGCGGGCTCGGTGCTGACGATGCAGTGCTCGCGGCTGATGAGGCAGAGGAGCGCTGCTAGGTCTAGGTCCTCCAGCTCGTGGATCCGGCGCAGAAGATCCTCATCCGCCATCGAGTCTTTGTCGGATTGGTGGCTTATTATCCATGGAATCACATTGGAAGATTGTCTAGATAAGTATTTGGAATAATGTACTCGGTGTTAGTTGTCAATGTTGAGAGTGGCGGGTAGTAGCCCCCGAATCGGGGCTTTAAATTGGTTGGTTGGAGCTCGGGTTAGTGCCGAGTTTCCGTCATTAACCTTAAATTCACATTCGGATCAGCTGGCATTAAACTTTCACAACCTCTAGCTGACTAACACATTTTTATACAGTTCCGGTCTAGCAATGAATCATGGCAGCCTGTTTGGATACAATGATTTGACAATGATAGAAATATGTACAGTAGGTTACCCCTTAAACGAGTGCAACAAAAACGATGACACAACATCGATTACTCCTCTACGCATTCCAGTCAACCCCCTCCGTTGGGTTACGGCCACCGCTGTGTTCACACGACAAGTCAGTATTTTGTAATACATGAAAACGTCGCAGCAAGTAACAATTACACAACCATTAAATTCAGATTTCGATATAATACAGCAAACGCAGCAACAGCAACGAGCAACAGCAGGTACTCACGTCCCCTTCCAGAATTTTGGATCAACCTTGTCCTCAGACGCCGTCGCGGCGCGATCGTGCCGCTTCTCGAAGTCCGCGTTATGCCTTTCGACTTCCTGCTTCTGCTCGTCACTCAGTCCAGACTTGACGGCCGGTACGGCCTGGTTGTGGATCTTGGGGCTGGGGGTGCCTTTGCCCTGCGGTCCTTTCAGTGCCTCACCTCCCTTCTGGCTCGCCGCATTGGCGATGCTGCCTCCTGTGGGACTACCTCCCGTTTCCGTAGCTTCCTTAGATCGCGAGCCGCCCGACTGCGCGCTAGAGTCCTCGGGGGACTTGGGAGGTTTCTGCCCCGACTCCTGGGCTGCGGCGTTCTCCATGCTCGCGTTTAGCCCGGCTTTGGTCGCGCTGTTCGCTTTCTTGCCTACGTCGGGGGCACTGGGACCCGGGTGCTCGGACTCTTGCTGTAGGTCGCTCGTAGCAGGTTGGCTCTTGGGGTCATCTTGAACGGGGTTTCCTGTTCCGTCACCATAGCCTTGTGCGTAGTAGCGAGAGCTGGTGGCGAATGTGCGGTAGGTTTGCGGTGCGCGAGTGCGAGCAGCTCGTAGAGCGTTCATAGAGTTGCTTACTCGAATAGCTACCATTTTGAACAGCTGGGTGGTGATTCGTTCTATTTATTGCTTCTGAATGGTTCAAAGGTGAATTACATAGGTAGGAAAGTAGATACTTGAGGTAAGCTTTTAAGACTGGAAAACATCGGGTGGCTGCTTAGAAAGTTCCGCATTCGCCATAACTGTGATGCCATATAATGGGAGATGATGAAGTATGACATCATGAAGTGGTACATAGTTTGATCGAAGCTCTCCCCTCGCACCTGCAGGGTTCATAATTGATTCATCATCCTCAATGGTGGATAAGAAAAAGAGGCTTTTCCATTCTACCGGATCGATATCTCATAGACCTCGATATTGAATCCTAGCGATGCTCTATATGATATCCATACCTACCTACATTAGATGTGACTGATTGATGCATGTGATAACACAAGCTAACGTCCTAATCCGCTACTAGTGTAATGACGCAGGGGTTTTCCTAGTTCCTGCCTTCAATCATCGTAGTAGACACTTTGTTTAGATAATTCGTCTGAATTCATACGAGTGACGATAGTAACATCTTATATACCTACCTACCTAAAGCTTCAATGCTTAAATCGTATTGATATAGGTACTTACTACATAGTAGTCATCATCAGATTGAATTGACAGCTGCCTGGAACCTTATACCATGTTAACGCATGTGGCTTCGAAGTATTGGTGAGAATGTGGCTGCATCCAGCCACTGTAATTGATCCCGTGCCCGCTAAGGCTGCTCGCTATGTACAAAGCTACAGGGCCTTATCAGCTCCTGTATCAGGTAGGTATCGGCGAAGGTCCAACCAATGCTTTATCCGCTTGTCACCCAGGTCCCAAACTGTAACAGCTGCAACTTACCTACCTACAATTACAACAACAACCAAACATCACCGTCTAACCAGCAACCGTCCCACACGCAATACCCGTCGCCTTCCTCTGATAACAGCACCTTAAGGCGGCGCATAAACATAACTCTCTCAATCGACTTTTTTGTCCAATTAATTCTGGCCTACAAGAGCCGATCGGCTTGACTATCATCATGGCTTCTAGGAAGAAGGTCCTCTTGAAGGTACTATAGACCCTGATCGGACCTTATCGATCCGCCTGGTTGTGACATCCTTTGGGCTGACATTCTGGTTATTTAGGTCATTATACTCGGCGACAGCGGCGTTGGCAAGACAAGTTTGATGAACCAATATGTATGTTACTGTTTGCCGAGACGAACAATCCACTCCTGCGACTCCGCCATTTTAACGATTAGACAATCCGAGGCTGATATTCTCTACTCCATAGGTCAACAAGAAGTTTAGTGCCAGTTACAAAGCAACTATCGGTGCTGATTTCCTAACCCGAGAGGTCTTGGTCGATGACCGACAAGTTACGATGCAGGTATGAGGACTACATATGAACAAAGGTTCATCAAAAGACGGTCGCTGATGATGAATAGCTTTGGGATACAGCTGGCCAAGAGCGCTTTCAGTCGTTAGGCGTTGCCTTCTACCGAGGTGCTGACTGTTGTGTCTTGGTCTTTGACGTCAACAACTCTAAGAGTTTCGATGCGCTGGATAGCTGGAGAGACGAATTCTTAATCCAAGCTTCTCCCCGTGATCCTGAGAATTTCCCCTTTGTAAGAGACATCGTCAGATCCTTAAAGATGAATGCCTACTAACAGTGATAAAGGTTGTGCTTGGAAACAAAATTGATGTCGAAGAGAACAAGCGAGTGGTAAGTAGAAAGGCCCCACCGCTAACAAGGCTCCTAACTCATGGTTTATAGATCTCGAGTAAGCGAGCTGCGACATTCTGTCACTCTAAGGGCGACATTCCATACTTTGAGACCAGCGCAAAGGAGGCGGTGAATGTTGAGCAAGCATTCGAAGGTACTTCCAAATCCTGATCTATTTGATGAGCTATTCTAATTTGACATGCTAGTGATTGCACGAAATGCCTTAGCACAAGAAGAATCAGAGGAGTTCAGTGGAGAATACCAAGATCCTATCAATATTCACATTGAGAACGACCGTGATGGCTGCGCATGCTGAAAGCCATCGACCCTTAATTTCACAGCATCTCACCCGCCTCATGTACCGTCTTGGGCGTTTTATCACGGTCTGACCAAAGACTGGCCATTACTCGCAGATGATTACGCCTTCTCAACCATCGTTCGCCTCTTTGTATGAAAGACTTGGTATTTCAGGGGCTCTCTGGAACTATTTACAGACTCGGAGCAGTGGAGTTTCAGGAACCACATCCGTAATGAGTGTATAGAGCAGTTGATGCATCGCATTTTGAGTTGTTCCGTTGGTACGGCACGGAACTGTAAAGTCGAGTCTTAGGCGTCTCATCAAGGTTCACTGATTGGGGACTCTATCAAGGCATTTCGATAATTTCCAGTTAGTATTCAGAAGTGATCGTCTCTTTTGTCAGTGAACTCTGATATGTTCTCAATCTGTGCTTGTGACTTTGCCTACCTACCCAGGTACCTATGTCGACTCATTCTGTGCCGTCAGTCACCAGGCATCATCCATGGATTATTGGTAATAGGTAAGTAACACTGCAATAACTCGGAAGACTTGGCACATGCCATGATAATATATGGCTTACGTAACGGAAGTAAGAATCGAATTCATAAAATGCATTAAAACCGAGATCCCGCTTTCCTCCCGCTTGTGCCGATCTATTGGAGCTCTAGTGTCACGCAGGGGCATGGGGGTTAACTGTCTCGGCGTCTGAGACCACCGACGGCGCAATACCTAATCGTCAAATCGAACCTTTCACTTGCACGATTTGTTTCAGAACTTCAAATCCTACCCTCATTTTAGATACTTGATAGATCAATTTATTTTTATTCATTCTCTTTTTTCTTCCCTTTGCTTTTTAGTATTGTGTCTTCATGTCCTTCCTTGTTCCTGGTCTTGATCTTGATCCCTGTCTCCTTCGTGGCCGATCCTATCGCTCCCTTGGTCTTTAGATGATTTCGTCCCACGCGACTTTTCTCCTAGAATCGCCTTCGACTATATTGCGCTTAGCTCATTGGACGACGATATGACCCAGCAGGAACCACCACCGGTATATACGGCGACGGCCGAACCCCAGGCGGAGTATGAGGCCCCGAGGCGGAGGCTTTCCGAGCTGTCCGTACCCGAAGACCATATGGCAAGCTCATCTATGTCCTGGGGAAGCATACCAAGTCTGAGGCCGAGAAGCGGGATGTGGAGTATGGCGAGGAGGACTCTGGGTATAAGTCTCTTGCTAGTAACAGTATTCCTCTGGACGGTGTCGAATTTCCTCGCCAGCGTGAGTTTTTCTTTGCAAATACGAGAAGCCGCTTACGTGGCCCCGCTCGACTGACATGATGATGCGAAGTACATATTCTCCGACCACACCTACGATAAACCGTTCTTCCTAGTGTACGTCAACACTTCCATGTTCGCGTTGTCCATGATCCCGATATCCATAAAATACGTAATACAAAACGGCGGCTTCGCGCGCGTCAAAAACCAAGCGATCCAGGAATGGAGGGCTGCGAGATACGGAGGGGCCGAGAGGCTGAAGACGCAGGAGGAAGAGGACCTCACGGCGGGGGAGCGGTTACTAGTCGAAGATGAGGACAGCCTTGAGGCGGCGGACCTACCGAAGCCGGGCGACAAGCTGGGATTCTTCGAGACGGCGCGGTTCAGCCTCGAGTTCTGCATGATCTGGTTCTTCGGCAACTACTTCGCGTCGGCGTGCCTGGAGTACACGAGCGTGGCCAGCGTGACGATACTGACGTCGACAAGCAGCGTCTGGACGCTCGTGTTCTGCGCCCTGATGCGCATCGAGCCCTTCTCCGTCCGCAAGCTAGCCGGCGTGCTGGCCTCGCTCGCGGGGATCATACTTATCTCGACCGTGGACCTGTCGGGCGCGGACAACGACGATAATAGGGGGAATTTCCCGCATAAGAGCCAGAAGCAGATCGCTATCGGGGACGCGATGGCTTTCTTCAGCGCCGTCATCTATGGGTTGTACGTCGTCGTCATGAAAGTCCGCATCGGCAACGAGGAGAGGGTGAACATGCCGCTGTTCTTCGGTCTTGTGGGCGTTTTCAACATTTTGATCTTGTGGCCTCTGTTTTTTATCCTGCATTTTACGGGGATCGAGCCGGTGAGTTTTGTTATATGCGTCTAGACTGTGGCTGCAATGGTGTGCGGGTATGAGCGGAATTACTAATGCGAAAATAGTTCGAATTACCTCCGAATGGCAAGATTTGGTCGATTATCCTAATGAACTCAATATCTTCCTTCGTCTCGGATATTTCATGGGCTTATGCCATGCTATTAACGACACCACTGGTCGTCACTGTCGGACTATCCCTGACTATCCCGCTGTCGCTTATCGGCGAGATGATACAGTACGCGCAATATTCGAGTTTCGTGTATTGGATCGGTGCCGCCATAGTCTTAGTCTCTTTCGTATTCATAAATCACGAGAGTCGCGACGACGAGGAGGGATCAGGGGCCGGTTCTGAGAGAAGCGCTAGAGTTGTAGAGCCATAACCTCATGTCCCTGGAACTTCTTGCTTCTTATGTGGCACTAATGGGAGCCCGGCGTCTTGGTTGGGATAATTTGGGATTAAACTGGTCACTGGTTCGACTGGTGAATATATATGTAGATGCCTAGTAGAGCTTACTGCATACTGGACTTAAGGTATCATAGAATGGGCATCGTCAAGAACCTTAGAACTGTACTATATACGGTGTCGTCTGGAATGATGTACATATCCGGCAGTATATGTATGAAGGCTACCTCTTATGCTTAAGTGTTGTCTTTGAGAGATGTAAGTGTGGATATCCTTACCATCTCATCACATTATCGTGTTTGCTCGAGTAAGTCATTTGGTTTCAACTCCAGTAGGTTGCGTGGTAAGTTCGATCCTTGAATGTGTCTATCCGAGATGATTCAGATATGAAACAACGTGTTAACTGCTGAGTTAGGATTCGAAGTTTCTGTTTACTTCATACCAGCTAATACTCCAACGCAGCTGTATGATCAGACAAATTCTAATGCTAAATATGGGTACAGTTGCTTTTCATACCTATCTAGGTCTATTAAGCCAGTCGATTCGGAAAACTTCCCTAAACCAGAATCACACTAGCTTCTAGCTTTGTACGCATGGATTTATAAGAATGACATCAATGACTTGACTAGGACGATTCATCTGATGTTCTGTCCTTTTTTTTCCTATCAGACGAAATTGGATGCTTATTCCGACAAAACTGAGGGTATCGCAAAGTTTAAGTGTGGTGTTTGTCCGTTTAGTCTTGTTGGTAAGAGTCGGTAACTTGAATATTCTCCAAGCAATGCTATTATTGACCTAATTTATACTAATATACATACTCTAGTTGAATCTTATTTATGATTTAGACAATGAGTACGTATCTCATTTTTATTATCAATTTATTCAACTTACGCCGTCGCTGCGGACTTCACCGAAGTGTTGCTGTCTGACACTCATATAGTCCCGTGAGGGCCAAAGGGGTCACATGCCCATACAATAGAGCCGCAAACGTGTTGGGTCAGCCGCATGTCCTGCCTGCTAGATATTAAGCGAGTCTGAGAAAGCGAGGTCTTCGTTTGGCTGCATAAAGCGCCTGGCTGCTTCCCGTCGTGTTAGACGTTCATCCTTGGCGCAGTGAGGCTCGCAACATTGCTCTTACCGCGCTGTCGAACTGACGCAAACAAAATTGATACGGGGAAGTTATACTCCGATTATAACTGATTAGTCTGGGAAAGTACCGTGACCATGGCCATGGTCCTTGGATGGTAGTAGATATTAAGCGTGACTTGACTTACTACATAAGTCATCTGGCCACTCACCCCTGAGCTACCTTCTGGTCAGCCATCACTTTACTCGACATACCTAGGTCTATTTAATATTCCACATTTTAATCCGCTATATACTCCTAGGTATTCTTATTCGACAAGACCTAAAAGCCCTAAACGGACTAAACTTCCTATCTCAGAAAAAGGAACAAAGAGCCGTCTAGGAAAACTTCCGGCCCCAAGGACGTCCTACCATCACACCTACCTAGCGACCACCACCATGCCGTCCAAAACCCAAGATGCCGGCACAACTCCCGAGTACCGCACCCTAGGAGAATCCATCAACATCGCCACCCGTCCCGTGCACACCAGCCTAAACAAACTCATCATCCTGCGCCTCCGCCTAGCTCTTCCGCCCCACGCCGACGACGCGTCGAACTACGTGCAAGGGCTCCTACACATCGCGCCCATATACACGACCTTCGAGACGCTCTGGCAGGAAATCCTCGACACCCCCCTCCACCTCCCCACATCGGCCTCAGGTGTCCTCCTCACAGCATCTTCCCCCGACTCCCAAGTATCCCCGCGCATCCACGCCATCCTCGCAGCAACGCACTTCAAAGCTCTCGAGCGCTCCGCGGCGCTGAAGACGGACCTAACCCGCATGACGGGCTGGAACGCCTCCGAGCTCGAAGCGCACCTGGACGAGGTCCCGCGCGAGTCGCGCGCGCTGGCCGCGTTCCTGGTGCGTGTACGCCGGACCGCGGAGCAGCGGCCCCACGCCCTGCTCGCGTACGCGTGGGTCTTGTACATGGCGCTGTTCGCGGGCGGCCGCTTTATCCGAGCGTCGCTCGAGCGCGTGGATCCGGGGGATCGGTTTTGGGGGCCTTTGTACGAGGGGGATGGGGGTGGTAAAGCGGAAATTGGTCTTGGTGCAGAGGATGAAGAGGACGAGGACGAGGATGACGATGAGGGAAATCGAAGTCCGAGGATGAGGATGGAGAGAATGCCCGGCGCGTTTCCGACTTCGGCTTCTGTGAGCATGAGCGTGAACGCACAACAGGGACGCGTGCGTAAGGCAGTAGAGAAAGCAGAAGAACTTCAACACCCCTCATCCTTCTTCCGCTTCGACACGCCGGCCGACGGCCAGGACCTGCGCCAGGCATTCAAGGCGCGCGTCGCGGAAGCCACGGACGTGCTGACCCCCGGCGAAATCGAGGACGTGGTGAACGAGGCGCGCGACATCTTCGAGCAGATGATCAGCCTCGTCGGCGAGCTCGACGACGTGTGCGGCACGGAGTACGAGGCGACGGCCGCGGCCGCGGCGTAGGGGAACGGTCGCCCGCTGCCGCTTTTAAGTCTGAGGAGCCGCGATAGCGTGGTCGTTGAGAGGGAGAAGAGGGAGCGGTTGGCGTTGGCGGCGAGGGGGGATAGGGGGAGTAAAGGGGGGAAGGGGTCTGGGAGGAGTACGCCGGTTGCGGAAGGGGGGAGGGATGGGGGTGTGAGGTTTCGGTGAGTAGGTAGATGTTACCTAGTAGTTTGGACTACTCGAGTAGGTACCTACCTAAGAGCTACTCGGTATTATAGAAGAAATGGTGTTGGTAGCCTGGTGTAAGGAAGTTGGTGGTGTAGGTTGTATGAGATAGAAATAGGACGGGCAGAATGGATAGAGGCGCTGGGGATTCACTAGGGGCTGAATACGAGATACCCTGAATTATATCTTAGAAATAGATTTGATTTCCGTGCCTATATTTTATTGAAGTGCTCGAAAATTGGATTCGATGTGTTTCATGGCTGATGTTCTAAAGTATAGGGTACGATCTGCTTTGTCCAACGTCTTAACTGCAGTTTTTCTGATAAGATATTTTAGGACGTCAGGGGCTTCATTTGTGTTCTATTACACACCTGGGGAAAGCTAGGTGCAATGCAGAAAATTGACCTAGTACCTAGATGAGAGTCAATACACGGTAGTATACGACCTTCATCCCTATTCGTCTGTAGGTATAATTGCTAACTAACTTCATACTCATATTTTGGGTGCTTGCTTGTCTCCCTAGAAGAAACTGATAGCTTCTGCCAAGACGCTTACTGAGCACTCGCCGCAGGCTCATGAGGCCAATCATGGTATTTCTGGTCTTAGTAGAGTGACTACATACGTGGCATCCTGATGATGCATGGGAAGGAGTAGAGCCTTGCGTGAAGGACCGGCAGTTGGACGTAGTGATGACAGTGGCATTTATGCAGATATCCTGAGGTGTTACTGCAGAGATCGGCCGTATTCAATATCCACTGCCAGTTTAGGGAGAGCCTGCTTTCACTTCTGACGCCTTCATACAAAACGTATAGTGTCGAAGCTGAGCAATTGCCTGATTGATATTGGGTTTTCCTAAAATCATCATTGAACATAGGATAACTATATGGCTGGACTGTAATAATGATATGGGGTGATGGCTGGCGTCGAAGATATACCCCTCCTTTTCCAGGCTTAGAAAGGCCTTAAGCAGTACTCATCGCATATCTCACTTTTCTGCAGCATTATGCTATATGCGGCTATTTTAATGGTAGCATGTGAAGCACTCGACTTCCAGGGAGGGATTATCTCTCATAATATGCAGTTCAAGTGAGACATCTGGCGCCAATGGCGGACTGGTAGACGGCCTACTATACATCAAGATCATCGAGCAATCTTGAACAGATTCGGCGAATCAAATTGACGTTCATATAAACCTCGGTCAGCCAAGGGGATCTTGTTTGATCCAGTGCTTGTCTTTCTCTTGCAAGTGTCTATTGTAGGGCTGCATGCAGACATGGTTAGGTAAGTATGTAATGTATGTATGAGTTGCTGCGACATGCAGTCAGCTCATCGAATCAGCGCACTACTTGCTGCAGTTCTGCAGCTAACTCACTGCTAGATGCATACGATGATAGTATACTCAAACTTATCGAACGCTTCCGTTGTAAGTTTGCCCCCTAAATAAGCGGGCGATGGCGGTCGCTTCGCATGTTTCTTATCTAGCAATGATCGCCACCTCCTGAAGACAGTAGGACTTCTAGGACCTAGTATATACTATCTAGTTGACTCCTGATAATCGTGATACAGTCTTTCCGTGCTAACAACGTGGAAAAGGGATAGAACGAAACCCGCGCAGCGCGTCTTCACCGCCAGTCCTAGTGTCGTTTGTTGCGCGTGTCGACAGTGGTAGTGGAGCGTCGGTAGTCAGGATTTGTGACGAGGCCGCAGATTCCGTAACCTGCAAAATAAATTGACGGAGAGCGCTGAGTGGATAGTGGACAAATACTTAAGCAGGCCGCATATTTGACGACCCAGAGCGGGGAGCGAATTATATGTCCATTTCTGTCTTCTTTCCTCTTCTATAGCGAATCGCTAGGTGAGACGGTATGCCTTGAGATTGCTGCGTTTTCTAGCTCTTCATGCAAAGGACCAACTACGTCAACTGAGAGAGGTCAGCTCCGTCATTATTAATAGCAGAGTGTGGTTATAGGATTAACTAATTACAACCCACCCCAAGTGAGAAAATCGGGTGGCTGGGGATCGGAAATCTGTCTCTTCTTTCTGGCTATTGGTCAATGGATTACCCCCCGGCCAGACTCCCCTGTCATCATCCGCGACACAGCAAACTGTGGGTTTGCGGATTTGCGATGCGCGTATCCATTTTATGTCAATGCCTTAACCTAGGAATTGATGAGTATCGCATCGTGAGGGTGCGAAGTGAGAGCGTCTTCGGTGAATACACCACATGGATATTCCAAGCATGTTCCCGTAGCACAATGATGGCTAGCCGCGAGTTACCAGACAAATTCATAAGGTTTCTCCGTGCTTCGCGACAGACTATTCCGACATGTGTCTCTACGCCCCACGACTTAGACTGTATGAGGATGGTTCAAGTGTCTAAGACAGCATATCGTGGCATTAGGCCGCAAACTAAAATCCCGTAGCCACGGCACGGAATACTAGCAACGGATGGCATCGCCTTGGGGTCCGTCATTGAAACGTTGAACATCTCAACCATCAAATAGGGTACCGAGGTAAGTGATCAGTTATCCGTCAAAGCCGTAATATAAGATACGAATTCTCTGCCAAGTCTTGAATAAGGTCGCTAGAGGTTATATCAGAGTTGTTAACTTGGTTAAGGGATAATATTTATCTTGATTTTTGATTTATCTCGATAAGACAACTCAATGGCTTGATATCGTGGTATTGTTCGTCGTCGCACTTGGGCAGACTCTTTGGAGGCCTAAGTATGACGGACTAGGCGGCTAGGTTGAAAGAAGGACTCGGGAACTTTGGGAGGGAAGATTGTCGATTAAAGACGTTGATAATAAGTCCCCTAGCCCCTGATCCCTGTCGTTCCTGGAAATTTTTACATTTTGGGACGTGTTTGCGCGCCGCGGCTGGACCCGTAGTAAGTGGGAAAAAAAGTAATTTCTGGGTTTGTTCGAAGCTGACTCCTAATAATTCGACTCTTAATAATAAATACTCTTTTCTTTTGGTCAATCAGCGCCTCCCGAGTTCCCCCCAGCGAAGGCTGCCATTCGATAGGCAAAAACCAAGAGCCTATAATTCTCAACGTCCCGTCTCAAGAGCCTAATTATAATACTTATAAGTTACACAGCATTGTCTACTCGAATCTCCGGCTCGGACCCGAATTTCCTTCCCTGTTGTTAGCTTGGTGTCTAGGTGTTTAGGTGTTGGACCTAGGACGTGGATCGTGGACGGTGGACTGTACAACTAGACACCCTTCGTCTTGTTGACTGTCCATTCAGCTCAGACGCTCCCCGGGAGTTGGACAACTCATCTTGCATCAAAGTTGCTGCACGATAAACGGCCTCCCATTCGTCTGTCACCTACAGCACGTTCCCTTAAAGATCGGAAACTTAAGTGTCTGTACCCGGTACAAGTACTACACAAGGCTCGTGGTATTTGGATATGGCTTCTTGACACAATATCTTCTCGTTTTCTTCCCCGTCTTCTCGACCTTGGCTTCGCGTTTCCCCAGCTTCGGTTCAACGTCGCATCAAAAGAGGTTGAAGCGTTTTATAAGGGGACAACCGTCGCGGACGCGCGTATCTGCAACCGTACGGAGAGTGACAAGCTCTCTCAGAGCCTACCTTGTCCGTTCATGCAAAGAACGTTGTCCCGCAGCTGGAGCTCTCCTGAAAATATCATTTTTATTTTCCTCCCACGCGGATCTCGCCCAGACATCCTCGTACATATGCATATACATGCATAAGCGCGAGCACACAAAACATTATTTACAATCCACCGTGTGCCCCCTTATTAGAGAAGAAAGCAAGAAGAGAAGCTGCTCGAAAGAGGCTCATGCATCACCACCCACAACTACAACCGCGTCTTAATATTGTGACTCCCTACTGAGAACCACACACCCAGCGCTAATGTCGACTTACGGAGCCGCTTAGAAGTTCGCGGGGGCCAAGAGTTTCTTCGACGTTATTCCAGTTGAATATAGCGGGAAATAGCTCCACATAGTTCGAAACCGAAGGCCTGGAAGACTAACAATTCGAGAACGCCCGTTGTTGACATCACACCGCCATTGGTGTACTCGGATCGCGAAAAAGCGTGCCGGTTCCAGTTCCAATTCCAGGTTCTCCCCCGGTCCTAGGCGGAGATCCTATATATACATAATTATACATATCATCGTACACATTGATCAGCGGCCATACGATTAGATCAGCGGAGAAAAAGAAAACAAGTGCGCGCGCTACTGACGTCGAAATGCTTCACGATCGAACAGGCCTCAGGATACCTACCACCGCCGCCGCCCTCGCCGCCATACTTCAGCCTCCATCTCTCACCACATTTCCACGCTGGCTGATCCCTCTTTAAAGTATTTAATTTTTTGCGCATTCGACCCCGTTCAGAACATCGTGCCTAGGTCTGTCTGCTGTGTATTACTTTCGCTGTATCATATTGGTCAGTAATCCCCTCCAATGGTGTCGCTGTGCCCCCCTTCGCTGGTACGGATGTGGACCGATGAGCTCGCGCCAGCTAATATATCGTAACGCTAGTCTATTGTAATATTTCGAATGTTTAATTTTGGTTGGGTTTGTATTTTCTTGGACCAGGTTCTGTGTGGAAAACCCGTGTAGCTCTATCGAGTAGAGCTGCCTGCTTTAACAAAAGACCAAAACGGTTTATTGGATCGACGCTTCACGCCCATTCACGTGGGCTCGGTTCTTCCAGCACCGACTCCATCTCATGCTGACGTTGAGGCCGAGTCGGACTGCTAGTCACTCGTTATCAAATTATCTACGGTTTGTAGAAGGCGTCTGGTTCAGATTTGCCAGCCAGAGTCGGCAAAGGTATCTTAGCCTCAGCCAGCAACCCAACCTCATTCTCGTCTTGCCGACTTGATTGGATCTAGGCGAACTTGATCATCGTTGGAATCGACATAGGATCTAATCCTGTTTTAAAACGATTTGTGCCTTAATTTGGGGTTTGCCATAAACAAACACCTAGTTCCTAATCTTCACCTTCGCACATTTGCAAGGAATCTCACCTACTAGGAGAAAGCACATCATATCTGTGTTCGACTGGAGAAATCGTAAGGGAGCTGTAAGTTTCTGAGGTACGTATTTTTTTTTTTTTTCGAGGAGTTCTCATTCTATGAGGCAGCTTCTCCGTGCGGCATGTCAAAATATTCACATAAATCAGCTATATGTGCAATGAATATCAAAGCTTCTACTTCCCACCACTTTTTCATAACTTCCACAAGGCTACTCATTTTTCTACATCACACATCACATATTACGCATCGCACATCGCACATTCAGACCCGTTACTCACCAAAACCCCAGGGTCGTGGCATCCGCCATCCCCCTCGACTCAACCCTAATGGCTTCCTCGGAGGTGGACCAAAAGTTCCTCGGGCGGCTCGCCAAATCCGTCGAGCCGAACAACGCGCTGCTCGCGTCGATGCTCTTCAAGATCCTCGGCCTGTCCATCAACGTCGCGGGCCAGCTCGTCAAAGCCAAGAAGCAGCGGCGCCTCGACGCCACCCGCCTCACCCAGTCGCTCGAGCTGTACTTCCACATCATCTGGCTCTCGCGCGAGGGGCTCGTCATGCTCGAGCAGTACGTCCTCCCCATGGTCGGCGACTACGTCGAGCTCAAGGTCCTCGCCTACAAGCTGCGCGCCTCCTTCTACCACATCTTCGTCCAGTTCCACAACAACCCCCCGGTATCCCCCCTCGGCATCGCGACGACCCCGGAAGCCGTGGCGGCGGCCGCCGCGACGATGCCGCAGTTGGCAAGCCCGCGCGTCGATAAGGGAAAGGGCGTTGATCGAGGCGACCCCACCGCAGCAGCAGCCGAATTCTCGCGCTCCTCCGTGCAACCCACGCACCCGATCGAACTAGGCGGCCCCGCGCCACCTCCAGGCTTCGAAGCGCAAGCGCAAGCAGCAGCAGCAGCAGCCACGACGACGCAAGTCCCCGCGTTCACGCCCGAGGCCGCGGCCGCGTTCCTGCTGCCGTACGTGGACTACCTGCCGACGGCGCACCAGTACTTCCGCGAGGCGTGCGCGCTGGCGGACGGGCTGCTGTGGGGGTCGCACTCGCTGCGGCTGTCGGTGAAGACGGAGTACGCGGCGTTCCTGTACGAGTGCGTGCACGACCGCGAGGGCAGCCGGCGGCTGGCGCGCGACACGATCGCCGAGGTGTACGAGGCGAGCGAGGGCATGGACGACGACATGTTCAACGACGCGTGCGAGCTCGTCACCGTGCTCGGCAAGATGATGAAGCGCGGCTTGGGAAGCGGTGGTGGTGGTGGTGGTGGTGGGGGAGGGTCTAGGAGTGGCGGTCGCCCGAGCCCGAGTGTTACGCTGGGAACGGGGACGGTGTCCCAGGGCGCGGAGAGTAGCGCGACGGTGGTCCCGCCTGTGCTGCCTGTCGGCATGGAGAATCCGATATGATCGTGTTTGAGTCGCGACGGCTGGTTGGGATGTTTGGATGATGGGGTGTTTGGGACGGACCTACGCTTTATTCTATCGCATTGCTGATAAATACGACCTTGTGGGAGAGTTGAGGGGATGAGCAAGAGTTACGAGTACTATTAAGCCTGGAAATCGGAAGTTATCTCCAAAGCTCAGGGGTGTGGGAGGTTTCAGTCGTGTTTGACCGACAACGCGCTCGATCGAGAAAATGTCCGAGATGTCACAGAAACCCACCCGGCTACGACTACGATCCTACACGAATAGCTTTCACACGCATTTATTCGCTGGTCATAACGAATATTTTACACCATACTACATACTATCGAACCGACCGGATCCGTCCCGAAACACGTACAAAATTTAGCACGGACTAGGTGGTTAAAATAATAATTACGGAAAAGGGGTTACTGCATAATCACGAAATACGCCATCGAATTCACCGAAGAACCTATTTACATACATACGCCATACATCCCTTGTCCATCTTTACTCTTACTCTCCGACTATTCAAATACACGAAGACAGGATGACATCAACAAACACGCAGTAACCCCCCAAATTTTCCATACCTCTAATTTTTCGTTCACAAAAAGCATTTGATGATACCCAGTTTCGCACTGCTGGACGGACGGGGACGGTACGAGCCTCGTCCTTGCATATTAGATATTACTATACCTCGTTAGTAGCAGCAAGATACCTCGGCTTGAAAGCTCTGGCTTTATGAAGCTAGGGCTCTTGTCCTGAGATGTTGAAAAAAGAGAAAGTTTTGCAAATTCGCTACTGTCTTGCCTGACGTTGAATTGCGTGATATGACTAGGTCCTAGTTACTTACCCCTTACTCAACCATAACTGGATGATCAAGACGAAGTAGGATAAGTTGCAACCTATATTTCTAGGTAGAAAAGCTGTAGTATTGGCCCATAATAATGATAATTAATACATGGTTCGCCATAATGTTAACGAGCTTCTTACCTCCGAGGAAGCTTCGAAAAGGGGACATACCGCCTAAGGCTGCAATTGATATATCCCCTGGACTGGTTAAACGCATAAGGTCTTTTGAGTTATTATACCTGAGGCTTTCGCCCTTCAAATCGGCATTTGGAGAAATTACCTAGATACCAAGTCACTTATCAATAGCCAAGGCACGATTTTTTGAATATCAGGAAATGTATAATGATCAATCCGCGTGTAAAGCAGTGTCCCGTTACCTTACTATGGAAAGGGGGTATTCAGTTCCGCCTTGAAACTTAATGCTCAGATGCTTAATGCTCGATGCCTGCTCAGTAACACCTAACGCCATGCCATGCTTGTTGTATGTACGACCCACCACTCCTATTTTCACTTCCTTTCAAGCCTTCTACTCCTCGTCATCATCGGGAACATCCCAATCTTCTCCAACTTCCGCCCATCCGCATCCCCACCGTCTACCTTCACCCTCACCTCCAGTCCTCAGGTCCTCTGCGTCTTCTCTCCCCTCACTCCAGCAGCGGATCAAGTAGTCATCTCCTGCCGTAACAAGCTTGCCCTCGTTCGTCCAAGTCAGCGCGCCGACCTCACTTTCGTGGCCTCGGACAAGCGGAGTCCCCTTCTTCACAATCGGAATATCATCGTTGAGTCGCGCCGAAATAGCAACCGTACTGTTGGTCCTAAACAACGGTCTGCGAACCGTTGGTTCAATAGGCGTGATTGGAGTCGATTGCTGATTCGATGTGGCTATGGTTGAGTTGTCCAGACTAAGAGCGCCCATCGCGCCAGATAGGTCGTCTCTGAAGTAACGTTCCTGCGTAGGGAATAGTATAGCACAGTTATCGCTACTCCCTACCGCTAAAACTTCACTTTTACCATCACGCGCTGGTCTTACGGCACATTTGACATAGAAACTTGATGCGTGCAATGAAGGATGCCTGAAACCGTACAGCGGGCCTAGACCTTGATGAGTTACTGCGTTGTGGCGACGTCGTGGTGGTTCGCCGTTTCGCGTAGAAAGTTCTGGCGCATGACCTAGTATGAGATGAGCAGTCGAGTACGCGTACACGGTGTTGTCCTTGCAGAGTGCGTATAACCGAGAGCCGTCCGTGTTCAGTGCTAGAGACGATATGCCAAACGGCCTCCAATTTAGGTGCGATGAAGGAGGAGTAGTTGCCGACAATGCGGAGGGGACTTTCTGACGGGAGGAATGAATAGATCGAATGTCCCAAAGTTTAATAGATGCATCCGCCTCACAGGCTGTGAGTAACAAGTGTTCTTGCCCTTCGGGAAGGAATTGCAGAGTTGTCACAGATACATCGCCTATGCGGGCAGGTAGCTCACGACGTGATGGAGTATCCCCCTGTCCAGCCGTGGCTTGTTGAACTTGACGTGATGTACGTGCGTGAGCATGGTAGAGGCTATTCACGGCACAACCTTGTTTTGGCGGCGGACGTCGGAATCGTAGGGCAGTTTCACGGTCCTGAGGGGGAAGAACATCCTGTACTAATGGTCCTGAACAACGGAGATCCCAAATTTGGACACTGCCGTCACGAGAAGACGTTGCGAGCACACTGCTATTGGATTTTCCTGGCTGAAATCGTACTTGTTTAAGGGAGGCGGTATGATGCTGGAGGATTGAGATTGGAGTTTGCGTCATCATATCTATGACTCGTCCAGTCTGGTCACCAGAGGCAGTGGCGAGACGATGATCATCATCTGAAAAATCTAGGTCGATGATGGCGTTGCTATGAGCTTGGAAACATAGGTGTATCCTGCTGAATGGCTCTGTTGGGCCACCGGAAGACTCAAGTAAGCGAACACGGCCTTCTTCATCTCCTACTGCCGTGAGACTGTTTCTGTGACATGCGGCCGCGCAAAACGGAATACATCTGCCCGGGCCGTCATGACTGACACATGAATGAACGTCGTCAGGCCTGGAATAAAAGTCGGCGGTATGGACCCTCCAGTCGGAGGTCGGAAATGACATATACGAGCGTCCAGCACGAGGCATTCCTCCCAACTGTCTTTGTGCGAGCTGGCCGGCAAAGCCGCGACTAGTCACGGGAACTAAGCGTCTCAATGGCCTTGGCTGGGGTGGAAGTTCATCCTCGCTCTCATCTTGATCCGAGTCGATATTCTCCTCGATTGCTTGCAGAGACCTAATTGGGCTAAGCAATGCTGACCTGGTGCTTGGCGAGGGGCTTAGTCTCCCATTGTTTGGGTCGGGCATTAGAGAAGGTCGACATGGTGAAGAATCGGGAGTGTGCTGAAATTTTCGTCTCTTGGGCAATCGAATATCTAGGTGATCAATGTTTTCATCCCGTTGATGGTCCTCAGTGGGTGGCAGCAGCGGGCTGGAAGGAGCAGGAGTCTGATATCGGTTGCTGACGAAGGGTACAGCGAGATCCTGGAGAGCCTGTCTAGCCGGGCTAATTCGTGTAGGGACTCGAGAGCGAGGAGTGAAGAATCGTCTGAACTTTCTTGGAGTGATGGACGGGTTTCTTCTTTCCTTTCCATTGTTCGCCCGCGGGGGCGAGAGAAGGTGTGGGTTCGACATATCCATATCATCTGCCATCGTATCTTCGGTTTCTACAGCTACGGCCCCAACAGCCCAAGGTACAATTCCACAAGGAGAAGGGCGGATGCTCCTAATGCTCCCGATGCACCTCGATTTTCAACGCCAGACTTCGAGCGACATTAACACGAATATGCGTATGAGATATTGTTCATAATGGAGAAGATGATGGGAATAATACTAAGAGATGGAATTGATTACGGAAGGAAACAAGCAGAAGTTGAAATTGTAGTGGGGAAAAGATGAAAGGTTGGTTCCGTTTCGGAAGTAAGAAGTGGCACCAAGTACTAAGGTAAGAACGACACGCCCGCGAAAAGACGCGCTCACGAAAAAACCACTTACACGACCCAAAAGAGGAAATGACCTCTGGAGCTTGGACCTTAGCGTGGTGCGGACGCGTATTAACACTGTGTTCCTACCACGAAATCTGAAAATCTAGTGGCTGCGACGGATGTTAGACCCAACTGTTACTAGATCCCGTAATAAGGCACGCCAATCTGACCAATCATCGCCAGCTATTTTTACCAATCGCACCTTCCACAGTATCAGAGTTTTTAGGTACATAGGTACAAGGTGGAACGCGGATGGCCGCAGAATTGACGTTCTAGACCCACTGATAAGCTTATCGGGGGAACAATCCCTCAAAAATTTCAAGATGCACGATAAAGAATCTGCCAATTGATGCGGGACACATGAACATATTGCGCTGACAACCGCCAGTGTCAATCATTCTCGAGACGTATCTTTTGGCTAAGCGCCGGCTATTTGAAACGGCATGGCGATTCAGAAGAAGCACGGAAAAGGCCGTCTTGACAAATGGTACAAGTTAGCGAAGGAGAAAGGTTACCGCGCCCGTGCCGCCTTCAAGTTAATCCAGTTGAACAAGAAGTATGGCTTCCTCGAGAAGAGTAAGGTCCTTCTGGATCTTTGCGCTGCCCCGGGAGTAAGTTGGTTCCTTGAGAAGTATTATATATACCATGAGCTGTCCACTAACTTTGTGTCATAGTCATGGTGTCAGGTAGCGGCAGAGGCCATGCCGGCCAACAGCCTCATCGTTGGTGTAGATCTTTCTCCCATCAAGCCTATTCCTAAGGTCATAACCTTCCAAAGCGATATTACCACCGATAAGTGCCGCGCGACGATTAGGCAACACTTGAAGACATGGAAGGCCGATACTGTACTTCACGATGGTGCGCCAAACGTCGGTACCGCTTGGGTCCAGGACTCCTTCAACCAGGCAGAACTGGCCCTCCAATCTATGAAATTAGCGACAGAGTTTCTAGTCGAGGGTGGCACGTTCGTCACAAAGGTCTTCCGATCGAAAGAGTACAACAAGCTTCTCTGGGTTTTTAATCAACTATTCACCAAAGTTGAATCGACGAAACCTCCATCCTCCCGAAATGTCTCTGCTGAAATTTTCGTCGTGTGTCGTGGATTCAAGGCTCCCAAACATATCGATCCCCAGTTCCTTGACCCGCGGGCAGTATTTGCTGAACTCGCTGATTCGGCGCCCAACAACGAGGCCAAGGTCTTCAAGCCTGAGATCAAGAAGAGGAAGAGAGGTGGTTACGAGGAAGGCGACTATACACAATTCAAGGAAATCCCAGCAAGTCAATTCATCGAGACCGTTGATCCTATAGCGATCCTTGGCAACTACAACAAACTCTCCTTTGAACAACCACGTAATGGTGATGTGGCGCTCGCGGCATTGGATAAGATGCCAGACACAACCGAAGAAATCAGGATATGTTGCGCGGATTTGAAAGTTCTAGGTCGAAGAGAATTCAAACTCCTGCTTAAATGGAGATTGAAAGCTCGCGAAGCTTTCGGGTTGCCGACTAAAAAGACCACAAAGCCTGCTGAACCTGAAGAAGTTGCAGAAGTTGAACCTATGGATGAGGAGCTGAAGATTCAAGAAGAATTACAAGCACTGAAGGACAAGGATAGTGCCAAAAAGAAGCGTGAACGACGAAAGGAGAATGAGAAGAAGCAAAAGGAGATCGTGCGAATGCAATTACATATGGTTGCTCCTATGGATATCGGCATGGAACAAGACGGCCCTTCTGGTCACGACTCCATGTTTGCTCTAAAGCCCATTGACAAGCATGGCGTAGCCAACAAGATTGTAAAGGGAAAGATGGCTATGATAAACGAGTCAAAAAAGGATAAAGATAGTGGTATCGGCTCCTCGGGTGACACAGATGACGAGTCGGACGAAGAGGAAGATCGTCTTGAACGGGAACTCGATAACATGTATGACCAATACAGGGAACGGAAAGCAGAGTCAGATGCCAAATTCCGAGCGAAGAAAGCTAGGAAGGAACACGATGACGGCGAGTGGGAAGGCGTATCAGCAGATGAACAACAGTCTAGCGACGATGAGGTATTAGACGAGGACGAAGACAGTAGCGATAATTCCGATGAAGACGACGCTCCCTCCAAGCCACTTCTTACCGACCTAGATAACCAACCAACGGGGTCTGGAGGTCTTTCAAAACGAGCCACAAACTTTTTCAGCCAAGACATATTTAAAGATATACCGGGAATTCTCGATGAACCTGAAGCCGACGAAATGGATGTTGATGAGGATGAGGTTCCTGAAGTCGATAAACTGACAATTTCAACGAAAAAGGAGACAAAAGCTAAAAAGGAAAAGTCTAAGAAAGCCAAGGTTGAGGTTCCTTCTGAATCTGAAGATGATGATCAAGATGGGTTTGAGGTTGTCAAGCAAGATCAAGATGACGATTGGGAAGATCAAGATAAACGCCGAGCAGACGGAAGACTTGGTAAGACCTAAATTCTTTCTTCCCACACTTCATAACGCGTACTAACAAGTACACCAGACATCGACATCATCACCGCCGAAGCCATGACCCTCGCGCACCAGCTCGCAACAGGCCAAAAGACCAACTACGACGTCGTCGACGACGGCTTCAACAAGCACGCCTTCCGGGACCGCGACGGGCTGCCGGACTGGTTCATCGACGACGAGTCGCGGCACGACAAGCCCCAGAAGCCCATCACCAAAGCCGCGGCCGCGGCCATCAAGGAGAAGACGCGCGCGCTGAACGCCCGGCCCATCAAGAAGGTCCGCGAGGCCAAGGCCCGCAAGAAGTTCAAGGCCGCCCAGCGCCTCGAGAAGCTGAAGAAGAAATCCGACCTCCTGGCCAACGAGGAGGGCCTGACCGAGAAGGAGAAGGCGGATAGCATATCGAGGCTGCTGGCCAAGGCCGCGAAGAAGAAGCCGAAGCAGCCGGCTAAATTGGTCGTGGCGAGGGGCCTGAATAGGGGTATCAAGGGACGCCCGAAGGGTGTCAAGGGCAGGTATAAGATTGTGGATCCTAGGATGAAGAAAGAGCTTAGGGCGCAGAAGAGGATTGCGAAGCGCAAGTAAAATTAGGGTTTTAGAAAAGGAAAAGGGGAAAAGGGGTTGTACAGAAAAGGCCTGTCTATTGACTCTAGTTATGGTATGGACTTTGGAATACGATATACCCTCGTGATGAGCGATGCTGCATAACACTCCAAATATATGACGTGAAAATTTGAGGTCGTCTTTGTGTGCATAAGCCTCGTCTGATCCATCCACGAACTACAATCCGAGGCTATTCGATTGGTATCTCTACGACCCTCAGCTAAAGACCAAATCCCGCGTATTAACCTATTCCCATTTTTCTTACAACCCGAGAAGCACTTTTAGACTAACCCCACTTTTTCATCTAAGATCACCGCTTCCCAGCGCCGGCATTCCTTCGACTCTTGCCCAGCCTCGGCGCCGACTTTCCTCCCCTTCCTCCCCTGCCTCCCCTGGCGCCGAAACCGCTCTTCATGCCGCGCGCGCTGAAGGAGCTCAGGTCGCCGGAGCTGACGGCGTCGCCGGACTTGGCGTGCCGCTTCTTGCCGCCGAAGCCGTACTTCTCGTTCTTCTTCTGCCGCTTGTTGTTGGGGCCGCCTCTGGTGGCGGAGGAGGAGGGGCCGGAGCGCTCGCCGTCCTTGCCCCGCGAGAAGGCGCGCTTGGCGTTGTGGGCGCTGAGCTCGGCGTCGACGCCGACGTCGAAGAGGTCCGCTTCCGTTGCGCCGAGGTCGCCGGAGGATTCTTGACGTTCTAGATGTGGACGTTAGTATAGGGGTATATAGTAAATGGTCGGGGTCGGGGGGGTTGAGAAAAAGAAAGAGGGGAGAGGGGGTCAAAGGGGTACTCACTCCTCTTCAACGTCTTGATCTTCTCGAGCGTCTCGCGCTTGGCCTTCTGCCGCTCCTGCAGCTTGGCGACCTGGACCTGCTTGCCGAACTTCTTGAGGTCGCGCTGCTTGCGGGCCTCGGCCGACGCCTTCTTGGCGCTGGCCTCCTCCACGAGCTTCGCCTTGACCTTCTCCATGTGTCCGTCGTCCTTGACCATCTCGGCGAAGTAGTCGGTCGGCCGCGAGAACGGGACGCCCTCGGCCTTCAGCAGGGCGCGCGCGCGCTTCGCGGCGTCCAGGCTCTGCGCGTAGAAGGCGAGCTCGCGCTTCAGGTCGTCCTGGATGTCCTCGATGCCGTCGGCGGTGGGCTCGACGCCGACGACGCTCTGGTGCGTCGCGAACGGCACGGATTTGTCGGTCGGTATGGATATTCGCTTCAGCGAGGCGAGGAGCGCGGAGGTGTTGTTTATGGTGAGGCGGGAGTGCGGGACTAGGTCATCCTTCTCTTCGTCGGGTAGGTCTTCGAGGTCCGACATGGGTATGTCCTCCTCGTCCTCCTCTTCGTCCTCGTCTGTGGGTTTCTTCTTATCTCCGTTTGGCTTGGCGTTTTTGGCTTTCAGTGCGGATTTCCGCGGGCGCTCTATCTTTTCCTCGAGATCTATGGAAGAGTCGGAGTCGTCGCTTTCGTCCACGGCCGCGAAGTCGATAGGACCTTCTCCCTCCTCATCTTCCTCTTCATCTTCATCATCATCAACTTCCTCAGCCTCGTCATCTAAGATCGATGTGCCGCCCTCGACCTCGACCTCATCTTCTTCATTAACACCCTCCCAATCGCTATCATTTTCATCGGCAGCGTCTAGTTTAGGTGCCCCTCCATTCTTGATCTCTCTCTCTTGTCTCTTCTTGGTTCTCTCCTTGTGCTTCTTCTTCTCTTTCAATTTCTTGAAATCGATGCCTTTCTCTGCTGCGAGGGCGACCTTCAATTTACTTTTACCCATTGTTGCGGCCGCAATTGGATTTTGGTATACTTGGTTGGCTGATTGGATGTTGACTTTTTCCAACCGATAAGTTTAATCTTCAGAACTTTTTTTTCTGCCATTGGCTTGGCATATTGTGGCTATCACTCATTGTGGCTGACGAAAGCGGTGTGAGCCTAAACTGCCTAAAATGGTTTAGTCAAGGTGCTTCTAGGTGGGGTAGTGCCCATCCAATTAGAACCAACGAATTAACCTCAAGGCTTCGGATGGCTTCAATATCAAGACAGGTTGTACTTACAAGACCAGCTAATTGTTGCAGGTGGCGTTTATTGATGTGACTCTGCCGGTAGAAGGCCCTTACCTACCTACCTACTCATCACAGCTTACGTATTAAGTACTTACATCGGTAAGTTGGCGCCTTATCAAACAATTTACTAATACACTTCTATGAAGGTACAACTACCATTAGAGTAGTTTAATTCAAACTTACCCCTATTCGTACGGATATATATATATATATATATATACCTTTATATAACCTCTCCCACGTATTAGAAATATGATAAATTTACGCCTTACGGTCTACCAAGAGGCGTGTTTTCAATGTGCCCTTCAATGTGCCTTTTCTTCCGGCGGCTAGAAAAAGGCGCCGTCATTTAATCGTATCCATGGTTCGCCTGGAATTTTTATCGGGAGGAGCGAGTTACCTCTGGAAATTGCAAACCAAAAACTAAACAGTCTTGCCTAGACTGGTTGCGATCATTGTGGGAGCTGGAGCGCCGAGGCTGAGCAGGCGACCTCGGGAGGACGGAAGACCGGAATATCTATACTTGAGTTTTAATTGGCTCTTGTTCTATGAGTAGATGCCCAACCTCATCTGCTTAAGTTTTCTTCTTCACCATCAAGTAACCCAACACGTTCAATTAAGTCTCTCGATATCAACGAGACCTAGGTAGCCACTCAAACCAAGATGCCAGAACGGCCCTCCCGACCGCCTCTCGAATTCCTATACCCTGGACAACATGATTCTATTAATGAGAGGATTGGATTTGAGTAGGATCCCTTTCGTCCCCGAAAAGTAGCCTTTCTAATTATCTCGATGTAGCATCGTTGCTGTCCATGGCCTTGGATCGAATGTGGACTGGTCGTGGGTCTGGAAAGGTCACAATAAACAAGTTCACTGGCTTAAAGACCCCGATATGCTCCCCGCCGCTGTGCCAAACGCTCGAATTATGGCATATAGTTACGAATCACGATGGCATATTGATGCCCCTAAGACACATCTTGGACTCTTGGGCGAGGAGTTAGCAAGGACCCTGCACGGCGTTCGGGCTAAGGAACTAGACCGTCCCATACTATTCATCGCCCATAGCCTCGGTGGTTTGGTTGTCATGCATGTGAGCAGCTTGATCCCCTTTTCATCCCTTCCCAGTATGCTAGAACACTAACTCGAATATATCTAACAGAGTTTGCTTTACGCTGATCGCACGGACGACCTGAAATATCTACCACTAAAGACGATTGGTTTTGTTGCCCTAGGGACCCCTTTTAGGGGCACTAGAATGCAATCTCTCGCGAAAATAGTCTCGCGGTTACTATCCTTTCTCGGTTCCAACGATAAGGTAATTGACGATCTGGGATTGGATAATGAGTCCCTCACGGAAAAGGTTCATGAATTTTGTCAACTGAGGAACAAGTTACAAATACCATCGTGGTGTTTCATTGAGCAACTTGAATCGGACTATGGGGAAAAGGCCGGAGTTCCAGGGCTCTTCAAAGGAATAGTAAGTACCTGTTATTGAAGCTACTTGGCTGGTATTTATTTGATTGGTGATTCAGGTAGTAGAGGAGGCATCTGCCCATATTCCCGGTTGGGGTCGTACCGGCCTAAATACGGATCATTTCTACTTGAACAAGTTCTCTGGTCCAAATGACGGTTCTTTCATGGCTATTTCGAGAGAAATCAGTCTAATGTATGCTGGAATACATGCTGATACGGAGCCTTCTAGAATGCGGCGGAAAATCGGTACGTCTACTCCATTGTGTAGAATGGGATAAATTTACTAACCGGGTATCTATTGCAATAAGAGCATAACCCCAATTACAACACAGAGGAACGGCTAGAGAAAGTCCTTGAAGCCCTATGCTTTGAACAGATTGATGCTCGACGACAAAACGTTTCGTCGGCCAATCCGGATACATGTAGTTGGATTTTGGAGACAACCCAGTACAATGACTGGGTGAATCCCATGGAAGGTTCCACATATGATAACATTCTGTGGATCAAAGGCAAGCCAGGCGTAGGGAAATCGACCATCATGAATTTCCTATACAAGGAATCGACTAGAATCATGCCAGGCGCGAAAATTTTTTCATTTTTCTTCAATGTGAGAGGAGTTGAGCTTGAAAAGACAACGCTTGGTCTTTACAGGGCACTCTTGTGGGGCATCCTCCGAATATTTGAAGATCTCATTAGGGTGTTCGATGACGTGAACGTGGACTCTATCAAGGCGGGTGGATGGAAAGAACAACATCTTAAAAACTTACTGGAACAATCTATCGAGGAACTCGGCGATCAGCCATTGATATGCTATATCGATGCGCTTGATGAGTGTCCCGAAGACCAAATCCGGCTCATGGTTACCCACTTTCGCAGAATCAGCAAGAGAGCTACTAAATCAGGGAGCCGTTTCAAGTTATGTTTCTCTAGCCGACACTACCCAAACATTTCTATTGGAAATAGTATCAGTCTGATCCTCGAAGAACAGTCTCAACATGTATTGGATATACGACGCTATATCGACTCAGAACTCATTGATTATGTTGAGATTGTGGACCGGGAGCAAGCGATTCGTATTCAAGACAAACTATTACGGAAGTCCTCTAGCGTCTTTCTTTATGTCAAGTTAGTAATCGACAGGGTAAAGAAGGATTTCGACCAAGGGGAGGCAGATATGAAGACCCTTGAAGGACGACTAGACGAATTGCCCCAAGGATTGAGCGCTTTGTATCGCGAAATATTGGCCCGAAATTCCGGGGATACAGAAGATTCCGAAGATAGGGAAGCCACACGCTTATGCCTTCAATGGGTACTATTTGCGATCTCGCCGTTGACTGCAGATCAACTTTATTTCGCAATCCAGCACGGACTTCGTGAAGACACTCGTTTAGGTGGCCCACTGAATAATGACGAATATGAAACTTTGAAAGTAAGAATGCGTCGCTTCATCATCGGCTCTTCTAAAGGTCTTGTGGAAATCGTATATTCTCCTAGACGTCAATCAACCACACACTTCATCCACGAGTCCGTTCGAGACTATTTTCTAGGCGAGAGGGGATATCAGGAGCTATACCCATCTTTAGAAGGCTCATTCGCTGGCGAAAGTCATGATAAGCTGAAAAAAATTTGCTATAAAGGAGTTCAACTTGTAGCACGTCATCGAGAACCGGGAAGTGGGTTACCAAAGAGTGCACGACCAAATCCCTTCTTATCACATTACGCGATTCGTGGGACTTTACTTCACGCCGAAAAAGCCCAGTCATTTGGAATACAACAGCGAGACTTCCTTTCCGACTTTCCGGTCAATACTTGGATAAAGGCTTACCGCTACTTTTTCCCTGTTGATAAGAATCAAATAATAGGACATTACGAATTTATTAGCAGTTCATGGGATAAGTATTTATTTGTATTTAATACAAACCAAGCCAGCTCACAATTGCTTTGTATCCTTGCCACGGCTGATCTTCCTAATTTAGTCTGTGTCCACCCTGACCGAGCACGCCATTTAGAGATTGAAGGAGGAAAGTATGGCGCTCCCTTAGTAGCTGCAATGACATTCGGGAATCTTGAATGTGTAAGCGAGCTAGGTCTTCCGGTAAGTCTTTGATTTTCAAAATTATCCATTAAATAACTTTTTAGGTTGACTTCCACGATTTGAAGGCAATTGCTAACGATATATATGGCAAAGGCATCGCAAGAAGGCGAAAGCATGGTAATTTCTGATAGTGGGAAAACGTACCCATTTCGTAGAATTGGTCTATCACCAATCGCATCTTGTGGTAACCTTTTCTATGATTTCATAAGACTCAACTTCCTTCCATTAGTAAAGGTCCTAGCCGATGGAAAAGACCTGAATCGATATGAACCCGGCTTAGGAAGACCATTGTCGTGGGCTGTTCGTTACCACGCCTCGGATGTCATCCAGTGGCTTCTTTCTCACGAGAAGGTCGACCCGATGATTCAAGATTACAATCAACCAATACATTGTGATGTCGATGAGTTGCTTGTCGAAGAAAGATTCTGGAGCTATTACTACGACGTCGACGAATGGATGCTCCAGGAGAGCGAAGAAATTAACGACGATAGGGAAGATGAAATAAACCTGAAAGCCCATTTTGAAACATTGTCTAAACGGGAAATCGAAGAAGGTTACGGGAAATCCTCGTTACATCATCTTTGCGCTGATGGTATGTGGCACTGGGACGAGGAAACGTCCCTTAAGATACTTCGAAATTTCCTTACATGCCCAAGAATCTCCCCTGAATCATACGACGGGCAGGGAAGAACGCCGTTTTCCTATGTAGTGGAATCGGGATCTAAGAAAGGGGCGCAAATGCTCTTCGAAACTGGACGCGTGGACGCATACTCAAGGAGTAATTGTGGGCGGAGTCCATTATCGTATGCTATTGAGCATCCAGAAATGTGTGAATGGCTCCTTTCGCTCGACGTCGTCGATCCTAACAGCCGCGACGTTGAGGGTCGAACTACACTTTCATACGCGGTAGGTAGCCATTTCGGGGATACAGTAGAAGTACTCGTGAAATTTGGAACTTCTGGCAAAATCGATTTCGACTCAAGGGATAACTCCGGTCGAACACCATTAAGATGGGCAGCGGGTCGGCTGGACTGTGACGTCGCTGAACTGCTTTTGGAGACGGGTGCGGTGGACCCGGATTTGCAAGCTGATGACGGCCTGACACCATTGGATGTTATCAAGAGCAAGTTAGGCGGATATCACGACCATGAAGTAAGTCGTACCATCCAAAAGATGGAAGAGTCTATCCGGAAAAAGCGAGGCGCCTAGGTAAGCACTTATTGAAGTGCCTTCGCGTTCTTTTTTTGGGTGGAATGGGGCAAGAATAACCTTACCTGTAATCTTTTTTTTTAATTGACTTCTCTTTGCCATTGGCTTAGTGGGTTTCAACTCATGCTTAGATGAGATTGATATGTACAGTTTGAATGGCTACCTAGGCTTAGGATTAGTTATTTCCTACTTAGCGGTGAGGGACTAAGTATGCTTCTTCTGCAAAAGGGGCTCGAATTGTAAAAGGGGCGTGGCGGTGTGTATCACGTGATTAAGGGGTAACTTAATGACAATGTCAGGCTTAACTGGCACTGCTGGGTATGGTAAACTATCACTCAACTAAGAGGCTCATTCCCATGGGGAAAATATTAATCAAACATTGCAAGACATGTATTTGGATTTATATTGGCCGATGTATCAAGTATCACTTAGGCCGGGGTGACCGTGTCTTGCATTCATACGTCTAGCCTTAAGCATCGTAAGTAATAATCCAGATGCTAAGTGGGAGATATGATCATTACTAACCTTCCAAGAGAACGTCCATAACAACTGAGCAATACGTCTCATCAACCAAGCTATCCTTCGGAACCATCCTGAGCGTGAGGTATCTTACTAAGACCTAGAATTCTAGATAGCAGAAGGTGTCTTAGAAACTTCATTTTCTAAGTACACTAAGGCCTCCTGCGCCATGTGCTTTAACGAAGCTTGGTTGAATGCCGAGGTATCTGTAACGTTTTCAGTGCATACTCTATACTGGGTATGTTGGCAAGAAGAGCAACCCACCTCCTGGGGAGATGTCATGTTCGGTCAGAACAGTCTGAATAACATCCAACGGACTTGGTCCATAGACGTTTCGTTCATGGATGACAGGTCGAAGAGGGGGCAACACGAGTCTAGAGACTGGATGGCGTTGCTCATTACGACCATCTTGAGTCGAAGCTTCCTGGTATAGCTTCGTTTGTGTACAAGGTGGTGGCGCAACGCGCTTATCATATAGGGAAGAGATGTGAACATGAGAGCGGGACTTGACGTCGACGTCAACGTCGGTGCTATTTTTCGTATTGGGGTCTTCGGCATCCGGGGCTTCTGGTGCCTCCTGGCACTGGAGAGCACGTCTCTTGGCTGCTCGCGTCACTGGTGCCATGCTTATTCTTGGTTGAAAAACCGTCGAGGGATGGAAAATGGTCGGTGTTGAACGGAACTCGGTGTACAAGATGTAGTGATTTGAACAAAACTTTGGAAGCGTGATATCAAAATTACATATTAAACGTGTGAAATTATTATGTATGAGCAAGAGAGGAAACGTCGTGGGAAAGTAGATGTTAGAAAGGCCGGTGACGAGGTACGTTTATCGATACGTACTGTACGGTTCTCAATCCAGAGTCACATAATTTACATCGAATGCGCCTGACTACTTAGGTGATTATAAGCTACTAACGATAGTGAGGGTAGGTAGTTAATATCAACATGAGAGGGATTGCTGAGGCCGTTTCAGAGCGTCCTTATGGGTGCATTAAAGGGCATGTTAGCATGTGTGTACATGATTGATAATGAGACGTCCAGCTGCCTCACAGCTTGACTTCGAGAATACCCAGAATTCATTATTAGACTGGTAATAACGGGTTCGTGGTGTTAGAAAGAAAGAGTAGGAAATGATAACCACAAGCGCAGCCTACAATTTCTTGATCCTACATAAATCTATCCGTGATGGCATGGACAACGTTTAACAGTCTCGCCAGTGAGGCTGTTAGGACTTCTGTATTTGAAATGGAGTTAAGTGTTCAAAAATCTGGGTAAATGGACTCTGAGCTATTATATCTACGAAACTGATATATGTGAACTGCGAATGGGGGGTTTCGCGAGAAGAAGACAAAAGAAATGGAATACAACAAGGTTTTGTGCGGCTTTTTATGTGGTTCCTTTCGTTTGTGAAGTAGCAAGGCGGTGATGAGGGTGACGAGGGCCTTGAGCTGAACCGATTTGGGTTCACATGATTGCTGTTGCGGCAGTGACTCAAAATTTGGTACATTACGTGGATTCTTCAACTTAACTAGTTACCTAAGGCACGGTGACTTAGGGGTGCCTATCTACCACGGTGTTTGCTATCAATGGTTACAGTTTATCTGGTATAATTCTCCATGCGTTCCCATTCTCCTGGGCTAGTTTGTTAGTGACACATACTGTTTTCCAGCACCTCTATATCAACTATATTTGCTAAGAGTGCTTGGGTTCGCTCTACTTACCATCATTCTTGGAGCAGCATCATTGACAAAAACACCGACCAACATGCACCTGTCCTAGAAACATGTACACAGGCTTGATCGACATGGAATCCTCCACTTAGCGAACAGTTGATGAGATACATCTAAGCTAGCATAGAGGTGCTGTGTAAGGTATGTAGTAGCAGATCAAAGTGAGAAATGTGTGAGCAGAAATGCTCGTGGCAGATATATATGTTTGAGATCTCTATACATGTAATCCTTCTCGTACACTTCTAAATATCATACACATTTTCCATCATTAAACTCCTACCCCTGTTTTCCAATATATCCTACAATGTCCATGTGCTGTCCATGACCACTTACTTCCTCCCAAACATGCCGTTCCCCATGAACTTCGCCTTATCAAGGGTGTTTTTCACGCCGCCCGAAAAGAATGACGACCGCTGCGGCTTGAGCGGCGGGCGAGTCTGCTCCCAATCGGCTCCTCCATACTGATTCTCCATGTACTGCTGCCCTGAAGTGTTCCCATAGTATCCCTGATGCTGCCAGTCTTCTTGTTGGTACGCCTGGCCCTGGTAGGCAGCCACCGGATTAGATTGCTTCTGAGACTGGTTATACGAGTCGGGGTTGTAAGGGGTGAAGGTGGTTTGCTGGGTAGGATACTGGCTTGCTTGTGATTGGTATTGAGTTGAGCCGCCATATCCGGAGCTACTGCTCTGGTATTTGGATGAATTCTGGTACTGGCCTGTGGGGATTGACGACTGGCTTTGCTGGTATGAATGCGTATTTTGATATGATGCGGAAGGTTGAGGGGTGGACTCGTCTGGCCGATAAGGGGAAATGGTCTGCTCTTGACTAATAGGTACTCGAGGCGCCTGGAAACGCCCAGCAGATGATTCGGACGGCTTTGGAGAGGGTGTATGGCTGTATTGGGATTTACCCTCATAAGAGACGATCGGTGCAGGCTTCCTCTTGATATAGTCTTGAGCAGGCAATTCGATGGCCAGTGAAACCGGCTCGCTCAAGCCTTGCGTAATTTGTTCGGTCCATTGCCCAATCCCTGTTTGGAGGGCTGCTTGCTTTCCAGCTTGCCCAACTGGCTGGGAGTTTTCTCTCCCGGTTTGGTCTACGTGGTGGTAATCGTCGTCTCTCCGTCCTTGACCGCTTGGCTCATGATTTGATTCTTGTGTCTCCACGGAGGCCTCTGTAGGCGACTTCTCCGTGATCTTATTCCACATCGCTGCCTGGCTAGCTAGGGCAGACTTGAGCTGCTCTGACATCTGGGCAAAATCCAAGGTGTCAGTTTCCCGGGGCTGGTCCTCAGTCGAATGAGAGTCGAAGAAAGTCCCTTCATGGCCATCGTTGGGCAACTCCTCAGTATCTTCTTGATGATCAGAAGTAGTGGAGTCTTCTTCTTCTTCTTCGTCGTCGTCGCCGTCGTCGTCGTCGTTGTCGTCGTTGTCGTCGTTGTCGTCGTTGTCGTCGTTGTCGTCGTCCTCCTCCTCACTGTTATGCTCATCTACACTATGATCTGACGGCGGTTCAACTCTTTCTACAGCCCTCGGGGTTGCCTGAGGTTCTTCGTCGTAACTAAGCTCTTGTGGTTTACTGAACGCGCTTCTGACAACGCTAGTGACCTCGGCGTTTCCCGAGTCCATAGAATGTTTGAGAACTCCGAACAGAATAGAGACGCGGTCGATGAGGACTTTTAGGCATTCTCGATTGTCGTTTTCGAACGCAGTTTGTAGCGCATTCGTTCCGTCCTTATTCGAATGCATGATGTCTGCGCCGTGATCAAGTAAGAACGAAACGGCTTCTTCCTCACCTCGGGTTGCAGCTACAATGAGAGCGGTATCTCCATCGTTATCCGGGAGGTTGATGTTAGCTCCGGCATCGAGCATCAGCTGTAGCGATGACTGGGGCATATAGGCGGCAGCGCTAATCAGCGGCGTACCCGAAGGATCTGACTGACCGATGACATCTAGGTCAGCTCTTGCCTTGACTAGGAGTTCGACAATATCCTCCTCAGCACGCATCGCGGCTGCTGCGATAGGCGGACTATCAGGACCTCCTCCTAGGTTTGGATCAGCGCCATGCTCGAGAAGTAGGGAGACTATCTCTGTCTTGCCCCCTTCACACGCCCCTTGGATCGCCGTCCCAGCCTCGAAGTTCTCGTTCTTGGTGAAGGCATTTACATCAGCTCCATGGTTGAGAAGCTCCACAACGACATCGTAGTGACCCTCGGTAGCAGCTGTCTGAATCGCCCAACCCTCAGGAGCATTTACGTCGGCGCCGGCACCTAGAAGTAATCGGACGATGTTCATCGTCCCATCGTATGCGGCCGCAGTCAGAGCATTACCATATCTTCAGTTCTGTTAGCATTTTCGATTTATAATACCAGGTGCCTTGTTTGATTCGTCGACTTACTCTTCGCCAGTAGCATTAGGGTCCGCCCCAAACTTTTTCAGAAGCAGCTCTACTGTAGATTCTTTCTCCCTGTCGGTAGCATCATAAAGAGAATTATTGAGCGTGCTTCGGCTAATCGACCCGCCGGTGTACTCCCATATCGTTTCAAGAAGCTTATCCTGAGGTTCCGTGCATGTAGCTGCTTCGTAGAAGACGCCATCACAATTAAGTCCGGTACGTTTGTCCAGGAGAATTAAGACAACATCCCAACTCCAGTCGTCCACAGCTGCGTCGAGAGCCTTTTGAAAGTATTCTTGGCTGTGCTGAAACTCGAGCAGCTTATTGAAAACTTCGACTCGGCCCGCCTCCGCAGCCTTGACGAAGGCTTTACTGTACTCTTCAGCAGGTAGTTTGTCCGCATATTTCTCGACGAGATACCCAAACATGGATATATCAGACAAGGATGCGGCATGTGCAAGGGGTGCTTGAAGGTCATCTCGATCCACCGTCAAGGAGACACCGCGCTCGACAAGTAGTTCAACACATGCTCGGTTACCTGAGGAGATCGCTGCATTTACCACCGGTCCGATTTCGTCAGCTATCGCGTTGGCATTTGCTCCTCTCAATAGTAGCTTCTTCATGACTTCGACTTGGCCATCAAAGGCAGCCATGTGCAAAGCTGTTTCGACTTGTGTTTCAATCCCATCATCGATCGCCGCACCCTTATCGAGCAACACCTCGACAATCTTCGGGCGCCCAAACGCAGCCGCTAGATGCAACTAGAAGCGAACGTCAATAAGAAACGAAGCGATCAGAGGTAATTGGCACTCACTGGTGTATTTTCCAACGAGTCGTGTGTTTTGATCTGGTCCTCGTAGCCGTTCCTGATGAGCGCTGCGACAAGTTCCCTAAAACCAACCGAAGCGGCGATATCTACACCCTCGTTAGTCAGCGGCGATCATTGATGAGAAAACAGGGGGGCATACGTAGGCCCGTCATCGTCCTATAGTCGAAGTTGTCAAAAACGCTAGTCATTCGGCAGTACTCGACGAGCCAGCGATGTCGAATAATGGAATCACGCTTCCAGAAGGACTCTTCCAAGCTCAAGTCTTCGGCAATTTCACGCGTGGCCTTACTAGCATGACGAAGCCAATACTTGACCGTATATGGAACTAGGATAATCCAGTCAGCAACGATGCATTGGCGATTAGTACCCATATAATGAGCTCTCATGTTTGGGGTTGAGTTCTGGGTTTGAGATAACACTGGATTAGACGAACTAACTTACGAGCTTTGTCACGAAGGATGTCAGCCTCGGGATCCTCTTCCACTGAGTCATCTTCACTTGACCATTCGCTGTTACTGTCTTCGTCGTCGTCGTCGTCATCGTCCTCCTCCTCCTCCTCGTCATCACTATCCTCGTCTTGGCTGGTCTCGTCATCTTCATCATGAGATTCTTCATTTACATCCTCTTCATTCCCTTGTGGCTTCTCCGCGACAGGAAAGTCAAAGCTGTCGTTCACATGTGAGAATGACCGGAGCGCGAGGACACCGTGCTGCCACTTCTTTTCTTCATCCGACATCCCGAGCAGTTGATTAGCATTCTCTAGCAGATGTGTCTTGACGACGACGTTCATGAAGCTAATCGTATTGTTCGTTCGTCTGATAACTAAAAGGGGCTTGCACTTTTCTACGAATTTTCGGAGTTCAGCTTTCTCCTTATCGTTCGAGGAAAAGCCGGCGAGCACACCCAGTTCTGCTTCAGTAGGATCTTCGTATGTGAGAACAAGGGCTCGCAACATCTCCTTGATTTTCTCGACATCCACCTCGTTGGCCTTCAAGATTTGGAACCATGCGTTAGTCAAAAGCGTCGTTAGATCTTGAGGCATCTTTTCGAGTACCCGCCGAACTTTCAGGTCGCTTTCAGCCTGCGGGAGTTCTTGGAGTTGAATGCATGTAATATCAATCCATTGTGTATTTTGCGCGCGCTTCCCAATAAGGCTGCTCGCGAAATACGCAAGTGCCTTGTTGTAATTCTTCTCCTTTTCGAGCGTCGCAACTCGCTCCTTCGCACGTTTTCGTAGGGCTGTTTGGACTTGGTCGCCATACTTCTCGTCCTCGAGATCGATAAGGCGGACACCCTCGGTACTCAGCGCTTCTCCGATGTTATGGGCTTCTCTGCTCGTGATCATCCATCTAGTCGGGACCCGCTTCGCGTTTGAGCCATTGGTACCGTTCTTCAATTCCTCTTTCAAGTACCCCATCAACTTGATGGTAGAATCCCAATCTTCGGGGAGCACATGCAAGTTATTCAAAACGAAGATAACTTTACTGCCGATGAAGTCGTCTGTAAGCATATCTTGAAGAGTTTGCCACAGGTTTTCTACAGTCACCCGCGCTCGTGACTGATTTTCTTCACCCTTCTTCTTGGCGAACGATTTCGCGTAAGAGGCAAGGATTTCCTGTTGGTTGATCAGCTGCGTGATGAGGCTCTTAAGAAGGTCCTCGGCTGTAGAATAATCTGCCGCTGGGTCGCAGAAGAAATATGCAAGTAGAACTGGCCCTTGGCTGGTGTCTTTCTCGCTGATCCTCTCGATCTCCTCAACGGCAGCTAAGGACGCACTGGTCTTTCCTCTGCCTTCTGGTCCCCGTATCCATAAGCACTCGGCGCTACGGACCACACGTTCCTCATCATTCGGTCCATGGTTGTATAGCCATTCCTTATACTCAGCTTCCTTCGTAATCCAAGAAGATGGCGCAAATGTCTGTGCTAAAGCCCTGCGTTTCTTGGAAACTTGCGCGCCATCCAGAACTTCCATAATACCGTTTATCATTGACCGGTCGATGTCGCGAACAGAATTCAGCCGATTTTTGACTGCTAATTGTGCGCCATGGATTATTTTCTTCAAAGGGTCCTTGACAAACTGGTTCCACATGTCGTCCTTCGGCCCATCGAACTTGACAAGATCTCGATGGTTCGCTGCTAAGCCTTGTTCGTCGACACCAGGAAGCGTCGCAGAGTCTCGCGTAACGAAATCGGCGAATGATTTCGGAATCGCGTGTTTACTCAATCCGAAGAGGCTAGGCAGGCCTGCCATCTTTGAGAAATCGGTCGGTTGCTCTTCATAAAAACATAGCAATTCGATCTTGGGATTCAACTTCCCTACGAGGCGCATGAATTCGTGCCTAAGCTCTCGAAGTCCCTCATCTCCAGGCTTCATCAAATCTAACAGTTTGGAAGAGTAAGCCGTGCCGATCTTCTCAGCATAGTATGCGTACATAGCTGCCGCAGAGGCGGCGGCTGCTCCATTGAACGGTGTCCCGAAGAAGATAGCAGCCGCGATGGCTTCGAACATGACGGGGAATTTATCCCGTCGAGAGTCAGCAATTGTTATTGCTTTCGCAATTACAAGGCCACCCATACTATGCCCAATAAAGACAATGGGACGCCGTTGTATACGGTCCTAGCACGTCCATATTAGCATGAAACAAATGGCTTAGGTCTTCATGTTTCGCTCACCTCTCTCTTGCTCTTCAGCCCGTTGAGCAAGGTCATTGCGATATTACTCATAAACTGCTTCACTTTGAGAGATCCGGTCCATGCTGATTCGTACATGTATAATAAGATGCGCGCTCGTGGGAAGTCCCTAACTAATCCATCTGTAGTCCAGTTAAAGCCGGTGCTCTCGGACTTCCAGCTATCCTCCGGGTGAGCGCCCAGGCCGGGTACGAAAACGATACTGTGAGCGATCAGAATCAGAATATTGAAGTAACATATCTTCGCGTGTAGACTCACTCTATTTCCGGCTCGATATTTTGCTTATCAAGCGGGTAAAGCTCTTTGATCCCCTGCTGAACGATACCATAATCTTTCTTCCTCCTCGCAGGCCCCGACGGGGCTTTCCGCGTAGTAGCGGAGCGCTGCAGCGACATATTGACGCGACTGCAAATCCGAAAACAGAGACAAAAACCGTTCAGCGAAATTCAAGCCCGAAGGTTCTACGCCGGGACATCGCAAGTTATATTCCATGATGACAGACGCACCCCGGACGATGGAGAGACGGCCCCCAAAAGTCCCCATTAGCCTAACTAATAAGATGGCGCAATGGTCTCATTCTGCGTGCGGCTGATCGTTTCGTACCAAAATCGGATACCGCATTTGCCGCAGGCTCAGCTCGTCAGCACTAAAGCAGCCTGTCATCTTATTAAAGCCTCTAGGCATTTCTAGCCTCTCTTTGATGGAATCGCGCGGACGCCTCATTTCTTGATTAATGATTAGTAGGTACGCCCTTCGCTTGTGAATCTATCCAGGTACCTTGCAATTGTTAGGTACCTAGAGAACGAGCATACCTATCCCAAACCATCGAGGCTCTGTGATGCGTAAGCACCTAGGTACCGACTTTACAACAGCCTGGGCTGACAGGGTGATTCGATATTCTCATAAGGCGACGAGGGTGAACGAAGCTTGCGGTATTGGCATAAGGCAGGAAAGGGAATAGCAGGACAGATTGAGATCGAATCTGGTGGTGATCTCCGGCCCTAGGACTTAGAAGCCCAAGCGCCGCGGCTAGGATAGCAGCCGATATTATTAATAGGTAGGCTGGAATCCCTGTAACAGGCGAGAATGTACATTATTATCATTCGCTGTCATTCGGCCTTCAGCTACGACACAGCTCCAATCGAAATGAATAGCTGAGCGCGCATATAACATGACGTACAGTAGTGTAAAATCTATGCGAGCCAGCTATTTCCATATGAACAAGGCTCCAGCCCGTCGCGATGAAAACGAGGATCTTTCCGCTTCGTATTCGAAGTGCAAACAGCTAGACGTTGTGAAGATGAATTGAATGAACGTTTCGACTCTCAGAAGCTAACTCCGAACGAATTAATCGTCAACGATGGCTACATCGCCTGTTCCTTTCACCACTCGAGTACTTGGGTCGCGAGAGCCTCGCGCGGGAAATCAGTCAACATACTTCACGACTTTGCTTCCAGCAACACATCGCACGAAGGATGACCATATCATCGTTCCTAAGCCCGACCCAGAATTTTTCGAACGAGAACTTCTCGTTACAAGGTTGAACAATGTCCAAGATTGGCTTTGGATCTGCGGTCGACCGATGCCACCTCGCCCATTACGGTATGCCACCAAAAAGGAGCTCTGTCAAGACTCCAAGCCCGCCCTTTCTGCTCGGTAATCAATGCATACTAATCCCCGTTTAGTGAGTCTTTTATCTCTTCTTCACCCCACAGACTTCCGTGGACGCCACTATAGGAGGCGCTCAGTGGGGTAACGCGAAACTGAGACTTGCGCCCAAAAGTAAGACTTGATGATGCACCACAGAATGCTAACCGGTAGTAGATCACCAGGTTCTCATCTCAAGAGACATCTTCATCACCGAAGATCCAGAACTCCATCTTGTCTGGTCGAAGAATCGCATATACCTAAAACCTATTCCGTTATACCTCTTCGAACCGGATTTCTGGAAGGTTTATATCCAAGATGACGAACTAGTGAAATGCGCCCGAGGTTTCCTCTTCTCGTACACGGCGCTCATCGCGTACGAGAGCGACTTCAAGCTTGCGAAGGATAAGAGACTGCTGCCCGAGGAAATCGAGTGGGCGCAATGGAAAGTTATCGCGAAGGAGATCCTGGGGAATCACCACTACCAATTCGTCAACCCCAGGTACTGGTACGGAGAGCTCCGCCTAAGCCGACTGAATAAGGTATACCGGTTTCGACTAGGATTCCTCTTGCGCGGTTACTCCAAGGTCGCATCCCACGCGGTCTACGCTGATCTAATACGCGACAACTTCGCCGCCCTAGCAACGATACTAGGTTACGTGGTCATCGTGCTGACGGCGATGCAGGTCGGTCTCGGCGTAGACAGACTCCAGACCGACGAGGCGTTCCAAAACGCAAGCTACGGGTTCACGGTGTTTTCCATCATAGCGCCGCTAGTAGCAAGCATGGGCATCGTGTTAGTAGTTGTGGTCACGCTCGTCAGCAATTGGATCGCCACGAAGAGTTACGAGCAGAAAAGGTTCCGTGTTATGAACGTGGAACCAATCTGGAAAGTAACGGAGCCGAAGGCGACATTCTCATCTGTCAAGAGCAATCGAACGAATCCGAGCGACGAAAATGTCTGAGATGGTAAATTAATGTCACGTATTAGTTCTTAAATCAGGGGTGTGGCTACATGTTTCTCGTCGCTAGTTCGGATATCAACTACACCAACACCATTTACTTAGAAGTTCGTCTCACGATCATTCACTGCGGCCGAGCGCCAGAAGATTAAAGATGAGATTGAGAGTGATGAGAAGACCTAGACTGCTTGCGAATATAAAGCTAAGTCAAGCCTTACTCAAAATGAGATTACCCAGGGCGTCGGCATCATTATAATATATTACTAGACAGCAGCCCTTGCTTTCTCGCAAAGCCCATAGCGCACCAACATCGGCGACGTCTGCCCATTTCAGTCAGATCATGGTTCGTGAAACCCGACATTGAAGAATCACAAATGAAATCTACTAGGATTTGTATGATACCTTTTCAATACTCCATGCACGTTAGACCTCTCACCTAGGTGAGATAGCAGGGAGTGAATCCTTAGACAGCTAGATTCACGTTAACATTCTTAGTATAAATATTAGATAGAATATCCATCTATTTTCTGCCTACTCTAACTCCCAGTATTGCAAATCGTAATAGTTTTACCGCCCAATCCTACTAAATTCCTCAGCCCTAACGACAAGTTCAAGTTACCTCCTTGATCATCAAGATGTTATCCCTCACCCTTCTCCTACTCCCGCTGTCCGTCCTCGCCGCGCCGCCTCCCCAAGGACAGCTGGAGAGCCGCTCCCAACCTATCAAGCCCAACTGGGCTGGTGCTTGGACTCCTAAGAGCCAGGAGCAACACAATTATGTACAATACAGCGAATGCAATCGTGTCGACACCGACAACAAGAACCAGGCTTTATGTGACGACTGCATTAACATGGAACTCGATGTTAATGATCATAATGGCCTCTGGCAACGTAAGTAAATCGATCGAGGGATGGGGTCTTACAAGCTCATCATCATTGCCTCTCCTTCCATACCCCCAATACACGGCGTAACATGAATCCGCTAATTCGATACGGTATAGTAAACGGCCAAACCAACCTTAATGACCCCAATGACTGGAACCTCCTCAAAATCAACGGGACTTGTACTCTACTCGTCAAGAACACGGCGCCTACCCAGATCGGGAATAGGGATGTAGCCGTGTATATGCTCTACTCCGACTTCACGCAATGTGGCGACAGAGCAGGTGACCCTCTTGACTTCGAAAACAGGTCCTACCTCGTCGATGACAAAGGCACGAGAATCGACTTTTGGCTTCGCAGCACAGCTGGACTAGACCTCAGCAATATTGCTCACCCTTGAGTCAGGAGGTCGGGGCTCGAAGATTCCTACGCCGACACGCAACTGTCCTGTTAAGAATACTCTTCTTCTACTATGTAATTCGTCACGAGATATTTTTGGAAAAGTTTACGGGGTCATGCGATTAGGGAGCGTTGATCGCAATTTATAATTCATTAGTGTCTATTCCCCCTATGCCTAGATAATATTTTGCTGATATGGGGGTTGTTGATAATAGCGCAGTCGACTAGGTAGCTAGTTCTTGATAAATAAACTAGATACTACCAAACATGCTGATTCATTTCATTTCATACATCAACGCTCTTCGTAGGGGCTTTGAAATGGCGTCGTGTGCAAAAGCCAGAATATTTCCACTTATCGCCCAACTCAAAAACGAGAATACGGGAGCCTAGATACTTAATGTCAGCAACGCAAAACAAAGGGGGGAAGGCCATCACAGGCACCACGTCAAAATCAAACATACCATTTTCCCCGCAGCGTGATATTAACCCAAGTCGTCCCATCACCATCAACCTCCTTCTCGACCTTCGACGAGAACGCGATCGCGCTCATGATCCCATCCCCAAACTTCTCGTTCATAACCGCCTTGAACGCGTACCCGTAGTTCTGCACGATCTCGTACAGCCGGTAGACGAGCGGCTCCTTGGGCGGCATCGGCCCGGCCTGTCCGCGGTTCGGGATGGCCGAGATCGAGGACGCCTCGAGGCGCTCCTTGGGCACGCCGAGGACCTTCGACAGCTTGTCGACGTCCTCGGCCGAGGCCTGGGCCTGGCCGAGGAATATGGCGGCAACGGCGACTTCGCTGCGGCCTAGCTCCTGCGCGATCTGCTCGAAGGTGATTTTGTTCAGGGTCTTGGCGCCGAAGAGCAGCTTTGAGTGGTCGGGCAAGTTCTCGGCTAGCGTCGCCTTAATCATCATGAGTTAGCATCGCTGAATTCAACGGAGTTGATGAGTAGGTACTCACATCGAGGGTGGCGAGGTTTTGGCTAGACATCTTGATACCTGATTGATTTTCTGCTGCTACTTCTTGATAAGATCGCAAGAGGTGATTTGATATTTCGACGACACAATCTTTCGGGAGAAAGACAATTATTTATGAGCGGATGAGAAGCTGCAAGAGGATTACTGAGACCCGACCCGTTAGGTAATGAAATACCCATTGACCAATAACCCCGCGCATGGCTTGGAGCTTAGCTCTAGACGCCGTCTCTTTGCCCTACGTAGCGCCCCGACAATCTCGGCACGGGGATAAGCCGGGAACTCGGCGTCTCAGCCACGACGGGATGCCGCTGATAATAAATGCGCCGACTCGGCATTCCCGAATGTTGTTCAGACGCCGCTGAGCTTATACCCGGTCTTGGGCGGGGCCGGAGTCTGTTGTTTGGTGCTGACCAAGTCCGAGTAAAAATAGCTTTATGTGGTGCTTACTGAGGCCGTATCGTCGATCAATGTCGAGAACAACTGTCGTGCTGTATATTTGGGTTTGGAGTCAAGGAATTTAGATTTTACACCTAATTAAGAGTCATTCACTATCCAGAAATGATTATATTATCTCTTGAGAGATACAGGAACTGGAATTCAATGAGAATTCTCAATATCCAAGCTAGCCCCTATTTTTTCGACTACAGCTTAACAACAACTTTATTGCCCTTAAATAAGTAACATCGTACTTAAATTGATGAATCTTCCTATTATAATACTTCATAACCGTCCAACATTTGCGCGTAGTGCTACGAAATACGGTATTGTCGTTGCATTTTACTGAGGTAGTTAAAGGGGTAAAATGGGCACTTATCCAAGTAAATAATATGTCGAAAAGATTCAAAGCTCTCGCTTATGAAATTAGGTAAATACTCAATTCAAGGATATTCTATTATTGCTTCATGTTCCAACAGGCACTGCCTTTGTCCTTAGTGGACTTAACGTTCCTCCCGTAAAAGAAACATCGTGTGCTGTAACGTCTTTGTTCCTACCGAAAACAACCGCTCCCGTATCTGTCTTATGCACTGGGCAATGTCAATCGTGTGGACAATGGAATCCACGCTGGAACCTATCAAAAGTCTATTCCCTGAACATGTCGCATCTCAACAATATTGTTGTGTAAGTTTTCCGTGATGCTCGTATAGAGTCGTCTTGTATCATTCAGAACAGTCTTTACATCGACAGCCATCATGGCCACACCGTTGCGTATGTATAATCACCATATTTGGGTACCTGTGTATGAGTTAGTAATAAGTCTGACTTCTTTAGTTCAACTGTTCCGACGACAGGTGGACCCAGAAGTGAATTTAACATTTTACGACGCCCGAGCAGCGTACCGCTATACCCGAGAGTTCTTCAATAATAATGCGAGTTTTATAAATTTTCGAAGGGTCATGGGATTCGGTTCTTCAGGAATTGTAACTCTATGGCAGGTAACAGATGAAGAGAACCGACACTTGCGCGATGTTGCAGTCAAGCTACCGGTTCAGATATATGACCCCCATTTCCGCATGGAGATGAGTTGGATGGCGGTAGGTTTCCCGCTTATACTATCTTCCCAAACAAATCGGTTAGAAATGTAGCTAAAAGTTATACGCAGGTGACTTTCAAATCGTGTGAACATTTTGTCCAGCTTGTTGATCTCCCGAACAACGTTCTTGCCCCGGGTAGATATAACAACTTCCACGATTTCGATAGTGATGCTGGGGCCGTAATGGTAATGGAATATTTCTCGAGAGGCGAACTGAATGATATTCTGTGTCGGATGAACGAGGCGGCTAGGGCCAACGTTAACCTTCCCGACGACGAAAAAACGTTGGAATTTATACCGCATCGTATATTATGGAGGATGTTTCTTTGCTGTAGGATGCCGTATCCAGCAAAAATACCAAGTATTTCACTAATATGACTTTTCAACGACGTTAGTCGCCAAAATGTGTGTAGGGATGGCCTACCCACCGCCAGACTACCGCGACACAGCAATTAGCTATAGGGAAACTCTTCCCCGAGAACAGAGCGACGAAGGCTCCAGGCAGATTATGCATTTTGATATGCATCCTCAGAACAGTATTCGCCCATGTACGAGTCTAGAGGTTTCTGTGCTAACCCATCCTAGTATTCATAGAGAAGACTCGTTTCTCATATGAGCATAACTACGCACCACGGCTGAAGGTTAATCTCTATCATGACCCAAATATCATACTCGATTTTTCGCTAACATTGAATCTAGTTGGGTGATTTCGGGCTTTGTACCGAGTGGGATGAGGAGGTAAGTCCTGCGTAGATACTCCTTTCATTGTTCTAGCCTCTTGAGAACAAATGTGTATACCGAGTTCCATAACCTAAGAGACCAATTACTTACCGTTCGAAAAAATGATAGTGGACCGACGAAGAGTATGTTATCAAACAAGTACTTAAACATCGACATGTTTCTGATGGTCTACTTTAGGAAGCTCGCCTCCGCCAATGTTGGAAAACCGGGATACCAAGCACCTGTAAGCCATCTTTTTGAAAGTAGTCAGAGAAGACGAAATATTGTGTGAACGCTAAATATCAACATAGGAGCAACGCGACGAAAGGTGGATCTTAGACGACTATGCATTCGGAGATCATACTAATGTATGGAACGCGGGATACGTACGTCTGGCCAACTCTGGCCAACAAACCTACAGTCTGCGTTAACAAGAATGGATACTAAACCCATTTCACAGCTTATGTTCAACACGATGACCTTCTACTTCACGGACGACCCAGATTGGAAACCACGAGACTGTGTCGTGCAGGGTGAAGGAGACCACTACGAAATCGTCAACACGTGGGCTCCCTATCTCGTCGGCTTTAGTGTTTACGCCGAATTCCAAAAGTACGAGATCGAACTGCGCTCGTTGGTAGCCCGGTGCATGGCGGACAATCCCGCAGACCGGCCGACCCTGGGTGAGCTCATCGAGACTATCGAAGAGAACATGAGGCGCGGAGACGAGGATGCGGACGAGGAGTTTAGAAGGTGGGAAGAGATAAGGCGCATAGATCCGAGAGCGCAGAAGCCGCCCGTGGATGTCAGGAGACCTCCTGCGGCTGAGACCAATGACCTGCTAAAAAGATGGGCTCAGGAATATATCTACCAGCCGATTAACCGGCAGGATCCATATGAAGACTTGTGGAATACGAGTGTTTAGACTGCCGGGGATAGTTGAAAATGCATACTTAGATCACATGGCATGAGGGTCTTTTGTTTTGGGTTACTCGTTAGCCGGAATTAGAGAGTACGTGCATATGTAAACTCCGTTGACATATTCTGCCTTTTGGAAATGTAACTATTGCTCAGAATAAGGCTGGAGCGAGTTGAAAAGGATTGATATATAGATCAAATCGAGTATTTCCGGAATTTATATGCCAGTTCTCGAAGAATTGGGGGGAAAAGCTCTAGAATTGAAGCAGGAAAACGGCGTTGTAAAGTTGAAGTTAAGCTTGGTGGGTAGGTGACTCAGTAAATAAAGAAAGTCCATCTAATCTAATCGATAAGGGAACTGCGGGGCATGAGTAAGAGCCATTCTGAGCATCTTTTTAACAGGGACTGACGCAATCACTTCCAAATGTTTGTTCCGTCTCATCGTCCCACTGAGCGAAGCTTGTGATTTATAAATGGGGTTTGAGCTCTCATTTTCGAGACAATTTTTTATATTATACATTCGGATGGTTACCAACTAGAGGATACATCTTTTAGTGATCAAAACGAATACTTCCTCTTTTCTTATTCGGCCTTAACCATGAACGGGTTCGCCGGCGCACATGAATCGCACGACGCAAATGCAGATCAACATAGTCAGTACGATGACCATTATTCAAGCACAAGTGACGATGACAACGATGCAGTTGAGGTATGTAATATATCTCATCTCAGCCAACCGCCATACAGAAGATCCGTTGTTAAAATTTAATTTGAGCAGGTCACTTTTGACCCGGCGAGTCCTTACCGACGGAAAAGTTCTTTAATATATAGCGAAGCAAATGCCCCAAAAATTGCAGGGTACAAATCAAAGGCGGCAGCCAGTCAATGTTTAGTTCATCAATTTCTTGAAGGGTATAGAAACGAAAAGCGTAAAAGCACCGATCTAGAGCATGTTGGTCAGATGCATGAAGACGTCGCTGATGAAGTTGGCCTTGATCATTTCGTTGAGCCTAAGGGTACAGCGGCTAGTCCACAGCTAAATGGAACGTCCAGAGACCTAGATAGCGATGCCAGCACGGAGACGGGGCAACCCGACCAAGAATCGTGGCGGAAATCCAGACTTAACTTAGATCATAACGAAGGCCTCAACAGCCGGTTACTTACAAAGAAACAATTGACTGATATGGCCTGGGGAGTCCGGGAACTGAGCCGGAGACTAGGAAGCATACGGCTTAAGTTCAAAGTCAGAAGCGTCTTCCTCCTAACAAAAGCTTATGACCGCGAATTGATACCAAAAACGAGATTAGTAGCGAAATGGCTACTTAGTAAAGCAAGAGACGTCCGGTATATCGTCTACGTGGAAGAGAGCTTAAAAAGTAACGATGAATTCGATGCGCCTGGGTTGCTGCAAGAGCTGGGCCAAGAGTACTGCGATTCTGACGTTCATGCCGCGAAGAAATCGTTGGAAAATCGATTACGCTTCTGGAACGAGAAAATGTGCCGCAAGCGCCCGCACACGTTCGACTTCGTCATCACCCTCGGAGGCGACGGGACGGTCCTTTATGCCAGCTGGTTATTCCAGCGGATAGTACCCCCCGTTCTCAGTTTTTCGCTAGGCAGCCTCGGATTTCTCACGAAATTCGAATTCAGCGAGTACGAAGAAATCCTGTCCACGGCTTTCAGGGAAGGCGTAACCGTGAGCCTACGCCTGCGATTCGAAGGGACGGTCATGCGAAGCCAAAAGAAGACAAACCAGCTAACGCAGAACGAATACGTGGACGAGCAAGGGACGCATCGCAAACGCGATTTGATAGAGGAGCTCATCGGCGAAGAGCAGGACGACGAGCGCACGCACAAGCCCGACGGAACCTACGAGATCCTCAACGAGATCGTGGTAGACCGGGGTCCGAACCCAAGTAAGCAGCCGCCGTCCCCAATCCCCACAATAGCGGACGTAGCAAACTCACCAGCGTCATCAACCACAACAGCAATGTCGTCGACGGAGATCTTCGGCGACGACGAGCACTTCACGTCGGTGCTGGCGGACGGCGTGTGCGTGTCGACGCCGACGGGGTCGACGGCGTACAACCTGGCGGCGGGCGGGTCGCTGTGCCACCCGGACAACCCGGTGATGCTGGTGACGTCGATCTGCGCGCACACGCTGTCCTTCCGGCCCATCATCCTGCCCGACACGATCGTGCTGCGCATCGGCGTGCCCTACGACGCGCGCACCGGCAGCTGGGCCAGCTTCGACGGCCGCGAGCGCGTCGAGCTCGGGCCCGGCGACTACGTCACCGTCAGCGCGAGCCGGTTCCCGTTCGCGAGCGTCCAGCCCCAGGGCCGGAGGGGCGAGGACTGGGTCAAGAGTATTAGTGCCAAGTTGGGCTGGAACACGCGCCAGAGGCAGAAGAATGATGGGTATAATCAGTGGAATAAGTAAAGTGGAAAAGGGTTAGATGGATGGGTAGGTAAATATATGGATGGTTTTATAGGGAAAGGAAAAGAAGCTTGGAGTTATGGAGTGTGGAAAATGGGTTAGCAATGGGTGGCTTTTGGGTGGTACGACTAGATGGGAGGTTTAGAATATTGTGGGAGATAGGTATCGCACGCCGTGGAGCCAGGTATCGGGTATTAAGTCGGCCGCGGTTGAGGCGTAAGGTATTATACTGTCTTACCTACCACCTAGGTACTCGAGGGAGGTAGATATCTACGATGAAGAGCTATGTGTATAACAGCTTTCGGTATTGAGAAGATGAGATCTCAACTATAACTTATTGAGGTGAAGCCTATCTCCCTTGGCAGTCTGTGCAGTGGACCTCATCTCATTCTCCACCCTCCATCGTGGAATATTTCCAAGCGTGTGCTGAGTCCCGCATCGGTCACGGTAACGTAGCAATAATGTTTGAGCTGTTTCGTCCTTACTAGATCCCGAGACGGTGCCATATCGCGTAGGAAAGGAAGAAGGAAGAGAAGGGCTGGGGTATGCAAGAAATTCCTTAGCGTGAGAGCCGGTCCTTGCCCTCGCGGTGCGCCGGGGGATTTTTGAGGCTGCTTGGCGATGGAGATGCTTTTTTCTTTGGCCTCTTGGCCTTGTCGCAGCGTTGCGGAGGACGCGCGTTGAAACGCTCGGGGCTTTTCATAGGGAGTTACGTGTGCGCTGCTTCCCGAGGACGGAAATTGGCGCATCAGATCGCATTGCGTTCAATTCTTGGTAGTTTGATTCTTAGTGTGAAGTTGGCTTGTTATAGGATTTCGATATGTCCTTGGTGATTCCATACAACTTTCGGTTTGACGACCTAGCAAGTTCTTCGTCCATTAGAAAAGGTCTATCAATTGCTATATTCACAACATTCGGAAGATTTCTCAAATCACTAGTTCAAAATGAGAATGATCTTTTCGTCCGGTCTCAGCCCGAAATAAACAGGCTGGTCGTGAATTGTTTATACTACTGACTACCGTAGATTTTTATAAGCCGAAGCAATCACTCTAGGAGAGATTACCGTAACCAGCTGATGCTAAGAAATACATATGTGCCGCGCGTTATATGTGAATAAATCGTCCCAACCGTCAATCCCCTGCCCCCGTAGACTCCCGGAAATGGTATCAAAAAAACGACGATGAAAATGCCTTTTGTACAGAAGCAAATAGAATGAGATACTAGGTAATAAGGTAATAATTATCGGTGTTCGGGCAATCGTTTTTTTCTTTTTCTTTTGCTTGCCTTACTCCTGTGTCTGATCTATCGCGGCATCATCGGCGTCTTCTGTCGTCTCGACGAACGTCATCGTGAACCCTTGGCTGTCGTCGACATTTAGGTTGATCGAGTCAATGACATCGTTCGAAGATGAACTTTGTCGCTTAGCCACGGCCGGGAGTTTTGCGACGGGGAGGGACTCCACGGAGCGAGTTTCGAGTTCACTAGATGTCTGGATAGCTTTCAGAACGGTACTAGTTAGCATGCCATGTAGTATAAACGTCGATAGTCGGGATAGGGGTCATTTACTCACCGGCAGGGACACCGCGCTTGACGTACATGCGCGTGACCTTGGTTCGTCGGCGGGGCTGCGCAGAAGATTCATCACGCTTGGCAGCGGCATTAGCGGCCGCACCGACAGCGCCACCCTTATTATCAACAATGATACCGACACCAGCACCACCCTCACCAGTACCAAGCTGGATTAGAGGACCCTTGGTCAAGGCCGCCTCGGCGAAGGTGAGAGCTCGGTCGAAGCCGGCGAGGTCACGCTTAGCCTTGGGCGATTCATCCTCACGGGGAGCGATCTCCTTGCCCATGCCCTGAAGACCAGATATTTGAGTAGCTAGAGGTATATTAATATCTTATTATCATCAAGATATAACGGTGGCTATTTACCTTGCTGTTGCAAGTTGGGGTCTACGGTAGTAGAACCTGAGGACGGAGCGGGAGCCTCAGTGGCTTCATTAGAAGCGGGGGTATCGGCGGCAGCAGCGGCGTTGTTGCTTTCGGCGGCCACGACGGTGTCCCCGGCAGCGGGGGTGGAAGCGGCGGCGTTGTTGGTGCCAGCTTCGGGCACAGCAGCAGCATTGTTGGCAGTTCCAGTCGCAGCATTGACTGCGGCACCCTCCAATGCGTTCATCAAGTTCGTTACGTCTTGGCCCCCGCCGAACGAGATCTCACCATCACCGACTACCCTGTATAATATGAATTAGATATCTTGAAAAGCTATATATCCGCACGGATCAGGACGTACAATGCGGGGGAGTATGCGCCAAGGTTGATGTTCAAAGGAAGAGCGTTGACGCTAGCTAAGAAGCCGGCAACGGCAATCATCCGATAGCTGACCATTTTTGCTGGTGGCTTTTTGGCTTATTGCTTAGGATATAGAAAGAGCGAAAATAGATATTACAGTAGTATAAAACGACCAGCGGCGACCAGCGGAAGAAGCAAATACAGATTAACTGTTTCAAAGGAAAATAGGAAGAGACCGGAAACGAAAACTTTAGGACGATGACTTGAGCACAGCTGAGTGATCCCAAAACTCGATAATCGGGGCCGACGACGACCTTCATATACGCCGAAGTCTAGACATCCTAGATAATCGAATATTCCCACTCATCCAGTCGGGACCTCGAAAGCCAAGTGGCCAAGGCAGGTGGACATGGGATGTCTATTCCCCTCCGATGCCAAGGTGTTTCTCCTTCGACATACATGTTAAAAATATCTCGAGCAAGGTGTTTGGTGTATCACGTAGGCGGAGAGAGATCTCTCTCGCGGGTCTACTCCAGCTCGTTCTCCATTGGAAGCGGAGTTTAAACAACGTTATCAGTGCTTGAAACGGAGGTGAACGACCGGGGTAGGAATAAACAAGATCACGGATGCAGCTATGACCGTGCTGAGTACGTGACAATGAGGCTCTTGGCTGAACCCGCCAAGTGCCGTAGGTCAGTCAATGCGACAGCCTAGAAATATCTGCGTAGCCGCAAGAGGCAAAAGGCGAATGTGTGAGATGAGTATCAATCCAGGGCGGATCATTCAGTCTTGAGACCTGCCAAGTGACCAGGGTGGTATTCTCCCCACGTCTAGCACGCACAAGCTTGCCCAGAAACAACAAGCTTCGTCGCCTAGCGACTATCTGATTCGCTCGTCTCGTATAATTTACCGGCAATCTAGATTAGCTCTGAAGGGTCTTTGTCTCGAGAACCAACTTGACTAGTACAGCCAAGGCTGCAAGAGAGGCATCCTCTTTTGAGATGAGTATCGTTGGACCTTGAATATTTGAGAGACTGTCACTCGTAGCCAACGTAAGCATTGCTGTACATTGTTTCGGGAGATGACTAGTTCAAGAATGGCGAATTGCTATGAGGCTTACCAAGGACATACTGCCCCTATTCATTTCCATCCTAGGATTTAGGTGAGTAGTTAAACAGTTAGTTTCGTAGAAAATGTGATGTTAGACTAGCATTACGAGCTGAGAATGAAGTCTATGAAAATCCACATAATACATTAATTATAAGTCGTAGATCATACAAAGTGTGCCTATTTCTAGATATTAGCAGCAGCTGGTGAGATGTATTGTCTCGCGTTTCCAAGTCGAGTTGCTATGAATAGTACGGGAAGTTTGGATGAAAGAGTAGATCACGGGCTGGGCCATGGAACCAAACTTACGAAATACAGAATATTAAAGCTTGGTTCACATCAAGCAAAACTGCCAAGTTGAGTCAAGACCGGATCTCTCGCACACCATCCTTAGCCGCATCGGGACCGTCGATGAAGCAAAGCCAAGAGATTGGTGCTGGACCAACTCAGGAACGGAAACGAGCTCTTTTCTTGGCCATTTTTAGCATATTTCGCACATCACCACGTGCATATATCTTTTCCTTTCCGCATGTCTCACATCCTCTTAAGGCTTAACGTTTAGGTTATGATCGGGTAGTGATCGAAATCTTTTGGGAAAAATGAGGATCGTAGAGAGGACAGAGAATTCCCACATTTTACTGAGTCCGAGATGAATTGGAGACTTTCAAACCCAACCCACTGCGGGGGAGTTGGGGTAAGACTGAGTTTTAGTCAGCAAAGTGACTTTACAGTACATACGTACTTTGTATTCGCACGGCGGGCGGACCCTCGGTCATCTTCGTAACTTGATAAGTATTATCTATCAACTCAACTCAATTCAATTCAATTCAACTCAGCTACCACACGCATATTGTCATTGGTCTTTGCACTTCTGGTCTTGGAATCTCTAGCATTCACAAGAATACTGATACCAGCCCTTCGCTTCTTTACTCAACCCTACGGTTGAGCCGAAGTGGGAGCCATCACTCAGCTTCTTGGCACGGTCAAGAGGCACAGTGATTGGCAGCACCATCAGCACTGACTCCAATCGTCTGCGTGGGTAAATGAGGTGTGTTACACTGACTCTACCTCGGCGGCTGCCTATCAATCCTTCCAGAGACAGCAAGCCACGGCGCTATCTGATTTTACTTCTTTCAGCTTAAGACAACTCCAGGCTATCACTTTCAAACGGAGCAACCGTGTTCGTTCAATGTGCTTCATGAACCAAATCTTCAACTGCTCTCTTCTGAACAACCGGTGAACGTGTCAAAACAAATGTCATCTTTAGAATCGTCCATGTCGCCTCTCATCAAAGAGAAGCAGGATAACGTATATCGGTCTGATGTCCGAACACCGCCAAGGCACCCGAGTTGGGGCTGGGGACGTCTGGGAGTTGTGTTATTGGCTGTTGTATCTGGCGTGGGAGTTATCAGCCATTTTGGGCATGGCCGCATCAATTATGGCTTTCATTTTCCGAGTTCGGGGTATCAGACGCCGTCGTCGTCAGAGACTCCAGAACCGTCGGACGCTCCAGAAGGATGGACCGAATGGTCAGACGTAAGCTTTCCTAAAGACGCATGAGACCGCGTCGTCTATCGTGAGAATGTAGTTAATGTTGACATTGCTATCTCTTCGCGCATTAGATCACCCCGAGCGAGAAGCTCATCTGGCAGCCATGCTTCCAAATCTACGGCCCTGACTTCCAGTGCGCTCGATTAACTGTGCCTATGGACTACCACCGGCCGTTGAACGAGTCGGCAGACCATCCGAAGGTGCATTTAGCCCTGGTCCTGAAACCCGGTATCAACCGTACCGAGGACCCGTCATCCTTCGGAGAGTCTCCCTTGCTGGTCAACCCCGGTGGTCCCGGGGGTAGCGGGGCTGGCTTCGCATTGTCAGCTTCTGGGTTGCTTCAGACAGCTGTCGGCAGGGACCGTGACGTTATTGGGTTCGATCCGCGAGGTGTTGGGGCTACCACGCCTAAGGCTGATTGCTTCGTAGCACCTGATGACCCTTTCGGACTCGATGGACGTAATGTCGCCTATATGCAGCGGCTAGGCTGGCTCACCTCCGGCCATGACGTAGGCATTGTAAACTCCAGCAATGTTGCGCTCAGCAAGCTTAACGCTAGGTCGAAAGCGCTCTCTAAGCTATGTAAGCGTGTCGATGATGTTTACGGCAACGACAGCATTTTCCGGTATTCGAATACTCCCAACGTTGCACGGGATATGCTATCTATCGTCCATGCTTGGGACGAGTGGCGATCGGTCCCCGACGTCAAACCCGCCAAGTCCAACCAGAAACTGGAGCCCACAGATGGGCAACAGACCGTTACTAAAATAGAAGCTCAGGATAGCACACAGGGTAAATTGGTCTATTGGGGGTTTTCGTACGGGACTTTACTGGGAGCCACGTTCGCCTCTATGTTCCCGGACAAAGTTGGTCGAATTATCCTAGACGGCGTCGTCGACGCGGACCACTATGTCAGTCCTATGTTGGATAACGCCATATTCGATACCGATGCGATATGGGACAAGTTTTTCTCTTACTGTGCCGATGCTGGATCGCGATGTCCGTTCTACCAGTCCGGAGATAAGCCCGGAGACATCAAGAGCCGGGTTGATGGCACTATGAACTGGCTCGAGAAAGAGCCCGCAATCGTTTTGCCCTACCAGGCAAACGTACCTCTCTTGATTACAGCCAGTGACGTAAAGATGATCATATTCTCAGGTCTTTATTCCCCGATTGCCTCCTTCCCCGCCATCGCTACACTCCTTAGAGCTATTGTCGATGGCAACCTAGACAGCTTCGTGACTAGCCCAGCACCGACAGTGCTTTGCCACAACTTAACTCTACCCCAATGGCCGGACGATGCCCAGAAGGTGATCGGATGTAGCGATAAACGGTACAAGGTGAAATTCCACAACTCCGCCAAAGTTGCCCTCGATACCGGTTCTGACATGTAGTAGCTCAACGATGACCTAGATAGTCTTCAGGCGCGCTTCGAGGCGATGGCCAACTTTTCCTCCTTCGCCGATGTTGTAAGTAATCTCACAGCTCCATTCTGAAGGAACCTTCTAATCGTATTAGTGGATGAATGTTGGCTTCAACTTAGGCTGTAATGGGTGGGATATCGAAAGCAAAGACCCACCAATGCGCTGGGACGACCATCCAGCTCATAAACAGGAACCTATCGAAACCAGCTTCCCGCTCCTTTTCTTATCTAACCATTTCGACCCCGTCACACCGTTACGCTCTGCTCTAAAAATGACGCGCAAGTTTTCACAAGCAAGTATCATAGAGCAGATCGCAGAGGGCCATTGCACTGTATCGTGTATCTCGTTCTGCACGATCGGCCATATACAAGCGTACTTCAACAAGGGAATCTTGCCGCCCGCACCGAAGTTCGACTCGGATGATGAGGGGCAGTGGACGACTTGCTCGTGCAACGAGAAGCCCTGGAAGTCGCTTAACGACAGGATGGGAGTTCCACAATCGAACGGCGGTGCTCTGTTAGAAAAAGTAGAAGGGGAAGCCGACATATTGGACGGCATGACTGCCGAAGAGGCAAGTCTCATGACGGCTTACGGCGGCCTACGAAATAAGTTTGCCGAGTTTACGGCAGCCCAGCACCAATCCGAATACCGCAATCCAATTCAACTCCCGTGGATGATCAGCTCTTCGTTTATGGATAATGAACATCATACTTGCAGCAAGCCATGAGGGCCGTCAAATCGGAGTCAGGGACATTATACAGGCATTCAGGCAAGCAAGCGTTGTAGGAGCCTGTTTATATGACGTGGAGTTTGATAGCTGAATACTGTCCGCATAACTAGGACAATGTAATATATCACATTTACTTCACAAAACGAACCAAGGTGATAATTCTGTTTGACTGACTAATTTACGAAAGCTAGATAGATACCTATATTACAAATCATCTGCCCTGTCTCGGATACACGCATATCTAGGTACTGTTACGCAGCAATGCCTCTCAAGGACTACTCTCAAGTAACAACATGAGCCAACACAACATCCTTTTCTTGTCCTCTATATCTACCTTCCTATTCATCACCTACGGCAAGTACCGTCGGAAGAGTTCCGGCGATCTCTGCCACGTTGCTGTGCCGCACTATGCATATAGCTCGATTCGGGACAGCATCGTGTGCGTTTCCCCATTCGCTCCTCGCGGACCGAGTACATCGTTTCCAGAATTCGCGTGCGAACCGTGATCGCCCGCAAACCCTAGTGATGAATCCATGCAGGTACCTGCATACCTGCTCACGTCCTCCAATCTTGATTTGCTCTCTTTACCGTGTTTTTGCGTCGTATACTACGGCAAATCGTCACCCTCGCCCGGTTAGAGGAAGAAGACATCATCACGTAAGATGCCGAGGAACGTCGTCCACCGCTCTTGAATTCGGCTTCCTACCTGATTAGGCTGTTAATTAGGTACCCTTACCTAGTTGTGTAACGGCGATCCATTACTGGCAACGCATCGGATGCATGTGAAGATTAACGATCTATCACAATTCCATGTTGTTACGATGCCTTACATCGAATTGCGGCGCACACGACGAGAAGAGCAAGACACCCGACAACTTTCATTCGGTCGGTGTACGGCGGACGGAGGACGGACTCGAAAAGCACATAGCGCGCATGAGAATCGGCCGATAGCCCCAACCTCTGCAACCGCCCTTCCTTCCTCGGGCCGTCCCCTTCGTAATAATGTAAGGGTTATGTATGGTTTGCATCCGATATCATAGTCGCCTCCACGAGTTCCACACTCCTATACATTCTCGACGGAAAGTTTGAAAGAGCTTCATATAATCTGTGCACATATGGCGTACGATAAATATCATACTAAATCCTCACTAAACACAACCTCCACAACCTTCAAATCGAAACGGGCGGGGAAGCAAACCCGATCGTTCCCTGAATCGCCCCAAGTCTGGCTCTGGGTCTAAGCTCTGTCCAGCAGAGCTTGCAGCGCGAGCGAGCTGCACGTTGGTGCAAGATACGTTCCAATCGAATCACCCATGCAGTTTTTAGTGTGAGTTGGTTCCGTCCTCCTGGGATCCATCGACCCATTCCCAAAATACGGGGTTGATTTTTTTCAAATACCATCCATGAGAGGACCGCAATACAATTGAGATTATATTACCATGTATTTGTATCCCCACGTACACATATGCAGACATGACAAGACCGTCGCTTGCTTTCGAGATCTCCGTCCAATGAGATTGGGCGGGTAATACGGCAATAGGCGAATAGCGATTATATATGAGTATGTAAATGACAAGCTGCGCCCTTACGGCGACTATTTGTATGACATACATATGTCGATAGCTGGGACGGAATACTTACGCCTTTATTACGAATTGACCTCTGCATATTAGCTTTGTCTACTCATTCATCTAGACCAACCTTAATTCTCAAAACGGAACCGAGCTAAAGAAAGCCTCTAAACCAGACCGCTTAATCCGGCCCACCAGAGCTCGCGGGCTGAACCTCCATGCGTCTCCCTCCCAGTGCTTCTTTAGCTCAAGCCTTAACCACAGGCACCTCGAGCCAGAACGCACAGGAAAAGAAGGTCAAGGAAAAGGAAAAGGACAAGGACAAGGAAAACATGAACAACCTCGCCACCCTCGTCGTCTTCTACAACCGGGACAAGGTCGCCGAGCCGGACGAGGCGCTCGACACCGAGACCTTCGCCGCGCGGTGCCATTGCGGCAACGTCAACTTCACCGTCACGCTGCCGACCTCGTACCTGCCGCTGAACGCGTACATCTGCTCGTGCACCATCTGCCGGTACACGCACGGCACCTTCGGCAGCTACCACATCTCGCTCCCGCAGGGCGTAGCGCCCGAGTGGACCAACGGCGCGCTGAACCTGGCCGTGTACAAGACGCCGGGCAGCGGCGCGGGCGGCCACGGCCAGCGCTTCTTCTGCCCGCGCTGCGGGGCGCACAACGGGCACTACGAGGCGTGGGCCGCGCAGTGGGTCGTCGAGCCCTCGCTCTTCGACGCGCCCGTCTTCTGGCACTTCCGCGGCATCGGCTTCCCGCGCTCCGCCGGCGACGGCGGCGGCCTGCTCTCCTGGCTGCCCGAGGTCGGCGGCCGCAAGCTGACGCAGGCCAGCCTCGAGCACGACTACGAGCCCGACCACGAGCCCGAGGTCGGCCCGGACGGCGGCGACAGGCTGAGGGCCGAGTGCAAGTGCGGCGGCGTCTCGTTTGCGATCCCGAGGCCCTCGGACAAGGTAAAGGGGGACGAGTACATGGGCAGATACGTGTCGCCGGTGAACCCGGGCAAGTGGAAGGCGTTTATGGATTTCTGCCGCGATTGCAGGCTCGTCTCGAGTGCGCATGGCGTGCCGTGGGTGCTGGTTCCGAGGGCGGTCCTGGAACCGGAGGTCCCCTCAGACTTACGCTTCGGGACAATAAAGACATATAAATCGTCAGAAGACGTCACGAGAGGATTCTGCGGCGTATGTGGTGCGACGATATTCCTCAAGTGCAAGGCTAGAAGCCCGACGGAAGAAACGGAAGTGCTCAATATTGCGGTGGGCATCTTGAGGGCTCCGGAGGGCGCCAAGGCGGAGGATTGGCTCACTTGGAGAGCGGGAAGGCCGGCGTGGGTGGATGATGCGATGGAATACGACCCCGAGTTTATACAAGCTGTTGTAAATGGCCACAGGGAGTGGGCGGTCGAGGAGTATGGGGAGGCGCTAGATTTCGAGGTTATGTAGAGGACATTTCTACTTGAGAAAGTAGATTATACCATTTCCTCTACGAAACCGTGTAGCATATAGCTTATCCATGGATGCTTGGTGTATATTAATGTGAGAAGCCATACACAAGTCTGTGTTGCCTAAGTATATCAAATAGTCATCGTAAGGTACCGTGCCTACATCTGCGAATGATTTTGATGTCTTGTGAAAGGTTGAAGCTGCAACATTTGAAAGTTCCGGGGTCCTTTATTCTAGGCCACCGGGGCAAGTGCCATTGAGTTATTTGCAGCTTCCAATGGTGTACGGGTCCGCAGAGCATTGGCCAATCCCGTATAACCTTAAGCTCATTGTCGCTGCGACTAAAATTCCGTGACTTCGAAGGTCTCAGGTATCCGATACTTCAGATGTGGGGGAGACTACCCCTCTTATCGAGTATAGATACTCTATCGATGATCACTCGATAAGGAAATATGGATATTTCTAGCCAATCAGAGTGCCGATGTAACTTCCAATGAAATTTTTAGCTATTAGGAGCTTTTTTTTATCTTCAACCACAGGTTTTGATTTGTACCCTCTCCACGACAATTCATTACCAATCCCCTCTCTCCGTCTCGATTGGGATACTTAGTTTGGTTGAAGGGCGGTTTTATCCAAGATGTCGGCGTTTTCGCGAACACTGGCGCCATTTGTGCGCGCCTCGCGGCACTCCCTCAGAACCGGCAGCGCCGCCAACCCGTTACAATTTGCTGTGCGACAGCAAAATCTAGCCGCAGCCCTCAACATCACAAGATCATATGCAGTATTCGAGAGAACGAAGCCTCACGTCAACGTCGGTACCATTGGTCACGTCGATCACGGAAAGGTACGCTAGTTATGTAGAATATACGAGTTCCGGAGAACCCCTCATGTCTCTAACTATCCATATAAATTAGACTACTCTATCTGCCGCCATCACAAAGAGACAGGCCGAGAAGGGGCTTGCAAACTTCCTCGAATATGGCGCTATCGACAAGGCGCCTGAAGAGCGAAAGCGTGGTATCACTATCTCTACCGCACATATCGAATATTCCACCGAGAACCGTCACTACTCTCACGTCGACTGTCCCGGTCACGCCGATTACATCAAGAACATGATTACTGGTGCCGCCAACATGGACGGAGCTATCATCGTCGTCGCCGCTTCCGATGGTCAGATGCCTCAAACGAGAGAACATCTTCTACTTGCCCGCCAGGTCGGTGTTCAAAAGATTGTCGTCTTCGTCAACAAGATCGACGTCATCGAGGACCCCGAAATGTTGGAACTTGTCGAGATGGAAATGCGTGAGCTGCTGTCTCAGTATGGCTTCGAAGGAGACGAGACCCCCGTTATCATGGGTTCTGCCCTCATGGCAATGGAGGGTAAGCGGGATGACATCGGTAACTCAAAGATCGATGAGTTGCTGAAAGCCGTCGACGAATGGATCCCTACCCCTCAGCGTGACCTTGACAAGCCCTTCCTGATGTCCGTCGAGGATGTCTTCTCCATCGCTGGTCGTGGAACTGTCGCCTCTGGTCGTGTCGAGCGTGGTACCCTCAAGAGGGACCAAGATGTTGAGTTGGTCGGAAAGGGCTCGGAAATCATCAAGACCAAGGTTACTGATATCGAGACCTTCAAGAAGTCCTGCGATGAATCGCGTGCTGGTGATAACTCGGGTCTGCTTCTGCGAGGTGTCAAGCGAGAGGACATCAGGCGAGGTATGGTTATCGTTAAGCCTGGCACCGTGAAGCCTCACAGCAAATTCCTGGTCTCCCTATACGTCTTGACCAAGGAAGAAGGTGGTCGACACACCGGTTTCACGGAGAACTACCGACCCCAAATGTTCTTACGAACTGCTGACGAGGCTTGCGCGCTTTTCTTCCCCCCAGATGTCGAGGATAAGACCAGACTGGTCATGCCTGGCGATAACGTCGAAATGATGTGCACGCTGCACAACCCTCTTGCCGCCGAGGTTGGTCAACATGTCAACATCCGTGAGGGTGGTCGAACCGTCGCGACGGGTATCATTACACGAGTCATCTCTTGAAGTAGCCTGCGGACTATTTAGGACTAGACTAAGTGTGCAAGGGGGGATAGAACGGGCTATTCGGCTCTACATTTTTATAGCCGGCATGGGGAAAATCGGCGTTGCTCCTCTTGTGTATAAGGGATTTCAGATCATGTATTATATTTTGAGCCCATGTACACCTGGCACCGTCCCCGAGGCTCGTTTAATCTCCCCTCTAGTCTAACGCGTCTTTCATGTAGTTGAGTTGACTATAGAGAATGATGAAACGGTAAAACGACTAAACTAATGAGTTACTCGCATGAAGAAAAACACGTTCCCAGTGCTAAACCCGGCCTTGGGACCGAGAACGGGGCTCTCACTAGCTTACTAGGTAGTGTGCTTCTGATATTACAAAAATATTCCTTTCGTGGCAGCTAAGTATAACTAAACAACTCCACATCTCTTACCGGGCTTCACGAAATTAGGTCAGCTAATTCTGAACACTTGTCTGAATAGGGCATTAAACATTATGGGTTTTCGTGATCCTCGTACATGACTCCAATGCGTGGCATCGAGATGTGCATATGTGTACCTTTGCACACACGATACTACTAGCTTGTATCCCTGCGATTTCCTTGTGATTGAGATCTATTCATACCGGGTTCTGCTCATCCACTTCAGCGGCTATCCACGTGTATTCAGAGAAGACAACCATTTATCTGTCACAGCTAAAGGGGGTCTAGATCCACTTGTCGATGTTGAATATTCCCTACTCTAGCGTCACGACTACCCAACCAACCAGGGATCAGTAGTCCAAACTGTCGACTCCTGTAGTTTTCCTAGCGATTACATCTTTCTTAATGACAAACTTCATCTTTGAATCTCAATACTGAAATGTCTCCTGGAATCTTTGTCTGTTGATCTTGCTTCGTAGGTTGTAGCGGATAGAGCAGACAGAGCAGAGTAAGACGATAATCTCGTGATGTTCTCAGGGGAAGATTAACAAAGGCTTATAACTCAGGCCTCCCATGATTAGGAAACTTCGTTAATCTTAAAACCAGGTAAACGACCCAGAAATTTAACGAAGTATTGATGCCCGATGAAATATGACTCAGTACTAATAATAAAAGAGTATTCAAACACTTTCCATGAATAGCCAAATCGTGCTCTATGCCGAGGGTAAAGAGGTTCCAGGACTCCGTCCAACCGATCGATCCAGCCGAATTAAGCTAGTTCGGGATTTTCAACCGCTCGGGCCAGGTAATTCTCACCTTGCCAAGCTTCGGCGGGCCACGGCTGGGATCGCCGAGACCACGACGGGATCCCGCGTCATGCTAAGCTACAGCAAGACACGCAGGTACTTTATCTGTTCGATGTGATTTTATCAGGTGGTGTAACGTTAAGGGCTCAAACGGAAAGAATCATCCACGATGATGCACCTGTTATCGACGTAACATGGCAACCTGGCTGGCGCAAATCGTAGAAGGATCAGGACGCATTGACGTACTCAGTGTACCCAGAAATGCCTAGGTCAGAATTAGGTCATAGCCAAATCGCAATCTCTTCCCTGGCGCGGTCACCCGATGTCGCTATTGTAAGAAGAGAGGCATTTTTCGAACCGCCAAGAGCTCTCATCCCAACACAGAATGTTAGGATAACGCACAGGTCAGCAAAGGATCAACTCAAGACACCTAGTGTAGAACGAGGAAGCTGTCGTGGGCAGCGCGGGCTTACAGGCGTGGTCCCGTCATTCTATTATCAGGGGCCCACAACGAGACGATTAGCGTACCGGTTCAGCCCGCTCAGCTTGCCAAGTCGCTGTGCCGTTGTCGATAAAATATCGTCTCCTGCTTTTGGTGTACCAAGCTTTCTATTTCCTTAAAGGAAAAAAAAATAATCGTCAACAAAAAAGATCAACAAGATCAATGATGTCTCCGATAACGACCATGACGATAAACAACTTCTTACGTTTACAGTTGCATACGTAATTAATAGTCATTATATAGGGCTCCCTTTTTGAAGCTCTAAAACAGAACCAGATGAAACGTCGACCTGCAAATGAGAGTTATCAATTCGATTCACTGGCTTCCGTTCTCTCGGGTCTTACCGGATTGGGTAAGTGCTTTAACTGAATTTTCCTGTTTTGTGGACCTGCAGCCTGAAGCCGTAAGAGTGGACCCCTGAGAGTTTGCGGCTCGAGACCCACTTGTCGATTGTGGTTCAACTCTTTTCACAACACCACTCGATCTCCTTTTTTTCCCCGTCTTCTCACCCTGACGAGTTTTTGAGTTGATTTTGGTTGGCGAATTGGTTTACTAAGTTGATTATTATTCGAATCAACTTTGGTCATGACTCTCAATTGACTTCAATCATATGTAAATCCTCTCAACATTGATGATCCGGATCTCGAATTCTCGCCGTGTGGCCCCGAATTCACGGTCCCGGCCCTGTGGGTCCTCTCGAACACCGAGATTCGCCGAACCAACTCCCTCGCCCTTAAACATTTACTCGCCTCGCGTCCTCGCGTCTTAGGGTAGAAGCGTCTAAATTAAGCTTTTACTGGCTCCCAGCTTGGGCACTGTCAATAATCTACGAACCTATCCCATCGTTCGTAGCTATGGGGACTTACCCGAACAGGAAACCAAAGTGGTTCCGCCATCGGCTCCTGTCCAGTACCTTCTCGATTTCTCAAAAATCCATTTCCATGATCTCGTGCTAGCCAATAGCGCCCCTTACCAGGTTAACCTGTCAACCAGAGGCAAATAGCCTAGAGCTTCAAGGGTCACTTTTCCTTCACTTATATAAGGGATGGATCCCGCCCCCTTACAACTCTTTATGAGGTTTTATTCTCCCTAGTATATCACTTCCTGAGTGACGTTTCACTTAAACATCCCTCAAGGTATTAATAAATAATAATATTAAAAAAAAATCAAAATGGATTCACGAGATTCATCCACCACAGAGGTGGAACGGCCTTCCACCCAGGCGAGCAACCACCCAGACCGCCAAGACCACCAGATCAAGTACGGGCCAGTCAACCCTCCCGGCTTGGCTCGTCATCCTACGAATCCGTTATCCCGTAATGCCACCAAGGAGACGATTCGAGATCCTAACCTAGATGTGAACTTACCGTACCGAACTCTCTCCAACGAAGCCAACCTTGAAGAATACATCACAGAAACACCATCAGGACAAATACCCGGACCAGTAGAACCTGATGGCGAACACCGATACAAACTTGTCACCTTCGTCCCGGGCGACCCTGAAAATCCTAAGAACTGGTCTAAGGCGTATAAGTGGTACTGCACTATGGTCGTGGCCGTAACCTGTTTCGTTGTGGCTTTTTCATCTAGTGTTGTCACAGCCGATATTGTTGGTGTGGCCGATGAATTTGGTGTTAGTGAAGAGGTCGCATTACTCAGTATCACCTTATTCGTCGTCGGTTTTGGTATTGGTGAGTGAAATCATGTAAATCCGCTACGAATCATTCAATTAACTAACCATTGATAAGGCCCAATGATATTCGCTCCGCTATCAGAAGTTTACGGAAGACGAATCATCTACGGCACGACGCTTTTGGTCGCCGTAGTCTTCATCATCCCTGGTGCCGTCGCGAAGAATATTGCTACTCTCTTAGTCGCTCGAGCCATTGACGGAATCGCCTTCTCTGCGCCAATGACACTTGTCGGCGGTACCTTGGCTGACTTGTGGAGATCCGAGGAGAGAGGTATTCCTATGGCTGCTTTCTCCGCTGCCCCTTTTATCGGTCCTGCTGGTAAGTACTAACATCATTAGACATCTGTTCGTAACAATAACCTTAGTTACTGACTTATTATTATAGTCGGTCCCCTCGTTGGCGGTTTCTTATCTGACGCCTGTGGCTGGCGATGGCTGTACTGGATCCACCTGATTCTCGCTTTCGTCGTCTGGGTCTTGATCACCTTCACCGTGCCCGAGACCTACGCGCCTACGATCTTGGCTAGACGAGCCAAGAAGCTGCGTGAAGAGACCGGCGAAAAAGACTACGTTACAGAAGAGGATATCGACAAGCGACCTTTCGCCGAACGACTGGGAATTTTCTTAGTCCGACCCTTCCAACTTCTCTTCGGCGAACTGATCGTCTTTTTGATCAGTCTGTACATGTCTGTCTTGTACGGTCTGCTGTACATGTTTTTCGTTGCCTTCCCTATCATCTTCCAAGAAGGCAAAAGCTACTCTGCCGGTATTACGGGTCTCATGTTGTAAGTAGAATTCTCCCCAATCGCGCTCTAAACAATAATTCAGCCACTAACACATCCAAGCATTCCCCTAGCCGTCGGCGTCATCGCCTCCGCCATCTGCGCGCCGCTCGTAAACACGCACTACCGGAAGCTGATCTCCAAGCACAACGGCCTCCCCCCACCCGAGCTCCGCCTGATCCCGATGATGTGCTCGTGCTGGTTCATCCCGATCGGCCTGTTCATCTTCGCGTGGACGTCGTACCCGCGGCTGATCTGGGTGGGGCCCGCGCTCGGCGGCTTCCCCATCGGCTTCGGCTTCATCTTCCTGTACAACTCGGCCAACAACTACCTCGTCGACGCGTACCAGCACCAGGCGGCCTCGGCCCTCGCCGCCAAGACCTGCATCCGGTCCTTCTGGGGCGCCGCCGTCGTGCTTTTTACGACGCAGATGTACGCCCGCCTCGGCTATCAGTGGGCCAGCACCCTGCTCGCCTTTATTAGTCTCGCCTGCTGCGGCATCCCTTTCCTGTTCTGGACTTACGGCGAGAAGATCCGCCAGCGTAGTAAATATGCGTATGCCGGCGAGGACGACGAGAAGATCGCGGGGATGGGAGATGGCCCGCTCTCGCGCGAGGACGATTCGGAGGATCAGGATTTGAGGCGTGCGAGGAGTTATGTTAGTAATCCTTGAGCGTTTGTCCGGGTCCGATGGGCAACAAAAAAAACCAACAACAATTACGAGTTTAAAAGGGGTTTTGGGAAACCACGCTCCCTGGCCTGGTTTGGTATATTGGCGTTCGTCGGGGAATAAGAGATCCTCTTGACTGGACCGCCTAAGGCAATTGAGCACCTACGCGGTATAAAACTAAATAAAATACTGCGCCAACGGTGTCGGTGGTGCGTCGTGTTGGCTGGCCACATAACATTAAAAGGGGAGGTGGCCCCGTTCCATTCTATAACTGCGTTAGGGTTGGTTATGGCATGGAATCATATTCTAGGCACGAGCGGAAGGCAGGTGCTGGGGAGCGGGCATGCATGCATCATATAGAGGCGTATCCGGCGTTAACTCTTTTCTGGGTGTTTAAAAAGGGGCGTCGTTTGTCTTGAGAGGATGTCCGCGTACGAGATACCTTAGATTTTACATGAGGGTACTGGATGAGGACACACCTTGGACGGATGATGCCTTACTTGGGTGGGGTTTGGATTTGGATTAGAACTTACGCCTCTATATATATAGATGGTTTGCATAATAGATTAATAGAAATAAATTCGTTAAACATACCTACGCTTTCTCGTGATGATAATGTGGTAGATACCTTCCATCATACCCTCGCCTACCTACCTAGGACCTAGGTATTGGACCTAATAGACACGTAAATGGACGAGCAGACCGAGCTCAACACCAAATTTAGGGTTCGGCAAATTTTAGAATACGAAATTCATTCTGAACCCCGAGGTGATCTTTTGCACGTATTTTTGGCATTCTACCAGTAGATCGTAAGATCTCACATACTAACATCTTATACTTGTACGCACACTATCTTCCTCCTTCCCTATTCCCTATTGTCTAGGCCCTTCATCAGAAACCCCACCGATCAACCCACAGCTTCACCCACTCCGTATTCACGGGCTTCAGCTCCCTAGCCGTCGGACTCGCCCGCAAGGTATTCTCCACGCGCCAAGTATAATCGTCCTCGCCGCCACCCTCTCCCTCACTCTTTCCGTTTTCATTCTCATTTGCAGTCCCGTTATTTTGACCCCCGTCCTTCTTCGGCACAAGTGACTTATAAAAGTCTAACAGCTTAACCGCGGGATTATCCTCCGCGCTCGTCTTCCGTGCGGCGCGATTGTGAGTACTATGCTCAAGCGCATCGATCCACTCCTCGAACGACGTCTCCTCTTTGGCTATCCCCTTCTCTTTAAGGGCAGGGAGCAGGTCTGCAAAGGTGACAGGCGAGGGATTGACTAGGTTGTACACTTTTGTACCTTCGCTTCCGCTCTTCGCCGTACCATTTACCCCATCTGTCGTGTCATCTCCGTTTTGGGTTTCCTCGTCGGCCCCAACATCCTCCACAACCTCGAGAATAATCTTCGCGAGTTCATCAACTGGCACCCATTCGACTCTACTGCTTGTCCCCAGCGTTTTGGGCAGCTTTCCTAGGAATTTGCTACTTCGCACCAGACTCGGAAACCATTCCCACTTATTCCACGTTCCCCCAAGCTCTACTGGTCCCGCAACCTGTCCGACACGAAGCACTGCGGCCTTGCGCCCAGTCGCCTTAACGTAGCTATCGAGTAGGCGTTCACCAACATACTTGCTCCTAGCATATCCCTGCTTTAACACCAATTCTTTTGGATCGGCCAGCACCTCCTCGGGGACTTGTGTCTCGGCGCCCATGGCCGCCGAAATACTCGACACGAAGAACAGTGCGGGATTCTTTGCTCCATGTCGTGCTATCTCCAGCAGATTCACGAGACCTGCAATACTCGGCTCAAAGCTCTTAAGTGGGAGTAAGAAATTAACGGGCCACGCATTATGGATTATAGCTGTGGTCTCTGCGACTAGGGCATCGTAGTCTTTGGCGCTTAGTCCTAGGTGTGACGCGCCAAAATTGGATACAGTAAGGAAGACTACACGACCCGACTCCTCGTCGGCAGGAGGCAAGCCGCGGGACTTAAGGGCCGAAGCTTGTTTAGAGGAGGCATCAAGGGCCCGGTTCAGGCAAAAGATACGGCGGACGCGCGTTCGAGGCAGAGCTTGCAGCGCAGATAGCAAGTATGTGCCTAGACTGCCGGTTGTACCTGTCAACACAACTGTTTGTGGGGTGCGTGGGTTACGAGCGTGCGGGATGTATTTATCCAACATGGCCTCAACGCCGCCGTCTTCTGCGTGCCCATTGATTTCGCCATCGCCGAGTAGGTAAGCCGATAGCGTAGTAGCTAAGGAGCGTGCTGTAGTCGAACTGTACATAAGTCCGATATTCAACCCGTTTAGAGTGTCCTCCGAGATGCCGTAATTCCTAAGAGCGGCCTTCAGTCTCGAAATCGTAATCGTAACGCCGTTCGAATCCAACCCTCGCGCGAAGACGTCGGTCTCGGCATCTACATCCTTCGTATCAAGTGCTTGCTGGAACAGTTGAGTGAGTACAGGCTCCAAATCCTGCGCCTCTAGGGATTTAATAGGATCTAGATCGTTAACCAAGATCCCGCTCTCGACCCGTTCGTATAGCGCATCGATTTCCTCCTCGTAAGCCTGCAACGTAAGCTGTCGTTGTATTGTCCCTTTGCCCGCTCGCAAAAATGGCTTTTCCTTTGATGTGAACATGACGAGCTCGCTCGGGATCTGGCCGAACTTGGGTGACGTCTGATTCGCCTCGTGGATCTTAGGCCATAATTTCTCAAGCGCTGCGTGTGCTTCTTCAGCGTTAGTCGGGACGAGGTCCTCATGTAACTCGACGAGAAGACAAAGTCGGAAGCGATGAGAACCGCCCACTATAACGCCGCGTACATCAGCGTGGGACGACACTATAGCCTCAAAATCAGTCGGATCCATCTTGTAACCATTAGCCATGGCAACCCAGTTATCAGTACGCCCACGGAAGCGCCACCACCCAGGTTGTCCGGGGACCGGGGCAAAAAGGTCTTTGGTACGATACTCGTCCGTCAGATCAGGGTATGAGCGGAAGTACGCGTACAACTTCTCGATCGCCTCGGTTTTCGGAAATACAAGCTCGTACAACCCCGGGAATACCTCTTCCATGCGTTGACCCACGTCCACGAAGCGAAGAGCATCCCAGTTCTCGCTATTAGGGGAGTAGTCCATGTGCATGAGGGCACCTTCAGTGCTGCCGATAAGACTGTAGAGGTGAGGCGTGATCTTGGCGATCTCGGCGCCATGCACAGGGTTGATGGGACCGCCGACATACCCGACATGCTTGAGGCGGGCGAGTGCTTCGACACCGTCCGGAAACTTGAGCATGTTTTCAATGGGGACGGGTGGGCAGATCAGGCTGTTGGCACCAGTCTGGTGGATGACGGCCGCGATATTGGCCGGGATTATGGGGACGTCCGGATGCATGAGGATAGCAGTCATGGGAGAGTGTAGAGAGATCATGGTTATGTACATTGCACCGGCCTATTTGGTTAGGATACATGCTGTTTTTTCTATGAGAGGATAGAAGAGTCAATGACTTACATGGGACTGAGACCCGACGATGAGAACATCGTGGTTAGCGAGTGTGCTACATGTCGGTCTCTCTACGTGAACGCCTTCAGGAAGGACACCCTCCTCTAATGGAGAGAATAGGTTCTCGAAGTGTGCGTGAGTCCACCATATTGGCTTTGGATGACCTGGTATATGTAAGAATATCGTTCATACAGTTTGTAATATGTAAAAGAGTTAAACGTGTACTGGGTATTCTATGAACCACAAGATATAGCGTTTGAAAACGTAGAATTTGAAATAATATAAGTAGATAATAAGAGTGATATCTGACCTGAAGTCCCAGAGGTGTGAAGTCCCATGAATCGCTTATCCTTGATCTCCTCGAAAGACTTATCGAAAGGATAGTCTGGGACGGGTTCAGGGGACAGGATATCCTGGAGTAATATCCCTGGTCGAGCCGCAACGGCCGGACTAGCCTTGCTGATGAGTTCGGCGAGTGTTCCCGAAGATTCGGGACCGTAGAACATATGTTTAGCCCCAACAGTCTCAAATAGTCGTAAGTTGGCGGACACGCGATTACTCAGCGACGGAAACACCACGATCTTGCCGGTTTTCATAGCAGCAATAGCCCATATTATGTACCGGGCGTCGCTTCGCGACATCCAGATGAAAGTCTCCTCATCGGGGCCAAGGTTGCTATCGAGAAACCAGGCTGCCTTATTGACAGCATTGTTGAGAAGAGCGAATGTTACGTCGATGGGATCGCGATCGGGATGACAAATTTTGAGAAGAGGACGAGTTTCATTGATCCTTCTCTTCACCACATTCGGAATCAGCTCATGGAATCCAGCCATGGTTTGTAGTTAGAGCAGAATGGTAGAGGGAAAAGGTAAAGGCCGAGCTTGTAAACCGCAAACTGCAAGAGGCCACTGCTTCCACTCTCTTTGCGTGGGAACTTGAAACGTAAGGAACAGTGACATCGTTCCATGGTTGCAAATTATATCCCTCACAAAGCAACAAAGTTTTTTATCCCTTTTACCTAAATTTCGGTTTTAACATCCTTTGCGGTTGCTTTGTTAGGAGCGTGGAACCTTCTGTGGTTCCCGCTCTTTCACCTTCCTACGTATCACTTACTAAGTCCCTTCCTTGTAGGCCACTCCTTAGGACCTAGAAGCAAGGGCATTGTTCCTTCTACGACGTGCTGGGGTGATATGCATGTAATGATGACCCCCTATCTACCCCTATACTCAAAAATGAGCGGAGCTTACCCATATACGCACCATATGGACATGCCGCATAGGTACATACATATACGGGGGGCGGCTGGGGGCGTAGCATTTCGGTATGCGACGGTATTGCGACGTTGTAGTGTTAGGCTGCACCAACATCCGCGTCTGCGCGGGATGTATGGATGGGACGTAGGACTAATCCCTTGACAGCAAAGACCGAGCGATCTGCCGAACTTACTAGGTACCTATGCTATGTAATCCATGAGCCTCCGACCATCTCGCTCGTTATGTTAGCCAATAATGATCGAGTAGATGATGATATTGCATGCCTACCTACTTTACTTCAACCGCTTCTGTGCAACGGTTACCGTCGAAAAAGTAGTGAAACCCAAGTGACTGAAACATAAAGATCCTCGATGCACGTGGCGCGGGTTTAAAGAGGGGATAAAGAAAGGATAGATCAAGTTACGGAAATAAGGAGGGAATAAAAGTCCAGTGACATTTATACATCAGTAACAGTCAAAATCTTGGAAACAACTTGGCAATACACTACCATTGTCTTCGACTATGAACCGGTAAGTTTGGAGTTATGCGAATTTATGTTAATGTGTAGATTGGTCACATCGGTTTAATCCTTACGGCGGAGTCTTGAACCAGCAGCTCAGTCTTTTGGCGATCTACCAAATTCAAACGTAACGCCTACATTCGTTGAGAGGCAGTCGGGCAAAGTCGAAGCAGATTCTAGACTACAATGTTGGATGGTGGCACATAATGCGGAGATGCTATCCTTTACCGTTCGTGATAATTCCTCAGACCTTTTGTCCGTCAGCGGGTTTCCTGAAAAGGCTTATGGAAATTCCAGGACGGATATGCTTGCGAATGCAAACAAACCTTAGCATTGGTCGTCTGCAGCCACAGCTTCCTTCTGGCACTTTGACCAAGGAAACGTTGGCATCCTAAATCCGAGGGGGTGCTGTACTCCATTTCAAACCGAGCCTAGGTCCCTACGCGAAAATCGTCACATTTCAAGGGTTGCGCGTAAGTGAATTATCATCGAATTCTCGTAAGCATTGTCGTGGTGTAGTTGACTAGTCGAACTAAAAGACCATCTTTGCTCGTTCCCTCCACGCAAGCCTGTACCGATGTCTCAAGGCATATGCGAAACCATGTTCCCTAATGAAAACCCAACTCCATTTCCGCGGTCACGTCGACGATGCTTTGCGAAGAAATCGTGGTAGGAAAAAGCGACATTTCTAAAAGGCATTTATCGGTGCTAGATATAAAGTGTTAGTCTCGTCGTTGTCCCATCTTCGTACTCGGATGTATTTGTGTGTTGCCGGTGAGATTCGTACCTTGACAAAGCCAATGTCGGATGACTTCTCACGGAAGCACTGACGGCAGATGTTGAGGCCGTACTTGCGGATCAGACCAGCCTTGTGGGTGCAGACTCGGCTATAGGAAATCGTGTCGTGTTAGCTACCATTTCTCGCTGACTTGTTTCGACCAAACCCTTTCAAAGTATCGGGACGTACCAGGAGCGAGAGCCCTTGCCGTATGTTCGCGGGCGCGAGTTCCAGACGGATTCGTGAGACATATTGTCGGATGTGGTGTTGCGATGTTGATTATCACGAACTGTCGGTATGCGATGTGGTTGCTGGAAGCTGTCTGGAGTCGAGAAAAGTTTCGCGAGATTTTGGAGAGTTTTGGAGTTGAGAATGCGAAATTGTGTGTGGTTCGGTTGAGGGTTGCAGGGGTAAGAATGAATTAGGAATGGCTAGCCCCGAAAAATTAGCGGGTCATTTACTCCGTGCTATTGAAAAGTGTAAATGTCCAAGGTTGTGGCTTAAGGCTAAATGTGTCAGATGTATCTACGTCAAGCCACAGTCCTTTCTTATCGATAGAGAGGATTAGATTTGCAAGGATCTCTCAATTAAGCTATGATAGCTTGCCGCTTGCCCGCATCTCGTTGCAAAGTGGCATCTTCCCAGGTCTGCTTTGTATTTCAAAGCATCCATTGATTTCTAACCTACCTATCATCCCTATTGACTCGACAAACTTACAATACTCGGATATTTTTTCCAGTTTGTCATCTCTGAATACCTCATATCCAGATACCCAATCCTTGTTTCAGTTTATTTTGTTTTGATTGCGACAACCCGTGTGGCATTATCGTTATCTCTTGCTCGTGGCTGAAACAACCAAAAGCAACCATGGTTCTTGTCAAGAGCTTCGTGCTCACAGGCCTTGCTGCCGTTGTGGCCGCAAAGTCTGCTGTCCTTGACCTCATCCCGTCCAACTTCGACAATGTTGTCCTTAAGTCGGGCAAGCCTACTCTTGTCGAGTTCTTCGCCCCCTGGTGCGGGCACTGCAAAAACCTTGCTCCTGTATATGAGGAGCTAGCTCAGGCTTTCGCTACTTCTAAGGATGTTCAGATTGCCAAGGTTGATGCGGATGCAGAGAAGGATTTGGGAAGGAGATTTGGAGTACAGGGCTTCCCTACTCTCAAGTGGTTCGACGGCAAGAGTGACAAGCCAACTGATTACTCGGGTGGCCGAGACCTAGAAAGCTTGACCAAGTTCATTACGGAAAAGAGTGGTGCTAAGGCTAAGAGGAAGTTGGAAATGCCTAGCCAGGTGAACATGTTAACAGATGCTACCTTCAAGGAGACCATTGGAGGTGACAAGAACGTATTGGTTGCATTCACCGCTCCGTGGTGTGGTCGTATGTACTACTCAATTAACCTGCCTATGCGATTATTGAGTGCGCTAACATTTCGTTGATCAGACTGCAAAGCTTTGGCTCCCACCTGGGAAACTCTCGCTGAGGACTTCATCAACGAACCTAGCGTTGTTATCGCTAAGGTTGATGCCGAGGCCGACAACAGCAAGGCAACCGCCAGTGAGTACGGCGTTACCTCTTACCCGACCATCAAGTTCTTCCCCAAGGGCTCGACCGAACCCGAAGCCTACTCGGGCGGCCGAACCGAAAAGGACCTTATCGACTTCATCAATGGGAAGGCTGGTACTCACCGTGTCCCTGGTGGCGGTCTTGATGCGACCGGCGGTACCATCGACGCCCTGAACCACATTGCTCTGAAGTACGCTGCTGGTACTGAGAAGCTGGCTGATCTTGCGGCCGAAGCTAAGAAGATCGCCGCCGATTTCGCTGAAGATGCTCAATACAAGTACGCTCAGTACTACCTCAGGGTGTTCGACAAGCTGTCGCAGAATGAGGGTTACGTTGCTAAGGAGTCGGCCCGCTTGGACGGCATCATCAGGAAGGGCGGTCTAGCTCCCTCTAAGTTAGACGAGCTACAGAGCAAGACCAACATCCTCAAGCAATACACACAGCAAGCTGCCGAGAAGGTTGCGGAGAAGGTGGCGGGCAAGGATGAGCTATAGTATAACTCTTAGAGGAAAAAATTAGCCGAGCAAGCATTTTGTAACGAATAACGAAAAACGAGTCTCTTAATCTGAGCTACGTATTATGGTTACGGTATTGACCATAGTCGTTCATCCTAAGCAAATCGCAATAGATGTACTTATCAATCCTACCACAACGCCACGCAATGCCTAAATGATGCCTTAATTCTACGTTCGTCCAATTCACCCTTACTCTCGTTTCGGAGTTACATTAGACAACTTTTCCTCACTTGCTTGAAGTGCAGATTCGAGATTGTCCAGGCGTCGTGTCATATCGTCCACTATAGCCAGAGAAAATGACATTAGACCTTAATTGAAATACGAGGCGCCGTCGCGTGAAGGTTGGGGGCGTAGGTTTGTAGGCACTTACTCTTTGCGAAGATCTCAGACGAGACAGTAGTGAACTTGGTCGAGAGTGAGTCCAGGAGCTCTTCGACAACGGCGGTGAGCTCGTCTGTACCCTGTGCAATGTTAGTCAAGCTACGGTTACCTACGTACTAGTAGAGCGTTCCGAAAGATCGCTGTAGCTGGGACGATCTTACGTTACCCGCGGCTTTGCTAGGCTCATCAGTCTTCTTAGACGACATTTCGCTACTATATAGATGAAGGTAAATTTGCAGTCGAGAAATTGTTGTAGTGGTAGTAGTCAAAGGGTGCTTCGGTAAGCGACGATTTCGTGTATCTTTTAGAGCAGAAAGTATGAAGATGGCACGGATAGCAATTGCGCGGCGCGCATTGGAGTAAATTGAATGTTTCTACGATTCTATGGCTACCAACGGCAAAGGACAATTAGGTAACGCTAATTGGTGCCATTGGTGGTACAGAACCTTGGGAAACCTTGTAACACTTATCGATTACCTGCTTGCCAGGACCCAGGCAGAGGTTGCCCGCTCTCAATGTGGCACGTGCGTCATTCTGCGACAGGAGCTCCAGCTATGTTAATAATAGCACGTAAGCTATTTCCGGATATTTTGTTCGTTGCATCTACAACTTAAACAACTCCACGAGGCGCGAATTTCAAATCCACTCTCTACTAGAGAAGATCTACTAGAGAGCTCGGATACTATGTCACTTATTTAAACACGATGGAAATAATAAACTGCTATGCCTCAGCCGCAAGATAACGCACGCGCCATCCTCCTCATCATCTTGATATTCTGGCTTGCCACAAGTCCCGACTCAGGACCGGGCCTCATCGCGAGCCCAACCTTAATAAAGAACCGTCTCGTACGCCAGCGACATGCGCTCAGCGTCCTAAATACTACACAATGGGGTGACTTCAGACCACGTCTTGCCGATGATCCCCCGGACGATCCTCCTCCTGAAGACAAGCCCGAATCGGACAAAGAAACAGTGCTGGAGACCGAGTCGAAGTACAAGTATCTAAATTTAACAGGCTTTCGGGAGGAGGATAAATATGCTTGGGAAGATCTAAAGCGATTTAAAGACCGATGTGAGGAATATAGTACAAACGCCGTAGGAATTCCGGAGGCTGCAGCGCCCGTATGGCAAAATGCGACGGGAGTGGTTCGTGGGTGGTGGCAGAGGACGAACACATCTTCGCCGAGATATCATTCGAGTTATAATCTAAGTGAGATCAGTCCGGGAGTTACATGGGCTGGGTCGAACTCCGACTGGGGCAGAAATGCCACCGGTGCAGAGGGAAAGATCAACGTGCGCCTCGAGGATAATCAAGATGCTGCTACGGAACCTGAGGAAGTAGACAGGATGGTTCTGGAGAAAGCAGTGATCAAGGCCCGAGAGGTATCTGGGACGGTCACTATCGATGATACCGAGGGCTCCGGGAGCAGCTGGGAAATGCGGCTCCATGGTGTTCATTGGCCTCGTCAGGGATCAATGCTTCTCACAACGACTAGCGAGAAGTTCGCCGGTATCTTCGGATTGCCTCATCTGACTACTCGGCCAGATTTTTTCGAATCTAGTAAATCACTATTAAATAGGACCTTAGAGAAGGCACTAGCAAGAAAGGAACAGCACACCTTTACTGACCAAATCGACCCCTGGACATCCACTTTAGATTCTCCAGGTGAAGCTTGGAACCCAACTCCTCACTGCGAATATTTATTGTACATTCAAATCCATCCATTGGAGCAAGATATTCTAGGAGTACAGCCTAGTCTTACGGGCCCTGAAAATGTCGCCAAGGCTATCCAAGATATTGAGGACGAGCTTCGTTTCCCTCAAGGTACAGGTCACCGAAGAATACCGAGGCTTCAAATGTCGGCTGTCGTATTCTCTCCTGACTGTGGCTTCTTCCTCGAAACAAAAGGCCCTCCAGCATTCGCGCCAGTCGACGGAAAGCACATGGTCGGCGTGAAGCAAGAAATCTTCCTTCACAACGTCAGCACGTTCCTTCTAGGTCTTGCATTAGTCGTATTTGGACAACTTCAGTTACTTAAGCTACAAATGAGAGAAACCTCCACGCCTTCGACGCTAGGTCGAGTGAGTTTCTACACTAGTTGTATGATGTTGCTTGCCGATGGTATGCTCTTCACCGGAGCAGCTGCCTGGAGCTTCTCAGCGTCGACGACATTGCTACCCTCACTTGCTGTTACATGCGTATCATTCCTATCCATGGCCGTTGGGACATTTTTCCTAGCCGAGATTCACAAGGTACAAGAACCTGAATGGCGACGACAAGAACGGGAAAGAGAAAGACAGAACACCTCCGCAAATCCGACGCCTCCGCGTCAGACCCCTGTATCTAATACTCCCCGTCCGTCACCTTCTCCCCCTATCATAATACCATCAGACCAAGATATAGACGCCGAAATTGCCGAATCAGAAACCAATAACAATAATGCTACTCTTCCCGCTCCAGCAACTGCAAATACTCCCCCGAGCGCCCAGACTATTAGAACACAATTAAGCAACATATTCGGTCGTCTGCTCTTCATCGGCATCAGCGTACTCTTCCTCAGCCTCGCAGCCGCAAGCTGGCGTCCCACCTTTCGATCAGCGTACTTCAACACCCTTCTCTTCGCATACCTATCGCTCTGGTTCCCGCAGATCTACCGCAACATCTACCGCAACTGCCGGCGCGCGCTCTCGTGGCGCTTCGTCGTCGGCCAGTCCGTCCTCCGCCTGCTTCCCATCGCGTATTTCTACGTGCTGCCGAACAACTTCGCGTTCGCGGAGCCGGACCTCACCGCCTTTGCCGTGCTGGCCGGCTGGCTGTGGCTCCAGATATGGATATTGGCCGCGCAGAGCATCCTAGGACCCAGGTTCGGCGTGCCCAAGGGCTGGATGCCGGAGGCGTGGGAGTACCACCCCGTGCTGCGCGAGGATAACCTGGAGGCGGGCGGCTTGCCGATCGGTCTCGTTTCGGCGCCGAGCAGTCCGACGTCGCCGGAGCGTTCGCGCTCTGGCTCCAACGCGGGCGAGGATAGGGATAAGAAGAGGACGAACACGCACCTCATCGACTGCGCTATCTGCAGAGAAGTTCTAGAAGTCCCTGTTATCAAGGCGGGATACGATGACCCGACGGCCGGGGGCGTGGCCGGCGTGTTCGCCAGGAGGATGTATATGGTTACGCCGTGTAGACATATTTTCCACAGCGCGTGTCTGGAGGGCTGGATGCGGTTTCGCTTGCAGTGTCCGATTTGTAGGGAGGAGTTGCCGCCGTTGTAGATACGTAACTTACCTAGGTAATTGTAGAGGTGTAGGAAAGTAGCTACCTAAGTAAGGAGAGGAGTATTAGGGGGTTAGGGGTTAAGGGGTGTAGATTTAGGGGTAGGTTTGATTTGTGCATATGGATATAGATATGGATATGGATATAGAAATATGCCATTTATATCGAATTTGTTGTAATAGCGTGTATTTGGTCTTAAGTGCTCTTCAGATGAGTAATCTGGTTTGTACATAAAATCGTGGGATTGGTATATTGGGTCTTGGTAATGTAAGTTTGTAACATATACCTCACTGCTGTTTTGAGATGTATAACATGGATAGTCGCATTTCATGTTCTCAACTGCTCGAAGAATGATGGATAAGACATCACGATTGGATCACTAGACTCAATAGTCTTATTGACCGTTTAAGAGTTGATGAGTGTCGGGCAGTTCATCAAATCAAACTAAACCAAATCATTCCTTGAATACCAATAGAAATACCTATATCGACCAAAAATAAAAGGGTATCGAAGAGCAAGAGAAAAAGGTTGATCTGGCAGTCCAGGGAATCGAACCCTGGAGCCTAGCGATGCTGTGCAAGTATACTTTAAGGATTTTTAAATAAGTGTATTATTGGGAACAGTAATCGTCAGCTCGCACCAGCACGGCCCTACGAGATGCCTTCCTCAGGTCTCCTACTAAGAATTGACCTGGTATGTATTATTTTCATTTATATATCTTTTCCCGTAGCTCGTTCTGGTAGGCGGTAGGAGCGAGTGGTGTGCCTCTTAGGTGAAGTTTATCTATCAAAGGACATGTGGGAAGTTTGTTCTGCCGTCTGATGTTGAGGTAAGTGGAAGGAGCTACCTAGGTAGGGTCTTTCCATCTGATATTACTCAGTTAAGCTTTGAGCTTAAGGTATAGTGGAGTGATTGCATCCACAAGCTTGTTACGGGGTATTGATGAGACGGACATAACAGTACTAATCATTGCTGGAGCAGATGTTCCGATGGAGGTTAGGTCTAGATGGCAAATGAATAGAGCGAAAATTTCGTTATAAGCCTTTAGTAGGCTGAGAGAGGGTAGGGAGGTTCACGTAGCATTTGATCCTACCATCCCCTATGCCCTAACTGAGGTACAGCAGATATAAGATCACAAGTTGAAAGTCTGATAGAGGTAAAACTAGGTATCCTAAGTAAACTCAAGCTGTCGATCAAGATATGTGACAAGTCAGTGCCTACCTAGTCAGATTCGGCCTGTAAAGTACTATCCTGTCATCTTCTAGACTTCATGTCGTCCAAAACCTACTTCGTCTACCATGATACAGGAAGTCAGTTTCACGATAACAACATGATACGCCATACGAATAGAATATATTTGGTTTATCTTGGAATGAGCACTTTGTTTTCTTTTAAGCAGTTTGGCCAATTGGTTGGTGTCTATTAAATAGGAGCCCAACGCAAAACTGAATGTTGGTACCATCTTCTGCAGTTTCATAATGGTATCTTGTATATATGTAATGTGTCAGATTCAAGTTGCTCCTTGGTTTATCCACCGTTATTGAGCGAGAATTTAGATTGCTGCTTCTATCATCTACGTGCACTTTATGTACCCTGGCACAGTCCTCTAATGACATGTTCAGAAGATAGTACCTACAAGGGATGCCAACAACCGAACATCTCAATTTCGGGATGATTAGAAGAGCTCAACTTCACAATGTACAACCACGTGTGAAGCAACCAACAGTATCACGTCCGAAGTCGAGTTCTTTCATGATCCCGAGCCAAATAGAAGGAACTCGCTACCAGCTTAGGTTTACTTCAGTAAAGCTCCTTCCTAACTGTACTAAAGATAAATTTCGCAACGAGCAGCCAACAATCAATTCGGATGCAGAGCCGAAAGCACGTTGGCGGTGGCATGGTCAATCTCATCCGGGAATACGACCTGCGCAAAAAGAGTTCAAGTCTAAAAAAGATAAAGAAAACTATTAGCAACATGAACATGGAAAATGATTAGACATCTCTTCATCATCGAGGTCTAAATTTGCAAAAGTAAATGGACGAGCAGGGAGTCGAACCCTGGGCTTCTCGCATGCAAAGCGAGCACTCTACCACTGAGTTACACGCCCGATTGGAAGTCATCCACCGGCTTTGAGTGAACTGACATAATTGGCTGACAACTGGATGGGGAAATTTCCCCCAAACATCTCTATATGTCAATTTGCGGAGAAATGACCATTGAGATTTTTCTAGTGCCATGCTCTGGTTGGTCGTAGACAATAGTATAGACACACTACTTGGCCCTCTACTGGAGTCTTCAATTATAGCGACTTGTGGTGGACATTCCGGTCCCCATTAGTACCTAAGGGAGTAAGGCTTAGCGCAAGGGGAATCGCTCTGGATTACACGACATGCAAACCAGCTCTTTTCCGAATTAATTCCTGTTGACTTTAGCTAGATAACTGAGCCTCAATCCCACAGAAATAGACGATGACCGGCAACCGTCTGCCTGGAATAGAAAAGTATAGTGATGATGCGCGGAAAGCATTCGGACTTAGGCCAAGACCTGCGGCGGAGCAGCAGTGCCGCATGCGATAGATGTTGTACTGCATCGCAATCGCAACTGCATAGGCGCGCGTTCTAATTGTGGCATCGGAAGCTAGCCGCGATAATAATTTACATCCAACTGTGGAGGGAGCGAGGATTGCGACTATGTTACTGCCAAATCCTCGCCTTTAACCGCGGAAATAGAGTACCAGGCCTTCTTATCAGACCAGAAGTCAGTTTATAGAAGGTATTGAGCTGTTGTGGCAGGTCAGTCCTAACAATAATTTGGAAGACCACCAAGAGGGACGATACGAGCTTTGAAATGTTTCAAACAAACATGGCAAGGAGTATCGCATCCACACCTAAGAACGCAGAATGCGTTCTAGATTATATCCCCCAACATTTGCGAACAGTTTGCCGGAAGGATGAGGCGAAGCCAGATTGCTGCACGCACTCAACGCTGCAAGAGACCTTAAACAAATATGCGTCTGCGATGGCTCGCTACACGTGGTATTTCGAACCCCTTAAACACCGAATGGGAATATGTAAGGGGTTGCATGTGAAGAGAATAGTGACTCTATTCTGGGACACATACGAGTTAATGATGCTAAGAGACCTTCGCGCCGGGCAGTTTGATGTCACAGAGTCGCCGACTGTAAACCCTTCAGTACTCCGCATGGCGCATAACGGATGGGTGAACGATAACAAGCGAGACCTAAATGGATGTCAAAGCAAGAGAAGATACCGATGTCCAAGATCTCCCGCAAGCCTTGTTGCCATCTTCATAGGTAACACAAGCTCAGGTACCCGACTTATTCTTAGAATGGTTTTCGGGTTTTCGTTCCGACCCCACAAGTTGCGGCGCTCTTCACATCGGTCCATAGTCCTAATAGATTCATCCTCTCCTTATCTTACTGTAAGATTTGCAGGTTAACTTCTCGTCGGAGCTAGCTGGTTGTCCTGTGAGGCGAATAGCGCTTATTCACCAATCAGCTTCGGCCCCCGTTTCACATTCAGGATCCTCACCTGCGGCTGAAATGAGCTGCTGATGAGATGATCGCCATTTGGATTGAGCATGTCCCGATTTGGCCACATACCTGGCCTTTAAGGCGATTATGGATGCTGGAACCATATTCTCACGCGACGATATTGGCATCGTTCACAGTAAGCTGCTCATGGGTAACTAGAATGCGGAGGGGGTACCTCGCTCACTCATTTTGAACTTGGAAACAAACTGCGCCTCATACCGGCACGTGGGTATTGGTAGCGAGGGAGCTGACAGAATCTCATCCTCTCTGTAGAAGAGGTTAGCACGAAGATAGCTAGGAGTGCCATGTGCTACGCAGGGGAGATATTTTAGGATAATTCTCAGCGAAAAAAGTACACAGGTAAATTCCGCTCGAAGTCGTCGATGCCCTACAATACATACATGCAGGGGATTGTCTCCGATTTATACAATGTAGCGTCAGCAACGCGTACCTACCTTTTCTAGCATCCAGCTTGGCGATTTACCATGACGAAGCTATTCGGAGCAATTGTTCGATATAGGAAACATCGTACAAAAGCAGTTATGACCCGATAATTCTTTGGCCCGGTTTCTGATGAATTGGGACATGTTGTCGATATCATTTCCGGTTCATTGAGTGGCTGGCGGATGTCTTGATCTCGGACCACAGCAATCTTAGTTAATAAGCTAGACACGCAAGGTCTACGCTATGATCTTTGGATGATGACCATCAACTTTCGAGTATCGACAAATCGATATATCGCTTTGTTCGGTCGCTACAGGGTACCGATTCCATCGTCGTGGTAAGGAATCAGCTGATTTATTGATTATCTTGAAAAGAGTTGAAAGATGAAAGAAGCAAGAAGCTAAGCTGCTAGGTTACTTTCAACGTAAGCTTGCAGCCAGGGTAACGTCAGGTTCAGGGTTCGCGGGATGCATTTTTAGAAATGCGATCAGGATTAAGGTTGCGGAGTCCGATCTAGACTAGATTCGGGTTAGCTCGGCTTTGTGCTTAACTAGGAAAGAGAACGACAACTTTTCGCAACGTGATTGGCTGTTTCAGAGCAACAGAGGAGTTGGTGGATCGCAAAGTGACGCCATAAAACTCAAATTGTCAAGCATCCTTGAAATACGTACCTCTCTCGATACACACATTAGAATTGCGATAAGACAATTCTAGTTTAAACGAACACTTGAACTATTCAGTTTGTCCATGAGATAGATATATTCTTAGAAACCCGAGACTGTCTAGCGAAAATTCCTCATGATAAAGCCATGTGGCGACATGATAGTCTAGACCAAGTTCCGATAATGCACATGTGTGTTTCTCGCTCACACGGAGGACGATGCAAGGCAAGGCGTGACAAGACAGCGCTGATCAGAAAGCGACGCAAAATTCAGGCTGAGTACAACATTGTTAAACCGGCCGTTCGGCAAAGCGAACTGGAGAAACGCCCAGTGTTCAACAATATCGCACAGAGATTTATAGTCAACAGATAGTTCATGCACGGGCATTCCTGAAGTGGTTTAAATCTAGAATGCTAGAATGCTAGATGGTGTTTTGATATGATCGACCATCGGAAACATGTAAGAGCAGATCAGACGGTGAACCAAACGAAGCGCTGTTTCTCGAGCACGAAATTCCAGCGACATCGTTTCATAAACTTCGAGGTCCTCAGGGTGCTGCATGTCATTAGCGGTTTTAGCTCGGTATAGCAAGCCAAACTGTCACTATCGCTGGTTTGACAATCTTAGAGGCTCGATCGAAAATTACAAACTTAATCGAGTAAGTACGGGGCGAACCCGGGGGAAAGGATTCAAATTGCATTGGAAGGATGCGTATCATTCGGTGATGGATAACGATGGGGTCGTCCATGGAGGGTGGATTACGCTGCTCGCGCACAACGACAGGTTAGTTGAAGACCTCGCGATAGATTAGGGGGGAAGAATAAAGAAGTCTATAGGAGTTGGTCTGACTATATGGCAAAATTCGCCCCATTGAGTGGGCAGACTATGGACCATGATTCGCGAATGGGTTCTAAGGCTAACCAGCATACGAAAAGTAGTGGTGGTGATGAATTGGCGAAAAAGTTAGCAGCATTGAATGGCTAACCTCTTGCAGAATCTCGGTCGTGGTCAAGCGGAGGGGAAGCCAATCATTTGACGACAACCACCACCAGCGCTGCACCAGCGTTGTAGTCTCCCTAATGCGGGATGTGTCACCAGGATTCTGGTTGGTCGTTTTGGAGTTTTCCTCTCCCTTCTTTTGTGTCGCACCTGACTGCTCTTACATTTTGATCACCCTTCTCCTGAATCTTATAGACGAATTAGTTTAATCAGTCTACGTAGAAGACATACCGACTACAGAATCGAGATCTTTACAAAATATTTGCATCTCAAGATGTAGTTTAATCCATCTTGACTACTGGTTAGGTATGAACGGGGATAGACTGGGTAGGTACTTGACAACAACCTTGCTACCTGCCTTATTCGACCGTGAATCGCCTGAACGCCTCGGCGGTAGTCGGCGGTAATGCAGATCTCTATGTATAGTATATGTACGAATCCGTATAGTACGTGTAGACTGCAGAGACAGGTAGTATCCTTGGTGTCTTAGGAATTCGGTCTAGAAATGAACAATGAAGCCAGCTGGCGATTCGTAACGCATGAAAGCCGCGTAGGAATATCCACCACTGTTTGCTTGTGTTTGTCATTATCTCGACTTGAGGCTCTCTCTCAATTCCGGATTGTTTTTAATGCATTATTCGTCAGGGAATATCGTAGACAATAAAAGAACGGGTTCTTGTGACCCGCGGAAAATAGGCGGCTTACACGTCTTACATACAGGCACAGTTAGTGGGGTCCAGTGGGCTTTTCTAGCTGCCAGCTATCGCCGTGCCTATCACGTACCGATATATCGGTGGCAGGTAGTGGATTGATCTGTGGGTTTGACTTACTGCATACCAGTATGTTGTGTACATACATAGACGTAGCAGACGTAGGTAGCTATGTATGTATGTAGCGTGTAGGTACAACAGTTGACCTGTAAAAGGGATACCCTAACCACCAACACCGTTGAACTCCTGCAGCCGATGATCTTCAAGGGCCTCAATCCGTTAGCGATGTATTGCGTAAAATGTAAAAAAGTTCCGTTACGTGCAAATCAGCCTGGGCGTTCATAGTGAGCCTCGTCGGTCTTCACCACTAAAATTCTATAAGCTGAATGGCTGACTCAACCACCAGAAGGAATCGTTGGCTTAAGATTCGGTAACTCATCGTCGAGGAGGATTTCCGATGAACGGATCTCCCGACAAACCCCAATCCTTTCTGCTGCGTAGGTAACGGACTGTACTCGTACATACGACTACCCAATCCCATCTTGGGACCCTTGGGCGATCGTAGGCGTGAGATCCACAGTGCTAGTCCGTCCGTAGTTAGGAAAACTGTCCTCTTTTGATCCTCAAGCGAGTGCGGAACACTGGGGGGAAGGATCGCAATATTCCTAGTCGCTGGAAATAGGATGGCATCATGGCATCATAGCTTTTGGAGGAACAGCGAAGCTGATGATTCTATCAAGTTTATTAGGTAAATTGTTGGCTGGTGAGCGGAGAAGAAAAAATAGATGTGGTGAGAAGCGTGGTGGCTATGGGAGAAGAGAAAACCGGTTACCCGATCCGAGTTGATGGAGTTGATTCCAGTTCTACCCAACCCAACCGCCCGATTATTTCAGTCCGGCCTCTCCAAGTTTGCTACCTATGTACCTGCTACCGTAATACGATTACCAGGTAATTTCAAAAAGATATATTTGAATCGATATCTTACATACAGAAGAATATTTACACCCACAATTACTGTCATATAAATGATTATGTTTATTATGTTATCCGTAAGAAATATATACAACGTATGAGTCTCCGTTCCATTATCGGCCTGTGCGAGACTCAGACCAACGAGAGTGCAGCGCAAGTTCCCTCTTCAGAAGCCACGCCGCTTCTGTAAATTCCCATGCTCACTTTGAAACAAACACATATTGGGCCAATGAAGCCAACTGCCAAAGCGATCGACCACTAATCCTCCCGGGGCTAGCAGTCGTTCGAGTCCTTCTTATTCAGGACTGTCCTTTTATATTGTTCGATATATTTTTACTTTTCACGGTATTACGGTAATTACGCTGCATCCTCTACAGTTTTCCTGGAACTTCACTTTTTTACTTCCCACCGTTACCCGTTACCCCCCGGGCTGGGCTGTGTAGCACGGCAGAAGGGGGCCGTTCAGATGTTCTAGGGTCTGAAGGCCTGGGAGTTACAACACCCGCTAAGACTCTTAGCTCCAGTGTTCCAGATTTCCAGGTTCAGGGGAGAAACTGACCCTCCAAGGCCCTCCTGGGTGACCCCTGTCACACGGCATCCTGGTTCCAGGGTACGTAGCTACGTTCCCCCACTGTCCTCGACTTACACCCATTTGAGAGGAAAGAATATCCATATGTAATGCCACCCACTGCCCAACTTCTCTTCTTATGAAAATGCCCTTATACCTACAACTCACTCGACCAACAATGTGCCTCACCTAAATACCATAATAAGAAAAGAGCTGGACTCAGCTTACATTCTTGTGGATCGAACAGGTTCAGTTCAAGTTCTGGTTCCTATTCTCCCACTTATACATACTTGTATAACTGAACTATACGACGTATAGAAGGTCCCCACAAGCGGGCCAATACGAAAAACAGCATGTCTCTAGAACAATCTCGACTATTAAATGGGGCGGAGGAGACTCGAATGTCTGCAGCCTCCAGAATAGCTAGCAAGGAATCGAGAGAGAAAGCCAGACACAGCTTCGCTTCATATTCGACACAAGAAGAAGACCTGACCGACGTATACACCGATATGGACGAGCCATGCGTGGTCGAAGAAGCTACGGTGATGGATGCCAAAGAGGTTACGATTGAGACCCCGAAACTACCGGAGAAGAGTGCTCTTAGAATGTCAAGGTTTTTGGACAACCTAAAGCGCAACTCGATCACCGAATCACTTAGCGACCCGCACGACGTCTATCTTTCCTCGGAAGAAGATGCCTCTTCATCTGCCGACGACTTCTCTGACTATGACTCCGACTCCGACTTAAACAGCAACGGATCTGAGAAATCGCCACAACGACGAGGCAGTCACGAAGAAAGTGCAAGGGCAGTGTCGGTAATATTCGTTGGAAGACCTTGCGTCGTGGACTTGGCGAGCGGTAGGAGATCGGTTTCTCCCATTCGAAGACCTAGATCGATGATGCCCTCTTCGATCCGACAAGACATATTCGCGGACCGGCCAGAACACCCACCTCGGAAGAGCAGCCTTGCATCCACAATAGATCTACCCAAGGAGAACCCGTCATTCCTTAGCCAAGATCCCTTTGCTACGAGCAATTACAGAATAGAGTCGATCTCAAGAGGACCGCCACCAGCTAGCATTAGCCCCCGTCCGAAGACACCTACAGCAGCATTTCACCGGTTCCAGAAGTCATTGAGTCTGGTCCGAAAGCGTAGCCGTCCTAACCTGAAAGATGCCGCCTCCAGAGATAGTCTTAGTTGGCCACTCGGATCTGGATCTGGATCAGTCTCAACTACCGACCTACTTAGTTTGAACTCGTCACGAACTTCTGAAGATGAACAGCAGCAACCTAGGAGACCTCGAGTAGTATCGGCTGCTACGATGCCACCTGAGATATCAGCAATTACCAAGGACTGCATAAGGTCTAGCCGGAGGGATTCACTGCCGAGACTACTCACCAAGCAACCTCCCCAACCCGTATCGCCGAGTCCAGCCACGGCTAAAAGGGGCTTACTAAGTGGCTTAAATATGAACCGGCGGCGAAGCTTACGGATCAAGCCATAAGACAATCACACCCCCCTATCATTCATCATTCATCATTCATCATTCATCATTTTCCCATTATCATCAATCGAGGAGTTCGGCATTATATTTGGGGGCAGGCGTTACAAACACATTGAGGAGTTAGGGTCCACGGCGCATAATCACTACTGCACACGGGAACATGGGTTGATTTTCGGTGGGATGGGAGAAGAGAATAATATGATACCTTGGGCAAAATCTACTAACGAGTAACGGCCGCGGGGTATAGGTTATAGGAGGTTGGGAGGTTAAGCAGCAATTGGCTGACGTCTATTAAGACTACCATAGTGAGCATCGCTCAGCATGAATGATACCACGAAATGAATTTTCTTGATTTCACTCATTACCTAAGTTCTTCTCTCATCCATCGCATCCCTCAAAAGTGTGCTGAAAAGATTCAAACTTCTAGATGTGACATGCGCGTTTCTAGTTCCGGCTTGGTAAGGAGATCGTTTCGTCTGAAGTTAAGCTTGGGGAGTTGATAATTGTTTCACTATAGCATGCATCCCTTGTCTGCGATTGGCGAAACGAAACTTCAGCGACACCGTTGTATCTTGGTTTTTCATCCCCCTCTCAACGCAGTGAGTTTCATACCTATGGTAGATTGGCTCACCGCATCTCTAGTCGCAAATGTCGCCTTCTATGAGCAATAGCGCTTCGCCGATCCTCCAGACTTTTTTTCTTTACCGATAATAGCGGGCGGCCCTTAAGCAGGAGTAGGTAGAGCGCACCGCGATACCATGCCTGCCACAAGATTTTTATTTTATTTTATCATACACATGCAAGGAACAAGACTAAAATCTCTATGCAACCTATCACAACGCACGCATCCCACACCCCAGCCAGCGCAGAACTTGGACTCGCGCAGGCTATGCAGTCAATCGTATTTAGAACCTTGGTTTTTTCGCTACTTTGCCCTAGTTGCATAGTAGGGGACTTTTTCTATCCAGGGAGAAGAAGAAGAAAAAAATCTAGGAAAGTTCAGGAAAACAAGTATAGGCAGGTATGTAGTAGGAGGGTATTCACGTCAGTGATCTACCTACTGCCGAGCGTGGCAAAAACCTGTCAGTAACCAGTAATCAACACTAATACATACCAACATCCATTGCCGACTTACAAGATGCTATGAAATAACTATACGCTACGCAATCATCTACCATCCTACCCACGTCCCGATGGGCAGATGCGCCAACCCTCGGAATATAGCCACCGAACGGATGTTTTTTTATCTGTGAGGCAAAGCCTTTGCATACATACATACATACATACATACATATTTGAGGGCGTATATTAACCCAACCAGCCAATCCGCGGGCGCGACCACCTACCACCTCGACGTTCGTGGGGTGGGGGGCAAGCGCTGATTCGACGGGCGCGCGCATCACGACGTACGTAGAGTACAGAAGTTGTGTGGGTGGGCTCGATTCGAACTTGACTTATTCTCGGATGCAAGCTTGGCTATGCTATATCGAGATGCGAAGCCCGCGAGAGGTAACCGACTAATAGCCCGTTACTAGTTTCGCTGTCGAGTCATCGGGCGTAAAAAAAGGTCTATCGAAGCTTGACCGCCAGGTCGTCGGAGACTTATTGCATGCTTTGCGAACATAATGCCTCTTTCCTTTCTTCCTACGTACACCTAGTCCTATCTAGATAGCAGGTAACCTCAGTCTTACGCGCAGCTTTACCTGGCCCGCCCGGTCGCTTGAACAGGCCGCGTTGAAGAGCTGGCAAAAGACCCAACAACCCAACTAACGAACCGCAAAGTCGCACCGTTGCAACGGAGGCATACGCCGCTAAAGGACCATGGTTACTACTCTTTTTTTACTGCGGTGCTTCGTAAGTATGTAATGCGCGACCCTGACACGACATCTCGACAACGCAAGGGGCAGAAATTCTCCTGACGTAGCAAAAGCAACCCCCAATATGGCTTGCCCTCCTACCCTCCCCCCCATCTAGCCCGGCGAATAGCAAGCCGGGAAAAGTTTCGTCGAACCCTAAGTAAGGTAGTCGTTGACGCCTGCAAAGGCGCATGCATGAAAGACTTTGGGGTCTAGCTCATTCGGACCCTTAACTCTATTCACGTAAGAACGCCTATAGTGTGTAGCATTCATACATAGGGCACTTATCCAGAAGAGGCGCTCGGTTTAGGTGACTAAAAGTCTAGGACCCTAAGTCGAGTCTGGGCGATCAATTATCGCCAATGCGTTCGTCGCCCCGTGATCCTGGCCCTGGCTCTTCCCGAGATCTTAAGACGCGGCTTAAAGCGTTGAATCAGGAGTAGCTGGCTGGGCACGCTCATGCGAAAACGTTGTATGGAGGAAACAGTCCGATCCCATATCGATACTAGCGGGTAGCTAGGCCATGTAGGTGAGTACCTGAATAGTAGTGATGTGCTAGAAGCTAGTGGTTGAGATAGCGGATAACGTTAAATCAGGGGCTTAATTGATAAGTTAAGCTTTACCACGCCCGAGCTTCTGGACGATGGGCGGGCGGCGGGGTCATCCCTGATGAAACGGAGGACGGACTGGCTATCAAACGGCTGCGCGAGAGCTTAATTCTTGGTAACGACGAACCTGGATGAGCCTTGACGAACCTTACCGCCTAGGGGTCGAGCTGAATGTGGTACAGTTATCAGTTAAAGTTAGGTGCAGCTACACAGAGGTAACTGCCCAGTAATTGGCGTAATCGGCGCAGTCATGGCTGTCGTGTAACTCGTCGAAACGAGTCTTGACATCGACGTCGATTCACATGGGATCCTTTAGCGCCTATCTTGCCTTGTCATACACCTCGAAGCCAAGCAATCAATTTCAGACGCCTTCATACCTACCGAATCTACCTACCATTTTCTTGCCAATCAAGTCGGAATTCGAGAGCGGATATCCCATCTCGGGTATCTTTGTAGCTAAGAAGCGAGTCCAGGAAAGCCAATACGGTTGCATAGGTACGTGACTACCTAGGCAAATTACTAATACCTATCCCGCGAAGATCACGGTCTTGAAAACTGAGCCGTGCGTTACGATGTCACATTATACGTGCGGTAGCGTATAATTTATTACTCACATATGCCTATGTAGATACGCACATACAAGACCTACATGCCTAAGCCCAATCGCCGCTCAGCCGGGACGGATAATGTACCTACATACATGGCATAGTGAAACGGGCCTCGCGAACAGACACAATGCAACATCAACGTCCCCTCTCGCGCACGAGGCCACCCGAAATTCGGGACGAACAGACGTCGTCAACGCACGGATTTCAGGCTGTGTCTACGTAGTGCGGCATACGTAAAATCTTCCTTGTCGCTCATGCCTTCACTATGGCTATGCCTCTCCCCTGCTTTGTTTCACCTGTCCTCGTCCGGCATAGTAAGTCACTATTACATAACACGACGGTCTTATCGAGAGGGATCTCTGCTAGGGATGGATTTGGAATAGGGACGCGGGGCACGTGGCTATGGGGAGAGAACCCAGGATCGATCTGGAGATTCCTTGCTTTGGGTTAAAGGGAAGGCCCGAGTCGAAACGTCACGCCGGGCGGAGAATGCCGGGGTTCGTCATGGAGTATCGTGCTCCGAGACCGGTCTATCGCCGTTCCGGTGAAGTGCGGGTCCGGGATGTTGCTTAAGTGAGTCGTCAGTCCGATAGGGGTTACGTACTCAGTTAAGTGAAGGATTCACGTTGCTTCTCGAGATCTACAACTTTCAAGGCCTAAGTTATCCCCTTTCCAACTGCGTCCATATCGCATCATGGCTCTAGCACTGATACTTTCTTAGATGGGCGCCTTTACTTCGCTAATTACATAATTAATTCATCTGGGACTGAGTGGATGGTTTCTACATGGGAACAAGCATCAAGAGATCGCCTAGCTTGAATCACCTATCCATATACACTTTCAAGAGAGGGCGCTTCATTTACTTAACTGACTTTAAGATGATAGGCGCCTTCTAGGTTTACCTAGCCGTCTCTCAGACACACTATCTACAGCCGATCAAGCCACGGCTATGGATAACATCAACTACAACAGCACTACGTCTATCAGACTCCGACGTATAACCTACCTTCCTCCCTAGCCTTCTACCTCTCAGCCAATCAGGACATGGCTATAGAAGGAAGACATATAATTATAAATTCCCAAAGGGTTCCAAGATTAATGGCAAAAATGCTACAGGCCGTGTTGGGACGGCCTAGCGAAGTTGTATCAGCGCCTCTTAGTATATTACCAATATCACTACGAGTATCGTTACAAAACATCGTTAGGCCCTAGGGTTCGATCCCCTAGGTGGCCAATTCAATTCTTTTTTTTTTTTTTTTTTTTTTTTCAAACACCACTTCCATATGAAGTGTTTCCACCACTTATACACGACCTTATCCATTCCATTAATAGGCCATTTACCTATCTAGATATATTGATAATCAATAAGCCCCGAATTTATCTATACTATGATATCTGGGAGCGGAAGTCACGTTTAAGCGATTGAACGAGGGTTTTCACCTTGGCACTTTAAGAGCAAGCAATAGATATCATGCCTGAGATGTACGTTGAAGTGCCGATCATATATACGCATATGCGATACTTGTATCATGAATTTGGTGTGTTATTTCCTAGTTCAGCGTCCCAGTATGTGTTAGCAGCGGGTCCGCCAGAGACATGATTGTTTACCCTCCCTGTATCCATGTAAATAGAGTTTATTGAACTATTGCTGTGGAAGTTTATAATGAAGCCACTGCCCCAATCCGTCTAATGCTCGCTTCCTCTGAAGATTACGAGCCTATTCGGGACATTCCATTATAAATCTAATCCTTTCCCCCTTTCCATGAGTATCGCCACTGCTTATGAATCAAGGCTTCTTGCTAATCACTATTAGCCACTAGCATCGAGCCTAGATATATTCATGTTCTTCAAGTTTCGCTTAACTCACTTCATACGCGCGATCCATATAGTACATCGGGCCATCATGTTTCACTGGAAATGCCCTGACCTAGAATGTTGGTCGCACAGTAACATTTTGCATAAGTAGATTTTAGCGAATAAAGCGTCTGTTACATACAATATGGTAAGATGTTCACGTCGTCGTGATATTCTTCTGTCCTTTCCGGATGAAGTATCGTGATTTTTGAAGAGGGACCGTAGCCCCATGGTTTGCCTATTGCCAAGAAGTAGGTAATGATATCAATAAAGAACTGTTTGGTTTGCTGATTCTAAGTGTATCGTAGCCAAGGGATAACGAATAACATTATCAAGCAAATGCTGATTAAATGGGAGTATAGTTGGGATGGGTTACACTTGATGGATTTTGGTGCGAGCGATCCGGGCTTTATACCCGTACATGTAAAAAATGTCTTGGTGAGCTGTCAACTCGAGTTGAGCTTGAGTTGTCTATTAGCCTCTTCAAGCAAGGATCCTTTTCTATCCACGTAGGTAGACATTAAGTGTGAAGTTACAGTTACTACCTAGGTATTGTCAAAATAGGCCAACAAAAAGGGAAACCCAAAAATACGTTTGAAAAGGGGACGGGTACCTGGTGAGAATTGCTACAAACCTACGTAGACAACACTAATTGTATAGCTTTCACTTTCTAGACTAAATACTTCATCTACGGTTACAGCCTTTGCAATCGCCAATGTTCGGCCGTACGAGTCCAGCTTGGCTCTGACACAACCCGCGTACAACACAGCTGTGGCTACCACAACGGACGGAAGTTATTACGTATCTCGTAACAACATCGACTCACAAAGTCAAACGCCCGACTACATGGGATGATGAAGTTTACCAACTCCCCTACTCAGGTGTATATATATACTAAGATCTTCCCAAGGCTCTCAACTCTCCCTCTCGATCATCTTCACAAGAATCCATTCTGCTTCATCGAACTCTCACCAATATCTTCATTCTACGGTTGTGCCATAAGTTTCGACAACACCTCCAAAATGCAGTTCTCCAAGCTCACGATCGCTGTCCTGTCAGCCATCCTCACTTCCGCAGCCGCGCTCCCCGCTAGCGGGATCTCAGCCACGGGAGAACCGTCGTCAACCGCCGAGCCAGAAGCTCCCGACTCCGGTTTCCAGCTCAAAGACGTGCAGGTCCACTGCCCCGACAACGACCACCAGAAGAACTTCCTGAAGTGCTACAACGACAACTCGGGCAAGAACTGCGACCCCATGCCGGACCAGGCCGACAGGCACGCTTGCAGCCAGCTCTGGCAGATTATGTGCGGTATGTACCTATCTTACCCGCGTCCCGTACCCCTATTCCACTCCACTCCTTCTTTAACTACCTACATAAGACGTCGGAGCAGATAATACTGGAAACGACGACGAAGCTAACTCGAAATATAGCCAACCGTATCGGCTGCCAGGTGCAGGGCTAAGTAGCCCGGTGGCTTGCAGACCGACGTTATGATACTCGAGGGCAGTTCTCGGTGGAGTTGGCGATCTATTGTGATTTGCGGTGATAGCTAGGCTGTTGCCAATCTAGGGCACTTAAAAGCAATCAGATGAATGAGGGGTGTTGGTGGTTTCCTAACGTACTTTACCTCCTTTTCACTTCTTCGAACGGCTAGAAGCCTCACTTGGCCGTGTCAAGTACGGACTCTGGAAGTTAGCGCAAGATGTTTCGCATATGGATATTTGGAGGTCGATATTATTAACATCTACCTGGTTCGCTCGTTAGATACGGTAATTGATGGATACACCCAAATTTTTGAAATGTCTAAGTAATTGTCCTGCTCTGCGAGGGATCCATCACCCTGTAGATGAACATTGTAGACCACGATACACCAGTTCAAAGTCAAGGGGATTAAACATTGACATTACTAAGAGTCTAGTCCAAAAATCTAACCTTCACGTTGATGCGCCCAATGTATATACTCCTCCTAGAATCGAATCCCCTCCACTCCACAGCCACCACTACACAGTTCCCTTAGATTCTTTACAACAACTTCGTAGCAAGCGCAGCAGGCTGCTCAAGAATAACACCGGGCCCAGCAACAACAGTCTCCTTCGTCGGGGCGCCGGGGGTATCCGCCACCACGGCCACAATAACGCCCTTCGTCTCGAACTGGTCCGGGATCGTAACATAGATCTCCTTCTCAGGCCAATCCTTCGTATCAATCGGCACGCTCACATTATACACGCCGTGGAAGAAGACAGCATAGTAATCCTTGCCCTTCGCGAAGCTCGGCTGGTTGTCCGGGGTCGTGAAGTTGAGCGCGATAGTCGAGCCGGGCGTCAGCGAAGCCGTGCCCTTGGCGGCGCTGAGACCGGGCAGGTTCTGGCGCGGGCTCGGGTAGGCCGGGTTCTCGGGCGGGCAGGACCCGGGCACGATGTACCCGTTGGTGGAGTCGAGGATCTGGTTCGCGTAGGGGAAGGTCGTGTCGGCGGGCCCGGCGAACGGGTTCTGGCCCCAGATCTCGAGCAGGCTCCAGACCTCGTGCCGCGCCTCCGTCTCGGCGATCGCGAGCATGGCGCCCTGCGACGCCGGCAGCTTCGCCGACTGCACGAGGCCCGTCAGGAAGGCCATGCTGGACACCTCGAGCACCGTCGCCAGCGCGAGGAAGGACACCGGGTCGTAGTACGGGTACTGGTGCTCGCAGGCGCCGGGCTTCACCGACGTCGCCGAGATCTGGTTCTGGAAGATGCGCAGGTGGCCCGCCTCGTTGTTGCGGATCTCTTGGATGCGCTGGTACGTCGTGTTCGGGTAGCCGGCGGCGACGAAGGCCGACGTGTTGAAGGCCTCGACGGCCTGCTGGTAGAAGTCGAAGATTATCCACTCGGCCGCGAGCAGGTTCTGCCAGACCTCGTCGTCCTCGCCTGGCGGCCCGGTCTTGGTGGGCAAGACGGCATCTCTTAGGTTTCCGGGGAAGGGTGCTTCGACGCCGTAGTACGAGCTGAATATCGGGTCCTGGCCCGGCTTAGGGCCGTAGTTGGGGTCCGAGAGCTTCTGCGTCTGCACGAACGAGCCGATCTTGCCGAGGACGGGTCCTGCAGAGACGACAGATACTAAAGGGCTCAGTAAGCAGGCCTGGAAAAGAGATCGGACCGCCATTGCGAAATAATGGCTCGTGGAAGATCTTTGAGGAGGGAAGAAAAAACGAGTGTGCCGGATTCCTGTAACCGTTCGTCTAATCAACAACGACCGAGACGAAAAGGGCACGTTTATATTATGCTGCCAAGTCACATATGCGACTTCCAATAGCGCATCACGGCGGACGCCACAAATCTCCCTTAGTGGCCAACTGGCCGACCATCAGCATCTCGCTAGATGATATCATGATGGTAAACGACCGAGATACGAGTTAGACTTGCAGCAGCCACGCACAAAAGAAAACCTGATCGAGACCTGCTCGATAGAAACAGGCCTGGGCCAATTACAGTATCGGGTCTTCCGGAACTAACAGCTCATGCATCTGATCGACAGGCCCGTCTGCCGGATTGGCTAAGACTAAAATGACGGAAAGGGACCCAACTAATCGGGCGGCACTCAGACGGGTCGAAGGGGGTAAGCTCTAGGAAAGGAAAAACGGCTAGTTCTGAGCTGCCAGCCTCCCACGTCGCAAACTAGGACGTTAAGTGTGGGGGAGCTGAAAAAAAGGTTATCGTCACGTCCTTGAACGAGTCTGCCTGACTGCATAGAGCGCTCCATGATCATGATAAGAACTAAGGTGCTGGCAGAGCGGTGTTCGCAGGAGACTAATGTACGATATGCGCGGCCTGATGGTCTGGGTAGGTGTAAACGAGTCTATCGAATACCGTCTAGGCTCTAGGCTCTAGGCCCTAAGCCGGAAACTGAGACAGTGTGGTCGTACGGAGTAAAGGGGGTGACATATACTACGGTACGTTATGTTACTTTCGTTTGTTCCCGCGTAGTCCCGATAGGATGGAAACGTTCATTGCCGTAGGTTGTAATACCTACCCCGGATCAGCTAATCTTCGAGGACATAAAAGCAACGATAGGTGCTCCCTTCGATCCCTCGATAGCGTACGTGTGCCAAGGGCGGCTCTGCCGCTACACAGATCTAGCGTAACATGATATCTCAAACTAACGGGGACTAGTAACAAGATGCCGGAGTGATGTTGGGATACTGTCAGAATGTTAACTTGACATCTTCGAAGTAGGCGGTGACAATCTTTTACCTAAGTCCTAATACGAAAACAACCATCGATCATGCAAGATAAGCTTCTTCACATTGGCTAAAATATCAAAACAATGTTGCATTGTGACTGCGTCTCGACTTCCGGCGTTGATTCGTTGATGATTTGTCGATGATTCAGCTTCCGGAGAATAAGTCGCTGGCATTGGCTTGGCACAATGCCGATGACTGCCTTATCACAGCCCCATTCCGCAATGATCGGCGATGTCTAATTACGGTACTCTATCGAAAGAATAGATCGATTCATCTATCCCTTATTGTATTCAGCTATCGAGAATCATGCACGTCAAACGCCTTGCCGTTAATACATGCATATGAATAAATTTTAAGTGCATACGATGGCTTCTGCATAAAGACGCGTGAAATATCTTGGTAGTGTTTAGGTAATTAAAATTACAGGTATGGTGGATTGAATGGAGCCATACACACTTCATACATAATGTCTCGGGGGGACCGTCTCCCGCCGACAATTTGTAGGAGTACGATTGCTATTGAGGTGGACGTTTTAGCACCTAGAGATCAATCTAGTTCTGAAGACTTCGCACGGCAAATCATCACTAATATACGCTTAGGTGGATATGAATATTGCGAATGCTACATTTGGGAGTGACTAATTACCTAGGCCGGATTAAGTCGCTCCTTGAGATAATCCCTAGATCGACTTCTACTTGGAAGAACACTCCAAACCCTTCATTCCCTACTCGAACCATCCTCCAAGCCAAATATACGCCAAGGCCATGGTTGTGTTAACCAGGCTACGTCTTGACTGTCCGCGGTCCTTCATTGGTAGGAGATCTAGTCAACCCAATGCCAGCATCTAGACACCGAGGCCATTAGGTTGTTTCTCTCGGAGCGTCCCATACTATGTCATCTGGCAACGCTCTTTCTGCGTAACGGCTTTCTTTGGCTTCACACTAGGAGAAGGAGACTTGTCCATCGTGCCCTCGGAGCTAGCTTTCGGGCCTTTTCCTTCGTCAGACTTGTCGTCTTTCGCTGGAGTCTCATGCTTATCTCCTGACCCCATCTCCACGCCTTCATCCTCTTCCCTTTTTTTGCCCTCTTCACCTTCCTTGTTTGTACCTCCATTCTCGTCAATAAATTGATAATCACCAAGGTCGAGACTAGGATATTGAGACTCTCGCCTCGGCATCCTGATTCTCTGTGCTGAAAACGGTGCCTTAGGGCTTTTGTTATTTGTCTACTATGTTGAGATGTAGTATGGTAGAGGCAAGATTATGGCAGTTCCAAAGATCGAATTCTAGGTAGATAGAGCACTTGTTCGCATGTTCCTAAAAGATGAGAGTATAATCCTTTATATGTTGATCTCATCGTAAGATTGCGATTGCCGTCCTACATGTTTGGAAAAGTTTGATAAAGGCGTGTATGGTTCTTATGTGTGTTCTACCAACAGTGTAGATCTAGCGGTAACGAACAATCCGCAGAGTAGATCTATACAATCCAGTATAATCATGTTTGCCGATTAGTTTCTAAACCTTTGCTATAGAACGTCAGGTCGAACAGTATGTAACAAGACATAGCTACAAGACCAATCATTCTTGAATCATTCAAGGACAAATAGAGGTAATGAGCAGCTCAGATTATTCAGAGACTTATATACTATGGCCCGAAACCACTCCTAACCTCTCTTAGCTGAGGCGTCTGTCTTCCGCCTTTTTTGAAACCCTATAAAATCCTTGAATCCCTAACCTCCAAGTTAACCAGAGCAAGTCCCAAAAATTATCGTACACACATTAAAGAACGCGAGGACATCAACACGGTCATACCAGCTCTGGACATGAGTATCCAACGAACCAAGTAGGACCGTCATAAAGCGGACACTCCACACATCCAAATCAGCCAGACCCTCACGGATACACCCTCCCAACATACACATAACTATAAATGTCCGTCTGATCCGGCTCGTACTGCAATATCTCATCGCCCGAGATCCCGTAGATCATCGCGTCCTCGCTCGCCGCGATCGACGTGAAATTGACGTCCGGCCCGCCGCGGAAGTTGATGCTCGGTATGGCGTGGAAGCGGCCGTCCCACAGCAGCGCCGTCACCGTGCCGTTCGGCAGCAGCGCCATCGTCGTCTGCTCGCTGAAGTTCTTCTGCACCGTCATCGCGAACTGCAGGTTCGGCGACGGCGCCGGGAGCGATTTGATCAAGCTGTTGTCTTTTGGGTTTCGTTAGGTATTTTATTTTGATATGTATCATATAAGGGGTAAGGAGCCTACCAGAGATCCAATCACCCCCCGTATACATCATCTTCTGCATATCGCCCACCTCGCCCGTGCCCAAACTCTCACTCACCAAAATCACGCGACTAACCGACGTCCTCCCACCATTCTCAACCTGCGCCACGAGCCCCAAACTCGTATTCCGCGCCACGCTCCTCGCCTCCACAACCTTCGCCGGACTCTTCCACCCCGTCCCGTTGCCCACATACACATCGCCATCAGGGTCCTGATACGCAAGCGTCCACGCGCCCAAGCAACCCCCACCTTCCTCATCTCCACCCACCGTATCATTACGCCAGCACCGCTGCCACGCCGCCGCCATCCTACTCCCCTCTAACACCTGCAAATTCGCGGCCTCCACATCCTCGTCATACTCCCACGCATCCGGCGCCGCGTCGGGGTCCATCAACATCAACGACCTGACCACCACGCTACTCTCCAAGCCCGCGGTCCCCGCGAACCAGACGTGCGTCTCGCTCTTGTTTCCGTACGTCAGCGACGCGCTGGCTAAGCTGGCGCCGGGAGCTAGGCCCAGGTCCAGCGCGTTCGAGGTGGCGGCGCGCGTGAGCGCCGTCAGGTTCGCCGTCGTCCAGGACGCGTTCGCCGAATCCCAGCGCCGGGCTATCAGCGCCGAGGACGGGTCTTGGAAGAATACTGTTCGGTGCGCGTGTCCGTTTACGTCGGTGCGGTTGCTGGCTGTGAGCTGGGATATGGAGAGGATGTTGACGTTATTATTATTGTTGTTATTGTTGCCGTTGTCGTTATCGTTGTCATTGTTATTATTGTTGCCATTGCCATTCTCATTGTTGTTCGAGCCTTGGGTTCCGTTGGTGTCCGAGGCCGAGGAAGCGCGGTGCTGTTTAGCGGCCAGGCCGCCTCCGATCCCGCCGGCGAGGGCGCCGGCTATTATTACTACCCCGATTATGAGAAGTATGTAAAATGTGCGTTTTGGCAGGCCCCATATCCTGCTTGCTGGTTGCTGTGGCTGTTGTTGTGGTGAATCCTGAACGGCCGGTGGGTTGTATGAAGGATATACACTTTCGTGGGCAAGGACCTCTGGAAGATATCCCCTATCCGTCTCGAAGGCAGCCAGCTGCGGGTAGACGCTGTCATGTTGAATCACTTCCTTATCCGTCTCGCCATTACAGTACGGATGATAGCCCTCGACGCCCTTAACCTCCAGTGTGCTGTATGGTGACATGGTGGGACTTTATCTGAGGTCCCTGGTGGCACGCCACAACGGGTTTGGATAAGAAGTCAAGGAGAGGACGAAAAGGTGATATTGATAGTGATAAACGGCCACCATCTGGTCGAAAGACATGACTGGGATCTACCTACCCGGCCGAGATGTGAAGATAGTGGCGCAGGATTACCATCTCCTCCTCGATTCAACCACTGAACCAATCATGGTGAAATTTCGTGCTCATAGCCGCTTGTGTGACCATATTCCCAGTAATTCTGTAAGGCAGAGATCAACCTGAGCATACATGTAACTTGACAACTCCATATGAAACCCCGGCAGCCCTAAATGGTTGTCAACCATGAGAAAACGTGCCAGGCCTTTTTGCCATGCAGAATTGCGGCGCAGCATAATTCTCGATATCAGTAATAGTCGCTCTGACCTGGTAAAAGACGCGACTGGTTGAATCGATCCTTGGTGGTTGTCTCCTGGGACAGCTGAGATTTCTGAGACATATAGTAAGACGAAAGGGGAAATAGAGAGACGTTGAGTGGTATGTAACACTTAAAACCGTTGAGAAGGATCGAAGACCCGAATCAAGCTGCTGTAAGACCGAGTTCGTAGAATATTACCTCTTGAAGTGTACACGTTTGAAATCTGGAACCTATACATCGAAATATGATAATCGACCTAGTAACATTCCTACTCCCATGTTAACATTCGTATTTCGCATTCGAGCCTAGTGGGTTTCCTCTGCTTTATGAACGCACTATAATTCGAGCAAGTCAGTTTATTAGTTTATTATTACCGGTGATTATTCATGATTTTCCTTGTTGCTGATTCGAAGCACCAGTCCGGATTATGCGACACGAAGGGGAACAGATATTGAGGTTGACATGGCAAACGTCCTCCATGCGACCCTAGATCCTCAGATGCTTTTGTCATCACCCAGCCGTCCAGAACGCCACTTTATGTAATCTCCAATCATACAATATCTACTCATGTAGCCAGCTTCCTAGCTTCTCCCATCCATTACCCCGTCATAGCCTCCCGTCTATGAATGCCATTATCGATGTAGGGGCCAGTAATACAATGTTTGAATAGTTGTAAGGCAGCCCTTAGAAATGGGCGCATCGCTTTATCAGTACCGGAACCCAAAATTTCCATGTTAAGCAATGATCCAAATCTTTTACATAGTGGGCGGGACAAATCGGCTAGCTGATACTAACTCAATCCCTTACGCCTTTCGGGAGCGTGTAGTAACGCCGTTAGTCCTGACTCCGGTAGCCAGGACTGGCTTCTCGATAGCGCTCGTAACGGTGTGGTGGTCAGGAAGAGGTGCTTGCGACATACGACGAAGAGTCTTGCGCGTGCTAGGCGCTTTGTGGTCCTTCTTGTATGTGGCGAAATAGAACGAGATGAAAAGAACCAGGTACGAGGTTAGAGTTCCAATACCGGCAAAGGCCGCGAACTCCTCGCCAGCACATTCGCCCGCGTTCGGCATCCATTGGAAGTAGGTAGAGGTAAAGTAGGTGTACGACGCGTAGTAGACGAATCCGAGATCGATAATGAACTGAGCAATTTGGAGACGGGTGATGTACTCCTTCCACCAAATTCGGATTCCACGAGCGCTTTGGAAGTAGTACCAGTACATGACCACGTGAACAGTCAAGTTGAGGGTGATCACAACCCACGAAACCGCGGTAGAACCGATTAGCTGCGTGTAGCAGAGGAACGCCGTCGCACCATGGTGATAGCAGTGGAGGAAAGCTATAGTAAAATGTTAGACTTCTAGTTTTGGTTTAGATTTTCTAGAGCTGAACATACTCAGAGGCTTCTTCTTGAGGAACAGGAAAACGGTGTCAAGGAGTTCTAGGTATTTGGTCAAGTAGTTCAACTGGGTTTGAATTAGTCTCCAGGCCCCAAAGACGATGATCTAATCGCGGCGTAAACCTACGTAGTAGAGCACAACCAAAGGCTGTGTCCAACCTCCCTGCTTGTCGCAAATAGAGTAGAAGATGCCGTGCCTGACAACGGTCGGTAGCAGCTGCTCGATGAACAACGCCAGAAGGAGACCGCTAATGGCGGTGAGGTAGAAGTTGTGGATCAAGAAGAGCGCCTTCAGCTTAAAGGGCTCGCGATTCCGCATATACTCCCTACCGCCAAAGATTATGCTGTAGTAGACGACAATGAAGATCAACGTCTCTTTCAACGTTGACATAGGCGTCTGGCCGGCCACGAATCGAAAATCATCGGCGGGATAGCCGACGACGACCTCGAAGGCCTTGCTGAAGTAGGGCCATATTGGTACACCGAACGGTCGGTCGAGAGTCGGGACGGGGAGCGACTCCCAAATGGCGGGAGCATCGGCAGTAGCCATGATGGAAGACAACAATTGATCGTAAACGACGCGATTAAGCCACGTAGACAAGTTTGCGCGAAGATGTTGCGCTAGGACTACGTGGGAAAAGAGACTGACGAGTCTTTTACAACAAGCAGTCTGAATATGTAAAGGAAAACGTTTGGATGAAGGAGCGACGGGAAGAAATTATTAGAGACCCTGCGATTGACTCGCCAGGGGAGTTGCGTGAAAAGTGGTACAGGTGACAAGTGGGAAAAGAGAAAAGGAAGATTGAGACTTATGAATATGAAAATCACGGTTGACGCTCGTGAAGATGAGGAAAAAAAGTTGAGCGAAACAGACTATTGGACTATTGTACTTTTGGGTCTTTCATTAAACTCCACGCCAACAAAAGGGGACGCGACCTATCTTGCTTCTCATTGGTCAGATTCCCCACCTAATCCCGTCTCTTCAAGGATCACCGATCGGTATTGGCGGGTTCCTCGGGCGGCCGGTCCTTCCCAGGTCCATATTGATAAAATCGATAAACGCAGCCTTAAGGAGATACATAAACGTCTAACCGGTACCTAGAAATCCGATATTAGCACGTGCCTCTTTTATGTACGTGGACAGGTGGAATATGAATACAAGACATATTGTTTGGATCTATCCGTACCTGCATATATCTACCCAGCAAATAGGCCAAATCATTGATTGGGATTGACCTCTCCGTATGAATTATTTCTAATGGAAATCGACCGATTTGTTGATGCCTTTCGCCATTCTTTTTCCTGACCTCGATTCTTCCGCAGTTTCGCATGTGAGAGGATCACAGATTAATGAGATCTCGGATATAGCGCTAGGTAGTATACATCTGTAATACCTAATAAGTAAACTTCTATTAAGCTCGTTCTCACCTAACGCTAGTGTAATTATGCAATCCTTATGCGGCAGCTACCTAGGCTGTCGAACCTGAGCTTAAAAGCAGCTAAACCTCGGCCAATTTCAAAATATGGGGTCCTCTATGTTCGATATACCGAGAGATTCCCATTTTCTCCAGATGCTAATTTTCCCATGCACCATGGGATGCAGTTCGGAAAGACGTGGAAAATTTACGCGTTTTTTTTTCTCTTAACTCGTGTTTTCAAGTCTACCCAATTAAAACTAGATTTTGGAGCCAATTAGGCTTCGTGTCGATATGATGTCTCTCGATTTTGATTGGTGGCTTTTCTTGTCTGGTAAGTAGGATTTTTCAGCTAGTCGAAAGGATGAAATGAGCAAGATTCGACCTATTCCTGTGAAAGTCACCTCTATACCAAGTACCGGTAGCTCAGAACAACACGAAGTAAGGGAAGGAAAGTAGCTGATTTGGAGACTTCCAAGCAGCCTGGTTTGTCGTGCATTTTATTGAGGCTTAATTGAGGCTGAAGCCACATACTAGTTCTACGTAGTATTGGAAGAGTGGCTGGTATACTGTTTTAGACTTCGAGGGGTAATGAGACCCACTGTCCATTCGGCTCTCGATAAGATAATCAGGACGATATCCCGGAGTTCAGAACGATTAAAATGTTTAGATGACAATTAGACGAAGAGTATGCATGAAGAACACTCGAGTATGTTGGTCCAATTTTGATCATGCTCTCACTATGTATGGATCTTGATGCAGCTCTCATGTTGGACTTGCAGATCTATAAGAAAAGGGAAAATAACAACGTGATTGTTCGCCGAATCGCTATTCATGCCCGACCCATTGAACTAGACTACCCCGGAAGGATCGTGGTTAGCGTACGAGACATAGGGCGTTTTGCTCCGGCTCTTGTTGGATATCTTTACTGTTTAATGCTTCTCTACATTTGAATAACGAGTCGTAGAATAGCTAAGTGAGTTGGGTTTGTTTAGTATAATGATTCTTATAAGTCTATATTCTGTAACTTCTTAGGTGGATAGAGGTAGAGATAAGACGAGGGGTTCGTGTGTAAACAAAGAGGTAGCTAAGTTGCGAGATGCCAAGAGGGGTATGGGAACTATCGGGATGAGATCGGGGTGCTTGGGTTGCATGGCTGTATGGTTGTCAACTGCAATGCCTCCAGGGCTGTCAAAGTTGGGATTTGGTTTTGTTAAATTCGTACGTCTCGTTGTTTGAATGCTCGATAAGATCAGTGGTACGTTGAAATATTTATATGGCAGATAGGCTCTTTAGATACTTTTCTTGGGGATGACGTAGAAAGTCAAACTCAAATGCAAAGGCAGTTACTGGCCCGTTACCTCACCTCAATAACAGTAAGGAGCTCTCCGAATCTTTGGCCAAAGCAGTAATAGCTAATCCCGATTAGCAAGGAAAGTGAGCTCACTGCTGTTACCTAACTGCATCGAGTACCCCGAGCTCCACTCACCAGCCACAGACTGACCAATCAGGACAATTCTTTTTGTGAGCCAGTCTTCCATTTCCCCTAGCCACCATAGCCACGCATCATTCGATATGTGAGAAACTCTGGAGTCAGTCAACGGCTACCGAATCAGATCAATTCAAACTACCACAAGCACAACCACCACCACCCGCGCTCCCGCCAAACACCACACCACGCACAACCGAATCCATAATCATACCCATTCCCGATCTCGAAATAATTTCTTTTATTTCTTTCGACATAGCAGGGAAGAAGGGAAAAAGCCAAACGAACAAACGATTACGACTATCTATAATTCTCGTCGTCATACCCAATTAAACCGCGCCTCTCCACTCGACTAATTTTTTTTTTCTTTTTTCTTCCTTCAAAACTCTCCACTCACCTAATAAAAATATTATGTCCTCGATGTCGCTCCTCAGAATCGCCTCGCGCGGGCCGTCTAAGACCTTTTTTCGTGCCAACCGACCTGTCGCACCCACCCGATCAAGTGCTTCCCTCGTTCCGGGCCTGATTGCCGGCTCCAGCCTTAACTTCAGCACCACCGTGCCCCGAAGAGCGGCCGCGCATCACGAAGAGACGTTCGAGGAATTCACTGCCAGGTAAGGATACCTATTTGTCTCGACGACGGAGATCAGATGGAATTATAAGGAAGAGAAGGGATAGAAGGAGCTTCACGGACCAATTGATGGGGATACTTCATACTTAAAAAGCTCAATTGGGTGTCGAATTGGATAGTGAGAGCTTAAATATCGCTCAATTGGTCGTGGTGTTTTTGGAATAGCTGGAAGAATGGCCAATTTAGATAAGATGCTAACCTGAGCTTCTCCGAATAGGTATGAAAGCGAATTTGAGAAGGTGCAGGATGTTTTTGAGCTCCAGGTTCGTCGACTTTGTTATTCTACTCTATCTTCCCCAGGTCCTCCGGTTTAAGGCTCTCTACCACCAAAATCGTTATCGTATACCAACCGAGGACTACCAACGCCAACCCGACCCACTCTCTCCACCCGTCTTGAATCATTATCTTCCGTCACGACGTCAGACATCATATTGCATCACGACACAGAAAAAGAAAAATTCGAGAACCTGCACACTAACACATCACAGCGCAATCTAAACAACGCATTCGCCTACGATCTTGTCCCCTCTCCCTCGGTTGTCGAGGCCGCCCTCCGCGCCGCCCGCCGGGTAAACGACTTCCCCACCGCCGTCCGCATCTTCGAGGGCATCAAGGCCAAGGTCGAGAACAAAGACCAATACCAACAGTACCTCGATGAGCTCAAGCCCCTGCGCGAAGAGCTCGGTGTTATGCTGAAGGAAGACCTGTACCCCGAAGAGAGCAAATAGACTTCCTCTCTTCTACTTTTGCACCAAAGTCCCTAGTCATTCATCATTCATCATTTTCCAAGTCTAAAGCATTTGAGGAGAAAGGTTGAAAAGGACACGGCGCGAGGATAGAGGGGAAATCTTCGTGTCTGGTAGCTGGAGGCGCGACGGCGAAGAAAAGAGGGAGAGGTTATGAAGACGAACAAAATCACAAAAGCTTCGCCTTAACCTCGACCTTGGATGGATGGATTTCTTCCCGTCGCGATGTGTATATGTCTACTACCTCTACTACATCCCAATAAACACAATGAATTAGAAACCGAGCAAAATTCTTGAAGGGCGATGAGATATAATGGTGCATTGAGTCCGCTGTGCTTTTAACCCCTTTCCTTTTATTTTCCGAAAAGGGGAATAGAGATAGGCGAGGGGGTGGTTTTGATTTATGAGCCCTTTGTTTTCTTGCAGCTGTTGCTACTAGGAACATATTATATAAAGTCACTCACTCTCTGTCCACCATCTCTACTCCCAGACCCGAACATTCCGACTTCTCGCAGTAATTTTGGAGCAACTTAGGTAACTGCTCCGATTATCCCGGCCCCTTTCCCGTGGCCCGGGGTAAACCGTGAATCCCAAAGAGCTCCAGTCGAGAAGGCGATATCCGATCAGGGGCTTCTCTTACCATTCCGATCGATCAACTGAAGACGAACCAGCACCAGTGAAACCTACGACGTATCACTCATAATACGAAACTATTCTCTCGTTGTATTCATCGCAAGCTTATTCTTCGTCTACATATACACACCTCCTCTATCTTCCCCCAATCTTCATCTTCTCCTCTTTCTACCATCGCGCACTCATCTCCGTCATCATCATGCACTCAAAAGCGTTCATCAACCCCTTAACTAGGTACGAGGTCTGGTTCAAGAGGTTATAACAAAGATACCCCTCAAGAACTCAACCGAAGCCCCAACCCCAAACTTCATCCCCGATTTAGAAAAAGTGAAATAGAGTTAAAAAAAAAGGGGTTACGGAAAAATCGTGAGGTCCGTCCCCCCCGATGCAATCTCTCTACCTAAGCTAGCCAGTACAGCGTATGATGGATACGAATAAAACACAAGCGCAATGCAAACCGCGAACCGGTCTCTTTCGCGTCCGGGACGCCGGGGAAGAACTAGCCGAGAAGAAAACTAGCACTTAAAAGAAAAAAATGAGCAAAGGAGAAGAAGTCCGGGGAAGAAAAGAAATGGAAAATTCCTATCCCTTCCGTCGTTCGATTGCGGCGGCGCGGGGAATTCCTGGTGGAGGCCGTATCGTATACAGTTGTCCTCGCGAGAGCGCATAACGAGTAGGTACCCATTATTCTAGAATCCGCCGCTCTCCGAGCCCCGGATCTAAAACCGCGTCTCCCTCAAATGCGAAGCCCTCCCCGCAACCGGCGTCCCGACGCCCGCCTCGAACACGCCCGTCGGCGGCGGCGCCGGGCTGGTCCCCCTACTACTAGAGCCGCCCTTGACCCTGCCGCCGCCGTTGCGCGGGCTATTGAACGCGCTGAGCCGCGGACTACGCGGGACGCTATTCTGGCGCGTGCCGCGCCTGTTCTCCTTCAGCTGCCGCAGCTCCTCCTTCGCCCTCGCCAGCTCCGCGTCGCGGTCGTGCACCATCGCCTTCTGCTCGTTGAGCAGCCGCAGCAGCTCCTCCACCTGCCGCGCGTTGTTGATCTGGTTGACCTTGACGATGTTCTCGTCCGCCTTGCGGCGGAGGAGCTCGATCTGCGCCTCCAGCGCTCGGTTCTCCGCCCCTAGCTCCCCGGCTCTTTGGGACGCGTTCTGGTACGCCGTCTTCGCGTATTCCATGTCGTTCTTGGCCATCGTGGCCCTCTTTTCGATCTTCTGAATCTCGGCTTTCGCTTCTTCGAGGCTTTTCTCCAGCCGTGCCATCTTAGCAAGCTCGGGATTCGTGGAGTTGAGCAGCGATTCGTTCGCTGAGGCCAGCTGCTTCTGAAGCTCTGTATTTTTCTCCTTCAGCTCGGCGGCTTCTTTCCTGCTAGATTCGAGACCAGCATTGACTGCCCTCGTTTCCTCCTTGGCTTTGCGGTAGTCGTCCTCGAAAGTACCCCGGTCCTTTAGGGCGTTCATGTAATTAGATTGTATAGTGTTGATTGTTGAAGTGTACCCATCGACCTCCTTTTTAGATTGATCGCTAAGCTGACGAAACTGCTGCTCTCGCTGTTTGCTCTCCTTTAGTTCGACCTTAAGTGTCGCGATCTATTCGATACTATATTAGCGCAGTACATCTACGGATACTTTTTGACGGATCTAAACTGACTTTGGTTGATAGTGCCTCCAACTTGCCAACTGATACCGAGAGCATTGCTTTCGGAGAGTCGTGGACCGCGTCGTCTCTCAGGAGGCCTTTTAGCGAGTCGCTAATATGACTTACATTAGTAACCACCGTAGGTTGAGATACTCTAGGACGCTTAGAAGAGGTCTCATCATCTTCGTCGGCCTATTTCCCAGGTTAGTTCACATAGATTAACCGTAGCAAGTAGGCTTACATCGTGGGATCTTTTGCGGCTACCGGAGGCCTGGTCGGTCTCAAGGCCCTGCAGTTCAGGTTGTGGAATTGATCCTTGGACTTGAGAGCTTGCGTGCAAATCCTCGAACACATTCTCGGGAACTTCCAAAGGATCCCAATAAAAGTCATCATTGTCCTGATCCTGGATATAATCTGAGAAAAGTTCGGCCGCGCTGTGTAGCTGGGTGATCTGAGAGCTGCCGACGTCTTCTATGTATCGCATTGCCTTAACTAACGCGAGTACAAGAACATTTTTCCGTTCCAAGGGCTCTATCCCCTCTGATATACGCATGTTAAGGTGTTGTATGGAGCACGCGTTTGTCAGGACCATTAAAATAGGAGAACGTTCTCGAATACGCGATGGGAGTAGTTCTGGCCGATACGTGTGGTCAAATGCTATGACAGCGTCGACATCCTCGAGAATAGACGATGACTTGTCGAGCGTTGACGAAATAGCAACTGTCAGAGAATGCTGAGCAGTTGAAGGACCGACGATTTCTACGCCAGATCGGATGTAGCGGTAGCCTCTCGTTTTCACAACCTGATCAAGAAGATCCATCACCTTTCCCGGACGGGATAAGATGAGAATCTTCTTATCCGACTTCACATCGGCTAGGCAAGTAAGAAGTTCGTCAATAAAGGCAAACTTTGCATTTGTTCCAACGACGTGTTTAGCCACCTCATCGGGCGCCATAGACGGAATAGTCTCCATGAAGGGCGGCAAGTCACAAACATCGAAAAGACGCGAGAACATTTCATCAACCTTTGATACTACCGCGGGATGAGGCTTCAAGTGCGGCAATACCAGAAAAGAGGCATTGTATTCGCGAATCAAGCCCTCGTTCTCACGGAGAACGTCGTTGTACACGGGACGACAATTGCTGTAGAATGGAAGCGTGACGAGGAACTCGTTGTGACCGGTAGGAACGTACGGGTGAAGGTTCTTCGGATAGTTGGCCGGTGGTGTTTCCTCTTCTTCCTCTATGCCGAATGCAGGATAGGAGGGATAGTCTGTCGCTAATAAAGGGTTAATCTCCATGTCATTCTCGATAGAAAGTGTCAAATTAGACGGATCTAGAGTTCCAGGTTGCTCCTCGTTAGTATTGAAACCAACTTCGGTAGGGCCGGCCTCTTCTAATCCCAGCTCGCCTTGCTTTTCCGACTCAGCGGGCGCCTGCGAGGTTCCGGATGCTGATGTTTGCTGCATATCTGAAGATAGCTCGCTTTGTGCTACTTCTGGTGGCTGAGTTAGGAAAGCAGGAGATCCAACCAATGGCGGGGGAGTGAGGGGGCTGATGTCAGGCCTCGAGGGGACTTCAATTGCCTGAGGACCGGGAATGGCTGATTGAGGTACTGCCAGAGTATCGATTTTAGGCTCAACTTGAATCGGATCTTCTGAAGTCGTTGTGAGAGTGGTAGGTTTTTGTAGGGAAGCAAAGTTTTTCTCTCTTATCAGTCTCAATCTCTCACGAGCCGACATTTGCGTACCAGGGGTCTCAGCGCTATCCATGTTGGTAGGTACGGCTTGTTGCCGTGGCGTACGATATGAGTTGTTAGAATGTCCCCGGTTCACAGCACTAGGTTGCTTAATTGACGATTCCTCCCCTCCAGTGTTATTAGTCGGCGTGTTTGGATTGCTCCGTGGCAGCTCTATGTGACTTGATACAGATTGTGATCCAGATTGGTGGTCTTTGAAAGATGACGTATTCCTAGAACAGTCGTCCGGTTTGTCTAAGGCCTGACCAGAGTCTTGGGAGTCGTGCTGGACCTGAGAGTTTCTCAATACAGTATCCGATATGACTGAGTCGTCGTCGTAAACGGTGAAATGAGAGTGGCTGCGCGTTACGAGCCCGCCTTGTTGACTACTCAGGGGGACCACAATCTGAGCAGCCTGGGAATTGCTCTGCTGGGATGCCGCACTAAAACTATGTGCAAATATCTGATCCTGACTTACGCTCGTCACAGAGGTATGTTCATCCGAGTGTGGTTCACGTCGATAAATCGATGGGCAATTGTTTAGTCGGCCTGTGGAAGGAACACTGTCGAGGCTTAAGTTTCCCGGTGCAAAGAAACTCGAATGACCTCTACTGGTTGTGCCTTGAGAATTATTAGACGCAGTAAAACCTATGTTAGACTCATTTACTAAAGCAGAGCCTGATAAGTTTTCCCGGCCACCAGGAAAACGATGATCAACTTGATGTGAAGGGATCTCTGTCGAGTGCGAATGTGATTTAAGTTGGCGATGTTCTGAACTTTGCCGCGATGAGACGAAGGCCTCTCCTTGCGCTTGACTTGTTCCAAATGAATCCAGGGGATTAAGAATACTATTTTGCGTCTCAGTGATTGATATGCCAGAGAAAGCTTGAGAATCTGGAATAACTTGATTCACGTCTCTCTTAGTTTCTGGTTTGTGGCCTTGCAGCTGGCCGCCCGTTCCTTGTGAGGACGACAATGTGCGGTATTGATCGGGATCAAGCAAGGACTCCCGAACTATTTTTACCACGTTCTGAGCTTTCCGATGGTCTTGAATGCGTTGTGGAGAGTCCCTGCCTAGGTCGGTCTTGTTTTGTCCACTTGATACCTCTAATGAGACCTGAGCTTCCGCCCGGTGATCTGCGACTGTGGAAGGGCCTGGCTTGGCCTCAGTTGACTGGCGATTATGCGTAGTTTCCTGTTTTAGCACAGATCTCTCCCTAACCAGATTTTGACGACCTGACCGGCTGGGAACTTGGGATGGTTCCCTCTCCGCCGTATCAGATGTTTGCGTAGGAGAGCCGGCGTTACTAACAGCTACATCAGATGTATGCTGTTCGTGTTTGGCTCCAGTCCTACTTTCTTTCCAGGCACTTATCGCGACAATTGACACGTTCTCTTCCGGTTCCTACATACACTCAGCAAGGGTTCTGGCAAACAGATGAGTTAAGCCCTACCCAGGATGGTATATGTGGTTGACCGTTGTTATCGGTGCCTTCCCAATCTACCAAGTAATAGATCTTGCCGTGCTCGACCTTCTCGTCGATGATACCTCGAATCGCGAACCAATCGTTATATGCCTTTTTATTCTCGCCTTCGGCTTTGGAGGTGGCATGGGTTGATTTTCGCTTCTTGGGCTTTGGGTTTGGTCGTTGTCGCTGTGGTTGGTTCTGGCTATGGCGTATTGGCGAAGGTGGAGGTTGGGATCCTCGATCACGTTGTCGACGATTCTTCGATATATGTGACTTGGCGTTAGCCGCGCTCATTGGCGGCAATTTCCTTGAAGGACAATCGGAGGAAAAGCAAAATCCATAATTAGTTTTCCTTAGCAAGACAGTCCGGTTATGGCTGATAGATATACAATAATGCTACCCAGGCAAATCTTATGTCACCAAGGTAGTCGTCCTTGATCCTGGATCGGGAGCTGCTTCTCTACATAGGTATGTAATGATTAGAACTTAGCGTACCTAGCCGTGCGACAAGGCTCCAGTGTTCCGTACCTGGTACGTACCCAGTCCACCGTACCTACCTCGGGAGGTACCTGGTGTCGCTCGGAAACGGGGTAGCTACAGGGATGGCCAAGCTATGTGGCACGTTAAGTATCCAAGGCGCTGTGGCCTGTGTGGCTTAAGTAGGTACCTATTTACTTAGGTACCTAGCACATACATACACCAGGTACCTACGTACTTGTAGCTGGAGGTGCACAGGTGGGGTGACTTCTAAGGTTAAGCCACGCGGGCTGCTTTAACTGGAGGTTACAGAGGCTACCGGTCTCGAATTGACTTGAGCTAGAGCCTATTGCCCAGGTATTCATTTCCTTTCCTGATCGGGATAATACTCGACTCAGCTACCAAACTCCGGGCGCCCCAAACTTCCCAACTCCCAAACCCAAACCCAAACCCTCTAATTTCCAGGCGGCCAGATATCCCATCAAGGACCAACTTATAGCTGACCCTGGCTTAAATAGTGCTGCAAATGCCCTATATTCCATGCATCGAGAGAATCATCGCCGGCCTCGACATGGATGTTGCGGATGGCCTCGATACGAGCCCTATCCCAGAAGCAGTATCCATTCCTTCGCCACAACATATGTGTATCTCTCATTTCGTAGACAGCCCAACGCGTTCTCAACTCGCCGTACATAATCTTCCACATCAAGAAAGGACCATCGTCGGGCTCCGAGTAATATAACGGCATGAACTGAGAATCCCAATGCTGGGGATCCTTTATCGTCCTAACCAAGGCATCCGGTTGCTTGCCGTACACGCCCGGCCATGAACTTATACTGTGTATGAAGGATCTCGACGTTAAGTCGAAAAAGAAGCTACGAACCTCTCTGCTTCGAGGAGCACGGGGTCTCCCTAACCAAAGAGATTTTCGCTCCTCAATGTCATGGTCCTTAGAGATGACAATCTCCATGTCGCGTAATCCCAGGAGCATAATGTTCTGGGGAGACTCTCTGGAAATCGACAGATTCTTAGACCAATCATCCGGATACTTTTCGAGACCAGTGCACCACTTGGCCACGGGATGCTCTTCTACTTCTTTGTAAGCTGCTTGCAAGTATTAGCTCTATACTGGTACATCGCCAAGATTCAATGATGTTAGACTTCTCACCTTCTACCACCAGAGCTACAAGGAACTCCCAGACGCTGGTCATTTGCTCGTTTTCCCAGGGCGCGAACTGCTGGAGAAGGCAGTCCATATCGGCAAACCTATGTTGATCGCCATGGGCTAGTGCAATTTCATCGCCTTCGTCCATCTCAGGCAATATCCAATGCTCGCGAACGAGATTAAAGTACATTTCGAGATAGTACAGGGCGCGCATGACACGACCTTTCTCAGATACTGTTGGATTCGTCCATATTCCGGGTCTGCCACCCCATATTCCGGGTATGCCTTTGAGGTAGGTGTCGGCGAGGCGGGAGACGGTGCCATGCAATTTATTGACGGAGGCCATGTCGTTGTAATACATCCATGGGCAGTCTAGCTTTACCACAGATGGGTGGTTGTAATAGTTCGTGAAGAAATACTTCACTTCATTTATGTCCGTCATACCCGCGAAGATTGCATTATACCGCAACGCCGAAATTGCTGCGTGTCGCACATCGTATGTGTCCAGTTGGTTATATAGGACGCGTGTCGCGATTCTGGAGTACTTCTTGAGTGACATAAACTCCAAATAGACATACCAGAGTCTTGGAGAAGCACGAATGGCGTTCATCAAGGTGCCGACGCAGTCTAATTCGCAAAGAATCATCGCGATGAGCTCTGTTGGCAGGCGCTCTAGGCGCGACAGTTTGTAGTGGGATCGGTCCATCCTGACGATGTGGATGATGACTTGGGTTGATCAGGAACTCTGGGGTGAGTCGGCGATAATTGACGAGAGTGGTCAATCGGAGATGAGTGATAAAATGAAAGTAGACGGAAACGGTCAACGGTAGTCCACCAGAATGGTCAACGATGGTGAATTAAATGATCGATGATAATGATGGGTCAGACTGAAAGTGACGAACGAGAGTAAACGTTGGGGATGATGGTGTACGAAAGTAAGGAATAGTAGTGAATGAGTGACGAGAAATTCAAGTTTCAAGTTAAAAAGTTGGATGGTGGAAAAGTTGAATGGTAGGTTACGAGACGATTTCCCTTGAGTATTTATACTATTCGACAAGGGCCAAAGCTCATCACCAGAGTAGACAACCAGCAGTATTTACACTCTCGACGGCTCTGACTCAGTTGCAAAGTGGGTCCAGACTGCCTTTGCCAAGTGCTAGGACGGACGATGGCAGTTACCTAGGTACTTTACTAGATCGTAACTGCCAACATATGCCTTCACGGTCGTAGTAAACCGTTGCAGACTGCTGGGCAGGTGCGTTAACTAACATCATACCACCTTCCGCGACTTCAAATCACCGTGGCTACCTAGGTACCTTGAAATGTGAACATGTGGATAGATAAATATTCATAAAGATAGTCCTATCATCTATCTCAAGCAAAGAAGGAGCAAGGTGTAATAACGACGACGAAGAAGGCGCTGCCAACAATGAAAGCAATAAGGGGTATATCGCCGTATCCCCCTTTCCTCCACCATACCTAACGATGCCTACCTAGGTAGATAACCACCCACTCCAAAACGCCGAAACCCTTATTCAACCCCCTTTTTTATTTCATAGAATCCTTTTACGCAATACTCCTTTTTTGTGCCGTGATCCACACCCGTCCTTATCCCTGATACTTAATACAATAGCTTCCCGCTCTCAACCAGCTCCTTGAACTGGTCTTCCGGCTCCCTAAACCGATACTCCTCGCCTCTGACCACCCTGTCAACCTCCTCCCTCACGAACGGGTAGACGTCCTTCCACGCGTTCCTCCCCATCCAGCAATCAAGGTGTCCGTAACCCGGCACCTCGCGTCTCCTATACGGAACGCCGGACTGATTATCTCCGGTCCCAAAAGTGTCCGTCAGGATCTCGTACGTCTTCTCCGTGCTCTCGGGGCTCAGCACCGCGTTGTCGCGGCCCACGAACAGCAGTATAGGCAGGCCCTTCAGCCTCCTGATATTGTCGGGCGTGTCGAGCCTCTCGAACAGCGGGCCGTTGCCCATGACTCCGCCCTGGTACCCCTGCTTCATGAGGAGGTGCATGAGCGTCATGCTCACGCCGCCGAAGAACCGGTCGATCTGCCTGTGCGTGGCCTCGTTGAGGTTACGATGATTCCAGCAGCGCCCCAACGCCATTGTCGTCCTGTGGCAGCTCGCGTTGTTACATATCTCCTTCCTCGAGTCCGGCATTAGTCTTAATAGCTCGTTAAGACCTTTCTGCAGGAGACTGTCGTTCTTGCTCGTGCTGAAGCTGAACCAGTCGCCTAACAGATATTTGTATAGGCGGTCTCCGGGTATTGGCAACGCCGTGATCTTGATCATATTCGCTATGTTCCAGATCGGGTTCATGAACACTTGACTACATGTTATACCCTTGATCCAATTGGCCGGGATTGTGCCATCGAGAAGGCCCGTCGAGAATGCCACGCTGCCCATACAGTGCGCGATCGTGTATACCTTCTCAGGCTGTTCCTTGTCAGGGCCCGGGAACTCCTCTCGAATCTTCTCTAGGCAGGCCTTGAAGTCCAGCCGTGTGTCAAACGTCGTCCAGTCGTCCTGAGCAATCATTAACATGCCGATACGGTGCACGGTAACCCACACCCGGTAACCAGCTCTGCAAAAGTAGTTCACGGCGTTGTACCGGATGGTCGGAAGCGCGTAGATCTGGTGATCGACCGAAGCGCCGGGGATCATGAACAGATTCTTCGCTGGAATGTCCCGATTGGTAGGCTCCCACATATGCAAGCTAGTAACAACACCATCGGATGCCTTTATTTTGTATGTCTTTGTCGGAGGCGTGTTATTTACGAATCCTAAACAGTTCTGGACGGGATACTGTAACGGCGTGAGCGGCGCTAGCAAAAGCGACATGGATTTCCGCGTGAAGAACGTCAAAAAGTTGCCCGCACTCATCACCTTCTTGAAAATGCTACTTCCAGTAGGAGTGAGGGTCATAACCTCGGATAAGAAGTCCTGTGGTTGGATGCGCATGATACCCTTTGCGACAATCTCTCCCAGAAGGCCACATTCGTCCGCATCCGAGCAGCTCCGCTCCGTATTTGGAAGGGTCTCGGTGATAGTGACGTACAGAGTGCTCGTTGACTTCCAGAAATGTACCGGCGACAGCGCAACAGACGAGTCGACAACCTTATAACCGTGGAAATGGAGCCTCCTGCCGTTAATACCGCGCATGTCAAAGTCATAAGTTAGGTTGCGAGTACCAGGCGCTTTGCGATCAAGCAAGAACAGGTTGAAATCGCCCCGTTGCACCATGAAAGGAGAGCCCACAAGAGTAGGACAGACGAAGGTTCCGGTTAGTGTAGCTCTGTGGCTAGGGTCGTTAACAATGGATCTGATGTTGAAAGACTGTACGCTTAGGAAGAATCGCGCCGTCTCGCTGAGAGACTTCGCGGTTCTAGCAGCTAGCTCGTACGTGTCAACGTTATCCCTCTTGAGGCCTTTGTCCCGATGGATGTATCCAGACATCACTTCTGTAAAGCCAAATCCGCTATCGTTCATGCGCCGAGCAGTGATAATGGCGTTTTTGGCAGTGTCGATTTTAGCAATCTCCTCAACTTCGTCAGTGTGTACGACTGATCCACGCTTCTTATTATGGGCGTGCGTATGTTCGGGAGCACCAAAGAGATCGAGAACACCGTTCGGCGTCATATCGATTGTGAGATTCTGATTTTTGGCATAGTGATCGACGGATCTTTCTGCGAGAGCGGTGATCGTCGCAAACGGATTTGCGCCAAGGGCAGTCGGGATAACCGCAGCGTCTGTAACAATGAGACCTGAATGGGTCTTATTGCCAGAGCCGGTGAAGACTTCACCCATATGATTTGTGGCGCCTGTCGAACCAGTCCCGTCACGAGCCATACAAGCACCACTACAGTCTGTTAACACGGAAATCCCTAAGATGAGTAACACGAATATATCTACTTACCCAATAGGATGGACAGTGACCTGCTGTGGGCCAAGGGCTGAGAAGGGGTTTTGGACGAATGTTCCACCAACAGCCCTCGTAGCTTTCTCCAATACCCTGTTTAAATACTTGACGTGGTCACTGCGTCCGACGCCTACAAATTCAAGGACAGGCTTATCACCCTTGAGAGTAAGGTATGCTTGATTACCTGCAAAAGTCAGCGGCTTAATTTACCGAGGATAAGTCGACGTCGAACTCACTATCATGAGACATAATCAAGTACACCTGTGTTCTCTCAATTGCACCTTTCCGGTAATACGGTCCGAGGAATGCAGTTCCTAGGCGAGCCAGATTCGCCTTGAACTTCCCAATGAGCCCTTCATTGGTTGGTTCAACGCTTCCGGGTAGGATCTCGAGCATGGCTTGCAAGAACGGCGCGAGAGCCCCTGGCATAGCGCCCTCCTCTATGACGTAGCCATCTAGAGGATTCTCGTGGCCTGATCGGTTGTCGATGATGCCAGTGATGGTAGGTCCAACAGGGTGGTAGGGAGAGGGGAAAGGTCTTCCCATTGCGTTTACCTCGACATCAGTATTGTACCTGTGGACTGTTAGCACGCGTCCTCATGTAGATAACCATATCACATACCCAAAACCCAACATGTCGCCGTTCCCGCTCATGTTCTCGCCTACTTTTTCGCTCAAATCAAGACCCATGTTCTTACTCCTGAGAAGAATCTCAGTCGAGCCGATAGCGCCGGCACCGAGGAACACAGCCCTCTTCGCGTGCACCCACATGAGGTCACCATGCAGATTTGCTTTGAAATGGCCACGATTCCTCCCATGCCAAGCGAAATAGACAATATATCCTTCTTGGGGTTCTGGAGCTTTGGTGATATATCGCACTTCAGCCTCGCAAAACATATCAGCACCCCAGTTCCAAGCATCAGCCAGGTAAGTGACTAATGTGGTGTTCTTAGACCCGTCGTTTAACCCGGTGCAATCCTGACCAGTCATTGCCGATGGGTACATTTCCACACCACAACTGTTTGGTCCATTGACGAATCGTGTCGTCTGCCTTACCCGTCGAAATTTCTCTTCCATGCTGAGGTACTTCGCTTGTCTCTTCAGCAGTTCAAGCTTTGGAAGTTTCGGCCAGTCTTCGGGATATGGCTCCGGTTGAAGGACTTTAGCTGCTTTCTCATAATCTAGTTGAACAACGCGTTAGCTTTTGTCTCGTGACCGGGTTACCCCTATCATTTCGTGAGATCGAGGAGTCGTATCCCCTCTACGCACGACCCCTCAAAGACATCTAGGGGACAATGAAACCTTACATTCATCCAGACAATCAGGGTTCTCCCTGATCTCCTTAGGCCACGCCTCTAGCCGTAGCGTGTCTTTGTCCGCCTCCAGGTACACATTGGCATTCATAAGACTAGTTCCACCGAGACCTGCTAGAGTGAGCTTGACGTTACGCATTGCAACCATCGCGTGTCAACGTACCATTGCAGACAACCGCATTTTGACAGTTGCCGAAAATCACGTGGTACATGCCCGTGGGATCTCCGCCGTTGACGATTTTCTTAGGCAACCAACCGGGTGCGAACTCACCGGAGTAGTGTAGTTGGCTAATCGAGTCGCTCGTACTATCGGGATACTCTCCGGGCCAGCGTTCCTTGCCACGCTCCAGGAGACAGACGGATTCACCGGCACGAGCCATGCGAGACGCCGCGACGCCACCGCCATAACCGGAACCGATAACAACACAGTCGTAGTTTGTGCGCATAAGCTCCATAGGTTTCGATATGCGAGGGAACTTGGCCGTATTAGGGTCATCCCCCCAAGATCGTATCCTGGCGTATGCTCGAGATCGTGGACCACCTGCTTCCTCCTCATGGTACTGGTGTGCTGGGCCGGGGCCATAATGTTGATTCCAGTCGAAAGTATGTGTTTCAAACCCAGCCGGGTTAGACGTATCGGCGGAACTCACACTGCTGGCTCGAGCGTGACCATTGGTAGGCCATGTTGAGACGCCATTGGTCTTCCTGTTGAATCCGTTGATGAACGGACCTTCATTGCCTGCCGGTTCAGTATGTTCGGCGCCGGTTGTCATTACGTCAGGAACTGCTGACGGCATTGTGGCCGTAGGGTCGGCTTGTTGGAAACAATGAGATACCAAGACAGGCCTCGTTGCCGGCCGGGAGCTATAAGGGTCTGCCGATACCCTTGAGATAGGATTGAGCAGGAATCAGAAAGGCGCAATGCTAGGTAAGCAAATACCCTAAGAGTAAGACACAATGGAAACTAGGGGACTGAAGAATAGCTAGGATATAAAGGATGTGAGGGATATGCTAGGTAAGATCCCAAAGGGTATAATTATCATCTCATCTCGAAGAACGGTGTCTTCATATATCTGAGGGCGTTGGCCCCTTTGTATCTCGAGGCCGCTCTGATAATTCTCGGTGTTACTAGTACATACACTAATAAAGAGGGTATGCGTCAGGAATATGTAACAGACAATGAGGAAAGGTGGAGGATCAACGGTTTACGACCATGTCCTATGTGCAGAATAACAACCATAGTAACGGTATTCACTCATATAGCGGAGCTAATGCAAGTGCCAGAGAGAGACCAGGGGCAGTGCTACCCCTGTTGCTGAGGCAGGGCTGAAAATGGAGCAACGATCGTCAGCCCCATTTTGGTAGCAACGAGCTTTAGCGAGTTGCTTGCCGAGTCAACTGTTCGCAAACGTCATTGGGCGCTGGCCGCTAGTTCGGGTGAGATCCAATAATAAAATCGTAGTGAGCTGAACTGCAGAAACGGAGGAAGCTAACTAGAAATGTGATATTCCCCTACGTATGACCAGACCAAAGAGACAAGGATGACGAAAAGGACTGCAGAAATTATTTCGAGGAGAGAGCTGGGACCCTTGTTAGATAGACTTCCGCGAGGAAATGATTTACTACGTCAATTGGTTGAGCATGCTACATCTTTGAGCTCATTGTTGATCCAGTCGTGCCTCTTCAGCATCCATTTATAGGTAGCTAGATATAAATTGTAACCTCCTGTTATGAGTTCTTTGTAAGGCCTTTAAGTTAGTCGTAACGGAATTGATGCCGTTGTAGTTCGGACGGCCCTTCAAGCCTGGGTCCCGATGTCTTTCTTCAGACGCAGAATCGCGGTAAATCTCCCGTCGAACTCTTCTTCCTGTGCTGAGATGAGCCGTGTTCTCGAAGAAATGTCAGGGTATGCTGCAAGGGATGTTTCCAAACATGCGGCATTGCCATCAATAGTGTACCAATGGAATTGGCCAAGCGATTTGCTACTTTTTTCGTCATGGCATAGCGAAAGCGCATATGCTGATTGGCCGGCTAACGACCCAATTCGGAAGAGCCCATTCGTTCTGATAGGCATCAACTAACAGATCTTGTAAGACTTCATACAGTACTATGTGTGGTTGGCAACGCCGACACCTTATCTCTTACCTGCCGGGCCACGTAACCACGTAACTCCCAAGAGGTACGGCATTTTCTCAGGTAGTGCAAAAAATATTATTTGTCATGAATATAATGAGACTGCAGTTGTTTGGCGCACTCTCTTTGACCAGTTGAAAATCAATGGCTTGGCTCGATGAAGCATGTGATGCAAGTTCTTGGTTGCTGCTACTATGACATCGATAAAATAGCAATTCAGTTCTTTGACGGATCGCAAAACCGTTTCGATGTTTCAGCCACGCAAGGTACGCCCGAAAATGGGCATCAATTTCGAAGGCATCCAATCAAGTCCCGAGACGGATAAGTTCTATCTTCGCGTCAGCTATTGCAATAACAGTAGACACTACACCATTATTTAAGGCCTGTTATAGACCCCTCCCCGCCTCTAAGATAGGATCCATAGATGGGAGCGCTACCATGGTGCTAACGGTGGCACATACATACATAACCGCCTAAAGACCTAGAGGATTTAGGGCTGATATAGACGATACCCAATTAGGACGAATACCCACAGAACAATGGAATTCACTCAAAGACCTTGAGCCACTCGGATTGAGAAGCACACCTCTAAGAAAAATCGAGATCCATAGATTGGGGTTACCGAGGAGCATCATAAGCGTGCATATGTAGCGTTCGCCGAACTAGCCCCAGCTATTTGAATTGGAGAAAGACCGAACTGACGTTGGGGCTGAAAACGTCGAACGATTAAAAGTCTGAAAGGAGGCAAAGTCTCATAGTAACGGTTGCCTTGTAAGCTTGACGTCGGCATTGTCGGTCAACAGTCATGATAGGCGTCGCCGACAATTGATCTCCCCCAATACATTATAGCGCTACAACGATAGGTAGCATTAGGGCTCCCATCCCACATAGGAGTGGACACAATTGAATCTGGAGGCCGGGATACAAAGAGATGCGGAGGAATGAGGTAATGAAGTTGTGAGGTTGAAGTTGTGGAGTTGTGGAGCCGTGAGTCGTGAGTATAATGTTTGATGTTAAGCCGTTCCCGTTTCCGATGCTATTAAAAGATTTCGGCCAATTGTGGATTCTGATTGGCTGCCGATTAAGTTTCTATCTTAGTAATTATTCCTATAACGACTATTTACTCTCTATAGTCATATCCTCTTTAATTATCCGTACTAGGTACTTTGTATTTATATCTATCGTCTCACAATTACATACAAATTCCGGATGCTATTTTCATACACCAACTTAAGTCTTACCTCATACAGAAACCCAATCCAATCCGTACATTTCTTTCGTGTCCATCGACTGCAGGTACAGAGAGGCTTTGGAACAGAATCTAAGAAAAGAGAGACAAACTGCCGTGTCACCCATTTGTGTCTAATTCGGGTCAGCAGTAATACTAACACCGCCCTTTTACCCCATGTGGTACGCCCCCGCTGTCTTTTTCCCCCTTTCGTCCTATGTTCCATCTTATCTCATCTAAGAAATCGCGATTAAAAAGGGCAAGTACTCGGTTACCTCTTCCTATTCTTAATCAACCCACAGAAGAATGTTCTCACATGTGTTCTCTGTACAGTATCACAACCGCCCGCACTCCGCTTGTTGTTTGCAACATGTCGGTGCAAGATCTTGCTCTGCAGATACCCGCGACGGTATACTCTTCGTAATTTGATCATATTACTACTAAATGTGCAATTCCGTCATATCAGCCCACCTAAGTGCGTGTCATCGCAGGAACGTAGCCTTGTTCCGCCGTGGCAGCCTTGGGAATCCGGCTGTGTTTCCGATCGCGAAGGATTTCAAGTATCATGTTAATAGTACTCAACTCTCGGAGAATTTCACAATTCGTTGTAACCCCCACCGCCACCTGTAGTCTTGTCCCCCACGGGCCGAATACCCCATGCCTCGACAGCGTGGATAGAGATCCAAGCCAGACGTAGGACGTCTGGGAGACGAGCAAAATAAGAACTATATCACGGAAGTCGCATTAACACGTCCTAGAACGCCACAGCGGTAAAAGGCCCCTATCAAACGTCGTGGCAAGCCCGCCTATTAGATACAAAACGAATCCTACGCGGGCTGGACCCTTCGTAAAAGCGGGATTCAATCCTTATTCCAAGGACTTTGTACGTATAGCAAGTCCGGTATATAATGTGTTAGAGAACAGGGGATACCCGACAACGGCATCCGAAAAGGGGCTTATGGGGCTTATGTGGCTTATGTCTAAGACTTGGGGTTTAGAGTAAGATTTCGCACATGGCAGCCAAGAATTCCCCGGTTCCGCTAACTTCTCTGCCAGTGCCGTCCTGTTCTCCCAAAGCTCTGGGTCTCCCTTGCATACCAATCTCGTTCTGGCTTAGAAGCCATGACCGCAAGCCACCGCCAATATCACGGCCGCCACTGAACGGTTCACATGAAACATGCCGATAGTGGCCTACGCAAGCTCGCTTTTCACAAACGCTAAGATGCTAAGACGCCTAGAATCCCGTATTTCCCTAGCTCGCGATCATGGGCGTAAAGGTGAGCATGTGGGTGTACTAATACTAGGTCTCGGTGAGACGAAGGAACACCCTACATATGTACATGTAAAGAATAACCACTGTTGGCATTGACAAGTTGGATGATATCACAATCTGCCAGAGAATACGGGGAGCAACAAATTACGAGAATCTGGAATCGGATGCGCCTTACGCTATTTGCAAATCACCATCCCGTGTCTATTCGTCTACATGCTTGCCAGCACACCGACGTCACGTCACTATAATAACTGGACTACGACCTCACCTCGCCTCACAACTACGGCCCTCCCCTCCGGTTCGCTGACTTGCCCCGAATTCCTTCGATATAGTTAATATATCACAAACCTCTAGACCCGATCTGACTTCTAAGGTTGACTTCGCCCTCTGGCAACCACCGAGCTGATAAATCCCCAATTTCAAATCCGCCAAACAAATGCGTAGCCAAATATCTAGTTCGTACGTAGGCATCCCCAATCACAACTAATAGCACAGCATATCGTAGCATTGAGATCCTCACTGAGACCCTCAATCATCTCCTCCCCCGATACTACGTAACCTATATTCAAGCCCAACCGGCCCTGAACCTCTTAAAACCCAGCCCGAAAACCAACCTATCCCGGCTTTCCCCCTCTCCTCCACGAATCCTCCAATCCACTGAAGAAAAAATGAATCTATACATAAATATTACCACTCTATAATACCACCGTATACCACCTTATACTATGCCTTATACCCGTTTTACTATGTAACAGCGTAGCACCCGCGAAGCGCGCATCGCTAATAGCCGCCGACTACCACTTTAGAAAATCTCAAAGCTGCATGTGAATACCAACACCAAATGCTTGACTGATTGATCTCCCTCCTCAACATCGTGTCTCATTCTATCAATGGCAATAGCACTTCTCAAAGAGCTGGACCGATTACTAAAAACCGCTCCTTGTTTAGAAAAAAAAACCCAGTCAATTCATATGTACAGTACTATCCATCCTGACCCCATCCCCTCAAGGCGCCGTATCTACGCCCGGAGCAGAATCTCTCTCACAGGTATCCTATCTTAAGTGACATCATCCATAACCAACAAGCCACCCAGTGCCTATAATCCAGCTACCATCCAATACAGCCTCGTTTTGTCGGTATTGTACCCAGTACCTCGTAGCCATTAACTTCGAACCCCTCCTGCATCGATTCGCAATTCAGCCCAGATCGCCCCCTACATGAAGAGTATGTATGCAGGCAAGTAGGTCGCGGGCCATTTGGTCTCCAATCTTCAATCTAGATTCCGCGTATACGTGCCTCCTCGCACGCATATGCAGCCGCGATCCTTCACCCCCCACCCCCCCAAGCACCCTAGCATCTAGCAACCTTACTCAGTCGTTCTCATACGAGCATCCCTCACCACCAATCGCCCTGGTCATGCATAGCCTGAACGACCTTAATGAAACCCGCAATATTCCCACCAGCAACCAAGCTAGGCAGCTCCCCATCCTTAGCCTTGACATACTTCGTCGCCTTCTCGATGCTCTGGTCGAAGATATCCTTCATGATACCCTTAAGCCTATCATCGACCTCCTCCCTAGTCCAGCTGATCTGGCTGCTATTCTGCGCCATCTCGAGCCCGGACACGGCTACACCACCCGCGTTCGCCGCCTTGCCGGGCGCGTACCAGATCGCCCCTCCAGCACCAGCCGCGGCCCCCTTCCTAGCAGCCTCGAACACGTCGATGGCCGCCTGCGTGCACCCCATATTAGACCCCTCGGCCACGAACTGCGTGCCGGCCTTAACCAGGGCCTCGGCCTCCTCCCTACTGACCTCGTTCTGCGTCGCGCACGGTAGCGCGATATCCACCTTGCCGACGTGCGTCCACGGCCGCGCGCCCTCGATGTACTTGAACTGCTGCGCCTTGGCGGCGCCGGACCACTCCGTGATAGCCTTGCGGTCGAGCTTGATGGCCGCGATCTCCTCGATGTGCGCGGGCGTAAAATGCGCGTCGCCCTCGGCGATCAGCGCGCCCCTCGAGTCCGACAGCGAGACCACGGTCGCGCCTAGCTCGATGGCTTTTAGGGCGGCGTACTGCGCGACGTTGCCGGATCCCGAGATGGCCACGCGCTTGCCCTTGAAGCCGCCCTTGCCGACGTGGGCGATCATGTGCTCGACGTAGTAGATGAGGCCGTAGCCGGTAGCCTCTGTTCAGGGGGTCGTTAGGTTAGCTCAAGGCGTATTTCTAGGCGAATCGGGGAAATGAGATTAAGCCTTACCTGGTCGGATTAAGCTGCCACCCCAGGTTAGACCCTTGCCGGTGAGGACGCCTTCCCACTTGTTTCGCTCCCTGCGGTAGGCGCCGAACAGGTAGCCGACCTCTCGGCCTCCAACACCAATATCACCAGCGGGGACGTCGGTCGCGGCACCGATGTGCTGGCATAGTCGTCGCATGAACGCCTCGCAGAATCGTCGAATCTCGTTGTCGCTCTTGCCCTTGGGGTCGAAGTCGGCTCCTCCCTTAGCCCCACCCATGTTCACTAAAGGAGCAATCGTTAGAAACTTTTGAACATTATATTTGCTTCGCCGTCAGATGAAACTTACATCCGGTCAAGGCATTCTTGAAGATCTGCTCGAAGCCGAGGAACTTCAGGCTATTGGCAAGGTATATTAGCAAGGCTAATTCGGATCAAACGGCATGGTTATCTTGCAAACTAAAGTATCTTCCTCACATTGATAGGTTGACGGTAGGATGGAATCGCAATCCGCCCTTGTAAGGGCCGAGCGCGGAGTTGAACTGGACACGGAATCCACGGTTCACTTGAAGGTTGCCCTTGTCGTCTTCCCAGACGACTCGGAACTGGACAATGCGCTCGGGGATAGAAACGACTTTCAGCGCGGTTCGGTACTCGGGATGCGCTTCGAATAGAGAGCTATCCTCGAGAGTGGCCACAAGCTCTATTCACGTTGTCAGCCACGTCCATCAGCAATTCAATGTTCAATCGTCTACCTTTGTAGGCCTGCTCGAACTCGGGCTCGGAGGGGAGATGAGACATAATTGCGAAATGGAATAGGTCTGGGTATTAGGTGTCGAAGGTAGGTATGGGTATCAATGGTGGTTGGGTATCTCAAGTCGAGGCGAAGGCTAATGCGAAGTCAAAAAGGCTGTTGTTTTAAGTTCCGGGTATCGGTTTCTAAGAAACAGGTAACGGGTGGCAGATGAACTTGGTTTTATTTCGGGAGCGTAAGGAGGAAACACGGATACAGGTCGAACAAGGTCGAGGAAGGTAAGGCGTTATATAAGGAGTCCCTTGGTGTCCCATCCCGTACCGGCCTCCTCCGGGGTAGGAAGGCTCGCAGAACGATACACTAGGAGAGGTACACCGTCATCGGTCCTTCCACTGACTAGGTGGTGACCAGGAGGTGAGCGGATGTTGATCATAGCTTCACCACACGTTTGTCAATGGTGTAAGGCGATCGGTTGGTTCGTGAGGCATGGGGAAGGGGGAGGTAAAAGGCTGTGATTTCAAAAATTACTACAATTGTTCTCTAATGACACAAGGTAAGCCTATATGCAGCCTCACCTGCCCGGTAGAGCCGCGTGGGGGGAGCCTAGCCCGCGGCGACATTTCCGGCCGATTTGCTTATTGCCTTCATAATATTTTTTTCGTCTTGCCCCTGTCTGACTGAGGCAATTCTTGTCCCGGTATGCCAGATCGAAAATATGCCTCAATGGAGTTCACCGTAGATCCATCCCATATGATGTTGTCAACTCTCAACTTCAGAGCGTTGTCGGCGGTTCAGGACTCTTGCTAGTGTCCCAAGCCTCAGCTTAGATTATCTAGCATTAGATCCATCTTGGACAGCAGGGGTGGATCTGTAATACATATCCATAACTGCGTAACATCTTCATAAGCTACCATCTTAGCTACATGAGCGTGAGAAGCTACTCGTTTCGACACAATAAAGCTAAACTAGTAGCAAAGCACCCCACCAGGAGACTATTGATGTCAAAATGAACATGTGAGCAAGCAGCAAAGCGGTGGTGGGCCTGTTCGTTACCACAGGACCATGTGCGTTCTTGTGTGGGGGAACAGGGAGCTGAATCGTGAATCTAGAACAGAATGAGCCAGACGCAGCGAACGGCGGAGTCGCCTTACGGTAGGGTAAGGATGGTGAACCGGGAGAAGACAAGCTTTAGTTCGCCACAGGTGAGCGGCATCTTATCACAGCTCGATGATTCGTTCGTTGAATTTGCGACGACAACAACATTCACGTCAATTGAATATTTTCTGCAGGCATTCCACGCGTATAAACTTCGAAATAGTGAGATCCCAGGCCGCCGTTCGCGGAACGACCCTGCCAAGCTTGGGTCCAGCAGTGCGGACCCTGCAGCACATGCGTGCCATGGGATTATTCGTCCAGTAATAGCTCTCCAATGCGTATATATTGCGTAATGGAGAGTTATTTTTCTCCGGCCATTTTCTAGGGTTTATTTGACCGGGATGATCCGGAACCGGAGCAAGCCGGGCGTCACAGTCGACGTTCGCGATGGTAGACGGGTTGGCAGAATGAAAAATTCTCCTGGATTGGTTGAAAAGTAGGTAACGTTGATATTGTGGTATCCTCATCTCGATCATGCTCGATTCTATTATGACAATGCCCATATTTCCTCCCAATAACTGACTGACCTGGACTCCTTGCATTCATACCTCTCATAACGCCTATAGGACCACGGATGCTTTCATTCTAGTCATCACCATATGGCGGACTGATCGAGATCGAACCGTTGCAACTCCTTACTAGCATCTTCAACGTCCTTTTTAGCCTTCATGCGCATGTAGAAAATAGGACAGTCCTTGCTACTGCAGATGACCTCGCAATGCATACTGCCTTGGCACCGCTGACATTGCGTCCAAAGCCGTCCGAATCGGACTTCGAGATCCGAGACCTTGTCTAATGTCTTTTTGTAAAGTTCACCTACACGTGGTGCGCAGTCTGAGCAGACGGCACCGTTGCTCTCCTCTTTGCTCACCAGTGGCTTCTTGCAACCCATACACGTCATAGTCTTCTTTGCAAACTTCATTAAACCGCCCACCGTCGGTGCCGCAACAGAGATGGCACGTGTGTGATCTCCATGGAGGAGTGATTTCGATTTCGTCTCTCCTAGGATAGGATCGAAGATACGTCCTAGCGGCTTGGCTAACTGGTTGTCCAAGTAATATCTTGTGTCAATAGGGACGTTGTTTTCGAGAACGAAGATGGGGTCTTCGGAACGCTCGAAATTCTTCGATCCGCTTGCACCTTTGATCATCACATATGCCACTCGGTCTCCCAATCCGGGCGCAGAACCAGCATCTCGTTTCTTCATTCGTTCCGCGAGCGCAACGTGGGCTTGTTTGGCATCGTAATCGTCGCTTTCCTTGGTAAGTGCCTTTGTGATCACGAGTTTGGACATGTCTATCTTGTTCTGAAGCAGATCCGCAATTGTGTCTTTGACGTAGCTGTCGCATTGGTTAGTACAGTTAATCAGAAAAAAGGGCAGGGAAACATACTCCTGGGCTCCTTGGACGTCCCGATCAATCAGGATCATCCTGAGAACCTTCTCGATAACTGTTTGTACTAGCAAGCAGTTATCTCGTCTAACTGTCTCAATACCCTTGGTGTCCATCTTGTCGTATTTATCAGGCCTTGTCCAGAACAGACCCGCATATCGTTTTTTGTTGATTAATAGATACGGAAAATATACTTTCTCGAATTCCAGCTTGATAGGTTTGACGAATTTTGACGAGACAAAGTTAGCTGCTTCTTCGCCCAGTTTCATTGCCTCGCTAAGATCCTTCGTTCCGAATTTAACCATGACGGAATCCGTGTCGCCGTAGATGACTTGGGCGTCGTGGGTATAACCATTGGCAATGCAGTATTTCTTCTCCACTTCATCTTTAGTTTTTTCAATCATCTTTCGGCCAAAACTTGTCGTACTACTGGCAATCTCCAGACAGGGAAGCTTGCCGGTCGTCGCACCTGTAAGACCGTACACACTGTTGGCACTGACTTTCAAAGCGAGTTGACGACCGTTCAAGACGGCCTTCTTGAAAGGGTCGGTTTCAACCGCTAATTCTCTCTTGGCTTGCTTTCTTGCCAAAAGCAATTCTTCGAGAATCTGGGCAAGAAGACCTTTCCGTTGCTTGACCGTAACGAACATGTCGCCATTCGGCGTGACGATATAATCTTCCTCCTTTTTGAGGTTAAATCTCTCCACTGCCTTCTTGTTCACGAGAGTTGTGTAACAGAGGTTATGTGCCTGCATGATACTGGGATATAGCGATGCGAAATCGAGTGTTGCGATAGGCACGTCATAGTAACCACGAGTAGGTTCAATAACTGTAGCACCTTCGTACTGGTCATCCGAGCTCTCCGACTTCATGTTTGGGATCACAAGTTTTTGTTCTAGGGCCTTTCGGAATAACTGGCTCATGAACTTGACCTGCTGACCACGAGAAAGAAGGAAGTTGAACGGAACACCCGTGACTCTAGCCATTTCTGTATAGTTGGCAAGACAGGAGAGTTTGTCCATTAATCTCTGAGGCAAGTAGGCATCCTTCAAGCAGTACAACGCTAGACGACGCCTGGATTCTGGTGTGCCGTTGAATAGCTCGGTGATCATCGTGTGATGAACATCTTCCTTCTGTTCTCCAAGGAAATGAGAACACACCGAGTTCAGCGTATAACTTCGAAGATGGTGGTCACGCTGAATTAATTGCAATAGATCGAGCTGTAGTCGTCCGTCGGTATTTGTGGCCTTCGTATCTCGGTTGCCCATCTGCTTGCTGGAGAAATTCGTCTCCTTTGCAACTGATTTGACGTCATGTAGACGAGTCCAGTACTCGAAGTCCTTGACCTTAAGACATTTTGCCCGGTCGAGCAAGTAGGGGAAATCGAAGTTGGCAATGTTGTAGCCGGTAATTAAATCAGGATCCACTCTGTCAAGGAATCTTTTCCAAGCTATAAGCATATCCGCCTCTCTCTCAAAATCTAGGATTTGCGTTGCTACGATAGGGCTTGTCCTGTCTAGGCAGAATACGTTTCGAACGAAAGGCTTGCTCTCTCCGTAACGTGTAACAACATTTGCGATTTGGATGACTGGATCTTTATCAGCCTGGGGGAAAATGCCTTTTCGTCCGGCACATTCAATATCGAACGACAGAATTCGCAACGGGGCCATCTTGGACCATTCGTCTTTCGGTTCGTGGGAGATCAAGTCTCGGTAGTTAATCTCGGCTTCAATTTGACAGCTTGATTGTCGCACTTGCTCCGGGATGAGACGGTATTTGCTAGCGGGTGCCTCTACCCATGACATACCAGGGATCTATAGCAGTCAGTATATTATTGTTCGCATATTGCTCTCAGACGCATACCTTGCAGTCAACCATGAATCGCAGGACGTATTGCAAGTTATCAAATGTCATGATACCCCCTTCGACCCCCTTCCACATCCCTTTCCAATTTGCCTCATTTCTCTCAAAGGCCGAGCGGACTCTCCCGATAAACTTCGGATCGGTGACCGTGACCTTGATATAAGGACTTTTCGTGTTGCCTTGAAAGCCGTAGATGTTCTCGCGAAGAGTCACTTCGCAAGAGTGGATAACGTTTTGATTTTGGCCTATCTGGTTTTGAAGGTAGGCTTTGAAGGGTGCGCAATCTTTCGGGGTAAAGGAAACTGGGGCGGCGACGTAGAGGTAGTGCTTGAAGTCAGTAACGTGAAGCATGACGGAATGCCCATTCTCCGTAACTCCGAAGAGCTTGACGGTAGTGAGTCCACCACTAAGGGTACCTTCCAGAGCTTCTATCTGTTGGAAAATTAGGTTATCCCTTCGGGGATCAAAATCGACAACGGGAGGTCGCGCCCATGCTTGGTCCTTCTCTGAATTGGTCTGCTTAAGTTCGTTGATATCTTGGCTTAGCTTTTCTAGAACTTCGGATTCAAAGACACTCTTCGGCTGGGTTGATGATAGTTTTGAGTTGGGACCCTGTTGGGAGCTGGTGAGGCGCGATGCTGGTGAGGAAGATAGGGGCTCTAGTCGGCGTCTCTTCGCATCTGATGAATTTGAAGGAATATTTAGACGATTAGCAGCCTCAACTAAGTGGACACGCTTCTGGGGGAGAAGTTTGCTGGCCATGACTGCGGTTTGCAACAGAGTCTATGGGGAGCAAAGAAAAGATGTTTTAGATCATCAGACTCAAGGTCTGGATGAGGTGGAGTTTTGATGATGAAAGAGGGATGTGGTGTGATAGAGATAACGCGGCGAAAGTACAAAGACCATTAAGTGCTTAATGGAAGGCGCGTCAAGTCGCGTCTTTAAAATTGGCAGGGGGGTTGTAAGCTGCTTTTGGCGGGGGCACGCGTTAGAACGTCACCATAACTCATTTAATTGGTTCAGTAGTGCCTTGGTGCATATCCAGTTAACGCGCAACATGCATGTTTTTAACCGAAATTCACTGACAGCGTACGCATTTCTGTTGTTATTCACAATTAGAGTACGGTCGCCAAATAGAACCATAATAAAATCCGAGTCACTTTTACTCCCCCCCTTGTTTCATATGGAAACAAACACCTTTAGCCGGCTAATAAAAACCAGGGATCTAATAGGGACACTAAAATAGGGGTGACATTACGTACAAATTAGGACCTCTATGAGATTCTAATCGTACATTTTCTTTGGGATTGAGACCTCAATCATAAGATCTATAGTTCTCGTCCACTGGCCTTCTCAACACCATTCTCCTCTGACTTCTCCGACTTCTCTTCCACCACCTTCCCAGTAGGCGTCCATTCTAGGGCCTTCAGTCTCTCAGAAAGGATAGGGTGGGAGAAGTGGTAGCTGGCATACATCCAGTCCGCATCCATCGTGCTCAGATTCTGGATCTGGAGTTTGATGAGGGAGGATGCTAGTTCGGCCTTGTAACCTAGGTTGCGAGCGAACTCGTCTGCCTGGAATTCGAAACGACGGCTCATGATGTTCATCAACAACTTAATTACAAGATCCATCGGGGCCAGCGCATCTGAGAATAGGATAAATCCGATAATGATGGGATGTTCCTTGGTAAATCCGAAGTCGGCATACAACGAGGCATTGTTGATGAAGACCGAGAACAGACTGAAGATGTAGAATACATTGAGCTATTTTATTGTTAGTAAAAATGATGTAATTCGATTGAAAGGATCTAGACATACCTGGGAAACGCCGAAAAGCTTGGTGGTATGGCCGAGGCTCCAATGGCCAAGTTCGTGCGCAAGAACAGCGACTACCTCTTCTTCATTGCTCTTCTCGATTAGTGTGTCGTAGATGACAATGTGCTTCTTCCACGGGAGTCCGAAGAAATAGGCATTGCTATGTGCACTGCGTTTGCTGCCATCGATGACGAATAATTCGTGGAGAGGGAACTTCAGCTTCTTTGCCAATGCTTCGGTCTCGGCCTTCAGTTTGCCTTCTTCCAGAGGGGACAGCTTGTTGAACAGGGGCAAGATGAAAATCGGGTAGACAGTGATCATGAAAACCTGAAGAACAGCAGTGAACAACCATAGGTAAGTGACAAATTGAGTACCCGTCTTCTTTACGATGCTGAGGAAACCGGCAAGGATAGGAGGCGCAAAGACGAAGGCGAGAAGGTTCGACTTGATCATATCCGTGATGAATAGTTTAGGCGTTTGCTTATTGAATCCGAACTTCTCCTCTAAGACGAATGTGTGATAAACGTTGGCAGGCAGAGACAATACTTGTTGGATCAGAATAAACGTGAGGACGAAGACAATCGAGTGAGAGATCTCGCCAGAGAATCGAGCAGGTAAGAATTGAAGAAGAGTTCCAGTCCATGACCATAGTTTCGGAAGGACATCATAATGAATGAAGGCGATGTTCTGGATCTGACCCCAGAGACCTCTCACGAAACCGAATTGCGCTTTAGCTCGACCATATTCCTGACTTTTATCATAGACATCCTGAGCGACCTCTTTTTCGAGGACCTTAGGGGGCTTGGTTTTCTTGAGGACTCCGTACTGTCGAAGCGATAGAAATTCCTCGAAGAGATATTGAGCAACGGAAAAGCCCATAATAAGCTTCTTCCATGGGAAGAGGGGCCGATCCAAGAACCGGGCTAGACGCTATTCATGCAATGTTAATATCAATTTGTTATATCTCGAAACTGGCATTAGCACATACCTGAAGTACGTCCATCTTTCCGAGATTGAAAATATCGGTAACGATGGGAACGTAAAGGCCGGTTTTCTCAGACTAGCTGGAAAGACCTATGTTGTTCTAAATAGACAGCGGGATGTAAGCTTCAACGAAGAAACCGTGTCAGGTCAAACGTCAACGTGGCTAATGGTGGGGTACAACAGTACAAAATGTGGCACAGCTTTACCACCGCCTCAGGACCCACCTCCCAGCAGCCTTGAACTTTCCTACTTTGGATTGTACTTCTAAGGTGATTGTAAATTGATCTTGCGTTCGTTTGACTTGGTCGCTTGCATTTTTAGATTCATTTTATATTTCTGGTAGGTTATCGACTGAAGAAAGTCTATTGTCCCGTTATTTTAGAAGCGATTCCGCTTCAGGGGAGACATCCATGATAGCTCACGTCATACCATACTATTGCCGCAAGTTCACATTATATTCATAAGAGAAGTTCCTTGGATCTAATGATATCTATCATGTACCCATCAAGAAGCCTCGAAGGCATCCTAATTTGTGCTGTCGACACTTAGTGTTCCCTTCTGTCTCCTGCCAAGCTATCGACGCTACAAACTCTCCATAACCACGTATACCATAACATACTATCCACGGAGCCAGCAATAGAAATTCACGCTACCGCATATTCGCCTTGACTCTTTCGAGGAGTTGCTCCCGAGAATCTTGTTCATGAGGATAGAGGTTGCGCTGGATGTATAAGTTAGGGGGCGGACTAAATTAGCATTAACGGGACATTCTTACAGCTGCCAGCCATCTTCTCAGTTCCTCCCGCGTCCATTCATGAGGGTCTCCGGTTGGATCTGCCGGAGCGGGAAAGAGATTCCCACCCCACATAGACCATGCGAGAGCGGCTGTGACGAGCCCGGAGAAGGCTTTAAAATACCAATAAAAATCCATCAGTATTTAATAAAATATAAAAGACCGTATATTCAATTGATAAATGTACCTAATGTAGCGTGCTTTCCATTTCAGTTAGTGTATGTGTAGTGACATATGGACGGAATTGAGTCACGTACCTTAGACTTTATAGCAAGTCTATCAAATGGTGTAGGCATTGCAGATCTAGGTTGATGATAGGTAAAGTAGGAAGTTTGTTTCATATCTAGTAATAAAATGTAGGTATTCTGAGAGTTATGTAACATCCATCCTAACTTCTGCGATGAGGCAACTCTGTCCCTTTAAGAGAGTTCGAAGGAAGGACACTTGCCCTCTTGTAGTACATCGAATGACTCCGGATGACTGTAGGAGGGGACCGAACCGAAGCTAACGCCACGTCATGCGCCACGTTCTCATAGAATTAAAGTTGGTGGAACGTTTTTCATATGGCTCGAGCACGAGCCACCTCCTCGGAATTTCTTATCTCTTATCAGCTGTAAAACCCTTGTTAACTGGGAAATCGCTTAGAACCCTGCTACGGAATTTCGCCCACACAATTTCGCAGCATCAAACAAAAATCGTCAACTTCCACCCGATTTCCTTCCATTCCCAACACTAACCTCCCAATTCGTCCGTCAATCAGTCAAGATGCCTCAGGAAATCGCAGATATCAAGAAGGTAAATTAACAGCACATAATCCTCGTCCACCAAATAATTGTTAATATATCAAAATTCAGTTCATCGAGATCTGCCGGCGAGAGGATGCCAAGTGTACGTGATGAGAGAACGCAAGGACACTTTTATGCGCCGCAAAATTGGCTCTAACAATCATTCTGTACAGCCGCCCGGATCAAGAAGAACAAGAAGTCGTCGCAGACCAAGTTCAAGGTCCGATGCTCGAAGCACCTTTACACCCTCATCCTAAAGGACTCCGACAAGGCCGAGAAGCTAAAGCAGAGCTTGCCCCCGAGTACGCACCGAATTCCAAACCGCTGAGATTTCTCGTACTTCCACTAACAATACGACTCGCAGATCTACAGATCAAGGAAGTTCCTAAGAAGAACAAGAAGGGCAAGCACACAGCATAAGTTTTCTAATTCGTGCTTTTGGGGAAGAGAAAACCACCAATCGCAACTGGGGAAAATACTCATGATGATGGATGGATTGGCATCTTTAAACATGCTCATCGAGAACTGACGAGTGTGATGCATATGCGCTGGGGCAGGTTTGGCATGTTCATGAGGCGGCGTCTAAGGATACCTTCCGAATTGATAATTCTCAAGCACGACAAAAAGCTTGTAGACAATTCACAAACAATTGCACAAAGACATTTTACGAACAATTGGCATTGCTTCGAGGAGACATTGATGGGCATATAACTAATTACAGGATCCTCTTGTAGTGTGTGAGATCACGATTCTTGATAAAAGGCATTAGAGCTGCTGAGAGTTTCTCGAAATCTTTGGCCGCTGGGAATTCTCCGTGCCTTTCAACACTAAGCCAGCCAACGGCTAAAACGAATTCCTCGAGGGATTCATCTTCTTTCTCGATGCGCCAACCAGCCTGTACTGCATATGGGTTCGCAAATTCCTCGACCACACCCTTGACTTCGTTCCATGCTTGGTCAAATGCTTTCCGTTCCTCGGCCGCGACAGTAATCCTACTCAAGCTAAAGACAGGACTCTTTAGCAAGGAGATCTCGTCATTTGCCCCCGGGGCGAATATCTCGACTCCATAGTGAAATAAATGTGTCTTCTCAAGTTGGAAATAGTTCTTCAGTCCAGGAAAGACGGATTTATTTTCGGTGCTCTCTATCCAAATTTTATGCTGATCGGCAGACTCCCAATGGGCCGTCAAAAGATTGATAGACGGGTCTTCGATTTGCTGGAAAAGGCCTACACCGCGGGTTTCTCTTTCCTTTGGTAGCGCCGGCGCATTTTGAGCGAACCATCTATCCTGGACATCCAATGCTTGATTGATAGCCTCCTTGCCCTCGGCCGTGAGGGATCCAGAAGTCGCTGTAAGCCATGCTAATTCAGTGACCGCCATGATGATTTGGTGACTTATAGGTGAATTAACTGTTTGTAAAAAGATCGAGCTGTATATTCTGAGTTTGTTGGCTTTTATGTATTACGGCGTGTCCTGTCTTACGTCCAACAAGGGAGCCTATTGTGGGTCCTATATGGGATTTCGCGATGAGCCACGCAGCGAATCGTTGCCTACATACATCACATTACAGTACCGCAATGTTCCTTACTCAGGCTAGGTACATATGGCGCTGTGACTTTTCCTTTCGGATACTCCTTGAAGTAAATCTGCTTTCTTGTCGCTCCAAATAGTTAAGTCGGCAGAGGTTGACACATGCAAGATCTTAGGAAGATAATAGGTTACATTATTAATTAGCAAACAAAAGAGATAGCTCTCACCTACCTCTACTACGAAAAAGTAGTCTAGTTCAATCTCAAAGTAGGTAAGAACTATCAAGTGAGTGAGACTTTGGTTCCTGCAATACCACGAAGGCGCATCGAAGGAAAGAGTGATAGGCTTTGTGAGGGGTATTTATCAAATTGGTACCGAAACTTATTATTTGTCGAGCCAAAATTTACACTTAACAGCATCAATTGATCATTTGAACATTGAACTTGTTGCTCTCCAGTCAATCAACTGGGTATTGTATTTCCCGCCATTTTAAGCTAGGATCGGCCTCTTCTTATCCTACTATACCTAATACCTACCTAGTTAGTAGGCAGGTAAGTAGGCAGGTAAGTAGGCAGGTATATAGGCACTCTTATAGTTTCGCCCCTGACTGACGATGGAGGGATTTCCAATTGTTGCTAGGTACCTATGTAGTGTGACGCCGGGTTGCTTTTACATCAATCCAAATAGGATATTGATCTCCTGTTTCTATTAGCTGAAATCAGCTGAAATATCAATTAGGTACAATACCTAACATGGCTACGATGTGCCTAACGGCGTTTTTGAAGAGCCCAGTCATCAATCAATAACAAAATGTTACACTGCCTCGAGGATCGGCAGGACCTCTACAGGTGCCAAGTCATTCTTTCGTTGTGTCAGCCACACGCAGCCTGCTTTATCCTCACTGCCTTCGCTACCTCAATAGGGATATATATTTAGTTTTCTCAGCCAGTTACCTCCTACTCTAAGAATCAAACTATTGACGAAAGACCTATGTAATAGGCTTATGGAAAAGGAATGGGAGATCCCCTAGGAGCAGCCGGCTCTATCATTGGCATTGCCGCGTTCGGCCTGAAATGCGTGACCACCCTTCAGACGTACGTTGAAGCCGTAGTCGATGCGCGGAAGAGTTTGCGGGACATTGCTTTTGATGTCAGCGTCACGGCATCGGCTTTAAATCAGCTTCACCAGTTCATCGAGTTGGACAAAAATGGCAAAGCAGTCGCTAATGATTCAGGGGTACAAGAGGTGGCTCGTCTGGCATCGAAATGCAAGCAGGTCTACACTGCAGTCATGAAACTCATTTCCAAGGCCGTCGGTGCGCCGAGGGATGACAACGGCGAGATATCAATCGACGCGTTGGATTCAATAGACTTAAACGAGTCTAATGTCAAACGTCTAGTGCAGAGGCTTAAATGGCCTTTCAAGCAGCATCGCATTAAGAAGCACCAGGAAGAGCTACGATGGCTGAAAATCAGTCTTCTATTCCATCTACGGCTCATGGAACTTGCGAAAACGAAGATAATGTTAGTCTTACCTATCATGTATTCATGCTAGTTTGCTGGTTGCTAATTTCAAACTAGGGCTCCGACCAGATCCTTGAGCGCTCGGGAGAAGGAAATGGCCCTGCAAGCCACTCTAGAGAAGCTATCTGCTAGCAAGCACTTGTATGCTAAGAGGATCGCTTCCGGGAGGAGGAGATACAAGGGGAAAGTAAGAGCAAAGAGGGGCTTCGCTAAGACGAGGCCCTCTTCTTTATCCAGAGAGACAATTGATAAAGGAAAGAGATTACTTTCCACATCCCCTCTTAATAACAACACTCGAGAATTATCACCTTCATCTATAAGTGGTGATGACAATTTTCGAACACAAAATATTCTGCCGTCCAAAGAACTACTCACGGAACCAGTACCGGACACCCCTTGGACGACTGAAGACAACAAGGAGCCAGGAAACAATATTGGTCCCTTGAGCCCAAGCAGTCCCATCCCTAAGTCTCAATGCGTCGCTGATAGAACCCCTGAACCTATACGGACCCAAGATAATACGCACATTCCGACCACAATAACGGCCAATAACCAATTAGGAGCTCAACATAGCTCTCCCGCCACTGCTAACGAAGATAAAGAGAAAGAATATTTAAATAACCATGGAAATCAAGATGTCGAAGCGTACATTGTCGAGGTGGACAACCCCGATCTTAAGTCCAACTCCATCCGTAAGCTCCCTTTCGATCGTCAAGAAATAAGTGATGAGTTTAAACGAATTATGGAATCGCAAAGAGGAGATGTAGTAACGCGGTACATGTCCCTAACCTCCATACAACGGGAAAATATCCAGCGAGTTCTGCTTGAAGCAGAAAAGACGGGTTCTCACGAGAAGATATGCAAGGCGATAAATTTTACGCAGTCAGAAGACTCTTGCATGATCGTGTTCCTCTCCCCACGTGCGCCTGCTCAACCCGTCCATCTCAACTATAAGTCGCGGTCTTTCCACTTTGCGTTTGAGCTGTGTCGGACTTGGGAGGTAAGTCCCTAGTTAGATTCAACTTCTCTATGCACTCACACGAGCAGACCAAAGGTACCTAACAAATACTAGGATATGGTCTCCCTCATTAAACCCATCTTAACCGACATTCGTAATCCGGACACCTTTTTGAGGGCTGGACAATATGAACTCAAAGACCCAAATGACCGAATCATCCTCCCATCAACGTGGAGCTCGACCGTGCAGCCCGGCCTAACCATCTTTCTAGTCCCGCACCCGGCAGTGTCCCAATACTCATCTTCACTGCAGAACGACGACGAACCTAATGAATCCAACCAATCTAATGAATCCTGTGAATCTGACGAATCTTCTACGTTCACTGATGATTATTTGGGCTGTACTATACGGTGGCGCCGCCCTTCACAACTATGGAAGAGGTCATGGCTTCGCCGAGCTACTTACGGAGTCCTATCTATTATCCCATTCATGAGGCGAGACTCTAGAGGACAACCCTCTATGTTTGAAGGTGAACGGGTCCATGAGCAGCTGGAAATTCGTGCTGTTTCTTGTGCTCCAGGGCCTGGAGAGGTCGATCCAGATGAAGAGGATGAGGAAAATGATTCCGATATCATTGATTTCGAAGAAGAAGCAGAGACGGGTCGGTTTGTGTTGGGTGAGGCCTTGGAGAAATGGACTAACGCTCGTGATGCTCCCCTAGACGGAGAATAAGAAGGCGATGAAAGACGACCTTTGTGTGATAAGCCATAGCCAAAAGCCTAGACAATTATGATTCCCTTAATCTAGAATTCACTTATACAAGATGAATGATATTTAGGAGACATATATAGGTAGGTATGTATATATGTTTGCATTTAATATGTACTGACATGCCCGAGCGCATGCATAATCAAAAAAGCTATCTACAAGTTTGCAATCTTAAAAGTCCCCTCAATCTAGGAGCGGATATGCCCTTCCGAGAGGGGTTGCTCATTAAACAACGAACCGTCAAGACCCAGATCCCACGACGCAACATCATCATTCGTACGCAAGTCATCCGACGCAATCTTACAAAGCGAGGTAGAAGAAGCCGCTGGCGGCGAAGAGGGCGGCGATGCCCGCGCCGACGCGAGAATCGGCTCTGGAGCCGGCGCCGGTGACGGGGGTCGTGCTCGCGCTCGCACTTGCGCTAGCACTAGAAGTGGCGCCAGATGAAGTCGTGGTGAAACCAGCAGAAGCGCTGGTGGTAGGGGTAGAGCCGCCAGACGTAGGGTAAGGGGTAGCAGACTCCGAAGAGCCCGGCGAGCTGGGGGCTGAAGAGCTGCTGGCAGGGGCGCTGGGAGAAGAGGTAGGGTAGCCGGTTGCCGAAGAGGAGCTGGCGGCAGACGACGAGGACGGGGTTTTAGTGCTCGAGCCGGAGCTTGAGGGGGTTGCGGTGGGATAGCCGGATCCAGTGTCAGTTGACGTGGAAGTCTCCGTCGAGCTAGACGAAGTAGGAGCGGGAGATGAGGTGGACGAGTCAGTGCTCGTCGGGTAGGTGCTCGGGGAAGCGGTGCTGCTAGTAGATGTGGGGCTGCTAGTCGGTCCCGAAGCGACGGCCTTGCAGAAAGCGTCGATGCCGCTCATCACACTACCTGCATTTGGAATTAGCACTTCTACATACTTCTCTCATTCCTTGATCACCACTAGATGATGCCAAAGCCTAATTAGTGGATCGAATAGAACATACCATAGTCGGTGGTGGAGCAGGCGTCTCGAAGGCAGACCTCGCCATCTCGCTTCACGGTGTAGACCTCAGCGCAAATGCAGGCGTTGTCAGTCGCGGCGCAGGTGGTGTGCTGCGATACGGTGTCCGTGATACACGGCGGTCCGCAAGCCGGCACGTAGTCCGAGATGCTAATAGCGGCAGCTAGCGCCGCGAAGGTGGGTAGTGCTAGCACGCGAAGGGGTGCCATTTTTGCTGTCTTTTGGGGTATATACTTTTTTTTTGGTAACGAACGAACGGATCGAGCGGGCGAGTTTAAACGATCCTCTGCGAGATATGGACAGACAGCCTTACGACGGGTAGAAATACGTAAAACACACACACACACACGAAGGGGGAAATGAATGGGGGTGCGCTTCTTATATAGATGAGATCGGATGACTTTTCTAGAAGGTGGTCGGTAGCCAACGGAACGATCGACATATAATATCGTCTGGTGCTTAATAGTACAAAAAGGTTAAAAGGGACCTTACGGTATAAGTATAGATGATCGACATTCAATAAAGATGGCTCATGACAGGCCTAATTGCCCGAAACTTCAAACTAACCCATGTCTCTCTTTTTGCCGTGGTGTACTGGCATTGGCCTTGTAATGCCTTGTGATGGGGGTGTTGTTACTAGCTAGGTCTTTGTACGGCGCAGCGCAGTTGGAGCTGTGAGTGGTGGTTGTGGGAGTTGGGGGAGATAATAGGGAGATCCGTCATGGATACGGGGAGGAGTTAAAAAAAGAGTGACAGCGAATCCTTGGTCGGGGTTAGGAACCAGCTGGGAACCAAAATTGCCCTTACGAGGCTTGCGAAAAGGTTAGTTCCTTCGACTTTTGTGAGTGGCCGAAGTTACAGCGGCAGCCACCCGGATTGCTTTGTATCACGTATACGTACCTACTCTGGTATTGCCGTTCCTCATGCGCCAGCTGCGTCTGGTCGTTCACATTAAAGTTTTCCCTCGCGCCTCCGTCCCTGACATTTCGAAGTGCCAACCAACCAGAGCGCATACACGAGTCCTGAAGGCTCGCGAGGGGCCCTGTTTCACGGTCCCGATCCGGCAGGTGGAGGGCTTGAAACGCCCGAAGGAACAGCGGCCGTACCTTGGGCCATATCCTATTTTCATTGGCTGGGTGTAACGTGCCATCGTTTTACCCCGGACTCGAACTTATATTACGTCGGTACTGTACCTGCCAGCTGCGCATCAGAAATGTGCTGGATGCATCAACCTTAGGTTGGCTTGTCTCTCCCCCCCTTAAATAGGGAGGTACATAACAGCCTGACAGCCTTCTCTCGTTTAGCGATGGTAAGGTGGCGATTGGGGCGCCGCAGATCCGTGCTGGAAATAAACATTTGGGATGAAGTCACAGAATGCGGCACGACGGTAACTAGCATTAGCTAGCCTTGCTAGCTCAATCTGCTCATCTCGGTCGCGACATGGCCCACCTTCCTACCTCGGCCTTGCCGGCTCCGACTGTCTTCTGATGTCCTGAGTCTTGAAGAACTCTAAATAGAGGCTCGGGACACATATTAGTCTTCATTCGGGAGCGATGGCATCATCTATTCCCCTCCCGTCGTTAACGTCTCTTCCGTCAAGTGTGGAATGTTGCGGTCCGAGTGTGTGCTGTATGGCCCCGGGAAATGCCAAATTCGGTACCGCCCACTCATGTACCGCAGTCAACTATACGGTTTCTTCGATTTTATGGCGATGAGTGAATACCGTCATGAGCGATCTAGTTATAGACGTCATATTCGTCTATTGATTTATTGACATAAATTTTTTTACCATACCTAGGCCAGATCTCCATTTCGATAAATTCTGTTTATTTTTATTTTTTTAACTTCACAAGACGCAGACCCCTTAACTGGTTTGGATGTAATATTTCATACTACCACGACGTGATGGCTCACTAGCACTCATGAAAACGCGTACTCATTGAGTTTAATTTACCAAGTCTTGTGAATTCGTACTCAGAGAGGTTTGTAGAGTTAAGGTGACAGTACCATTCTCGACTGTTCGATTTGAAGAGAACGAGTCATTAGTAATCGTCCAAATTATTAATCTCCATGTCCGGTTATAGAAAGCACTCCAACTCTACTCAAACCTCGTTCTTTCTCAACCTATAGCGTTGAATTGATACTTACATACTTATAGATTATTGGCCGATTCATACCTACTTTGCGTTGCAATGATTCGGCAACTTAATCTCGTGTATTATAACTATCAAGGCTGTCTTGACATGTTATATTGAAAAGAACGGATGAATAGAGCCTCTGTGTGGTGAGTTTATCGAATCATAATTGGCTCCAAGAGATAAAAGTCGCCGAGGTAGGGTGATTCTACAGGCATTGCTTAGCAAGCAATATTGAAGAGCGTGGGTATTCAACAACGTTGATATTATTGCCAATGATATCTCATGTCATGGCTGCGTGAAATGTTTTTATATAAATTCTGGTCGTCGAGGCCAAATTTGCAGTCTTTCACTGGGACAGGTAGTAACGCTAATGAGCACAACTTCAACATATTAACTCACCAAAGCTATCCGTCTTCAAAATGACGGAAATCACTAAGCCCCGTGTCCTCATCATCGGCGCTGGATCCATGGGCATTGTAACGGGTTATTACCTTCACCTCGCCGGAGCCGAAGTGACATTCCTCATCCGCCCTCACCGCAAGGAGGCATTGAACCGTCCGCAGATCCTCTACAGCTACGACGACAACACGCTAAAGACGTACAAGGAGTACACCTACCTCACGAATCCGACCTCCATCATCGGCGGAAACTACCACTACATCATCATAACCCTCGACGGCGTCGCCCTCCGCGGCGAGACGGGAGTTCAGCTCGTAAAAACCATCGGAGAAGCCGGCCTTCGAAACCCCAACACCAAGATCCTCCTCGGCACCATATTCTTCGACATCCGAACCTGGTTCCTGCAAGTCTCGGGCCTCGCTCCTGAGCAGGTGACGACCTGCCACCTCGACATCCACGTCTACGCGACGAAAGACGTGGCGCTGCCCCTGCACCCGCCGACGGACGCCGAGCTGCTAGCCCAGAGCGACTTCGCGTACTCGGACAAATGGCCGCAGGGCTTCACCGTCGACGTCGAAGATGACGCCTCGCCCGCGATCGCGATCGCGTTCGCCGCGCTCTGGAACGCGTGCGGGATCTCGCGCTGCGCCGTCAAGCCCGCCGCCGAGTGCGCCGCTTTCATCGACTCGCTGTTCCCGATCTTCGCGGCGAGCGAGCTGATGAACTGGCCCCGGTTCCGCGACATCGGCTCCGCGGACCATCGCGAGCTGTGGAGCCTCGTCGTGGCGGCCGTGAAGGAGGTCCGCGGGCTTGGCGCGCATGGGGAGATAGGCCGGCAGATGGCGCGCGAGACTACTGAGGAGGGGCTGGCGAAGACGTTGCGGGAGTGGGAGGATTTGTTCTTCCCGCTCGACGTGCAGCAGTTCAATCGCTTCCATCACGGCGCGAAGCTTAAGGCGCAGGGGCGTGAGCACCTGAGGGCTTGTTTGGAGGTTGGCGTGGCGGAGGGGAAGCCGATGGCTGCGCTGGGGGAGTTGATGCGCCGCGTTGAAGCTAACATAGCATGATGTTCCGTTTGTGGAACACGCGTGTGATCAAGGTGTATGTGCTTTTGAAGCTTACGGTCTAACAGTTGAGCGAAATTCGCTTTACGTATCCGAGTTTGCTGTAAGGGATGAGTGCGGCTGGATGAGCTGTACGAGTTTCGTATGATAGGTACGCGATGCAATTGAATGCCGTACAATATCTGACGCCGATGCTATATTTACCTACATACGGCGCAGTAGGACAGCATTGTCGTAAACGTTGGGTGGCTTGGAAGTTGGTTCACAAGTGCGACCAACAGCAATTGCCTGCTGATGTTTCGTATGTCTTCTTGGACCGTAAGCGATACTCGTGGCGATCTTATTCGATAAGCACGGAGACTGCGTTGTACGGTTATACTTGTGGCGTGGAACGGAGACTGTGTTACGTTGCAATGCCTTCGGTGAGGGTGGTAATAGTATTTAGACAACAGTCATATTAGAATTACCAGCGGAGGTGGTATGAATATGCATATATATCAAGTCTCGCTCTCTTCTTATACTATAATCGTGTGTACCTAGGTCATTCGATGTAGTCCTGCCATCATCGTCAGTCAACAGAGAAGTTTAAGAAGCATATGGTCTTCAGGAGCCTCGGAAATCCGTTCACAAATGCTGATAGCCGTTATGTGTTGATTAGGTAATATACACTTCGCATAACTAGCATCGTTTTTGTGAAAACATAACGAATATTTCTTTTCCATATAGGTGATATAAGATATCCTGGTATGTAAGCGGGATCGGGACCAAGGACTTATGTGAGCATTGACTTGAAGCCGAGGAGATACAAATCTCTTTCGGTCAAGTTAATTCCCTTCCCCGCCGCTATTAGCTCACCGGTTTATTCATAATGTACGATTATTTCCGAAGTTATGGTTTGCTATGCATCTTCTCAACATAAAATAAGCCGAAAAGAGCCATTATGTACCTAAAGTGAGATGACATCACCTCCGATGGCGGGCGATAGCAGGGAATACGCCCTTCTTTTGACTCAAACACCGAACAAAGCTATAAAGTGTGATTAGAAAAGATTCTCTACCCTGGAGCCTTCAATGTGATATATTTTCTTGTTATTCCTCAAGATCGCATATGTTGAAGACCTCGTGATCGATATTAGCAACACATCTCTGTACCAGGTGCTTACAGGTTACCTCGACTTCTCACCATGGCATCCGATGAGCAGTCCAGCGACTCAGCAGCCGTAGGAGATGACCAACTAGTTCGTTTAGCGAGCCGTAGGTCACAGCCGCCAATCGAAGTGGCTCATGTCGCTTCGCATCAAACTTATGATGCGGCAACATCTAATCGGTAAGCAATTGGCTTTCCTGTTGCCCTTCTAGTGCAACCCAGTCTCACTAGAATACAGACTTAGCAGAACATCGATTCCAATCGTCTCAATGGTTAGAGCAACCCGTTAACAGGGGACCAGGAAATCGATAATCATCGTCGCGTCGTCATTTACCATCATTTTCACTTGCTGCGGCCTCAACTTCGCTTTTGGCGTATTTCAGGAGCTTTACGATGCCATGTCGCTGCAGCCCGGAACCCCTTTTACGGGTGCTACACCCGCACTCATCGACCTCATAGGCACGATCTCCATCTCGCTGATGACAATCGGTGCACCCTTCGTCGTAGCTTGGGCTAAGCACTTCTCACCGCGCTGGGTGTCCTTCATCGGTGGTTGCATTTTTGCGTTGTCCTTGATTTTGGCTAGCTTCGGAACCGCGCTCTGGCACTTCGAGCTCACCCAGGGCCTTCTTCTTGGGCTGGGAACTTCCATGCCGTATATGGTCGCCGTAACAGTTGCTCCGGGGTGGTTTACGACGCATCGGGGCCTGGCTATGGGTATCATCCTAGCCGGGACAGGCGTTGGTGGTGTAGTTTGGGCGCCGGTAATTAAGGCTATGATCGATAGCCTCGGCTTCCGGAATGCTCTTCGCGTATCCGGTGCCATTTCGTTCGTCCTCGTATCCGCATCCAGCGCAACCATGGCCTGGGAGCCGCAGACACTCGCCCGTATCAACGCTGAGAACGCTTCTCGAGCCGGCCATCTTCGTGGCATTCTACAGGTACCCCTGATCGACTGGCACGTGGCCAAGACACGCAAATTCGCCGCTCAGGGGCTCGGTGCCATTTTCCAAGCTGCCGCTTACTACACGCCCGTCTTCTTCTTCGCTTCCTATGCAGGCACCCTTGGATATAGCGCTACAGCCGGGGCGAACTTCATCGCGCTAAGTAACGCGTGCAATGCCATCGGCAAGATCGTCATCGGTTATTTTGCCGACCGCCTCGGGCGTCTCAACACGCTTTTCCTGACCACTTTCATCAGCGCCGCTATTACTATCGGCTTTTGGGTCCCCTCCACGGTGTACGGGTCCACAGATGACTCGCGCGGCCTATTTATTAGCTTTGCCATCTTTTACGGCCTGTTCGCCAGTGCATATGTCTCGTTGTTCCCAGCCAGTCTCATCGAGATTTTTGGCATGCAGAATTTTGCGTCTGTCAATGGCGTGCTTTATATGGTTCGCGGCATGGCAACTCTGGTCGGCACGCCGGTCGCTGGCGCCTTGATTCATAGCGGTAGCTCGGCTGTTCTACCGCACGGTTATGTGAACATGGCAATACTCGTGAGCGTGCTGCTTTTTGCTGCTAGTGTTGCTGTGTTTTGGATTAGGATTGAGGCAATGGTTGGACCTAGTGGGAAAATGAGTTTGAAATGGAGGATGTGATCCATAGCTACACATCTTTAGATAGGGATTTACTACTATAATGTGTCGAGGTCTAACACCTAATGTTAGTAGTGACCGACTAGTGTTATCAATTTCTATAGGTGGACAAGACTGAGACTATAAGAAAACTAAATTTGGAAGTCTATAAGGGTCTAGAATAAGGGGAGTCCTACCATTCGAACATGGAAAATACTGGTTTGCGTATACCAATGAAAGTGGAGGCACCGTCTTTTCTACGACTTTGAATTTTTCATTGGCTGTTCCCTGCATGTATAGTCGAATTGGATGTTGAAGAAGTTCTGGTACTACCCATGAGCAGTTGCCACGAGGCTTCGAAGCTTTCACACTAATGTAATTAGCACGTGGCTTTAAGCAGGTAATGAAATCATCTGGAATGTTACTCATTCTATTAGTAAGCTGTAACTAGGGAGTACCTACAAACTATATTACGGAGTTGCGTATATTGATCTATCTGGTTGTGTTGGCTCTCGTCCTAGGCGCATCTTCGTATGAGCCCGGCGTTTCTCGTTTACAGCCAGTTTACTCTCTGAAGCATAGACTAAGTATCAGTAATAGGTAAGTTACATACCTATTGATGCTCAAAATCTGGGGCACACACCATCATATCGATGGATTATGTCTGTTACTCGGGGCTCTGATAGAATGCATCTAGTTACTCGGGACTATCCATATATGGAAAGGCCCGAGCTATGATATGGGATGGTGGATGGAAAATGGATTGGGGGGATGGCAATCGGAGGCGTGGCCTAGCAGGGATTATATCGTTGGAGCTAATGCCAAGCACCTGACTAGCAGTCAATTCACCAATCGAGTTCTAATTGGCTGGATATGACTGGCTCAGCTCAAAAAGGTTAACACCGGGGTTCTCATTGAATTCCACTGATTCCCATTGCAGCGGCGCAGGGGCCACCCACTTTCTTTTACTGGAACCTTATGTAGAAAATTGTGGGAAATTTGGAGATTCGCCTCGATCCATTGGACGGTTGGTTCAAATTTACTAGGTAGGTACTTAAAGGGGTGGAAATTTCCTATCCTTGTGTTCTCCAATGCCCATATTGCTTGCGCCTTACTTGCGTTGATGTCCAATATCCTAGCATCAATCTGTCTCCGTCCACGCACAAGCAATGCAGTCAATTCTTCACGCTATTCCATTCTTCCAACACTGCAGCTCTGCAGGTCCTACAATTGTACAATACCCTTTTTTCTATAATTGATATTTTACTGACTAGGCGTGGGTGTGTGGTCTGGAAGTCTACTGGAGAAGAGCAGCGTCAACAAATCATCATTGCTCATCACAGCTAATAATACAGGAATAACCCTATCGAATTTAATACGACCCTCTCTTTATTAATCAACAACACCGGTCTTATTTCTCACAGTCGCACGATCAATATACTTATTTGTTCTTCTTTTTGTTCGTCTATCCTTTTATCACATTACCTACTACTATAATCTTGATAATAATTACCTACATTTTTCCTTGTTATATACACCTCGTTAGACCTCTTACACGACCAATACACGACCAACTTTATCTAGAGTCGCATTGCTACGTGGGGTCTATTCCTGTTGGTCAGATAGCTATCGTTCCACGAAGAATTCTGCAGCAAAGGATACCTCGCTTGTAACCTGAGAAGTCCAGGAGGATCTTTACCGCTATAAATTACAACCGCACGGTTTTAACTGTCCAAATGACTCGCCTTCCGGCTACTCCTGAAAGCTTGACCTCACAAATGTCCAACGGTACCAATGGCTTTCATGAAGCCATGGAGGACCTTCACATAACAAATGGTGATATTACCGAACGATCATCATCAGAGGACGAGCGAAACAGGAGAAAGAGGATGAGTCGCAAGAATTCTAGCCCAATGATGCCAGCTTTTATGGTCTCGGCACCGGGCAAGGTTATCGTCTTTGGAGAACATGCTGTGGTCTACGGCAAGGTATGGCAATAAACTGATTGACATTTTGTGACCTCCCTCACGCATATACTTACTATATGCTTAGGCCGCCATTGCTGCTTCGATCAATCTCCGCTCCTATCTTCTAGTAACGCACCTTTCTAAGTCAAAGCGTACGGTTACTATGCAGTTCCCCGATATCGACTTGACCCACACGTGGAATATCGACGAATTGCCGTGGAATGAATTTCAAAAGCCGGGAAAGAAGAAGTATTATTACGATTTGGTCACAGAACTGGACGAAGAGCTTCTAGAAGCCATGGAGCCGCATCTGGCTAACATTTCGCCCGGCATGCCCGAAGCGCAGCGAAAGATACACAAGAATTCCGCCCGCTCGTTCCTATACCTGTTCCTATCACTAGGGTCGCGAAAATCTCCGGGTTGTATATACACACTTCGTTCAACAATACCTATAGGTGCCGGTGTCGGAAGCAGTGCGTCGATCGCTGTCTGTTTGGCTGCAGCGATGCTGTTACAGATCCGGACGCTGTCTGGTCCGCATCCCGATCAACCTCCCGACGAGGCCCGCACGCAAATGGAGAGGATTAACAAATGGGCTTTCGTGGCAGAGATGTGCATACATGGCAATCCTTCTGGCGTAGACAATACAGTCTCGACACATGGCAAGGCCGTGGTATACCAACGACTCGATTACAACAAACCACCTTCTGTCACTCCATTATGGGATTTCCCGGAATTGCCGCTGCTTCTAGTGGACACAAGGGTACCCAAATCCACGGCTGTCGAAGTAGGCAAGGTTAAGGAGCTGAAGGATGCGCATGGGCCTCTGGTGGGTTCGATTATGGACGCGGTAGACAAGATAACCAGGAGCGCAGAGAGCCTCATTGAGGAAGAGTACTTCGACAGCGACGAACCGGAGAGTCTACGACGCATGGGACAGTTGATGAATATTAATCACGGTCTGCTGTCGGCCTTAGGCGTTTCGCATCCTCGCCTCGAACGCGTACGAGAATTAGTCGACCACGAGGGAATGGGTTGGACAAAACTTACGGGTGCCGGCGGTGGTGGTTGTTCGATATCGCTGATGAGACCGGATGCACCGCGAGAAAAAGTTATGAAGCTAGAACGCCAACTGGAGAACGAAGGATACAAACAGTTCCGGACGACACTCGGCGGAGACGGAGTTGGTGTCCTGTGGCCTGCAGTATTGAAAAACGGCCTGGACGAGGATGAGGAAGGTGGAATGGAAATCGACCTCGACAAATTCCTAAATGCTCCGGGTAACGACGGTGTAGAGAAGCTTGTCGGTGTATCTGGTGGTTTAGATGGCGCTGAGAGAGAGGGCTGGAAGTTTTGGAGAGTCGAAAGCTAAGCAATTTGCGGCTTGCGGGATTTCGGATGAGACGTGTGTAAGCCGGAATTGGCGCACAAGCCCGCTAGGGCTAGTGATCAAGTCGTGTCATATCAGGTTTCGGAGCTTCCATTACAGCTTCTGTCTAGTGGTTGTTTGGTTGGGTATTAGCTATAGAATATCCATAGGCCAAAAAAGTAATGGGTTCCAAGATTCGATCAAGGTTAAACAAGGTTCGATCATAGCCTTGACTTTGAATTCGAATTAGAGTTAAATTCAAAGTTAATAAAGAATCAAGATAGAAATAATCGATATTTAATCACGTTAACCGCACCTGCTTGGCCCGTATAGGGGAAGGAGGAAATGCATTCAATGTTGGTTTAGGCCGTTTGCGCTTGCCCCTCTGTGGTAGCAATGACGAACGAATGGAATTTTTGGTCACTTTTCCCATTCCTCAGCTCCTAAATGCTAACTAATAATTATTTAACCCCACCATCCACCAACTTCCAGCTCCGTGACCATGCCGAAGAACAAAGGAGCAGGCGGCCGAGCCAAACCAGCTGAATGTATACATCCCACTATTAAATTTCCATATCCTTGTAGATGTTCTAGAAATATCGCTAACTACTAGGTAATCAACCAATTAGCAGCAAAACAAGAGCCGCCGAAGAAACCACAGACCATCAAAGAGCTGGAGTGGCAGTGGTACTACGACACCAACCCTCACCAAAAGGCTTACGAACAGCTCGGCCTAGATGGCATGACCCCAGCCGACCGACAAGCCTACCTTAACCAAGAATATTTGAAACCCGGCCTCGCCAAAACCCTCTCCAACAAAGCGCAGAAGGAGCTCTGGAAACAGCTGAACGAGGCAAACGTTCCTCTGCGAAATCTACCCCGGCCGCGTGATAATCAGTGGGGCCGCGACAAGAACGGCCGCGACATTGGTGATTATACCGTTGAGGAGTACAAAGCATACAACGCGAAAGCGAATAGGCTTTTGTCTTTGTCGGAGAAGAGCTGGGATTTCAAGCGCAAGCACGCCAGGGCTAGGGACGCTGACCGTTTTCCTCTTAGCGACACAGAGCAGCAGTATCTCGCCTTAACTGAGGAGGATATTGAGGTCGAGAGAGCCAGAAGGAAGGAGATGGCGCAATTAAAGCAAGAGCTATACGGCACAAAGTCGGATCCGTACGCGCTAGATCCGGACTGGGACGATGTGGTACCGATTCCCCAGGAAGAGACAGAAGGAGCACTCGCCGCGATAGCATATCCAGACGAGTATGCCGAAGGCATGTACATACTGTGCTACCACTCCAAGAACCATATATTAACTTATTTCTAGCTATGTCTTACCTCCGTGCCGTTATGGCAGTGAAAGAATACTCACCACGATGTCTGAAGTTGACTGAGCGTATCATATCGTTGAACCCAGCCCATTATACTGTCTGGATTTATCGATTTTCGATTATTGAGGCCTTGAACATCTCCATCCCAGACGAGATCGAGTGGCTCAACGACATCGCATTAACATATATCAAGAATTACCAGATCTGGAACCACCGAAATCATCTGATAGATCACTACTACCCGACAATAGTGACATCACCGGTTGATCTAGCTGCACTAGCCGACAGCGAAAAGAAGTTCCTAGACGAGATGCTGGAGCTGGACACGAAGAACTACCACGTGTGGAGCTATCGACAGTACTTAGTGCGTAAGCTGGGATTATGGGGTGAGGCCGAGTTGAAGAGCGTAGAGGCTTTGATCGACGATGATGTGCGAAACAACTCGGCTTGGTCCCACCGCTTCTTCGTTGTCTTCTCAGACCCATCGTATTCATCGCCCGACTCTCATGCCACGGAATATGACCCCAAGATTCCAGCCGATATCATCGACCGCGAGATAGAGTATTCGAAGGCGAAGATCCTGCTCGCGCCACAGAACCAGAGTCCCTGGAACTACTTGAAGGGCGTGCTGTACAAGGGTGGTAGGAAAATGGGCACCGTGAGAGAGTTCGCTGAGCAATTCGTTAAGAATTTAGGTCTTGAAGAAATGGAGCGGGTGCACAGCTCCCACGCCTTGGATCTTCTAGCCGACGCCTATAAGGAGGCGGGCGAAAAGGATCTAGCGCGGACAGCCCTAAAGAGACTGGGCGAGAAGTGGGACCGTATCCGCCGCGGGTACTGGGAGTATCGGATTACTTTGCTCGACGCGAGTCAACCCTAGGAGCTACGATCGTAAACGGAACATTGATATCATGGCACGATTCTACGGTGTGTAGTTTACCATGAGTCCCGATTCGTAGGAGGTGAAGAAGGTGTGAGGCGTGATATTGAAGGAGGACTAGCTTAAAAAAATCCATTATTGTCGATTGAAAAGGCTTTTATTCGTGATACGCCACGCAGAAGAGGATAAAGGGATTCTATGGTGCACGTAAGACACAAACAAGCAGCATATTAGCATAGGATGGACTAGTATGGTTTACCAAATATTGAAATGCAGTGAGGTGATGAAGTACCATCACCTAGCATTCATATTGAACTTAAGATAAAGCGGCTGCTTGTGCTCGTCCAGAACGTAAATTTTCCTATTTCCACTGCGTTTCATCCTTTGGTTATGACGAAGGCGCCTTCTGCTATGCGAACTTGAGAAATAGTTTTCAGTACCCAGACCTTCCAATGGACTGCTTAATTCAACTCAACGCCTCATGCTTCCACCCATCGGCTTATGATTTAAGGGGTGCCGAATGCCTATTTCCATTGTTTGTTCATGCAGATGCTTCAATAGAGAAGTTCGATGTCACGGTGATTTCGAGGGCCAACATCGTTTCACTCCCATTTTAGACCAAGTCTTTGACCTGTCTATCTATCCCTTAATCCATACCCCTACTCTGCCTCCCCATCTCTGCATACAGGATATCGACCCCATCCATAAGGATATGTCATAGAGTCCTATAGTTCTGGCTAACAATAACCCACTTCCGCAAATTCCGCGGCGCGTTGCGGGCCCACGCCTCCCAGTGCGGTACCAACAGAAAGGCTTCGTTGAAGGGCTGCTCCGGCAACTCGGCTTCCGCTGCTGGCGTCGGCGTGGTGCCGACGGCAAAGGCGGTGTTGGTGTTAGCACTAGGAGCCTCGCCCGGCGGCGGAGGCGTGCCCTTAGCAGCCTCCGCGGTGATGGTGGCAGGGGCCGTGTGCTCGTGCGTGTAGCGGATCATGCCGCTTACTTGGACTGCAGTAGCGTTAGACAAGAAAAGGGTCTAGAGTTCGTAAGGGTTTAAGCATGAGGGAATACTCACTAGCAAAACTCATCCGATCCCCGTTACGCAGGACCGCGGCGGCAGTAGCGTCCCGACCCTCCGCACCACCGGCGCCGGTGGTCTCCGGCTCGCCCGTCTTGTAGTGCGCCGTCACGGGGTGCGCGTCGAAAGACGAGATGTCGTAGACGACGGGCCCGCCCTGGCCCTCGAGCATCGCCTCGTACGCGGCCACGTCCGCCACGGGCAGCCCGTTGACGCTTATGTCCGGCTTCACGGACGCGCCGGTCAGCCGCGCCGACGTCGAGGCGTAGAACATGCCCAGCGGACGCCGGCGCGTGCGCGCTTCGTAGAAGTGGTCTACGAAGTTTTGGGCCGCTAGGGGGGCGGGGGCGTGTTAGCGAGGGCGTGTGTGTGGGTAGGTGGGTGGTTTGGGGTTTACCTTCGCTGGCTACTTTGAACTGGGTTTCCATGGTAGGGAGCGACATCTTGATTGTTGATTCCGTATGAGCCACCTAGTTAACGGATATATGCGTGTATCGAATAAGTGGATTGTTTGATTCAGTGTGTTCGAGATTTTATTTCAGGCAAGCTTGGAGTGCTGGAGTTCAAGCTACAGAGGAGTTCCTAAATAAATTCAACGGCTATGGGACCGTCCAAAGTCAGAGAATTGTAGTCGAATCAATGAGATGTAGAAGGTTCACAAAGTCAAAGGGTGAGCTGGAAATGATGAGAGTGAATCGTGAGTTTGAAAAGGCTGGAAAAATGCACTGTATGGGATTTACCGCTTTATGCTTAAAGCTATAACACTCATATTTCAATAACTGCACATTTCTTCATAGAGAAATTCGTTATTTGCATTACTACGTAGACTTGTAAATCATTTTCCTTTTCTTCCAAAGTCAAATCCAACTCTGTGCAGACTACCTAATAATACATGTCAGGCTTCGGGTATACGCCAACTTCTCCTAAGGGCCACTCTGTAAGGACTCTATACTGTTTCGGTACCAATTCCTCAATCTCAAGCAGCAACGGCTTGACTCTTTCCCGAAGCCACCATCTATCCTCGACACGATGTAACAAGACACACCAATATGCCATTATGATCATGGCTGCCGGGTGTTTAGCAGCAAGGTCTGCTCGAAAATGCTGGCTCATAATGGGTGGGAATCTAAGGGCCGCATTCTTCCGATCTAGCGGCGAGTCTGCTTTATCCGACAAGTAGAAGCACACCCGCAGCTTGACCAGAGTTTGCGCATACGTTTCTCTCTGTTCGGGGATTATAGGCAATTTCGAATCCAAATTGACGAGTCTTGCGTCGGAAGGTCCGCTGCTCAGGTCCTCAACCTTAGGCGTATACAGATCGCCAAGTAGCGCCCGCAGAGATGATCGCATGAGGGTGGCGCTTTGCTCCATCGTGATCGCAGCGCAGCCTTGGATTAGAATAAGCCACTCGGCTAGAGTCCCGGCTTCCTTGTTGAAGAGAAGCGACGAGACGTCCTTCGCGGCTGCGAAGTGATACGGTATAAACAGACACGAGCAAGCAAACAAAGGGGGAGCTGTCTCCGCTGAAATAGAAGCCAGAGCCTGTCGGAATAGTGGGATGGCTTTGGCTTGGTGCTCGGTGGCAACCCGCTCGAGATGGTCAGCTTGTTCCGGAATAAGTGAGCGCCGGTGCAGTGCAGCAATTGCAAGAATCTCGTGGAGGAGGTACGGATATTGCGTCGCAAGGTCAACAACTACATCCCGCCATAGAGCTATTAATGCGCTGTCGTCTGCCTGCGCGATGGCCGTAGAAGTGACGAAATGGCGATACAAGCCAAAGTCGGTGAAGGAGAAGTCCTTCTCCTCGTCGGGTTGGACTACCCTTATCTCCGGCGTTCTTGAGTCCCTCCCACTCCCAATTGAAGGCAGCGATGGTGGCGTCAAGCTGCACGAAAGCTGTCTCTTGACGCAGTATGAGCACGGCTGCTCCTCGTCGCATTTCACCTTCTTGGATTTACATGTGGTGCAACCTCCCCTGCTCTTACGATGGGCTCTGCGGGCTGTTGATGCCATTTTCGCCGATGCTCATTCCCAATATTCATATTCATATCCAAATTTACATTTATAGGCAACTGGGGGACACGTTTATATGTTATCAATCTCACCGTGGCGACAAGGAGGTAGTAGCATCTCTAGTAATATTGGTTGAGGCTTTGCCCCGATCCACACAGCACTGCCTCAACAACGTCGTAACAATAATACCTGACAAATCAGCTTTGGTTACACAAGGTTACTAGATATGGTGGATATTCAACCAATTAATCACCATATTTATGATAGAATTTTTATGCTACAAGCCCATGTATTTAAAAATAAATACTACCTAAATAATTCATGCTAGATATGAATCTCATACGGCTAGCGGAATAAAACTATTCGTTTAAGATACCCTCTTCGACTATTACCCCTTTATCGAAAGGACTTGCTTTTAGTATCACCACAAAACTGGATAAGAACCATATGATTGATAAAACTTCAAGAACATCGAGAACAATGAGAAAAGCAGTTCCAGCTATACAGTCTCGTAGCATAGTACCTAATAGATTAATAGAAAGTAATTTCATCCAAGGGTCTCGCCTAGATGTCTTCGATAATACACACACACATATATAGGTACGTCCTAAGAGAGATGCTCATTTCTGATCCTCGAAATAACTTTTCAGACGCCCTGATTATATATGAACTTGATGAAAAAGATAAGAGACGCTTACTCTCAGACTTAAACCACGTGAATACGGCATCCTTAGAGACAAGTCTCCAGCAACTAAATATTCTAAGGTCAAGCAAGCAAGCTGTTGTCTACCTAGAGGTATCATGTTATCAAGTGGTTTCTAGCTTTGGTATTTATTTACTACACTTTCGTCATGGGAGTTAAAGCAACAACAGATGATCTAGCGGCAAAGGGGATGGGTGACACTCATATCACCAATGTATATGAGAAACCAAAAACTCTGAGCCTTTAACAAGACAAATGCGCATGCTAGGATGAGTAGTCAACCATCGCAACACTTAATAATAAACTTCGTTTGCATAGCTTTCACTTTAGGTATTTGTGTTATAACTAAGTTAAGGGTACCCTTCTAATTGCTCAACGTCCAGCAAACTTACTTACCTACTGCCTAATTATTATTGCGAACATAGAAATCATGGATAATAAATTAAAAGATACACAGGAACCATCATATTAATGTTTTTAGTAGCTTTCTGTGAGTATATATGACGTACGAGATTGCGTAAAGGGGTGACATAATGACAGAACTGAGCATTTGATGCAGAGTATCGTTTATAGAAGCAAGACCAATTCGGCTTGTGATAGGTCGATGTAAACTTCAAACCTATATTGACTTTTCAGCCATAATGTGTCAATTGTCAATGTACCTAGGTGATTACGTCACTGTCTTTGCCGCGTTGAAACTATATAATTACCCACTCCCACCAACCTCTCACTTCCCACTTCCCTTCCCTTTTTAAGCTGTATATTTCTCTCTTTAATTACCTATTTATCCTCATAGGGGACTCATTCATACTAATATGTCCTCGATTAGCTAAATTAAAAATGTATTCGTTCAGGTTGTTCTAAATAAACAACTTCATCGCTCTCCCCCATTCACTTGGTAAAGAGTGATCCATCCCCCTCAAATTTCGGTCAAGGGTTAAGGACAGAACCAGACAGACTGTCGCAATACGAAACCTAGTCAAGGCGTTAGAAGCGAAGGGTGATTATCGGCGCATCAAGACGACTGCTACATCAGGGTATGCCGGCGCGCACATAGATGGAACTACCATCCCTGGTTTTTCGGAAACACGGAGAGGTCTTTAGATGATCCAGAAGGAAGGGATATCTACCAACAAGTTGTTGGTCAGTTCGAACAGACCTCTGGTCCCATTGATTCACTCAGTCTTACCTACCTCAAGGAAGTCGACGGAGGGCAGCGAAGACATAGCTGGAAGAACTGGGACGCGGATGTTGACATTCCAGAGCCTCGGCCGTCCCCATACCTCCCCTGGACCGGTACTCTCACCCCACGGTCTATGCTCTGTGCTTTGAACTAAAGCGTGACATAATCAGCTTTGGCGTCTTCCTGAGGTCACCCCGAGGAGGCTTGATTATCTCTGTATCGTTTTTGCTTATTAGATGGGCGAGAGCGATAAATAAGAACTATCATAATCCAAAAACCGATCAGAGGGCCGATTTCGACAATCATAGCGACGAAAAGCGAAAGTTAACCCAAGAATAATAACCTCGCAAAGCGGTACACCTATGCCGGTGATGTAAAGTTACCGCTAAGATTACAAGGGCAGCAATGGCAGTCATCGCCTAAGAGCTGAGGATGAGGAGGCATCGGAGTTGGGTCGCTGTCAGTTGACCATAGCTATAAGAAGCGTGATAGCCGGTAATACCCTAAGCCTGCAGGCCCAGACATCGCTTGACTTGGTCTACGACGCATGTCCCTCGTGGCGGAACTGAGGTTATAGAGTCTCGTCAACCGTGGGTAACATACCATAACTGTCGACACATAGCTCTCAATACTCCACACTACTGTTTGCCTCGCGACCTATTATGGCCATGAGCGTTGCTGTGTGACGCTCTTTCGTGCACGACCAGCAACAGAACACCAAATTGAACGAATTACCTTTTAGCACTCCGGTCGTTGGAGCCTGCGAGATGAATGAATTATATACTAAGATGACAGATCCATTAACAGCGCATCACTTTTTCTCAGATACTTCTAGTGCAATAGCGCGCGCTTCACCCATAATGGAGGAGAAGCCATTGGGACAAGAAGAACTGGCTACTTACATCGTTGTATGAAGAAAAGCCTCCCAAGAGAGCTTGGAAAACCAGAGCGGCACATACCTTCCCAATTCACTTGGACCGTATTAAATATGTTCTGGGTTACCATTATGAGGAAGGTGAATCGGGTTACTGGAGCACCTACCCAGTTGGACCTATTATCACGTCCGCTAGCTCCTTAAGCTACACCGTATTAACCACTACACGTCTCGTAACCAAGAGACCTTATGGTTACAACCTTACGTGCGGGCTTGTGCAAGACTATGCTCTTGGTCATCTGCAAGAACCTAGTGGAGATGCCGGATTCGGTGTCCGAGTTACAAGATACATATCAATGCTCGAGCCCGGCGTACGCCGGCGACTCACAGAGGGTGCTAAGCGCACGCGGTATTGTACTCCGAGAAGCGCGACGCCAGGAATCCACTCCGAGATTATATTCTCCATCTACTGATGTTGAGACCTTCACAATTATTCTTCCAAGATCAAGATATTACTACGCCATCAATTAGCGAAAGACTTCGAAGTCAGGTTCAGGCGAAGATCGCCAACCGTTCTTCATCATGAACCCTGGAGGAGATCGGATAGGCAGAGAATGGGAGGGAGGGCGTTTGTTTGGTCTATTAAGCGATGAGACATGGCTTAACATGGCTGGAGTGTGAGTGGCGAAGACGCATATGTGGTGGGAGGGTATTGTGCGAGTTTTAGTCTGGAATTACTAATTTTTCTTCTTTTCCTTCAAAGATTATTAGGTAATCGGCTGGAGAACGTGGCTGGATGGGCGATTCACGTGGATTGCAGTGTATGGACGGAGATTAAGTAATCCTTTTCCCAAACGCCTCCGAATTCATGAGATCCCGTCGACCATCACGTTAAGAACGGCGCACCTGCTCCCTTACAGGAGTGCACTCAACTTGCTCTAGAAGGCTTAGGAGACTTTGAAAACATTTGCATCTATCATGTGTACCTATGCATCATTATGGGGTAGTTATATCTTCGAGTTTCACAGCATAACGTTGATCTACATCTTACCTAATGTACATGGTCATACCCTATCATGTTTCTATATAGAACAGTTGAGCACAATGTCCTTCATCTAACTTACCTAGAGAGCGTGTATATAAATTAACAAATGACGTTCAAGTAAAGGGAGCATAGTTTCTATCCAAGGCTGACTACGACTAGAAGCAATATAACCTAGATATCTAGTTTCACTGAAAGAGCTGATGACTTCAAGAGTTGCAAGAGACTCTGTCTATTCATATATGTTATCTATCAACTCTAAGATTGGTATAATGCAAGTAACTCTATTCCTGATGCTGCCTTTCCGCGGCCATAAGCGCAAAACGGTGAAGAAGCACTCTTCCTAGGTCCTTAGGAGATGTTAGCTAACTTTTCAACGCCAATCCGGCGCCGTCTTCGCCTTCTATGTACTCGACGGAAAACTAAACGTCTGCGACCACATCTATTCGGCCCTTCGCAAACCAATCGGTCTTTACGCAATTCCTCCCCATCACGCCTTTTGGGCATAACATGTCTACTAGAAAGATGGGCTCAACTACCACTCGCAGCTTCCCCTGCCTTATCACCAGCACACATCTATTTCCGAATTCAAATCCCCACCCCCATAAACCCAAATACCCGTCTTCCTCCTTACTGCGGAAAATGCCACAAGCTCAACCTCTCCACAACACTATACCCCAAGCCCAAGAAATCGCACAGCCTTACCCAGTTCTCCGCCTGCGCGCCCTTCTCCAGCGCCAGCACGTCCAGCTCCAGGACCTCGTCCAACTTCTCGTTCTCGTTCTTCTCAGAGAGGAAATCCTGCGCGAACCAGATACCACCACCCTCTCCGCCTACCAGCTCCGCGCCGCTGGCTCGCTGCCGCCCCCACCACGACCCAGGCGCCCCGTCCTCGGAGGCGGAAAAAAGCTGGCTCCCGCTCGGTATTATGAACTTGGCCTCGGGGTGAGCTCTAGAGATTTCTAGGAGCTGCGCGTCGGAGGTGACCTCGACGTATGTGTTGGTGTTGGCATTGATGTTAGGGGTAGATGAGGCGCTGTAGTTCCCTTGGCGAGCTTCTTGGTGGATGTAGCCCAGTTTGCCGAGGGCTTTGCTGAGGACTGATGTTGCGGTCTGGCTTGTTTTGAGGACGAATATGGGTTGTGACGCTGATGTGGTGGCGTGGTTGGTAGAGGCGAGGATGCTAGGTGCTAGGAAACTCAGGGTGAATAGGAGTGGGGCCTTCATGGTAAGGAGTTATGGTGAACGTGAATAGAGGTTACTTCGCGTTTCTTTGGAATACTTGAATTGAGTAAATAGTTGAACAGGTTGAGTTACAGTAGCAAGAAAAGAAGCATAGAAACATTGAAGAAGAACATGGGTCAGTAACAGCAACACCATTGTACGAAACTAAAGATGTTCCGTTTCTATAACCCACCTGCAACGCGACGATCGCCTGGGTCGGCCGAAAATTAGATAATAAGAGGACCCATGGAACAGCTGTAAGGTATTCTCGTATCAGCATCTCTTGGCACTAACAATACACGTTAGATGACCTGGATGACGCGGTTCAGCATCTAGATCTTAGGGAAACCCTACTCGGTTCGATCCGTGCTTCACCCCTGGATCCTGCACGACACCGCCGTGATCATCGTCGCTTTAACGAAGATCTTTGAAAATTAACGTCCGACGAGCATGAGGCACAGGCATGGTCGGGACAGTCCTCGTTGGAGCGTTGGAGACCGAGTTTCAGGCATTATGGTCAGTTTCGTTTCACCAAGCCATTATTACCTATAGCATTCATAGAAGGAGCCTCAGTTCTTGGTCTCTTGATTTTCTTGATTTAGCAGGGTCCTTTGCGTGTGGAGCAGAGACACGCATATCCATAAAAGGAGGTCAGAATCTGGGGCGGACCCAGGGGTATGGTTGGTTCAGATCTTAGCGAGGTTAGGTTAGCGGGTAGCTAATAAGATGGGATGAAGCTAGTGGGGTGGAATAGGGGCTGAGGCAGTGCTGAGGGTCCTACCTATTCTAAGCCTGAAACGCCCCAGATCAACTTCAGGTGCACCCAATGAACCACTGGATACCACTGTAGAATGCTTATATTAACCTGAACTTCGCCTCCACGTCTATGGAATAACAGATGCGGATGTTTTTGTATCTTCCGAGGGTGATCTGATTTTCAAGCTTCAAACTGCTGCCTTCCCGCAATATGTACCTAGTTCCGCAGTAATCGTCTTTTTGCAGATGAAGATCATGAATGATAATATCCATAAGTTATCGTTATATAGCAGATTACACAGCCCCTTGATACAACGATCATTATGCGGGCAGCTGACGAACTGTCATCGCATCTATAATTACCTACTTCAAGTTGCTTATTGGTTGAGGTAATACGAAGGAAAGTAGAGAGTATTGATCTATCGTCGTCATTCGCTGGCGTGCTAATCTATTAGTTGTTCCTTTGATAAACGGTTGCCTATTTTCTCGTGATGGTTGAGACAGAGCATTTGCGATCGCCCCTGGCACTTGTTTCGGTCTTGATAGATGCTTAAGTTCGAATAAGTCTGCTAGCGTTGCGATCTGCATGCGAAATATAGTAAAGGGCCGGTCTTATTCCACATGATTTCTCGTCGAATTTAATTGATCTTGCTGCTCAGGGCACCGATGCTTGTTACTGAAAAGGAAGAGGTAAACTAAGCTACGGGGAAGAGAAAAGTGCTGTAAGGGGCAGCGGCTGGATTGGAGGTGCTGACCTAATCTGAGCCTTTGCGATGTTGATTAGGTAGGTAACACAGCACCCCTATTCCTCTCTCTTCGTTGATATACCCAATGATCATGAATCGAGAGTACTAAGGAAGCAATCGGGTTTATAACATACTGCCAATATTTCTCGAACTTCTACAGAATGTATCTATAGATTCGGATGTATAGGTAGGAGAACAGACTTAAGCCCTTAGGTAACTATTACTGTATCGTAGCGGTCAGCATCGGCAATTGACGGCCCCAAATATGCCCTATCCCATCCCGCCCGGAGCGATCAGGACGGGCAGCATGCATTAGCTCATCACCCGGCCCTCGGTCCCTTATCGACGGGTCCTGCAATGCGACGCTACCCATTATCTCATTAGACATAATTATCTAAAACAAATCCGACGCCTTATTGTCATTGATCGTACACTCCTTCCGATGAAGGCGATGAGAGGAATCGTAGAGCCAAATCAACTCACATTGGAGTAATATTATAGAGGGTATAAACGGGTTGTAGGCGGCATGAATACGGGCTAGTCGAGCTTGCGGGGAATTTGGGATTTCTGGCTGCTGCGAATATCGGATCTCTTCTGCCAGCGTCCGAAACGCGAGAGTTATATATAGGTAGGCATTGTATACAGACCATAGCATTGTGATGAGTATCGTGGAGTCTGTTAAGCTGATGACGGTCTAGAGTTTCTAATTAACTACCTTGGAAGTTCTTGTCAGTAGTGGTTTTGGATGTTTCTTCATTAGACTAGATTTTTTGTCAACCAACCTTCGAAATGGGTTCCTGTGCCCCCGAGCAGCCCGAGCCTCAGAATCTCTGGATAGAGACTCCATGCATTCCTTCAGCACCTCTCTCACGAGCGGCAGGCTGGTAAGAGAGTTCTCTGACGTTGTTCTTACGATGGTAAAACCAAGCTGATACAGGAGCCCAGCAATATATTCCTCAAATTAGAGAACCTCCAGCCATCAGGGTCGTTTAAATCGCGAGGTATTGGGTACATGATGCAGCAGGCGATGCTTGGGAAACACACCAGCAATGTACACTTCTACTGCTCATCCGGGGGCAATGCGGGTCTGGCCTGCGCGACGGCTGCTGCGATTCTGCGTCAGTCATGCACTATCGTCGTGCCCTTAACCACGAAAGCACATATGATAGATAAGATGCGTTGTGAGTCTCATGACCCTTTTCTCGGACAGATGGAACGAATTAGACTGACTCTCGGTATCCTATTACAGTGTTAGGCGCAAAAGTCCATCAAGTAGGTTCTAACTGGGCCCTCGCCGACGCGCACATGCGCTCAGAACTACTCGCGCATGATCCTGCCGGGGTCTACGTGCCGCCCTTCGACCACCCGGACATCTGGGAAGGCGCGAGTACCATCGTCGATGAGCTCGTAAACCAGGTCAAGCCGTATAACGTTTCGCAGATAGACGGTATTATCGTATGTAGCGGCGACTTCCTTTCGCTCTCTAAAGAAGTAGATATTGACCGAGTATCATAGTGCAACTGCGGTGGTGGCGGTCTCCTGAATGGCATAATGACTGGAGTAGAGAAGAATTTTCCCTCCCCTCACCAAAAATCCAAACCCAAAGTCCTGGCCGTTGAGACCCTCGGCGCTGACAGTCTCAACGCAAGCGTCCTCGCAGGACACCTCGTGACCCTCCCCGCGATAACTAGCATCGCAACAAGCTTGGGCGCCACTCGCGTCTCCGAAGAGTCCTTCCGCTGGACCCAGGAAGCTTCTTACCTCTCAAGTCTCGTGGTAAGCGATGCGGAGGCAGTAGCAGGCACGCTGCGGTTCGCGGATGACGCCCGGATGTTAGTAGAAGTCGCATGCGGGGCGACTATAGCCACGGTATATAACGGGGACTTGAGGCGGGTTCTAGGTGGAGAAGGATTAACTGATGAGGAGTGGAGGGGGAAGAATGTGGTTGTGGTTGTGTGCGGAGGCTCGAATGTTAGTTTAGAGGCATTGAGGGCCTGGGAAGAGGAGTTTGGAGTTCGGGAGATGGATATGTATAGGAAGAGATAACGCGAATTTACTGGGATAAGAAAAGCTATGTATTGACATGTCTGGGATGGTGGAAATGCGAAATGTGTGGTGTTTGGGGGGAACGAAGTGAAAAAGCAACTTGCTATGAACCAGTGGCCTTCACAACAGCAATCCTCAGCCAAGTATCCCTTTCCTCATCTCACCTGCATAACCAGCAAATCAACGACAATTGGATTTTTCGACTTCATATCCTCCCTTCCATCTAGACATAGTCTTGTAGCATCGACCGATCGTATTCCACCTCCTTGTAACCCATTCCGACCAGTTCACCAATAGGACCTTTAAGCTCGAAGCCGTCCTCGCCAAAATCATCAAGCACCAACTCGACCTCACCGAAGTAGTTCACTCCTCCGCGCTGCTTGAATCCAAGGCTCTTGAACAGTGCGATGCTGGCGGCATTGTCTTCGTAGATCTTCGCCGCCATCTCCTTCAGCACTACCTTTCGGTGGGTGTAATCGTCGTTGACGTGGAAGCCGTCATACTCATGCAGAATAGCCTCGAGATTCTGGAGGACATATCGCATAAACGTGGCCACGGCGGCACGCCCCAGCCCCTTGCCGCGGCGCGCCGGGTCCGCGATCATGATGTCGATCTCGGCAGTGCAGTACGTCTTGGTCTCCGATTCATCGTACACCATCTGCATCTCTTCTTCGTTGTCAGGGATCCAAGGCGAAAGGAACATGTTGACATCGCCCGTCATAGTGTCTGGGATGTCGACCTGACCTGCAATGACGGGTGATAGCTCGTCCTCCAGACCGGAGAACGGCGCTCCTTCGCAGATGATGAAGGTGAGCTTGTCGCAAGTCGTACGCCAGGACTCTTGCATCTCGTACTCCTGGTTGAGTGTAAGAGGCTCCGAGGCGGTAGCTTGGCGAAGTTTCTTTGAAGAAAGTCAGTTAGGATTTTGTTATAATGATGAAGTGATCAGCTTACCTCATCTTCCATCCATTGATGGTACGTCGGGACGTGGTGCTTTTCGTAGGGCACGAGAATGATGGAGTTGCCGCAGACGGCTATTGTTGTCATAAATTGATAAGTTTTTTTGCTTCATTTTCACGATATGACGGTATGATATTATGGATAATATTCGTTATGAACCCCCAGAAACCGATGCGCATCAGTATCGCAAGGGAAGGAATAAGTTTGGACTTACCAACTTCCTGATTCACTCTCATCGTGCCGTGAATTGCTTGTCAAATCGTGAACGAGATTAGTGTCGCATATCGTTGAATATCTTCCTTTTATGAAGATACTTCATAAAAAAGGTTGTCGCGACGTAGAAAATCGAAAAGGGAAAGTTTAGATTTTTATCCACTACTAAGGCAGGCGCACTTTTGGGATTTTAATGTGTTAGTCACCTCCAAGATCACAGATGCGACTGCCGCACAATCTTAGGCCTCTTTTCACTGTAGCAAACCCCCGATAACCGCTAACACTGGCAAACAGAGTCACGGAGTAGAGGGAACAGTAAAGGGGGAATTTGTTCAGGGTATCGTCACAATTCGCATCTATTATACATTCAGTCATTCGGTCATTGAACCCTCTTGTTTTCTTTTTTTTCTTTTTTCCTTTTTTTCTCTTCTTTTCTTCTTTTCTTTCTCTTTCATTCAATCCTCCACAGGTATAGGTGGGAACAAGCTTCCCGCCGCACCCTTCACAATCGGCACGAAAGGCGTCCCATAGCTATAATCCACTTGCAACTTTGCATACTGGCACGTCCTCCGATCAATACTGACTCCTAGCACATCCAGTAGCTCGCTCATCTTCTCCGGCATAAATGGTTGCAGCAGTATCCCCGCTACCCGTAGAGTCTCAGCTGCATGGAATACGATCTGGTTGACCTCCTTCCTGTCTTCCTCAGCGGTTTTGTTCCATGGCTCTGTGTTGCTCAGATATACTTGTGTCTACGGAGTGATTAGCGGCAAGTTCCAATAAGGATGGGTTGCGAAATAGGGACACATGGAGAAGTGATAACTTACATCATATATAACTGCCATGATACCCCTTAATGCCCGACGAGGATTAAATTTGTCCATGTGTTCTTCAGCCGTGGGTAAGAGTGTCTGTATCCGCCGTCTTTGGTCAGCAATGTCTCCCGTAAACTGATCAAACATGTCACCGCAGCAAGCTATCACCGCGTCCCTCAAGTTCCATTGCTTTGGCTGCGTGACCCTGTTGAGAAGATTGCCAAGACCATTCTTCAGGCCCTTCTTATACTGATCTACGATGAACACGTTGCTATAGTCGGAATCTTTGGCCATGGAGCCCTTGTGTATAAGGAAGTATCGCATGACATCCACGCCCCATCTATCTAGCGCGAAGAAAGGGTTCACCACATTTCTGGTTGACTTAGACATCTTCTGCTTGCCCATCAACCAGTGACCGTGGCTAACAACGGTCTTCGGTAAAGGCAGATCCACCGCCATAAGCAGCGCAGGCCAATACACGCAGTGGAAGCGCATGATGTCTTTTCCAACCACATGAACATTAGCCGGCCAGCCCTTCGTATGTTCCGCTCCGGGCGGCCACATGGGATACCCAGTCACCGTGAGGTAGTTGATCAAAGCATCTACCCACACGTAGATAACCTGCTTCGGGTCGTCCGGTACGGGAATGCCCCACTCAAGACGGCTTGTCGGACGGGATATAGACAAGTCCTCGAGGTTGTTCTCGACCCAGTCAACCATCTCATGAAACCTCGCCTGCGGAAACATGAACCTCGGGTTAGCAGCGTAGAACTTTAACAGCCTATCCTTGAAAGCCGTCAGTCGGAAGTGGTAATTGTGCTCTTCCTGCCACTCGACCATGTTCCCCGTCTCGACCGACGCCATGTACCCCTTGCCTGTCAGCGGGGAGATGCGCTTCTCGATCATGTTCTCGGGGTAGTACGTCTCGTCGCTGACGCAGTACCAGCCCTCGTGCACGGTCTCGTATATGTATCCGCTCTCCTTCAGCCTGTTCCAGAAGAACTCCACCGCCTCCTTGTGCTGGGGATCCGTGGTCCGTATGAAGAAGTCGTAGTCGATGTTCGCCTTATTCGCCAGGTCCCTAAACGCCTCGGAATTCGCATCGCACATCGCCTTGGGGTGTAGGTCCTGAAGCCGGGCCGCCTGCTGGACCTTCATGCCGTGCTCGTCGGTGCCCGTGCTCAGGATCGCGCGGTTGCCCTTCAGGACCTGCCACCGCTTCAGGACGTCCGCGACCAGCATGCTGTAAAGGTGGCCGACGTGGGGAGCTTCGGAGGAGTTTCGATTAGAACGGATTCGACGCGAGAAACGGCGCGGAGCTCGGACATCGCAGAATTGGGAAACTACACAATGTATATAGGATGAAACTCACCGGCATTGACGTAGAAGATCGGCGTTGTCACATAATAGGGATTGTCTATGGCCTTCTGGAGAGCTGAGCTGGTGCTGAACGGCTTGCACCGCGCCTGGTTGACTCTACAAGATTGGCATATCCACCCATTGCGGACTCTCTGTCGTGCTGCTACTCTCGAGAGCTGCTGACTTAGGCTCCCTAAATTGCTCCTCATGATCTAAACACTTCCCGTCTTTTGTGACCAGGACGAGCGATTGTAGGTATACGCAATTATGCATTTGCAGTAAATTTTTTGATCGAGAGGATCGGCATAGAAATTGATTTGGCCGTCAGGGTTCTAGTCGAGCCATTAGTGGGGTACCGTGGACCGTGGTACTAGGGCTACCTAGTACGTATATACTACTACGTAGTACCTAGGTAGGGCTACTGGGGCTACTGCCCATTCAATCTTCAGCAACGTAAAGATACTGATATGGATAAAGCATTTGTGTCACGTTCACGAGGAATTTCAAGTCGTATCGGGGGAATTATCCGAATTACTATTCAGATAGGCAGGGAAGTGAAAGCCATAGCTAACTACCTAGGGTAAGTGGGCACCTAAGAGCGAAGTATCAGAAAAGATGACCTTACCAACCAGGTGCATTGGCAGGTAGTTGGACAGGTCGACGCCATCCTTTCTGGCACTTCAAGCCCTTGTTGAAAATGGTACCTCTCAGGTAATAGCGTCAGCTCCCAAGCAATGTGATGGTTTTCGTATCATACATGCATCATCTGCAGTCCGTTGTGCAGAAATCTTCATTAGCGTCGTCTTTTGCAAGATAGCCTCTCCCCCCAATAATCGAATGTCCATGTTCCCGCACGCCCGTACTCCCTTGACCCTATAGTAGTATCTTGTACTACATCCCCTGTGTCATATCGTACAGGTCCAAATATATCCATTATAGAAATGGATTAGTCCATCTTGAAGAGGAAAAAGAGATCATCGGCCGAGAGGGTCTCCAAAGTGGATGAGCCCGTTGCCGCATTGACTGTGGAGTTAATCAGCCGAGACTTCTTCTCTTGAAGCAGCACCATTCGGCTTTCTACCGAGTCCTCGATGCAAAGGCGCGTGATAATACAGGGGCGCGTCTGTCCAATGCGGTGGCATCGGTCAGCCGACTGCCATTCGGCCGCAGGATTCCACCACCTACATAAACACAAATAGTTAGCACCATGTCCGAGGATAAGGATAACAATAGGAAGTACTGGTAACTTACGGGTCAACGATGAAAACCCGCGAGGCTTCAGTGAGATTGAGCGCGACGCCGCCCGCCTTGAGAGACACCAGGAAACACTCCACATCGACGTTCTTCATGAAGTGATCGATAGAGGCTTGCCTCTGAGCAGGATTCATGCTCCCATCAAGCATCACCGTCGAAATCCCGGCTCGTTGGAGACGCCATTGAATCAGCTGGAGCATCGAGGTAAACTGTGAAAAGATGATCGACTTGTGACACATCTTGTCCGACCGCAGTCGGTAGAGCTCATGAACGAGCATCTCAATCTTAGTAGACGATTTCCAGTTCTCCATCTTGATTCGGTTGATGATGGAGGATTTCTTGATAAGTTCTGAGTCCTGCTCGATCTCGGGCTGTTCGAGGTCAATAGACAGCGGGATATGACATTTCGGACAATCAGGTTCGTCCTGGGAATCAATGTAACTCTTCGCACAAGAACGGCAAAAGTCATGCTTGCACTTGGATCGAATCGCTTCCTCTGCAGGTTCGTCACATATGCAGCAGACTAGCACGTTCTGTCCACCTTCACTATCCTTCTTCAAAATCAGATCCGGATGGTCGGCCGTCTGACGCATCTGCATGATCAAGCTAAAGATATTGGCATAGTGCTTGAGCACAACCCTTTGCTCCACATAACTATTGAACTGTCTTCGACTATTGTTCATGATACTATTGGCAAAGTCGGTCTCTTCCTCGCTGAGGAATTGACGGTTGACGTGGATCTCCTTGACGGGAAGCTCCATGGAATTCATGTGATCTTTCTTGAGACGACGTAACATGAGTCGGCCGGTTAAGAGGTTGAGTTTACCAAGCGCGTCGTCCGCTTCAGGGGTTCCGGGATTGTTTTTAATCGGCGAAAGGATCTCTTGGTTGAAGACCGATACGTGCATTAACATAGTATGTCCACCTAGGATGAGTTAGCTAACGCATCGATACCTAGGTAGGAACGTATCTATGGATAAACTCACAGGAAGTGCAGAGTTCCTCCTCGTCAGGGGCCCATTCCAGGCATTCGCAAGGACATGATTTGCAGACGTAAAAAGCATATGGTTTCAAGTTGAGAAAGCGCAGCAGAGAGAAGAATTCTCCAATTCGATTCTGCAAAGGCGTTCCAGTCAAGCACCAGCGGTACGTTGCTTGGAGGGCAAAACATGCCTTGGCAGTCCCGGAATTTCGGGACTTTACATAGTTAGTTCAAGCCAAAGAGAGATAGAAGGTTATAATGAACTTACCTTGATGCAGTGAGCCTCATCTAAAATGACACGATGAAACTTCAACTGGTGCATCACACTCTTCTCCTTGTACGTGCCCTCGCTTCTGAATATACCCTTCTCCTGCTTTCGGTACATTGCCTCGAGCGAGTTGTACGACATGATGATGACATCAAACTTCTTAAGCTCTTTGAGGGTCATCTTCTTAGATTTGAGGTTGGTACCGTGGTACATCAACGTCTTCAGTTGTCCACTGGTGTAGGATTCAATTTCGTGGATCCACTGCATCAAAGCGACAGGGGGCGCAAGTACCAACGATGGCGCTTTGGCTGGGTAGTCTGACATTATCAGTGACACGGCTTGAATTGTCTTGCCGAGACCCATCTCGTCTCCAAGTACGCCGCCCTTCCATTCTTGTGCTTCCATGCCTTTCATCCAGGCCAATCCCGTTAGTTGGAATGGCTTTAAAGCTCGCTTAATATTGGCTGGTTGAACAGCTTTTTCCATGTCAACAGCAGGTATTTGCTCCAGGTCGGTCCACATTGACTCAAGCTTCGGATGACGCAGTTCTAGCATGCGTCTTTTGACTGCGAGTTTATCCGGCCAAACTTGCTCTACGGCCACAAATCTGATGATATGCTCGGGAGCGCAACGAATATCACCCTGGTAGGCAGCCACCTCGGCGGCGTCGTCAGATGTGTAGCCAGCAGTGTTTCCCTTCGAGTCTCTCCTCTGTCGCTTGCGCACCGGACCCCGTGTACGCGACATAAAGTTTGTGGATGGCATGTCATCATCTGTATCATCATCCGCATCATCTTCAAGACTATCTTCACTGCTATCATCGCTGTAATCGCGTGTATCATCATACATTCCCAACTCATCCGAACGTGATGACTCCTCGGGAGGAAAATAATGAGGGTTGTGTAGAGCAGCCCCTCTTCTGTGTCGTTTCGTGCCTCGTGCAATGGAGTCGCCGACAGAAGGTGTCACCATCGTATCCTCCTCACGTTGAAGTTGGCGTGCTCGTGCTGCACCCCGAGAGCGATCGCCAGGGAAATAGTCAGCATCGTCCTCATCTTCTTCTTCGTCCGAGTCCTTGTAGAAAGGACCAGCTCGGCGTCTAATACGTCTAGATGGACCGGGAGGATTAGATCCATCAGGCATATTGCCTTTTCCCTCCGAGGAATCAGAGGGCTTTGGGGGCAATTCAATAACCACTCGGCGTCTCGGCTCGGTAGCTGACGCCGGAGTCTGTACGTTATTCATGGAAGGTAGTGAGACCGGTAGTGAAACTTCGCCGGAGGAAAGCGAAGTAGTTGGGGTAAATAAAGCAAAGTCACGGTTAACGTTAACGGTGACAGGAACTTTAACTCCACACCGAGTGCCATCGGCAGAACCATTCTTAATAGCAGCCGGAGTCTGCGTGGTGCTAGTAGCAGCCGTCGAAACTTCGCCATCAGAAAGCGAAGTGGGTGTAGGCGCGGACGATGTCTCGCCGTAGCTGATGTGAAGATTGAATGGGATATTAGCTTCACCAGAGAAACTTATGTCGCGGCGACTCTTAGCAGCCGCCGAACGTGTTCGGGGCGCCATGCTGACTTAAGGGTGATGGTAAATGACAACAAGACTGTCGCGATGAAGTTGTGTATGATGGATAAAGAAGTGGTGAGAAGAATAGGTATGTAATGAGGTGATGAATCAGATGCGACGAGGAATTAAGTAGAAACCTAATAACCTCTGAAGTCTAGAGTTCGTGGGGTTTGACGAGGCCAGTTTGTTTACTGGGGTTAAGTGAATTAGATTACCTAGGTGCGCAGGTGATAAAGTGATAGCGCACGAACGATGCCGAACCTCAGAAGAACAAGAGTAATAAAAAGGAAGAAAGTCATAAAAGACTGATTGACCGAATGAGAAGAAAAAAAAGTAAAGTTGAAGGAGATCAAGAATCTAAAGTCGTAAAATCGTGAACGCCAAGGAATGTGAAGAGTGGCGACTATGTACACAGTCCGCCAGGCAAGAGGTCAAAGATTTTGTAGACGTAGAAGAAAGAAAGTTTCGTGGTGAAGGTTCACAGGCCCGGCGCGACTACTACACGCAAGCTCGTGACTTGATCATCCCAGGGCTGTCAGGGCTGTCAGGGCTGTCTGGGGTACGGCGGTAGCTGCAGTAATAAAAGAAGATCCAGCCCTATATTGACCAATAAGAGCGGAGAATTATCAATTAAATTCCTTGCAAGTACCCACCCGCTCCTTCTGTTACGTGCTTCGGAAGGAAAAAAGAGCCCCACGGTGACACACCTACCCCTCGGCGCAGCTGCCGGATACACCGGGTGCACTGTGTGCAGCAGTCAAGCACGCTAAACGTCCATTAAACACTCCCTAAAGGGGAACCACTTAACGCGCTGCCAGTGACGATCGCGTTCCATTAAACACTTCTATTTCACCACCACTGCTCTACCTCTTTCATCTCTCACTTTCACCTCTCATTTCTCTTTCCCAACTTCGTTTGTCATTTTTTTCAGCTCGTCTGAAATTCGTACAAATAAAGCGACAACCCACAAAGGTCCCAGTTACATCAATTGGTACTCAAAGCCGCACATTGCCTAGTTACCTGGCAGTACTTATTACCTAGGTATTAAGCACCTACTTCGTATTTCATCGCGTTTTTTTTTCACATACCTCATCACATTCTGTTACTCACCAACCTAGATCAATCCGTCCCTAATGGATAACAACCCTCCTGGTCCCTATCGCCACCGTCGGCAAGCAGGCGACCCTCAGTCCGCCCAGTCCGCTCTGTCGGGCTATCTTCGCTCGAATGCGATAAATGCGAGAGCTATTACTCGCGGACATCAAGATCGTATCCAAGCTGCACGAGATGCTTTTGCTACAGCTCAGATTACCGCCAACTCAAGCACGCAGAATGTAGAGAAAGATGAAGATGAAGATGAAGATGATGAGGATCGCGAGGAAGAGGGTTCAGCTAGTCCTTCAGCCACCACAACTATCAGCACAACCGAAGCGCGCAAGCGCAGACGCAAAGAACTCCGCAAACGCAAAGAACTCCGCGACATGCACAAGATCAAGATGACTAAGCAGTTCAAGAAACGTGTTGCGTCACGACTTCCATTATACACCGATGAAGATGTGTTAGCCCGTCAGATGCTTCGCGAACAAGAAAAAGAGAGAAGGGCGATTGCGGACTTCATGCCAGGTCAAACAGAGAACTGTGAAATCTGTCAGCAACGATTCACAGTAACTCCTTACACACGCGCTGGCCCGAACGGAGGCTTGCTTTGCACAAAATGCGGCAAAAAGTTGGCAGACGAAGAAGATGGTAAGAAGAAGGGCAAGAAGGCCACCCAAGGTCCCGCTGGTCGTCGCAAAGATCACAGAAAAAAACAGGCAGGAGGTTCTTTCGGAATCGGGACGAAATCGCTCGTCACTCTCTGCATCGAAACCCTCGCAGCGAACATCAGCCTCGCCGACTCCTTCGGCGACCTCCCCTTCATGGTCATTGATCGTATTGCAAGAATGTTGTCGAAACGTCGTATGATGAACGCACACACCCTGGAGCTATTTCTTCAGCACCAGCCAGAGGATGTTCGTATATACGACGCATCTCAGCTTGAGCAACAGGACTACCTCCGAATCTTCCAAGTCTGTCCCAAACTCAAGCACCTCAAGTTGTATAACGCGATTCAATTCAGAGATGAGGTAATGGAGTATCTCATAGGACGAGACTTCACTCTAGAGAGCCTCTACCTTGCCGGTGCAAACCTCTTGACGGAAAAAGGTTGGTGGGACTATTTGAAAGTCAAGGGAGGACATCTCAAGAGTCTGCGCGTATACTTCACGGATCAGCACTTCAACCAGGGTGTTCTTCAAGCTCTGCAACTTTTCTGTCTATCCCTGGTACGACTCAAGATCTACCATAATCAACAGATCTTAGATTCGCAGTTAGAGCACATTGCTAAAATTCCAAGTCTCCGGCATGTCAGCTTACACCTAATTAAACCGACCACGACATGCACTTATGTCTATATCATTCAGCATCTAGGCAAGAACCTAGAGACATTCTCTATCAGGATGGTACCTCAAGTCGGTGATGAACTCCTGGAAGAGATACACGAGAAGTGTGCCAAATTGACGAAACTTCGTATTACTCATAGCGAAGTCATGACAGATGCTGGGTTCACCAAATTGTTCACAGGATGGAAGAACAAGCCACTGAAGGTCATCGACTTTGAGAAATGCCTTCCAATGACAGATGAAACCCCTCAGGAGAACGCTGACACGGTGGGGCTCCATGCGAGTGGCTTCGAGGCTATGATGAACCATTCTGGAAGCAAGCTAAAGAAGTTGAATCTTCATGGCTGCCGACATATTTCTGGTGATGCTTTCGAAGCGGTTTTCGCATCGGGCAAGAAATACCCCGAACTCCTGGATTTGGAAGTTAGCTTCTGCGAAGCTGTGACAGATCTCATAGTGGGATTAATCTTCAAGAGCTGTCCACGCTTAGAGAAGCTGAATGTTTTCGGCTGCATGAGGGTATGTATTATTTTTGTTATTTTTATTACGGGATCGCCGGCGCACATCTACCTCCTATCAACATATACATATGCTTCCTCCGCAGTCTGATACCACGAATATGCCTAAATACTATGAAAAGTTATACGCCGCTAATTATATGACTTATAGGTTAGTGACGTTCGAGTGCCTCGCGGCAAAATCTTGATTGGCCTGTCAAACGCAAAGGGTATGGGTATCCAAGGTACCGAAGACTAAACAAACATTCGCAAGATCGATCCTCATCTACACAAAGCCTACATACATGAAGCACAGATGCAGGCATGTGGTATGAGGTTTCACGACACGTATTAAGCACGACTTGTCCCTGTTAGGCAAGACCGTTGCTAGGCCTACAAAGATTCCTGATACGAAGGCTCTTATGTCTCCTGGGTGCTAACACTACGGAATTTGCTTATGGAGATACGAGAGCATGATGCAGAGTATGAAGAATGATGACTTCTACTCGTTTTGCTGGACTATGATTTCCCCAGACATTGCCCCCAATTCACTAATTCCCCAATTCACCAATTCACCAATTCCCCAATACCCCAACACCCCAATACCCCAATTCCCCTGCCCCTTTCCCCTGAAAATATAGCATCAAGGCAATTTGTACATAGTCAGTTGGGCGTGCGGTTACTTCACAGTCTGACGGGACGGCCACGGAATGCAATTATTTCCCCCCTAACGTAGAAATTGGCATAAACCCAACTTTAGGTATTCCGGCGCCGGCCTCGGCACATCGGTCGGCCCCACCGCGACTAGAATTGCGCCATCGACTTCTCGCCTCGTCTACCCGTGATCCACCGATAATCGTGCCACGAATTTCCATTCCCTTGCTGGTATCGGCTACTGGATGAGAATTTTCGGGCGCGATGGTTTCTTTTGCAATCGTAAGTATTTGTAACCACTACCTGTAGACCGTAGACGAAATATATCCATCGAAATTTTCGTCAACTAATTTTTACACCTAGGTACTATACTAGGCGTTAAGTCACGCCTGCTTTATCAGAGCTTTGCGCATATCTCCGTCTATCCGGAAACCCCCACCCCGCATACAACCCGACCGAGAATTCGGGAAACAAAGGTTAGATATGGGCTCGACTTCACCCACGCCCTCGCCGTTTAACGTCGAGAAGATCGCAGTCGTGGGCGCAGGACCTAGTGGTCTTGCCGTCGCCAAGTATCTATTAGCGCAAAACGCGTTCTCGCAAGTCGACGTCTTCGAGCAGCAGGCCGAGGTGGGCGGCGTCTGGAACTATAGCGCCGTGCCGAGACCTGATGCGGAATTGCCTGTGCCGCAAGTCGTCGCGTTTCCGGGGTGGTTGGAGGAGCCGGTTTACGTCGATTCGGGCAACGCAGATGATAGGAAGGGGAAGCCGCTGTTCCCGTCGCCGATGTACGACGACTTGAACACGAATATCCCGCATACTATTATGAAGTACTCGGACCTGAGCTTCAGAGACGGCTGCGAGATATTTCCTAGGAGGGAAGACGTGCAGGCGTATCTGGTGCAGTATGCGAAGGACGTGAGGCATCGCATTAGGTTCTCGAACCAGGTGACGGATATCTCGCTGCGCGAGAAAAATGCGCGGAAGCCCTGGGAGGAGCGCGATCAGTGGGATGTTGGCACCACGGATCTAGTCACTGGGACGAAGAGCAAAGACGTATACGACGCTGTGGTCGTGGCTTCCGGGCATTATTCTACGCCGTATATCCCCGACGGCATTGCCAACATCAAGGCCTTCCATGAGGCACACCCAGGCGTTATTTCGCACTCGAAGCTATACAGGAACGCGGAAGCTTACAAGGGGAAGAAGGTCGTGGTCGTAGGGACCGGGGCCTCGGGCCTCGATATCGCGGCGCAGATACGCCGGGTCTCGCAGGCGCCGCTGATACTCTCCGCGCGCGAAGGCGCGACGGAAGAAACCCTCGAACACTTCGGGGGCGGGAAGTTCGTGCAGGTCGGGCAGATCAAGAGGTTCCTAGTCGAGGAGAGAGGTGTCGAGTTTTATCCCTTGGAAGACGAAGACGAGGAGGGAGGGAAAACGGAAGAAGAAGCAAAGGAGAAGGAGAAGCCCACGATCATAGAAAAGGACATCGATGCAGTGCTCTTCTGCACGGGATACCTGTTCACCTTCCCCTTCCTAACCACCCTCGCCGACCCGCCTCTCGTCACGGACGGGCGCCGCGTCCACGGCCTCGCGAAGCATTTCCTACATATCAACCACCCGACCCTCGCCTTTCCGGGGCTGCCGATTAAAGTGATCCCGTTCCCGCTCACCGAGGCGCAGGGCGCGGTCCTCGCACGCCTGTGGTCGAACACGCTTCCCCTGCCGCCTCGCTCCGCGCTCGAGGCTATGGAGCGCGAGGACGGCGACGGCGCGAACCCGGGGAAGTACCACGTCTTCCCAAAGGGCGGCGACGGGCGCTACATCAACGAGCTGCACGACTGGGTGATGCGGGACGGGGGCGGCGAAGGGGGAGGTAAGGAGCCGCCGTACTGGGACGCGGAGTTGCTCTGGCAGAGGGGCATTTATATCGAGGCGAAGATGCAGTTTGAGAAGACGGGGAAGAAGGCTAAGACACTGGAAGAGTTGGGGTTCCGGTACGAGCCGCAGGAGGTGAAGAGTGTGGAGGATGTGGAGGGGACGGAGAGTGTGGGGGACGTTGCTGGGTGATGATGTATGGGGTTTGGAGGATCAAGATGGATGGACTGGATTGGATTGGATAGACTATATATAGCTTGTGATTTGGATAAAAGGGGCAGCTCGTTAAGCCTTGATGTTTTAGACATGTCCACTATGTCATGCGAGATAAAGAAGATATGCCATTGTTGGATTACCAGATTAAACCAATATTTCACGAAGCAATTACGGTCTATCACCAAGAAATATATCCAGAAATGTATATGGTCATTAAATTATACGCCCAAAATCGTGTCCCAACCCTTCCTGGGCTCCATTCCATGTCCCTTCCTATAACCAATCCTCATGCGCCGTCCCTATGTGAATGTATGCTCCCAAAAATGTTACCTACCCATCAAGCTCCCTCAACCAAATATGCCACTATATCATATCCCTAGAATTCAAACGCAAATGCAAATCAAAATCACTCATCCAACGTCTCTGCATACGCCTTATCCTTCGCAACCCAATCCTCAAGCCTGGTCTGCAACTCCTCGTCGCTGACAGCCTCATACGGCGTCGTCGCCATATCGCTCGTCACATTCGTCTCCGCCGCCACCGTCGCGTCCCTCTTCCACGACCAACCAGCAGCGCCGCACCCGCTGATCGGCTCGAAGTAGCTCAAATGCGCGTCCACGTCCAATCCGCCGGTCCCCGCATTGCACTTCGTATTCGCGAAGCCGTCGCACACCTCGACGTCGGCGGCCGCGTAGGACGTGGTGTTGGCCGTGCCGCCCGCGAGCCAGTACTCGGGCGAGGTGTGGCGGTAGTCGAGCACGATGGGCGGCAGCCGCGGCACGGGGTCGTCGAGGTGCGTCACGCGGTACTCGGACCCGGCTTGGTCCGTCACGAAGCTCGCGAACGCCTCGTTGCCGACGCGCGGGCTGCCGTACGTGTACAGATCCGCCGCGTACCCCTGCTTGCGCGCGTACGCTATGGCTACCGTGGCCACGGCCCCGCCGAGCGAGTGCCCCGTGAACGCGATCTTGTAGTCGGGCTGCGCGGCCGTGGCGTTTTTCAGCGCGGCGAGGAGATCGTCGGCGATCTCGTTGTAGGCTGTGAGGAAGCCGGCGTGTGTTAGGCACCCGCTTACGACGTCGCAGGGGACTAGGATGAAGGAGAGGCTGTTGGGTGGTTAGTCGCGAGTCATGGGGGGAATTAGAGGGAGGCTAACTCGGCGATCCAGTTTCGAATACTTGAGGACCCTCTGAAGGATGCTACGATCAGCTTGTTCGTGTCATCGGATGAGACATAGCCTTCGATGTCGGTGACATCTCCGCTGCTGGGAGGTTAGTTGGATACGGTTGATACCAATGGTGATAATAACAGTGTTGTCTCACCTGAACGATGCTACTATTTTGGCACCCGCTTCCTCTACATCAGGGCAGACGTCGTCGGAACAAGTAATGGTAGAACCCGCAGCTGCTTCGCCATTACAGTACGCGGATCCGGCATACTGAGCGTAGAACTCAAGAGACGATACTTGGGCGGTAGTTGCGGTAGCTTATTATATGTTAACTTGCTGCTCAGCCTAGAGATTTATAAGACAAGACATACCACGGTTGTTAAGCAGAAGACGACGAGGCAAGGGAATCGGGCTTGCAGAAGCAAGTAGGCCGAAGGCAGAAATCAGAGCAAAACTGAATTGCTTCATTGTTTGCAACCAAAAGACGACAAGAGTAAGATGTAGAGAACCGAGATATGAGGTGAGGCTCGAACTGCCAGAGACCCGTATGAATTATCAAGGGAGAGAGGATATATTAAAACGACCAAGTTCAAGACATTCCAATCTCACTCTAATTTCCTGATCTTCCGTATAGCCTACCATACGGACGTAGAAAGGGGTCTCGATATTTGGGACCTGGGACCAGGAACCCGGGTTTATAAAGTCTTTCAAAACAACATCTCTCATCCAACGGTTTCAACTCTTTTAGGAAACCATCTCAGCCACGATCCTAGCACTATGCATGGAACACGGCTCTCCGCATCCTGAATGCTTCTTCCATGCTTAGGAATGAGGGGAAATCGAGCTGCCCCCCTTCGCAGATACCTTCAGAATAAGGCTAGGAGCTAGAAAATGGCCGCGTAAACGAAGACCGGTAAGTGTTCCTCTTTTCCCGCGTATTGTGTAGTAGCTTGGTGGGAATGTTGGGGGACATTGTCAGCAAATCCGGCAAAGAAATCACATCAAGCAATGATTGGCCGCTAAAACACTGACGAGAACCAGAAACGGCGAGCCTCGAAGGCTCTTATTCGTTGGGCCATCCCGACATGGAGCTTTCTGCAAGTCAGCCAAAGTTTACTGCTACCCTCGATCAACTTGATCAGCTTGATCAGCCAGCCCGTTCCCAAATAACTTTTCAGCGATCAGCAAGAGCTAGGGAATAATACATTAATATCTGACAAGTACCTAGCATTCGTAATATATTCGTGCTATGTCGTACATCATATCCATCATGTCGTACAGCATCTCGGCAGCCAACATTAAGCATAATATCAGCTCTGACAGCTCAACGGCTGTGTAGCGTGACAAGACAATATGTGACGTACCTTCTCAGCCTCCAATGACACTCTAAACTAACGAGACGGTGTGAAGGGAGTTGGAGAAGGTGACAAATTAGGACGGTGGAAATAACTGTTGAGAGTCCCATTGGTGGATCTGCCGTCACGTTTGGCACTCCATGGCGCCAATTTAGAGCTACTCGACCCACGTGAGGTTCCGTTCACCTCTATTCCGTGCCGCCTGGCTCCGTAAGAGCAGGGGTCTCATCACTCGACGGTTTAATTTTCGGTGTTGACGAGAACGCAGGATTGGCTTTGGAACGCCTCAGCCGCCTGATACCAGTCGCACAAATGTTTCCGGGTTTGACAGGAGTAAGCAATGCGCCTTGATTGTGCTTTAAAGCGACTTCGTGACAGCGAACTGCCTATCTTGATGAAGCTCCTATCGCCCATTAACATCGAACAAGTTTTCTCGACTCTCAAGTTGGTCAAAAATAGCGGTTGGGGGCGCTAAGAATGGCAACGCGGCGGAATTAAGTAAAAGCACACTGTAAAAGGTCGAAAAGAGGTGCAAAAAAGGTCCGAGACCTGGGGAATCCATGGCATAATATTCTTAGTATTGACGATATTAGTTTAGTATGCTTAGTGAATTCGGACTTATCTCCCAAGAGGGTTATCCTTTCGTAGAGGATAGCCGCCCAAGATGGATTCCGAATTTTAGGCGGGCATATGCGTAATCATTTAGTTGTTAATAGGATACTAACGTGACATAATATGCCACTAAAGAAAATCAATAAGAACCAAGAAAAAGGCGTGACCACTGCCGCCCCGCTACACTACATCAAGTCTTTGGGGGCTAGGGGAAAGGGAAGGGGAAGGGGCCAAGGGACAATGAGAGCTACTTTCGCTTCTACCATAGTGCTATGGCTTAATGTTGTACTACCATCCCAATGCTACTCCGCACCGGTCTGTTAATTAAGTGCTCGTATTCAGCGCTAAAGAACTGCTAGAGATGCTAAGAACCCCTAAAGAATGTTGAGCCCCCTTATTCCCCAGCTTTTCAACTCTTGGTGTATTTTTTTAGTTCTTTTTCCTCTCGTAGTCCAAGAACCGAAGACTAAGAACCACCTAAAATCATACCCTAGAATTCTTCCAAGAACGAGCTTCACCTCTATCTATCTTCAGCCTAGCACCGGAAGCTGAAATCTGCATCTAGATTGCTTCCCGATGCGCATCCAGGCGGCCATGCGACCTCGAACTGCGTCATCGGATAGATTAAGTAACCTACCGATCAGCTTCCAACTTCATTCAAGTGCTCACTATTCGCTTGTCCCTTTTCGTCGGCATATGCGGAATACTCCGTACAATGCACTAATCAGATGTCAAGACACAGTTGTAAAGATGCAACCGTTGTGCTGAGTCTCTTTCGACCTTCTCTGTTTCTTGGCCTACCTAGCCTACCAGCCTACCTACCAGCCTACCTCTTTATAAAGAGCCTGCGGTACGGCTGAGGAACCATCCCGAAGTAACACTCTTCCGGATCTATCACTATCACACACATGTGACCTGTTTATTCTGCATACGACTTAAATTGTCGTTGATATATCCTACTATACTAGTATATACCTGTCGGGACAGAAATGGCAACTCGTTAGAGTCGATGAGAAGTCGATGAGACGTCAATAGACCGAGGTTGCAAGAGCTGAAGTAAAGTTGGCCAAGCTGGTCATGCTGGTCTAGTCTTCTATGGACTTGGCCCGAGCACTTATCAGGTTGGCGATCCAAATAACAATATCGGCGCGCATATTGGAACTTGGGAGATTATCTCTTGGAACTAATCCACTTATGCCCCCTTCCGCCCCGCCCATTCTCAGATACCCCCCGAATCTCGACCTGGACAACCATGCCCTATACCATGTGCGATACCATGTGCGACTCCGGCACTACGGCATACCCAAGATCTCGCTCAATCTTGTATGTGGAAGGGTGATAAGCACGAGCATTTACGTAGAATGATATGGCCCGGATGCCATCCGTATGCCGAGGTGCATGCCTCATACGTGCTGTATGTCTTACACGGGCGGCCGGGCTAAGCCGCTGAGATCGCCAGATGCGGATTCCTCGTGCGTGGCTCCTGGGTCATCCATCCTGCCGCTTGTGCACATATTAATCTACGGCAGTCGCCAATCATGCGCGTGTAATTTGTTGATGCCTTGGTGTTCAGCCACGCACGAAAGCTCGCATGTTCGTGAGCCCATGATGCGCTTTTGGTCCGCCGCGTCGTAAACACCTAATATCTTCCAGCTAACTTCCATCCTAAGGACACCTCCTGTCCCTATTCCCCTCTTTTTTTTAATAATTATAATGGTAATTCTTAAGATGGAGTGTCCTTCAGGACTCCGTAGTCTTTCGCTGTTCGTTTTGGCTGGGACGGTCTCAGCCGGCGTCTTACAAGCTCGGGATCCCGTACCTAGCGGTTATGTCGCAGCTCCGTATTACCCAGCCCCTTACGGCGGCTGGACCGATGACTGGTCCGAAAGCTACGACAAGGCAATCAAGTTGGTCTCACAGATGACTCTAGCTGAAAAAGTTAACATAACCGCCGGTACTGGATTCTTCATGGTAAATCCCTTCCGAACACAATCTCTAAAATCTTACTAACATGGCCTTAGGGTATGTCAATATAAGTTAATCAATTATGTATGTATGTATGCAACGTCTAGATGCTGATGTATGTGGCGTAAAGGACCTTGTGTCGGAAATACCGGCAGCGTTCCACGACTGGGAATTCCGAATTTGTGCTTGCAGGATGGTCCTCTGGGCGTGCGCACGACAGATAATATCACCGCCTTTCCTGCCGGAATTAGTACAGGTGCAACGTTCAACAAGGACCTCATGTACCAGAGAGGCGTTGCCCTCGGTGAGGAATTCAGGGGCAAGGGTGCCAATTTCTACCTCGGACCATGCGTCGGTCCCCTTGGAAGGAAGCCACGCGGAGGACGAAACTGGGAAGGCTTTGGAGTAGACCCGGTGCTCCAAGCAGTCGCCGGAGCGGCGACGATTAAAGGAGTTCAGGAGCAGGGTGTCATCGCTACGCTAAAGCACTTGATCGGATATGAGCAAGAGCTTTATCGCATGTATAACCCGTTCCAGCAGGGCTACAGTGCAAATATCGGTATGTGTGTTTGTTGAAGTTGCCCGTGACTTTTGCTAACGAACATGTAGATGACCGGGCACTGCACGAATTATACCTTTGGCCTTTTGCCGAAGGTGTAAAAGCTGGTGTGGGTTCGATCATGACATCTTATAATGCGGTCAATGGTTCTGCTTCTTCTCAAAACAGTTACGCTATCAACGGTCTCTTGAAGGATGAGCTAGGGTTTCAAGGCTTGGTGATGACGGATTGGCTCGCACAGATTTCGGGAGTAGGCTCTGCTCTCGCTGGTCTCGACATGTCTATGCCCGGAGACACAGTCGGTAATAATATCCCGCTGACTGGTTATTCGAACTGGATGTATGAACTCACACGCTCGGTACTGAACGGCTCCGTACCTGTCGACCGGTTGAACGACATGGCCACACGTATCGTCGCTACGTGGTATCAGCTCGGCCAAGACAAGGACTACCCGCTCCCTAACTTCTCTTCGAATACCGCCGACGCCACAGGGCCGCTTTACCCAGGAGCTTTATTTTCGCCATCTGGTGTAGTTAATCAATACGTCAATGTGCAAGGAAACCATAAAGTGGTAGCCAAACAAGTCGCTCAAGAGGCCGTCACCCTACTGAAGAACAACGGAAGCTTCCTCCCGTTGTCGACCTCGTCGCCCCTTTTCGTTTTCGGCACCGATGCGCAAACCGATCCCCAAGGCGCCAACTCGTGCACGGACAAGAGTTGCAACAGGGGTCTCTTGGGCATGGGCTGGGGCTCTGGATCTGCCAACTATCCATACATAGACGACCCAATCAGCTCGCTAAAGCGTAAAGCGGCTAACGTGACGTACTACGCAACGGACAGTTTCCCTACGGTCGCAACACCCACCGATGACGACGTTGCTATCGTGTTTATCACCTCCGACTCGGGCGAAAACTCGTACACAGTCGAAGACAACCACGGCGACCGGGACGCCTCCGGCCTCGTCGCATGGCACAACGGGGACACGCTTGTCCAACAAGCAGCGGCCAAATACAGCAGCGTCATCGTCGTCGTCCACACCGTCGGCCCCATCGTCATGGAACCGTGGATCGACCTGCCGTCCGTGAAAGCCGTGCTCAACGCGCACCTGCCGGGCCAAGAAGCCGGCGACTCGCTCACCGAGATCCTGTTCGGCGAGGTCTCGCCCAGCGGGCACCTGCCGTACAGCATCCCCGTCGCGGAGACGGACTACCCGGATTCGCTGAACCTGGTCGCGACCCCGTTTAGCCAGACCCAGGACACGTACTCGGAGGGCCTGTACATCGACTACCGGTACCTGAACAAGGCGGGCGTGAAGCCGCGCTTCGCCTTCGGCCACGGGCTCAGCTACGCCAACTTCTCGTTTTCCAAACCCTCCATCACGCGCGTCACGCCGCTCTCCGAGGTGCCGCCCGCGCGCCCCGCCAAGCCCACGTCCCCCGTCGCCGCCATGAACACCACCATCCCGGCCGCGAGCGAGGCCTACTACCCCGACGGTTTTAGTACTATATGGCGGTACCTGTACTCGTGGCTCAGCACGTCGGACGCCGACGCCGCGTACAAGATCGGCGCGGCGGGCACGTCCAAGTACCCCTACCCCGCGGGCTACTCCGGCGTGCAGCGGACGACGGGCCCGCCCGCCGGCGGCGCCAGCGGAGGGAACCCAGCCCTGTGGGATGTCGCGTACACGCTTGCCGTCACGGTGACGAATACGGCGACGAGCGGCCCGGCCGCGAAGGCGCTCGCGCAGGTCTACGTGCAGTTCCCCGAGGGTATTAGTTACGACACCCCCGTCATTCAGTTGCGCGATTTCGAGAAGACGGAGGCGTTGCAGCCGGGCGAGAGCGCGACGGTCGGCTTCACGATCACGCGCAAGGATTTGAGCGTCTGGGATACGGTGAGCCAGAATTGGGTCGTCCCGGATACGGCGGGCCGGTACAAGATTTGGATCGGGGAAGCGAGCGATGCGTTGGGTACGGTGTGCTACTCGGATAGCTTGGCTTGCGAGAGCGGTGTTGCGAGTCCGGTTTGAGCAAGCGTGGAGCTGAGTTGGGGATGGGGGTGAAAGGATGAGATAAAAAGGGGGAAAGGAAGAATGGGGAGTTGTGGATATTGGAATGGCGTGGCTATCGTACATATGTTGCCGTACATACGCAATTTGGATATACTTTCCTGCTCCGGATGTTGTTTGAAGAGCAATATGTTTATATAAATAAACGTGTCTAATGTCAGAAAACCATACGTTTCCGAACATATTCAGTTTTTCGTTGAGGTCTTAGAGAACCTAATACAAGGAACGTGACCCCCACCCATATCTGATGTAAAGTAAGAATACTCACCAGCCCTTACATAAGTTAGCCCTTGAGTAGAACATTGTGATGTTGATAAGAGTTAACACGGGGTCTCTTCATTCGTGGGTGATTTTGAAATATACAGTTCTATGTGTAGTATATGGTACACACCTCCATTCATCACCAGAGCTATGGCGCATTCACCAAACCAACCAACCAACCAGCTCACCCCATACATAACCCCTCATATCACGTTCCTGGCACAGAGACCTCCCCTTTCTCAAAAGGCTCCCATCTCATACGTATCCAGAGGTCCAGTCATTCTAGTACCTAGATAGGTGCCTACGTTAGCTGGGCAGACAAGGCGAACCAACGCTTTCTAATTCGACAGAAAGCTCCTCCCCTTCGCCTTCCTCCGCTGCAGTATCTTGCGCCCGTTCCTCGTGCGTATCCGGCTCAGGAAGCCGTGCTTCCGCTTCCGCTTCAGCCGGCTCGTGCGCGCCATCTTTTCGGGGCGCGGGCCGAACCGCATCTGCGCCGCGCAGCCGGCGAGCGAGGGGTGCGAGGTCACCGCGGTCTTGGGCACGAGGTCTAGGAGGACCGAAGCGCTGCTACTGCTGTTTGGCGCGGGTGTGAAGGAGGTTTGGGATAGGGTGGAGGACCGGAATATGGTGCTGCTGGAGGCGAGGGTTGTTGGACGCAGGCTGGGGAGGGAGGAGAATGTTCTGTGAGATGACGGGTTAATTGGTGGGGGTAGATAGGTGGAGATGGGTTGATACGGACCTTCTCGTGGCGAGAGATTGTAGGGTTGAGGTCGCTTTCGTCGCAGCCTTGCAGCCGCGTGCTCGCGGGAGAGCTGCTAGAGTGAGAGACCGCATTTTGCCAGGAGAGTGAGGTTTATGTGATGTGATGTCGGTTCAATATAGCTTCATGCTTCTCCTCCTAATTCTCCCTCCCAAATTCCCCAGGACAGTTATTCGCTATGAATCGTACCTCCACCACAGAAATGTCTCAATCGGGATCCTTTGTGATCGTAAGGCGGCCGTTGTCGCTGGTTGCGCTTTTCGTCGCTGTTTGGTGAAATTTCTCAGAAGCCGAAAATTCGGATAGGAAAATCAATTGGACAGTTGAAAACGGTCCGTCGAAGTTTGGCAGTGGCCGCCATTAGACTTATGTATTGCTATCGATAAGCCTGTCGCATGCCTACGTGGTTGAAGAGTACATGTGTACCTTGGATTGAAGCATCACGTAGAATAATTCAAAGTGAAAGCATTCAGTCATTTCGCATTGGTAAATTCAAACATCCGTCTCATCGATTCGTCATATCGTAGAATCATTGCAAGAGCATCTTCGGTGAACTACCTAGGTACTGTATTAATTCCCCGTAGACGAACATGTCCTTCCTAACTACTTTCACAAAGGACCATATCGCGACTCTACTACTCCGCAAGATACAATTATATGGCTTGAATGTCGTGAAAATCTAGTCGATACCTAAGAGTTGAACATGGGCTAATCGTACTAACCAATGGACCAGGTGTACAAAAAGGACTGCCTCAACTCGATGTCCTCTGCTACGGATTGAAAATCTTCCTCATGACGATACTTAAAGCATCGTTCACAATGAAAAGAATTGAGGACATCAAAAATTGCGCTCCCTACGATCCACGAGGGATAATAGAAGAGGGTCGACTCCGCGCTGTGCAATGCAGGTCTCTCCCCTTGCTAACCCTGATTCTTGAGCCAGGGTTAGCGGAACAAGGTAAGTATGAAGAAGAAAGGAAGAAAAGGTTGAAAAGGCAGGATACAGGACGGGTATTTATAGGCTTTCCAGAAGCTGACCAAGGAAGTGGGTCCAATCAAAGTGGGAGAACTATTTCCCACTCCACGCTATTATACTAGGCCCCCAAACCTCATTTGCATAATGGCGTAACTGGCGTAACTGGCGATACTGGAGGGTGGAACAGATGAAGAGGTTTAGGTTCAACTCTTATTAGGCCTATCGATGTTTTCTGTTTGTTCCACTCTTTCTAACGGTTATTACATGGCTGGACGGTAAAAATCGTGTCTTGCACACGAACCAAGGGCCAGCAGCACAAGAGGGATTGCCTAAGTTGCTTACATAATCAACACTCGGACCTGTTAAGGACAGTCACAATCCCACTTATTATTAAGCTACATCCAATTAGATTCAAGAGCTTAACTAGGTAGATTACATACACACGCCACTGTTAAGGCTACAAGGCTGCAAGGGTGCTGACTCCTTACTTGAAGCTATTTTGGCAATTGACTTGGGGACTTGATAAGCCTACCGACCCTGCGAACTGCGAAATCGAGGAATCGAACCTTCGGACCTGCGTAACTCCAGTTCGGCTAAACTCAGGGTTATAAGGGAAATTATGCCATAATGTAAAAGCCTATAGTTAACCACCATTTAATGACATTCCGGCTTCGTCACCCATAGCAGTGGCTAAAGCCACCATAGAAACATTTATCTGAGTGCATATAACTCGGGTGCTAATGATTGGATGAAGACTAGTAGATGATTACATGGCTGCGGCACGACTTTATAAGGGGCTTCTTGTCCGACACACCATATGCTGTTTTACGCCCGACCACCCGAGGGGTACGCAACATAATGTCCGATTAGATTGCCCGGACTCAGGGCTACGGGACCTTATAAGTAAAGGTCGTCTTCCTGTCGAAGCGAGAAAGAAGCTAGAGATTAGAGTGCCACTACTTATTTTACCCCTTACTAGCTGCTTATTCCTATCACCCTATTTTTAACATTGGCTACATTAAGGTCAATTACCAGGTGTGTAGCTTTGGTGCCTTAAAGACTCCAAGATGACCGACCCCGCGATACATGCCCTGGCAATAAGCGCTCCCGAATTCGTTGAAAGAGTACTTGGAGACTGGGACAACATCGATCATAGACGAAAGGGATATAACAACTCTACATTCTTGGCGAATGAGTTGAAGCTATTTGGCCTACCAGAGCGTCGCAATATGCTCAAGGCTGACTTAGAGCTAGCCCGTGTCATTTCTCAAGACTTAAAAGAAGAGAAGTTCAAGCTCGAATTGGCAGACTGTTTCAAAGGGTTCATTGATGTGCTCAAAGCCATTTCACATGTGGCTGATACTGTTTATGAGGAAATGGGGCGTAATTGCGAATCATGTACGCCAAAAGCCAACAACCAACTGAAGGATCTGATCGCATCCTTCGAAGAGAAGTCTGCCGCATTTCATCAAATGATTTTTAGCCTGGCCGCAAACGTCAAGGAAACGTCGGCTTGTCTGGTAGCAAGCAAAGACTTGAGGCTCATCGACCAACCAACCAAGTCCCCAACGATTAGTGGAAGGACATATCCAGCAAAAGCGTCGTATACCCAGTCCGAGAATGATCTGCCCACCGAAGAGGACGTTCTGGTCGAGAAGATATACACTGTTATAAAATATAAGAAGGATATGGCTGCGGGTTGCCAGACACTGGCATCCAAGTTGATGCTTGCAGGACCCAATTGGAACATACCACGCCTGATATGTTATCGAAACGATGAAAAGACGAATTGCATGGATTTCATTTTCAAGTACCCTCATCCAGAGTTGAAGCTGCTTAGCCTACACCAATTGTACACGAACGGCAGACCAGAGCCAACATTAAATATTCGCTTGAAGTTGTGCTATCAGATCGCCGCCGCCGTGCTTCAGGCATACGTACTCGGTCTTACCCATAAACACATACAACCCCAGAATCTCCTCGTGTCCACCAGAGAAGATAACATATGTGTAGAACAGGCCTCTCTCATCTTAACTGGCTGGCTAAACCCTTGTTCGAGTGAGTGTCAGCAGAAGAGCGAGTCAGCCTTCTCCGAACTCATTCATCAGTACCCGAACTATAGATGCCGGGGGGATACGCCCAACGTGGACTACAACATTGGCTATGACATCTATAGTATGGGCGTGTGTATGCTTGAACTGCTCACATGGGAGCTCCTGGTTCGACCAGTTGGCACCGAAGAGGTTCTATCTGCTGCTTATCAGCGCGAATTTGAGCGTCAAGAAAATGGCCAAACTTCAGATACCCCTTCAAACAATGACCTCAGCGATGATAAGAATCACGAATCACTTATACAGCGCTACACGAAGGATTCGGAGAAGGTAAAGAATACCCTTATTGCCATAACGGAAACTGAGGTCCGAAAAAGGGCTGGTGACAATATGGCGGACTTAATTTGTCGATGCCTTAATTGCTTGGATCCTAAGACTGGACTATATGATGTGGACACTCTGCAGCAAAAAAGTATTGTGGTACAAATATTCCGTGACGAAATCTTTCAGAGATTCAACAGGCTGCTATCTGTCATTTAAAGTATAGCCCTTTACTTACATACCTAGGTAGAGTATTGTATTTTAATAATATTGTATTTTGAGCATTGTTATGCGTTTTTTTCCGAAACCGACCAATCAAATCGCGGATATTTGCACCGCATAGAACAATTACCCCTTACCAAAAGCTCCGTGATCTTCGAACTCAAATAACTTCTTCAATACCCCATTTGATGGGCTGCAGCAAACCTTAAAATTCTTTTCTCAATTAGGCGAACAACTTGAATCTAGTTGCACCTTTTTAAGCCTTCTCTTTATTGAGCTCGATATTAAAAGGCAAATTCCTCACCCTAAATAAGATCCAAAGTGATGCAACGAGTTTATTTCAGTTGAGCTGATTCGGCGCAATGGATTGATTCTAATTATAAGCCGGTTTTGACGGAGTCATGTGGGTTGAAGTGTAGAGGTCTTGCGATAAGTCGTTCGGTGGTATGCGGGGTAGGAATTCTGCGATTTTATTGGTTGATTCCGGAAAAAGCTGGAACAGGTCACGTGGGGTAGCTCGGATATCGAAAAGGGGGTTGCCTGCAACAATGCTTTTAAAAATTGCTCTTAAAAAAGAATGCTTCAAGCTTTCCCCCATAAGCATTTAAAAGATTATAACTAGGTATTTGCGGAAAGGATTTAAATACGTAAGGAAAATCGTTAAGAAAATGCAAGATAAAAAATCGGAGGCCAATGATACTAGTATACTTACCCATATGTAGAAATGCCCTTCCATATGTACGTACCTACCTGGTTGCTGACGCGACTTCCTCAGTCATCCCGGTCTTCGCGTTTGGACGCGTTTGTACCCACCAACTAATCCTAAACAGTTACTCTACCACTTTATCATCCATTCTTTTGCTACCAAACCATGCCGATTTGAAGACAGGAACCGTTCAATTCATTCACCTGCCGGATATCTGCTAGATATCTGCGACATCCACTAACATAATCGTTTCTCTCACTTTGTTCACGATCTATTTCCCCAACCATACCCACATGTGATCTTTAATATTCACAGTCTTTATTCTCGTCAACCTTAATTAACTACAGTTCTCCACCTAGCCTAATCAACTCATCCCTCGACTGCTTCGTAACAGTGAACTGCGTCTGATGTTATCTAGGAGTCGACACTCGATCAGCCATCTCAATGCCTTTGTTTCCGGTGTCCCCAAATATCCAGGAATCCGTCTCAAGGAAGAGAACGCACGAGGAATTCATTGAAGGTTCCATTGATCACACAACCGACGAGCCGTCCGATCTGGAAAATTTAGGAGAGACGAAATCTATTGGATTACCTACCCTAGCCGTAACCCATCACCTACGTAGGTTTCTTGTCGTCTCATCATATAAGTCGAATATGTCACCAAGCTGCTAACGTCGATACCGCAGAGCTACCACCTTTACGAGATATCACAATGGAGTCCACGCCTGCTAGCAGTCCAGTGGATTTGACTGATCCTGGATCTACACCACCTGTCGATGATTCACCTTCACCAAATAAAACTCCCGTGTGGTCGCCCTCCGCCAATAAAAATACCACGTCTCAATTACCACAACCAGCCCTTACGCTTCAAACGTCTTCTTCCACTACCACCACCAATAGCCAACCAGCAAAACGAAAACTCACAGCAGCCGAGAAGGAAAAGGAGCGTGCGGAGAAGCGACAGAAAAAGGAAGAAGAAGCCGCCCAGAAACAGCAGAAAAGGGAAGAAGAAGCTGCTGAGAAGGCAAGGAAAAAGGCCGCCGACGAAGCAGCGAAAGCAGCCAAGGCCGCGGAGAAAGAGGAGAAGGAAGCGGCAAGGCTTGCGAAGAAGGCCGAGAACGAGGCTAAGAAACGAGAGAGGGAAGAGAAGGAGGCGAAAAAAGCTGAGGAGAAGCGCAAGAAGGAGGAACAAGAGGCGAAAGCGCGACAAAAGCAAGAGAAGCAAAAGAACTTGTTAGCCGGCTTCATTATACGAAAGTCCAATGCTACATCACCAGCCAAGATGCCTGCTGAGCAGGTCGCAAAACCTGCAGGAACTAATGCGAACTCTACCACGTCACAGGTAGAGCCTAAGCAGGAGGCGTCGGCATATGAACGCACGTTCAAACCCTTCTTCGTAAAAGATGGCGTGAAGCTAGCCCCGCGACCTTTTGAGATGGATGAGGAGGCCCAAGCCGCCAAATCGGCAATTCTGGACGAATACGTCCGCGGCGAGCGCGGCGTGTTCAATCCCAAACCATTCAATCCCACAGAGACCTTCAATCTGGCATTCCCTCAACGACGCGGGAAAGTAGTACCGAGCGTGAAGAAGATTATGGAAGGGCTACACGGTAATCCTGCCGAGGCTGCGCTCGGTATGACAGCAGGAAAAACCGAGTCCCAGATCGAAAAGCTTGCCATCAACGCGCAAAATCAACTCAACACCATTCCGATGAAATATCTCTCCTTTTACGAGGATGTCCGACCACCTTACCGCGGGACCGTCACTACACCTATGTCACGAAAGGAGCTTCGCCATTTATCCCGTAGACCCACCGGAAGACTACTCCCGCTGAATTACGACTACGATTCTGAGGCCGAGTGGGTAGAAGACGAAGAGGGTGAAGATCTGGACGATGACGAGGATGATGAAGAGAGTAATGACGGTGACGGAGAGATGGAAGATTTCTTAGATGATTCTGAAGACCATCCTACTGCTGTCCGTCCCACGTTCCTCGGCGAGACAGAGCCCGTAAGCACAGGCATATGCTATGAAGATGAGACGGGCCGTAATCCTCTGCCATCTATGAACCAGTATCGAATGGAGTTTTTAATCGGTAAGTCTAATTATATGAAATCCCGTATATTTTGGTCTAACGAAATTTATAGAGGGGCACACATCAATCGACCCCTTTTCTACCGAATATTGGCCCTCGAGTCTGGGAAAGAGAAAGGGCCGCGCTGCAGCAGATACCCTCAGTGCACCAACATCAATGCCTCCGCCCGATGTGCCGGCAGACTCTTCCAAGCTCACTTTGATGTCTGCAACCAGCCGTAACGCACGAGCAGTAGATACGAAGGACTTAGTGCCGAAAGAAGTAATGGAGGAGTTCAAGCAGGCTATCGTCAGCGAGGAACTACGCGAGTTCACCAAGGGTACGATCGTGGAGATGTTGACCAAGAAGTTCACATCCTGCACCAAGGCCCAGGTCAAGACGACACTAGACAGAGTCGCCCACCGGATTAGTGTCCCGGGAGCGAAGAAGACGGTTAAGGTCTGGGCCCTATTGCCGGAACCTGCGTCATGAGGAGCTTATTACTATTCGAGGACTATAAAAACTATGAGGAAGCTTTCGAAAATGAGAACGGCGCTGTGATACCAGTGAAGTAGGATGGATGAGGCGAAGTAATGAGAACCCATTTGCTCTCAAATTCACGTGAGCTGCCGTAGGGGAAGGGTGGAAGAACTACCGACTAATACCGTCATGTGTGGGGATGAAAGGGGACGAAGAAGTGACCATGTCCGAGTTCTGCTTGCTGCGGGCTCGGCGCTGTAAAAAAAAATCCAATGTATGAATTCATTGCTTTTAAGACCATGGGAGCCCGAGAGGTTTGGGTTGGTCTGAGGAGAGGACTCTAGCATGGCCCGCTTAGAGGCGCGGTATATTGGTGTTTGGGGAGGGCCCCCGCGAAGAAAAGTGAATGTAATGGATTTCACGAAGAGGCTCCAATTTCTATGGTGAGATGTGTGATATGTTTTGTGGTGCGTGAGTTGGGAATTATATGATCGGATGGGGGAGAAACTACCCAATGTTCCCCTTTCTTACCTGCTGGTACCTTGGTAGGTTTCTGATGTGCAACCTTTTTCATGGTACGCTTTTCCGTATATAACTTCAGTACCTACATGGAACTATGTCATAAGGGAAAAGGAACAGAAAGCCGAATTACCCTTAGGATTTCCTCATAGAAGCGAGGTGGGTTTTATATTCTTGTAACTCGATTATTAGTCGGTTTGCGCCTTGCATTACTATCACTTCCAGACGTGGGGAGAATTGCCCCCACGGTGGATTAATCGAATACGAAGCTTGACTACCATCTACCTACCAAGGTAGGCAGGTAGCAGAACGAGAGAACTGGTCACAATCTCGTCTCGAGATGATAAATGAAAATCATGGTCTTTCGCTTCTATATATCTCTATTTATCAGGCTAGTTCTACTCTAGGGTGATAAATAGGTAGAGTCATTCCAGTACTTCTCACGAATAGGGGCAAACACTAACTCTATATCATGAAGAAAAATGGGCGGGAGATAAAAAGGAGAGAATATATATTGGTAGAGATTCGCTACAATTAAAGCTATATACAGGTAGAGAATAGTTGCACGTTCCTGATATGCTGGTGAATTCTTTCAATGTATGCTAACTAATACCCCCTAGGTTAGTAATTTGCGATGGGTTGAATAGGTATCTAAGGTTGTTATATCTTATACCTTGTTATAAGATAATAGAGTAATATCGTACTTCTGTCTCTGTAGTATGGTTAACATCTTATTTTCCTATTATCCCGGGAAATATTCTTGAATTATTTTGTCTACTCAGAGTGGCCTATTTAGCCCCTTGGCATAATTTTACATATTGATATTCCAAGTTTTTTCGAGTAGATGTATTACCCCTTAAATTCGAGCGAACAGAATCATCTCACTCAACCCTTTGTCGTCGCACATACAATCGCTCAAAATGCTCAGATATACATCTACATATTTCATGATCCATAGCAACATATTCGTAAATCCACCGTAGCATCTAGCTAAGATTTAATATTTTCATATTGATACATACAGCTAGCTAGCTATACAATACAACAACGCGCGTAGACTCGCTCATGCGGCCCTATGCCAACCTACCTACATCGTAGAGGGGCCCATCCTAATACAGTCGGTGGTACCCAACGTACCTAATAAAAGGTACCGGTACCAGTAACAGCAATAACAGCAGTAGCAATAATAGTATAAGGTTTCATAGATGCCTTTTAGACGATGCCCAGCTCCTGCTCCAGCTCCTGCTTTTCAAGAACCCATTAGTTATGATCCTCCAGACCTAATGTACACACTATAATTCCACAAGGACGGCCTCCGATGCTCCTATGAAGTATCTAGGTAGTCGTCGCTCCTAGATCTAGCTCTGCTCGAGAGCCGTGCCTAATAAAAGGCATTGGGCAAATAAGTGCGTCACCGTCACCGAGGGATAAGATAAACCCCTATTAAGCATAGCCCACATGTCTGCCTGCATCAATCAGAACGCTTTCTGCTCGACGTATCACCACGAATTTCCATCGGGACCGCCCTCACCGGATAAATATGTGTAAAAATCCATGTTATTTATTTTGATGAGTTAAACTCGTCTTATTGCTTAACGCGGCTATCCAAAGCTCAAGCTGTCACTAAGCTGTGCAAGGACCTCACTATGATCGCTGCTCATCTTGCGACTGTCGCGTTTTATTGTTGTGGGTTCGTTTCTCGCCGTGGTGATTCTGCGCCGCCTTCTCGCGGCGCATCTCGTCAATAGCAGAACGCTGTTGCATGCTGGCGTCGTGGCTCTTAAATTCGATGCGGGTTTCAGGCGGGCAGCTAAGCACGCGTCGCATCGTCTCGCTAGTTATTGTAAGCTGAAAGAGCTTGAGAGGTTATGCCAGTTAGGAAGACACGTACCGGATCTTGAGAACCTTCTGTCCAGTGCTGCGAGTCCAGATGCTGAGAACATCTTCTCCGTTGCGCATACTAAGCACAACGCCGCAGACTTCGTCGGCCTCGTCCCCAAACTGATCTCCCACGCAAGCCATTAGGAGATCCTCATAATAGCGATCCGCGATGCCTTTCTTCAGTCGCAAAACCCACTTCCCACCCAGCTTATTCTCATCATCCTCCCATATCGGACGGATACCCTTCTTGAAGAGATGGTAATCTGAAACCGTAGGAAGCGACGACGGGCGCTTTAAATGGGAGTATGCCTGCCAGAACTCCTCGGCAGTTTTTACCGTCATCATGGCATGTAAAGTCTTGTCATATTCGATGTAACCATTGGCCTTAGTAATGGGTGGTCGATACCAGAACACCCAGGTGTCGCGGAGAGGGTGAATCGATGGGGTGGAACCTTGCTGAGCGCCCGTCTCAGCTATAGAACCCATCGACGGTTTGCCAACGGCGGTACTTCGCGTAGCTTCCTTCGCCGACTTCTCGGCCGAGGGGGCTTTAGCGCCAACGGCACCCATGGCTTGCTCAAAGGGATTCCCTTGTGCCTTCGGGGTTTTCGCCGCCGAGCCAAACGATGCGAATGCGCCGGATCCGAGACCAAAATTGGCCCCTCCGGCGCTGGTCGGAGACGTCAGGCTGCCGCCGGGAGTTGTCGCGTTGAAGGGGTTCGAGCGGCCGTGGGAGGAGCTGCCGCCATTTCTACGAGCTAGACTAGAAAAGTCTCGCGGGGTGGTGGAATTATTATCGGGTTGACTGGGTGTAGATAGCGAAAGGTTGCTAACACTACGGAATTGAAAAATGTTAGTTTCCAAGATGAAATCCATACCACGATGCAGTTTAGACTTACTTGTTACGGCGAGTCCATATCGATTCCTGTCTATCCATGTTGGATTCCTAATATATGTACGTAGGTTGGTCTGATCAGGACGACTATGTCGAAACTCCCCAGTGCCACCAATACTCCCACTTAAATTCAATATTTATCGAAACACCTATCACCTAATCCTCAACTACTTCTTTAACTGTCTCGATAATATACTACGGAGCGAATGGTGTGCGTGTGCGTGTGTATGTGTGTAGAAAACCGGCTCTTCTGGGATTGTTGTATGTAGACGTAGTGACGATACGTAGAGAGTATTGACAGGGAAGATTCGATTTTTTTTTTTTTCTCTTCTTCGTAATTAGTTGGCACGATGAATATTCTCTTGACAATGTAGAGGTAGTTGTGGGAGAGAAGATGATGAGATTCGTAAATGCTAATATTAATATTCAGAGAGCTTCTTTATTTCGTAGATCGTAGGGAGGAAGTTTTGATTCTGGAGGATTTTAGTCGAGACGGAAGAATTGGGAAAGTCACACCACACACACTTAAAGTTACAGTTCGAAATGTTTTCATCAATGCGCCTGGCGACTACCCGACTGCAAGAAGCTAAGGTTGTTATGTGTGGCGTTTTTCATTGGTGGAGGAGTCAAAGAGGACCTAAAGGGCGCTAAACCTGTGCAACTTTTTAGTTGTAACTTGTAACTTGTAACTGTACGCTGCGGAAGCTGTGAAGAGCTAGTGCATGATAGCCCTGTTTGTGCGACTTACAGGACCCTAGCTGCCAGTGTTAGGTGCTAGGTATGGGCTCAGTTGGGTTGTACCTTACTCGGTTGAGCGGGGCGGTGAAAGCCGTTCCAAATTTTTTCGAACGTCATTGTTCTGCACTTAAATTTAGAGTTATGAAAATTTCTTTCTTCTTTCCTCTTTTTTTACATAACAGTTTTAAGACCACCAACTCAAATCATCGCCAGCTTGCCATATTTTATATTCCACGCTGCTGACGACTCCGATGCGTGTGTCGAGAGTAAATTCATTGAATCCCTTGCTTAAAACCATCATCACGAGGGCCCTTAATTGCTGGCTACCATGATGCGGTGATGACCTGAAGCAAGTCCGGACATCCAGGATCAGTCATATTACACCGAATGGAGTATGGAGTATCCATCACCCCCTTTTGACGCCTGCCACAGACGTGGATAACGCCGGCGTTGCACAGTAACGTAGGTAAGCTTGCAACGCTTTTTTTATCATATTTCATATTCGTTTTTCTGATGACTATGAGCCTGGTAACCCGATGGCGTTCAGCCAACAAATGTGTTGTCTATCATAATGGTAGCTGGCACCATGGTTGAACTTGTGGAAAACTGGCAGGACTGAAGCTCGTGGCGACGGATGTCTCGACGTTAGAAGGATGTGGCATGGATTTTGCTAATATGACTTTATAGCACCTCAAGTAGTCCATCACATCAGGTGCCAGATTCGTAAGAAGCTAAACAATAGCATTGGAAGCGTTTCTAAGCCTATGGTATATACCATTCACCTAGATGCGCAGTAGTATGACATGAGTTCCTTTTTATCAAGATAATCAGATCGTTTGAGTAATTTCTATCATGAACACTAGTACATACATGCTTATGGTGGGTTCTGCGTGATCACTTTCTTGGTACCTATGCATAGCAAAATTCTAGACCTGCAGCATATAATGTATATTAGCAATGATGAGGCCCATTCACAAGTCAAAGCGATGAGGATCGGCAAACTTGTAATTCACAATCAACCTCTATACGCACAAACTCGATAAATTCTATAGCTGCCTGTTAGGTAGGGAAACAATTTCTCCGAAGGAAAAGGAGCTACTACATTCCACCGCAATAGCAAAGAAGCCCTTTTCCAACCACCCCATTGCTATCCATGATAGTTCTTTCGTTTCTCATAAAAGGGCGTCGCATATGACCCGACTATGGACCCTTGCTAACAAATGCCATAGTGCTCAATTTTACCAACATGCTTTTGCTAGAACATGTGCGGGTTGATCTAGTGATTCTCCATGCTCATAGCGGCGGCCGCATCAGACAGACTAGTTTACTGGTCCTTGCCAAAAGAGTCGGCCTTGGCGCGCAGGCCGGCAGCAGTTGAGCCGGAATCGTTGAAGTATCGTCCAAGCGCTGGCTGGAGGAAAGATCGGAAGATGAATTGAGAGCCGCTACACTATCGTCAGCCTGCGATCAATAACAAAAGAAGCGATTGGCTACATACTTGAACACGGGTAGCGAGAGCCAAAGCAGGAAGATAAACTTGAAGGTATAGTAGAAGGGGAACCAGTAGACAACACTTAAGGCGCTCTCAAGGACGCTGCGACATATAATCAGTAACGTAGAACCAAGGTGGAAGCCCGGCGACTGCTTGCTTACGAGAAGAAGGCGAAGACGACCCAGTACTAAAGACAATTAGTCATGGTCTATATCTAAGCACGATTGATGGTGTAAACCTACTGTCAACCATTGAGTATCGTCTGCCTTAGCACTACTGAATAAAGCAGCTAGGGAATAGTATCCGGGGATCACGAAGCCGGCGAAGTTGGTCAAGAGTTGACCACCAAGGTTAAAGACGATAAAGAAGAAGTAGAGAGTAGCTACACCAATGACGGCATAAACCTTGGGAACCGAAGTCTGCTTCTCAATATTGTTGAGGGCGGGATATTTAGAGAGCTATAGATTACTGTTAGTCTTCAGCCTTTAGAAGCATGCGACACATCCAGAATCGAAATCAACCGGAAGGCTGGGGAATTATGCGTAGTGTAGCATACCTCGCGGTCGAGCTGAGCGACATAGTGCTGGACACGATCTTGTGCAGACATAATTGCTGCTGGCTATCGGGAGAGAGCTGATAGAGCTGGTAGAGCTTGGAGAGCTTGGAAAGAGGATGTAGATTGATTTTTTGTTCTTCTTTCTCTCGAAATGTCGACAAAGACGGATATGGTTGCGCAGGAGGCGGGGGAAGGAAAGCTGCTGATGTCAAAGCGAAGTAAGCTGTGGTAGTATTTAGGGTTAGTAAAAAGCCACCTTGCTTAATATGTACACGTAGGAATGGAACTTGAACGACCACCTAAGCACATACTAGGTAGTGGATCGGAGTCGGCCGGACTTTACGAGACTGCGAGATTGGGAGAAGAGTCCCAAGTCTCTGGTATTGTTGCTTGGTATGCGGGAAGGGAGAAGTTATTTGCGTACCTAGTACTTGCGCATATGTTTGATGTCGATGGCCAAAATAAAATCAGATTAACCAGGCGATTACCTAGGTATCAAACTCAGTAACGAGGTGAAGCTTTAAGAAACCGGGTATAGGAGTTATGTTGGATTTTTAAAGAGCAAGATTGGCAGATTAGCAATGATGGGTGCAGGTAGGTAGGTATTGTAAGAAATCGGAAATCGGATTGTGGGAAGGGGGAGTTAAGAGCTACCAGGCTACGTAGTGGGTTGTAGGAATGACGGAAGGCGGAAGGCGAGCCACGACTCTATCCATAGCAATGAGTTCATCCATTATTCATTGGAGGATCCTTCCTTCGGTGCCTATGTGTTACACCGACTATGGCATTACACACATACATAATGTAAGTACATATACAGCTGCTGTATATACGCAATGTACTTTGAACTATCCGAGTATCTACATCATGGATATGTGGTGTCTCATAACAATAATGAATATTCCGAAGTACGGCGCACGATTCTATATTTTGATCTTGAGACAGGTATATTTTCGTTTGAGGCTTGCAAGCATATAGGTTGACGAGTAAGGAAAAGAAGACATTGCACATATGCGCATTAGGAATATTGATGTTATCCAATATTTATACTCGAGAGGAAGTCCAAGTGTTGTACGGAGATTGTACTTATGGATACTTCTATACAGTATAGGTGCATACGTGTATGTATCCATATATCAATCTGTAATTATGATATAATGGGAATTGGGCTGGTATTGAGTACCTAAGAACAGTATGTGAATACTAGTAGATCCATGTATAGGTATCTATATTCATATGAAAATCCTGTTGGTTCAAGGTGAAAAATACAAAAATACATCCGTGGATGTATTGCCCGCTCGGAGCTCATCACGTGACCTGATGTTTTTATTCTGATCCTCGGTTGCGCGCTTCTAGCCACTAAGATTGGGTGAGTAACAAACTAACCAGCCACACCCGCTACTAACCCTCGACCAAAGTTTACTTTACAAATTCCGCTCGGCCCATTTTTCCCGCTTCCAACCATCCAACCTGTAAGCAGATCCACGGTTGCCCCGACGAGAACTTTCTTGTTGTTTGGTCTCCCAATTTCATTCTCACAAACCTCAACCGCCTTGAAGCTTTCACTCAAGGGCACATGCAAAGTAAAGCGCCCACTTTCAATGCATGCGCTAAGTGAAAGCATATCCCCTAACTTAATTGTTTTCCACCTTCCATCTTCGATTTGTCTGTCGCGCACGCTGTTTCTTTGCTGATTAGCATTGATTCGCTTGTTTATCCGTGGTCGCACACCACATCTTCGGGGGTAAACAAGGCTATTACCCTCAACAATGGAAGCCGGTATGTTATCCCATCTCATCATGGATACCCTCAAATGCACCTGGCACAATGCCTACTAAGACCCTGTAATTCGCCAATTGTGCTTTACGCCATCGACGGTCACTTTATTTTATTTTTATTTTGTTCGTTCTCATCCTAATCGCCACCGTAGATCAAGGTTTGGAGGCCACCGCAATGGCGCTCCATCAACGTCGCAGGACTCAGTCTAGGGCTTCTACTACGTCTATTCACAGCATTTCCACCCAACCCAATCTCGACTCGCAATCTCACCTGGGTCCCCACCCTACTTATTCCGAACAATGGATTGCGACCAACCCTGGCCAACCTGGCGATGCCTCTGCAGTACAACAAATGTCCACCGGAGACATGATGCTTAGACCTGCATCTCAAATGCAGGTACAGTCTTTCCAGAGCAATCCGACCATGCACTCGAATGTCGGATCTACCATGGCTTATCCCCAACAGCACAATCTACAGAACGCTGTAGCTCCTGAGACGTTTGGCGCGAATGCTAGCTTCACCGATGGGGACAGCCAAATGATGGACCGCGAAGAAGGCGAGGAAGCCGATGGTGCGGTTGTCCTGCATGCTGGTAACGCTGGTACTAGATCAGGCTCTAGCCGAACAAGTGCCAACAATGAGCTTGAAATGCGCCAGCTCTTTCAAGCCAACAAGCATCGCACCCTCGGGGAGGTCGCTATGGAACTACATGGCAACGAGCGCGGCCCGAACTCTGAGCGTGCACGGCAGATTTTTGCCATGCTATGGTAAGTTATATTGAGGAGAAAGCGAATAATCGATGTTAACAGGATAAACTAACTTAGTATAACTACAGGATCAGTCAAGTCTGTACGAAGGGCAAAGGCTCTGTTCCTAGAGGTCGGGTGTATGCCCATTACGCTACTCGATGTGGGACAGAGAGAATAACAATCTTGAATCCTGCAAGCTTTGGCAAGTTGGTTCGTGTCCTGTTTCCCGGACTGAAGACACGCAGACTTGGGGTTCGAGGGGAATCCAAGTATCATTATGTCAATTTCTCTCTAATTGACAACCAATCCGAGCTTGGATCGCCTTCAGTTCGACCTCAATTGAATTTCCCCGATCCCACCCCGTTCACGCAAACATTCAATACTGCTCAGTCCCAGTCACCGGCTCCGAACCCTGCGCAATCGACGCTTCCGTCTCCAACAGCTGCCCATCATTCCGATAGCCAGTGTCAGTCTAGTAGACTCACTTTGGCAGGAGTCTCTACATCTCACAGTCTATATCACCAACCGGATGTGACTCAGCTCGATCAGCTACAAACAGCTAACTCTAAGACCAAGCTTCGCTTGGCGTTCATCACCGCTGCTGATGAGCCTTCTGTTGGATCGATCACGCTGCCTAAGATCGACGACTTTTTGCCCCCGGGAACAGATCCGGACGCGGCTCAGTCTCTGACGGCCTTATACCGGTCGCACTGCACCTCCCTGATTGAATGTATGCGTTATTGCAAGGATAAAACTTTCTTTCATTTGTACACATCATTCCAGGGAACTCTTACAATGCCTGTCCAGAAGCTATTTTCTGACCCTAGCATCGCACCGTGGATCGAAGAGTGCGACTTTATGCTATACCAGCGCATGATGCAAATCATCTCTCTCCTCACGCTACAAGTGATCCCAAAGCAGGTCCTAGATGCTTTGAGGAGCATCTCTGAGCGATTGGTCATGCATATTCGCAATGCCTACCAAGGACAGCCCAACCATGTGCTTCGAGCTAAGGAGGCCCCTGCCACCATCTTTGCTGCTCTGATTGATCGAGTTCTGAGAGTTAATCTCACTGCCCACGCCGCTGCAAGCATGCTGGCGAATTCTGAGAATCGCGATCTAATGTACACTGACTGGATTACGATGGTCAGACTTCGCAAGGTGGCGGAATGTGTACCGACACGAGCCATGGATGATCTGGTGAAGTTATTACTTGAAGAAATTCGAGATGTGATCGATCCCGTCAATGTTCCGTGGGGAGTAGAGTGTCTCACTCTCTATGGTGATAGACTCATCAATAAGGGCCAGGTCCCACAGGCATCAGAAATGGCCAAATCGAACGATAAGGGCGTACTAGATCGATGGGCTAACTTTCTGCATTCCCTCCCTAGCCGCTTTCCATATGCAACGGCGGCTGACATTGTTTGGTGTGTTCAACGTGTCGGAACGGAAGTCATGCGTGATCTCACCATGGCTCAAGGCAATAGCTTCGGAGCATGGTGGGTTACCAAGTGCTGGCTGGACGAGATGATCGCATTCCTCGCAGAGTACGGTGGTTTTATGACGTCGAAGAATTCTGCATCACCTGTATGTGATGCTCCGAAGCAATCTGCGCACCATAACGGTGCAAATCAACGAGACTCGAATATGAGCAATGGCGGCGACAATTTCAACATGTCTCACACCACGCAGCCCCAACCGGATCACGCGCCATTTCCTCAGCATTTCGATGTCAATGGCCAAGACTCCCTACACGAGTCTGCGAATCCTGACGATAGTGGAATTGGGATCAGGACTCCCGAAGAAGATTTCCCCATAGGGAAATTTGAATTCCCCACCACCGATGGCCATGGACAACCGTCTCCTGGTCCGGAGCAGACCTTGTAATCGGTCGTGCTCTTTCGAATCAACGTACTATATGTACTATAAAACGATCATCCACTTTCCCGGGGTTGCAACATACCCATATACTAATAATACTCGGCGTTTTCGGACGGGATATTTGATCGTTTGGCTCGGGGAAATAGCCAAAGCAAATGGTTGGGCTAATGATAACGCGATGAATGATTATATGATCAACAGATCGATTAGGAGATCTGGGTTGGCTTGTGTGCGAGTTGTATAATCTCAGCATGGACGGGTGGGCGACTGCATATCGGACGAGGAAAAGGACGTGTGGATTGGAGTTTGATCGTTTTGAGACCATTGTATTAGAGGGATTTGGTGTGAGGAGTTGGGTGATGATACCGCGAAGATTCCCCCCGGGCTCTCCTATCCTACCCAATGGGTATGAGGGCGTTGTCTGATACTTCTTCCCCTACTTTATTTTCTGTTCTGCCCACTCAACCTTGGTTCTCGTGTACATATTGTTCACTTCAACTACTGCGCTTGGGGCATGCAGCAGCAGTCACCGTACTGAATAAAAACGACGAATTCCCATTAAATCTTCCTAGTTTGCCTCTTCGTGGTTGTCTTCTTGCTAATATGCCGTGTGCTATACTTGATGGGAGTAAATATATTACAGCTTTTAGATGATGTCTCATGTCCATAGAGTTCACATGCTAGCATCGTTAACTCTACACGGTTAAAGCAACCTTAGTGACACCCTCTAAGAGCCGCTACTAGAACTTTGTCCACTTTTTACATGAGACACTACTTACTGTGCTTGTACTGTCACGTGAAGGGTGTTTACTATGATATTCTCTCTGTTGGTACCGTGCGAAACCTCTTTTGAAAATTTCCAGCGCATAGGCTATGCGCCCCAGCATATACCCTATAGCAGACAGATCTTTTTTTCAGTCGTTACCAGTTATGGAACCTCCGATTCGGGCTAACTTCTGACGAATTAACATCAATTCATTCACTTGTCATTTCAAACCTCTAGGAATAGGAAGAATTTACCGTGAAGCTTCATACACCTAGACTTATTTTTTATTCATCTTATTTTCATCCGGCGGTTTTTCTACCCTTCTACATCGTCCATACGCAGTATTATTTTCACCCTAACAGTATAACTCGCCAGTTACATTAAATCCACCCCACTATCACTAATATTTTCCTTTCGACTTTGTGACGTCGTACCAGAGGGGCATCAACGCTCAAGAGCAAGGAGTTTGCTCTTTTCTTTTTCATGGCCATGGACGCCATACTCCAAGGCAATACCAGCAGTGAAGGCTGGATCGTGCAAAAATTCGGGGGTACAAGCGTCGGGAAATTTCCAGATTCGGTTTGTCTCTCACCGGCCCTTTATTCCTCGATCTAGCACAACTGACCTCGTCTGGCTTGAATATAGATTGCAGAAGACATTGTTCGGTATGAGGATACAATTGGTTTTTGCTGCAACATTGTACTGACTTCCAATGATAAGAGCAAGCTTGAGTTCGAATAAGATCGCTGTCGTCTGCTCTGCCAGAAGCTCTGGCAAGAAAGTATCTGGCACCACCAGTCGGTGAGTCACCGGGCCCCCTATATCGGTATTTGCTCCCAATTGATCTAACACGATACATTTATATAGCCTGTTGGAGGTATACAAACACTTGCGTGCCATATCAGCAGCCACGAGCAATGATGTCACACAGACTGAGTTCGTCGACGCAGCCAAGCTCGTCGTCCAAGACATCTGCAATGAACACGTCTTGGCAGTACAGACCTTCGTGAAGAACCCTGACCTACAAAGAGCTCTCACCTCGGACATCAAAGATGACTGCCAAGAACTAATAGACTACATCATTGCCGCCAAGCGATTTAATCTAGAGGTCAATGCTAGATCCAAGGACCGGGTTGTCAGCTTTGGCGAGAAGCTGAGCTGCAGGTTCATGGCCTACCTATTGAAAGACAGGGTGTGTTATTCATAGAGAAAACTTTTGCTTACTTATTAGGTAGCTGACGCAAATACTAGCATGTTGATGCGGAGTATGTAGACATGTCTGATGTTATGCATTATGACAGCTCCGATCGATTAACTCCGGCTTTCTACAAAGATGCGGCGGCCATCTTCCGGAAGAGGATACAAGCCTGCAATGACAGAGTACCCGTTGTCACAGGCTTCTTTGGCAACGTCCCTGGTAGCTTGATGGATGGAGACATAGGTCGAGGATACACCGACTTATGCGCGGCATTGGTTGCAGTAGGACTCAAGGCTCAAGAGCTGCAGATATGGAAGGAGGTGGATGGTATCTTCACGGCAGATCCCACAAAAGTTCCCACAGCAAGATTATTAGCCTCCATCACGCCATCCGAAGCAGCAGAACTTACCTTCTATGGTTCTGAAGTCATCCATCACCTGACTATGGATCAAGTCATCAAGGCCGATCCGCCGATACCTATTCGCATCAAGAATGTGAATAATCCTCGTGGTAATGGTACCATTGTCGTTCCAGACCCCGTACATTCCCCCACACAGCAGATCAAGAGATCCCGGCCGTCGGAAACATCATTACAAAAACACCCAAAGAGACCCACTGCCGTTACCATTAAGAATAACATCACTGTCATCAACGTCCACTCGAACAAGCGCTCCATATCTCATGGATTCTTCGCCAAAGTGTTTTCGATCCTCAACAGCCATAGGATATCAGTCGACCTGATCTCTACGAGTGAGGTCCACGTATCCATGGCCATCCACTCCAGCAGCCCATCCGTTCGTCACTTCGAAAAAGCCAAGGCAGAACTGGAAGAATGCGGCGACGTGAGCATATTGCTGGACATGGCGATTCTGAGCTTGGTGGGTGCAGAGATGAAGAATATGATCGGTATTGCCGGCCGTATGTTCTCCACGCTGGGAGAACATAACGTTAATATTGAGATGATATCCCAGGGTAGGTATTTCCACGATTATAAACCTGATATTATTTGCTAATCGTCGGACTAGGTGCGAGCGAGATCAACATATCGTGCGTCATCGATGCGAGAGAAGCCACCAGGGCCATGAACATATTACACACGAACCTATTCACTTTCCTTGAATAGTGGTGTAATATTTCCGCGCAAAGTCGTTTATACCGCCATGTAGGGGCAGCTTAGTTACCTACAAATATTAGGAGTATCATGGATGGATAAGTAGAGATTTAGGTTCAACTCCTACCAGGCCTGTCGCGCCCTCTACTTATTTCACCCCTTCTCCTACCTAGCTACAAACATGTAGTTAGTGTATATCTCTCGACACGGGCTTGATGTAATAGTGAACCTGTCCAACCAGAGCTTTACTAGGGGGTTTAAAAAACACAAGGTTTCATAGATCTCTTTGCATAGAATTGTGAGCTAGGATACAACGCATAATGCAATTTGGCGTTTCGCTAGGCATATGATTCCGAAGCAATGGCTTGAAGCTATCAGTCTCTGTTTGCGCGATTTCGTGAGAATGAAGTGGATTGTAGCCGTGGATGTTTTAAAACAGTAGTGCGATAACCCCTTTTATCCATATTTTGTTGGATGAATATGACTTAGGTAGATAATCCATCAAATTGTTTCTCACTTAGCCATGAAGGTGTAATTGACAATATAGCGCACCCGTCCCTCAAGTAATGTGGTAAGGTTTTGCCAACCTGGGTAGGTGTGAGGCTTGAATCTGGGTGTTGATTCGTTGATTTTCGAAAGGAAGGAATCTTACGCTATTCGGCTGTTTGCAGCTGACAGCAACTGTCGCAACGGAAACTGAATATCTCTTATCGATAAGTTATTTACATTGTCCAAGCACCTGCGTACCGCCACTTTATTTCTATCTCTCTTCGTTGGCGCAAATCATCGACTTTTTCCATTAGTAACTTCGACTCTCTCTCAACCTACCACCTTTGACCCCCATTATCCTAAGGTCATCGTACTTACTCTTCGTCGAAATCTTCACAATCACACCTCGGAAGCCCGAACGATAACGCGAAGATGCCGAAAGCGGAAGTTGGGTCGACGAAGTATGTGAGCAACAAGCTCAAATCGAAGGGACTGCAGCGACTTCGTTGGTACTGCCAAATATGCGAAAAGCAATGTCGCGATGCCAACGCATTTAAGATGCACACGCAGAGCGAATCCCATACGAGGAAGATGTTACTGGTGGGCGAGGACCCGAAAAAGTACATCGAACAATTCAGCACCGAGTTTCGCAAGGACTTCTTACAGCTGCTGCGAACGTCGCATGGGGAGAAGGGGGTGCTTATCAACCACTTCTACCAGAACTACAGTGAGTAGAGACCATAGGATAAACCATGTAAGGGTTGGGCGTTGCTAACAGGTTACTAGTTGCTAATAAGGAACACATCCACATGAACGCGACCAAATGGCATTCGCTTACGGATTTCGCGAAGCACCTGGGAAGAGAAGGTATCTGCAAGGTCGAAGAAACAGACAAGGGCATCCAAATCGCCTGGATCGACGACTCTCCCGAAGCCCTGCGACGGAAAGAGGCAGTGCGAAGGAAGGAGATGCAGGATAAGGGAGACGAGGAGCGCGAACAGATGATGATCAGGGAGCAGATCCGCCGCGCAAATAAGGCCGCAGGAAAATCAACCGAAGACAACGAAGACGACAAAGCGGAAGAGGCTGGAGGACTCAAAAGACAAGAGGGGGAAAAGATCAAGTTATCCTTCGGCGCGAAGCCGGCTACCACTCAATCTACGTCTAGCAGCGCCGAACCAGAGAAGTCCACATCAACTCCCGAGGCATCAGGTCCACCCAAAGACGAAAACAAGAACGAATCAACAGACTCTGCAGCCCAGCAGCAGCCTCAGCCCCAAACAGCCACGGCCGAGAAACCGACGGCGCCGGCGCCCGTATCGCTGAAAATGACGGCGAAGCCTCAAGCGAAGAACGTGTTCGCGGCCGCGAAGAAGAACGCGCTGACGGCGGGCTCCGCGAAGAAGGCCCCCGCTTTCGAGCTGCCGAAGAAGATGAGCGAGGCGGAGCGCATCATGCGCGAGGAGATCGAGCGTAAGAATAAGAGGGCGCGCGAGGGCGGCGAGGGGAGGGGCGCGTTTGGGAATAAGCGGCAGAGGGCTTAGGAGGTTGGTGGTAGCTATGGGGAACGGAAAGGAGAGCGGGTTACGAGTCGTTGACTACTGTCCGTTGATCATATTGAAAGGGCGTTAGGGGGGGCATTTTTGAATTGGACAGGTGTCGTAAGGTACGCCGGCATTGAGCATGGCGTTTGGGATACAGGACGCGCATAGTTGCGCTCGTAATTGTTTCAAGCTATGATCGAGGGGGTTTGCAGGTTTCACTTCCGTACTATAATCTAGATACTTCAGGCTGCAATTGTTTCTAGAAACTAATTGTAGACTTCTGCATGGGCTCTAGCTGCGTGCCGCGTCATCGGTGCGGGTGATGCAATTGAGGCTCCATTTGAACCGCTTTCTACTGCAACGTCACATATGCGATCATTGCTTTTCATATGACGGAGGCTATAGGGTTGGATAAGGCTGAACAAGCGGTCGGGTATGACATTAGCAATTACATTAGAGTCGGGCAAGATATGTTGTACTATAAGGGCGTTATCGTCACCAACTACACGTCTCGGAACAGGCAGTCATATTCGAGTGCATATGGTTGGTTGAAGGGGGGAGTATAGATTCAATGGTCTGCATGTGTTACTCGATCAGGTTGCACATATGTGCGAGATTCGTGTCTCTATTTATCAGCTCTGGCTCATGTAGGGTATAGACTCATATTGTCGCTGACGAACACTATACACTTCTGCATCGTGAATACTGACGATTGTATCCTACCTAGGCAGCTCGCGTGCAGGGCCGCATACGCTACCTTGTAGGGTAGACCGTATCCAGCCCTATAGGAATCGCCAGAATATGAGATATCTAAGTTGATACACGGCATACTACACTATTCTACCACGAATCTGCTGACGACGGTGGTTGGGAAGTGAGAGAGTGACTCATTCACTCCAATTGAGTGCTGTTGTTCCTTGGATCGGAGTACTACCTATTCTATCGGATATTATCGTATTTAAACAAGGCTCTCGGGTTACAATATTACCTACAGGTATGCGTTGGATCAAAACAAGTACAGACAAGCAAGCGAGCAAATTAGTTAAAATTCCTGGCTGATATTCAGGTAAGACCTTAATTCTAATACTAATCAAATCCTTCATACCTTCGACCAAAATGGCTAGACCCTATCCCGTCCCGAACGCTACTATCCCGTACTGGCGGACGGAGCTACACGAGCTCGACTCTCATCGTAGCACGCCGGAGCTCCCGCAGAAGCAGGACATCGTTATCATCGGGGCCGGGTTTGCGGGTGCGGCTCTGGCGAAGTACCTACTTGAGGATGATTCTCCCTCGTCCTCGGTGAAACCGAGTATCACGATCTTGGAGGCTAGGGAGGCCTGCTCTGGGGCTACGGGAAGGAATGGTGAGTCGTTTTACTCTGTCTAAGCAGTCTACTATACTTCACGTATAAGTCTAGGCACGGGTATACTATAGCACTACCATAGAGCTAACCACCTTTCCAGGCGGCCATCTCCGGCCCGACCTCTTCGTCAGCCTAGCAGCGCGGATGCAAGAGGCCGGCCTCAAGGCCGCGAACTCCGTCGCCCTCTTCGAGGTCGCGAACGAGAAAGCGGTAGCCGCCCTCGTCGCCGAGGAAAACATAGCGTGCGACCTGCAGCAGGTGACCACGGCGGACACGTTCGTGGACCAGGCCGAAGCGGCCAAGATCAAGAAGCTGTGGGACGTCATGGTGCGTCTGGACTGCCCTACCTTAAAGGAGGTCATGTACCACGGCCCCGAGGACGCGGAGCGGGTTACCGGGGTCAAGGATGCGAAGGTCGCGTTTACGTACCCGGCGCACACGGTCTGGCCGTATAAGCTGGTCATGCATATCCTCGCTGGTGCGGTGAGGGCAGGTGTTAATCTGCAGACGCATACGCCCGTCTACGAGGTTTCCGGCGCGCCGGATGGCGAGGGGTACTGGGCGCTGTCGACGTCGAGGGGTGTTGTCAGGGCGAAGAAAGTTGTGCTTGCGACGAATGCGTATACGAGTGGTTTGCTGCCCGAGTACGACGACGCTATTTATCCCGCCCGCGGCACCGTATGTAGGGTCGTGCCGAAGACGCAGGCAGAGGTGAAGCTCGGGTCTTGCGCCGTCGAGATCCAGAGCCCGGCTTCGGTGGACTGTTATTATGGTACGAGGCCGGACGGAAGCTTGGTTATTGGCGGCGCGAAGACCACGTTTAATGACCGGAGAAATCTTTGGTATAGGAATTACGACGACTCGACGCTGATCGAGCCCGCGGTGCCGTATTTTCCTGCCTGGCCAGGCAAAGCATTGGCCGGATGGGAGGGAAAGGAGGTGCAGATGGATAGGGTGTGGACGGGAATTATGGGCGTGAGTGCCTTTACTTCTACTTCTTACATTTTATACCTGAACTAAAAGTATCGCGCAGTACTCAGCAGACGAGGCGCCGCACGTCGGCCCCGTGTCCTCGAAGCCGGGGCTGTATATCTGTGCCGGATTTAACGGACACGGGATGCCGAACGTACTCCTGTGCGCAAAGGGGTTGGCCAAGATGATTAAGGAGGGCTGTCCTTTTTCGCAGACGGGAGTCCCGGCTTGCTACGAGACGGGCGCGGAGAGGCTCAGGAAGATATCCAAGCGCAATGCGGCTCCTGCGATCAACCGCGCTAGGGCGGACATCTTTCTGAAGCACAGTTACGGGTCTTAGGTGGGCTTAGGAGCCTTGCTGGCCGCAAGGGGTTGAAGGGGCTGACGGGGCTGCTGAATTGGTAAAGGGGGCTGTGGTGATATTTATAAAGTTATGAGTTGTGATGACTTGTGAAGAGTATAATACATAGGGGATCCATATTCACTTCGCAACTCAGCGAAGCTTCTCAGGAGTATGCACCTCATACGATCGTAAACCGAATCTGATGCTGCTCGGACGAAGTTCAGGGTGATGTGAGATTAGAGGCGGCGAGGATGACAATCTTTCAATTTGAGGGAACCGCGGGCCTGGCACGAAATAGAACTGCCCTGAACTGCCCGGAGTTCGGAGCGAACCTAAAACGTAACCTAAAAATAATCTGGCAGGGCTTCTTAGCTACATAGGCTTGGCTATTACCATTGGCCGCCGAAGCTCGGTGAGATCCACTGGAGATGTTATCATTTTGTCATTCGGATTGGTTGTCTGGCTGTAGAATGGGAAGGAAGAAGCATGTACCATGATGGAGCAACGGAGCAGCGACCGTGCTTTTTAATAGGTACCTAGATACGTGCGTTGTATTTGGGTCACTTATCCTATGACATAACCCGACATAAACATAATTGACATCGCATAAGCGATAATGACAGATATGCTCTTAGGTCAACATTAATATTCGAATCGTAAAATAGCCTGTGTGCAATATCGAAATATTCAATCTATTAATTAGGAGAATATTCGGCATGCGATGAGTTGTCGGTTAATATGGCATCTGTCTGCTAAGGGACGAGAAGGTAGGGACAAGCTGTCTTCAAATGTTCTAGATATTCCATCGTGGTTATGTCATTTATTCTGTTCGGCCGCTAAACCAAAGGCTTACTAGCGTGGCTTGTGCGCGATGCATAATAACATGGGTTACATGGATTACATGGGTAGGAAGGTCCAGTGTATCAACGGACGATCCCAAAAGAGTTTCGATGCAGGTATGTATTGGATGTACATCCAGTACATAGAGGGTACGGATGTACTGTGGACCTGCCACTTTGCCTCAACTTTCCATTTTTCTCTTGCCAATTTCCCAGAACTTCATATTCTTCTCGAGAAGCATAGCATGCAATTGCTCTTCTAAAACAATAATGGAGTTTTGCCTGTAGCAAAAGAGACCAGAGTTACTACTTTATTAGTTGTTCTTGTATAAGTGAGTCAGTTTTACTTTTGAATGCGATTCATTCGAATCCCTTGTTACCTGCCTAAACGTCTAGGCCATTCAGACGTTAAAGGCCGTTAATGCACGCGCGCTGCCCCTATAACCATACCTAGGTAGCCAGCCATACCAATACGAATCCCGATCAGCCAATATCTGGCATGCGATCTCGTCTATAGCTGCTCTATGAGACCATAAACATCGTATAACCACCAAACTAACGTGTCCCGATCTTACAGTACCATTTCTTTATTCTACTTTCGGGTCCTTTCCATTTCGATGATTGTCTAATTCGCCATAAATTGTACTCGGAGATGGATACCCAAAGTGCGACGTGGCATCCAGCCAAGATGCCGCTCTCTAATAACGACAGCCACCAAACAACAACAACACAGCTCGACGAGCCGCAAAACCAGCCAGTAACGGCTGCCGATGAGCAGACTACGGAACATTCAAGTCAACATATACCGAATGCGGATATGATAGAGGAAGGATCTCATGCTCAGCCTATGAACGAAGGCGCATTTCTTGACCAATTCGATAATGATGACGCCGGTGCTGCCGCGTGGGACCTGTCGGACCCGTCGCCCGCTCCAGCGCAACCAGCGCCACAGGGCGATGATACCTTCGAATCCAGTTACCAACGCGACATTGCCCAACCAGAACCAGTACCAACGAGCAATATGCCCAACCATTCGAGCAGAATCTCGTTTGCGCGTACCGTGTCCCACGAAGTAAGCTTCAACGATGACGAGGAGACGGAGTGGAACCTGCAGCGAACAGATACGGACCCGTTCAAATTCATGCCTCCAAATGATAGGACAAACTCCTTCCCTGCTGTGCCACAGAGGGAAGATGCGACCGAGGACCATATAGAACAGCCGCCTCCCTCGACTCAGGCACAAGATATCATCCAAGATTTGGAAAAGGACGATACTCATGCCGATTCGGTCGCACAACCCGATTTTCACAGTACTTTTAACCAAGATCACACCTACGCCGCCGAGGAACAAAGTCCAGCCGAGGGTTCGTTCCAACAATACGTTGGCGGGGATCTCGTAGGCGCCGGAGAGGAGGAATCCGATGCTCGGTTTGAGGAAGGCCTACCGTTGATCCCGCAAAATGAAGAGCATGTCTCAGTCTCAGAAGGATATAGTCAACCTCATCGCTCGAATCCTGGAGATGCTTTTGCGCAAGATGATGCCACAGAAGGAGACCACTTCTTCAACCAAGTTAGTAAAGGGGATTCTCAACTAGAAGGAGACGGCGCTTTTGACCGGACTTTACATAGGAAGTCTACGACTATGGTAATGGGCGATGATGTTATAGACTCAGAGGTTCCGAGCCCGATCGACAGTTCTGCGCTGAAAGCACCGGCGGTATCAGACGCGCCTTCTCAGGGCACTGTCAACGGTGATTCCGAGCCCCAGAAGAAGGAAGAATCCAGTGCTCAACCGGGTGCCACCGATATTGACGCAAAGTGGGCGGCCGCTTTTGATGATGACGACGACGACTTTTTGGACTCGATAAACGAATCTAGAGAGCTTGACCCGGCAGAGATTTTTGGAAGTGACGACGAAGGATTTCTGGAAGACACCACGGAGGAGACGCCAGCGATACCTGCAATTTCTACACCCCAACTTAATAATATGGCTCCCCAACCCCATTCAGCAGGTTTAAATGGACGTTACACTCCTGATAACCTACAATATTCGGCGCAACCGGCTACGAATCATTACGTGCCTGCTCCGGCAGTTCCTCAAATGCAACCACAATATCCTTCTTACGCTCCTTCGGCCTCAGCTCCTCCCCCAGCAATGGGCGGATATGGGCAGCCTCCCCCGAAGCCTACTATATCTAAAGCTCAGAGTTTTGCCGATAAGTCTAAGGGCGGGTACACTTCTCCGTACGATCTCCCGATGGAAGTCGTTAAACCGCCGAAGAAGCGGATCAGCTTGCAACAGCTCCCGCGGGTAACACAGCCATCTTCCGGCTTGGCACCGCCCAGCGGTCCTCCACGGAGCGCGAGCATGAATTATCAACCACCGCCATCAGGGGCTTCAAGCGCGAGTCTCTCACCCCCTAGCTCAAGTCACTCGAGTCAACATCCACCTCCGCCATCCCAAAAGGCGACTCCTCAGTTGAAGTCGAAGGGTAGTTTCTTCGAAGACTTGCCTATGACCTCGAAACCGCGACCTGCTTCGCGGCACAGCAACCCTCTCTCTCCGCCGCAGCAAAGCCCGTACGGGCAACTTCAAGCCTCTCCTCACGGACCTCCACCTCCGTCGCATTCTCCTCAACTGCCACCGGCTAGTATTGCGTCATTGGCTTCTCCGGAGCGTCCTAACCCTTATGCATCATTACAGTCCCAGGCGCCTCCGAAGCCAATTCCTCCTCCCGCAGCAAGCGCCAGGTACTCTCCAGCGCCGGCTCAACTATCCGTGAACGGAATACACCCCCCGCCAGCTGCCAGCCGCTATTCTCCCGCCCCTTCTAGCGTTCGTTCGTCTAGTGGTGGATATACTGCTGTTCCGCCCCCGGTGCTTGCCCACCAGCCGCGAACTTCTAGTCCTCTTGCTCATTCTCACTTTGAAGCGGCGCATGACAAGGCGATTCCGAGTCCCAATGGCGATGTGCCTTCTTTAAGTAGAAATAGCTCGTCCCAGTATGAACCTCGTCTTACTAGAGTGCCTTCGTTGCCACCAACACAAGAAGTTGAGGAGGAACCATCTTTGTTGAGGTCTCCACCAACGGCACCTAAGGCTTCGTCTGAATCGAAGTATAACCCGGGGCAAGCTATGCATACTCCGCCCCCCGTTAGCACTCCTGCTTTTAGCACGGTTTCGCCTCCAAAGCGCTCGGCATCTAGTTATGTTCCTCTTTCGCCTCCGGTTGTGCAGCACAAGGAAGTCAACTTTGTGCCACCGCCGCGTCCGCAAACCCAGTCACCTGGAGCAGTCTATGGTAGCCGAACTAGTGGGAAACCGGTCGATTCTGTTCCTCGACCCTCTTCCGTGCAAGGTACAGGTCCACCTCGTGAGATGCCCGGAGTAAACGGGGTTGCACCCGTTGTTAGAGCTCGTGGGATGTCTCAACATCTAAATCTCGTCCCGCCGACCGATGGCCGAGAATTGGATCCGTTGCAGAGATGGCGAGGTGCGCCAGTAGTTACTTGGGGCGTGGGGGGAACACTGGTAACCTCGTTCCCAGCCGATGTTCCTCGATATGGCATAAGTCAGGCATTACCAATGATTGTGCGTAGTCCGGGCGAAGTGAAGGTTAAGCATATCAAGGACATTCAACCGTTAGAGGAGCGCCTAGCTAAATTCCCGGGTCCTTTGAAGAGTAAATCGAAGAAAAAGGAAATATTGGCATGGCTTACTACTGGCATCGAAGGGCTAGAGAGGAGTCTCCCAAACGTCTCATTCCACCAGACAGTCTCACACGAGGACAAGAGAGCGATTGAAAGATTACTACTATGGAAGATTCTACGAGTGTTTGTGGAAAATGACGGTATTCTTGAAGGGAACCCTACAGTAGATAAAGCTGTCAGGGAAGTCATTACTCCTGGGCTTGAAACTAATAACACAGAGCTCGCGTCTGCGATCTCTACTGGGGCTGATCTAACCGGAATTTCTTCAGCAGTTACGAGCATGCAGGCGGATGCGGTTGATTCTACGGTTACTGAGCAGATCAGGCAGCACCTACTATCTGGTGATCGCGAGAAGGCTGTTTGGGCTGCGGTGGATAAAAGACTCTGGGGCCATGCAATGCTTATCTCGAACGCAATGCAGAGCCCTGATCTGTATAAGAAGGTTGCTCAGGAGTTTATCAAGAAGGAGGTGAATCATCCTGGCCGCGGGAACGAATCACTCGCTGCCCTCTACGGTGTTTTGTCTGGAAACTTCGAAGAGTCGGTGGACGAACTTGTCCCGGTACATGCGCGAGCAGGGCTTCAGCTAATGTCAACTTCCGCTTCCATTGGTGCGTCACAAGATGCCTTGGCGGGATTAGACAAGTGGCGTGAGACACTTGGTTTGATACTAAGCAATAGAAGCTTTGGTGACGCACAGGCTTTGAGGGCGCTTGGCAACCTCCTTTCTGGATACGGAAGAGCAGAGGCAGCTCATATTTGCTATATATTCGCCAGGAATTGTGCTGTTTTTGGCGGTCTCGACGACCCTAACGTCAACTTTGTCCTTGTTGGAGCTGATCACCGTCGCCAAGCTGACCAATTTGCCAAAGAAACGGAGGCTTTGCAACTTAGCGAAGTATACGAGTTCGGACTCACTCTTGCGGGAGGCTCGAATGCTGCTCAGAGCTGCTCACACCTGGCCGCATACAAGCTACAACATGCTATGACTCTCGCCGAATACGGATTTAGGGATAAGGCTTTATCATACTGCGAAAGCATTTATAACGCTATCATTGCGCAAACGAAGAAGTCCCCATACTACAACCCTGTTCTTGAGACGGCCCTAGAAGACCTCATGCAGAGACTAAAGCAGGCTCCAAAGGAAGAATCTTCTTCGTGGATCCCCAAGCCTAGGATGGATCAAGTGTCTAATAACATGTGGAGTCGCTTCAACAAATTTGTCGCTGGCGACGATGATGATAATGCAGGCAACGGAGCGTCAGGCGAAGCTGGTGCCGAATCTGGGCCTTTTGCCCGCCTAGCAGGTGGAACGCCTACGATCAGTCGTTCTCCATCCGTCTCTAACTTCGAGGTGTATGGAAACGGCGGGCCGTCACCTACCGCTCCAGCTACGAAGGCTGCTTCACGATATGCGCCAATGACACCTCATGATCCTTACAACTCGGCTCCTAGATCTTCGATGGAAAGAACTTCAGGTGAAATGACTCGAAGTTCCTTGGACTTACCACCAAGACGCGGATCGGATATGCAATCCGTACATGGAAATCCTTACGCCCCTCAAACCAATTCCTCGCCTGCTTCTACTTATCAACCTGCAGCACCAGCCGCTTCTCAAACCTCGCCATATGCGCCAACTTCCCGGGGATCGGATTCAGTTCCGCAGCCTACGGGAATTGGTATTTCGTTCCCAGGCTACGACCCATATGGCGCCGCGCAGGCATCTCCAAATGCCAACGGGTCTCAGCCACAAAGCTCACCTACTGCCGAATCGAAACCGGAAGCTGCAGCAAATTCCAATTCGAACCAGGGTTACCAACCATCTTCATACGGATATGAACCGCCATCTATGACCACCTTTGAGACTCCTGTAATGCAGACCGAAGGCTTTTCAGGTGGATACGAACCACCTTCATTCCAGCCGTCTAGCTTTGAACCGCCATCCTACGAGCCTGGCCCTTCTAATGATGATGGCGATGATGACGCAGAGTCGAAACCTAAGAAGAAGAGTTTCATGGATGATGACGATGATGATATCCCTGGCTTAAAGCCGCAAGGGAAGAGCAAGGCGGAGAAGGACCGGGAGAATGAGGAGATGGTCCGAAGAGTTGCTGAGGAAGAGGGTAAGTTTACAACGAGCTTATTGCTAGTATGATGCTAACGATGTAATAGCGAAACGTGCTGCTGAAGCAAAGGCAGCCAAGAAGGGCTGGGGCTTCGGAGGATGGTTCGGCGGCGGCAAAAAGGAATCTCTAGACCAAGCCAACAAGCCTATTAAAGCCAAGCTTGGTGAAGCCAGCAGCTTCGTATATGATCCAGACCTAAAGCGCTGGGTCAACAAGAAACCAGGAGCCGAGAACACTCCTGCTAAGGCGGCAACACCGCCGCCACCTCGATCCGCTTCCCGTAACGGCACTCCACCTCCACCAGGTTCTACATCTGCCCCTCCACCTCCTGGTGGATTGAGTGTTCCCCCTGCTGGTCCTCCTCGACTCACACCTTCTCCTGCTTTAATAAGCAAGGCTTCTACGGAAAGCCTCTTAGTTCCCGGCGCTCCGCCGATGATGATGCGGTCCGTCTCGAACCAGAGCACCAGTAGCGCTCCGGGCGGACCCATCAACGCACCGCCCAGCAGGCCGACTACGAGCCTTAGTAATGCTAGTAGCATAGATGATCTGCTCGGCGCAGCGGGTTCGGGAACTATGCGAAGAGGCGGCAAGAAGGGAAGAAAATCAGGTCGCTACGTCGACGTGATGGCGAAATAGGATCGGAGCTGAAACTTCTTTCAACAGAGGAAGCATGTACGAAGACGAAAAGCATGGATATCATAAATAATGAAGCCGGTTCGTGTTGAAGAGAAAAAAACACAGTGTATTCAAAGAACAACGGAACGGAACGGATTTTGAAACGGATGGGAACGAAACCGCGCGGGCGCATATATATTGCTTCTTAAGGAAAGGATCCGGCGCTAGAGATACATGATGCGCGTGGCATAACTTACTTGTATTATATAGACTTAGCGATTTTGTAATAAACTGACCGGCCGCTTGGGCTGGGGAGTTGTGAGACTACGATTATCTAATATTTGTATGCCACTTTACTTTATTCGTACTGATTGAGGTCAATGTTCCTATAGCTAACCCCTTTTCTGGGACTTGAGAATAAGGGGCTTATTCCCCTGATGAGGCATTTCCTGCTGGCTCCTGACTGGCCAATGAGAGTTGCACGCGCCTCTCAGCTCTGTTATTCCCGAACGTATGGGAAGATGATTGTGTGTTTCCCGGTCTCCTGCTTAAGCTCTCGGGAAGTGACATCATGAGGACATGAGAACCTGTTCGAGTCCAAAGCAAACTTCATCCGTACATGGTCCATGACGTAGACCTTGTGCAACTAGATAGGTAGTTATCTTGTTGCACGCAAGTAGAGGACGCACCTTTCCGAATAGCAACATTTCACCTAGTTAGGTACGGTATCACTTACCACGCCTTTCCATTACACCTGATATATCTATTAAACAAACAGTGTCGACTTTAGAATACTAGGTCACCATGACAGCCCAACACGGATTCCACCACCCCCAATCCCGCCCCGACATAGTCAAGCACGCGGACCCGGACCCCATCGCCTACGAAGCACAGGTTTACCAGCGCGGCCTCAAATACCAGCGTCCCCCTTTTACTTTCAAGCCCTTGGAATGGGAGGCCCTGGCCGCGGAACGCATGTCCGCCGACGCTCGGGGCTACGTGCTTGGCTGCGCGGGCACGGGCGAGACGGCGCGGCGGAACAGGGAGAGTTTCGGGAAATGGGGGTTCGTGCCTAGACGCTTGGGTCTAGGGCTCAGGGGTAGTTCGGTTGGGGGAAACGAGAAAGGAGTGAATGACGAAGAGAATGGGAATGGGAAAGGAGAAGGGGAAGGGGAAGGGAAAAGGGCTGAGGACGCAGGAAGGAAAGTATTCCCGAATCTTAGGGTCGATGTCCTGGGCAGGAATCTCCCGTGCCCGATCGCGTGCGCGCCCGTCGGCGTCCAGAAGATCATGAACCCGGACGGCGAGGTGGCGGCGGCGAGGGCGGCGGCGCGCGAGGGCGTCCCGTTCATCATGAGCACGGCGAGCAGCACGAGCATCGAGGACGTGGCGCGGGCTAGCGACGCCGGGGCCGAGGAGGCCGGGTACGGTAAGGGCGAGGCCGAGCGCTGGTTCCAGCTTTATTGGCCGGCGAGGGAGCATGACGATGTTACGATTTCGTTGCTCGGGAGGGCGAAGAAGGCCGGCTTTACGGTGCTGGTTGTTACCCTCGATACGTATATCCTTGGTTGGAGGCCTAGTGATATGGATAATGGGTATGTCTACCTCTGTCTGTTTGACTTCTTATCTCCTATCTTTGGAAGGCACCCCTTTTCGCCCTAGAAACACGTAAGTCAGATTTATGTACACTAAAGTGACTAACCTCACAACAAGGTACAACCCCTTCCTCCGCTCCGACCAAATCGGCATCGCCATCGGGCTCTCCGACCCGGTCTTCACGTCCAACTTCCAGCGCAAGCACAACAACCGGTCCGCGGACCAGGACCTCGGCGCCGCCGCGGCGGAGTGGACGCGCACCATCTTCCCGGGAGCCGAGCACACGCTCGCCGACATCGCCTTCCTGCGCGCGCACTGGGGCGACGACGCGCCGATCGTGCTCAAGGGCGTCCAGAGCGCGGACGACGCGCGGCTGATCGCGCAGTCGGGTCTTGTGGATGGCATCGTCGTTAGTAACCACGGGGGCCGGCAGGCCGACGGGGGGATCAGCTCGCTCGGGGCGCTGCCGCGGATCGTGGAGGCTGTTGATGCGGTTAACGACGGTTCTAGCAAGGGCGGGGGAGAGGGAGAGGGTGCTGAGGAGAAGAAGACGCGCAGGAAGGTGGAAGTCCTCTTCGACTCGGGAATCCGGAGCGGCGCGGATATCGCGAAGGCGCTCGCGCTCGGGGCCAAGATGTGTCTTATTGGTAGACCGTACGTGTACGGGCTCGCGCTAGGCGGCGAGGAGGGCGTCGCGCATGTGCTGAGGAGTTTGCTGGGGGATTTGGAGCTCACGCTGCATCTTTCGGGGATTAGGAGTGTGGGGGAGGAGGATCTGAATAGGGGGTGTCTTGTTAGGGAAGACGAGCTGTTTTAGGGTGGTTTGGCTGGAGTGGTTAGGATATCAGGTATCTACAGGTATGTTTACGGATGATTCTAGGAAAGCTATATGTTGTGATATAGCTTAAGATAATAATCTCGTGGAAATTTGTCTTATTAGTCTAAGCATCCAGAATATTCGTCATCTGAATAGAGACCACGAGGGCGACGTCATGTTGGACCGTTCAATTCATCTCAGTAGAAACGTAAGGTCCCTGGACACCATAGCCCTGGCTAAGGGGGTGATATCCGTGGAGAATGGGCTCCCATAAGTCGAGCCCTCTACCTTTGTCTACCGTTTACCGTCATCCATTCTTCCTCGTCTCCCATCCATTAGCTGAGAAGGAATCTAATTCATACAGAAACACACTAGGTATTCCGCACATCGTATCCCGCCAGTGAGAATAATTGACAAGTTGGCTCCTTTTCAAGTGCAAGGTTTGAGTGCTGGACAGTCATGGTCTAGATCAAACAACGGTGTCTGTGTAGGATAATCAGTCTACCTAGGTGCTTACAAAGAATAGCGTGTTAAATGGTAGCCAGGTAGGTAGAATATGAATACATACTTAGATACGGAACTGGTGTGTCTGTCGTTTAACCACTCCTTACCTGCAGGAGTGATATAAAATCCCATTAACGACCGGTATGAGCTACAATGGGCAAGTTGAATTTACCTAGGTAGGTATGTAATGCAGAGTCATAATCACAATCAACCGTCACATCAGGCAGCAACCCAACAATATACATACACGCTACCAACCAAACGACCTAAGCAGGTAAGTATAGCAAGAAGCAAATTATTAGGTCTCCTTGGCCACGTAGAAACTACAGGTCTAAGTACATAGTGGTAATGCTGTGCTCGGCTTCCCTTCCCTCTCTCTTCGACGAGCCCCTTTCCACTTTCCACTGGTTTTTCCCGACATCACGTTTGAACCTCCCGCCCTTGTTAGCCCATCCGACATAGAAAAAAGGTTCGGACGGCCTGACTCCTGACTTCTGACTTTCTTACACACTGTAACAACAACCTTGACAAGAAATGTTTGCCCTCTTGACCTAACCGGTCTCAGATGCAATGGCTAGCGAATTGAATGTGATGCAAAGGGATTTCTTGTGATGGGCCTCGTGAGGCGGTAGGCAGCTTCTCGATGTGAAACATCCGTTTCCAGAAGCCAAGTTGATGAAAAGGGGTTGCTATCCCTTGAGCGCGCGTGGTGGCGAGTCGGGGTCGGAAGGATATGTGTTGATCGCATCGCAGCTCTCCACACAGAGCAAAGAGAGCTAGTTCGATGACCTGAATCTTCAACCAGCCATTATATAGTATATGAGCCTTTGACTCCTTCAAAAGGCCCTCGAGCTCAATGTGCTCCACTACAGTTGCGTCGTAGCTCTCGTCCATCGGGGATGATTCGTGAACTCTTCCCTCACTCGAGGTGAGTTAATAATATGTTGTAGACATTATATATCGTATCGGTTGGATAGACGGAAACAGCGAAATCCCGCTTCAACTCCGTTTCTCGATGTATTTTGTTATTCCTCTGCAGCCGTCGATGGCTCCTCAGGTATAGAACTTTTCATTACTCCATCGTCCTCGGGACCACCTGAGCTTGGGCCCGAACCTCCCTTCAGTCGCCGACGTCGAGCTCTCCTTTCTTCAGCCGCTGATTTCCTCAAGCTACTATCTCGCTTCTCGGGATTTTCGTCATCTGCACCATCGCCACTTCTCATATCTTGTAGGAGCATCGCAGCTCTTTGTGCCAGACCATCATCAGCAGCTTCCTCGGGTTCCTCCGTAGGTGAGACCAGGTCAGGACTGAGGGGATTGGCGTCGGAATCTGTGGTGCCGTTGGTGCCTTCGGAGCGGATATTGGCTTCTGCTTCCGGTATCTCGTTGAGGTCGGGTATTTTTTGGCCAGAGGCGACGCGAACTTGGTGGCGATCCTTTAGACGTGCGCGCCTCCTTCTATCTCGCTGGTCTCTCGTCTGCGGCGCCGCTGCGCGCAATTTCTCTAGAAGGGAGTCCATTGCACCAGCGGAATTCGGCGATGGCGGGCCAGTCTCGGCGGCTCCCTGGACTCTGAGCTGAGCGTGTTTCCGTTTCATGCTAGCTTCATTCCTACGCCGCGTCTCTTCGTATTGGACGTTCTTGTCTCTACTCTTCTTCCACTCTTGAAGGAACATTGCCAACTTAGTGAAAAACTCGCGGCGGGCATTGTCGTCTTTAGGATCTTCGCCGTAGAAAATCATAATGTCATCGTACGTGCGGATCATCTCCTCCAGATACAACGCCATTTGTTCCGCCTTTCGGCGAGCGTCCTTCATACACCGCTGGACGATTTGCGAGACGCGGTCCTGGGGGTGGAACTTCTTAGGATCGCTAAGGTTTCCGCTGTCTAATGACCTCTGTACGTTGCGGACGTTCTCTATGTACCTCCTAGCATCCGCCTGGAGTTGCTCGATGTTGATCTTCTGAGCAGTTATGACAGCCTGGATATCGTTCGTAAAGCCTTCCCATTCAGGGTATTGGTTGCGCACGATACGCTCAACGAGATCTGCGAGTGTCGATTGGTTCTTGTCATCTTTCACCATTCCCAAGCGGGCGAGCGAGCTGAGCTTGAAACCTCGCGCCTGTTTGTTTGCGTCGTTCATGTAGTTACCGATATCAAGGATTAACCCGAGAACATTCATCAGGGAAACGGAATCTCTTAGTGACTCTGATACTGAGACGACATGACGGATCTTTTCATTTATTTCGTCGTAGTCAGGTTCGTAGCTTCGTGTTAGCGCCAATGCCCGCATTCTGCTCTTCCAGTAATGATGTAGTTCAAAGGCAGTGTATAGGTAAATTTGGTCCTGTCGGGTCAACTCGGATGGGTCCTGTTCACGATTTTCCTGGTTGGCTTCTGGACCAGTCCAATCCTTGCTATACGGCGCCATGAGCTTCGCGGTATTGTCCGGAATATTGCATAGGTCATCCTTTTGTAGGAAATCCATGATCACCGGGTTATCGAGAACTTCTTTGTCGCAGTGGATGATCGTCTGGACGATCTTCTCTACAGAATAGTGAGACATCTTGGCAAAAGCAATTTCTAAAAAGCAAAGTTAGCATCCAAAAAAAAATCTAACCATGCTAGTAAAATTTTCCTTACCGTAAGCCTTCCGAAGATCGCTGGAGATGATTTGCTTCTTGTCATCCTTCTTAGAGGCTCCAACCCCAAGCTTCTTGATCTCCTTGGCCATGAACAACTTTTCGACTTCATCGAGAATACCCTTCCTACTAAGTTCGGCATATTTCTCTTCTCTTTCCTCCACAGAAGGAGCATGCGCCGCCCAATGGCTTGTTTCGGGAGTGTCGACCTTGTCCCAATGGAGGGCCTTGAGCTTTTTCTTCGGTCTAACAACAGGGAGACCAATGGTAGGGGTTGGACCGAAGGTATTTTGCGCAGAGAGAAAGTGACCGGACATAGCACCAGGCATTGGAGGAGGCGGTGGTGGACCTCCAGCGCCGGGCATACCGGGCATACCGGGCATAGGCGGCGGAGGCGGAGGGGGAGGTGGACCACCCACTGCAGATGTGGGTGAGAGCATTCCTGGCATCGGAGGCGGGGGTGGCGGTGGTGGAGGAGCGCCTGGGACTTGACCCGGCATTGGCGGAGGAGGGGGCGGTGGGGGTGCTCCCGGAAGTTGACCAGGCATCGGTGGTGGTGGCGGAGGCGGTGGAGGCGGAGGAGCTGTCGTGTCGCTAACTTGAATCTTAGGCGGCTCGTTCTCGCTTGGTGTGATGGGCGATTGTGACTCAAGACTTGGATGCGAAGGACCTGTAGTCGCGCCCTCACCCTCCTCAGAGTCACTGGCCTCGTCCTTCCTGCCCTTCGCGTGAATCTCATTGAGGAAGTTGGCGGCATGCTTGGGGTCCATGACTGGTCTTCTAATTTCGACGACTCGTGGCTTCTCGTATACAATGTCGTCTTCTCCTTCCATGGCACCCTCGTCGGCATGTTGCCCATTGACGGGTTTTCTTGACAGCCTAGTATGGCGGTTAACGGTTCCAAGCATACCAGTATCCATACCGGGCGGAAGTCCTGAACCATCAGGTCCGTCGGAGTAGTTATCTGAGTAGCCGTCCATTTCTTCGCGGAGCGCACGCAAGCGATCCGAAGGCCCAATTGCCTCGCCCCAGACTCTACCTTCAAGTTTGTACTGGGTCTTCTGCCGTTCGAGCTGCATCGCAAGACGATCCATAAGCTTTTCACGATCCAAGATACCTTGCATCCGAGCCGGATCCTCATCTGCTATCTTGCTTCCAGTACTGCTCTTGACAGCCTGCGAAGCGGCGACATCTTGAGCATCCCTGAGCATGAGGTATAGTTCTCTTGTCTCTAACTCGTATCGTTGCGCTTCCTTCGCACGGACAGTCTGCATGTTCTCTATTTCGGCCTTGAGGCCATCTGCTTGACGTTTCTGGGCTTCAATGAAGCGAGCTTGCTCATCCAGCTGTCTCTGAAGCTTAGCTACAAGACCATCCGCGCCTAACTCTAACTGCGCTCTCATCTCATCCCGCTCTGCCATGGCAGCATCAGCAATCTGCCGAGCCTCTAAAGACTCGTCCAGAGCTTGGCGGGCCTCGGAGTCCGTATGCAGCTTGTCTAAGAGATTCTGGACAGTGAAATTCAAGCTTTGCTTGAGGTCCATGTTCGGCAGCCGCCGGTCCATGGCCACATAGCTAAGCATCGAATCCACAAGCTGGAACATGCGCAACCGTTCCTCTCCATCATTATCTCGGATCAGAAGCAGGTGTTGCAGTGCCGATATGAAGTAGTCGTGCGTCTTGGAGCCTTGAAGTCGCTGTTGAATAGCATCGACAATCTGGGCAGGATCGTTGAGGTCCTTAACCTCGCCCTCGATGCTGTCCTTTATGCTGCTATTCTCCCGCTCGAGCATATCCTCATAGTCGATAGCCTCGTTGGTACGGAATCGTTCGATCTGCTTGTCTATCAAGTCGTACTGGAACGCCTCCATCTTCGTGAGGATCCGCTTGATCCCACAAGCGCCGAACTGCGCCCTAATGTGCATGCGAAGCTGGAGGTCATTTTCTGGCGCATCGATGATCGAATTGACGAGGATGAGCGTCGCGACAGCATATTCCATCAAGAGGTTCTCCATGCCGATACCACCGCTGCGGACTTCGTCGCTGGCTCCCACAAGACTACCCATCTTCCCACGTCCGTCCGCCGTGACTTCGACGAGTCGCATCCAAGCATCGAACCGACCATTCTCGTTCTGCTGACTCTTCACCACATCCATGGCCTGAATAACCTTAAGGTGTCCTTCACCCCCATCCCAATGACATAGGAAGGATAATACATCGCTGACGAGCTTTCGCGTTGTGAGCCTCGGCGATATGAGGGAAGTGACGAGAGCCACGACCACTTGCTGATGGGCGAGCGCATCATCGGCGCCGTATTTGTTGTTCAGCAAAGCTTTCAAACACTTCAGAATATCATATTCCTTGTCGAGATTCTTATCGCTTGCCTTCGCGTCGGACGGAGCGGCGGGTCCTACGGGATTCTTGCGGTTGAGTTTTAATAAGACGTTGGTGAGAGCCACCTGCCCTTGACATTCGATGAAGCGCTTCACCCATCCAATTTGCTGAGTTCGTAAGTTGACTTCGAGGCTACCGAGGCCTTTCAAATCCAATGTATTGTCCATCACCTTTCGTACGTACCACTCAGGAGAGCCCTCCTCGTCGGAGGATGCGGCGATGTTGACATCCGAGTACTGCCCCGATCTCGCTGTCTGCCTCTTCTTCTGCTCACCTTGCCACTCGGTTAGACGATCTTGGTAAATAAGTGTCCATTTTTTCGACGACGGGTACGCCTGCATTTGTCGTCGTGCTTGCTCGGGGAGATTGTGCCATCCTCGCTTGACCATTAGCTCGTAGAACATCTGCTCCGTGACCCTGTCGTCTTCCGGTCTGGTGAACGAAGGACCTTCGGCGGCTCCGCCGACGCCAGGAGGAAGATGACCCGGAGACCCTGGAAGCTTAGTTAAACGATGCGAATCTCTACTCGAGGGGTGCGATGCAATGGAACTCTGGGACGTTGCACTAGGCAGTGCTGCTTTGGATGAGCGCTTGATTGTGTGTTCATAAGGGGATACTCCTTTACCTGAAAATACGCTGGATTGGTCGCTTTGCCTAGAAGTTCTGCCGAAGCCGTGTACGCCGTATCCTGGCAGGGAATCCCATCTCTCGCCGAAGGCAGTGCTCGTCGTCATCGAAGACGCTGTGCTTCCACGAGGTGCTCCGCCACCTGAATTAGGACCCCATTGTTGGAATTGTGTTTGGCGACCGGTTGATGCCATCGTTATATTATTTGCACTAGGGGGTGGGCGCGAGGCCGAAAGGTGAGAGCCAGACACTCCCGACATGGTGGCGAGTGTTTTCGCATCAAAGGTAGGGTACTGGTGGAAGTCGGCAGTCACTTTATTCAACTGGTGCGGTAGAGGTTCTCGGCCCACGGGTAACTGTTCGCCTCGAGGGAGGTATTCGACGGGTATGGGACTCCGCTGGTCTGCATGCGTGGTATCGTACGGAATTGCGGTAATGACACCGGCATTGTTGTTAACGCCGCCTTCAGGAGACACCGGTCTATCGACGGATATTATCGACGAGGCCCTAGCATGTCGAGAAGATCGCGATATTACGGATTCCTGATCGGAGGGGAGGTAACGTCCTTCTTCGCTGCCTGTGTGTCTCTTATCACTCCTATGTTTACTCCTAGAAAAGAAGCCCTTCCCAGCGGACGACATGGCTGCGTCAGTGGAGAGGGCGCGCTAAGACGCAAGCGCTCTGATCACTCTGATCACTCTCTCACAACAATTAATTTTATTTACCAAGTTCTCGTACGTTTTAATCTCGAATTCGGAACGGGTCGAAAGAAACAATCGAAACAATCGAACTCTTAAGTGGGATATCGGATTCCTGCCGTCAATGTATTGGGTGTCGAAGGCGTCGGATGAATTGCATCGTGCTCTCTAGCCGGGAATATGAATTTCGCAAGGAATATACAGACTGAAATGGTAGAATTGGAATCAGGTGAAGACCTGCATAAGCGGGTAGTGGAAGATTAGCATGATGTTTGACGATGAAGCAGTTGAAGCAGTATAGGCCGTGCAAGGGCCATATAAGGGTTAGTTGGTTTTGATAGGTATTTTGTACAGTGTTTTAGTATTTTTGACCCATTTACGAATTTACTCGAAAGGAGTCGGAAGGCGCGACAGAGAAGGGGGAGCCAAGAGGCAAGAGACAAAAGACAAGAGACACTGAATACGCTGGTTATACGTACATAGAACTGAAGACACACAACACTACATGAAATGCAACAATCAACAATTCTAACCGCAATACTCCCACATCAATGGTGAATCGACGTCGACGTTGTGAAAAGGATCGAATTTAGAGAAAGTGGTTAGGGTAGAAGGGAAGTTCCAAGGTTCGGTTCTGGTTTATCGAGAAGGTTATCGGGAAATGTGATAATGTTGCTCAAAGGAGGTTTGCCGATTGATGAGACTTGACAGAAGCAAGTTAACACACTGGTGCAATGTCGCAGTAGGTACCGTACATACCCTACATAGTACCAAGCGCTTTGTGGTGGGTAGGATGCAACTTGCTGCAACATACAGGGTACATTTAAAATGTTCTAATGTCGCCGTTTCCCTCTAAGACCTAAAGACTCATCCCCCATTTGCGATAAGCGCGTAGTACCTTACGGATTTGAATTTTAGAGCGAGAGTCAAGGTCCAATTAGGTCTAATCAACTCCAATTAAGCTCCAATCAGGAAGAAGGAATCAGGGGTGTCTTTACACAACGTGGCTACTGTAATTATTTTTATGACAAGAGAGGCCGTAACTTAAAGCACGTAATGGAAGAACGATCAATCGCATTATCAATCGTATCAAATTCATCATTTAATTCTGTAACACTAATTATAAAAATACCCCTAATCGTTTCTTTGTTTCACATTTGACAAAGTTTGGGATGGTATACACATCTCATGTTGTGTAATCGGTGCGGGATATCACCGATTTCCATCGAGAAGTCCCACGATACAGCCGTGCCGGTGGGACGTCGAAAGGTGTGGACGTTTCTGAAACTTGAAGTGGAACGTAAACCCCTGGGAGATCCAACACGACGATGGTGATAATGATGCGATCTGAGGTTGCCTTGGATCCCCAGACCCCAAGACTTGAAAGTTAAGTCTTACACGTACCCTACATACCTACCTAGGTTAAGTGCGCAGAGCATGCACTATGATACATTCATACTTGGTATGATTTAATGGATGAAAACTTGGCCGGCGCAACACGGACATGCTCTCATCCTAGCACGAGGTACTCCAGCCTGGCCGGCCAGCTTGGTTGGTAGTCACTTATTGGATTGCAGGCGTTTGTACATAAAATGTTTAGATGAATGGTAGGACACTACTGTACGAATGCTCTTAGCTGATGATGATCTTTAGCCGATGCGCAGAATAGGGGTTGCATACATACGCTTTCAGCTCCGTTTTCTGGCCCTCGGGCGCTGTTGAAGAGGGGATCGGGCCTTATTGGACAGTTGGAGGCCAATCTGAAGGATTTGGGATGAACATTGAGATCCATCGATTCTTTGTAGCTTGCTGATTCGCATACGCTTGGGGCCAACTTTCCATAACCAATACATAATCGGTTGATGGAGCCGTAATATGACTATTCTTGTTCTTGACAAAGAGCGATTCATGCACCACCTGGATATAATATAATTATTATTCTGTCAAAATAGAGTAATTAGGGTAATAACGTCGTCACGTAATGGCGAACCTTGGAGATTTATGTACCCCCTATGTACCCTTGTGGCCCGTGAGTAAATGGCCCCGGCTTTGGCCGCTCATAACCTTAACCCCGAAATAGACCATTTCAACTTATGTAAGCAACTACATGAAGCAAGACCCATGGATATTGTAACTGCGCGTACGTAACCATCTCCATATTCAGCCTTACAAAACACAATTGACAAGAGACAAGCTCGAAATGAGCTTCTAGTTGGCGTCGAACAGATATCATCTTTCTCTAGCCTTTCCATCGCCTGCTTGTGCTCGACAACAGTCCTATGAACTGCGAATTCCGAACGAACAGTTGTCATCTCGCTGCGCCGTTAGCCTCCACGAACGACAAGCATAGCCACGAGCGTCTCGAAGTCGACTCGGCTTAGCACTTTGAACGTGAAGCTTCGATTCGAAATTCCGACCGATACATATTGGTCTCGCTGCTCGTTATATCCCGTGGTGTAAAATTGTAGCTTCTATCATGCTCATCTGATAGGAGATAGCATTATACGACGCCGCCAACACGATGGGCACCACACTTTCTGTAGTCAAAGTAGGTCTTTACTATAGAATTATTCCGAATCGCTGCAAAACTCATAGTTATAGACACTTATAATACCTGCCGTCATCTCTCTAATACTCTTCCTCCTATCCAATTATCTCCTTGTTCCATTATGGCGGCATTACCGAACTCGATATAGCCAATACCTCCCTCTCGACACGATATCCAATCATACGTCGACTTTACGCGGTAGAATTCAAGACGCAATAGCTCGGTGGTTGGTACCATCACGATGGCGCTTCAATTCACGCGACCGTGTCGTAATTGGGGCCGATGATGCTTCTGACCTAGGTTTCAGCTCAGAGGAAGGCGAGGAATTAGATGACGTGGATGACGACCGCCGGCACGCGCTATCATTAGACACGCATATCCCGGTACACACGGATAGTATCAGAAGATTAAGCAGAGAGTAGGTTGCGAAGACTTCTCTATACATACCTACCGGTTCATTTTAGGGCACAAGGGCTAACTATAAGGAGTGTAGTTTAGAAGAGGGTTTCCGAGATGATAGTGACGAAGACGACGATAACACGCGTCGTGTTAGGCGGTAGTATGTCTCCCGTCATCAACTGATGATTGAACTTAATGGCCTAATTTGGGAGCGATTACATTTCCTTTTTTGGACATAGGAAATTGCCGTTCGAATGCTCAAGAAAGCATTGGGAAACAGCTGAATCATAAAACAGTCATGATTCGACTGGGTACGGATTATGCCGAAGCGAACGTGACTTCACAGGATCTTGTAACCATATTTCGTGAGTTTGGAGTCTTGAATAGATCGTCATCTTTCAAGGTGCAACCTACACGTCTCACTAGAGACGATGTCTTAAGGACGATGACTTGGACTCTACCGAATTCGTTAGAATGGTCGATACGTCTAAACTGATATACCCAGTAATAAGTATTGTACCCCGGCCTTCCTTATGGATTATCTAGGGATGAGTTGCTCTTTAGTCACCGAACATATCTTTTGGTGCTCGAGCAAACCTGCCTACCTACTCTATAGTATCCAGTACTATGGATTGGGTTTTGAGTAGTCTGTCGGATGATTTCTGCACGTCAAACAGTTAATTCCCGATTTGCTAGAACCGGCATTTGCTTGATGCAATGAGGTCGTACTGGAGGGCTTGAGATTCATCTAGACTGCTGGCATATGGGTCGTAACTATGTGAGTAGGCATGGAATAAGACTGCTCTAATGTCTTGGTATAATATATGGAAGCTTGAACATGCTGATAAGTACCCGTATATTTAGATGAAATATCAATCATCTAGTTATTCGTATTAGCTTTTTGGTCCGAGAAGAAAATGATTATGGTTACTCTACAGCAGACAAGGCATTGAGACAGGCATGAACACGTTCTCTCTTTTCATAGAGCCTCACCTGAATTGGTACTCGCTAATCTAGACTCAACATTGAATTTGGCCGGTATATTAAGCTATATCATTAGCACGACCTCAAAATATAGATTCTAAGACAGAAAGATAGGACGTAACTTGAATAAGCAGTCGAGACGATTTAGTAATCATCCATAGCTGTATTCTCAGCCATTTGAAAGATACCGAAAACAAGCTTAAATAAAAACTATGAGAACTAACAAAGCTTCAGGACTCCTTAGGTAGCCAGCTAAAACTTGGTGCCATTCATCTTGCATATGGTCTAACAAACTTAGAAGAGATGAAAATATGAATGAGATAGATTTTACAGCATGATATCTTAATATCTTGTGTAGTTTTTGAATCCAATGCTCTACGTTGAAAACGTAATGTCATAATGTGCCCGTCTTTCATCCCCGGATTGCGAATATCCACCTAGCACTCGGGCCATAAGGACCATAATATTACGGAGAGGCTGGCGCGGGTGGTGATGGAATTTCAAAAGGGATTGGATCTTCGAGACCGCATGCGGAATGACCTAAGGTTTACTGGGCGATGAGCCCAGATAGCCCCCCAGATACCCGCAGCCTGCGTCTAATACCTATCATAATGCATGGACGGCAGGCACTTAGACATACATATGTATGTGCTAATGAATCCAATCGTACTTTGGCTGCACGTGGCCAGAATCACATTCCAAGCCTTATCTTGCATCCCGGCAACCATCACGGATTCGGCCATCTCGAAAAGGGTAAGAAAACACGCACATGAGTATGCTTATCTGCCTTGCCAGTACTCACGTAGCCCTTACTACGATATATTCCGGTACAATCCAGTGCACATGATGCCATACCTAAGTAAAGGGTGGTGGAGCTGACTTTTAAGTCAATAACCAGTGGATAGCCTATTGTTGACTGTAGTATATATCTAGTCTAACTGTCGATGTAAAGTTGTATCTTGTATGAGCCAACCCCCCAGTCCTATTCGTTGTTCATGGACGGGTATATACGACGAAGATCAAACTCTAGGGACGAGAAGAAGATACCATATCTAACGTATAAGATCTGTGCCTGAGTTGAATAAAAAACCATTGGCTCTCTTAATCATCTTCTCTTTATTTCAAGCCTTGGGACTAATTCCAGGAAATTCAAGCCCAAAAAGGTTCCACAACCTCGGAAGTCAGCGCTGATTTGATCGCATGAGAAGGGATCTCCGAGCCCCCCAATTCTGCCTTGGCCTATCCCGATTCACAAATGAGGCTGCGTTTCTGGACCGCATAGTCATCGAGCGAGTTGAAGACAAAAACACAGAAGCCAAACCGCCCCAACGACCAATCGACTTACGGCCCGCGACCGTATCTGAATCATTTCGATCACATCATTAGGACGTGATATGTATGGGCTATGCTAGGGTTTTCCCTCCCAACATTTATCCCTAGCAATTATCGTTCTCGTTTCCTACTTGATCATTCCTCCGTAATCGTCGGTTTAGCTAAGACCACCTGGACCACCAAAAAAGATCTCAGGTATCTAAGGTATCCTACCGATTCGGCAGCACCCAAACTGTTCCCAGCCCTCATCAAGGTCAAACTAGGGCGTGCACGAGAACGTCAGACACGGTATTTGAAGCAAACAGGAAGAAACCCAAATACCTAAGACCGATATCAAAAAGCAAAAAACGTCTCTTGATCTTACCATTCCGTTGATTGGCCCGGATTCCCCAGTCAAAAGCCGAAACAGGCTAACAGCTACCCTTTCCTACGCCTATTACCTATCGGTATCTTACTGTCCTGCCCCCAACAGCCGACTGTGTGTATACTGTGGTCGTGGTCGCAGTTCGCTTGGAATTCCACTTGAAAGCTGTTGTTGCCGCGTACCTAATTATTCAGACTGTCCTGTCCTGTTCTGTCCTGTCACCTAAAAAACAACACTCGCACAAGTTACCTGGCCGTACCGCTTTTAGTAACCTCAGGCAGGCTTTGTGGTCACCAGCTGGAGCCTTGTCACCAATTCAATTCTCACCTTTCCCGCTTATTCCTCCCGTTCTTATCATTATATTTCCAAATTCCAACCTTATTTCTTCTTACCTACCTACAACTTCCCATCCTCCCGGATCCCCTCCAATCAGCGACTCGACCACCATGAGGCCGCTACCCAAGGTCAGCCTGAAGCTTCTCAAGAAGCTGCTTCCGCGGCGAAGCACCAACCCCTCCTCCTCCACCACCGCAACCCTCTCCACGCAACAAGAACAACAAGAACAACAAGCCGACCTCTCCTCCCCCAAGAAATCCGACACAAAGCAAAAGCAGCGCGCCCTCGCCCCCGAGCCGCCGGAAGAATGTCCAATATGCCACGACCCCGTCGGCCTCGCGAACCCAGAAGGCATAGTCGAGTCGTGGACGTCCCTGCACTGCGGCCACCGCTTCGGCACGCACTGCATCCAGACCTGGCTGCAAGAATCCATCAACCGGGACCAGACCTCGAACCCGTCATGTCCCATCTGCCGCACGACCGCCAAGCACCCCTGCGGGCACCTGATCTCGCCGCCGCCCTTCCCGGCGGTGCACCACCATAATAACTACGCCCAATACTACCCGCAGCACTTCGACTGGGCATCCCCTAGACCCCCGCCTAGCCCGCCTAGACACCAGCAGCAGCGACAGGTGAGAAGGCGCTTGACGCGTAGGCCGGGACACCCCCTGCGCCCGCCGCCGCCGCGGGATCTGCAGCCGCGGCGCAAGGCCCAGGTCGTCGGCGAGTGCCGCACGTGCGCCGAGAACGAGGTCTTCGACGCGCGCATGCAGCGCATTCGCGAGCGCGGACGCCAGGCTACGGGGGAGTCGGCGCTGAGCTCCGGGACGAGCGGTAGTAGGGGCGCGGCGGCGTTTAAGGCTATGTTACCTGGGCTGGGGTTGAAGAGGAATGGGAATGGGAATGGACATGCGTTCCGCGCTACGGTGGTGCATGTTGGACTTGATCCGTTGGAGGATGGGGGAGGAGGAGGGATGAGACATCGCCAGCATCAACACCAGAGGAGTAGTGTGTTCTGCGGGGCGGCGCCGCGGGCGAGGAGGGGCACGCCGCCGCCGGGGTATAGTCGGCGGTTGAGTATTTAGGGAGTATGGGGAATGCTACGACTAGGGGTAGGGTGACTGCTTACGACGAGGTTCGTGATACGGGTTACGTTTAGATGATGGGGGTAAGCAAGGCACGACAAAGGGAAGACATAGGATAGAGCTTGGAGGATAGATGGGCGGATGGATGGACGGATCGATAGGATCTCTGTTACGAATCTCTTCATGTATGGATGGGTCTAGGTCTACAGCTGGCTGGATGGTACAACAGCTCGTTCATGAAGCTATGGAGTTCTTAGGCCAAGGTTCAGGTTCATCTTTAAAGGGGCTTTCCGACTTTGATGATTGTGTGTGGATTGTGTTATCGCGATTGCATTACGGGTCTATGTCTACGGTACAGGTTTAAGTAAGGAAGGTCATGTCACGACTATGTACTCGGCGGGTGAATGCCAAACATTCTACGATGCTTCTTGCCCAACATACGACCACACTCACGGAAGGCGTGGAAGGCAGACACATACAGCTGCAATGATGATGATGATGGCGGGGTATTTCCACGCTCACTATTTCGTTAGGGGTTAGGATCCGGCGTAGTGGGGTGATAGTCAGATGGAGGGGTTCGATTCCCATAATCTTTGAGTTTTCGGTCTGGCTTCGATGGGGCGCCAGGGATAGTTTCCCTTATGTATACCCTTACCCCGCACTATAAACGAGCTAGGGATCAGGCATTTAGCTCCATCTTATCGATTAAGCTAATCCAATTGACTTGGCCGTTAAATTTATTGGTTATACCTCATCCTTACACCTTACAACCTTGTCGACTCTCTTGTTTGCGCGTCGTGTTGTCGCGTATTCTTATATGATAGAACCCTGCCAAATTCGTGCCGAGGTCATGGTGCGTCGTGATTGGAAAATGCCAAGATGAGGTTCAGATCAGATATCAAGAACGTACGCACGTTCTCAAGTGAGTTGAGAATTACGTTGGAAGTTCTACAAGATATATATATATGTTTCTAATATCGATGCTGCTCAGAACTGGTGGCTGCTCTCTCCTCCCTCGAGAAGATCGCCTGGGTCCGCCTTGACGATGAGACCGTACGCTTCACCGTGATACCGGACACCGGTTCACAAGTCTGGGCGTTCGTAAATCCTTGGTCTTCGCAAACTTAGTTACTGCGTTCCTAACATTCGCCATCTAGCTCTTTCTCTATGGACTTCATCTTTGACAACTACGCCCTACAGTCTGCGGAGCAGAATAACACCATTAACCTCGAGCTCCCTCTAGGCCCTCTCCAGCGTGCTTTGAAGTCGGCCCTCAACGGCGTCTCAGCCTCAATCCGTCTAACCAAGAAAGAAGGAATCCCCGTCTTATCCATGACCATCACCACAACCACCGCACCGAACAAGGAAGCCCAACCCCAAGGCGTAGCCCGCTTCGGCGCCGTCAACACAAATGCCGGCGGTCTTCAACACAGCGACGATGACGACGGGATATTTGCCCACGAGGCGCTAGAGACGAATCTCCACCGCGAGCGCGAGAAGATCATCACGCAAGACATCCCGGTCCGGGTCCTCCACCCCGACACCGTCGAAACCATCATGCAGCCCAAGGTCCGCGAGCCCGACGTCCACATCCAGCTGCCGCCCCTCCTGCAGCTCAAAGCGATCTCAGACCGCTTCACGAAGCTCGCCCTCGCGTCGCGCGCCTCTACCTCCATGTCTGCGTCCGCCGCGTCGCCTAAGCTGGAGCTTAGCGCGAACATGCACGGCGGCTTGCGTCTGCGCCTCAACACCGACACGCTTGATGTCGAGAGCCGCTGGGCTGGCCTCGAGAATCCGGAGCTGGACCCCGCGCAGCTGCCGTGTCCGTTGGAAGAGCATCCTAGCACTAAGTTCCGCGAGGAAGGGCCTGATAAGTGGACTACGGTGCGTGTTGACGGCAAGGATTGGAGTAAGGTGTTGAGTGTTGGGCGTCTGGAGGGGCGCGTTATCGCGTGTTTTGCGGATGATCATGCGTTGATTATGTATGTGTACGTCCCGCAGTACGATGATACCGGGGCGGAGGACTCGGTTGTTACGGTGAGTTTGTCTTGTGTCTTTCCCTCGTTCTTTGCGCGGGAGAAGGAGTGGTATTTGTGTGTGCGCTAATGATTTTTAGTATTACGTGTCTTCGTATAGTCTATGAGGATATAGAGGAGATTTGATGGGCGCATGCCAATTCGAATTTTGATGCTAGTGCCCGGATATCCCAGGGCAGGAATTGATTCAATCGGCGATTACGGATGAAATTGTAGATGGGTACTGTTAATCTCATGGGTCTTGTCAGCTTGTGGCTTGCTTCGTTGCTGGATATACCGCCTATAGAGCAGAGGACGCAAGTCAAACCTACCTAGTATATATGGGTTAAAATGAATTAAAACGAGAAGCTCAAATGTCCTTTCGAAATCTATGCTATCCATATCGGTGTACGAATTTGACTGTGTGGAACAACTTGAACTTAGCTGAATGTTGAATATGTATAAACTATTCAAATGGCCTCAATTCACAGAGTGGTATAATTTCAATTCTCCCTGCCTTTTTTTACATTTACAATCCATACCTACCTACTCATCCCTATAATTTAAGAACCATCCAATTCTCCCTCTGCCCCTCTCCCCCCTTCTTGTCCCGCTCCTCCAGAACCCCTTTCAAAACCCCATCAAGCGAACCCTGCATCTCGCCGCCCTTGTACCAGCGCTTCGGCCCCGCGTAAGCACCCACGAAGCCGTCGGGCCCGGACACGAAGACCAGGTTCGCGCCGGGCTTCGCTCCCGGGTGGGCCGCGGTGTAGCTCTTGGGCGCCGCGCGCGCGCACGTGCAGTTTATGTCGCGCCGGCTGCTGTCGTTGGCGTCGGGGAGCTTGGTGAGGAGCATGGGCGAGTGCCACGGGCATGTCGATGCTGGGGGGAGGAGGGGCGTTGGTTGTCTAACAGGAATAGGGGTCGTGGATGGAGATGGGGATGGGGACGAGGAAGGCGGTGGCGAGAGGGCAGCGTGTAGAGATTCTGCGTTGATGAAAGAGCCCTCTTCATCGACGAAATACGCTATTCGGAAATGCTCCGGGTGCTGCTCTTGCATCTCGCGAATCTGTCGCGCCAGCGACGCTTCGTCGCTCCGTTCCTGCTCCTTGACGTCCCGCTTCTCCTTCGCCTCCGCCGCGTCCCCGCGCAGACTCGTTATCCACCCCTGCACCTTCCCCCCTACTCCAGACGCCTGCCGCCGTCCCAGCGCATCCGCGCCGCGCCGGTTCGCCCACAGGATAGACACCCGCGGCTTCTCCTGCTCCGGTATAGGAATCTCCAGAAGCCTCTTAGCGACCTGCAGCGCGGGCGCGACGCCCGTGCCGCCGGCGAGGAAGACGGCGTTCTCGGCGAACCCGAGACGCTTCTCGATGTCGAAGCTCGGGTGAGGGCCCCGCAGGTACACTTGCTCGCCCACGCCCAGCTTGCTGAGGTACGTGGACATCTCGCCGCCGTCCATCTTGCGGATCAGGAATCGTAGCTCCGCTTCGTCGTTGCTGTTGTTGTCGCTAGATGAGGGGGGAAGCGGCGTGTAGTGCCGCGCGATTTGTAGTTGCGGCTGCTTCGCCTCGACGGACCAGAGGCCGTAGGCCCAGGCGTCTTTGAACGGTTTTGTGGACCCTGGTTTACCTTTCTCGGGGGAGTCGCCGGCGCGCACGCTGATGACGAACGCGGTGGGCGAGACTTGCTCTTTGCTGGTTATGGTGAAGGGGCTGAATGAGGATGTGTTGATGACTGCGTTCTGGTCCGAGGGCGCGCCCTTGAGGACTAGGGCGAACATGATGACGGCGCTGAGGCCGGCGAGGTTGAAGAGGATCCATGTCTTGTACTGCTGTCTTCGCCCGGGAAACGGCGGCGGTTGCCCTTCAGGTTGGCCTTGCTCTTGCTCTTGTCCTTGTGTGGGTCCCGGTGGTGGGTTCTGAGGTGCATTGTTTTGACGGGCTGAGAGGACCGAGAAGGCTTGAGTTTTAGGGAGGAGGATGCGGGTTGTGCGTGATGAGATTTGGTGCTGGTATTGTATGGGCAGTGCGTAAGGTCTAAGACAGGCGGCTCGTGAGCCGGAGAGAAGACCCGACCTCACTCGGCCGGCGCATCTTGCTGCTAATGAGATATTCATCGATATAAACTCATTATTCTATATCTTATAAATTCAATTGATGTAGAAAGATTCAGAATTTGACGTTGTATGTATGAATTGATCTGAATTGATTTTGAATATGAATTTCAATAAACCGAGGATTGAGCTGTCTAAAGAAAATTGACAAGTGCCAGCTGGTGGCGGCTGGTGTTCAACCGACCAGGTGCGAGCTCGCTATTATCGTATACAAACGCCCGAGAAAGGGGTATAGATTCTTTGCCGGCTTATGGAGCCTCATGAATTCACGATATTTTTAATAGGCAAGATATCGAGAAGTGAGAGAGCAGGATTTGGTATTTGACATCTATGTACCCATCCAATCAAAGCCTTTTCCTGTTTCGCCTTATTCCAAGTCGACTGTTCATAAGTCGGAGTTTGATCATGAATAATCGTACAAAACCGGGAGTCTACCATTTCGACACAGCATCTGAATACGGCCAAATACATAACCTCTATAATCTAAGGATCTCTCCCTGTTGGTTGATTCCGCCTCTAAAGTGATCGGCGATAACGTTTCCATTGAGAATGGTCTCCTTAATGACTCCCTCCACATGCTTCGGGTCTACCCTGCCGTACCAGATTCCGTGGCCGGCTAAGGGATGCGAGTTACCCGCGCTGTTCTTGAACTTTGGCGGGATATAGATTATAACGTTGCCTGCATACTTGTGACCACCGATGTGGCTAATCTGGGCAACCCTTGCTGTACGTGGTATTTGTGTTTCTGATGTGGTGCCAGAGAGCTGTGGCGCAGTGATACTTTCGTCGAGTGCCGGCCCTTGAAGAACATCTATTCCCGTCCGAGGTAATTGTCTTTCGAATTCCTCTTGAAGGATGGGCCCGTAGATACCACATCTCTTGTCCCTCTCTCCATGCCCGCATATTAATACAAGCACATCTTCTACATCGCGTACTCCGTAGAGCAATTGCTGGTAAGTCTCTTTCCGCGTCAATCGGTCCTTATGTATCGGGGATAGCCCATCATTCATCGGATGTAACTTATCCGGGAGTAGGTAGCCCTTAACCAAGGCTTCTACGGATTCGAATGACACTCTTGGGAGGAACGGGATGTATTTGAAACTAGGGACAAGGTAGACCGACGTAGTCTGCACTTCAGGCCGTCTAGAGATCGCCGAGGGGAAAGAGGTGTTCACGATAGAGATATTATGAAAGGGCTATGATTATCTAGCGTTAGCATATGGTCATTTTGGACGATGCCCGAGAATCGCATAGAATCGGATAAGTAATTCTCCCAGAGAATCAGATTGAAACTCACATCACTATAAACACCTCCTCGACCGATCAGTTCTTTCAAGTCTGCTGCTAAATTATCGCCGCTATTATCCTCCTCTATCCGCGATGACCAATCATCCTTGCCAGTACATATTAAGACCTGTTGCGCGTACGCCGCTATGAGGCCATTCAGATTAGCATTCGTATCAATGCCCTTCCCCCAGGGCATCGACGGCGTATCCGCGCAATCGCATGTCGGCTCAGGACATTTCGGGACCGTATTCAAATACCGTCGCGTGGCTATCGGGGTTACAAAGTTCGTTTGTCTTCTATAGGCGGTGCGCCTCCACGCTCCTCTGGCTAACGGTCGCAAAGACATTGAAATAGGGAAACAGGGTCGCGACCTGTTATAGAGCAATTGTCTCTGGTAAGAGCCATGTCAGCTTAGAGATGACGGAGGTTTTGTCGCCTCGACTTTTCTTAAGGAGTGTGGTGCGGTTCGTTCGTTCATTGTCTCCCCGAGTCTCCGGTTGTATTGTGCGTACCTCCGAGCATTCGGATTTACGGAGTTACGAAATCGGTCTATTAGTAATCGCGCCTACCCTTAAAGTTGATTGGATGTCCGACCGTGCTACCAGCAACACGTACTTGCCTACACATTCTAGGGTACAGCAGGCCGATTTATTTGAGATTCTTAAGATTCGGTACTATTCCAGTTACTTTACCCTTACAGGCTAATATCCTTTTCTGGGTTATATTTCTCTAAGCTGTCCAAGGGCCCGTACTTCTCGCAAAGATATAACATATCGTTATAAGCTCTGCGAAGTGTTAGTTATTAGGAGATCTGATGCTGAAGAAAAACAGGTCACTAACATTTGCCTCGAAATACTTCCTGGATGGCCGGCCGAGTCATTGAGATACGGATGAATGCTATAGAGACGGTTGCGGTCGTCCCATTCTGCTACCGGGTTTGAAGGCACGATGTGGCGCTGATAAAGTCGCGTGTAGATGCGCGTATTCGAATTGAAGTAATTCGCCCATGTACATCGCCAAGTCCCGAACTCCATCTCATGATGGGCATACGTGCATCCAGGATCAAACAAGACAGGCTCGCCTGTTTCCATATCAATCCCGATGTTCCGTTCCCACAAATCGCCGTGTATTAGAGACGGAGTTATATTGCGACCGTCGGATTGTAGAGCTCCCAACAGTCTTGGGATGACCACATCGATGAGCTGCTTGCAGGCGGCATCATACTCCGGCCAAACACCATTCGTCTCGTTATCATACTTTATGACGTCCTGAAGTTGATGTGTGAAGGATTTCGCCCAGCTCGTCTCCCACTACATGTTCATAATTAGTGACTTATCGAAGTGGGCTGGTCTTGGTAGGCATCGTGAAGGCTTGGGTGAGCCAAGATTGGTTTGCCGACAGGAATCTCTTACGGTTACTGTACGCTCCATCTTGCCGCACACGGTCGGAACGGGATATCCAAACATTCCATTTGGAGAAGTGCCCTTTTCATGAAGTTCTGCTATCTTGGACATGAACTCAGCAGGCTCTGGAATTCCAGAAAGGTCCATATCATGGAAATCCCCCAGAAAGAAGTATACCGTTGACTCCCCATTTTGGTATTCACCACATCCGCACGGCTTGGGCACAAGCTTGGGTACAACTTCGTTAATAGCAGATGCAGAGTGGAATTCTCCAAAGGCTAATGCGCGAGCGCCTTGGCCGGTTGCGCATTTTAGAAAGTAGTTCTTTTTGGTCCCATCTTGCAATATGACTGATACTTTCGCCGTTTTTGACCATGCTGATGTACCATTCGATTCAGCAGAAACTATCCTCGTACCGTTGGGCATAACTATAGAGGCGATTAGCTAGGGCTATCGACGTTTTCACACTAATTATCTTTGCCTTTAAGAACTGCTCTGTTAATGGGAAAGTTCCCTTTAATTTCTGATACCCACTCCGACGAATCTGAAGACATCGTATTTGCAGCCAGTGAGCTTAGAAAGATCTTGAGCGAGAAATTACGAATATTCGATGGGCTGAACTCCAGGCTTTTCGAAGTAGTACAGCCCGAAGTGAGGCTTTGAATACTACTGTTGGTTGACTTATATTGCCAATGCTACCTCGGCGTTTAGGTAGCAAATAGGGGGTTGAGGCTGTGCATGCGCAGGGTTGGTATGGGGCTGCATGTGACATCTTACAACCGACAGTGGGCGCCTTGGGAGGCCACCTCATGCTTCGAGGATTTGAGCACTTAATACCTTCAAGAAAGTCTAACGTTGGGGGCTTCAATAATTTCCATGGTTGAGTAGCCCATTAACGCGCGATGGTCAGTTGTTCATTCCACCTCTACGACCTTGCAAACTAACATGTTACCAGCTTCGAAGACTGTCGACGTTCAGGAGGAAACCCCGCGATGAAACGCAGCCTCACCAAGCAGCATCCGAATCTCAAGGTTCTAACTCAATATCGTCTAACGTCTCATACCCAATTCAAGCATATGCGATCGAACATAGAGCGACCACTCATTTCTCAACTGGTACGGCAAACAACAGCGATGTCCAGTTGCGAAAGAATAATGAGACTGAGGCTGGGCCGCTGGGCCTAACTGTCGTATATACCCCCGAAAATGTTCGTAAAGCGGACATTATTTTCATACACGGACTCGGGGGAACCAGTCGGTGGACCTGGTCGAAAAACCGAGATCCAGATCTATTTTGGCCAGCGAAGTTTCTGCCTCTTGAGTCAGACATCTGCCATGCTAGAATACTAACCTTTGGATACAACGCCAACTTCCGCAAAGCAGGAAGTGTGAGCACCTCCATACTTGACTTTGCGAAAGAGTTATTATTCGATCTAAAATACGCCAAGGATGATCAAGGGGACGACTTAGATATGGGAAGTGTAAGCATGACTCTGAACAAGATACCTCTTGATACGTCTAACTCGGCTATCAGGTGCCTCTGATTTTCGTAGTCCATAGCATGGGAGGTCTCATATTCAAGGAAGTACGTATAAGACCCTGTTAATAATCTCCGTATTAACGAATTATAGGCCTACATAGAGGGTCAAAACGACCCGGAATATGAATCTATCATAAAGGCCATATCTGCAATCGTCTTCCTCTCCACACCACACCGTGGCACACATCTTGCTCAGACGTTGAATCGGATCCTACAGTCAGCTATGATCACGAATCCGAAGCAATATATATCTGAGCTTGTGAAAAATTCATTCACCCTGGAAAGACTTAACGAGCAATTCCGCCACATTGCACCTCGGCTGGATATCATTTCATTTTATGAAACTCGGCCTACTTCCATAGGTCTGATGAATTTTGTGAGTGGTATTTAGCCACTATCTGACCCTCTGCTGATTATTTCGTAGATGGTTTTGGAAAAAGACTCCTCTGTTCTTGGGTATCCCGGGGAAATTTCAAGGGCACTTGATGCAGATCACCATAATGTGTGCAAATTCGGAAGCCCTACAGATCCCAATTACATCGCCGTGAGGAACGTTATCAAATCACTTATCGGCAAAATAGAATCAACAACTAAAGCAAAGAAAGATGCCCCGTTAAATAAAGACGAAATGCGTGGCCTGAGGTCTCTACTGGCCATCTCGGAGCTCCCATTTGTCGATTATAGCTTTTTTAGGGACCAGTGGGAGCCTGGGACCTGTGGATGGATTCTTCAAGATGAGAACTTTATTGAATGGGATAGAGCCTCCGAGTCTGTGCCTTGTTTCTTATGGTTGAGCGGCGGACCTGGTACCGGAAAGTCGGTGTTGTCGTCGTTCATCATTAACCACTTAGTAGAGCGTGGTACTTGTTGCCAATATTTCTTCATAAGATTTGGTGATCAGAAGAAACGGACTCTGAGTTTCCTGCTACGGTCAATTGCATTTCAATTGGCCCAAGCCGTCCCGAATTTCGCGCGGAAGCTCCTTGAACTCATTGATGAGGGCATTGACTATGAGTCTGCGAGCCCTAGGATGATTTGGGATCGCATCTTTAAAGCTGTTCTATTCAATATGAAGCAGGAGTTAAAGCCTTTCTATTGGATCATAGATGGGTTAGATGAGGCACATGATCCTCGGGCAACTATTAAGTTGCTTTCGGATATCTCTCGCTATCCCATCCCGCTTCGGATTCTACTCACAGGGCGCAAAATCTCGGAAATCGGATCTGCCTTTCAAAAGGTCCCAGGTTCATTAACTGTTGGAGCCGTGACTGTCGAGGGTCACCTTGAAGATCTATCATGGTATATCCGTCAAGAACTTGATATGCCTGGTAGCCTTGATTTCAGAGAGAATGTTGTGAAGCGAGTTGTGGAAGGTTCACAAAATAGCTTTCTTGTGAGTTTCCCAAGAGCGATCTTCTTGCCTGTAAAATGAACTAATTTTCTAGTGGGTTCGACTTGCTGTTGATAGGTTGAATTCATGCCATAGACTCTCTGATGTCGAGCTGGCGTTCCAGGAGTTGCCGGTTGGAATGGAAGCACTGTATGAACGAATGGCATCATCGATCGCACAGAATCACTCGCAAGCTGACAGGGCTTTAGTGTCGAGCATTCTAGAGTGCGTCGCTTGCTCGTTCCGTGAACTGTCGATTGCAGAGTTACCGCATGGCTTGGACGAAGATATATCCGAGATGCTAGATTTCGGACGATCGATCATAGATCTATGTGGTGGTTTCGTGACTATTGACAATAGCGGAAATGTCACGATGATACATCATACTGCTCGCGAGTACCTGATGAGCGCTGGCGAGAAACCATTCCGCGTTGATCCTGGAACCGCTCATGAGCGCATGTTCTTAAGTTGCATGAACTGTCTTATGACCGCGAACCTTCGAGACAAGATAACTCAGAATCAGACTCCGGAATTTGTTGATTATGCTTCAAGCTGGTGGTCGCCACATCTAATCTCAACGTCACCCGGTCGTACACAGATCATTGAGGTTCTGAAGGAGTTCCTGACTAGCCACTGGGTTTTAACGTGGATATATGTCATTTCTATTATCCACCAACAACAAGTACTTATCCAAGCTTCAAAGGATCTTTCGAAATACTGTCTGAAGGAGCAACAGTACGCCACAAAGCTAGGTGATAACGACGTATATGTTACAGAACACGAGCTTTTCAAAAGCTGGTCTATTGACTTTGTCAAGATATTAGGAAAATTTGGTGCGAACTTGCGGCGAAACCCACAGTCGATATACGAACTCATTCCTCCTTTCTGCCCTCGGAAGTCTTCGATATACCAACTATTCGGCAAAGCAGAAGCGAGTAGCATTACAGTATCGGGAATTTCTATGGAAGACTGGGATGACTCACTCGCACGTATGTCTTTCGGGTATGGAGACTACGCATCATCCATTGCGGCATCTGGGGCTCTAGTTGGTTTCCTTACCTCTCCAGGGGACGTCTTCCTATATGACTCTTCAACATTTGGAGAGGTAGAGGTATCCCCAATCAAACACGGAGAACGTGTGTACAGAATGGAACTTAATAGTACTGCTACATTGCTTGTTACTTATGGATATCGAACGACAAAGATATGGGAAACATCTACCGGAGACTGTAAAATATTGGTCAATAACCTTGAGTCGCGACCCCGACCACTTTCCATACTGTTTACCAACAACAGTAAAACTCTTCTTGTGGGACATGACGACAGGAGGATACACTCGCTTGACCTGAACCAACAATTTCCCACCTGGGAGCTTGTCGTAGAGTTGGAAGAACCGGAGCTCGAAGGGCACTTTCTGAACTCGCCAAATTACATGGCTTTAAATAAGGATGCAACGTTGATTGCCGTGGCCTATCGTGGACACCCGCTGTCGGCATTTGAGGTAGATGGACCATCACACATAGGTCATTGTTGGCGAACACGAAAACAAGTTGCTAGGGGCGAGGTGATTGATGCGGTCTGGCATCCGCACGACCCTGAACTACTGGGTCTTTATATGGAGGGAGTTGTTTTCAAGTGGCGTCCGTATGAAGACAAAGCTGTTGAGATGTCTATAGGGGCATCTAAACTGGCAATCAACGGAGAAGGGAACCTTTTCGCTACTGGCGATTCGCGCGGAATAGTAAAAGTTTTTACCACGTCCGGCTTTGGTTTGGTATATCAAGTGGCGTCCCTAGACATTGTTCTAGGTCTAACATTTAGTCCTGACAGCCAACGTGTCTATGACATCAGAGGATCCTATGGGAGTGTGTGGGATCCGAAAGAACTTATGTTATTACGCACATCATAGAGGCATTAGGAAAAGGCATGCATGTTGGATGGAATCAAGGTGCATTGCTTGGATGATAGACTAGGAGAGTGTTGTTGGATTAAGACTAGACACCAACACTATATGCTGTTGGAAGATGGCTGTCGTATCCTAAATAGGAAAGAATGTAGTAGATGACAAGAAATAAGTTCACCATAAAAGGACGCAACAACCTAAAAGGATTTAAGGGGTCCTTACGAGGTCAAACAAGACCCAAAAAGTTCGTAATTCTGTATACGACCCTAAGCCCCTTTCTTAATCATGCAGTTCGAAGAACAGGCCCGTCAAAGTGCCGAAAGTGGAAATGGAACTGAGAGTTTTACCAGTAATCCTTCGACTGGCATCACTACACTCGCAGCCTCGCCCGCAGGACGCATATACAGCTGTGGAACGAAAAGGGGGCCGGCGCATCTATTTGACTTGCATCAAGACAAGGTTTTCGACACCATCACGCCTAAAGATGCTTCGAGCATCGAGCAAATGAGTTGGAGTGATGATGGAAGGTTCCTATGCTTTTCCGACACTGGTAGAAGGGTCTTCATCATAAGAGTCGCTATGAACGGAAGCGTTCTAGAGCCGGCAGTGGAAATCAAGGCAGAGATTCCAATGAAGAACATAACGAAAGGGCCGATCACACAATTGCTTTTCCAACCTGATTCAAGCTGTCTCTTGGTGTTTACATCTAACACCGTTCATTCCATCTCGCTCACGTTATTTTCAGTGGTAAATTCAGCTGAATTGCTGATAGCCGAATGCAAGTGGATTGTTCATCCTCAAGACCCTGAACTGATCATTGGGTTCAACCCTCAACATGCGGAGATTCTGAACTGGGACTTAATTGAGAAGCAAGTCTATGTCACATGGCTGACGGGCTCCTCGGAAGTGCTCAAAGTTGATAAAGTCATCGTCACCCAAGACAAAAGGCACATATTGGTCCAAAAGTCTTTTCGCGACCACAATATAAAGGAAAGGGCTCTCCATTATTTCGAAACGTCCAGATTGTCAATACCTCCAGAAACGGCCTCTAGAGTTGAACAGACCAATGGATCAAGGCCAATACTTCCAGTTTCTATTCCTCATGAGATGGCATCTAAAGTCGCTCTTCCGCTCTCGTTTCAATCAGAAGACCATCTCGTATTCCTGTCTGAAAATCTTTCTATCTGTTCCTGGCAAATCCCTTCAGGCGGGCCTGTATCCATCATAGAATCATTGCGTGGATCTCGCAGCAATATAGCCACCGGAGCTTCATCTACTTCTGGTCGCCAACAAACCAGCACTGCCCCTGGAAAGCGGGTGGAGGAGCTGTTCTCATTGCCGGGGGACTGGATTAGTAGAGACTGTCTCTCCCTGTGCGTTATATGGGGAAAAGAGGGAGCTTTTCTCTACCCGAGGAACGGAGAAGTCGCCGTGGTTAAATTCGCGGCTTTGACTTGACTCAACTCTACTAAGCATTGCCTACCTAGCCAACAGGCCTTGGTATACGCCTCTCTTCATGACACCTGGTTTCCACTGTACCCCATTCTAATACTCAGAGACCGACGACAAGGCATCAGCTATCCAGGAAGACAAAGACGCGGCCAATGCCTGAACCGTCGATCAAATCTTGTGCAAACGACACCATCTTTTTCAAGGAGGATCGCGATATGCTAGATAATATCGGGTTATGTAGGTAATCTATTTTAAGGGGGTTATAACTGACTGGATGGTAACTAAAGGTCTAACCAAAAGTCATTGCAAAAGCAGTGATATATAAAAAAATTTGCAAAATAGGAGGATCTTAACTAACCATCAGTATCTTGTCGCCCCAAACTCCATCGATCAAAACCAAGCCCGGTACAAGAGTTCCACAGTCTCTCCAGCTAAATTGAATTTTCCATCATGGGGTTCTTTAACCTATCATTATATTGTGGTGCGTGATTATTCGTTTCAAGTGCTAAAAGGGGTAAACAAGAATAAAATTTCATCAGCTTGGGTAGATGAAAGAACCTGTCTGTGGTCATACTATTCTCAACGGTGACTATAATCTACTCGTCGATAGCTATGTCGTGGTCTCATATCCATAGCATAGTTCTCGTCTCTGTGAAGCTATTCACCACAACTATACGACATACCTCCGAGATGGATCCAATAAACAGCCCCCTATTAGGCACTTTCCTAGCCAGCTCGTCCTAGCCACCACATCTCAGCCGCTTTATACGAGCCGCCTTATACAAGCCGCCCCCTCCGTATAAGCCGTAGAACTTATACTACCCAGCCGCTTTTACACCGCCCACAGGCCACGCATTTGTTGACAGAACCACGAGTCTTAAACCTTACCACAAAATCTTCCTTCTTCACTCCTTCACCTTCATCACCCTCATCACCTTCACAATCTTTCCTTACTCTCAACCATCAACTCCCATCCGTGATCATGGATATTAATCAGCCTTCGATCATGGAAGCTCTTCAGCTCCCTCCTTCTGAACGAGCTCGCGTTGTGTTCTTTCTCGGTCGCCCCCATGTCTTCGTTCGAGGAACCTATGCACTGCTCATCGACTGGATGTTCGTAATGTGGCTCAACGTCATATCCATGATGGGTACCGTGGCCTTCTATCAAGATCTTCTTGGTTTGAAGATCCCGGCCGTCCGCGGTCTTACTATGGGCATCGCCCAACTTGCCGCCACGGCAGACCGACCTGTGCCATTTTTCGACAAGTCTATTCTCGCGATGATGGCAATCGTACTCTTCCGTTCGTGTAAGTATTTCTTATTATATTTTTCTATTATCTTACCTTCCATCAGTAACTGCGTTGCTACTTGCTTCCCTCTTATTTTTTATTATCGTCCCTCTGTGTCTCAATACATGAGTGTCATTCTGAACTATCACATGTAATGGTCAAATGGGTGCTTAATTAATATTTCGCGCCACATATAACGAGATGCTGTTTGATGATATAAATACTAACTCGGTCTCTAGTCTACGTCACTACTCCTTCGTATACCCGATGCCTGGACGTCTTTCGTCCCCGACCCCAATTCCGAGAGAAGATGGACGAGATTCTTCACAGAGCCTCGGCAATGGCAACATTCGTTCTTAGCGCACAACTCCTGGCCTGTCTATGGTATCTTACGTTCATCTACATGGAGCGCGAACTTGAGAATGCAACCCAACCCGATGCAGAAGCAATCTCGTTCTCCTCGATACCTGCCTTAGTATTCTTCATGCTCAACCGAATCGTCCCTGCTTACGGTATGGCTATCGCTTCGTTCCACCAGATACTTGGCACCGCAGAGATTACTATCTTAGAGATCAACGTTGCCTTCATTCTCATCAATGTGGGATGGGCTGTGTTGTATCGACTCAACTAAACTGCCTGCCGGAATGATTCGGTATATGATCAACCTCTATGGTTACGGCTCATGGTTCACGGGACCACGGTTTAAGAAAAAGATTCGATTCATATACCGATGGCTTTAAATAAAGAGGAACGGTTGGCAAAAAGGTTGGCGTTAACTTTGAGGGATGGTTGATGATTTACTCTCCCCCACCAGTCTTTCTGCTCGATACGATGGAAGCATGCCAACGAGACATTCCATCATGGGAAAGGCATAGGTGTAGGACAGGGGGGAGTTGGCAAATCCAGAATGAAAAAGGAGGCAGAAAGATCCTGCGGTTGTAATTATGAGCACTCAGTTTGTGTTACTATGCTAGATCAATCAAACCTTCAAAACTGAATGTCGACTTCTTATGAATGGAATGACGTTACATGCGTGACGACCCCTAATAATGCTCCATCCAACCAAACATCGTAACCTTGACTTTACTTTTCGGGTAGGTGGCTAGGACCTTGTAGCTCCAACCTATCACATGCGATCCTTCGGTAGGTGATTGGCAGATATAGATCAGTACCGCCGATCATCTCGGTCAGTAGATCATTTATTAACACATGAGCCCCTAGATTAACTAAACGTTGCCAAGATGATTTTGAGGACCGTCTTCACCTCACGGTATCTTGATTTTTTTAAGAAAGCATATAGTTAGCTTCACGATGAGGTTCACTAGCTTTAGAACCGTCGTCGCGACGGCCATCTTCGGCGCCGCCGCCGCTGTTACATCCGAAGGGACAGCGGGTTGCGGCAAAAGTCACCCGCTTCCTAACATAACGCAATATTTCGGCCTTACTAGCAGCGGGCGAGACCGAAGCTATTCGGTCCACCTCCCGGCCAACTACAGCGAAACGGCCCCATACCCGGTCGTTCTCGGATTCCACGGCTCAAGCAGCGTCGGGCTTTTCTTCGAGGCGGACACGAAAATGAGCGAGGCTCGGTTCAGCGGCAATGTACGTCGTCCATACCATAATACCAAGGTAGTAAAACTAACAAGAAATCCAGAAAATAATGGTCTACCCCAACGGCATCGGCGTAAGTGACTCTTACCTACCTGACCCGATCCGAATAACTGAATCTTTGTCCCAGGGCGCATGGGCCGGAGCGAACTACTCCGAAGTATCGGTCTCCGAGGACCTGCAATTCGTGTCGGACCTGCTCGACGCCGTACGGGCCGCGTACTGCGTCGACGACAGCCGGATCTACGCCACAGGGTCAGTTCTCCCGAAAAAGCCGGACCCTAAAACAGGTATATATTAACCAGCACCAGCATGTCCATCGGCGGCGGCTTCGTCAACACGATCGCCTGCAGCGCCGTAGGATCTAATTTCGCCGCCTTCGCGCCGGCCTCGGGGTCGTTCTACACGGACAACGACGCGCTGCACGGCAACTGCACTCCGGCGCGCAGCCCGCTCCCCGTCCTCGAGATCCACGGCGGCGCCGACCAGAGCGTGTACTATGCCGGCGGCGCGGGCGAGGGCGGCCAGGAACCGGATATACCGACGTGGCTTGGGTGGTGGGCGGCGCGGAACGGGTGCGATGATGCGGGGAAGACGGTCGAGGAGAGCTTTGATGGGGATGTGCAGCATATGAGCTGGACGTGTGGGAGTGCGCAGGGCGCGCTGCAGCATTGGAAGGTTGATGATATGGGTGAGTTTCCTTTCCTTCTCTGCATTTCCCAGTAGCTGTGTTTTCCTCGCGTTTTGTTGAGTATAGATTTTGACTGGATCTTTGTTTGCTGACGAGGGGCGTTCCGTGTTTAGGACACTGCTGGGCTTCGACCGAGATCAACTTCTCCCAGATCTCGGTGGGTGAGGGCCCGACGCATATAGAGGCTTCGCAGATCATTATGGACTTTTTTGATCAGTACACTAAGCCGTGAGGGGATGAAACATCGGTAATTTGGTATGTTGGAATGGTGGTATATATATAGGTGGTTACATAATATTCGCTGTAGATATTGCATTAGGTTGGCGGTCATCGTATGAACTCCTCTATGGAATCCCTGAATGGACAGAGGATTTTTATGCGGCGGAGACTATAATCCATTCGGGCTGATGTATAAAATAAGTCTTAACTCTGGAGGACTCGGCTGTAGATGTGAAGCGTAAGGGGCCGGTATAGAAGTTCAAAAAGTGCGGCGTATGAACACAGCCCTACCATGGCCACTTCCTCTAACCGGCACCTCCACGCCGTCAACCTTAACGCTATCTGGCTCGTTCTCGTCGGGTTTCATGTCAGGCCAATCTCTCCAGACCTCGATCTCAACACCATCGAACCGGCTACGCGTCATCTTCACCACACGAAGCCCTTGGGCCAAGTCGCCAACTTCAAGGACGGTGAACCGCGGCTGGAGCAGTTTTGCCACATCTAGTATCCTGGTGTAAAAGACATCTTCCGGCTGACATCCCATTGGTAACTGAAGGCTTGTTGGCGGAGTAGGTACTAAAGCGAGCTTGGGCTCGTACCTGCGCACCGAACGCTCCGTGTCGCGATTGAATCCTCGAGAAGAGATATACGGCGGGTTAGCAACCAGTATATCCACCCGCTCCCCTCCCTCTACCTCATCTCCATCCCGCGAAAGACGCAACGACGACATCCACTCCGCAGAGAAAATATCCGCTTCTTCAAACGCGACATCCCGCTCCCCTCTCGGCAGCACCCCAAGCCGCACATTAAACGCCCAATTCTCCCTCGCCAGCGCAATAGCTTTGGGCTCAACATCAACACCTCGAACACCCATCCCGGGGAATCGCCGGTGCAAAAGCGAGTACAGCAGCAGCGCAACGCATCCGGACCCCGTACACAGATCCAGAACCCTCGGGCCCTCATCATCCCCTCTACCCGCAACCCCATACCCATCCCCGCTCGCGCGCACAACCTCCGCGAGCCGCGTAACCCAGGCCTCGGTCTCGGGCCGGGGTATCAGCACGCCGGGCCGACACTTGATCTCCAGATCGCCGAACGGCTGCGTGCCTAAGACGTACTGCAGCGGATACCCCCGCCCTCTCTTCCGACAGAGATCGGTTAGCAACAGCGACTCCCGCTTACGCGCATTGGCCAGGCCGACGAGTCGGGCTTCACGGCCATGTGGAGACGAAGGCAGCGTGTTAGCCACGTGCTCGCGAATCCAGCGCAGCTCGTTGCGCGCCGAGGCCAGGGTCCTGCAGGCGGGGAGCAGCGCGGCGAGGTGTGGCGAGGTGCGGTGCGCGCGCCGGAGGAGGGACGGCGGTAGGCGTGGCATTCGCCCGGCTCGACTCCGGATTGGATCGGATTACTGACGCCTGGATCCCGGATATGATGGTTTCTTGCGGAATGTTGATTTTGGATGTAGGAGGGCAATTTTGAAGATTTGAATCTGCTTGGAAAGCTCTGCGACTGGACCCACTTTCTGAAAGCAAGCTTATTCATTGGCTGACGCTAAATCTTACGCCCCCTTTTCGAACCCCCCCTTCGCTCGACGTATTTAGGTAGATTATAGAGCAGGTGCCGTCTGCAAAGGACATTTGTAGACTCTAGTATTACACGTCTGTAAATGGATTTAAGCACTGAGCCGGGTATCTTTTCGTATCTACCTACATCCCTGTATAGGTATACAGCACCCCTTTTAACCAGCTTCTACTCTACCTTACTTTTGTTTCGGAATCACATAATTCACGACCGCGCCGCCCTTCACAGGGAACACCTTCTTCGCCTTCGTGATATCGTTATCGCCAACCAATTTCTGTCTTGCCTCTTCCGACCTAAGAATCTCGCTCCGAACCCACTCAAGGAACTCGTCGCTCCCGTCCGCTATCTCCGCGGGCTTCGTCGGGATCTCTACTACGCAGCGCAGCTTTCCATTGACCTGGACGGCACAATTTATGCGACTTGGACCTAGATGCTGTAGCGAGTTGTCTGGTATGGGCCAGGAATCGGTGAATATGCTGCCGTTACCGGGCTTTAGGATGCTCCAGCACTCCTCGGCAAAGGCCGGCGTGATGGGCGCCATCATTCGTAAGAGTAACAGTGAGGCCTCGCGCTTGATCACGTCGGAGGCCTCTTGATTTTTGATGAGGAGGTTGGTAAGCTCCATCAGACTTGACACCGTAGTATTCATCGAGTAAACCTTTTCTATGGCATTGGTGACGGAGATGATGGTGTTCTGTGTCGCGCGCCACACTTCCGCATCTGCAGCTCTCTGTGAAACCTCCTTTTCATCCACTTTCTGTGACTCCGCAAGTCTCTGGAAATGTACCTCACCGTTAAATACGGCATCTTGCGTGTTTCCCGGTTTTGGAATATTCTGGATAAATTCGAAGACTCGGCGCAGCCAACGGGTAACACCCAAAATCTTATCTTCGTCCCAATTCAAGACCTCCCCAACGGGTGCCTGGAATAGGATGTGAGCTCTTGTGGCGTCGGATCCATATTTGGCAATAAAAGTGGTCGGGTCCACACCGTTGTGTTTCGACTTTGACATTTTTTCAAACGAGACCGCTGCAGTTTTCCCTGATACCATAACTTTCGGCTCGGAGAGATCTGAGAGATCGACTTCGTCCGGTTTCAAAAAGCGCCCACTATCGGGGTCTGAGTACGTCTTTCCATGCACCATCCCTTGTGTGATGAGTCGCCTGAACGGTTCTCGCAAAGGATCTACCGGCAGTCCAAGTAGGTCTACGACAGCCTTGTATATGAATCTAGCGTAGAGGAGGTGGAGAATGGCGTGCTCGACTCCGCCAACATAGAGATCAACCGGTAGGAAGCTTTTTGCCAGGTCTTTAGAGATAGGGGCTTCTGAGTTGTGAGGATCTGGGAATCTCATGTAATACCAGCTAGAATCTACGAAAGTATCCATCGTGTCAGTGTCCCTCTTAGCAGGACCATGACATTTGGGACAAGACGTGTTGACCCAGTCCGTCGCAGTTTCTAGAGGGTTTCCGGCTCTACCATCTTCCCAATGGGCATCTACTTTAGGTAGGGTGATAGGTAATTGATCATCTGGGACGGGTTGGGGCCCACAGGTAGAACAGTGGATGATTGGGATTGGGGTCCCCCAGTACCTCTGCCTGCTAATTAACCAGTCTCGTATTCTCCATTTCGTGCTGCTCTGTGCGAGGTTTGACGCATCCTTGATCTGGTCAATGATTTCCCTCGCAGCGTCACTAGAGGGCATCGTGGAATAAGAACCAGTCAGACGGGTGCAATATCCAGGCTCTAGATAAGGGCCATTCTTGAGGTGTCCGGTAGATCCATCAGGTTCCGGTGAAACGGCATATTCGAGAGGTATCTCGGGACAGTGTCTTCGCCAGAATGCAAAGTCCCTCGCATCGTGAGCCGGGACTCCCATAATTGCGCCGGTCTTGTAATCTCCTCGGACATACGGAGCGACAAAGATGGGAAGATGAAGAACATGCTGTTCCGGCATCTGCATCGAAAAGGCAAGCGGACTAATCGCCTTCAGCTGCGGTATCCGGTAACCCTCTGTACTATCTGGGGGGAGGTCCTTTATGCGTTCTAAAAACTCCCGGAGCTCTGTATCGTCTTGCGCTAACCGTTGCACTATGGATGACTTGGGCGAGAGGGCGATAAATTGAGCCGCATATATAGTTTCCGGCCTCGTCGTATATATCTTCAGCGAGTGCTTCTTCGTCTCGTCGTTCTCAGTGTAGGCGAATTCATAGTAAGCACCTTCGGTACGTCCAAGCCAATTCTTTTGCATGGTTAAGACTCTCTCGGGCCAAGCCTCGTCTTTACTCAGCTTCTCGAGGTCTTCCAAAAGCGATTCTTGGTACTTGGTTATGTGGAAGAACCACTGCTCAAGCTTGCGCTGGACAATCTTCGCGCCCGACCTCCACGAGCGGCCTTCAGAATCGACCTGTTCGTTTGCTAACACAGTCATGTCTATAGGATCCCAGTTTACAGTAGCCTTCTTCTGGCTTACGAGACCATGCTTATAAAGAAGGAGGAATATCTTCTGAGTGTGCTTGTAGAATTCTGGATCACATGTTGCGAATTCCTACATGGCAATTAACACATGTTTCTCTATTCTTTCAATGGCATATATGCACAAACCCGCGACCAATCGAAGCTCCCATTCATACACTCAAGTTGTTCTTTCATTCGAGTGATGTTGTCCCTCGTCCAGACAGCCGGATCAATGCCATGTTCAATTGCCGCATTCTCAGCAGGCAACCCAAAGGCGTCCCAGCCCATGGGTAGCAGCACGTCATGGCCTTGTAGTCTGCAGAATCGAGCTATCACATCGGCAATAGTATATACTCGAAGATGTCCTAGGTGGAGGTTGCCAGACGGGTACGGGAACATGGAGAGGATATACATGCGATCGTTGGATTCCTGTTTGAAATCCTCAACTTGTTTAGAGCCCTCGCTCCTCTTTGGGATTGGACGACGCCATTTTCGGTCTAATGCAGGCAAATCGAGCTTCGTAGTAGCATATGATCGCCGGAGAAGGGAGGCTCGAGGACGCGCAGACCAGAGGTTGACGAACCTCAATTGCGGTCTTGGTTGACCCGCGATCTTCCTTGCGACAGAATGCATCGGGCTACTCGCATTGTCGCTACAGAATGAGCGTACTAAGCCAAGAAGCGCATGCGTTGTAGGCTTTGCAGGTTATTTCTCCAAGCAAAGCGTACAATATGTTCATATTTTGGATTCAATTTCTGGAAATAAACTCAATCGGAAAGACGCCGCTATTACATTAGCAGCTCGGTCCTTATCGATAAGAGATAAAAGTAAATTGAGCTTGCTTAGTCATATCTACCCCCCTTTTCTCTGGTAATTATGTACGTACATAGGTACATATAGTAAAAGGGAAAAATTATCCAAAGGGAAGAAACATCTAGACACCTGAACTCGAATACACCATAAGATCTATTCGACATTATTCTGCTAACGACGGTTGATTACCTAGGTATGTAGGTACGTTGTGACAGACAGAAAGACTTCACTTCGACAGAAATAAACACTGGCTAAAGTTCTTGCACTACATTTACATTGTGTTCTAAATTCTAGGTGGAATGCTTACTTAAGAATAGGATCTAGGTATGTGCTGTATATTTTAATTTAGCGGTTGAGGAATGGGAAGTTTTACCATTCTACTTAGGCATAGTATGATGTTAATATTCCATTAACACGAAATATTCTCTTGCCATTCCACGTATATTAGCGCCTGGCTTTTACGTGGGTTTTTGGGCTTTTAGTTCCTCTAAAATGATACGTCCACCATCTGTTGAAAACTTGTACTCGTCTAAGTTGATATACCCTTCACTGTCTCTTGGAAAGTCCAGATCCTCGTCGAATTCATCGCTAAACACGTCTCTACTATCCTCGGATTCGTCGTCGGATTCATCACTCTCTGAAGATTGTGTAGAAATAGGCCTCTTGACAATCCGAGTCATTTGAGCCAAATTAGCTAGTTCGGAAGGTTGGAGAGGGCAGGCATCTGTGATCTCTTCTTCAACTTTGTCCATAGGTTCGTAGGCAATGAATATCGCTTTAACGGCCTCGTCAATGTCTCTACGTGTTTGCTCGGGGTCTTGCGCATCAACCTGAACATTAGCAAGCAGTTGAACAGCAGGTATCATACGCTCCGTTGTCTTGTAAACCATAATAGCCCAACGTACCAGCAGTTCTGGCGGCGCACTCAAATCATTCATTTCCCGAAACGCATCGTCAATATCATGTACTATGGAATTATATTCCTTAAAGAGATGTAGGTAGTCAACAGTCAACCCGCAAGCCAGAGCCGAGTTACAATTCTTAGCTTTCTGGAATAGCTCGGTAAGCTGACCTTCAATGGCAGCTGTCTCAAGTATCATCTTCTGGATGCGTCGAGGCTGTTTTTCGAATGCGATTTCGCGGCCGAGGATGTGACTCAGGTTCGCCGTGCATGGCGTCGTCGAGTGTTCTTCGGGCGTAGATTCCAAGTTGTTACTAAAGGCAGACATTTTCGTTATTGTATTTGGGCAATCGATTACCTATCTTCATCGTGGAGTTGTCTCAGTCAGTACATATATACCTATTTCTGATTCGAACAATATTAATCAGCTCCTTGGAAACTTCGAGCGACAATGTTATTGTTCGAGTGCGAACTAAGAACTGAGAAATTTGGGTTAAAAGGATCAGGTAGAGGCCCTTTGTCTCGAGTAATTCATGATGCGTCAAGACAAAGAGAATGGCGAGAATATTCGAAGTACGAGCACAATACGGCATCACTTAGCGCTTATGTATCCAAGACATTGGTTTATCAGAACTTCATAGAACAGTAATACTTCTAGTCCCTCGGGGTATTAGATTCCTCCCGTGGGCTACTGCAAGCACCCAAGATAATCTACGCGAAATCTTGGTGTCCGAAGGCCGTAGCTGAAGCAAATAATATCCGAAATTCGCCATTAGGTAGATAGCCCACATATCTCTGATACCTCAGCATCGGCTAGAAATATCCTTCAGTTTTCTTGTCCTTTTAATTCGCTGTAACTGCGAATGCTATCGTGAACACCTGCTTCACTTTTGGTTTACCCCTTTTTTAGCTCTTATTTCCTTTAGGCCGTATCGTCACATGCCGACCAACCCCTTTTCAGTACCTGTCTAGAGGGTTGAATACCTACGAAGAGTAAACACAATCAGATCATCTGCTGATGTGATAGATCACAGCCCCTAAAGACGCAAGAATGCCCGGAAATAAGCGTCGCGATTAAGGGAAATGTTTGCAAACATAATTCGTGCAGGGCTCGGCGTTATATTTCTGTTTACGAATGTCTCCATCATCACCATCCATGTTTAACTTATCTGAGACGGCGAAGATAGCAGATAGAATAGGTACATATGCAAGAGAACTCTTCTTCATCGCCTCGTCTCCTTTCATTGGTTCTACGCTGCATGCTCCACCGCGGTCAGACACTGTCTACCGGCCGTGAGTCGGGCCCCTTGTCATTTTGAACAATCGGGAAAGCCGCGTCAACTTGGTGAAATAGGGAAAAGCGCCGGATGGGCTGTTCCGAAGCTGACCGGACACTTGCGGTCAAGCATAGGCAATTAGGTATATAATCTACTAGCAAAGCTTTAAGCAGGCAATAGTTTTGAAAATGTATATGAGAATTGATAAGAGATTTACATTAATATGTATATGGATGTGCCGTCGTTACCGGTGAGACCTACTTTGACGGGAATTCTTATTATACATACTAAGAGGAATACCGAGGGATGGGCGGCCCAATAGGGTTTTCTCCGACGGGCTTAGAAGGTCGCATCCCATCTTGCGCGTGAAAGGATCCGCTCAGCCGCCGAGAACTCCTGTGAATCAGGATCGGCAGAAATGTAACCCGCATGAATATTCAGCTTCATTACGCGTCCACCAGCCGCGGGCCTCCTTGGCCGCTGAGGTCTTGCCCATGGTTGTGTACGCATTAGCTCAGCCATTCAGATTGGCATGGCTGGCATGCAACGGACGTCGTACGGAACGTGTGGGCCGACTCCAGCTGCTGGCGCCACATCAGGTGGCTCCCAGGCAGCCAGGTTCGCAGGGTGGCAGGTTCGGTCCCGACTCCATGGGTTGACGAGCTCCGCTGATTTTCTCGACTAGGTACGTATGTATCAAAGCGATTCAATCTGCTCTTGACTCGAGATATGATTGATCTCGCTGATATAACCACATCGAGACAACCCGTGTTTTGGTTGAGCCAGTTTCTGGGAGTTCGGGTGGGTATCAAATAATTTGAGGCTATCCCGACCCACATAAACCCCCATTTAACCTGATAACCTGACGTTGAGCTTGTTATATAAATAATATTCACTAAAGACCTAGAACTTTGGATGATCAAATTCCTTGCCGCTTTGCGGCACAGTTTGGTAATAGTCAGAACTCAAAAGAAAGATTCAGGGGCCAACCCGGGGGTTCTCTTCCAATCAGTTTTATCAGATGGGTGATCAGGTCCAAGCTTGGATTTCGCTGAGTACGCAGGTACGGTACGCAATTATTTGCTTTGATTTGCTAGAGACAGTTATATGGAGAGATGCTAAAGAGATCAACCCACTAGTTTATCTACCAGTAGCGTATCCAAGCAGCAAGGTCACCCAAAGAACTTTATATGCATCCCAGCATTCGCAATATGTGGGCCAACTAGTGAAGTGTGAAATGCTCCCTTGCAAGATCGAATTGGGTTCGCGTGCAGTGCATACCACTTCCCGATTGAACGTGGAGGTAGTATTGCTAACGATGAAACTTAGTACACATCGAAGAGCTATCGGTAAGCGAGCCGCGCTATATCTCTCTAACTGGCGGTCGTCCCAAGCCAGGGATTAGGAGATAAAATATAACTTGACATGACTTAGTGGACCGGACCCAGCAAACCCAATGGCCCTGGAGAGCGTTGGCAGTACGTACTATCTCGCCTTGCATCATTTGTACTAGTAGTACCTTGAACTGAGATTTTGCCTCGTAACTCCTTGCTGTGGACAGCTGCTAGTTAAAGGGGTATCATACTCGAAGATGCTAAGCCGCTGCGTACCTACCCAAGTATTCAGCGATATAGGAAATTATTGGTAAACACGTACAGTAACTGCAAAGTACTATTAGTGTGTTAGACTAGGAAGTAACTATGTTCCCGAGAGAGCTCGCTTTCGGAACTAAATCCTTAGCGAACGGTATGACAGGCGGGCTAGGAGAATTTGGATATGAAAAGCTTGTTACTCTTGTTGTTGATGCATGTTAAGGAGGCAATATGTGCCTATAGTACGGAGATTATGTTACATATAGGTACTTAGGGGCTGACGATAAGTTGTTAAAAAAATGGTGTCAACACTGGGCATGTAGGAGTGTGCCTCTCTGTAGTAATATTTGATAGGTACCTAATCAAGTATTTACAGCCCTAACATAGGTACTATTTCAACTTGGAAGAAAGTGCAAGTGCCGCTTGAAAATGAGACATACATAGGATTATTCCCCGGTTTGGGACGAATGTGAAGTAACCTAGATGTAGGCTGATTCCGTAGGTAAGAGGTAGGTATATTTACATAAATTTTGTGACATTTTTTACACTCCTTTTTAACCCAATATTCCTTCGCGACCTAATATACAATACAACCAACGCTATGTTTCCAGCAAGACTGAATAATTATGAGTATGACTACGATGCGAACCTGTCCAGCGTCAACATACAGTCCGACAATATCTATACAACAAACGCGAATCCAGCGCACTCATTTATTTCCAATTTTCGTATTTCGCCAGAGGGGCTTCATTAGTCCTCTCTCCTTCTCCGTATAAGATTGTCACGGACTGAGTGCGTACAATGCCATCTGCCGCTCCTAGCTTCTGATCATGGCCGTCCTTTTGCAAGATATCGTCTTGACTACTATCTTTGCCGAGTTCGATATTCGTTTCTAAGTCGTATGGGCCCTTGACCTTCCGTCGACGCGAGTTCATCTCGAGCTCATCTCGGGTGTTGCTTTTGGATGTTCCGTAGTTCTTGTAGCCTTGGCGATCTCCTGTGCTGCCCATGACACGTCGTCCAAATATCGCTTCCATCAATGGCCGTAGGATCGGAATGCAGGTGGCAATGATAACAGAGGCTCCTTCGACACTGCATGATATTAGGACGGTGAATTATATAAACGAAATGCAAAGAGCTTACCAAGTCCAGATTGTTAAGTCAGATGTAGCCCCTATATGGATTAGCTGGGCGTCTGGTAAGGAGGGTTAAGGACATAACAAACATGTAAAATCTGGATCCGCTAGCCCAGGAATTCGAGTTGTCTTGTAGATGGCTACAACGCAGGCCCTAATACATAGGTAATTAGCCAACGCTATTCCCAACTTTTTGGAAGTATTCATGAAGACTTACACTGAACCTAACCCAAGAGCAAAGCACAGCGCTATCTTCTTTCTCATGTTCATTTGCAATGAAAATAGCACAGTAGCCGGCCATGCAGCCAAGTACAAGTCGACAAATCCGGAAAAGGCTCCCGCGAATTCGGAGTAGTTGACTAAAACCCAGGGGCTAATGCAAGTCTTTTGGGTAATACTCAAATCCCATTGGGCTCGAGAAGGTGTGCATTGTCCAAAGAGGATTGCGACACAACCCAGTAGAAAGATCACGCATGCAACGCCTATGGTCCACAAGAATCGTCGGTGCCATTTTGAAGGTTCCAAAAGTCCCGTGAGGAGGTAGATGGCGGCCAGTTTAGGAACGCTGAAAGACAGAACACCTGGAACGAAGCCCACCATTGTATATAACACAGCTCCGGAGACTTGTTCCGGAGTCAGCGTCGATATGTGTTGTCCATTTCCAGATTTCACCGAAACGATGGAGAAGGCGACGACCATCCATCCGAGAATCTGAGTTAAAACTTGGTAAGCCGGAATAAACAACCCGATTTTTGCTGTGCGAACTCACTAATGAGAATGAAATCAGAGCATCGTCGAGTTTGAACTTTTTCATCATCCCCACACGAACGTATAACCTGGCGAAGACGAAAGCCGTGCTGATGGCGGTGACAATACAGTTGACGACGATGATGGTGGGACCCTTGGTCTCACCCGTCGCTGCCGTCGAGCTCATGTTGACTTGAACCTGAACGAAAATACGGAATAAAGATTAATCAGGCGATGCTCGCGGTGGATTCACATCAGAGACAAGATGCGAAGAAGCGGGGCTTTCTCTGCATTCTTATACACCGCTAGGTTCTGACGAGAAAAGAGAGTTTTCCTTACTATGTATATATCCTATAAACCTTTTTTGCAGGGGGGTTACATATGCTTTGCTGTAGCGAGCTTTCTAAAAGGGGAGAGTCTGAGAGTGCTTCGCGACTAGGTAAGGGTGGAGAATCTGGTGGTTTTGTGGTTTTAGTCCCAAGAAAGGTATGCTTCTCAAACGTTGGATCGACATAGTAGGTTCGAATCTGCGCTTTTGGTGTATTATACCTACATGTGTAGGAGACTTGAGATCTTGGGGCCCCTGGTCGTAGGGGATCCAACTTCTATGACACCTAGGTAAGCAAGGTACAGATGACGCTACAAGTTCTCTCCTTTTTTTCCACATGACAACCCTGTACTAAACGCATTGGCCCTTAGTTACACAAGCAAAGCTCGAATATAGGTATCCTAGGTAACATTCAGTGCCTTTGTTACTGGCTTATTTCCGCTGGAGGAAGCGTCTTGATATATCTAAGTAATTTTATGTAAACTGATATTTGGAACATAATTCATATAGTCTTTGAACTATCGAAAGAAGCTTTCATATGGTTCATAATATTATCCCCTTTTCCCAACTTTGGAGACATAAGATTAGTGGGCGTGGATACGCGTATCTTCAATCTTGCCACTTAGGTAGCCAAGCAGCCATGGACTAATAGCGGCGACCAGGATGAGCTATCGTGCATGGAATATAATTTTGGTAATGTTCTCTTACAACTGTGACGCAATTTCTAGGGGTTCTTCTAAGTAGTCCCCGTTCAGTTCATATTCGTGATAAACCAGTCAGACTTACTAGAAGATCAGAATAGCATGCTACAGTTAGTTCTTGATGATGTTGTTATGGTAAAGAGTTAGTAAGGTAAGAGTTTGCAAGACAGCCTATTTGTTCACCCACGGTACCAATGAAATTCCCCATATAGATCACTCCACACGTGCCACCTAGGCGCTCGAGGAAATCTTAGGAATCATGAGTATCCGGAGTAGTGGATCATATCTACGATAGTACGTAGACTAGTTCCCCACAAAGGAATCAACTTTGGCGATTCAAGTGTTCAATAGGAATCGTGTCTCATGACTCGAATGAAATGAGCGTATTATTAATTCCACAACTCTTCAGCCTCATGTGCATATAAGGAGAGAAAGCTACACATCATGACCCTTCGAGGCATAAGGCAAGTGAAATTGCAAAATTATAAAAAAAGGTCAAACCTTTTACTGGACATGGACAGCACGAGCCTCAACGGTTCATTTCATCGAGGTTGCCTTGAGGTGGTCCGAGTTTGCACGGAGCTCACCCTAAATCTGGACGAAGGGCGAACGGAAGTATAATAATATTCCTATAACGAGATTTCATAACAGAGCAGACAGTAGTATCGTTATGGAGCCTCTTGAATAGATATGCCAGAATCGTATGGATATGCGTCGCATTCGCCTCGTTGTCTCTATCGGGGAAAATCTCGGTGAACGCATGGTGCACACTAGGGTGACCTGGTATTGTTCATGCTATTAAGCATTTACTAGAAAAAGGTTTATGAATTATGGGTATTTTCCTTATCCTGTTTCTTCAGGCCCCTATGGTTGTTGATGATTTCTATTGGTTGGCTAGCATCCTTCTGGAAATGGGCATATGTAAAACAGACTCCGCGGTACGTCGTACGTAGTACCTAGTTCTTGTTTACGTGATCCTCGCAACCTCATCCGTTCCGAATACATAGAAATACGCAGACCCATATTCTCCTAACAGCCATGCTTCTAGACTACATAATACGGATATAACTACCATAGGGATATAGCAAAGCGGCTAACCAACGTGGGCGCTAGTAGAGCGGCTCTTAGCGAGGCGGTAAAGGTGGATTCCTCAGAAACTGAAAAATGTCTTGGAAGTTAAGAAGGATCGAAAAAACGACGTCAAATTGCTCGGCAAAAAATTTAACATTATCCTTAGCTGGTTAAATGGTGGATCTAAGCTAGAAAAGCTACTAGGGAACCGAGCGGGACAACGTCCCGTGGAGCTAAGGTGCTTGACTATGGCAAAACAGGCATAAGTTAATGGAGACCAAATGTTAGCCCAAACGTCTTAGCGATGCCCTTCCGAACGTTCGTCTGTCACCAAGGAACTAAGGAAATATCATATTCACGGAAACAAAACCAACGTGCCTGTATTCTACAATAAGTGTTATATGTATGTATCTGCCAAGGCAGTTACTACTACGTAGTAAATGTAACCGTAGTGATTATAAAACGTTAGATAGAAACCCCGGGACCAATGAACTTCAAGCGTTATTGGCTGTTGCACCAACAACAGTCCCAAGGACCAGGAAGTTCCCATAGAGGACCAGTTACTGACGACGGACCGAACCTATATCTGTGCACTCCTCAAGATAAACATGCAGTTACTTAAGACATGTTTACCCGCGGTCAGACTGATACACTCGCTCAGCTACCGAAGATCAAGCCGAAGACTGCAATGCTACCCCATAGTTGAATATCATGCTATCGCCTCTGCGGGTGGGTAGCTCGTGCATCAAGAGAAGTGTCCAATTATGTACCTACAGTAGGTACAAAATCCTACTCTACTGCGGATGTGGCGTTAATTATCGAAAGCTATATGGGGCTCTTACCCGGTTTATGGGGGCATCGAGGGACACCGACAATCCTCATTATCAGCTTCGTCTCGGGTCGTCGTCCATGTTAGGAAAAGCTTGTGTTAATAGAATCTGTACAATACCTTCTAGAGAATATCAGGGGGCTAGTTCTACGTGTCTTGGCTCATCAATATCAAGCTTCTTCGCCCCTTGCCAGATTCTTTGTCGATGAGTTCTGCCTTGCTAACTTACCCTGACACATTCTAATTTATCTTGAACTAACTTTGTCTTGTCTACCTATCTACACTTATTCTTGCTGAAGATCCATACAACATTTCACCATGTCTGCCCAAGGAAATGGAATAACTCTGAAGGGGGCTCCTTTGGACCCGAGCATCGCTTTGAAGCCATGTGATTATGAGAGTGTTGGCGCCCACGCCGAGAAAATCAGCAAGCTAGCCAGCTCCATTTCCCCAGAAGATGACAAAACTAGGCTCGAACTCGCTGAGACTGCCAGAAAGTTAGTGAGGGCGTTGGAGACTCCTCGTGAGACCATGATCAAGCACTGTTGGGCACAAGTAAGATATTCCGTGTAACTAATGGTATGGGATGATATACTCAATAGTATTTGCAGACGGCCACAATGGCTGCCCTCACGGTCGGCGTCGATATGGGGTTATTTAACATCATGGCCGAGGACGGTGGAAAGAGCAAGAAATCGGCGGACCTTGCTAAGGCAGTCGGAGCGGATCCAACCCTAGTCGGTACGTCATGGTGAAGGCGTCTTCATCTAATGCCCCAGCTAATTCATGCAGCACGACTCCTACGCCACCTGGGTGCAATGGGCTACGTCGAAGAGACCGATGTCGATGAGTATAAGCCAACCAACTTCACAAAATCCCTGACAATTCCCATCATCTATGCTGGTTACCCTGTCTTGTGAGTATTCAATACTATGACTGCCAAAAGAGCGCACCCTACTAACACCTACGTTAGGTCCGGTGGTTTACTCAGCGCGAACAACTTATTCCACGAATACCTCCGGCAGAATGGTTACAAGACGCCCACTGACTTGTCCGACGGAGCCCTTCAATATGCCTACAAGACGAAGAACAATATGTTCGAGCATCTCCAAGCCAACCAACCTTACGGCGATCTCTTCAACCTTCACATGGGCGGATACCACCAGGGTCGGGCAAGTTGGATGGATGCAGGATTCTTCCCTGTCCAGGAGAGGCTGATTGACGGAGCCGACAAGAGCTCGAGCTCGCCTTTCCTGGTCGATATCGGTGGTTCAATTGGCCACGATATCCAGGAATTCCTACACAAGTACCCATCCGCACCCGGCCGTCTAGTACTACAAGATCTACAGCCTGTCCTTGACAAGATCACCACCCTAGACAGCAGGATCGAAGTTATGACGCATAACTTCTTACAAGAGCAACCAATCAAGGGTAGCAGAGCTTATTACATGCACTCTGTCCTTCACGACTGGCCTGATGTCGAGGCCTTAAAGATCCTTGCGCGAGTTAAGGAGGCCATGAAGCCGGGCTACAGCAAGGTGCTCATCAACGAGAACGTTATCCCTCCGCGCAACGCGACTTGGGAGGCCACTGGTCTGGACATCCTTATGATGACGCTGTTGGCCTCCAGAGAGCGAACGGAGCAGGATTGGCGTCACTTGTTGGGTGAAGCCGGCTTGAAGATCACCAAGATAGTGAGTTCTCTCCCTACTACCCCCCCTTAACTCCCTGATTCGATCTTAAGGAGCCCTCCACCTTAAGACAGCGCTTCTTTTATGTCATTACAATACGAATTAGGTTGCTAACTGCACATTTCCAGTGGACTGTCGCGAACGGCGTCGAGAGTTTGATTGAATGCGAGTTGGCGTAAAGGGAGTCATGCTGCTGCATTCCGTAGTGACTTGCTGCTGTCAGACCTATACACTACTTCAATTCTGAATTGTTGATAGAGTGTAGAATTAGCTTATCCTCAAGAAGAGATATAGATCATCTATGATAGAAAAAATAGAGACGATTGGCTAGGAACCAACATGCTCCGAATGATGGGCAACTTAACATGACGCTATCGTGACTACCTACCTACCTGATGTGTACCTACGGTATATGAGCCTTCCAACATCAGATGATTACATACGTAGTATATAAAGTTTACCTATACAGTTCCTATTGATATGTTATCACAAGCAATTATCTTGATCATTGTCACTCCTGTTTAATCCCTTATACTCATAACAACGCTTAATTTATTGTAGGCATATCTAAATGATACACCTTCTTATCGGTGACTTACACATAACTTACGTACATGACAACACAAAGTAGGTACATATGAGGATCGTCTTCAACAACTAGCGGTTTCAACACTCTCGAGACAATGTTCTACTTTCGGTTCCTAATATAAGGACAAATATGCCGAACTCACAAACTTGGAGTAGCAAAACAGAAAAGTATGTACCTAGACAACCAGTTGAATGTCTTCGTGTCTTCATAGATTTATGTCTTTATCTTCATCTCATAAATTATACAGAGTAAGAATGTTCTTCGAAGAATAAAACTACTCCGTTACTAAAGGTAAGTGGTCATTTGAGATTATCAATGTGAGTAGGTAAACTAGAAGGCTAGCCGCCTACCTAAGCTTCGCCAATTCCAAGGGGTATTAACTCTGTTTTATCTCTTTAACTGACAATAGGTTAATGCGTCGGACGGTAGGATATACCTAACCGCCCATAGAGACTCGGTTCCGGCCAAAACTTGTAGATCATAGTAGTGTTAGCATAACTTATACAAGCAAGACAAGTATAAAATAATATACCGCTTATGTCTTTATCTTGGGTTTGGTCCACCACGTCAGGTGAACAGTAACTAGACTCTCTAATTCCTAAGTAGCATAGTATGCCAGTCAAAAGGAGACTTGTACGAATCTAAGAAGTAAGGAAATATGGTTTATTATAGGAGTGAGAAAATTAGCAAAATGAGTACTTAGTTTTTATTATAAATTACCTCCCTACATACCTACTTACATGAAATAATTCTTGGTCATTATTGGTTCTTTTATTTGAATTCTCTTCTTAAGACAGCAATTTTCTAAATTAAAATAATCGCTAGGTAAGTAGGTAGGTAGTTATAAGGAATTTAAGGTGATTAACACCTTAGCTACCTATCATATTAATCCAATATAGTATGGCAACTACATTTTTATGATATAATTAGCATACTTGCAAACTCATGGGAATTACATTCTAGAAGTATACATTATGTAAAGGCTGAAGAGGAAATTCGTATCTAACATCGTATGAAATCTCCTTGACTTCGAGATGAAGTCATTTTAAGCTTCGATTTCAACTACAAGTTACAACACAGTACGCCGTCTAGGCTTATAACATTCCCTATAAGGTAATCATTCATGTGATCCAATCTTCTAATTGGTCACCCATACCCTTGCATACAGTGTACTGGATCATACAAGTTACTCCCGCCGCTCTCGTACGGCGCAGATTTCGGCACAGATGATACGCCACATATAAAATCGGGACAAGTACCTATGGAATAGTAATGATTTAGTTTGCGAGGCGCCCAGGGGCGCCTTACGTTACTCGAATGATAGCTAGATTATTAAGCGTAACCTGAAAAGGTCGATATACAAGGTAGGTAATTGTGGTGATAGCTTTAGTAATATCCTTGTTATTTGTGCCCGGCCTGCCTATTTAGTGTTTATATGGTTTTTATAATGAACGGAGGCATTTTACCTACCAAAGGTCATCTTGCGCGTCAGCAAACGTGCATACTAGTAGCTCTATGGCTTGGCGTCTCATTGAGCCCACGGAAAATAAGGAGCGTCGTCAAATTGCCAAGAAGGGATGCTTAGGAGAGTGGCACAAAATTGGAATTGATTGCATAATTCCCTTAACGGTGTGGAAGTCCAGCCATAGGGCAGAACGCACGTAATTGGCTTCGTAATCGGCATTGCCCCATGACCCGAAGAAGAATCCATATGGGAATAAAGGAAGCAACAAATGGCAAAGCTCACAGCCAGGCCTTGGACTTTCAAGTACCGAATCTAAAGGGTTCATGTCGGTAGTCGCTTCGAACAAAATAATCAGCTGTGGGTAAGGTGAACTCCTGTTTGGTGGCTTAGTACCACGGTACATCGGAACTTTCTTCGCTGCACGGGCCACATTCTAACTCTTTTAGGCCATAATAAGGGGAAAGGAGCTGTGGGGGACGTGGATGATCAGAAACAAGCAATCGCTACCTCATTGTTCCATCTTCTAACAACCCAACCTTAATACTTTTCTTCCCTTGGAAAACTTAGTGCGACGACGGCCATCACAGCTTAGACATTTTCCATTAAATCCATAGTGTTTGAATATTCACTGTGATTTTCCCACATCCTATCTTAACTGTCTTAATACCTTGTTTGACTGGCTTTGGCGACTTGCGGTCTGACGTCTCTGATATCGCAAACTCCTTCGGCGCTACTAGGTATTCGAGCGGTTTCGTGTTTTGCGACGACTCATCGGCCGATATGGTTCCTTCATAATCACGAATAAACATATACACTAGCTGAGGTTTCCATCTTATACCCATCCTGATACAGCCTTTAGCTAGCTGCGATGCCACCCCAATACTCGTCCGCTCTCCACCCCGGCGCTCGAGATTCCCTCGAACTCGCCTCGTTAGCATCCTCCGATCCTGGCCCCGATACCTATTCGGAAACAGATTCAAGACCATCAATATCCTCGTCGCGAAAACTCTCCATCGAACAAGACGATCCATTGGACAATAATAATCTCGCAAGCCGTTCTAATTATGTGTCAGGTCATAGTAGGACATACTCTGTCACATCCAACTTCGACTATGCTGCGAACCTATTCCCACTTTCCTCCTCCACAGCCCCCGGATATGCTCCCCTAGGAGCACCTACGTCGGCGGCGCAACGTCATGGCGGACTAGGAGGCCCCTCTCTAGAAAAACACAAAACCCTGACGTATCTGAATGGGCTAGGTCTGATAGTTGGCTTGATAATTGGTTCCGGCATCTTCTCATCCCCTAGCCAAGTCAACGTGAACGTCGGGTCACCTGGCGCATCATTGATAGTATGGGCGATATCGGGCCTTCTCGCTTGGACTGGTGCTGCGAGCTATGCGGAACTTGGTGGCGCTATTCCTCTCAACGGAGGCGCGCAAGCTTATTTATCTAAGATCATGGGCGAGCTGGCTGGTTTTCTTTTCACGTGGGTCGCGGTACTCGTCCTTAAGCCCGGTAGTGCCGCCATCATCGCGATCATCATGGGCGAATATCTCGTACGCGCCGTAATAGGAGCCGAAGCCGAGACTGTCAATCCCTGGATCAACAAGTGTGTGGGTTTGGTTGGATTATTTATGGTGACCTTTTTGAATTGTGTTTCGACGAAGCTCGGGACCCGCGTGAATGATGCGCTCATGTTCTTGAAGTTCATCGCATTAATTGGAGTTACTATAGTTGGAATTGTGGTAGCTCTTACCGGATTCTCTTCATCTGGGACAGCTAATATGGATTGGAAAAACCATGCCTGGTTTGACGGCACGAGCAAGGACGGAAGCCATTGGGCTGTCGCACTATACGCCGGGCTCTGGGCTTTTGATGGTTGGGATAATGTAAGTTCCTGCCTGCTAGGCGCTAACTTATTTCCGATGGTTCGTGAGTGCTAATCGATCACCAAAATATAGACGAACTACGTGGTGGGCGAGTTTCGGAATCCTTCAAGAGATCTCCCACGTGTAATTCACACGGCGATGCCGCTTGTGATTGTCTGTTATCTTCTCGCCAACTTCTCATACTTTCTTGTCTTGCCCCTGGATGTTCTCAATTCGACCAACACAGTCGCCGTCATGTTCGGCAACAAGGTATTTGGTCCAATCGGCGCGCTTGTTTTTGCTCTTATTGTCAGCGCCTCATGTTTCGGTGCTCTCAACTCGGCGACTTTCACAAGTAGTCGACTTGTTTACGCTGCCGCCAAGGAGGGTTACGTTCCAGCCGTTATAAGCCGTGTGGGTATCGGCTCTCGCGAACCCGGAATGGCGAATATGAGGACGAGGAATTGGTTTTCTAAGCGATTGCATAACATGATTGGTGACGAAGACACGGGGCTCTTCTTTACGCCGATATATGCTTTAGCATTAAACGGTGTTCTAACGGCTGTCTATGTTATCGTTGGCGAATTTGGAGAACTTGTGACGTTCTACGGCGTGGCAGGATACTCCTTCTATTTCCTCACAGTCCTCGGACTTATCATTCTGCGAGTTAAAGAACCACATCTGGAAAGGCCATATAAAACTTGGATCACGACACCAATCATATTTTGCTGCGTGAGCTTATTCTTATTAAGCCGCGCAGTCTTCGCCCAACCCCTAAAGACGCTCATCGTTGTAACATTCGTTCTTTCCGGAATCCCAATATTTTTCTGGAGAATACAGGGTCGGGATCAGGTCTCCAAACGGGAGACAAGCTCGGATGAGAGGTCACGAGGATGGAAGTTTTGGAAACGATGGCGGAGATGAAGATCACGATACGAATATTAACTGGCCCCTTATTTGGGGTGGCGTTTTCAATACGCTTTGTGCAATTAAACATAGCAAGCATTCTGTATGAGCATCGGATCAAACGGAGTACAGGGAGTCATACAATCATCCTGATTCCAGCTGGTGGCATTAGTAGATAGCATAGGTGGCGCAGATACATGCCCTTGCAGTGTAATACATACGAACGAATAAAACTACATTCAAACGTCTGCCAAAGGAGGTGAACTTCACCTATTTCGGACTTTGCCATTGTGCATAGGGTTACGCCTGACAGATCCTACAACGCGCCTTGCATTGATCGGCAAGGGTAGTTCTTCCACGTGCGCAACCGGTGGTAACGTATACGAATTATCGAATAAATGATCACCTACTATCAAGAAATCGTAGAGTTTAAGCTAGCGAACGCTAAGGAATCGTACCTTCTGCCTGTGCTGATATTGGCCGGGGAGCCTTAAAGTTTGGGTGATCCATATGTATAAGTGAAAGCGAAAACTTATGTTCCTTGGGTATGGATGGAATACACATATAAAGGCATAATTTTCATGCATCTAGATATCTCATTCGTAAATTCGATATTACCAATGAGTGAGGTCATAAAATTCTCTTCGATGTGAAGTGTGAACGTTGACGGCCCCTAACCCCTTTTCGAACACCGTTACACAATTGTCTTAATCAAACAACACCAAATTCCGAGGGAATAAAGACATATATGATGCCTCGGGGACCTCGAAGTTTTTGCGAACTCTATTAATTTGATACCTGATTTGTAGACACGGATGCATTGAGAACAGTATGGTGCGTGAGTGACGAACATCTTCCTGCCGGCTACCTAACGGAACTGACCACCAAGAATTATGCAGATTTCTTTTAACTCGAAGTCTAATAATAAGAAAGTTGACATAATTCATATTTTTTACTTAATTCTGATTCCGTAAGTTCATGGCACCTTTACCACTCCTTTGTCACTATACGACCAAGTTGTCTGTACCGAGAACCAGGCCCTTGCCAAGACCCCTGTATTTGGGCGGCTGTTTACACTGCTGAACCGAAAATGCGCGACCACCTTTCCGTGGCCACCTACTATTGGGGAAAGCATTTCCGCATTTAGCAATATAGCCATTCCGAAGGCCCGGAGGGAGGAGGCTCGAGTCGTGAAATTTGGATGCATAAATACTAGAGCTTCATCCTTTTTGGAATCAACCTTCTTACCTGTCCTACTCTTACCTACAAGCACGGCACACTATCCGCGACCATGTTCTGCAAAACCGCTCTTCTCGCCCTCGCTCTTCTCCCATTCTCCCTCGGCCAAGTCACCGATGACTTTGAGGCCGGATGGGATGAGGCGGCATGGCCGACGTACGCGCCTGATTGCAACCAGGGCGGTAAAGTGAGCCTCGATACTTCTACTGGTCACAGCGGTAGCAACTCTATAAGGGTCGACGGCGCGGGTGGTTTCTGCGGGCACATCTTCTTCGGCACGACACAGGTTCCCAGCGGCGACATCTACGTCAGAGCTTGGTTGTAAGTCGCCGTATTGGCACAGTTAAACACTACAAAGACGATCCTAATATCTCTCCTTCTACAGAAAGGCGTCCAAGGCCCTAACCGACTCCCACGTCTCCTTCATTACGATGCCCGACTCCGCGCAGGGCAGCGGCAAGCACCTGCGCATTGGCGGGCAGAGCAAGATCCTCATGTACAACCGCGAGTCCGACGACGCCACCCTGCCAGACCTCTCTCCCCAGGGCATCGCGGCCTCCACCGCGCTCCCCACCGGCGACTGGCAATGCTTCGAGTACCACGTCGGGACTGACGGCACCATCGAGACGTGGCTGAACGACGAGGCCATCGAGGGACTCACCAGCAAGGCGGGCGTCGCTAACAGCAACGCCGCGCAGTGGCAGAGGAGCAGTGTTATACCGAAGCCTACTGCTATTTACTTTGGCTGGGAATCGTACGGAGGCGATACTAACACGTTCTGGTACGATGATATCGCTGTTAGTGATGCTAAGGTTGGATGTACTTAGGTGGAGCTGTTACCCCCTTACCCCTGAACCCGCCTAGACAAGTTGTATATTAGCCTAAATAGGTAGAGGGAAAGGTGCACCAATTATAACTTTATATGCCAAGCTGTGATAGATGTTTATTATTATTTTCTGTGTGGTTTATTAAGAATAATAGAGCTGCACCCCGCACAGTGTACCTGCTGTTTCAAGGGTGTGCCGAACCGGGTTTCCCGGAGGCTTAGGTAGCGTTTGCCGGATCAGGACCATCCGCGATACGGATGTTCGGGCCGTTAGGAAATTTGACACAATCGAGAGAAAATTGCTTACATACACAGGTAGATATGCACTCTAACATCTTATAGACTATATACCGCAACTGAATAAGACTAATTTGCGGTGACATACCCCTATCTTTGAAGTTAAACCGGATTGCCCCATGTCACTGGATGATTGCGCGCCCTCAGATGAATGGCACCCTTACTATTACCTGAGAAGTCGTTAAAGGAGGTATGAATATGATTTCAAAATAGGTAACTAATTAGACGATTGAATCTGTGGTAGAGTAGTTTAATAGGTAGGAGCTAAAGCCCCTTAATAGTAGGTAATAGATATCGTGCTAGCATTGTGGATAAATATCTACCTAGTTATTGAGTACCTATAATTATATCTTTCCTCTCTTTTAAAGAGGAGATCTTTCAAATATTTATTCAGCTATTCTAAGCTTGATTGAACGAAGTAATCAGTCATATTGTTTCTGTGTGAGGAATCTCTCAATACCTACCTACCTACCTACCTACATAGACTGCTTTTATTTGTCTGGACACGTCATAATCTTGTTCCAGTGAAGGAAAACTGTCGCATTCCTTTGATAATGCGTACATAAAAGCACCTGTGCTTTCTCTTATCTCAGAATTCTCAGACTAGTTGATCAACCTTCATGTGCTATATCGAGATTAACATGCAAGATATCTAGCACATTTTGTCTTATATTAAAGTTACGTGATGTATCGGTTAACGTATTGATATTAAGTTGAGGCCGAAGCATTGCTGCCAGTCAGGCTTTCAGTAGTGTTATATTCCAACTATGCATATAAGACCCTTCAAGAGGATCGAACCTCTTTTCTATAAGTGACATAAATTAAGGAGCTTATTGGTGATAAATCGGTTATTGGGATGCTTCTATTAAGCTCTGATTCACATTCTGGGGTGCTATTTCACATAACCCTTGATAGAATAACCGGTTAGTCTACTCAAGTACTCGGTTAGCTCCATTTTGAGGCTGACCTAGCCTCTAGAGTGGCGGGATCGCACCTACCTACCTGATAAGAATGCCTTCTAAGCAAAGGAGGAGCGAAGATGACGTATATTAACTACCTACTTCGAACCTGCTTCCGGTGATGACTTATCGGATATGTCGTCAGATCTATCTCCGCCCCTGCCTGATGCTGAACTCATCATGGATAATCACGATAAGGGGTAGACCGCCGTACCTGCCTTGACCTCTACCGTCATGGTTCCGATCCTGCTTCCGAAACGGATGCGATAAGTGGTTTGTTGTTGCTCCTGCCTTTGCTTCTATTTCAACGACAACCCAAGCAATACTAAGCTTACAGCAAACCTAGCACGAAAAGGGGGATATTTTATTGCATTTACCTAGGAAATATTACTATTATTCTAGAAAATGAAATGATAGAGCTACTTCAGATGAAATTTTAAGATGGAATATTGCTGTCACTGCCGTTTCTCCCTTCACTTTCATCGCAACAACATTTAGCCCCTGTCCCTAAAGCAACCTAACCTCCCCCAAGATAACCATAAACCACCGTGAACCTATGAAAACATTGGATGTTTTTAATCTTATCTACCTATGCTACAGGTCTATTACGTCAAGATGTTATGTATGTAGGTACCTATGTAAGGGTATACGTTCTACATAGGTAGGTACAGTACTTACCCATTACATATAGATAGATCCATGATCAGTAACCTCCACTACCCCTTAGCACTAATCTCTAATACACAGGAGAACATCCTACAGCATCTTGGCAAGTATTATCCTACCACGATTATCAATTAATCCATTAACTATGGATAAAAATGTTTCATATATCACATCAGCGTCAATACCTCATATAGTATGGATACCCTCTATCATTTCCATGGCCCCAGTCACCCTTGTTTGACCGTTCTATCTACATCTTATTATCTACTCCAACTCATACACGACCTGTTACTGTTCATACTTCCTGTTAGTCCTTCATTGGTATATTCTTAATTAGGTACTTTGTGCAACTTCCTCCGTATGGGATCTACACAAACACGACGCATGTTAAGCTTAGTGCCAATTAAAATACCACTTCACGTTTCCTCCAATAAAGAGAAAATATCACAGAATCCAATAGCACGGCGTATTTGCTATAAATACAGGTAAGCTATCAAAATTTCACTGTATTAATACCTAAATTTCTCGACATTCCCCTTCTCATCTTGCTATACCACTGTGCTAAATCTGACACGCCATTTCCTTCCCAATCACCCCTTAATTCCTTCCCCATCGACGTGACTCAATGATCTATGACGTGTTTCAATCCCAAACCTATTGCACAAGGTTTGGGGTTTATTAAAATCTGATATTTCAACACATTAGGTATGTTTGTTCTTTCTAATCATTCCTATTTAGATCCCTGGATTTGTTGACTTGCCTCGTTTATAACTACCTCTCACACCTATCTACTGGGTGCCTCCAGGTGTCTCCAGATCAATATACATTTGGTCACCTGCCTTCGTTGAAATATCTACGAGACATAAACTCAGTCTTCTTCAGGTCAACGGAAGATCCAGAGATAATGCATAACTAACGTCTACCCAGCGCGTTTTTACGTTTACTAGGTACCTTTTGGGCTATCACCGGAGACTGGTACCTCACAAAGACACCGTTTATACCTTAGTACTAGCCTAGGAATCTATCTACCTATAAGTATATATGTAAGTATTTGATACATCCACCTTATTACCATAAAGTTTCATTCCTATGTTCTCCTTCCATCTTATACTTTCATCATTGCTTACCTCTACGATATGAGAAAGAAAGAACCCTCCAATATTCATGGCAGGGATAATAATCTTACCTAATATTCCATCATTTATATCGGATGTAATTGACTCATGATTTCATGACTTGAAATCGAAGTCACAGCCTGAGCTAATAATTTGTATAGCCAGTTCGATAAACCCGCTTGGTTATCCAAATCGCCCACCTTTTCAACCCAGAGTTAATCTTCTCAACTTCAGCTTTTATTCCATTCCTTCACCATCTCCCCAAACTTCTATCATATTCTTCAAAAGATATTCTTACCATTGATATGATTTCCTCCTAACACAGAGCGACCTTGTAAGTTTCATCTTCCTTATTCTTCAATTCCACATCACCTATCATAAAAACTTCAAGCATCTTAGCATCAAGATACCCGGGTAAGCATTCTACTGCGGTAACCCAAGAAGTTTATTGGTGTCTAGATATTGCAATCCTATCAACTTCTCAATGAAAACCTCTCCAGTTTTAACTCACCGCAATCTCTTTTTCCCATCTTAATCCACCAACACCCATCTATACCATCACCTTCTCTTCTTGCGCTTGAAGTTGCAACACCATGTATAGTCCACAGCACAACCGCAGAAAAGCAGGTAGCCAATGATTCCGAATCCTAACAGCTTTCTAATCTTTCTTCTTCAATTGATCACCATCTTCAATCCATACTCTTGCCGCGTTGGTGGAGTCTTCCTTGGTGATAAAGTCCTGCGTTGACCACACTGCACCTTTTCCACCTCTTTCAGTTACTTCCAACATACCCACTTGCCATATTTTCTTTTCGCTCCTACAGTAGGTGTGAGATATATCTTCATCAACCTATTGGAGTCTCCAAGACTACTGTGATTCCTTTGAAAATTTCCTATTCAATCTATTCTAACTCTATTCTCAGCGTCCATGGCTTAAAGAAGGGATTAATTATCTCTCTGCTACTAAGAAGAGACGTGCCTAAGAGGCAGCTTACACCGGAAGCTGTCGGATAGCTATCGGCAGATGGTTCATTGATCCTTACCTATGTGAGTTCTCAATGCTGATCTAATGATAACAAAGCTAATGAGAACCTAGCAATGAAATCCAAAGGGTGGCAATTTAAATGCCAATACACTGCTAACCTGCCAAGGTAAGTAATATAGGAAGTCGCAGACTTCATAGGGGCTGACTTAGTTATTTCCTTCAGAGTAATCGCCGACACTTTAGACATACGTCATCCATTCAAGTGGAAAGTCTAGCATCTTGTTCACTTGCTCACCTAATGGTCGAGGTAAGGCACACAGGTAGCAGCGCCGTTTGTTCCTGTCACATTGTTAATAGGCATGTAGTACTACATTACCTGTCTCATCATATTATGTCACCGATACTACGGTGTTAGTATATGTCACTCAATGATACTGGAGGCTAAATTAGCTGATCCGCCGTGTACCAATGAATAAAGGGAGCAAGCTACTCTGGTAAGTGTACAGCTGTCCTATGTTAGCGTGGTTAATTCTCACCGTCCTACTAGAGAATAATGTTCCTTTGCCTTGTGCTTTTGGTCGACGATATCTGCAGCACAGCACCCCGGAGAGTGCCTAAACTATCGACTGCGGCATTAGCTCGCGTGTACACAACAGTGATTTCACTCCACAAGCGCCAATTTATGGATTGCTCACGTTCAAAATAGTGAGCGAGACTCGCCTTTGTACATTGTCTACGATAGACGAGGCCTCATGTCGAGTGGCTCTACAGCTTGATCAACTTCCGAGGAAGAAAAGAAGAAAACGAAGAATGTTTTGATGCCTCGTTCTCAGCTTGGGTTATTCTTCCAAAGCACTCAACACGAGCCTGAACTGTCCTTACATCGTTGAATGCTGCTACCACTCTCGAGTTGCGACTCATTACAAATGGGGCTTCTAAGGTTAACTTCCGCAGCTTCCAGGCTCCATCACTTCATCGACAATCTTCGCAAGCAGCCTCGCATGGCCTAATTGGCCGTGTAAAGTGCGGCTTTCACTATGCTATCCGCAGGCGAAGACTTGGTAGACTATAGACGAATTACACTAATAACCGGATATTAGGTGTCGGCATAATGGAAGTGGTCAAACCCAAGACTATTGGTGGTGGGTCCATGTTTGCCTGGCATTAAATGTTGGGGAGCTTCCAAGGTATGTTCATGTTGGATATCGTCATTGCTTCAGCTTCTTTGAGGGTTTGTTACTGACTGTGGTTAGTCTACCATACGGGACTGAACACACCAAGCCCGTGATGGCGAACAACGTTCTTGCCTCAAAAGTATGGACAGATACATACCGAGAAGCCAAAAATCGTTCGCATCAATGATCGGCGGAGTCTTACATCTGTTCCACTCCCCTCACTCTCGTTCCGTCGCCTTGGCGGCGTTGAGCATGGGCCCTCCAGCGACGAATCCATATCTTGTGGATAAGATGAACGTTCCCGCAGTGACTAGATGAAGGGTGGCTCGTACAACTTTCTAACACTCAAAACAACGACAACGACATGGTTGGATTCCTCAGGTAGGAGAGTCGAAGTCCCCCATAAGGATATAATAATGATTATCGAACATGATGCAGCGCTGTTAGTCGGCGAGGAAGCTGGCGGTAGAATTAAGATGGTGCGAGTGCTAAATCGACGTCATCGTGGTTTTGCCAATAGGTGTTTTGAATCTTCGAAGATGACATTACGTCGTCATTCTAAGGGTCAAACGTCAACAGCAAGATGGCCCGATTTATTTAATTACATAAGAACTGCTCGAGGAAGAGAACAGTGGCGGTGGCTGAGATCGAACCTGACACGGCGTTTACAGTACACGATCATCGTTTCACAGGATAGGTATTCCTGATTCGGTGGAGATATTTCAGTTCCACTATTTCACAACCAAACTCTTTTGATGTCCAAGCCTTGACTGAACTTCTGCTATTGCAGAACAATTTTCAGTCGGTATCCAACTAGGAACTACCTGCTATGGGGTGTTCAATGCTACGCCGCAATGGCGAGGAGTGGGAAATGTCAGACCGTATTTGGTCAAGTATCTCTACAACACACGGTGCCTACTTAGGCCACACGATGATGACTCTCTGTTTACGTTTCCTCATATGGGATCTAAGAGCTATGACGAGGAGCTGAAGGTGGCTGGATTTTTATTCTGCGCAGAGGGCGCACGCCAAGGACGATTCAAGGAATTCGGCAATGGTTATTATTGGGTCCAACCGTGGATGGGACGTCGTTTCTCGAAGAGACAAGCCATCGACGGCAAGGTGCCGCAGCCTTCAGCGGCGGAATACAGGATTATAGGGAGCGAATAAGTCTAATGGTCAACAAGATGTAGAGTCGTTGTCCCACGAAAGGCGAAGTTCCTTACACGACAGATGCCAAGAGAGATAACAGTGGCTGTCGTTAAACTCAATCATGGCAACAACGTCATCCTTCACAGATCCACGCGCACGGTATGGTGGCCCGGTTACTTGAACGCCAGGGCACAGTTGGAGACAGACCAACGGTGATTGTTGAGACGAAACCGTATTGCTATTCAACGGAGCAGGACGACAGTTGTAACAGAGTGGCGTGATTCTAGTATAGATATTATCATGCTTCACAAGGAAGAGATAGCATTGACTGTCGAGAATTCCGTTATCAGCTACCAAGACTTGGTGTCTTGGTAAGCTTGGTAGCTTGGTTCCCTAAGCGCACAGTTCAGGAGAGAACAACGGCGGTTGTCGGGGCGCATTTCCTACTATTCCCGATGGGGGTGAGAGATCGTTGGAGTAAAAATGGCTAGGAAGCATACCTACAACACCATCGTACTGCTGACTCTCCAGAACTATGCAACGTGGATGTCATTTCCATGTATGGTTCGTTCATAGCTTGGCAGCTTGCTAACCTGGACCCCCAAGGGCACAGCCCTCAAGAGAGAACAATAGAGCTCATAGGTTAGATCCGTGTCTTTGCACGATGGGGAGCAAAGTTGGAAACACGGTGACGGTAGACTGGCCCGATTTCCCCATCGGTATTATCTGATTGGGTTGGAGACTGCGACAGAGCTTGGGTCGACGATCAACATGAACGTCGACGGCGGATATGTTCGATTTTAACTCGACCTATTGGCCCGCCGTGATCACAGGTTGCTACACACTTGTATCAAACGCTGCCGACTACGCAACGCAGATCTCAAGAAGGAGCAGCGGGTGATGTTTGAGACCTCAATGGATGGGACGGTCATGTCTTGGTAGCTTGGTACCTGGAACCGCAGAAGTACAATGTAAGGAAGAAAACGATAGTGGTGGTAGAGGCCAACCCCGCATCGTTGTTCGGTGGGACAGGACGTAAGACGTCGATGGTTAGATGGCGCGACTCCAGAACCGACACCACCATACTTCACAATTAGGAGGTAGTGATGAGTGTCGAGAAAAGCTCGACGCGGTTGTCGTCTCCATCACAGCAGTCGAAGAGACTAATGATGGCAGCCGAGATCAAACTCGCCTCTTCACATCGTCGTGTGCGAAGTTTGCGACATGGCAAGACTCCTTCAATGAGAGAATCTTACTTCTCGGTGAAGAAGTAGTCCTGGCCGACTAGAAAGGATCAACAGTCTCCTTTCCAAGTCTCAAGACGCTGGTATAGTCTTGTTCTCCACGGGCCTTCCAAGTCCGTGGTAGGACGCCGACTTCGCAGATGGAATGTTGGATGTCGTTTTTCGACAGAGCGGGTTGCACATATGAAGTCGGCCGCTTGGCCACTATCCAACCCTGGGAGTAGGGTTTGATTGAGACGTCCACAACAATTTCGTTTTCGCTTGAATCCCGTCGCCCTGCTTCGCTCCTCTGCCATCTCCATGCAACAATGCACGTAATAGTCTACGAACCATAATGAACGGAAACCCACCTGGTGCAGGGAGTCTTGAGTATGGCATATCTTTAGGGTTAGCACAAGATGAGACCGCGGGAACATTAGCATGATGGGGAGACACTTGAAGGAATTATCGAAGAGATCGATATTCTAGGTGATTGGACAATGATGGTGGGAAGTAAGTGAGCTACGTACCTCTATTCATAAGGCCGAACAGAAATGAAGACATCAACTCACTAATCTCATAACTTGCTACCCATAAATGAACGCGGTGCCCAATTTTATTTCATCGTGACAATCTCGCTCATGGACTAGACCTTGGACGCACCGAGAATATTCCGTGTTGTATTAATTTCGTTCGTATTGTGTCTATAATGATCATCATGAATGCAGGTGATTCCCATAAACGTACCAAGGCTTGTACGTATCCTATATCATACACTGCGTATACTAGCTTCAGGTGTATAACCAAGCATTTCCAGACGAGCTTCTCCGATCTCGTCCTCGCTCGTAGAGCCACTTGCTGTTCAGGCCAACAGTACTTCTCTTCCCTCCTGATGCTGGACTCGGGCTGTCCGGGACACCTCCATAAAACGATCCTGTACTGGCACCCAAAATGCTAGTGCTCAAGGGGCTACCCGATCCAAGCGATCCTATCGAGGAGCGGCGGGCGCCGTTCATAGCCTTGTGCAACAGAGGACTGTTAGGTGATCCAATTCCCCCAAAAGGTCCGCTTCCGTTCCCACTTCCTCGGGTAGGGCTGCCGTTGTTAGAGGCAGGGGAGCCCGAGAAGCTGCGTCTGCTGCCCGCAGATCCGATCGAAGGAGTTCGGGCGTAGCGTGGAGGTGTGCTGTACGCGGAGCCTGGCGTGGGCGGCGCGTTGGTAGGTGGTAGGCCCAGCAGTCGTCGTTGGCCGGGTGTAAGAGGGATGTCGGAGAGGTCATCCTTCTGTCTGAAGAGAGGGAGTAGGTTGGTGCCGATGTTGAAGATTGGCAGGAAGAGGATCGCCCAGTATGCGTATCGCGCGTAGTACCACACGCTAGTCAAGTTAGTTGCGTCCCTCTGGAACGGGTTGGGACTCGGAACTGGAGCGTACAGGTAACTAAACCATTTCTTCGGCACCATCAACGAGAGCATGTTATGGGTGAAGACGATGGTTATGAACACGAGGACATTGATGGCGATGCGCTTCACGTTCTTCTCGGTGAAGTTTGTGGCATCTTGCCGTCGGATGATTTCTGGCAGACGCGGGTGTCGCCACGTACCAGGGCTGTCGGTGACTGGAGGTGTCGCGGGTGTTGATTTTTTAGGGGTGGTGAGGGCTGTCTTTGCCATGGTGAGAGACATTCTGTCTAGACCTAGGCAATGCCTTGTGCCTTGAAGCCGAGAATGCAGAGCACGGAGAGATTGATTGGATGTTGCCTCGAGAATTGGGTACCGAGTTGCTTCTTTGACTGATCACTATTGTAGCTTAGACACGACAGAAATAAGGCGATACGGACGCGAAAATATTGTCGATGTCGATTTTGGACCACTGAATTGTTATATTACCTGTTATGTTAGTTAGTACCTAAGGTTGCGGTGGTGGCGCTGCTCGCGCAGGCCTCGTGGTCGAAGTCGTGCTGCTGGATGGTTCTACTTTGTTTTCTTTGAAGGGAACATTGAAAATGGTTGTTAGGGCCGTTGCGAAAACAAATCATACGTAGATCGGGATTCTTAGTCATCAATTCCAGCCACTCAGATACTAGCGCTGGTTGGTGCATTAGGGGTAGGTACGCTATTTGATCTTTGTGCACAGACCACATTGGATAAATAGTTATGCACCCACTTATGTAGGGGACCTTGCCTTAGTAATGTGTTTAAGACGGAACGTTCCTTGCTAGACCTGCCGTCACAGGGCTGACAGTGAATAGTGAATTAGCTCCCCACCTGAATCCGCTATCCGCCTACCAACATCCTCCAACTAACCACATCTTACTAACTACCTCATCGGGCTTCGTCGTCAGCGGCGGATTCACCTGAAAGGATTCTTACCTTCTTCAACCTTCTACATACACCATTCCGATCACCCCGCCATTTAATGGCTATTGATGTATAGATGAGGAACACCAACTACATATTCAATCTCATTTGATATTTAATATCGGCAATTAGGAATATAGGAACAAACTGATACTAAGCCAGCCAACATGAGCGTCGGCGACCTCTTGAACCAGTTCGACGACGGACTAGGTTCGCTCCTAGGCCAATGGAACAGCTACTCAACCGCTATCGCAACGGTCTTCGTGCTGATTATCACATATGCTATTATGAACAGAGTGGAGCCCGAGACTCATCCTATGCTTCTCGCGCGTCAGGCTTCAGGTTCAGCTGTCCGGAATGAAGGGGAATCGCCTATATATCGTGGAAACTCGGCTCCTCATGGTCTCCCACTTAACGGCGGTCTAAATGTTAAGGACCCGGGCGCATCAAAATGGGCGGCCGGACGAGACGGAGACCTACGGGATATCTGGCGCAGAGCCGTCACGGGATCTCCGGAAGGAGATGGACCTAAGACTAAGGGCGGTATCTCGACTGTGCTGGGGAGCGAAAAAGTCATAAAGCATGACCTTAGTACGAATGAATTTGCTCCTTATTATTTAGGACGTACTAGGACTAACAACGTATCCCAGATGATATCACTCGGCAGATCAACCTTGTTGGCAAGCACATCGCCTCTCAAGGCGGGAAGAAGGTGGCCATCTACCTTCCCAACTCTGTCGAATTCATCGCTACTTTGTTTGCTGCCAGTTTCCACAACCTGACTGCTATCCTGTTGCCGTTCGACCAGCCAGAGGATGCGGTCATTTCGATGCTTCAGAGGTCTGGTGCCGACACCGTTGTTACCGCACCTGGCGCTTTCCCCTTCGACAACGCTGTTAAGAGCTATCCCGGTCTCCGTCAGCTTATCTGGGTCGTCGACGAGGGTAACAAGCACCTTGACTGGAACGAGGTTCCCAAGGGCATCGGCGGCAGCGTCAACGTATCCACCTGGCAGGACATCCTCAATGACAACCCCATCACAGCCGGCAGAGAGCTCCCCGAAGCCGACCCCAAGGCTGAGATCCAAGACGTTATTATCTTCTGGCAATCCAAGCCAGGTACCCTGGAGGAAATGGTTCGATTCACGCAAGGCAACCTGGTCTCCGCCATTTCCGCTCAGCTTACTGCCATCCCGCAGAAAGAGCGCTTCTCCCCCTCTGACCTCTTCCTCCCCACAGCCCCGCTATCCTCCTCCTTCCCGCTCGTCCTCACCCTCGCAGCCCTGTACTCCAACGCTCCTGTGGCATTCAACTCTGTAGCCGGCACATCGCCCGACCTAGCCCTGGCTACTGCTGGCATCGCCCCTAGCATCATCGTCGCGACCCCGCAAACCCTCAAGGCCACCCACGGCGAAACCATGTCCAAGATCAACTCTTCCTTCCTCTCCCGCCTCTCCCACGGCTTCCAGACCCGCAGCCTGACGCAGGACGGCGCCATGCCGACGTCCGGCTTCTGGGCCTCGTATAACGACGCGCTGCGCCCGCAAATCGGCACCGAGCCCAAGCTCCGCCTCGTCTACGTCGCGGAGCCAGCGGGCGCGGACGCGCCCAAGCTCAGCGAAAAGGTCCTCAGCGACCTGCGCGCGGTGACGCGCGCCCGCGTCATCTACGCCCTCGCTGCGCCCCGCGTCGCCGGTGCCGTCTGCCAGACCCTGTTCCACGACTACCGCGTCCTCGGCGACGGTAGCGGCGTCCACTTCGGCCCGCCCGTTAGCTCGGTCGAGGTCCTGATGAAGGATAGCGGCGCGCGAAAGATCACGGACGAGAGCTACGCCGGCGAGATTGTGGCGCGCGGGCCGGCGGTCGCGGGGGCGGAGGCGGCGCTGGGGGTTGAGGGGGCGGTTAGGATTGATAATGTTATTACTTATGTTTAGCTGGTTTGACTGCTTGATGTTTGACTCTGGCCGCGAGGGTTTTTCTCGGGTTGGGGGTTGGACGATGATGGATTGACTGCATTGGATTGGATAGGGTATAGGGAGGATGGATGGGGTGGAATGAAATGGTATGGGATGTTGATGATCAGATTGGGCGATGACCTGGTCTGAGGGGACCGTAGAGCGAAGTTGTGGATTCTTATGTAGTTCAGCGGACGCCGTTACGTTATGTTATCTACGTAATGAGATGCTGTATGTTTCTAGATACGTTATGTTCATGGTTAAAAATTGAGAGGTAAGGCATTTTCGTTTATGTTGTATGTATCATTTACCCCTGTTCCGTTCGATACTCTATGCCGCAAGATGATATTATTTTAGTTTTGCGTTCATATTCATCATCGTGATTACTACCATTCCTCTTCATCTAGGTAGATTAGGTGACATCTCGGAATCGTCATGACCATCAATGTTTGCGCCTAAGTAGGTAGGTAGGCACCCTGCATAACACCACATTGCGTAAATGACAAGACAGCATAAACCCGAACTCCGAACCAAGCAAGCAAGCAGTCCCTGTCATGAACCACATTCCACAACCTTCCCCTCTCTATTTCTTAAGGACAACCCTAAGCACCATTCCGATAAACCTGCGCGCCTTGATTACGGAACATAATAGTATCCCGTCTCTGCAGTATCATCAACGCCCTATTCAGGCTCTGCTCGCTAAACCCCTTGCCCTCGACCATCTCGCGCCTTAGCGTGGCCAAGCTCGTGCTCCAGCCGATCGGCAGCCGTCTCCTTAGCTCCTGCTCCACGCGCGCGACTTCCTCGTTGAGCTCGCGCGAGCCCTGGTTCGTGGTGCCCTGGGTGACGGCGTCCATGGTCGAGCAGAGGAAGAGGCGGATCGCCTCGTCGACGTGCTGCTCCATGGCGACGGGCGAGAGTGTGAGCTTGGCGAGCGCCTCGGTGATGCGGACGATGGCTTCGAGCTGGCGCACGGTGATGGGGATGCTGGATCGCGCGTTGGCTTCGAGTTCCGAGGCGTGCACTTGCTTTCGGATCGAGACGAAGTGCGACGATAGCTTCTCGGCGGCCTCGGGAGAGAGACGGGGTGCACAGCGGCTGGGGGCGGGTTAGTATTTTCACTTATATTGAGGACGGCGGTTAGGATAGGGGCGTGTGCACTCACGATTTGCAGTAGCTGATATATCGTCTCATCTTCTCCACGGGGACTTCTCCTTCGACTTGCTCCTCGAGACCACGGCCACCCATATGAATACCCATAACGTGCTTGGCGATTCGCTCGTCCTTTTCTCGGGTGTGCTCATCCTTGACGATGAAGATCATGTCGAAACGCGACAGGATAGTAGTCTGGAAATCGATGTTCTCTCCCGGAGTCTTCATATCGTCGTATCGGCCAAATATGGGGTTGGCAGCTGCGAGAACCGAGGTTCGAGCGTTCAGGATAGTTGTTATACCGGCTTTAGCAATCGAGATGGTTTGCTGCTCCATGGCTTCGTGGATCGCGACACGGTCCTCATCTCGCATCTTGTCGAATTCATCGATACATACCACACCACCGTCCGCTAATACCATAGCACCACCTTCCAGGTAAAACTCCCGCGTCGAGTGGTCTCTTTGAACAGAGGCCGTTAAACCAGCTGCGGAAGATCCCTTACCGGATGTGTAAATGGAGATAGGAGCAGCTTTCTCGACGAACTTCAACAGCTGCGACTTCGCTGTACCTGGGTCACCCAGAAGGAGGACGTTGATGTCGCCTCTCAGCTTCATACCATCAGGCAAGATCTTCTTGGAGCCTCCAAGTAACAGGCACAGGATAGCCTTCTTTATATCTCGGTTTCCGTAAATCGATGGGGCAATACAGTCTGCCATGATGTTATAAAGATCTGGCCTTCGGCTAAGCTCCATGAATTCTTGCTCTTCTTCCTCCGAGAAAATCGAGTGACCCTTGGCCGTAGCATCCACATCCGTTTGGAGACCGACTGCTCTTAGGTAAGGTGTTCTGATAGCTACGGCACCACCTGTGGACGAGTTCTTGGAACCCTTGTTCTGATAGATGGAGAATATGCCCATTACTGTACATCTTGACCCTGGCACGACCCTGTTGGTGAGGTATCGGTCTGCGGAGATGAGAACGTGACGTGGAAGTTCTCCCACCGGTACTTGATCAGGGGCTTCTTGAAGTTTGATAATTTGCTGATCTACAAACTTGGACTTCTCATGGGTGATAAAGTAGGGATCGAGAGGACACTTTTCAGAAGGGTCGTTTGGAGGTCTCTGGCGACCGCATGTTCGAGGAAGCGTAACACCGGTGAACCCTCCCAAGACAGGGATAATCTGCGTGTGTAGACAATTTCGGCATTGAACATGCAGTTCGGTAGCTTTGGAAGACATGACGGAGGCCCCAATTACAATACCTGGCACCCTAACCAGTCTTGCAATGGTCTCCGAGTCTAGATTGCGGATGGAAACATCGTCGGCTGAGGAGTGAAGAAGTAGTTGATGTTCGGGAATTACGGCCTTGGGGTCGTGAGGAAATACAATTCGGTGTGTACATTTCTTAAGAGCCCCTTCGAACTGTCGTCTTCTCTTAGCTTGGTACTTCTTGATCTAGGAGGATGATATAATATAGAGAACATACCAGAGGAATGAGCTCTGCCGGTTCTGTTACTAAACGATGCGCCAATTCCTCATTATACTTAATTAAGTCGGTTATATTAACATCGCAGTAATACTTCTTCAATAAAGCGTTCTCTCTTAACTGATCTCGATAGACGAATTGGTTGTCGTGTCTGAACTGTAGGATGAACGTAACCAACTGCTCTTGTATTTGCAATCTGGTATCTTCGTTGGGTCCCGAATTGGACTGGAAAACAGAAACCGAGTATACCGATTGGCGATCCATCTTGCGAACCGAATATGTAAGACTTGATCTTTTAATCAGTATACATATATAAGTCGCAGTGGGTGGGCTGGAGTTGATTATCGTGACTATCGATCGAGGGGTTGAAAGATTTATTTAGGTAATTTGGTTCAACCCAAATCGACTTGGAATTTCGCGTTAATTGAAACGCGTCCCCATTTCGCGTTTTTAGGGAGGCGCGTTGAGAGGTTGCATATGACGCTAATCCCTTCTCGGGAGTGAAGTTTGACCCCTGAATGATTCTTGGCAGGGTCGAGTCCGACAACCGACTGAGATCACGTGCTATTATCAAATTTACCTTAACGGTTAGCTATCAGCACTGACCATGCCCGCCGTCCGCGCGACATGCAATCTTTGATCGGTTTAGCGTTTTATGCCGTTTATACAGGATGGGAAGCTTATGGGGATCTGAGTTCCAGGTTAGCTGTCTACAACATAATTAGTCCATTCTACAATTTACATTTACATATGAATTAGTGAAACTCAACCAACCCAATTTCTTTGCGATCCAACTTCATCGGCGCCAGCTTGTGTATTATACTTGCCTCTTTTAGACGATCTTGTTGCGCAAAAAACTCTGAACAGTTACTGCATTCTTCGTCGTTACATCCGTTTTGGTGTCCAACCGTCCCAGTGACGAGGTTAGCAGTGGTGTCTCAGGCTCCTCCGAGCTTCCAGCTTTTTATTTCCTACCAATTGGAATTGGGTTGCGCCGGCCAGTCGCAATTCTTATTCGCTGACGTCTTGACATAGACGATCAGTTAGGCTGAGCATAGCTATGATTCCCCGGTAGCCCTTCGCGAGCTTTGTCAACAAGCCTTTTGGCTTCCCTCGCTACCTCGCTACCTCGTCATGTTCTCTAATTCCGAAGCTCGCAAGTCTGTCGACAGCTTGCCGCCTCTGTCGCCTCACGGCCGATCCGAATTCCCTTTCCACCGACAAGGCTCGTCTGCCTTTCCGAAAGCACGAAGAGGTTCGACTGCAAGTTCTATCGCAAGTTCGATACACTCCATCGGTGGTCATCTAGATACGTCTAGTAGTTGGTCTCAGACCGTTCACGAGACAGGGCAGAATGCTATCTCTACTCTCCTCCAACCGCCCATAGTACGGACGGGGCTACTTCCGCACACGTCCGCCCCTGCTTCAAGCGCTCACAGGCCGCCGACCGCACGAGACATACCACCCGTTACTTTGACAAATATACCACATGTCGATAACGACGAATTTAAACCATACTTAGCGCAGGTAGGGGCGTTATATGAGCAGCTAAGGCGTGTGAAAGAGAGTGATGATGATGGCAGTGATCACATATTTGGACGTGGCAGAGCTGAAGAACATGCTGGCGTGATAGATGAAAGTCATTTGAAACCGGGCAGTCGTCCGGGAAGTTCACGGAAAGTATCTGGGTCATCGATTAGATCTGTATCTCCTATCGATTCACCTCCGGCACGCACAATACGAAGGAGATCTAGTTCTGGTTTCAGTCGGAAGGCATCGGTCCAGGGTCCACCTCCGCTATCTACCATTCCGAATGTCTACTTCGACGAGGACTTTCACCTAGAGAATCCCCGAACGTTTGATGTCGTTACCGAGCGATCCGAAGTAGTTAGACCACCGCCTGGCTCCGTGGAGGAAAAGAATGCTGCAAATGGGAATGCTGCGGCCCCGCGCAAAAATCTTGCTACGAACGCGATATTGCAAGAGAAGCTATCGTGGTATATGGATACGATCGAGATGCACTTAATCTCCTCCATATCGACCGCTTCCACTACGTTCTTTACAGCTTTGGGCTCGCTGAGAGAACTCCACACCGAGGCAGCTGGATCGGTCGATAGAATAAAGACGTTGCGAAAAGAGCTCGTGGCCCTTGATGAGGAAGTCGCGGCTAGAGGGCTAGATATTGTCCAGAAACAACGGCGACGTGAGAACCTACAACAACTAAATGATGCTGTCAAACAGTTGAAGGAGATTGTCGAGTCAGTCGCGGCATGCGAGGAATTGGTAGATTCTGGAGAAATCGAAAAGGCATTAGCTAGTATCGATTCTTTAGAGAAACTAATTGCAGGCGAGCGGATACCTCGTCCAAAACAGGACGAAGACCATGGATACCAACTACGCGATTTGAGAGATGCCGTTGCCCTTCAGGGTGTGAACGGCGACATATCTACTCTACGGTTCCGTATCGGCAAAGGATTCGAAACTAGGCTTACGGACATATTACTAAGCGACCTAAGACGCCACGTCGATACCGTCTCAACCCAGGAAGTCCTACTCAGGTGGAGTAGCGCAGCAATGCGAGCCCGCGGAGCTCCTAGCAGAGACTCGTCAGCCTTTCCGGCTTATTTGTCCGCAACTGACGACCTCCGCTCACAGCTCATGCCCATACTAGATGGGTTGCACCGCTCAAAACATGTGACGATTGCCATAGCGTCCTATCGAGAGGTAGTGTTGCGGGAAATCCGGCTACTTATCAAACGACCGCTCCCAACATCCAACGATGATGATAATGAATCCATGATGTCCGCATCTACGATGAATTCAAAACGCTTAACCCAGCAAGAAAAATCATCTATTCTCGCACGAAATCTTCGAGCATTGGATGAGCAAGACGCCGAAAATCTATTTGTCAAGATGTACATTAGCGTCACAGAAACATTGCGTAGACTAGGCACCCAGATGAAAGTCTTGTTCGACGTCGCTAGTTCGTTAGGACAACAACCTAACACTGACTCCGCCTTGAAGTCGCCGAATCCCCTGAAATCTCCGCCCCTCAATAGCGCAAATCGCGACCTACAAGAAGATATTCACCTGACTATGGACATGGCGAATCTCCTCGGCCAAGCAGTCGACACATCACAAGAGAAGATTGTGAAGGTACTTCGAGTCCGATCTGACCAAAGCTCACACCTACCTTTGGTATGGTTCCTTCGATATTTCACTCTTAACCTCTATTTTGCAAATGAATGTGAAGCGATTTCCGGTAGGAGCGGCACATCACTGAAGAATATCGTCAATTCCCAAATCAAGGAGTTCATCCAGACACACGGCGATGCGGAGAAGCAGAAACTAGCCCAAGGCATGGAATCGGATCAGTGGAGTGCTAAAGATTTCACCGAAGAGAACACCGCTTTACTCAATCGCATACTAGAAAGTAGCACAAAAGATAATGCCGCTTGGTCAGAAGGAAGCAAAATCTGGATACCGTTCGATGATGGAGGAGCCAAGGAAAATACGAACGGTCGACCAAGGTCCGAATCTAACGCGGCGGGCAAAGAAAAGGCGCGAAGCGCAATTATTGACGGGGAGACATTTATATTACCCAACTCGGCAATCCTCTGCTTGGAGGGCATGTCCCACTTCCTACATCTTGTCACTGGCATTCCCTCTATGGCCTCGGACATATCCAGCTCCCTAATCGCGTACTTACAACTGTTCAACTCGCGATGCACGCAGCTTATTCTTGGCGCGGGCGCGACTCGGTCCGCCGGCCTGAAGAATATCACTACGAGGCACCTCGCCCTAGCGTCGCAGGCGCTAGCCTTTATATCGACGCTGATCCCGCACGTGCGCGAGTTCGCCAGACGACACGCAGGTACAGGCCCGAACGTCAACAACGGCAACGTAGCAAATCTGATGGGCGAGTTCGACAAGGTCAGGCGGCTGTTCCAGGAGCACCAGAACAGCATCTACGACAAGCTGGTGGAGATCATGAGCGGGCGTGCGGCGGCGCACGCTAAGAGCATGAAGGCGCTGAACTGGGACCGCGAGGGCGACGTCACCGTGGACCTGTTCATGGAGACGCTGTGCAAGGAGACGGTGACGCTGCATAGGGTGCTCACGAAGCATTTGCCGGAGGGCACGGTCAGGTTGATTATGACGCCCGTTTTCGAGAGCTATAAGAGCCAGCTCGGGAAGACCATGCAGGGGCTTGAGGTTGCGGAGTTGGGCGCCAGGAGGTGAGTAAACTTATTTTATATATATGTATATATATATATATATATATATATATATATATATAAAGGAAATGACAGGCTTAGGACGAACGTGGCTAACAAGAGAAATAGGATGGAGTCCGATATTGAATATCTCATCAGCCGGCTGAGCAAGATCGACGGCTTCGGCGATACGGGGGATAGCCTGCTGGCGATCGCCGTATCGAAGAAGCCGGAGCCTAAACCGGAGGATGTTAAAGCGGATACCAATAATAATAATGGGGAGACGGCAAAGGAGAACGGCGACGGGGAAAAGAAGAACGGTAACGGTAACTCGGATGAGTCGCCGGGCGAGGAGGCTAAGGGAAATGAAAAGGAGAAGAGTGGGGAGGAGAGCAAGTAAAGGAGAGAGGGGATTGATTCCTAGGGCATTTTCGGAGTGTCGTCGGATGTGTTTCTGTGCCCGCTAAGGGTTATTTTGTTTGTTTGTTTTGCCGGGGTTGGTCTGGCTTGGTTTGGTTCGATTGTACATTGGTTTGCGAGTATCCGGCATCTGAAGCAGGCGTTTTTTTTTTACTACTACCATAGAAAGGAATGGACTGCAGTACCGAGAGGAAATGAGGTGAGGTGAGATGGGGTTTCTTCATTAGGGATATGTTGTGTATTATGATATCGGTAGAGGTAGGTAAGACGAGATGTAGGTCTATGGCCAAGGCGTTGATTGAACATTCCGGTCGTTTTCTGCTTACTTGCTACGGACACACCATCCTGGAGTTTACTCGCAGGCAGTCGAGCCTAGTTTGATTGGATTTGATTTGACAGTTGTACTAATATCTCCAAGCCGTCACCGCCTTATCTTAGCCACGCTGCGTAACTTGCAGGTGGGCTTAGTTAGATACACCGACCGGCGTTTGATGGGATATCGTGGCACCCGCGTCCCGGCCCGGGGATTATCAGCCCTGATGTTTCATAACCTGCCCGGTTCGGGTTTCTGTTTTCTGTTTCTTTCGGGCTGTGTCTGCTGCCCACGTGTTCCCAACCCTGCGATATGGGAGATAGGACGTTTACCTGTCTTACTTTCCCTATTTCTCGAGAAACATAAGTGTGTGTATACGTACACCTGTGTAAGTGTAGGTATTCATGTGTACCTGGGTAGATACCTTGGGTGCTGCGAACCACCGTTGTCGTGTTAATCCAGGAGATCGTATGATAGGTTCCTCTGTAAGGCAATTGGACAGGTAACGCGGTCGCCTTTACTTGTAGTATGTATCACGACGCTAAAGTGCTCGCGTTAGAGCAATCTTAAGATCTTTCCGTTTTCGTTAGGTGTTGTTTAAGGGATCTGAGATAACGTATTGGAAGCACAAGAACGCCCGGCCTTACGGGTTAACAGGTATTACCAATCATGATGTCAATCACCGAGCTGAAGAACACAAGTACAGTAAATCCCGTTGAAACTAATTCTGCCCGTACCCATATTCTTATTCATATCCACATCTATCCCCGAGTCCGGGGAAACAGTCCGGGGAATCCCGCGCTTGCCTAACCCACCGGCCGGCTCGCGGCATGAAGCATGGGCGCTAAGTCCCATCTGCCAGATCCCGAAAGTATGCGGGGAGCGGGGGCTAATACCGACACGCATGTCCCCGTATGAATTGGTGGTACGCCCGAGGCTTTGGCTCGGGTTTACTTTACTTTGTCTAAAGTTAGTCCTGGAAATATTAGCTCAAAGGAATAAAGCTTGGATGTTTTTTGTTAGGTCAGATGTTAGATGTTAGATGATCTAGATCGTATAGGTCTAGCCATCCTTAAACAAAGAGTAGTAACCAACGACTGTCTGTCGCAAGTAATCTTCCTCCGTACGACTTGAATAATTTGTCAATTATAGTAATTTTTCAAGACAAAACGTGGCGCGCAAGCTTCTTCGTTGCATATTCCGGAATAGCGGTTTATTGCGGTTCACGTCGCTAGCCGTTTGTTTGGCACATGGGAAGATCCCGGATGATATCCTCCATCGAGCTCTCAGTGGTGGATGTAGCTTAGGGGCGTCGTCGTATAATAATAGCGTAAAGTTATCTAAGAACATAGTAAGAACAAACCGGCAAAGGTTAAATGATAACCTTAGATAGGTACAAAGTGAAGATAGCAATAGGCACAAAGGACGAATAAGCCCAGGCTTAGTCTAAGGCCGTCCCTTCGGGTCTACCCGTGCTCGCTTCTCCAACTTGGGGCTTGCTCTGATAACGTTTAATGTTGGAGCATTAAACATTCTGAGGGGCGCCGTTGTCATACATTCCCGCGCTAGAGAATAGCGCGTAACGGAATCGCAGCGATATGCGCGGCATGCAATTCAATGGATACCGGTTTGCTGCGAGTATCATAGATCGACCCATTCGTCGTTCGTCCCATCATACCGTCCCAAGTCCCCTGGGCCTATCTGTGATCTCCAACGTTCATCATGTCTCGCATGCACAAGGATGTCACTCGATTGGGGTCCCGTCGCCCAATCACGCAACCAACCCGTCCAAAGGTACGATTACCACCCGTCCTGCCGCCGCGTTACAGCCAGACAAGGAGGCACCGTAGCATCGACCTAGGATAGGCCCGGGGAGTGTTGCTGATCGTCGCACGGCGGGTTTTCTAAGCAGCCTAAGGAGCAGTAAGCTACACTACTGTAAGTTAGGGGGGGTAAGGTAAGGGGGGGGGCCAGGTTTAAAAAGCGCAGCCGCAAGCGCCAAGCTTTTCCAGAACCTGGCACCCCCCGTAAATACACTAGGTAGACACGCTGTAAAAGGTTCCGACGCTCTGTCTTGCCAAGTCTGACCTTTATTTGAACCGCGCGCGGTCTTGGCGAAACGCCGCACTTGGGTTACGTACGTCTTCAACTACCTACCTACATACCTACATACATCGCGTGCCTCAGCATCTAGTACATATGTGTGGTGAAGAGCAAACCAGGAATTCGTTGGGATGGGGGCTTTTTGGGGTAGTCTATCTCACGCTCTAGTTGGTTCGAGGGGGCCCCGATCCATGTGCGCCGTGGCGCAGCGCTGAGGGAGTTTTGGGAGTTTGCTGAGAAAGGTAGGTAGGCAAGTATTTAGCTCCCGCTCCTATTTACAAGAGTCGCACGTACATTGCGCCTCTGTCGACGACCCTTCTATTGCGAAACGGGGGTCGAGTCACGATTGGATTGTTCCAGGCTTAGGGTCACCTACTACATCTATGTATTACGTCTGCTATTGGGGGTTAATTAAGGGAGCCCAAAGGATCTAACAGGACGTTTAATGTAGCGAGGGCAGATGCCTATCGTGGAAGTAAATATAGACCTCGTTGGTGGTATATCGTGCCATTTGGATTTATTTTAATTTCTCTCTCGTATATGCCTTCGTGGTTATCTAGGTAGATATATGGAAAAGGAAGCAATCAATTTCGTAGAACCGACTTCGCCGAATTCATTTTAAGCAATCGTAATAATAGCTTGACACTTTCCTTCTACGGCATTCTCTCCCCGGTAAATGTGGTTGGGGTGCATTTTGACACTACGCCGTCTCAAGAGGGCCACGCAATCCTGCGGGGAACGAATATTTCCATTCGCGGGGCTGAGGACCTTCATTTGTTGGCTTAGAACTACACTTACAGCGAAGGCCAGCCTCACCGGTTGCCAGCTGAGTTAGCGCAATGACCTCGAGAAAAATAAAAAAGGGGTCGGCACAAAGAACCGACATGAACCTGAAACCCACTTAACAAGGTAGCCTTTCACATCACGAGAAATACTCTTAATAGCAGAAGACAATAGGCTACGGTGGTACGATGTCACATGCATAACTCATTCCCAAAGAAGATTCTTCCATCCTTTTCCATTTATGTCAGGTAGCTCGCGGTGGGACAACCGGGGCTCATTGTCCCATGTACGCATATCCAAGAAGCGCGCGATCCAAAAATATATACAAGAATAAGATTCAAAATGTCTAAGCCAGCGAGCGTCAAGAAATGATAAAAAAAAAGTTCTTTTTGTCCAAGAAGGGAATCTGGCCGGTGTGCCAAGAAATGTTTGCTCCGCTAGGGAATGAAGTTTTTGCCAGCACGAACCATCGAGGTCGTGAATTGTTGCGCAGAGCAGCTAGGCTCGCGGTTAATAGCGGACGCTTCTAACGAGCACATCCCGGTTCCCACCTCTTGTCCATATGCCCCGTAAAGAATTGCTTCCAATGCCTCTGCCTTCGAGTCTGCTGCTTTGCCAAGCGTGACTCTATCCCAAGTCTATGCCCCAACCAACCGTTTCAAGAAATGCGATGCCCAAGACGGCACGCCAGTGAGAGAAGTGAAGAAGAGCGGGTATCTTGAAATGCATAACCGTAGCGCCTGTCGTATCATCGTCGTCGAGCGCCCAGCGCACTGCGCGTCAAAAACAAGATTGATCGACCACCAAGGCTTGCTTAGGAGAGTTTGCCCAGGACGTAGTGACGGGGGACTAGAGTACCGGGCTCGATGTCACGAGATGCAACGTTGGCAGCGTTGCCGAGGGTGACGACGAGGTCCGTCTCCTTGGTGGTAACCGTCTGAACATCATCGGGCGCATAGTAAGCGGTAGCGCAAGGGAAAAGGAGGCATCCAGAGACCAAGGTCTTCGGAGTGTTCTGCATTTCGCTAGCCGGGAAGATTTGCTTAACGCCAACTGTGTCAGAAGGGTTGACGATGGCCGAGACGTCAAAGTAAGTGATGTCGTTCCAGCCTTGGAAGGTAAACCTTTTATATGTAAGTATATATGAGTGAGGCTTTTACTTTCACGGGAGACTTACTCGGCAAGCATGCCAGGGACGTTAGGTTTACCTTCGCTAACAGAATAGGCGTTACCAATCCAAGAAGTCGGGATGTTTACTTTGGTCTGCTGGTTTCCGGCAACTGTAACGGAGTCGATGGTTGGGCTTCCGGCACTCGGGGTAAAGTAGATTTGACGAGTGGTGTCGTCTTGGTTCACGAAAGTGACAGAGTTGGCGCTAGCGAGGGTAGCCGCGGCGGCAGCAAAGGCAGCGATCTGAGTAAAGAAGCGCATTTTCGTTGGTTATTTGTTTTTTTCTTGTTGTAGAAATACTGGTCGATGTATATATCTAATGTCCTGTTGCCAAGTTTGTTCTGCCACTGTAAAAGTCAAATTGCCGTTAAAGAGGGTTCGGCTGTGATGAGCTTTCTACGTAGTTTGAAGGATAGTCGTGTCTTCTAGACTCGATTGGAAGGATTGTATGTTGTAGCTAGAGGTATAGCTTCGTGATAAAATGAGTGTATCACTGAAAAGCCCCAAAAGGAAAGAATGATAGCTACAAAGAGCTCAAAAGAGAATGCTGAAAATCTGAAGATAGTTGGCGTGTTCAGGGAAAGCAAGAATCGTAGGGTAGCGCCGGGGCTTTTATAAATGGAAGAAACAAAGCCTGACGGTGGTCGGGGTAGTGGCTCTCCTATTGTCAACGCCAGCCAATAAGATAGCCAGGAGCAAAAGAAACGTCGAGCACGTCTAGAGCGAGGAGCAAGTACCTTAGTAGTGGAGTCCAGGGACCGCTTCCTGGATCCATGATCCATCCAATCCATCCATCCAGGGGGCCGTGAATGTATCAGAGAAAAACGTAGCCATAGCCCCGGATGGCGACTTAGTTGTGGATGGCTGGTGACCTGTTCCTGAATCAAGGTCACACCTACATACGGCTTGCTTGGCGGCCTAAATGTAAAGCCTCATACCAAGTAAGATTCCTTCCCGCTGGGATAGACTGCCCAGACTAACAGGTGCTTAAGCCTAACGGTGCCGAGGACTACATGATCGATCCACCATATGTCGACGACCTTTTATCCAGATTGCTATCCACCGAAATTCTAGAATACGTTAATAAGTAGCCGCACCCCATTAAAAAGCGCGCCGTCAATAGTTGCGGTACTTGGCGGGACGGCGAGCTGGGATATCTTGGCGCTTTTCACCTTAGGGCTGATGAACAATGGAAGGGGTGTGGATGCAGACCGCGAAGATTATCGATTTGCGCAAGCAAGAATTTGTATCTCGAACCAATCCGAGAGGAGCGGGTGGAGCATCCGCCAGGATGGGAAGAGAATGGTAAAGGAACGACAGGGGTGTGGCACAAAGAGAACAAGGAACAGATTTTTTTTTTACCTGCATCAGAAACTAGCTGGCTAGGTGTGTGTTGTAGAACCCGATTGGCCGGCTTTAAGATCTCGTTCCTGGTACCTGACATAAGTCCATGTGGTATCACTGATGTGGCACACGTTGAGAGGACATATTCGTAGCTTCTAAATATTGGGAAATTAGATTGACAATGAGGCATATTATATCATCGCATCACCGCTTGTGTGACTAGGTAACTAAATAGATGAGCGTAGTTATTGGGCTCTATGTCCGGGAGATTTCCTTTGCGCGATGCCTCTGCCGAAAAAGTCGATACGTGGAACCAGTCGCAAAACTTGTTGAGTGAGTTGTTCATATTGCTGACAGACTGCTGACAAGTAGGTATGCTATACCTTGTAGAGTATCGTGAAGGAAGGTAGATGGGGGATGGGGAAAAGGCAATGACACATTCCTTAGACCCCTAACTCAATTGCAAGTGCGTGAGCACAGCAGGATTAACACGCCGATATTCGGGACCCGGGAATAGTATAGACTTTTTGTGGTCGTAGTTGCTGAATTTTTCTTCTCTTTAGATGCTCCGGAGCCAACGCAACCTACAGCTGCACCTGTGACACAATTTCGGTTTGGTGCGCGCGTGATGCCGAGAATAGTAAAGCATCGTGGCATCGATGGATGTGTGGATTTCTAAACCATGAAATCTAGATGCGATCGGATTCCGTAAGGGAAACAGGGTAGATGTTTTAGTCGATGTCGGTTAGGCATGGCAATAAAATTCTTGCGAATTTTAATACAATTCGGCATAGTTCGCTGGCGCCTATATCTGCTCAAACGTGAGCGATGAAAGTAGCATTGAGCTGCTGACCTTAAGCTGATGGTTAAGTGGATACTTGAACGTATGTATGTAGGGGAAAAAACGTGATCCATGGTGACCGAGGCACTAATAGGACACCCGAACGTCGAGCCGGAATCGACCAACATCTAGCTAACAATTTAGCAAGCGAGCTAAGTCCCGCGAATCCGGTCCGATGGGCACCTAGGTCTATGCCCTCGCAGCATCAAGCACGGGATGACAAGGAGGCGTCCAAGAGAGGGATTCTATCTTGATTTGCTTTTGCCACACATGCATCGTGATCCACAAAGACCTGTGAGAATTTTGTTGAGCCGGATGAGACGAGATGTTTGCAAATATAAGCCACAGCTCGATAGCCAACCACAAAGAAGCTGAGCGGCGAGTATTTCGGTCGTTCATACGGGGCTTTCAGTAGTAAGTGAAATCTCTTCAGATTTCCTTTTGCTTGCCCATCAGTAATCAATCGGCCGAGAGTGCGCTTCCAAGCTACTGCAAGCATCTCCGTCTTAAAATTTCTGCGAACATTTAGCTAATGCATTGGTATGAAAATACATTGGTCTAGCTAGACGCTCAAAGGGTAAAGACCAAGATAGACTGGCGACTGCTAAAGGCAGCGAGCTTGCCAGTGACTAGAAGCGTTGTAGCCTTAAGATGATACCTTGACTCGTAGTGTGGTGAGCCACCTAAAGGCGTGACAGCCAACTTCATAGATAGAATCAATCAATAAAAGGCTCTTATCTGCGAGAGAAGTATCATGAATCGCAACGTCCACGAGATCGCGGGTCGAGACTGACCTCTTCCTGCGACCAAATCACATAATGATAGCCGGCTTATTGGAGCGAAGCAAGCTTTGGACTATACCGATTAGAAATCTTGGTATATACCGGTACCAAGAACAATACACCTATCAAGATGAATTCGGTAGCTGAGTTTTCTCCGATGTGCATTCGCTTGTGAAAGGTCCAATTAACGCGAGCGGAATAACGCAAGAGAAAGCCGAGCCCGTCAAAATTTTTCCAAAGCCGCGATGTAACGGAAATATCGGTGACGATGTGCTATTGGTGACTGCAGATGCGTCTCGATCCGGTCGGCGAAGAGGGGATAATTCTTGCCGTTGGTTTGTCGGGCACGGTCTCCTCTCCTTACGCTCATTTCTTGTCGCCGCCCTATGGTTGTTGAGCGGAGGTCCGAGAACTCCCTTAAGATAATCCGCTCTCCGAGTTTCGCAAAGGGGGCTTTCAAGACTGGAGACTTAGTGGAGAGACAGCGGCCGTGCCCACCAAACCCATGCACAAGCCGAGATCGCTGAAGATCTATTCATCCATGCCTCTATGATCTTCAAAGGACCTCGGAACAGAGCAAGTCATGAGGCTGAGAGAGTTCCTGTAAGTAGGTACTTGGGTAATGTTTAAGAGACTTCCATCTTTCTGGGCGTTTGGTAGAGGCTAGAACAGTAGAAGGCCATTGCTCGTTGCTCGTCGATCTTTGGCCATACTCGCGCTTGCTTTCCTGCTATTAGGACATACATTGTAACTTTCAACGTATTGTTTCTCGAATAGAGGGACATAGTGTCGTCGTGTTGTTCAATGGCCACCTCAAATTCTACTGTGGATGAAGTTTTCAGTTTTAAGAAATGATTTGGAAGATTTTCAAGAGTGAAATGTTTAATTACAGTTAATTTTCCTTATCGCGATATTATTTTCGGCTATCGTGTCAAAACATTCCTTCCTTTCCTTTTAGAAAGTTCGGTTGGAGTTCCCCGGCTAGCTTCCAAATCGTCCATCTCTGAATGTTCGATCCTTCCTTCAATAGTCCATGGTCTTATCATTACATAGGTAGTACACTCCTCTAGCTTTATCTCAAATGTCCGTTGTATCCAAACTTACTATTTTCATGTATCAACTCTCGATTGGGCAACGATCTAACGAAGATCAAAACATGTGAGAATCTAAGATTGGCCAGATTGAGTTGATCTGAAGCCAAGTTCGAAGCGCACGTCAAAATTGGGACATGAAACTGCATTCATACTTAAACCCAAGATCGTCCGTTCTATCACAGAGAAACACGACGCCTACAGTCTATGCGATGCAAACCTCTAGACTCCAAAGATTGACTCGACCAGTCATCGTCGTGCGAAATGTAAGAAGTCAAAAAAGAGAAGAGAAAAAACCGTTGATATCCTAGAGGCTTGGCGTTCAGCTAAGCTGATGACTGGCTAGTTGCTACCACAGCAACACGAGGTTTTCCTCGGGCCTTTCGGTAGCATCGTCGCATTTCTGGGCCGCAAAGGGTATAGGCACCACACCGCCAACTGTCTCTGCGCCAGTGATCCCAGCCCACTTACCAAAAACCGAAAGTCGATAAATATGACGTACCCAATCAGCTCCGGCCTGGTCAGCCTCTGTTGATCGATCAAAAAGGCAGGGGAGGCTCTTGAACGCCTATCACATCCTCAGCTCTACAGCACCGACCCCGCCCGATTATCTCGTTACCTTATCTATCGCACGATGCGAAGAGAATCCGAAGAGCTACCTAGTATTTGCTGGAAGAGATATGCTGACATCTTCATATCTCTCCGCCAAGCGTGTAACCTTCGTTGGTCCCCGTAAGCTCCAGTTGGCTAACGTTGGCTAACATTGTTACCTCGTATCACCTCAGAGATGACGGCCATTGGGAGTCGCTTGTGACTACAACATCGTAGAACCCCCCATTCACACTGACTCGCTCAATGGGACCTAGATTGGATGCAACGTATTGTACCTTACCGCCGTTCCGTTACTGGCTAGGCTGGATAAGTAGCCTATCTAGATTATCTAGACTCGGCGCCGGCCAGCACCAGTCACGGTCTATCCGCCCTAGCGAGAAAGGAATTGTTTCTGTCCCTTTCCAAAGAGGTTCATTACGAGCCGGAAAAGACAATTTTAGGAATGGTCATGACCGAAAATAGCAATACGTGCTCACCAAAGTAAAGTAAGAGCTATCACCTGCCCGACCATACGATAGCTACAAGCGTAGATGGGTACGAGTCGTATGGTTGGCTGCCTTTTGTGGCTTGTCGACACTAGACAGGCCTCTGTCGATATGGGCAACTGCCCGCCATTGATGTGCATGGCATCATCCAACGAACTCCAGCCTTCCAGATTGTAAGCTTGCATGGGCGGGCTGGACCGGCTGGATCGGGCTGCTGCTCGTCATTACCCACCATCAGGTTGCCATGCTTCCTCGACCCCTTCACTATCCAAATGAGAAATAAATAGGTGGCTGTCCCTGCATGTACTCCTACCAGACCCGTTTCTTCAACATCATATATCACTCAGGACCTCTCAATCGCTATCGCACGGTATAATCCTGTCGAGTCTTAACGACAACACAATCGTTTGGCAAACTTCGATCGCTTGGTGATTCACTCCGCCGAAAACTAATACACAAACCTCTCGCTATTTATCGTCGTGGTAAAGTTACCGGTCAAAATGAGAGTAGCTCAGATCTTGGCTCCCGTTGTTGGGTTGTTCGCCGTTGCGAACGCTTGGGGTGAGACCGCAGTTTGGACGACTGTTGTGGAAACTGACTACACTACCTACTGCCCCGTACGTTTACCTGCTTGATGCTTTCATGGCATAACTGCTATTCCTTGGTTGTCAACATTGCTGACTCTATTGTAGGCCGCCACTACCTTCGCATGGCAGAATGTGACTTACACTGCTACAACAGCAACCACCCTCACCATCACGAGTATGTCTAGTCTATCTTACTTCGTTATATCAAAGCGTTGTTGTAACTAACCATAATCAGACTGCCCTTGCACCATCACCTACTCTACTCCTCCTACCACTTTCACCTCTTATCCCACATCAATTCCCCTCTCCACTGGATCTGTTGGCACAACCTCTTACACCTACTCCAATGGAAGCTCGACTGTTATCACCTACACGCCATCGGTCTCAACTTACCTCTCTGGAACTGTCCCCATCACCGCCACCACACCGGTAGTCCCGACTAACACTCCCGTCGGACCCACTAGCACCGGCCCCGTAGTGATCCCTACTGCTGCTGCCGACAAGATTGGACCTGTCGGTGCTCTGCTCGCCGCCGGTATTGCTGCTCTTGCTCTGTAAACAGAGTAATACAAGACCACTAGTACTATTGCGTTTTGCAGATACCCCTTTTCCGTTTCTCTAATACATGGGCGACTAATAACCCCCTAATTTTTGGAAGGTGCCGTTTTTGGGATGGCTGGCATTTTTGGAGGCTGGAAGGCTTTGCATACCCGTTCTATACCCTCATTGAACCGAGCATGATTTGGACGCTTGGATACGTTATTACGATGGATGCCTTTGACGAGATAATGTGGGCTGCATAGGAGCAAACGGAGTTTATATGCTGAGGCTCACATTGGGTGGACTAGGAGGAATCGCATCTACTATATTAATTCTGCGTGTATGTACGCATCAATATTGTCTAATTTTTGATGCCGGCACGCTCGGAACCACGCTCCCTGAAAAAAATCGAGAACCCGGTATCCGGGCGTCTGAAGTCTGAAGATGGAACGTATATAGACCGAAGGACATAATAAACATTGAAGTTGAATTTAACATTCATTTTAACTGGTACCTATCGTGATGATTGAAGGAATGCGTAACACAGCCTTAGTTAGACGCCATAGCCGTAGTTTGCAGCACTAGGGTTCCTGTATTCCTCCTTACACCAACTGCGTAGCCTTATGGCCAATGCTCGCATGTCTTCCTCCATCACTTTAGAAAACCTAACCCTCCCCTCACTTTCGGACGGATGGCCCCCTCGAGCTAGAGCAGGTCCCTCTGCACTCTTCTCTCATCTCTCATGTTCTTGCCACTCTCGTCATGCACGGCAATAGCACAAGCTTATGGTCCCAGCCAACGGAGTAAACTGCCTAGAGTACCTAACGCACGCCAGGATTGCATATGCAACGTACGATAGCGAATAAGCTGCCCTCTGCTTACTGCTTAGGGCTCAAAATTTTCACTTTCTGGTGGACTGCTGCAGCGAGCTAGGTGAGGATGTGCCGGATGCGGAATGGGCGGGTTGCTCTGAGTTCTTTTTGCCACATATTTCTGTGAGTATACATCATAGGGACTCTGCTGGGACAATAAAAATTTCCATAAAAAATAATATGGTGGTGGCATTCGACCTCCAAACCAAACCCACCCCTGCACCCGCGGATCGGTGCTTACAGCTGACAGCATACATCATACAGGGCTCGATACAGGGCTTAAAAGCTTAGAGGCAGGAAGAAAAAAAAGGACCTAAGGACTCACAAGCCATCAGAGTTTTCCGTTGAGAACATCCACTCGCTCACATGAGCACTTAGCAATTGCGACTTTTCATGTCATTCTTCTAGCCAACTCTGCTTTCCACAAGCGTTTTTCTCTCATAAACCATACTAGTAACAATTAGAGCAAACTAGCTATGTAGCTCATCGGTAGTTGCGTAGTTGACACCCCCCGATTAGGAAACCGTCCAACCCGAATTTTGCGTCGAAGAGGCAAAACGCCGATGCAACCGCATGCGTGTGATTGAAAAGGCTCTCGACCTTACATAGAAGTAAAACCCCGGTAGGTAACTTACCAGCGCATAAAAAGCGCGCGCCGCCAAGCTCGTATTCCTTCGCTCAACCCGCCCTGCAGCTACAGCGCTAATTGACTGGGGAGCTCCCTGGCCGGGCTGCTGTAGCTACCTTATCACTTAACCGACCTACCAGACCTACTTAGGTACCTAGCTATTTGCAATACTTTACTTAGACCTATGGCAAACCCTTGTAGCTGAGCTAGCTGGCGCGGGGGCATCCATTCCACCCTCGTGAAGGTGAAGGTGCTCGTGCGATATAACTGACGACCAGAGCTAAATATCGAATGGAAAAAGAAGAAGAAAGGATTTAAGGAATAGGTACCTAGGGAATGGAAGGTAAGGAATGGGAACCAGCGAGCAATTGGCTTCTCGGGAGAGACAATGTCTTCGCTGTAGGCTGCTTGACGGTCTGCCTCGTTCAATATCGCTTCTGGTTGGTAGCACAAGCCCGACTTGCATATGTGCTTCTCGCTCTTAGTAGGCTAACTCATATTCCCTATCATGCCTATGACTTCAACGGGACCGCATAGAAGCCCTTTACGGTTAACCCGTAGATTGCCTCACCTACCTGCTGCATACCTAGTACATTGATACATACCCGTGGACCTATGTATATGTCCTATCTTAAGATAGGTAAACCACCGAACGAGCGCGAAACCCTCGTAACAAACCCGTCACGCTGTCGACAGCGACGTCGTTACTGGTCCCTCGACACGGCACCAAGCCTACGTATCAGCGATCAGCGAAATCTAGCCTCAATCCCATGTCAATTAGCCTCGGTAGTCTACCAGCGCTATTGATATCTCGTTACATGGTATCGTAGTAGTGTCCCGATCTAATACCAGTTCGCTGTCAAACCTACCGTGCCTTACCCGGTCGTTACCATCCAGGTATGTATTCAGCTCTCCCACGTGAAAAGCCGGGAAAGCCGATGTCTAAGCCAGGTATCTGCCGACGGTTACTACCTATCTTTTTATAGCTGATCTTCGGTGTTCTTGAGCTAGCCTTGGGACAGGGGGAAGAGAGAGAGAGAGAGAAAAAAAAAAGAGGCTATATGATAAGCACTTATACCCTAAGTTCGGTGTCGACTATTTGGGACCGACGAGCGGCGCAGGGACTTGGAGCTAAACCGACATAGTAGAGTAAATGGGCATGGTCTTATCCGTCTAATCCGCGTAATTTGGTCGAAGCATTTAGAAGCATGTATGCCGGAATATGGCTAACTCCGAGCCCGTATATAATATATACGAACTGCACACACGCAGACTACAAATATAGCAAGTGAAAAAAATAAGGTGCCCGCAGTCCATGTCTCATGTGTTGGCATAGTGTGATTAGTCACAAACATATATCTAGATCCCCCCTCTCATACATACGTGCCGTGCTGCACTGCATATGCCTATCCGTCATCAAGCAGTTTTACTAAGACCAGCTGAGAGATCTTGCTGAATGCAAGACCCCGTATGCTCGCGAGATCCAACGCTCAGACGTAGGGTGACAGCTTGCCGGTAACGACTTCTACAAATATGGGAGGTAGCTTGTTGGTAAGCTCGGTTGGAGGATTGTTCACATGGGACCGTGGAGGACGCCTGTATAAATCGAATACGAGACCCTCGATTTGCTGACTCCTATGGGCGTCGTCGGATGTTTGTCTCAGCGCCGCTTAAGTCATGGTGGTATATGTTACGTTGCCGCGAGCGGCTATAGTTAAGGTAATATGAAGTGGCTCCTCGACGTGTGAGAAAGCCAATGCCTGCGAATTGCAATTGATTTCCTTCCAAATGCACCATCTAGGATTTCCTCAGGAAAAAAGGTTGTTGGTTCACGAAGACTTCATTTCTCGTAAAACAAATCAATAACTAGAATCCCCCATGATAACCCCATGACCCTCAATGCTTTTCCATCCCATTCGTTAATAAATCGTAACCCGTAAGTCAAACCCCACGATCCTTAGTTTGGTCAACGCCACTCGGAATTTAGAGCTCAGGAGAGTTTTGCGGATTCTATCCGGTCGACGGCCCGCTCATTCCATTAGCCTCCATCCTAGATCTGACCTCTCGTATGAGAGCTTTCGCCTCTTCAACCTCGACGCCATCTTGACATAGCTCGGTTGCCAGGCGATTGGCTGTGGGGTAATCCTCCGTTCTCATCGCGTGGCGCGCAAGCCACATGCGAGCTTTACTAGTGGCCGCCGTCACTCCCGTGCCACCTTCTCCTCGTCCGGCATTGTCGCCGTCATCGTCGGACCCTTCACCCGGCGAATCGTTGTGGATCTGGATGCTTTCACCTAGGTTATCGCCGCCACCGTCCTCTTGTGCCACGCACATTTCCATGTAGGCTTTGGCATCTTCTTCCTCACCTATGCTGTCGTACATGCCAGCGATTTGCAACAGGATCTCCGGATCCATGTGTGCACCCCTCATAATACCTGCGCTGCCGAAATCGTTTCCTGTCTCGTAGTAGCTTTCGGCAAGCAATGCTCGTTTGAGGGCCTTAATCCCATCTTGGTTCCGATTCATGCGCTGTAAGCACGAACCAACCGCCATCCACATCTTTCCGTCCCATGGTCGGAGTCCAGCTGCCTTCTTGTAATACCATAGGGCATAGGCATGCATCTCCAGCACTTCATATGTTTGGCCTAATCCGTACCACGCGCGGTAGTCTCTCCGATTGACATCTACAGCTCGACGGTATGATTCGATAGCAGCATGTGTATTCTTGAGTTCGACATATTCATGTCCCATCAGTGTCCATGCAGATAAGCATGAGCGATCCAGCATCAACGCTCGTCGGAAGTACTGCACAGCCTTCTCGTGAAGGGATAGCAGTGAATAGTAATTTCCAATAACGACACAGGATTCAGGTCGGAATTTATCGACGCTACTGCATAGGTGAGCTAGAAAGGCCAACTTTGGCCTTGAATTCATGACGTAAAGGATATTCGAATAGTGGTCGAGTGAGTCGAGTCTATGAGGATGCAATGAGAGAATGCGGCTGAAGTTCTGCTCTGCAGCCACGAGATCCTTTGCATGGTATGAAAGCAACGCATCACACGTGAGTAGAAACGATGAGGTCGGAAATATGGTGAGTAGTTGGTCCAGTGAGTTAGCAAGGTTCGCATCATGTTGATAGAGTTCGAGGGAGGTGTGGATATGGAACATGAAGGAGACGATATTCTGTGGCAACCGAGGCATTATCCGGTTTAACTGTAGCTGATTAGTGACATCGACTTCAAAAGATTGTCCCTTGCAACGTACATCTTCCACTCGTGATATCAACCCTGTCATCTCCAGCCAGCAACCCCAATTCATAGGGAACAGGTGTACGCTACGAATTAGCCACATCAGGGCTAGTTCTTCATTCTTTTCTTTTGCAAGAACCATCCCATATAGATACTCGAGCCATCCTTGACTGCCTTCGACACCGCCGTCCTCTTGGTCTTGATGCTGGTTGAACCATGCTTCCAAAACACGACTGATGGTCAGCAGTTGCTTGTTGGTGCATGTGCCAATGTCCTGCGGTCCCATCACCATCTCGGCATCTTCATCTTTGCGCTTCTCCCCCGACAAGAACTTGGCATATAGAGCCAGAAACAGGCTTCTTTGGCTTAATTGCGGAAGCTTTTCGCTATTGTTCGGTTTGGTAGCCGGGGTCGTAGCCTTCCCCTTCCCCTTACCTTTTGGGGTTGCATTATTCGATTCCTTTGAGGATACTATCCCAGTAAGTGTAGAGTCGGGAAGGAAGACTGCGGCGCAACGATCATATTCTCGGCAATCGAAGAGGGATTTGGCTAGAAGGTATTTGTTTATCTCCTTAGATTCAAGTGTTGCTTCGCTCGGGTCAATATTTGGAGCTATTATCGTGGAGGCGTATCCGGTTGAGGCATCTGAAAGCTGCGAATCATCTAGAGACGGTTCTGTTTCAGGAATCGCATTGAGAAGTTCTGCTGCCCTGAGGGGAAATATTAGGTCAATACTTGTGATGTGCTATGTTGAGAAGGAAGGAATTATACCATTTGGACGATTGGTAGAGGCATCTTTCGGAACATTTTAAGATTGCATCTTGTAGGGCACTTCGAAGCTGGGATTTCTCTCGATCATTGAGAGACATGATGAAGCTGATGACTTATGAATAGAGAAGCATGGCTTAGTGGAGCGTGTAAGGCAGAATGTATTTTTGATTGTACTCTCTCGAACCTGGTTGATTCTTCGTTTTCATGTCGTTCGTGAAAGGTGCATTTATGATGTAGGTGTGAAGAATCGCGTCGCAATATCCAATAAGATCAGCGTTGCCCCTCGAAAATCAACATTGAGCTGCCCTTGCCTGGAACTGGAAATCCCCGAAGATAATGATAAGCGATAACGATAAGTGACGCTGGACCATGGATCCACGAATTCCACGTGGAACCCCCTGAATCCGTGTCAGCCATGTCTTAGCTCACCGCCTGAACGGTACCTAATCATTAGCGTGCTCTCTACTTTTTTTATATAATTGGCACGACAATAAATAGCCTTGGGACATAACTTTAATAAATTGAATAAAATCTTCCAAGAATAAAGTTCTACATTCGCTATTACCCGAAGTTAAGTGAGTCAATAATTATATAGTAGCGTATGAGAATAGAGTGATGACATCCATGTGCAGAAAGCCATAGATGCGCCATGTGTAAGCTGACGGGCAGTTGTCAATGAACTATAATCCTCCTAGCGAGGTCAGCATGGATCCTGCCCCTCATATAAAGGTCCACAAAACACAACATATTTAGCGGAGCACCACTTGTACAACCTTCGACGCCGAGTAAAATACCTATCAACATTGAATATCTCAACGCTGCGAAGCTCCTTCACAGACATAATCTACTCATTCCTTTTCATCTGCTATCACAGGCAGGACAATAGCTGCGAGGTCCTAATCAGACACCTCAGCTTCACAATATCAATTCCGATACCCCAAATTCATAAATATTGTCCAAGATGGCGAAGAAAACTACTCTTAAGGAGTTCGAGTCTGTCTTCCCGAAGCTCGAGGAAGACCTTCTAGCTTGGGTAAAGCAGTATAATCTACCCCAACAACAGCAAGAATGGTACAAGAAGGTTAGCACATCTCTTATAGCTTGACTTTGTTGTCTATCTGGACCAAATTACGCTATCTCACTCTCACTCTTGTCACTCCTTAAGTCCTTCAATGGCTCTCATACCGGATAAATCTCAATTCCTCGTCGCACATAATACTAACTCAGACACAGATGTTGGAAGTCAACACGGTTGGCGGAAAATGTAACCGTGGAATGTCAGTTCCTGACTCAGTGTCTATTCTTCTCGGCAGGGAACTGTCTGAGCAAGAATATTTTCAATCTGCTACTCTGGGTTGGATGATCGAGCTCCTCCAAGCTTTCTTCCTGGTATCCGACGACATCATGGACGGTAGCATCACTCGGCGAGGCAAGCCTTGTTGGTACCTTCACGAGGGCGTTGGCAACATCGCAATCAACGATGCTTTCATGCTTGAGGCAGCAATTTACACGCTGCTCAAGAAGCACTTCAAGACTCACCCTGCCTATGTCGACATGATTGAACTGTTCCACGAGACTTCGCTCCAGACCGAACTTGGTCAGCTGTGTGATCTTCTAACGGCCCCAGAAGACGTAGTAAATCTAGACAACTTTAGCTTGGAGAAGTACACGTTTATTGTCATCTTCAAGACCGCCTACTACAGTTTCTACCTTCCAGTAGCTCTGGCGTTACACCAGCTCAACATCGCGACCCCTAAGAATTTGAAGCAAGCCCACGACATCCTTATCCCCATGGGCGAGTACTTCCAGGTCCAGGATGACTACCTAGACAACTTCGGTCTTCCAGAACACATCGGCAAGATCGGTACCGACATTCAGGACAACAAGTGCTCGTGGCTGGTCAACCAAGCACTGAAGATAGCTACCCCTGAGCAGCGCAAGGTGCTCGAAGACCACTACGGAAAGAAGGACAAGGCTCATGAAGCCGAGGTCAAGAAGCTTTACAACGAGCTCAAGCTCGAGCAACTTTATCAGGAGTACGAGGAGAAGCGCGTTGGCGAGATCAGAAAAATGGTCGACCAGATAGATGAGAGCGAAGGCTTGAAGAAGGGCATCTTCGAAGCGTTCCTTCAGAAGATCTACAAGAGAAGCAAGTAAAGGACTGTCGTGAAAAAGGTTTGTATTAGTGACAATGTGCGAAAAGGGTATAGAAGAGCAGGTGACGTTCATTCAAAGTGGGTTTAGATGTTGAGTAAGCAATGGCACAAATAATACCCTTTACAGTCTTCGTCCAAATTCGGGAGACCCCTTCAAGATTCAGTGATGACTTAAATGCGGATCCTTAAACTACTGCTTTTTAACACAATCCAGGTCATCCCGATTACGAGGCCGGAAATCCACCATGAGAGGTGCCTTCTTCCACATCATATTCATCTGCGCGTTTCCGATCCAATCTCCAGGGTCCCGGGCCGCCCGGATATCGAAAGTGTGAATCAGCTTTGCTAGCGCAATCCGCATTTCCAGATTGGCTTGCGCGATACCCAGGCAACTCCTAGGCCCGGTGCTAAACGGGAAAGTTACTTGGTCTGAATTCTTGTTTTCTTGTTTCAGCCATCGCTCAGGTCTGAACTCGTACGGCTTATCCCAGACTTGCGGGTTGTGGTGAAGAACCCAATGGGGCGCTGAGAGCCGGGATCCTTTCGGGACGAAGTACCCGTCCACAAATTCGCCGGGTGAAACCCGCGGGAGGCCGAATGCGATGGGTGGGAAGCATCGCACTGTATTGCCCCGGGTCAGCGGCATTAATTCTCCAACCCAATAAAATGCGACCTTGTACTACCGCATATGCGTGATTCATGCCGGGGGTTGATGTGACGATGGGTGATGGGTAGCAGTGAAAATAAGTGACAGAAAAAGCGACAAGAAACTTTGGGAGTACTCACTAGATTCCTCAATAACAGCATCTAAGTACCTCATCTGCAGTACTTCCACACCGGTAAGCTGCTCATACTCCAGCGCCCTGACCTCCCTCTCCAATTTCTCCAAGCAACCCGGCGTCACACACATAAAGTACAGCGCCGTCGTCATAGCCGTCGTCACCGTATCCGCGCCCGCGATAACCATGGCCTGCGCCAGCGACACCAGCTGCGTTTCCGAAATGCCGCCTTCCTGCTCGAGCACGGGCGTGAAGATATCCCTCTCGGCGGTGTCGCTGCGGGCTAATCGTCGACGTACCAATTCGAGCGTGTAGGAGTAGTGCTTTTTCAGGTTGCGCAGCGAGGAGATGGAGAGCATGAACGGGATCAGGAGGATTAGGCTGGGCGCGCGCCGGACGAAGCTCGGCAGGATGGCGGCGTGCGCGCTGTCGGCGAGGATGGAGATCCAGAAATGGGTTTGGCCCGAGGCGACGGCGTTGAAAGATTCGCCGAAGGTGAGTTCGCCTATTCGTATACATCAATTGATTAGCAGACTCTTCCAGTTTCCACCTTCCAGTAGGGTCAGTTCGGTGCCTGGAAGGGGGAAGAGGCTCACCCATAACATCAAACGCCAACCACGGCACTGCTTCCACGACATCGACGCCGGCCCCGCGTCTCGTAGCGCAGATCTCGCCGACCTTGCGCACGAACATGTCCACATATTGATGGATGATATGCTCATGGGTCTTCATAGCCACGCCGCTGAAGCCCGGGGCAAGCGTCTTCCGCATGCGCGCGTGCTCGGCCGGGTCCAGCTCGTAGAAGATGTTAGAGACATCGCCGTTGTTGTAGAAGATGCCGCATTTTAAGAACGGCTTCTTCGTCTTAGAGGGCGTGGAGTAGATATCCCGATGTGCCTGGACCGTGCCGAAAGAGAGCTCGTTCGGGGATATGCGGACGACATCCCCTATACGTTTATCAGGTCATGATCTAAAGTAAATGTCGAGCAGAGACATACCATATTTCTTGTGAGCTTCTTCGAGGATGGACGGGTATTTACCAGTAGTCCAGGCCCAGACAAACCATATCTGCACATAACCGTTTTAGTATGTCATCCGGATATAGACGCCTGATTAACGATCTTACATCAGATACGGCAGCGACCCTGGGTCCAGGATACTTGGCTAACGGGTGAAACCATATGCAATATACACACCACCCGAGCCAATATATGATCCCCTATTTGAGACGAGAGCGTCAGCACTTAGGAAGTATCTCTAGAGAAGTATGGGAAGCTACCGTGATCGCTATGGCTATGCCGGCAGTCGTGGGACTTAGTGTGACATTAAACATCCTTACAATAAACTATGCTTTTGGTATTTGCTAAGATATGAAGCTGACTTCAGAGAAATGAGTTGTCCGCGGGAGGACAGACACTTCCGTCCGTGGTCAGACACCGCGTAATATATACCTGCTCACCTACCATAGACATCTACTACTACCTAACACAGCCGCCTATGAGGTGAGGTGTTTCTTACCTAGTCAAGTCGGACAGCAGACCACCAGTTAAAGTATCTCCAAACTCCGACATAATATCCAGTTACCCATCAACCCATCCCACCACCGGCCCCGGCCTCGCGTTCCGGCCCCCTCCTCCCCCCTTTGTCATACACAACCAGCGAACCTGACGTCGTGAGAACGTATAAGGTTACAATCATCGAGCCCATGCAGGAGCATCGTCTTACAACGCGGTCCAATCGCCTGAAGTGGTTTCTATTATGAGCAAATATAGGTACCGGTAGGTAGGAGAGGTACATAGGAGGACGGCGCAACCAACACCAATGCCGGGCTTTGCACGGAAACAGCATCTAGGTAGCGAGGTTCAGTCCCCATGCCCAGTCTCGCTCGCAATTTCCATGTATCCGCATGTCACCTCGCTCACGTCTTACAAGCCCCTCTATCTTCCCCAGAACGCCTGTGCCCCAGAGATGTGAGGCACATATTGTGCGACATCATGTAATTTAGACAAGGCGCCTGTGTGAGTGGGTGTGCTGGCTCGCACATATGATACCAACGCCCTACCTAACTTATCTCATAGCATCACGGCAAGGCACTCCGGACACATATCAATCCTCACAAATCTTGGAACTACGGATACTAACGACAGCACATGATAAGTTATTCCTTCCTGCGGGCTGTGAACACACTCTTCTCAGCTATCTAGGCGCAGCAACGCCTAACCATATACCAAATAATATCGAACCTCCCGGCCAATCGGGGGTCCTGGAAACGAGGATGGGAACTGAGCCGCATTCATGCACCGCACTGCAGAACCATGCAATGGCGACGTTGGTTCGGTCGAACACCCCTGCCGCGGATCAGGTTCGCGAGAAGACATCGTGACATGCTAACCTCTCTACCCTATTGGCTGGGGCGATGTGACGCAGTTATCTAATAGTGTAAATCCGTGGCTGTTGGACGTGATAACTCCTTTTCAGCTCGTTTCGCGGAGCTAGTTTAACTCCTGCGCCTCGATAGACACGAGTTTTTCGGTCGTCGTTTCTTGGACCGACGTTAATATGTGATGGAGGGAAGCGTGGGGGCTTGGGAATGGGGATCGATTGATTCGCTCAGCTGGAGGTCACGCGGACGAAATGGCCAAATATTTGATGATATAGGGCTGAATCGCACGTGGTTAGCGGATCTGTGATGATGGGTTGCAATATGGGATTGAGGTGCAGTAAGAGTAATCCTCCTACGGTGGATGACCGCTACTCGTATCTCACCGGCAGTTCGTTCTGATCTGAGTGGGACAGATATAGGACTTACTTGGGCCCGGCGGTATTTGAGTCAGGCTTACGGTACCCGAATTTCACCTATCCAATACCAGTAAGTAAGATTCTCAAGGAGGAAATTCTAGCAAGAAATAACGGGTATCGTGGCGCAATGTTTGACTTATTACCGATAACCTCTATTCGCTTGCTGAGAGGTGAAATAGTACGGCTGGCAGTCTTTATGTGACGTCGTTGTAATACAAAAAGGGGTGTATACTTTGATAGGGAGTGAATCCTTCGATCTCGAAGGAGGCCTCATTCAAGAGAGCGTTCTTCTAAGCATCATGATGCTAATCGCGGTTGATTCCTATACCCCCTCTTATATTTCTTCCTTAACCACCTTGAGTAATCGCATTACAACCAAATACTAGATTAACCGCATTGAACACTGCTGCTCTCCGTCTGAGTCGTCATCCCACATCGTATCGACGGATAGATCATATCCAAAGGCGGATTTGTGCTTTAAGAGAACACATACAGCCCAACCCACAATCCGACCAGTTTCAACCTGCTGCTTCCCTCCCGGTATAAAGACAGGTTCTTCTGAAGATTGCCCTTGAGTACGTCTTACTACAAGCATGGTTTTTGTGCGTAAGTACAGATATCCCTTCATGTCAGACATGAACCTTTCATCCTTCCAGTTCATATTCCAGAGAGGTATCATGATATCACCAGGCTGTATTCGTTGTGAACTGATGCCATAGCCTGCACTATCTTGGTACCTCGACCCAATTGACTTCATTTCGAAAATATAGAAGTCCTCTAGCAAACGGCTGGTTTGTCTCAAAGTGACCAGTATTCTTGTGTGGAACGGCCCAGGCAGCTGCTGGATAATACTTTCGACGAGTTTATCACAAGACGAACTCTTTAGTCTTAATTTTTGATTTGGGTAACAAAAACGCACAACCATCTCAAACAGTGCAGAGACTGCAAGAATCGGAAAAATTGGAGTAGAAGCAAGTGGGAAGAACTCAACTAGAAAACTTCTGACTTGCTCCGTCTTCTGATCTTCAGTCTGTATGGGGGAGTTGATCCTTGCCACGTAAATAACTTGCTGACCTTGTGATCCACTAATCGAAGTATTCCAGTGGACTTCAAGAGAACCCCGGCGGAGTGTTAAAGTGGCCTTCGCGAGATATCCGGGGGAAGTTGGATAAGGCTCATATGTATCTATATTCCTTATGGGAGAGTGGTAAGGGAGATCTCGTCGTCGAGCCTTTGACCAGTCGGGAACCCATGATGGATAGTTGAGATCAGAAGGCTGGCGGACAGGCCAAATTCAAACAAATGAAGTATGAGTTGGAGTTTTATATCGTTACCCCCATTTCTCAAAACACTTAAAGCAATCTGTCTGTACATCTCAGTCCAGTGGACGGTATAATCAAGATGAAACCTATAGTTATGCTGTGCGAGGCTGAACAGGGCAGCAACCCGATCTTTAGGTTCAAGACAACGAGCTTCTTGAAATGTCCATAGAAGCTCTAGTATTGTGAGTTTGCCTGGAGGGGTGTTTAATTTGGCCATTACTTTCATTGGGTAGGATGACATGTCAAGAACTTGAAATCGTCTTGCTGCTGAGGTAAGAACGGGGAGAGGGATAGAACAGTTCCCGCAGTGAACAGTAGCCTTTTGAGCAAGTTGAGCCTCCTGTATAGTCCATCGACGCGAGAACCAAGCTCGTTCAGAGAAATTACAAAAACATTCGAGCGCAGTATTGGTATCGCCGAAAACGCTCAACATGACCTTTACAACACATCCCGCCATATCCCATTGCTTATCGACATTGGGAAGCAGGCTGACTTGTCGGAAAAAGGTAAATAATTTCGCGGTCAAGAGATCCTCAGGACCTAACCAAATATGAACTTCTTTCGCCTCCCCGAATATGCGTCCCATCACTGGGATCTGGTGGGCTTTCTCGATCTCGTCAGCCTGGTTGAGGCATATGGCGTCGATCCATAAGTAGCGCAACACTTTAAGTTTTCGAAGACGCCGCAGTAAGGCATCGACATTGGGAGTGATCCTCAGGTATGAAACGTCACCATCGTCTCTTATTTCCAAATTCCGCGAAAACTCTGGTTCACCCCAAACGTACGAGATAGCAAAGTAACTTTCTTTCTGCACTGAAAGTCGGCGTTGGATAATTGAGCACTTCAGAGGGGCTTCCTCGCGTCTTGCCGGGTTCAGCTCGATGAGCCGAATTTCGTCTCCTGCGCTCAAAGGCTCGTAGTGGTATCCATTGAACACCGGCATTATTGGATACTTTCAGTGAATACGGAGAATATTGGTACCATCAAAAGTGGCTTTCAATATTATAAGACGACCTTATTTAGCGATGTGTCAATGTTGATAAAAACTCCGTGTTACATCTCTGAGTCTCGTTAATCAGAGTTATTCCATGAGGGCTGGTCGGGGATCGATGCTTAATTGGCTGTGAGTGATCATTCAGCCACCCTCCCGCGCTGCCCAACCCCGCCAGAGTTGATAGTAACATTGGCCGCCTACCTCCTCCTACAGAATTACCCCACAGGCATTGTGATCTAAGCCTTCTATCACAAAAGAAGGTAGAATCTGGTGATGTGATGTCTAAAAAGGAAGTCGGAATACGTTTAATCGCAGCTGAATAGTGCCATGGTCAAGTCTTTCGTATTCGAGTATCTAGATTGTAGAGCCGTGATGAGCCTTGCCTCGATATTAAGACGTGTGCAAAGACGGTCGTTTCTCGCTCATCATCTTCCGGTAGGAGGCAACGATGTCATCTCTGACCGTTTGTAATTCTTCTCTTCGCCTTAAACTCCCCGCATTCTTCGGGATGCCACCAACTTCAACAATTGCGCCTCCAACCGTGATCTTCCTCTGCGGCTTAACGCTAAACTCCGGCGGTGCTTGGACAACGTCGTGCAAGCCCACCTTTGTCTCCCCGCGCTTCTTTTTCAATGCCTCCCATGGGTCTTCGTCTCCATCGGCAACCTCGCCTAGATACTTGGATCTCTTTCCCTTCTTCTTTTTCTTGCCACCACTTTGTGAATCGAGTTTCCACGTGACGCCCATTTCTTCTTCCTCGAGCTCCTTCTCTGCTTGGAGTTCTAGCTCTTCCTCTTTCTTCTCCTTTAATTTCCGCTCCTCCTCTCGCCATTCATCATATAGCTTGTGCATCTTTCTCTCCTTAGTCTGCCATGCCTTGAGTCCTAGAGGGTCCTTGCCGTTTCTGACCGAGTTATTGATTAGACCACTAATGGGAAGCGCTGCGTCCACTCGAGCTGCAAACTCCGACATGCGTTCGCCGGGTCGAATGGTAGGAAGTTCTCGTGCCTCCTTAGAATCCTTAGTATCGGAATCAGGCTTCGGCGTGGCAGCTGCTTTCTTCTTTTTGTTCTTCCCAGTTGGTTCGTCGCCATTGTCTAATCCAGAACGAGGTTTCTTGCCCCCGGCGAAGGCCATTAATCGCTTGAACGCGCGAGGCGCGTCATCTTTCTTTGCTGTATCGCGCTTCCGCTTCAAGTTTTTGCCTGCCTGGTTGGATCCTGGCTTCCCTGTGTTACCTTTTTGTGGTTGTGGTTGTGATTTTACAGGTAAAGGTTTTGCGATTTGCGATGGTGGTAGATCGTATCTATGAGGCACTGTTAGCTATGCGTTGAGCGGTCAAGGATGTCGTCGCACGCACGTAGAGAGATCCTTTTCCCTCCGTGTATGTTTATGAGGCATCTTGACCGAAATTGCTTGTCTAACAATATACCGGGAGGAATATGGAAAGGTATAGGCAAAAACTGAAGCTTCAAGTTAAATATTCCGATAAGATTATGGAGACTCCAAATTTTGAGAAGTGTCGGATAATGGAGCCCCACATTTTAGTCCTAGATCTTTCTAACTGGATCCGGCTTAGCTTAAATATTTAAGCGGACTCAAGTGCCGGGGCTGACTAATACATAATTAAAGGCACTGGGCCGCCGAATCCGAACTCATCCATCTTTCAACATCAATGTTTAAGGGTGAATGGACAATGGAATGAATCCCTTCAATTACATATCCCTTCGCTAGTTGTATATCTATTTGGAAGTACTCCAACAGTTAATGAGAATTATTATTTCAGCGTATCCCTCGCCATTCTCTGACCCAGAAAGTTTTGCTTGTTACGTTTCGTCTGACCGTCTCACCCGTTCACGTTAGATCCATGCCGAAGAGCATACCGCGTAACTAATTCGAACACGCGACTATTGGACGGCTGTCAACGCACTCTAGTCTAAACATTTCGTATATTGTTTCCTGCTCCCTATTGTTTTACCTAAGCATAAATGAAAAACTGCTTGGTATGCTGAATATGGGAAACGCTACGCACACCGAGAAGAAATTGTCGTTAAGTAATCTCTGGAACCGACAACGTGGTCATGACTATGTGCCTGTTGATGGCGCCGAAGAAAATGAATATGCCACCGCGTCAGGCACAGAGCCTGCGGGAAGTGTAGCACAACATGCTTCAAAAAGGCGACGTTGCCAATGTTCTCCTACATCCAACAGTATATGGGGTTTGACGATACTGTAGGCGCTGTTAACCAAACATAGTCAACGTGAATTCCGTAAAGCTGACGAGGAAATTAGTGCGTCTATCATGCTCATCTACTTGCTGGTATCTACAGCTAGGAGCTTATGGGGCATAGAAGACGACCCCGACAAAATCTTTGGTAACTGGGGAGAGCCAGGCACAGGGACTGAAGGTTTAGCTTGGTATCCCACAGATTTCCTCCGAGACGTCTTACCGATTCAGTGTCATTCACATAATGACTACTGGCGTAAGGTGCCTCTTTTCTCAGCCTTACACGCCGGCTGTGTTGGAGTCGAAGCGGATGTTTGGCTTTTCGACGACGATCCGCAACTCTACGTTGGACATGATACTGCCGCCTTGACCCCCAACCGAACGTTTCAGTCCCTTTACGTGAATCCCCTGGTAGACTTACTTAATCGGACGAACCCGCATACAAAATTTTACAATGACACGCGCCGCGGCGTCTTCGATTACGACCCAGAACAGACGGTCATACTCCTAGTCGATTTCAAGACTGATGGAGCCGAGATTTGGCCTCATGTTCTCACCCAACTAGAACCATTGAGGTCCAGGGGTTGGTTGACTCATTTCAAAGATGGAGTCGTCAATCAGCGGCAGATAACTGTTGTGGGAACAGGAAACACACCATTCGATCTAGTAGTGAAGAACTCAACATATAGAGACGTGTTCTTCGATGCACCACTTGCTGATATGTGGGAAGATCCCGATGCCCCAGACTCGGAGTCTACGAAAGAAGACACCACATACAACGAGACAAACTCATTATATGCCAGCACAAGTTTTGGCGAGACTGTGGGACATGTCATTACCGGTTTCAGCAATGATCAGCTCCGCACGCTTCGCGGTCAGATTAAAGGTGCGCATCGAAGAGGACTCAAAGTGCGGTATTGGGACACGCCTGGTTGGCCGATTGGTATTCGCAACAACGTCTGGCACACCTTGATGAAAGAGGGTGCGGATATTTTGAACGTGGATGATTTGAGGAGTGCTTCTAGAAAGGAATGGTAGATTGCATTCGATAGACTGTACATACTAGGTATATATATGTATATTCTACATATCATAGGAATCCTCGTATGATTTCTCCTATCCATTGACTCGGAACTGTCATAGAGCTCCAACTCCACTTTAGGGGGAGGGTGACCGGGGTAGCCCCCACCCCCGCTATTACGTACCTACTTAGTGGGTAGAGACAAATTCATTGCTGCCCCTCCAGAGCTCCTCGAGATTCCAACCTTCAAAGCTTCAACTTCAGCGAGCCTTCAACCGATTCCTAACCTTTCCTTTGCGACCATCCATAGATATGTCCGGAAAGACAGCATTGGTGACTGGAGCTACCGGCTTACTTGGTAGGGAGGTCGTTAGAGCATTCGAAAGAGCCGACTGGACTGTAAAAGGGACAGGTTATTCTCGCGCCGATGGCGTCTCAATCCTTAAAGTCGACTTGGTAAATACAAACGAAGTTACTGCTGCTTTGGATAGCGTCAAGTATGTTACGATTAATCTTAGATTAACGAAAATCATTCTGTCTTATATTATGGATAATCTCTTAGCTGACAACCTTCTTTGCAACTAAGACCGCAAGCTGTAGTTCACTGTCAGTTACATCTGTTTTGTATCTGCACTTAAAGCTAAGACAGCTGACGGTCCTCAGGCGCCGCCAATCGATTCCCCGACAAATGTGACAAGGACCCTGAAGGGACGCGTGCTATCAACGTGGAGGCTACTAGGAGCCTTGCTTCACTATGCGCGAGTCGTGATATCTTCCTGATCTATATATCTACCGATTATGTCTTTCCAGGCAAACCAGGAGATGCGCCCTACGAAGCCGACGCGATGCCGCAGCCCACGAACCTGTATGGGCAAACAAAGCTCGATGGAGAACGAGTTGTCACAGAAGAGTACCAAAGTGCCGGCAAAGCAGGACTAGGAGTGGTCCTACGAGTTCCCGTACTATACGGCGATGCTGAATTACCAACTGAGAGTGCGGTAAACATGCTTTTGGACACCGTGTGGAAAGCACAGGAACCAGGCACAAAGATTAAGATGGACCATTGGGCTCTCCGTTACCCTACCAATGGTATGTAACAAGCTCCCTGGTATAGGATGCGTGGTTTTGACTTAAGATCCTTCGTAAGATGCTGACTTGTTTGCAGTATGTCATAATATCCCTTCTCTAAATGAAATTGCTTCATATCTAGAAAATAAAGACCTGTGTTTCTATACGATATTAATACGTAGCAGACTGAGGATGTAGGACGCGTGTGCCATGGTACGTTCCTCGTATTCTATCCTAAATACCTATTGCTAACAACCTTCAGATATATCTGTCAAATATCTGGCCTCTGATGATAGATCGAAACTGCCCAATATCTTACAATTCTCTTCGGAGGATAAATATACCAAATATGAGATCTGCAAGCTCTTTGGCGAAATAATGGGATTGTCTATTGCGGCCATCGAGCCTAATACCGAAGGGAACGACCCCAACGCGTCAGTCCAAAGACCGTATGACTGCCATCTCAGCACTAAGAGGCTCAAGGATCTCGGCATAGATGTGTCTACTCAAGATTTCACGGGTTGGTGGAGGTGGAATGTTAGGGCGTTCAGAAAATAAGGGTCTAAGACATCGGCTCACTGTCGCATAATGTCTGTAAGGGACTCAAACATCCAATGCCTCCCGCGGTCTGGCCAAAGCCATAATTGTCTTCATTTTATTCAGGCGTGTGATAGGGTCATAAGATTATGTTTGCTGAGATTCAACCTTTTAATATAATAGGCTATTTCAAGCTACTTGGAAATGAATGAGATGAAGCCGGCTAGCAATGGAGATGAGCATGATGAGCGTGACCGAGAAAAGCCGGCGAGTGACAGCCACAAGCTTACGAATCTTAGAAGCAATTAATTCTAAAATTCCTTGATACATCTTGAGCCAAATCTTGATTCATTGATAGATGGTATATAAGTTGTCTTTGGGAAATTCCATCAGAATAGAACCTCGTGTTTCGTGCTCCCCTTGCTTTTTAGTACGCAGAAGACCCCGTGCTAAAAATAATCTCAATGCGCCTGCGCCTCAGGCAGCTACCCGTGGACAAAACACCAACAAACACAAAACTTCACCGCTAATATCCATCATATAATACTTCTTCCTGATTACAGACGCATAGAAGCTATTCCAATTTTATAGGTACCTAGGTACTTTTGTCGAACCTGAAGTTCTTTTCTGTAGGATTGTCCTAGAGTGTTTCCGATCGAATAATCCAATCTACAACTTGCATGCATATACTTTCGACATGGAACCTTTTCCTATGACTCAAAAATGAACGTGAGCGGAGTTCGTTGTCTGTCATGTGTAACTCTATAAATTGTCTTATATGAGACTCGTGCCAGCCACATGGGAAGTTGAATTGGGAAGTAGGACATGCATTCCTCTTGCCTTGCACCGGGGAAAACATTGCGAGGGCGGACGAGGATGTAGATACGTACTCTAGTACTCCGCTATTACCAAATTACGAAATTTAACCTTCTGTACTTGTCGAGCATTGGCTGCTAATGGCCCAGTGATCACTGACGCAATGCGGGATCCCCCTGCATTCTAACAATGCGCCTGAACTTACCCCTGCATACAAATTTTAACAGGCCAATTGTGCCAAGATTCAGATACGCTCTCCCGCTTTTTATTTTCCTGCTCGTCAGACTGGGCATTTTGAAGCTTGGAAACTTGTCGACGAAACATTCTTCGCTATGATTTAGAAACCCCATAATAGTCAGACCCGATATGGATACTGGTCCCTTGTGTCCCCCTGTCATCTTATTATAATTTTCCTGTCAAATAAGTTGATCCTTTCGGCAATCTGCCACATTTGATCAGTCTTTTTGATTTACTTAATCCCTTTTTATCATAATATCGTCTTCGCGCATTCAGTGGATGATCAGTGGATAATCACCGGCGCCAATGAAGTTGTCAATGCTTCTTAATCGGCAACACTTATACATATTATCATGATGAGCTGAATGAGCAAAAGAAAATATTAGAAAAGAAGCTAGTTTATAACCTAGGATCTAGCGCTATTATTTTTTACTAAGAACATACGTGTGTCTACCGACTATCTCACGCGCCGTCGACTACCGCGTCGTCATCTTCATCTGGAAAAATATCAAGATTCTCACTCGGGTATTACGCTTAAGCTTATTTAAGATACGGTCTGTTTTTTATCTTGCCCAGGTGCGCGCACCTTGCCGGGAACCGTCGCTATCTATCTTATGGACCGGAGACTGAACTAGCGGTTACGAAGCACGGTTCACTTTTTCGTCGTGTGCCCATTGCTACCGTACCGATATCTTTAGGCGGCTTGGGTTCCACAGACCCCTGGTATTATAACAAGCGATGTCGACAGGGTCCGAGACGGTCACCGTGCCGGCCACCCTTTCGCCGCCCAATTTCTTCTCTCCTGTTAAATTTCCCGTCGAGCCTAGACATAATTCGCGAACTCAAAGTCTGAAAGATAGAAGCTACTCCATGACAACAAACACGGCTGCCAAAATGAGTACCCAACATGGCAATCGAGATAGCGGCGGCAGCCAACAACAAGGTGCCCAATCTAGTAGCACTATTGCCCGGTCCATGTCTCGCTACCGTAGACGGGTAGGTAGCGTTGCTGTCAACCTCGATACTACCCAGAAAATTAATTCCGATCCACCACACCCATGGGAACTTCCGAATCGACCCCCTGTGCCAACTATTCCAAGTCAGTTAAGGACCGCCAGCATGACACAAAAGGAGACTGATGCCCCCGCCGCCGAGTCCAATTCTTCTCCGCGAAGCCAACCGCGCCATAGCGACTCCACGCAAAGGCACACGTCTCGTCGAAGCATGGCGGACCATTACCACCAAAGCCGACCTAGTACCGCGAAAAGCACGAAGAGCGCGAAGAGTGAGGAGAGCGCCTGGAAGAGGCTAGCTAGCCGAGATGGGCGCCGGAGGAGGCTAAATAGTGAAGAAGAAGATGAAGCAGCGAAGCGAGAAATCGCTCGTTTAGAGGCCGAGAATCATCGGCTGCTAATCGAGCAGAAGAAGAAGGACCTCGCGAGGTTGGAGGTGGAATTGGCGAACAATAATAGGACGTCAACTCAGTCGCAGCCGTTAAAACCGAAGAGTCCCGTAATTGAAAAGTTTGTTATGTTGACTAAAGGGCGGAGGAACAAGGATGGGTTGTCTCCAGGACTCTCTCCTACGTCATCGAATATAAGTATCGAGCCCGCGAAAGCCTCCTCGGCCTATATCGAACCTGGAGGCAGAGGTGTCGTGCCTCAGACAGATGCGCCGCACTCTGCGATCAATGCTGGGGACCGAGTAAGTGTGGAAAGGAGCTTTTCCTCAATATAACGTTACGCACTAACCTGTTATTTAGAACGTCGCGGTACGCTACAAGCAACATACTCTAAGCTTGGAAGTAACGCCCGAGACGACAGCAGACGACATAATCATAGAGATATCTAAGTCGATGAGTTCCAACGAAATTGGCCCAGAAAATTGTGTTGTGGTGGAAACATACGGCATATTGGGTCTCGAGCGTCGCCTAAGGCGCTACGAAGCTATCCGGGACGTCATGAATTCTTGGGACCGGGATACTCAAAACCAATTGGTAGTCAGGATATCTGATTCCGAAGAAGAGAATTGGGAGCTTGACATCAAATCAGTTCCGAGCCGTCGCGAACCATCCCAGGGGTTTCAATTGTATATGTACCACTCGAATCGTCCGGGGAAGTGGAATAAGAGATGGATCACCCTTCTTGACAATGGACAGCTCCTCTCTGCAAAGAAGCCGAATGCCAATTCGACGGACAAAGATACAACAGGTCTCTGCCACTTATCCGACTACGACATCTATACACCCACAGAGTCACAGATGCGAAGGAATATCAAACCACCAAAGCGATACTGCTTTGCAGTAAAGAGTCAGCAGAAGACGACTGTTTTTATGAATACCGAGAATTATGTCCAATATTTCAGCACGGAGGACCCGAAGATCGCAGCCCAATTCAGAGAAAAGGTTCACGGTTGGCGCAGTTGGTACCTTGTAGATCGTAGACCAGTAGCCCCGAAAGTATCGAGGAAAATCTCTATTAGGAAGACCGACGACAAGCCGCCCCAAATTACACTACCCGCAATCAGCCATGCGCCGAAGAAGTCGGAAAATGTTGCTTCGATGAATGGACACCGCCTCCGAGTGTCGGTCGATGAGACTCCGTATTCAATCGGCAAGTTCGAACCGCTTCTTGATATGAAGCGCTTCGATAAGCGACTTTCGCAATTTGGACAGGATTTCTTACCTCCTGTACCAAACGTATCGACCATGCCGAAGGAAATCCCGGCGCATCATCTTAATTCTGCTCCCAAAGAAGAAAAGCGCGAGCGAAAGTTGATAGATCGCATTCACTCAACTGCCGATGATGGTTTCACCGGCAATGGCTTGCTTGGTGAAGGGTATGAGGAACGTAAGGCCCACGCCGAGACAGATAGACCGGATCGAGGACGGCAAAGATCCAGAGACGATGGGTTTACCGAAGGACCTTCACTTTTGAACAGGAAATCGGAGCCGGAAACATCGGGCCACAAGCCCGAGTCACCCTCTTGGTTCCCGTCAGCCCTTGAACACTCCGCAAGAAAGCGCAGCGCTGGTCCTCCTTCAAATCGCCCCAGCACCTCTGCAGGTGTCATGCATCACAACCACTCACACGCACGCAGACCATCCCTTAACTCATCATCCCGGCCTCCTCCTCTTCCTCTTAGTGGCAAGCCTCTTCTACACGAACATCCGAGTCCCCTCACCTCGCAACCGACCGGACTTTCGCATTCGAATCGTCGCGAAAAACCGAAGCCTCTTGTTAACCTAGAGCCAACTTTCAAGGAAGCACCGCAATGGGCCAAAGGGAAGCAAGGTCATGGCGTTAAAGCGCCAGAGGGCATGATGCACTTAGTTGATCTCATCACTGTTCCAAACGAATCGAATGAGAATAGGCCAGACCTACCACCTCGAAGCGTCCTACGCCGTCCTCCGAACACCGCACCTCTCCCGGGTCTGGCCCGAACAAGGAGTAAAACCCAGGGAGCTCCAGCTCCAAGGTTATCGGCAACAGATGTGCCACCCGTCCCGTCTTTACCTGGGCATATCGGAAACCGGGAACCACTAAGGTCTCACCCAACCCCACGAAGCAGAGAGCGGGAACGGGAAAGGGACAGGCCGAGGGAGAAAGAACGCGACTACAATGCGCATAACTCAGTGCCCGGCAGAGCGGGTACGCTTAAGGTAGTATAAGCTATTTACTAAGCATTTAATCGTTAATGCTATTTAAAACTTCACTCGTTTATTTATTTTGTCATTGGGAATGTCTATCATTTATATATATTTTTTAATATCCTTTATCTATACCAACGTCATCTCTGGCGGAAGCACTGGAGTTCTGGGAAATGCGGACGGACGCATAATCGACGAGACCGAGCGAGCGAACACGATATGCATAGCACGGAAAGCGAAGTTGGGGAATGCGAGAGGCGCATGTTATTTTCGGATGCTTTTAGGCGGACGGGTGCGCATGGAGTCAGATGCATGTATCATGGGATATGGATGTCTGCATATAGTATGTTTTTTGGCATGATCTGTATTTGTCGGACGATGGATGTCTTGACTACTGCTTTATTTATATGGCCGATGTGCTTAGATATATACCTACCTACTTACCAAGGTACCTACTTAGTATACCTTGTAATAATAATATCGAATTAAGACTGGCTATGTCGCGTTACTGGGGTCTTTTATAAGGGTATTTTGTAACTTGTTCTTACTAATACATAGGTACGGGAGGTAGGTAACTACATGATCGACTCGAGTCCATTCCCCTATTCCGTGGTTAGCCGCAGACACCACCCCAACACTCCGAATAACGAACAGTTAATTGCAACTATCTATCTGTAAGATCCAGCGCCACAGCTACGCAAACTGTTGATTATATGACCAAGAGAAAGATATTCCTACATCACAGGCATTTGACGATATGTCGATCCAGTCACCAGGGGATGTGTGGAGCGCAATTAACTCAACGTCAAATGATCATGTATATAGATGCGATAATACGCTCGTGATGCTCCCTCAACAGCGAGTATAAATGCCAACAAAAGAGAAGTCGGCAAGAACAAGCCTACCTAGGTACCTTACTTAGGCGGATCATAATACGTGAACCGCTGCGGCCCATCCAGCAGCCGCGCAGCGCTCGCATACGGATACGACTCCATCTTCTTCGCGCCACCACCACCACCCGCCGTCGTCCTAAAGATATCGCTCACCCCCACATGTTCGCCCTGCGCACGCCTCATCTCATCGATCCTCCGGTCATAGCTCTCCAGCTTCGCGATCACGCCCCGCAGCATCGTCATGTAGTGCGCGATCCGCGACGAGTTGTACACGTCCTTGTCGTACTTGCGCAGGCTGGCGGCCAGCCGCGCCAGCGCGTGCCGGCTCCACTCTAGGTTCTTCTGGATGCTGGTCTGGAAGTAGCGCGCGGGCGTCGTGGGGCCCCGGGGCTCGAAGGCTGGGAGCGTCGCTTCGAGGCCCGCGATCTCGGTTAGGAGGGGAGAGATCTCGTGGGCGGATAGGGGCTGGGGGTCGTCTTCTGGCATTTTGGGGTGTGGTGATACTTTATATATTTATTGGTGGTATGTTGTTGCTTCTGCTTGTGCTATTTTGTGTAGGTAGGTATGAGAGAATTGTGGTATCTGGAGTTTTGTGCGTGCATACTTGGGTTTGGAGAAAGTGGAAAGGGGGAAGGGGGCAATTCACAGTGGCTTATATAGGAAATGGACTTCACGATACACAGGTGAGCCCACGTCATGTACGGTGCTCAAGTCCTACGGTGATGTTAAGAGATCAACTCATCGAAGACAGCGCTTCTAGTCAGTCAACCAAATCAAGCCAGGCTGGTTATTTCGATGGGCCAACGTGGTTTGAAGTATTCAAGTCTTGACTCGACGTGATAATCATGATTAAGAGGGTATGTAGGCCTCCTTGATCATTACATAGCTCCAAAACCGCTTGCCTCAATTGCGGTATTGTTCAATTTACCTGGTTAAACACACTTTCGTATTGCTGCATGGTTGAGTTTACGTTATTACACCTGAATAATTCTCAGACGTTACTAGTAAGTTATCTATATATCCCTGGGTATCTATGATACAACACTTGGTAGGTACTCACGTACCTGTTAAGCATATAAAGGGAATAATATGTTAGGGACTTGTAAAGGAAATAGGTAGTTCGTAAGGATGCGATAACTTCACAAATCAGGGGTAAAATAGGGGGTTATGTGGGGCATGATTTCTTATAATTCAAGAACTCACTCAAGTCAAATAGGAAGACTAATTTTAATCTACTGAGGTTTCTTGAATGTCTGTTTAGATCATGATCATGCCAGACTCAAGTCAAGTTAAGTAACCTAGGGCTTGGTCTATAGGAAACCCTGATCCTGCGAGTAATATGATGAGTATCAGTAGGTATAAATACACGACACACATATCCTCGAAGATGATTAGGTATAGTTAAATGTTAGACATTTTGCTTACTTAGGTATCTAAGTACCTATATACCGGTGCTCACATCTCCTTTTTCTGTTAATGGTACATAAACGACCCATTACTCTCCATGCTGCTATTCTCCCTGACTTTACTCATGACAACATTCTTGTTTCTATTCGTCATCCGAGAAGAGATTATCCAGATCTATGTCCTCCCCTAGTTCTGCCCGCTGCTCAAAACATCTGCGGGAGTATGTCTTAAACTTCGACAGCATCCCGAGTAGCATCGTTATCCCATTCTCGATGTTTGCAAGGGTATCAGAACCCTCCTCGAATTCGTCCTTCATGAAAATAAGTTGCCAATACGCCCAGTTAGCTGATTCGATGCTCGCATTGATGGTGCACTGTAGAGATTGTAGAGCCTCGAGGTCCATGCTCGAATTCGGTTCGTAGATGTAGATGGTGGATTCGCGTGCGGCTATCTCCGTCAAAAGCGGTTCAATGTTTTCTTTGGTTAGGGGTATCCACTCGCTGTAAGTTGTCTCTGTCGAAGACATGTTGAAGACGATACCTAGGGTTTTCTTTTTCTTTTTCTTTTGATATATGGATTGTTGAGTATTGTTGCGTTCTCTTTTCGTAGTCGATGTATGAAGTAGAGCTTGTTCGAAGTCCTGTAGAGGTTTCTTAACTTGGAGACTAGGACCCTAGGACGAGTCTTAACTCTTCAAGCTACCCAGGTAGGTATATATAAAATGAATTCAGAGAACGTAAAAAATCCCACGTCATATAACGGAGGTAAGTCTTACGCTGGGGTTTTGTGGGATGGAGAGACCAAAACACGAACATGACTGTTGGTTTATCATGGGCTTATGACCTCATCTTGAGCTGTAATGGTTTGCAGACACCTTTGTATTACTACGTATATGGAATTATACACGAATGATTCGACATATATCTTGAGTAGTGAGTCAATAGTTAACTTGAAACACAACCCATGCTGACTATTGGAACTTCGGTTGGATTCCGCCTAGCTTGTCGTCATCATCATACAGCGCTGTCCCGTCTGCTGCGGTACTATTGTTGCTTTAGATCTGGTATTGACTTTTCTAAACCTCGTCACTAAGTCCGCTCCTGTTGCTCTCATAGTTGAAGATATACCTACATGATACTTACTAAGTAATTCAGTGATTTTACTTGAAAGCTCTTCCGACAGCTGTGAGTCGCTGTTATCTGAGTCATCTGTCACCGCAAGGACTCGGAATGGATTTAGTGCTACTGAAATCAAGAGCCGAGTTATGAAACTGGCGAACAGCAGCAACGAGTCGCGCAGCGTGCACTGAAGGTATGGGAGCATGTCCATTTCACTCGTTTGGAATGCATGTAAAAAGTCTACATTATTTGTAATGATCTTCTTTCCAATAAAGATGTTTGTTGTTATTGTGAATACTTATCGAGCATATTCGTGTAGAGCTCTGTATTGTACTGTATCTAGGCTGCTTACTATGTGTATTGTAAGAATGCTAGTGAAAAATAAACCAAAATAAACCAACCAGCTTGTAATCTTCTTTGCTTCGTAGTTATTAACAGTAGGTAGCGGTACCCGATGCATTCCTTTTTATACAAGACCGCACTTGAGTAACGAAAGCCCCTTCCCCCCAGCCCATAGTAGAGTCCTTGTGGTCAGAACGCCACTCCATTTCATCTTTTCCATATTAAGTGCCCTATGGAATATGTCTCTAATTTCTGGTATAAGTGATGGTAGCTCAACTAGCTCGAAATATTTGATCCGAAGCTTGATTGTTTGGAACCTAGGAAAGGACGCTGAGCATCTTCTGAACCCTTTCTCTTGTTTTTCAAAGCCTTGTATCCGTACCAAGTCCCGATAATACCGGCGATTGTACCAGGTATACCGAGCCCCAGAGCCGTCCCCAGAGTGATCTTGTCCGATGTCGATAGACCGGGAGGCGAGTTGGACGGTGTGGGTGAGTTGGACGGTGTAGGCGAGCTAGTCGTTGACGAAATTTTGGTTGAATTATTATTGTTCACTGTCTCAATGCCGATGAACATTGTTGTTGGTCCGGCCGTACCGGATGTCGAAGCATCCCAAGCTAAGAGTCTACCAGACTGATAATAAGTTTGGGTGCATTGTATCAACGTATATCCTTCCGCCTCTGCTCCGGTGTACGTATCCACAACACACGCCGGGTAATCTGGATCCGTACTGCGTCGCAAAAGAATTAGATATAGCCTCATCGATGTAGGACCGTCTTATTGCTTACCAACAGCCGGTACGAGACCCCACGGAATATTGTTGATAGACGTCATAATTTAGGCAAGTAGTATAGACTACTCCTAGAAGCTGTTTCTTTGTATTAGTCTCAACGCAGCCGATGGCGTTGTTATCATGATCTTGAACACAGCTATATCCGGAATAGCATAAATATGGGCTTGCTAATTTCTACTTAGTTGTTGCCGTCTTTGACAGAAGTATGAGCCAATAATTACCTGCATCGCCGCGATAATAGCCGCAAAGACCACCGGCTCTATCTCTCGCCTCCAAATTCAGCACAGGAGCTGGTGTCTGTACTGAAGCAGGCATTTCGTCAGTAGAAGAGGGAGTTATCGTAGCAGGTGTGGATACGATTATAGCACCAGAAGATCGACCGAGGAAATACGGCAGTATAAGAAACAGAGTCCTTTTGCCAGACATATTGAAAATAAGGTAGAGTCCTGCCGACTACCACAGCTTGAAAAACGAAAGACGAAATATGAAAGACCAAGGCAGGAACTTGGGCGATCCGATCAAGTTGGGAACATCCGCGGGGGCTTCTTTTTCATTCAACGGCTTGGATGGACTAGAGCCGCACATGCTTACAACTTATTTTATCCATGCTCCTTTTCGTTTTCAGCTCATGCAAACTAATTTCCGTCCATGGTCTAAATCCTGGATTGCCTCTAACTTAGGGTGGGTGACTGGGTGCCATGAGTAAGAGGCCTTTGGTCATCACACTCCTCGGTTGGGCATCGTAGGCCTGTGTCTGGCTGGGAGTAGTGAAGGTGGCGTTTGGCGTAGCCCTGCGACATGGACTTTACAGTCTAATGCTTGTAGATTTACAGATTCATGATTGGTTTATCAAATCGGTCGCATGGCTCGTTTAAGCTTTCTGCATGCAACGCGGTGTGGGTCGATCAAGCGCTTCCTCCAGCTCGGTGCTGGTGTCGTGGGGGCCATTTCATAATAAACTTCTTATGGGGGGTGGCTGAAAGGAAACGGACCTCACTCCATCATATCATACCTACCTAACTTTCTAAGGATTTATTTCAAGAAGTGTATGAAACCGGTACCAAAAAGGAACTAGTTTCTTAAGTAGTGTGAGAATACCCTTCCCACGACCAATAGCCGTCGTTCCCAATTCTGTTAATAATAGGACAGTTCGAGACGTTATGAGGCCTTGTTTCGCAAGAAATTACAATCCTTTCGGAATATCTTTAAGATGGATTTTCCCATCTTATTCATCTTTAGGGCGTCGTTCTAATACTACCATACTATAATTATTTCGTCTGAAACTCGTAATAGATACCTATCTGAACAGCAGAAAAAACGGCTGTAAATAACTCTGTTATATTTGACTAAGCCCATCGAAGGAGGGTATTCATAAAGATGTTAAAATCGTAGTCCTATGGAAAGCGTCCTTTGTCTATTTTCTCTGGATGGAGGAGTTCATCTAGGTAGGCGATCGCGACTATGCTGTCCGGAGTCGAACAGGAATCTTGGGCGCCATTTTAGCCCCCAACTTTTGGTATACATACTGGCAGGCACCTGAATAATGTGATCTGTATCAAGTTTTCTGCACGTCAGATATTTGGAAGTTAGGAATTAATACAGCATTCGAGAGAACAACTTCTGGTAATTCAGAATACTAGTTGCGACTCATTGTATTGTATGGACTAGCTCGATAGAATACGGCTCATAAATCATGGTTAATGTCCATACCTCATGCCTCGTCGGGGATAATAATTGGAGTTTCAAGCTTCTTCACGTCCTAAAAGCATAATGCATGTCTAGAAACGCCACATAATTTTAGGGCATGAATATTGACCCGAAGGTTGTCAGCACAACCTTTGCCCACCATACGGCGGCTTCGTTGTATGGGAATTAGTCACCTCATGGGATTTCTTACGTCTCTTTTCTATCCTCATCTAGGCGGCCTTCTCAGGAGTTTCGCCTTCCATGGCCATCAAATTCATATGACGCGACAATAAGCAGCTGTCGAACGCGAATAACGTAATCTTCTGAGGGATATATTGTGTCCCTGTCCAGGTTCTTGTTGACTGCCATGTAGGATTCAAGATGACTGCCAAGACCAAGTCACACGGTGGATACACTGTGGGGCGGAATTGTGCGCTACTGAAAGAGCAGACGGCGGCAACGGTCATGCTTGATCAACTACATCCGAATCTTGACAAGCCGCCGAATGATCAAAAATGAATACACCCTGGGGTCTATCGGCGAGCGTGATGTTGTTATAGTCTGTCTTCCAAAGGGCGAGATAGGTACTAACTCGGCGGCGACGTCGCAACTCGGATGGTGGATACTTTCCCATCCATCAAGGTCGATCTCATGCTTAGAATTGGAGGTGGCATCCCACCAAACGTTAGACTCGGCGACGTTATTGTGAGCGCCCCCGTTGATGAATACCTCGGAGTGGTTTAGTGGGATCTTGGTAAGGTAGAAAAGGATGGCAAGTTCAAAAGGATCGGCGCACTCAACAACCCCATAAACAGGCCCGCTCCGTCAGAAGGTGAAGACAACTCGCCTTGGAGCATACATTAGCATTAACTTATACAGTAGAAGATAACTCATCATATCAACGCGTCCCTCATACCGCATTTCTACTATTACACGTTCCCCCCTAATCCCTTCAACCCTTTAATGCTTCGACCCACACCCATTCCCCGGATCCGCAGGCGTCTTATCATCCGGCCTCGCCAACCCCAAACAGCTCGCCATCTTATAAAACACATCCACATTCCCATACACGCCCGAAAACATTTCCTGGCACGGCCCCATCGCAAAAACAGCGACGTCGGTCAACGAGTGGACGCCCGAAGACTCCGTGACGGACAACGTGCCGTTGACCACGAACCCGTCGGGGCTATCCTTCGCGTCGACGAACATATCGGCCTTATCAAAACCGGGGGTGCTGCTCACGGCCTTGCGCGGGGACTTGTGGACGCGGAAATCCTCCCTGCGGTCCGGGTTCGCGCTGAACCCTTGCGCGAGCGCGTACCGCGGGTCCCAGTTGACGGGGAAGTTGGGGCCGGTGCCGTAGGACACGCCGTCGACGGCCACGGTGTACTGCGACAGGCCCGACATCTCGTAGGTGCCGACGGCGCGGCGCTTGTCGCGGTCGCTGCGCTGCGAGGACAGGTACTGCGTGTCGACGCCGCCGTACACGTCGAAGCCGTGGCCGTGGTCCGCCGTCACGAGGACCAGCGTCGACTCGAGCTCGCCGATGGCCTTGAGGTGGGCCACGGTGGCGCGCACGGTGTCGTCGAGCTCGAGGAGGTCGCCGAGCGCGCGGTCGTAGTCCAACGCGTGCATCTGCTTGTCGATTGATGCGCCTTCCGACATTAGGAAGAAACCCTTGTCGCCGCCGCGCGTGTGCAGGATGTCGATCGCCTTTAGCGTCATTTCTTTCAGGCCCGGTAGGTCGAGGGCGGGGCTTTCGGAGCCCAAGGGGTCGTTCTCGAAGGTGGCTAGGTTGTCCGTGAACACGTTGCGGTCGAGCCAGACGGGGAAATGAGACTTGCAGAAGATGCCGAGGGCCTTGCTACTGTTTCCGAGCTCGAGGAGAGAGGTTTTATTTAGGCTGATATCGTATCCGGCGTTTGCGAAGGCTTCGTAGTAGTCTTTGCCCTCGTAGCTGCCGGATCCGGGGTTAAATTGTTCTGCTCCGCCTCCGAACCAGACGTCGGGACCGCCGTGGTTCGTCCAGGAGTAGTTGGTGACTGAGTTCAGTCCTTGGTCAACGAGAGAACCATAGGCGTAGCGAGAACGGCTGTGGCCGGTGAGGGCGATAGGAGTGGCATCGGAGATGGCTGCTGTCGAGACGGCTCCCCAAGCAGAATCCCAAGTACGCTTCAATATTTCAACAAGAGTCTCAACTTTCGGGTCATCGAAAGAATCGGCAGATGAATCAACATAGACACCCATAGCATTGACAGTGCTCTTGTGCCCAGTGTAGAGAGCAGATGCCGAGTTAGCGCTGTCGGTGATGAAGCTATCAATGGAATGGGTCTGAAAATAATAATTAGCAGACGAACTACAATATCACGGAAGTCTGAAGCCATACCATTTGGTGTCCCAACACAGGGAACTGGTCCATCTGCAGCAGAGATTGGTACTTTCCGTTGATGCTCTTGTGGCCGAGAAGACGAGCGGCCGTAATCATGTTGGTAGTCATACCATCACCAATGAACAAAATCACATTCTTAGCCTTTTTTTGCGTAGCCAAGGGTCGCACAACCCAATTCGCCGTCGTCGTCTGACCATCATAATACGTCAATGTGACAACGTAGTTCCCCGGCTCATAGATAGCAATCCTCCGGTAAATCTTCGACGCGACATTGACCACAGACGGGGTCTCTGCGTCCTTCGCAAACAGATCCTCATACCACTTGAAATCCCAGGTCTCAAGCTCCGGCTCATCGACAGCGAAGAACTCCGCCACGCTTCTGGCCTCGCCGCCCTCCTTGGCGATCGTGACGGAGAACCCCTCGTCTGGCACGCCGTCGTTGAACGCCTCGGACCCGTTGACCGGGGCGTGGACCTCGAGCCGTAGGTCGAAGTACTGACCCGGCAGGAAGTCGGACTGGTCAGGCGGCAGTACGCAGCCCAGGTCCGGACACGTGCCAAGCCGCTGGAAGGTCTGGGCGGTGGCCGCGGACAGGGACGCCGCTACTACCGCGGCGAGAGAGCTGAGTCTGCCCATATTGAACTCACGAATAAAATCCGCGGAGAGAAACGTCGGCGGGATGGAGACACGAGAACCCGGATGTCTCGAGGCTGGAAAGCGTGGGCGTTATATAGCACTGCATACATAGTAGGGGCCAAGACCAGCCCGCAGCGTAGCTACACCGCGATCCACGCGTTTGGCTGAGCTACGCTGCCGTCCATCCTGCAACAGAAGGTCGTCGAGCCTTGGCTGTTCTTGGGAGCATGAGTTTTCGCAGCGCTGAGATCTTGGCGGCGGAGGGAGCCGGGTTGTAATTGGTTATCTATGCTGCTGAAATCTCCGGCCGTAGGGCGATGGCTTCGGCCGCGCAGGAATCATAAAGGATATCCATTGCACGTGTAGTTAGTGCGAGTCTCGGCGAGCACGATAGCTCGACGGAGCATATGGTTAGAACAAAATGATCTTTGCTGTTTGTTCCTGGTTCCTGCATCTTGGAAGTAGCTCTATCTGCTACTGGTCATGTGCTTGGTGAACCCTAGAATATAAATTTGAACTTGACCAGGCACTATGGAACGTAACACTGAGTCTCTCCTTTGCGTATGGTTGGCAACTTATATTAGTAAATATGTCTTGCTGCAACATAATGCGCTAGGATATGACGAGCTCTCCCATAGGTTGGTTGAGCGAATGAGCAATGATTCTAGACGTATTCTTTTGAAGTTCAAGATTCGGAAGATTTGGAAGTTTGATGTGGGGATATAATGTCTCGACAAGGGTTTGAGAACGTGGGTTGGATTAGCAATTATGATTGGCTCTAGATTCGAAATTGAGAAGATCTGGGCTGTCCCGGCCGGCCGGGTCTTAGATCGTCAACACGTGCCTACATGGATATAACAGAATGGAAGAAATGAAACATTTATTAAAATGAGCGAGAGATTTCGAAGAATAATCATCGACAATGGTAATAGCTTTCTTGTGAGAGTCATCGTAAAAGTCGTGATTGATCAAGATTGCATCCGTAGGTATCTCTACCAATATTCGGCTGGTATTCGCGCTATATGGGAGTATTCGGGAGCATCCGTCCTCGCAAGGAGTCGTGATGAGCCAATGACAATAACTGCTTTGTGCATGAAGATCTTCACTTTGGTCCCAACCTACCGGATAACTGCACGTCAAAGAACGGGCTGACGGGGTATCATTAAATAGGCACTGACCTTGCGACCGAATACCCCACTTATTGAGCATATCCAATATATCGATCAATCTCACCGTCCGGGCAGCCAGGCCTCGTTTTCTTGTAAACCTACCTGGCTGTTTCCTAGGTCATAAAGCTATAGATGACACATCAAATGCGACAGGATGTCTGGCCATTGCATGACTATAACAGCTCACCGGTCTATTTCAGCAAACCCTTTCTCGTCCAAGTCTTTAGCATTAGAGTTGGGATCAGGGACGACTGGAGTCTCTTTTCCTTCAGCAGTCGCTCCTGTCACAGCAAGTCCTGCCATTTCTCCGGCTAGCGCTGGATCTTCAGCTCCGTTTTGGCCCCAATTCTCCCACGCTGGAGGATTTATCTTTGACTGTCCTCCTTCAGTCTTGAAGTGATACCCCCGAGCGCGCGGCCGTTCTCCGGTACCTTTCGGAAGCTCATATTCATATGACCTATAAAAGTCTTCACAATCCCGTTCAAATGTCGAGGGTTCTGCGTCAAGTGTAGCTCGGATTCCCTTGAAGAAAGCGTCCAAGACATAGTGGTTATGGATTTGAAGAAGTGTCCATCCAAGCATCTCCTTAGCATTTAGCAGATGTTGGAGATACGCACGGTGATGCTTGGTGCAAGTGTAGCATTCACACCCATCTGCCAGTGGCTTTAACGATATTTGATGGTCTTGAGACCACATATCTATTCCTAGTGGATATGAACCCGCGGTTAAGGGTGCGGGCGGCGGAAATGAAAAAGTTAGAGCGATCCCAGCATCCGAGACAGTGTTAATGAATGGCACCGTAAAAATGTCAAGCCCTAGGCGGATTTGCCGGAGAATTTCATGGGGAGAGGTGATGAAGTCCATCGAGAGTCGTGGTAATGGATTTAAGGACTCGTGTGCAATCAAATCGGGGACAATATCTGCGTCGTACACTGCTAAGCCAGATAGATGTTCAACATAATCTTGCGATAGACGAGTTATATACTCCCATTGCATTGGATAAGAGACTGGCAACAACGAGGCGAAGACACCGGACTTCATTGTCTCGCCTTCGCCCTCAGCATTTTTCAGCTTTATGAACTCGGCTAACCAATCTTCCGTCCGTTCTGTCATTCGAATCTGTCGTTTCGGGTGTGGAAGCTTCTCTCTAATATGTGAATTACCAAACGTTAAGTCGGCCAGGGGAACGACGATGTCTGGTTGCAGTCTCCCGACGGCACGGTAGTAGTCTTTGTTCTTCAACTGCTGAAAACCGGTCGAAGTGTATATAGAGATATAATCCTTCCCGTTGCCCATCGGGGCGATCACTGCCGGATGTCGGCGAGCGCCAAGCACTGTAGCCACCGGCGTAGGGGTGGCGGTATATGCATGGAGAGCGTCCTTCCCGTCTGACTGAGGTATGTTATAGATAGCGGGCACAAGTCTCTTCTGGGACTTTTCTACGACTGAGTGCTGGGTTAACTAGTTGTAAGGTGAAAACCCGGAGAACTGTCTCACTCACAGTCTTCCAGGGCCATGTATGTGCCATTGAGTTCGGTATATTTCGCAATGACATCGGGGGTCATATGAGGGATGGCTCCTCGTGATGTGAGGCCAAAGAAATTGGGCGTATCTATCTTCTTTCGTTTTGGGAGGGCTAGGCGACCAACTCTAGGCCCTCTTCCGTCAACCGCAATACTCTTCAACACGTTAAACATAACGTGTTCAGGCGATGACTCAGTCATACTTGGATACCCTAATCCTGGGTTCTGCCTTGAATTCGTTATATATGACAGATAGACATATGCAATACTAGATGATGTTATTCTCCGTTTAAAGACAAATGGCAAAATTTCTACTCTTGGGTTAATGTTCGTTATGATAGTGTGATTTTAGTAAGTTTTCATAAGGCGTCGAGATTGATACCTCCAGGACTATGATGCGTTCACCCCGGCGTCAGTGGATAAAAAAACGGGAACGATCGATGATCGATAAAGATAACGATCCGGAACTTAGAGAAGCCGCATCCGAAGAATCGACTGGCTGGAATCCACTTGTTCCTGTCGAGGCAACAAGGGAAACATGGTTAAACAAGGAAACAAGGGGAGACCAATGGCTATCGATCAGCATCCCACTTGCCCAATTGCCTGGGTATGACAAGACCAGGTCCACCCAGTCTCCAGCCAGTCTCCAGTCGGCCAGTCAGTCTGCGCCTAGCCTAACTGTTTCGCGTCTCGGCGTTCTTGAACCCTCCCACGTACAACATTCATTTTACAACTCCCAACCTCTACTACGCACCAACATCCTTCGAAGGCTGAGCGGGTTCTCGGTCTGTATTCTTGCTGATCGCAAAACCCGAAATTTATATCTCATGTATTCCTAAATATCTATTTCGTTATAGACATAGATTTGTCTATCTTTCTGTAACCCGTGGGTAAAGTATACTGTATTATCTCTCAGCCTTCGAATGTAAGCCTGATTCGATACATCTTTGTGCGACGCGGTGAATGGTTCAAGTGGTCACTAACATATATTCGATGCATTTTATAGTTTCGTATCATGAGTAGCAATCAGTTAGAACCTCGTTCAGTCTCTCCTGACATCGAACAGCAACGGCAGCGCAACGCTTCTCCGGCGCATCCGGACGATCCGCTCGGCGGCCCGGAACACCTTGAATTCAACGAAGACGACGACGACCCGCCAACTCCGCGCTTTATGCAAGACCAAGGAGCCTGGAAGAAATGGAAATGGGTTCCATATCCGATCCGGAAGTATGGGAAGATTGCTTTTAAGTGGATGAAGGGTCCTCAGAACCCTAAGGTCTGGAAGATTGAGCCATTTTTTCCAGTCGTCCAGCATGCGCCGCTTCGTCTTCTTGACAAGTTCCTCCCAAACAGAAAGCATCAAATCCTGCTGTACATGGGCTACGTCGCAGTATGGATTATCACATTTGCTCTTGTTATGTGGCGGGGTCAGGTCGCCTCTGAGGTTGCGACTTACGGCATGCCAACTGACATAAGTTGCGGTGTAGCGTATTGGTCGCGAAACAACGGGTGCGGTATTGATGGTGTTAATTGTAGGCCGTTCAACAACAGCGCCTTTGCCTTTCGTTGTCCATCGAATTGCGCTAGCTACCGAGTTCTCAACCCTCGAGCGGTGGGGGCCCAGGAGGTGGTCTATGCTCCGTTGATTGTTGGAGGACCCCCGGATCCAACGAACGACGAGAATCCCGTATACCGGGGGGACTCCTTTATTTGCGGAGCCGCCGTCCACGCCGGTCTCATCTCCAACTCCCAAGGTGGTTGCGGTGTGGTGTCTTTGATAGGAGAACAGCAAGATTTCATCAGTTCAAACAGAAACGGCATCGACAGCATTGGCTTTGATTCTTATTTCCCGCTGTCGATTACCTTTCAACAGGGAATCGAGTGTAAGGCCAAGGATGTTAGGTGGTCACTGTTGGCAGTTTCTGTGGTTTTCACTACCGTCTTATCCCTGTTCACCGCATCATCGTCGGTTTTTTTCTTCACGATTTTCATCGGGATATTTTGGCAAGTAGGTATGGCTTCTGATCCGCCGTCCTACTCGACAATCCCAAGTCTATTTTCCGATATCTTGGGTAAATTCCTACCTGCCATGTTCTGCGCTTGGGTATTTTACGACAAGATGGGAGTACGACGAACGTTGCAAGGCCTCACAGCTCAGGTTGAAAAAACAGTTTTGTGGCTCGGTGGCTGCTGGGTTGGAGCACTCACTAATTATACCTTTGACTTCATCCCCATTCAGCGCCTGACCGCGCACGATCTTGATCAGCAACCCGGTGCTAAAGCGGCACTTGCCATAATTGTCATCGTGCTATTTTGCATTGTTGTGGGTCAGATTTGGGCGATCCGACAAGAAGGAAACCTGTTGCGCTACCTCCAGCTTTACGCCCTGTTCCTCCTTGGAATCATCATCTGTCTCGTGTTACCTAACCTCAATTTGAGAATCCACCATTACATCCTTGCACTGCTTCTCGTTCCAGGGACTAGGATACAGACGAGGCCGTCGCTACTCTACCAAGGGATTTTAATAGGGTTTTTCATCAATGGTATTGCTCGCTGGGGGTTTGATGCGGTTCTACAGACGTCGTCTGATTTGCAGGGCGACGCTCAACTGGGTTCGCCTCTACCTGAAATCCTGACGCCTGTCATTAACACGACTCTCTCAACCCTTTCGACAATCACATTTACATGGCAGGCTTCGCCAGGAGTACGATATGATGGTATCAGCGTGCTCGTCAACGACGTTGAAAGATACCGTGCGTTTTGGGGTGACGAGGGATCAGACCATTTCACCTGGACCCGCGAGAATACGTCGAGCTACAACGAGTACTTTCGGTTTGGTTTCATGTCTGGTACAGACAGCGGAGACTATACCAAGGCTGGTATTTGGGACAAGGACCTCAATTGGACGGCTCCAGCAGCGGGCCCCTCGAGGATCAAAGGCCGGGATCTAGATGCGCATGAAGCAGAGCTAGTGCCGCGCTCGGTATGGAAATGAATGATGTTAGCGTTACGACCGGTATATCGACGACAGCGATGGAATCTCATGTAACATATTTACCCCATTGCGAAATCCCATGTATAAAGCGAAATTGGAATTATTGAACAGTTTACCTACCGCTAGGTATTGACTATATTGTATCAGACAAGCCTTCCCTTGCCCGTAGTGGATGGCGCGGGGCTTCCTCACAACGTTATTTCAATACCTAAATTGAATATTGTGTCCCGCTAATTTAAACGCCATTCCCTCCCCTCAGCAATAAACTCCGAGTTTAATTCCTAAGCCTGCGCATCGGCCACCTCACTCACAAGTCCTAACCATATAAGTCACTGTCTGATTTCCCGTCGCAGGGACCTTGGGCTTGAAGTCGAGGTAGACGAGCTATTGCGCCACGCGCAAAGACGTACAATTAGCTTCCATCATATCAACATCAGCTCACTCTTCCTTCCCCCCAATCCACTCCTCTGCACTCTATTTAGTATAACTAATAGAGCTAGGAGAACCCAACGAGTAGGTAGGCGAGGAGTTGCAAACATGCAGGCAAGGCAAAGACAAGACGAACTAACTCACCTCCCCTGACTCGGGCGTCCACTCCCCGTCGGTGTCGCGGTAGAAGACGAGCTCGTCGGACCCGGCGTCCCGCACCTCGGCCGTGGTGTGCGTCAGCGCGCCCTCGGTCGTCCACTCGAGCCGGTAGCACGTCGACTTCGCGACGATGAAGGGCGGCGTGCAGCGCGCGTGCCCCGAGGCGTCTTTGCAGGTCCCGGGCGCGTAGTCGAGGACCGTGCCTGAGGCTATGGTGCGTGCTGGACGGGGCGTTGGTTCGTTAGTGTGTAAGCGTTACTGGGGGAAGAGGAGGGAAGAGGGAAGTGGTAGATGATGATTAGATGGGTGAATGGGTGGATGGTGGATGATGGACTTACGTCCTCTGAGATTGCCGGTGAGAGCGAGTCCCGCTGTGAGAACGCTTTGCGCTGAGGGGATGTACATGATTGGATTGGGAATTTGTGAGATACCGAGGAGTGGATGGACTAAGTGGTTGGATACTCGACTTGGACTTGGTTATAAGTAGTATGGTAGGTTCTAAGAGAACGACTAAAGGATGAGTTTATTTATTACCTACTCTCCTACTATCACTTTACGTAATCAAGACGTCATCGAGTTCTTTGTCTTCGCGATGCCCTGGTAGTTTGGAGTAAACTAAAGTCGGCGATAAGTTAAATAGGGTATTTCCCTATGTATGCACGTACTGCTATTGAATGTCATACACGGGCAAGAATATACACGAACATCGGCATCCACATACATATGTGAATGCTTGGTGAGCAGTTCCCTTGAGAAGCATTCCGAGGTTGCTTTCCCCAGTTACAGGTATATGCGCACATATATAGAGGCCTCTAAATCATACATATGACATTGACGCAGTAGTTTGATACTTGGATACTTGCGTAGATAGGTATTTATTAAAGCTTAATAATCCCATGAATTATAAAGATTACCTAGGTTTCTGGTAGGAGATCCTTTACAGAGGATTTGAGCGATTCCGTCGAAGATGGAGATTCTAGTCCCATATCCACCCCCTTTTCAGTAATTACCTACCTACCTATCTACCTAGTCAGGTACCATTCCCCCTATTTTCGTTGATGAAGGGCTAAGTCCTCTCTTTTCCAGAATCGAGACACGATTATTCAATCTGGCCACCTGCGAAACTTGTTACCTGATTCATATGTATTACATGGAAAGCCTGTGTGTTGCGTACTGCAAGTTGTAACGGTCTGTGGGTAAGGTGCGTCTTGAAGCTTCACCTAAATGCTATGGTTTAGCTTAGTGTTAATCTTATTCATTGTACCCAGCCTAGTATCTCTGATGAACTCAAGTTAGAGTTATTTATAAGGACACTTGCCCCATCCCTTGTGCATTTTCCCCTCTACGTAGACACTTATTACAAGAACATCAAAGGTCAAATCGAATTCTCGACTTCATACCTACAAAAGCGGCAACACTACTGCCACAAAAGCCTGCCAACCTACCAGAAAATAAACCCAGTATCAATTAAGTGGTGTTTTATTACAAACCGACTATCTACCTAGCATTCATATACCTTCGGATATGAACACAATGGCATATCTTCCACCGAGGTCCATTACCGAAGAAAAATCAATACTGCCAGAACCAGTGCCGACGCCATCATCTAAGAAGTCCGCAGCCGCAGACACGTCGTTGCGAAACCGCACTCCACTGAGCCCACTCCAGCGGATTGCTTTTGTGCTCGTATCCTTTGTCGCGGCAAGTTGCGAGATGGCCCTCAAGCTCACCTTTTTGATAATTATTTTTCATCCCCTCCAGTCTCTGTACACAGGCGTCAATGGCGAATATGTGGATCCCGATTGGCGGTGGTATTTGAGCATATGCCTCAAGATTACGGGTTTATTGTTTGTGATCGGGACCATTGCAGAAGCGGTCGCGTACCTCAGCTGGCGCGTACGCGTGGTGCGATCGAGGAGAGATGGTGTCAGCAGTATACCGGTATTTACGTTTCCGGTGTCGACGATATATTTCGTATTTGCACTTTATCCTATGGTTGACCTATGCTCTGCTCTGAATAGCGAAGAGCCACTTTTGGCGAGCTCGGATCCGGATACCTGATAAAAAGTAGACAGAGCTTTTCCCCTTCACATTTCAAACTGGTAACTGGCTCCAAATATGATACTTGCCGGTGAATATGGCTGAACTACCTCTCGGTCAATCGAATGGCTTAGTCATCCAGATTAGTCCGATTCAAGCTCATTTATTAGCGCACCGTCTAGTTGCTTAAGGAATCATATCCATATGCATCCAATTACGAGCCAGATGCCTTGCCCAGTGCGTAATCAGATAATATTTTCTCAAAACCTTCGTAGAGCTATTAAGTGTTGTAACGAACTTAGCACGGGATAATGCTTGCAGTTCAACGTTAATAATTATGTAATACGACTGCTACCGTACTACCTGTAACTTGGGGGACCCTGCGGGACTGATTCAGGGACTACATGTTCTATAAATAGTGTGGCTTTTGTGGCTAATTTTGATTTTGTAAAGCTTGTGGCTCGAGCTCTTCGATCTTCGTCATCTAACACTGTAAATCGTACTTTCCACAATTCACTACTTATCGCATTTAATCATCCATTTCTCGCCCTCTTTCAATCATCATTTCGTACGACGCCTTCGTTTTGAATCCCTGGATTTATTCGAACCGCAATATTCGTCATTATTTACATCCATTTGAACTGGCTCCGATACGCCTCATAGCAACCTGTTAGCTCGAGTCCGTCGCGATATCTACGACTTCAAGTGGACTTCACTAAACTAGTCGCTCCCAAGAAGATGGCGTCTCCTCCACGCGCCTACTCGCCTGCGGGTTCTCCACCGTATTCTAGCGCACCGTTACCATCAAAGAAGCGCGGTTCTACGAGTGCTGATCTTTCGGTCCAACCACCCTCGATGAAGCGACGTAAAGCATCTATTATGTCAACAGCCTCTACCGGCTCAGCCCATCCTCTCCGACAAACATCTTTTCCCCCGGACGAGTCGCAAGCCCGACCATACTCTCCCTCATTCCAGCGATCGCCCAGTATGGATAATATGAGCCTCGTCAGCGGAAGCCAGGTGAGCGGCGCGCCTATCAAGAAGAAGCGAGGCAGGAAGTCGAAAGCAGAGCGCGCAAGCGAGGCTGCTGCCGAAGCTATGCGATATGGATCGCCAAGCGTCGCAGGAGGTCGTGCACCAACCGTGTTGAGCAATGCTAGTGGCAACAATGCCGGGAAGGATGCCGATGCAGACAAGGAAAAGGAAGAGGAGTTCGAGATGCCGGAGAACATGGCTAGCATGTCAACTGCTCGTACGCAGGAACAGGTCCAGGAACAGGAGGAACTGAACTCGTTTGTGAAGTCTCAGATGGATCCCGTACAATTTGCCCGGTATGAAGTCTGGCATCGTCAAACTCTCAAACCTCAAGACGTCAAGAGGGTAGGTTGCCGTATTCTACCATACTAATGACTTGAGTCGCGGCGTGACTAAATATTTCTATAGCACATCAACAGCGTTACTTCGCAATCATGTCCCGTTAATGTCCATCAAATGATGCAATCGGTATTGAAGCAATATATCGGGGACATTGTCGAGGCAGCGCGAGAGATTCAAGAGGAATGGGTAGCTCTGGGCGAGAAGCAGACTGACCTGCCCAACGATGAGCTACAACCTACAAGTGAACTATCCCAATCTCGCAGAGAAGCCCCATTGCGACCCGACCACCTCCGAGAAGCATACCGACGCTACAGAGCCTCTGCAGAGCACGGCGGATCGATGGGAAGTCTGATGTTCTGGAACCAGCAAACACAAAATGGGACCGAACGGTTTGCTGTGAAAGCCGGAGGACGCCGTATTTTCAAATGAGTACGGGCGTTTCGAAATACCGCTTGGTTCAGGTTATCGGTGCGATAAGATTTCCGCACTTCCAAATGCGAATGTACGTCTAAGAAGACGAAGGACCCTACATAATTTGACCGGTACTATCATAATGCGAAAGAGAGGCCCTTACGACGCATCCAAAACTACTTCGGCCTTTGCTATACCGGAAGCGTTAGGATGCACCTATTCATTGATACCCAAAGAAGTATGATTTTGCAGTGCTTTCGTAACGCCTTGTCAGGGGTCGTTATACCGAGTTGGAACAGGTCGATCGAATAACCCAGTCGATATTACCATATAAGGACTTTCATGCGACCTTGACACCTGCAGATTGATTTCATGGAGGGAATATTAGTGAGGGGGGCGAGACTGATAGCATGGTGCATTCTGTTTGGCCTGAAAGCGGAATTCTTTCAGGGACACGTTTGCTCATAGATCTACCTTTATCTTCGTACCTCCTACAAGCTATGCTATAACCTGCAAATGCGACAAATGCAAGCAAAGGCTAATCACAAGAATGTGTTACTTTGGCCACTCAATATTACCAAGTCTTGCTCATATGGTCCTCTTAAATATGTGTACAATGTTATGATTATATCAAATGAGCCACCAATTGCCATATTCAAATCCTGCATACATCGCCTTCTTACTGGACCTTTGTTATGTTTGCAGCTACAAAATCCGTTTGACTTGTTCAACGTAATAATAGCTATATAATGGCAAGGCCACTAGCTTGAAAATAGCGACATTTTACTGCGCTATTTCATGAGCAATGACTTCACAGACTAAATAAAACGTCAAAAAATCATCACGACATTGTATGGAAATCACGTGCTGACGAGCCTGTCGTCCCCACAAAAACTATGGTACTTATTCCATTACTAGCGGCAATTAACCAAGCCTTTATAGCTCAGTGGTAGAGCGCAGCACTTGTAAGTCCATTTACAAGTTCATGCTGAGGTCCATCGTTCAATCCGGTGTGGAGGCATTTACTTTTGCACATGTTGACGACGTCACTCATCAAATTTTTTCTTTTGTCCCTTATTGAATGAACCATTAATTAAGTAATTGATCACCGTTGAATTCCCTCCACGCATTGAATTAAAACGCTATTACTGCTTTAGCAGGATGTATGTAGTTCACTCACCATAGCAGCTTCCAACGGATTGAAGCGTACGAGGTCGGCATGAAGGTGTGAGTGAAGCCAACCATGTAGTTAATTAACAGCAGCTACGGTGCCGACCACCAGCGAAAATTACAGTACAGGACCGAATTCTCGTCAGGTCCAATTGTCATCATTCTAAAAGGGGAATCAAGCGGAGCACCGATCGACACCCGCAATTGATCCCTGAAACTTTCCAGGCATCGAAATTAATCCCCGGCTTCACCGTCTCAGCCGCCAAGGGGTAGTATCCATCCAATGCTTACTCACGATCACGACACGGACAGCCATCACTTCATTCACAATTACATCGGATAAACGATTGGCTTCTTTTCCAGCCCACCTATCTTTAATCTACCAAGTGGTATTCAATCACTTCTCTACTAAATTTCCCATTTTAACTACCTACGTAGTCACTTGTTCAATCTTAAATTTCGCTTCCATTAACAAGCTCTCTTTAGACTCTATCTTGTGCTTATCTCGTAATCTTCAACTAATGGCGACATATCTTCTCCTGCATGGCCTCATCTCCCAACTCCGTATGATAATATCTCTAGATGGAGTATGGTTATGTGGGGCGAAACACTGCCGCCACGGTCACCCTGACATGCATACAACAGCACGTTCATTAATCAAGGGTATCGAGTTAGAGCTCAGTTTATTCCGCTGCCTGGACCGCGATCAACAAGCTAAGGCATGTAAAGGCTGTGTGGTGAGACTTCTACTTGGCTGGTTTCCAGTGGCTGAAGATTCGAACTGCCAGGTTTCATGTAGTGGGGAGTGAACATGTTGCCAATCATAACAATAGACCTCCATCGTAATAGGAAAGTTTGAGATCGGAAAGGGACCTTGTATAACCCAAAGAATCCTTTCAGTGCAGATCACGACGCTGAGAAGTTCGTATTGACAACTACCCAGTTAGGTATATACCACTGTTACTCAATTATCTAAGAAATTCAGGCAGCAGGAAACAATGCATACATTTAAATGACTATATTATGGTAGGTATGTAAGAATAAATAAGGGTGAATGAATCGGTAGATCAGAGTGTGACACAAACTTCCAAGTGTGTGCAAAGCTTCGATGACCAACTTCACGATGTCTCCTCCAAGTCAAGACAGACCGGCATCTATCGCCGATACCGAATATGCTATCCCGGACGCCCCCCAAACCGTAGTTAGACGACCAGACCAAGCAGCATGGGACAACGCTAGATTTGCGTTACGCATCATATCAACCACGCTCTCCCTTCCATTCCTCGGGATAAGTCTGGCCGGGTTCGCAGCACCTGACGGATTCAGTGGCTACCCGCTCATGGGTACTCCGCTGGTAAGATCAACTCCCACTTTCGCCCTCGTTCGTCTATCAGGGCCAGAGCAATAGCTAACGAAATTCAAATACCAGGCTGTGGCAGTGCTCTTGTACGACTTCGCCGAGTATGTCGTGATGTGCGTCCGAGCCAGGAAAACGGGAATCCGGCCGCAAATTTCTCTCGGATTCGAGCTCGTCCTCTCGCTAGGAGGTATCGGAATGTCAGCTGTCCTCATCAGTTTCGCCTTCGACTCCTATTCGTGGCACGATTATTACGACGGCAGAGATGGGACTCCCGTCCCTGACTACGTCGCCAACGGAGACCTATGGTTGGGCATGAATATCATTGCCTGTGTTCTTGGCATGGTCGTATCGTGAGTTTTAATCCATTTATCATACATCTCGTGTCTCCTAGCTAACCCGGCTCAAGACTAGTACACTTCGTCCTGTTCGTCCGCGATTGCGTAGAAGTCCACTGGCACAGGAAGAACGCATCCGCTTCTTATACGCTACAAGAACAGGAAAGGCCCGAAAGGCAGGAGTTGCCAGTAAACTCGAATTTCGATTTTGAGGGCCTCGACGAGAAGGGACCACCAGTGAGTCCATCAAGAAATGGCAGCAAATAAGATCATTTAGTTGACACGATATTTTGTCAAGAAATATTTGAAATAGAAGACGCCATCCTAATGTACCTACGAAACGAAGATTATGCAGCGAGCGAGCCGCCCTACGATCATACGTTGCTATATGTAGCTCTAGATGTACTTAGTCAAGAAATCATCTCCCATGGGTCCTTCGATATATCTAACGATTCCGCCGGTAATAGAATTTACGAAAGATTTTGGGGGCTGAAGAAGTAGGAATCACGACACTCTTTGACGAAACGAGGCATTTATCTCTCGTACGTATAGGTTTCAAGAAGGGGAATAATCCTTCGAAGAATGAATGTAATGAGTACATAATTCATATTTGAAATATAGCATTCCCGCCCTCACTACATGATAGTCATACTGTAGGTGCCATACCTAGGTAGCTTCGACATGCCCAACCCCTGTTCTTCCTTAGACGCCCATATAATAAAATATACTTATCTGAAAGAATGCTGCGACTACTAGGTGTTCATCTAGGTATCTATCTACAAGGGTAGATTAACTTCATATTGCTGAGGTCGTTGCCTAGGAGACAATTCATGAATCAGTGAAGAAGTTTGGTGAAACGTCTTAGTTAACGAGGACGAAAGCAAGTGTTTAATAGATAAATCCGAAACTGTCACGAGGCGGAATTAAAGGACTAGGAAACATCGACATTGCTGGGCAAAGAGCTCTAGACTACTCCCTCCGATAATCAACAAGTGATCGGTTCAATCCATTTTTCTTCTCGCTCAATCATCATCCACTTATCTCTCTTGCCCATAAACACGATAATGGGATAACTCGGTATTCATTATTCAAGCCTCATGTGCCAACCGTAAAGACATAGACTGGTTGAGTTGTGCACCCCCACAAAAAGCTGCTTAGTCATAAAAGGGGTCACCCCTGAATTATGTACATAGTACCTAAGTAAATTATGGTAATGATATGTATAATGGCTAGTAGAAGTCGCCCACAAGAGTGATACTATGTGTATTGCGATATAATAGGCCAAGGAATTATCAAAGAAAGCCCTCGTTTCAAATATAGCATGATTTATGGCTTAAATGGTGCTTGGCGAGCTAAGTGCCATTCAGAGTGTTAGAACGAGGAACCCTAACATTCATATATATATACATTGGAATTAATCCTGGGGCGCCTCAAGGCAATTGCTGACATTAATTTTCATGCTATCCTACACATATGAGTCACAGCAGAAGTTTCATGTCACTGAAAAGGTTTTTTTAATTCATGGGTGACGTTTTGCATTGGTACCTAAGTAAGGTACTCGAATATGGGGAGTGTGAAAAACTCAAAGTAACCGCCATTCCGAAAAATGGTCTGCCCTCATCCAGCAGAGAGCTGTTGACCTCGGTGGCAGGCCGTATTCCGAACCGGGCAGCAGAATTCGTGATACTCCAGGCGACAAACTCCGACGTAGAACCCACCATAATGGAAGCATTCAAAGAAACATATAATGTTTCCCGTATTCTAGCCGGTTCTCACCATCGCCAGTATCGAACCACCAACGCACCTCCATGTGCTGCAAACCTAATGACCAAATAGCAAGGGTTCGTTGTTTTTATATGGGCGTCGTGTTTTGCAGCTATTGAAAATTGGCACAGGGGTAAAGTAGTAAGCGGGCAAGCATGTCGAGTACGTAGGGTATTGGGATAGTGTTCATGATAAACCACGGGTATAACGGTATTTCTGGGATTAGACTGTTGGGTTAGAGGAATCTAGTATATCCCATCCCTTGAGCTAGTCAGGCTTATGTTCCCTAGGACTGCAGGCGATGATTGCTAAGGAGTCTTGCTGCTATGTCGAACGTTGACAACAGTCTAGAATGCTTCCGTAGTAAGTCCCGGGTTAAGCAGATGCCTTTGCGATTCTCCACGAACCATTTATGTGTGAATCCGAAAGTATTTTCATTCACCAGTGTGTTAGATTGCATAAAGGCACTGTCAAGCTCGGCGTGGATAAAATCGAGATGAGTCGGGGTTCTTGGGCATTGAAAGCCGTTGAGTATTGGCCTTAAGTTGAGTAGAGTTGGCTATGATCGAAGTTAATGCATTCGTAGTAAGGCCCTCGATGTCGGTACTTAGACTAACTGTTTTCTAAAGGAAGACTATGTGTTTGTAGTCTTGGCGAGTACTCCGCAATATGAAGGAGTTGTAGAATAGAAAGGGTTCGGTACCGAGTTTCGTTAATACGGTCGATTTTATTTAGAAACCCGAAAAACGTGACTCAATGTCGACCCCATGGGACGATACTGCGGTGATAATGTCTACTGATATCAGTAACAGAACGAATACGGGAAATTTCGGGCCGACATACCTGAAGATGAGAGTGAGAGGGGAATGAGATGAGGGATTGGGTTGGCTGGCCAATTCCATATTTGGATGATTAATGACCAGATAAAGTGTAGAACTTTATGTATTTCTAGACACTGGATATCTTGGTTGTCTTCAGACTCACCAATCAATATTTAGCAAATTCCAAGACGTATCTTTGAAGCAAATTTTGCAAAGTTTTAGATGCCAAAATACTTAGAGTGTGGCATTCGCAGCAATGATACTGTATAGGTAGGTTTAATTATTAGCCGAGGATAACGTCCTCAGGAAAGCCGGTTAGTCGGTCAACCACTGATCGATACTGGTCCTTCGGATTCGCAGTGGCATCCTCCTTCTGAACCACCTCGACGAACTCCAGCTGATTTACCTTCACACCTTTTCCTTGGGTTTTCTTCCATTGCTCGAATCTTCGCAGGAGCGCTGTTTCATGGTTATTGGCATGAACACGGATCATTGCCTTCTCTCGCTTGTCGACACCCCTAACGGGAACCCTCATCAAGTAAAGTGTCTCGACGTTGGGCCACGAGCGTGTGATAGTTTGCCAGCATGGTTCCGTTGTGCCTGGCAAATGGGGCGATTCCGTCTGGACGGCCAAGAATCTAACGACGGAACGATCGTCCTCGCAGTACTGGTGTCGAGCACAATGACATCCGCGGCACGCTCCATGGCAGGGTTCGAAGATCACAACATCATTTGTGTTAAAATCTTGGATTGTCTTAAGATTGATATTGGGGACGAACGGGTCGTGAAGACCGAATCGCTTTTGATAGTGAAGCTTCGCGATGAATCGAGAGAGACGGCAGGTATTAAACCACTTTGGAGGGCTATTCTGAGCCCCAAATGCTGCTCCCGCATGCATGATTGATGATCTATTGCATATATACAACAGTCTCGGTTCAATTGCGGCCTCCCAGACCATCATCTTGAGTTCGGGAGGGAGCTGGGCATATTGTGGAAATTCTGTGAGAGGCTTCCACAAGCGGGACGAGCGACGCGGATAGCGGTTGATAGGATTCGCCTTCGTTCTTTTGCTGCCGACTCTCTTCACTCGAGCTTTGGTTAGGGTCATAGTGGCCGGCTTAACGTCATTTGTTGGGGCCTGGTGATCACCAATGCGAGCCGATCGACGGAATGGCATCCTAAGCTGTCCGATCTCTGGGTGCTCCCTAAGCAGTTTTTCCAGCGACGGTGAGATCTGATTACTATCCTTGCTTCTCAAGATGAGCTCATTCTCATTGCCGTACTTGATGTCTTTAGACTCTTCGAGCTTAGTAAGATTCAAGGTAGGGGGAGGTTTCTTAGAGGATGTCTGTAATCTGGTTCGAAGTGAAGTAGTGGTATAGGATAGGGCCTCCAAGGGTTCAATGGATGAGAGTTTGCTGATAGATCGCGTGATGGGCCTTGCAAAAACTCTCGAACCAGGCGTAGGTGCGGCCACATCTGTTAGTCCGCCAGGAGTCATGGTGAGCGGTGAGTCCTCCATTTCGACATCCCGCACCTCGTCATCGTCTAAGTCGACCACCGATTCTCGTCGCCCATTGTCTTCGAATATGACTCCACTTGCCACTAGATCACCGATGTCATCCATTTTGACCTCGGAACCTTCTGGCACCTGCCAGCCCGGTAAGTTAGAATAATGAATGGACATCAACCGATGAACCAGGTCTTTGTCCTGGCCAAGGAAATAAAAACAATAAGCTATCCAGGTCAAGCTGTTGAGTTCGATGTGTGGATAGAGAAAATCCTCGAGGCCTTCGGGTGCCGCCGATCAGGAGGAAGCAGTCTGAAAAGGTAGAAAAAATGAGGAATCTGAACCAAGGTGTTGAATAGGCCGTAAAGTCAACGTAGAACGCCCGATATTCGGTCGGCCCAGACCTAGGGTTGAAAATGAATTTATGATGGAAAAAAGAAGTGATAGTATTAGAGATGTTGAGGGGCTTGGGGATGTGGGATATGTGCGTGAAATAAGTACCGTCTGGACCTAAAGGTGTTGACGTCGAAGTCTCGCTCGACGACGACGACGTTTGGATACAGATTTATCGCAGCGATAAACCCGATAACAGACTTGTGAGATGTAGGTATGGAAGATGGATTAGCTTATCAAACCTGCCTCCACCAAGAGATTGAAGTGATAAGGATTATGCCCGAGCCGGAGAGAGGGAAGATAATGTATGTGGGGACTCCAAGGCGTACAAGATGGGAATGAGGATGAAGAGGGAGATGAAGAGTGGGATACGTTTATGAAGATTGTACTACGCCGAGAACCGTCGTAAGTAGCTTCATAATTCTTGTAAAGGGTATTCGATTCTTCGATGATGTTGTGATGGTGAAGTGAGATGATTAGGTGGTAGTTGTTCGGAGAATGTGCGATGAGGGGTAGAGTACGTAGGGTACCTGGTACGTATTGGGTAGAGGTGGAGGGTTAATGGTGGGGATATACTCCAACTTGGAATCCCCGGACACCATATTTAGCACATTTAGTGCACATGCCCCTGCTATTCGTCAACTTTCAGGTGCTTATGCATGGATGTGTGCTACATCTAAGCTAAGTCAGCATAAGGGGTGAGAGGAGGTACCAAGTACTAGGTATTTCAGGGTTTATGCCTACCTATCAATCGAGTAATCCACGCCTAATGTTCTCGCGTGAGCAACTTGGAAGCTACCGATATTTATGTATGCACCTAGTGGATGCTGCTTAAGCCTCAAACACCTAGCCTACGTGCCGCTTACAGGTAGAATGACAGCTGAGTGAATCAATCGCAGTTGCAATTTGGGCACCAAGGAAATCTTATGCGAGTGATAAACGCAGCACGATACGATATTTATATATCTTACTCCCAAAAATGGAAAATTTCTGGAATTTATAGGTCATATCCAGAACTAAAAGTTCCATTCCAGAAGTGCTTATCTGGAAAATGAAAGAGGCATCCACTCACATATATAAGAAGAAACTCATAGGCAAGTGAGGATAGCTTCATGATTTGAGTTCTTGCAGCTTCCTAAAAGTTCAAGGGGAAACCACTATAAGACGCTTTAATCAAACCTCGTTCGTCAAACCATAAAATCATATCAACTAAGAATGACGGTCATAAATATTCGTAGACGCAAAATATATATTGCCCCCATTAAACATAGGTAACTTTGAAAGCAACTTGGAGATTTAAGTATTAAGATGTAAGCGGTTTTTTACTGACGTAGTGGGTGCCGCAAAGGTTGCGCTGCGTGATTAATAAACCCCACAGAAAAACTTAACTTAACCCGATTCATCAAAGTGATTATTGAAGTTAATAGATTCATGCTTATTGGTGATATGCGTGAGATTATATCAAAGATAAAAATTTTAGCGTAACTATTCAAAAATGGATATGGATGAATAACTGTTGTAATGTTGCCAGGTATATTGTCTGGAGTAACTCGACAAGAGTTTTCAGGTGATGAACTTCGTATATAGGGGTCCGCTAAATAGAATTTAGCTGGGCTTTTAGCGTATAAGCGCCTGGGAAATATTCCAAGGAGCCGGCATGTTCAGCTTAGCACTGCCGAAGGATTGAATTAAATACGTCTCAATTTTTGATTGGATGTAACACGATCTTTAGCGACGTTGTGAATTAAAGCAGGGAGTTGCGGGGTGATGCTTATTGCTATGGAAGTGGCATAGAATATAAAAGTTTGTGCCATTTGGGGACTATGCAATTCATATTTATTGTTGTTGAAGTTGAATTGAAAGGGTGTTGCACGGGCACGCAGCATACCCATATAAGCAGTCTTGATGGATCAAGTAATTTGAATGCTCTCTTCACCTTATGTACCTAGTTGGGAACCAATACTTCCTCTCTCCACTGAATGTGAATAGCGAAGTACTATTTCACGAGAGCCGTGATGTCGGAGCCGGAGCCGAGGCCGGGATCCGGACATCACCACCCCGCCATCGGACTAGTTACAACAGTGTTCGGAACAAAGAGCCGACAAAACGACTAGGGAATGAGCTAGTATCCCGATTGTATTTAACAGAAATTATAATTTTACGATCTTGTTTGTTAGAATTTCTAGCCCGGTGAACGATTCATAAAGGTATTAGATGTGTCATGATATTTACCATGAAGAAAAGTATAGTCCATGTGAGAAGTAATTCCATATAAAATTCTCAATATTACAACACACTATAGCAAATATATATACCTGTTAAGATTTAGATTAACTAGTTGATTCTAAGTGTCCATAAGTCTACTTTCAAATGAGTGTAATACCGAATTATCCCTTTAGTTGGCGTAAGACTACAGCTCCGCCACGATTAGTGATTGTACTTCAAGCAACCCCTGAGTTCTACTGGCACCCAGAAAACCTTACTTCTAGTTGGTTGAACGCCTCTGGAGATCACTGAGAGAGCCGCAACGCTTACAGGCTTAAAGGGCTTGCGCTGTTACCAATGTACACTTACCGGTTTTGTGGAGACTGTAGTCTTGTGCCAACTAAAGGGATAATTCTCGTCTCATGGTATTTATACTCCCACAATCCCGTCGATACCATTATTAGCTTAACAGCGTCGCCAATAGGTACCTATGTAGGTGATTATACTGTTATAAACTTTGAAAACAATTTATTTTTCTAACCTGGAACTTCCTTCTTTACCCTTCTCTTCTTGATCTCACGAGACCTACACTATTTGGCCAATTCTCTTTCCAAATATCCGAAAAATCCTCTTCCACAAACAATCCACTTGAACAACAATAGACACACTTATACAAGTAAATTCTATTCAATTCGACCACTATCTCATTATGTGCCACGCTATTGCCTGGAATTTCTACTGTATGCAATGCGGTCGAGGCCCGCTGAACAGATTTCCCTGGGTACGTAATACTGTGGGCTTCTTTTCCTATTATTTGGTCTGTCTAGGACCGAAGGGTTCCTAACCACATTTACCGGAAATACTTCAAGCCTCACCACAAACACTAACTCTTATTGCTTTAGAACGTCTGGCAAAGCGTGTGCGACTCCAACATGGCAAGAACGCGGTCATGCCCCAGATATACCTATGAGTTACGCGAGAGTCACGGAGATGAGTGTGGATGGTGGGGAATTCCCGTCCATCTTCCACAAACCCCCGCCCGACGTTGAGGTTCTCCCCTCGTCGAAGCATTCTCGAAGGACAGTTTCATCGATTCACAACAATGGATCCAAGAACCTCCTAGCCGTCTAGATGTACCAAAATTGGTCGTTGGTATGATGGGACTAGGTTTATTGGGAAGTACAAAGCTAGACGTGGTGGAACAAGTCTAGAGATGGATGAACCTTATGGTCATTGAGGCTCTCTTGAGAGGATATCACATAATGCTTCCAATCGAGGCCTTTGATACGATCTAGCTTTTGTTTGTTCGAACCACGTGAGACTTGAGAGGTAGTTTTCCAACAGGGTGACTGTTAGTACTCTAGAGATGAGCACCCCTATCCATCTATGCTCTTGTTTTGGTACAATGGATTAGTGAAGTATCAACGAAAAACAACGCTCTTTCTGTAGGACAATATAGATCTAACAAACGTCTTTAAAAGGAGCCCAACTGTCAATGGAATTGTTTGGCTGAAAGCACTTGTGAATTACCAGAGACAAGGAAATTACCCAGAATCCGAAAATGGCAGCCAAACAAGAGAGAATGCTGAGCTTTGGCGTTGAGATGGAGTTTTACATCTTCTTTTGCGTACGAGGCAAGAACTTGACGTCCCGGCCTCCAGGCTTCGAGTCACACCCTGGTGGCCCACTAATTGTCGAGAAGTTTGACGAGACGTATGATCTATTTAACCCGTTACTCGAGAGGCTCAGAAGCGTGTTAGAAAAAGCACCTAAAGCATCAGTTTTATCAGTGGATGACAGAAGGCCTAACATCGAGTCTGATCAAGAATGGAATCACTTAAATCCCTTTCGTGAGTGGGATATGCATAACGATCCTTCACTACACAGATTGCCTGACGAGTTGGTAGAAATAACTACTGAGCAATCTGGATGGGTTGGAGTTGAGCTTATTTCACCGGCGCTATGGACTACCAACGAGGGCTTCGACCAAGTCCGCCGGGTTTGTGAGTTCCTACAAAACACCTTTTGGATTACTCCTGCTAAGAATTGCGGGCTTCACATACACGTTGGGCAGGGAAATAACTGGATTCCACTTGTTCCGCTTCGTCAGATAGCTGCGTTTCTTTACGCAGCAGACCCTGTCTTAGCACAGTCTCATCCAGAACATAGGCGCAATGAGCATTATTACAGCCCCAGCCCCCGTCTTTATTCTAACATAACTTTAGGCGTGAAGATAGGTCACCTCGATGAGAACGAGTCAGAGATTGATGATCTTGATAATACAGTGATAATCTCCGGGACTAGAAAAGCAGGAAGGGGGCGCTTCAGTTCCGTACTCGGATTCTTCCGAACGAAAAATGAAGAAGTTCGAGTAGAGGATAATTTTCCAGCTCGGCCCACTACGCAAAGCTACACTATTGACCCCCAAACCCTAAATAGAAGCCTCAATCGGGTTCGACTTGCCTTCGGAATAGAGCAAACCCAGGAGAACTTCTCACCTACCCCGCTGTTAGAGGCGGTTGCAGAAATTCTGCGGACGACGAACCGTGAAAACATTGCAGAATTGCTGAGAACTCCCATCCGCTCAGCTTATAATTTCCAACAGCTAGCATGGGAGGTCAAAAGGACGATCGAATTTCGCCAGGCAGCCAGCACAATAGATCCAGCTGAAGTCGTCAGTCGGGCCAGAATAGCGGTACGTCTCTGCGAATTCGCAGCGAATGCTACTCATCAACAGCTCCATAAGATGTTTTTCGACTTTTCTGTAGCAGAAGTAGACCCTCGATGGCTTGATGTCTATGATCTATTCGTTCAGCTCGATCTTCGCCCTGAAGCGAGGGTTGTACAGGCCGCTTTAACGGGAACAATAAGTGAGTCTGTTCGAGATGCTTACTTCACGAGCCGTAAGTAGGCGTAGGATGTTGCTAAATTTTCATGATAGTCATGAAATGGTGAAGGTATCTGTAAAATACTTTAAGTACCTAGACAGATAGGTAGATTATCATGGTGTGATTACGTAGGTAATCTACCAAATAGGGGATTAGCCACTTATTAGCTTAGTGGGCGTGGGTGTATCCAGCTCGCTACCATTCCGTGGGAGCAACACTCCTTTCATTTCAGTAGATCATACCGTTCATAATACAGGTGATCTAATGCCTACAAACTAGGTACCTACCTAGGTAGGTATGTGATGTGAATAAATATAAATTCAAATTACGAGAAATATACGTCAATTACCTACTCTTGTGATATGTTACGAACTGCGGCCTAATCGCCGCCTTTCTATCCCCATGATCACCATCGGACGTTTAACGCACATAGGATGGTGTTATTGGAGATAATTTTATCTTCATCTAACTACAATAATCCATACAGTTCTTAGCCAAATATAAGAACTTCCATCTCACTCCTGAATGCACTGGTTTATAGTCTATTCAAACCTTGTTAATGTAATCAGTTTCATTTCTATTACCTGGTATCTACACGCCTCAGCCAAGTGAGTAGGTACTTACTCAAAGAGGTACCTAAGCGACTCATTCTGCCGGTGTCTTATTTTCTTTGACAGTGCCATAGAACACTATTGTTGTCCCTGAAATTTTCGAACAAAGAACTGATTGTATGAAAAATACTTGATACCAACTACCACCTAGGATAGTTGCAAATTATTGGATCAAAGAGTCAGGCGAAGATAAAACAATGGTGTTATGAGTTAAATTTAATTCTGGGTTATTGTTCACACCGACATTACCTTCAACTTGAGAGAAATACTACCAAATTATCATGTTCCAGGAAAAAAATAAGCAAGTGAAAGTGGCAGGCGGCATGGGCATTTTCTTCGGTTGCGGCCATCGCTTCATCGAAGCTACTGAGAACATCCCGATCCTTAGCAAAGAACTTGGAGATCGTCTACGATGCCCTCTTTGCGATACCCATAGATGCTTAGTATGTTCCGCTCCGTTTTCTGGCTGGCTGGATTCTTGCGGCTCTTGTCATAAATTTTGTGAGTTCGAGGCTGTAGCTGACGAAGCTATTTCCAGAGGCATCCACCAAATCCAACTTGAATTTGGGATTATATTGGTGCCCCGTGTTGGTAATGAGCCATCGCGAGTGTTGGATTGGCCTGAGTCTCTGTGCTTGGGGGTGGGATACGTAGAATTCGACGGGGAAACAGATGTTGGCGGTGAGATTTACGCCACTGAATCTATGGATTTGGAGTTGTTCGAAATTCTCAGACTCGATAAGCAAAGGCAATCGAATGTTGTTCTGTCAGGGCCTCTAAGAATGCAGATGCGAATAGTCAATACTGATAAAACTTGAAGTTCGCCAGATATGTTTTAAAGAGGACTACCTAGGTAGGTATTTCCAACTAGCTCGAATAAAATTCAGGATTACCTGCTTATTCCAAATCTGCTTGATCTATGTTACGAATGAATAGACTGTACCATTGAACCCCCTTGATATGGGCAGGGATGCTGAGTTTCTCGTCCACGGTGTGAATTCCCCCTAGACCTTCAGATTCACCATCCCAACTAGGACCATAGCGGAAAATATGCTTAGTTAAATCCCAATAATACCTCGTGTCAGTATTTCCGGTCGTGATACCCGGTGCCATTAGAAGCTTTTCGCCGTATATAGCTCGTGTAGTTCCTGAGAGTATTGCATATGGAGTCACAGCATCAACAGATGTTGGCGTGACTGGCGCAGGCTCTAATATCTGATGCGTGTTGAGAGTAATGGATAATGGAGACTCTGATTCATCATTGAAAGCGTGTACAGTAAGATTATACTTGCGAGCAACTTGTTGCGCCAATTTTGTCAATTTCACCTGAACATCAGCTGGACGTTCGCCAACGTTGACCCTGTGGTTGACAAGGACTCTGACACGTTCGGGGAGTGCGTTGACCTTAACACCCCCACTGATAACATCAGGTGCCACTGAAATAATGAAAGTCAGTATTTTCTTCTGTACTGAAGGTATTTAGGCCCAGGAAGATCGATTGGAATGATCTAACCCCTGAAACCGGCCTTGGGCAATAGTAAGAGCTTTCAATATTACATACCTGATGTTGTGAAGAGATACTTGACAATGTCACCGGACTTTGCCGCCTCCAGAGCGAGTTTATCCTTCTTGGAACAAGTTTGGCTGCCATGCGAAGGAAGAAGCTTTCTGAGCTTACTTGGGAACTCCGGGCTGTGAGCAGCACCGCATTGGAGAAGACTTAGAAACGGATTATCAGAGTATAATCTTGGCTCATAAGGATTCGCCTCAATCAGTGAAACCAATTCCGACATAACTCCTATCCCATTGTGAGCGGGAGGGACCGAGGAATGACCACCTGGCATGCGGACGATAATTTCGGCGTCTATGTAACCCTTTTCGCCAACTCCGGGGAGGGCAAACGTAGAACCCCAGACGGTTGACATACCAGCCCCCTCGTCGACGATGAGTGCCGCGCCATCTTTTCCGTAGCGGCTAGTTAATGCTTTGGAAAGATTTCCGGCGCCTTGAGCGCCTGATATTTCTTCGTCAAATCCGAAAGATAAAATCAAAGTCCTTGCTGGCTGGAAACCGGCATCTATAAGCAGCTCAACAGCTTCCATGATTCCGACGAGGTTGTTCTTGCAGTCGGAAGACCCTCGGCCCCAGATGTAGCGACCGTCGAAAAAGCCGCTGTATGGAGGATGCGTCCATTGCCCAACGGTCGATTCCGCGACGGGCACCACGTCTTGATGAGCCATCAAGACGGTAGGTTTTAGCTTCTCGTCGGATCCTTGCCAGGTATAAAGGAGACCATGAGTGTTGACTTTTTCAAGGCTCAATGTGCCATGAATAAGCGGAAATGTCTTCTCTAGGTAGGCGGCAAAATCAAACATGATATCCCATCGTTTATCTTCTCCTACAGGGCCCAAATCGTCGTAGGACTCAGAGGGAATCTGAATTGCGGCGGCCATGCGAGATACGGTTTCGTTCAGAAATTTAGGTGAAGCGATATAGTCATCCATCTTAGAGAGTGCAGGATTCCCCTTAGGGAAGAGAGGCTCAACCTGTTCGCATTTTGCCAAGATCTCCGAATCGTCATTCCGTAAGCGGGGAACAATGAAGGCGTCAAATACTGATATCTTGAGAAGTACACAGACAGCGGCAACTTGAACTAGCGAAGTCCATAGCGACCTCTGCCGAGAACTGGAGACGGTAGCCTGCGGATGAGGCAGAAGTTGCCCTTTTTCATACATCTTTCAATATGCTCCCGCGCGGAGAGAATTGAATGAAGAAGGAGAAGAGCATGGAAGATGATTCGATTTAATTCAAAGCCAAGATATTGGTCATCTACATGTAGGTATGATAAATCTTCTTATCATCGGTGACTAAGCATTTTCCAGTCAATTGCACTACTATTTAGGCAGCTCGAAGTTGCACCATAGGTACTAAGTAGCTTCTACTTTACCCCGCCACAGCGATATCTTAGGAGATTTCCGTAGATTTCGGAATTGAACTGTTTCGAGCATCGGGCATAGCAGAATTGATTACATAACAAACCCCAAACTTTAGACTAGGTACTTTCCAGGAAAGACACCGAAGGTATTGCGGCTCTCAATTGGCGTTGGGGTGCAATGTCTACCTACGTAGTACCTATATTCGAGATCCATATTCGCATTCCTTTTCGGAATAATATGATTTTCGAAGAATTTCAATCTGTTTTCAATGTGGCATAGGTAGTTAACAGGTAATGACCTAGATTTACCTATGACAAAGAAGCGCAGCTTGAAGCTCTTAAATTGAGTCTACAGAATGTATATAATAATATAGCTAGGTTAGGGGCCAATATCGACGAAAATTGCTGGAGCACTCTTACAGTTATCTTCCTAGGACCATGGAGATGTTGCAACAATTGTCTAAATAAATTTCTATCACATTGTCCGACGTCGGAGAGTGAAGCCCGTAGTGGAAATACGCACCACGCAATGCATTCTCCAGAATTTTGACAGGATTTCACCGTCAACTGGCACGATGATGTCTGATGTCTGATATCTGATGATGTTGAGCCTCGGTCTCGGTGACGTGCACCTATGAGCAGCTCTGTATGCAGACCAAGGCCCTTAAAGGTCCGAAGAAATGCAGTAAAGTGATACACTACCAATTTGGCGATGGCGATAGGCTGTTTTGGGGTTTATTAGGATTGATCGGCTGCCGCTAACCGAAACGGTGCTCGTACTTACCTGCTTACCAAACCATACTCCGTAGATGATCATCGGGCAATAATAGGAAACCTGCCCGTCTCATGACGGTGGAGACGTTGACACGACAGATACGGGTTCTTACAAAAACACGGCCCGAGGCTGCAGACCGAGGAGTATGAGAGCCGTCCAGCCGTCCAGCCGTCCACACTCCACAGCATAAAGCACCTCAAACATGTTAGTCATACTATACGTTTGAATATATCTGCCCGGTACCTTGCAATGTGATGTATCATTTCTGCCACGTTCTGCATGGATGTGGACGACAATTGGCCAGGCACCTGGTCCGCATGTACGTCACGTCTAATCCATGCGAATCTGCTTAGAGTACCGTCGTGCACGGACGGTGAGCCTTGCAGAAGAAGTCCGTGATTCGTTCGGCCGATGATGGGTATCAACCCGGCCGTGCTTTGGGAGAACCTAACGGGTATGCGAGAAGGGTACCTAATTCATACTAGGCACAGTGTAGGAGAACGTGAGGGGTAGATAATATTCGATATTATTTTTCATGGATTATTTACATTTTCTGGTATTCACTCTATCTAACTACCAGCTTTCCATATCCATCAAGCCATGCATATCACATATATTTTGCATTTTCTGCTACGTAGAGTCGATTGAAGATAGAACCTCTAACGTTACAGTCTTCTTTGAGTGCTTATGGACCTGCGAACTGGCGGCACGGGTTCACACCATCAGACTAACAGCCAATTATAATGCGCCTAGGGTGGTCGCCATGCTGTTTTTGGAATGCCAATTGAAAATTTAGCCAATTAGCTTTGAAGATCATATAGACAGTATCTGTATAGATCGAGAGTTATACAAAATCTATAAGAAAATTTGAAATTCTTGCTGGAACGACAGCTTGAAAACGACGTAGAGCTTTCTCGCGATCAACCATGTCTAAGTCCACCGTGACAGAGCCAGTACCCGCGTCAACCGCGAATGTCGGCCCTAGAACACGAGTTAGCGAATGTAACGGGTCCATATCTGGTTAGTGTTCCAAACTAATCCCGTCCATGATGGGGCGGTAAGCGAAGTTCTACAAGTCCTGAATAATCGCCTCGTCCATCGCGTCCCAAAATGGTCGAATCCTGCCCCTGGCTGCATCCTAAGCGTCTGCTTAGTTACGGAAGCGTAAATTACTAAGCTCATTTGCGAAACCAAAAAAGGGACCCACACTTGCTAGGATAGATGAGGATATTACGACTTCCCTATATTCCAACCTCGCACGTGCCTTGGCAGGAAGCATACCACTCCGGAGCGTTGAACGGCTCCCTATGAGAGTCTTCCATCAAACCGGGACGCTATCGAGGACATCTGGTTGATCAATGGGGTGATGTGTACACGCGAAAAGATACACGTATGACGCTAAAGAGATTACAAGGGCCCAGATGAAGGAATATCGTCCGTTGCTTTCAGCCTATGGAATAGTACTCGCCTTGCAGTTCTCTCCACCGCCTTGCAGACTGTCCCTATACTAAATTTTGTTAGACTGCATTCCTTCCCTCTACTGCATAGTGATATATAGGAAATCTTTGCAACTAATTAGTGGCGAGCTTCTTGCGGAATTTCCCTCCCGTCTATTCCCTCCTTCCAATGGGTTGTTCTAGTCTCGAAATTCAACACTTGCCGGTTCCAACCTTTCCATATTCCCAGGACAGTTGTCAATGATCTACCCCGTCCGCAGTATCCGGTCCAAGGATAAACAAGAACTATGAGGCTTAATCCATATCATCATACCATCATAAATTCTCTTTTCAAAGTGACCAAATGCAAGAATGACAATAGTCTGGTGGAGATGATATCCGTTTGGGTAGCTCAAGTTCGAGTGCCAATGGTATATACCATATATGCAGTGAGATTGGCATGCATATTGCAGACGATATATTATACCCAGGTAGGTAGGTTTACGCCACGCGAATGATCCCTGTATCCTAAACTCGTGGGGCTATTGTGGAAGCTCTAATTACTATAAAGAGAAGTTGGCCTAGTATCCCCAGAGCCGAATATCGACGCTAGACTGGGGCAATGGGTCCTAGAACAGTAGGCAACTCTGGTAGTACTAACCCAAGTCTTATTAGTATCTCATATGATCTATCATAGTCGAATTGCTGTTACATGGGGGCGGGGCTCGTTGTTTTTCCTTCTGATATTGTCGATGAAGTGAGAACATATTAGGGAGGGAGATTCCGCATGTTCTTGCAATATCCGGAATCCTCGAGGCTTTGGCATAAACCTGTATTCTAGGGGTACTCTTCTTAAAAGTTAACAACAATTTTTATCATTTTTATACCCATGATATCAGGTTAAACAACAACATAAGATGCCCTATATTGAAGAAAGAGATATTCTTACGGCTCTTAGTCAAGATGCCTCGATGCCTATTGCAATCGTGGGCGTCTCCGGCAGGTTTCCCGGAGATGCCACAACCCCAGGCAAACTCTGGGACATGGTGACTGCGAAGAAGAGCGCACGATCTGACGTTCCAGAGAATCGGTATAACATAGATGCCTTTTATCACCCTAGCGCCGATCACCAGGGAAGCACGAGTGCCAGGAGTGGCCATTTTTTGAAGGACGATGTTGCGGCCTTCGATGCCCCTTTCTTTAAGATAACGGCACAAGAAGCCCATGCTATGGACCCTCAACAAAGAATGGCACTGGAGCTGTCTTATGAAGCTTTAGAATCTGGTATGTCCCTTAACTTGACAGCTTGGTGTTGAATGTACTAACGATAAATTGCAGCTGGTGCTAGAATTGAAGACATCTCAGGGTCAGCGATGGGCTGTTACATGGCCTGCTGTGTTAGAGACTATGCTGCAATCCGTGCCATTGATCCAGATGATTACCCGTTAGTCTCCTGCCCCTACCAAGTTCTGCATATTATGACTAACCTAGATTTAGTCGATATGAAGCCAACGGTAGCATGGGCACTGCCATGATCGCCAATAGGATATCTTGGTATTTTGATATTAAAGGGCCGAGTATCAGTTTAGATACTGCTTGCTCGTCGTCTCTTGTGGCTCTACATCTAGCTTGCCAAAGCATTCGCACGGGGGAGACTAAATCAGTAAGTTGTCACGAGCTTCAATCCCCGAATCTACCTAGGTACGTTTACTGACGGCCATAGGCTCTTGTTGGTGCTACCAATTTGATATTAATGCCGCACACATCAAATCACTTAAGTACACTAAGCTTTTTAAGCCCAGACGGAAAGTCGATGGCATTTGACCATAGGGCAAATGGATAGTACGTATTCCCCTATTCCTAGTTCATTTGTTCTTAGTCATCATTTCCTATCCCTCCCCCTTTTTGAGATCTGGGTTCGTTTGAGATATCATTAGAAACGCATAACTGACTAGGATGTTTGAAGTTCTCGTGGAGAGGGCGTCTCTGTTATAGTCGTAAAATCGCTTGCCGATGCTCTTAGAGATCGCGATGTTATTCGTGCGGTTATCAGGGGCACATCGGTAACACAAGATGGAAGAACGCCAGGTTAGTCCGTCTGTGTGAATCGGATTCGACTTGATCTAACATTTTTATAGGGATTAATCTTCCTTCATCTGAGGCCCAAGAAGCTTTAATTAGAGCAGCTTATGCTAACGCTGGATTAAGCCCTGCGCAAACGGGGTTCTTTGAAGCTCATGGGCCGGGTACACCAGCTGGAGATCCTCTGGAAGCATCTGCGATTGGAGCCGTATTCGGGAAAACTCGAAAACCAAACGATCCCTTGTACGTTGGCTCTGTCAAGTCTAATATCGGACACTTAGAGGCAGGCGCTGGTATAGCCGGCCTCGTGAAATCCATATATGCCCTCGAAAAGGGGCAAATCCCTCCAAATATCTGGTTCGAGAAAGCGAACCCTAAACTGGAATTGGAGAAATGGAATTTGGCAGTGAGTTCCCATGACATTTGAACTTGGCTTCTTCTAATATTAATTCTTTCAAGGTACCTACCGAACTCCTTCCATGGCCTACGGATGGGTTGCGGAGAGCTAGTATCAACTCATTTGGGTACGGTGGGACTAATGCTCACTGTATCTTGGATGATGCTTATCACTATCTCCAGGATCGCGGACTTGCCGGGCGGCACAATACTGCGACAACGGTGCCGGGCCGCAGGATTGAGCATTCTGCAAGTGCGCTAATGTCGCCGATAACCGACACTTCGTTTATTAGCTCGGATGGTTCTGAAAATGCGAGCGTAAACGGAAGGGCATCTTCTGTTTCCGAGTTCACAGACTTTGATGAGAGTCCAGCCACCCCTCAGCTGCTGGTCTGGTCCTCGCACGAACAGAGTGGAATCAGTCGAACCGCAACAAGCCTCCAGTCTTACCTTAAAGAGCAGCCAAAGTCGCCAGTATACGAGATAACGTTCTTGAAACGACTGGCATATACCTTATCCAGCCGGCGTAGCAAGCTGTCGTGGTCGTCGTTTATCGTGGCATCCAACGTGGACGAAGCGATAAAAGCTCTTGATATCGCGAATAAACCTCTGAGGCCCACTCTGAATCTTTCGGCGGTGTTCGTATTCACGGGCCAAGGCGCCCAATGGTTTGGGATGGGTCGTCAACTTCGCGCATACAGAACATACAACAACAGTTTAATAGAGGCAACGGCTCATCTCAAGTCACTTGGATGCGAATGGGACTTGTTGGAAGAGCTCGACGCTTCGGAAGCCGATTCGCGCATCAATGAGCCTCAGATCAGCCAACCTGCGTGCACTGCAGTCCAAGTAGCGCTAGTCGATCTTATTAAGGAATGGGGAATACTCCCATCCGTAACCGTCGGCCACTCTAGTGGGGAAATAGGCGCTGCCTACGCTAAGGGGGCTATTTCACGTCAGTCCGCATGGACAATTGCGTACCATCGAGGGCGCCTATCTGCTGGGCTGTCAACACCAGGGGCTATGCTCGCCGCTGCAATGGGTGAGGATGAGGCTCAGACTTATATCGACAAGGTCACTGTATCACCAAAACCGGTGGTTGCTTGCATTAACAGTCCTATCAGCGTTACAATATCTGGTAGTGTAGATGCCATCGACGAAGTCCAAAAGTTGATAGGCACTCAGGCGTGGTGCAGAAAACTCCTAGTCAAGACAGCGTATCACAGTCCCTTTATGCAGGAGCTCGCCGAACCATATCTCCAGTCCCTCGAAGGCATCCAAGCCGACCCAAGCACGAGCGCAGGAGTTCGCATGTTCTCATCAGTCACAGGAGAAGAAATTAGCGATGAAGCGTTGAGAAACCCTCAGTACTGGGTGGATAACATGGTTTGCTCCGTCAAGTTCAACCATGCGGTTAAGGCAATTCTGAACTCTCCAGAACTCCTCGACAAGTCAATCGTGATGGTAGAGATCGGGCCTCACGGCGCATTACAAGGCCCAATTAAACAGATCCTACAAGCACAAGAGGGGAAGAAGCAGGACGTCCATGCGCTCGGTCTTTTAACACGAAAACAAGATGCTATCCACACTACACTCACCGCCGCTGGTGCTCTTTACCAAAGAGGGTTTTCGGTTGATATCACCAAGGCGAATCATCTCGATCCTACAGAGGAGCTCCCCACCCACCTAGTAGATTTGCCACCATTCGCGTGGAACCACAACTCGAAGTATTGGTACGAGACAGCCCTTTCGGCGGCCTACCGGAACCGAAAGTTGCCCAAACATGATCTGCTCGGTGTGAGATATGAATTCTCTAACGATAACGAGCCGTGCTGGCGTAATTACCTCCGTCTCTCCGAGGTCCCCTGGCTCAGGCATTATGTGGTCCAGGGCAAGCCGATTCTCTCCTTTTCGGGTGTACTAGCCATGGTTATCGAAGCTCTTCGTCAGACCTCCGAACCAACCAAGACGATAGAAGCTTTCCAGTTACGCGATGTTTTTCCCGGGGCGCCTCTTGTTCTAAGCGAAGCCGAGGACAGTCCTGTTGAGACCAAGCTGCAGCTACGACCTTGGCGATTGGCATCGAGATCCTTGACGACATATTGGAAGGAGTTCACTCTGTCTAGCCGCAATCGGCAAGGCGACTGGACGCAACATAGCACAGGTCTTATCAAGTTGAAGTATGCCGCGGAAGACAAAACCTCAGGTTTCATAGATGAAGAGGCATCGATAGCTGAGAGTTATCGCGCCGAGTACTCGCGTATATTAGCTCTACCATTGGAGGACCGCAGCACAGCAAACTTTTATGAGAAGGTATGTTGAAAATATGCGTCTCGGGATTTGACTAACGGAAGAATAGTTCACCAAGCTCGGAATGCAATGGGGCCCAACATATCAGACGTTGGTGGACTCGCAAGCTGCAGGTACCACTATCTGCAGCACGCTGCAGATCCCCGACACGAAATCGATCATGCCTAAGAACATCGAGTCTCGGCACATTGTCCATCCGGCAACACTTGATGGCGCATTCCAGATGCTGATGGCCTGCGACGGAGTAGTCAAGCCTACAGTCGCTAAGTACATCGAAAGAATCCAAATCTCAGCCAAGCTGCCGACCCTGGAAGGCACTCGCCTTAAGGGGTTCGCTGACATCAAGGAGAGACGCTTTGACGGAACTAATGGCACGGTCGTGATCTCAGACGAGAAATGGCAAGAGCCCCTGATCATCTTCGAAGGGCTGAAATCGACAGACTTCGCTGCTGAGACGGAATCCACCGAGGACACCGAGGCTCAGATTAAGGCCCTAAAGAAACTGGGTGCCTACCCGACATGGGATATTGATGTCGAAAACTCGGTTGACGCTACTGTGGGTCTGCTCAAGAAGACCTGCGCTGGCGCACCTCAGACCGAGTATTCGGTGGTCTATGACCTCGAATGGGCGGCTTACATCGTGTGCAAGAGAGCCATCCAACGTTTCAGCGTAGGCGACATCGAGAAGATGGCACCCCACTATCGGATCTACTATAATTACATGAAGAGGCAATACGAACTCGCCAAGGCAGGAAAGTTGCCTTGTCAGTCTCCCGAATGGGCTTCAGCGAGTGAGACTGTTGAGAATGAGGTCCTAGCTCGAGTTTCTAAAGCAAGTCTAGAAGGAGAGATGATGTGCCGCATCAACGACAATATCTCTAGCATGATGCTAGGCGAGGTAGAAGCATGGGAGGTGATGAGCCGTGATAACCTGTTGAACAATATGTACCGCTACGGTCTCTCCGACGAACGCACGCCCGCAATCCAGTGTGAGTATATCAAGCGTCTATCACACAAGAGACCTCTCCGCATCCTCGAGGTCGGTGCCGGTACGGGAAGCGCCACGAGTCGAATCCTGTCTAGTCTCGGGCCCAACTTCGCGGGTCGATTACAGAAATACACATATACCGATATCAGCGGCGTCTTCTTCGAGGCAGCCAGCGAAGAGTTCAAAGAGTATAGCTCGATGATGGACTTTAAGGTCCTAGATATCGAGAAAGACCCATCGCAACAAGGTCTGGAGGAAGGATCTTACGACCTCGTGGTTGCCTTCCAGGTCCTTCACGCGACGTCGTCCATTGGGACGACTTTGGCGAATTGTAGGAAGCTACTAAAGCCGTAAGTAACCAAGATCACACTGTAATTTTCGAAAAGCCTGCTGACATTGAATTTTCTAGGGGCGGACATCTCATTGTTACAGAACTAACAAACAAGATCGCCAGACGGTCAGTGGTGTTTGGAGTTCTCTCCGGTTGGTGGCTAGGTGAAGACGACGGTCGGCAATGGGGCCCAGAACTCTCTGAAGAGGAATGGGACGCTCGTCTGCGCGCACAGGGATTTACGGGCGTCGATTGGTGTTTCCGCGACCGCGAGGACGCCGGTCATTCGTCGTCTATCATGGCATCAAGCGTCCCTTACGAGTCTAAAGGCGAATTGCCTAGCAAGATAGTGATCGTTAAATCACCAACAGAGAGTAACCAGTCGAAATCGATGGTCAGTGGGCTCTTGAGCGGACTCGCCGAAAACGGGGCTTTTGTTAAGCAGATGTCGCTTCTCGATGTTACCAAAGCTGACTTGACCGCAACGCGATGCATCGCAACCTTCGAACTCGACAAGCCGTTATTGAGTTCAATCAACGCCGATGAATACGATGCTCTAAAGCACATGGTCCTCCATTCCGAGGGTACCCTATGGCTAACTAGGGGTGGCACATCCATGGATACGCGCGAGCCAGAGCTAAACATGATCGCAGGATTCGCGCGAACGATCCGTGGCGAAGCTCCAGAAGTCAAGTTTACGACGTTGGATCTCGACCCAGACGTCCCTTGCGACCAACCACAAGTGACCCAGACAATATTGAAGGTACTCCGCTTGCAAGGAGATGAGCACAATGCCGACCACGAGTTTTCCGAGAGGAATGGTGCCCTTAACATTCTGCGCATAAGTCCTGATGAGGCCCTAAGCAGAATATTGAGCCCGGCCGAAATTCGAGAGGATCAGTTGGCGATGCAGCCAATTAAGCAGCCCGGCCGACCACTAAAGCTTGACCTCAAGGCTACGGGAGAACTCGATAGTTTCTACTTCAACGATGACGACGACTATATTAAGCCCCTAGGCGACCAAGAAGTCGAAATTGAGGTGAAGGCTGTCGGATTAGACCCTTATGATATGGCCGTCGCACTAGGCCAGCTCTGGGACCCTAACCTTGGCGTCGAATGCAGTGGTGTCGTAACCAGAATGGGCAAAGGTGTCACTGAGTTTAGCGTAGGAGATCGAGTGATGACATGCGCCATGGGTTGGTATAAGACGTTCATTCGAAACACGCAGGACATGTTCCAAAGGTTACCGAACACAATGTCCTTCGAAGAGGGCGCAACTATGATGATCTCCTATGGCACTGCGGTCTATAGCATATTTAATGTTGCCAGGCTCCAAGCGGGAGAGACTGTGCTGATCCACTCGGCATCAGACTGCTTAGGCCAAGCTGCCATCAGTGCAGCCCAGCACGTTGGCGCTGAGATCATCGCTACCGTTTCTTCGGAAGCAGAGAAGCAGTTCCTCGTCGAGCACTATCACATTCCTGGAGACCACATCTTCAGTAATAAAGACAATGGTTTCGTGCAAGGGATCAAGCGGATAACGAATGGCTTGGGCGTTCAGGCGATCCTTAATTCGTTGACTGGGGAGTTGCTAAGGGAAACTTGGCATTGTATCGCACCATTCGGTCGATTCATCGAACTCGGAATGAAAGATATCAGTAAGTAATCCCTCCCAATCCCATAATACCGCCTGGCTAACGTCAGAAAACAGGGAGTAACACGGGTCTGGACATGGTGCCTTTCGCAAACAACGCAATTTTCGCCGGTGTGAATCTCTTAACCATGTACCGAACGAACCGTCCACTATTCAGCAAAGTGATGGCCGATGTCTTCCGATACTACAAGAAAGGTGTCATCAAACTCGTGAATCCGCTACATGTTTTCAAGTTCTCAGAGGTTTCCGAAGCATTCAGGATGCTGCAGGCAAGAAAACACGGAGGCAAGGTCGTTCTTCAAGTTGTCGACGATGATAAAGTGCCGGTGGGTTAAGTCCTGATAAGATGCTCTTCCAGTATAAAGTGCTAATTAGAACCTAGACGACTCATCCAAAGCCAGTTGAGATCCAACTTCGCTCCGATGCTACTTACATCATCCCAGGTGGAATGGGCGGTCTCGGTCGATCGTTGATGAGGTGGATGGCTGCAAAAGGAGCTCGCAATTTAGTCGCCACGTCTCGCTCCGGTGCCAAGGATCCCCGAGCACAACAATTACTCAAAGATCTTTCCGAGCTCGGGGTCAAGGCCAAAGCATTTGCGGCAGACGTTGGTTGCATGGAGCAATGCCAAACAGTTCTTGAAGAAATAGCAAAGGAGGGATTCCCGCCGATACGCGGGGCTGTCATTATGGCTATGAATGTCCAGGTAAGAATCAATCGATGAGTTGTTACGTGGGAGAAGCACTAATATGAAATCAAAAGGACTCGATGTTCGAGACTATGGGATTCGACGCTTGGTGGGCAGCCTTAAGACCCAAATATAAGGTGACATGGAATATGCACAACATGTTGCCTAAGGACCTTGATTTCTTCATAACTATGTCGTCGGCGGCGGGCCAGATTGGCTCGATAGCGCAGAGCAACTACAATGCTGGTAAGTTGTCTATGTTAACAGGAAGTATGTGTTCTCGACGCTAATAGCAAAAAGGCAATACCTATCAAGATGCTGTGGTGCATTACCGCCGAGCCCAAGGCTTGAAAGCAACAAGCATCGACCTTGGCTGGATGGGTGAGATCGGATTCGTCTCAGAGCAGGGGAAGGTGCCAGAGATAGTGCGCGCCGGCGCGCCTCAACTCACGGCGAAGCAATTCCTCGCCATAATTGAAGCGGCCATGGCAGACCAAGTTAAAGCGCAGCCGGTTCTTGGTCTCGCTAGCGGTGGATTGGTCAAGGCCAATGGTGATGACGACCCTTACTGGTTTACGGATGCACGCTTCGCTCCGCTAAGTGTGTACGACACACAATTACAGAATGCTGCCGGTCCGAAAGACCACGCGAAGAGTACGGCGGCCGCGGATTTCGCAAGTATACTTGGGGCCGCGGCGAGCTTAGACGACGCAAAAGGTGCCGTCTGCTCGGCCTTGATGGGCAAGCTTGCGAAGAGCTTGATGATGGAGCTTGAGGATCTCGATAGTGCCCGACCGATCAACACGTATGGAGTGGACAGTCTCGTCGCTGTCGATATTAGAGCTTGGGCACTTAAGGAGTTGCAGAGTGTGGTACATGTTTCCGAGATTTTGCGCAATGTTCCAATGGTGGAGTTGGCTGGCCTCATTGCGTCGAAGTCGAAGCTTTTGCCGGAAACGCTGCGGGGCAGTCCATCCGCGCAAGCATAGATGGTTTCTAATGAAGATAGATGTAAGGATACGATTTACGCAAACGACACGTTGTCTTACGATTTGGGTTAGGATCTTTGATAAGGAGTTAGTTTGGCTATATACCTATTCGTTAGAAGCAATACATTTCGTTGAATATGATAGTTGACTTACTTACTATTACCTCATCTCAGCTGTGATAAGATATTGGCGATCTCATCAGCGTCGACATCTTCCATCTCCGTATTCGAGAGACAGGCTGAGTGAACAAAGGTTGACTGTTCCTTCTCATTTAGATTGAGTCGTTGTGAAATCTCTCTCGCGTTATGCTTCCTAATGCCACCGCCAACGATAATCTCGATACCACGTGTTTCGGCTTTTGTGATAATCTTGTCCAGCATAACAACATTATTCACTGCATGTCCAATGCCGCCCGATGTAAGTATGGCATCAAAGCCGCAGATTGCTAGATGGTTAAGTCCCGTCTCCCACGCGTAGCGCGCATCAATATCAGATCCGTCATCATCACAGCTTACTATTTCGTCAAAAGCTCGGTGAAAAACAACCTTGAAAGGGCGTGCTGCTTCAACAAGACGGACGCATCTATCCATATCGACCCAACACCTATCTTCATCAACCCAGCATTTATCATTACGTTGAGAATCTTCTTTCAATATGCCAAACACAAATCCATCACCGCGTCCCTCATTCAGCAAGCCTGTTTCTTTGAATTTTTGGATGTCGGCCTCCATCTGGCCAAACTCCTCATCGGAATAGACGAAATCGCGCATATCCTTTTCAGATGGCGGGCCTCGCGGCCTTATCATAATGCGTACGGGAACGGGGAGTTGTGCTACGCGTTCAAGATCCTCAAGCGAAGGTGTTAGGCCTCCGTCGGAATATGAACCCTTCGCGTTAAGCTCGATACGCGATGCACCTAACTCGACAGCTTTTGAAGCAGCAGTGCCGCCGAAGACGGGTATTTCAAGGCCGATTCCCATCTGAGTCTGGAATAATCGTAAACTTCTTTAAACTCGGGATGTTTTGCTTTGTGGATACGAGATGGCTTTGAGCACTTTAACAATGGTTCTCCAAAAAAAAGCATGAGGAAAGAGGAAGCGTTCGTAGGGGGATATGTTAGGTGCACCTTCTTGGCGGATGGCAGCCCTGCTATCGATAACGACAGTCAGGGATACATATCCTTATTTTATGCCTGTCCTCCGAAGTAGGATAGATCCTTTCATGAAGTCAACGTCATTTTGCTATGTAATTTTTTTATATTTTTTTTATATCTGAAGTAACAACGCAAATTATCATCGATACATTTTTTTTTATGTTTGTGATATGTTTTCATGGCATCGCATATCTTTTATGGTGAAGCCTCACAAATCACCGCAAATAGTTAATTTCCTACCGTTGGGTGAGGTCTCGATGAATCGACCGGTAGTACAGCACCATGGCGCCACGTCCTAGACATTAGGACCCGTTCCTGCGTAGTAATCTCCTCCACTCACGTCTTCATCGTTGGGACCCTCGCCATGCCAGTTCATAAACTTTCCCTTATGATAGTCCTGGTAAGTCATGGTGCGGTAGCCCACATCAGGCTTGACTTCCGCTTCAGTCTCTTCATCGTCGTCGCCAGATTCTTCCGCATTTTCATCGTCATCAACATCCTCATAAGGAGCGTCGTTCTCGTCATCTTCTACGAAGAGGGTGCTCTCAACTGATTGGTTGCTGGCAGGTTGGGTAAGAGCGGAGGATTCGGATGCGACGGACGAGTAGATACTGGACATTGCCTCGGGACTAGAATATCCCTGGAATTGGTATCCGGCAGAAAGCTCCCGCTGCGGATTACGTAAGCTGGCGAATGAACTTGCGCTAGGTTCTCGGCCGAGAGTTGTTGCCTGGGAAAAAGCAACTGACGGAGTAGAAGCTGGTTCAGGTACCAACGCTCCCATCCCAGAGCCCTCGGGATACTGGTGATGAGTTGCATATCCAGTTGCGGAGGTCTTCTGGGACTTGGAGGGCATTTGTGGCGATTGCTTCTCAGGAATAGAACGCTTTCCCATCTGATAGCCCCAAACAACCTCTTCGGGTTTTTTATTGCCGGATTCTGGCGACAGAGGAGTCCGAGGTTGGTATTGATGGTACGAAGCGGCGCCATAAGGGGATACCATCGACGGGCTCACCATGTTCCAACCTAAGGGGACACCTTGCTGATTGACGTAATGCAGACCGTCATAAGAAGGGCTCGTCAATGGTGAAGGGGGTAGCATACGAGTAGCTGCTGAGGCAAGAGGAGCAAGTGGGGCAAGGGGGCGAAGAGCTTGGCTTGACCGAAAAGCCCGACGATCAAATAGACTTGGGCGCGGGAGTGAAAGCGGTCGGGGGTCAGGTAAGTCCATCTCACGCAGAGTTGGTAGTGACGCCAACTCAGTAGGAGCGCCGTTCTCCTTGTCCTCTTGTGGACCATCCATACTGTCAGTGGGGCTGGAAGGGGGAGCTGCTTTACGAGCGCGACGTTTTTTCACCTCCCGACGGGGACGAGTTGCACGAGGATTGACAACCTCGCGTTCAGGGCCTCAAATTACTTGTCAGTACCTACCTAGTATAGATTTTGGAATGATAGTCTATTAGAACATACCAACTTTGCGCAAGTACTCGTTGACATACGCAGCTGCATTTGGTGATCGTCGCTCACCCTCGATGTTCTGGAAGTAATGCTCGACTAATCCGAATCTCATCAGCATTATTCGAGTGGATATGATTAGGTTGAACAGCGTTTCCGGTCAGGTGGATGTGTATGGGACGAGGATTACTTACATAACATGGTACTTGTGTACTTTCGACGAACCTGACCGAGGCGTTCCATAGCACGATGCATTTCGTAGGCAAGCTGGTCCCATGTCTTCTCGGGATTGGCCTTATCAATACCAGCTCGCTTAGAAGAGTGGGCGACGGCAGTTCGCCAGAAGTACCTCTCTTCGAGGTCGGACCACACCTTGCCTACCATCGTGATGATTGATGCAACGTGATTAGTCGAGGTAGCGTCGCTCGTGATGTCTATGATGATTGAGACTATAAACTCTCAAGAGTCTCAGGTAGTAAAGATAATAAGAAGGTAAAGAATGAAGGGAGAAGATGAATGAGTGATCGAGACGGCAGAGAGAAAGTAAGAGGAAGGTTTGAAGGATAGAATATGTGTCGGGGGTTTAAATAATTTGCGTATGACCTGAAGAGCTAGGTCTTTCCTTCAATGCTGCGTGCGAATTAGATCATTACTGGAAGTAATGAAGAGTCAAGGAAAAAGCATAAAAATCAGACGGCCATGATTGAGTGGTAACACGGTCTAGAACCTCTTAAGCATTCATGCCATGATCTGGTGGATATAGATGTATTGAACATCACTAGCTCTTTCGTCCAATGCCTCCATTTCCATTATCTGTGCGGGGAATAAAGTGATTCCTCCTGATCTAATTGAGTAGCACTAACCCTCTTATGTAAAGGATTACGGCATGACTTCTCGTGAGAAGCGTGCCTTGAAGTGTATAGGTGTACATAAGACACCAAAGGGGACCAGTAATATTCCTCATCTTGACCTCTGTTGTGGGGATATCATGAACCAGGATACAGTATAGGCAACTGCGGGGGGCTCATATGCAGGTACGTGTATTTGACGTGAAGCTATAGAGATAAATACACGTATAGCGTAAAAGTCATGATCACCTCTATGCCCGAGCTTACAGTTAATTTCCAGGGAGAGGTTGAGAACAGTTCATCTGATAAACGTTCCTTCCCTCTACTAGGGTCACGAATATAACTACTCCTCTCTATTGGACAGGCTGATCCACAAACTCACACATGATAAGCTTAAATTCTCTTGGGGCAAGGTAGTTGAGCTTTAGCTCATAAGCCTATGGAGATATTTCGCCATTAGCGTCATTAGTATGTATTTGAATGTATCAAGCCAATATGCATACGTTGTAAATTTGCGCAGTACTGGTGCTCTGGGAAAGAGCATTATTGAGTATGTAGATATCGAAACTAATAGAATATTCTAATTACTGAAAATAACTACGCTAGTCCATCTTGATAATAAACAGTGAGTTTCTGTTGGAGGACTAATTATTTTCAATGTAGGAAGAAGTAATGAATCACATAAAAGGGTCGGTTCGAGGTATCTAGGTAAGTAGGTTAGTTGGTCGTGTTCAGGACTTCCCAACAGGCACCAGGTAAGATCAGATGAATACTCGTGGCTCACATGTTCAGTGTGTTCCCACAAACTGCAGAAAGCTTGCATACCTACATATATCACTACCAAGAACAGAAACTGGCGGGACATGTCTACAATCGGTTTTACAAACCTGAGTTTCCCTTAGTCAGGCAATTCCCGGTCAGAGGTGTGATAAGGGATCATAACCGCATTCCGCAAGGCCGGCTGTGAAGAACTTGCCTAGGTAGGCATCTTTAATAAATGACAAGCATAGTTAGTTCGCATGATTTAAGTGTATATTAAAGAAGATAGGAATAAAAATGCTCTAGTGGTCGTGGTATTCTTTTCGTCATGTAAACTTCCACGCCAGTTCAAGGGACCTTGACTGTATTTGGTGACTTCACCCTACAAATTGGCATGATAGTTACTCAAATGGACTCCGTGGATCATCGGCTCGATAGCCACGTTTCATAAGGAACGGTTCGAGGCGTTGCTCGAGCTTAGAAAACTGCAAGGTACCTATGCTTAGTAGAGAAATATGATGTAAGCATGGGCGAGAGCGACATACCACGCTTTTCTCGTTCAATGGCTTCACGCCGTCCTTGATCCATAAACCCCAGCTACCCATCATATTGGCCAGCATCATATCGGTCATTAGACGATCCCCGACTACTGCAATCTGACTAGGATGGGTTACTCCAACTTCAGGATGGGCTTTAAAATGAGCCATAATTTCATCACCACAGCCTGGCTTCTTCACTCTATGGGCTAACACCGAAATTCCGGTTGCCGCCTCAAGCTCCTTTGCCAGGCGACCATCACGATCATAAGTGGTGGCTCCAGCAGTATTGGATACGATTAGGAGACGATGGTTAGGATACTCTTTCTTCAGCAGCCGGAAACGCTCCTATTGACGGATAAGCATATGCTAGATATAGTATCGGGAAGACAATGGAAAATATCATATTCAAACATGCGATTTGATGTGTGACAGACACTTACAACATAAGCGGGGAAAATCTCATTAGTGTTGGGATAGGCAAAACAGTCATCCTTGTCCAGTATCACTGCTCTGATGTCTACTTTCCTGCCTTGGCGCTCAAAAACTTTCTCAAATGGACTTGGTATCTCATTGAAGGTAGAGACTGTTGAGTGGGGAAGACATAATGATGGCTTTGCGAGGAGCTTGAAGACGTTGATGGTTCCAGATAAGTTGAGGTTCATCATAACGGTTGGACCTCCATATATCGAAAATCGTGCTACCAACCTTCACCGAAAAGAGATAAGTAGGAAAAAGAAGAATGGGATTACCTATGATATAAAAGTATAGGTATTTATTATCATTTTGGCCCCGTAACCAATTAAATCCGTGTAGCAGGTGCTCTGGCAGTTCTCGCAGTCTTAGATGTTAAAATCTCCGTAGTTGCTACGGGCGTCGTTACATAAGCTTGCGGCTACAGGTACGGGCAGTACGGGGCAACTAGGGCCGGCGCTATCCCCTGTCACAGATCGGCGGGAAGCTGTGAGCTTGTACAAATTGCCCCACAACAAATATGCCTGGACGCGGTGATCAGTCGCGACCGTGAATGAAACCACTTTCCAAGGTAGAGCCAGGTAATAAATATTCAATATTTACACTTTCTCAAATTACTTGTCATCGCCCACTTTCTAGAGTCCAAATTGTTTCACAATGCCATAGGAAAACAGCGGGAAAATAAATTCTTCACTCGCAATGGTACGAACTAAAAAGTCCACCGCAGAGCCTGGGCGCAATTCTAGGGGTTCGCGAAAGCGAACACATGATGAAGACGAATCCAAGCAGGATACCACAACGAAACGGCGAAGTGGCCGAGAGATAACTGCGTCGGAATCTAATAGTATCACAAATGGCCACCGATCCGAATATGACTTTCCCTCAGACGAAGAAGATATAACTTCATCGGTGAAACAGACCCCTAGCAAAAGGAAGCAGCTCGCGACCGCCACAACACCCAAGGATGTGGAAGTGTCCACTCCTAGAGGCCGTCGAAGAAATGGCGCCGACCTCGTAACACCGTCGAAGACCAATGGCAGTACTGCACAGACTCCGAGATGGAAACGAAACGATCGGTCCGCAAGGAAGAAGAGCGCCAGAGCCCTAATTGAACAAGTTGTAGGGGAGAATGGGAGCGACGAAGAGGCGGATGAAGATATAGCTCGGGAAATCTTCGAATCGAGCGATGATGAAGAGGATGAGGAGGGAGAAGAGTCGGATAACCTCCCCGACGAACCGGCAACGCCGTCCGGAAAACCTCGACGGGGTCGGCCGAAATCCAAGTTTACCACAAAGCGGACTAGGAAGAAATCACCCACGCCGCCCAGAGACCTACCTCCGCACGAGCTGTATTTCGCGCAGAATCGACCCGGGGCTTCGAAGACGTCGAATAACAATCTGACGTCCCTGAAGCTTCTGACTCACGATGAGTACTTCTCGATACTACGTGATTATACGGACCCGCACGCCGAAGACGTCGAGTTTCTCGAGTCGATACATGTCGAATCGTTCCCGCAATGGACATTCGAGCTCTCTCAGGGATTTAGCATATGTTTGTACGGGTATGGGTCGAAGCGAGGTCTTCTACACCAGTTCGCGAAGCATGTGTACGACAAGTATTCGGACCACATCGCTCACAAGATCGTCATAATAAACGGATACGTGCGGATGACTTCTCTACGCGAGATTCTGGGTACTGTAGCTAGCGCGGTCAATCCCGCTCACAAGGTCCCTGCTGGTAATCCTTCGGGTATACTTGATAACGTGAAGTCTCTCCTCTCATCTCACGAGGTTGTTGTGACAGTTATTTTGAACTCCATTGATGCATTTCCTCTACGAAAAGCTGGGACACAGTCTATCCTTGCTCAGTTGGCGGCCCACCCGAATATCCGGCTCATCTGCTCTGCCGATACACCAGACTTCCCCTTGCTTTGGGATAGTAGCTTGCGGTCTTCGTTTAACTTCGTGTTCCACGATTGCACGACGTTTGCGCCTTTCACCGCAGAGCTCGAGGTCGTGGATGACGTGCATGAGCTTTTAGGCCGGAAAGCGAGGCGGGTCGGAGGGAAGGAAGGTGTCACTTACGTTCTTCGTAGCTTGCCGGAGAACGCCAAGAACCTATTCCGTCTGCTGGTTAGTGAAGTCCTGGTGGCTATGGATGACGGTTCCGACGGGGAGGGTTCTGGGGTGGAGTACCGGATGATATACAACAAGGCAGTCGAGGAATTCATTTGCAGTTCGGAGATGGCTTTCCGGACGTTGTTGAAAGAGTATGCTCCCCTGTCCATATTTGAGATATGTAGTAGTGATGCTAACAAGCCGTAGATTCCACGATCACCAGATGATTACGAGTCGCAAAGATGTTCTGGGTACTGAGCTCTTGAGTGTGCCTTTCCAGAAAGAAGAGCTTGAGGCGATATTAGAAGATCTTATGTCATAGAGGGATGGTATGAATACGTAGGTATTTAGGCTATCATGATATTTTGATACTGGAAAAGCGAAAGGAAGCATAAGCATGATCACTTTATACCGCATGAGATACCCTCGGATAATTTAATTCTCTATATGCTCAATTCTGGCTTCGCCTAGGACAGTGTGCTCATCTGAGTCTAATCTGTCTACCTCCTTCATCAGCTCACTCTGCCCGTCCAGCCGCGACCACTTGGGCTTCCCGTCGTGTATATCCACAACGCGCTGGCTATAGAAAATGTGACACCTAATCAAGAATTGTTAATAGGTCCGGTCATCATATTTCGTGCTATTCCGAAGGTAAAAAAAAAAACCAGAACTTACTGAGGATCAAACGCCTTCTTACGCTCCGCATCGCCAAACTCAATAATGCCCGGGAACATCAACACCATCTTCCTTCCCTCATCCATAATCGGCGAGTGGCAGTACGCGCAGCTCACCTTGCAAGGCAGCTTATGCTCCGTCGACTTGTCGGGAGAGTGATAGAACGCCAGCCCTTCGACGCCGCGCTCGAAGTGCAGGTCCGCCTTCTCGAAGATGGCGGCCCATTGGAAGGGCGCCCCGTGCAAGGCCTGGCAGTCCACGCAGTGGCAGAATTTGCTGGCGAGGGGTGCGGATCGCGAGAGCCAGTAATTGACGCGTCCGCAGTGGCAGTGCGCCGTCCACGTCTTCGCGAAGTGCTCGTTGCAGTGCGTGGTACGGTACGGGGGCTGCGATTTCCAGTCTTCGCTGCTGTTGGGTGGGTTTGAGCTTGATTCCGCTTGGGGTTTAGACATGGCTTTCTGCTGTTGATTGGGGGGCGTTGGTTGGTGTGTAGAGTGAAATTGCGCTTTTGGCGATGATATGTATCGAGGGTTGCGTATTTGATACGCTGCAGTTAGTGATGGGTAGAATGGAGATGTTACTTTGGTGTAGCACAATATATGACGTCGGAGAATGGACTCAGAAGTTCTGCTCGGTAGTGTTTGGGCTTTATACATTCTTCAGTTTTTGAAGAGAAGATTTAATTTAACACCAAGCCCTATCGATTATCTTAAGACTTGAGGCACTCAAAATTTATTTGAAGTCTCGAGTATTCTACATCATCGATATAATTGTAAGCTGCGACTTACAAACAAGGGCGTATCAGTACTAGTGTATTAGACATTATGACGTATAGACCTCAGATGAGGAAGCCATAGCTTGAGTTTCCATGTACCTAGTTACGTACTAGGTAGGAATGTTTGTTAGACAGGAGCAACTCTCATATTACTAGTACAGTAGTTTTATAGCTACTAGAAATAGCTATCTACTAATGGTGAATGACTTTGTAATAAAATAATGATTTCCTTCCAATGTTTCTACCAAGGTATGACACGGGGGATGATAGTCATAATATAGCGACCGTAACCACTATATTACAGCGGCTATCGGCCCCCGTCCCTTCCACCATTTGTAGCTAGAGGTAAACGGTGACGCTAACCTGCGGCTCGATATGGAGCCCCTAGCTGCCAGCTCCAACCAATCATGCCTCTTACCCTCACAACCAAGTCCACTAAATAGGCTCTCACGGAACTCAATCTCATTGTTTAGCCTCATAGATCTAGATAATCGCATCACCTCATACATCTAGCTCAATCTTTTCCTATGACAATAGGACAGTAGTAACCGAACCAATTGAACACGAGACAAACAAAGACGACTGAGTACGGAGGCAATTGTATCCTGTGGTACTCGTATACCTAACGATTCTCATCTGGCCTACGCGATGACCTCATCACCATGCGCCCCACCAAAGCCTTAGAGAGCGAAGATACCAAGGAGGCCCAGTGGGAGGCGGCGCGGGGCGCAGCTGTTGGCGCCGTGAAATGGGGTGCTGCGTCGGCCGTCCTAGGAGGTGTAGGCTACGTCTTTTCGCCTATATACCGGGGTTTGACGGTCCAGTTCAAAGTGTGAGTTACTCTTGTCACGGGACTACCCCGTTGGTATGAGGAGGGAAAAGAGCTAAGTAGCTGTATCAGATACCTCCAAATGTCCGGCATGATCGTTGGCAGTATGATTGAAGCCGATTACCGCATGCGGCAATATGAGCAGAGGGTGCGCATGCAGCGACGGATGGCGCGAGACCGTGCGCTCTGGGCGGATTACGAAAAGGAGCTGGTGGAGATAGAGCAAGAGAAGAAGTGAAGCCATCGTCACCAGTACTAACAGGGAGACCGAGCGTACTGTGTATCTAGGATAAATAACTCAACAATTTTGTTACTTTTGATTGTTGATACTCGTGTCAGCTATGTGGTAGCAATCAAATGGAACTCATGACCTCGTAAACGCCAATGCCATGCCATGCAAATACATATCTCAAGCCATTTCGCCAACCTTTCACATAGCCCTCCGTCTCTCTCATTTTAAAGTCGAAGATCTATTATTTGTCTTCCTCATTTACTCTTCGTCTGAAACCGCTCGGGCTTCATGTTAATCTTGCACAACCTCGCCACGCACCCGCTTAGCTGCAGCAGCGTCTGCACGCCCTCGAGGATCTTCATGTGGGTGAAGCCGATCTCGCGGATGAACTCGAGCTTCGCGTGCTCGCTCAGCGTGTCGATGGTCTTGGTGACCTTGAACATGGTGCTGATGATGTCGTGGCTCGAGTAGCCGAGCTCCCACAGCTCGCGCAGGGTGTCGAGCGCGCTGTCGACGTTGCCCTCGTGGCACGCCTTGAGCATGGCCTGCACCTTGATCGGGTGCGGGCTGTCGACGACCTTGAACACGTTGTCGCCGCTGACGAAGCCGAAGCCGGCCGACGTGCTCTGCAGGTTGTTGATGGCCTGGCGCATGTCGCCCTCGGCGCTGAAGACCAGCGCCGCCAGCCCGTCGTCGCTGTACTGCACCTTCTCCGCCTCGATGATCTGCAGCAGCCGCTTGACCACCTGCGCGTCCGTCAGCCGCCCGTACCGCAGGATGGCGCACCGCGACTGCAGCGGCTCGATGATCTTGTTGGACTGGTTGCACGCGAAGGCGAAGCGCGTCGTGTTCGAGTAGATCTCCATCGTGCGCCGCAGCGCCTGCTGCGCCCCCGACGTCATGCTGTCGGCTTCGTCGAGGATCACGAGCTTGTGCCGGCCGGCCGGCAGCGTCACTTTCTTCTGCGCGAAGCCCTTGATGCGATTTCGGACGACGTCGATACCTAGTTGTGAAGTCTTGTTAGAGCTAAATCCTGTACATCTTGGGTATGGAGGTTGTGGGTTTCTTACCTCGCTCATCGCTGGCATTCAATTCCAAGACTGCTTCCTTATAGGAGTCTCCGAGTAATTGGCGGGCCAGGCACAGAACACTCGTCGTCTTGCCTATGCCAGGCATCCCAGATATGATAACGTGCGGCATATTTCCGTCCTTCGCGATGATCTTCAACCGCTCTATCGTCTCCGTATTTCCCACAACATCGTCAAGGAAAACCGGTCGGTACTTCTCAACCCTATGCCAAGCGTTAGAGTAGAGCAGGGAGAGCTCCAAGGAGAGCTACATACCATGGCAGCTCATAAGTGACATTGCCGTTAGAAGCACCAGACAAAGCCTTCTTGGCGGCCGATGTCGAGGAATCGCCTTTCTCTTCTGGCTTCGCTGCTGGCATTGTTACGATGTGGTGTCAATTGCCCAGTACAGGAAGCTATAATAGTTAAAAATTGGCTTTGGCACGAGATAAGAACCGACCGCTTTACGCGTGTTTGGGCGCTGAGACGCGTCTGAATTTGAAGTGGGCCCAGCTAGCCTTCCACAGCGCATTACCTAAGCACGCCGCGTTCCTTGGCAAAGACTTGCAGGAAACAATTAACCGTTAATTTACGGTTTATATTTTTCGAACCATAAATATATGGTTTATCTTAATCTAACATTTATTTATCCGAACGTTTATAAAATTAAACGATTACTTACATTCTATTGTTAAATATCTTCAAACGTTTAAGTTCAACAACCGTTTCTACTTGGGAATAGCTTCAATAAGCGTGTGTAACTATCCTAGTATTCTAGCTATCCTGGTCTACCTCCTGATCTAGGTGTGTGTAGCCATTTTGATACTTTGGACCTTTGATCCTAAGGTGTGTGTAGCCATTCCAATCGTTCTAGTCTAACTGTTTTGATCTTGTTGTGTTACTTGCCTTCAAGTTCTATATAAGACTTTGCTCCCACCCACTTACTTACACGCCTTCTTCTTCTTCATAACTTCAAGTGCTCCAAGGTCCAGTCTCTGAAGAAGTCTTCAAAAACCTACCTACCTACCTACCTACCTACCCACCCAGGACCCACCAGGATCGTCTCCAGGAACTCCAGGACTTCCAGGACTCTTATTTGCCAGCAGCGCTTATCTACTGATGAGGCTCAACAGGTAGGTATCGCAATTATAGCCCAAATACTGCAATTGCAACAAACCTAGGTAGGTCCGTATTCCTGTAGTTGTAGATATCGTAGAAGGCCTGCTTGGCCTGAATAGATTCAACCTGACCTGACCTGACCTGTTTACCTGTTGGTCCCAACGTTACACCTACTCCCGTTAGCTCCCGTGGCCTTCCCGTCTAGGTACATCTCAAGCTTCAAATAAACGATTGAATATTCAAACGTTTAGGTTTAGATCAAATATAAAAACGCATATAGACGTTTATTTAAAATTATGGTTACTCAGTGGTTTGTCTATTCTCAAACGTTTACCATAAATAAACTGTTAATTAACGGTTAATTGTTCCCTGCGGATCTTTGGACGGTCGTAATACAGAAAAGAACCTTATGTAAGCATCTACTTATTGTTTACATAATAAACTCTGTTTACGTAAGCTTTCCTTTGACCAATCCATCCCCTTTTCCCCTGTGGACGGTATTCGAATATGACGTTTACGATTTTAAGATTCTTCTATTTCGATTCATTTCCGAATTATAGCTTTTCACTTTTGTGGCTCTAGGGCGAGGAGACGCGCATATACCATGAATTCATGGAGCTGCGAACTCGAGATCTATCATGACAAACAAAGTAAATCGTCCTTCAGTTCATAGCCATGCCATATCCAGGCCATTCACCCACATTGCTATTGCTATTTCCTATTCCCCATCGAGTCAAGCACTAAAGGCGCTGCAGTTTCTACAACTAGGTGCGATAATCGCCATTGATCGTTCTAGTAAAATTATTAGTATTTGCACAATGAAATGTTTAGGTCTCGCGCTTACATGTACTCGTGGCTGTAATCGCAAGTCCAGTACGTAGCCTCCTTATCGCCGGTTCCAAGTCTGACGCGGATCTCAAGGTCCTCATGCTCAAGAATCTGACCAGCGCGGGCCTCGTCAACGACCTCGGGCTCTCCATTAACTAGCAACTTTAGTTCAGGGCTGCCGTCCGTAGGGACGAAAGACACGTTCGTCTTCTCAGGCACGATCTCCACCACTTCGTTCACGGGGTTTCCGGGCTCGCTGATCAACGAGTAGCCCGTGGCGCAGAGAATCCGGCCCCAGTTGGCGTCTTTGCCGTATAGTGCGGTTTTGACCAGAGGGGAACGCGCGATGGTGCTGGCGATCTTCCGAGCGCCTTCTTCGCTTGAAGACTCGGTTACGCGGATGGTTACGAATTTTGTAGCGCCTTCGCCGTCCCGCACTACGAGCTTAGCGAGATCGATGGCGAATTCGGTGACGATATCTCGGAATGCTTGGAAGTCGGCAGAATCCTCTGATGTTACGCCTTGACCTCCTGCAGCTCCATTTGCAAGTAGAGCGATTGTGTCATTCGTGGAAGTATCCCCGTCGATGGTGATGCTGTTGAAAGACCGGTCTGCGGCGTACTTCAGAATAGGCGGGATGACAGTAGGTGAGATAGGCGCATCGGTAGCAATCACACCTAAGAGAGTTGCCATGTTCGGATGGATCATGCCAGCGCCTTTGGTCGTTCCGGCTATGCGATACTCTATTGAAGGCGAAGAGGGCAAGTAGAAAATCTTTGAGATTAGCTTCGGGAATGTATCCGTCGTGCAGATCGCAGTGGCAGTAGTCAGCCAGTGCTTGTGAGTGTCTCCAAGTCCCTCGTAAGCTTTAGGGATATTGTCCAGGATTTTCTGGATAGGCAGCCTCTGTCCGATCACGCCGGTACTCATGACGATTGTCGCCTTGTCGGCGCCGAGATTCTTGTCTGCTTCCTTAGCCATGCGCTCAGCATCCTCAAGGCCACCCTTTCCTGTTACGGCGTTGGCACATCCTGAGTTGATGATGACGCCTCTAAGGCCCGAATTCTTTTGTTCCTGAAGTAGCGCACGACTGAAAGTCACCGGCGCAGCCTGGAACTTGTTCTTGGTGAATACGGCCGCCGCAGCACACGGCGTATCCGAGGTGATGAAAGCAAGATCCGGCTTAGAGGTGTTCTTCGGCTTCACGCCAACTATAGTTCCCGAGACCTTAAAGCCACGCGGATAGGTGCCGCTTGTCGGGACATATTTCCTCTTGGAAGCCGGGATGCTTCCATTGACAGGGGCTGAATAGAATCGGACGCCCGAGACTTTGGCAGCCAATTGACTCAATTGATTTGACACGCGACACTGAAGAGCCATGGGAGCGTTTCGACCGTTCCCAGATCAAAGGATGGGTCTAATTGCTCTCGATGCACTCTTATAGGACGAAAGAAGGTGGATCAATTGGGACTCAAAATTGACGAATTTCATACCAATTTAGAAAGTGCCGAACGGCGCACTTTGTGTCAGGTGATGGAGATTATTGGCAGCTGTTAGCGGCCGGTTCTTGGAGATAGTATCATCTTCTCCACCCCGGTTACCTAGATCAAGATATCCGAGATATATTAGATTTCTAGTCTGCAGAAGACCAGTACTAAGTTTTTCAAGGTCGGGAGGCCTCCGTATGATATCACCCTTGGCGTGAGTTTAAGCTTTGAATTGAAATGGCTTTGCTTCAATGGTGGCTTACATGCGAAATTTTGCGTATGTGAAGAGTTCGATTAGTAATCAAAGTACCTTGATTGGTACACACTGAGCATTACATCTTCATACTTAAAACTGCGCAGTTAACAAAATCGTAACAAGATCGAGAAGGACAGATTTTTCTATGCTATTTGATTGATTGGGCCAATTATAGTACCAACAATAGCTTCATTAATTGGTTGAAAATTCTTCATAACGACATTATTTCAGCTGGTACTGAATTGTCAAGTGTTCGAATCGCATAACCCTAACCCTGAGAACACTGTGTGAGTGTAGAATAAAACAACACAACATTATTAGATGCTTACTTAATGAGATTTCATATTATTTCGATTATCTCCTTAATAAAGAATCTTTTAGAATAGTGATGCTAGTACTCGTGGTGGTAATTCAAATATTCAGAATTTAAGTTCTGAGGGGTTCTGTTAACTTTTAGCCTCAACGAATACCTTCAACGATTGATCAAAACAAGTCAAGAAGTAGGATACATGTTAAATTTTCTGCTAAATAGGTAGTTGCGGGACAATCTTGGATAGTTTATTCTTAGCAAAAGCGAGATGCAATACAATTGAAGTTATAATATTGAAAGGGTTGAAAAGTCTTAGCCCTAACCCCAACTCCAGCCTTGACTTTATGCCACGTATGTGCAGTAAAGTAAATAGGAATATTGTATCAAAGCTGTTCAACAATATGTTTGTTATAAGGGTATATGCATGATTCATGATCTATATATTCCCGTAGATTTCACTTGGCTTGGGTAAGTTCTACGAACAGGTGAGTGGAAACCTACAGTTTGAAAAGGGGTAATAATCCAGCCATGTATTACTAATGAAAAGCAAGTTCGTAATTTTATACAATGTAGGTTAGGTATATTTTACATGAATGGAGAACAATTTTTAACCGAGGTCGCCAAGGGCATTGGAACAGTGAGTACTGGGTGACTACCTGGTTTGAATCATAGGTAACTTGAATACCTAGGTAAGCTCATGATTACCGCTTGTCTTTCTTCAAACAGTACCTAGAGTCAATAGCTTTCTCCGTCTCTGTTTATACCCATTTTAGTCTAAACACATTGTTCCTTATAGTAGTTTATCGATCGCTGGAAGATCAGTTTTTCTTTCAACCTTACGGACGTCCCTGTGCCATCGCCATCAGGAGGTACTCCAGGAGTCCCATGCGCCAAAGATGCCTACCTAGGTATACTCTAATGACCTTAGCTTCTGGTATTTAAGTACCTAGCTACTGAAGGCAGAGGACATCTCTTGGAAGTTGACAAACTTAACAGTATCATCATCTCCTAGTCGTCGACAATTGTATTATCATTGATGGTTTTGAGATTCCTTGCTTCATTATAATTAGTTCAATATTATATCTAGTCAGCAGTCTCGGTGCTATTGGCTTCCAAGGTTTCCAGTTTTCTATGATACGGCTAGGGAAAGACGGCTATGTTACCACTTGAGATTGTTACTCTTATTTCAATGCACTTCATTCCCTAGGTATTCATGTGTCGAGTTAAGCATTTCATCGGAACCCCATATCCTAGCGTCGTCAACTCCGAAGTGAATCTTACCTACACTTCGAAACTGAATCTAGTCCCCTTACAGTCAGTACACCATGCATCACTTCGTCTATGCTTCCGTGTACCAATTCGTGATTATGAAGCCGGACATGTATGTAAAACCGTCGGGAGCCGCGTCCCGTCGAGCAGCCGATGGACCCAATCGCTTAACTAGCCGAGCCGACCGATACCCCGAGTTGACGACAACCATGTCGATAGCTTCCCCAGCAAAGTGATCAGATCTTTACCCCAGTTTTCAATTACCCCAGGCCCGCGGGTTTCCCCGCATTCTGGACTGGTTTGCGGGGAACGACGACGTTAAATGCCACGTTCGACCTTGAAGTCCCAGTTATTTTGAGAGACAGAGCTAGAATAATGTAACTTGATCGTAGCAAAGCTCCACCATTCTCAACGATGTCATACATACCCCAGATACCTAGGTAATATCGTAATTGCGGGGAGTGGGCTGGAGCTGGAACGAGCTGGTGCGGGTTATGCGTAGGAAACTGGGAATGACCGCGGTCATTTTAACGCACGGGGTCGACGTCGTTATATGGTCAAGGGGCCTCGGCAAGCTACGGCGAATTCGTGGTAACTATTTTTGTTGGTCGTCGTATAATTAATGAGTAGACATCCCCAGGGGCCCTTTTTGACGGACTTGTTCCATCTGGTCTCGAATCCCGCGAAACATTCAAAATGGCAGCCAACGAAAAAACTCACGACAACGATGCTACTCGGATCGCCTCCGTGGGGGATGAAGACTTGATCAAATATGATCTCGAGCATTCGGAGGTAGCGACACAACATGTAGTTGAGAAGCCAGAGAGCATTCGAAATATGAGTGCTGAAGAAATCAAGAAACTTGAGACTAAGATGGTACGCAAGATGGACTGTGTTATTATGCCGATAATGGGTATATTATACCTTCTTAATTGTGAGTTGCTTCTCGACCCGAGTCATCATCAGTCAGATTATATCGGCTATGACTTGATTTGGAGAAGATGTTATTAATTTCTGAGATGTAGATGTCGACAGATCGGCTCTCGCCGCCACGAAAGTCTATGGGATTATGGAAGATCTAGGGATGTCCACAACAGACTTCGCAACTGTCATATCCATTCTTTTCGTGGGCTATATACCATTTCAGATCCCAAGTAACTTGTTGATGACGAAGATACGTCGCCCTGGATTATGTAAGCCACTGCAAGACTCCATCGACTATAGGTAGGTAATTATGCTGACAGGTTCCTGTTGCAGATATATGCAGCGCAGCTACTGTTTGGGGGGCTGTCAGCGCTGTCACTGCCACTGTCAAAACATATAAGGGGCTTTTAGCGATTCGCGTGTTCCTTGGTGTCACCGAGGCCGTCTTCTTCCCGGGTGTTATCTACTTCCTTAGCGCGTGGTATACCAAGAATGAACTCGGCAAACGTCTCGCTGTCTTATTCATATTCCAGATGCTCGGGTCCGCATTCGGAGGTTTCGTGGCGGCGGCTTGCCTGACCTTAGACGGACGATATGGTATTAGTGGCTGGAGATGGCTTTTCATTGTCGAAGGCTCGGTTACAGTGGGTTGTGGTGTTTTGTTTGCGATGCTCATGCCCGAGTACCCGCACAATGCTCGTCTTCTTAATCCTGAGGAGCGTGACTACGCTGTCTGGAGACTCGAGGTGGAGGCTGGTGCAGGAGAAGCTCATGAGGATGTAACCACACTGGGATCATTCAAGCTTGCTATCCTCGATGGCAAGGTTTGGACGATGGTCCTCTGCATGGGTTATCTTCAGGCTATGGGATCAGCCGTCAATTTCTTCCCATCCATAGTAGAGACCCTCGGGTAAGTTATATTCTTGTCGCAAACTGATATCTAATACTCAGTATCATCTTACTAATGAAATCATCAGCTTCAACCAGATAGATACGATGCTTCTTACTACGCCCCCTTACATTCTCGCTGCTATCTTATTCTACGGAATATCCCATCTATCTGACGTAAGGATATCTTCTCGGCTTTGAATAGACCTTCAAGGAATTGTCTAACCATTCGACAGCGGAAAAATATCATCTATCCGATTATGATCGGATGTATTGTTTTTGGCGTCGTTGCATACTCGGTAGCACTCGGAACAATCCAGATGGGTCCGCGCTACTTTGCTATGATGCTCATGCCTTCAGTTTGTAGTAAGTTCAATTCATCATATCTTGTTTCTGAGTCATGTTATTAATAACTCTACCTTGCAGCCGGCCCGCAAATTATGATATACAAAACGATGAACGTGCATATGGCTCGACCTTATCCGAAACGAGCAGCTGGAGTTGCCATGATAAACGCTATTGGAGGTCTTTCGAACGTCTGGGCTTCATTTTTATATTTCGACGCGCCTCATTATTATGCTGCTTTTGGTGCCCGTGAGTCCCCAGTTCCGCTTGCCCCCAACCCCAGAGATGTGCGAGATAAAATTCTTAACTGACTGAGGTCTTAGTACTTGGATGCAACATTGCATTCTTTATTACTATCACTGCTTATCTAATCTATGTGAGACGCATCAACAAGCTCCTATCTGGCACCCCCGAACAGCAGCGTCGTGCTATGAAGAGCGGCGTTACCCAGCAGCAAATTGACCTTGGATGGCGTTACATTGGTTACTAGCAGAAACGGAAGGAGGTAAGTCTGTCGTGCGAACAATTTTGGATTTATCCTCACAAGTTATGGGCGGTATACGTGTTTTCATGAAGCCAAGTTTTACTATATGCCTCCGTGCGACCACAAATTCCATCTTCGTAAATTGAAAGACCATTAATCAAGATGGGTGATGTCTCTTGTCATGCATCATACTAATATCACATAACATGATAACTCAAAAAGCACAAGTGCGTATGGTTTGTTGGCAATGGACTCATCCAACAATCTCGCAAACCGGATGCCTGCATACAATGCGTTTCTTTCCGTGCGTCTTCTCCCACTTGTGTCTACTTGAAGGTAGAAATACGACATATAACTCGACCATCGTCTATGGCAATGTGCTTCATGCAGGTATGCGTCGGCGAGCGGGCACTCCTTTGTATGGATGACCAAGCCTTTCAATTGTGTAACCACACCCATAGTTAAGAAATGCACTGCCTTCAGAATGTAAACATATAATGAAGGCAGATTATCTTTCAACTAATTTATTGTCCGTTACCTATCCATTAGCCTGCTCACACTTATCGTCATGACTCTACGTACTACTACCATTTCGCGCCGAGACCTTCAGGGGGATACCGCTCTAGCGGCCAACATCACTGAAGTGAACCACCTAGCGTCATATAGCTGGATCGAAGCTCCTGTTCCAACAATTGCTGTTCCGGGTGTTCCACCAAGATGGACCCCTCTGAGGGGCCAGCAACGACTACCGAAGGATGCTGGGCTAATATACATCGCCCAAAATGCTGCTCGTCATCCTGATAGCCCCCTCGAGCCATTGTTTCGCGCGCTGTATATTACTCAGCCTGCTTTTGACATCCTTACCACCGATGTTGTGACCGATCGGAACAACCTTCGCAAGTTGCTGTCATTCGTCGACCCTTCCTCAAGCAGGAACGGACTCGAGTCATTCACCATCGACGTAGAGGTCACAAAGGATACGGCCATTTTTTGTCGGATGGAGACCGAGACTCAGGAGATCATAGGCCCAAATGAATTCAGGGGCTTCGGTCATGAGTTTGAGAAAGCATACACTACTGATGCTATCAATGGTAGTACCGGCCATCACCGTATCGTTTCATACAAGTTCTATGGCCTAAACTTTATCATACGTCACGAGGTAGATGGATATGTCAGTAATCGTAAGGAGACATCTTCCAGGGGACGAGGAACGGACGACATCTCTAGCCTCTTGGGTTCGTTGTCTCTTTCTACAAGCGACAACACCAACAAGGCTTCACGTGTTGCAGGATCAAAGCTAGTCATTCGAGAAGAGGGCCATATCGTGCCTATCGAGTCTACGCTCGAGATTAAAACGCGGGTCGCCCACAAACCCCTCAACATCATGGAGATCGCACCACAACTTTGGGTTTCCCAAACTCTGAAGCTTGTTCGAGCGTACCACAGCAGAGGCGTATTTCAGGAGCCGCGCGTTGAGGACGTGGCGGCAGATATCAGAAGATGGGAACAGGGAAACCAAGCAAACTTGAAGAAGCTGGCTATCCTCATCAAGAAAATCATTAGCGCGGTGAAGGGCTTTGGCGGAAGAGCTACTGTTAGATACGATGCGATTATGGGCCAGCTGGTGATAAAACAGACTGATGAGGAACGGATGTTACCAAAGGACTTGTATTCCAAGTGGGACAGTAGAGACGACTTGAAAGGAAAGCTTCCATCCATGCGAGACGCGCGACAGGCTTTGGGTCACGGAAACCGCAATGGTACCAGAAAAGAAGACGACATCTGATGTCTACATATGGCTCATTGATAACACCATGGTAGAATATAGAGGTCTGCCAAAGACGGTCGTAACCAAAGCCTACGCCGTGGTTTGAGTACGCAGGTAGATTAGGTACCATCCAAAAATACTTGCCTTGAATTCATTATGATTGATAAAGAAATACGTCATGTTCATTTGACCATGTAAATGCGTATTTGGGTAGGATATGCCTTTTTTATGTACGTAGTACGACTGATTGCTATGGTAAGTGACCACAAAGTTGAAAATAAATCGCCTTCAATTTTAGTCTAAGATCAAATGAACTAAAAAATAGGAAAAGGGGGAATGTAAAGGTTGCTGTGGGTCAGATTAGCATCATGCTCGAATCAATCACGCTTCAGTAAATTCAAGTCAGGCTTCCACCCCTCCCATTTCCTACAGCCGTGAAACTTGAAGAGGTGTTGCCATAGATGATCTTTACGAGCGAAAGTGCGGTCGGACCCCTCGCGCTCGGCACAAGCCTCGAACTCGTGAGATCGAAAGTGTTCTTCAGTAGGAGAAACATGCCCGCAAAAGATGCACTCCGGTCCTTGTTGGTCGAGGCGCCATATGAGGGATGATTGACCGGTTGATAATGGAATGCCGCAAACCCACCGGGGCGCATTACTATTTAGAAGGTGAACCGCTCTTTCGTGGCGACGCCAGTCGTATTTCTTGGTGAAACTGCGCGGGCATAATGTACACTGAAATGTACGACCTTTCCCTGGAATCGGTGAAGACGATGCGGAGCTTACGTGTCTGTTGAGCATTCCTATACTGTGGGTAGAAGCAGAAAATAGCGATAATTCGTCTACTGATGAGCTCGTGTGATAGGATGATGCCGAGTCGGACGACGGATTATGCCACGGAGCGTGAAGGTCAAAAGCCGAGCCTCCGCTGCTGGATGAAGGACACACGTCAATCTGGGTGGCGGCCTCAAGCGCCTCAAGCTCGCCGAACCCTTCTATCGGCATTCCGAGGGCCTCCTGAATGACAGTTTCGGATACGGGCTCCTCCTCAGGGGGTGAATGCCGCCACCGTTCAAATGGAGTCATACTTGACATAGGTGGGCTAGGCATAGGAGATCCTTGGGGGAAAAAGATATTGTCAATTGCCCTGGTAGACGTTCGATGTCGCCGCCGAGCATTTGAGAACCAGTCCGCGACTTGGGTCCTGCTCAGTCCAGACCGTTGAGCAAGGGATGCTTTTTCCTCTTCTGATGGATAAGGACGATCAAGGTGAGAGGAAAACCAGCTTCTTAGAAGATGCGTTTTCCTAACAGATCGCGAGTGGGCTCTTTTCTTTGAAATTGGCGTTACGTTTGCGGATTCTTGCTCTCCTGCGACGTTATTCCCGGAACTCGGTAGACTCATATCGAGTTCCTCGTTTACTCCATGTAGATTGTTGATGACCGGTTCAGGAGTCTCAAACTCGGCTGGCTGTCGTTTTCCTCGTTCAGCTAGGCTGCATTGGCGAAAGAGAGCTACGCAACTAGAACATGACGTGACTGGATTCGGATTGGCCGACGTAGTCTGAAGCATAAAGCACTGAAGACGCAAACGTCTACAGTAACTACAGGGTTGAGGGGGTCGCCATGCTCCATTATCTCGGAAGAAGTCATCGAAACTAATGTTTGACGGGTCAAATTCGTGTGTTCCAATGGCCAAGGTATCATCTAGTTCTAGTGTAGTATGCGCGAGGTTGTGATCTCCATCGAGGGAGTTGGCCCCGTGTATGCCGGAGGGCGTTTCCTCGCTTAGCAATGTCGTGGCCACGTTCGCTGTACTTACTTCTCCCGACAACTCAACGGAGAGATCTAAATGCTGTCTGCTAATTTCACCGTGAAATGCTGGATCGATGGCATTGTAATCTTGGAACTGATGTAAACTAGGTAGTGACGACTCCATTGTATAAAATCCACGATCAACAGAAGGAAATTGAGATTGGGAGAGTGAAGAGTGGAGAAGCTGATTTCTTTAGGCCAACACGGGTTATCAGCTTATGTCCGACGCTGTACCGAGAGGGCGCAGATGGCCTAAATAGCGCGAATAGCGTCATGGTACCTACCTACTCTCAGCATGAGTATGTTGCTGTCATTTTTTACACACTACCGTCAATAAAATGGAAATAAAAGGATGTCGTCCTCCAATCCAACGACATACGCCCCTAATCCATCCAAATTTCACAATCCATCATGACCGAATTTCGCCGACCAATATACTTCAACCCAAGCGCCCGTTCGTGGGCGGTTCCTCGGTCTACTTCCAGTGACTTAGCTGCGAGGTTTCATCGACAGTTACCGAATTATCAGCCAACAAAGCTATTTAAATTAGATGATGCAGCCAAAGAAATTGGAGTTCGAAATATCTTTCTAAAAGATGAAAGCAGCCGACTTGGTCTGACATCATTCAAAATCCTGGGTGCTTCATGGGGCACTTTTCGGGCGATTGCCCGCGAGCTCGGTTTGACCCTAGAAGTAGACCTTGAAACGATGAAACATGCTCTGGCTCAAAAGCCGCTCACATTATATGCTGCAACCGATGGAAACCATGGTCGAGCAGTAGCTCGCATGGGAGCCATTTTATCCCTCCCCGTCGAAATTCACGTTCCTGCAAATCTGGACATCGCCACAATAGAGTTAATTCGAACTGAAGGAGCAAATATTCTGGTATCAGAGGGCAATTATGACACCGCTATTAGGGACGCAGAAACTGCTACTAGATCAAAAGGGGGGCTTCTGATTCAAGATTTCTCCTTCGAAGGTTATGAAGAGATCCCCCAGGTTAGCCCCTTTAGCTCTTTAGCTCCTCCCCCTTTTAGTGGAGCCCACACTAACACGGGCTCCAGTGGATTATCGACGGATACGGAACCATGCTTCAAGAAATCGATGAAGAGCTCCGAGATACTCACGTAGACCTCGTGGTAGTCCCAGTCGGAGTTGGCTCCTTTGCGCATGCCGTCGTCTCTCACTACAAAAGCAAAGAGGACCTACCCGCAATTCTTACGGTAGAGCCCGACACGGCAGCTTGTCTCTGGAAAAGTTTCAGGAGAGGGAAGATACAACCAGAGCAAACGGCATACACTACTCTAGCGGGTTTGGATTGCGGGACTGTATCATCCATCTCTTGGCCCCTCCTTCAATCTGGTGTAGATGCCAGCTTAACTGTCTCGGACTATGAAGCTCACACAGCATCTCTCTATCTTAAGGAACAGGGGATATCAGCAGGTCCATGCGGTGCTTCGACACTGGCAGCTCTCCGTCGACTCAGTGTCCCAGACAAGGCGAAAATAGGGTTGGATCACAAGTCGGTTATCGTGCTACTCTCCACCGAGGGCGTCCGAGACTACAACATCCCCCCAGACGTCTCGGTAGATGATCCCGTTGCTTTGACTCAGACTCTAGTCCAGATAAACTCCGCGAATCCCTCGCTAGGGTCGGTCCCAGGGCCGGGCGAAACGAACATTGCCCGATACATAGCGGCATGGTTAGAACACCGTGATATCGAGACCCACTGGATAGAACCTACGAAAGGACGTCCATCGATAGTCGGAGTGGTTCGAGGTTCTGGCGGAGGGAAGAGTCTTATGTTTAACGGGCATATCGACACGGTGACGACTATCGGATATGAAGGCAACCCCCTCGGCGGAGAAATCCACGATGGAAAGCTATATGGTCGCGGAGCGGCAGACATGAAATGCGGATTAGCCGCAGCACTCATTGCCCTCGCCAATACTAAAAAGCTTGGCCTTCGTGGTGATGTCGTCTTCGCTGGCGTAGCGGACGAGGAGGCTGAAAGTATCGGTACGGAGCAAGTACTACAAGCTGGTTGGATAACCGACGCCGCAATCGTAAGCGAGCCGTCAGGTCTCAACATAGTCCATGCACACAAGGGTTTCGTGTGGCTCGAAGTCGATATACACGGTCGCGCTGCGCACGGCTCCCTTCCAGAACTCGGTATTGATGCTATCTCCAAAGCTGGCTACTTCTTAGTAGAGTTAGATCGATATGCTCAACAACTGCGCGAGTCCACCATTGATTCTGGAGTTGGTCCACCTAGCGTCCACGTCTCGATCATAAAAGGGGGTGAAGAAGCATCTTCCTACCCGGCCCTATGCACTATCGTCTTGGAGCGTCGCACTGTCCCTGGCGAAACTCCCGATACAGTGAAGGCGGAAATCCAAGCCTTACTCGAGAAGATCTCAGACGATGTTCAGGACTTCCAGTTTGATCTAAGAGTCACCTTCAACCGATCCCCGTTTTCGATACCACGCGATGACCCTTTCGTGTCTCTTGTAGGTGATGTAGTTAATCAGACACTTGGAACGTCACCTATCTTCCGCAAGGACCCCTACTGGACAGATTGTGCCCTACTTGCGGATGCAGGAATCTCACCAATTCTTTGGGGGCCGGATGGAGAAGGCCTCCATGCGAAAGAAGAATGGGTTGATATCAATTCGATAAGACTGGTCTCGAAAGGGTTGACAGAAGTTGCATGCAAATTCTGCCGTTAGATTTAATGATATCCACAGTTCCTAGTATACATGAAATGAAAATAGTACATTCTCGAGATCAGACGTACGTGCTGGTTCAACTAGCAATCGCCCGTAATTAGGTACCTAGGTATCAATTCTCTAATACCCCTTTACCGTCTTCACGTGTTGTATCTTCTCCCAGACCCATGGAGTCAATGTTGAGCTGAAGTTGTTGCTAAATTTAATATTAAGATAGTTGTAGCCCTTGTCAGGTACCCACTCCGTCGCGATCTTGATCTTGCCATAATCTTCCAGGGCCTCAATGGCCGGCCTTAGAGACTCGGGCATAGGAGTCGTGACGCCATTTTTATACCAACTGAATGAGAGTTAGCGCACATTCAGGTGACAACAGCGCCGAAGCCATTTTATAATATGCTTGAAATATAACTTACGCTGCATAGTAAACAATTGCAAGCATGATTCGGACATCTTGCGTGGGGTTCGGCATACCAGCATGCCTAAAGAGCCAGTTAGCATATACCCCTTAATGCACTACGGAGCAACAACCCTCTACTAGGCCAAAAAGAAATGAGTGCGGTTTACTTACCATAGCCTTAGATCTCGAAGAACGATAGAACCTTTCTTTATCCTTGGGTAGCACGGGCCCCTGACTTTGCGCCTCGCCTCCAACTTCTCTTCAGCGATCATGGGCTCTCCCAACTCTCGATGGTCGTCGAGATTCGTGTTTTGGGTACCTAGCCAAAGCTCCGTAGTACCGTTTTCGGGCCCAACGTCAATTAAACAGGTATTAAGCGCGATGGCGAAGGGGTGTTCCGGATGTTCAAACCGGAGGTCGGCGTGAATTTGTTGCCTCTCATCGGTAGTTAGGAGGGTGTTGCTGCGAATGAAGTGAACCTCCGGCCGGGGACCAAGAATGTTAGATACAATACGAGCACCATGCTTGTTAGCATAGACCTCCGGGAATAGCCACTCTACAATGATCCCATTAATACTATCTTCGGGGGAGAATCTCAGACTCGCTCACCCTTCTCAAGTGGAGGTACCTGTGACAAGTTTCCGCCGGCTGCAGACCCCCTAGTAGCAGCATTCTGATTCAAGTGACTGGATAGAATATTAGCCTGTTGCCATGTCTCGTCGTTCCAACTTTCTTTTTACGTATATGGAAGGGTTCTTACTTGAAGTGAACTTCTCCTTGACCGCTAAGTAATTTCTCGGTGTCTTCTAGCATCCTCTTGTTAAGCCTGTCGATGATAGCTACATCAATAGCGTTCTCAATGACGACAAGACCATCCGTGAAAAAAGCTTCAATAGCATCATAGAGCTTCTTGTCGCCCATGACGCCACTATCACGCTCCTCGTCAGTGAGGGTAACGACCTTGGGTGCGTCGACTGGAGCTGTTGTTGAGGTTGATACTGCCATGGTGATGACGCAGGGCTAATGAAACATGAATCAAAGGTAAAATTTCTTGATATTGTTGCAAGTCTGATTTCCAATTTCTCGAAAGCCCTTATTTTATCATTATCAAGTACCTAGAAAGCCCTATGATGATTTACCGTTCATTCTTTACATATCCCCTCATCTCCACATCCCCAGCCGTCGTACTCATCCCACTGAAGCAGATTGCGGAGGGCGTCCCAGCCGATCGGCTACCCCAAAGAACCCCAGAATCTCAAGGGTTCTCTTACGGCTGGTGTGACAGCAGACAGGGGTTCTCCTTTCGCACCCGAGACCCCCAGGTAGTGATAGTATCCGTGGTAAATCCGGACCAATTGGTAGCGTACCGACGCCATGAATCCAAGTAGTCACAAGATGTTTCCGAGCGAGATGAGAATAGAGACTAGATTCCGCCGTTTAATTCTCGCTTCCTGTATTCCATCCTCGAGAAAATCTATCAAGTCAAGCTCGGCGACATTTGGAAAAGGGTAGCTCGACAGTTGGTAGGGTACTTTATAGGGTGAAGAAGCAAGCAGCCACCCCCTTTTTTTCAAGGGAAGTTTTCTGATACTGTGATCGATTGAGTTGACTACTCTTCCAACTATCAACTACTTGAATTTCGCGCATTTTACTGCATTAGAGATTCACTCCATGCATCAAGCTATTATCCATTACCCTTATGACCGTTCCTGCGAATTCTAAGATTACCTCACAATAGTCAATTGGTCTACAGATGTGAAGAGCGATCGGGCAATATATTGTTAACCGAGAATTTCAGAGGGGGAACTTCCAGTTTTAGTGGCCGTGTCGATGTTAAGCCTTCAAGAAATGGAAACCTTAATTAAGTAAAAGGCTTTAACTTTTAGCGCCCTAACATAATTCATTGCTTTGCGGTATGGAACGTAAGGTGGCATGGACCGTGAGGTGGTGAATTTGTACGTTAAACAAAGTTATCCTCAACAACAAACTTTTCTCTCGCACAGGATTTCTCTCGCACAGGAATCTAGAAACAATGGCGTCGCCTGACCAGTCTACTCCCCCTACTTCCATAGCTTCATATGAGGAGCCGCCGCCGACCATCCAATTTACAAACATCGAAGCGCTCTGCCAGGCAATCGAGGAGGTTTCTGGAGATTTTCTAGTTGTTCAAAGTATTTACCATTGAACTATTTCTCTAGGAAATTTTATACTAATTATTAGATGTTTCTCCTACCGATTTCGAGGAGATCAATCGCCAAGAACCCCGACGATTTCGTCTACGCCGTTACCATGCCGACAAAGAGATTCTGATTATCACAATCCCTAATGATTTGCATGAAGCACTCCACATCGGGATCTACCGAAGATATGATTATCAACTTGGGCCAGGAGGGATAGAGAGCTGGAGATCGATTGGGAGTACTACCCTTCGACCAAGAGGTCACCCCGGAGGCGATGGTGGTGAAGGTGATTCATGTGGTGGCCCAAAGCCAGCACGCAACCACAAGGGTGCTTGGCCAACCCTAGTCATCGAAGCTGGGGATTCTGAGTCCTTAGGTGCCCTACGAGATGACATGAGATGGTGGTTTTCCGCATCAGACCATCAGGTTAATATTGTCCTTCTTGCCAAGTTTGATCACTCTAATCAGCGGATTATTATTGAGAGATGGGAAGAAGAAATCCAGATTCGCCCTGGTGCTACAACAACCACACGAGCAGCTTCTAGCGCCGTTCAGCCTGTATTACGGCAGAGCATTATTATTACGCGGGATGCAGCTACCGATTCATACCATGTCGCTAGAAGCGCATTGGCCCTTTCGTTCCGGCTTCTCTTTTTACGAGATCCAGGTCCACAGGAAGGAGATTTCATCATAAGTATCGCAGATTTGAAGGCTTACGCACGAGATGTTTGGGAGGTTGTTTGATACTAAATAAATAGGCGATCTGGGATTCGGTTCTCCAAGTTATAGGTCAGATTAACATACGGCGGTGTCCAGCCGATCGATTCAGACTAATACACTTAATAGATACTTAGGCAGGTTACCCCAGATAGTTATGACTCGCGGTGTCATGTGACATCCTTAGTATTAGAGAACACCTTATTGAACGTTAAGTTACCTTAGAACTTAGGAGAATACAACATCAATCTACCACTTATAGCATTCTTCTTGCTACACGCGGTCTTCCAGTTCTATTCTTGTTCTTTGTTTGTACTGCACCGGATCGCCTCTAGACCGGGGTAGGGTACCCCGCGTAATACCTAGATGGCTTTCGAGGCTAGTTCTACTGCACCCCGCAGTTGCCCCGAACCTTTAGTGTCCAGGGGTCGATGAGCCTCTACCCCGCTATCCATATTGATATGCCCAACTAACTACCCCGCAATGGCGCGAACAAACTCCAAACCGACATCTAAAAATATCATTCACTAAACAAATCCCAAGGTAATTGTTATGTTATGGCAGAAGATATGGCGGTTGGAATAAGGCCGGAGCTTATAATGGATGGTTTTGACACTGGCAAGGATATGACTATTGGAAGGGCACTTTTTATTCCCTACCTACTAATGAAACTCATAATTAAGAAGATCGATAGTTAATTCCGTTTCCCTCCCCTATTAATGAGAAAAAAAAGACTTCCAGGATCGCGACGTTTGATTCTTATGGACCGTCCATTCTCATCGCGTCCACTGTCCTCCTACTTCCTTCTTTACTCGTCGGGCTCGAAGAACAATGAAGGTCGATAGGTGGTGCAAAAGTTACATTCCCCCACGATCTCTCCCTCATCGTCATGCCATACTCTAACGTAGTAGCAAGTGCGAGCTGGGTGCATAAACGGACATTGATGACATTTTTTGCAATGATGAGGCGCCTTCAACACTGCAGGAATGTAACGGCGGTCCGTCATGTATGATAGCACCTCATCGGCATAGGCAGGTACGTCGTCAAAGATAGGCTTGAAAAAGCCGGATGCCACTGGCCAGAACATAGTCGCCTCCGCGAAATCGACCCAGATTACTTTGAGTTCGTCCACCTCATACTTGTACGTCTGGACAATGGCGTCTTGGATGGTGTCGATTTCATTGTCGGGTAAGAACTGGGGCTCTAAGAGTGGATCGGTATCGTGAAATGCTCGCTGCCATTGTATGGCTTTCTGGCGCAGATAGGCTTTCATTCCGAGCTCGATTTTCAACATCAGGCCAGATAGTTCGAATCTCCAGGCAGCTCTGTAAAGTCGCGGGTAGGCAATTGTTCCAGTGTTGTAAATCGTGCCGTCGATCGCTGTACCACGGTTAGAATGCCGTAGGTAAGCCTCAACAGAATTGGCGGGATGTAACTTGCACTTGAAGTAAATCCACTTGATGATCCAGCCTACAATATCCTTATCCGAAGCGATGATGATCTCATTGATCTCGCCCTATGAAATTCATTCGATTAGCTTCTAGACGTTGACAGAAACTTTCGTATTGCCTTACCTCAGGGTCTTTCTCTACTAACTCGCGCTTGAACCACGGGCAGCGGCTGACCAGGATCACTTTGTGAAGTTTCCATTTAGCATCTTCACATATGACAGTTATGTCTGAGAACTGGCCAGATCGGAATATACTAATAGAGTGTTAGCTCAACTGGACATTATACAAGGTATATGTGTATATATGGGTATCCAGTACTCTCCAATACGCTCTTGATCAAGCTGATGATCCTTGTCCGTAGTTAGACCTGAAGGATCCATACTTGGGTAGGTTCCAAGCGTCTGGAATTCGATTCCAATTTGACTTATATCTCAGAAGCTTCGCGCAGACAACAAATATCGGGTTTCATGGATCTGGTATGTGGTTGCTCAAGGTAAGATGTGGTAGGAAGAGATGTTTGAGAAGAAGTGTGTTTTTGGATACCCATAGATATTTTTAATGCGATGAGTAGGTGTGAAAAGCAAGGAACACTGCCACCTGTAGAATTATAAGCCTGGCCATCTGCAAAAATAACAAGCACTTGTCATTTACTGTACGGCCCCGTACGATGGCTCATCCGGTACTTACTCGAATCTCGTTTATCTGGAAGATATTAACCATCATTACTTTGATGGGAATCCTTGAATGAGTTGACAGGGCTCGTATTCTCGAACATCATGGAGTTTGGTTGCGATGGGCTATATTACTTTGGATCTTAAAGAATTGTATAACATTTAACATCAGTTCAAAGAGGATTAATTCAAAGGGATAGTTTTCTTATTCTTTCCACGTTTTAATATTAGCTGCCTCCATCCCCTTCCTTCACACGGGGCGACAATCCTGTAATTGTTCCGGTAACTAGTGCCACACCGAGATATTATTCAATGCTCTCAAATCCTTCTTGTTATCCTATTCTTTATTATACACATCTGGGCAGATAATCCTTCCTCCTTCCTCGTGAACCTGAGTCGGGGCATGTTAAACGATACACATACTAGTCACAATGCCACCACCTGATACAGACACCTTAACGGCTGTTAGTAGATAGCCCTGGTTTGCTTAGCCCCTCCAGACGATATATCATTGGAAAATCTATACATGTAGCTCAATATATAACACGACACCCGATTTATCTGAAGCTTTGCACATGAGCTTTTATATCACCCACTCCGTCGAAAGAAAGAGCATTGGTCATACCTAACCAACTTAGTTAAATCCCCGCGGAACTTTCTTCAAGCATCATTCCATTATGGAATCTGGCACACACCCAGCATCAGACCCACAATGCCGGGGATGATGGTAAATCCGTGCTCAGGATGGGGATTTGGCCAAGGCCCCAAGCCCATTCCGTCTTGTTTGGTGCAATAGTATCGTTGCTGATCTCGAAGGCCTCGAGTCCGTAGTAAGCGATAGTTCTCTCTTCGAGGTCCGCAATGCAGAATATGATCGATCGGTCTACTCCCCAGCTTAGAGTGATTACAAGGTGGGGTTCCCCGTGGCAGGGTTCGTCAATGGGGAGTGCGTAAGGATCAGGGGGGCCTTTTGTACTGAATTTGCAATTGAATTCACCTCCCGATTTGGTTTTCTGTATGAAAAGATTGTACTCGCAGGAGGTATTGCATATGATGCTACTGTTGTGAAGTGTCCACGTGTCTATGGGGGTAGTCCCTTTGCAAAGGGCTGCAGTAGCAAGGACCATGAAAGAGAGAATGGTCTTCATGATAGCCATTGCGTTTGATCAGATTTCTTTGTAATAACACTGATTTGTATGTTTGGGTTGTACTGAAAATTTCCATGCTATGGAGAGCTTCTGTGACCTAATTTATAATCTACCTACTAGGTTAATATAGGCATCATTGAAAGTAAGGCATAACAACATTTTTGTTGCTGGGGTGATTATATAGTTCCTGAGGGAAAATTTCATTGCCACGAAGTTTAGTTGTAGGCAACGCATAGTATAGCCCCTTGTTTCGTATTATTTCTGCCCAATTTTGTGAATGTTGGCGTCTAGGTTAAACGCAAATGGAAGATAGTTCTCATTTAGGGTCATTTCGAACCGAATGGAGAGTTACTTGATAACACGTAAAGTTTGATAAGTACTTTTTAGAAGGCGGCCTTTAAGTTCGAAGCCTTGATGCTTAGTGTATCTCAAGGCAGCAAGATCTCGAGGTAAATGATATGACCAAAGTTGTGTTTACTAAATTAATATTTTATTCAAGGCTGAATAATTACAATAATGTCGATTTTGTGAGGATGTAGACATTTGGTTCAAGCAGATGCTGTCATATGAGGTTGTGGGAGAAAAGGGGGTGATGGCTCATCAATAAAATAGGGGTGAGTACACTAGCCACAAGTCATTATCTAAGCAGCCACAATAGTCGAAAGTGTGGCTGGTGTAGCACAGGCACTAAGGTAATTCTTCCTCATCAAATTTGACACGAGGCAAAAATTCTTCTTCCTTCACATTCCATTCTTGTCTTGCCTCCAATAACCGAGCGCTGCTCCCCAATTGGCCAACCAACATGCAAACAGCAGTGCTGTCTGTGTCCCTGCGTGTCGTGCCGCCATACTCGTCATTGCCACCTTGAGGCTCACGTAGTCTTGTCGAAAATAAAACGTGTCTTCGACGTCCCAAACCTTTTCAACGGGAACTAGCACGATTTTCAATCGTCGCTTTGTGCCTCGTTAACTACATACTAGTAGTAGGAACATTGTCTACGAACTATCGCAATCATGGCCGATATAGTCAGTGCCTACATGAGCACGCCTCCTATTGCTAGGTAAGTTGTACAATATCCATCTCGATTCATGCAACATACGCATGTCGAAAACACCAAGCTAATAAAACCTTAACAGGACGGTCGCAACAGCTGTATTTCTATGCTCTGTAGGAGTCTACACAGGCATATTAAGCGCTGAACCTTTCATCTTCCATTACTCCCTACTCTTCAAGTTTCCACCTGGACTCTATCGACTTGTAACAAGCTTCCTAATAACAGGTTCTGGAATGGCTGTGTTGTTTGATACATACTTCGTCTTCACATACTTGAGCCAGCTCGAGAACAACTCCAAATTCCGGAACAAGGAGGACTTGGTCTGGTACTTGATATTCGTCACAAGTGTCATTTGTGTAGGTCATGATTTCTTTCTACCGTCCGTATTCCGTATCATACCGTCTGCACTTCGAGTTGCTACACCTCATATATCTGCCCGCATAGTGATATTTCACTACAGCTATGACGGTTCCTGGAAATGAGGAAGATTACCCCTACACTGCTACTGGCCCGTCATTCGCATACCTCATTAGGGTCAGTTAGGAGTGTAGGCATGGTGGGATGTCTAATTGGATGACTCGGGTAAAGTCTTCGGACACATTTGCTCGGGTGGTTTTCTGCGCCCTACATACTTCGCCTTCCTAGGTTGCTTTCATAAAACTTATTGTGTATACTTGATCATAGTCAGATATGGAACAGCTAGCTAACTAGGATAACAGCCTTTGAACGCGCTCTTCACAGAAGGCATGTTACTCCTACAGGCATTGCTCATTGCAATGTGCTATACAGCAACGCAGGACCAGAGAGGCATGAACGCACACTTTTACATCATCACCATTCCCGCACAGCTTATGCCGTACTGTCTTCTGCTCGTCCAGCTCCTCTTCCCTGGCGGCTGGGTTAATTTCAAGATTGGATTAACTGGCCTTATTGCCGCTCATCTTCATGACTTCCTCACACGGATATACCCCGAGTTTGGAAATGGTCCCAACCTCATCCCCACTCCAGGCTTCCTCTCGTGGTTTGTGAATTCGCCAAGGGTCCGTGACACTGTCTACGGCCAAGCGATCCAGCCCCAGAGGGCAGGAACTGGAAGTGGTCCTTTACCCGATTCATGGAGGAGCAAGGGTCCCGGTAGGCGTCTAGGTTAAAACCACACATAGATTAATAGTTAACGATGGACGATGAATGTAAACATGATCTGAGTCTATGAATCGCTAATTGATGACGCTACTATCTGAATATATTGTGCTTGTTTGTACTTAAATAATACCGTGAAAGTCACTAACCTGCTAGCCTCCTGTCATAGGTCTCAAGTTAATTATGTAGCTAGGTAGATCTACCAATATGGTTACCTATACGAACTACTGTGTCCGTCAAGTAGAGGATCGGCTTTAAGCTCATCATCCAGCCTGTTATGTTTGCAACTCTATGTAATGTCAATTCCATGCTATACCTATTTTTCATAACTCATTCCTAGCAAAGCATCCAAAACGCCATTCATACCTGATATCACAAAGATCCACCTGGGTATCAACTAGATATAAACTGCGAAAATGTGTATAGAAGATCGTCCTCAGCCGTAGAAAGAGCTGTCTCCAGTTTTTACGCTCATATCTTCTCTAAACAACGGCGGGGGTGCAATATACTGTTCTATGATTTCCGTATCCGATGTCAGGTTAGTTTGGGTGGCAACGGGCGCTCCATAGGCGCTACGGTCTTGGAACCGTCGCTCGTGGATTATTAAGGGTTTTGAGATCTGCATGTCGCCATTCTGTCTGTCGACGGGCGTCGCACTTTGAACGTAGATCTGCGGTGGCGAGTACTTCTTGGGGATCTTGATCCGCGACACCGTAGGCAGCGACAGCGACGGAACTCTATTGCGGTGTTGGGGCTGGGGTGGGGGCGGAGGTGGTGACAGGCTGGTGACCTGTATGAGTCGTGTCGTCGCCGAGTCCGCGGGAGAAGGCGACCGGTTCGACGTTCGGGACGGTGGGTGAGTTGCGGGTGGTGGGGGTAGATGTATCGAGACGGCGTCTTCCGCGGCGTTGAGGTATTGCTGTAAGGCGTAGGAATCCGGTGGGTGGTATTTCACGGCGGGTGGGGGGATGGGAGTGACAGTTCTTGATGAGCTCCGGCTTATATTTCCGGGGACGTACGCTGGATGAGTCGGCAAGGCGCCGTTGGAACCCAGGCGACCACTCCGTGGATCAAAGGTATAATTTGCCCGTCGAATTGACATCTCTTTCTCCAGGACATCGTAGTATTCGGCGTTGTTCGTATATGCCTTCTGCGCCTTGAGCTCGTAGTCGCTCATCATAGCAACGGGGGGCCTACTTTCGATAGACGTGAAAGCTCCTTTATTCGGTGCTGTGATGGCGCTACTGCCTATTCGGGGGTCGTAGTCTGATCCCATTCTGCTGTTCTGATCTCGTGCCAGCCTCTTCTCTCGGCGGTGATGAATTGCGAACAGCCCCACACCACCAAGGAATAACAATGACGATCCGGTGGCAATGCCCGCGATTGTCCCGTTGGTCATCGCTGCCGGGTTGGAATTACTTGTCCCTGCTGTGCCGTTGCTAGGCGGCGCCGTGATATTGATTGGGTTCTCTGAGAAGAGCTTTCCCGATAAACCGAGTAGAGTACCCGGCTGAGGGGTCTGCTGGCATCCGGCCTTCAAAGCTAGAAGAACTGATGACAGTTAGCTTGATATATGCTAAATGTTATGATTGACCATACAATTTGACATGTAAATTTGATCAGTACTTGCTTGAAAGCATTGATAGCATGCTTCAACAGCTGGGTCTTTAAAACTGCCATTGTCCGCCGTGCAGTACCCAAACTCTGATCCATTGTTGGGGTTTAAGAGATCATACTTGAGTGACTCAGCTAAGGGAGCACATCCATAGTCGATATCGCAAGGAGACGAAACGGATTTCTGAGCTTTCGGAAACGCGAACAGGCATACGTCAAGGGTGTACCGCAAGTTGTCTACCAGTTCATATTAGTTACCTACTTCGACCACGAGCAAAATAACCGAGGGTCTCTCACATAAAAACCAGGATACATCATTCTCCGTGCCATTCACAGTCTTGCTCTCTTGCAAACACGAAAGACATTCCTGGAATTTAATTCCTGCTGTTGTGGAACTATATTCACTATCGAAGCAAGAAATATCTGACGAGTTGGTCGATGATGCTGCTGGGTCTTGGGAGTCGCCGTCAGAATGGTCTAAGCACAGCGAGGCGCATGACGAGCCTGGTGTGACTTGGAGGCAACTGGTGGTTCCGAGCAACAAAAGTAGAACACAAAAAGTAAGGATATAATGGGGCATTGTAGCGGCCGTAACGGTCTATGATTGAAGGGATTAAGGATACGAGAGGATATGAGTACCATTAGGAACAAAACTCCTACAAATTCAGTGAAGGACGCATTGCAGACCCCTAGGCACCGCGCTCCGCTTGAAAAGACGAGACTTTCTCCAAAAGTAGCACTATGCTCTATGATAGCATTATACAGGAAGGGTGAGGCTCAAGGCCTGCGGTGTGGGAAGTCGCTATCTCATATATGATGGCATTTCCCTCAGCTCCCCGCAACACAAGGCAACTCGAGCCGCCACACGGACATAAAGGCATCCAGTATTCTAGATCTTTAGTCAAGTCTAAGCATTTTGTGAGTGATGGGTGCATCTAGGTAATAAGCTTGTACCTGTTGACTTGTGGAGAATAGTTCTGATAATAGTACTAGATCTCCCTTGGACGGAAGCATAAGCATAGAGGATCCAATGGAATATCAGTAAACCTAGCCGACGGGAATATGTAGGTCGAGGAAAAGGGCTTGGGATCGAGTAAAATTGGCCGAAATGTCTAGGTAGTTTGGCAGGTCTTGCAAGTCTCTCTGGCCACATAGGGGTCCGGGGTTAGACAAGCGACAAAACATCCAGCCAATAGCGATAGAATGGGAAGTGGTGGAAGCGCGAAATCTAGTAGCTCAAGCAAAATCCAGCAAATTGATTGGTTGGTCATTCGCGGGAGAGGTTGGGCCACCCCGAGATTTGGCAAGGATCTCAAAAATGATGGAATCCAATGTAACCAAGCCAAGCAGATCCAGTGGGCTCGCAAACGCCGGCCAAAATGGCGACCGGCTGGACCCTCAGCTCTGATGAACAAGCCAACCGGAGCGTAGTCCTATTGAGCGGGCAACTATCCGTATGTCAATTCTTCCAGATGAAGTCATGACATACTTTAAACGCCCACAAGAAGGCGAGATTGACCGGAGCCGGAGCTCAGTAACCAACAAGGAATTACGCCGTCCATCTATGTGTTTGGGTAAGATCCACCAGAAATCGAAAAAACTAATGTAAACATCGCCTGAGGCTCGCCGACCTCAACGCGTCTAATCAGTCCAGCGATCCTAGAATATGTGAGATCAGGGACACCACGAATAAAGCTTAAACGCGTCAATAATATGGGTGTGATAGCGGCTGCATTGCAGATACAGAGATTATTGCCAATGAGTCCTTACCTAACTGCAGGTTGGTATGTTCTTGCACGCACCTAGGAGGTAGGTAGGTACCTACCTAGAAGGTATGTAGGTACCTGGTACCTACCTAGAAGGCATGTAGGTACCTGGTACCTACCTAGAAGGTATGTAGGTAGGTACCTGAGGGATACCTAGTGCGGAACACAGATTTTCCGGTAGATATCCTCACCAATTTTACAGCTCTGCTAATTGATTAAAACTCACAAGTGTTCCGTACCATGCCACTATTTCTCATCAAAGAGATTACCAGGCAGCTTTGTCAAGTACCTAGTATGTGAAAATTTCTTTTGAAGGTCGTTTATTAGACTCAACTAATGATTTCAGTCCGCAATTGAGACATAACAGGATTCTATGCAGTAATACGGGATTTTCCACCTCCTGGGTGGGTCACTCGACAATTTTTGGCTTTTTTGCGTGTTAGCCCTCGGGAGCTCTGTTGCTAGCCCTAGACTGGCTGGTAGACCCTTGCATTGGCGCTTAACTTTATAGCTAGCAGGGCATAGACGCGTACTACCTACCTAGGTAAGCATGTCGACGACAGCTCTCCAGAGTCCATACTACGAGCTTGGGACCTTCCGTACCGTCCTTATTAATTTCTACCAGTAGACATCCATATTAAATGTACCTGGAAACTTTGGCGCGATTAGTATCCTACTTGGAACTTATTAACCTTATCGCCCATATGACCTACCATCGCACAACTTCGAAGAATAGCATTCCGTGATGACTTACGCCAGAGCTAAATATAAACTCGTCAACCCTACCCTAGTAGGGAGACATACCACTGTTGACCCGTGTATAAAATGCAACCGACTTCCAAAGCCCACATCCAGCTACCTAGGTATCTAAGCTCTCTAATCTAACGACATGCCACTATCGCACCTTGAATCCCTACCTATGGTACTTCTGTTTGCGATGAAGACTAGCGTCAACAGAGCACATGCTCGCATGTTTGCCTCCTCGCCTGTATCAGAAATGGACTGACTCTTGTCCACCCAACATCATAATATTAAACCAGGAACGCGTACATCCGATCCCACATATGCCGTGGACCTAGAGTATCTGACTTGAGTGGTTAAAATCAATACTAGGTGGGCACAGAAGACATAATCACCCCAATTGTTCGTCGCGCGGAATCTCCGTTACACCATCACTACCTTCTAATGCAGGGATGGATTCAGCAGCCACCATATACGATCAAATATTTAGAAGCATGACAAAACCATCCAGCTAGATTTGCTGACTAGAGTATGATCCAATAGATCATGGGCCAGAAAATGAGAAGATACATCATACCCAAGACTTCGAATGTTAGCAATGAAGAATCTTAGTATTGGAGTTTCAGTAGATATCTTTCCATTCTTATTCAATCTCTATCCAGGTAGGTAACAATGGTACCTATGTGAGTAGTAGGAAATCTGGAGCAATGGACACACATCCAACACAAATCAACAGCCTCAAAAAGAAATAAAAGGGACTTCATATAACGTAAGTCAAACACTAACCTAATGGATGCTTCCGCTCTCGTAGGGCTGACAGAATGAAACATTTTACTCAAATAATTAACTCCCTACCAAGCAACTTCAAGTTCTGTTGCCTGATAAATTACCTGGTACCTTAAACCATCAATATATAATTTTGATCGTGCAGTAGGATGCCGAATCATAGGATATGAAGCTCCGTTTTGGTTCGTATTCAACAAAGACCATGTCCTCGCTTTTCTTGTCCCTCCTGCTTGTCATGACTCTTACCGGCCGTATGTAATTAATAATACTTTTTACCTTATTTAATAATTCATGGCTATCCTAGGTTATCCATCCTATTTCTTAATTAATTCACTAAAATTCCATCAAATTTGTCTCTATACTTATACATTATCACACCATATCCAACGTCCGTTTTCTATGTCAAAGCAGTGCTTAAAGATGTAATTATGATCGTCAGATTACCTAGATGTTTCCCTAACACGAATATACGAAGTATAGCAGGCATCTATAATTGTGTGGAGTGCTTTATTTCATCCCTAGTTCTGTATCGAAAAGTCTTGCTTAATACGAAGAATGGTTTAGTACAAAAGGGCATATGTAGCGTCGCGAGTTTCAGTCAAGATCATACTAGATAACCATTCCTTTTCATATCAGGGCCTTCACTATCTAAAGATATCATCTAATATTCTTTCACTGCCAATCTCAACATGCAGAAATTCACAATCCCCCTTCTATGCCAGTTCTTCGTATCCCTAACTCAGGGACTAGTAGTCCATGAGAAGCGGGTGGATTCTTCCTACACCTGGAAAATCAAGGATCTGAACCGACGTAAGGCAACAATAATCTCTATGCTTAGTTACCTAAGAAAATGGATTAACAAGTTGTTTAGTTGTAAGATGGGACGAGAATCTTGTCGACTTGTCTATGACTATTGTTGATGGATCACCCACCGGTGTTTATTGCGAAGTCATTGCAAGAGCCCCTCCTGATACAGACCTTAACGCATGGTCATTTTCGAACTTCAACTGCCTGAACAATGACTGGTCGATCTACTGGGGATATCAATACGGGAATGATGCAGGAGTTATGACTGTAGTCTCGTAAGTAAGAACCTATAAGATACTCCTGTCGTCCATCTTGCTGATCATTTTCGTAACCTTCAGTCCTGATAAAGACAAACGCGCCTTTTTCGGGTTTGATCATGTTAATACACAGACTCATCTGGGAAACTCTGGCCCCAGTCAAGTTTCGGCAGTCTAGTGCTTGGGGGATAAACATCATGGACTTCAGCATAGATTCATATGTTGTTACAATCTCTTGTTTCTCGTCGCTCCTTCACGTCGGACATATCTTTATTTCCAGCTCTCTGAGACCATGAAGTATGGATTATATTAAAACAATGTTAAGATGATGGTATATGGTAAGATTTTCTGGTTCCAATTACTCCTATTTCCTTTCTTTATAAGCAATATGAACTTTTCCATGTACTACTTAGATAGTAGATATCATCAACTCATCATCCCTACTCATGAAGAGCTAATGCATACTGCTACATAAAGTTCTTTTGTAGGAGTTCCTACTGGTTAAAGATAATGTGAATATATATAGCATTTTCACCTCAATACGACGATTCGGTTGCCCTAGTCGTCTCGTGTAACAGTGCGATCGCAAGGATGAGGTATACTGTTGAGTACCTACCTAGGTAATCGTTAACTGGACTCGGCCACGGGTAATCCTAAGCCTCACATGGGACGAGACTGCCCACTGAGTGTCTAAGCAAGTTTGCTTTCAACGTCCACTGCTCCACTTTGCCGCGAAAGTACCGAGGCAGAAGGGCCTCGGAATTAGTGCCCCATGTAATAATAATACTGTATTACACGGTGCTTAGGTAGTATGTAGCTTCCTTTGTAGCGCCAAGCCGCTATACCAAATTTGGATTGAAGCTTAAGGAACGTTGATTTTTCAGGATTACACTTTTAACCTTGATAACTTTATCAAAAGCTGCTTTATCGACTAAATTTTAATATTGAATAATTAATTAATTTTCGAACTTTTTAATAAACCACGTTGCATCATTTTAGCTCTTCTATGTGGTTAGTTATATAGCATTGTTTGAAATTTGTATTTTATGATGATTAAGAATGATCAGGTAATTGCCAAAGTATTTAAATGGATACGCCTAATTAGGTAGTTTTCTTTTACTTAACTTAACTCAACAGAGAGTTGTCCAAAAGAAGTGCAACTAAATTTATTATATTCGCTAAGCCTTAAGCTATACCTAAGTCCTGAAAAAGCCATAGATAAGCTCGAACTAGGAAAGTTATCTAATTATGAAAGTAAAGAGTAGTTAATAGTTGTTATTATATAATATCTAATTAGCTAAACTTAAGTTTAGCGTTACAACTTAGCGTCACTTTTAGACTACATACGGCCTGCTTAGTCAGCAATACAGGTACGTACAGTGTAATACAGTATTATTACTACATGGGGCACTAATTACGAGGTCCTTCTGCGAGGTAACTAGCCGCGCTAGGCAGTCAACTAAATCACCCTATGAATAAGGTGAACGTTAGAGAATAGCTGTACATCATAGTTTGAAGATAGTAGGATAGTGGCCTGATTCAACGACTACTAGATAGGTGGGTAAAGAAGCATGGTGTTTTGGTGTGGAGTGAAAATGACAACACACTTATAGTGGTTCTCCATAGCTACCTAGTCTCAGGGTGTCATAGGGCAATTAGAGGTAATTCATCCATATAGGGATTAGCCCTTGATTACATCAGCTGAGCGTGGGTATACCTAGTATCTAGCACTCCGTTCTATAGGAGCAAAGCTCCCTTTTACTTAATAGATCATTCCGCTCACTATGCTAGAGATCCGGCACCCACAGACTGTGTGACACAGGGTGATTGGTTGGACGTAATGCATTTGTTGGTTGCTAAATTTTCAGATCCTGGCCGGGACCTTCATTACTACAGCACCGTATTCACTAAGGCTTAATTCAACACGCGACTAGAAGCACCTAGGGATAATTTTCACGAGACATAGCTAAATGCTCGAAAACAAGTAACACAGGTAGGTTGAAGTTGAGTTATGAACATATGATTAGGCACTGAGGGAACCTAAGATGCATTTGTGAAATGGGCAGGTAGGTAGGTAGAATGTTATTCCCTTGTTCAAAGTCATTTGTCATTTCATAGCCAGTAGAGGTGGCCAGCAACAGCTCCAATCAAATATCGCACTGATTTGTAAAGGCCAGTGAACGAATAACAATGTATAGATTGCGTTGACCCAAGCTGTCGGGACGAATACCTACGGTCACGCGGCAGCTCGTTTTATGGATTATAGATGGGGTCAACAGGGATATGCCCGACTTTAGGAGGGTTAGATAAAAAAAAAAAAAAACCGTTGTTACCGAATTAAGAGGGTGGGTCCTGTAGCTAAGGTGTGGCTGGTAGGGCATTGCGAGGGGGGCGGGGGAGACCTGTGATAGGCAAGTCAAAAGCGGAAACGTATGATGAGTCAGCAAGGAATGAGCCAATCAGTGAAGAGCTAGTGGGTCCAGCCCGATTCAGGCGCGGATTACGTAAGTACTGATTAGTCAGTTCAAATGAGTGTTCAACTTTAGTCCTACCTACCTAGTAATTGACTGATTATATAATACAGCAGCCCTGGCTTTTAGGTCAGGTCAGGTCAAGTCAGTCCCTGACCTAGGGGCAGTTGAATAAAACCTTCAGATAATAATAAGTCCCCTATTCTAAAAACTTGAGGCTCAAGCTTATATAATTAGCAGAGCGACCAATCAAAAGCAATTGAACCGCAGTGGATGTTGCTTACGTCAAATGTTGTCTTCAACGGGGTGCTTAGTCAGTTGAAGAGCGTTGGATTGATTATATGATAGGTACAGGATAGAACAGGTTAGGTCCAGGGACCTGTTCGTTTCATGATGCGCCTACTACGTAGTAGGTTTCTTTCCCTTTCTGGTTGTCGCTTGTGCAGCCCCACTTAGGCTGGCTTCTTTCGTAGATCTCGGATGCCGTTTCTTCCTGTCAACCGTTTAGTGAACCGACATATAATAGCATGAGGAGCGGCCCGGTTACTCATCATGGGGGCCGAAAGCCCAAGTTGGAAATTTCCCTCGTATGATTTACTAGCTTACCTGCCTAGGTATCTATCGTTACAAATTATAATCTAACGAGGAAACTCAGAGCGTTACTCTAATCATTAAACGGGGAAAAAATCCTTGCTCATCCGTGCACAAAGTTCGTAGATGCCTCGACCGTCGTGACATAGACCAGATCCTAAGCATTATTCGATTTTCCTAGTATCAAGTGTTCAGTTATCGAGCATCACTTCCCAACGTTCTTTTCGTTGGCACTTCTTCTTCATTGAGTCCAACAGTTGTCCACATTGCGAAACAAGGTAGTCCTATTCCTGGTCACCTCCGAGTTAAGACACATAGGCACCTAAGTACTTAACAGAGCCTTGACACGCCCTTCAACCTTTCCTTCTATACCTACCTAGTCATTCTCGGGGTATTACTGTATATATGAGCTGTCTATCTATCGAGCGATTGGAGGAAAATGAGGATAGCTTGCCTACAGTTCGCTCCACAACTTGGAGAGACCGACAATAACCTCAACCGAGCCGACGCGGTTCTGAGCAAGGCAAACCCCGAAGATCTTGATCTCCTTGTTGTACCAGAGTTGGCTTTTACAGGTAAGTTCCTGTTGAAAAGTAGAATGGAGGTACTGACTTTGTGAAGGATATAATTTCAAGTCGCTTCAACAAATCAGTCCCTTTCTCGAACCGCAGGGCTCCGGCGTCAGCGCATTGTGGGCAAGAACCACCGCCCTCAAGTATAATTGTGTGACGCTGGTTGGATATCCCGAACAAGCTGATATCAAAACAAAATGGCCAACATCCCCAGAGTATTATAACTCTGTTATTGTCATTAATGGCGATGGCGAAACAATCGGCCACTATAGAAAAAGCTTCTTGTATTATACAGACGAGACATGGGCATTGGAAGGGCAGGATGGGTTTTGGGAGGGTCATATTCCCGGTCTAGGACACACATCGGTGGGCATTTGTAAGTGGTCCTTTCTATTGACGTATTCCATCTACTCAGCTAACTGTTGATTAAGGTATGGACCTGAAGTAAGGTCTCCGTTCAATGCACATGGATAAACTTGCTGACAGTATATAGCCCGTACAAATTCGAGGCACCATGGCATGCTTTTGAATTCGCATTTCACGTTTTGGAGATGCAATCAAATCTCGTCATCGTCACTATGGCTTGGCTCACCCGAGAAGATGGCCGCCTGTTTTCCCGTATGCCTAATGACCCGGACCTAGAGACCTTATCGTACTGGGTTGCGCGTCTCGAGCCTATCATTCGATCAGATAACCAAGAAGAAATCATAGTTGTTTTCTGCAATCGCACCGGCATTGAGGGAGATGCGGTTTATGCTGGAACTAGCACCGTGATCGGGATAAAAAATGGCGAGGTCTCGGTTTATGGAATGCTGGGAAGGGGAAGTAAAGACCTGTTGGTAGTAGATACGGACGCTGCCCCGTATGCTAAATTAGTATACAGGCCCGATGGGGAAGAGTCGGGAATTATTTCAATGAACGACCATTGGGATGGTGATTTGACTGCTAGACCGACGAAACCCGAGGAGAAGGACTTGTTAGAGAAGCCGACAAAGCTTGCTTCTTCCGGAGAAACGGGATCGAAGAGTGGCTCAACAACTAGGTCTCCTAAGCATGCTAGACCGTCCGAAACTCCGAATCGAAACGTCCAACCTATGTCACCTCTCAGCGAATCAGCACTCGCCAACCACAACCCAATATCCTCTGGGGGCGCGACGAAAGACTACGATTACGTGCCTTTAGGCCGAAGGTCCAGAGCTGGGAGTGACAGGAGTACGGCGTCTATTCAAGGTTCAGTTTCCTCGAGGCATTCGGCTAATTCTAAAGCCTCAAAAGATTCAAGGAAGTCAAAGAGCTCAAGTCGTTCCAGGGCTTCTAAAGGATCTTCTAGTTCAAAAGGGTCGAGTTCTCAGAGATCATCGTCTAGGAAAGTGAGGGTAATGTCTCCTCCGATACAGACTTCGAATCCCAAACCAGCAAATGATACAGTTCCAACTCCAACAGGACCGAGCCCGACACCTTTGGCAATTCGGCCTAAGTTGGTCATTCCGAAGGATGCACATAGACGTCCTCACATCCCCACGCCGCATCCAGCTGCAGCGCAAAAGGCCCCTGGACGAATCTATGGGGGAAGCGTTACGATACAACACCAGAACAATCTTGCAACACCAACTCCATCAACTGCTTTCGACGACTTAAGCCCCCAATCGCCCAATAGGTTCTTCTGGGTTCCATCGGACTCACTCCTACAAACTCCCATGGAACCGCGTATTTGGACGCCTGCATTGGCCGACTCGCCAACTATTGAGCTGCGAACGGCTGTGCCTTCACAAGCGTATATCAAAAACATTGCTACCGTCAGAACACAGCTACCTGTTCCTCCACCAAAAGAAATACTTAGCTCACGATCTCCAAAGCCGAGCGGTGATGTTAAACCCGGGGCCGAAGCGGCGGTAGTCTCCGGGGGTGAACAATCCCGGCCGGCTGCCAAAGATGACCGCGCTCCGGTGAGGCCGTCGTCTCCCAAGTCGCGCAACGCCAGCAGATCGAGGAATCACGAACGCTCAGACTCTGCAGTCGGTCAAAGGGCTGACCTAGCGGCGATTGCTCAGCGCCTAGAAGCTCTATCTCCGCGCCCTAGTTCTGCCGCCGGGCAGAGGATTGAGACGTCCTCGCCGCGTCCCGGCTCAGCTCTGGCTCGACGAGGCGATGGGAAGGAAAAGAGCTCTAGCGATATGCCAGATCGCCCTTCTTCGCCAAAATCTCGCAATGCAAGCCGGAATAGACCCGCCGCAGCCGAGGATTCAGTCGACCAACGGGATTCTAACCTTTCAAGGAGTTCTATCTTAATTGGCGCGAGCCCTAGTATACTTGACAGTACTTCAACTACTAGAGGACCGTCAGCGATGTTTCGGCCGGATAGTCGCATGAGTAACGTGGAGCCCATATACCGCCCCATGTCACGGGAAGCACACTCCCGGAGTAATAGTGTGGCTCTGGTGTACAAGTCTCAGACACCAATTATCCCAGGGCCGGCTGGCAATCGTCCACAGTCCCGCGCCGTCAGTCGTGGGCGGCAGCGTGGAGCAAAAGATGTTACCGGCGCCCTTGACAATACGGATATTGAGAGGAGAGACTGTTCGATTCCCGCTCGGCGACCAAGTGCCCCCTCGATCGGCTTCAGGAGCCCGGCTGAATACGAGGCCGAAATCCAACGTAACTCTCCAGGGAAATCTGTCCAGGGAGTTTCATACGATGATGAGATTGTCAAGGAGATCATCGTGCGTCGCTCGCCGAGCTGCGCGGTTCATGGTAACGAAGGTCATCGGGTCGCAACACCAAGAAGTGGAACCAGCCAAGCCAGAAGTACTCCTGACTCAGAGGAATCGTCGAAAACTAATGATACCAATGAGGGTAGCAAGACGGAACAGAGTTCGGATATACCCACGCTTGCAGTTGAGACTACTGCTAACACAAAAGGTTCGCTCGCCACACCCCCGTTTTCGTTTGATCCTAAGACTCCGAAGGCTATGGCATTCATTCGAGATGACGACCGCCCGATCCCTACTACTCCTATGTCCGCTCCATTTGTTAAACCCTTGAAGCTCGCTAAGTGCTTTGGACAGGAGGCAGTTGGTAAGGTTCTCGTCAGGCCAAAGAGTGCCGTCTGGTAGCGGCGCCGTCACGCGTCTATGAATATGACTACGATTTAATGCCAAGTATACCTCATTGCTCTATTAGCAAGGAGTTATTTAGATCTACGATACATGTCACACGATAGTAATGAGAGTAGCGAAGTTAGAATGACTGATTAACAAGCAAAATTGCGCACGGTGTTGGAGCAATGGAATGGATGGTTGATTCTTGCATTCACCTTTTCAACGCATCATGTATTACGGCTTGGGGTTCTGAAATCTATCGTTTTTTTTATCATGTAACCAAGTTCTCTAGTAGCGATGCTTTGGTAGTGTTGTCGCGAGTAGCATCATATCCATAAGTGCATGATACTAAAACAATCAAAGGCGGAGCCTACTGAAAATTAATTAAGCCTTGGGCTATCTCATGTTGTTCATGTAGGCTGTCTACCCTGCCCTTCCATTGGATAATATCCATGGCGGTCCTTCACATACCGGTACCTGGCTGCCTGGGTACGTCGGGCTAATGCTGATCTACAGTGCCACCTGGCCGCTGGAACCGTGGCCAACCCGTCCCATCGGTCGAAATAACCTTGGCTGGCCGACGAGGAGACCGTGCATATAAGGCTGAGCGACAAATTTTGTTGCAATCTTGAGCCCGGTTTTTAATTGCTTTGACTATTTTCTAGGTAGTAAAAGGATATTTGAATAGTGCTAATAGAGGCTATGTCTTGTTACTATGTAATTGTTGAAATACCTAGGATTATTAATTAGGGAAATGGCGGAAATTCATGCTCTGGAGGGATGACATGCATTCCTGCCAGCCTGCTTCATGTAGGCATTTGCATAGGTGCATATGCTATATGCATGTTGGTTCAGTCTGTCCAAGCGGGCGCTTGGAGCTGGCAAATCCAAGCAAGGATTACGTAGCCCGTGTGATAGAATCGGGCTCGTCTCGGATTGGCACGTTCGCTTCAGTACGGGCCGATGGACTACCTTCGCTCGGTTACAAAGGGTAAAAGGTTCCTCTTCGTGGAAGGATACATGTAAATGAAATGAAAATAGGAAAGGAAGGCGTAAATAAGTCTGAAGGAGGCAGGTACCTGTCGTATTTGTGACAGGTCGTATAAATAAGGTATTATGCCAGCGTTTGCCAGGTTCCATAGCCTCCGCTTCCTTCCCGTACCTCTCTGGGTACCTAGGTATCTAGGTAGGAGGTATCCATCTTAAACGGGAGTTTGCCGTTCTTTTATTCAGAGTTACAGTTGCGACGAGAACAAGCGGCGGGATTTAAGGGTCACATACCTACAGAAAGCCGTGACACGGAACCTGCAATCACGTGGACTCAACCCTCTGTAGGTCTCGTGAAGTCGGCCGTCAGGGATTCTCAATTGGAACTTGGAAGTGCTCCCCAATACAACATCAACTGACAATTTCCGAGTTGAACGTCTTCCAAGCCAGCGACATCTAAGTATCGTGATAGCTTTTCAACAATACCTAAACAGCATAGCTTTCTACTAAGCAAGACTCAGTAATCAACTAGTCTTAAGGTCAAAATACTGTCTCTACTATACTGTAGGTACCTACGATACTATCTACTTGCCTAAGCATGCTAGGAGAGTTGCCACAAGTATAGCATATGAGATCTTTTTCCTAGGTAGGTGTTTGACCCGAAGCAGAACGTCACAGTTTATTCTCTGCGGCAATAATATATGGGGTCTAGGTGCCGGGTCTTTCGCTTTTGAGCCCGTTTGAGCCTTTATAGTTACCTACTACTAAAAGATAATATGCTTCCAGTTATTCGCACCCTTTTGGCATTCTCAGTCTCGGTAGGTTTCGCTATTGTGCTTGAGACTTCCACGCAGTTAACCGACTAATGCTAGATCCCGGAACGTCAATCTGCTGCTCTACGATTCTGCACGTGTTACGGTTGCAAGACATGAAAGCAAGCATAGGTACGAGCTACGCATCATGGATTGGCCAACTCAAACCCGCTGTAGTTAGAAGGTTGCTCTCTTCCTCGTCAGGAGCTGATGTATGTTGGCACACTGCAGCAGGTACAATCTACACAGTGACATGAGATATTCTTACTAGGTTCATGCCACATTCTTTACCTAGCTTGCAATATGTATTTTTTCTGGAAGATGTCTAGCATTTAGCCTACTATGATATTCTTTTCAACGTCGTGCTTTGTACCCGACCAGGCGGCCAACCTCCTTTTTCTTTTATGTTTTCAAAGAATTGTCATAAAATATCGTATGAGAGACATGTTGATTGACGGACGACCACGCTGGTAGCTTGGAACAACATAACGTGCCTTACCACCGATGGAACATATTATCGGGTCTTAGTCGACAGCTTTTCTAACTAGGTCTAGGATGTCTATCGGAAGTAATTTATCTAAGACGATGACATGAGCTCCTTTTCCCTGTTTTAGTGAATGTCTTTAGTCTGGGATGGACACCTAGAATCATATAGAGAGCTAACTGCAGGAAGCCGATGGGTATATGTCACAGAGGTCTCACAAGATCCACGCAGTGAATGGCAATACATGAAGACGCGGCATCGAAGCAAACAACGACCCTCGCCTTGTTGTGTTTCCAAGAGACCTAGATAGATGACGAATAAGGTTGACCCGAAGCGGAACGGATACGTGATTCTTCGCCATCATATCGCTTGTTCAATGTCTCATAATACCTTGTTCATGTCGCGCACATTCGTAAATGCAGACATCCCGCTGTTTGCTTCTAAGCATGATCCTTGATCTTCAGTAAACACATTCAGAAATATGCTATCATATCAAGGTGGGAGACGACGAAATCCCGGGAAGTAGATGGGTATATAAGGAGCCGCCCGAATCAACGCAACTTCGATCTATAGTATCAATTCCACAATTTCAATTCGAAGCAAAGAGTAACAGTTGCAACAATATCCAAAATGAAGTTTCCTTGGTCAAGATTTCTCTCCTTTTACGTCGGGTTCGTTACAGTCTGTCTGGCAGCGTCACTTGAATCGACGGGAGATTTGTCGGTATCCGATGTCCGCCGCACCAAATACCAAGACAACACGACCTGCACATGGCATTTCACCGTAATCAACTCTACTTCGGAAGCTGGCATGACGGATATCTTTAGCTGTAACTTCGACGTCAGAGTCGTGGAAGGGACAGACTGCGGCGCGGCATCCTTCGAAAATTCCTGCAGCAATAATAGTTCGTATACAGTTAACGGCGGACACAGCGACCAAGGATTTGTCGTGATCGTTCTCGTCAATAATGATCAAGGATCCTTGGCATACTTCGCATTCTCAGACGAAGACCTGGATTCTGCGTCTAAGGTCTCTAATCAGACTATGCCAACGTATCCACAGGCAACTACCCAGCGACGCGATTTGATCGTAGGACGACAGGACAGCAACAGCACTCCCTCTTCTACCGAATGGAAAATCGAGGATCTTTTTAGAGGTATGGTACATAGAGGGAACCTTTAGGGAATTTCACAGCTGACATGAGATATTTATTAGACGTCAATGTCCAAAAGCATACGGTGACGGTGGGCTTTAGACTCCTTGATGGAAGCATGGGTGGTTCACATTGTATGCTCACACTTACACCCCCCGAAGGTGTTGATATGCAAAGCTGGGCGTGGTATAACCAGGAATGCGTAGGGAGCGGTTACTTCGCTTCGTGGGGATATATGGAAACTGGTGACGCTGGTATCATGACGATAGTCAAGTAAGCCCCGCAACGCATTGCCCCAGTTGTAATAGAGAATCACGATATGCTAATGTGCGTCTGCAAAGTTCGACTCGCAATGGCCTGGCGTTCTTCGGATTCTCCAATATCAACTCCAGTTCGTACTTAGGGGATGCGGGACCAAGTACGGTTTCATACTGTAACTGCGGCTGACCATGACTTGGAAAAGCCTGTAAAAAGCTCGAAGGAACTTCGAAAAGGTGCAGGCCTACTCGTTTTATCTGGAAGTAATGTTAGATATTAGATAGAGGATAATATGAAGTACTCCAACCTATCCAAGGCCAACCTAACATATGGGCCTAGGGGCTTGTATACCTAAGCGCGCGGCTACTCTAATACATCTTCAAGGACTCCACATTGTTGCTCACCGTCTTGAAGATTCAGAATGATAAATCTACCAACAATACAAGTTTAGGCAAAGAATACGATCTCTCTAGCCACACAGACATGGACGTGACATCCTACACTTGACGTACTAGGCCTGAAGACTTTTCGCGGCACAGGGTTCTAGACTTGCGGTCAAGTAATATTACGTACCTACCTAGGTACTTGAAAGAAGGATCAATATGTCTCACAAAGTATCTACATGAACGTAACAGTTGGGTTATCGCCCTGCGACGGCGAGGCGCCGCATCGCCAAGACTGTGGTCCAACACTCCATAAATGGAATACTCGCAACGGGTACCTACTTCTGGATGATCGGAATAGGTATCATGGCAATAATAATCCATTAATTGGAAATGGCTAATACAACTCTATTGGCATCGTAATCTATGTAATAGCCTAGAATTTTACTTGGTGATAACCATGACAATATTCCGCTGCAGAAAATATCCCTAAGTAAAGAGCTGCCGTGTAACTTGACTTGACGTCTTTAGGCGGGAGGAGACGCTATGTACCTTGTAGTAATGTTTGGAAGGTTTATCAATCAGGTGGGGTCGGGTAGCTCCATAGTAGTTGATACCTACTACGTGCATGAACTGTGAAGGCAGGCTGGGAGGTGGGAATAAGGTCACATTCAACATCATAAAATCATTCGATGTCGGCAGTGGGATTTTTTGCCCTTTGAAAATACCGATGACACCATCATGATATGGAGAATTAAGCGCGCGTATCTACCTGATGTGCATATCCATTAACTTGGTGGCCGATTATGACTGGCCCCCTTTTCGAGGAAATCGAATGACGAGCTTGTACTTGGGCTGAATCTCATATTTATTTGTCGGGGAAGGTATCTTTAAAAGAAGGATTGCAGCCTTTCTTAGTTATAGGTTAGAACTTCACCATTCTCCTCCGCACCAAGAGGTGCTGTAAACAGTAACTAGGTACAATTCATATGATTACATTCATGGGAGAAAATGTTAAGCCGAGAACATTCATCATAGCTACGTAGATCTGGGAGTTTTTACACGTGTGGATCGTTGGGCTGAATCTTGGTGGTTCGCTGATGGCCCTTGTCAGTTTTTGGAGAGCGCTAAACAAGCACTCGCAAGTGGCTGCGATAGACGGTTACCCCTGTTGTGATCTTTTGAGAATTACCCTAACTGGTGGTTTGTAGGGACGACCTAAATCGACCCCACTCGCTATCCACTGCTATAGGTACGTACAATTAGTTGTTAGGATAGCCCGCCTTGGAGTATGATCCATCCCGCCTTCACATATATGTAACACTACCATCGTGGTTTTAACTTTCGCCCTCTCACACGATAAGCACTAGGTCACCAAATTCTCGAGTACCGACTCGGCGACCGCTAAGTTGTCGCGGGAGCAGGTGGCGCCGTCGACTATATCGCAGTAGAAGCTGTCCTACCAAGTCCACCGTTTCAAAGCTGCCCTGCCAACAGATCCCGAGATATTCGCACGGTAGTCATTAGGTAGTAAGACGAGCACGAAATTGCGACGATGAAGATCGCTTGCTTGCAATTCGCCCCTCAGGTATTATCAGGTCGGTCAATGAAGTAGATACCAAGCTAATTTTGATCAAGGTTGGCGATGTCGACAACAATCTAAACCGAGCCGATGCCATCCTGAACAAGGCGAACCCCCAAGACTTAGACCTTCTCGTCCTACCCGAATTAGCGGTAACAGGTAATTATTCGCGATATCGCGGTGTGCGACAAGAACACAGGCTAATTCGCCCAGGTTACAACTTTCGATCGTTGCGTGACATCTCTCCGTTTCTCGAGCCGACGGGGGCGGGGATTTCCTCAGTATGGGCCAGGACAACTGCTCTCAAATACAACTGCACGACCATTGTTGGATATCCGGAGAAGATGGACGTTTCTAGACAATGGCCGACGTCTCCTGAATATTATAATTCTGCGTTGATGGTAAACCAAGACGGAGATACGATTGGTCATTATAGGAAGACGCATTTGTATTATACTGACGAAACATGGGCTCTCGAGGGATCCGGCTTCTTCAGGGGTCGTCTTCCTGGTATAAAGGGTAATGTAGCCATGGGCATCTGTAAGTCTTCTATGATTCATAACGATTTTGTGGTCTTTTCCTGGCTAACGAAGTTCACTAGGTATGGACATTAAGTAAGCGGCACACTTGACAGACAGCTTACCCTACCTAGATACTAACCTTTTTGATAGTCCATATAAATTTGAAGCCCCGTGGCATGCCTTCGAGTTTGCGTTCCACGTCTTGGAATCAAATGCGAATCTAGTCATTTTGAGCATGGCTTGGCTTACTACCGAGGACTTCGGGGTCTACTCGAGTAAAAGTTCGGAGCCAGACTTGGACACATTAACCTACTGGTTGACTAGATTGGAGCCTCTGATTCGCGCCGAAACTGAAGAAGAGATTATCGTCATCTTTGCGAATCGGACTGGGGTTGAGGATAATGCAGTGTACGCAGGTACGAGTGCAGTAATTGGAATTAAAGAAGGCGAAGTGAGTGTCTATGGAGTTCTTTCGCGTGGGGCGAAAGAACTTCTGGTCGTCGATACTGATGCAGCACCGTACGCGAAACTAGTATATCGGCCAGAAGATGATGGGAGATCGGTTAGTACGACGGAGGGCGAGACTCAATTACCACAAAGTGGAAAAAAAAGTTCAGGAGGTACGCCAAATAGCCACAGCGCGCCAGCAGGTGCCTCTGGAAGCCCGGGGGCATCGACTGAGCCCAACACCGAAGACCTAGAGCCGCTTGTAGAGACCGGTCGTCGAAGCGTGCCGCGTACTGTGCATGTCGATACCCCAATTTCGCCGCGATATTTTTGGCAAAGGTCAACTGCAGGATCCGAATATAATGGATCCACAGACGGTTCTGTTCCTCGAAGCATCAAACGAGATGCCAATGTCGAGTCATCGGGGTCCGTAAATAGACTGAACGACACCATTACGGCTAGCGAGACTCCTGTCAAACGGCCTGGTTCAACGAAATCCCGCAATGCAAGCCGCCATAGGCCCCATAACTCACAACCTGCTAGTACAGCAGAGCAAGTGTCTCAGTCAAACCCGATAGGAGTAAGGAGGCAAAAAGATCAGGATGTCAAAGTAACACCTAGGAGACCAACGACCGACGTTGGACAAACAATGCTATCTCCTGATTTAGATAAGCTAGGTGCAGACCTCATGGTGTTCGAAGGACCTTTAACCAACGGGCCAAGGCGGGATAGTCTTATATGTCATGTGGATGAAGATGATTATGCTGCGGTACTATTGGCCAAGCATAAAGACTACGCCGTAAAGAAGCCGAGCAAACCCGATACACGCAATGGTCGTTCTAGCTCTCGACACGCCAAATCCAATGGCTCGCCAAAGGAAGGTAGTGGCAGGTCTCAGTCGAGAAGTAAAGTCTCAAACGGATCGCCGACAATTCCTTTTGAGACAAGTCAGGGGACACCTGTTCGACCGGCAAGTCGTGGAAGACACCGAAGCGGCAGCACGACAACGCCGAAGGGTTTATCGAAGAAGTCATCGCACAGTCGTATGGCGTCAAACGGGCCCCCTCAAACACGACTTGATGAAGTGCGGAGAACACCCAAGGAACTCGGCCACAACGCTAGACATAAACGTGAGGGTTCAGCGAGCGCAACATCTCCATCTCGTCAGCATCGGTATGATCCCGTACCATTGCCAAATAAGCCAGCTAGGTACATGAACTCGGAACCGGCCGTTGAACGTGAAGTGACGCTGCCCGTCAGGACGAAGCATCGCAAAGATGATTCTCGCTCTGCATTGACTAAGGGGGCAGCAGCTTCCCCGGAGATTAATCATCCAAGTCCGAGTGGTTATGTCCCCTCGACTGTAGCGGAGACTAGAGTACCGGCACCGAAGGTCTTCCCAGAAAGAATCCCGCCAACGCCCAAGGCTATGATACTTCCTCCCGATTATGATGGCAGTGTCAACCATCAGAGTATGCCTGCGCTACCAAGAAAAGAGCCACAGGTAGTTAGCATGAAATGCGTCGATGAAAGCACCGATGTACGGTCCGATAGGCCAAGGAGTGCGGTATGGTAAATCGTGAGTAGGGACTTGTCGGGAAATTATGGTGATACCACCTTGTTTATTCTAGCGAGGAGTTCAAGGAAAGGGAGTATGTATGTTAGTTCCGGGTTGTATGCCATGAGACGTTATAGATGTATGGAAGTTTAAGTACTTTCTTTTGAATGAAGAAGGCTTGTTGATGAACATATGGTTTTGCATAGGTATTGAAGTGTTTTTCTGTGTTTTATGTAAGAACACCGGTCACTTTGTAGACCAGCCATATTGCGACTCATTGGGGGCATTTAAGGAGATATACGCGCGACTTGATACGCTTGGGAACAGAAGTGCATCCCTTACCTTGGTAAGGTAAGGTATACAGGTATGGATGTACAAGGAAGATCGATGTCATAGGTCAGCCCTTACGTCCGTATAAACTCGGGTTGCCGATTCTATCGGAGCTTCAAGACAACGTACTTATCCGAATCCTCTGTATCAAGCACATGCCACGTTTAGATACACGCTAAGCATGTGAAGCGATACCCTAATGACGACTCATTGACGAGAGATTGCTTTAATGCATGTCGATTCAAACTTGTATGTTGAATGCCAATCAATGCGCAAAATCGCTGTACTACCAACTTCACTAAATACTACCTCATACGCTGGGTTGGACGCTTGGAGAGTTTAAGTGTATATAACTTAGTAGTTACTAAAGATATCTATTTTCGGCATTGGGGTGGAAGAGCAATAGGGACCCGAAGGATCGGCAGAGCCGCCGGTGGCGTAGCCGATCATATGGTATTCGTTACGGCCCCGTAAGTCATAAACAAACCACAATTGAAAAACATGCTCGAATAGCCATGTGGCTTCGACATAATGGCTTCTCGTCAACCGCTTGGTAAGAAATGTTTGCTCTTCTACTGCGCTAGTCTGGGCGCTTGAGAGCAAGACATTCTATGCAACACCATAATATTTAGCGAATGAGGGTAAACCGGCATTCTCCGGTCTCTTCGTCATCAAGTCCCGACAGCCTGGATCGCTTAGCACACCAAAATCTCCTGGCGGTTCGCTCGTGCGAGACTTCGTTGATGTGATACGAGTGACGAGACACCATCAGACCCCCGATCAGGAGGGACCTGTGCCGGACTCCCTCAACGCACGTCAAATCAGCCACTAAGGGGGCCGAATTGGGCCGTCGCAATATCGCAACCATGGCAACAAAGCATTTTCCGCTGCATGACAGACGAGACGGCTAATTTCTCGGTCGACGGCCATCTCGCATTTGCATTTGTATTTGCATACAAGGGTGGCTGGCCGCCCCCGAAGGCCCCCGAGGGACCCCAAGGTGGGATCTGCGTAGTAAGTTCCTTTGGGGGTTCGCAGGACGATGGATGACGACTCTGCTAGCCTGCATACACGTTAACCATGCCGATTGTGTACTAATGTGTACCGTGACGAGGCCGGTAGTGTACTGGCTGACTGACTGATTGAGAAGTCGATGGATCGATAAGAGTTGGGGGATATTTGGTTGCTAGGCACATTTAATTGATTATTGGATAGAATATTTAGCGGGCCACTTTAAGCATCTCCAATCAACGCCAACAAACGGCCGTATCCGAAGCTATCAACCTGGATCTCCACTTGAGAAGGTGGCACGGACAGGGTTCCCTGCAGCCGGAACCGAGAACTAACACACGTGCTCTAAATCCCCATTGGCCGGTTGTCTTTCACCTGCATCCTGCCCCCGACTTTTTGGAAGGCATATCCTGGCATAGTCCCGATTGTCCGACCCCACCGAATCACGATGATAGCTCCGCTCGACCCCCTCTCTGCCTCCTCTTCCCTTCTCAAATCCTGCAATGATTTGCATACAGCTTTACCAATTCTGTTGGTGGACCGATCAGGCTTAGTGAGGTGATGTGCCTGAGATTTCACAAGGCGGTCGAGCCAGATTGTTAGTTATCACCAAGCCATTCGCGCTTACGGTCGTGCTCTCTTACAGAGAAACTTCTTTCAATTGGGAATGAGATGATACCACAGCGTCCAAGAAGCGCTCAATCCTATCCCTTGCTTTGTGGTTGAGCGAAGCTTTTGCCTCCTCGTCGCTGTCTCTGTCTCTCGGGGACTTTATAAACCTCCGTTTGAGCCTCAACAACAATTGATGCTTGGGCCCTCAGGGATTCTTTCTTAGCTGCAGAGATAGACGACATCCGTCTCGAGTCCTTGTACGATTAGCGACACATATTCTATACCTCTTGATATCGCTCTACGCCCCTCGCTCGCAGGCGGAACCGCCAAAGGATCAAGAAGCCAAGGAGCAGTGGTTATCATGTATCGTACTCTCGTTTTCGCCGCGCTTTGGCGCATATCATCTCCTTTACTCGTAGCGAATGGGTCGCCGTGTGGGACACAATGCGGCAACGTTCTTTCCTCGACAACGGACGACATGATCGTCTGCGACGAGTCGGCGTATAGTACCACAACAAATGGTCAAGTCTATGAGGCCTGCATCGGTTGCGAGTCAACAAGCACTTACTCGACAGTTCGTGGCCAACAAAACACCTCAGACTTGCAGTACATGCTCTGTACGCGCTCATCCGTACCCCTGCGCATAAGTCCTAGATTTACTAATTTGCGCCACAGATAATATGCGATATGCCGTCAACGTATGCTTATTCGAAGCTCAAACGAGCCCGTGTATAACTTCGTATGTATCCACGAGGTTCCATCACACGACTATTGCTAATTCCAGTAGCTTCGCCTGTAAAAATATAGAGTCAGCAATCCAATATCAAAACCTCTCGTCTAGTAGCTCGATATATGGTTACTGCGATCAGTGGACCGATTATAACCTCGATAAATGTCATGAGTGCTTGACTTCCGAGGCTAATGGCCATTATCTCAGCAACTGTAAATCTCACCACGAGCCCCTTTGATATGGCATCAGTTAACATAATTCACAGTCATATCGATCCTGGATGGCGCCTGTAATTTAAGGCTCGAGCCGCCGGCCACTATTCCATTGCAAGGCAGCATCTTTTCCACCAACGTCTTGAACGTGACGAGCCCTACGCCTACGGCAACGTTTACGCCCCCAGGCCTCAATGGCCCGTTAGACTCCGGTGCCATCGCTGGTATCGCCGTCGGCGGCCTCGTCGTCATCCTGGCCCTGGTTGGATGCGGGATCGTCCTCAACGGCAAGCGCCGCAGAAAGGCGTACCTCCGACGCCGATCGCAAATCAGCAAGAACTGGCCCCCGGGGCAAGGCGGCGGCGAGATGTACGAGACGCCCATCAGCCAGAAGCCGCTGCGCGGGTGGGAAGACTCGCCCGTCAGCGCGGCCACGCAGTCGACCTTCCCGCCGTACTTTTCCCCCTATACGTCGCAGTACAACAGCCCCGTCAGCGGCGTCGAGGCCCCGGGCAATAGGGCCTGGCCTATGGAGAAGGCGAACAATAACATCGGCATCGCCATCAGCCCCGACCGCGAGGTCCAGTCGCCCTGGGACGATAAGAAGGGCAAGGATAAGGTGGCGGCGGATAACGACGGTTACGAGCTCCAGGAGGGGGTGAATAGCGCGGGCGGCTATGGGTTCCCGATTCCACCGCCCCCGCCCATGGCTTCCGCACCTATGCTGGGTCATCCCGGATATGGCAGGCACGCCCCGCAGAGGGCGCCGCAGGTGGGCGATGATGGGATGGGGAATGCGCTGTGACGGGTGATACCCTGTTTCGTGTTGTTTGCTTTTCTGGCTTGAATTAGTTGTTTGTGTACTAGCATGGCGTTGAGGTATGACATGCTGTTTTGGCAGTAGGTATGTTGGGTTGGAGAGGTAATTGTGATACCACGAAAACGGCGTTGGCGAGGGCCTTGGATCTGCCGGAAGGTAGTTCGGGGATATGATTGTTTTATTATCATGATATGTACTTGTGTATCTGTATAGGTACCAATGGACGACGATTTAAGAGGTGACATTTAGTTGTTCAATTCGAACTCGCGTGTCGGTCACGAGTATCAGGTACCTACCTAGATATGTACCTACTTATTACCTAGGTGACTCGCATTAAAACTGCTGCAGTAAAGAGGGCTATCCATGGTATCGAATCGTAACAAGACGGACTACTAAGTGCTAGTAGGGCCCCTCCCGCACGGTCAGCCAAAATCGACACGCACTTGAGAGCAAGCGCTTCTAGGTTGTGGGAGGTCGCTCGGCTCAGATAGCCGCGGCTTAGCATCTGACGAGGGCTATTACTCCCGGTTTTCACGGGGCGGCGGGAGCACCTAGTTACCTAGGTACCTATGATTCATAGCTTCGTTCATCTTTACACAATTAGGAATTTATCATCCATTCATATCAATTTTAGATGTAACTATGTACTTATGTGTGCAATGGGAAAAGGGGGCTCGGCCAACTCAAAGAATTCAGGTTGCATCGTGTACGCATCTAGCAGTATCGGGGCAATTTGATAAGAAAACATTGATAAACATTTTTACCCCATACTTGAGGTTCGTCGTGTTTCCCTTGTTCCTGTGTACCCTATCCATATTGGCCCTGAGGCGGGAATGTCTCTTGTCCTGGAGGTGGACCTTGTTGATGCTGAGCATCCTGAACCCCTGCGTAATAGCCACCCATGGTTCTAGGACTCCAACCGTGCTGTGTCTTTGGTTATAATGGAATTTGGTCGGCCCTGGTATCTGGGGTTGCCCCGAATAAGGCTGGTATACTGAAGGTGATGGAGCTCCGAGCGAGGATGCTCCGAACCTAAGACCTTGCCCATCCGGCATATAAGGGGTGCCATAGCCCTGTTTATATGGTCCTGGCTTCTAGCGATTGTATTTAGCAGCGATTCGAGTCCTGTGCTCATCAAGCGAGCTTGGATGGCTGCCGCGGAAGGGAGTAGAAGGATTATATGCTAACGGATCTTCCGGTGCTATTCCCTTCCCTTCCCTCCTTCGAATGCCCACCAGGTGCCCATATCTCTCCTGATCCACATCCCGTACGTCTTGTAGATGTATGATGAACTCGAGATACGTATTTGCTACCGTCTCCATATGGCTCACGCCCAAGTGTACTGCGGCATCCGGATCCCTAGTCTTTCTCGTTAGCGCCATGAGCCTCGAACTCAGTTACGAGACCGTTCCGTTTGAAATCTTGCAGTGTCCACCGAGCGAGTAAAACGTCAGCTTCTTTAAGAAGGAGAATCGAACGCCATGTATTCACAAGGGCAGAATTGGTTTCCAGTGCAGTTTCAACCTCTCGTGCCGTTGTACCAAGGTCCCCTAGAAGTTCATATGATCAACCCTTCGGTGTATATGAAGATGGATATCAATAGCTACCACATGTTATCTGGAAAAGGGGTCTGTTGAACAGCTTAGCAATACCCTCTTTGAAATCGTCATGGTTAAGCTTAACTGTCAAAGGCTTTTTCCTTTTGTTCGGTTGGTGTCTCTTCTTCTCTCTTCTTCCTAGATTCTCCTAGATTCATAAGCTCGTGAATGTTAAGTTTTGCTATAACCTCGTTAGCTGGGAACGAAAGTTAGTAGACTACTGAGCTGAAGACACAATGTCGCTCCCACTAAATGGAAATAAAACCTAGCCTAGCTCCTACTACGGAGAACAAAGCTAAAAACCCGATATGTCATTTGATGACTCTCTCGTCGTCATGTACATAGGTAAAAGGAGGTAAGCATGTCCCTACCCAGCTAGGTAGATAGTACTTAAGCCCTTGCATCGCTTCAGTAACATCGACACATGCCCCTCGACGTCCAACTCGCCATATGTTGGCTCGTTGGCTTCTACCTCCTTTCATTTGTCTCCCAACTGGCACTCATTGATTGATAACCCACTCCTGCTCTTTTCCTCAATTCTTCACACTCATTACCGCAAACCACCACTTGAAAAGCAAAGTGAAAGTATCATGCCTTTTCAAAACCCCCTTGTGTTAAGCTTGACTGCGCTGACCGTCACGCTGATCATCATGGTCTGGCGCAAACTCTGCCCGACCCCGTGCCCCGGCATTCCATATAACCAAAAGTCAGCCGGCCGCATCACCGGCGACATTCCCGACCCGGAGTTGAAGGCCCAGAAGCGCTTGTGGGCTGACGTGATGGGCTCCGAGTTCCTGCACAAGGCCGCGGCGCCGAACATCTATAAAGCCACTCTCGAACTACTAGACCTTTGGCAACTCAAAGCATCGACTGTATATAGAGTCCAGCCTTTTAGTGTCCACGAAGACTTCCAGAACGCGGCTCTGGATGCCATTTGGGTCGCCGTTGTCGGTGAAGAGCCTGGAGTAACGAGGCACGAGATACACACATTGCGAAGTCAAAACGCCGGCTATACCAACACGGACAATGGCGCAAGCTTGAGTGAGCCTCCTCGTGGTATCTTCCTGATGGAAGAGGTTGCATACATCGCGGACACAATAGCTTCCAGAAGAGCTTAAAACCATGCGTGCGACGGGAAAGATTTTTCGGCAGCCAGATATGCTGTATGCGAGAGTAAAAGCTCTGTAGAAACAAAGGTAGATATATGTAGGTAACATCTCCTTATGGCGTCTGACACAGATAAGTGGGATTTGGCGAAGGGGACACTGATTGGCTAGGTTCAAAATATCAAGCTGAAACAGCGTCCGCAGTTACAGCGGCATAGGTCATGAGCTCAGCGTAAGGCTAGCCCTATGCGTTACCTAGGCGGCGTACCAGCAGACCACTAATCATAGATAGATGCCCGCACGGATCCTCCCGAAAATTTTCGATCTGATTTCTGATTTGCCCCATATTCTATCAATCTGAATGGCACTATTTACCGACATGTAGTAAGTACCTATCTAATTATGTAAAGCAGGGATCTCAGCATAACAAATGCGCTCAAGATTCAAGGGCGAGAGAGTCTACCTCGCCGAACTCACGCTTGTTCAAACCTTACCATTTAGCGCTTCAACTCGTCAAATAACCGCGTCTGAAGATACAACTCGAGCTATTGCCGGAAAGTTTGGTCTGGCAGATGCATTTGACACAAAGGTAGGATGTTATCGGCAGTCTTCACGATATTACAAGTAAAAGCGAGAATATACGCTTGGAGGCTGAAAAGGCCGATATGTTGCAGTCTACAACGAATTGGAGAGAGGCTAAACAGCGTACCTAGTAAGGACTGTAATAATAATAAGTGCCATGTGGAATCACTGATGATCGTGAGTTGATGTTAGCTTTCCAGGTCACAAGGAACTTGTCAACTGACAAGAAACCCTCATAGACAACCAAAAGAAACTGATGCAGAACCAAGACTCACATGTTGATAATCTCGCGAAGACCTATCAAGCTATAAACGAGGTATATAATCTCATATGAGAATACGAGAAGAATCAAGAGCAAAAGTGGCAAGGTGAACCTGAGTTATGCTATAATCTTCGTTATCATTAGGCTCTCAGAAAGGTTTACTAAACAGAACTACCTACGCTCGAGAAGCAAGACATTCCGGCTAGCGAAAGTGTCATGACAGAGTTACTTGTCGCGAATGCTCGGTTCTGTGAATGGATGATCTCGCCTATGCCCAAAGAATTGTTGATACAAAGGAATCTTACCGGAAACTGTCAGATATCCACCCAGTCCATCTTTTGCTCGACTGTCCTGCAAGCCCTTAGAGAAAACTCCAGGTTTATCTCGCTCTTATACTTCTGTGGCCTCCATTGCAACTACGAAGATCCATATTCAGGACCGCGTGGCATGATGATGAGTTTCGTCGCACGATTGATCCTACAATGGAACTTCGATACGACAGGAGTAGACCAAGCCATGGACTTTCTATGGGACGAATGCAGCGACGAACCAGACATTAACGATCTTTGCACCTTAGTGAGCTAGTTAGTCGACCAGCTTCCCGCCGACATGACTGTTTTCTGCATTATTGATGGTATCAATGCGTATGAAAAGGAAGGCTACCTTGAAGATCTTGTTCACGGGTTAGCGTGGATCTTAGACTTGACTATTGATACACGTGTCAACGCCACTATTAAGATCCTTATCACAAGTTCATGTTGCACTTTGGAGGTGCGGGAAGGATTTCACGATGATGCCGTCCTAGCAGCTTAGGTATGGCTGGCCAGCTGGGATTAAGTGGGGAAGCAAATCAACGTCTCCTTCAACACAGGATGTTGAAAGTCTTTAGAAACGAAAGGGATTAATTCCAAATTTGGATGCTTTCGTAATATCAACCAATCGGACACGGAACATCTTCACGTTTATGTCATAATAACCTAAGACGGGTTGCTGCATTGTGTTTCTGATTACCTAGGCATACTATTGATATTCCTTCTCCCTCGCTAGGTACTTGCCGATGTTAGTTCACTATTTCGCGCAAACTCCACGGTCTTTTCTTCATTGGCAATTGTCGGTACGCTTCGTACGGTACGTATAACGTACACCGCAATTGCAATGTAACCAAATGGCCTAAAAAAAGCGCCGCATGGCGAGCGCACAGCATTAAAACAAGAATTTTCCAGATTAATATAACCCATCGGGCATGCTACTAACTATTATAGTCTGACTAAACGCTACTTAATATGGTCAGCTATATAGGCACGTATTTGACGGGCTGGGCAGTGTTGGAGCTGTAGAAGGATGGCACAGCCCCTTAGCGCTAACAGCCGGAATATTTGGTTACATTCAGTTCACCATTGATCTCGTCCTCCCCCTTTAGCCAATTATCTCCATTGGTTACGTGTTACGGACTAGGAGATAATTGGAAGAGTCGTCCGAACTATGACGGTTCCAACACACGCCATGTCTTATCTCATTCCTTGAATGGGTAGTAGCTTGGTATCTATTGAGTAGGGCTACTGAAACCCATATGACTTATCCCTCTACACCTCTCAACTCTGTTTTTGTCAGGTTTAAACGAGTCGTATCCGCTAATTGAATGCCATAATTTTGTAGATTTACCTGCGCAAGTTACCTATTATGGTTTGATCACTATGGAGGAATTCGATTACGTGGTAGTAGGTGCTGGTAAGTACCTATCAAACTTCCTCCCTCTGTCTCGTGGAGGCAGACAAGTGAACCGCTGAGTTAATACGCACATAGGATTCCACGGTTTGGCCGCTGCGAAGCAGTTTCACTGTCTAAATCCCAACAGGACAATAGCAGTTTTCGACGGACAGTCGACGCTAGGTGGAAAATGGGCTGTAAACCGGCTGTTCCCAGGGCTAAAGAGCAATAACCTCCTCGGAACCTATGAGTATCCCGACTTTCCAATGAGCAGTGAGAAATTCAATGTCCAGCCCGGAGAGCATATTCCCGGCGAAGTGATCAACGCCTATCTTAAGGCGTATGCCGAGGAATTCGACATCATCAACTCCGTACGGTTAGAAACTCCGGTTCTCGCCGCAGAGCACCAAGACACGGTGGAGGGTGGGTGGATTTTAACCGTGCAGCCACCAAAACAAGCCCAGGTCAAGGTTTTTGCTCGGCGGCTCATTATAGCTACGGGCTTGTTGTCAGAACCCTTCATGCCGCGATTTAAGGGACAAGATGAATTTGGCGGGAAGATATTCCACAGCAGGGACTTCCCGCAGAATAGCGACACCCTGAATGCGAAAACTGTCACAGTCTTCGGGGCTGGAAAGTCCGGCTGGGATGCTGTGTATCAATACGCATCGGCCGGTGTTAAGGTTCATTGGGTCATAAGATGTGCGTTTTTCATGACTTCTCAACAAATCACATCATATACTAAACAGAAGAGCAGCAAGTGGCCATGGACCCGTATGGATTGCGCCGCCGTACGTCACCCCCTTTAAGAAATGGATTGAAAAGCTATCGAGTAAGTATAACGTGACTACTTTCTTCGCCTGTATACCTATATACTATTTAAGATATTTTCATTTTCAAGCTTCTGACTTCCCAATCTAGATACACGCTTTCTCACTTGGTTCAGTCCATGTATCTGGGGTGACGCCGACGGCTATGTAGGTATTCGAAACTTTTATCATCGCACACCGATCGGCAGGTTCATAGTGGACCGTTTCTGGAACATACTCAGTCAGGACGTTATTGGACTTAATAAATTCGACTCGCATCCAGATACTGCTAAATTGAAGCCCTGGCTAGAAGTCATGTTTACGGGATGTAGCTATAGTATTCTGAATTATGAACAGGATATTTTCGAGCTCATCAAGAGCGATAAGGTCGAAATACACATCGGTGAGATATCCAACTTGAGTCTAGGAAAGGTTCACCTTTCGGACGGAACTGAGTTCGAATCCGAGGCTTTCCTTGCGAATACTGGCTGGAAACATGTGCCGCCCATGAAATTTCTGCCAGAAGGAATTGAAAAGGAACTTGGCATCCCTCACGAAGTGGTAGATCAGGCACCTCCAGAGGATCTGGCAAACCAGCGCGCTTTGATCGAGCGCGCCGACCGAGAGATCTTACAGCGTTTTCCAAGACTCAAGAGACAGCCGGTTTGGAATAGGGATTTTGTTCCTTTATCCGATCAGAAGGGAATTGTTGCTGAGGCGACATCTCGCACATCCCTGACGCCTTATATGCTATATCGGTTCCTGATACCGCCATCTCCTCGGTTCTTACGCTCCCGCGATGTTGCATTTATAGGATTACAGACAAACTTTAGCAATATCATTACGGCACATATTAGTGCGCTTTGGATCAACGCCTATTTTGAGGGACAGTTAACAATTGATCCCGCAAAGGCGGTTGACAACGAGGAGGCTGTAGCGAAGCTACAGTATGAGACAATGCTACACAATCGATTCGGCAAATGGCGTTATCCCACTGAATGGGGCAACAAGGGCCCTAACTTTATCTTCGATGCTGTTCCGTATCTCGATCTACTCCAACACGACCTCGGCTTAAACCCGCACAAAAAGGGGGGCATGTTAGTAGAGATGTACAGTCCTTACGGACCTGAAGATTATCGTAACGTCAACGAAGAGTGGCTACAGAAACTCAAAGAAGGCCAAGCTTCTAAAGGAACCGATCGTTCATAACGCCGCAGCTATGACGTCTTTACACGATGAAATAGTTGGGATTTATATGTTCTACCCCCCTATTCTTATTCTACTATCAACGGTGGCATTGGCCGTAATCCCTATATCCTACTCTGGTGTGCAGATATCTATATCCATACTTGAAGTAGAGTCTGACCCCTAAAAGGTATGACACAACGTTGGCGTATTCGTCGAAAATTGACGGTCTTATATCCTGCTATATGAGTCCTCAATTCCCAATTCTAATTTTGTCGATTTATATAATACTATTTTCGTCATCCATGTTAATCCTAGAATCGCCTGAGTTTCGCCCATCGGTGGTATAATCATTTAGTCTTCGTGAGGTGAATGCATATGTAGATCGCCTATGAAAGGTTGTATGTTTTCGGGTCCATCTCATCCAGGGGGGCGGTTGAAGATTTATAATCCCAAAAGGCCAACACAGGAACCCCAAGTCTGGTTCAATGAACTAGTGTAGGACTGACCCTTGCTGCATATACATATGTGATCTACAGTAACATAACCAGAAAAACACTACAGATTCTAAACCAACGGCATATAAATTTGAACCCAGCCTTAGCCCGCCAAAACTTATCTTCTCACACCGACAACACCTGTGTGTTCTACTTCAACTACGTCCTGACACCTTCATTCAAGATGAATATCAACCAAGAAGGGTTCCAACGTCGCTTAGGTGCTCTGCAGAAAATACTACAGCAGTACAACTTGAAGGTAAGCCGTCATTAGTAGATCGACGTCAAAGGTGTAATCTCACATATCTGCCAAGTCGACGCAAGTAACTCCGATTGCCTACGTTGAGCACTGCCCCTTTCATTTCAACAATTTCATTTACAAGGTGGATCTCGAGGCACCGGCAGTTCCGGCAACATTCGCTAGGCAACAGCCATGTACTTCGGCTCCGCCTCAGGAAGGCGTCACGGCGCTAGTAATCCGCATGAGCAACCCTCTTGCCGAGGGGCTTAACAATGCCAATCGCGTCGAAAACGATATAGCTGCGCAGCACCTCGCGCGCCAATCCATCAAAGACGCCGGCTTACCCCCCGTGGTGCCCGCGGTTTACGCCTGGGCTCCTTGCAGATACCCCGATGTGCCAGGCGAGGACGGGTTCGGGTGGACAATGAGCGAGTTCAAGCCAGGCTCCGACCTGGATGCTCAGTTTCCTTCGCTAACTCTCGACGATGCCGTAGACGTAATCCGACAGCTAGCGAAATTCTTCGCCGCCATCCAAAGTGCTAAGATACCCGAAACAGTGACCACATTTGGAGCACTGACTGTAGACGATAGCGGTGCCATCACAGGCGGACAACCACCGCTTCTAAAAGGGGGGCCGTTCAGCTCGTATGCGGAATATTGGACTGCTATTCTCAAAGCGAAGTTAAGCGAAGCGGACGAAAGCCCGTTGCTAAAAGGATGGAAAGACGGAGGTGTGCGGGAACGAATCGACAAATTCCTCGCATCAGGCGGCGTAGACAAAGTTCTAGAGAGCGTTGACACTGACAAGAGGGTTCTGGTACACGGAGACCTAAGTGCGTTGTGAACCATACTATTACATCCTGGGACGACTCCATAAGCTGACATATCTGTAGCTTTGAACAACCTACTATATGACAGCGCAACTAAGCGCATCACATCTATTCTCGACTTCGACTGGTCGGGTGTCACACATCCCTGTGACGAGTTTCTGACGGGACTTTGGGATATAGGGGGAGGTATCCACGAGAGGAACGAAAAGTTCTTGCCAATGCTTCTATCGGGCGATTTCAGCACTCAACTTGAAGGGCTATCAGCCGATGAGGCCAGAAAGTGGGAGGTAGCCAAAGCTTGGGACAAGGCCATCGCCGAAGCGGGCGCCATAAGACCAAGTGATATTGCTGGCGTGGATCGTATACAAGCATTAAAAGACCTGGAGGACTCGCTATGCCCATTCGAATTGGCTAACGAGGTTATGCTGAAGCGTAAGTCGGACGAGGAGAAGCTCAAGAAGAAAAATGAGATGGAGATGAAGATTCTGAAGTGGCTGGAGACTTATGACACTGCTTAGTGAGGCTGAGTATGAGACACGATGTATGGATGGCGATATCTATTTTGGATAGTAGCCATAGTATACTGAATACTAACCACAGCCATCTAGAGAATCTTGTTATGAGATTTGATGTCAGAGATACTTTGGCCTTGGGAAAAAGAAACGGAGGAATATTAGAAGTGGGGCGATAATTGGCTTGCACTAGGCCATGCTATCGATAATCCCATTTAGTATTAGCGCCGGCTGGAGCTGTTGGATTGGATCAATCAACGGTTACTCTTTTCCCCACACAACGGTGCTAGAAAAATTTTGGAGCTTTCTCTTTTTTTTTTCCAATTCGCAGAGTTCGCAAAGCGTCTCGATCCAACTTCCCAAACTCCATCTGCCATTGCCATTGGAACAAAATAGTTCCTTTCTTCCCGCCAACACCGTCGTGAGTGTGTTTATATACCCATAACAGGTAAATCCTACGACTGGCAAAAATGGCAACCAAAGAGGATATTAAGCCCAAGGAGGACGAGTTCTCAATCAAGCCGACCGCGGTCACTCCGTCTGTTGACACGAGCACATGGCCGTTGTTGCTGAAGAACTACGACAAACGTACGTGAATTGAATTAAAAAGAAGCTTATCATTGATCTCCGATACTGATTTCACTGCTTAGTTCTTGTCCGAACTGGACATTTCACTCCCATTCCCAATGGTAGTTCGCCTTTGACTCGAGACCTCAAGTCGTACATTAGCTCCGGTGTTATCAATCTCGATAAACCCTCCAACCCTTCCAGTCACGAAGTCGTTGCTTGGGTGAAGAGAATTTTACGGTATGGTGTCCTGATCTAGAATCGATTGAGATGTTGAATATTTTCGTGAGACTAATTCCGCCATTCTAGTGTTGAGAAGACTGGCCACAGTGGTACCCTTGATCCCAAGGTTACCGGTTGCTTGATTGTTTGCGTTGACCGTGCTACTCGACTGGTCAAATCCCAACAAGGTGCGGGAAAGGAATATGTCGCCGTTATTCGACTACACGACAAGCTTCCCGGCGGAGAAGCGCAATTCTCCCGAGCACTGGAGACATTGACCGGTGCTCTATTCCAACGACCTCCTCTAATCTCCGCTGTGAAGCGACAACTCCGTATCCGAACTATCCACGAGAGTCGAGTTATCGAGTTTGACAATGACCGCCATCTTGGTATTTTCTGGGTCAGCTGCGAGGCAGGTACATACATCCGAACTTTATGCGTGCATATGGGTCTTTTACTAGGTGTCGGTGCCCACATGCAAGAGCTACGACGTGTGCGAAGTGGTGCTATGGACGAGACGAAAGACCTAGTCACGCTCCACGATGTCCTCGATGCGCAATGGATGATGGACAATACTCGAGACGAATCCTACCTCCGCAAGGTCATCGCTCCTCTCGAGACACTCCTTACCTCCTACAAGAGAATTGTCGTCAAGGATAGTACTGTCAACGCCATTTGCTATGGTGCGAAGCTTATGATTCCTGGTCTCCTACGATATGGTGTGTTATTACCCCAGTTTGCTCCCTAAGCTTTCATTAAAACTAACAGCATATTCTAGAGGATGGAATTGAGGTGCACGAGGAAGTAGTCTTGATGACTACGAAGGGTGAGGCCATTGCTCTCGGTATTGCCATGATGTCGACGGTTGAGATGTCCTCTTGCGATCACGGTGTAGTGGCGAAGGTGAAGCGATGTATTATGGAGCGTGACCTATACCCTCGCCGGTGGGGCTTGGGTCCTACTGCTACCGAGAAGAAGAAGCTGAAGGCATCCGGAAAACTGGATAAGTTCGGACGAGCGAACGAGTCTACCCCCGCCAAGTGGACAGCCGAGTACAAGGACTACAGTGCACCGGCCGATGCTGCAGCACCAGCACCAGCACCGGCTGCTGATGTTTCGATGACAGAAGCTCCCGCCTCAGCTCCTGCACCCGACACCCCGTCCGCACCCACGCCTGCGGCTGATGACGACAAGAAGAAGCGTAAGAAGCACGACGGCGAGACGGCAGAGGAGAAGGCAGAACGCAAGAAGCGAAAGGCCGAGAAGAAAGCGGCCAAAGAGGCCAAGCGCACCTCACTAGGCAAACAGGCCGACTCCGACTCGGAATAAAACAAGTACCTCGAATTACGGGTCGAATCTCTCCTGAGTAGCATCTGCTTGATACCTTTGGTCGGTCGGTCATTGCCTCATTGCATGTAAATGCATTTGCTTACGGCGTTATCTGCTGTATTATACAGTTTCTGAGGGTCAGGAAAATCGGCGTTTAGGAAGTTTTACCTTTTTTTCATTGCCAAGTATCATGAGGGCTCGATGTCGGGGATGATGAAGTGCGGATCCTGAATCGAAGTAGATAGCAGGAAACACCGCAAATTTGCACATATGAAGTGTTCACATGACCCCGGGCTTGTGTAGACCTGGCGATTAGTATTCCTTGAGTGATTTGATGAGGCTATTGTCGTCAAATATGCATCTACTTTATCAAATTCTTGGCTTAGCCAAGTGGTTGCCGCTTTAGTATGGATAACGCAGCTCGACATGAGAAAGTTGCTAGGAAATACCATATGGGCTGTGCTGGCTGTGCTAGCTGTGCTACGAAGTCGTGTTACCGCAAAGGCGCTTTTCCTAACTCTACTATGAATTACCTCGTAATCTTAATAGTCTTCAGGCTGTACGCTGGTGATTTCGTTATCTGGTCAATAAGCAGGCATATCGAGCGCCTCTTAATAATACCTAGTTCGCCACTCAATAAAGTAAAGAAACTCTTAGCTCCTGCCCTATACGTCGTGTTGGCAAGTTTCCCAACATTAGGTACGCTGTTCAGCTCGTAGTAGCTGAATTACAGTGTAGACTATGGCGTCAGTTAGTTACACACGAGTCCTAGACGAGCGTACATACACCTTCCCGTGTAAGTAGGTCGCTCAGGTCTTAGTCGTTCAAACCTTGTTTTCCCCTACCCTTCAACTTTCCTCGACCTTACTTGTGTTCTGGACCAAAATTGTCCGAGACTGTGGTCACTTCCCCGGTCGGGTATTGCCCTAGGTAGTAATACACGAATGCGCCTCACTCGTGTGGGGAAGGTCCTCTCCGTAGGACGCTCCCTCGTGCTTCCGCCCGCCTTGCGAAAATCGCAGTGCTGAGGTCATAATATCCAATGCCGTGCGCGAGGCGAGAATGTCTCGCACTCCGGAGGTATAAATGAATCAATCTCGGGGAACACAGAGATATTAGATTCATGGTTTTGTGGTTCCAGATTCGAATAATTATCGTAGGCACGATTAAGCCCCTATTGTTGAGTTGTATGAACTGTATAAGAGATGGCCGTAAATACATATCTGCGTCGATATTGCAGGTGGTTATATAGGCAAGCTTGTTCGCCTATATCTTACCGCTTTTTAGCCCTTGCTGTCGCCTGATTCAGTTAGGTGGACATATTCCATGGAGTGTATCTACGTAGGACTTGTTGGCTATGGGGCAGGAGGCAGGAGGCAGGGCGTAGAATATTACACTGGAACATTTCCTCGGTCCGTTCGCCCTAACGCGAGTAACCCGTTAAAATCCGAACGCCAGGGACTGAATTAGGTTAATGACCTCAGTCGCCTATATGTTTACTCACCTAAGTAGATAAACGATAAATTTCATGGTCTGACAAGACGGCGAGAGTCGCACCTGGACTGGATATTCCCAGCTTGAAAGATGCTTCCAAATATGCTTAAAGGCCTTAAAAGGGCCGCAGAACGATCAGTTTCTGCAAGGAGGGTCGTCCAGGGTATGGGTTCACTGAAATCAGCCGCAATGCCGCATTGCCGCATTGGATCCGCACAGGCATTGGTCCAAAATTCCCATACATTGGGCGCATGGGAAGATCAAAACAAAGTTTAGTGAAGATCATCAACCATTGACTCTGCCAATGTCACCATGCCTGGCGACCAGCTTCTTTTCAGGGGGGTTGCCGCTAAAATCGGGTGCTATGCCATGGTCACGGCCAGATTTGGCATAGCGTTCGGCAGTTGTGCATAAGTAAAATTAGACGACTACGACGACTTCACCTCGTAGATTCGAGTCTCCTTTACCATGTAAGAAATCAGACGAGACTTGGACGGATAAGCACTTTAAGTCTTTTGCGCCCGGGTGTTGATTGGCCTGAATTATCACCACGCCTACAAGCTTGTGCGGTGGCACAGAGGTTAACTTGACGCTCGTTAGCATCTAGAAGGGCGAACATAATTGGACAATCTGTAGCTAGCATTGCACGAGCCATGCAATTCAATTTAGTGAAGCCTTACGTATTGTACCAAAATTACAGGGAAATAAAGGGATGAGCAAGGCCATACCTATCACATCGACTTGATACTCAGAGCTGTCATACTTCTACTTGCGGGCATTCTAGAGGCCAACGGCCCGCTGTTTTCGTGTCGAGCCATGTCCAAAACCGATACTGCTCGAGTATCAGATGTTGGTAATAATGTATGGCAATGCATAAACCCCGGCCTGCTGGACATCCAAGTTTTTTGTTTTTTGAGTCAAGTAGTCGACCTAAGGCTCCACGACAGGCGGATATTGGATAATTCGTTTCTCTTATCCCTTTTCTTTCTATGTTCTGTCCTACCAAGTGGCGTCAAGGAGCGTGTGAGTTTCTGATTTGACCCCGCCAGTTACACTGCTGTCAGCCGCACGAATTCAAGCCATATTCTTTACCGCAAGACTGCGTGTGCGTCTAGTAGGGGGGAACAAGAAAGGGAGACTTGCGTCGATACACTCGGTCTAATATCATGGGCCTTTACCGTCGTATTTTTATATAATACGGATGAGCGCCGGCCCATGCATTCCGAATTCACTAGCCAAGGGCGGTCCATTTATCTGATCCATAGATCGGCTGTCAGATTCAAGTCAGCCCAGTTCTCGCATCATCTCTCGTTGGTTTTAAGTTAGGTCTTTGGCACCCACCCCGTTCCAATTGCCTTGCTCGACATGCAAGCTGTTGGGAAATGATGTTTCTCTATACGCTTGCAGCCACCGCGCTGTCATTCTCTCTTATATCCGCGTCGGTGATTCGAAGGAACGAGGCTCCGGTATTCAACCAACAATTCGCCGATCCGTCGGTGATTGAAGAGGCGGACGGCACATGGTACGCTTTCGGGACGGCAGGTAACGGCAAACATGTACAAGTCGCCATAGGGGACTGTCTCTATGGAGACTGGAATCTCCTAAACGACACCGACGCGCTTCTCAGGCCTGCCGCCTGGACCACCGGACGCAATACTTGGGCGCCTGATGTGCGCCGGTTGGCGGACGGATCCTATGTTATGTACTACAGCGGCGAGGTAGCTCAGGACCCTTCCCACCATTGCATCGGAACGGCTGTATCGAACACGGTATACGGCCCATACGTTCCCGACGACGAGCCTTTCGCCTGCGATCTCAGCGTCGGCGGTTCCATTGACCCCTCCGGGTTTCAAGATGCTGACGGCAGAAGATACGTCCTATACAAGATCGACGGGAACAGTGTTGGACACGGCGGTAGCTGCGGCAATACCGTGGAGCCGATCGTGCCTACGCCGATTATGCTTCAAGAGGTCGAACAAGATGGCGTAACAAAGATTGGCGACGCAATTCAGATCTTTGACCGTACCGACGAAGACGGCCCGTTGGTAGAGGCACCGAGTGTGGTGCTCACTGCTGAAGGGATGTACATCCTGTTTTTCAGCAGCGGGTGCTACTTGGAGCCAACCTACAACGTCAACTACGCGACGGCATCCAGCCTGACAGGCCCGTACGAGCGAGCCGACGACCCGATGATCAGGACGGGAGAGTACAACTTGCAAGCACCCGGCGGCGCCACTGCCGTAAATGTCAGGAACCAGGTCGGTATAGCTTACCATGCGAATTGCCCAGCAGGACGGTGTTTGCACACGTCGCCCACCATAATCAAGGGCCGACAGGTGAAAGTGGTGGTATAGAGCACCGTCGGACGCCATTATGCGGATTTGCAGAGGATGATGAAAGTTTGTATTGGACCTGGGTGGCTCAACGAATTCCGAGATATCCATGGGCGAGTGTGAACAGCGTACGCTTAGAAAATTGGGGAGCGAGGAGTTAGGAGATGGCTTAGTCGACACTTGTCGCCCTAGAGGTGTTACCAATTGGGGGGAATAGGCTTCGATACTTCATTTTTTAATGCCCTTTAGATCTTTAGATTTGGGAATGAAAGCCAACGATACCATATCACAGATGGTTATTCTTAGAAGCATAGAGATATTGTTAATAATACGTTCTTTTGGCTACACATGTGGCCGGCTAATGATCTGCTGAGAGGACGCACTCCTTCGGAAAATTGATGAAGATATTGAGTGAGAAGTTTAGAGTGAATGAATCTACTCCGTCTCGTTCCGTTCTACCAGATATTGGAGATTGTGGCTGACCCCGACTTTATATCATCAAGCTAGCCCTGATACGGAGTAATCGCTGTGGCGCTGAAACTCTCAGCCATTGAAGAGGTACCTATGTATTTCGTAGTTAAGTCTCTTGAAAATAAGCGCCGATTTAACCTTGGAACCTTTTCTACCTGGCATTTTCAACTGCAAGCTGCAGGCGTTCTATCACAGTCACATTTACTACGCGTAGAAATGTGACGACATCTTCCGCTCCGGTAAGGCTGCTGTTCTTCAGTCAATTTAACCATCTCCCGAAGGCTCCTTGGCACTTTTCTTGGAGCGCGCCTGCGACAGTCGGGCACTTTGCTGCAACCCCTTCTAAGGGTTTCTTTCTACACTACTGGTCATATGTCCAAACTGAGATGACGAAGCGCAAATGTGCGTATTGTCAAGCAAACCAAGAACGATGAGAATATCATAAAATACCAGATTAGGAGTCGCCTGAGGGCTTCTCGAAGGAATCCCGAATCCGGTTTTCCTCAGGCTCGCCGAATCTGCTACCATCCGATGTCGCGCATTATTCATCTATTAGGTAGTCCTATCACATGGGTTGCCTTACCTTTTTGAGATATTGCGAGGCTCTTTCTTTCCCAAACAGGATCATGGTTAATGAGTCTTGTTTTTTTGGTCTCTAAATGATGACCAGGTAGTCATGATTCTTGCCGCCAGCGACCTCACCACCGACCCACTGGAGGTGCTAGGTGAGATTACCGAACAAATCACGGCGCTTAGGAACAATATCTAGGCCAGGAATTAACCTCATTGGCTCCTATCTTTCCGGGGTAACCTTTTTGAGATACTCAGCTTTTGTTATTCATGTGCTCTCCTGTTTCTGATCATTCTTCACAAAATATATGTGGACTTGGTCGGGGTTTTTCAATACTACCAGGGGTAAGATGGGTAAGTATTGCTTCAATACCACCCTTCAGCGTGTGGTTAGGTGGTATTTCACGTCTTGCTTCTAGGCGCCGACCGCAACTAAATCGCCAGTGGCATGCGATTGATAGCGCGCGATGCATCGCCATCACCACCTCAATGGTCCATCAAGACCGATCGGATCTAATATATTATTTGGTCTGTTCCGGGTCTCGCAATATGGCTCTCTAGCCGTTAAACCATTGCACTATTTTATATTTCGGAGTATTTGAATATCTCCAGGCTCTCTTTAGAGCGTATTCAGAACTCTAACCAGCTGGCTGGCGGTAATTTCATGAACATCTTGTAATACGTCCAGACCCTAATAATTTATTCTTACCGCCACTCTTTTAGTTTAGGAGAATTGTCCATATGTCTCCAGGCGAGATGTCTTCCCTTTCGTCCATTCTGATTCTTGCGCTCTTTACACAACATACCGCTAGTTTACAAGTTACACCAAATTCTCCTTGCGCTTCGTTGTGCGTAGACTCTACCAGCCTAGATCTGTCTGATCCAAATTCGTCCACGACGAATAATTCCGACATCACATGTTACGATTCCGAATATTCTAGCTCATCTGCGGGCCAGAAATACCAAAGCTGTATGAGTTGCCTTCAAGATAGCACCTTTGCTCAAGGGAGTGAGAGCGACCAGCTTTGGTTTTTATGTAAGTACATCTGGTCCTTACCTACCTAAGTAGATATCAATTCTAACATTAAAAAGATAACCTCAGATATACGTTTGATTATTGCATATTAGGATTCCCCAATGCCACGAATGTGCCGTCGACTCCCTGCTCAACGTCCACTGCCTGTGGTGGATTAGATGAGGCCTTCACGGATGACAAGCTCAACCCAAATACGCCTGACTATTCTTACTGTAGTGCGGATGGTTCTGGCATGACTGATGATGTGGTGTCCGAGTGCATGTCCTGTGTAGGCGCCTTGGACGGCCAGAACTATTTGGCAAACTGTAAAACGCCCCCATCTTTCCCTTTGTATCTTAATTGCTAACGACAGTCTTAGTTCTCATCGCTTTGGATGCAGGTTGCAAACAGCAACCTTCGATAGGAACACTTATAGGATTGAATGACACTGTATTCTCCGAGACTAGAATCAGTGCTGTTGATCCAGCCGTTGAGAAATCTACTGGCAACAGAGGGCCTGCCCTAACTACAACTCAAATAGCTGGAATTGCTGTCGGCGCCGTTGTCATCGTCTTAGCAATATCTGGCTTTCTATTTGTACATTTCCGTAAGCGGAAAAACCGCCGTCTTCTACTCGGAGGTGTCAGAGCCTCAGTGGTAGGACAAAAGAAGAGCCGCCATCGTCCTGACTCATCACTCTCATTCCGATGTCAAACGCACCTGACACCTAGATCGCCAGCATTCTTTCCAAACCCATCCAACGATACTATCGAAGAGGAGAAACCTTACGCAGGTCCATTCTCCGCCCTTGGTTCCCACCCCATTTCCCCGAAGTCGCCAAGGCAACCCGCCTGGCGATCTCAGACTGGCGATTTAAGTCTCAATTCTTATTCTCGACCGGGCACCAAAGCCTTACCATTACACAACATCGCCACCGCAATACCAACTATACCAGGAAACGTGCACTACTCTACTTCGCCGAAGGCTGCGTTCTTCTCGCCTACTGATGAGCCGACCAGCACCACTAGCACCAACAGCACAGCGCAGCTTCTACCCCTGAGGCAATACAACCCGGCCGAGTACGGAATTTCCTCTCCACAAGTGGGCGACACTCCCGACGGCATGTTTAGCAGTCCTACATCCGGGTCCACTTCCAGTCCCCTGCTAAGCCGCGCGTGGGAGCAGAGGGCTCCGACGTGGGACTTACCGCCTCGCAGTTCTAGCAAGCCGGCAGGTATTGGAGCTTGGGAAAGGGTGGCAGCTGGGGTCGTGGCGAAAAATAGGAGGACTAGTAATTCGGGGAGCCCCGTCGAGACCAAGCAGATTAATTTCAATTTTCCGCCCCCGCCTGCTCGGCGATGATTCGCATGTACATAGCATGTATAGTATACTTTTGTATTTGAAAGCCATGATTAATTAATATTACCATTGAGCTTAGTGGGCGGAGTTCGTCCAGTGACAATTTCCATGACGACTCATAGATACATAATGCGGCAGGCTAGCTGCGAGCATTCGGTGAGTTCCATGGCTAAGAATAGGGATAACCCCGCTCCTAATTTCTCTTCATGCTCGATATGTTTTGATAAAACCTACGAACCACAATTGGTAAGTTTTGCTGCCAATGGGAATAGGGTTCGCGGCAGCACCTTTTCTTCCAGAATTTCAAAGCCTCGGCGTGCATATAAGATAAACATTTCGATACGAAATTACGACGCAGTATAAATCGAGTCGTTATGCCGAGCATTCTCAGGCGCTTCGTCGAAAAGGGCAAGTTCAAGCGAGAGAAAGAAAAGAGGAAGCAAATAGCGGATAATAGGACCGACGATGAATCTCCGAAGGCTGAAGAAGAACCTGATAGAGCGTCCCTTAATGATGGCCTTGGAGCGCTAGCATTCCTTGATGACTGCGAAGATCACAGCAATGGGATTGATCTCGTTTTCGTCCATGGACTCCGTGGGTCCCGATTCAAGACTTGGTCTAAGGGGGACATTTTTTGGCCCCGGGATTTTCTCAAAGATGATCTAAAGAAGGCTAGGATAATCACATGGGGTTATGATGCAAATATCGCCAACGCCTTCTCGTATGCCAGCAGGGAGAGTCTCTTTGGTCATGCCAATACGCTGTTGAATGACTTAGCTAGGCTTAGGCGAGGAATAGTTCGTCTCTTACCTAAAATCCCCCAAACCCTTGATTATTCTTTGAGATTAGCACAAATTCGCAGGATAAGATGCTGACGAAGTTCAAAAGACCAGGCCTATCATATTTGTCTGTCATAGCTTCGGTGGCCTCGTTGTCAAGGAGGCTTTGATAACCTCCGACAACTACCGAAACCACAATAGACATCCTACACGAGGTGCAATATATGCTAAGACTATCGGGGTGATTTTCATGGGGACACCGCATCAAGGAAGTTCAAAGGAAAGCTATGGCGAAATTGTAGCTAATATCGCATATATGTCTTTCCGGCAACCAAACAAACAACTCCTTCGGACCCTAAAACCTTACTCGCACGTCCTCGAGAAGCAACGCAATGATTTTACAACGATCTCAAACGAGATGAGCATCGTTTGCATTCGGGAAGAGCTCCCGACAGGAGCCGGCATAGTATGCAGTTGCCTATATTCAACCCCAATACCTTATTAGTCGCTAATACGAAACCGCCTAGATCGTCCCAGGAGACTCTGCTTGGCAATGCAGCTTCGGAGTTATTCTTGATTCAGTTCATGCAAATCATATGGACATGGTTAAGTTCTCAACTAAGGACGAGAATTATAGGAAAGTACTTGGCTATATGGAAGAGATTCGTGACGCTAATACATCTGGCGCTGATCCGGGTATGTTGCGCCACCACTTTTCTCGGTTTTCTTCATGATGAGTTTTAAATGAAAAGAATTCTAGATACTTGGTATTACAATGGATTAGGACCAGGACTCTGTACAGCCACAGAGCATTCTCCGTGAATAATCTTTAATCGCACGGAAGCTAATTAATCTCTTAAACGAGGAAGAAATGGTCGAGTCGCTAAGTAACGGTGCGTCTGTCTGCAACAATTGGTACTTGATCTAACAATCACTAGAAATACTACGTACCTTGAAATCCTTTATGATCGGAAACAGGCGACAAGGCATAGATGATGCTTATGCAAATACCTGTTCTTGGATTTTTGAAAGTGAATCACAGGATAATGAAACGACTGCGGAATCAGGTCAATTCTTGTCTTGGCTCCAAAACGACAACCCATTTTTCTGGGTTAGCGGCAAGGCCGGGTGCGGAAAGTCTACCCTGATGAAATATATGCATGAAGACAAAAGAACCGAAGCCGCTCTCAAAGATTCTCTGTGGACTGAGGCCAAGGAGTTGATATTGATAGGGCATTTCTTCTATGATCGCGGCAACGACAACCAGAAATCGAGGGAAGGAATGCTTAGGAGCATTCTATTTCACATCCTACAAATTCACAGAAAACTTATCCCAAAGAGTTTCCCTATCTTTTTCGAAGGGAAAGGCCGTGTCGACATATCTTCATGGGTCATTGATTGGGGCAATCTTAGCGAGGCATTCTTTTCGATGCTAAAGCATCTCCAAAATACCAAAATTTGCCTTTTCTTAGACGGCCTAGACGAATACCGCATGGTAGGAAGAACCAACGAATACACCGAAGAAGAGTTGGATCTTATCTATGATGGTGAGAATGAGGACGAGGCTTGGGGACTAAGCCCTTGGATAACGAACGGACATAAGGAGATCGCTCACTTTATCCACGGCCTCGGGGCTAGCGGTAATATAAAAGTATGTCTATCCAGCAGGGAATTGAATGTTTTTGAACATGAGTTTCGAGATTTCCCTCGGATAAGGGTCCATGAACATACAAGCGAATCTATCGTCCAATACTGTCGGGGCAATCTAACCAAGGCGGCGCCAGATCTCGATGGCCTGATGGAATTTGTGTCTAAGATTGCCGGAAGGTCATGTGGCGTGTTTCTCTGGGTGCGAATCGTCGTTGGTATGCTCATTGACGGATATACCGAGGGCAATTCAGAGAACGATCTATGGAAGGTTCTGAACGCCCTTCCAAAAAGACTCGGTGGTGATGATGGACTTTATATGCGCATGATGAAAAATGTCAGGCGTGAATATCTATCAGAGTCAAGGAGACTATTCCAATTAGTCTCGAAAAGTGAGAGGCGTGAATATCTATTGGAGCTAAATGCACTATTAGAATTAGGCTCGAGAGATTTGAGTTTTGCCCACGCACCTCTCGATATCATAACTCTATTCTTGGCAGAGGAATGGCATTTAGAAGATGGAGAGCAAGAGCTAAGGGCCAAAACCGACAAATACCAACCTAAGACATGGGATGAAATGAAACATAAATGGAAAGCGCGAGAAAGGCGTTTGAAAAGTCGATGCGGTGGTTTGCTCGAGGGAACGGAGGAAGTGCAGTTCATGCACCAAACAGCCAAGGAGTTTATCTCACGGGCCTATTTGAACAACAAAATCTTCCAGAACGCCGTTGGGTTTTCTACCGAATTTGACATACATTTGGCTATCATGAGCGGATATATTCGGCGCTTAAAACGCTGCGCAGAAGTCGTCGTGACTCCTGACAAAGTCCAAATCAATCCACAAATTCAAAACATCACCACGAATCCATTCGAGACAATTGAAATGTCTTCTACCGCTCCCGTGCTTTTCCAAGATATATTCTTAAATGCCTCATGTTTGGAAAGGATGAATATGGAAAGTGATGCTTACCGCCCCTATATCAAACTCCTTGATGAGCTAGATATCGTCGGTGGCCAACTGGTTGCTTCTTTGGAGGACCTATCTTACCTTGGTTTCACTTGGTTTGACGTTTATTTAGCGAATGGGAGTCCCTCGCAGGGGTCGGGGTTTTTCCCGAGAGTTCAGAGCTTTTTGCAGCTCGCGTTCCTCATCGGTTTAACTCCATACATTCGAGCAAAAGTTAATGGCCAAAGACTTCGAAAGGACCAATTGGATTTTTTTCTATTACAGATTTCTCGCCATCCTACAGTCTCATTGCGGCATGTATATCCTGATATCCACAATACGTCAAAGCCTGAAATATTTGAATTGTTGTTCGAAGAAGGGGCTGAGCCTAACTGTCGAGTGAGTGACCCTACATGGAAGTTGCAAGATGGTTGGACTGCTTGGACATGTCATCTCGCACAGGATAGAAACATTCGTCATTCAAAAACGAGTGAACGATGGGATACTATAACAAAGCTTTTCCTAAGGTTTGGAGCCGATCCAACAGCACACATATTCGAAGAGGGTAAGCGATTGACAGCAGAGGATGTCCTAAAGAACGCGTTGGCTAAACATTGGGATTTCCAGAAGGATTTGGATGAAATCTTAGAACTTCTGAATCAAGCTAAAACAAAAAGAGATTTGGGAGAGCTGGCAGCTCTTGGCTAGTCAGTCGTCCGGGACGGGAGGATCGGGGGTTGGCCTGCAATACACTGCAATGCTCTTTACGTAGCTCTGGAGAGTTTGTGATTGAAGAGCCCCTAGCTAGGTGGCTTTCGTACATAATATCAAGATGGGTCCATGACAAAAGTTACTTCTCCTCTAACACACCCAACTCTCCCAGAATAATATCAGCCGCCTTCTCCCCAATAGCACAAGCAGTATTCATCGTATTCGCAGACACGCTGCCCGGCACAATGCTCAAGTCCACCACCTTGAGCCCCTCCACCCCATACACATTCAACAGCGGATCTACGACCCCCATCTCGTCCCTAGGCGCCATCTTGCACGAGCCGAGCGGATGCCAGCTCAAGTCCACATTCTCCCGCAGCCACTTCTCCAACACCGCTTCATCCTCCGCGTCATACGCAACCTCCTGTTTCCCCAGCGGCAGCGGCCCCTCGAGCCCCTCGGGCCTATCTGCCCCGGCGAGCGCCGCGCGCGACGCGGGAGAGAAAGGCGGGTGGCTGAGCGGCAGCTCGCCCCGGAACACGTCCATGCGCCGCACGACCTCGCGCTGCTTCTTGTACAGCCACTTCTGCATCTCGAGGTCGAGGCCCCGCGGGTCCGTCAGCATGCCCGTGGCGAAGTCGAGGCGGTCGCCCGGCTCCGGGCCCGTCGCGTGGACGTGGCCCCGCGAGTACGTGTTCACCGTGAAGGCCGACACCCCGAAGTACTGGATGGGGGCTAGCTTCGACGGGTCGCCCGGGAAGCCGGCCACGCTCGCCATCATGGCGACCGGCTTGCTCGGCGCGTCCGCGAAGTCCCGCGCCCAGGCTTCCTGGAACGCTGGGCTCAGGGACGCGATCTCCGAAGGGCTTGGGCGCACCTTGCAGTGCACGTCTTCGGCGTTCCAGCCGAGTATTTTGGCTTTGGTGCGCATGAGTTCGTCGGTACTCACCCTGCCTGCTTGCACGCCGTCGATGGTCTCGTCGGGATTAAGACTCGACTTGTATCCGTAGAGCTTGATGTTGTGGTCGTTGAAGTTCTCGCCTACGCCGGGGACGTCGGCGACCAAGGTTTGGATTCCTGCTTTCTTCAGGATCTGCGGGTTTCCTATTCCCGATCTCTCCAGGACGGGGGGCGTGCCCAGAACGCCGCAAGATACGACAACGAGCTTTCTGGCTTTGACGGTGCGGATTGGCAAGTTCTCGGCTTTGGGTTTGTACTCGATACCGCTTGCTTTCTTGTTGTCGTCGAACAAGACGCGGCGAACCTGCGATTCAACCAGGACGTGGAGGTTTGGGTGTTTGCCGTCCTGTAGTAGCGGGTGCACGTAACCATGAGCCGTATCCTGGCGCTTGCCATCATGGCTTATGTAGCGCATGGCACGCTGGGCGCCGTTCATGCCGTCGAGGTCATTGAGGTCATGCCGCTCGGGGAAGCCCGACCTTTTAGCTGCTGCGAGGAAGTCCTCCTCACATCTCGGGGCGTTGTAGGTGCCGCTGGTGATGTGCAGGGGACCTTGATGTCCATGAAGATCCTGATCTCCTGGTCCATGATAGGTTTCGATCTGTGACCATCTTGCATCAACACGGGGGATTTGAGGAGAGCAGATGGGAAGGTCAGCAGCTGCTCAAATACCTTGTTCAAGTACGGTAGCATCTCGTTTGTGGACCAACCGGCGGTGTTCCATGCGTCGAAATCAGCCCTCTGGACACGGCTGTAAACCACTGCAGAATACAACTATCAGCCACTGATCCGTACCATGATCCAGACTAGGTATATATGCATGTTCCATAATGAAGCCTTTGGGAAGCAGCCTTACTCATGTTTACAGACGAACCGCCTCCAAGGGTGCCTCCAACGGGCTCGATAAGCTGCCGACTACCCAACTGCTTCTCCCGGTTAGACTGATGGAAGGTGGTGAACCTGTTGATGGGGAGGTAATGTGTGATGAACATGAGTGGCTGAACGATGGTCGGCTCATCGTGATTGTTAGGTCCACCTTCAACGACTAGGACTGAGACGCCAGCCTCAGCAAGGCGTCCCGCGAGAACACAGCCTGCCGTTCCCCCTTTACCTCAGTTAATGACAGGAAGCGAAAGTAGCATGAATAGGAGAAGGCAGGTAAGCGTACCTCCCGCAATGATCACGTCCACTTCCTCGACGTGGTTTGGCAGCTCAGTGTAAAGGCCCATCTTGAGTTTGTAAAGGTATCTAGGGCGTGTGAATGACGCAGACTAAAGCACGGAGGGTCGTACAGGAGAAGAAGGACTGGAATAATTGGTATTGAAGGTTGCCTCCCTGAATCGACTTCGCGAAACGCACCGGCGGGTTTCAGTATCGCATACAATGAATTCGCATATACGTTATCTAAAACAAATTGCAGCTCATACAGAAGCCTCGCAAGTTTTCAGAAAAAATACGATCTGAAGGTGTTGGGTGTTTCGTCATTTATTAGTAGTGCTGATGCAGGCATGTAGTACACGTGATCCTTGGTCCTGTTGGCGGCAAACACAGGGTCGAAACCAACACGGTTATGCATTCTTCTTAGATATTAACAGGTAGAACTACCGACTGGTGGTCGGATAGCGATGCCATTCTCCACTCCGGGGCCGAAGATTGTCGTGTACTTTGATATCACGGAAGTGTATAACAAAAAAATAAGAAAAATAAATGAAAAAAAAAGTATTATAACAACTATTAAAATGGGGTAAAGTAGCAAGTAAGGGGTGGAAATGAGTTCATTTGCATTGAACGTGCACTAACAGACCAACGCGCAGCCTGCGTTGGGGCTGAGCGGGGAGCTATCACTTGAACGTGTGAAGCGAACGCACAGGGTGAATTTGAGCTTGATGTATCATTTATGTAATCGTTGAAGATTGTACTTACAAGAATCGACAATCCTAATGCCAGACTTGACACCCACGTACGTAAACTTCCTTGATATTCCGGTCGTCACCTGTCATGATGAACTTATCAAAAATAGTTCTCAGGGAATCTTCATCTTCCAACATAGTCATGACCCCAGAGGCATTCGCATCGATAACCAGGGCATCAAACTCCTTGCCGAGCTCGAAATTGCCAACCTTCGTATCCAAGCCGCATACTTTAGCCCCTCCAAGCGTGGCCAAGTAGAAAAGCTCTCCGATGTCTAACCCCTTGTCCTTTCCCTGACTCATCACTTCCCGCGCGTTCGATGCCACAAGTGCTTGTCTCATAGCATCTAGAATGCTGCTTGAGAATCCCCCGCCGCTATCGGTCCCGAGACCGACTTTGATGCCGCGCCGTAAGAAGTCCCTTACCGGCGCCGCCATGAAACCGCCACCGACCGTCATATTAGAAATAGGACAATGCGCGACGCCGCAGTCAAGCTCCTTGAGGCGGCTCATCTCGTACTCGGTCATATGGCAGCAGTGAGCGAGTATCGAGCGCGCGTTCAGCAACCCGTAGTGCTCGTACAAGTCCGCCTCGCTCCCCTTAAACTGCGGGAACAACTCCCGCGTAAAATTCATCTCTTGCTCCGCCTCGTTAAAGTGCGTCTGGATCGGCAAGCCCGGGTTCGCGGCCGCGATCTTGCCCAGGCCGTCCAACAAGTCCGGATCGCAAGAGATGGCGAAGCGGGGCGTCAGCACGTGTTTCAGCAGCTTACTCTCCGGATCGATGTCTCGGATGTGTTTGATGCACTCTTCGGTGTCCTTGAGGGAAGCCTCCACGCTCACGTCGCGGTAGTAGTCCGGGGCGTTCCGGTTCATGTTGCACTTCCCGACGAGCGCGCGCTGGCCCTTTTCCAGGCAGATATCCGCGAGGATGTTGGTGGCCTCCGCGTGTAACGAGCCATAATACGACGCCGTCGTGATGCCCTGCTTCAGGAAGCCGTCCACGCAGCTAGAATAGACCCGGCGTGCGTACTCCGGGTCACGGAAGCGTGCCTCATTCGGAAATGTGACTTTCTCAAGCCAATCCAGAATGTGCATGCTCTGACCGAGACCGCGCTGTGCCCATTGTGGCGCATGGTTGTGCGTGTCGACGAAACCTGGGATTAGGAATTGGCTGCGGGGTAGGTATCGCACGCTCTCCGAGGAAATGGAGGGGATTTCCAATGACGATAGTAACGCGGGCACCTTATCTCTAGAGATATTCTCAGTTAGGTTGGCGATCTTACCGTTAGCGTCGACGATAAGCAAGGCGCTCTCGAGTATGACGAGCTCCGTCGGCCCTCGTGAGTGAATCACTGTGCCGTGGAAGAGCTGATAGCTCATTTGATGTGCTTTGTCTATTAAATTCTTTGAATAAATCTAAAATTGACGGTGTATGGACTAACAAAATGTTATTTGAGACTAGAAGATAAAGTTTCGTAGTAAATAGAGAGCCCTGAAGCCAAGATTGAATGCTCCGATTGTACCGCAAACATAAGACACACTGTGTCAGCTGAGAACCTGACAGTGCCAGCTGTGGCCAGGTGTTCAGGGGTAGTTTTTGCTTCGTTACCGGACAGTGCAAACGTTTAACAACTAAAGTTTACAGAGGAACCTTATAATAGGTACGCAGTGTGAATTAGCATTAGCGTATGACGCCTCCGCTTGCCTTTTTCACCGCGCATTGATCGAAAAAAGGAACGATAATTAAGATATATATTTGAGCAGTAACTAGCCTTTGTGTTGGTAGCAAGTCTTACTCCCGTGTATTGATATCCTTACTTGCAACGTATTTATACTTTCCTTTATACGAAGCATCTTATATAAATGTAAAGTACCTATTTCTTCCTTATTCATTGTTCTTTTTTTCGATTCAAATGCCGTACCAAATGTACGACAAGGCATCACAATCCCATGCTAATACCGTATAATATAGGGGATGCTACTAAAATCATCGTAATAAACGACCTTTGATTTTCTAGGCCCTTATCGTTACATTTACATATATACCAAGAGACCTACCTCGGTGAGTTCATTATAACCTCTTTTTTTGCTATGGTATTTTTCTTTGTGTACAAGGGGTCATGCGCCGTTGTCTGGGTGACTGACGCCTGGTAGGACTGGTGTAATCGGAAGAAGGCAGTGGCTCAAGACTTAATAACTCACGTCTCCAAGCACCGACAAGAAAGTTTAAAGGGTTAACTAAAATACTAGGTACCTACTAGGTACTAGTATTTATCCCGCGCCCAAGATTTTGCTTGGAACTTGTACTTTCTCATACAATCTTTCCCACGCGACTGCACGCAATATCAGCAACCATGGGTATGTCGATAAACAAACAGATGGGCGAAGACAATGCGTCTGCTGTCGCCGACATCATGCACCATGACGCCCAAGAAATCTTACTTGAGAGTACGCAACAAGGTAAACATATTGAAGACACAAAACCCGACGACCAACTTGCCTTCAACCTCTTCCTAGAAGAACGAAACGTTCCTAGAACAAAATTTCCTAGTCAATCCGAGCACTATTCTATTTCTCGGTCCAAACACGAGAGGACTCCTCGAATAATTAATCACAACACATTGCAAGCTCCCGGGAACGGAGAGAATTCCTTGAAGACAGGACAAGCCAACATTAAACATACAACCGAACATGAATCTATCGAAGAAGAAAAAAACTCACCATTTGCTGGTTCAAGTCAATCCAGCAATATGAGACCATGCGTGGCTTGTGGAGAGCATAAATTTCTCTCAAACTTAGCTCGTACTCCGTGTAAACACGGATATTGCTCGGAGTGTACCAACCGAATGTTCGAAATGGCGACCCAAGACGAGGAGTTATTTCCTCCGCGATGCTGTGGGCAACGAATACCCATTGAGGGGAACGAGACATTACTAAATGTCGGAGTACTGGCTAGCTTCCAAGCAAAGGAAGCTGAATACACCGCACCTCATCGAACATACTGTCATCGGCCAGAATGCGCTGCGTACATCGCGCCGACGGCGTATATAGATGGCATTGCTATCTGTGGCAAATGTCAGCAGAGAACCTGTTTGACATGTAAGGGTGCCACACATGATGGCGAGTGCCCGGATGATAAACAACTCCAACAAGTCATGCAGCTGGCACGAGACGAGCAGTGGCAGCGCTGCCAAAGCTGCAAAGCTCTTGTAGAGCTAAACTTCGGATGTAACCACATAACGTAAGTTTAGAAATCTTAACAGCAACTATAACGCAGCCTATTTACACTCTCTAGATGCCGATGCAAACACGAGTTCTGTTACACCTGTGGTGCGAAATGGAAGACGTGTGAATGCCGGCTATGGCAGGAGGCTCGCCTACTCGCACCCGCGGCGCATGATCGTGTTCTACCAGATCTTGGCGCGGAGAGACGGGCCTGGAGGAGAGCAGAGGAGATCGTACGAGACCTGCAACGACGCATAGGAGAGGACCCGCAAGTTCCGCACCGGAGACTCATATTCCGACGTAATGCTCGAGTTTTCCAGAGGTATTATGTCGGCTAGATGTCTTTTTACGTGGCGAGTATATTGGACTACATGGACAGGGATATTCTTATTACAAAGGGATAATGCATCTACCGCAGCAATGCCTTTCAATCTCGCTTTTTCCAGGAGTTTGCCTATGACAAACAGGTTGTACTTATAATAATAGAAGTTCTGAAGTTACATACAGGTAGAACGGGGGAAATCCGTCCAACACCATTTTCGGGGCTAGTTTCTCTAGCTACCTTTAAATTATACAAATATGATGAGTTAGGCGTGTATAAGTCTCCCGAAACAAGATACCTTGGAATTTGGTCCTTCTACTGGAGGTACCTTTGCCCCTTCACTGACCGTGGCTGACAAAACACCACTAATTCTACTGCAATTACGGCACGTCTCGCCCCCTAAATCCCCATATTTATGGCGTACCCAATCCGCCAACCCATTCCCTTTGTTCGCCCACGCCACCTCCCCAAAGTCCCCGAATCTTCGCTATGCCCTGGGCTATGAGGAGACCCACCTTCCTATTTGGAACATTTGGTCAAGTCGAAACGGATTCCCATTGGTTGGCAGGCATTCAACGATCGCCAATATTCGCGTATAGTGGAGGGTCATAGGTTTCTCTTCGAGGCATAGAGGATATAATTATTATGTAAATTCTAGTGCAAATATTTCTATGAAAAACCTCAAGGTGTATGTCAGTATAATAATAGTGACCAAATGGTTGTGCACCATCTCTTCTTTTCCCCTTCTTAGAGGGGTCGTTTTGACACCTGGAATTTTAGGACTCTTCTTAGCGAACATGTTACCGGCCACTCCATCATGGTGCTCAGCACCCCAATCACACAGCGGAGAAATGAACATACCCACGGATATCGAACTTTCCTTCACTCCAGTAGGTAGGTTGAATCCCCGTCGAGCTCAATACCACGTATTGTACCAGGATCTTGCATAACTGTTTCCCTAATGGCGATCTGTCCGCTAATTTTTAGTGGATAACCGCTATAACTCAGTGAGCTCAGTCACTAAAGCAAGGCGTTACACGGTGCAAACATGCTCGAGATCATGTGGTTTTAGCCTACTAGGTAGTACGAGCAGGTGTGCAAGACTTTTTTACCTGGACTTTCCTACCTCTAAAGATCAGATTATGCGACTGGAGTATTTGAAGAGTTATTATATAATGCACAATCTAATTATGTATACTTTATGATATAACTATACTGAATAGTTATATACTATGTCTTCAACATCGTCTTCATCATCCCGCAAAGTCAATCAACTATCTGAGGTGCCCTTGAGTCTTTGCTGGAATACTTTGTAGTTTCTTTTCCAAACTTCATCCATTCCTGGTAATGGATCTACCCCGGCCTTCGTTAGATCTCTATTGACCCAGTTCAAAATTTTGTCTATGTACGCATCCTCCGCTGCGAACATGCTGTGGAACCTATCTCCAGGCCGGAACCGAGCTTTACGTTCTCTATGTTCCTCCTGCATAATCGATTTAGGGGGCAGTTGAGCTTGTCCTGCGAATACTTTGGCTGCCACCTGAGCCTGGAAGTCAAACAGAGAAAATGTCGACACCAAGTGAGAAACTCCGATAAATGCTAGCGTAGGGTCCGGGATGTAGAAGATGTCCTTGTGTAAGTTGTGTGTGATGTACCCGTCAGACGTAATGAGGACCTTCTCGTCGGCGTCCTCCCAGGGAGTTAATGGTTGTTCCAAATCGCCAAGAAAGGGGTAAGACGTGATGTAACCCGTTGCAATAATAACGTGATCGATGCCTTCGAGAACCTTCCCATCTTCAAGGACGACTTTGCCCGGTATCGCCTGACCAGGCTCCAGGGGCTGAGATTTAGACTCTCCATCGACTGTGTCAGGAATAAACTCGGCAACCATCGCAACCCTCTCAACACCCTCAGGTAAACGTGATACAAGTACATCATACTTGCTTTCCCGTCTGCTCTGAATTATCTTGGCTCCCAAATGTGAGGTCTCCTTGGCAATGTCTAAGGCCGAGACACCGGCGCCAATTATGAGAATAGTCTTATTACTGAAAGGAACAGGGGTTCGATATTGCTTTGAATGCGTGACACGATCCGAGAAGAGTCGTTTCCACGTGGGGAGTCCTGGAACATCTGGCACAAATGGGATATGATAGTGCCCGCTCGCTACTACAACAGCGTCAAACTTCCATGTTCTTTTCGTCAGCGTGTGGCCGGATTTGGTCCTTGTGAGTGTGCTAGTCACGATCGTCCATTTGTCATCTCCATCTGGTTTTGATACGCTTTCCACTCGCGTGTGAAAACTTATCTTCTCGTAAACATTGTGAATATGAGCGATGTCTTTGATGTATTGGTGGACCACTTTTTGATCCACGAGATCCTCACTACCTTCTGGCCATTGTAACAGGCTACTTCGCATAATAGGAGTTGGAATATTATTCTTCAACCCGGCATAGCTGCGATTATGTCAATATCCTGTAACGAAATTTGGAAGTGGCTTTAATAAAGGGGAAAAATCCACATGATATTATTAAAGATAGAGAGCATGATGGAAGGTTAATTTGATGATTTGAACATGACGTTCGGTTTCTGCTCGGGTTACTCATACGTACCATGGATTAGGTGGACCATGTATCAACGCAACTTCGTTTGAGCTTAATCCTTCTTTTTCAACCTCTGCCCAATTCGGAGATGGAGGTCTGACATTAGGAAACGGTGGGTCCCTGTCGGGTTGGGGTTCATAATCCCAAACACCGCCGACTACTCCGGTTCGTTCAAATACGGTGACGTTAAAGCCGGCCCGGAGGAGGTGAGCTGCCGAAACAACACCACTGATACCCGCGCCGATCACAGCCACATCCTTAATGTTACCGAGGTCCGGCCCGCTCTCAACTTTGCTGTCACTGGATAGGGAACCCATAGTAGTAATACATAGATAGATGAGGAAAAAGGCTCAATGAGTAGCGGCCAAAGCAAGATATGAATAGAAACGAACCACGGTTGACTGTGGAGCATGCAAATGATTCATCAGCTCATTTACTCGCCAGAAGCATGCTCTCCTCATTTTCAATGCTTGGTGTTGATTAGAAATCGCGGCATACTCCTGAATTGGATCCGAGGGATGAGGCGATATGCAACAGCGATTACGTGCTTGTTACATCCATGCTTATGCGGTAAAAAACGTGGGAGAGAACTTACGATCGAACGGAGATGACGAGGTAACAATTCTCGATATATCTACTTACTTAGGTACATAGGTCATATATAGGGGAATTGCGCAATTTTAGCTAATGCGTGATTATCCCTTAGTTCGGCCCTCGACATAAGAGAAGGCGTATTCAGCTTAGGTCTCGCGTCAATATTCTCCCTAGCTTCTCATTGTATTTTCTATCATCGAAACATGGCCTAGTCGTGTCTGCCACTCTAGTAATTCTCTAGCTATTCTATGCTTACTGACCGTGCTTTCTTAGCACGCTCTCGGCGATGAAGGATTCTTATCGTGAGAGAAGTCACAATAAGGCCAGCAGCTATGAACACCATCGTGATGAAACCCTTGCGATATCGCGGCCCATCAACTTGCTGCCAAATGATCAATGGTAGCCATGCCTGAACGACGTACGCCATCTCGTTCATAGTTCCCACCACTAGAGCGCGCTCTTCATTGTCGTCACTACAGATCTCATGCGCCCACGCGAACGTCAGCCCACTGATCCCTCCTCCAATAGTACCTATGATGTAACAAGCCCATTTCCAGCCAACGGGGATATTCCAAACCCCGAGACTTGTGTTGGTAATGATGTTGACAACCCCTGAAAACACCATTGCTGGCCACCTTTCTCCTTTGAATAATGAATCTGAAGTCCAGGCGTATATGTACGTAAAGATCACAGCGATGGCCGATGAGATAGTCGGGTAGGAGTTTATCGCGGTAACGCTGTACCCTTCCTGTTTCAGCCAGATCGCGAAGGCCGGCTGGCTACCATAGCCCGTGCCATTGTTGAAGAAAATGTATAAAAGCGTCAGTGCGTATATGTGCCACGAGGAGAAGATCTTCTTGAGTTTGGCCTTGGTGTATGGTCCCCGGTTAGCTCGACCTTCTAATTCCATGCGTTTCTTTGCTAGCACTATCTCGCCCTTGTTTAACCACCACGCTCGAGTGATTTCGGGCACATCCGGAAAGAAGAAGAAGCCTGCGATGGCGATCGGTAAGGATATCGTGGTATTTATGATAAAAAGCCACTGCCAACCCTTAAATCCATCCACGCCGTTCAGATTATAGACTGCAGCCATCAAGTAGCCGGAAAACATCGTTCCTATCGTACCGCTTGCATGAAAGATACAACTTCGCTTGGCAAGTTCATCTTTTCGATCTGCTATTTATTAGCATTTCGTCAAAGAGCGGAAGTATTTTATTCTATAGTATATCTCCCATAGAAATAAATAGATAAAAACATACTGTAGAAAGTTAGTTCTTAAATCCTCAAAAATGTTCGATTTGCCACAGAAATAAAGGGGGTGGAAATGATACGAAAACGGTGAAACTTACCACCAAGATCCAATGACATATTGCATGCCGGGATAGAAAGCGCTCTCGGCGAGCCCTATAAAGAATCGGAGGACGTATATCTGCGTTGCCGTCTGGCACTTTGAGATTAAGATGGTCAAAACTGACCACACAACCTCACATGCCGGTATCCAAATAGAGGGTCGAATTTTGGTGAGCAAAATATTGCTGTTATTGTTAGTAACGCCGATCTGGAGAGGTGATTAATAACGTGCCTTACCTTGGGACTTCGCCAATGACATAGCCAACCGTCCAGCATGCAGTCATGTAGTTGAGCTGGTTACCGTAAAGCCCAAGATCCTCTTTCATGCCAGATACGAAGGCGCTGTTGACGTTTATCTGGTCGAGATTTTTGATGAAGTAACCCAAAGAAGCGAATGTTAAGATCACCGCGTCTAGCTTGAACAAGAATCTCCTCTCCTCTGGTGATTTATCAAACGTGTCCCAGAAGTACGATCTCCATGTTTGCTTCGGTTTCACAACTACAGGTGTCGTCGAATCAGCATCGCTGTGGTCGACGCTTTTGGCAGCCACTTCGCCGTCGACTTCGACCACGTTCTTAGTCGTGATCTCTTTGTTCGCCATGTCGTACTCGTGAAATCAAACCTGCATGGAAGCTCTACTGGAACGATCAAACAAAAATGCTCGGGGTATTACTATCTTAAAAAGAGCCTGCCTCCCCTGAAGCTACACAGGATTTGTTCACGCTATTCTTCGCGTATAAAAATATTTATCCCGCGTTTTGAGGAACGAAGGCCCTTCGAATAGCGTCTCATTATAGACAATCCCTGCTCGATATCAACCTAGATCTCCCGAGCAAGGAAGAACTACGATGTACGATTATCAATAGGTTGCTCCTCCAGGGACCGAAGCTTGCAAAGCTTGGTCGAGCATACGTATAACCCAGCAATGTGCAAGGTCATGGGATAATACGCCTAGCCATTTATGGAGGAGGAATTCTAGAACTATTATGTACACGGCCTTACAGCTCATGCAATGTAGTGACCTACGAAAGAAGAGTGTGGGGTTCTAATTGTGTGTTATTTGGAGCTAAAGAGGTAGAAGGGCCGAGGCAGACAAGGTGGTGATCACCTCAACGTTGGCTACCATGACGCCATGCTTCACCCCACAAACGCGTCGAATAGCACCCGCATTACGCACCCTACCTGCATTTAAGAGGCGATCTTTCTCGCATCATCCTTCTCCAATATCGCGAATTGATAAGGAACTCCAATCACGACATTTATCAGTCGCGGAGAACTGTTTACTCCTCAGTAGATTCTGCAAAAGACTGTCATGCAGCGGCAGCTAATAGGAATGAAGCAGATACAGCTTACCAATCGTCGAGTCTGAACATTCGAGTGTGTCCATGGAGTTGGAGAATGACCTGTCGTCGAATTCAGCGAAAATGAGGTCAGTGGTAAGGGAACTCCAACTGAATGCTCAATGCCACTATATAATTCCGTTGGAGGTCATACGCATCTTGGGGTAGGTGAGAAGTTAGAAGAGAGCTCAGTTTTTCCCCTTGGAATATTTACAAAAAATTGAAATAAATCAGATAAAAACATACACCAAGTCTTCTTGAAATCGTGAAAATGGCACCTGCACCAATTGACGAGCGCATCAAGGATGTTGCGGAACCTCGCAAAGACACGCTGGGCCTACCCGAGCCGGCCCTCCGCCGCCTAAAGAAGGCGGGAATCGATCTCTCTAACGGCTACCCTTACCGTCCATCGAGGCCTCTTTACCTAGACGACGTCTACCAAATCAGGAGTAAAGAGTGGAAACACGACGACGCCGGAGCCCGCGCGGATAAGTCAAAGTCGGCGCTCCTGTCAGCCGCCACCAAAGTGACAGACCTTACCGCACACATCGGAACCGAGATCGAGGGCCTACAGCTCAAGGACCTCACGGACCAGCAGAAAGACGAGCTGGCGCTCCTCATCGCCGAGCGGAGCGTCGTCTTCTTCAGAGACCAAGATATCTCGCCACAGCAGCAGCTCGCGCTCGGCAAGTACTACGGCGAGGTAGAAGTTCACGTAAGTCCTACCCAAAACCAAAACACCTCCTACCTCCCCCCCCTTAGTGGAAAAGTACCCACATACTTACACCCAACGAATAACAGCCGCAAGTCGCCCAAGTCCCCGGCAACCCAGGCGTGACGGTGATCTGGCCGGACCTGCAAGCAACAGAGCGAGCGGCCAACTTCCGCAACCCGGGGGGCGCGTCGCGCTGGCACACGGACCTGGTGCACGAGCTGCAGCCGGCGGGGATCACGCACCTGCACAACGACACGATACCTCCGGTGGGCGGGGACACGCTGTGGGCGAGCGGGTACGCGGCGTACGAGAAGCTATCCCCCGACTTCCGGCGGATCATCGACGGCAAGCTCGGCGTCTACCGGTCCGCGCACCCGTACCTGGACCGCGCGCATCCGGAGGCCGGTCCGAAGTACGTCGAGCGCGTGCACCCCATCGTGCGCGTGCACCCGGCGACGGGCTGGAAGGCGCTGTGGGTCAACCGCGCGATGACCGATCGCATCGTGGGGCTGGATAAGGCGGAGAGCGATGTCATTCTGAACTACTTGTACGATGTGTATGAGAAGAACGTCGATATCCAGGTGCGCTTCCGCTGGACGCCGAATACTAGCGCGCTTTGGGATAATAGGTAAGCGGACCCAGCCCCCCTTTTCTCCTCAGTCGTCCGCAGTTGCTAATTTAGGCTCCTTTGTAGAATCACTATCCACAACGCGAGCTGGGACTATGGTGGGAAGCACCCTAGGCACGGGACGCGTGTTACAACTTTGGGCGAGAAGCCGTACTTCGATGCTTCGGCTCCGACTAGGCGAGAGGCCCTTGGTTTGCTGGATGAGAGCGAGAAGCAGGTTGATGGTCCTGCTTGAAGACTTTTGAATGTACCGAGATAGATATAATAAATTGACTATATCTCGGAACACATTTCACGATTTTCTTTTTTGCCTTATAGCTGAAAGAGTTAGCATGTTTTCCCTCTCCGCATTGGTTCGGTTCACTAACAACGCCTCATGAGAGATAAGGGCTTTCTTAGTCTTAAACCTGACATGTCAAAGCTTTACCAAGACACAATCGACAATCCTTTGAAAGATTCAGCTTGCGTATCACTCCCCGCGGGAAGAAGTTCTCACTAACCTAATGCTCTCCACCTAGGCCGAAATAGTTATTCCGCGTCAGCTTGTACAATTCGACAATTAGAACAGGTCTCGAGCACATATTAGTATCGTGGAGACTTTATTCTCGGAATACGATGTAGATTTTTTCTCTTCTCAGTCTGGTAGTCAAGTTAGTAGTCAGTGGAGATATCAAAGTTGGTAATGCAGACCATGGTAGAACAAAGGGGGATCACGTGACTGAGCTAGCCCATATTTTCCAATACTCACGCCAAGCGTACATTCAAGTAGTCATTCATATTCATACTCATCTCTATCTACCTTAATAGGTACGCCATCCACAGCCCGCCTTTCAAGCAAAAGATACGGTCCAATCAGCGCCAATCCTAGCACCGACCCGTTTTATAACCGCAAAAGCAGCCCTGCCACCTTCCGCCTTGTGGTAGTCCAATGGCACCGAGGTCTTCTTGCCCTCGGACTCAACTTCTACTTCCTTCTTGTCTGCCCATGATGAAGGCGCCCCGATGACGATGATCTTGTCAACGGATACACCGCGCATGAGCTTCAACCACTGCCCTTCCTTCACGCTCTTGGCGTCACGGCCTTCCGAATCGGTAGAAGTAAGGGTTGAGCCCTCGAGCTTGAACTTGCGGTGGATGTACTGGCCCTTTTCATAATCGAAGGAGTCGCCATCGTCGACGTAGAGCTCACCTTCCGCTTGGCCATTCTTGCCAACCGCCACAACAAGAGTGTAGTCGTCGAATTTCATCAGCTGAGTAGAACGACGCGGTGTATCCCGACGAGGTAGGATGTGTCCGCCGCGCATCAAAACGGGGATAGACTCGAGGGGTGCGTCGACGGTCAAGTATTTCCCTTTAGTTGTAGCAAGCTTCTTGTAGTTAAAGTAGTCATAATAAACCTCGTCATCCGGAATATAAATATCCACAGAACGTTTATCCTTCTCCACGACCGGCTTAACCAAAAGACCAGTCGATCCAACGAAGAACTGGTCATCGATGTCGAAACCACCTTCTTCGCTTGGATGTGTCCAATATAGAGGACGAATGATAGGGCTACCATCTTGATTGGCATGATAGAATGCGGTGTACCAAGCCGGAAGTAAGCTGTAGCGGAGACGCAAAGCAGAGGTGATGATAGATCGATACGGCTCCGCAAGGAGGAATGGTTCCCGGCGCCGGGCATCAATATGAGCGTGTCCTCGGAAGAAGGGATAGAAGGCACCGGCTTGATACCAACGACTCTGCAGTTCCAGTTCTGGGTTACCAAAGAAACCACCGACATCAGCACCGGAGAAGGGAAAACCAGAAATTCCTTGGGCGAGAATCATAGGAACAGATGCGCCAAGGTGTTCCCAGCTGGCCTGGTTGTCGCCGGTCCACATCGCACCAAGACGTTGCGAGCCAGCAAAGAAGGAACGGGTAAGTACGAATGGGCGCTTCAGTTCGCCCTTCTTTCGCGATAGCATAGCCTCGTACGTAGCATTATGGAAAGTCATGCCGTTGACGTTATGGATGTCGCGATGCTCCCAGCCGCCGTGGTGGAGGTTGTCTTTTGGCATAGTAACCTCCGGTCCGTTGAATACCGATGGCTCGTTCATGTCATTCCAGATGAAGGTGTTCTCCATTGTGCCCTTGAATCTATCATAATTGAAAAGACTTGACCACCACTTGATGGCGGCCGGGTTGAAAGCATCAATCCAATGCGAAGATCCAGGCCAGCACCAACCATCGAAGTCATTACCATCCTTATTCTTGACAGCCAGGCCCTTCGACTTCAGTTCGTCGGAGACATGGTAACCTCCGACATTCTTGATGTGAGGATCAATGATCGTGACCAGTTTCCTCCCGTGTTCATCCAGGTGTTTTCCCATGGAGATGGGGTCCTTGAACATGTCGTTGTCCCAAGTAAAGTACTTCTTGTCATCGGTGTATTCGATATCCAACCATATTACATCGTACGGAATATGATACCGATCCATTTTGCGGTCAACCTCTTTGACATCATCGTCCGAGACGTAGTTCCATCGGCATTGATGATAACCAATGGAAAATTCCTGGGGTAGGGCAGTGGTGCCAGTGAGTTCGGCATAATTCTTAGTAATATCGCGAGGCGTTGGGCCAAGGAAGACGAATACGTCCATCAAGCCAGACTCCGAGATCCAGTGGGTTTGGGTGTTGGTCTTGGCACCAATTCCGAGTGCTAAGGGGTTCTTGGATTCCTTGGCCTTGGTGATGTCGATCCAGGTTTCGGCCGTATTGAGCCAGAAAACACCAACGGTGGAATCCTTCCGCTGAGCTTGCATGAAGGGAATCGCTCCATACAAAGTCATTGGGCTGTCCAAGACATACTCGAAAACATCGGCATTATATAACCTGTACGGTTCAGCGTAGTTGCCCTCACCGCCGCGGGTCTCCTTCAGTGACAAGGGACCAGCATGCTCCGGAATTCCGTAGACGTGCTCATAGCCCAAGAAAGTGATATCAAGGGCAACGCTCTCAGGTCCACGAGGCTTAGAATCGGTATTACCACCGAAGGTCTCTTCCCACCAAGTGCTCTCGTCTTCTGATGGAGCTACCTCGGGAGTTTCTTCCTTCTTCTCTTCTTGTCCTTCTTCGCCTTCCTTTTTCTCTGGTGCCGGCTTCTCGATCTTCGGTCGCCAATGCTCCATATTTAACAGGCCGCGGTCGTTGAGTCTGATTTGAGCAACGCCATCTCGCTTGAATTCAATCGAATATGGTTCATAATTGATGTCGGCTTCAAATGCTAAGTTGGGGCCATATTGGATCTTCATGCCAGTCTCACCCTCATGGGAGACTTTAGCATCCGTGTCAACATCCAAGCCGCCAACAAGAGTCCACTTTTCAGCTTCGTTATATCTTTCTTTTCTAGCCCCGCTATTGTGTCTAATTTCGATGTCCTTATCTTGTCTCTTTTTCTCGTCGATTGTAACACGTGCCGTACCCGATTTCAAGAAAGATACGGTAATGGGAAGTTGGACAGTATTTCCTTGTTCGTCGATAGTTTTTAATATGGTAGCATGGAATTGGCCATCCTTAAACGAGGCCAGCTCGGAAGGAATCTTGTAGGGTGCTTTCCACTCGGATCCTAGGGCAACAGCATTGTCGGCATAAGCTCTATTTCTCTTGCAGAAGCCCGATTGATGACATTTCTTGAAATCATTTTCCTTCACCGCAACTAGTTTCTATTAGCTTCAATTGACGGGTTTTTGATCAGCTATTCAAGTTATTACCTCCTGGCGTAAAAAGTGAACATAGAACAGCGAAAAGGCACAAGAAAGCGGCCCATCTTGGGGACAACTGGCTCGAACCAGCACCGGCCATCTTGGTCCCCTTGGCACGGCGTCCCTTGATATAGTGGATTGTATCGACAATGGGAGAGAAAAGTCAAAGCAGGGAGGAAATTAAATCATTGAGATATGTAAACATTAAATCATGAGTGGTTTCACTCAATTGCTTCGCACGGTCGCAAGCAATTGGATATGTTGTGCTTGTTCTTTGTGGGAGGTTTAACTTGATGCGAGCTGTCCATTCAAAAGATACGAGATACGTAGCTGTGCCTTGAAGCTCCCTTGAATTAGGTAATCTGGGTAGTCTGTATTTTAGCCTGTAATTAAGCCACAATTGTCGGTATCCACTAGTCTCCACCATCAACACGGAGCTCCTGATAAGTTCCAAGTTGCAACGACGAACAGTGATCCGTTAGTTACTAGCCACACGCGCAGACTGCGATATTGCAAGTATTGGATATACCATCTTTGCTGTTAATCTGTACAATGTTCATCATCTAGTTGTGGCCTGTTGTGAGCTACATCGTGGCTGCATGGGAACTTGGGCAATAACTGAGACTCTTCTGATTTGTGAATAATTCCCTTCACTATTCTCCGTTTGATCAATCACGACTCTTAGCCACCAATTGTCACAATCAACAACATCAACAATATCTCATTTTCTCGTACATCTTATCCACATTCCTTATTCTTAGAATACTAAGAAAATTAATCGATAATTTCCATAATCATTACTTATGCATCTTTTTCTATACTCGATAACCAAAACTCCTCCAAATACATAGTGTTTTAAGGTTGAGTCTTCAATTCAAGAAATACACGAACAGCCTTAGCATACAGTTACACCCTAATGACCGAGATGTACAAGCCACAGCCACAGAACCTGCAAAAACAACCTTTCGTACTTGGAGGCAGCGGACCTCAAGCTGGTGGTGGTAGTGGCAGTGGAGGAAGGCGCCACAATTCTGAAAGCCACGTCAAGCCCAATCCCCGGCGACCCAATGGACCTTCAGGACCCCGCCATGCCGCCAATCACCCCGCCTTGAAGTATCTTTTCTTCAGCTTGTCAAGTCTGTGCTTGGTTTTTTTTCTATTCTTCCTTTTCCCCTGGACACAACCAGATCGTCAAGGTTGGACATTCGGCCAAAGTGTTAAGCACGACATAAATATCTACAGAGGAGCACTATTCCAGTCTCCTTCTACTTTAACTATCACCACCACCGTTACCCAATCTCATATCCAACCTACCGAAAAACCGGTGCCAACGGAAGAACCCAAGATGTCGACTACCGAGCAGACGTGAGTATTCTATAATACCATATTCCCCAGCTCTAAATGTTGCGACTATGTATAAGAGACTAACATATTGTTTACAGTTTCATTGCCATCAAGCCTGATGGTGTCCAGGTATTCCAATCCCTACGCAAAGCTTGATCTTCCAAACATTGTTCTGACCGTTGCCCTAGCGTGGCCTCGTTGGTGCCATCATCTCTCGCTTCGAGAGCCGTGGGTGAGTATAATAGCCTCTTCCCATCATTCATAACCTCAGTCTAATCGTCAATAGCTTCAAGCTTGTTGCCCTCAAGCTGGTCACCCCCGGCAAGGCCCACCTTGAGCAGCACTGTAAGTCATTTTCGTCCCCACCAAACTTCAATGGCTCCATGGACTAACACAATTATAACAGATGCTGACCTCAAGGACAAGCCCTTCTTCCCTGGTCTAATTGAGTGTATGCCACCGTGAAAACGACTATCCCATTCGATATAGCTAACCCAAACATAGACATGAACAGCGGCCCAATTGCCGCCATGGTCTGGGAAGGCCTTGACGCCGTCAAGACTGGCCGAAGTACGTTCACACTGCCGTTCTGTAGTAATTATAATGCTAACCAGCAATTTCACAGCTCTCCTCGGCGCCACCAACCCCCTTGCCTCTGCCCCCGGCACCATCCGTGTAAGTAAATGTCTTGACATCCACATCTGACTCAGCTAACGAAGCATAAACAGGGTGACTTCGCCCTTCAAACCGGCCGCAACGTCTGCCACGGCTCCGACAGCGTCGAGAACGCCAAGAAGGAGATCGCTCTATGGTTCAAGGAGGGCGACGTCATCAGCTGGGAGAACGCCCAGGCAAAGTGGATCTACGAGTAAAAAAAGTGGTTACGAAGTTCCATATGATGTCGTACTAGCTTGATCTAGCTTGGACAATGCTCAAAATTACGTAGCATGGTCCAGCAGATAGTGCATGTCGCCATAAATAAAAGAAACCATAGAGAGAATCTTGTTTATTATTTGTGGTATTTTTTTTGGAGTATGCGTAGGTAGGGATGTAGGCTTGGTTAACTGCGTTTCCTCCATATCGAACGCCTCGCGGCTACAAACCCTCTCGCTAGCCAAGGTGTCGCCCAAAGACTTAGTGCTATACGGGGTATAAGCAGCATCTTTGTAATTGCGTAGGCGGCAGCGATTTGAACACCGATCTTATACCCTTTCTCCGTATTCTCAGTTGTAACCACGCCCTTAACTTTCTTCCAAGCTGCCTTCGTTTTACTCTGTTCCGCACCAGCTCCAGCTTCTCCCTCTCCACCCGGAGTATCATCAACATCGCCATTCCCGCCCCACCACCTGCTAAACCACCTCCCACCCCTCCCCTCCTTCTCCCTAACCCTCTCCCGCTCAACCTCCTGCCTCAACCGTTCCTCCAACCTCTCCTCCCCATCCCTCCCACCACCACCATCACCACCCCCCTCCCCCAGCCCAAACCATCCCTTCTTCCGGAAATACCCCATATACCGACTCAGCCCCTCCTCGGCCCACGCGGCCCACGGTCCGAAGACCCACGCCGTGGGCACCCAATCCGCGCTGTGGAACAGGTACGCGAGGCCGAAGAGCGGCGCGAGCGCCGTCAGCTCGTGCAGCGCGAGGAACGCGGCCACGTGGCTGAAGGGCGCCGTGCGCAGGCGCTGCAGGTAAGGGTGCAGGCGTCTGGGCACGAAGCGCGACGCGCGGTCGAGGATTAGGCGCGCGCGTTGCGTTTTCTGCGCTGAGGAGGAGGAGGAGGAGGAAGGTGAGGAGGAAGGGGTGGGGTTGTGCGGCTTGCTGGATTGGAAGCGTTGCGGTCGCGGGGCGCGGGGGCGGAGATGGTGGATTGTGTTGGAGGGTCGAGGGAGCGGGCGGGTTGAGGGTGCGAAGGTGGTGAGGAAGCGGGTTTGTTGGTGCCAGAGGCGGTTTGTCGGGGACATTGTCGTAGGCCTCTCTTCTCGGCGTTGGTTAGGATAGGTAGAGGTAGGTTTCGAGCTCAGTGGCTATATGGTGAGAAGATCTAGGCGGTGGAAACCGCAGAGCGAAAAACTATGTATTTTTATTCGGTGCCGGTTTTCTTAATTCCAGGTTGTAAAGAGCAAGCTTGGTTTTGCGGCACAGAATTCCTTGTGGAGAGCTCAGCTCAGCTCGATAATGCGGGGCTGAAATGACGTTGATATCGCGATTCGGGGTAGCTTCGTTGGGCCGTTAGCGAAGATCTGAGATTAGGGGTAAGAGACCGAGACAAAATGACAATAATAAGAGATAAAAATAGATTATCCAGCTATAGAAGAAATGAGATTTTCATTTCTTTATCTTCAGTATGATACAAACCCTAGTAATGTCTCACTCCGGGAATTGCGCACCAAGGCCCTTGATAAGCATACTCTCAGCCTGCAAGCCTTTACCCTCAACCAGGACTCCCGCTTTGCGTAGAATATCGACACAGCTCTTGATAACTTTCAAATCAACACCCTCGGTCTTGGTAGCAAACCGCACAGTACTCAACCATTCCCTCGCATCCGCCTCCGAGTAGTCCAGCTCGGTACTAATGTACTTAACCGCTTCGTCTTGATGCTCGCCAAAATACTTAACGCCTTCATCAAGCTTCTTGAACAAGTCCAGTAGCCTTTGATCCGTGCTCGGTCCCGAGAGCACCCGCTCGGTGGACGCCACGATCTTCCAGCTGCTCCAGGGGGTGTAGATCTCGCCCACGCGGCGTATCTCCCCACTGTCGTAGTACCGCTTAGATGTGAAGTGCTCCCACATGAAGAAGTCGGCAGTGCCATCGTTGACCGCGTTCCTCAGATTCGCGAAGTTCTGCAATATCACGAAATCCTCGTATGGTGTCTTTCCCGGGGTCAACCACCCTTGCTGGTCCGCGAGCACGTATCCCATCACCTGGCTTCCGGAGCCGATGCGCGAGATTCCGATCTTAGACCCCTTAAGCGAGGATACGGATGTAATCTCAGGCCGCTTAGCGCCGGTGGAAATTGCCCAACCTATTCCTATTAGTAAGTCTCATGTACGCTACGCAATGGTATTTATGGCGCTATACAAAGAGGCGTCTCGACATAAGTCCCGACAATCCGGTAGCCACCATCGCCAGGTGTATCTTCCTTGCCAAGCCCTGCTACCCACGCTTCCGTGAGACCGATTCCAATGTCGATTTCGCCAGCCCGGATAGCAGTGATCATGTGTCCGCTTCCGGATGGAAACGGGATCAAGGTAGCGGAGAGGCCGAAGTACTTCTGCGCAAAGTAGAGCGGCGTGGAGAAGTGCTCCGGCACGAAGCCGATTCGGAGGGGTTGAGAGGAATCTGCCATTATTCCGTCTAAGTACACCAGGTACTACTACTACAGCTCGCCTAGACTTGTGGGAAGACGAACAGCTATGTTTAATTAGCGTAAGACGAACACGGGAGAAATGAGTTGCAGCTGTAAAGGATCGGACGGAAACAGCGCATGACGTTTACGTGCTGAATACATCAATTCGGCAATTACTTGCAGCGGGTATGCGCGGGACTAGATACTGTGGGGCAGTAACTATACGTAGAGTTTGATTGTTAGGTACTGCGATATGCTCTAAGCGGGTAATTGCCCTTATAACAATTACGAGAGGGAAAGAAAGAATAATACAGAAAAAGGCTTAATTAAGTAGAATATATGCCGGAACAAAGTGTAAGAGAATAAATATGCCATATACATAGGTAATAAATGTCTGGCTGGTTTTGGTTCATTTAACCCCTTTCACGCGTAACCAAAACCCCTATTCGAAATGAAGGGGGTCTTAGTATCACTGATATTAGGACGTCAAGAGATCTAAGCACAACGTATATAGATTGATGAATAAGATAAGCCAATCCAATTTCGTATAAAATCTGGGAATCGGATTTACTTTTCGCAAGGCATTCTATTATGTCTGTTTCAAAACGTTAGTCTAGAAAGAAATTAAGCCGTTTGAAACAACATAAGAAACTGCCACTAGAATGCAATGGTCAACTTCTGGCCATACGACCTCATAACAATAAAACTAAGGTCAAGGGTACGCTGCGGTTCGTTTGTTCTTTTACCACGTCGTACTATTGTTTGCGATTATTTCACTAATGTTCTGACAATGGAGGGAGACCCTAGCTCGCTAAGTCAAGCTCTCTTGTTCCATGTGATGGATCATCAGCGAGATCATACATTCGGACTCCACGAGTTTGCTTCCTGGATTACTAGGTACCAAAATTCTGGCACATGATAAAGAAGTTCGTGTTAGAGGTATAAACAGTTGTGAATCGGCCCCGACTTCGGCCTGTTGGAGGCTCGACCGTTACCTGTGCAGGTCTGTTGACAATAGAGCATAAAATAATGTAGATAAATTGATTTTGTTTGTTTGTAGACCGCGATGTTTGATACGTTGCTGTATTAAGAAGTCGTTATGCAAAAGCGTTGATATTACCCTCCACCACCGGCCCTGTAGAGTGACAATTCACGCAGGCAAGGGAAGCAAGGAAGTTTGAGAGATCAATAACAGCTTGTTCACTACTTCAGAAACCATAGCTTTTCAGGTTGATACTTGACATTATTCCGCAAGGACCTCAAAGTTGCAACGTTCCTTTTATAATCCACATAATATTCCGCAGCCCGTAAGACAACGCAGGGATCCAGTCATATGAAGTATATGCAGTAGTTAAGAAACTTCAAGATAACCATTAATTTTATTTTTATCATACTAAAAACGAAAAATAGCAGTGTGAGAGAGCTGCAAATCCGGGTGTTTTTTTACTCCCTACCTAAAATCAAAGTCATTTGGAGTAATAATTCTGATTGTTTACGCGGCCGATTTCTGAACCTGCCTAACCCACCTACCTGTCTTCGGATATACACTTCCGGGTATATCATGTCTTCCCGAACTTCTAGAGGTAATTAGTCCATTCGATGAGTAAAATACCGGGAAGCGGGCCGTGAGATATGACGATTCGGAGCTTGTTGCAGCCTCAACACTTTTTCGCGAGTTGGATACCTGCTTAGGTACTAATCAGCCAAGGATGTCAAAAAGCAGTTGTCGTCAGCGCCTTGAAAGTCTGTTGTTGTAAACGAGTACGAAACACTTCTGTTCTTTAACAGTATGCGTCGTTAGGAATAGTATGTGTTTAACGAGGACAAACTTGCCAAATGAGCTGCCGGGTCATGTTGACAAATTCTCTCCGCCCCCAAAAGAGATGCAGCGGTCATGATGCGTGCCGAGCGAGGCCGCATGAAGGTGGTTAATTTATGAGTATCACCGTTGACACCACGTGTAAGAAGTGTATGGCTCGACCGTGAACAGAATGGAACAGACTTATATCAAAGCTCTTGTTTATCACTGCGATACAACGCAAGGGACGCCACGAGAGGGGAACGCGACCAGTAGGACACTGGCTCTTCACCGATGTAAAAGGACATCGCTTCAAACTCGCATCGAGGTGGTGTATGGTAAAACCGAGCAGGTCGAAGTCGTACTCGTACTGACATCGCGGCCGCAATTATATGGAAATCTGAGGCTCGTTCCGCGAGCCTGATGGAATCTCTCCGCTTTAACATGATATGATATCAGCATGACAGAGCAATGCATGGTACTTCCGTAACTTAATAAGCCTTCTGCGTCCTGCACGTGCCGTGCTGCTCTCCGCTACTCATAGGCGATTTTCATCTCCTGCCCCTTATGCTAGCTTGGCGTGTCTGCTAAAATGATGGGGCGGACATGTAACGTGACGCACCGAAACAGAGCTCGCTCCCTATCTAGGGATTTAGTCTAGACATCTATAGTGTCCATTCGCCAACTTCGCAACTCGCTTAGGGTACGGCGTTGTCGTGACGGGTGATGATTTTAAATAGCGGAAATAAACCGATATATGGTAATCCGATGCGTTGTGATCTACATGACGACAGTCTTACCGAGAACGAGTAGAGGTTTCAATTTATATGGTTAATTATAAAGATGACCGTTTCATGGTACCAGATCCTCGGGAACATTTAACTCAAGAAGCTCCACAGATGTCAAGACCGCATCGTTACTTTAAAAAACAGACGCTATGATAGGGCGTTCAAACGACACAGCTTGTTAAAAGGACCGTACCTTGTTCGCTGTCTTATATTAAAACCCACCAGAAAAACAAAACTTTTGAGCTAGATACCGAGACCCGACTAGGTTAAAGTTTAGCGGGATGCCGGGATTATAATAAGATTATGGGGCCTGTTAACCTTAAGCAGAGCATTATTAAGTTCTTTCGTTCTTCAGCAACTGCGAACCGTCCAGTTAGAAGCGACGTTCGCTTCCGAAAAGGGTAATAAGGGGGGTTCCCTCGCTACCTGGGGGTAGGGGTCGGCCGCTGTGCGGTGCGGCGCTGCAGGCCCTTTCCTACCCCCAAATTCCGCTGGTGTGATGCATTGTCCTTTTGTTCTAATCCAGCCGCAACTAATAGCAGAGAAAGAAATAGTACAGGAGAGGTGGAAGGTAAACTTTTAATCAAACACAACGTGAGGAAACATCCTCTATCTAATCGAAATCCGAAATCCGCTACTTTCGAGATAAAAAGTTCCAAGTTGCAAAAGAACATTACCGAGATGCGTTCGAATGACTGGACTACATAAGACGGATTTATACAAATGGCTGTGATGCACTTCCTTCCAATATCCTTTTTTGTTCGCTGTTCGTTGTTCGCGGAGCACGAGTACAAGCACAAACGCAAGCACAAGCACGTGAATGAATGAACACATCATCGATAGCGAGCCGGATTTGCATCGATATTTCACCTAGCCATCTTAATCATAATAAATTGTTCGAGGAAAAGAGAAAGATGTTGTCGAAGGGGACAATCCTCATTACCGGCTTCAACGGTTACCTTGCCGGCCGGGTTGCCGAGTTGGCAATGAAGGCCGGGTACAGCGTGCGCGGCACAGTCCGAAATCTCGACGCCGGCGCCGAAGTCCAAAAAGCGTTGCTGGGACTTGGCTACGGATGCCGGGCCGAAGTCGTACAGGTCCCCGATATGACCACACCCGGCGCCTTTGACCAGGCCGTAATTGGTACGAACTTCACATTGTGGGGGCAAACGGAGCAAATAGTTATGGCCGTTTTCGTCTACGAGATACGAATTGGGAATGAGAAGCTGACGAATAACACCGGGTTTTAGGGTGCTCCGCAATCGTCCATCTCGCCTCACCAGTCAAAGACACCTTCATTCTACCACCGGCGGAAGTGGTCCGCATGAATATAAGCGGCACGATGGGGATATTAGAGTCAGCGTCGAAGGCCGGACCGAAAGTGAAGAGCGTGGTATTAATGTCTTCCGTCGCTGCTAATTTCGACGTACCTACCCAGCCCGGCATCTATTCGGAAGAGAACTGGAACACAACTTCCGAACCGGCCATCGCGCAATTAGGTTCTGAGGCAGGCGGTCTACATGCCTACTGCGCAAGCAAAACCGCCGGCGAGAGAGCGTTCTGGAAGTTCCGCGAGGAGCGGAACCCGTCATTCAGCATGACGACGCTTCAAGCTACGTGAGTGCCCCTTTCCCCCTTTCCCCCTATTCACCAATACCCACCATCGCAAATCCCTCACTAACCCGCGATCCACCACCACAGCTACTTCACCGGCCCGCCCCTAATCCCCTGGACCAGCCCCTCGCAGCTCCCCTTCTCGCTCGCGAACCTCTTCTCCCTCCTCAGCACCAAGCAGATCCCGGGCCCGAGCCTGCTGTACGAGAACACGGTCGACGTGCGCGACGTGGCGCGCGTGATCCTGTGGTCGGTCCTGAACCCCTCCGTCGCCGACGGCCAGCGCTACCTGTGCGCCGCGGCGACCGGCGGGCCCCAGGCCATGGCCGACGTCCTGAACAAGCGCATGCCGGAGCTCGGGCTGTCGAGGGGCAGTCCCGGGGAGGGCTACGACGAGGGGTATCCTTCGACGAGCGGCGATGTGGCGTTTGATGGGAGGAAGGCGGTCGAGGCTACGGGGCAGGACTGGATCCCGTATGAGACGACTATTGTGGACACGGCGAAGGCGTTGGTTCCGTTGCTTAAGTAGAGAGGTTGGGTTTGTTTAGCTTGGTTTTAGGGTTTTGGTGAGATGGATGTGAGTAAAGACTCAAGGAAGGAAGGAAGGAAGGAAGCATATGGCGCTTCCCTGATGAATATACTTGATACCTTTTTTACATGAATGGTCAATTAGTATTGGATGCTCGAGGCTTACCTATCCATCCAGAATGATAGCATATATGAATTAACTAACTAACTATGTATGTATGGGTTTCTTATACTGATTTTAGTTATGTCAAACCCTTAGTACGTAAGTACAACTAGCCCTTCTCAGTTCTTTTACACTGCCTATCTTAAGGGAAAGGGAATGAGTGGATGGTGAGCCTATTTAGCTACCTAGTTGAAGACATGATCCTATTACTGCCTATCGACTTTGAATTTAGATAATGTGAAATATCCATGTCAACATTAATCGTAGGAACATAGATAGGCACACAGCGAGCTCATATATTTACCTAATAGGAAAGTCACGGAATTTGTATCTTTGTAATAGATTCGAAGGACCTCGTATGAAACTGTGTTTCATTTGTAGAAATAGGTCTAGCTTTCTACCACATGAATTGAAATACCTATGAAATTATGCAGAGCTATGAAAGATTGTGAAGGAAAGCGCTTTCATTCATCATTCGCCCAGTCAATAAGCGCATAACACCTAACAATGACCGGAATCACAGTCACCCATGAACTCCATCCCCTTTGAACCAATTCGCATACCAAACGCCGTGACTTTACATAAGAAAAGTCCATTGCAATTGGACCCCGATGCCATAGCGATACTCATCCATGTCAAGTTCAACGAGATGCGTGCCCAGCGAGCCCGCCTTACTCCTATCCCTCAAGCGCAGGCATGATTCCGCTTGACACAGCCAAGGTAGAGACCAATTCCTTGCATCCTCCATGTCCATTCTTTTCTGCAAGTCGGATTGCTTTACGGCACTGCTCAATTGGTATACCAAAAATACTCGCGTTCCAGAGAAACTGGATCATATCTACGCGGCCATGCTCAGCAGCGGCCTCGATAGGCCATATTCCACCGAACTCAGATGGGGCATCGTACACGCTAGCGCCGTAATTCATCAAGATTACGACGATATTGCAATTTCCGCTCATGGCTGCGAACTGCAAAGCTGTCCCGCCACGATGAAGTGCTGGTTTGGCGTTAACGTCCGCACCGTTGTGAAGAAGCAATTCCACAATATCCAGACTGCCAACCTGGGCAGCAGCTTGTAACGGTGTTTGCCTGACTCCATACCTGGCCTCTTTGTTGATATTGGCACCACGGCTTATAATAAACTGTACCAGGTTCTTGTTTCTCGTTTTGATTGCCGCTAGAAGTGGTGTCACATTAGAGCCTAGCCGGTTCGAGATATCGTGCTCTATAATGCCATTGATGTCGCACCCCGTGCTAAGGATCCTCGTGGTAAATGGGAAAATGAGGCCAGAGCAATCCGCATCCCTTCTAATTGCTGTCGAAAGAGGCGTAGCAGTGCCGACTTTTAGTGACTCGTAATCAATGCTTTTGCATTTTAGGAGAATATCTAGCGCTTCTGTATTGCGTCCTAAAATAGCTGTATGAACAGCCGTCTGCCCAAACCCTGGGTCACCTCGGTGGTTCGGCGGGATATGCGCTAAAATTATGCGAAGTGTGTCGGGACGTCCTACGGCATACATAAGCATAATCTCGTCCGTTGCATCTGCTCCTTGCCGAAGAAGACTATGAAGCATTCGAATGTCGTTATTCTTAACAGCTATACGCAAACAGTCTGTTAGGAATTCTTTTGTGGCCCGGCCAGATTTGCAAAAGAAGTTGAACATATCCACATCTTCTAGTTTTGAATCTTCAATGGCGCCGCCTGTTATTCTTCTGAAGATGAGACCCGGAATGTTCGACATCATGTGAAGAAGGAGCGATTTGTTTCCCCGTTTGTAAACTTTAAAGAACCAGTTCGTCGTAGATGTCATATAAATATCAAGATGGCATATCCCTATATCAAGCAAAAACCGCACGACATCTTCTTGCTGATATTCAACGGCAGCATCAAATAATCCTGCAATTCCTTTATAGTCAATGTGATGATGGAGTAACAACAGCTTTTTCATGTAGTCGATATCTCCTACTTGCGCTGCAGCGGCCATCGCAGAAGCAAAATGGCTTGATGAAACGTCTTCATCTTTTAGGCTGTGAAGTACAGTTCTCTTTTCAAGTATTCCAATAAGTATTTTATCTCCCGCGATGATTGCCTCAGCCAGTGGTGTCGTCATCTTAGAATCCAACTTTTCAGCCGGTGCTCTGCGTAAATCAATATTTTGGTCGAGTAGGTAATTGATTAGTTCTTGATTCCCACTTTGTATAGCCGCGCTGAGGACTAGAGCCAGCGAACACTTCGCATATTTGAGCAAAAACTGAACAAGCCGTGTAAGGCCTCGCTTCGCGCCAGACACGAGTGCTTTCTTCATCGTATCTGAATACTTGCTCATACATGCCTTACAACCGACCTGCTCACACTGTGATATGATTTTAGCCATCACTGTCTGGGCAATGTCATCCGGAAATGCCCGCGCGATTAGGATCGGAATATCATCTTCAAAAGCTTCCGAATGGAAAGATGGCGTAAGTCTATTGAGAAGCGTCTCGGCGAGACTCGTATCGACAAATCCTCTGAATGCTTGTTCAATGGATGAGCTGCAAATTTCTGCCCCTGCTTCAATTAAGGCATCCAGTACCCCAATAAAATCCGGGGTAAACAGGCTGTGGTCACGCTTTGCCCCGTACCCGTACCAGTTCGTAGGACATCTCCCCTTTATCAAATATCCTAGGGCTCGTCGAACATCAGGTTTGAATATGAGCAACTCCTTAACGACCTTGAGTCCTTGGAGTTCGGCGGCTCGCTCTATAGGAGTACGCTTTTCACTATTGACGAAGTAAATTGTATTGTCGACATCTACCAGGCCCATTTGGAGGAAGAATCTAGTTTTCTGGTGATCGCATGCCTCTATTGATGCCCGGAACAGATTCTCTGCAAGGCTCCTCGCGATAGGGCTTCTATTCTCTTGGAAAACGCGCGGCAATAGCGAGGTGATGTTGCTATTGCGATCTAGAAACCGCAACGCCGTTTCGATGGGTATATCGCCCATCCCGATAAATCCATTCGCAGCGGACAATAAAAGAAGTCGATGCAAGTCAACATCAGACATTTCTTGTGTACATAGTGCTATGCTGCCGTTATCATAGCCATGCTGATCCCTTGGAAGAATCGTGCCCAATGTTTGCAATGATCGCCAAGCGTTGTAAAAGTTCTCTTGGTTGGATTTTTCATTTCTGCGTGACATAGCAATTGCGGTTTCGTGGATGAACATTGAGGTTAATTTTGAGGCACCAAATAGCAGACGTGAATCTTGCAGTGGTGACGGGCAGTCAGTTAATTTGAGACCTTTCGATATCAATTCCCGCTCAAATCGTTTGAATGGCAGTTCCTCCGGGAAAAGCGTCCCAAACGGAAATGGAGTAGTGTCAACTAATCGCAGCGGAGAAGTTACTACTTCTAGGGTCGAAAAAGCCGTAGCAAAGTTGGGTTCATTCTGTAGAAATGATTGTGATTCCGAAGGCTCAGGGCCAATAAATGGCTCGTCCATAAACGGCGGGAAATACTGACTACCGCCAGTGGAAAATGAGTTATCGAAGGATGTATCAAATGGAAGATGCAGAAGAGATGCATTACCAGGCCCTGGAGGAATGGGTCTCTCGTCGTGAAGTAATCCTATTCGATCATCACTATCCTCAACTAGATGCAATTGCGTATCAAGGCGAGGTATTCCAGGTGTTGAGCTAAAGTCCGCTTGGGTGTCACTGATCTTTGCCATGGTGGTATGCTGAGTCCATCTGCCGCTCTGATCTTGGACTTCAATCAAGACGTCGCTAGTGGTGACGTTTTCCATTGTTTCATCGAGATCTGCCTCATCCCGACGGCGTTTACCAAGGTGAGATTTACCCTTACAATAACGCCTTGCTCGATGGACTTTATTCGTCGACACGGGATGGCCTGAGATTACTACTCTAGACTGAATACCTTGAGAAGATAGGCCATCAATCTTTTCGAGTAACTGTTCCCATTCTAGCCTTTTGAGGTTCTTGCGAGCCTTCCAGACTTTCAGCTGGGCCTCAAACTGTGAAGAACTGAACGTATTTTGTTAGATTCGTGAGGCTAAGCTTTGCATAGGTAAACCTTACGAAGCGGAGAATCCATGGTCTCTATCCATAATCTGGACTAAATCCTTCAAAGAGTGATCTGATGTCAAGTAGAGACTCAAGATAGTCTCTTTGTGAAGATTCCAGGTGTCCTGGGAGATCTTACGCGTTACAGTGGCCATTTCCGCTTATGAAGTTGAGATTTGAAAAGTATGCAGCAAGGAACCTTCACTGGCATAGATGAGAACGAAGGGAGTCTCATATTTATACTAGTACGAGGCTATGTACACTTGCTATGATGAAACCAATTCATGGAGAATCCGTTCAATGCTGTACCAAACCCCATCGGGCACGTTCGTATGCTACTTCATGTAATTACTACACTGATTATGGCGTTGACCTGCTGAGGAGGGTGGGAAGATAATTCCGCCAACTGCCGTCCTGTAGCTCCTGTAGAATTGTGCATAGTGGTACAGTAGCCCAGCCCGGTCTGGTTTTGTCAGGCAGGCTGTAGACATTGCATAGACCCAGGTTTTGCAATCCGGTTTTGGTGTCCAGGTTTTGTCGGCCGGGTTTTGTCACCGAAATTCTGTTGCAATGTCAATCAGGCATGAATGCATGCGCCACGCAACTTCGCCCGACTGATTACATTATATCTGCATGTTAGCAGCAGGCTCTGATATGAACAAAGGAAGCGGCATTGTAGAGGTGTGGCAGAGGTGTGGTAGTGATGTTGTGCCAGAAGAGGTCGTTGAAGTTCAATAGGTACTGAAGACTAAGATTACATAATTATATCCACAATTCCTCGGTGGGTAAATTTGAAGACAAGATCAAAGATATTTATGTAAATTATATATTGATAGAATGTTTTCGTAGATAGTCGCCATAAATCAACAGGGTATCTTTTCGTAAAAGCATTCGACGCGGGACCAGTTCCCCTCGCTTCCAAGCATCCGATCTCCCGATCGCAACCACACCGTCAGCGTTGCCAGCCACCAATCCGCAACAGGACCAAGCCTCTCGTTCATAGGCTACGTCGTGTCACATGACCGCAATCAGAAGTGCACATTTGCGGCCGCGATCGAAAACGTCATCAGCAAAAGCAGTCCAACCAAATCAGGCGGCTTCCCAAGCCACCCAGCACTTCCATCTTCAGCGTCGTCCTGCGCGGGAACGACCTGTCCCGAGGACGCCACCACGGTCTGGCCCGTGGGGTACCTGATATTGTACACGGGCGCGGACGTCAGGTTCGCCGGGTCGCCGAGCGCGCTCGGGCAGCTAGCCTGGTTCGCAGCCGGCCAGTCGAGGGTGCAGACCTCGTCGTGGCCCCAGGAGCAGGTGGAGTCGAGGATGTTGTAGAGGACGTAGTTCCTCGCGACCCAGCTGTCGGGCTGGGCGAGGCAGCCGGCGAGGAAGTTCATGCTGTTGGCGGCGCTGAGTGGGAGCCGGGCGCCGTCGGTGCGCAGCAGGTCCGCGCACTCGGACGCGTCGACGTCCGCGAAGTCCATGGCCACGGCGCCGCCCGCCGTCGGCCGCTCCGTCGCCGGGTAGCCCGTGTACAGGTAGTTCCAGGCGTCGTAGCTCACGTCGTGCGCGCCCTGCGACTGGTCCACGCGCAGCAGCTTCACCGTGCGCCCGCCGTAGCTGAGCGACACGCAGATGTTGGTGCAGTCCACCGCGCTGGGCCAGTACGCGATCCGGTTCGTGTCCACCTTGCACCCGAGCACGCCGACCGACGACGAGTAGCTGTCGTGCGGCGTCGCCCACACGGCGCCGCTATCGGCCGCGACGCGCGACGCCAGCCCGAGGGTCAGCGCAAGCGCCGTTATGCGGCGCATAGGTTTAGCCCGGCGTATATGCGTATGTGCGTAAGCACAGTACCTATGTACAGTGGGGTGTATAATGAGTGACAGAATTATCTATTATTATTATGTAAGAGAACGACGATGATGTAATGAGCGGCTGCGCGCCTTCGCGGCGGCGGCGAGTAGCTTAGCTCTGGCAAGCGGCCGACATCGATTGAGACAATTTAATTAGTTAGTAAAGAACGTTGTGAAGCGGGAAAAAAATCAAAACGGCCAACTCACGATGCGCCTCGTAAGATTTCGTTAAATGAGATGGTTACCGAACCAGGTTAGCGCGTAGTCCGGGTGTCGCATTTAGGTTAGAGCTTATTTTCTGGAACTATGTTCCCCCCCTTTTTCCAGGTTGAAGGTGATTGGCCAGGAACTCACCTGCAGTCTCTTATCTCGGTTAGTATTGCCTCAGCTCACACTTTTTAGACTTCGCCAATCAAATGTTAGAAATTAGCAACTCTACAACTTTACTTCATCTACGTACTCGGGCACTTGTGGAATGTGACAGCTAATTCTTATATCATCGTTGGGTTTCACTCGCATAAGATCATAGTCACATTGATGAGTATTTGAGGGTTACAATCGTTTTTTATTCATAGCCAGCAGCGGCAAGATTTACTATTATGGTGAGTTAATATGTATTTACGGCCCTTTGTATAACAAATCAACCTTGATGTTACCAATAATCTATAATAACATCATCAGACTACGGGAACAGACGTTACTTCTGGGACAAGGTTAGAGATAATGGCGCTTCGAAAATGTGGAATGGTCTTCGGTCTGCCAAGTCAGCTGTGATAATACAAGTCAAACAAAACACCAGATCCGTGTAAGCGAGTCGGTTTTCGAATCATGCACTGTGAAGGTTATCTGCTGGCAACAATGACACTCGACGCTGCAAAAGTCGTTGACGATGGCGTGATCCAGAGGAATAGGCGACATAAGGCGAAGGCACAAGAAAAACAAGCACCAATTGCCTAACCACACAAGCCGTAAGAAGGTGGTTGAATTTGCCAAAAAGAAAAAATGTCTAAACGTCTCTCCAGGAGGTTGTCAGTCTTTCCAATCTCTCTAAGTTTGTCATGCTTGATGGTTAGTCAATGCTGATACGATGCCGTTTAAAATCCTAAATATCCAAGAAAATTCGTCATCCCCCCCAATTAACGCCCTTTCCCAAAAACAAAAACAAAAATATTCATCATCCCGTCATTATATGATTGCGGCGGCATCAGCTGCATCTCCGTGTAGGACCGGGTTGATCCGGTCGTCGAAGTGCATCTTGAAGTCGTCGCCTAGTTGCTTCCGTAGAGCAGTTTGGACCGCCTCCAGTACGTTGGGGAATACACCAAAGTTGGCTGGGTTGTTCTCGTCGTTGTCGCCGCCTTGGAAGACACCGGTGCGGACGAGGCAAGTGTTCCAACCGTACATGTTGCCACCGATGATGTCAGAGGCCGGGTTATCACCGATCATGTAGATGTTCTCCGGTAGCCTCTCCTCGCCGTGGAGTTGCTCCATCCATGATGCAAGAACCTCATCGGCGTACTTGTAGGTAGCGGTCTCGGGCTTGCCGTAGACGACACGCTCAAGGTCGGTGCCAGTTAGAGCCCTATACATAGCCTCAAGACCAATGCGGAATGCACCTTGTGACATGCGGGGCGTCCAGTGCTCCGTGGGGCACAGGAGGTCACCTTGAGAGAAGTAGATAGGAATGCGCTGGGAGACGGGGTCCTTGGCCATCGTGCCTAAGCGACCGTTCTCAGAGCGTAGAAGATCCATTATGATTTGCATGTCCGTAGCGTAGTCTCGGGAGTCGGAGAAGACCATGATAGCCTCAATGTTGACCTTGGTGAAGTCCCGCGGTCGGGAGGAGGCTCGCTCTTCCTCGGTGAACACCCGGTAAGGGGCGATGGATGGGTCTGAGGCAACGATGTCGTTGGGAACGACGATGTCTTTGAAGCCATATTTCTCGGCAACTTCGCGGCACTTGTAGCCCTCGCCACCCACAACTAGGACAGTGTGGTAGTACTCTGCAAGAGCGCTCATAGGGGTATGTGATTGAATGAATTGCTCTGTGTTGACAGGGTTTTGTAGGATCTTGGCAAGTTGCTCGCAGCGAGCCTGTTCGGGCTTGCCCGATCCGTTCGTCAGGAAGATGTGGGGAATTCTGATGCCGAGCTCATTGTCGCCGTTTAAGATTTCGAGCGCACGGCGACCTTCGGGGATGAGACGGTCGCCGTGGACAAGGACACCGTCGATGTCGAAAGCGAATGCCATGTTCTTGGCCTTCTTCACCTTTTCAACTTCGACGCTCTGTACTTGCGAAGCTAAGATGGCACGCGAAGGCTGCACAGGCGGCATGCCCGGGCGGGTTGGACGGGTAAGAGCCTCATCACCATCGGGGTAGTGGACCGAGGACAGGCGGGACTGTCTCTTCGATCTGGGGATGGGGAGAGTAGAGCCGAAGGAGTTACGCGAGCCTCTTCTCTCCTTCATGGAAGGTGTGGCGCTCAAGTTGTGCATGTATTTGGCAGCCTCGGAGATGGATGATCTTGAAGCAGGAACCTCGATCGGCCCGTCATCATGCTCGCCGGGAATTGCTAGAGAATCGTGGCCCAGGTGATGTTCTACCGCGTGGTCTGCTCCGTTGCCATTGCCGTTGGTGTTGGCCATGGAAGCGGTCTTCCTCACCTGCTTGTCCTGCTTGTCCTGCTTCTCAGAAGCTTGGACGAGGTCGTAATCTTCGAACATAGGCATCTTGAATGTAGTTAAGGGGTATAGACTCTTCAAAGGAGTATCAAAAAACTTCAAAATGCTTCGAAATGGGTATATGAGATGAGAAGATGGAGGATAAGAATGTTTGTCATGTGGAATTAAGAAGAGACTAAATGTTAATTATGACGGGAGGGTCGCGTTATATCTAGTCATCAGCTCACGCAAGTAGCTTCTCATCTGCCTATCTCCCTGTCCTCCCTGTCTGCCTTGTTACCGTACCGTATACTACACCGTACGGGATATAGATTAAACTTTGATGACGACGAAAAGTCAAACTCTGGTTCTCCATGCACAGCTAATGTAACTATGCCTCATACACTCGACTGAGCAGTACATAACCGACACAAAGGTTGACCAGGTTGCCCCAGGGGACCACAAAGGACTAAAGGATGAAGTCTCATAATCGGACTATCAGCGTACTGATCTGTTTACCATCAGCCGTAATCCGTGGCCATGATGGAGCCCGGTTGAGCCTGGTTAAGCGTGGGTGCTGAACGGTCCCTTGCATAGTTTGCAGGTCGATGAAACGGTTGGATAAGCTAGTGACAACGTTTCCCACCTATGGAAGACGGTATCCCGAGCGTTTGATGGCTTTAACTGGGCCTATCAGATCCGGAACATATTCGTTCTTACTGGTATCTTCTGGTATCGACTGCAAGTCCAGCAAACAGGTCGCCAACCGAACCAACGAAAACCAGTTGTCAGTCCGAGAAGGAGCCGCAAAACGTCCCGAAATGGATCTATCGTGGATACAATCGTGGGTATTATTTGGGTACTTTTATGGGTATTATATGGAAACGAATGGCGACCCTTAGACCCACTCGGCCCACGTACCCGTACCCGCTGTCATACTTTTGTTGACATCATTCCGGGTCCGCCGCACTCCGCTTTAGTTCCGCTTTAACTACTAGTGGCCCCGCCACAGATCCGCTCCCTGCTGTTTCCCTGCGGTTTCCCAAACTTTCCTTTGGTTCCCTGACTCGGGATGTGCAGCGAAGTGGGGGTTACGGTGGGTTGTGGTGGGGCGTGACAAGGGGTAGTCAGCTGCAGGGTTTTCCTAGCGCCTGCAAATTGCGTCGTCTCAACTCTGCAACCTTTTATTCAACATGCTGCAACTTATTTTTCTGCAACCAAGCAAAATCAAGCATCTATTCTGGACCCTTCCTGCACCCTCTTCTGCAAGCTATTCTGCAATCTCTTACCATCCATCTCACATCCTTTCCCCTTCCGGCCATCGCTCACAGATCTGTGTGACGGCTATGCGATTTAATAGGTGACGCCACAAACGCCGACTAATTTCTCCCATAGGGCCAGTACCCTTGACCGCTCTCTTCACGGTTGGGATCTCCCCTTCTATCGACGCCTACGATAGCTCACCGATTAAAACCGACCCGTAAAAAACTACTTGGAACGTCGGAATAGGTAGGAGTAAACGGCCAGAAACTGCAGAAACTGCCAGTCTGCATTGCATAAGAACCCAGTTATTTTACTTATCGTTTTATCATTTTATCGCTCTATCACCTTCCGGGATCCACTTCACATGTCATGATGGATACGAATATGATAAAAATATGGTAACTGTGGTACGTATGTGTCTATCAACACCAGTAAATCGACGGTAGGAGGGGAGTTAGCTACGCTGACAAGCCTGACAAGCTTTGACAAGTCTGCAGAGGGGCCAGCTGTCGCTGCAAACAACTGGAGCCCGCGATAGCTGATCAAGCCCGTCAATAGTTATGGTGAAACCGACGGCGCACGCCGCTCGCAGCTTCGTCAACCGGAAAACTTTTTCCACTTTTGCTGACTCAGGAGGGTCAATCTTGTTGAGGATGATGCAATCATGCATCTTAGTAGCAGCCTGCCCCCGTCTGCCTTAAAAGAACCCCATAACTTACTAATTCTTAAGCTATAGCCGGCCATTTTGCGGGCTTTACTATATCCACCCGAGACTTCTACCAGAGTAGCAAACTAACCAGCCTTCCCTTATCTCTTCCCCCCTTACGCAATAGAACATCTGATCTGTGCGATCTGATCACTTCTCACAAGTCTTATCAGCCAACATGTCAACACCAGCGAACAAGCAGACGTTCACCCTGAACAACGGGGTCAAGATCCCCGCCTTGGGATTCGGAACCTTCGCCAACGAAGGGGCCAAAGGGGAGACCTTCAAGGCTGTCACCAAAGCCCTGGAGGTTGGCTACAGGCATCTAGATTGCGCCTGGTTCTACAAGAATGAGGCCGAAGTCGGCGAGGCTCTCCGCGCCTTTCTAGAGAAGAACCCGTCTGTGAAGCGTGAGGATATCTTCATCTGCACCAAGGTGTGGCCTCACCTGATGGAGCCGCAAAATGTAAAGTGGTCGCTAGAGAACTCGCTCCAGAACTTTGGTCTGGACTACGTCGACCTGTTCCTGCTCCACTGGCCCTTCGCCGCCGAGAGCAACGACGACCACCTACCCAAGATTGGGCCGGATGGCAAATATATCATCAATAAGGGTCTTACTGAGAACCTGGAACCGACGTGGCGTGCAGTAGAAGAACTCTACGAAGCTAAGAAGGCTCGCGCCATTGGCGTGTCCAACTGGCCTATTGCCCACCTTAAGAAATTGCTAAGTTACGCCAAGGTCAAGCCAGCAGTCAACCAGATTGAGGTCCACCCGTTCCTACCTAACCAGGAGTTGGTCGAGTTCTGCCTACAGAACGACATACTGCCTGCGGCGTACTCGCCTTTGGGTTCTCAGGACCAAGTGCCTAATACGGGCGAGAAGGTTCGCACAAACAAGACGCTCAACGAGGTCGCCGACCGCAGTGGCCACACCCTTGCCCAGATATTGTTGGCTTGGGGAATCCGCCGTGGATACGTAGTGCTGCCTAAGAGCTCGACGCCATCGCGCATCGAGAGCAACTTCGAAGTCCCGGATATTTCGGACGCCGATTTCGAAGCTATCAATGAGGTTGCTAAGGGAAGGCACACGCGATTTGTTAACATGAAGGATACCTTCGGATACGACGTCTGGCCCGAGGAAGCCAAGATCGACGGCGTTTCTGTATAAGCGCTCAATGCTTGGTTGGGCAGTCAGGTAATTGTTCAACAGGAAACGTACGAAGGCATGGCGCCATAAAATGGCATAGTTGAGCGAGCGAGTAGATTTACCCGTCGGTCTCTGCGAAGAGGCTACATGCTTGTGGCAAGTTAGCATGATGTCTAAGATGCATACCCACGACCACGAGTTTTGGGTCTTTTTGGGCGTTGGCGAATTAAAAAAGACGACCCTACCTAGGTAGATGGAGGGAACGCGTGGGGTTATTTTTATTCCCCGAAAGGGTCCACGATGAAAATGCGCGTTAACGAATAGATTTGCTCATCGTTCTATTTTCCTAATATCCCTGAGAAGATCGTGAAGTCCATATTTTATGTACTCGTTTTCAACCGAGACCCAATTCCCACGTGCGCCCCCCGACCCTCAAAATCCCATTTCCCATGTAAGCATCAAGCACCCATCACTCATGTATTATAAGACAAAAAAACCCACTTCCCGTCCTTCCCGTCCTGGCCCCATCCATTTTCCCCCGTTTCAAGCCCTGGCCGCCTCCGCCAAAAAACTCCGATGGTGCTCCGGGTGGCCCTTCTCGATGTTGCCCTTGACCATCTTCTTGGTGATCATGTTGCTATCGATCTCGATCTCCTCCTCGAGCATGCCGGCGTCGCCCCTGACGCGCCAGCGCGTGCGCACGGCCATGGTGCCCGTCGGCGCCTTGCCGTCGACGAGGCTGTCGATCCCCTCCTCGCGGTTCGTCAGCGTCAGCTTGTACGTCGTCTGCCCCGTCGGCCGCCGGTCCACGACCTCGAACAGGACGGGCTCGCCTAGACCCGCCGGCGAGGTGGTGGAGGAGGAGGGGCCCGACACCCGTTTGTAGGAGATCAGCTGCGGGCACGTCGTCCGGATGTACGCCTCGTGGTCGTGCAGCAGCGCTACCACGGCGGCGGGCTCCACGCCGCCCGGCAGCGGCGTCGTTATCGTGGTCTCGACTGGCATTGTCGACGACTCGCCTTTTTCCTTCTGCGTGCGGATGAATTGGATTATGGTGCGGTGCAGCGATGTGGGAAACATATAACGGTTTCACACTGCAGCTCTGTTTTTGCTCCTTTTGTCTTGTTACGAGTACTAGGTAGGTAGGTTTGGTAGATTTGGTACTACGAAGAATCGTGGATGTTTGGCTTGTTGTTTGTTGGCGTCGAGTCTAGATGCTATACACACATGCTATATACTTCTCGCAATACGAATTTTCCGGAGTCTATGATGTCTCGCCGGCGAGTCTGTCAACCCGAGATGATTGATACTTGGACCTTATTACCTTCGATTCCGCAATGGCCATTGAGGCCAAGACCGGGACTTACATCTAGCTTGCATTGTTGCGTTGATTGTTTCCTTGGCCATGCAGTCCTACTCATAATGTTGTTCAATTAAGGTGTTCGAGCTGAGCATTAACCTCCAAACCCTGCAAGCCGTAGAGACGGACTAGGAGGTTTGAAGTTTATTGCGCATCGGCGATGTATTAGGTATTAAGCAAGTTTCGGCATGCATCCATTACCTACAAACCAACCTCCCGAAGCATTAATCCAGTTTCCGGAGTCGATCTGAATATTGATAACCGGGTGATCTCGGGAAGGGCGCAAGCATTACCGAAATCTACGATCCCCCCAAAAAACCTCTCCTCCCTGTAAATTAGATTTAAGTTAGGAAGACGCGGCTCCCGCAGCTCGACGAGAACAGGTGACGCTAGCTCGGACGTTGGGGCTGGGAAATATCAAGCATAGCCGGGACTTGCAAATGTTGTGCATGAAGCCCTGCGGAGGGGTTGGTATGGTTCGGGTTCGGTTCACGACGTAGGGTCCATGGAAAGTGGATTGCGGGTTAAGGAGGGGGGGAGTGGGAATTGGAAGATCCCAAAAACGGTTGAAAACGATGCTTTTGAAAAATCCCGTTTTACTCGTATCGTGAAGTATGATGACGCCACTTTCTTCGGCCCTATGGGTCTAGTGCTCGCACGTTTCATGCTAGAGAAACCCACACACTTTTTATCCTAGCGTCGACTAGATTATCGGCCAAAATCTAGTAAGACTAGTTAAGGCGATTGCGATTTACTTGTTTACATAGGAGGCACTATTTGTAAAGCCCGAGGAGAATACAAGATATCTAGGTTGATCGTAATAAGTGCACGTTGCTAGCTTTATCATAGATATGATATGTATTAGTTCTTGTTAGGACAGTGTGTTTGCAAGTAAGAAGGACACCGGAAACTCCCATACATCCATTCTCCTTGAACTCGGATGAACAATAATTATATGCTCTAATAAGCTTCACATATAAGAATGGATTAGAGAACAAGAATACCAAATTTAACAATTAATATTTTACTCAATTTGGGTTAAAATGGTCTTTTGTATAGCCTATTATTGTTGGATTAAAGTTGAGCTAGCCATGGCTACATACAAGGCAGAATTTGGAAACAGATGCATACAGATAGATATATCAAACCTCTTCTACTGGTTAGTCTCCTTTCTCCTAGCATCAAAGCCGTTAATACCAATCGGCGAATCTCACTATGCATCAATTTAGTCGTTACCAAGACAATCTGCATACACACTAGAAAGACATGTGTAGTGGAAAATCTGGAATATTGTTGAGACGGAGATTAAATCACCTCTGATATTACAATAAGTAAGACGCTGTGAATGATATGGAAATCTAAATAGAAGTGCCTTGGCAGAAGTGCCTTTTTTTAACCAAAAGAAGACAAGAACATGGAACTGAATGCCAAATTAGAGATGATTGGCTCGGTGTTGAAAGTGTTATAAATAATGCGGTGCAAAAGAGAAAAAGATTGACTTGGTCGCCTAGGGAATCGAACCCTAGCGGTTAGCGATATTTGAACGATATTCGATAATACTTATTTGGGTATCATGGAAGGATCGTTAACCGGCGCCACCACGACCCTGCGTTGGCTTTGAGGGTTGGTGACCTCTGGCTGAAAGTCAACGTAGTTAATTTGACCTATACATCTTCATTCACAACTTAGGCACGAAAGTTAGTCATCGGAACTTGAGTCATCTCGAGGGTACCGTCGACATTTAGAAATGGGCGTATTAGTGAACTCCATACAAATGAAATACTCGTCCATAGCATAGTCACCAGCATTGGCCCAAATATATCTTCATGCCTCTGTAGCATTGTCCTATTGCCTTTACCCTCGGCCAGCAAAAATATACCCTCAACTTCCTCAGTCTTGATCTAACATCTTATTGTCAACCCTCTTCCCCTTCCCCTTTACTCCGCCTTTGAAGTGCTTCTTGCTGGAACCTATCTGAACATCCTTCGGGTCAACGCCCGTCTCTAATGCAATCATAGCTCTAGCCTTGCGCCCACTAAGATGCTTAGCTTGAGCCTCTGCCTGCGCCTTTCCTTGCTCAGTATACTTGTGACTAAACGGCATCTTCATATGCCCCGAGTTTCCTTGACGTGCGAAGAAGGCCTTGTCAAGCTTCGCCGACTTGGCGCCGGTTGGCAGAGCCAGCATTTCAGTGTCAACTGTCGATTCGCCGTCACCTACGTCTAACGCATCCATAGCTGCAAGCAGGGCTGCTCTGCGCTTTTCTGGCACATGTTCTGCGTCGTAAAGCTCACGATTAAAATCCGCGCCGTCACCCCCATTAGGTGGGGGCTCGACGTATAGAAGCTTGCCGTTCACGTAGTCCTTGAGTATAACTCTGGCGGCTCGTGATTCGTCTGGCTGTCCCACGCCCTGGGTCTTAAAGCCTCGAGCTTTGGCATATGCTGCCAAGAGCTCACTTGCTGTGGGGATTCCTGTGCCACCTTCTTCCAGTGGTCGTGTCTTGATGTGGATACCATATACAGCTTCTAAGAATGGTTGAGGAATTCTGTGCGCAACTAGAGCTGCAGGGCCCGTGTATTCCCGGAGCTGATCAATCGGTAAGACGCCGTTGCATACGAGATCTGCTTTTGTGGTTGCGAAATTGGGGAACACAAGACCGGGACAATCGCACAAGATGACCTTGTCGCTTAAGTGGATAGTTTGGAAATGCTTCGTTTTACCGGGTGTAGCAGAAACAGAAACTTTCTTGGCGCCGATGAGGGCGTTGATTGTGGACGACTTTCCGACATTGGGATAACCGACCAACCCAATTTGTAACTTTTTGTCTGGGTCTACTAATTATTAGCATTTGCAAGTATAACCTGGACATGAGAATAATATACCATCAGGGTCATATGCATGTTTAAGGAATATATCTTCCAACTCCTCAACCGTCAATATTCTCGTATCGTCATCAAGATTCTGATCTAAGGGCACGCCAGAGTCTTCTTCATCGTCATCGCTTTCGTCTTCTGATGCACTATCCGACTTGGATCTCGGGATAGTTTTTGGATTCGCACTCTCGCCGACCAAAGGCTCTTCTGGTTCATCCTCTAAACCACGCTCATCGATTAATTGCTTTGCCAAACTGGCCGAGAAGAAGCGGTATGCTATTCGCTTTTCTTTGAAGTATTGTGCCCAGGCCTTTCTCTGATTCGTCGTCATCATATCCGCTTTGTTTACTAGTAACAGGTTCTTCTTCGCTGGGTCCACGTCCTTGACGTATGATTCGAGATCTTCAGATCGGAACATCAGGGGGTTGCGCGCATCGACAATTTGAACCACCAGGTCCGATCTCTCAATCACACGCCATAGTTGCCGCCATACCTCCAAATTGCGCTCGAATGGAGTCATTAGCAGATCGTTGCTCTCCTGCAACTCAGCAAGGCCTCTTCGCCAATTCAAGAAACTCTCTCTTTCGAGTTGGTCGAGCTCATCTGCAGTAGTTGAAGAATCCCACTTCGGTCGCCTCGGCACGGTTAACCTAGCTCTGTGTTTGGCATGCTTCCCTAACACACCGCGCTCCTCGGCCGCTGATAATAGGTACGGGTTCCTTTGGTCGGTATGTATGATCTTGACGTTGTTCATCTTCTCGGCGGTGAAATCGGTACCGGCAAGCTCTGCGGTCGCAAGAAACTCGTCTAAAGCGCCTTGCTCCGTTACGGAGCGCATCTTGACCCATGCTGCCTCTTTTCTATCGTTCGTGATATACTGTTCGATACAGGTGTGAGTGATCTTTTTCAATTCGAATCTTAAGTAATTCAGTAGATCATACCTCTTCTCCTGTTGAGTGGTTGATTCTTGTGACTGCCGAACCCTTTTTGCGATCAGATCCTTTGCCTTTACCAAAGCGATCGTTCATGAGCGAGTTGCCCAGTCCGACGGAAGTTTTGGACTTGGCTAGAGGCATGATGGGCAGTTATGATTTAATCCGAAAAGAGTGATGTTGTAAGAAGACGAATTTGCATGAATCGCCCTTTCATGAATTTTATTCTTTATGGGATTGGAAGTTGGGGAGTCGCTTCCAATACCTATTGTCATTATGATTATTCAGATCGTCCCGCTGAATAATTAAGTTGCCCCTCCATATTTTTTCTGCGTCACTCTACTATATCCCGATAAGATAAGAATTTCCAGTACCCCACCAAATTTTTAGATGCGACTTAGAACTTAGAAGTGAATATACGACCACCAACCTTGATGCCCATTTCTTTCCAATCAAAAGAAAATTCCTGATTACTCACTCGTCGTATTTCTGCACATACCATAATCAGAGACGAGATTAGAAACAAGGAGTCAAGATGCCTAAAGGCAAGTGGATGTAAGTTCACACAAGCACCACTCAACTCACGGTTCATCTAACAATTCCTATAGCGACAAGAAGACGGCCCAGCACTTCACGCTGGTGCACCGTCCGCAAAATGACCCCCTCATCCACGACACCGAAGCGCCTTCCATGGTGCTCAACCCCACCGCGCTCCCCAACGCCTCCAAAGTCAGAAAACTCGACGACCTCGCGTCCGAGCTAGGAACCGACGCGGAGCGCATCCGCGCCAACGAGGGCGAGGCCGCCAACCACGGCATCTACTTCGACGACAGCGAGTACGACTACATGCAGCACATGCGCGACCTGGACTCGGGTAACGGCGGCGGCGAGGTAGTCTTCATCGAGGCGGACGGAAACAAGAACAAGGGCAAGGGCAAGCAGAAGCAGAGCCTCGAAGACGCGCTGCGGCGGCTGGACGTCGAGGACGAGGAGCGCAAGCGGGACGACCTGTTCGGCGACGACTTCCTGCCCTCGAAGAACCTGCAGCACCTGACGTACCAGGCGCAGCAGAGCGTGCCCGATGCCATCGGCGGCTTCCAGCCGGACATGGACCCGCGGCTGCGGGAGGTGCTTGAGGCGCTCGAGGACGAGGCGTACGTCGACGACGACGAGGACATCTTCGTCGAGCTGGCGAAAGACGGACAGGAGCTAGACGACGTCGAATTCGAGGAGGAAGACGGCTGGGAGTCCGACGACACCGCCAAGCCGACCAAAGAGTTCAAGGACTCCTCCGAAGCGCCGGACCTAGTCCCTGTCGCGGACGGCGAAGCATCCGAGAACGGAGACTGGCTGGAGGACTTCAAGAAGTTCAAGAAGGACCAGTCCAAGCCCGCCGCGAAGCAGTTCGGCGCACCTTCGGAGCTGCAGTCTTCGCTCATGACCACGACCACGAACGGCGGGCGACGAAAGAAGCGCAAGGGCGCTCTGACGAGCCAGTCGGGCTACTCGATGACTTCTTCGTCTCTCGTCCGCACGGAGCAGCTCGGCATCCTCGACGCGCGCTTCGAGAAGATCGAGGAGCAGTACAACGAGGACGAGTTCGAGGACGGCGACGATGACACCGCCTCCATGTCGCAGATCTCGACTGCGTCTAGCGTGACGGGATCGGTAAGGAACGACTTCGACAACATCCTCGATGATTTCCTGGGAGGGTATTCCATGCACGGCAAGAAGCAGATGAAGAAGGGCAAGTGGAAGAGCGGCACGGCTCAGCTGGATGAGATAAGACGAGAGTTAGGACCAGCCAGAATTCGTGGTAGAACTACTCAACCGCAGACGTCTTGAACGACATCAGCGTCGGCGTCGAGATAGGATGGACATATTGATAGATACCCACAGAGTCTGCCTCAATGAAAAAGCTACATGTCACGCACGTTACGATATCTGTTTTGGTGAACAACGAATTTACACATCGAGAGAAGTATCAATTCGCATTTATTGCTATAATGTACCACTGGCAAGGAACGATACTCGCTCCGGCGACAACCGAAAACCAAGTTGCTTGTCCCGTAGACCAACGCAATCAACAGGGCCATCTATTCTGCAAGAAAACATGACCAACAATTCTCTGCTCTTCCGCGCAAACGACCCAACCCTCGAAACGTAGGGACAGATTCCGAAGGCTGGGCATTCGTGAAAGAGAATGCATGGCATCGTATGGGGGAAAGGTCTTCCCCAATATCTACGCCGGTTGACAATATGACTAGCGTCGTCACGGCGGCGGCGGCGATGGTTGTCTCGGCGTTATAGCTAGACGGACTGAGTGCCGTAAATCGCCAAACCAACGGACTACATCTTGGAAAGGTTGGTTGGCCCTCGTCTCCTGCTGCTCTGATACGTCTTCCTCCTAGCGATGACCGTTCATTGCAGGCGGTCGTTCGGGTCCAAATGCGCCCGGCACTTGCGGCATAATCTCTTCCTCCGTGTCGTCGTCGAACTCACCCTCCTCACTTACCTCCTCATCTCCTTCGTCGTCGTATTCGTAATCGCTTTCCTCGTCGCCATCCTCGAGCTCTCCCTCCTCGTCGCCCTCCGCGCCTTCGGCGTAGCAACTCTCTACCGTACCCTGCATACCCTGGGGTATGCCGCGGCCCTGCTGCTGCATCTGGTTGATGATGCTTGTGAGCTTGTCGTTTTTCTTCTTGATGTCCTCCAGATCTTTAATATTTCTATTGCGTTCCTCGGCCATCTTGAAGATGTTCTGGTTAAGGGCCCCCTCCTTGCGCTTATAGGTCTCGTTCTCCTTTTCGAGTTTCTTGGTCTTTTTAGACATATCCTCCATCTCCTTACGAAAAGTCAAGAACAGGTCGTTGCTATTGTTCAGCGTATCCTCGACCTCCTCATTTGTTAATGCCTTCCCACGGCGTGCTAGCGAGGGGCACAGGGCGCATACCTGCTTGAACTTCTCGACATAAACGTTTAACTGATTTCGCAGCTCGGTTTCTGTCTTAGAGAATGTAAGCACCTGGCTATTCAGTTGACGTGCGCGGTTGGCCTCGGCCTCGGCTGTTTTCTTCTGCTGTTCGTAACGAGCCATATTCCATTGCACCTCGATCTCCTTGGTGCGCATTGCAGAGTGGAAATGCAGCTCTCGGAGCTCGTATTGGTCGATGAGGGATTTAAACCGCGCCTTGAACCTATAATCCTCGTGTCAACATAAAAAGCGTTCGCGCAACGAGGTATAGGAGTGGCGCACAATTCTTCCGCCTTCATGTACACAACCTGCTTTCGCGGATTATCCTTTTCTTCTTGGTAACCTTCCAGCGTTTCGAGTACTTTCCTGAAACGTTCATCCGACGACGTTTTAAGCCGGTCATGAGTGTCGCCCAAGGTGCGGTGCTCGTTCTGTGAACCATTACCATCAGTTGTAATTCACCAATCTCCGGCACTAGACTCGTATAATACCTTCAGTTTATTGTTCTCCTTCTGCAACTCACGGCAAAGTTTCTCCAACTTCTCTTTGAGGCTAATTTGCTTGCTTAAGTCGGTGCGGCTAGAGTCCTTTTCCTTCTGTAACTGATCGGCGCGTTTCTTATTTTTTAGATTTTCGCGCTCGAGGCGTTTCATGTTTGCGAATAATTCCGACGACCGCTTGGTCAAGAGCTCTATCTTGTCCATGTCGTTCATCTTATTCATTTGATGATTGAGTTCGCGATTTGCTTTTCGCACTTCTCGATCTAGTATAGGACGAGGAATTAGCAAAATGAAGGCACCACAAATAAAACTAATGAAACATGAGAGTTCGGCAATAACACAGTTTCCCAGCATAGATCATGATCTAACAGCGTACGGAGTATGGGAGCCGTAAAATCGTAGAGGCCATTTTCAAAAGCACAGCAGCCTAGGCAACCGCTAGGTCTCTGGATCAAGCGGACGAAAGTCGTCCGCAGATCTATACTGTCGCAAAATGACTGGAACTATCGTTCCGATTCGTCCACTATCGCCAAAAACGCGCCATAGAGTACGTGATGTCATCCTATCGTTCCCAGGCTTGCCGACGACGCCCTGAATTGGTAGGTAATTCGCAACCACCGTAATTTACGTGTACAAAATCAGACCAGCATCGATTCCCGCTATTCCATGATTATTCAAGCGATAGAAATAAGAAAATGACCTACCAATTTCCGCCTCTTGCTCTTTTTCAGCAGCCGTATCGACCTCGAGCTGGGAAATCCTTGCTGAAATGAGTTTTGAAGCCTCATTTTGGTCGAGGGCTTTCTTGCCCTTGCCTTTCTTAATTGCGGCGTTAGAAGCCATGGAGGGCGTCGGGGTCGGGGCAGGTCGGGGCTCTTGTACCGGCACATGATGGTGGCCGTTTGGTATCGAGTCGTCATGGACGTGGGCATGAGCAGAATTACCATTAGTGTTCGGTGCGGAAGCGAGGGGAGCAGGCGCTGCTGAGGGGCCACGGTGGGTTGTTGTCGCCATAATAGTATCCTAAACAAATACGAAGAACTCTCTAAAATGGAGATGTCTTGTTAGAATTCCACAGTTCCGGAGCGACTCGTGGGATAATGCATGATATGCACGATTATGAGGTGTGCACGTACCGATCCGAATTATTTCTGGACATTGGAATGGATTCTGTAGTAATACGTCTTGAGAGGTTAAAAATGTAGTGGGCGGGGGATATAAACTGATGTGTAAGCTATGGTGGCCTTGGTTGGTCGGGTTACGTTGTTGTTGGAGGTGTTATTCTATGATGAATGAAGACTTTTGAGGGTTGAGATGAAGCGCGGCGTTTTAGTGTCGGTTACTTAATCACACGGCGAACGTAGCCCGCCTTGCACCTTACACACTTGCTGCACATGCGACTTCCTTGGGGCTACAGTATGTAATCCGTGTACACAGGTACAGAATAACAAAATACTTAGGTACATGTAAATAAAAACCGCCCTAGAAAATCTGAAATTGACGCTAGCGGATCCGAAGCACCGGATTTATATGGGACCTATCATACTTAATTGCACCTTAATATGTATATAAACAGCTATTATGCATTTACTGCTACGTATTTGCATATCTGTATCGAGTCAGTCATTTCTATGCAGTAATTGGGCCAATAGGTGGTTAGATAATGCAATTAGACTAGGCAAACACTGGGTAAGCAATGACTCTATCCGTCATATTGTTTGTAGCAGGGATTGACTGACAAATTTGCGTCATCCGACAGAAACCTTTACAATTATTCGTCCTCGGAAATTTTCTAGAATTTAATATCTAGATCTTTCCTCCCCTAGCCACCGTAACATGCCGCCCTAACCTGTGGTGCTGTCTTTATTTCTATAGCCGCAGTCGGTTAGTTCCATCATTTCACGGCCTGGTTCGCCCTTTCGTTTCTATTCGTCTGGTACCTCTTTCGTGTGATATTAACCGTCTTCTTCATACAACGAAAAGATGTTACGGAACGCGGTGAAAGGCGCGGCTAAGAAAGCCGTGACGGAGTTGTCGCAGTACCCAAAACCTGGCGAAAAACTCCATGGCTTCACCTTATTAAGAACAAAACAAGTGCCAGAGCTCGAGCTGACAGCGCTACACCTACGGCACGACAAGACGGGAGCTGACTACCTTCATATCGCCCGAGAGGACAGCAACAATGTATTCTCGATCGGCTTCAAGACGAATCCGCCCGATGACACAGGTGTCCCACACATCCTCGAACACACCACATTATGTGGTAGTCAAAAGTATCCTATACGGGATCCCTTCTTTAAGATGCTGCCCCGGACCCTCTCAAACTTCATGAACGCCTTCACGGCTTCCGACCACACTTACTATCCATTCGCCACAACCAACGCCCAAGATTTTCAGAACCTCATGTCTGTATATCTCGATGCAACACTGCACCCGCTTCTGAAAGAAACAGATTTTACTCAGGAAGGTTGGCGAATTGGTCCTGAAAATCCTAGGATCGCGGAAAAGGATGGAGCTGAGAGTGCCGAGGATAGTAAGCTTGTCTTCAAAGGTGTTGTCTATAACGAGATGAAGGGACAAATGTCCGACGCCGGTTACCTATTCTACATTCGGTTCCAGGATCACATTTTCCCTTCCATCAATAACTCGGGAGGTGATCCGCAAAAGATCACCAACTTGACGTATGAACAATTACGCAAGTTCCATGCTGAGCATTATCACCCGAGCAATGCAAAGCTAATGACGTACGGCGATATGCCGTTGGCCGATCATCTGAGGGAGGTTGATGCTCAGATGAATGCATTTGAACAGATACAGGCAGACATTGAGCACAAACAACCGATCGACCTTAGTGATGGACCACGTACAGTGACGCTCTTTGGACCGGTCGATCCTCTTGCTGACCCAGACAAGCAATATAAGACATCAGTATCCTGGATCACTGGCAATACTGACGATGTACTAGAATCGTTTTCTATTGGCTTACTCTCGTCTTTGTTAATGGATGGGTATGGATCTCCACTTTACAAGGGGCTTATTGAAAGTGGTCTAGGCACAGATTGGAGTCCGAATACAGGCTATGATGGGTCGGCAGCCACGGGGATCTTCTCTATAGGATTGACTGGGGTCGAGCAATCTAATGTAGAGAAGATCAAGGGCGAGGTACAGAAGATACTTCTTGATATTCGCAACAAAGGTTTCGAGAAAACCAAGATTGATGGATATCTTCACCAACTCGAGTTGAGCCTAAAGCACAAGACAGCAAATTTCGGACTTTCCGTCTTGCATCGTCTAAAGGGCAAGTGGTTCTCCGGTACTGACCCGTTCGACTGCTTGGCATGGAATGATACTGTCAAGGCGTTCGAGGCGAAGCTCGCCGAAGGAAACTATCTCGAGGGCTTGATGGACAAGTATCTCTTAAACGACAATACTCTCACATTCACAATGGCTCCTTCGGAAACGTACGGTGCAGAAATTGCGAAGGAAGAAGATGACAGGTTAGCAGCGAAGATCATGGAAGCCACTAAAGAAGCAGGTGGTGAAGAAGCTGCCCGAAAATTCTTCGAGAAGAGAGAACTCGACCTCCTTGCCGAGCAAGGCAAGTCTAACACACAGGACTTGAGTTGTCTACCAACCGTCTATGTTAAGGACATCCCAAGACAGGAAGAACCTGTCGTAATAAGGGATGAAGCAGCTCACGGCACTACCATTCAGTGGCACGAAGCCCCTACTAACGGTCTGACTTATTTCCGAGCGATCAATACCTTTGACAATTTGCCGGAGGAGCTCCGATCACTGATTCCATTGTTCACCGATTGTATCATGCGGTTGGGGACGAAGGACATGACTATGGAACAACTAGAAGATCAAATTAAGCTCAAGACGGGAGGTGTATCACTCGGTTACCTGTCAACCGCATCGCCCACTGATTTCCGCCAAGCTTCTGAAGGCCTCATACTAAGGGGGACGGCTCTTGATCGCAACGTGCCCAAAATGTTTGATCTTTTACGGAAACTTATCCTAGAAACTAATTTCGATAGTCCTGAGGCCGCCCTTCGGATAAGGCAACTACTGGAAGCTGCCGCAGATGGTGTCGTGAATGACATCGCATCTTCAGGTCACGTCTATGCTCGAAGATACGCCGAGTCAGGATTAACACGCGAGACATACCTCGCCGAGCAAGTCGGTGGTTTATCACAGGTCAAGCTCATCACGTCACTAGCTGGGCGGCCAGAGTCAGATCAATATGAAGACATAATTGAGAAGCTCAAGCAAATCCAGAAATTTGCTTTGGCGGGCAGTAACATTCGCACGGCGTTGACGTGTGGTGTTGATAGTGTCCAAGCCAACTCTTCGGCGCTATCTCAGTTCATGGCATCTCGGCCGACTGACCCTGTCACGTTTCCGGCTGCTGGGAAACAAACGTTTGCGAGAGATATTAAAGCGTTCTTCCCACTTCCTTACCAGGTCTATTACGGTTGCCTTGCCCTCCCAACTGCTTCCTACACGTCTGCACATGGTGCGCCGCTTCAGATCCTGGCGCGACTTCTAACTCACAAACATCTTCATCACGAAATCCGCGAGAAAGGTGGTGCTTATGGTGGCGGCGCTTACATGAAAGGTCTTGAAGGAATATTCGGTTTTTACTCATACCGAGATCCAAACCCGCAAAACACTCTTTCCATCATGAAGAGCGCCGGTCAATGGGCAGTCGACAAGAAATGGTCAGATCAAGATCTTGAGGAAGCGAAGATATCGGTCTTCCAGGGTGTCGATGCACCCAAGTCCGTGAATGCGGAGGGTATGCTCCGTTTCACGGCCGGTGTCACACACGAAATGCAGCAAAAGAGACGCGAACAACTTTTGGATGTGTCCAAGGATCAAGTTCGCGAGGTTGCCCAGAAGTATATCGTCGACGCCCTGGCGAAGGAAGAAGAAAGAGTCGCCTTCCTGGGAAAGAAACAGGACTGGGTTGATGGCTCCTGGAAGATAAACGAGATAAACGTTAACGGCGCCGAGTAACGACGTTATGACGAAATAAATGATGTACAAAATACCTGTACAATATTGTGCAAATACCCTCCTCCAGCTAACTAGACTAGCCGTATATAATCATGGCGGTTCGAAATCGAACCTGTTTCGTGCTGACAGTGATTATTTGCAGGTGAACCATATCATGCGAAAGAGCACACCCCAGTGTGTACGTTCAGCGTTCAGATACGATACGTCTTCTTGCTCGATATCTTCTACGGGAGACTCTACTATAGCATGGAGACCACAAAAAGACGCGAGAGTAAACTTTTTTCGAGATAGGGTTAGTGGACAACACTTCGAAAGGGGCTGATGGACACAAAACCCTGTTCTCTCCTGCTCGTTCTTTCAGACTCGGACTCCTTAACGTTAGGACTCCGGACTATAGAACAGAGTACATACTAGATTGGTTGAGAGACGAGAATAGAAATTACTGTATTCTCTGCCACATAAGCCAACTCATTAGCGCCGTCAGAATACGTAGGTACCTCGTCACGATAGATGATGTGAATAGGACACGTTTCCTGTATACATGGTTTATATATATCATGATTCAATCAAGAATATTAAGCATGTTTACAAGATCCTTCTTCATCATGATGTCGTTCAATGTAATGATGCGTACGCCTTTTAAATGAGAATGGGCACCTTATGTCAGTTTTTTTAGCAGCATCAGTAGCGAAGTGATCATTGTTGAGTTAAGGGGCATCCTCATCACTGGTACTTCCTGGTTCGATGTTTCTTTTAGTAAATGTAATTCGGTGATCATGAAATAAGCTCTCCTAGCCATGTTTCATTACACAATTGGCCACTAACCATAAGCTCGCCGCACTAACTCGACAATATCAGAAATTCAGAGGTTCGGAATCCGTTGGGGGAATCCGAGGATATTAGACATTTTGTGAAAGGAAAAAAGAATCATCAGCGAGTGTGCTTAGGTATGATATAGGGGTTCATACCTCATCAGATGTTGATATGACGACCTATTGGTATATCTGTAGACCCCTTTCATCATTCAGCTCGGAAGAACGCAGGCTAGCCACCGTAAATTCGGTAACGTTCTATCATCTAGGGTAGTAAAATCATAGTCCAAGAAAAACTTCAAGAAAATGAGCAAATGACTAGATCTCTTAGCTGAACTTGTCTATATTCAAAGCCGCATGTTGGTTATATTACATGTCGTAACCGTCAATTATGTCGTACGATACTAGATGTTTATCTAAGGGGGTAGCCATCTAAAAGAGGTTGGAGAAAAAAGCCAAAAAGCTCAGTCCTGCGGATCTCACTGACATCTTACGCAAGACCTGTGAAAAACTGACTGTCCATGTTGAAAACAAACATTAGTCACGGTAGTTGTCAATATTGATGGATGGTATGTTCGAGGTGTCGACAGTTGCTACCGGCTCGCCACATAGATCATCCGAGTAATCCATACATCAGTTTGGATCATCAGCTTTTACTACGAGTTTGCTGATTATTCCCTACATCTTTTTATATCCGATTCAATCAGGCAACAAATCGAGTTTCAACCCTTTTCAAAACAGGCACTTGTTATTTGTATTAGCTGTCCGTACAATGGATATCAAGTACTCAACTCTCTATGTGTACCTGGCGATAGAAGCTTAGGTAGGAGTACTTCGTCGCAGACGAGAAAAACGTAAAATCATGGGATGAGGGTAACCGTTCAAGTATGTAGAACGGCGCCAGATGACTTGGTACTAAGTAGACAATCAGACAATTACCTATGTCCTAAGCACGGAATTCCCCTGATGAATACGGTTGGGACTTCCCTCCCTTTTATTAATGGTTATCCTAAGATGGAGTACATATTCGAGCAGGTTGCTCAAGCCATCACCGATCGCCATCACCGGTTTATTTCCAGCTTAGCATCTACCGACCCAAGTAAGTCGGTAAGCATATCAAGACATTCCACAAATTTGTTCCGTACTAACACGGCACAAGGCAATAACGAAAAGAGTTAATCAAAGAAGAAACTGGGGTAAGAAACTTATTGATATTAAAATGCTAAATCTGTAGCCGAGGGTTCGAAGCTATTAGTAACAAATATTCCAGTATAATCAGTCCAGGTGAGAAATAAAGGGAATATGACCGCTGAGAGATACCTGTTTATTTGCTTGGCTTTTTCAGTGGCGTCCAGGGTGCCTTTAATGGTGTTTTCATAAAATCGTTTTCATATGCCATTTAACGGAACATCTTTTCAAATTCATACCTAATCATACATCCGGTCACGTCTTACCGGATATTCGGACGTCATTGTCGTACTGTTGGTAGCATTGCCACCCCGAAGACGCGACTGCTACGTTCCACAGACACTTCTGCCGCACGACATCGGCGAGCTCAAGGCTGGCGGATCCTGGTCCTACTTTTTCAGCATTGACGCTTCTCATCCTATGGTTCGTGAATCCTTCTTCCCGGATTCGTTCTATTTGGAACGTGCCACAAACCATATTATCGATGATAGGCGGGCAGTCGGCGTATTGGCCGTTGGGGTCGATGTTGGCTGCATAATTTTGATGTTAGAGAACGGCTGCAAGAGATGGCGAGCATGAGACAGGGGACGTGGCCGGTTAGCACATGGAGGTGGAGGCGGAAAGTCTCCGATGGGGGAGAAAGAATTTGGTAGGCGAAGTCGTTATGGCTGGTGTGTGCGCGCGCGTGCTGTAGTTAGAAAAGGTTCCCGGCAGGCAAGCACAATATATACGAGGATTAGAAGGCCCCCTTGCAACATTCATGCTTCCATGCTTCCTAAAATCGTCCTATGTGTCGTCTCACCATACCCGATTTTCCCGGTTTTCTAAAACCCCCGGTCTCTTCTTGGGTAGAAGCACGTGTCTGTCTCGCACGGCTTGCCGATAATGGCACACAGCTATCCGAGGGACCGTTGAAGTTCGGTTGGTCGGGTGCTGGTATGCTGATATGTCACTTTTCTTACCCTGAACGGACCACTTCTTTCCTCCATTCGCTTCCAGCCAACAGTCTGACGCGGGTCTCAATAAAAACGAAGAGACCCCACCAGAGTTAGGTCTTGATTGGGTAAAACGGGCGCCAATGTCCAGGATCTTACTCGAGATCCGGGGTCATCGTCAGCAAAGCTACGAATTTGGTCGTTAATCTTCCTAAAAGAACCTAGAGAACCGAGCTGCGTTTTCACTTCGTCCCGCGCCACGCGGGTCCACCCGCCTTCTTCGTCTCGTCTCCGCGGCGCCCCTATCCTCGTTCTGGTTCGATTGATTGGCCCGGCGCTTGGCAAATAGACCGCTGCTGGCCCCATACCCTTCTTTTCATCTGTGTCACTCCGCGGTGCTGTCGGATTTTTCGTAGGATTCCCGAACTCCAATTCGGAAACCACGATAGAAATGGCAGAGACGACAGCGAAAGCGAGATCGCTGTCTCCGGGAGCGACAACGTCAGCAGCGGCAGCCGGACCGTCGACAGCAGCAGCAGCGACGACATCACCTAAATCGCCAGCCTCGCCGAAGAGTCACTCGTCGGGAGCAGAAGTGACGGGCGAAGTGGTTGGAACCGAGCAGACCATCCAAGCTGTAGGCATACCTCGACTCTCATGGCCGTCTTTCCAATCACACCATTGACGCTTTCTAGGCCGATAATCTGGACGAAGATGACGATGATGCAGGGTCGGCGCTGGGTAGTGAGATGTAAATTGACTAGCCGCTCCACATCTTCCGCGCGATACGGAGACTAACTGACGCTTGCGCAAAGACAATCCTCGACCGGTTCGTTAACCGAGAGTATCTATAACTACCGCGTGCTACACGGCAGGACGTTCAATGCGCCCAAGACGACCGAATACTGGGCGCCGAACGACGAACAGCAGAATGAGGGTCTGGATCTGCTGCATAACTGCCTCCTGATGGCCTTGGGCGATAAACTGTTCCTCGCGCCAATTGACGATAACCCGCAAAGAGTGCTCGATCTCGGCACGGGAACTGGAATATGGGCGATGTGAGTGTTGCGAAAGGGTTTTTTTTTTTTTTTTTTTTTTTTTTTTTTGCGTCTGACGCTATTCTCGTCCTGGTCGCTAACAGGAATTCCAGTGACTTTGCCGACATGTACCCCGGGGCGGAAGTAGTAGGGACAGATATCAGCCCAATACAACCGGTTTGGACACCACCTAACGTTAAATTCGAGATCGACGACTGTCTTCTCGAGTGGACATGGCCTGAAAATCACTTCGACTTCATCCACATTAGAGCGTTATACGGTAAGTTCGCCTTGTTCTCGCAATTTGGCCGATTGTCCGGACGAAGGATGTAATCTCTGACATATGTGTAATATCATAGGCAGCATTCCCGACTGGGGCGAGCTTTACGGCAAGGCCTTCAAACACATCAAGCCCGGCGGCTGGCTTCAAGACCTAGAGATGGACGTGCGCATACAGACCGACCACGTTCACATCACAGACGATCATATCTTCGAGGAATGGTCGCGCGGGTTCATTGAGGCGGGCGACAAGAATGGGCGTACGTTCGGTATTAGTCGCGACCATATGATGCGGGACACCATGATTGCAGCCGGATTCGTCGACGTCACGGAGGTTAAGCTCAAGGTGCCGTGCCACGGGTGGCCGCGCGACCCCAAGCTACAGCAGGCCGGCCTGCTATTGTACGCTATGCTCGACCAGAGCGTCGAGGGTTTCTGCTTGTACCTGTTTACCAAGGTACTGGGCTGGTCTGTGGAGGAGGTTCTCGTGTTCGTGGCTAGGTTCCGCAACGAGATGAAGAAGAAGAGTAACTGTGGTTGGATTCTCACGTGAGTGCTCTCTCTTTAGGCCCCCTTTCTTTCTTATAGATAGGATGTTCATTCATGACGCGAATGACGCTAACGGTTACATAGGACTGTGGTATATGGTCGCAAGCCCGAGATAGGGGAAACGTAATGTTGATATCCTAACTGCAATATGCATCGCATCAGGTTAGCAATCGAGCAAGGCGCACATAGTCAAGTTATCGAAACGAGCCTTTCGTTTATACGTTCATACGTTTATACGTTTATATATTTTATCATACTAAAGCATAGCATTCGCTAATGACTGGGGATTGGCATGAAGTCGATCGGAAAAAGTTAATACCATTATTACGCCAAACATCGCATTCTAGGTTTACCCCTGAGTCAGGCACTTCTGAACCTTCCTTTCTCCACTTGTCCTCCGAAGGAAGCAAACAGATAATGATCTTGAAGTTCCAGTTTAAAGCATATTCGAACATCCGGCTTGCCAACTGCGTATCTACCTAAGTATCTCTGTAGCTAATAACAAAAGTCTTAGTTTGGCTTCCCGGCCTCATGGCCACCCAACGGGTGAAGGATATGCAGTGCTCCGTATGATCCAAATAACAACAAGGACATTGCCGAAACTGTGCCAAAAATCTATAAAATATGTCAAGCACCGATGCCTGGCCTGAACAAGCATAGTCCATATAAGCTACCAGCCCTTTCCACGCGCCATACCACAACATCGTTACGGTGACACGAGCATCCAGAATTTGCCTAGTGCTCCACCGTTCTAAAGCTGCAACATTTTCACCTGATATGTCTTTAGCACAACTTATCGACCTACATCTAGTTGAAAAAATAGGTATGTACCAGCTTTGTCCATGTTGTTCATTTTTTTCCTTGACAGGCTAATTACTTATAGTTCCATCTCGCCGCGCTTCAAGTCCTCGGTTTCTACTACGTCAAAGGGGTCTAAATACAGCATCTAGTCAACAAGATAATTTATCGGCATTGATATGTTCGAAACCTAATTAGTCTGCTGTAAAGAGACGGCCTAATCATAAGATATAATTACCTAACGCTCTTATGTGGTATCAACGAGTTACGAAATTCAATGAATGCTTACGTATGCGTTTTTGTCACAATGTAAATCTCTGATATATAATAAGGACACTGTTGTCTATGCAGAGAGATCAACCTGGTGCTACGAATTTCGCAACGATATTTATGCTGATGAGGTTCTTTGTCCCTCTGTTCATATCCGACATGCTCGACCCCTGAGTGTTTGAGAAGCATTAACCTAATGTGATATCGATCTATGCCCAATCTTAAGGATCATTGCAAAGAGATTAGAGGGGAAACGACGAATATACATCATGTAGTCGTGGGACAAGTGACTAGGTAGAATAGTTCTCTACCCCTCAGTTCTGTACGGTTAAAGCTGAGAAGAGGGGCGAGGAACATGTGGGATATGTCACGTCAATGAGTTGGCACGTACTAGGTCCCAATATCAACTCCGATATCATATAAAAGAAGACAAAGGGCCTCAGATTTTCAAATAAGAACGGCTAAAGTTCCTTTAACGACAGCATTCATGGGATAGACACCTAAGATACTGGGAAAGTCTGGCCACTTTTCCATAGCAGTCTGGGTCACTCGGTAGACGAATGGCTGGGAACCCTGATCTGAGCTGGATCGGCTGTGACATGTCTTTTCCAGCATCATACCTATGGATGATATTCTCGTGGTAGGGACATTGTTGGCATTCATTATAGAACCATTTCGTTCTAGGGAGCAATGCGATTCACTTACTCAAGGTGTTGGTATATACAATCTCGAGCATACAAGGATAAAACTAGTACCCGACCTTGGTGAGAAGGATTATCTGAAGTATATGGTCCAATGTTCTAGATGCCGGTTGCAACATAATCCCGTTGGTTAGTTTGTGGTACAAGGCCCTCTCCATAACTAGGAGATTATGACATCCTTATTAATACTATATCAACATATTACCCTTCGAAAGCAAGTCCCAAGGCGAATCATCTTGCCGGGTGTCATCAAATGGTTTCTCTATCGGCCCAAATATATACGATGGGCGAACTCCTTGAGGATGGCCTGAGCTTATCCGAACTCAAGGTACGGCAAAATCTGACACGGCAGGACAAAGATGGCACTTTCCATATATAACAGATATACTAGATAGGTGCTCACTCTAATGACATCGCTCTCACCTTGTTGATGTGTCCTACAGCGATACTAAGCCACACCAATTTCGGAAGTACTTCTTGTACATTTGACTATGCAAATACCATGGAAAAGGGGTTCCTGAGAGGCGGCAAGAGAGACGGTCCTACAGGCCGTCACTTTATCAACCTCTTTCATACGCTAGCATACACTGTATATGCTACCCTTAAGAATGAGCATGGCTTTGTCTATCACTTTTTACTTGTCAGGGGGTTGGCCTGTAGTTTAAGACTGTGTCGGAGTGAGTGATAGTAGCAGGTCGTTCTCTGTACTCGGTTGTATGTAGTAGAAATTGAATGACTACCTACATAATACCCTCTGACCACAATCGCAAACCCTTTGGGCCTCCAGCGCCTTTTGTTTTCATTTCATGTAGCTATGGCGCTGCTATCTCATTTCTTGCTATTAGCCCCTGACGACATTGCTGTCTTTCCACTCTATCTATAGTCATTCAAAACTATAAGTGTCTCCGGGGTCCTTTTCAAATTTCTTCAAAAACAAACACTAGGGAATTACCTGCCTACTCTTTATTTGGGCATTTTTAATCGTAGAAATGGATCACTTAGGGCATGGAAAACAGAATATCGCGTAGTGAGTTTTATAAGATAGTATGGGCCTGAGATGTAATGAGAGCATATTCCATCTTCATACACTTACAGAAAAAGCATCTTAGGTGAGAAGTTGCGTTAGAAATCTTGAAATGTTATAAAGTGACTTTTAATTTTATATTTCTTTTATTTACTGTGTACGCAGATACTATCGGTCGACCGGATACTATGGAAATGAGTCGATGAATACGATCGGTCGGTCTATATCACTTGCAAAGAGAAACTTTATCTTAATTTTCAGTAGACCTATCGTATTCCTTCCCATCCTTCTCGTATTTATACTTGCCAGGTATCTAGGTGGGTATCATTTTGATAGTTAAATGTGATCATATTGACAGCAGGCTTCAAATTAAAATACCCAAGTACACAAAACCTAGAAGAGCAACTGGTAGGATATCAGACCTTCTAATCAATAATTATTTCTGAACAATGAATATTCGCCATTGCGATTCCATGTCACATACTACCTTCTTGTTGGTAAATCGTTGCTGAACGATAGAATTCTGGGAAGTGGACTCATCGGGCGATACAATTGTCAAGACTTCCTTCCTCCATTGCTCCTTTTCCGTTTTAGGAAAGCCGGGGTATTTGGGGTGAGAGCCTGACATCTAGGTCCATTACGATTGAAATGTGCCCAACAAGTAGTTGAACAATTTGGGTGGCATCAAGCCTTGACTGCGTCTCTATAGGCCCCGGTCTTTGTGAACAATTGCTGTATTGGGCAAAATGAATCACATTTTGGTAGAAGTTTTCGGCTTTATGTTGGGGTTGTCGTGGATATGCTGCTCCTCTTACTACTGCAATGTATATGTAGTTTCCATGTTGGAAATCTTTTCATCCGAGGCGCCTGTGATGTAGATCGATGACCCGACTTGTATCCACTTCAATAGATGCATGGTGATTTCCATACGACTTCAAAGGAGGCGACTAGAGCAGTAATATGATATGCTAGGCCGCGTAAGAAATACGCCGTGAGCTTCTATTAGACGGTGGCATTCGAATACGCCACAGGTTAACCGATAGGCCACGAGACTTGATGATGCTGCGGATCCGCGAGTTCGCTAAGACGTGAAAAGGAAGAAAAAAAATCAGAAACAAGCATAATGTCGTGTAACTGTATCGGATATTAACTGCAGAGCATAATAATAGGTGGCGTAACTCGTTCTTAACTGCCGATCACTGGATGCGTACTGATCCGGAGCATCTTATGCTGATGGTTCAGATGATAATCCTCCTTTAAGGTCGAGGGTCACAGCCAGAAGTGGCAGTTGGTTTTTCGTAATTAACCTGCCATTGGTTGAAAGACGTGTCCTGCAGCTACACGCCGAATAGCTCGAGAGCGGGGAGCTGATCTCGTCTGGCTGCAACACAACTTCCCCAGCTCTCAAAATCTCCAATCTGCGAGGTCGGACAAGCTCGAAATAGCTTACATCATTACCTTTTATACCTCTTACACGATAACCCCCACCGAGTGTATTTCACTCACAATATTCCCTAAAGGGTCGCTCGGACCCTCATCCTTCCAGCAAGACCAATCGTGATGATCCGCTAACCTACTGAGAACGCCTGGCTCCTCACGAAGCGGCCAATGAATAGTACAGATGAGTGGGAACTTGTGAACGCGGCTTGCTTATTTGAAGATGTGTCGTGTTATCACGGTTACGATATCATAATGCGAAGTTCCTTGAGTCGTCGACTTCAACACTGTACCACAAGATGCTACCAATATTATATTGAGCCGAATAGCTCGGGATCTTCAGACCCTGAGGCATCTTCGCTCTCCTTGCCGTTTGGGCGGACTTACGGGTCCATTGAGGCTCCTTTATTGGCATTAAGCATGATATCCGTGTCACTATCGTCAAAAATTTGCTGCAGCTCTCGTATATCTTTAGACATTTGGTCATGACCCATATCGCGGGTATTGGCAATGGCGGTTTCGATATCGGGCAAGTCTTCATCGCCATCGTTAATAAAGCTGCCAGAATCCGACTCTGACTCATCGCTTATCTCTACGACTGCTTGTCGCGGGTGGGCGACACCCGCGCGAGATTGGGTGGCAGCATTCGAGGTAGGCTGTAAGCTGGGCGGTTCTATGCTGTTCTGTGCGACGCTTTTGTTCTGCGAAGGGGGTTTAAAATTCCTGTGATGTGACGACTGGATCAAGTAATATCTGGATTTCTCTATCTCGGCGGGAGGATGATATTTTTCCCTCTGCTGCCACCATGCGGCTATTATGGCACCTTGTATTTTTCCAGTATTTTTCAGCTTCACGATACGTGACGGGGCGATAGATGACAGGATCTTTACACGGCCTGATCTCTCGCAGTTGTTCTTCTGAAAGAGGCTCCTGACCCGACTTTAGACGGGGCGCAAGAGGTTCGCCAAACTCGTTTTTGCGGGCATCTGCGACGCGATGATTTACCAGCCAGGTCAAGACATCTATTTCCCGCTTCCTCGGATATCTATGGTTATGACGGATAGGTTGAACGGGAGGAACTCGGAGGTCGCATCGCTTACGGCGGGTGCCGGGAAAAGGCTTCGGTCCCCGTTTAACACCGCACCGAGGTCTACTCCAGGGCATTGGAAGGATTCGCGATATTTGCAATATTCCCGAATATACAAAGAAAGAATATGTATATTCGTTATTCTTTAGTAATTTCGGAAGCTCGAATGTGTAGGTTGTGTCGTGCTCGTTGGAATGACTGGTCCACTGATGATGTGGCGGATGATGGAGAAAGGACGGATTGATAGAACGGAAGTTGATTTGGGGAAAGATCATTGGTTAGCGGATTCCCAGCTAATTGTTCTAGATTACCTCTAATAGATTATTACTGGTCGGCGTCTGGTCGGCTAGTAAGGACGGGTTTCCCGTTCCAATCAGCGCTAAGCTAAATTGGGTCTAGACAGATCTGGGCCTGCCCTATCAGGTCCCTTGATGAAAGCCCTATCAAGCCTTATTCTCTTCCAATGTTCCTCATTATTACCTATATTAATACCACCGAACCCTTTCCTTGCCCTCGTTGCCCTCCTTCGACGCAACCATTGTCGTTGCGTCGTCGCACTGCAGAAGTGGACGAGCACCTCTTACTCTCTCTGATTGACGACGATTCGCAATCAAGCTTTTCTACCGGCCTTTGCTAGGTGGTGTCGCAATCAATGGAACTGACCGGTGCTACGTCGAAGAGGGCGCGTGATGGCGATTGCGGCTACAAACGCCGCTCAGGTCTTCTTCTAGAAGCAATCCCCTGTTTCGGCGATCGATCTGGTTGGAGCGTCAAAAGTGGTGGGAGAAGGTCGTTGGCCAATCCTGTCAGGGGCAGCGTCCAAATACTGTAACCGCAGATCTCCAACGTACCCGAGGTGCTACTCCGTGCTACGTAGTAAGGATATGAAAAGTATGAAATGGTGTGTTGCGGCAAGCCTTGCATATCAGAATCGACACTCGTCTGAATGGATCACGGCGGTGAGAAGAGGCCGAATTTCATGATGAGGCGCTATTGACAAATTGACTGCAATGATTGATCATTCCAAGTCGCAGTTCGATAAACAGGCTAATCTCGATCCGCTACGAGCGCGGAGGATCAGATCGCCCGATTTTCCCTAGTTAGACCATGAGACTGTCAGGCAGGACGATGGGACGATGGGAAGTGCGCGTCCTAACTCGAGCCTGCATGAGCAGCTCGAAGCAGCTCGAGTCGACCATCGCATTGGCTACTGCTGTGTAAATTGACTCAATGTCATACAAAGACAGCATGGTCGATCAAACCTGTCGAGGACCGAAAGTGCCGGTCGTCGGATACAGCTAGGTCTTTTCCATGGCTTTTTAATGCAACCACCCTTCTTCTCCCATTTCGGCATGAGTCGATGGTTGATCATAGTTAATCATATATGTATGTGCCTGGGGGAAGAAAAAATCCGCTGCATATCGAGTTGCGGTCAGAGATTTACCCCTAGCTGCCATTGCCATTGTCACTTTGTTAGCGCAGCAGCAGAAAAGGCCGAACTTGGAAGTTGGACAAAGTCAAGTTTCTATCAAATAAAAAGCGTTGAAGTATATATTTTGGGACCTAACTAAGTGGGGCAACATCCATCTCTTTGTACCTGACGTACAGATATACATGCATACCTAGGTACGTAAGGCATCGAGATATTTCATATCGGTCGGCAGGATTTGAGGTTGTTTTGGTCGCTACGTAGAGGTCGAGATGGGCAGATGGGTTACGGCAGGTTGATTTGTCCATGCAGGTTCTCCTGGTTTTGAATCTGCGATGCTGCGCACCATAACGCGTTTCTTTTTTTGTCCTCGATAGATGGGTCAGTGATCACAGCATTCTTCATCTCCAACTGCAGCTCCGCATATGAACCTCAGCTAATTCTCATAGATGTTGGTCGGTCTGGTCGGTCAAGTCGGCCAAACGCATATATTGGATCACAATCCGGCATTTCGTGAATGTAACTCAGTTGAGCACTCGCTTATTTGCTTAATTGCATTTCTACGCTATACGTCATTGGGTAGGCATAGGTAGGGAGCGCATAGCCCTCGAAGTATCTCTACAGATGTAGGTACATCATGGATGGATGTCTTATGAACGAACTCTGTCACATGCTCCATAATTTTCTATCTATGGTAAGTGGCGGGGCCGCAAAGTTTACTTGCCCGTGGCTAGTAGATTCTACTCTAATTCACACACAACCCCATCAAATTCTCAATTTTACCCTCTCTCTTTTTCCACTCACCCTCAGAAACAGCAACAAAATACTGTCCGTCACTCTAGACCACTTGCGTCTCTCGGGAAATCAACATCCAGCGTACCATCAGCATACAACTCCATTTTCTATAAAGACCCGTCAAGTCTTTCCGCAAACGAACACATTTGCTATCACCCAGCTAGCTTGTTGACTGCGAGTCGCAAAGCTTCCCATAAAACACCGCTTCGACTTGCCTTTGGTCTTCTCAAAGGCACATTAGCTACCACGGCTTCCACGGCCGTGAGCTTCGTATCTGATCAAGATTTCAGTCTGCGAAAGACTTTCCATATCATCAACTCTCGACCTCCACCGCCCGCTTCTGCTGAAGTCGCCTAAAGAGAAACGAACGCCCATCTTGCTTGACAACGCCCCCCAACTGAACCAATTTCTCCCCCCAACCCACCAGCTGCCGCATAGGACGAGTTCTGAGGTTCTTCCTCTAATTGAGGGAGAGTCGAGGAGACCTCGTCAGATCGCTTCGGGATCAGGAAGCTACCGTTTTCGACCCCCCTAACACCTATTCGGAGGAACACGTTCCTAGGACCTTTCTACTTATAAGTCTATCTATTCTCCTGTTTAGATAGCATTTATACTCTTACTGGAGCTCCCTGTGAAATCCGATATCTACCGGACCTACAACACGAAGTTTTCTATCACTCCCCATCAATATCCTTCATCAAAAACGAGGGATATGGTTATGGCAACAGCTGCCGTTGATCGCTTTGCACCGACTCATTTTGACAATCATATTCTTGTCAAGAAGAATTTCTTCTATGATCATCAGCATCAACACAATGGCGCTGTGATCGCTAAACAGTTGATTGGCGATGCTCTTCGCCATCGCGTCGAGAACATTGACCATGAGTCTTGTGAGCCAGGGGATGAGGATACCTTTTTCGTGGGCGATCTTGGCGAGGTCTACCGCCAGCACATGAGATGGAAGAAGAATCTTCCACGCGTGAAGCCATTTTACGGTACGTCATATCTATTTCGCTTCTGAACGTCCTATGGCTAATAATTTTCTCATAGCTGTCAAGTGTAACCCGGACTCTAAGGTTATTCAGCTTCTTGCTGGATTGGGCACCGGCTTCGATTGTGCCTCGAAGTCCGAGATCGAGCAAGTTCTCAGCTTGGGCGTCGATCCGTCTCGCATCATCTATGCTCAGCCATGCAAGACCAACTCTTACGTGCGCTACGTCGCCAACCAAGGCGTCAAGCAGATGACTTTCGACAATGCTGACGAACTGCGCAAAATTGCCAAGCTCTTCCCTGATGCCGAGCTCTTCTTGCGCATTTTGACCGATGACTCATCGAGCTTGTGCCGTCTAAGCTTGAAATTCGGCGCTTCCCTTGACTCCACCAATGATCTCTTGGCTCTTGCCAAGGAACTTGGCTTAAACGTCGTTGGCGTGAGTTTCCACGTGGGCTCAGGGGCATCCGACCCCCTCGCCTTTCTCAAGGCCGTTCGGGATGCAGAGCATGTCTTCAAGCAAGCCTACGCCCATGGCTTTGACATGAAAACGCTCGATGTTGGTGGCGGATTCAGTGGCGATACTTTTGAAGACATGGCCCTCGTCTTGCGTGAGGCTCTTGACGAATATTTCCCGCCACACATCAACATTATTGCCGAGCCTGGCCGATACTACGTTTCTTCGGCATTCACCATTGCTTGCAACATCATAGCTCGCCGCACCATTGATAACCCAGCTACGGGCGAGACTAGTTACATGACCTATCTCAATGATGGCTTGTATGGCAACTTCAGCAGCATTATGTTTGATCATCAACACCCTATCGCAAAGGTGTTGCGATCGGGCAAGCGGACCTACTACAACACTCCTCTTTCTAACAGCTTGCCTGAGGGTGTCAACGCTGGCACTGAGTACTCTATCTGGGGCCCGACTTGCGATGGCATTGACCGCATCACTGAGAGTATCCGCTTTGCCCATGAGCTTGATGTTGGTGACTGGTTGTACTTTGAAGACATGGGTGCTTACACCAAGTGCTCGGCTACGAAGTTCAATGGCTTCAGCAACAGCCATGACGTTATTTACGTCTGTAGCGAGCTAGGTGCGAGAGCTCTCATGGATCTCTAGTGTTCTAAGGATCATTTGATGGATGCTTGGCCTACGATGCAAAGTTGCGAAGGCTATGTTTTTTTGTTTCTTGCTTAGAGAATAGACTTAATGATGGTTCAGTCATCGTCATCCCGGAAGGGGCCTATCTTTTTTCGATACTCAAATTATAGAATTGGATTACTTGGTCAAGAGGCTAGTAGACATAGAAAAAAAGAAAAGAAAAGAATAACTTATAATAGCGAGGCAACTTTCATTAATAATACCTTCCTAGACATAAAATCCAATCCCTATGCTACTATTAATCAATTGACTCGTATCCATAGATGCTTCTAGCCCGTTAATTCACACCTTTTTGGGCAACGAGTAAATGTAAACATGATGTGACCCCAGCTTAATTTTCACTTCTAGACCTAATTAGTTCAATAATACCTAGTACTATACAGAAGCATCTAACTCTGTATTATCCCTAATCCATCTATCAAATGTTTAATAATTTTAATTGTTGACCTTTTCACGATTGAACTACTACGACCCTAGTAGGTCATATTAGAACTAGATTTGAAGAAAGGCCTCTATGAAGTATCATATCTTGATAACTAATATTTCTATAATCGACGAGAATATAGCAATAACTTTCACAGCTACAAATATTCAAATAAAGTATATTGTCAAACAACTACGGAACGGCATAACTTTGAATTCTTATTAGTCATTACCTAGGATTAGAGCTCATAATGAGGAAGAACTAGGACGGAATTTATGACAGATGAAACTTGAGGGTTGCTTCGTCATTCAACACTATCTTAGGATATTACCTTTCCCAAGAAGTTAACTTGCCTAAGTAGCCCTCCAAAAGACATGTACCTTGTAAATAGTGGAAATAGTAAGTCGATATGGGTCAAGAATTGGGCTTGGCCCTTACATTGCGTCCGTAATGTGCAGAACTTTGGCATCAAAACAGAGTCACAGTATGACAGGAAACTGATCTATAAATTGGTTGGACCGTCTGAAGGCACGAAGCAAACACCGAGACATGCAACTCAATAGTTGTAGCTCTTTTCTCGCTTCCACCTACCTATGTAGATGACTGCGACAGCAACGTCCACATAAAGTCGCACTTGACTCATTTGTTGCAAGAGCGCCTATGTAGTTAGATATTTAAGGGCAACTTCCACCCTCCAGAAATCTTCATCCTAGGGCAGCACTCATCCAGCAGTTGCTTCCCAAACTTAGGTACCTTAAACATTCGATTAAAACCCTACGGTTCAACCATTCCTTTCGAAAACCCATCAAGCTAATCCTTTCACCATCTCTTCAAAACACCACCTACCTAGACAAATAGCTCTCCACCTACGCTCCTCTGTAAACCTATCAACCCCTAAAAAACACTACGATGAAGGTCTGCTCTGTCATCACCTTTGCCTCATCAATCTTGGCGGCGGTTATCCGGGTAGGTCCCTTTGCCTATCCCCTTTGAACGGCCAAGTATGCTAATCAATATTTCACCGTAGAGCCCGCCGTCTCTCGTCCGACCGGCAGGCCTCATCGCGAACCAAACTCGTCCTGTATACTTCAAGGTGAGACTTACAGGTTTGGGTTTTCTATACTTTTTCTTCCTATGAGGCTCCGTGATTGCTGATATGCTGCACGATAGCGCGATGATATTAGAGTTCTCTGTGGTGATCCCCCAGATTATCCCAACACCGAGTTTCCTACCTGGGATTACAGCTACCCCATCGGCATGCTCTTGAGCGGCGGTAGCCGGCGCATTCATCTCGAAGCTGGTCCACGCAAGTGCATCCAGGCAGCCTGTAACGCAGGTGGTGGAGCAGGTGTCTTCATTTGCAACGACCAGCATAATTCCATCGACGTGTTATATACCGACGCCGTAAGAGTCCCTTTAATTTCCATGTATCCACAATCTCAGTACAAGCAGATAACGTCTGATATCCATCCCCCACTTGTCAACCTCCTGCTTCATATCCGTTTTCCTTATGTCTTCCTTACTGAAAAGGTTGCTGACTTCGATCTTAGGGTTGGTTCGCGCAACAAGTGTATTCAAAATGTAAACAGCGCCGAGATGGAACCGACTACGTCGAGAAGGGCCAGGCTTTCTGCCCTGACAATTGGAATGTTATTCTGAGCGACGTCGGCGATGAATGCACTGCTTCGACTCTACCTAATCTCGATTAAGCGGAGTCTTTCGGTCTCTTTCGCTCGTAGAACTGAGTGCCTGGTCCATAACTGTATCATTAGCTCGCTGGCAAATATCCTAGAGGCCGTCTTCTTTTACGGGGACTCATGAATAGACCTATTACCTACATATAACTATAGTTAGCAGTTTTGTTAAATATTGTGATATGTGCAAAGACTTCAGATACTATAAAATAATAGTTTCTCAGTCTGTTCATTGCTTACGTGACACTGGCCTCTCGATGGTATGATATTTCTTCCTTGATCGGGCGTTCGATATCGAATAGGGGGAATTTCCCATACCCCCTTTTTCCCTTTCACCAATCATCCTTGCATCCGCTTTTTCGTGGCACACTCCCATGCATACCTACCTAAGAGCCTACCTAGAGTTTGTGTAATCGGTTATTGAGTGACTGTGTAGGTAGGTATAATTGACTACTCTCAACAGGAATCAATATTAGTGGGCCGAAGGAGTGTAATTCGAAAACTCGTCACACCGGGGTCTAGCAAGCTTAATAAGGAAACACCAAAGACGTTCGGCGCTAGAATCTATGAAAAGAAATAGCGGATTTATACTCGAAGTTTAATTATATATTACCAATACGATGATTAAGTGAGTTAGATGCTGATCAACGAAGAATCCCATCGATCGACAAGTAAGCACTGGAGAGTATAAGCGCGCTAACAATTAGCACACAGCATCCGGAGGGCTATGCAACTCCTATTCGATGCCGCATTAGTCAACTCCGCACTCGTCGTCTCGATAAGCTATACGATCTGTAGGAAAGACGGATGAGGATTCCAACCTAGGAATCAATCCACGAGCTCCACCAGCTAAACAGCTTTCGCCGCATGGGTGCTCACTCAGCAACCGCGAATTGCCTACTACGGAGGCATCCTAGGGAAATACGTACCGCGCAAGGAGTATAAGTCAAGTATATCCATCCTCCTGAGGGAGGTGTTGACAACTCTTTTCATACATCACTGCACTTAGTGATCGTCCTTACTCCCAAACTTACCCAGATACATATCGTCCTGTCAGGTATCAGCCGATATACAATATGCTTAAGCTAAGCCCCGACGAGAGTTTCAACTTCGAGATCTTGCGCATGTTGTCGCACTCCACGTTCAATGGAGCCGATATCAGCGAGTGCCTCATCGCCGCCGACGAGATCGTCCCGGGTGACTTTGAGTCCTGGTATGCGGCGTGGAACAGGCGTGCCGAGCGCGTGCTGTCCCATATCAAGGACATGAGCGACCCGGTTTCTATCCGGGATTCGTACTTCCGCGCCTCGACGTACAGCCGCGCGGCAGACTTTTTCCTTCACGGGAATTGGGATGACCCGCGCATTAACTCGCTGTGGAAGAGACAGGCCGACTGCTTCACGGAGGCCATTTCCCGCCTAGAGAACCCTGGATATAGGAAATTACTCAAGGCAGACGGCTTCGATGTTCCTATCATCGTGTTCCCGGCCGGGAAGAAGGGCAATGAGACGAAGAGACCCACGATCCTGATGGGGAACGGGTACGATGGGTCTATGGAGGAAATGTATCACATGCACGGCGCGGCGGCGCTCGAACGAGGATATAATGTCGTCGTGTACGATGGGCCCGGACAACCGACGGTGCGTCGCGACCAAGGGTTAGGCTTCATCCACAACTGGGAGGCTGTCGTGACTCCCGTCGTAGACTACGTCGAAACGCTGCCCTTCGTCGACCCCAAGAAGATTGGCCTCGTGGGATACAGCATGGGCGGGTACCTTTGTGCCCGCGCCGCCGCCTTCGAGCACCGCATCGCGGCCGTCTTCCAGATCGACGGCCTGTTCGACTTCACCAGAAGCCCCGTCTTCACAACCGGCGGGCTATCCCAGTGGAAGGGAAACGACGACGAGGCTGCGACCCGCGCCATCCTGGATAACCCCGAGGTGCCGGCCGGCTTCCGCTGGGTATTGGGCCATGGCCTCTGGGCCTTCAACGTCAAGACGCGCGGAGAATTCCTCGAGAGGGCGGCGCGGTTCAGCTTGGATAATGGGATCGCGCAGCAGATACGGTGCCCGGTCTTCGTGGGCGACCCCGAGCACGATATGTTCTTCCAGGGCCAGCCGGAGCTCATGGTGCAGGCGTTGGGCGAAAAGGGCACGTTGGTGAAGTTCACGAAGGAGGATGGGGCGCATGAGCATTGCCACTTTGGCGCCGGGAGGTACACTAATGCGGTTATGTATAAGTGGTTCGAGGAGAAGGTTGTGAAGGCGTAGGCTAGGAGGCTATTGAGAGTCTGGCGAGGGCGGGAAAATAAGAGGTTTGAAGTACTGGGCATACAACCCCAAGTTCCATTTCTATATACCTCCTGCTGGCTATGTAGTAATTATCCTTACCTAGTTCCTGTGTACCTAGCTAGGTAGCTAATACCAGCTCTTGCTCATAAGGTAAGAATATGCCATCACTTGATATCTGAACCCATCGGCTTAGATCTCAGGTACCAATATGTGGATAATAATTTCATGCGGAGACATCGATAAGTTCTTTATTGGGTCGAAAATTGGGTGAATTGCTTTCTCCTGATATACATACCTGGTGTGCAAATGTGTGTGACTGTATATCTCTAGTTGGAATAGGTATAATAGTATTTTCTTCGAATAGAAGATATATGAGGTTTAGAAGATGACTGTCACATTAAATGCTAAGTAGGGTGATTGGATAAGTTGTATAACTGGATGAGGGTAGGCACGCTATTTCAATTAGCGTCAACTCTAAGTCGCGTCATGTCCATGTCGATTGATCGCGGTTCTGGGATGCAGTGGGGTAGTACTGCCGCGCCTGCTGTCTTTGTTTAGGAACTTGAGGTGATTTTCGTGAAAGTAACCTACCTCAGCTAGTAGTTGCACTTTAATTAAACTGATTCTTGGAAGTGCGACGGTTTTAACTTTCTTTCACCCAAGACCGAAATGCAACTTCGTTTCTCTTCACCATGGCTCCCAATGCCACAAATTCAAATCTTCCCGCAAGAGACGGAGCTCTCGTCGGCGGAGATGAAAGCCAGGAGAGTCAAGACCTATTAATAAAGCACATGCTAGAACATGGCTTAGGTGTGGTGAGTGGCGTCTACTTTTGCGCATTGCGCATGTTGTGCTCCTGGATTTTCGGCTAACTGTTACGAAATTAGACGAGTATTGCTTCTGTACCTGTTGATCCTTTTTATCAATCGAAGAGAGATACCACGGGATTGAGCATAGAGCCATCCACAGCAGATAAATCGCATTCGGTGAATGGGCAAGATGGAGGGCTAAGATCCGCTAAGGTAAGGATGACATGCATACACTATTCGTCGGTACCGCTGGTCGCAAGAATTGCGACCTATCGATTTCCCTCTACTTACAAGGGTGGCACTGATCCAAATGCGCCATACTAGCAACCACAGAACGCGTCAAACACGCTCGTTACCGGCGCCGCGAGCGACTCTGCGAAGCAATCAATCCAACCGCGATTCAAAACTTCGTCGCGCCCACTCTCGAACTCTGAAGCGAACGTTGCCTTGGCTCCGACTCAACCGATCCCCGACAATGCTGTTTCTGCAATCGAGGGGCTAAGTCAGTCGACTAGAAACAATCCTCTGCCCATACCTCCACGGTGGCAAAGACCACACAAAATAAAAGACAAAATGTCTTCAGACTCGCCAACTCAATCGAACGATGGTCGCAGTTATGAGCAATATTCTACCAATGACAATTCACAGCTAGATTCGTCGCCGCAAGCGAGTAGCGTCCACGAACCCGAACATCCTACTCTCCACGAACATGATATGGGTTTCTTGAACTTTAAGCGCGATATTGATATACCGGATACACTACCAGAGGACACGGAAGTCAATTTCGCTGGTGGTATACTCAGGAGATCGAGCGCAGTGTCGCAAGTGCCTGGGGAAAGTAGTTATCATGTCGCACCTCCCGAGACACCTGCGATAGCGCAGAGATTATTTGGTGGGAAAGGCGCACCATTAATGCCAGCATCGCAGATGTTCGGACAGACGCCCTGGACATCGACAGTTAAGAGAGCCAGTCCTACGTCGTCACGTCCGTCACCCGATGTCTTTAACCAGAACACAATATCGCCAAACCCCATCGTATCGTCTCCGTTAAAGAATAAAGGACTTAGAACCTCGCCCACTAACGCTTTTACGTCAAGTCCCGGATTTCCTAGAACATCATCTAGACCTTCGGGCGACGAAACACCATTGGTACCTACGAATAGTCATGAGGATGAGAGGCGAAATCAAAGAAGCGTTGCTGAAACCCCGCTCCCCCGATTCGAAGGCCCCAAACGCAAGAACTTTCCAGAACCAATTGGCGAGTATAAGCCTTTGCGAAAGCAAAGTTTGGAAACAAATGCTACTAAGTCCCCAAAACAGAGCGATGAAGAACAAGATTCCGATTCCGAAGTTGATACAGCCGCCTATCGTCGACGCCTAGCCAAATTAAAGCAGGAGAAAGCTAGCAAATCCTTTCCATCTATTAGCCTCCCTCGGTCGAACTCGAACAAAGATGACAATGTGGAGGTACCGTCAACTAATCGGACGAGGTCTGCTCTAGGTCGAAACAGAACAGATTCGGGGCAGTATTTGGCGCAATGCTACGGCAAGACAGCGATCGATAAGAGCGGATCGCAGGAGACCGTTGCAGATTCTCAAGAAGCCGCAGTACCACCACAACAACAGGGTGATAAACCAACAGCATCAGATAATTCGAACGGAAGGGAGGCTGATAATACCGAAGCATCTCCCACTACTGATCTTCCGGAGCCTGGAGCGCCTGTATGCAACGTGGAATATAGGGAGACTATCCCTGAAACCAGTCCTCCGAGCACGGATATAGGCCCACCTAAATTAATTGGTGATATAATGAAACAATACTCTAGTATTAGGTCTGAGATGGAAGCAGTGTCATTCCCAGTCTTATCAGGTGGTACAGATCCTGAACAACCGAAACAGCCAACCGAACCAAGATCTTCAAGTGCTCCAGAACCATTTTCATCGATTCCCGCAAATCGAAAATCTCGACCTAGCCGAGGTCGACCATTGGAGTCTTCACCCTCTATAGTTCTAGCGTCCTCCCCACGGAGCGCAAGTCGCCGTTCGGTGAGGCTCGGGAATATAGTCACACCATCATCGACTGGGCATGATCCACCTCTTCCGTCAGACGTTGGGACAGGAACATCGACATTGTCATCTCTGTCAGCAACGCCAAGCGTGACTTCTAGCATCACACCAAGTACAGATCTTGGTCGTACGTCCGAAGCCAACAGGAGCCGCAGTTCATCTCCAGCTGTGGCAAATATACAGCGTCGAGGAAGGCTTGCATCATCCGTTTCAGGACCTCCATCTTCTCTCCCCCAAATCAGGACCTATTCTCGTTCTCGAGAGAGTACCAAAAGAACGACACGCCATAGTTCCTTATCAACCGATGAATTAGCTAAGTCACCATTATCTGCGACTGCTATAGATGAGCGGAAGCCACCTACCCGCAAGACGGCAAGACAATCCGCTGCCAAGCGACATCTGCTTCGTGAGTCTGCAGTTAATCATGGGATCTTCAAGGGAATGGTATTTGCTCTCTCATTTAAAGATGAACAGAATCGAAAGAACAAAGAGAAACATGCTGATAGATATTCTATTGAACGCATGATTCTCCGGGAAGGCGGCAAGATCCTTTCCGATGGTTTTCATGAACTCTTCAAATTCGATTCATTTCAACCCACGACGAACCCGTCTACTGCTAATACTGTGTCCAGTTCATTGACACTGCTTAATCAAAATGCTGGGTTCACAGCTTTAATAGCTGATGAGCATTCTCGGAAAACGAAGTATATGCAGGCTCTTGCACTCGGCATCCCGTGCCTAGCACCCAAGTGGATAATGAACTGCGTATCTAAGAATGAAATCATAGATTGGTCCTCATATCTCCTATGCGCGGGGCCAAGTGCGCTTTTGGGGGAGGCCATCCGCTCGCGTACTCTGCAACCATACGATGCCTCTACGTCCAAGTTGGAGGATGTGATAAACAACAGGCCCAAGTTACTAGACAAAGCACGGATTCTTCTTGTGATGAAGAGCAATAGGGGTGAAGAGAAGAGGCTGCCGTATGTGTTCCTAGCGCAAATTCTTGGCGGCTCGTTAGTACGGGTGAATAGTCTCGAGGAAGCTAGGACTAAACTCCGTGATGGCGAGTCCCAGGGCCAGCCCTTTGACTGGGTCTACGTTGATGGTGACAATCTTCTCAAGGCCCACAATGTATTATTTGGCTCAACTGCAGGAAACGGAGCTTCCAAAAAGCGGAAGCGGCAGAGCGCAGGGACAGACGAAACCGACCGGCCGCCAAAGAGGATTAGGACACTCAGCGACCAGCTAGTAATCCAGAGCCTTATTCTAGGGAGGCTGATCGAAGAGGGGGAGATGGATGAGTAAGATACGGTTGGGACCTGTTTCGTATATAACAGGTTTAGTAATGTGTCAATTGGTGACAGCATATTGGTGGCGTCGTGCTTTTGGGACAATTACAGGTGTCTGCATTGGGGGGCGTTTCATGGCATCCACGGATGACAATGTCAGGACTGGAAAATAACCGACGTCGTGGTACGGCGAATTGGGAAAGGCATAATGAATGACACGGCGACTACTCCGTCCCCAGTACCTAATGTAGACTTGTTGCATCAGCAAGTGTTGCCTAGTAATGACTCCGTGAACATTTTGGCTAATTGGGAAGTCTTAATTCGAAACTAAGGATTTGGTAACTTCTATGGACGTCATATAAGCTGTATGGTTCCCAAGATGGAAGTAAGGCTTTGAGGCTTCACAAGATCCATCTTAGGTAGCAATGGATTTGTGGACGGTGTCGTCATCCCGACGGGATGCGCCAACTACTATGCAGGTATATAAAGGGGGCGCTATAGCGACCTGCCTTGATTTCTTGTGGCTAGGGCTCTTCTTGGTTTGTACGACCGAGCCATTGCAAGGAATCCAAGCTGCCAGGGCTGCCAAGTTAGAGAACGCGGGAATTGGAAGCGAAATGGAGAAGATTATTAGGCGAGATCGAGATCTTGAGGCTCGATCGGAAAATATTCCTGGTCATTCTTTAAGTGTTTTCTTCAATATATCAAAGCCTTGCTCGGTTATACCCGTACCCGACTCGAATCCTTCGATCCTTGATATAACTGAAGTAGCAGCAATGAGACTCTGGAGAAAAACTTGGAAATGTATCGTACGGATTCACTCACCGCATTGAAAAGTGGGATACCGTGAGTTTGAAAAGGGAAAGTAAAAAAGAGAGCGTTCCTGACGCTGGCGAGGTTCAACCCGAACTGGAACAGGAAGGATGACTCGCGACATCTTTCCTTCCCCTTCCCGGTCACGGGAAAATTCCTAGTTCCACAAGCGAGCTTTTAGGGCCGGATGAAATTGGGGCAATTATCTTCCATGACGTTCGAAGATAAGGATGTATGTAGGTACTGTATAAGGAAAGGAGCCGCAAGCTTCGGTGCCGTCATGGGCCTGCCCCGGAAGATACTTTCGGAACAGCTGCTTTTAAGGTGTGAGTTCCGAAGTGGAGTTACCCAACAACAATCTGAACAGTTCAAGTGACATCAACGGCTAAGATATTAGGTTAAACAACACATTCGCATACACGTACAATACAAGGTACGAGGTACAAAATAAGTTATGGAAAAAAGAGAATGGCTGAATTGGTATCTCAATAGCGCTAACCCTCTTCACCCCTCCCTCTATCCGGCGAGGTTTCTAGAGAAGATGATAACATTGCTATAAGTTATCATCTCGCGGCGAAAAGAAAAGAAAGGAAGGAAATAGGTAAATTGGAGCGGGGCGCGACGGGGCGGCGCGGAATCACCTATCGTGAATGCCGTTGAACGCACGGGGGATGAGACATTAAGAACTCGACGTTCGCACTACTTCTTAGGTACATGAAGTTTCGATAGTCCCGGCTAGAACATAATCGGCCTGCAGCAGCGACCCCTCGTCAAAGTACTAGTAACATGGGGATAGATTTACCATGCATGAGAATGGCACACAATATGTGCCATACCAACCCTACATACATGCCTACATGTGGCTAACTAAAGTGTACAATTGCTAATGAATAAGTACAATACATAGATGTTTGCGTGGTTTAGAAGCTCTGACCGCTCGGTCCTTATCGTCGCATTGCAGCTTTGGTTTAAGCTCTCGTGCCGTGCCAGAACAGACGCTGACATGCTCCAATGCATACATAGGATTCCAGCGCAGGGCCGTAACAAATGCTCCGTTGAATCCCTAGCTACAACCTCGTCGGTCCGGTAGACAACCCCAACCCTATCAACTTTGGGAAAGAATTGAGAAAATCGAACCATTTGATGATCTCGTAGGTAAGCAAGTCGTCGCTCAGACAATCGCACGCCGCCGAGATCCAGATAGCAATTGACATTGTAAGAACTCATGTTGTATCGGAACACGTGCCTCATTCCATGAGGCCGGATCTCTCGGCGCGGTACAATATCAGTAGTCGAGTACTATAACCCTGGATTTAACAGGGATGATGAATGACTACGGTTATCTGGTTCACTTCAACAATTATCGCCAAGTAAACCTATCATCAACCCTATGCTCTGTTCAGAGCAAGCTTCTGATTCAGCTCTTAAACGATCGCGGTAGTTAAGATAGGCTATTGGAGAAATTAATAGTCAGTTAAGTGAGCTTAACAGACTTGTAATCTGCTGATTGGGGCCGGGCTCCAGCTAGAACCATCCGGAGCGGTCTCCGCTTATTGATTGTCAATATTGTAGTGTATTTCCGCCATAGCATGGTCCGTTGGTAGAATGGATGCAAGACGTGAGATTACTGATATGAAGTTATGAACCCCAGTAGCAGTATGCAACCCAAGGAAACTAACGCCTGTCGAGATGGAAAAGTGTACATAACTTGCAAAGAAAACAGGCAAGCATAGCGAATATAGTTCCATAGTCCGGTCGAGTCTCAAAAAGCTGAACAACGCAGACATAACCGTCTGCGATTATGTCTTGCTTTGACAGGGTTCGTCACTTGTATTCGCTCACCGTCTATATCTGTAGGTATCACAAGCCTCATACCCTTCTCATCTTGCAACTGTCCTTCGGTGACATATCCTTAACCAGGTAGGGATTGCAAGATAATCCGACTTCCCGTGCAGTCGGAACGAAGCCTCACGAATTACCGGACAGAGCCTTGGCTTTTGTCATTGTTTGCGGAGTAGAATAAAAAAAGATTCAAACATGCGGACCTCGCTGGCCTCGTGTAAGAAACGAAGATGGATATCCATGTTACTTATCTCTAGTTTTATGCGCTACTGAGCGAAACCTCGACGTTAGGGCCGTGGCCAGCCAGCTACCTTCACCCGAGCAGGCGTCACAGCGTTTCATTAGAACTCCCAAGCTATCGGCGCTAGCTACTGTAGAAAGCTAGGTTTGGGTTGTATCTCGACTTAGCCACAGGCGCATCGTGAAATTCGCCGAGTTTGAGAAGATAATTTCGTCACAGTTTGTCGTGTTCTCATGTCACGAACTTACCGCAACCTGCGCGACCTACTGCACGGCGGACAAGTGTCAAAGCAAACTTGTTGCGAATGTTTGCTACCGGGGTTCCATCAAGAAACAGAGTGGAAAGGTGGAAAGGTACGGGTAAGAGAACAGTTTGAAACTTTGACGATCGAAGATTTTACGACTTCCAATCGTACTGTACATATAATTGTACATATCGATGTATATTGCACTAGTTTATTCCTTGTACAAAGCAATTGTGGGGTTCGGCATAATGACAGGGGTTGAACAGCTTACTTACAGAATGTACATTACCACCTCAGGGAAGTACCCATCCAGTCCATCTTAGCAGGCAGGTCGCGATGCCTAGAGTCTTAGACAGCCCTAAGTAGAGCGCTAGAATGCTAGCAATAATTACCTAGTCGGCTAGGTACCTAAAGAGTTACTTCCCAGGGCCATTGCCATTGCACATATGGGACCGCGCTAGAGAACACTTACACTTCCACACTTACTGAGCGAGGCAGGAGCAAGTAGGTACAATAGATAGTACCTATGGAATATGGAGGGAAGGATCATGGATAGAGGTATGGGTGCGATGCCAGGCGCGATTCGATCAATCACAAATTCACATCCAATCCAATCCAATTGCGTGCACAACTTTCCCAAAATGCAACTTCGGGGAATCCCATATGTCACATCTAACAAATCCCATTCATGGTTCATCATTCTGGCTGTCTGGCTCCTGTCCCCCGCCTTTGGATGGGATAGTGGGCAGTTAATGATTCGAATAGTAACACCGAGGACGGACGATTAATTCCAATCGTTGCTGAAACTAGAAGAATATAGAACCATACTCGATCCCGAACCTTAACCAGGTTTTTACAAGTTTGTTGTTCTATGGATTTCTGTTATTAATAAAAGGGACAAGCCATCATCATCTTGAGCCTTGCCTTGGAAGTCAAGTCAAGCCGCTGCATTGATCATCGGTATCGGCATCGGTAACAGCATCAGCATTGGTGTCGCCCCCTACTTAATTACAATTACACACTCAAGACATATACACGTACTTGTTTTCAGAACCTTACCAGCTTACCTGCCTTTCTCATTCCAGTGTAATTGGATATACACCCAGAAAATCAAAACCCTTTAATATATATACGCACACAGACACACACCTTGGGTTATCTCCGCGTGTTTACTTGATACACAGAATAACAGAGGTTGATCGACATCCGCAGCCCGGTTTCCCTACTTACGCCGCCATTGGACAATCGCTTCTCTAAACGTCAACAACGTATCGAGATCACGTCAACAGCTGCGAAGTGATTAGCGACTAGCGAGGCCGCCTGCCGCCAAACATAAATTTGATTGGACGAAGCTGGCGAACAACCTGCTCGGTGCCACACCGAACCAAGCGCTTTCAGCTGGGATTGCCCCGTCCTTCACCATTCTGACACCACTCTGACTGCTGTCATTTTTATCACCTCTGTCTGCTCTGTTTATTGTCCTCGGGCGTCAATTCCGGAACCAAAGATCGGACCAACCCGCACTAGGAACGAGTACGACGGGCAACTAGACACTGAAGAAGAAACAAGAGAAGCCGACTCGGAGCAATATCGACGTCAACTCTTTTTTTTTTTTCTTACTTTGTGCCTGAGAATTTCTTATTAGTCGTTCCGAGGTAACGAAAAAAAAATTACTTCAGAACAAAAAAGTATATGGACCTCCTTAGCGCCTCGGATACGTAACGCATCATAGACGATAACGCTGTTACGCCGTACGGGTTTAAACAAAAGATCAGAAGATCTTCAACATCCCGGACAACCTTGCTGAGCATATTCGAATTGTTCAACATTAGACTTTTTGTTGAAGGGTGCGAATTTCGTCATTCTCCAACAACAATTCGCCGAGGCTTTTATTTTTATCTCTTTGACTGGGAAAACATACTGTTAAATTCCTTGTCCATCGTACTCGTCTTATTATCTCGTCTTTGCGGCTACTACCTAACCAACATACCCGCTAGTGCTAGTCTTGAGGAAGCATTTAGGTATTAAGGTACCGTAACAGTAGCGCTAAAAGATACGACCAGCAACGACTCAACCCCCATTCCACTCGATCCACCCATTCCCAGGCCCTCCCCCCACCAGAAAAGGCGAAGCCCAGCCCACTTGGAAAACGCTAGGCTACGGATTGCGCGAGAAAGGCGAAAAGGATTCCCACATTCCTCACGCGTGTCAACCAGTCAGAGCCCTGTTTAAGAACGAGTTAGAACCAGTTAGAGCCCGTCAGCACACGCCGAGCTCCCAACCAAGAAAAGGAACCAAGAGAAGAAACACAGCTCTCGGCGACTGGAGATCATCCACATCAGCACCGACACCTGCACAACAAGTGACAAGGAAAAGAATAACACAGCCTATGCAACGTTGACTTGCCCAGGTACCTGACTAAACCTGGCTACCGCCTACCAAATCTTCTAATACTTTGTTCTCGATTTCCCATCCACTTCAGCCTCCACCATCGCACGATATTTCTTTGTAAAAGAAATTCATACAACAATACAATAACAATTGTGAGCCGGTCGATCCAGCACCCTAGCATTTTTAGGATTCTAGGAGTCACAAACATCCCGGCATAGAGCAGTTGAAAAGTACCAACTGTCAGTTTCGGTTATCTCTCTACCCACTCGTCCCGAACAGTACCATTGCATTTGCATGCATGTCTTATTAGAAACGGATCCTATCTTCTCCAAACGCCTATCTCTCTCCCTTTGCCAACCCAACGCCGATCCGGCCTAACGAAGCCACCGACCAGAGAAATAAGCAATTAGCATCATCAGTGCTTTACCCACTGAATTGCTAAAAAGGGGGGCAACCAAGAAAAAAAAAACTCATCTACCATGTTAGGGCAAGACCATAATATGAGGATGAGATCTCTCGATCCCTCTCCTCAAGTTTATGCCCACTCAAGATCAAGAACATCCTCCTCCAACGTATTCCCGCAAGCATTCACGCCAATGCAACACCTTCAACAACCGCAGCCCTCGATGGGCCACACCCGACGATCGCCCTCCGTCAACACCTTCAGCACCACATCTAGCAATCCCCCGCCCGCCGCATACCGAAATTCCCCTACTGCCGAGGTTCGGCGTAGTACCTCGTCTAGGTCGGGAGGTGGCGCTCCTACAAGCTACGTTGCCTTACTCCGAAAACAGAAGGCTACCGTATGGTGCGATCGATCGCAATCCGAAGACCCGCGAATCCAAGCCCAGCAGCGTGCAGCGAAGCAAAGAGCTAATCAAGAAGTCAGCGGCGGCACGATACAAGGCCGCACCTCAACAGGCCTAGGCAGCACCGGCGGGAAGGTAGCCGCCAAGATTCGCCATCATGGAAAGCCAGGCGTTGTGGGGTATGCGCCCGATAGCAATTATATGGGTGTGACCGGAGTGCCGATGCGTCTGAGCGCCACTGAAGTTGAAGGCGAAGATGACGACGAAGATGACCTGTCGATGCGGCGCCTGAATCACCGTAGAACGGGCAGCAGCGGGCGCAGTAGTACCGCCAGCAGCAGAAGAGGCCTCGCGTATCGCACCTCTGGTGCTTCCCAAGGAGGCAAGAGGTGGAGCCCTGGCGACACTCCAGAGCGGGCGGGGAGCATGGTTATCGAGGATGCGGAATATACGCCAGGGGACGACAAGCTCGAGCTGGAGCGTACTCAGAGCACGCGCAGCGGTAGCAGTGCCGAAAAGGCTGACGCTCTCCCTGAGTTAAACAGCACTAGCGCCGCTAAACTTGCGAGCAACAGTTTGCTGAACGCCGCACTCACTAGGGAAAAGAGTGTCAAGAATCCCGAGGACCTCCGAAGACGTGGCAGCGTAGATGAGCGCACCATGACTCTCACGACTGGGCGGTTATACATCGCCAACCCCGATTAACGGGCTTGCATATCCGGGGATTGCGTTCTTGCGTATTCCATATTACTATTTCATTTTCTAGGCTTGAGGTCGAAAAATACGCAGCGGGTGTTTTTTCGATGGGATATTATTTGCATTGCAACGGCGTCTTATTGGTCCTTTTGTCGGGGAGTAGGACAGGACATCGTGAGGGCATATCGAAAGATTTAAGGGGTAATGGACCAGTCCATCATACAGGCTCCATGGTTTTAATCGGCTGTGCTTTTTCCTGGTCGTTTATTGTGTCTTCAAAGCATATACCCTCGCTACCGCTTTGAATTTTGCGTTGTTCGTTTGCGTGTTCGACCGGCCGGGCTCGTTGAGCGAGACGGCAGGGGTTTCAACAAAAGTTGGTGGAAGCGTTGTTTGCCCCTCTTCGTGGCCCCTGAGCCAAAGAGTTAATATGGATGCTATCAAGCAGCAGGAGAGGTTAGGAGAGAATGACGTTGATCTTGTATTAGTGTCATCGTCAAAGGACTTATTATTTGCCCTACCGCCATGAGCAAAGAGGGGATTAGAAGGAGGAGAGGAGAGTAAACGTTGGAGACATCAAATATGAATACCAAAGTCCGCTTGCGGCACTAAATGTTCGAATCACATCTGTCTTGAACGCTTCCTGTGAAGTAAGCACGTGCGATATCCATCGTATTTTCTCTGTAAGGTACTATGAGAAAGATGATTGGTGGCGGATTGGTGGTGCTTATTAGATTCGTAAATAGGTAGGTAGTCATAACTCAAAAGGAGACCATCGTTTCCTGCTTGTACCAAATTTTGATATATCGTCTGAGTGAAACCTAAGAATACCTAATGATATACGTGAACTGCCAGCGCTGATTATTCTAATATTCTAAATCGATTATGGCACTCTGATATGTATCTAGGCATGAGTAAAAGAGGTGAGGCCATCCCGGCGCATATTTATGTAATAGGCGGGAAAAGTTCGGACGGAGCTTCGGACCTCTCACTTCACCTCAGTAAATTCAACTGCAACACACTCATCTACTACAACTACGGCGCAAGCATATGTTACGATTCACAAGCTTAACCTCCTAGGTATATAAGCGAAACCGGATTCGAGATGGCGGAACATCCTTCGTTCACTCTCGCGGGCTTGCGTAAGTCTCCATGAGCTGCTATATGAGGGAGAATCGCGAGTTAACTGAAGCACCACAGTTGCCGTCGGCGGAACGGCCGGATATATCCGCACACGCTCGCTGCCGTCTATTATCGCGGGACTGGGGCTGGGTGCTTCTTATGCTTACTCCGGTATGTTGTTTTATGCCTACTATATTTATACCATATCTCCCCTAACCCTTTCTCACCTAAACTCTTACTTATCTCATGCCCATTTTTCCATAACCCAAAACCTGGGCGTTCATAAAAATTACCCGGGTTTCCTAATGGAAATACCTAAGAGCCTAGGCAGGTAGGTAACGATTCTTAACTTACGGGGAATGACGAATAGGCTACCTCCTGAAGAACAACAAGGACTACGGCGCCGAGCTCGCCCTCGGCAACAGCGTCCTCCTGCTGGGCTCTGCGGTGCCCCGTGTCGTCAAGACTAAGGCCCGGGCCCCCGTGCCGTTGGGGCTTCTGGTCGCTGGCGCGCTTGCCACGTTTTACTACCAGAAGAAGTTCCGGGAGTTCCGGTTCGGCGTGTGAGCTGTCGCTGTGATGATTACATGTCCGAGCTCACGCTTTTTGCTGGGATTTGCTGGGAAGGCGGTGGCTCGACGTATGGTTCGGCAAGTGGGCGAGATCTCGAATGATCGATCATGGGTGTCTGTGAACAGAAAAAAAGGTGATTGGATTTTTGAACGGGAACTGGAGCTGGAATTGAGATGGTGATGTGTATGATAGGTTATTGATATCCCTTCTCACTCCAACAAGACATACCTGAAGCTCTCGCTTTTCGGTTTCATTGGCTCTTTTCTCACATCTGAACATGCCATCTCATTTCTACGGAGCGAACACCAAGCCTTAAGCCTCCATTCCATCAGGGCTAGAATCCCGATCGCGATCGAGCTACAGCCACTACACACCACATTGCCCAACCGCCTCAGAGAGTCTAGACCGTCGCTCCCCCACAGACAGACTCCATACGTAGAACCCATTCCAGGCACCAAAAACCCCAGCGGCTAATCCCAAAAGCTTCACCACGTATATTGGGATGTTCGTCCCCAACGATCGGTCCATTTGCTGTTCGTCCGGCCCACGGGAGAGTTTTTTTCTTTTCCTTTCTTTCGCTTTGCCCGCATAGCCTATCTTAGTCAGGGACGCGCGGCCGGACTAATGTATGTCGGAATTGGGCGGATAACCCCGTCGAAAGTTAACTCACCGCATTTCTGGTTTACATACATAGGTCCCTAGGTTGGTAGTAAGTAAAATTGTACATATGTAGAGGTAGGTTTTGTAGCCGAGTCCGAAGACCGGGGCTGGACGACGTTAGGGAGTTAATATGTTGCCGGTGAGCCGGCGATTGAACTTCGCAGTCCGAATGGCTTAACACGTAGCCGTCATATCAACGAAGTAGATGAATCCAGCCAACTTGAGTATTGCCATAGCAACAGCTTCACCGATTTACAGAATACACCATGGAGACGAATTAATATTGATGTATATACTACGCAGACCCTAGCCCACCCGCCTAGTCCCATCACCGGCCGTCATTACCTCGGCCGGGGATTCGCCTCGATCTCTCTTACGACCTCCCTCGTCCTCGCGTTATCCACGAAGCTCAAGCCGATCAGCTCGACGACCTCCGCCACCGTGAAATACAAGCTAAGCTCGCTCTCCATCCACAGGAACCTGACGTCCTGAAGGTTGCTCTGCAGCACCTCGCTGAGGTACTTGAGCCTGAGCCAGCTGGCGGCGTACTCGGCCGTCGTGGGGACCGCGTTTTCTCTCTCCGCCGTAGTAGGTGGCAGGAACAAGTCGTCGAGCTCGGTGATGCGGGCGATCAGGCTGGCGATGTTGTAGGCCTCGTCCTGGCCGATGCCCGCGAGGTCCATGACGTCGGCTACGAGTTTGGCGGCTAGCGTGTCCACCAGTGAGCCCACGGCCTGGCTCCAGACCGACTTGGACAGGATGGTCGACCATGTCGCAGCGAGGGCGCGCACGTGGCCCGTCGCGCTGTCGACCTGGGCTTCGAGGTCCGAGGTGCCGAGCCCATCTTGCTGAAGCAGGTTTTGCGAGCCGCCGAGCAGGTCCCGGAGCACGGTCTTCTGCGTGCTGATTTCGGACGTGTAGGCCCGGTTTGCGAAGGACTGGAGCGCTTTGATGTCGTTGTCGAGTCGGAGCATGGTGATTGCCCGGGGAGCTAGGTCCGAGCGGACTTTCCAGGCTTTGGAAAGGTCGGAGAGTCGCTCTGAGAGGTAGGTGGCGTCGTTGTAGAGAAACCTATAGAAATAAATATGTGATCCGGCGAAAAAGTGGCGAGGAAAACTTACATGTTGCCGCCTGTGTTTAGAGTGTAGTAGTATGGTGAAACGGCACGAAACATCGCGAGGATAAGTGTTGGAAGCGAGAAGAGGCCTGCGGCGGTTTTCGCCATCGGATTGGCTTCGTCCCTATTTTTTTGTCGTTAGGCGGTTGATATCTTGTATAAAGGAGTCAGAATGCTTACCCAAGAAGCAAGGCTGCATCCTCTAGCACGGCCGAAACAAGCGCTAGGACAGGTTCTGGCATGGAAGAGATATTATAGGTCTCTTTCAGTGTCAACTCGCGAGTCTGTGAATCTTTTGATGGGACTGCTGCCGCCGCCGCCGGATCTTCAGGAGCTGCATTTGCAGCATCCTCTTCACCCCATCCCCAGGCTTCCGTAGGGTCTTCTTCAGCTGGCGGCTCTGCCTGAGGTTGTTCAGCGGGCGCTTCGGGCTCTTCAGCACCATTATCGTCTTCTCCCCAACCCCACGCATCGGTTCCATCGTCTTCATTTGTATCTGGCTTCGCACTAACGTCTTGCTTGGCATCTGCCTCCCCATCGTCCCAAGCTGCGCCCCAATCGTCATCATTGGCCCGAGGGGTAACACCATTAGCGGCCAACTCCTTGCCTTCAGATCTCAAGACAGTCTGAGTCTCTACACGCTCTACCTCCTTAGGCTGGCCGAGTCCCTGAGCTAGTTTTGTGCGCACAGAATCTAATGCCGTTCCGCGGCATTTGGATAACCACACTTTAGGTGCGTCGTCGACCCATTCCTGGAGTTCCTGGAATCCGTTGAATTTGAGATTTTGTAGGCGGTTGCAAAATGTTCTGACGATTTCAGTAACTTGCTGAAACCCATCCATTTCGGCTAGAGATGCTGGAACAACTATATCTAACCACGTGCCAATAATTCGTGGGATCAAGTCGGGCATCATGACGTTAGAGAGCGAGTACACAAGCTCCTCTGGTAAGCGCTCTGAGAGATAAGTCATTACTTGGTCCAGATCGGAAAATAGAGAAGTGATGGTTTTATCTGCGCTCCCACTCAGAGTTAAATGCGACTAGTACTTTGTTAGTGCTTCAATCAATGAAAGTTGAAGGGGTTCTTATGGGTTCTTACATCTGTTCTTTGAATCTTGGGTAACTCATGAGCCTCGATATTAGTTCGCGGTCCGACGATGGCCTCATCGAGGTGATGCCAAAACGAGGCCATCCTCTGGTCAAGCTCTTTATACGCTTTTAAACCTACGACAGCGTCGTCTAATCGCATTTGCTCATCTATGCGATGTTAGAGTCTTCGAGATTTCAGTTGGAACGAATACTCAATACCTTCACGGCTCCCGTACACAGTAACTAGTCTGTTTTCCGTATCAATATGTACCAAGGAATTCCAGACGCGATCAAACACATCATGGACTGCAGACTTCAACTCAAAAGCCCTCATGTCCAACAATTTCATAACGCGGCAAGACTTGCTAACTGGGATTGCGTCCAATGCCGTCCAAGATTCTAGAAGCAGTCAGTGATGACCAACACTAGACGACTGAATAGAGCTCTTACTCTCTAGTAAATGAAGGGAATCCAATATCCTACGCTCATCTCGTGCCTGTTCAACTTGATCTAAAAGCTCGTTCACATGTTTGATGCTCTTTAACGCATGATGAACCTGCTGATTGTATTCGGCTTCCCGTCGCAGAAATTCTACCTTCTCTTCGGCCTCTTGTATTGTTTTGCCTGATACATCTGGGGCTTGTGATCGTCGTACAATATCGTTCGCCCAACTTCTCGATCGGTTAACATCGTCCTCGAGGGATTTCGCATTAGTGATCCATTGGTTTACGTCTGGGGCGGTCTCTTCGTTGATCTGTTGTATGTTGGACTGCGGCATATTAACCAATGGTTCAATTATATATAGCTAGTTTCATGGGTATTGTATACCTCTAATCTAGTCTTCGCCGCGGCCAGGGATTGTAGAGCTGACGCGAGATCCTGCACTGCAACTCGGCAAGATGATAATTCCTCCTCAGGGAAGATCCCTTGCAGCGAAAATTCGACCAGTGCATGGCCGATCTGGGCATTTTCGCTGCTAGACATGATGCTGTTTCTAGAGCATGTAATAGCCACACTGTATCTCTTTTTGTGGGTGGAGCTTTTCAGCTAGAAGCTTCAGTTATAAGCTTCAGCAGGAGGCATAGAAGATGACAGTAGTCGAGGCGCTAACAAAGATATCGGTATTGGTTGAGGTTTGGAAAGACACAAGTTTTATATGGCTATATTGGACCAGTTTCCATGAGACATCGTACCAAAGAAGTAGCTTAGAACTATGGCCGTACAAGTTGGCATGAAGCTCACAAAGAAGTGGTTTCGCGATAGCTTCAATAAAAGTTGGGTTAGGTAATCGAAAGAACAGGTCATTAAAGCTCCAACTGGTCGCAAAGCTCAGACCACTTTATACCGTCATTCTTAGTTTATGATAGGTCATTTCCATGGATACATGATGACAAGGTCATGGCCCACTATACCGGTAATCGCTTAATTTTAGCGCTTAGCGCTCGCCTTAAGCGCGTCAACCTGCATACCAGGTACATCTTTATACCCCGCCGCGGGGTCTTTTTGCAGCAAAGGGATTTGAATGTGAATTTCATTAGGAGAAATATCGGGGAACCCAAGTATTTGCAATAATTGCAGCTGTCATTGATCATTGACGCCTCTTAATTTTACTTTTCACTTTCACAACTCACTTTATTCAACTTTTTTGACGGCTAATAATAAAGTCAACTTTCCATACCGCGCTCTTTGCGTTAGATTTCTACCGTCTTTGTTCAAAACGTCTCCTCAATCTTCCCCTCTTCCTTGTATTACCCTCATACCCATGCCCATTATCAAATAATTTGCACAGCATTGGCGAAGCTACTGCGTGCCTAACGCATCTATCATCTGTCAAGCTGCCTCCTGTCCTTGGTACCCGAACGTTGGCTGCCTCAACCTGGATCAGATTTAACCTGGTTCGATTCTCACCGGGGTTCTATTGGTCTGCTGTTGTACCACCACACACACCTTTCTATCAACATAAGCAGTGGTATGTAAGAAGACTCCTTGTCACGTCCTTGTCAGACTTCATCATCCGAGACTTGCATTCCCCGGATCGAGCACAATACATTCTCTCTCACACCATACACCATGATACCTTACGGATAATACCCGTTGTCCGGTACCCCTCGATCACCAATGGTCTCGTGCCTCTTAGCAGCCTTGCCAATACGAGCACCGCGATATACGAGTCTTTCATGACACTATGATCGGTCAGGCTTCAGCTCAGGCATCTATCTTTGCCATCATTGCGGCCATTGTCACCATACTCGTCACGGTTTATCAAGATAAAGTCAGAGATATCGGGTATGAAAATTTACCTCATGTTGCTATCATGTTGGAGAGTCTGCATGGCCGACGAATGGTGTGTAACAGCGGGAAGGATCTGATGCAGAAGCGGAAATTTCATCTACTTCTTACATCTCACTTCTGATGAGCGGCGTCTGACTGGACAAAAAAGCCCGTGACGACGTACCCTGACCGCACATTGAGTCCTCCGCCGTCTTCGTCGACATGGATTTGTCTATATTTTCCCACTTATAATGCCATCAACTAGCATTTAACTCACTAAATAATGTTTTATATTCGCTCATTTACAAAGTCATAACGACCTGATTTATTTCTTCTATTATCCTGACTAAATTGATACTAGGCTGACGAGTAAAATAGCTACTTTCAAGCCGTCTTATCTAAGCCGTTCTCGGTCAAGATGGGCTCACAAGGCCCGAATGTGCGGTTTCGTAGGGTTCAACAATTCAACACAGATTATGCCCACGCAACAATTACCCAATATGAATCCGAAAGGAGCGGAATGCAGGTCATTGTAGCCGACCGAGAAGGCCCAAAGGTCAATGGTTACTTCACCTTGGCTACTGAAATCTTTGACGACTCAGGGGCACCCCATACCCTCGAACATTTGGTCTTCATGGGTTCGAAGAGCTACCAATACAAAGGCTTATTAGATAAGCTAGCCTCTAGGGCTTATGGAACCACCAATGCCTGGACGGCTACTGATCAGACGGCGTATACTCTTGAAACTGCTGGATGGGAAGGCTTTGCCCAGATTCTGCCTGTCTATCTTGAACACCTGATTTTACCCACTTTAACAGATGCGGCGTGTCTGACCGAAGTTCATCACATCAATGGTGAAGGTAACGACGCCGGCGTTGTCTACTCAGAAATGCAGGGAGTACAGTATACGAGTGGGGAGCTCATGGACCTTCAAGCTCGACGCCTTCTCTACCCAGAGAATGTCGGGTTCCGATACGAAACAGGCGGTATGATGGAAGCTCTGCGAGTTTTAACCCCGGAGAGAATACGTAGTTTCCACAGGGCTATGTATCAACCGCGGAATATGTGTGTTATTATCATTGGCGAAGTCAACCATGACCACCTTCTCAATATAATGGACCAATTCGAGGAAAGCGTCAAGAATGATATTCCCCCTCTTAACGCCCCATTCAAACGACCTTGGATAGAATCTGCACAGCCACCTCCACTCAAGAAAACGGTTGTCGAGACAGTCGAGTTTCCGGAGGAAGACGAGTCTACTGGCGATATGGTTGTTGGATTCTTCGGACCCAACTGCACCAACGTTATTGAATCGACTGCTTTGAATATCCTCTTAACTTACCTAAGCGGATCTTCCGTCGCAGTGTTAGAGAATGTCATGGTTGAAAAAGAAGAGCTTGCTAGCTCCATCTCGTACTTGGTGGATACCCGGCCAAATAGCGTGATATGGCTTCAGCCGACCGGCGTTGCCACGGAAAAGCTAGAATTTGTCGAGCAGCGCCTTATCTCTTTGCTGAAGGAAGTTGCCTCTAAGCCATTAGACATGGCCTATATGAACGAATGTATCCAGAGGGAACGACGTCAGGTGAAGGCTCAAGCAGAAGAGTCCGAGCAATACTACGCATTAAATATTGTGACGGATTACCTCTTTGGCAACCGAGACGGCTCGACCCTCAAGGAACTCGCGAGCCTTAGCGAATATGACCACTTGGAAAAGTGGACCGATGAGCAGTGGCGGTCCTTTCTCAAGACATGGATCTCCGACGCCCATCACGTATCGATTCTCGGAAAACCGTCTCTCAAATTGGCTACAAAGCTAAAAGAAGATGAAGTGGCAAGGATTGAGAAGAGGAAACAAGAATTGGGCGCCGAAGGTCTAGAAAAACTGGCCAAGAAACTTGAAGATGCCAAAAAGCAGAACGAGGTTGAGATTCCGGCTTCATTACTTGAGAAGTGGCAAGTGCCCCCTGTTGAATCAATTCACTTCATCGAGTCCCAGACCGCCCGGTCCGGTTTGGTTCGGAAACTTGGAGTCCATGAAAACTCGGCGCAAAAGATCATCGACAAGACCTCGTCTCCTCGCTCGCCCATTTTTATGCAATTTGAAGACGTTAGGACCAACTTCGCGCATATCACAGTCCATATCGGCACCTCCAAAATCCCTGTCGAGCTCAAACCCCTGTTGTCGATATTTAGCGACAATTTCTTCAATACGCCTATCAAATGCGGAAATGAAACTCTATCGTTCGAGCAGGTGGTTATGGAGCTGGAAAAGGACACGGTGAGTTATAGCCTAGATTCGGGAAACAAGTTCGGCGATTCAGAAAGCATCCTCATCCGATTCCAAGTCGAACCAGAGAAGTATGCTACCACCGTCGAATGGATCCGTAGGATGATGTTCGACAGCATTTTTGACGTTACTCGCCTAAGGGCTGGTATTGCCAAGCAATTAGCGGATGTACCAGAAGCGAAGCGCGACGGCAGAGTCATGACTAGTGAGGTGGAAATTGCTATTCATAATGACCCTTCCTCCCTTATGGTAGCAAAGCGTACTCTTGTCAAGGCGGTTTACCTCAAACGGCTCAAGAAGCTTCTCGAGAAGGATCCTGGAGCCGTATTGTCACGCTTTGAGGAACTTCGGAAGTCCCTCTTTACCCCCGATAACCTCCGTATCCTGGTTACAGCTGATATCTCGAACTCGAAACTACCCGACCCTGTTAAAACTTGGGACATACTCTCTAAATCACTCAACAAGAACGCCGAGGATATTGTTCCTATCGTTAAGCCTTACACTCTTCTAAATGACGAAGGCCGCAATCCTGGCTCTGTAGGCGCGACGATTGTGCCTATGAGGGCAATTGATAGCTCTTACGCTATCAATTCAGGCAAGGGTTTGACTTCATTCTCCGATCCAGCGGTGCCTGCTCTCCTAGTTGCTATGCAATACCTAGAGACTGTGGAGGGGACATTATGGAACGCCGTTCGTGGAAATGGCTTAGCATACGGTGCCTACTTCGCAAAGGAGTTAGATGGAGGATACTTGCATTTCAAAGTGTACAGATCTCCCCTGGCGTCAAGGGCGATAACAGCAGCACGCGATGCTATCACGGCGCTAGTCAACGGCAGCGTAGCCTTTGAAAAGCCTATGATCGAGGGCGCGATTAGCCAACTAGTGATGGGCCTAGCAGATGAACAGGCTACCATGGCCACTGCAGCTGTGCAGAACTATATAAATGGTGTTGTAAGAGGGCTTGAACCTGATTATAACACCAAAATGCTTGCGAAGGTCAGAACGGTGACTGTTGAAGACATCAAGCATGCCATGAAGACGTTCCTCCTACCCTTGTTTGAGCCTGGAAAGAGCAATGTCGTTGTTTGTTGCGCACACGCAATGACAGAGGTAAGTTAGGTCCTTATTATAAAATCTAGTCGTACCGTACTGATCAAAATATGCAGAAAATGGAAAAAGATTTCCAGGCTATGGGGTATAAAACAGAAATTAAGCAACTATCCGACTTCTCTGGCGACTACGGTCTAGAGGCTCCAGAAGGTGAGGAAAATGGCGAGGATGACGAGGAAGATGCTGAGGATGAGGGCTCAGAAGGTTCCGAGGGCTCCTATGATTCGAAGGAAGAGGATGAATAGACCTTTTCTGTCATGGAATGATGCGACTGGAGGCTCAGTGGGCCCGCATTGCTCGGGTTCGGCTCGCCTCTATACGACGTGAGTTTAGAATATGAGACACGAACTTTTCAATTTACTAAAAGACATTAGACCTTAGAACTAAATTCTCGATGCGACATGTTTTCATCTTATTAATATGCGTAAGATTTCCTCGTAGATATAGCATACCCGAGCGCTAAGGGATAGCTCTCCATAAGCACCTCCTTGCAACAATCCTCGTGACAACTAAGCTCACGTCATCAAGTGCAGTTAGATGGTTGACCACTCACCCGCTGATTTCATCAGAGCCCTTAGGAAATGATCTGCTCGTCGATATTAACGAACCTATAGGAGATGAAGATGGCAGTCATGCTGGCACCAGTAATGCATATGTTCATATCAATATCTGCAGGAGATGAGAGCCTAGGCCCTAGGTACGTATCTAAACGAAACTACACGGAAGACAGGTTCACGATAGTTGTAAACAAAACTGCTTCCAATGCTCCTGAAATATAAAGAAACAGTACGGGAACTGAATGACCCGGCTCTCACCAAAACAGGCCGGTTGCAAATGCAGTTAATTCGATTCATGTCACCATACCCTAGAAATATCAACCATGGCTATAGATTACCACCTTAAACACCTAGACCCTACGTGGCTAAATTCACTCAGCAATATCGACGAACCCCATCCAGTCGCGTTCAAACTCGCCTTGAACCTGAGTAAAGGACTCAAGTGCGGCGGCATCAAGCTTGCGTCCATCGAATGCCGCCAAGCTCTCGGCAGCTTTGACGATGTTCTTGATCTGGCGGCCGTTAAGTTCGGGCTTGGCTAGGCGATCCAGATCCTTCTCGGTAATGTTCACGCCGCCAGGAACGCGGTTGCAGAAGTTGCGCCAAATCTGTCGGCGCGAGGGTTCACTTAGGTTTGTGTATCTGAGGGGAACGTGAATACGGCTTGTGAAAGCATCGTCGAAGGTTGCCACGCGGTTCGTGGTAAGGAAAAGAATACCACGGTAGTCTGCATAATCAAGTCAGTGCCCAAACTAAAAAAAAGAGAGGCGTTTTTTCCAGTTTCAGGGGATACATACACTCGAGAACTCTCAGGAAAACGGTCACCATTGCATTCCGGTGCAAGTCGCGCAAGCTTCGACGCTCAAGGAAAACATCGGCTTCGTCGATCAACAAAATGGCACCCCAGGTCGTGGCAATATCCATAATACGACCTAGCTTGTGCTCGAGATAGTAGCTGTCGGTTCCTAGATCACCCGCAGATACCATGTAGAGAGGCCGATTCACACTCTCTGCCACACACTCGGCCGTCAAAGTCTTTCCGACTCCGGGCGGACCGTGAAGCACCATCACGAGGCCTTTTCCCTTACCCTCGACGATGTCGTCAATTCCGGGCCCATCTTGGCCGCGGCGCGAGTGCGTCGTCACCATCGCTTGAACAGTCTTCTTCGTTGTTGGGTTTAGCACCAGCTGATCGAAGCAGGTCTCATCCCACTTAATCGAGGACAAATTCTCGATGAAGAACTCGACGAAAGTCTTAGACGACCACGCGAATCCGCGCACCCTCGCGTTTGTGATCAGAAGATCTTCCTCCGTCAGCTCGTCGAGGATTTCCGGGTCGCTGGTATCGATGCCCTCGTTGTACTGGCGCAGAGTGCGCTGCCTCTTCGCGGCCTCGGTGCGCGGCAGGTCCTCGAGCTCGAAGTCGTCCTCGGGCTCGAACCGCTGGTAGTTCTTGCAGTCGACGACGACGCGCCCGGAGATGTTGTGGCGGTCGTACTTTGCGCCGTTCTTCTTAAGCGCGACGCCCTTGTACTGCCTGAAGTTGGTGCCGGTCAGGCTCTGGAACTTGCGGCCGCGCTCCAGCAGCCGCGCGCGCAGGGCCGCGCCGTCGGAGTGGTAGTCGAGGGGTATGATGTTCAGGTCCTCGCAGCGCATGACGCCGGAGTACTTGGGGATGCGGAAGAGGTCCTTGCGGGTGCCGAACTTCTCGCCGTCGTAGTCGACGTACTGCACGCGTATGGCCAGGCACGGGTCCTGGTCGGTCTCGTACCAGAAGCCGCGCAGCTTGAAGGCGCGCGGCTGGCCCTGCACCTTGGCGTACACGAGGCTGCCCGGCCGGAAGGCCGTCCACAGGTACTCGTAGGCGACGGGCCGCTGGTCGCTGCTGTGGAAGCGGCGCGACGCCTTGAAGGACTCCTCGTGCACGCGGTCGATCCAGCCGAGCAGCAGGCCGAGGTGGGCGCGCGAGGTCTCGTCGTCGGCGAAGCGCGCGCTGCCGACCTCCTCCAGCTTGTCGCGGTAGAAGAACAGGCAGTGCGCGGGCAGGTCGAAGTCGACGTCCTGCTGCGCGTCGACGGGGTCGTAGGGGAAGTCCTTGACGACGTCCTCGAGCAGCTGCTTCAGGGGCTGCGGGTTCACGTGCAGGCGCGTGCACTTGTAGCGCCCGTCCTCGTGATAGTGCCGCGTCTCCGTCAGCGCGTATAGCTTCCACCAGTGCTTCGAGGACGCGTCGCCCCGGTCCTTGCGCTTGCTGTATACCTTGTGCCCGTCCGAGTCGTATTTCTTGTCTAGCAGGGCGAGCTCGCACTTCATCTCCTTGGGCTTCTCTTCTTCTTCTTCTCCGGTGGCGTCCTTGTCCTTAGATTCTGCGGAGTCTTCGGACTCGTTGGATTTCTCTGGTTCCTGTTCTGGTTGGGTTTCCGGAGAGGGCTGGACCTGGGGCTCCTGTGCCTCTTGGGGTTCCTGGGCTGGCGCCTCGGGAGTTGGCTCTGGGTTTTGCTAGAGATGTGTTAACATGGCTTATAAATGTCTATAGTCACTATGATCTAGTGACTATACTTGGCAACGAGTCAAGCTTGTTTGGGGGAATGTCGCACTTACTGCGTCTGAAGACATCGTGAGAAATGGATTTTTGTATAGTTCTTTAGTGATGGACTATATAAAGTGAAGAGATGTTGTATGAATCAGCAGCCACATGTCTGGAGGAAGAGAAGAGACATTTTGGAGTTATATAGCTGTAAAGTCCTAGATTCCCCAAAGCATCTCCCATGCTGGAATATCATGCACTCATACGTGACTGGAACAAGTGTCGACGGGATGATTGGCTGTACCACGGTTTGAAGAGACAGGACGTCTCTTAGCCTACATATCAGGCGGAGTGAGGCATATCGTGATTGGTCGTCTCCGCTAGGCAGCCAATGCGATATCCACCTTCTGCTGTAGGCTGCGCTCTGAATACATGGGTAATGGTTTGTGGATGCGAAATGTTGAGGGCTGAGATTAGGTTCCAATTCGTATCTGGATGGCTTCTGGTCACATGCGAGGCGGCATTGAAACTGTATTGTCCCTATGGAGGATCCACTGCGTTTTGACGAGGTGATATAGCTACCTGGGGAGCATGGGAACAATAGTTGAGGGGGTCCGAGATTCCCCCCGTGGAATAAGCTGATAAGGCATCTATCAGCCTCCATTCAATAGAATGCTTACATACGAGATCTACATATCTGGAGTAAGTGGTCTAGACATATGATCGTGCATAAAGTGCCCACATAGGGACCTGATGTGGATGCGGTTCCAGGTTCTTGGCGAAGGATTGGAAATGCCTCCGCAAGGGTCACTAGGCTACATAGACGGGAGTTTCCGCTACTCAACCTCGCTATGACTACATGTACTTCAGCCTGGAGTCGTTATGGCATTTCGATATTTGCTAAGACGAATCAATGAGTTCGGCTAACCCACGACAGTGCAAATTCTTACATTTGGTGCTGCTCTCATTGCATGCGGAAGATATCATTGATAATTGACTACTTGTTAGCAACGAATAATTATAATACTACTTTAAATTCATTCATAGGAAGTAACTAGATTAATGTCGTTACACTACCCAAGAGTTGGGAGAGTAACTGCATGAAATATCATCATGCCTACAATGTGAATCAAAAATTCATGGATATCTTCCGTCAGCACGAATGTTTGAAGAACTCATTCTTTCCCCCTAATGAACAACTAATCGTCTCATGCAGCAGTAGTGGTCACAGGAGGTAGCAAATGAGATAGTTGATTAGCAGGGAGTGTATGCCTACCGCCAACATGTCTTTGTACAGTCTCTTGGTAAGTATATTAACTTCTCCTAAGTGAGACATCAGATCCATAGAGTAAAAGAATACTACGATAACGTGAGTAAAATTCTGGCGCTCAGAATATTTACTCAGGGTGACGTTCTGGGTGATACATTGTCCTTTCATCCTATTGCCAAGACGCTACCTGCTATCCTACGTAGTCAGAGCCTTCTGGTATGAAGGGAGTAGAACAACCGGAATACCGTACTCGTATGGAAGATTAACATGTCATTCAGCTCTTGATATCGGCAATAGTTGGTAGGAAGGAAGTTATGAGTAGAAATTGTACCTAGATTGATGTCATGACTTCACCGTCTTGTTCAGGGGTTGGTCAAAGTCAAAAGGATATTAATAACAAATTCGATCTAATCACTAATGACTAAAGTTTAACAATTGGAAACTTCGGACGATATTATAAACAATGTTACCACATGATAAAAGTCACATAACCTTTTCGAGCGAGTTATTTGTCATTAGTATTTAACTTCGTCCCAAAACAGGCCAAACAAGCCAGCTATGACTGGATAAAAGTTTTTGAAAACCCCTCGAAGGGGAATACTTAGTCACTTTGTATGTTCATACATCGGCTTGAGAAGTAACTACACATTGAAGTCAAGATAATAGGCTTAATGTACGTAGTCACTATGGTCATAGTCGACTCTCCCGTGTCACGATCATTACGATCAATAAAAATCTTCTCTTGAGACTCATTACATACATCTAATCTATTGTAGGAGTTCTTTCTATATATACCAACTAATTTCTCCTTCCAAAATTCAAAACATTCTTTTCTACATCATTAACCATACGGTAATTCAGTGGAATCTATTTCAACTCTGGATTATTTCGCCAACTCTTTGCAATAATAACTTCTCGCATCTTCTAGTTGTCGGTATCACTTTCATTTTCACATCAAGCACATTATATCTAGTATCTTACAAGTTTATCGCCTCGGACCTTCATTGAGCATCAGATCATCATCAAATCCAACAGACGAGCTCTCGATTAAACTTCAACCACTGATATTTCAGTACACCTCAACCTTCACAGGTCGCTTTCGAATATTTATATCTCCAGAATAGAATGGAACGCTCAAGCGTCCCTAATCAAACAAGCAGGGACACTTCTGATGAGACGCAAAGTAAGTTGCATATGGTTCCTTTGGCATAACTTATAGGAAGCTAAGCGTCCAAAATCGAATCGTCAGAACTGGCTAACCTTTCCTAATAGATATCATCTATCCCTTTATTAGAGATGGCGCAGCCTCGCTCGTCGCTCTAAATTCACACCGTCGACGACTAGGCCTTGGTTCATCTACGAACCTCATCAGCAGTGGAACTTCTCAGCCAGAAATTCCTATCAGCCATGGTATTGATTTTCATCATACCATGCTGCATCGGCCAGAGGAAGAGTTGTTCCCATTTCTCAATATTATAAATCCAACTCGCCCATACAATGATCTCGACAATTCACATGCTATACCTGAGCCTACGCAGCACGACGTTGCTCAATCCAGCTCAGCAGACACAGAGAATAAGATATCAGAGCTCGACTCCAGCTTTCGCGCCGAAGAGGGAAGAAATTGCCCCTCTTCACGTAGATATCGTGGAAACCGTGCTCTATCTCGTAATAGAAGTGCAGACATTTCTAACGAGATGAACTGTAGACTCTGGATATCAGGACTGCCCCCAGGTTGCACTATCTCAGAACTATTAAAGGAAGTCAGAGGTGTCGGACCTATTTATGCAACACATATCGTTCCGCCCTTAATTCGTGTCTTAGAGACGGAAACGAAAGTAGACATACCTACATCTGCAGCTTCTTTAACCTTCTTTACTGCGTCTGCGGCTCACTTATTTTTAATTCGCCATACTATCCACCCCTTCACAGTCGGCAGCTACACCACCGCCGTTTCTCGGCACCGAATCCGCACGAAACCTGTACCGGTCGACGGCCAGTCTCGGGTCCTAGTAATTACCGGAGACCCGGATATCGTTACTCCAGAGAAGCTCACGTCTCTTTTTACTGAGAAATGGAACATTCGGTACGAAACCGATTTCATGGAGTATACACCAGGCCAGGGGTCAAACGAAATCATTTGGGCGTTTGGAAGTTTCCGAGCCCAGGCGGAAGCGGTATATATCCGCTTAAGTAAATATCCGGCAAAGAATATCACCATCCGGTACGAGTCCGATCCGTGTGCTTAGGGTTATTCTGCCCTCTTTACAGAGATCCGTTTGGGGGGTCTTACTTCTGACTACCCGTACACGAGTCGACAGCATCGAACGCAAAGTACACTTGAATATATTTGCGAGTTGCCAAGTCCGTGGGCATGGATAGCAAAGACATAAGTCCAACAGCCACGGCAAAGTCGCTCAATCTGGAGGATACTGATAATACTTAAAACTGTTGCGCGATATTGAATTATCTATGATTTTTCTTTTGTGATGTTCCTCTCGAATGGGGAACGTCTGAGGATGCCGACGAATCCATTCTCAGAGATAGTACGTTCCTGAATGCTAACTTGCTGATCACCAACGACCTTGTTGCCGGTATTTAGAGAAGGCGGGATAATGCAAAGGTGCGAAAGCACAGAAAGCTTGCCGCTGGAACCCTCAGCCCTCTAAGGAACCAGAGAGATATCTTGCCACAACGGCATGAGGCACGTCGTATGTAGAGGAAGCGAAGATAATTTTATGAAAGCGAGAAGTGGGATTTCCAGCAACGCTCTCGGACGAGATGCTTCGGACACGACTGCGATCTACTATTCCGTTGACCGGATTTTGTTGAAGATCGATCAGTTGATGGAGTTGAGGAGAGACAAACGCAATGTTTGGTATTTGGCGGATTTTATCTATCTCCGATACTTGAGAAGAGGAAAAAGAGCAAGAACTTAGCAGGAGGACGGCATAAAGGTCGGTACCTATGAAGGCTGCGACAAACTTCTCAGCTGGCCTCCCAAGCACTGTTGGTGCATATCGTTCCTTTACACACGTTGGTACACATGCGTCCTTTCTCAACTTATGGGCGTAGAAACATAATTGAAGCATGTTCGTATAAATGAACCCAGGTTATAGGTAGATTACAGAAGCAATTATGGTGACGTCGATGGCACAATGGACAGAAGGACGAGGCCCCACCGAGGTGGCCACTAAGTTGCCGTCCAAAGCCCGTCGTCACGTTGTGGCACGCCGCAAGTACCTATGCAAGGAGTGAAACCGACGAGGAACACGACCAATAGAGGGCGGAAATCATGCGTCGGATTAAGACAGCTATTTCGACTGCGATTGGCCAGTAAACGCGGCGAGGATGAACCGAGCCGTCTGGCCGTGCTTGATGCGGCGCAGCTAGCAATATGTCTCCAGTAAAGGATTGCGGTACCTTATAAAAAGCAAGGGAGATCTCTCCATGCCCTTACGCTTTCGGGCAACTGAGAGCATACGGCTTTACCGGGATGGGTAAATTACTTTTTCCCATTTCGAGAGCAAACAATGGATTTATTAATGGCCTCGGCCGACGAATGGTATAAGAAGGTACGGACAGCCAGCCACGCTTCAATGGCGTGTGCTTTGTCTTTTCTGCCTCAGCACTCTTACTGCAAATCATCATGAGACCTGGAGCATTCATTCTAGCTCAGACCCTCGGGTCCCTGAGCGCTCACGCTCTCCCACAGAGTATTGACGAGCGCGATTTGATCGGCATCAATACTACAATTCCCGACGCCCTTACCCTCAGCGAGCTGTACGGCGCACCAGCGAACAACTTCACCTGTAAGAGCGAGCGCAACCCGGTCGTCATGCTACACGGCCTTTCCGCCAACCGCGAAGTCGACCTGAACATGCTCCAATACGAGCTTAACCGCCGCGGTTACTGCACCTTCTCGCAGACGTACGGCGCTTGGCCACTCGTCCCATGGATTGGCGGGCTGCGAACGATGGCCGATTCGGCGAAGGACATCGCGGATTTCGTCAAAGAGGTCAAGGACAAGACAGGAGCCTCTAAGGTCGACATCGTAGGGCACTCCGAGGGTGGTGTCCAGTCAATTTACGTCCCGATGACGCAGCCCGGCATCTCGAGCATTGTAGAGCACGTCGTGGCATTGGGGCCGGCAATCCATGGCGCGCAATACTACGGCTTCACAGACCTGTGGTATATTGGCGGGAACGTCACCCGCGCTCTCGCCAAAGTTGTTCAGGACGCACTGGGGTGCCCTGCCTGTGACGGTATGATGACGGGCGGCGCGGTGTACAAGGAGTTCCAGACGAACACGGGGCATATCGCACAGCCCGGCAACAAGGTCACGGTCATCATGTCCAAGTCAGACACGCTGGTGTCGCCGGACGTTAGTGAGATTGATGAGACGGGGGTGAATAATGTCTTCGTCCAAGATACTTGCCCTGATGATACTGTCGGACACGCAGGTCTGATGTGGGATAAGAGTGTGTGGCGCTTAATCATAAACGCGCTGGAAGAGAACAATGATGCCGTTTTCGCTTGCGATAAGGGCCTTCCGATTTGATGTATAGTTCATATTTCGGAAGAATCTTAGTGTAGATAATTATCCAATAATGTATGTACAAATACTTGGAAACATATTACGCCCTATGACAGAGTATGAGGTTCTACATTAAAATGCAACTTAACCTATTGAAGTTACAAATTACCCATAAAACTGCAGCACATTTGAAAACCAAGATTCTTAATGTAACCATATTATGTAACTTCAACGGCAAAGCCCGATTACTTGTCATTGTGTAACCCGAAGACCCGCACGGTCGACCGGTTAAGTGGAGAAAAGACCGGCAGGAAAGACCGAAAGTGGAATTTATATAAGTGGAACGTTATCCCCCCTTTCCTCCACATCCTGTGAACAGCTCATACCTTACTAGGTATTGTTAACACTGAATTGATATATTTCATTACTTAGGAAATGATGGGAAAATAGATATTGTAAGATGGAAATTACTTGGTTGAAGGAAGCTGCAAACTCGACTTCCATGTCCCCAGTTCTTTTAGTAGAGAATTCTGATCTACCTGGCATTTGTGGCTTCTTTCTTGTTAAGCAGCTCACGGAATAGTGCTGAAAACTTTTGTCTTTAGCGTACTTAACATCCGAGATATCAACAAGCATATCTCGGTCCATGAAGACAAGGTCCAGACCCCCTTGGCTCCATCCGAAGTCCTGTATGAGCTTACGTACCAGTTCATTATTGGTATCTATATTATTTAAATTGCTACAGATACGGCTGAGAATAAGGGAGTAAAGGTGGATATAACGGGTGCTTCTAAAAATTAAGCGTTGAAAATCAGTAGGTGGGTGACACGAGGCCGAGCCGCTGATCCTCCGACCGTCCGAATCGATGCTCCGGCTCCGACAGGCGGTATCACGATATTAAATAGACGGAGCATCGGGCACCACCCCATTAATATCACTTGAAGTCACGTTATCTGGTTAAATCAATTGTTCCTATGGCTATAACTACTTATATAACAACAATACCGAGACATTCAACTCTCCAGACTTCAGGAAGGATATATGATGTAACCTCACATACATGTCATAAAATACAGCGTATAGTTCATATTCATAATTATCTTCAACTAGATTCCCGTTAATCGTTTGCTTGACCTTAGAAGGCATACATTCTGTTTATTCTCTATTACTTCTATCTTCCCCTCGAGATTCTACGGTAGTTCATCATGGCCAACCAAGGTCTTGACTCAGGGAAGACAGTCGGATCCAATAATCCGGACAAGAGAGAAAACGAGGACATTGAGCAGGGTGAAGTATCATCGGACGAAAAAGGGTACGACTCCAATATCGTTGACTGGGATGGTCCCAATGATCCTGCGAACCCAATGAACTGGTCAGCATTGAAGAAGGGCCTTCATATCGCCTACGTTAGTCTCTTCGTCCTATACGCGTATGTATCCCTTACCGTCTCTGCCTCCTAACTCAACTGACACGCTATCTTCTAGAAACCTAGCCGCGACTATGTTTGCTCCCGGAGCATCAGAGCTAGTCAAAGAATTCCATGTCACCAATTCCACGGTCGCCACATTCACCGTCAGCATCTACGTCCTGGGCTTCATGGTCGGACCCCTATTCCTCGCGCCGCTCTCCGAACTCTACGGCCGACTCGCCATCTACCACATCTGCAACATTTTCTACATCTGTTTTACCCTAGGTTGCGCTCTCAGTAAGAATGTCAGCATGTTTCTTGTCTTTAGAATTCTCGCTGGCTGCTCTTCTGCTGGCCCCTTGACGATAGGAGGTGGTACGATAGCCGACGTGACTCCGCAAGATAAGCGAGGCAAGGCGATGGCCAGTTTCCTCTTAGGACCGCTTCTAGGACCCGTATGTAAACCCGTTGCGTGGACGCTTAAGGCAGCTTCATTAACAGGTGGCTATACAGACAATAGGGCCGATCGTTGGTGGTTTCGTGTCCCAGTACATCGGCTGGCGCTGGACATTTTGGATCATCCTTATTCTGGTCCGTTTAGATCTCCCCCATTGTGTGCGCCGCCATTCCCAGACTAACCTATTCTTCATAGTCCGGCAGTCTCAGTATTGTAGCTCTTCTATTCTTAAGGGAGACAAACGCCACGGTCATCCTACAGAGAAAGACGGAGCGCCTTCGTAAGGAAACCGGAAACAGCAAGCTGACCTCCAAGTTAGAATCAAAGCTATCGCCCCGAGAACTGTTCGCTCGCTCCATCGTCCGTCCGATAAAAATGGTCACCACCTCGCCCATCACCCTCTTATTATCCCTCTACACAGGCGTGATCTTCGGCCTCATCTTTTTACTCTTCACCACATTCCCAAGCATATTCGAGGGACAATACGGCTTTAGCGCTGGCTCCTCCGGCCTGGCGTACCTAGGCCTCGGCATAGGCATGATCTGCGGGCTAGCGCTGTTCACCCTGCTGAGCGACAAGCTGCTCGGCCAGACGGGAGGCGGCAGCAGCAAGCCGACCAAGCCCGAGAAGCGGCTCATCCTGATGAAGTGGTTCGCGCCCATCACGCCCCTCGGCGTCTTCCTGTACGGGTGGAGCGCGTACTACAAGGTCCACTGGATCGTGCCCGAGATCGGGACGTTCATCGTCGGGCTCGGCTCGCTCTTCGTCATGCTCCCGTGCCAGACGTATCTCGTCGACGCCTTCGGCCCGCAGGCCGCGGCTTCTGCTCTAGCGGCGAACGTCATCATCCGCAGCCCCTTTGGAGCGTTCCTGACTTTTGCTGCTCCGCCTCTGTATGATAACTTGGGGCTTGGTTGGGGTAATACCGTGTTAGGATTCATCTGCTTCGCCTTCACGCCGGTGCCGTGGCTGTTCTACCACTATGGCGAATACCTGAGAACTCATTTCGCTGTTAAGGTATAATATTGCATCATATTGGATATATTGGATATAGAAAAAAAGAGTATACACGGGGATTTTGTTACATGTTACTATTATTCAATCGAGATCGAGGGGGATGAAGGAGGATGGTGGTATAGAGGAAGGGGTCGATGGCTTAGGAAAAGCAGGGTATGGCGCAGTCCACTCTGCGGTATCGTGTGCAAGATTCTCGAGAGTACTTGGGTCCGAAAGCCTGGGTCGCTTTGGACTTATAATTCCCATCTCTACCAGTAATTTCCTATCCTTGAGCTCAACGGAATTGGTGTATGTCCCAAAATGTCTCATAACGGAAGGTTGCTTCGCCGTCATTTCCATCAGAGCTGGCCTCTTTACTTTTTTCCGAGGGGATGAAATGGCCGCTGCTCTAGAGAGACGTTTGGCGGCCGCCATACCTTTATTCACATCCTCTATGGAGACCGTTGTCTTGCATACTTTCTTCTGGCGCTTCCCCCGAGACTCCTGTACACGAAGTGAGTCTGAAGTCCGTTCGTCATCGGAACTAAGCAAGCTGATAACCCGAGGTTTAGGACGACATTTCGGTCGCTGTCGGTTTCGTGGCAGTTCCACCGAGCCTGAGCTTTTAAAGGGGTCCGTCTCCCGTTGAGCTACCTGAATTGGAATCCCTCGCCGTGGTTCCGGGCGTAGTGGATCGTGGGAAAATGTCAACCATGGAGCCTTGTAGTTATGAGGGCCTACAATAGGATTGGTTGTCAATGTAGTTTAACTGGGATATATTTCTAACGCTTACCAGGGGGGTCGAAGTAGAATGCATCCTTAGGCATAGTTGGGAGCGGTTATGTCTTAGTTCAAAGTCCAACGTCATTCTTCTTCAAACGGAAAATAGTTAGCATGCGAATATGATCTCGAAGAGACAAATAACGCGCTTTTCAGAGCGCCCGCGCGAGCGCCCTGCTCGAGTTAAAAAGCAATATTTATGTAGCTAAAGGTACATGACTGTGCTTCAATGCATCAATCAGGGGGTTCTTTCGCCGATCAAAAAAGCAACGCCTTCGAGAACATCAGCTCGAATATTTCTGATACCGTATTTTAACTTCCTCTTGAACTTGACAATTCGTATATGATATCTGTATAAGGTAGGTATATATTAGACATCCTCGATAAGATCATCCGAGATCCCACCCTATATCCAACCATCGTATACCTGATTTATATGCATTGTGATCGCCTTCGCGCGAGAAATTGCTTGTTGGGCTGGATATCCTCGGCTCTCAAAAATATGAAGAAAATATTGGAGCTAGCTGGCTAGTTAGGTACGGGTATAACCAAACAATACAAATTGGAATTTCGGAATTTAGTTCGAGATGTATTCCATAGGTCGGCATCATGCGATTCCCCTCATCTATTTCAAAAAGTTGTACCTACTTTGCGACCACGAGCAAATCCCGGATTCCGAGGTCAGAACCCGACAAGGTCATTACTAAACGTCTAAGTCTAGATTATTAGGACAGTGAAATGGAAATAGCACCATACGAGAATTTCATAGGAGTAAAATACCCGAGATCATTGATAACCCTCGATAATAATGAGCACTTCAACGCGAATAGCCGCCTGTCACGCCTCTCCCGTCTTCCTATCGGCGAAGGAGACGACGGCGAAAGCCATATCGCTAATCCAAGGAGCGGCGATTAACAAGGCCAACCTCGTAGTCTTCCCCGAGTCCTACATCCCAGCATTTCCCATATGGAGCGCTCTACGAGCCCCGTCTGAGAACCACGATCTGTTCAAAAAGATGGCGACAGAGTCTATCTACGTCGACGGCGACGAAGTCAACTCGATCCGCGCGGCGGCTAAGCAATTTGGTGTACTCGTCAGCCTCGGCTTCTCAGAAAAAGCGCGCTACAGCAGCGCGACATTATGGAACTCGAACGTCATCATAGGGACGGACGGCGAAATCCTCGTTCACCATCGGAAACTCATGCCTACGTTCTACGAGAAATTGACCTGGGCTCCCGGCGACGGACATGGTCTAAGAGTGGCCGAGACCCAGTTTGGAAAGATTGGAACGCTCATCTGCGGGGAGAACACCAATCCCCTCGCGCTGTACACTATGACGGCACAGGGCGAACAGATCCATATCAGTTCTTGGCCGGCTATATGGCCTACTCGACTACCTAAGGGTATATTGCCTACACCGAGCAACGAAGTTGCCAACGGTACTGGATCCGATGGTAAGACATTCGTTTCGAGCGTTGCCCGTGGAGCGAACTACGACAATGTGGCTGCGAATAGGACGCGAGCGGCTGCCCACTGCTTCGAGGCCAAGTGCTTTGGAGTTCTTTGCGCCGGCTACCTCGGAGCCGACGCTATCGAGACAGCTACGTCTGGCTCTAGTACGCCGGATATTATCTCGCAAGGGCTACAGTGCTCCTCGAGGGGCGCTACCATGTTCCTAGATACGACGGGGACATTGCTACCGGGGTTCACTATCGACCCCGAAACAGGTGTTCGAGAACAGAAGGACCTTCTTCAAAATGAAGAGGGAATCTTGTATGTCGACGTCAACTTAGACGATTGCATAGAGGGGAAGCAATATCATGACATCGCTGGAGGTTATCAGAGGTTGGATGTATTCGAATTAAAAGTTGATCGGAGGCGAAGGCAGCCAGCTTTATTCGAATGAATGGACGAAGTTACGAGACTGAATATGATTTACTATTGGTCACATTAACTTAGCTTCACTTCAACTATCACCAGTCATTATTTTAAGATCTTAAAGTCTTTCGGGTCCTAAGTTTTCAATTCTTATGTACTTAGACCATCATGCCCATATACGTAAGGCACTCGCGTTGATATTCGCAGGACATCATCCTGCTAGCGTTCCGTTCGGGCCATCAAGGCTCCGCGATCTCAAATCGTCGATCGGGGCGGGTCGCGGCGATAACATCGACGCGGCGGATCCAGTCGTCGACTAGCCGAACCAGGGGCGTGTCCGGACCCATCTCGCCTACGGGCAGTCCCTCAACGTACTTGATCCGAGTCAGAGTAACGTGCTGGACAATCTCCACCACGCTGTAGATTTCAAGCAAGTTCACATCCCCGGGATTCCGCGAGTCCACGTCAGCGTCACCCGTAAGCAGCGAGAAGCCTCCGCCCTCGAATCCTCTGCTCTTGACTTGCTCAAGGACGTTGATGTAGAAGACGCTTAGGCTCGATTCGAAATCCCACACCTCCTCCTCGCCGGGAGCCACGCGCGAGTCGAAAACCCGGGAATGGGTTAGGCATGCTTGGAAGACGGCGGTCAGCAGGCCTGTGAGACTATCTCGCCGCTCTTCTTCCGATTGTTTAGGCCTAGACCAGTTAAAACCCCCAACGACTTCTATGATGTTTATCTCGGATTCCACAGTAAAATCAGGCAGGTCGTCAACGTAATCGAAACCAGGAATCTTGATAAAGCCTAGAAGCTTAGAAGGATCATCCGAGCTGGGTTCAAGCTGCAGGTTGGCACAGAAGAGATTGGAGAATGCGTGCTCGTTATTCGGGGTGTGAAGGAGGTTGATGCTGAGGTCGAATCTTCCCGGCATGATGATAGAACCCACTAAGTACCACAGGTCAGTAAGAAAATCTTATGTGACATTCGGATAGTATATATGGATGGCATATTGATACAAGAAAATAAAAGGATTGGTACTTACGGCACTTCCTGGTGTTGGTCAGGGGTAGATATCTTTGGCTTCCAAATGATGGCTTTTCTTTTTCTGCGGAAGTCAAGCCTCCAGAACGGAGAGGAAAAGGAGAAAGAGACAATGTGACCCTCGCTCCAAGTCTTGAGTAAAGACTGGAGGCTGGATCAGAAAGAAGTCGATCTCATTCAGGTCACTCTTGGGGAAGAGTTGGAAGAATGAGAGTTGTTTTGGGAGAAAATATGAATTAAAAAAAATTCACAGGGAGCTTTTGTTTTATACCAAGTGACTGTTAATTACGAGATCGAAAACTACTTCCCAATGACACTGTCTTCGATGGTTAAATATGCTCAGGGCGGTCTATGCTTCCCTTACGAATTCGATCATATCAACGGGGATTAGTCCGATCTAGACCATCCCGCCGAGCTCTCCATGGCAGCTCTTGGCTTCAGACGATGATAAAGAATCAATAATGGTCCTTGAACTTAGGTGTGAAGTTGATAACGGTGGATAGAACTTACTAGTATACATATTGAACTATTGCTATACGTTAAAGGGTAAAGAAAAACAGTCATTTATGAATAAGGGGCTAGCCCTGTGTTAGTAAGTTACGTTAGACTATTCCTTTGCTTATAGAATGGAACTTAGTAGACATAAAGTCGGTATATCATTTCTCATCGTTTATTTTTATCTGCAAGCATGGTCATGAAGTTGCTTTAGCCGCTTCCTTCTCCGCGGCCTTCGCCGCCTTCTTCGCCGCTATCTGTTTCTCCTTTTCTAATTTCTTGAGCTGATTCTTCGTCAACTTCACTTCTCCGCCTTCACCTTCTGGCTTGGCTGACCCATCCTCTACAACAGGAATGATTCTTGGCGCCTTGGGATTTCCTCGCCACTTCAACGGCCGTACTGACATGAAGTGTCTGACTGACTCTTCCGTTACTTTTTCTCTCCGTTCTTGGAATGCGGCGACGTACTCCTGGAGATATTTGATACATATTGCTTTCAGCTAAAATCAGGTTAGTAACACGGCCTTTTGATGAAGGATTTTGGTAACGTACCTCTCCAGTAAGCAATTTGCCTTCTCTGTAGTCTTGCCCAAGTTTTGCAAGTTCCTATAGAACTATTAGCATCGGAAGGATAAAATTGGTAGGACAACTACATACCTCATCGTCTTCCATGAAAAAGTGGAGATATTGATACGACACATCTATGTCGGGATCTCCACCTTTCTCCCTTTGCTCCTCCGCACTCACTTGGCCACCGGAGAAGGCGTACTTGTTAATCTTATCCTTGATCTGCTTGGGGGTATCCTTCATGAAGATTGCCGAAGAATCAACGCTAGCAGACATCTTGGAGCCAGGACCTTGAAGCGCGTCAAGGAAACGGGAGTGAATTAAGGAAGGCTTGGCGTATCTCAATTTGGCAGCGCAATCTCTAGTCAAACGGAAATAAGGATCTTGGTCGATGGCGCAAGGAATCAAGCATGGGATGCTGGCAGTCTTCTTCTCATCCTCGCCAAATATGTGTGGGAATGTAGTCGCAAATGCAGTGGCACCTTGTATACTGGTGAAGTGAATCTTGCCAATGTTCGAGCTATATAAATGTTAGTTGATAGGTGTCACGTGCTAAAAAAAGGGGTATAAATATTCGACAGTATAGGGGCTTGGTTCACCTTTCGTCAAAGCCGAAGGTAGCCTTTGCTGTGTTGTAGGTGACAAGTTTCGCAAATCGAGTAACGTTCCTATAGAAAGCACCGCCCATGTATTCGTAGTCAGAGAAGATAAATGTCTTGTCGGGATCAAAGCCTATGGCGATGATATCTTGGCAGTTAGTTCGCGAATAGCCTATGACCTCCTCGACAGTTCTCTTCTCGGAGAAGAGGAATTTTTCGTCTATTAATGCATCATCATTAGTTTATGCTTTTGTAGGTGAAAAGACTGTGGAACAACGAACCATCCGTAAGCATGATGAGTAGGGGTACGTCGAAGACATCTTGTAGCCATCTAAGATAAGTTTAGTTCCATATTCTATAACATATACAGTCCCACAGAGAAGTACATATACTGACTTGCAGAAATCGAAGATTTGAGTATGTCCGACGTGCATACTATCGCTACTAGGACCACGGCCAGTATATAAGAAGAAAGGTTCGCCCTATGATTACTTCTTAGATACAACCCGGTAGCGATATATTATCTCTACACCATACCTTCTCATGTCGGTCCAGTATGAGTCCGAGGTCTCTTTCGCTGAAGACGATCTGCCGTCGTAAGAATCGGTGCGGTTTGTGGCCGGTGACTCGCTCGAATCTTTCTAACATCTCCTTGTCGATCAACTTGGTGCCAAACTCCTCCACCAACTTCTTGTAGTCGATCGCCTTGAGCTTTCCATCTTCGCCAACCTCACCAGACACGTTCCAGGGGTCGACGGTCTGCTTCGACGGCGCGGGAGCAGCAACATCGGGGTCCGCAGCGGGCGGGACCTGCTTAGCCGGCGCCTCCAGCTCAGAAGCCATATTGGGTGGCTTGAGAGTCAGTCCGTTAATTGCGCTTCTCACAAGGCAGTTCAAGCGACTAGAACTATCTCAATTGAAGTTTGTAGGAGACACAGTGCATTAAAGTACATTAGTAGAAGTCAGCATAAAAGATGACAGCATGCGAAGTTATTAAGGTGACTCAATGGAGGGGCACTTTCCGAAACTTTTTGGAGGGGCATACACCCAAGTACCAAAGTATCTTTTGCAAGGGTCTTTTGCCAAGACTGAGGTGAACAAATCTGGTCTAAGGTGAGTGCACTGAATTATGGAGCCATCTTATCGATATGGATCAATAGGCGGATCGGAAAAATTCGTCTCCCATGTACAGTACCTTGAGCTCCTGCCGCCTTAGTAGCAATTACAATTTATTGATTTCGATATTCAATTGTCAATTGTGAACAGCCATCCCCAAACGCGCCTTATCGTCGAACCCAATTCCGATCAGACTTCTCGCCAGATAGCAAAATGACGTCGACAATCGGAATCCCCATCAAGCTTCTCAACGAGGCGCAAGGCCACATCGTCACGTTGGAGATCACCTCGGGCCAGACATACCGTGGCAAGCTGTTAGAAGGTAAGGTCGCGTCTCGCATCTCACATATACACATCTACTACCTTGCCCTGCCGGCGAAGAATGACTGCTAACAGTTTTCACGCAGCTGAGGATAACATGAACGTGCAGCTCAAGGATATCACGGTCACTGCGCGAGACGGCCGAGTGAGCCATCTGGATCAAGTTTACATCCGTGGAAGCCACGTGCGATTCTTCATCGTACCTGACATGTTGAAGTATGTGTTAAATCCTACGCGGTTTGTAAAGATACTTGCTAACGTGACTTCTAGAAATGCACCCATGTTCCGAAGCCGCAACGCCCGAGGTCGTGGTGTTGGTCTAGCCCGAGGACGAGCTACAGTCAGCCGAGCGAGAGCGAGCGGGCGCGGAGGACGATGATCAGATTCGGTTTGAGGAGGCTATTTTACGACATGCACCGGGCGGGCGTTTAATGGGAGTGAAAAGTTTGGCATGCCGATTGGTGATTGACTACCGGTTGCCAACGGACGAAGCTACCTACATATCGTGTTCCTGGTTAGGAAGCAACAGAGCAAGATTCTTTTGGGGGTTCGCTTTTCTTCTACTCAAAGTAGGCAACCTGACGTCTGTTCATTTTCAACTCACCGCTGAACACAATACAGCCTATGGCACCGTCTCCAGAGATCTCATTCCGGTAATTTGAATGGATGGAGTCAACGATGGGAGGCAAGACTCGAACAGGTAGCCAATATTAGCACCTGGTTTTTGTAGCTTGGAGAAAGATGAATTCACAGCTGACTTGCTGAAGCACACGGTGATACAGAGATATTGACTTAAGGAGACTACTTTGTGATATGCCTCGACCATTACCCTCTAAGCCTAACATTGGATCTCTGGAGCTTACTACTATGTACTGGCTCAAAATTTACAAGGAACGAAAAATTGGGGTTTGCAATGTCGAAATCACGATGCCCGTACGAAGGGGTAATAGTTGAAGTGGTATCACCGTTATGGTACAACTAACGAATCACTTCTACGAAGAGCTCAACTGCCACAGTAATTTTGCCACATCATTATAATGCATTGAGATGGTACCATTTAAATTGGCTTTAGTTCATTTATCATTTATTCGTAACTAGTCATCTAGTTATTGAGTCCCAATGCTCAGCACGCAGCCCGAATATCCATGATCTATCTATAGATCTAGTAGTCGGTGGAGGGGTGGCGGCTGGAGTTGTTGCTACAGAACACTTAAGTCAATATCATTTCTTAATATAACAGCCCTCTCGGGTCGGCCATTGGGGGAGAAGCACTTACGGGTCGTACTGGTCCTGGTCACCGTACTGGGTCTCGTACAGGTGCTCGGCCTGCTTCTTGGCGTGGTGCTTGGCCTTCTCACGGTCGATCATGTCAAGGCCCTTGGTCTCGAAGAGCTTGTCGACCTCGGCACCAGCAATGCCAGCAATGACCTCCTTGGCAAAGGCGTGGTTTACGGTCTTGCCTGCAAGAGACACATACATTAGCCGGCTGCTTCTAGTAATGTATATTGATGTTACGCGGCGTGTGAGAGGACAGCATATATGTACCTTCTTTGCGTTGGCGGTCCTCGAAGAGCTTCATGGCCTCAAAGGCGGCACCGCCGCCGATGAGTTCGTGGGACAGCTTAGACTCATGGGGCTGGCCGTCGTAGATCTCGTCACGCTGGCTCTTGGCGTCGTCTAGAACATACAAGTCAGTATGTTACACGGAGATGAGACGAGACGACTTATTGTCTCTGTGCCATGGATCTAAGACATACCGAATCCGAACATGGTTGCTGGTTTATGAAGAAATCGTGGGTTGATATGTAGAAAAGTTTCGTCTATGTAGTCGTTTTTGTCGTTGGAATTGCTTTGATGTCCAAAGGCAGACGGAGAGAGGGACGAAGCTGGTCTATTTATGATCTATGACTAGCTGACATCCCCTCCGTAGGAAGCAGGAGCTGTGAGGTAACCCCTCTACCCCTCTAACCGATTAGGTAGGCTATGGCAGGCTCATCACAAGCTATTCCTTTGTTACCTGCTAGGTTTGTACCTACATGTAGCTAGCGATGATGACATCCTCCCATACGTGGGTGGATCTGAGGGACTATGTTGAAACTTACCGGGTATTCCGGCACGACTATTGGCAGGCCAGTCTAACCAGACACGTAATAACGCAGGACAGAGCAAATTAAGTCGATACAGCTTCGTGTCGACTCGAACCAATACGAGGCTAAGTCGATATGGTGGAAAGGTGGAGTACTAGCCTTTCTTTCCTGCCCCCGCAACTTGATTTGCTCCTGAGTTGCACCCTGTGCTTGCTTGTTGCTTGCTTACCCCCGAGGATCATGAGACTTTTCACGGGCTCCTAATCAAGAAAATCCCCCCCTCTTAGAAGATGATGTAGGGTTGAGGAGAGCATTGCCTTCGACCCCTCGACCCCTCCATTGATAGTCATATTCCTTTCAATTATGTAGCTCTGGCCCCGCGGGGCGTCGAGGGGTCCTGCACTGTTTACGGTTTCATCAATTCACCGCTTCCCCATGAAGGAATCTGTTGCTGTTTGCATGAAATAGAGCTTGCAGTACACCAAGGTAGCACGTACGCACATGCTCCCACCATCTGAAATCATTGGGTGCAGGAGAGAGAGGCTTGAAACGGTCTAGTTCTGGCAATGCTGAGGCCTCACATCCAACAAGGTCGTTTCCTGAAGCTATTGAGGTAGCCCACAGGGTTATTATGGATGGTCACCTAAACAGAGCAACCGCATAATATCTTCATGTATAACCTAATAGGTACTACTAAGTAGCAAAGCTTCGTCATGCAGTCGTCACTGACATCATGCTGGCTTCGCTCGTTGGATATGGGTATCCCCCGCCAAAATTTCAGCCACTATTTGCTGAAGAAGATTGTTTGAAACAGGGCGTTTAGCGCCGAGTCGAAAGACTCTGAACTTGTTTACGCATAACTAAGGCATTAGGTAGTGTACAGCTGGGCAAGGTTACTTGGACGTACGATAGAACTCACCAAGCTTACCTACTGTGGCTAAGTCTGCTAGGTACGGCATGGTAGCTGCATGGCGCAATGCCAAGTCGGGTATCGACTTGGCGAATGCTTGTCATTGACAGCTGGGTCTGCTGCTGGATCATCAAGCCAGGGGAATAAACGTGGGGTAACTCGCTGTGCCAGCGTTCCAGTGTTCTAGTGTTCCGGTGTTCCCTCCTGCGTACCCGCCTAGACCGCGATCATCTCTTATGCTTCCTTATGCACATAGTACCTCAAACGCACCTTTTCTGGTTACATGGGAGCGGATAAAACAGGAATACGCAAACCAAAACACCATTTATCCACCCCAAATAAGACGTTGATAGTTAATAGTAACACACCGCTCGAGAATTGGTATCCTGATCATCGCTTACTCTCTAGATAAGCAAGCCCATAAGCGACCTACGCTGTGCTCCCGCCAAACTTGGCTTGGTATTCGCCGTGCGCCTTCTTCTGTCTATCCCAGTCCTTCTTCAGCTTTTTCGATTGGCTCTTAGGCACTTCGCTGCCGTCCTTCATCTTCGTTGGCAGACCATCAGCATCCCATTCGCTGTAGCGATCGTCGCCCTTGAACATTTCCTGTGGCGCAAGCTTCGCCTTTTCCCATTTTTCCTCTTCTGCTTTCTCTTTGGCGCGTTTTGCCTCTTCCTTGGCGCGCGCCTTCTCTGCTTCCCTAGCTGCCTTTTCTTCCCTCGCCGCGATTAGTTCCGCTGCAGGAACGAACTTGATTAATGATGGCTGATCTGGTCTATCGTCCAGGTAGACCCCGATATTGCTGAGGTCGAAATCCCGCAGGCGGTCGCTTAACGAAAGAATGGATTGCTTCGTTTCCGGTGACGTCGAAGGCGCCAATCGTCGGAGCTCATTACGGAGTTTTGCGACCCCACGCAAGTATGGCAATGCCAGTTGTTCTGGGTCCTTGACCCCGGCACTGACCAACGAGTCAAACTCCGTGTCAGGGGAGTGAGATAAGAGGTTCGTGACGGTCTCAGAGGTCGGGAGCTTGAGGGCTTGTACGTCGGAATAGAAGGTCTTGTGTACTGCCTTATATGGTTGCACCGCAGTTGAGGGATCTAAATTGGCAGCAGCAGCAGCCGACACCCAGCCGATGCCCTCGTAAGGAGGTTTCGCGTTCGCATCGAGACCAAGGATTCCGACAATCTTCGTGACCCATCGTGCGATTGCTTCAACCGTCTTGAGATCCATGTCGTCCTTGTGGATGCCGACGTGGACGTTGGCTTTTCTGATCACCTCCGCCACCGCTCGCAAAACTGCGGGGGTATCGAATGAGTTCACGAGCGCCTCTTCGACCTCCTTCTTAGCTTGCTCCAAATCGGCCTGTAGGTCCTCTGGGGATTTGTCATTGCTAATCGACAGGGCCTTTACGCCGCTATCCACAGCCGCTGTCGTGTCGGATGCTTCAGCTAGCAGTGCTTTTGTGTTTGTGAAGAAATTCTACTGCTATTAACACATATTGAGAGTCATGAAACGAGGACGCGACTTACGTTAACTGCGGTTTCCCAACTATCGGCTGCCGTACGCATATCTGGCGATATCTCAACTCCGTCGTTCCACCTACCGAGCAAAAATACTATGCGCATCGAGCGGGCTGTGTAGGTAGATGCTAACGCATCCTTGATCGTCTGGAAGTTCTTGAGAGATTTAGACATCTTCGATCCAGATATTGACAGGTGGCCCATATGCAGAAAATAGTTGACCCAGGTGTGTTCGTGGCCATGCTGGCAGAAAAAAGCTTCACTTTGAGCAAGTTCGTTGTCGTGATGTGGGAATGCAAGATCAATGCCACCGCTGTGGATGTCCATACGTGAACCTAGAACATCAGATGCCATTACTGAGCATTCAATGTGCCAGCCGGGCCGTCCATTGCCCCATTTACTTGGCCAGTATGGTTCGCCCGGTTTCGACTTTTTCCATAGAGCAAAGTCACCAGCGCCTCTTTTCCCGCCCAGACCTTTAGATAATGAGCCCTCTCCCTCCTCTTGTAATGCTTTGTCATTGCGGTTTTCTGGTCGAAGTCTCGCGTATGGGTTACCTGCCTTTTCGAATGCCGCAATATCAAAGTAGACGGACCCCTCAGCTTCGTACGCGAACCCCTTCTCGAGGATCCTCTCGACGAACTTGGCGATCTGTGGGACGTATTCGGTGACTCTAGTGACGACATCGGGTCGGAGCACATTCAGAGCATCCATGTCGTCGGTAAATTCCCCCTCCATAAATTTAGTTAGGTCGGTGAATATTGATTGGTCGCTAGTATCGATTGATTCCTTGTACAAGGAATCTAGGTAGGGTAGTAAAATTTCGTCTGCGCCCTTGAAGACCTGGTTTCCAGTAATGGCAATGACGGCAGATGTCATATTACTTATGTGCATTTTGAGCTTTGCTTCGGCGTCGCCCGGCTTGCCTTCTCCTGACAGAGTACCACCTGCCAAGATATTTCCATATGCCGCATCTCTTCGTGGGATATAGTTGTTTAGATCTAGCTCGCCCTCACCTTCAAGAAGCTGGGGGAGGTTGCTTTCCGCATAGGCTCGAAACGCTGCCTTTCCCAATTCGAAGAGTTCGGCATCGGTGTATGTCTTTTGCTTTTCGAGGTCGAGCAGTCGCTGTCTTCGGGCTTTTATTATGATCTATAGATGCTGTTAGTCACAGTATAATATTGCAAGCTATTGTTAACGTAGATCCTTGCGTGCGTACCTTGTCGTCAACGTCTGTAAAGTTCATGACAAACTTGACGTCGAAGCCGAAGTAGTGCAATAGGATACGCCGTATGATGTCGGTGGACACGTAATTGCGAGCATGGCCCAGATGACTCTGGTCGTAGACAGTTGGACCACAAGCATACCAAGAAACTTTCCCCTTCTCGATTGGAACGAAGGGAACCGGTCCTCCTGGCTTCAAGGAGTTATGGACCTTGATCGAGTCCATGGCGGGGTATGTCGCAAAGCTTCTGCGCAGTAAGTATTGAGTTGGACGAATACTAATGATGGGTTTTCTCGTCAATCTCGTTAAGAGGAAGTTCATCAAGGAAGAAAGACTGTCGAATGAATGTAGATAGGGAGGGGAAACGTGTCACATTTATGCACATTTATGGTCAGCGTTGGAAGTTTTTGAGTCACAGCAGGAACAACATTGAATGTCGCAATTTATTCGCATATAAATTTGTACCACCTTACTCTGATCTACATCCCAACCTTATTTCTTGTATTTTTAGCATACTGCCGGGCTTTTAGGTTCCGTCGCCCCTCCATTTTACATACATACAATTCAATTAGAGCCCCGCCATCAACCTTATCGTCTTATCTAGTGTCTTTTTTTCTTGACTTTCTTTCAGTTCAAAACTCAATTCGTCTGAATTATTTTCTCTAGACGAAACACTCTTAACATGTTGATTTAGGGTGCTCTTGATATCCTCTTAGAAGGGGCTAAGATGTCGGATTTATCACCGTTCCTAAATCCCGGTCCTCGGACGAAGCCGAATACACTCGCTCTAGCTCACTTATCCCGCGACAGCATCCAACCCATCTATCTGAACGACACCTCAGATGCCGTTGATGGATACGCTGAGGGAGCGGTATTAAATACACGATTTGGATCTTTTCCACATTCCACTTTACTCGATAAACCATGGGGTTCGCAGATTCGTGCCTCAGTCGTAGATACCGGCTCTAGAGGTCGAAAATTGAAGCTCAACAATGGCGCAGAACCGGAAAATGATATGGAGGATGCTGGTTCGGGTGTTGTAACAACGAAAGACGTTAAAACTGCGTCAAGCGGTTTCATCCACATATTACCACCCACGCCGGAACTATGGACAACAAGTTTACCCCATCGAACTCAAGTTGTATATACGCCCGATTATAGCTACATCCTTCACCGCATCCGCGCGCGACCTGGTATGAAAATAATCGAAGCCGGTGCAGGAAGCGGCAGTTTTACACATGCTGCTGCTAGGGCGGTCTATAATGGTTATCCGAGAGATGCGCAAGATACGAGAGGGAAGGTTTTCAGTTTCGAGTACAACCAAGATCGATATGAGAAGATGCGCCAGGAGATTAGCGATCACCGCTTGGATAAGCTCGTTCAGATTACCCACAGAGATGTTTACAATGATGGCTTTTTAGTTGATGGCGAAAGTCCCGAAGCCGAATGTGTTTTCCTCGATCTACCAGCGCCATGGAAAGCTCTCCCTCATCTATCAAGACAAAAGCCAACGCCAACTCAACTCTCAAACAGCGAAGTAGGCAGTCTTGATACGGGTCCGGAATGGAAATCTCCTCTACATCCTGGCCGGACCGTCTATATTTGTACATTTTCTCCGTGTATTGAACAAGTTACCAAGACCATTGACGTTATGCGTCGATTGGGATGGATGGATATAGAGATGGTCGAAGTCGCACATAGGAGAATACTTGTTATGCGAGAGCGAATTGGGTTAAACATACCGGCAGGAGAGCGAGGGTCGAGTCAGACAGCAGCCAATGCTACAGAGGCCATCACGAAGCTAAAAGAAATCGAGGGTCGATTCAAGAATCAACAGTCCCGAACCCGTGACGTTGATGTCGACATGGAGGACAATGAAGATATTGCGAGTAACGCTAAGCCCATGAATGGGAAGAAAGAACCCGATTCGCCAAGTGACGAGGCCGAAGACGAGACGTCAAATAAGCCATGGATGGCTGGAAGGCTAATTCATCGAACCGAGCCAGAGCTCAAGACACATACCTCATACCTTGTCTTCGCTGTGCTTCCACAGGAATGGAGCGAGGCACAAGAAGCAGCAGCTTTCGCAAATTGGCCATGCGGTAATGAGAGCAAGGTCATCGGTAGTCTGGACAAGGAAGCTCGTAAAAGGGAAAAGCGAGAACTACTTCAGGGGAAGAAGCGAAAGAAGGATCCCGGAACTAATTCGGAAGGCGGTCGCGCTTCATCACCAAAGAAGAGCAAGGCCTCCTAGCTGGAGAGTCGCGAACGAATGAGACTATGATACCCCGACCATTTGGGTCATTCAATCAATGAAATGAATTACTTTCACTAACATACCATCGAAACCGGCTTGCCGCTTGATATGCTCGAACGAAACGGATTCTTGTGCCAAAATTGTGGCTAAACCATTCTCCATGAAATAGCAGTAAACTAATGGAAATGGTGATTGCAGGACGTTTGAAAACGTGATGCCACGACTCTGGCTCCTTGCACATTGATAAAAGAGAAATCTCCAGAGTAAGGCGAATCGAACGTTGTGATCCCTAATAGGCGCCTGAAATAACCATTGCAAGTGATGTTAGCTTGGCGGTCAATAGTCTCGGATTTTGCGTTTGCCAAGATAAAAGTGATTTTTTTTTCACTTGCTCGGCTTGATCGACACCATGGATTCATTGTGGCATGAATCAGTATTCTCCATTTATGTATGAAGACGTGACTGATGATTCAGTAGGGCCGATAATGATATTTTACTACCCAGACGTCTTTCTGATAGGAGGCCTGGCGCTTCATTTGCATGATAAAAGCAACAAATATTAAATATGATGTTCTAAATTTGTTGAGATTCTATACGACCGTTTGTTTGCCTACTTATAGCAATGAAAAGACGGGGATTTGTCCATAACCTACATAATTAAATCGTTGAAGATTAACGAGTGAAATATTAGCCGGCTGGATCTACATGCGTATGCAGATCAAAGAGGGAGCGGCAGAGCAGCCTGAAGATCTAGAGATCTCAACTATTAACCCCAAGCCAAAGTAACATGATCGCAGGTTTATAGCGGAAAGAAGCGACATAAGAACGAAATGGAAGAATCATAGAAGGTGCCAAGGCACGTAAGCTAGCAAGCCAATAACATGGCAAGAAAAACGCCAATAATTATTAGGTAATTGGGTGTTTGATGAACTTAAACGCGTTGTTTCACGAGCGATCCCCGGTCGAGGTTTCTAAACTTAAGAGCCGCCTTAACCCTTGTAACCCTCTCAGTGCTACCCTGACTCTGCCCTAACTCTACCCTGCTTATTTTTAAAATAGGGACGAGCCGCGTCTTCAGGTTCAACGCCCAGCATTTCAGATCAAAATAGCTCTATTCATTTCAAACTTTTTCCTGCCCAGCTGGACATATTTCCTATTCAGTAGCGAATTCGATGCTCGAAGCAACAGACCAGATCGAATCCCAGAACACCAGCTAAAGCAATCTCTCGACTCTTTGACCTCCCGAAGCAACAACGTGGGCATCTCAATTGGTTAAGATAATATCATAGTATAACCCAGGTATACGAAACATATTAGATTTTAATCTATTAGGTATCAGCATTAAGATGTATCCCCATGCCTCATTCGCGAGGAAACGCAAGGCTTTCCGTGGGCGATGATGCGATATTTTACAAGACTACCTAATTAGCCGTTAGCTCGCTTGCTCCTCCATTGCAACTTCTAAGATGAGGCGCTCGTGAACCTCTACTCCACAGCAAGAGTTCAGAATGTCGCCCGAACGATAACAAGATGCTTGGTGGGACTAGGAGAAAGCTTGAATGAAACTTGTCGTTCAAATTTTTCAGATCTAGGACTTAGATTATCCCCAGAAAACTCGGGTAAATCTCTAGACTTTCTGAAGCATCGGGACGCCAAGAGTAAACCCAGTATCACAGACTTGACTTCAATTCGCCTGCGAGCTATTGGTTACCTTGGCATGTTTCGCTTAGAATTGGACTGGTGGCAGCGACCCCATATTGGATGACGAGTACCGTTAAGGAATAGGAGGTTACGCGTCACACGGAGATGATCATCGCCCATCTAGTTGTGAAGCACAGGCATCGTTATCACCGGTGCAGCTAAGATACTGTGATGCGGCAAGTTATGAGCCTCCTAGTTACTGACTGGGGCTGAAAATGTCTCCACAGGGCTCAAAGGCTCGATATTGTTAAGTCTACAGGTCTTCTAACAAATATCAAAACATTTTGGCTTAGAGATGCTTCAAACTGAACATCTATATTCTTCTGCTTCATAGAATAGATTTCGCTCTGTTCCATTTGCCCTGGTGGTGTTCTATGTTTCTGCCCCGGTGGCCTCTTTATTGCTTACATTCACTAACTTGCAGTACCCCTTGAGATATCCTAATTCCCTTTTAGTTGATACTAAGATACCCATCATGTCAGAACGTTCGTGTCCGGTCTCCGGTTCCGTTGGCGGGCAATGTCCAGTCGGCCATACGAACACAAGCAGGAGTAATAGTCGAATGGGCCCCCGAGGCTGCTCGTTCTCTGGCTACAGTCAACCAGGAGATATACACGCAGCATTCGATGTACGTCAGATGACCTATGCTTCTCTATGGCCAACTAACAAATGTAGATCCCACGAGGAGTTGATGCTGAAGAGTGGCTTCGAATGAGGTAAGAAAATATTGTAAGATGAGCCGATACATCCCTAGACTAAACATATCTCATTCAGAGAACGCAAATCAATAAATCAGCTGCTGTACAATAACATTCCATCTGTCCGGGAAATCGACGCGGCCAAAACTCAGGCAGAGATCGATGCGTTCAACGCTCATGAACAGGACCTGTTAGCTGTGGCGTTGGGAGCGCCAGCTAGACAAGTCATGTTGAGAGCGGAGGAAATTGGCCCCAAGACCGGCTGGCTTGATGGCTATCTCAGCGCGGAGCATGGATTCTGTCCCCCGGACTACGAAGAGGCCATCGGTGCTTTATCGAGGACTCCGGGTAGAATATGGGCTGATCTTTGCGAGCGAATGCCTGGTTGCGTTGCAAGAGGGCGTGTCCAAGAATCCGTTGCCGCGCTCGCTCTTGTGGAGGGTACCAAAGAAGTCATTCCAGACCAGGCACTATGGGCAGCCTTAGTAGCCTTAGGGAGTAAGTCTACCATTCAGTTGCTTGGTTTTACTTGAGGACAATGAAGGCCTTCTGAAGTGCGCTTAGACACTATAAGTTTACAACCCTATTTTTTGCTGCTCATGCTTAATTGTTCTAAGCACTAACTTAATGCTTCAGTGTTATGCTCTATCTATCGCTTCGTATCCAAATATGATGGCAGCGAAGGAATTTCTTCTGCTCTCCCTAAGAAGAAGCCGCCGAACGTCCCTATGGGTGATGAGCTTGGTGAAGAGCTTGTCGCTATCCCGCTGTGTATAGCGTTGCCGTATTATCAGATCTCGCGACGCATGGGTCGAACACTTCCACACCTCACGTTTCCCGACCAATCCAGCTATAACATCAAGATCAGAGACCCTACTTCAACCTATCCTTACGTTGCACGTTCTGAGAACATAGACCTCCGATGGTCAATGTTCGGCGAGAAAGCCGAGGTAGCTTTTCTCAAGGGTTGCGCCGATACATCAGGTTAGCAATATCCTTGGGTTGCTAGGAATTCAGATACTGACTTTTGCAGCATCTTTCCAGCATGGGCCGGATGCTATCGCGGCGTGCCAAGAGCATGTCATGAACAAGAACATTGAAGGACTTTTACGCGAAATGATTCGATTAAAGGAGATCCTGGAGCGCATGCCAAACGCCTTTCACTCCATCAACGTTAACCCAAACTCGGGAGAGAACTATGTCCCTGTGCACCAATGGGTTCGTTGGGCCAAGTTCTCCGCTCCACTGTCTAAGAGATGCCCGGCTTCTTCAGGTTTACAATTCCCTCCCTACCTTGTCATGGACGCTTTCCTTGGTCGCAAAAAGTAAGCTGAGCTTCAATGTTGTTACTCTGCCCTCAACCTTACCACTGCCCTATTAATCCCACGAATCCATATATAACCCCAAAGTAATATAACTAACATCTAAAAGATACAACTCTTTCCTTGGTGCAGAAGGTGTACATTTGAGAGCCTGGCTACCTTCTAATCTTCGGGCCTTTATTGCTGCCATCGAGTATCATTATAGAATTCCCGAGTTCGTCCAGCAGTCTGGCGACCCGCGACTGATGGGTGTTTTGGACGGCATTATTGAGGCATATACAGGCGAAAGAGGTTTCATGGGGACGCACCGCTATAAGGTCTTTGGTATTCTCGAAATCGCTGCAAAGACAGGGCGAACGGAAACCAATGGTGCGTCTGGCGCTGCAGATGCGTCTCGCCCGTGGGAAGAAACCCATAAACAGTTTTCGGACGCAATGAAGGAACGTCTCGAGCCATATCGTAAGTCATTAATACCTCTTTGATAAAGTCCGTTATGTTTTCTCCGAAATTTATCTATCGGAGCCTGGATAGCTTCTCCCATTACTCTAATTCTATTAGAAGCTAATTTGATATGTAATATGTAGGGGGTAACTTGCCAATAGAACCGCACCAAATGCGAGGAACCTTCGAAGAATGTCGCTATATCACAAGAGTTCTAAACCGATCCAATGTCGATTCCGATCCAACACGGTCAATTGGTCTCGTCACCTTAGATATTCAAGATACGGGTATTACTTTCATGCCCGGTGATCGTCTTGCAGTTATGCCTCTCAACAGCTGGGATGAATGTGCAAAGGTTGCGGCAGCCTTAGGCCTGGAGACCCGCCTCGATGACCCGGTTGATGTGGCCGGTACATGGTCCCGTTTTGAACAGCATCTCACATCTGTGAGAAGAAAGACGACAATAAAGAAGTTGACGGTAGCCGATATCCTCCGCCGCGGTCACCTAGTACCTATTACAAAAGAACTCGCTTTGAAGATTCATAGTCTACTTGCTGCATCCTCAAACACTGTCCTCCAAGTCCTTGCCACGGATGAGTGGCCTGTTCGAGGCTCACTGGGCGACATACTACAAGATGCCCTCATGGATACTCCAACTCACATTTGGGATAAGGCATTTAGCCTGGACAACCTTTCGTGGCTAGCTGGTCTCATCTCTGTTGAGATCCCCCGTACATATTCGATAGCTAGCTATACTGATGAACTTCTTCCCAGCACCGTTGACTTGGCTATATCGCGCGCCGAATACAAGCTCTGCTCAACGTTCTCCAAACAAGAAGATGTGGGACGCGCTGGCGTTGCAAGTGGGTTCTTCAACCCGTACCCGTCATCAAATGAGATGGAATCTGATGACGAGATCCTCGTTGGCGTTTCCCGGCCCATGTCTTTCCAATTACCTTTGGATAACATGGCTCCCTGCGCTTTCTTCGCTGGTGGTAGTGGAATCGCCCCATTCCGAAGCTTTTGGCAATATCGCCTGACCACCGACGGCTTGTCTGGGGGCAAGAACTATTTGTATCTTGGTGTCCAGTCGCGCGAGAAGTTTTGCTTCGAGGACGAATTGAGAGAGTACGTGAACGCGGACTTTATGGAGGTTCATGTAGCTTTCTCAAGGGATTCCAGGGGCCTTGCATACGATCCGCACTCGCGCGACCTAGTCGAGAAACATATTCCTCCCCGTTATATCGATACCCTAATCGTCGAGCAAAGTGCCACCATCTCCGATCTTGTTATGTCAAAGAAACAGGGCGGCCTAGGTGGCTACCTTTACGTGTGCGGCTCTGTTGCCGTTTTCGATTCTGTGATGAATGGAATTCGCAAAGCAATATATACCCACTGTACGGCAACTATGGAAAACGTTGACCTAATCGTCAACAAAGCATTTGCAGAACGGCGGTTTATGCTCGACGTCTTCATGACTCCTAAGCCCCTTCCTTGCAACCTACCGACCATCTCATTATCTCAACTTGCTCAACATACTGGTCATAGACCAGGATCGCGGATGTGGATAGGAGTTCACGGAAGTGTATACGATGTAACTGATTTTAGTCCTATGCATCCTGGAGGCACACAAATCATCAAGTCGAATGCAGGCGTGGACTGTTCAAAGACGTTTGACAACCTAGCTCATACCAATAACCCCGAGGTAACTAGCCTTCTAAGCAAGTATTTTGTTGGACATTTAACACCCAAACCCGACTACCAAGACGGTGAGGAGGAAATATCTGCTTTATACGATATTTGGGCCGCGTACCTATGCACCATCGTGGAGACGCTAGGGGCACATCAAATCGAGATGCACGAGATCCAGGGGGCATCGATCAAAACGTCCTCATCGTATGACCGTTTGGGGAGCACTAATATGTGGCTCCACGAGAACTTGCCCAGCACAATCGCTATTCGCGCTTTCTATGGCTACCAGAGCAGATTATTACAAATGGGATTCCCTGCTCTCTTCGGAGCGAAGCTTCAAGAACTTGTTCTCAAGCTGTCGTTCAGCCTTGCTAACGCAGGTGGTGCAGGCGCAAATATCCAATTGCCCGATGTATTAGGAGCGGTAGCCCGCGCGAATACGGGTCCAGACGCCGTGTCCTGTATGAACGAGGTAGCTCTTATCGGTCAGTTTATCAGCGGCGCCGAAAGTTCTCTCCGCTTCCAAGAACGCGGTGTCTTCGCTTATGCAGCTAGGAGCGTAGAATTGGACATCGAATTACTTGAAGATCTTCGCCAGGAGATCGGTACCGGTATGGATGCTTTCGACAGCATCGCCAATGCATATAACTCGGCCGACAAGATGCAGGACCCGGACTTTGAAGCCAATCGCATGACAGCTCTTTCGACATTCCTTCTTCAGATCCTCGAGCGCATTGCACGTCGACTTGGAATCTTTTACGCCCAACTGGCTCAATGCTCAGTCTATAGACCTGAACTCGAACGAAACCCTGCCAGGACCCGTTGGGCTCTAGTGCGTAGATGCATTCGAGATGGAAGTTTATTCGTGATGACACACAAAGCAGCCACTGACGTTCTCACCACGGGACAGCAATCATCCTACTACATGTCGCGCGCCAACCCTAATCAGAATGTCGACTTCGACAACGTCATGTCGCAGGTCCGAGCTACCCTAGGCTCAGCGCAAATTGATACACAAACCAGCATCCCACAACATCCTATGACCCTAAGTGCCGTACACCAAGCTCGAGGAAGGAGCTCGGGAGATGCTATGCGGACGGGAGAGAACCCCGGGGCGCTCAAGGCTATGAACAGCTTCGTGGAGAAGCATAGCAAAGCGATACGGCGACTCAGCAAAATGCCTCCTATGCCAATGAACTTTGAGGATTTGCAGAAGGCCATGGCGCAGACGGGCTCACACACGCCTCCGGCTGAGCCTCATGAAGCCATGGCGATGGGTCTCGGCATCAAGAACCAAACGCTGATCCCCGGACACGCTAGACTCCCGACTCCCCCATCCAGCCGCGGATCTAGCCGCTCACCGTCTCGCGTTCGGTCGTCCACCGGTATGTCGCCCTCAGCCGAGATGCTCCTTAGCAAGCTGAACCAATCACGGTCGCGGTCGCGCGGAAACTCGCTGCAGAGCCAGCACTTATCCCCCATGAGCCAGAACTACAACCAACTCAACCACACCCCGCAACTACAAGCTCAATATCAACAGCAACAAAATGCCCCCTACTACCCCGTCATCGGCGGCCTCCCAACCCCGCACATGAGCGCCGCTACTAACGTTCATACCGGCCCCAAGAGCAACGTCCACGCAGCTATGAGCTCTCTCATGGGACAGCTGAATACCAGGCGTCCGCGCAGTGAGGCCCCTGGTGCCGTGGGTATTTCTGTGAACCTGCCCGGAGTCCGCCACGCGCGGTCCGCGTCGAGGTCCAGCGCGGGAAGCATCGCGGGAAATGGGCACGGTCATTTCTCGAAGCAATCGACGAATTCGCTGCGCGCGTTCAAGCTTGGGGCGGTGGGCGGGGAGAGGTTTATGCCTGCTTCCTAGGGGTTTATTGGTTCCTCTACATTGGGTCAAGTTAGGTTTCTTGGGGTGAGGTTTTGCTGTATAGATTCATATAGATATTGGATATAAGTACATACATAGATGCTGGTCATGTAAAATTCTGTTCGTTCGGTGATATATTAGTCAATGTTTCCCTTCTAGGCTATCGTACCTCTGGAGTAGAACATGGCATTATTGCGCACAACGATTATATGTACACCAAGCAAGTTATTGGAGGGAGTGATAGGTATAAGAGTCTAGCGTTCTTGAATGTCCCGTCATAGAGACATTCATTCACTCGGATAGGGCGTGGCGCCATCAACCTTGTGATCCTCGGGTTTGGGGTAATGCCAATCCCAGCCCAACCGTCTGTGAAACGAGTTTGGTTTGGTATGGGGCTGCTGTAATGACACGGCACAGCATCTGTGGAAGTCCTCGATAATATACATGCAATACTATATTATGCCCGGCATCATTGTATACTTCCTAAGATAGGGTATGTCATATATACCCTTCTTTCCTCAAATAGGGGTCAAACTCAAAAACAAGGCGTCCGTGCATACAACCGCCTATAAACGACCCCTATTTTCTTTCCTCCCAGCGGACAGAAACTCGTAAGGTAGCTACGAGGTATGAATCCTAGATTCATGCATGCAGGTTCACGTCACAGTTCTATATGTGGTCGTCACATGATTTCCATCCCCGATCACAACCCTACCCAACCGGCCGGGAGCGGCTAGCTATCTCATGCGGCTAACTTTGTTTCGACATCAGTTGAACCTTGTGTCCTTAATGAAACCAACGCTACCTAAGGTAAGTTTGAGCAGCCTGAAATGTCTTGAATGACGTTGGCATATGAAGACAGGCGACCCATTATAAAGGATGGGTTCCAGTCTCCGTCCACCCCTCCACAATAAATCACACCAAGCTCAAACAACATTCTCGTCACAACTTCTCGTTGCTGGTCAATTTCACTAATTTATTTAGTTATATAGTTCTAATAGGTGGTGTTGAACGCTTCCTAGGCTAAGGGGGTAGGTAGGTAGTAAGTAAAGTCTAAGGAACTCTTTCGCGACGAAAAGGGAGGTTCTCCCCTCGCCCGTCTATCTAAAAGCAGCAAAGCCAGCATTCTAAAAATGAATCCAGTTCCTGTCCTTTCTTTCCAAGATGATGATTGATGACTGATGATTGAGGTTCCCTTACGCACTCGACATAGACGTAACGCGACACCGATTAGATTTGGAGACTTAGGTTGTTTCTCTGACCCAACCATGGTAGTGTTGGGTTGGAGTCAGGACAGCAGCAATAGTGGAGGTGATAATCGCTGTTTGGCGTATTGTGTGCACTTAAGCACCGAAGGCCTTGTAGCGCTCCTCAATGGGCTGGAAGTCCTTGGGACCGGCCTCGCCACTACGGCCGCCGAAGACGAGCTGGGCGTTAAGCTTCCAGCTCTCGGGGATACCCCATTCGCTGGCGACCTTCACGTCGATGAGAGGGTTGTAGTGTTGGAGGTTGGCGCCGACACCCTCGGCCGTAAGGGCGGTCCAGACGACGTACTGGGCCATAGCGTTTGACTGCTGGGCCCAGATGGGGAACTTGTCGGCGTACAGAGCGAACTTTTCTTGCATGCCATTGACGACGTTCTGGTCGTCGAAGAACAGGACCTATTTGCTGCGTTAGTACCACGGCCAGCGAACTATCCTAGTATTGCTGAGAAGAGAAAAGGGGGGAGCCTACGGTTCCGGCGCCAGCCTTGAAGCCGTTCATACGTTGGGCGGTGTGCTCCCAGGCATCTGCAGGGACGATAGTCTTTAGAATGCCACTGGCGATATCCCAGAGCTTGTCGTGCTCAGCGCCGAAGAGGACTAGGATACGGTTGGACTGGGAGTTGAAGGATGAGGGGACGTGGAGGAGGGTCTCCTTGACGATCTCTTGGACACGGTCCGTAGAGATGGGGAGCTCCTTGTTAAGCACGTAGTACGTGCGGCGGGCCTTGACGCTTTCGAGAAGGGAAGAAGCCATTGTGCTTGTGCTTGTGCTGTAGGGGGCGGAGGGTGTCGTCGAGGGTTTAGAGGTACACTGGGAAGCGGTAGAGGAGAATAGTCTCTGGGTGGGACAGGTCGCTGCAGAGAGGGCTTTAAGGGGTAAGTTGGAAGTTAGGAGAGCTTTGGTTGTCCGAGAGGTGGCCGAGGTGCTGGTAAGTCTAGAGAGGGAAAAGACGGCTGAAGTGACAATATGCGGGCGCATCGTGGTCTATTTATTTTTTCCAACGTAACGGAAAAGCAACGCTATAACCCCCTTTCAAAACCGGCAAGTGGGAATGACGAATGATGAATGGGGAACAACTTATGGAGCTTATGGATTGAGCATAGCATGAAAAAAAAAACTTATGTATGATCCAAGTGGGATGAAAAAGATGCTGGAGGGAAGGAGAAATGTCCAGAAACACGCTATCTCTCATGTACTATATGGTACAATATGTACCCCCCCTACTTTCTTAGTGTGTCCAATGCCCCGCTGATGCACATGAGCTTCGAATCCGTCACAAAAGAAAATACGGATGGAGGGGTAGGTCGTAGGTACCTTACTTTTACCTTCCCGGCCAGCTTTACCTAGGTATCTCTTTCTTGCATTAAACACGTAAGATCGATCGATCTATCCAGGTTAGGAGGCTGGTTATTTCCATATTGGTAATTGCTCCCCTTGGTAAACCGAACGGATATGTAAGCTTTAATAAGGAAGCGGCAGTATCAAGTTGATAGGTTGTTTCATCAAATTACCAAGCATTTTTGAGTAGGTTAGGTACCTATCCATTTTATCACGCTATACGCCATACGAAACATCCGCGGTTTATCCACATACCACCATATCATTACATTAGGCGAGCACCTTTTTTATTTCGTCTTTATATTTCCAAGTATCTCCATAGTATAGTACTGTAGATACTCCCGAATTAGCTACATGCACGACGTAACACATACTATGCTATATCCCGCATAATGGGCTGAGACATCCGGATAGATTTCTGCCTTGTGCTCATCCTTACTATTGCGAATTTCGATATGTGTCCATATGCGGAGTACTATCGTCGTGTAGCGTAATACTTGCAGACTTGCAGATTTGCAAGGCAAGTCTCGGTAAGCGCTTGTCTGCGGGTGGGTCTGGACTATGTAGGATGTGATAGCGCAAGAGACGGTCAAGGCCGAATGGCGACATCCCGTCTGCTGCTTACACATCTATTCATAATCTAAATGCCAGTAGCATCGGTCTGATTTCCAAACAATTTGAAATCCAACTCTGCCTTGACATAACCTGCCTAACCAAACCAACAGACTCTTCGAGTAGTCAGGTCCGTCAAGTTTCATGCATCGCCCCCGAAGCGAAGTCCTGCGCCCCGACTAAAACTCGATTTTCTAGCATGTCGGCGTATTTTGTAATTTTGTTTCTTTTATTTTCCATCTTGTGTTCTTGTGGTCTTGTGGCACCTCTTATTTCATCCACATCTTAGGCGACATGCATGCGGCTCTTTTTATACATCCTGAGAAAAAAAAGGGGTCGTCTCACAGCTGTGCCTTTTTTTGTGCCCTTTTTTACCCCGCGATTCATATGAAGTCGATTGGCATCGCCTGTTTAGCCGCCTTTGCGCGTTCGGCAACTCGCTTGAGGGCGGGAGTATAGATGAGTTGCCTGCTACCGGCGCTTATTCGATACTACACGACCCGTTCTGCATCCCATCATTCATTAATTCGCGTGGTTTTTGATTAAAATCTCATATATTCCCGGTTCGTAGGCGTCTCGGTGTCTCGGTGATGGGATGGGGGATCAAATATGAGGCACTATCAAAAGGGGGCAATGCTATTAATTACACAGATCGGCATTGACACAAGCACAAGCATAGTATTTCCCGTATATCACCCGTATAACCACTCTTCCCATGTGCGTCATGCTTTCAATACCTATACTCTATAAAGCAGCCTCTTTGCTGTGGAGTCAAGAGGACTACCTACGATTATTCTTGACCTGACTTCACATCTTACCTAACCTGCCGACTAGACCTACAATAGAAATAGACCTGCATATCAAAGGCTTACGGAGCTGCCCGCTCATGGCGTAGCCAATCGGTACCGTGATCCTGCCACACGGGATTTAGATGCTTTCCCGATTCGGCAATTTTCTTCAACTTTGACCTATCGTATGTCGAGCCCTAGAATCTTCATCTGGTTGCTAACATCGTAAGGAACCTAGTAAGAAGCTTAGTGAATTGAAAATCCTAATAGAGTTACGTTCTGTGTATGCCGGATTCTGTGAGGAACACGACAATGCAAACAATAAGCAAGGGATATTACTTAGTGCCATAATTGAATTATGTAGTATATACGCGGTGCAACTCCTATATACAGTCTCCTATTTCTCAAGGAGAGGGAAGCATCGCATAAAACTTTGTACGTAAGGAATCGCATGTCGTCACCATCCATTACCGATTTACCTTTTCCGAGCGTCCTCATATGCAAACTCCCTCGATGCTATGAACAGAAGAAATGCCACCTCTTAAAATTGAGCCCGACCAGTCCAGCCTTATCCAGCTTAGACGAACGCCAGACCTCTAGGTGATTTTCGGGACGCCATTAAATGATTAGAAAAGCAGAAATTCATGATCCCTGGACCCTAAAGGAACCATTCAGCCGTCATAAGAGTCTATGTCAGTACAGCCTCATCTCCCTAGCCTACTGGGAAGGCAGAAGGCAGGCATATTACCACGTCTCGGTGATGTACTGTCCGACGTCCTTCTTCAAATTCCAAAACTTCCCAGCCTCGTCATGCTCTAAGTTGCCCTTCTGCATGGCCACCTTGATGAGCGCCTCTTCGACGCCTTCTCCCATGCCCTTGGAACTACCGCAGACAAAGACCCGACCATCGACAGAGTTAATGATGGACCACACAAGGTCTGCCTGATGAACAACCTCGTCCTGGACGTAGCGACTCTCACCACGCCGGCTCTGGACAACTTTCTTGACTCTATCCTCGTGCACGCCCCACTCTCCGCCGTATAGCTCGTCAACTAGCGAATCTCGGATGCCCTGAAGAACCCATACCTTGTTGGCACAGTTAGCGTTCTTCAGACGATGCTGGACAAAGCCACGGAATGGGGCGATGCCGACGCCAGCCCCAATAAGGAGCATCGGACCATCAGACACGAATTCCTTAGCTAGCGGGTTAGCCATAAGCCCCTTGAAAATAGGGGCATAGAGCCGAGGTGAGCTATCTCCAGCATGTTGGAGCTCCATAAACTTGCGAGACTGGCGTTCGAGGAAACCGGAACCTACACCCGTTCGGGTGCCCGCCCGCCAGTCACTCATCTCTTGAACGGTGACAGCTATTTCAATAAGGCGGTGTTGCTTCCCGTCGCGAATTTCCCAAGACTCGTGAGGATCATTAGAAAGGGAGTAGAATCGTGGCATCAGTTGCTGGAGTACTGAGAATAACAAATCCAAAGGAGGTTTGGCGGATGGAAACGCGGTCAGGATCTGAGCAAGAGAGGTATGCGGTCCAGTACGCAGATCACAGAATGCACCTTGTCCTTCGCTAGAGCAGAGGAATAGGAGAATCTTTTTCTCGTTGGGGTCAATGGCATACTCGGCAAGGATTCGCAGAAGAGCTTTGGTAGGAGGGTATGATTGAATGTCAGAGCACCAAGTAAGCAAGTCCCTTCGAGTGGTAACCAACTCTCGGGCCTGATCTTCACCCCAAACAGTAGGCCAGCGGCCACGCGTAGTGCGCAGCAAGACAGGCTTGCCGCGCAAGAATCGCGGAACAAGGAGCAAGTCGAGGATTTGCTCTACGGCAGCAGGGTCATTTGGGGCATAGAGACCAATGGCGCCACCGACTTTGAAGTCTACACCTTCTTCGTGAGGATAGTCGGTGATGTCGATGTCGAAGTGAAATGTGCGCTTCTCAGCGCCTTCCCTCGTCAACTCGCGGGTGTTGTGAATTGGGGCCGGGAAAACGTGGTAAGGAGCATGCGGCTGGACGAAAGACGGAGGTTGTATCGTGGTATCAAGATCTTCGAGGGCAAGGTTCTTGGGGGTGGTGTCAATGCACGGCGAACTAGGTTGGCTTCCGAAAGAAATTGCCGAGTCGGTTGGGGACGGAAGATTCGACGAGACGCGTCGAATGGATTGAATGAAGGTGGTCTGCTCGGGCATGTCCGGAACCTTGGTCAGGGTGGTAGGGATTTCATCAATCTTCAATCCAAGCGAACGAAAGGCGTCATTGTCCGGAAGTGGGATGCGTTCGTATTTGAGTCCTTCTTTCTTCAGCTGTGAGTTCATACAGCAACCACCGCCGCAACATCGATTGAGCAATTGTTCGGTGGATTCGCCAGTAATGCGTTGGACATCCGCCGGGTTTTGCGCGATCAGTCTCGTAGACGCACGCCGTCTCCGTGGAGTCACCTCGGGTGGCTGAGGTTCATCCTGATCTTCGGAGTCGTCCGAATAGGTTAAGGACGGAGCAATAGAAGGTGCACGTGTCTCCTCCTCCGACACATAGCCGGCCGCCGTGTCAACTAGCTGCGGCTCAATGTCAAGAGACATGGCCAGCAAAGGTACGGCAGTACAAGGGAAGGAAGAGTTTCGTGTGCTGATGTGAAATTGGACAAGTCGAGTCCAATTATACCGATAATACCAGAATCAATTGATTACCGAGAAGCCGGTTATTCTGGGGAAAGTGGTGGGGGAGGGGTCGGGACTTGGAGACAAATCCTCTTCTTTCTTCTTACGCGTCGTGTCGTCGAATTGTCCTGTCCCCTTTTGGTGTTGTTTGCCCAGGGGCTTGTCGAAGTAGGTGAATTTGTGGAGTGGAGTAGTGGCGATAGTGCGTGATGTTGTGTGGCAATAAGATACACCACAAAGCAATTGAGAGTGAACGTCACGGTTATATAAAAAAGGTCGACAGAGTGAAGTCACAAGGAACAGAGCACAGGACAAGCTCGAAAAGGGGAAAGGGAGAGAGGTGCACGACAATATCGTGACAATGGAGTCCTGAGTCGTTCCTTGAAGGGGATGGGTTGGTTAGTAAGGAGATTTCTTAAGAAAAAAAGGGTGCCGATCTAGAAATATTTCAATCGTCGCGGGTTTGTTGAAAATGATGATGACAGGGGTACGAGCTTAACAAGGGGGGCAAAGGTAAAAAGGTAAAAAACCCTATCAGATGGCCAGATTTGCTTGCATCAATTTTTAAGTGGAACGATTGTGGACAAGAGTCTGGGTCCTGCGCTCTTGCCGATTGCTGTGAATACCTAAGTCTAGTAGCTCAAAGCCAAAATTAAGCTCGGGTATGTTTAGTACTGTGTACCGTACCTGATTTTGATAATTGAACTCAAAACGCGCGACTGCCCAGTCAGTCGAAGTCTATCGACAGTGAAAGAGCCATATAAGTCATGTGGGGCTCCGATCCTGGCCGAGCCTGCACATCTGCACATGTTGTCGACAGTTGTCAATCCGCGGGTCTGTGGTAAGCTTGCCCCGTTACTAATAACTGATCTTGATATGATAAGATCGTGCGTGTTCCAGCTAAGCAATTTCATTACATATAATAAATCATCTTCCGAAATTACACATGTCTATGCTTTCTGCTTGTCTCGCCTGCCTAGGTATCAATGAATACTTGTTTTCTACTTGGCACAGTCCCTCGTAATTTTTATGAATACCTAGAATTTAAGCCTTCCCGAAACCCCCTGATTCCTGTTCTTTTCGTTGATGACGAAGCAGCCAAGATGGCTAGGATAGCTTGGATAGGGGCGTTGGAGGGATGTTACTTACCAACGCTTATCAGATTTTTTATGCACGCTCATCGGCTGTCCGCAGAAGCAGTAACCATATGATGTATGTAATTGCTACTCGTAGAGCCGACATTGATACATGGAATTTCTGGTTGGTTCGTCAAGTATTGCACAATATTTCGTCACCTGTCTATCTGGCCGGGTGGTATTGGCCTGCCGCTTCTGCTGCTGCCCGTTACCCCGGATCTTCTCCCTGGACCTCCAAAAAATTGGGGCTCTTACATACCCGAACGTTGCGACTACGGTGTCATCATCCAAACATGGACCAGTCTATTCTTTCTCCCTCGGTACGTATAACACCGGCACCGGCTCAGTGGAGTAGGAATTTGGTCCCGACGGGTTCAAGATACCGAGATAAACCTCATTCGTTCTGAATGTCTACGAAAAAACAACACTATTATCGTGCTGACTGATACCATCATTGATCAGGCTCTTTACCGGTCTGGTAATTTCGGGTATCCTGTCTTCTGGCGTCTGATTTTTCTTGTCTAACGATAAGCGGAACCAACATATTTAATTTTTCTAGTGCTGTCTTTAGGTAACCGATGTCAAGTGGTGCCAATCAGCATATCGAGGCTTATTGATTGGCGGTGTAGTTTAAAGCCTCCTACGCGATCGGTGAAACTGACAGACAATGTGATCATAAGCAACGAGAATGATATAATCGTATACTCTTTTCGAGTTTGTAAGCATTAGCCAAGAAGTTGGAGGACTATTACAATTCGCTTGCTTCTATGGTATAACAACTTGACAACTTTGATAAACTTGAAATGTCGGAAAACGTTCTCAGATTCTGGAAGCACAGTATAGTGGACAGTAAAACAACGCGGTGGTTCAGCCCAATGAGGTAACACAACTTCTCTCTGTTTGATTTGTTTAAAGGAATGGCGGATCGGAGGATCAGCCGGGCAATAGGTACCTAATCTAATCAATCAGTCTAACAAGCTCTGATCCAGCCGCACGGAGTACAAGAGTTTATCAATCTGATCAGTGAAGTTTAATGTAATTTATAGTACGTACCTAGGTACTGATTGATTAAATATGACCACCGATATCGGATCCTATGCTTAGCCCCATTTATACCTGACTAAGGTTACATTAGTACAGAAATGCTTCGGAAACAAAACATGGGATCGATCAGATAAAACATGAACTTGACCTCATTATCCAATTCCCCGGAAATGAGCCCAGTGCCGAAACAATTAAAATACTCCGTTCGGTAACTTGACAAGCAGGCCTAGGCAAGGGCTGGCAAGGGTTTTTGGCAATGAGGCTGAATATTAATCCACATAGTAGTTCGGCAATGCCTTCTAAAGTGAGACGACTTCGCTCTCCGCGCGTTTCGAAACGTCCCATCGATCGTATGACCCCCTGAACTCACCGACAATTACCTCACCTTGGGATTGGAATAGTAAAAGATGGGCTCCTTTCGCTTAAGATTATCCTCGCCTCAACATTTCCGGGACTATTTGACGCCGGTCACGCCACGTGTGATCCGTCTGACGAGCCATTTTAGTTGTCCCCAGTCATCGGGCGAGTCTTGATCTGATAAGATTCTCCTTTCCGATGGGAAACAGAGGGATGAGGAACCCAGCGGCACGGTCCAACTCCTGGCCCTTTAAAGCACGCGTTCCGCCAAATTAGAATACAGGCATCAGTGAACGTTGTCCAATTAAGTTGCTGTACGCACCTCAAAGGCGACGGCTAGACTGATTGGTCCTATGAAGAGGAAAGTCAAGTGTCGTTGGCTCTATCCGTCCAACATGGACGAATCATGAGAAGGATGGAACCTCGCGCTCCCGCAAATTATGTAACCACATCCCATCTACTCTACGTGTACGCCTCTTATTACATACTTGAGTTTTTGGTCAAACTTTTTTCCTCGCCGTAGCTAGGCGGGTGCATATACGCTCTTAAGGAAGCTTCAATAAACGCACCGACTGATGATGCGGGAATTATCGAAGGTTTGTATGCACCAAGTGGTGCATACGAGGGAATGGGGTTTCATTGTGACACCTTTTCACGATTCACAAAGATCTGACAGGCGCTGCCTTTTGCTTTAGTGGCTTTACTTTGCTTGAAGTCTTCAAGCAAATAACTCAATTACCATCAAGGTTAGTTCTCAGGTTCCATATCGCATATATGTAACGTCCCCTATTTAACGGCTTGCCTACCTATCTACCTACCTAACGGTTAGGAGTTCGCAAGCAATGGCTACTATAAGCACAGACCTACGCTTGTTATGGCAGTACCTCGATAAGTTGAAAGCTCGTGACTTATAGCTTTATTGGGAAGTTATTCGAGAGCTGGTGACGTCGATACTTACGCGTTTCCTCGAATCGTGCAAAGTTAAAGCCGTTTTGTGTCGAAATCCCTCAGTCACCATGTGGTTCCAACGTCTTTTCTACTATATATACAAGGTCGAAGATGGCTGAGAATCATCGTGTAAAAGTTGCTATAGTGGGCGGAGGTATCGCTGGACTGGCTCTTGCGGCAGGCTTGATTAAAAAGCCACATCTCGATGTGCATGTCTACGAGTCAGTGCCGGCTTACCAAGATGTTGGCGCCGGTCTCGCCTTACACCTGAATGCCATCAAAGCCATGGCGCTCCTTGGCGATGAAGTGAGACAGGCGTACTCCGGCAAGGCACTTACCATGGGCGACGAGAACCAGGAAATGGTAACCGAAGTGATACTGGGCCAAGGCCCACATCATGGCCAATTAGTAGCAGAGCTTGGGAGAGCAAAGGGGAGGAAGACAGTCAGCCGAGCTGACTTGTTAGATGGGTTTCTCGCTCTGATTCCGAAAGAGCACATCAGCTTCGGCAAAAGGCTTGTTAATATTGCCGAGAAATCCTCCGACAAGCATGTTGTCCATCTGTCATTCGACGACGGCTCCGAGACAACGGCAGACTGTCTCTTAGGCGCAGATGGCATCCACAGCGTAACACGCGGCTACCTCCTAGGAGCGGATCACCCAGCCGCATCTCCTAAGAACCACGACGGCTGGCAGATCTACCGGACCCTGGTCTCGACCGAAGAAGCGCGGAAGCAAATCAATCCCAAGTGGACCACCAGCGTCCCCATCCTGCTCGGGCCGCGGGGCCACATCAACTGCATCCCGCTGAACAAGAACACGCGCCTGAGCGCCGGCGTCGCCGTGCGCGGCGCTGTCGTCTCCCCGGCTTCGCAGAACGGGGACGGGAACGCGAGTTCGCGACCGCTCGACCCGGCTCTGTACGCCGACTACAGCGAAGAGGCGCAGCAGATCGTGCGCATGGTGGCCCGCGACACGAGCGCCTCCTGGGCGGCAGGCGACCACGACCACGCGCCCACCTACGCGCGCGGCCGCGTGGCCATGCTCGGCGACGCGGCCCACGCGGCGCTCCCCTTCGCCGGCAACGGCGCCGCGCAGGCGCTCGAGGACGCCGCCGTGCTGGACGCGCTGTTCGCGCTCGTCAGGCGCCCCGACCAGATCGCGCGCGCGCTGGCCGCGTTTGACGAGGTGAGGAGGCCGAGGAGCCAGGCCGTCGTGGACTTGGCGAGGAAGTTCGGCAGGGTGTACGCGTATGCTGAGGACGGCATGCATGAGGATCCCGAGAGGATGAGGGCGTTTTTCGCGGAGATGGCGGCGTTTACTAATGATTTCGATGTTAGGGGGCAGAATGAGGCGGCGCTGAGGGTGTTTAAGGGGGTGGATGGGGTTAGTGGGATGGATGGAGTTCGTGGGGACTTGGGGAATTAAGACGCGTAGACGGGGTTGTGGTTGAAGGCAGTTTGCTGGTTATAGACGTCCACAGTGTTTCGTTCATTAGGTAGGATAGACCACATCCATAAGATGTGTATGCTTTGATTTAGATGTCGAATGTACCTTCTCTCATGCTTGTAGAATCCACATATCTACAATAGGATCATGAGGTACACATGCTCTATATAAGATATATGAGAGTACCTCATATAATAAAATGGCTACATATTCTTAGCTACAGCTGTTGGTACAGGCCAGCTCCTTAGCTGTCCTTGGATGTGATTTTGGTTTCAATGTACAAGTACGAATACCTAAGTAAAAATATACTTAAGGTGAAGTGACTTCACCACCCAAACCCTTCGAATTTCGACAGTCATAGTACATCGAAGTGTATGTATGCGTATTTAGGTTGTTACAGTTTGACACTTCGACGCACCTGGCAACGACGTCGATGAACAAAGTGGCCTACAGCTGCAACGAGTGCTGGAAAGAGGTTCACGGACCGTTCACCACGAAGCATGGGGCACACTTTGCTGAGATATCTACGGTGACTCAATGCTCAGGCCTTCGTCCACAAGGTATAAAACACCGGATCTCCCTCACGACTTTTTTTCTTCTTTTCCTTTTCCTTTCCACTTCATTTCACACCACTAAACGGTGTTGAAAATAAATTAATGTTCGATAAACTTAACGAACTTTATCGACCGCGTCGTGCATATGCACGTACGCACTAATAATTAATTATAATAACCGTTAATTATTATAATAATCATTTATTATCATTAATTATCGTCCTATAATTATAGGACACGACAGTGTGTCTATCATCAACCGTCTCTCGCTCTCATGAGAGAGGGGCGTCACCGACGATAGGCATACCCGATCCAGGCGTGCCTGGCGTGCCGGCGTCCCTTTTTTATGGAGTGGTACGTTGTTGTCACGGCCAACACACCAAGGTCGTTGGTGGCACAACACACCGCCAAAGATCAAAAGTAAGTATAGAAGTTGAGGATACGAAGACACGGGGATCGTTAGATACAGTGAACTAACATTTTCGTTAGCACTACGACGCCATCCACAGAAGCGTGGTGGCATCACGCCAGTCGTGAGATACTCCGACTCTAGAATTATTCTATTCTTTAACCACCCTTTCCCTCTTAATTTCCCGTCCTCCTAAGTCATTCATTTGATACTCGGTTAATCACCCGAGTGGATCATGCAAAAATGAGGATCGGGGAGTCCGTAACGGACCGTCCCTATTGGCGAGACCTGATGGTCCTTCTACGGGAGCTGGTCTCTCGGTGGGACAAGAGACCAGCAAGCAAGGGCAAGAAGGCCCAGAAGAGTGGCCTTGTACCCAATCCATCGTCTCCTTCAGTAAGTTCCCTTCTCTTCTTGTATAGATCACTTCTATCTCGACGCCTCGCTAACATGACGGTCTTAAGCAATGGGAGTGGACCCGCGCCGCCGCCCATCCACTTGGGGCAGCACCTGTTAGATCTAGCAGGTGCCTGGGGGGTAGAGTGGCATTCTACCGCCCAAGAACACAGAGTAAGTCCCTAACATCCCACTTACCCATGAAACAGAATGAAGTTCTAACATGGCCTAAGTGTTCAGTAACTTTCAGATCAGCTGAAGTGTTGTCACGATGTTTATCGTGGCGGGTAAGTCTACACAGTCACCTATATAGAAACTCCGTTGGCTAATTCTATATATCTTAGGAGCCGCTGGCGACCATGGTAACTCGTGGTCCTAAGGATGGACATGGGAGCGGTCCCGACACCAATACAATGCTGACATCGAAGGGTGTCTAAAGCGACGAGCAGGAGGACAATGACGCTGGATCCATGCTCTACCTTCATGGGGGAGCACCTGGACACATTGGTGGATATGTCAGGGTGTCAGCATTGACAATGGATCTGATCAACGATATTGCCTTTGTCAACGGCATCCTGACAAGACAGAACGAGGGTCAGACGGAAATCCGATGAGGGAGACTCGTGGAGGGAGACATATCTTATTCCTCTCTACTCTCCTCTACTCTCCTCTACTCTCCTCTACTCTCCTCTACTCTCCTCTACTCTCCTATCCTAGACAGGAATACAATTGCTTCACCTCGCTTAAAAATATCACCTGCATTTCGTGAATAGCATGTCTTTAACAACCTGACAGCAAGTGAACGAACAAACAAATCCGTAAATGCAAGACACAATGAGCCTCCCAACTACGAGATAATTTGACCATGTAATTCGTGATGGAACTCTGCACTACCCGGAGTCACATTAGATAAGATTCCTTAAGGCCTGATCATGGAAGCATACATACTCATACACAATCCGGCAGCAGCATCGCCTTGTATGCAATTGGTCATGCCAATACCAACCACAGGTGTGTCAGTAATCAGGGATAGGTGAGCAAGAAAGGGAATATGCGTATGCATATCATCAGATCCACAACAACCAGACAGTCAACAAGGCAATGCCCAAAAGAAACTCACGGCCGTAGTATTTTCTTTTTCTTTCAACTACCGCTGGAAATATATACGCCTGCCCATCGCTCTTTTATGATACACGGAGCATGACAATACCACCTGCCGCCGACCAATTCTATCGCTGCTCCCATAACGCCCCGTTGCGCCCTTTTTCTGTTGCTTTTGCTGTTGTCGTAGTCGTGCCTACGTAATCATTTCCGCCCGCGCGGATTCAGATCGTCACAAAAAAATATCATCCCAATCCAAGGTGGTAAAACGATAGATCAGAGGGGAATCCAGACTTCCCGTAGCAAGGAGAGTTCGTAAAGCATGATGGTATCTCATTTTCGATAGAGGGGAGTCGGTAAAGGAGTCATCCATGAGGTCTCGAAATGTAGCACTCTTCTTTTTATTGACTCTCTTCCTTGGGAGGCTGAACGCTCCCACCGTCGACAATTATTTGCCTGTCAATATGGGCCTCGGTATCGCCATATTCAAGTCGCTTGTAAGTCGTAATTCGGGCGTTGTTCATGTCGATGTCGAAGAACCGAACCCGCCGGACGTAGCCGCCATAGCCGCCATATCCTCCAAATCCCGCGCCACCACCGTAGCACATCCACAGCTCGGGCTTCTTCGTCTCCTCATTTTCTGAAAGCATGCAATACTCGTTGGCATGGTCACTAGAAGGTTGAGTGTTAGCTAGTACTAGAGTACTAGAGAGACAAACCTGAAAAGTGGGAAGGATACGTACTGTCCACAGCTAACCATTACAACACCTTGCTCAACTAAGGCATCGCGGAATCCCGAATTGTATTTAGGGGCCGTGACACCCTCCCTCAGTTCGCCTACACGAGGGGATTCTGCATCTCTATACTCCGGGAGAGGTATGTGAATGAAGGCGAGATCCATATGTATATGAGTATATTCCTTGTGCTTTTTCTTCAGACCTTCCGATGTCTGTCTGAACCAGTCGATCTGGTTCTTCTTGATCCAATCATAGCCGCTCCACTGCCGTTCGTCTGGGGAATATGAATGTGAATCAAGCAAGTATATTGTCAATGCAGAATGCTTTGAGGTCCCTTGGGCCAGAACCTCGATATAGTAATTGCCGATTCCATCAATATCGTCCGGACCAGCCACGGATAGCGAATATGGCAGCTGTTCAATCAGCGCCATCTGCGAGGCTCTAGATAGCGCTCCTTCATCGTCATGATTTCCAAATATGGATACGTAGGGAACCTTATGCTTAATAAGTAGTTGTGCATATTTGAAGATCGCCGATTGCGCATCGGGCGCAGTGTCTCCGTTTACCTGGTCGCCACTAAGGACGACCAGATCCGGCTTCTCCTCATCCAATAGCTTGGACACGAAGTCGAGGGTCCGCAGATCCGCAAGACAAACCCCTCCTTCATACTCGTCGGGAACTGCATCTCTGCAATGACCGACGCCAGTGCTCAGGTGTAGGTCTGCCAACTGCATTATCTTGAACTTTCCATTATCCTTCACCCGCGGCTGAGGCTTTACAGGTTCAATCTGGTTCCCTTGCCGGATTGTGATATGAGCAGTTGGTATGTCTGCGCCGGCATCGAGCAATAATGGAGTATTCTGGAACTGCCATCCACTCCGAGCTTCCACAGCATCGTCGCCGAAAAGGACATCGACCGCGGTGACGGCCTTCTTAGAATCGCTCGCCGTCGGCTTAGATGATCGCAATACCCATAACCCAGCCGGACGAGACTCCCATTTCCCATCGGATTTACCCTTAGCACCCGTTGAAGGGTCCTGTCGACTAACAGTGACGCCTATGACGACCTTATCGGTGGTGGTAAGCTCCTCCTCCTTCTTCCTCTGTACGTGAAGGTAGGCGCTAGAGACCCATGATTTGCCCAAGTAGAGGTTTTTCTCCACTCGATGCCAGGATTCGGGGTCGAGCTTGCAGGAGGAAAGTAGATTGATTTTGGAGCACTGGGTTATTGTTATATCGGTAACGACTTGTCCATGATGGTGCTGTGGCATATACTCGTGGACGGCATTGGGGAGGAGTCGGAAATTCCGATCGAGGAAGAAGATGATCAGGAATGCGAAAAGTGCTGCAGCGGTTAGCTGGGATATGGTGCGCACCTGTTTAGAGAGGACGATGTTAGCTTTGGCTTATGCATATGTACAACAGTTAATAGGAATAGATGAAATAGATTGCGACATACTATCCTTCGCGTCATGATGCTCGAGATGAATATGGTGGGCTGGACGGCGCTGCTGGCCCGACTTCAGGTAGATATTGTATGTTAGCACAGTAGCGATGTCGTAGTGATGGGCGCCAGCGGCCAATCATCTTCAACCATGCGCATCTAGATAATCTCTGCTCAACCCTTCAACCCTGCAAGTCGTCGGTAAACCGGTTCTCTAGGCGGTAGTCGATTCGGTGCTCGAAACTGGAGAAATAATGTATTATCAAGCTACCTGAGAAAAAGAAACTAAAGAATTTGGAATTTGGAACATTAGAAGGAGAAATAAATCAAGACCCCGGTCGAGTATTCCCGATAAAATGATAATGACAATCTGGGGAATCGCGACCAATCCACGCCAGAGACACCCCTGTATGCCCATCCTTTCCCGGATCTAGCCATTAGGTACTTTGATGTACGTACTGCCCCTATCCAATTTTCTATTGGTCATTCAATGTTCCATTCAAGATATTCACCTCTACAACTCGCCAATGAACATAACAAGTTACGCAAGCCTTCGTCGTTACGAGGTGAACAAGTCGATTGATGCATATGTAAAGAGTAAGCTTCTAAGCGCAAGCCGTAGATCATCATAGCTATTGCATGCAGCTCGATTAAACGAAGGGATGAGTACGTAAGCCTTCAATAGAATATCTCCGAGACACGGCACAGTTGACCGGGGATAGCTCCTGCATCCACCTACAAATCTAGAATCGTTGAAATAACGGCTGATCGGCAGCCACCTTCGTTCAACTCAAAAACAAGTCGTCGAACTAGGATCGATCAAAATAACTCGGACCTTGAAAATGACGTTTGCAATGTCACCCTACGCACATGATATCCTTCAAATGGATTGAGGATTCGTAATAACCTTATCAGGAGAGAAGGTTGAAACCTACCTCATACAAGGATAAGACAAGCTCGAGTAGGTAAACAAGCTACATAAAAGGAGATGGCAGTAGAGGTAGGAAAGAACTTCTAAAATGGCTTATACAACAAGTCATCCATATGGATACCATAACTAATATCGAACAACTCTATACCACCTATACTTAAGGAGCTTGTACTATATAACCCCATCCTTAAAACAATCACGACCCATGGATTCACTCAATGCATGTCGAATGATATATCTCTAAGCCTGTTCTAACCAAACAGCACAAACAACGACTCAGTACTACCGCCATAATCCATGACAGAACCCCCTTGCCTTATCCCCTATCTCACAAGTTTTCGTTGTCGAAAGCTTAGGCTAGAACCCATCACTCATCATTTTACATCCTCATCAAGCATCAGCAACTCCTCGGCAATATCCCACAACTGCGCTGTCCGGCCACCAGAAATCTTCCTCTCCCAGAAGCCGTCCCGTCTTGTTCTACCACCACTTCTCCAAAAGTCGTCATCCTCGCTGCGACTCTTCTCATTGCTAACCCCCGCAGCCCCTTTCTTCATATTTCGACGTATACGGTCGTTGAGGTCCCCCTGGTCCAAGGTATGCCCCGAGCAAGACGAAGAAACGGATCCACCCACTGTTCCTCGTCTGGTAACGCGGTGACTTTGCCCGTCAACCTGTCCCTCGCCGCCTAGTTCCTGTATGCTATCCCTCAATGAAACGCTATCCCGGATGCCTCGAAGCCTTGCTGTAAATTGCTTAAAGACCGCGATTCGCTTCTCAGCCGCTTCAGCTCTCTCACGCCACATTTTAGTTTCGCGCTTCGCTATCCTGAGTTGCTCACATAATTTGCCGATATCCATATTCTTGCGAGCCTCTAGCTGTCGCCGTAATTGTGTGTTTTCTTCCACTCTGTGTTCGAGCAGCTTTTGTAAGTGACGGATTTGAACATGGAGCATTGAATTACTACTTCCGGGCCGGCTCCCACTTGAAACCCTTTCATCATCGCCATCATAATGTCCAGGTGAAGTGAACGGGTACGGACGAGCGAAAGTAATGTGCTGGGCTACTGGAGGCTCTTCTTGATGAGGAATCATGGTTCCCAAACTTGGTGGTTGGCTAAGCTCTCGATCACGCAGAGGAACCGGTGGAGTCGGTGAAGAAAGAGGCATTTTCTTTGGTGCAGAAAACGAACTACCGGTAGAACGTAGAGAAACGTGTGGAAATTTGGTTCGTAAGTCGCCAGGAGTAGTCTTGGAGGAAGCGAGACTAGTGTTGCTATGATTTACAGCAGAAGCAAATTCTGGATTACGCGTCGGTGTATAAACCGGTTGGAATCTGTCTTTGAAAGCGTCGGAATTCTTTGATAGTATACTGGCTGCCGGAGACACGCTAGACTTGATAGATTTAGTCGGTGTGACTTTTCCAGAATGTGTAGACAGAATACTACTGGGTGCTTTAGAACCTCTCCTTCTTTCGCCTGAATGTGCAGCTGTCGATCCAATAGGCGAATCTCTAGCAGCATTGTCAAACAGTGCAGTCATCGCCCTAACTGCACCATTGTGAGGTTTCGAGCTTGAACGACGTGGAATTGGTCTACTTCGGTCGAACCCATTTTTCGTCGGTGATGCCGAACTTTCAGACCGTGATTTCTCGAATACGCTTTTCTTCTCGGGCGAAAGTTTGGAGGGCATCGATGTACTGCCACTTTTATTCCTCGTGAGCTCCCACTTTCGTTCCGGTGTGACTGGTCTCTTGTTTCGCTGTGCCAAGCATTCGTCTGTATGTCGAAAAAAGCCATTGCCAGGACTCCGTCTCATACGCCTTTCCTTCGCAGCCCTCGCCAACGATTCTGTGCTAGCCCTACTAGCCAGAGTCAGAGCCTTCCACTTGTCAGCCGGGCTTGTGTCCCGAGTCTGGACATCGAGATGTTCTCCAGTTGGGCTGTTAGATAGATCTTTGATCGAGAGGGGTGATCTAATTGGCGTTATCGTCCTCGGAGTCCCTGTCAAATATTCCTCATCTTTTCCAAGTACGGAAAAAGAGGATCTAACGCTATGAAATGTCATTTCACTTCCAGCTACCCCATGGCCTAGTGGACTTCCGTGATGGCGTATTGGAAGATTTTCATGTCTACGAGGCGCTTGCCCGGTTGACGGACTTTCCTCAGCTGTTGGCGAAAGACATTTCGTCGAGACTATAGAATTAATCCGTCGTGATTGTCGTCGCTTCATAGATAATGGCTCAAGTTGACCTTCAGACGTAAATTGAGGCTCCAGTAAGCTAGGTTCTATTTCTAATCGTCAACTTGAGATGCCATGAATGGTGTACGAATTTACCTACTCGGTGTTTGGATTGGACTTCTGGCCATCGGATAAAGGCCCCTATCTTTTTTCTGATGGAATGGTTCAGGACCGTCCCAACCTGGCGGTTTTCTTAATGAGCATGTATCCGAGGCCGATGAGGTCAATTTAGGCCTGCGTTCCACATGATGAACATTACGCTCACTTCTTCTGACCTTCAGTGTGCCTAGAGTTCGCATCTGTCGAACTACCTCCCTCCAATGCACTATCAGCATCTCCGCAATACTGTTGGCGATGTGCAATTTGTCTACCGCGATGAGTGAGGTTGAGTCATCGACGGTGGCTTTTGATCTTGATCTTCTATGCTTGCGCCTCTCCTTGCGGGATTTTGGATTCGATACCGGCAGCAATACTAGCCCAACTGCCGGATCTGCCACCTTCATTTTGTAGGATTGAATCAGATCATTGATTAAAAGAGGCCCGAAAATGATGCTCAAGGCATTATATCCCATCAAGCCAGATGTTGGAAGAGGTCTCCCATCTTCATCCTCGCGGGGAGTATTTTCTGCGGCTCGACCGATGAAGCACAATAGGCCGAATACTGCGCAAATAATCTCCCTTTGATACTGTGACTTTACAGTCCCAATTGCAAGCGCAATCAGCCGCGCGCGAAGTTTGGTCTCTTTGGTTTTGGCGAGCTCGGGGTTAGCGTGAAGCTGGCTGTGAATTGCAACGAAGGCATCAAACAATGATAGTGAGCCTAAAATGCCACCAGGTAGTCCAGACAGAAATTTCTTGAATGCAGAAGCGACATCGTGGGTGTTACACTTGATATGATTGGGAAGATTCGGGCACCGAGTGGTCTCTGAGATATCGCTTGTATCTCTATCGGCGCAATAATATTCATAGAGTGTGTTTACGGTTCGAATCGATCCTGGTATTCGGAATATCCCTCGTGTATTAGCTACGATGAATACATGTTAGTCAGAAATTGGTAGAATATGAATTGCACTTCCTAACCTTGTTGTACGAGTGCTTGTGCAAGTGCTCGGAAGCATGTTGGCAACACTAAGGAGCAAGGCGTGTATTCTGGGGGCAAATAGAGCAAACTCTTCCCGCACAATCGAACTAGATCCTGAAGATTTGCATTCTCCAATCCATCTTTCTTTTGATGATGTACAATGTTCAAAGCGGCATCACTGATGCTCCGTCGACGTCGAAGCGGCTGGTCTGATTTAACAATCACAGTTTGTGTTGATTGGCCAGAAGATGATCGTCTCAATGCTTTGGAAAACCAGCTCGTTTTTCGAATTGGAGCAGACTTGGACACGTTTTCCTGTCAGCGTGATATATCATTTTCTCGTCCCTAGATGTTACTTACAGAATCTACGGGAAAATCTCCAGGCACAAATAATCGAATACCGTACTAAAGCCCCAGGTCAGTAAACTCATCGGCTACTAAGGCATTGGGCAGGAGATGCTACCTTCTTTGCAAGTCGGTTGTACTCATTGACGAACTCTTCTCTATTGTCTACCTCATCATGTTCAGAAAGCAAGCCTCTGTCGCAGCTAGAAGATGTCCAAGTGCTGCTTCTGCGTCCAGGGACTTCCATGATACCAAGTGAGTGAGATGCATTTAGACCTGCTTGTGGTCTAGCGATGCCTGAGTGCGAGATTGGGCGTCTTCGTTGATATGGAAAGGGCTGCGAAGACGTTGACCAACTGGTAGGGATAGGCTCTTTGCCTTTGTTGGAGATCGAAGGAATATCATGATGGTAAGACTGCATTTGAGCGACTATGTAAAAAAAGGGGTATGTCGTGAATAAAGGAAAGGAAATACTGGAGAATATGGAAAACTTCCAAGTTGCAACGGCAAAGAATGAGGCAGATTGATGATACGTTTAACACTACCGTATCACATACGAATGGGCCACTCCTTCCTGCCTTTCTCCTGACTATGATTTTGTTAGAGATACCAAGGAAGCAACGGGTCGTACATAGAAGGCGATATTACCTCGACAAAAGTGCCCGGCCATATAGGTATATCCAACCCCGTAGCACTGCATGCCGCAGGTACGATCTCATGGATACCGTGATACCATGATTTACAGAATGAGGTAAACACACCTGGGCATGTGGGCGATCTTCAATGTGTGCCAATAGAGTTCCTTAGACATCTTTGAAATGTATTGCACTTACAAGAAAGGCTTGTGCTATGGCCACAGTAAGATCCAGACCCATTTTATCTTCTGCCAAAGCCTAAAGCCTCCCTCATCTAGACCGTGTAATTCCTCCTTAACCTAGATACCTACTCTGAGAGAATGAAAACCTATGCGGGCTCAAAAGGACTGATCCTTATGCAACCACTTTAGTCTTTCGAACGCCAGACTCCTCTGCAATGCCCATCAATAAGCTCCCTTGACTCCATGACCTCGTTGCCGCCATTTCCAAGGTGTCGTATGCGTCGTCAAAAATTCTCGAAGGGTTGCCGATAACCCATCACGGAGGGGGGAAGTAATCACCTTCCTCGCTAGTAACGCCAGTGAATAAGACGTACTTGAGGATGTCCGAAAGGGAAATAATGCCCTTCAAATGCCAATTATCATCAATCACTACCAGCCTGTGGACCCGAGATTGACGTAGAGTGACAAATATCGAATCGAGCCTATCATCCTCCTGACAGGTATAGATGCCTTGGAAATCATCCGGCCTCCTTGACAGTGCCTCTCCTACCGTCGACTTCAGTTCGTCGTAGACCCCTCCTTTGATACATGGTATAACATCGACGGCTTCGAATACGTTGAGCACGACATTGTTTTTGTCAATGATGGGTACGGCGGAAATATTGTGTACCACCATGAGATTAATCACCGAGAGAACCGAATCGGTCATCTTGGCCGTGGCAAGGTTCTTGTACGTTCCCAACCCGATCTCCCGCACCGTCTGCTTCAAGAGCATGGTATGCTGCTCCGTATTGACAGCAATGAATTTGAGGATGCGATACTGCGTGATGACGCTTACTACCGTCTCCCTCTCGGTTTCGTGGTCGACGTCGACGAGCGGAATTCGGCGAGCGCGACTCTTCAGCATGCGGCTACATGCTTCGTAGAGCGGCTTCGACGGGTGGACGGACACAGTTTCTAACGGGAGGACGCCGATAGCCCTTTCAATATCTTCGACGACCTAAAGCATCAGCCACACAGATTCAATCGATATGCCCCGCACATTCGTGCTTCGGGCGCAACATACCGCGAAGACTGCTGAGCCTAAACTTGTCAACATCGTCAATATGCTCCGGGAATTGGCAGTAATACTGGATCAAATTTATATAATCGGTAGCCGTTAAAAGACCGGCGAACCTGGACTGATGCGAATCCCAGAGAGGCGCGGACACGATTCCTAATTATTTTCACGTTAGGAATGGTTCAAACCGTCGCAAAAGCTACGCATGTAATAATACCATTCTGAATCAATATGTCCAAGCTCTTCCGGATTAAGAGGTCATTGTCGAGCACGATGAGTCGGAAAGACAGCGGAAGCACATCGTAACTAGTTCTTACTCGAAGAAAGTTGCGCAGACCTTTCTATAGACATGGAACGACGGTCAGTAAAATGGTTGAGACCTGAAGCCCGATAGTCGGATTCGGAGGGGAGGGGAAAGCAAGGCGGGAGAAGCCGGGAAGTTATGATATATAGAATGCGAAATCTCAAAGCTTACCAGGCCTTGCAACTGCTCTTCATCAATGGGAGTCATTGGCGTCGTGGGCACGGGTGTTGTACGACTCCGAAATTTAGGTCTGAGATACGAGGATGGCTGCACAAAGGGAAGCTCGTGACCAGCTCGAGGCAGCGGTATGGGTATGGACGATTGCAGGCCCGACAGCATGGCGGGGGCGGTCGCGGTTGGCGCACGCTGTGGCTCGTCGCCTGGCGGATTTTTGGGTTGGCGGCTCGAAGGGTCATCCATCGTTCGCCTCTCTTATTTTTTCTCTTTAAACCCTTTTGGGGCTCACTTGGGGTTCAGGGCAAGTCGGGGCGGGAATTATTAGTGGAACGCCCGTCTCCCCAGAGGCGTGTAGTAGGATGTTTGCAGCAGGTGTGAGCGTGGAAAAGACTTCGGTGTAGGAGAGACCTTCTTTTTACAGGGAAGAGGGGGAGGGGTGCGGAGAGTAAAAAGCGACGGATGTTTTAAAAAAAGGACCAAGAGGAGTTTGCTAGGTATCGGGTAGGGCTGGTCAAAGAATTGGAGAACAGAGCTCTAAACATGCTTAGTTAAAATAGCAGCATGGAGAATTGCTAGCTGAGACAAGGTGATATGTAGAAGCCGACAATTGAATTCATGACGATGACGATAATCGATGGTGGAGGGATTGGGAATTGGTGCAATAATAATGAATGAGGTCAGATTAGACAAATAGATAAATAAATAGCCTCGCTCTCTTGAGTGGTCTAGACTGGGCTGCTAGCCGAGTGGACAACTGAGAACTTGATTATTTGTAGGTATTGATATCTCTTTAACCACTAACTAGCTGGCTGGGTTGATCATTGATGTAGGTAGATAGTAGGATGTAAGTGAGAAGGTTCAATTTTTGGTTACTACTAGGTACGTAAATGTAGGGGTTCAGAGAGATCTGATAGGGTAGTGCCTAACAGTGTAAACGGAGGGAAGCTGCAGCTTGGGTGGTAGCGATACTTAAGTACTCTCTTTTTCAGTGCTTTTGATAAGGGTAGCTGCATGGGGATCATGGATGATGCTTGTTAATCACGAACCATGACATGTGGATTTAGGTCTTCACGCTTGAGTCTTCATCTTTGTGATGTCTTGATTCAATTCATTTTTAGATACTTACATATATAAATGTGTTGTGAGAACGTAAATGAATAATATCTACTTGGATAAATAAGCTTAACCGGGTTGACGTAATCTGGCATGGCCTCTGCCTAGTTGCTTGGCCAAGCCTAGTATAGTGCGTGTGGATAAAAGTGGCCAAGTTAAGACTCTTGACTGTGAAGTTACTATTCATTGTGTGATTCCGTGAAAGTCTGCAGCCTATTGTAAGCCATATTAAAACCAACATTGAACTAGAGCACAGTAATAGTGAGTTTAGATACCAGCTAGTTTCCACTTTTGACTTCGACTTTAACTTAGAAACAGATAAGGTAGCTGGAACACACAAAGTTACATAATTTAATTATGGCGGTAAGGTAACACACCTAAGATAGAGATACTCGTGTAAGGTCGAGGTTTCTCCTTTCTTGTAGACTCAACCGTAGTAATCCCCCATAAACGGCTAGGGTGGAAAACACACTCGATAGTGAGATCAAAGCGTAAGAAAGCAACAGACAATCAAATGATCTATCATATCGTATTGAGGAAGTGATGTAACACCAAGGAGACACAAAGTCGTCGTATGAAAAGTCGGTCTCAGCTTCTGCTTCTTAATCTAAGCCAAGGGAGCTTCATCCAAGGCGGGAACGGGATAAAGGCAAACATCACTCTTCCAATTTAACCAAGATACCTAACTTCGAACCATAACATAGAAAATGCTAGTCACGAGAGGATCAAACATGTCTCATGCTTATCCGACCTCTAAATGTATAGTTGGTGTGCAGGTAGTTAGCATCGAAGGCGAAGTTGGCGTCATGAAGCGATATATGCAAATGCCAGAGTGGGTGTATATCACCGTATTTAAAAAAGAAAATTGTTGGAGGGCTCGGATTCATAAGTTAGATGGCCATACAGGCTAAGACGGGATGCTGGTGTTTGACCATTCTGACCCCGTTGCGCCTTAGAGGGTCAGGTCTCATGACCTAATTTCTTAAGAAGCTGTTGTTGACAATCAGCGGAAGTCTTCCACACTTCAGCGGAGTCAAGAAAATGATTGGCTGTCTATAATTGCGAATAGCTTCAAGCTGAGGAGGTTCTGCAGCGTAATAACAAACATTGCTTGGCTTCGGCTCATCCACACGGTAAGCTGCATGAAAGATGGATGAGCGGCTGGGTACATTATATCTTTGAGACAAGACGAGATGGTGGACAGTGGATGGATGATGTTCATTTTCACAAGCCAAACTAAAAATGATCGAATCAACAGCTCCGGCTCTGGAGTGACGAGCTCCCGCCATAGTGGACTGGCTCTGTGGCTGCCGCAATACGCAAGAGCTGTCCTGAACAGGCAAGTGAGATGATAATCGGGGTCCTGTTCGTTCATGGGTAGGTGTTAAGTACGTCAATTCGCTCCTGTCTTTGTGATTACATGTTGAAAGCTCCAACCTCGTCTTCAAGCTGCTTACATCTATTGGAGGTATATGCATGTACCTACCGCCATTCCGTCCTGTTGTCTATACTGGTTTCATTGTAATTTGGCATACCTCTATATGCATAACTTGATATGCGGATCACTTCCTGTTATACTATTCTTAACTGTAAATACTTGTTAGACATATCTTGGAGTTGATAATATAATAATATAGCTGATAATGTCTCGTATAAAAACTTGGAAATACACCTACCTTAAGTACATTATGTAGGTAATTAAAAGTTTAGATAAGCGCATTGTATCTGATTTAGGTATGTACTGATAGATACAACAGGGGGTGGTATCCACAAGCCGAAGCTCAGGCAAGCACGCCGCTCCCACCGAAACCTTCCGCAGCTCCACGAGAACAAGAGAGAGAAAAAGGCAAGAAGGGATTGGTCACCTTCGTTAAGCCCACCTACCTGCACCGCCTGCAGACCTGCACTATTCCTTCTCTGTACGCAACCACACAGCACTACCCATAACCACCCCTAGGCTACTGCAGCGGAAGCGGCAGTAGCGCAGCAATTGCTATTACAATTACTATCGTCCTAAAGGTTAGGAAGGTCCCGTCTTAGGTTCGAGGTATACTTGTGACTGGGGGGAAGGATCGTCCAATGTCGGAACTCGTCAAAACCTCTACTTACCTTACGCAACAATCTTTTTGAGCTTTCACTTTCTGGTGCGACTTACATTTGCAACTTTGTAAATCGTAAACAAGTCCCCAAAACACCAACGTCGAAGGTTCGACACCATTTACTCCTCTTCAATAATCACAACAATATACACCGGTCAAGATCGATCTCTTCTCATTCCATCGTTCTGTTTCGTCAATGCATCGATGCATATAATCCGGCAGAATTATCGCCGTGTCGTCGACCTGCACGAGATAGCCCGCCTACCCTAGCCTCTCACGAGGATACATCATAGGACCACCCATCCTCGCGGCGGCAGGCTTATTATTTGGGTCTAATCTCAGTTTGTTGACTACATTTCGCACACCAGACCGAATCGATTCTTTCGAATAAATTCAAGCCAATACTACCTGCTACCTGGATACAATTATCCATCATTTGCTCTTCGTTTCATCGGCAGTAATCAACCCTCATCATCATCGATCACGGTGCTTCGCCTTACCCATAGCAATGGGGGCCTGCCAGTCATGCTGCGGAGGTAACATCAAATCCTTCCGTATCAATTAGAGCTTCGCAAGTGCTAAAAATTGACGTAGGCAAATCTCGCGAGGGTCTCTACGAGCCAGTATTGGCCGATAGCGAAAGAGAAGCTGTCGCTGATCTGCTTCAATATCTCGAGAACGTATGTTTATCTCCTACCGATTCTTCAACCACTCCACGCTAACCGTGTTCTAGCGCGGCGAAACCGATTTCTTCTCTGGCGAGCCTCTCCGAGCCCTCAGCACCCTCGTCTTCTCCGACAACATCGATCTTCAAAGGAGTGCTAGTCTAACGTTTGCCGAGATCACAGAGCGAGGTACGTGATACTATCAAGACGTGACAAGAGAGGTGTTGGATTTTGTAGTTACCAAGCGAGCCCACTTTGGATCACCAACATATACCTCTCTAAGGCCAGCTCCCGAGACTGACCGGCTACTAGATGTTCGCGAGGTCGACCGCGATACGTTGGAACCCATCCTCTTCCTCCTCCAAAGTCCCGATATTGAAGTACAGAGGGCAGCTAGCGCGGCGCTTGGAAACCTGGCTGTTAATAGTGAGTAAATCTCCTATGGTTCTATCTAGCTGTTGCCTTACCAAGTTATCTAGCCGAAAACAAGGTCTTGATCGTCCAACTGGGCGGTCTAACACCGCTCATACGTCAGATGCTTTCACCCAACGTCGAGGTTCAGTGCAACGCCGTAGGATGCATCACCAACCTGGCAACTCATGAGGAGAACAAGGCCAAAATCGCACGATCAGGAGCGTTGGGCCCGCTCACTCGATTGGCCAAATCGAGAGATATGAGGGTTCAACGAAACGCGACTGGTGCTCTCCTCAACATGACACATTCAGGTATGTATCTCGCTTTCTGTAACCGTGTTGATGTAGATATTTCTAACAGCACCATGCAGACGAGAACCGACAACAGCTTGTCAACGCAGGCGCCATCCCCGTATTGGTTCAGCTCTTGTCCTCTCCCGATGTCGATGTCCAATATTATTGCACGACAGCACTCAGCAACATTGCCGTTGATTCTAACAACCGTCGGAAATTAGCTGCGTCTGAAACTAAACTAGTCCAGTCGTTGGTGAATTTGATGGACTCGTCTTCCCCCAAAGTGCAATGTCAAGCGGCGCTGGCGCTTCGAAATCTAGCCTCGGACGAGAAATACCAGCTAGATATCGTTCGAGCACAGGGCCTCAATCCGTTACTACGCCTACTTCAATCATCCTACCTCCCGTTAATCCTCTCCGCCGTCGCATGCATACGCAATATATCCATCCATCCTTTGAACGAATCTCCCATTATCGAAGCCGGATTCTTGAAGCCCTTAGTCGATCTCCTAGGCTCTACAGACAACGAAGAAATCCAATGTCACGCGATATCGACTCTCCGAAACCTTGCTGCTAGCTCTGATAGGAACAAGGCTTTAGTACTCGAAGCTGGTGCGGTGCAAAAATGCAAGCAACTTGTCTTAGATGTTCCGGTCACTGTTCAGTCGGAGATGACAGCCGCGATTGCAGTCCTCGCCCTGTCTGACGATCTCAAGACGCACTTGTTAAATCTCGGCGTGTTTGATGTCCTGATTCCCCTCACACACTCGCCAAGTATCGAGGTTCAAGGAAACAGCGCTGCAGCTCTCGGCAACCTATCCTCGAAAGGTACGCGCTGTTCCCCCCCTCCCCCCCTATTTTTTAGAATGTCTAATAGTTGACTAACTCCTTAGCAGTCGGCGACTACTCTATCTTCATCCAAGACTGGACGGAACCAAATGGCGGTATTCACGGCTACCTCAGCAGGTTCTTGGATAGTGGTGACGCGACCTTCCAACACATCGCCATTTGGACGCTCCTGCAGCTGCTAGAATCCGAGGATAAGACCTTGATCTCACATATTGGGAAGTCTGATTCGATTGTGGAGATGATTAAGCAGATTGCGAACCGACAGATCGAATCGGATAATGAATTTGAAGAAGATGATGAGGGTGAGGTTATCAACCTTGCGCAACGTTGCTTGGAACTGCTCGGTCAGAGCATGTCAAAGGCGCATATAGAGGGATGAAGTGACGAAGCCTCTATCGACGGTCATTACCATTTTCTCACTGTTCCCTAGTCAGCAAATTTTGCCGGGCTGCTTGTCTTGTTCCCGGCTGGCATTCACGCGGACGTGGTTGGTCCCGGTGTTCAAGGCGTATTTTATATAAGCAGGCATCTGTGTTTTTTTTACCGATGTTTAAGGCTGCTTCGATATTCTATAGGGAATGCATATCCTCATTGGGCGGCTTGAGTTGCGGATGGGGTGTATCGTGGCTTTGCTCCGAACCTACCCTCGTGAAAAGGGAGGCACCCGATCTCATTTGTACTACTACGGCTTCGCCGTTCGAAAAGATGACCACTCGGTTCGTCGCTCCCACCAAGTCACGGATGCTCTCGTAGTGCCTTGCGTGGGACTGTTAAATTCTTGTAATTAGATTGCACTTCCTCGCCTAACAATGATATCCCACAAATCATCCCTTCCGGACGCCTTCCATGCAGCATGCATAGTTATGCAGTCGTCGTATATTACAAGTATATACTATACACGTGATCAACTTTGAGATACGTAACTTCACTTGTCCTGTAAGAGAAAGGGTATTTGTCACGGCTTTGGCGAATCGTCGGCCGAGGCGGGACGAAGACCACTTTCTACTTTCGAAAACCAGTCGAACGGCCACCAGCCCTTCACAACCACCTTAGAGATCACCTTGCCCTTGATCAGGCCCATAGGCAGGGGGCCGAAGTCGCGGCTGTCTCGAGACCAGGGGAGGTTGTCTCCGACTATGTAGCAGTGACCTTTGGGGACCTAGATGACTTTGTTAACCCTTCCATGTTTTGCATATATACAACGGGGGAAATATGAATTCGGTTGGGGGATATATATATAACGGGGACAGTAGAGCGTTACCTGTATCATGTTGCCGCTCCCGACGCCGGGGGAGTTCAGCAGGACGTAGTCGCCGGGCATGCCGAGGACGCGCTTGATGCCCTCCTCGCCCGGCTCGACGGGGATGGCGTAGACGACGCAGTCGCCGACGCGCACGCCCCGGCCGCGCCGGTACGACCGGTCCGTCACGAACCACTCGTCCCGCACCTGGAAGGTGGGGAGCATCGACGGCCCCCACCCGTACCCGGCGCTGTACCCGTAGGTCACGAGGACGTGGCCCAGCGCCATGGCTTTGACCGTGTAGAGGAGCACCCGGAAGGGGTGGCCTATGAGGGAGGATGACATTTGCGGCGACGGTGGGTGGGAAGCTCTTGGTGAGGGGCAACGAAGGATTTCTTATGCGTTGAGTTGCTTCGCGGGAGGACTCATGATACCTTTATGAGCCAAGGCGTGCTTAGATGAGAAGCTTATGTGTATATGTATACACGTAGATATTTGAATCAGTACATGAGTTGGATATGCACCTACATAGATGTAGACGATCTGATGTATGTAAATGGGTAGACGAACTCGAGCCAAGTCTTGGCACCGAGCTACGGCAGTAAGACCTGGTCGACGTACTAAGCCGTGATTGGCTGTGCGAGCTTTAACTCTAAATCTGAAAGCTAATCCATAACCGTGGAACCTTAAAAACTCAATTGCAAAAATAGCGAATCTTCAACAACGTCATTTTTCAGCCTCAACAGCGGCACCGTTGGCTGAGATCGTCCTGTACCTATGTAAACCTGAATAATACTCGATATCATTGCCTTTCTCTCCCCAAGGATTCAAGCGCAGCAAAGGACCTAACACACCACCCAAGATGGCGCACCCACGCTGCCTCGCCCACGCCTCCCCGGCGCGAGCACTCCACCGAGTCCTCATCTCAGACCTGCCCACCGCCGCAGCGCCGTCCCTCGGACGACAAACAGCCACCTACCTCCTCCCGCCGCGGCTCTTCTCCTCCTACACCCAACTCCTCCCCATCACCACCAGACGACCAATCCCCTCCCCGCCGACCGCGGCGCAGACCCGGTTCCTCAGCACGACCCCCGCGCTGCGGCGCGCGCCCACCTTCGGGCAGCGCCTGACGAACAGCAACATCCCATACAACTGGGTCCGCATCGCCGACGACGACGGGCTCTCGGAGCCGCAGCCCATAACCGAAATCCTCGCCTCTCTGGACCCGAAAACGCAGACGCTGGTCATGGTCGCGCCCCCTCCCTCCTCCGCCCCAGAATCCAACCTAACCTCCTCCGACTTCACCTCCTCCCCCTCCCCGTCCTCCCCCTCCGATCCCGCGGCGCCGCCCGCGGCCATATGCCGCATCTACGACAACGCGACCGTCGCCGCCGCCGAAGCCGCGGCCGAGCTCGCGCTGCGCCGGAAGATGGCCGCCACGAAGGAGCTCGAGATGAGCTGGAGCATCACGCCGCACGACCTGAAGCACAAGCTGAAGAAGATGCGCGAGTTCCTGTCCAAGGGGCTGGCCGTCGAGGTCGTGCTCGCCAAGAAGCGGCGCGGCCGCGCCGCCACCAAGGAAGAGGCCGAGGCCGTCCTGGCTGCGATCCGCGCTGCGGCCGCCGAGGTCGAGGGCGCCAAGGAGAATAGGAAGATGGACGGCGCGGTCGGCGGTGTCGCCAAGGTCTTCTTCGAGGGGCCTGTCGAGAAGAGGAAGAGGAAGAAGAGGGATATAGAGGAAGAGGCAGCGGCAGCGGCGGCGGCGGCGGCGGCGGCGGCGGCGGCGGGAGAGGAGGTGGTGGTTGGGGAGTCCGTTTAGTTGTTAAGACTGCTCGGGAATCATTGGGAAAATTCGCGGACTATGTCGGCGATGACTGGATCCGTGAAGGACCCCCGCTTCATTGGCTGGTGGGATGGGTATCTAGAAGGCTTTGGTGGCGCATCTACTTGCATCTAGATCTCGCCCTACGTTTAAACAACTAAACTTAGAGCCGAATAGAAGCACGTAATGACAAAACTACGATACCTCATTCGTGAGGCCTCTTACACATCAATATCATGACTTGGATATTCGTCCAAAATACTGGTTTATAAATACATTTTATTTGTGATTAAAAATTGCTTTCAAAGCATATGAATATGTTCATCAAATATTCGCCTAGAACGCCACCGGTTTGAGACCCCTCCCAGTGCCAGGCAGGCATATTTCCAGTACACCCTTATATCTGGCATTCCTAATGCTCTAATAGTTCTTGACTGGGGTTCCCTCATTTCGTCGTTAATGATGCGAGTTTTCTATTCTTTCATCACGAAGAAGGATGCACCCGCGACGCTAAATGCAATCGCCGTTGTCAGGAAACCAGCCGCTACCTTTTCGCCTGTTGTAATTTCTGGTATGGTTGGCATATAATCATCCACTGGTCGTCCGGCATTGACGTTGCCGATAGAGGTTCCGCCGGTATCAGCAGTCACAGGGGCTTTGACTGCCTGCTTCTTCACTAGCGTATATTGTATGGCAGACAGGGCACTCATCTGCTCTCCAACACCAGCAAGCCCGTCGAAATTTGCCCCGGCTGTCCATTTAAAGCCGCATGCTGTGCCGGCCGGGCCCTTATATGCGCTAGCCGATGGTGAGCCAGAACACTGTTTCGCTGCCGCTGTGGCGGATGATTGAACTAATGGCATAAGCGTATCGAAGGTATACGGCGCCATTTGAGATGCCGATGCCATCCACCGCATTAAGTAACCTTTGAAACTTTGTTGATCGTAATCGCAAGAGTTGAATTGTTCGCAAGGTCGCTCAACTGCGATTCCATCGTCGAAGAAGAAATTAGTCGTCCTGTTCACCAGACCGTCCAATCTCGCCTTCCAGGTACTGTTTCCATCGGTGTAGTTGTACATCATAGCCGTCCCTTGCATGAATATACCGGCATTATAAGTCCACTGGGCCTTGTTGATGTCGACACAGTTTTGATCCACGCCGGCTCCATCGTAGATATTAAAGTCAGAGTCGATGAATTTAACTTCGGTCATCCAGTCCCAGACTTTCTCCGCCCAATCAGCATACGTTTGATTCCCTGTATACCTCGCCAACCGGGAAGCGATGTTGAAAAAGCAGCCGTTTGAGATCGAATTCTTGTAGTTAAACCCATTGTTAAACGTAAATATTTGCCATCGCATGCCGCCGCCACAAGTTTGAGGGTCCCATCGAGTCACATATTCGTTAAATACGGCCTGGGCTAAGGCCAACCATTGAGGCTGGCCCTCGGGCGGATTTGGGAAATTGTTCTCAGCGGCAGACATGGCCGCCATGGCCCAAAATCCTTGGTCATCGTTACCTAGTGTCCTTGTCTGGTTCTGTGGCATATAGTCGCTATCTTCGCCTGCTTGATGTTGCATTGCCTGCATCGTCACATCGTTGTATGTCGAATCTCCGGTATAAAACCAATAGTCGACCAAAGTTCCGAACATAGCACCCGCTTCCCACCCTGATACTGCTATGAGCGATGGCTATATACGTTAGAGTGGATTGGGTCACGTACAGAAATACGGGTCAGGCAAGTTGCCCGGAGTATCACCTGTGTTGTTTCCAGTGTAATACTTTAACAGGCCAAAAGCAACTGTGCTTGCTGCCTGCTTGACAGAGTCTATATTTTGTCAACCAGGCTGTTCATATGTTGATATTGGCCAATACGCACCATCACTGCTGAGGTCCACTTGTATGGCGTTTGTGAGACCTGCCAGCAGGCTCACGAGGCCTGCTGCATGAACGGATAATTTCATTATAAAAGGAACGTGATATAATTAAAGAAATGAATGCAATGGGACTTCGCCCGCGAAAGGCTTCGCCTTCGAACTGAGAAGGATGTTGGCTTTGCTCAGGATGTCCTCATGTCCTTTACAAACTGAGGAAGTGAAATATCTCGACTACGATTTCGAAGATTGATAATTCAATCGTCACCGGCGTTCTCGATGGCCTAAGCCTCTTAACAGTCACTCGAATAATTCGAAAGGAAGCAAGCCGCTAGGGCGAAGTGAAAGAAAATAAATTAAACTCGACCTGGAGCGAGTATGAATAATAGAAATGAAGAGAATGAAGCCTGAATGAAAGGTCGCCCTGCGAAACGAAACGAAAGGAGAGAAACTCCAGTCCAGAAGCGATGATGAAGAGAAGTGAAGTTGAAAGTGTCAAAGGACACAGACTCCTTCAACTACAAACAGTTCCAGTAGGGTGGCAGACCCCATGTTCGTAGGGTTACCTGGGACCCATATCGAAGCAGCTTCATGAACCGCGTAAGCTAAGCAACTGTCAAACGATGCAACAGTGTCCAGGTCAATCGCCTACAATTGACCAAGACTGTCAAGGTTAGATCCCTACCTAATCGATATGTGCGGGTGAAGCTCCGTCCCAGGCCGTGAGGCTATGCTTGTTGAATCGGTATGCTGAAACTGCTTGAGTTCGATCTGAGCGGATCCCTCGTCTCAAAGGAGAGAGGTCCGGGGTTGTAGATCTCTCATCTTAGAAGTGAAGCAAGAATAGTTTCTTGGCAAAGCAAATCTTTTTCGGTTGTAGATCATTTAGTTGCTAAACTTATAGATAGAGTTAATTCATCTTTGATAATTCTCAACATTCAATATCTGAAGGCATGTTTAGATAGATGTAAGTTAGAGAAAACGTTGAAAGGGAATAAGTTGGAGTAGATGAAGTTGTGGGGGAATACCCCTTGTATGTGCCTTACATATTGGGCAGCCGCTGGGCTCCACCTGCAGAGAACAACTGAAATAACAAGGATCTTCAACACCACTACGTCCGGAGTCACAATCAACCGTATGCAACTTCCTTATTCTTGGTCGAAGTTCAAATTGGAAAGGGTAAACTTCACATAATTCTCCAAGCGTCTATCACGTGAATCAACGTCGAGGAGAGCCGATACCCGATGACAGGTGTGGTATAATTATTCAGGGGCTCGAATTGACATCGTCAATCGAGTTCACCCAGATGCATCTGCAACTAAAGTTCTCCCCATGCTAATTAATTCTAATCCGAGATAAAAATCTGTTTCTCAGCACTCTATATAGGTTCGATGTCATTGGTATCGGAACACAAGCGTATATAACCCCCTTTTCCCCATTTTCTCAAACATCATCAACAATCTTCCACCGCGAAACCTCGAATCTAGCGATTATTTTGTGCGAGCTGTAATATAGTGAAATTAGGAACCTTCATTCTGTCTTTAGCAAGTTTAGGCCTTCCGTTTTTTAGATGGGGGTTGGGCACCATTGGCTTTGGGTTTCTCTTCCTCTTCGTCGTCATCGCCCATCTCTTCATCCTCATCTTCGAAGTCTACGTCGCTAACATCGACCTCTTGAGCTTGGCCTGCAAACATGTTAGAAACGATCGGCATTCCGCGTTGTAAGAATCAACTTACTGAAGTATTTGATAGCGTTAGGCCAGAGGTCATCGCTAATAGCGAGAGCGACTTCTTCCCCATCGGGGAAAATCTCAAGGGCCAAGGGGTCCTCATCCTCATCTTCATCCTCCTCATCCTTTACCTCCTCGAGGTCGGGAATCTTGCCTGCAGCTCTCTCGGCCCGCCTCTTCTTGTCTTCTTCGATAGCTAGTCGGCTCTCTTCGGCAGAGACATTCAAGCCTCTATATCCGAACCAGCCGAAGAAAGAAACTGCACCCAGGCCAGTGGCCTCGATCTTTTCACTCAACGCCTTTTCGTCGGCCGTGTAATCCTTCACCTTCTTGATCTTCGTGCTGTCTGAAGGGCCATTCTTCTTGTCGTTTTCCCAAACCTTCATTACTAAGTCGAGTAGTCCCTGAGTGAGATCCTTCTCCGCCGACTTCCACTTAATGGGGACCGGCTCGCTAACCAGGCCCTCCTCGCCGTCTTTAGAGACACGATACCAGAACTTCTTCTCAAGTACTTTGTCTTCAAACCACTCGTTCTCGGAGAACTCTAGTTTGATGGAAACGCTGCGAGGGTCTCCCTTGCCACCATTTTCAATCTCAAAGTGGGAGACCGAGACAGAAGTCAATGAGGATAGGAGAACAGCAGAGTCGCTGGGTTGAATGTATTGATCTAGGTCTGGGGGTGCCTGCTCAAAAACCAAGGCCCAGAAATTGGGGATCTTAGCGACTAATGCTGCTCTCCTCTCATAGAGAGGCTTGTTCATAGCAACTTGCTGACGAACTAAAAGAGGTGTTAATGCCCATTTACTCATTTTCGATTTACGCATTTGGGTATCGTTATATGTCATGAAGTGGCATGTTAAGATGCTCTTCAAGATCGTTGAATGTCACAGCCAAGGGGGCACTTACTGATTTCAGTCTCGACGTCATCAAAGTCCTTCTCGAGGTCCATCAGCTCCTCGTAGGTAGCAATTGCTACATCGACCTCGTCCGTCATGGCTGCAATGTTAGTTGATGATGTTCAAGTATAAAGACCTGGTACTCTGACGTGAAATTTTCGTTGAAGAAATGTGAGAAATGTTTAGAACAACTTGGATTCTGTCGCACTATGGAATTTTCAGAAAAAAAATACTTGTGTTTAGAGAAAAAAAAAATTCTCGTCGATCAATCAACCTCCGTCATTGGTGGACAGGGCTAGCACAAGGGAAACACCCCTGGTAGATTGATGCTGTTATTGCTTGGGTCCTCCCCGCGCAAAGGCTTGGCAAGGGTCTGAATCCCATACCCCTCCATTAGAAGAGTGTTGTTTAATGGAATATTTAAGGCAGGTGCATTTTACTTAGAGAAGAAATTTCATCATTGTAAGTCTATGAATGATAATAGAAAGAACAACATCTACTTTCTAAAAGTTTGGTTATATTTAATACCAACACCGGTCATCAACATTCTTGTTGCTAAAGGTTTTATAGTTGATCTAATTCATTGCTAGTGGGGATAAATGTATGTCTTAGATGCTTCGCATGTAGGTATACATTGATCTGTAGTAGGGGAAGTACCTACTTATTATTTTTCATCCTAAAACTACACAGTAGAAGTTGAACACACTAAACGCATCTGGCCTGACTCAAACATCCTAAGCATACATAGTATCCTTGGTCTATGCTACCATCTCCAAATGTCAACAGCTCCTGAATAAATAAATAGACGTGAAGTTGGCGGATGTCAACTTAACAAGAGAGCGCCCACTATCTTCAGTTATAGGCAATACCCCCTATCTAGCCATCCCGGCAGCTTGCAGAGCTGCGAAAATACTTCCTGCGGCAACGTTTCCAATGCTGCTCTGCCAAAGTGCCGCCAGAGAGCCTAGATAGAAACCGTATGAGTTAGCAATCAACCAGGTATGTCAAAATACCAAATCAGGCTACGTACCACCGCCAATGCCTATACCACCAAATCCAAACATTGCAAGAATCGGGCCTGCTATGGCTGCACCAATTGGATTACCAAGCGTAATCGTAATAGCAACCTTGGCAGCCGTGGTAAGAACGTTACCCATATTGGAGTGGTGGGTTTAGTGTAGATGATGAGGAAAATGTGATTTTCTAGCAAAGGACGATGCTTAGGGGGTCAGTTCCCGATCAAGATGACAGATGGGATGTGCCAGATGTGCAAAATATAAATTTGCAGTGGTGTTGTTTTGTACGACTTGACAAGAGAAGGCGATGAGTTGTTCACTCAAGTCAAATAGAACCAGCATCTACGGATAGCCAAAGCTTTTATAGACAAAGCTCCCGTTTGAAATTTAATCAAAGCTTCTACCAGAATGGTGAAGTTCTTGGGAATTCCTCGACCGACTGGTGCATTCCGATTCGGACCATCAGCATTAATATATTCGTTTGCAAATGACATGAAAGACGTATCTGCATTGGACCACGGAATGGACGAGTGTTTACCGTAAGGCAGCACAACCACCAATAATGTCGACAATGACCGGGAGGTCTGCGTGTGGATTCGAATGATGTCCAGTGTGAAGCACGGGTGCCTACCTGCAGCTGAGGAAGCGAGTGTATCACGAAGTTGACCAGTCATTTTCACAAATGAGAAGTGTAGTCGAACTGATTCAGTCAACTTCGGATAATTTCGATGTTTCTCGACATCGGACCTGAAGCATTATAGGGACTACGGAAGATAATGGCTTTCACGTTTGAATGTCAGAAGTCAATATCAGATTGTTCTGTTATCATATTAGACCTAAGATGTAGGTAGCTACATATGTACAAATATGAACCCCTTGTATCAGTGCGACATCGAGCCGGCTTGTGACGGCATGCGGGTAGAGTGGGCCAATGCAGGTCCCAGTAAACCGATTCAAGTGGGGGAAACCTACCTAGATACCCACCCGGAATTAGCCCACTTTAGAGTGGGCGGTCGCATTGGGCAAAAAAATAATTATCTTCAATCGTTATCGCATGCGCAATTCCCAGTGCTACGTCGCTACGCCGCATACAGTCGCATCTGAATACCGTCTATCCCTCCGTCTTTTCACTCAAATCTCATATATTTCAAGATGAGCGGTATACCTGGAGCCGGAGCCGGCGCCCCTGCAGGGCAGAGCCAATATGACCCGAACGATCCCAATGTCAAAAGGGTTTGCGCCCCTCCTCGAGTGACTTTGTCCGATCCAAGATATACTGACTTGGATGAACTAGTTGAACGCGATGATGGAGTCCTGCTTTGGCAAAGCCGCAGTCTCGGGTGTGATGGGGTTTGGTATGGGTGGTCTCTTTGGAATGTTCATGGCATCTGTATGTGCATCCTCACATATTTCACCTCAAGTCCGCAAGACTATATCTCTAACAACTCACCATAGATGTCCTACGACACACCCTTCCACACCCCCGGCGCCCCAGGCTCCTCGCCGACCCCGATAACCTCACTCCCGCTCCGCCAGCAGCTGAAAGTCGGCTTTAAGGACATGGGATCGAGGTCGTACAGCACAGCCAAGAACTTCGGGCTCGTCGGCCTGATGTTCGCAGGTATCGAATGTGGCATCGAGGGATACCGCGCCAAGAACGATTTGTTCAACGGGACGGCTGCCGGTTGTCTGACGGGCGGCATCCTAGCGAGGAGCGGCGGCCCGACTGCAGTTGCGGGAGGATGTGCGGCGTTCGCAGCGTTTAGTGCAGCAATCGATAGCTGGTTGCGGCAGCCAAAAGACGACGAGTAAGGGGTAGTACGGGAACACGGATCCAGAACATAAGAGCGCGGGTGTACGATTACGAACATGGTCCTTTCGGCAAGGAAAGGACCTAAAATGATGTTGGGTCACGGATTGCATAGCACGACGGCGTTACGGTTGCGCGGATCTGTAGAAGGGGGCAAATTCTCCACTTAGGATCTTGAGCTTTGAACTGGAAACTGGGCATCATGAGAGATTTCACAAATGCTACTACTAAAATACGAGCCAAAAGCCAGTTACGATAAAGTAATGTAAATATTCAGCTAGTACTACCTAATTGCCTGTGCCATCCTTATTATGACTAATGGTAAGTGGGGACAAAAACAAGTTTGCCGTCCGGGTGGACTCTCTATATTATAGTGTTTACGAAAGGGGTAATCTACCAGCAAGCAGCTATCGCAGCGAATCCGAATTGGTGTAGTGGCTAACATTTGACGCTCTCATGATTGTACAGTCAATAGGACCGTCAAGCCCGGGGTTCGATTCCCCGATTCGGAGTTTCTTTTTGTCCTTTTTCCTGGAAATTTACCTAAAGTGGGCGCTAGACTGGCGATCTAAAGGATCCTAAGCATGTTATATGGAAAATGACCAACGAGCCAAAGCCTGACGCGAATTTAATCATGTGCGCACACACTGTGAAATGAAGCCAAATATACCCGTGGATGCCTCTACACTGACAGTTGAGGACTCATGTATCCATGGGTGCTTTGTTAATGAGATTCGTGGTAAAGTTTGGTTGAATCTAGCTAGTTATTAGTTAGTCGTAAAGCATCATGGAATTATCAATTCCTATCCTGACCCTAGCAAGCGTCGTTGTTGTAGCTGCCTACGACGAAATGCTTGTGAACTTCTAGTTCGATATGAGCTGCACTACCTACAATATCCGGTAAGACGTAGTCAACATGCAGAACACCTCCCGAGAGCTACAGCAACGACCTAGCAACGAGCTATTGGCCCAGGGCCAGGCTCTCTTTCTATAGTATCAAACCCTCATGTATTCCGCTGACTCCGAGCTCATTGATATTATCGATTGGTCGTACGTGTTTCAAAAAACCGCAAGACAGTGAAAGCGGCTTAGAAGAGTAGAGGGGAGTGCAAATAATAAAGGAGGGAAGACAGGAACATTAAGTAGTAGTCGACATAAAACTTTTCTCTTAACTTGCTTTTGTTGCAAGCTGGATAGCTGTAATGGTAGTCTGGCTCATATCGCATAGTACCACCTCATAGTAAACCCGCCTCCCCACCATCCACCCATCGTATAGCATATCCATCACATACCCGTCCGTCCACATCTCAAAAGATTAAGAAATTCCACGTAGAGCCTCTATCCATGTCTTGCCAGTTGCGCGGCGCTCGCCTCGCCCGCCGGCAACATTATCATACCCTGATCAAACCGGAAATAACCACCAACTCCAAATGATACCGATCATTATTAAGTCATAAGTCTCTAACGCTTAAGAGGCCTTGTAGACCTGGAATGTGCCAAATTCCCAATAGGCATCGGTGAAGGCCGACGGGTAATTAGCGACGTAGTCGGTGCAATTACTGGGACCTATGAACAGTTAGTGCTCTAGCCCGCCCTTCAAGAAGCGAAGAGAGATAACTTACAGCCGCTTGTCGAGTACACGTTGCCAGCGTACTGTCCACATAAATCAATGTTGACGATGATGCTCTGGTTTCTGAAGTGCGAGCCGATGTCGCAATCCGTGTTCGGGAAGTCGGCAGCGGCCTCGCCCCAGGTGGTCGGGTCCGGGCTCCCGGACGTGATGTCAGTTGGGATCCCGTTCCTCCCGAATTGCCAAACTCGGATACCCGCGTCACGCCATTCCATGGCCATAATACCGCCGTTAGCGTCATTGTAAGCACTGCCATAGGTATCTGCGGCGGTTTTAACGCCGCAGCCAGCGTTGTCGTCGGTGGCGTTATAGCAATCGGTTGTGATGGACGAACCAGTCATCTTGCGCTTTACTTTCATTTCGCAAGAGTCCGTCGTATGAAGTGTCATCTGGTTGCCATCTGCAGCCTTGTTCACAGCCTCCATCACATCAATTTCTCCATTGTCCGGCCAATTGTTGGGGTCGACGAGCCATAAAGCCGGCCAAGTTCCGCACCCGAAGGGGGTATGCTTGACGTCGAAGATGAAGAGGCCGCTGTCGTACTGCGTCTTGGATTGGACCCGCACAGAGAAACGTCCAGTAGACGCATCTGGGGTAGAGGTATTGCCGACACTAGTGTCGACCCTTAAGACTGCCGAATCCGTGCTTGCGTACGTGAGATTCTAAGAGAACGGTTAATGTGGTGTCGAAGGGCCAATAATTGAGCGCGTACCAATTGTGTAGCTTGTTCCTCCGGAACATAGTGAACAAATCCTGCGGCTGGATCGTACCCTGTGAAGTAATCAAACTTGTCGAAGAAAGTTGTTCCGTTATCTGAATAGTGGAAGGTTAGTATAATTATTACTTCACTTTCCATGGAATTAAGTTGAGCAACTCACATGAGTCTGATAGAGTGTAATTGAGGAAGGAATAATCCGGATATCGGTTCGCCTTGGTGACCTCGACCGGGACGACGATGACGATAACGATAATGATAGCTACAATTGCTGCGAAAATCGCCCAGCTTCTTTTCCCCCAAGTCTTGGGATTCCACCGGGATGCGGCTTGTTGCGAGGCCATGTTTCCTCGCGGTGGTAGTGGGCGTTCTGTCGAGTAGTATGGTGGTGCACCGGATACCATTTCGACGGGACCATCGATATCTCTGACTTGAAAGGAAGCGGGACCAGCCCTTGGCTGGTAGTTTGAGTCCTCCCAACCCATATTTGTATAGGAGCTGCAGAGACCTTAAAGATAAGCTCGTAAAGAAGCTCCGACTAAAATCGCTTGGCGACCGTTGACAACGAACGAATGCGAGTAATACTTAGTAGCCTAGCTGCGCCGCAAACTCGCCAATGAATTGATATCCAATTGAGGGAAACGGGATGCGATTTCGTCGAAAAGGTTCCTTTTTTTCTTCACAACGAATGTGTTCTTTTCGAATATTCAAGAACCTGCTTAACGATTGTAAGGCGTCTAGCCGTGGTGTATAGTGTTTTGTGTGTGTGTTGAAGGTTGGAGGTATCCTTTTCTGGGAATTGGTTGGCAAGAGACAAGTTTAAAGAAACAACCTTGAACTTGAATGCTTGAAGTGGTGTGTGTAAGGTTCCAGGATTCCTAAAGTTGGTTGGACCTGGTGTGTAGTCGGTACCTACACCGGATATCAAAGATTAGGTACGTACGGTACTGTATGATACTTTCAAATGATTTGAATTAACATTGGAGCCTTCAATGTTATTCTGAGGTTAAGTGGTAGTAAACACCTTGTTGTCACGCAACCACCAAACCGAAAGAGCAGTGACAATACGAGCTAAGCCCCTCTGATTTCAATAAAAAGGGAAGCTTCAAAGCACATCTCGGGAGTACCTTGGGATGTATTGTACCTAATACACATACAGTACGCTACGATACAGCTACCGTAGCAACTCAGAACCTTAACACCACAATCTCTAAAATCTTGCAACGCTAAAAACCTGTACAAGAGGAACTGGAGAAGGCTGACGCGTTGGGAGTTCCACGTTCGGTCCATTCAAGTAACTAATCATGCTGATGACGCCGGTCTATCTTGCAGTCCGTCAGTCCGTCGCCCTACCTACCTACACATGTACATAGTACGTACCTGTAGTTAGGTGGTGCGATAGCTCGAATGACACATCATTTGGCGTTTCCCTTGTACTACACTACAGGGATAGGCCATTGGTACCTTTTTGCTTTTCTATCGTTGATCATGATATCGTCATACCCAAACTCCCGGAGCCCTAAATTGAGTTTTAAGTGCTGTAAATATTGATATATGTAGGGCAGATAAAGATCAACCAAAATAATCTAATCGGCGTGTATTCTAAGCACCGGCACATCAAAAACAGATGAAACAAACAAGTCTTCTTTATTATCAGACTATGAACTGCCTGAGTACCGGTTGTTTCTTTTCATGGAGGGATACATAAGTGCATGTACATCGTATTGCGGGTCTGGGCCTTGAAAAGTGTTTTGCAAAGATCTGATCCACGCTACGGTTAAGCACAGCCCCCGGATGACGTGCGGCTAATTTATCGATACAGTATCGGTATCGTCAACTACATACTTGCAGCCAATCCAACGGTTCGCTAATAAATGGCCCGTGTTCTGGAACGCCGTCCGTTCGAGATGCAGACTTCGCGTCTTATTGCCGCTTCTTGCTTCGCAACTACCTAACGCCCTTGGCGGACCGGACCGGGATTCAATAGAGGTATGGTGAAGTGGTCGATTTTATGCCAATTTAGAATAGAACGAAAAGAAATTTTCATGGACGGATACAAATTTTGGAGCAGTCTTGGAAGCCCTGGATAACTCAAGTCCAATACATTTGCTGCGAATCAATGCATCTTCAAGAATTCATTGACTCCTTATTTCATTGAAGGATGACTATAAAACCCTTCTAGTACCTGTATATACATAATTACCAAGGCAACTAAAGCGAAGAGGAACTGGACGTTTGAGTCGTTTAATCATCATCCTCGTCCACTCGAGCACGTTTCGGTTGCCTCGACTCTCCTTCCTGCAATCCAAAACCTCTCTTCGATGAAGAGCTCTGATCCACTTCGGCCATGAACTTATCCATCTGAAAGGGGTCATTAGTGGCGGTGTCCTTCTCGAACTGGACCGGCCCTTCCCGTGCCTGTTACCACTTGAATTAGTAAAAGTCAATTGTAAGTGTTTGGTAGTACTAACCTCAGCTTCGCCCGTCCCTTTGAAAGTTCCCTTACCCAGTACCTCGCCGAATCGGCTGGTCTTTTGGATCTTGGCCATCTCCCGATCTCCGGCACCTTCATCCTCGTACTCATCCATATTTTGGCTGGGGCGATATATACTGCTGATTGCATCTTGGGCTGCGAATAGGGGTTTATCGTAGGGATTGTCTTCATTAAACCCACTGTCAAAACCGCTCGTTTGGTTGAATAGACGCGAATCGTACATGGACTCGGCCTGTGCTGTAGGTTTTGCTAGGCCAAGAGCGACCTTCTCTGATATATCACGGTTTTGCTCACGTGCCATGACCTGAATTCGTCTCTCCGCGCCCATACGCGACTGGCGGAGTTTGCGCTCTTCCTCCCGACGCCTTTCTTGGCGGGCTTGTTCTCTTTCGCGGACCTCCGAGTCATCGCTATCTGAACCAGACTCCGAATAGCTGTAACTACGTGAACGTGATCGTGAGTCGCGCGATGACCTTGAGTCGCGACGCTTCGAGGCGCCGCCACGTTCTTCCCGAGCCTTTTGCGCGAGCATGCGGAGATTTTCCTCCTTTTGAGCCTTCTCCTTTTCCGCGAGCCTCTGCTGCATGAGTGCTCGTTGCCTAACTTCCTCACGAGCATGTCGATCCGCCATAAAGAGGGCCTCCGAGAACTGTGCAAATTTGTCGTTGATCGTAATATCTTGTAGACCTCTTCCGTCTGCCGCAAGTCGCTTATCCAGAGGGACTGTGAAACCCTTGGGGTTCTTCCAGTTTGAAACCGGGGGCGGGATCTTCCACATCTCTTGGTCTTCGGCGGTCAATTTTCGCGGTGGCGAGTGCATCACAGGAGGCGGCGGACTAGGAGGTCCTCGCGGAATCTTTTTATGCTTGAATTTAGGTGGTTCCACTGTAGCACATGTAGTTAGTAATTGACGTAGAATGGCGAAGCTTGCAACAAGCAACGAAGAAGAGGGGAAGAGTACGTACTGGGATCCTTTTGCCTTTCTACAATCTTCATGATGCGGTCTTGCTTCTTTGATTTGTCTCCCATCTGATTCGCCGGTGTGTAGCGTACAAATGTTGGATCCTTTCGGTTTCCGACGTTGACATTCTTCGGCTTCTGAGCCGCTACAGCTCCGCTAACAAGCGCAGCCAGAGCTTTCGCTGTTCGATCTTTCGTCTCTGCTACCTCCTGCTCACTAGGCCTCTCCAGGTTAATTTCACCCGCATCGGCACGCTGTCTGAGGGGAATCAGATCTTTGAATGATGAATGAACTATCCTCCCCTCGCCATGGCCTTGTCTCGCGATGGCGTCGTACTTGACTTTGCCCGCGGCATCGACCTGAATTGCTAGAGCATTGCTTGTACCGGACTCTTTACCCATCGATAATGGGTATTGCGCAACAGGAATCTCTGGGAAAGCACCGCCATCGCCGAAATCTTCTTGACCTCGAGGTCGCCATCCCGTTCGTTGGCCATAAGGGGGCGGACCCGTTCTTCGTAGGACAATTTGTGATTCATCTATTTGACCTGCTCCAACAATTCGAGGACCACGTTGCTGGGCATGCGCTGGAATATCTTCATCCTCACCCGAGTATTTCGGCTTCGGTAAAGCGGCGGCAAGCGACGCTGCCATAATGAGGGTTGCTGCGGTGTTGCGAAGACGCGCTGTTTTAAAAAATTACTAGACGAAGTGGTGAAGATTCGCGTGTTGAAAGCAGATGCTGCAAGTTGAAATCTTGTAGGCTAGGTACTTTAAAGTGGGTCTTATCAACTAAGGCTGTGGCTGGAAGAAATGCATTGCCACGATTTACTCAAACGCAATTAACCCGAATATGTACATAACGGTATTTTCCTTATAATGAAAACTGTTAACGGCATCAACATTGACGTCGATAATATGAACTATCGAGGGCAAAATGGAACAAAATCAGAAACTACCTCCCATCCCCTAATTATCAAGACAGTCGACCCGTAGGAGAAGGGAAGAGGTCTTGCCGGCTTGTCGAAGCATACTGCAATCAATCTAACATGCAGTTGGGCCACAAGATATACTTGTAAAGCTTACACTGGACACACGTATAATAACCTCAGTTACTCAATGTTGTTAATGTAGAGTCCTATCAAGCGACTGAATGTCACAGGGTGTATTACGGGATTTCATTAGCTCCTTTCATATCAATTGCAAAGCTTCTCCACTCAAACAAGCTGACAATTCCAATCCCTTTTTGACTCCTATGATACAGTACGCATGAGGTGCCAAAGCCAACCGTTGTTCCAATATACGCCGCAAAACCAGTCCTGATCTTAATGTTCGAAATTCCTCATTTACACATAACCCTTTCGTGCACCCTATGATACTATTAGTACAAGCCCAGCCGCAGATGAATATTTCACATACCTGGAAGAAGAATCGAACAACAAAGACTTGTAGAGCACCCATGCAGACCATCATGAGACACTGGATTAAGCTAAAGTTGACAATTCTGCCTTCTGTGCTTCGGACAGTGCTAAAGTTTCGATTTTCTCGTGTGCGGAAGTATTTCTGGTTTCGTGCGATGGTGGATAGTTGACCTGACACCTTATAGATGGATTCTTCGAGGGCCGAGGTCTGTTCCGGAGTCGATCCTTGCTTAGATGGAAGCTGAGCCCGCACTTCGTCCTCGACCTAGACAATTCGTTAGAATGTGTGTTGCCTGTAAGCAAGGGATAAACCTACGGCAATCTCGAAGTCTACAAACTTCTCCGAGTAGGTGCTCATATCGTTGTTGAAGCAGAACTTGTACTCGCCGAGTTCATTGGCCGTGAAAACGAAATCGCCCTGACGTTCCTTCTCCCCGTCCAAAATAACCTTGTCTCCAGGGCCAGTAACTTCATAGTTGATATCGAAAGAGCCTCCAGATTGTACCTAGAGCAACAGCCAGTTAGATACCCAGGTAGGTAGCAGATTGGGGGAGGGTAGAATCATACAGCAAAGTAGAAGGCAATCTTGGCACCTGTCTTGTCGGGTGCAGCGAAAAAGCAAGCTTTCTCGTTTGCTCCAATCTTGTATGTTAAAGCTGTTGCCGAGACTAGAGAGACAAGAGAGGCGAAGAGCCCGGCTGATGATAGTGTAAGCTTCATCGTGTATTGTTGTGCGCAATCGGAGTTGTGAAGCTAGTCAAGGTTTCCGAACAGCTTGTCGTGATTGACACTGCTAAACTGCCACGCTACAGAACCTTGACTGATCAGGGGTCGGGTTATTGGATGGTCCGACAAGAATCTTATTGTTGCGAACTAACCCTTGTTGAAAGTAGTACGTACTATTATGTGGGGCAGAAATTAAACCTAATCACTCTAATCTCATTGGTTAATATTGGTTAATAATAAGCTTTCTTCAATACCTGAGCAAAGCAACGGGCCAAAGACCAATTAGCGGAGACTGTGGAGAGCTCAAGCCACAATATGCAGCTAGGTAATCGCTGTCGTCACATTCAACCTTAGAACATTGTAACATTGCGACAGACTGCCTAGAGTGCCTACAGTAGCTTGCGACGTTAAATCCTACCTTTTACTCTCTACAACTTTGATGGCTTCTTCTCGTCACCATTATTTTGTCACGCCATAATAGGTCTTCTAGCTTCGGGGTTCTTTTCTATCTCGAAATTCATGTTCTTTCTTCCTGTCATTCACGCGTGTTGAAATTATACAAATATCAGATCTCCTGATTAATCTATTTAGCTTATACAAATTAGGCTCGGCCTCTCCTCTGTCGCAGCCTGCATCCCGAAGTTCCCAGGCTGTCCAGGCAGTTGAAAATGGGGGGGCATAAGACAACAGCGACGGTTGCGTCGGCTGGTATAAGAATCGGTTCGATTATATTCCTTCGATGGGTACGGTCCCTTTCCCTTTCTAATAATGTACCATCCACTAACTGTCGCAGGTCGCCTTACCCGTAAGTTTTATAAACATCGCCAAAGATACCAACTGAATCTCCTGTTTACGATCGCTGACGATCCTAGCCTATCATTTCCGTAATATACACTCTATTCGCGATTTATATCCCGTCTTTCGTGTTGGGTTACCTCAATGAATCCAAGTATGAACTTCTTGATGAAGTCGACGTGGTATTAAAGGAAGACATATTAAATAAAGACGAGGTCGCAAATGGAACTACTGATGAAGCTGTCGTGGTTGAAGAGGTTGACGTGGAGGAGACTGCCACATTAAGGCAGAAACCGTTGAATCCTCTCAGCACTCTTCTGAAGGGAACTCCGAACCCGAACAGCTTTATGCTCACGGCGCTCACATTTCTCATCAATGCCGCATGCATCGCGATGGTCACTGACATGGTATATACACCTCGATGGTCCCATCCTAGCCATGACCTTTCTTTTGCTCGTCTTGGATACGTTTCGGACACTGAAGCGAAATTGCTGATCCGAGAGCCTGATCAATCCAAGATGCCTATTACGGTTCAAGTTCACATCAAGGATGCCAAACCACCTTTTGATAATCCTCTATGGCAAACTGCTGGCAATATCAAGTTGACTACTAATGAGACCGACTATACCGCAGTAGTCACTCTCCCCCTGACTCATTCCAAACAGCGGACATACGAATGGACCACATCGAACAACCATTCCGGTGAATTCACATCCGCCCCTAAGCCAGGGACTATGCCAGAACTGTTTGATGGGAAATTCACTTTCCTTTCCACCTCGTGCATCGTTCCCCGTCTTCCATACAACCCTCTTGACCACCCTCTAGCTTTCCCAGGAATGAAACATTTGGCCAAGGTTTTACCGGATCTGGGCGCGCAATTTATGTTGTTCCTCGGAGATTTTATCTACATCGAGGTACCTAAGCGATTTGGCGAATCTGTGGAGCACTATCGGCAGAAGTATCGTCAGGTTTACGCCTCGCCCGACTGGTCTGCGGTAGGCCAGAATCTCAGCTGGATTCATGTGCTGGACGACCATGAGATCTCCAACGACTGGGACTCGAACTCGACTGGCATATATCAGACTGCTGTAGACCCGTGGCACCATTACCAGACTGTGGCGAACCCTCCGGTGGCTAAGAAGGCCGGAACTCAGAGCCTCGTATCGCGCGAAGAAGCCACTTACTTCTCTTTTACTCAAGGACCTGCTAGCTTTTTCATGCTCGACACTAGATCCTATCGTTCCAAGAACTCCGAGCCATTTGATAGCCCAAACAAAACGATGCTTGGTGAGACACAGCTTGGAGATTTCCTTGATTGGTTGCGCCACCCAGAACCAAAGGGAGTACAGTGGAAGGTCGTTGCCAGTTCCGTCCCCTTCACGAAGAATTGGAGGGTGAACACCAGAGATACTTGGGGCGGATTCCTTTCTGAGCGTAGAAAGATCCTGGAAGCGATGTGGGATGCGAGCAGCCAGCTTGGAGTAGGTGTCATTGTCTTGTCTGGTGACCGCCATGAATTTGGTGCGACTGCTTTCCCACCACCAAAGAATGGTACGTGGCCGGAGAGTGCGACAGTCCATGAATTCTCGGCAAGCCCCCTAAACCAGTTCTACTCGCCTATCGGAACTTACTCGCAGACGGATGATGAGGATGTTGAACTGAAGTAAGTTGTTCATCGATCTTATGTGCGGGCAGCACACTAACGTCAACAGGTACATAAACAAGGGCAATTCCAAATTTGGCGTGATCACGATCGAGAAGTTCGCGGGAGGTGAGCAGAGCAGCTTGAAGTACACTGTCTACATCGACGGCGTAGACAAGTGGAACACCGTGGTCTTGTCTCCAGAGCCACCAGCACAACCCGCGAAGGCTACAGGTGGTTCTTTCTGGGATAGACTCCGCGGGCTTTAATCGAGTCGCTTTCTTCTAGGTACTTAGGTACACTTATAGGAAATTACATAGCTCTACGCTCACGCGCTGGATGTTAGGGATATGGATGCAATAAAATAATGATTTTTTAATGGAAAAAGGAGGCGTTGTAAGGCCTTGCGCGAGCTACGATTTCTAGACGTAAATAATTCCACCCTCTTTTTAGATATACCGCGTAATATCCAATTACTCTCTCTTAAAGCCATGTTTAACCTGAATGTACTATATCACTCGTATCGTCGATAGTCCGATGAGCTACTGCTACTTCTAGTAGCCGTCCTACTAGCCGTCCCATAGACGTCTACGACGTCGGAGAATCCTCTACTGCTCGCACGCGGCGGTACCCAACGCGTCCGGCACGGATAATGATCGGCGTATCTAGTTCTTGGGCTGATAGCGAGCTCCTCTTTCTCCGTAAAAGTTAGAGGGGGTTTCCTACTTGCGTATCCCTCCGTCATCGTGTTCGCTCTACGTCCCTTTTTCTGCGGGATCCGCTGCTGACCCCATGATCTGTTCAGGGGCCTTTCGCTGACTCCCTTTTTCGATTGGAAGTAGTTGTGAGAATTATGGTACCCGTGCTTCCACCAATCGCCCTGGGCTCTGAACGGTTCCGGATCCCTACGGCTGGGAGGAGGCTTGGTTTTGGGGGGTAAAGAAGGGAGCTCAGGGGACGGGCAATGATTGGGTAATCCCACGTGGCCATCTAGGGTTCTAGATCGATTATGTTTTTGGCTAGAAGAGGTTGCGTGTCCCTTTTTACTTGTTTCGTATCGTCGAGGCTCAGCATGAGAACGTGATGTTGGCGACGGGTGAGTTATATCGGATCTATCGTCTTCATCTGGCAGACCTCCTATGTCTTGACGCTCCTGGACGTTTGTGGCTTTGGGGGCAATGTTTTCTGTCCCCAATCCCTTAGCTGCGTCTATATAATCTAAATTTTCATCCTTCTTCCGTTCCTGGACTTCGCTTCTTGGTTTCTTCCTGCGGTAATATTTACATTCGCATTTACATCCAGGCCTAGCCGCATCGGGTTCGTCATCTGGTTCGCTCAGCTGGTTGTCGATTATGTAGAGGTAATTGTCCGGAAACACCTTAGCAAGTGTTCGATCATTGATATTCTTCGGAATGAGCACTAAATTTGCGAGGGGTTCGGTATTGTCTACCTTCAGGCGAACAACTCGCGGGTCTGGTTGCAGTGCAGGCACGGGAAATTCACGAGATGTTCTAGTTCCAGGCACATGAGGAGTTCGCGGAGAGCTTTGAGGGCCATTCTGTGCCTGTGGATTTCTATTTGCGCTTGTCATCTCTGCTTTTGGTGAATAGGCCGAGTAACGATCTCTGTGATGAGTACTTGAGTCGTGACTTATATAACTTACTCCATCTACGTTAGTATCTCGTACGCGTTTATTCTATATGGGGTTAGCAACTCATTGGGAACACTGGATTGAAAGTTCTATTAGTTATATCTGCTTACCCTTGTATTCGAACGCTGCGAAGCTAGCGTGTCTATGTCATTTGGGATGTAATCCTGTTCGTTCTCTTCAGGTGCTTCAGGTATTACTACTTCCGAGGGCGCATAAGAGTTATGACGAAGACGAGGCGAAACGGGGATCCGCCGTATGGGTTTCTCATTCAGCTGCGCAAGTTGAGACCTATCTCTCATACCATAGCCCGGAAGTGTCTGGTTCTTAGCCGTATTCGACGACCGCACGTTATATGGTTGTCCAGGAGCACGTTGTCCTCGACGCGAGGGTGAGCTTGGGAGCTCGGTTGGGTTATTCGGTATACCTTGGGAATTAACAGCGGGTTCGGTTTCACGATGATGATGAAGGATTTTGCCAAGTTCAAACTTGCCTATCGTCAATGTACCAATTACACTAGCCCTTTCTTTCCAGGTCCTATTCTTTGGGGGAGGACGATCTGGAGCATTAGGTCCTTTTGTCAGGGGTGGGTAATGTTTCCTATGATAGAGAAACATTCCGCCTAAACAGAAAAGGATAAAAAATACAAGGAGCATTATAGATACCACGATTATGTCCTTGGACGGAATCACCTCGCCAAAGTTGAGGGTTATAACAAGCATAGCGCCAGCAGAGAGGACAATGAGGAATCCAATACAGAAGGGGATGACTTTGCAAGTGATATCTCGCACGTAACTGGTCAGGCGAGTGCGGTCAGACTCAACCTGACCCTTTTCTAGGTCACTCTGAAGTGCGCTTGTAGTTGCAGCTGTAGCCATGGTGCCAAGTATCAGGAGACGGAGATATTATTTCACGAGTCAACGACTTCGAGCCACTTGTATCATATTTTAATATTAGAAATGAACCCATGATAGATAGTCCTCGAATAGTTGTGCATATTCCACGAGCAAGTCTTGAGTTGGCGGTCAATACGATGATTGCAAACAAAGGTAGGCAGAAGCAAAGACTTAGAAAGAAACGGAACTTGTGAACTTGAGATCCATGTCAATTGAGCGGTAGTTTTTATCACCCCTTATTTATGTCAGTAGCAGTGTCCGACCTTGATTATTAGCTACCTCTATAGAACAACTCTAAAAGTTGTAGGGGGGTAAATAGGGGATGTTGTATCAGGTACTCAAGTTGCTCTAGTACCATATTGTCTTCCCATCTGTATGGAACAATACCTATTCTATGCATTAGCGATAATCTACGGCTTTGTCCAGGTGGTAACGAAGAAAGAAGAGCATTCTTGCACGAAGAGATTGAATATGTTCTTTGGATAGTAATGCATAAACGGAAGATGCCAGTGTAGTCCACTGCACATTGATTCGTTGAGCAATCCCAATGTCCTCATATTTCCATCTCCTTGCTAGGTGCGTATAGATGGAAAACTGTCTGTAATTCGGATGTTCATGTAGTGATGAAATGGATTAAATTTGGAGATCACCTAGATTAATATCTTATGGGAGTCGTAGTTGAAGTACCTGTAATGTGTGGCGCAGCATGGTGTCTAGCCACTATTATAAACACGCATAGGCGACTTCCACTACTCCGACCTCCACTATAATGGTCCCATTTCACCCGTCTTACACTCTTCTGAGAAAGGTGCCTTTTATCGCTCAGAAGATCGTGTATCCGCTCTATGTATACGATCTTCGATTGTACAGAGTACCACCAAATTCTACATCTGTACGACTTCGGTTAGGGCTTAAGATGAGTTTTAGATTGGGTGTGACGAGATGCGGCCGGCATGTGGTGAGGTTCGTAGCTTGAGACCCCTTTGGTAAGTACATAGAGGATACGAATGAAGAAGCTGACCATTCTCGTAGCCGGGCTTCTGCAACTCGCCCCAACTCGCTATATCTACGTCAATTACAATGTAGAATGTTGGCGACAGCTTCTGAGAAACCTCTCGTATCAACTTCGCCTGGTAAACTCAAGTTCTCGTACCCCAATACTACTGCTAGTAACTTGAAAAGAACCTCACTGTAAGTAATCGTTACAAACGTTAAAGTATTGGAATGCCGGTGGTAACGTTGGAGAAGCCCTTATTTCTGGCTACGGTACGTGGGCCATCCCTGAGACATAGCATATGCAGTGCAACTCACAATTCTAGCGATAACTGTCGATGCAGTAGTTGTGTCAATCAAGATACAAGGCAAAGAAACTTCAATACGTTCGATGTATGGACTTCTCTTTTTCGTACAATAAATCATAGCTAAGGAGAAATTAGATCACGGACGACATTGAGCCGTCGCAGATTGAAGCGATTGAGGACGGTGTCAAGATACAGTGTGAGAGTTGCCGTTCTTGAATTATTCTAAAGAGCGCCACTTAATCATATGAATAGGGTCGGGAGATGATCACAGAAGTTTCTATGCGTGGGATTTTCTGGAATTCTATCTGAACTCCGATAGAAGATCGCCAGAACCTATTGAGTACGCTTTAGTGCGGTCAATATATGATTCGACCTCGACTAACTAGTCACAGGTTAGAGTATTTTGGGGCACAAGGGCCGCAGAACTCACGTAGCTGGCCGCCGTCCTTGAAATATGGCGAATTCTCAGCGAACGAGGCTGAGACGGTGGGCCGTTTAACAGATTTTATCGTAAGTCAATTCTCATCTGGCTCAGGTACAAAATCGCTTTCTCACAATTAGACTAGAGACGCAATGGTTTCGCATTCATCACTGAAGTGCCAATTGAGTCCGCTGAACCGACTGAAAAGCTATTGGAAAAGATTGCGTTCATCAGGTTGACGCATTATGGAGGCTTCTACGACTTCATACCAGACCTCGCCCTTGCTGACACTGCTTACACAAACCTAGCACTAGGCGCTCATACTGACACCACTTACTTCACTGATCCGGCAGGGTTGCAAGCATTCCACCTCCTTTCCCATACGGACAGTAGTTCAGGGGACAAATCAGGTGCAAACCTTGGGGGGCAGTCCTTGCTTGTTGACGGCTTCAATGCTGCAAACATTCTCAAGAAAGAGGATCCGAAAGCATTCGAAGTACTGAGCCGAGTCAAGCTGCCTTGGCATGCTAGTGGCAATAAGGGAATCACGATATCGCCCGACAAACTCTACCCAGTCCTCGAAACCGATGAAAACACCGGAGAGTTGCACCGGGTCAGATGGAATAACGATGACCGTGGTGTTGTTCCCTTCGATAGCGAGTATTCACCGGAAGAGTGGTATAAAGCCGCAAGGAGATGGAACAGTATCCTGAGAAGAGAATCGATCGAATACTGGTTCCAGCTTAAGCCTGGCAATCTCTTAGGTACTCAAATGTGCACTCTCTAAAGTGGAAACTATGCTAACTTGAACTTGTAGTCTTCGATAATTGGCGAGTCTTACATGGCAGAAGCGCATTCACGGGAGTACGAAGGATATGTGGGGGATATAGTGAGTCTACGGGTTCCATTTTACGGGTTCCATTTATTTGCATCTTAGTCATCTTGCTTTGCTAATGGTTTCCTAAGTCAATCGGGATGATTTTATCTCGAGATGGAGAAATACCAATTATCCACGAGACGAGATCTTGAAGCGAGTCATAGGCTAGCGCGCACTTGGCCATAGAACCCCCGGCCGCTACCGACCACGATCGGGCAAAACAGGTTCCAAATCGGCGAAAATGCCTCTTGGCTCCCAAGTTTAGCCCCTTGAGAGTACTCGAGTTACTGTAAATGGTAATCCACCTACTCATGATACCTATTCTGTTGTCAGAGTCTGTTTGTGCCTCTCAGCAACCCTCTAACATGGATGACGGGAACCAAGTGACCATCCCCCGTGCCTCTTTGCCTAAAGGTCTTAGGTACTACATACTATACACAGATGGAACCTAGCTCTCGCTTATCTCCATCCCTCCATGTGCCACTATTACTGAGCTCACGAGCTTGCATTTTAGCGCAGCAATCCCACGTTCACCTGGATAGTTGCTAAAATAAGGGCTGCAGTAGCTAGACAGTCCAGCAAACCACAATTCACAATCTCATTCAAGCGGTTAATTCTCCGCAGTTTGCTTGCAGGATGCAGCGGTTCCTGGGCTACCCCTAACTGCATCCGTACGTCATCTTCGGCCCGGGTCCAGTACATCGGCGCAATTCGGTATAACCCAATATAGAGCCTACAATTTTCGGGATATCGCGCCTTCACACATAATTCATTTGAATATTTCGTTTTTTTCCGCAATGTGATATCTAATTTCTAGTTCTTTTCGATTTTCTCTTTCTTGTCTTTTCTCGTTGCCAGTGAAAAAAAACGGCTTATGAAGTCTTACCACCCGTGCCGTCTTTAAGGGTCCTCAGGGTTTCTACACTGTTGAGATATTCAATAGCTACCGTCGAAAGCTATCAATATGGCCGATATAAATACTGGTGCTTTTAAACATGACAGTACGGAACCTCCGACGTCTAACTTGGTGCTACCGTTATTCTCCCTGAAGGGTAGAACGGCTATCGTCTCTGGAGCCGGCGCTGGTATCGGTCTTGCAATTGCTCATGCATTCGGTACGAATAAAAGGCTCCTTGTGTAAAATCTACAGTTTCGTCGAATTGCCCTAAACTTTTACGCTTGTTACGTCGTCTACCTATCCTGTACTTGTACTAATAGAATCATAGTAAGTGGACTAGGCCTCGTCATCCCAATGCTTCCGCACGAGCCCCTTTTTTTAAGATCGACCTCAGGTGGAAGCGGGCTATACACCCTTCAAACCCAAACGCGCTTCCAGTGACGCGACCATTTCACCCTGAGATGCTGATATGGAATAGGCTGAGGCTGGAGCGAATGTTGCGATCTGGTATAACTCCAACAAGAAAGCTCTTGATGAAGCCGCGAACATTGAGAAAACATATGGCGTGAAGTGTAAGTATACCATCTCGACTTCCACGACGCCGACATGTCTAAACTGGGCTTGAACGACTAGGCAAGGCTTACCAAGTCAACGTGACAACCTGGGAGACGGTACAAGCCGCCGTTGACGAGATTGTAAAGGATTTCAATGGCAGACTCGACATCTTCGTCGCGAACTCCGGTATTGCATGGGAAGAGGGTTCGTTCATCGACGGCCCGCTCGAGACGATGCAAAAAGTACTGAAAGTTAACATCGACGGCACACTTTTCTGCGCACGCGCCGCTGCGCTGCATTGGCGACGGCAAAAGAAAGAGGGAACCACGGTCGACGGGCAACCCCTGGAGAACTTCACGTACGGTAGCTTCATTGCTACGTCTAGTATGAGCGGTCACATCGTCAATATCCCTCAGCAGCAGACCGTGTACAATTTGTCTAAGGCTGCGATTACTCATGCTTGTAGGTGATATCTGGCTATAGGGGAGTTGGACACTATACTCACATACTGGTTACAGGCAGGTCGTTGGCTATCGAGTGGGTGGGTTTCGCGCGTGCTAACTCGGTCTCCCCCGGCTATATCAAGACCGAGATCTCGGCTTTCATTCCTCTAGAAACTAAGAACATCATCAAGGGCAAGATTCCAATGGGGTACGTCTCTTCCCTTAATCCCATTCAGAGTCCGTCCCTCTAACTTTTTGGCTGTAGACGGGAAGGCGAGCCGGAGGAGTTGAAGGGCGTATACTTGTACCTGGCTTCCGACGCCTCGTCGTACACGAATGGCACAGATATCATTGTTGATGGCGGATACACTGTGCCGTAGTTGGATCTAGAAGGGGTTTGAGGGTACAGCATACCAAAAGTACTTACTAGTATAGATAGAATTTTGTGTACGTAAACTATAGCACTTAGGCGTTTCATTTTACTACTACAACCGCTGTCTACAATAATTATCGATATAGACGGCAGCTGTACTGCGTTATAGATATGTTTCGAGACTCTTGAGGCTTGTCAAAATACTTATGGTCAAGTTGGTGAAGGAGACCCAACGTGGGAGGGCACCCTTTGCATAGGTAACTTTGAATTAGTACTTACGTATTTTAGGCATTCATAATATTAAGTGTAATAATACGAAACGGATATTAGTATAAGACATGAAATCTCCATGACAGGAGCGGTACTGATGATCTTTTCTTGATTAAGGCGGTAAATACAAAAGCAACTTTTTTCAATTAGCACAAAGATCAGTCGGGATTTCCTCTTCAGAACAGGTGAGTGACGATGGTCCAATCAATCGACGGAGGCGAGGCGCATCACCATGCATAATGTACCAAGCTAAGTGCGTCCGTAGATAGAGAAAGCTCAACCACAGGATTGCCGATTGTTAGGCAAATTCTTTCGAGATGACGGACCGTGCTCTCAAAAATGGCGGTGCGAGGAAACGAAAATATAAGACGAAGTCATGCCCAACCTTCTTTCGACATTCATTTTTCTTCTTAATCCTCCGAGTCTAGCTTCACTATACGGTACCTAGAGACATTGTTAACGAATATCTCGTGGACATGGACAAGTCTGCATTCAAATCCCAAGTCGACCAACTCATCTTTCACCCTGATCCTAATATCAGAAAGCCTCTTGCTCTCTGGGCAACCCTTCCAAGTGCTGGACGGCCAATACCACCACATACGGCAATGATCCAAGAGATAGAAGACTCATCATTAGAGTGGCCATCCTTAATTCGACATCACAAGATAGGGACGACTTTGTAAGAAGCACCGCAAACATATGGGCGTTATACGCCAACATAAAGTTCGAGTTTGTCTCATTCTTAGAACGTTCGGAAATCCGCGTCCTATATGCTGATGAGTCTTGGTCCTATATTGGGATTGATGCCTTGGAGCATGGCCAGCATGAGGAGACAATGAGACTCGAGTATATCGACGGCGACGATAGACATAACCAGCGTACTATTCTACACGAATTTGGCCATGCACTCGGCTTTGAACACGAACATTCTTCTCCAGAGGCCGGGATTCAGTGGAATACGGATGCTGTCATCGCGCACTACAAGAATTGGTCAGTCGAAGAGATTGAACACAACATCCTTCAAGTCGCCGATGATGCTAGCATTAGGAGCCGCTATGACCTCGAATCCATAATGGGTTACCAGTTGTCTCAGAGCTTGGTAACAAGTGGTATGGTCTCGATCAAGAAGTTTACTAACTTGTCGCCTTTGGACAAGGAGTGGGCTCGAAAATTCTATCCCTTTTCCAACCGTCCGGAAAGGTCGGATCACCATGTCCAGAGAAGTCGAGATGCAACCGAGGCACTGGGCTCGCAGGCTCGCCAATATAAAGATCACTTTATATATCGAGCTAATAAAAAACTCGATGACTGTTTTAGGGAGTCTGGTATGAAGGTCTTTCGATGTGGTAAACCAAATTGTCGGCCGAAGGATAGGCAATGTGATGCTTGCCTTGAACGACACGACTCATTCCAAAATGGGGGGATGGATATGATTTCCCACCATGACTTTTTGGATATCCTCATATGTTGAATGCGTTTAACGCGGATGATGTGTGTGAGGCCTCGGATGGCAGGGGTGGCTTCGGGCTGATAAAGGGCGGCTTGCCTTACCTAAGCATCACGTGCAATGTTTAAAATATACTAATTCTGTCTTTCTCCTGAATGAAGTCATCGCTAAGGGCTGAGCATTACGTAGTCAATGATTCGGTAAGTGGTCTAGAATCCATACTTCCTCCTCGTGTAATAGTACTTTAGAAAGACGCGATAGACGGACGGCACCCAAGTACCGAATCAGCTTCTTACGCAGCTGGCTGCATTCTAGGCCAATGCGGTCATCATTAATAGGAGCGGGTTCAGATTTCTCAAAGGCCTCCTGGGCTAAAAAGTATCAGAGGCTACTAGGTAGGTAGATTCAGCCCCTATTTCGCTCGGCAGATAAGACATGAAGGTACTTCGGAACACGCACTAAAATGTGAAAGCGTAAAAGTACTTTTTCCGCACTCCGTACCTACCCCACAGTGCGTTGTACAATACCAAAGATGGCAGCTTCAGGTAGTGTAAGAGCAGGTACCTCTTGGATGTAACACACAGCACTAGAGCACGTAACGAGTAACATGCTGCGGGCACCTTACCTTTGGTTTTCGTGCCTTGCCAATCTTGCCTGCCTTCCGCCTAACTTATCATTTCCATTATTATTCTCCAGTTTCAGCCCTCGTGCTCTTTTCTACTTCTTCAACAACCTTTCCACTCGGCCATTACCGCCAAGTGCGCAATAGACATCCAAGTGAACTTAATTTGATTATTTATTTAATCCGCCCACCCTTTCTACCAGCGGCGCTATCGTAATAGGGGTCTCGCACGCAAAGGCGCATCACCGATCATTCGAACATCATGGACGCCGCCGGAGAAGGCCAGGCGCCTTTCTCCCCCACCGTGGTGGAACAACGCAACATCCAGGTAGATAATGCTATTCGCGCTATCAAGGAGAAGAAGCCGCTGCCTGAGATCGACTTTAGTATTCATACTATGGAAGATGGCACCCAAGTCAACACCATGGAGCGGGTCTGCAAAGGTGAGCTTCTCTCGACCTTGTAACTACCCCGCCACTCAGACAAAAGGGGATTGACTGGCTATCTAGACGTGCAGGCGCCCGCCACATTCAAGCCTACCGACGAACAGTTCTTCGAGGACGAGTCCCATACTAAACCCAACATCACTTTCCTGAAACAGCACTTCTATCGAGAGGGCCGATTAACCGATGAGCAAGCCTTATGGATCATCAAGCAGGGAACCGAGCTTCTACGCGCAGAGCCCAACCTTCTTGAGATGGACGCCCCTATAACAGTCTGCGGTGATGTCCACGGTCAATACTACGACCTTATGAAACTCTTCGAAGTCGGTGGCGACCCCGCCGAGACCAGATATCTCTTCCTCGGCGACTACGTGGACAGAGGCTACTTTAGTATCGAGTGCGTCCTGTACCTGTGGTCTCTGAAGATACACTATCCCAAGACTCTCTGGCTGCTGCGCGGGAACCACGAATGTCGCCATCTGACCGATTACTTCACCTTCAAGCTTGAGTGCAAGCATAAGTATTCCGAGGCCATCTACGAAGCTTGCATGGAATCCTTTTGTGCTCTCCCACTCGCCGCTGTGATGAACAAGCAATTCCTTTGCATTCATGGAGGACTCAGTCCTGAGTTGCACACTTTGGACGACCTGAGAAATGTAGGTCATGAGACTGCCTCTTACACCTAGTGCATGTTACGAGCAATGTTGGTAGCTGACCCGAAATAGATTGATCGGTTTAGAGAACCACCAACTCAAGGTCTAATGTGTGATATCCTGTGGGCTGATCCTCTGGAGGATTTTGGCCAGGAGAAGACCAGCGAGTACTTCATGCACAATCATGTTCGTGGCTGCTCGTACTTCTTCTCCTATCCTGCCGCATGCGCTTTTCTGGAGAAGAACAACCTACTCTCCATCATTCGGGCACATGAAGCACAAGATGCTGGCTATCGAATGTACCGTAAAACTAGAACGACTGGATTTCCGAGTGTCATGACCATCTTCTCTGCGCCCAACTACCTCGACGTTTATAACAACAAGGCGGCCGTTCTCAAGTACGAAAACAACGTTATGAACATTCGACAGTTCAATTGCACGCCGCATCCGTATTGGCTTCCTAACTTCATGGATGTATTCACCTGGTCGCTACCTTTCGTTGGTGAAAAGATTACCGACATGCTCATAGCAATCCTACACACTTGTTCCGAAGAAGAACTCAAGGAGGAGACTCCGATGTCGACATCTCCCGGTCCTCAATCCCCCCCACTTGGTGGGCCTTTCTCAGACCCAGATTCGATCGAGTATAAGAGGAGGGCGATCAAGAACAAGATCTTGGCAATTGGACGACTGTCGCGGGTATTCCAAGTGCTTCGAGAGGAAGCCGAGAGTGTCACGGAACTCAAAACCGTGTCAGGCGGGCGACTACCCGCAGGAACGCTTATGCTGGGCGCAGAGGGTATCAAAGACGCAATCAACACCTTCGAAGATGCCAGGAAGGTCGATCTTCAGAACGAGAGACTGCCACCGAGCCATGACGAAGTCATGAAACATCAGGAAGAGGAACGACAGAGGGCACTAGAGCAAGCTTCTAAGGAGGCCGATAATGATAAGAAATTGCAGACATTGTCCAGGAGGTTGAGCACGTGAGTATAGATTTCTACCTAGTTTGCAGTTGCCATTCACTAACGGCTAAACAGTGATCGCAAGCGATGATGCAATATGAATCCGTCTCAGCCTAGTCATCAAGTAATCAAGTGATTATTAACTTGACGTTTTCGTTCTTAACAATTGCGCCGGCTATTTGTCTTGGCCCAACAGATTAGAACATGCTGTCATGGCAAACTTTGACAATCGTTCTAGTGATGTTAGTAAAGCTTTAGCTGGTTTATTGTTCGCATGGCACAAGACCAAGGAGCAGTGTGGCTCAAGACAGATGAGTCGAGTAAAAACAGTTTCCGGTAGCCGATGTGGGAACGAGACGAAGACATGCTATGGAGTTAGGAGAAGGAGTCCTAGTTGACACAAAACGATTTAATGAAAACCAAGCTGGAAACCTTAGAACAGTGCCAGCCTTCTAAACACCTTGCCGTGCTTTCTTGGGGCCTTGCTCTGTCGTATTTACTTAAGAATCATTGCTTATGAGACTGCTGCTTAGGTTTCTCGAGTAATCGGCGGGTAGAACTGTCATAGCTTTGCTACGTCGGATAGGTAGGTCGAACGATCAAAAGGCATTCAAGCTATTTCATTGCTAGCATGTCGATTAATTAGGTGCTCCTTATGATCTTATACTAACTAGCCGGCTTTCCCGTCTGTCCTTTAGGTGATGGGAATTTGGTAGACGTATTCGGTCGAGGGGTCTTCATCAAAGGAGATACCTTCATAAAGAAACCTCCATTTCGCTCATCGTGCTTCTCCGACTTCCTCTCGCCCTTTCCTTTTCCCTTCTACCAGCTAAACTTCTCCTATCTGTACAGATGACACGATACGACAATCCACCGCCAAGAGACACCCGAACATGGATCCAACCCAGTACCCAAGGTACTTAGGTAGGTAAGTACCTAAGAACTATAGACAACCCCCAATCCCCCACGCGCCTAGAAAATCGCAAGCACATTCGGCGGGCTCGCCACGCCGCCGGGCACATTGCACGGCTCGCTCGAGACGAAGAAGGACCACCGCTTCTGGCTCTCGCAGTGCGCGGCCAGGGCCTCGAGGTCGAACAGCTCGCCGACGGGGCAGCCCCAGCCGGCGAGCAGGACCTCGTGCAGGGCGTAGGGGGCGTCGGGCGGCGCGGGCCAGCTCTCGAAGCTGGGCTGGTCGCCGGCGACGGCGCTGAAATTGGACCAGATCCAGCGGAGTATGTTTTCGGACCGCTCTACGCCGCCGAAGTGGTGCGGCACGACGGAGCGGTGCGATGAGATGAAGGAGGAGGGCTTGGAGGGCAGCGTGGCGAGGAAGCCGGAGCGGATGAAGAGGATGTCGCCGAAGCGCGGGACGGTATCTTGGGAGGCGAGGCAGGCGAGGAGTTCGGTGAGTGGGATGGAGAGGCTGGAGAAGGAGTCGTAGGGGGTGACGGAGGAGGGGGGTTGCCGTTGCCGCCAGCTGTGGTGGTCGATTAGGATGCCCCGGCCTACTATGCCTTGGTCGGTCCACGCTTGGGTGTGTTAGCTAGGTCCTCATCAGGGGAAAGGGGGTATGGAATATGGGTGAAAGATAGGTGAGATTCATACCGTGGATCCCGTTGACGGTGGACTTCTTGCCGTCGGGCCCGCAGCCGTGGATGTCGTCCTGGGTGACGCCGTTGTAGAAGAGGCCCTCGCGCTGGTACGCGAAGTGGCGCAGGCCGTCCCACTGCGTCGACACCTGCGAGTTGAAGGTCCAGACGTCATCGTTGATGACGCGCGGGTCCTTGCGGATCAGCTGCTGGTGGAAGACCTGCCGCGCGAAGAAGGACTCCTCGGGCTGCGCGTCGATCGGCCAGTTCAGGGAGATTCTGGGGAAGTTGTTAATAACCGTTATCCTTTACATGAGATCCTCCATATGAGAAAAGAAAAGGGGGGGGGGGGATACCGGTGGCCTGTTCTAATCTCGCTCTTGGCTGCGGCGGCGACTCGCTCGTCGGTTAGCCGGTTTAGCGTCCCTAGCTCGTCCTTGTCGCCGTATAAGCCCCATGCCGAGAGGTGCGGATCCCCCTTCCGGATGGGCAGGTCTTCGAAATCGGGGATGCCGTTCTCGTTGAGCTTGATGCCGGGGACTGGTGGGGCCATTGTCACAACTTTGTGGAATTGTTCTTCGTATATATATGAATTGAGGCTTTGTTGCTCTTCAGTAAGGTATGTTCAATGTTGGTTCGCATATTCCAGCACAAAGTGACCACTTTTTGTAGGTGACACTATCCCCGCTCAAATTCAGACGAACACCCTTCTCCCTTACCCGAGAGTGATGCGATGCATGCCTCCTTAGTGTAACGGGATCGTCCTTTATCATGCTCCCCGCACTCATCGGATGGGGTTAACCTTGCTTGAGGCTTACCGAGATAATGGATCCAATACTGCCCCTCCGTTATGGTTTGGAGTCCAGGGCCGTACCGGTTACCATACGTTCCCACACCGGAAGCTGGTTCGCTTGGCGGGTTAATATGTAGCGAATGTGGAACTCATGACGTTAGCGCTTTTATCTTGCCTTCGCCGTGTTCCGAATAGTAACATTTAAATTTAACTTTCCCAGCCAAAAACAATTACAGGACATTATGGCTTGATTCTATCTGAGGTGTTACTATGTACCAACTCCTTACTCAGTACTTGTCAGCGATTGGAAGAACAAACGAATAATCTCCGGAAACTCAATTCTTTCCATACACTAGACATTTCAAGGGGTGTACAAATCCCGTTGTTGTAGCTGCGGGAACATGTTTCTTTGAAAATAGTGTTGAATTAATGAATTGTATGATTGATATCTTCGTCTATCGATATATCGGTTTATCATGAGGTATCTAGAACATTAATAGAATTTGCTCGTCTTCCACCGGACACCGGCGGAGATATAGTCTTCAAACATGGAACGATCTTCTATGCTGTGATCGACTGTGATCGTACGACTCATTACTAGGGGGCAACGATGCCATACTTCTCGTAAGGGAAATTCTCTAGACTGGCCAACCGTTCAGCCCAGCCATCATCGACAACTCCGAGTTGCTCGTCGTTGCCGATAGGAAATAGTGCCGTCCTCCCGGCAAGTACATCTTTTTCTTTGCCTTGGTACTCGGCAGCTAGGTTGGGATGCGGAACCCATACTACCCTCATACCAGCGCGTCTTCCCGCCTCAACACCAAGTACGCTGTCCTCGAAGACTAAACACTCCTTCGGCTCGATCTTGGGGACTCCTTCAGGTAGCGACGAGTTGATGGACTGGAGAGCAAGGAGATAAATATCAGGAGCGGGTTTACCCCGGCCATGCTTAATTCTAGGGTCGTCCCCTAGAACTCGGTGCTCCGCCGGAATGGTTTCTAAGACAGCTCTTGTTGCGGGACGCGACGTTTTCAGCTCGTAATTCTTCTTCTCGCTACTTGTAGCAAGGGCAATTCCAACTTGGAGCCCCTGTGTAGTTTTCGAGCTCCTCAGGTCCTTCAGGAGCTTCTCTACTCCGGGGAGGGGTTGGCATTGGGGGAAATAGATTTTATGCTGTTCGCTCTGCTCCTGTTTGTATTGTTCCCTTGAGATAGGTAGTTGAGCCCAATTATGAAATACGTCGCCGTTGGACGATCCAGGAATGCCCATAAGTTGAACTTTGACGGATGCTGGTAAGTTGGGCCTTCCATACTTATTTAACACTATGTTGGAGCAAAGTGTGTACAAGTCTTCGGTGTTGATAAGCAGGCCGTGCATATCAAACAAGCATGCTCGGATTGGGGGGAAGTCCGGAGAAGTCGGCTTTAGGTCACCATTCTGATTTGAAGGCGCCATGATAAGAAACGCTGGTGTAGATGGTCCAATAGTCCAATGATCTGAAATCAGAATAGCTGAAAGCTACCTATGTATCGAAACCACGGTGGCGTATAATAACGACAGACTTGGTTGGTTCCTACTTTCCGCTTTCTAGGTATGAAATGGGGCAAGCTAACTGGCTGCGTTTGGTGGGGGTTCGAAGAATTGAATGGATCGAGATTCAGCCGTCGGTTGCCGTAGGAGTTTGTGTCGACTACGGCTGCTCTACCGATTGTCGAGTTGACTGTATACTTACTAGGTAGTGAGTAGGTAGCAAAAGAAAGTGACATAGGCTAACATATGATTAGCTACTGATTATGAGTTAGACTTCGAAGACGCAATCTTGCGAACTGCGAAGACCGGCGCTATTTGCCATTGGCCGAAGTTGTAGGTTGTGAATAAAGACACCCCACTCAGTTATCTGACAGTTCTCCCTCATCAGCATTCAACTTCGAGACTTATAAGGTATAAAAAAAAAACCTGTTCGATTACATTATCGTTTCTTAATTTACGCTTGGCCAATTTCCAAAGTCTTCCATTGAGGAGTATTTCCGATTTCGTAGAAAACACGATGGTAGGGATCACGAGACTCGAACTCCGGACGGCACTTGGTCCAGTTTATCGGGATGTGCTCCCCTACCCACCCCGAGACTGCACGGCGGATGAAATCCCGGTAATCGACCTGGCGCCTATGTTTTCCGACGAGCTATCCGACCGTAAACGTGTCGCCGCGGATCTTAGGTCAGCTGCAACCAACAACGGTTTCTTCTATATTAAGAACCATGGAATATCGGATGAGACTATTGCTCGGTGCAAACAGCAAGTGTTGAACTTTATGAGGCAACCCCAGGAGAAGAAAGATTTGTTGGAGTCCAGGACGCATAGCAAGTACTACAATGGGTATCTTGGAAATCGCAAGGCCCAGATATCTCGTACCGAGACCGCCGATGTTCGAGAGTCTTTCTCATTTCGTTACTCTCCAGAGCTTGATCCGGATCATCCAATGGATATCTCTGAGGTTTCCCCTGAGGTCAGGTCTTGGATCCGTGGAGAGGACTTTGTGGTAAGTTGATTCACATTTAGATATCGCTCTTGATGATATGCTGACCCTAAACTACAGTGGGAAGGGACAGCTCATCTGCTAGACTTCAAGAAAGACTGCCTTGCGTATTGGAGTAGTTGTCTCACTCTCGCGAGAAGACTGGTGAGAATTTTTGCTCTGTCTCTAGACCTAAGTGAGGATTATTGGGATGACAAGATCACCCATCCCGGAGCCGACGGCGTCTTCAACTACTATCCGCCACGGACCGAGGAGGAAGTCCAGGATAACTTTGTGGGTTTGGGAAGTCATACAGATTTACAGCTGTTCACACTTTTGTGGCAAGACAGCGTCGGTGGTCTGCAAATATTGTCCAAGGAGGGGCAATGGTTGAGAGTGAGCGGAAATTGATATTGATATTGAGGACCAACCAATACTGACAGTGTGCGAAGGCGCCTCCGATTGAGGGAACCCTTGTGGTCAATATCGGTGATTTTATGATGCGTCTATGCAACGACATTTACAAATCTACCGTCCACAGGGTCACAAATGAGTCTCCTGTTGAACGCGTTTCAATGCCCTTCTTCTTTGGTATATCAATTCTCTACTTGTTCGTATCGTGGCGTTGCTCACTGGTGTATCAGGCCTCAATTTCAACTGTGTCGAAGGCGTTGTTCCTTCGTGCACTTCAGAATCGAATCCGGCAAAATACGAACCCATATCTTGTGGCGACTGTAAGTATAGATTCATTCCCAAATGACCTTTTGGCTAATGGGACGTAGGGTGTCAGATGAGATTTAAGATGGAGAGAAGCGACTTCTTGAAAAGTGAGGAAGCGAAGAAAAATCTGGCCCCAAGTGGTAGGGTCGTTGCTGTGTAAAGAATTCATCGCTGATTCGTCTCATACCTATTGCATGTCGTCTTTAAGATTTAATTGATGCTGAGATGATCATAAAACCTTTTGAACGAGTTCGAGGACGTCGAAGAATGCTTCACGGTCGGGCTTAAGTGTTTTGAGACCAAGTCCGACAACTAGAGTGCGACGCTCGTCTGAATCTCGTCTTGCAATATGACTAGCTATCTGAACGGCGTACAGCTGCGCAAGAGATTCACGTTCTTCCCCACCACCGCCAAGGAGTGTCTTCGGCGTTAGGTGAGACATAGGTAGCAAACTGGGATTTGCCAGAGCCATTTCTACAGAAGCAGATGATGGTGCCGAGAGCGGTACTTGAATCTTCAGAATAGAATTAGAATTATATTTCCAATCAAATATCTGGCCTCGAAATGGGTTACCCATTGTGAGAGTCTACCTTCTTGAGATAGAGTAAGAAGTATCTTGTCCGAGAAATATAGAACAGAAGCTTCGGTAGGAATCCCGTCAATTGGTCCGGAAGCTGCTTTTGACTTGGCCGGGAATGGCTCTTCAACTACTCGTGAGGCATCCATCATGCTGCGCAGTTGAGCATAAGATAGAAACAGGTCCTTTTCTGTGTGAGCTCCTTAGCTGTTTGTTGTATGAAGCAGCTTCCAAGGTTTACGAAGCTGAAGAGTCTAGGTTAGTTAATGGTTGTAGGGCTAGCGTAGTGGGGCTATGGAGTCCCGCTCGCAGCGGCGACAAGGAATACCCCGCGCTAATCCTGATTTGATCAGCTAGAAGAAATTCTGCCGGGCGGTCAAAATTTCAGTATCCTTGACTTTCAATACTTGTATCACTTTAAGTTTTCATCGTCAACAACGGGAAAAATGCCCAAATTTGTACCGAGGCAGAGAAAACATAGAGTCCTTGCCCGCCAGAAGGCACAGGAAAATGGCGGCCAAGATGGAGGAGCTGCACCTCCACAACTCGACAGCAATGCGCTAGAGATACTCCCAGACGCCCAGAAAGAAGTTCGTGAAGCTAAGAGGGCTCAGCTGAGAGAGGAATTGAATGGTCAAGTCAAAGTGAGCGGCAAGAAGGCCAAACGACTTGAGAAGTACATCGAAAACAAGCTCAAGAAGGATGAGAATCGAGTTCTGTTAGCTGAATTAGCTAAGAATAAGATCGATACTACTTTGTTCTCAAGTAGTCGGACTCTCGGCCAGGGAAAAGAGACGAAGCGCCAGGCTCTTAGCCGTGCTTTCAGGGAGAGGCAAGCTGGTATTAATCAAGGTCATGACGATGTTCTTTTTGAAGAAAGACATATCCCGGCAAGCGATGAGTTTGACGACGATGACGAGGCGCAATCGAAGATCAGTCATTCTACTGGACGAAACGGTGGAATGATGCAAAATGGCTCCAGTGTAAGCGATGCTAATAATGCGCCACCCGAGAAACCTGCGGTAACAGTGGGATCCGGATTAAAACGTCCCTTGGAGCTCGATGATGAGGGGCGGCCAGTCATACAGAAGAGACAGAAACGCGGTGGCGTAAAATCAAAATTATCCATGAAACCGCAACTTATACAAGCCGAACTCACTCCTGACGATTCAGATGAGCAACAAAATGGTAATGGCGACGAGTGGAATGGTTTTAGCTCTGACGCCTCTGCCCACGAATCAGCTGACTCTCAGAATTCATCTGAAGAAGCTGAAGATGAGTCTTCAGATCAAGAGTCTAGCAGCGAGGAAGAGTCGTCCGAAGAGGAGGGTGGTTCGAAGAAGAGATCTTCCGCCTTCAAAGCTTGGGCTCATGGGCAACGAAATGCGGCTCTTGGTTACCAACCGGTGGACAGCAGTAATTCGGTTCTTAATATTACAGTTCCTAAGGATTTCAAACCGCGTCCGCTGGAACAAGATCCTCTACCCCTTGAATTACTTCCGACGAAGGATAATAGCAGAAAGGCTTTTAGTGTCTCAGTTCAGAGGACACCTAAGATTCAAGAAGAACGACTCAAGTTACCAGTCGTGGCCGAGGAGCAAAAGATTATGGAAGCCATCCACAACAATAATGTGGTATTGATATGCGGTGCGACTGGTTCAGGAAAAACGACTCAGGTTCCTCAATTCTTATTTGAAGCCGGTTATGGATCTCCTAACTCGCCCACACCCGGAATGATCGGGGTGACACAGCCACGAAAAGTCGCTGCAGTCAGTATGTCGAAACGAGTCGGACAAGAACTTGGCGATCGATCAGAAACTGTTGCATACCAAATTCGGTTCGAGGGCACAGTGGATGAGAAGACGGCTGTGAAGTTTATGACAGATGGCGTACTACTTCGTGAAGTTGCCAATGACATTGCTCTTCGCAAGTATTCCGCCGTCATCATCGACGAAGCTCATGAGAGGAGTGTTAACACGGACATTCTCATTGGAATGCTTAGTCGAGTTGTTAAGTTACGAGAGGAATTGTCACAAGAAGGCGCTAAAATAACCCCGTTGAAATTAATTATTATGTCGGCTACGTTACGGGTAGACGATTTCGTAAAAAACAAGACATTATTCCCCCTACCGCCACCGATTCTCAACGTCGAGGGGCGCCAACATCCAGTTACTATGCATTTCTCTAGACAGACACGCCATGATTACGTTGATGAAGCTTTCAAGAAGATAATGAGAGGCCATCGTAAACTCCCGCCTGGAAGTTTCCTCGTCTTTCTTACCGGGCACGATGAGATACAAAGGTTGAGTAAAAAGCTCAGGACCGAAGCTGGTGCTCTGAACCCTATTGCCTATCCTAAGGTTCGAATATCCGCCAACGATGCGCCGTTGGAAGTTGAGGATATCGACTTTGGCGAAACTAATGAAGTAGCAAATGGCGATGACGGCCTACCATTTATTGATGATTATGAGGAAGATAACGAATCCGAAGATGATGCCGAATTCGACGTTGCGGACGAAGCTGGAACGGGGCCTCTGAAGATGCATATTCTTCCGCTATACTCGCTCCTACCGACAAGGGAGCAGATGCGTGTGTTTGATGATCCACCAGAAGGCTCGCGCGCGATCATACTTGCAACTAATATCGCCGAGACCAGTTTGACTATACCTGGCATTCGTTATGTTTTTGATAGTGGGAGGTCAAAAGAACGAAAGTACAATAGAGACACCGGAGTGCAAAGCTATGAGATAAGTTGGATTAGCAGAGCTAGCGCAAACCAGAGAGCTGGACGTGCTGGCCGAACTGGACCAGGTCATTGCTACAGGCTCTATTCCTCCGCGGTATTTGAACGGGACTTCCCTGAGTTTGCTGATCCCGAATTGCTGAGAATGCCCATCGAAGGTGTGGTACTACAGCTCAAGGCAATGCGGATACACCATGTAGTTAACTTTCCCTTTCCGACGCCACCCGATCGAATGAGTCTTACAAAGGCAGAGAAGTTACTCCAATATCTCTCAGCGACCACAGAAACTGGGCAGGTAACTCAGATCGGTTCGACAATGGCCAAATTCCCGCTGCCACCTCGATTTGCACGAATCCTTCTAATTGGACATTTGCATGAGTGTCTTCCCTACACCGTCGCCCTTGTCGCGGGACTTTCTGTCGCACAAGTGTTTATTCCGGAGAACCAAGTAATACCAACTCTATCTACAGACAACGAGCAAGACTTCCGCACCAACCAAGACGTAGTCGCAGAAACCCAGCAGACCCAACTGCGACGGAAATACAACGAAGTCCACCGCAACTTCTGCTCTCTGGACGACAGCTCCGACGCCATGAAACTCCTGCAAGCGGTCGGGGAGTTCGCGCACGATCCTACGGAGGGCTGGTGCAAGGACCACTTCGTGCTGTTCAAATCGCTCCAAGAAGCGCAGAAACTGCGCCGCCAGCTCACGAGCCTGCTCCAGAAAGACATCCCCGCGTTTGCGAACCTGGTCTTCAGAGATAAGCTCGACCGCCCTAGCCCGAAGCAGGTCACGGCCCTGAAGCAGATGGTAGCCGCGGGCTTCATCGACCAAGTCGCCATACGCGCGGACCTCTCCCCGTCGCCGCCGGAACTCTACCGCAAGCCGCGCCGCGCCATCGACGTCCCGTACGCTCCCCTCCAACCCATAAACGCGGACTCGCGCGACCCGCTCGACGGCCTTGTGTACATCCACCCGTCGTCCTGCCTTGCGCACCGCAGCCCGCAGGAGTGTCCCGAGTTCATCGTGTACTCGAATCTTCAACGCGCCTCCCCTTCTTCCTCCTCCTCATGGTCTTCTAAACCCAAGACGCGGATGCTCGCCCTGACCGACGTTTCCGGAGCCCAGCTCGCGGGTATCGCGAAGGGGACGCCGCTCCTGACCTACGGGAAGCCCATCAAGGAGGTTGTGACGTCGTCCTCGACGAGGGAGTGCTGGGTCGTGCCGTACCTGAGGGCTGAGAAGACGGGGGGTCTGGGCTGGCCGCTGCCCGTGAAGAAGATCTTGCAGAAGAGGGTTCCTGGGAAGGGGTGGGTTACTGAGTGAAGAGCGGGGATTGCTATAGCCTAGAAAGGGGGAAGTGGGTATTGGCTTTAGGTTCTGTTGGAATATGAAAAGGGCATAGCTGACTACGGCGTTGGCGGATTGGTAAACGAGTATAATAATATACTCACTTCTCAGTCTTTTTGATAATAGGCATCTTTTTTCTTCGTGCCAATCAATACTAATAATTACTAGAGGATCATAGATAACTTCGTCTTAGTAGGGCTTACCTATAGAACTACTCCTGGATATAGCCGAATTCACGTAACTGGAGGCCATACACTATACAATCAACGGAATCAATTATCACTCACTCACGCAGTAAAGCTTAAGTCCTTATTAATTCATGAATCTTGCATATTCGTATTGCACACCCATTATACGTATGCCACGGTCTCTATAGCAATCCTGACTGACGTACTATACAGCGAGTGAGAAAAGAAAAAGCGTGGAAAACTGTCCCGTGGGAACCGTGACGACCGTGTAATGCAAAGTCTGTTGTGCCTGATGCTAAACCCCAACGCCTTGGGAAGAAAAGAAAGAAAAATCGACGGTAAAATAGGACTTCCTTCCCTGATGACATGCGGCGCCGAGATTTTGACAGGCGAGAAGCATTGCTGCCTCTAGCCCATTAAGTCCGATAAGTCCGTTGGAAGGATTTCCGCGTTCATGTAGGCGTTGAAACGCGCGTTCGTCAATCTCTCAATCAAGTGCGCTTGTTCACGTACCGGTGGTTCAGGTACCGCGCCGCCGTGCCGATTATGGAGTCTCTAGCGTTCATAAGGAGGAGGCGGCGGCGGCGGTGTTGGCTGGAACGAGCCAATTGTGGAGGGATCGGATATCGCCGATTGACCCGGTTGAGGCGATCCCCCGAATAGTGCATAAGGGTTGGTCGGATTCTGTGACGGTGGCAATGTGTTCACTTGTCTGGAGGACGAACCGGGTCGTGACTGACTCCTTCTCATAGTTGCCCCCATTAATTCCGTCACCTTCGTCATCATCCTCGGGAAGTACTGCTGGATGAACGATTCGCTATAGGCAGTTAGCATATGACCTAGAAACATCTACATAATGGATAGAAATACTTACGTGTAGTAGCTGTGATCCGCATTATGAGGGCCGACGAGATTGTGAGCTAACTCGTGAGCTACTACAACCCACCACCAAACTGCAGCCGATGCTCTGGCCTCTCCCGACGCCGGTTGATCTCCGTGGAGTTGGTTGTAGAAGCGCAGGTTGCAGAAGATGCTTCCAGCACGATTGAAGGCAATCGTATTACCTCCTTGCTCGTAAAAGATGTGTATGGCGGATCTGTTAATCGAATACACAGCACCTACAGTTAGGAGGAGAGATGCGAAGGCGTTGATAGCTGCATGGTTCGTTTTAAGGAAATCGGCAGCGTTGAAGTTCGGGATATGGTTGGATACGAATACACGCATCCCGTTCGAGGCGTCTGCTACGAAATATAGATCCTTCCCTATAGTATCATCACAATACGTAGCTTGTTCCTTGACTTCTCTGGTAGACGGCGGAGCGTAAAGCTGGGATGAATCATGTGCTCTGGTAGACTTGACGGCGTTGAGAAGATTCTCCTGGACGATGGCGGGATTTGTCACCTTGCCCTCGTTGTTCTTGCCAGACCTAGAACCCTCGTCCGGTGGCAGCTGAACGGGTTCCGGGTTTGAACCCATCATGTTCTTCAAGCTCTCGTCTGCTTCATCAGAAGTTTCGAAGCCGAACCTTCGAGATAGGGTTGAGAATAGTCCTCTAGGTCTTTTACCCTGCGATGGTGCTGGTACTAGCGCCTTGTCATCTTCGTCGGGAGAGCCAAATGCACCAGGCAATTTCATCGGCGGGGTCTTGTTATGGTGTTCCCTTTCTATACCCATAGCCTGACGATGTCTCTTGAATTCCTCTTCTCGTTCCTTGATCTTGGCCTGCTCAGCATCTAAGGCCTTACGTCTTTCTTCCTCGGCTATCCTAGCCTCGGCTGCCTTTGCTCTAAGGATACGATCGACGTTGTACCCACGAGCTTTCAAATCAAGTAAATCGAGCTTGAGGAATGGCTCGAAGAAGAAATACGCTTGCTGGCTTGGTCGATTCAGAATGAGCTGGCATACTGCATGTCCTACTTGGTACATGTCGGGACGGCCAGGCTCAGTCGCGACGTATAGAACCCAGCCATTCTTCTCTTTCTGACTTGCCGCCGACCGTTTTTCGGTATGTGACTGGCTTTCGCGAAGTGATCTCCGAAGCGAAACGGATCGCACAGCTTCTACAGACAAATTATTCTCAAGCCATTTCGCGTCATGTTTAATGGCATCTCGCGAGTACCTAGCGTACTCATGAATGAAGAGCTTTGAACGCTCTAGGACGTGTTTCCGAATCCAAACTGCAAGATCCTGCTTCTCACTATGCGACCCGACCTTAAGATCTACTCGGACAATAGCCGAGAGTGATTGGGAGCCGAGAGCCATGTAGAAGGTTTCTAAGACGTCCTCCTCAGGTGCACATATCAAGTGATCTTTGAACATGCGGTAACTAATGTAATCATCTAGAATGACAATGCTACCTGGAGTAGCAAGTTGGTATTGCCTGATGGATGCTTCTTCTTCTTCGTTTTCCGATGACTTGTCCTTAGAAGGAGCGCTAATCTCCTTGAAAGCTAGCAAGAATGGAGACGACTTCATCTTCTTCCATAGTTCCTTGTCTCTCTTCAGGGTTGACATATCCTCAGCTAGGGTTTTCAGGAGATTCAGATATTTTTCCGAGCTTTGGAGGATACTAAGCAGTCTGGCTGGCTCACTTGCAGCTAATTGGGCAATCTCTAATTTGGTCGGCTCAGTCTTCGAGCCGCAGGCTGATAAAAACGCGTTCGCGGAGCTGCCGAAGTCCACAAAGTCGAAAATTTCCCCGTACAATATCGAGCTACCGAGATAGCAGTGACGAGGGCTCAAGTGAACTGTTTGATTGGCTTTGCTCCCCGTGCCCGTCGACATTTGGGAAGTGGATAGTCGATTTCCCCTTACTATTGGTACGATAGGAGCGTCGCGAAGCTTCGTGATCGAAATATTACCCAATTCATTAAGGCGAGTTGAGAAGTAACCAAATAGAGAGACGGCTTCTTGGTTATTTTTAGGGGGGGAGGCGAGTAGACGCTCAACGCATTCAAGAATCGGTGGATCCGCGCGTACGCCGAATTTCTAGTGAACAATTAGTAACAATGCTCAGCGGAGTAATATAATGATGATCCATCAACTTACAGGCGCATGCAGATGGAGATCTTTCTTGAGAATATTGAAACCTAAGATAGCAGCAGCCTCGTTGGTATAACACTGAGATGGAGGCACAAGCTGCTTAGGGTTCCCCTGCAAAGGAAGAAAGGCTTTGGGAGCCGATCCGATATCGACATTCGCGTAATTGTTGCTGTGATGGTAAGAGATGAAATAATTCATAGCGTTGCCCCTTAATGTCGGATCCGAGGAGGCCATCATGCCTACGAGCTCTACGACTGATGGGTAAGCGCGCAAACCGAGGTCAGTCAAAAACTTTCCTTCGGGGCTTCCAGGTCGTAAGTTTCCACCTGGCCATTGAATAATCCTCAAGTTGAGCGGCCGAAGAGGAGCTTTTGGTTCGTAGAGCTCGGAGACCTTGTACAGCTGCTTGCTTGGCGTGATTGATTCTAAACCAGGCTGTCCTGCTTCCGCTGGACATATCCGTGACTCCTTCAGCTTCCTTAGGTCATCAATCGGAATGTCTTGTCGTACCGATGCTAAATACTTGATAAGTTCAACATGACTCCATTTTGCTTGTCCGGGATCCTCGGCTCCCATTGAAGGATTGAGCAAGCGTGTGAAAATCGTGTCCAGGTCCACGGTTTTTCTGACGCCGATGGCGGTCAGGAATTTATCCTTTAGTGATGAACATCCTTGGATGGTTGGAAGATCGTCAAAAAGCTTTACGCTCTGGAAAAATGACTCCGTCGGTTTCTTCATGCCTGATTTGGTTGGCATAATAGCCTTGCCCTGGAGCAGCGCGGTGACAGTCCCTTTTGAGCTTTGACTGAGGTTGTCCCAGCTCTTTGAGAGCACAGTCAGAATTCGGATCGAAAAGTCGGGTGTCTTAGTCATATTTTGACTGTCTGGTCTCGTGGAGTTGGTCTCGATGAGAAATCGAAGCCAAGGGACAATATCAAGTGATGCCCAGCCTAGTGCTTGCAGGTCCTCTGACTTGCAGTTCTTAGTGAAGTCATAAGGGATAGTTGACGGCGGAACGGGTAAGCCGGCCGGGATCTTGTTTGGACTTAGATAGTTCTGGATGCTACCCAGAGCGATAATACCACCCCGATCTTCGGCTCCTTCGCCGACAAGTCCTACTGCAACATCAAGAAGTCTTTCTTTACTTGGCGGATCAAGCTCTCCCTGAACAGCCTTCCTCCCAGCCCACTGTATGAAGTTGATGAGTTGCTCCTTATTGAGAGGTTTACCGGACAACTCCAGTCTAACATCATCTACAGTTATGGGCGTTAGTAGATCAAAATCGATCAATTTCCGAACGAATCCAATAACTTCCAGTTGGGGAGGAATCACCGGGATTCCATCGACAAACTTGGCAAGGTCGGGGGTACCCATCCGGACCTTGTTAGCCGGAAGTACGCCTCGACTGCTATAAACATCCACGAATGGGTCCCTAGAAGATGTCCAGAATGCTTCTTCGATTATTTGCGAGACGTGGCCGCTTGGGGTAGAATCTCCGAATGTGAAGGCGTTCAGGGTGTGCAAAGCCTCGGGCATGTATTTGGCAACCTCCTTCGCGGTAATGCCGGTGCCCGAGACTATCCCATCCCTTTGCAGCTTAGTTTCCAATTCAACCATCTCGGTCGAAAACGCAAGCCGGGTCACGATGCCAGCAGCCCGTAGCATTTCAATGTTCCATGTTCTAACCCATCTCGCATTTAGATCGATAGCCTCCCGTTCAACGGTAGGGATGACAGATGGTGCTGAAATATGAATACCTGCGCCGGTAGTTTGGGTAGTCGGGAATCCAATGAATATTCGTCCGCCTTTCTTGCTTGGGAGCACAGATGCAAAGACGTCGGTAGCCTTTGAGACAGCGTTCGAAGATTCCGTAGAACTCTCCGAAGCCTGCGTCTCATCGTACGAGGACGTCAAGACAGACAACTTAGTTACTCTGGGCGGAGGTTTTTTGGTGGCTCGCTCTAACTCGGCCGAGAAATTAGCAGAAACAGATGTCTTAATTGCGGCCGTTATTACTCGGAGGAATATGCTACTTGATGATAGCACAGTTATATCTTCCGATATCGCCTCCTGCGCCGCCTTTTCTTCTCTCGCAGCTTTGCTACTCTTCGAAGTAGATGTGTTCGCGGTCAGTCTAGAAAAGAAACTCCGTAGGGATGGCATCTCTGAACTGCCAAACCCGTACGCCTCGTTTTTTGCTGCTGTTGCTACTTCTGGTTTCCATCCGATAGCGCTCATAAAAGAGGCATCAATCTGTGCGCTTGCTCGTTCCACACTCTGAACCTTCATGAGACGCTCCTTGGTGGTTGTCTCGACATCTCTAGATAGAGCAACCTCGGCACTAGGGCTAGTCTTCTTTTGCAGATGGAGAATCTTGTAGTCGTCTATCCAGAACTCGATATTCTGGAGTGCTACAAATGTCAAACTTGTAGCTAGGAACTGACTGACGGATAATAAATTCGGTAAAGTGGTCGTCGTGTTTCGGTAATCTAGGACGAAGGCGGTATCTGGGCTGCATTGGTCCTCGGGAAGTTGTAGCTTTCTTGTGAAGAGCGCGTTCCCCTTCCAGTAGAAGGCCATGGCCTCCTGTCCTGAGCTGACAAATGGCTCCTCGCAGTCGGCGAAAACGCTATAGAACCCTACACCGAAAGCACCAATCTTGGTCTCGTCCGGGTTACCCTCTGCGATCCTCTTCAGTCGGCCCCAGTCGGTCTTAGTGAATGGCTGGCCATTGTTCTGTACGATGAGTCGGCGGAGGGTATGATTCGTGATGATGTGTTTCAGGATTTCGGACCGATCTGTCGTTGTTGGTAAAGGAATCTGAGTCGAAGGTAGGGTCTCCCACTTAATCTTTACGGTGGTAGCTTGGGCGTCGGCAGCATTCTGAATAAGTTCTCGTAACGTAGTCCATTCGCCCGAGTATCTTGCTAGAACCTTGTCGATTAGAGCTCGAGTGTCGACGGTTACCGCCTCTTCGTCCTCTCCATCCCGCAAGGCGGCGGCCCGGAGCCTTCCGTAATCCATTATTACACTTGCTCGAGTAGGTTTCCCTTTATGACATTATGGTAAAATGGAAAAAGAATGTGATTGTGCAGTAGGTTGAAAGGGCGAAACGAGAGGATTTATTAAAATCGGGTAAGAAGTTTGGTAAACAAGAAGGTTGTCGAGTGTTCCGTTGAACGTTGAAAAGTCATCCAATCCTAGAAGGGCAATTGCTGAGACCGCTGCATGGGCCAGTATAGTGCGTCAGCTCGCCCGATGTTGCCTAGGCACGTTATAATAGGTAATGTCTAGGAACAAACACTATGCACAGTACGAAGAGCGAATGATTTTCGTCTACGAATGAAAAGTAGAAAGAAAAAAAGAAGAGAAAAAAAAGTAACGCGCACGAGATTCAGGAACAAAGGTAAAAAAAAGTAAACTTGCGTTTGTACCGTTTATGTTCTTGTAGAGTTGAAAAAACATGAGGACTCGATCTTGATTGGTCTTAGCTCCTGCTGGGTGATGCATGTCTCGCCCCAGATCTCAGGGATGACAGGGACTGACGGGCCAAAAAATACAAGGTACATATCTACGTTGCAGCTAATCTTCCCCCTAAACTCCACTAACTCCGCATCTTATCGTGGGACAAGCACATGCCTCAGGAAAGCATCAATCCTATCCATATTTGTATTAAGTCAGCCCTATGACACCGTGCTCGTGCTAATTACCTGGTACGTAAGTACCCTTATTCAAGTACTGCCTATGCATGCGCAAGTACCACCTAAGCAAATTTAGGTCTAAGAATACACAGCTACAATCACTTCATCTAAAAAATCGCAGACGGCATCGCATTCGTAAAAGCCGCCAGTGTTTGTGCCTCCATTCCTCGTTCTTCGATATCTCGTAGAAATTTTTCAACTTAATCAGACCCCGTCTATGATGTTTATGCTCCAGTCCATATTGCATAGCACATCCTAGCTGCGAAATTCTGCGGTAGACTAACCCGAACCATACAATGAAGGTAGATAGTACTCAGGTTCATAACTCATCAACGACGGTCGTCTGGAGACCTTCTTCTCCGGTAGCGCTCAGGGCTTCCACTTCGTCGTGATCGTCCGTCCCTCGACCTAGGTCTGTAAGTTTCCTTATCATCCCTTCTTCGCTCGGATCTCTCAGGGCTACGATCGTGACTACGTTCCCGTCGATGGCTTCTTTTATGTCTGTGCTCGTCGCGTCCTGCGCTGTAATCCCTTCTCCCTCGACGGTCGTGTCTATCATCTCTATCATCCCTTGATCTGTGCGTAGAGTAATCATCTCCTCTCCTTGGTGACCTATCACGGCGCCTCTCTCTGCTGTGGCTCCTACTCCTATGTCGTCTCCGATGGCGTCTCTCGGAGTCATCATGCTTCTTTGATGTCTTATGGTTATTGTCGATTGGCCCCTCCCCATCCCTCACAACGTTCGAATCACTACCGCCAGCCATGCCTCGTCCTGAGCTCACATTAACGGCATTCGCGCCCGTGGTATTTCGAGGGGCAACAGGTAGTCCTAATGCACGGGCCAGAGCGTCTTCTTCCGCCTGTTTGATTCGCTTGAGCTCTTCCTTTCGTTCTCTTTCTGTCTTTTCCTGCTCCGTCTCCGTGCCAGATGATTCCGGTGCATCGGCTTTTGCGTACCAAGTAAGATCTCTGCCCTTTGCCCAACGGCCGACGGGGGCTTTTAAACTATGACCGAGATAATTTTCTCGGTGATTCGAATTGGCGACATCCTCCCAATTGAAATTGACGCCACCGCGCGAGCCCGTCTTGCGAATGCTTGAGACGAGATCCATCGCGACCGACGAACTTGATGAACTCGGGCAGGAACTATCGTATGAACTCAGGTGTATATATCGTCCGTGTTATGTGAGGTAGTTGTTGGGATGTGGCGCTATACAGATCCGTTGGTGAATTTGAGTTGGTTGAAGTTAAAAGGTTGAACGTTGGATGGATGCGAATTGAAGGTGATGTACCTGACTACAGTGTACATAAGTAATTACGTGCCCCACTGCGGATAGCATTCACTATCGATAAGAAGCTTCCTCAAACAGCCCCATGGGCCACTCTATTTACCCGCGCTTTTGTTCTCAATTCCTAATTCTTATTCTCAAAGCTTCAACTTCCATTCAAGACCTGCTGGTCACAGCCAAGCCGCGAAAATGGCGGCACCTAAAGAAATCCCTCTCGACGAAATTCAATGGCACGACCCGTTCGAGATACAGAGGATCGGGGGACTCCATTCCAATACAGTCCTGTTCTACTTTGCCTCGTCTCCGTTCTTTGATGGTACTTCGAATAATGCAATCGTCTATAACCAAGCGGTTCATAATGAGAACATGAACCATCTTATACATACGCGCGAGGCGTTTGAAGGTCGTTTAAGAGAAATGACAGGGTTGGAGTTCATGGTTGCGCAAGAGCCTGCAGAGTCCGGGCCCGGCATGGGAACTGGTGTTTGGGTCATTCACAAGCAGACTCGCCGTAAGCGCGAACCTAAGGACGAGATCATCGTCCATGCCGCCTATTACCTTGTGGGGGATCACATCTACATGGCACCTTCATTCTCGGATATTGTCAACCATACAATGGTCATTAGCCCCTTCTATTAGTCCCTTCTTTCCGCTAGTTCCCATGTCTGACTTGATTACGTAGATTACGATTACCGAGAAACTGAGCAAGTGTTTTGCAATCGCAGATAAAGCACGAACCTGGTCGCCGTCTACCGGACATGGTTACAACACTGCATCAGCCACTACAAGCGCCAAAGCGCATGCACTCGAGTCGAAGGGTACAACGCCAATGCCCAATACGCAAGAGAGCAGCACTTCGGAGGCTAAGAAACCCACCCGGTCGGCCGTAGACTCACGCCTAGCCGAACATTCCTTCATGATCCACATGCAGTATGGCGGGGAGTACATGGACGAGAACCCCATCACCGGCAAGCCGGGCGAGTTCCACCTCTCCTCGACAGGACGCAAGGACAAGATGCCGACCTTAGCTCTACCGAGTCTTAACACGACAATGGTGAGCTCGTCGCTGACCCAGCCGGACAAGAAGGATGCGAAGGCGGGAGAGAAGACGCCGAAGACACCAACGGGAATGTCGAAGATCAAGCGTAAGAAGAGCAAGGCTGGCGCAACTCCAACTTCGGCATAGGATACCGGAGCTGGGGTCAAGAAAGGCAAAAAGAAGAAGAAAAAGGTACAGGAACCAGAGAAGAAAAAGGTGGTGAAAAAAGTGAGATTTGCATTGGACTAGGTGGTTCGGCGATAAGGCATGGCGTTCATGGGGTTAGGAAATCGGATCTTGATACCCCTTTTCGTGTAGGTACAGTACCTACCTTGGTGTGCTATACGCATCCGCTTCGCAATGCGTTAGTTTTGCTTCAATAAAAAATTGCCGTCTTATTACAGTGTACACTCACCTCAGAACCTAGGTATGTCCGAGAACCATAGGTTTTAGTGAATGTCTCGTTTGCTGAGTCAGGTCAATTTCACCACTCGTTGATTGGCCGCCTCGTGATGACAGAGCGGTCTATAAATATGTCTACATGTGTGGCTTATTTCTAACTCAATGCGGAATGTTGTACAGAATCGTATGTCAGCTCCTCTTCGACACCGTCGTTCGTCTCCGGATCACTTAGCTAGGTAGTTGGCTATGTTGTGACCTTTACCCTCACTCCCGTAAGCAACTCCCCTCTGGAGAAGAGGGCTCTGTTTGACTTTTTCCCAGTCATGCAGCATAAGCGTGTTCTTCTCACTCTGCCGGACCTCCTCCCCGGCCCGAGGCCGCATTTCGCTCTCGAAGGCGTCAATCAGTTCGGCCTGAGACCGGTTTTCCGGCTTCGTCAGCAGCTCGACTAACTTGTAGGCGTCATCGAGCGACTGATTCAGGCCTTGCCCGCGATCTGGGACGTTACAATTAGCATCTAAAGAGAGTCCTAAGAGGCCATGAAGTCAACTCACGATAAGTCATCGGATGCGCCGCATCACCAACCAGCGTCACGCGTCCGCCTTGGTTATCCCACCCGTGCTCCGGCAAACTCGGATCCCAATTCCCGTTCGCCACGTAATACACCTTATCATTATCATCACTCACAAGCTCATAGCAGCTCCTCAGCGGCTCCGCAAAACCCCGGCTCTTCTCCTTGCCCTGGCGCAGGCGCTCGCGGACGCCCATGCCCGCCGCGGCCTCGGCGGCCTGCTCCTCGACGGAGCACGGCCACGAGATGTAGAAGGCGAACTGCCAAGTCTCCGGACGTGATGCGTCGCTGCCGTCCAGGATCGCGAACATGCCCATCATGCCGCGCGGGTGCACGAACGCGTTGATGATGGGGTGCGCGGAGGCGCGCAGGCGCTTCGCTTCGGCCGCGGGAAACGACGCCGTCACGAAGGTCGCCGCGATCGGGAGCCGCTTCAGCGCCGCCTTCTCCTGTCCTAACAGCAGGCTGCGGACCTTGCTCTGGCTGCCGTCCGCGCCGATAACCAGACGTCCCGTTTCCGCGGTGCCGTCCTCGAAGCGCGCCGTCACGCGCGTCCCGTCATCCGAGTACTCCAAATCAGAAAGCTTCTTGGCGAAGCGGATGTCGAGTCCCTCGGCCTGCAGGGCGCGCATGCGCGAGCGCAGCACGCGGTGCAGGTTCGGGATGGGCGACTCGAGGATCAGCTCGCCCGTCGCGCCGTTGTACAGCGGGAAGTGCTCGGACTGCCTCACGGGCAGGTTCGGGTCGACGAAGGTCGAGCTCACGCGGCTCCATTTCGCGGCGCCGAGGAGCGAGGCCAGGAGCGGCGCGCCCCAGTGGCAGGCTATGCCCCAGTCCCGCCCATTGCGCGGGGAGAGGGATGGGTCTTTGTCGAAGACGATGTATGGAATGCCTTTCTAGTATTTTCACGTCTTGTTAGTTTGGCGGTTGCTAAACTCCAGGCTGATAAGGGGTGGGGGGTGGTGTACCTGGTGAAGTCCATTGGCTATAGCCAGTCCAGTGATACCTAAGATGGAGCAAGCATATATTAGTCCTACTCTAACTATATTGGGAACCTCTCGTTAAGTTCCCTTACCAGCCCCAATGATGAGGATGGGTAACTCTGCTGATTCACCAGCGTTTGCCATTGCGGTACGTAACTGCTTCTTCAAGGCCGGTATGGTAAAATATAGCTTGGATCTAAAAGGGTACCTGTTTTAAAAGAAACAGAAGCTTGATATTGATCTACGCTACTGATGAAGTGTCGAAAATCCTGCATGATGCGGAGCTGAGGCTAAGACCAATACTGTTCTCGAACCTGGTACCATATATATTTATACCATGATCGACATGTGAGAACAGCATCGCCATTAGACCATATTCGGACTCACCGCGTTAATCTAGGACGTCTAAGTCCCATCGCTCGACTTGATCCTTCGAGTGCCGAGACGACCCGAAGTGGGGACTATCGGCGCTACGTTGTATGGATGAGATCCAATTAGGTATGTAAGGACGAGGACGGTTCGTGACATTTCGCGCTTCGCACCCTTACCCCCAGCGCGGAGTTACACGAGCTTACCTTGCAATTGACTTCATAATCCATAATCGTGCCAGAATTTATGGCATCGCTACGTAAATAGACAATTACGCGAAGCAATTAACATGAATTCGTCTCCTTGACTCATACGGCGAACCTAGATACATATTATACGGGCTACTTGTGGGGTAGTTAGGTATGCATTATTACCGCGAGGGTCGATTACTGAACCACGTCTTCGGCATCGCGTATTGGCCGAGATATTTAAAGTACGTATCCGTAATCTCCTTACAAACAAATATACTAGGTACGATCTAGTCTTTTTAAGTTATGTGAATGGTATATCTTATATTTTAGTCAGCCGATTAAGATATGTAGGTGCCCCTGAGTTGATTTATGTACATATGAAAGTCCTTGAGCATTAATGAAAGGATGCTAATGATGTGACAGGGACTCAATTCAATGGCGAAAAAAAATTATTACTAATTGTCAGACTTTTCATCGTTGACGACAGTCTTCTCAGCCGTATTCTCTGCATCAGTTTCCCCCTCTCCCCTTTCTCTGGTTTCTTGGTCAAGTCAACGTTCTTAATAGACCATATCGCTAGCAACATAGGAACTAGCACGCAAGTGGCAGCGATAGCCAATAGTTTTCGAGTGACACGATAGGCACTGACGACGGCTATCCTCTTAGTAGCTCCGACAGGAAATTTCTGTGCCACTGCTATCGAGCCGAAAATGATATTGACCTTGGATTTAGAGGCGGTCGGAAGATAGGGAGTTAGCTTATATGCCGTAGATTCGTTCGCTGTATAGCTCTAGAAATGCTCTTCGGATGTTAGAACGTGCTTTCAGGTGTAGGCTCAAAGGTCCCTTGCCTCGTTCCGATGGCACTCCCTCTATATAATGGTACACGCCATTTCCCATGGTAGACAACCTGGATTTCCCTCCTCAATACCTACACGACTCTTCGGAGCAAAAACACACTAAACCAATAAGGAATTCTATATTCTAGTAGGTAAGCTCTTGGATCCGCATCTTCCCATCTAATCTTATCAGATCCACCATCGCTGAAAGTACAGCCTTAGCGATCCGGCTGATGGAGCTCGCTAGCGTCGAGGGCTGAGATTTACGTTACGTACCTTTCTCTCAACTTGTGGTCAGCTAGACAGGAAGTGTAAGGATGTCGCGTGAGGTCTCGATAAACTATTCCATATAAGCACTAAAGAATAGAAATTTCTGTTAAATCCGTGCCGTTCCAAGCCTGTAATTTAACGTGTTTCAGGAAGCATTAACGGAGCATGAATCGAGCTGCCAGTCTTCTAAGAGAAACTGGTACGTAAGATTATGTAGTGGTATCTGATCCCTATCTATAAGATAGGTGAGTGTGAACTATCAATCGCTGATGTCTGAAATGGCGAATCTTCGAAAAAACTCGCCATGCCCCTATCGACTAAACAGGCGATCACTGTGCCATGATCTTTGCCTTCATATACATGAGGTGTGACTCTGTGTAACTTGCCACTTGACTCTAACCAATAGTGCGTGTCAAATACATCGTTTACCATGTGACCCTCGTTATGTCGTTTCTACCTTTGTTTATATTCATATATTGCTCGTAGCCGACGGCACCAGTCCGTTTTCTTATACATGACAGGGACACCTTCATCGTTATGAAGGTGTGTTCAACTAGTCCATTCACGAGGGTATCTAATTTGCACGATATATTCTTGTCATGTCTATTTCAGGCCGGCCACTCCTCTACAGATTCGATTAGTGAAGAGGTAACCCAGGTTAACACTACTTTACACTCTTGTATGAATAGAAGGTATGAGTACAGAGCACTAGATATATCACTAGGTTGGCTTGAATGTTCTGGGATCTTTCCCTTAAGAATAAGAGAACTCGCTACCTCAAGTTGTTTAGGAGAGAATCTGTATTGAAAGCTTCCTTGACAAACCGGAATTGACTACCTAGGTAGATTATAGACTTTAGTGTATTTCACTCAATACTTACTGTCACGTAACACTACCTAGGTAAAACCAAGTTTCAATAGAAATGCCTTTATATAGAGAAGAAGATAGTTGCCCCTGGGATATTATCTTTTCCAAGATGAGTGTATATGGCTATGCTGCACATCAATGTTGAAACTTGGCTATTTTCCCCTATTTTGTCTCCAACACACAATATCCATGGATGTACAACTAAGATATGGCTCCACTCAACCCAGTGTGTTGATTACGCAACTTCACTTCTCTGTGGGAAATGTCTATTGAGGATGATTGTTTTATAAATGGTTTTGTTTTTCACCTGGAAGTTGGAATCTTTACGCTCAGCCTTTTGAAAGTATTGGTAGGAAGAGATACAAGAAGGGAGGAGAAGTCGACCTCAAACCACATTCTATACATGCCTTTATGTGATGGTGATATCATGATCATCCTCGTTGAGTAAAGCAAGTCCCTGTTAACTACGATTCTCATATTCATATTTCCTTTCCCGTGAATGCCTGGCTAAGAAGATGAATTCGGTTTAGGGAATATAGATGAAATAGAACAGTCATGAAATATTCATTAAAACTCATTGAAATTGGATAATCACTAACTTCAACTATTCGTTGGTTTCATAGTATATTACTTGATATGTGCCATGCAGCCATTAATTGTTATTGACGGGTTGCCGTATTTAACGGTATCGAATTACGAAAGCTATTGGAATTATGAGAATAACATCATAATTAGATACATTTCATAAGTCTCACTTTCATGTCTAATAAAGGGCTCTTCTCTACGGTATTGTAAAGGCATCAGTTTGATTATATGACTAATAACCCTAACCCTAACCCCATGCTGACTGCTAATGGGGTTAGGATTGCTTAATAAACATGAGATGATCAGGTTGATGGAAGTCGTACTGTATCAGCCAATCAAATCACGAAAATGTGATTGTCATTTACCGATGGGATGGTTATCGTTCGCCTGGGCTTATACCTAGCTGAACCCGGTTTGCCGTTGGACAATCGGCCCGGCAGACGCCATCCGTGGCCAAGCCCCAAGTACGAGATCCTTTTGCTTTTTTTCCCGTCATCATTGGGCAATGCGCCCTTTGGTATTACCGCGCAGCAACCGGTTTGGTGGTAGTTATCTGACGTGGGTGGGGTGAAAGGGAGGAGGGGGAGAACAGATCTAAATTCGATTAGTTACCACCCTCCAGCAGCCCCAGGTCCTTTGCCCGGAGGCCCAGAAAAGTCCAGGCCTTGTGCCACTGTTCGTGACCCTAAATAAGATATACCGACATCGTACGAGACGCAAAACCGTCCTGTCTTCCCATTGGGGGCTTGAGGCTCAAACTATACGGCGTTATCTATGCTATTGACTGCCATCGCCAGCCCGCGATTGGCAAGGCAGAATATCCGATCGGTTATCCGGTAGATATAGGCTACGCGGCTTTGGATTATGTAACGTAGCAGGCCGTCACACGAGAAGATGGCTTCAGCTAGCTGATACACCAATATGCGTATGCGTATGTCTACGTTCAGCGGCTGAAACTCGCATACCCGCCGGGCCTCCGTGTCGTTTACGAGCAAAATAAAATTCTAAATGTTCCATCACGAATCTCGACTTTCCGGCTTTCTCCTACCTATACCGACTCAGAAGCCAATAGCTGCCTGAGGAGGTTGGGCATGTTGATTAATTGCATTTGCCTACTGTAGGCGACTGGAGGCGAGTGTCGCCGAGACTTGGGCTTTTTACCTCGGTGTAGTTTCAGGTATGATTGTGTGGAAGTCCGAATCGTGATTCAAGATGAGACATACAGTCGGAGTGTAACAACGTTTAGGTGCACTTTTGAGGACTGTCACGAGCCCAATTGGACCTACCGACCCCGGATATTGTAGTATAGTGTAGATCGTTGCTTCGGTGAGTTGGCTATACAGATTGCCATTAATAATCATCGAAGCTTCGTAAAGACGGCAAGGCTCTGATCATTTGTTCGATTCGATGGCTTAGGATGGGGGCAAGGCGGTTCGTGTGTCTCATCCCATATCACTTCGAAGGAAGTGGTGAAGTATGCACTGGACCTCGGTAAGTAATGGTTGTCTTGAAGAAGTCCTGTTTTTCCAAAATAGGTACCTAGGTAGGTAGGGTTGAACTACGCCTCTTAAACTAACTGAGTAACCTAAATTCTTGTGTCTTCCTCTTGGATTCGGATCAAAGGGGAAATCAACTTGAAACTTGGTAGAAAATAGAGAATTGTGTATGTAGAACAAAACGTGCGTGTTTGATTTTGGTCTTAGAAAGATGCTTGAATTTTCGTGCACTGTAACTCAGACAATGAAAATTACGTCAAACAAGAATCAACCGAAGGTCTCATAGGGCTGCAGTTAACATGTGCCAATGTTACACTCTAGGCCCATGAAACAATAGAACACCTATTTCCCTGAGAATTGACTGCAATAGAGTCTTTTGTTGCTGGTGTTTATTGTTGACATTAGCTAGAAACCCCCTTTCACAATAAATAACTACCTATACATTTAAGAAATTCTCTACTACATGCTAAGGGTTTAACTCCTCATTCAGGGGTAATAATAATTAATTGTAAATCTCCCCAAATCCATCTTGTTCCAGTCCGTCCCCCTTTCCAAGTTCTTTGACGATAATAACACCCCCGAGTACAATTTTAAACTGGATTCGGCATGATATCCGAACTCGAAGCATATGTTGGCTTGCACTGTATCTCAACAGCATCATGTAGTATGGCTTTAGCTCCTTCGATTACTAAAACGGCTATCACTCGGTGAACAATATGATTCCAATTTTACCATGCATAGTAAATATTCTTGGACGCAACTACTTCTCATCTGCCACGTCAGCAATTATGCCTTATCAATTCTCTAATCTGGTCGTATGGTCTCTATAAGGATCAGTAAAGCTACCTCGCCAGGCAATTCAATATTCAAGAATAGTATCCCAATTATAAAAAAGCTTCATGTTGGTTAAGTTTGATCTTCAAGGAGTATAAAGCCGCGATCTAGTCAATGTTACACAGCCCCTGAATTTAGCCCCTATATTCTATATCTGAATGTGTTGTATGGTTATGTAGATTTCTTTTACTTCAGTACATTTTGATGGATTATGATGCTCTTCGGTCCCGACCGAATATCTACATGTGAGCTATAATGCAGCGTAGCATTTACTATTCTAGTCGCATCATATTCTCCATTACCCCAAACCGCCGTGCCCACTTCTTGGGCGGAGGAAATTGAGGCGTTACACAAAGATTGAGAATAGTGAATCGAACTTCGTTAGGGTGGGATTTATTCCTATTATTGCTATAGGACCTATATCATAAAAATGCGGTGTACTAATCTGGGCAGTCTGGGGTGATATAACACCTAGATAGGATTCACGAACGCGTATACCTCGATTCGGTTGCTCGACTATACGACGTATGCACCCTACTTGGGTATGATGCAACATAGTACAAGCACTGCATAGTGCATAATGGAATGTTGCATCTGAAACATGCATTGCATACCTGTTTTTTTCTCTTGGTTTTCTTCGCCTTTCTTTTCGCCGTCATACTTCGTCCTACCCAGGCGGTGCGTTCCTGCATATTCGCGGCGATTAGGACTACTGCTGATTGACCACAGACAGGACTTGACAGATCTACTTATTATGTAAACTGCTTACGATGGTCTCACAACCTTTGCGTCATGCCACGTGGGTCTCTTGGAATCAGCAATGATCTTTAGCCTTCGATTGGTGGTCGCAAACTGTGCAGAGCCACTGTTCTCGTGGTTGTTCGTAGCAGGTGTGCTGCCTCTTCGTCTCTTCACTGTGTTTCGTCCTTTCGACCGGGATCGCACGTGGTCCATACGTGACGTTTCGAAGATGGTGTGCCCCAAGGAGCTGGAACTGCATGTTTCATGAGCTGCCCTCGGCTGTAAATTCCCTGAGCAATGAATAGTAACAGCCAGCCTCGAACATGACCACCCCACACTGGGAACCCGCCATATATCACAGTGGCTTAAACAGTAAACCGGTACAGCTGTAGTACTACAGTGGCGTATGAAATAGAACTCTAACAGACCTGAGCCACAAAGCTGGATATGAGGAGGCTGAGAATCCACATTTGCGCTGTCTCGAGGACCGCCTTTGACGTAGTTATCACAGCGGTGATTCCCATATCCATCACCGAAAGAAAATATTTTCGTTTTGCCTCCCTGGGAGAGCTGGACCCCAATGCAAAATTTCGGAGATTAGATGGGACATCCTAAAATTTCAGACATGGTGATGACCAACAGATTATGAAGCCGGTGTAGAACGTACACAGTATACGGCGTGCCCTGACAACTTACTTGGTAAGATAGGTAGACTAGATTCCGAGCGGGAGCTGAAGCCTGCACGTTTGTGGGGGATGACATGTACTCCTCTGGTTGCCTGGTGGCTCGAGGAATGCTTCCTAACAGGAAAGAGAAACCGAAAGAGAAAGCGGCATTTCGTTAGTATGGCGCTTGGTGTTGTAGGATCGGCGGAGGCTGAATTTGAACGTCGCTGTTGGTGCGCCTTCAATACAACTACCGAATCTTGTGATTACCTAAATACTCCACTATACCCCTTATAATCGATGCGGATCGAATGATGTGCGCAATAATGGGGTCCGGAAATCAATTGAGCTATTATATATCGATGTATTAAGTGACCAGGCAGCGAGGGGCAAAAGAAATGAAACGACGAGCGGAACCTATCGAATGTGAGGGTGTGTTTTGGGGGCCGAAACAAGGCGTTGAAAGACAGCCCTGATGGAGATAATTATGATGACCTGATTAAACCAGAACCTTGAAACCTTGAAAAGGTCTTAATTGGAGACGACGGTACTACTAGATGCTATCCATAGATTTGCGGATATCCCCGGGTTGCCTGAGTCAGAGTTAGTTCAAATAATTTGAGTTGAGTCATGATGAAATCGCATTCGTATGGATATTTTCTTTTGTTAGCAAAGTGTAGGTCAGTAGACATCCGAAAGGCGTCGGAGTATAGAGGGACAGGCGGGCAACTGGCGGACAACAGACGGGCAACACGGTCGTCGCCGAAGTCTGTATGAGACAATGACTGCTTCAATCGCCTAGAAAGCTATACTATATTCTATCATCATCTATAGCAATGCCTTCCTGCTGTCACACTTGCAGCTTATCTCTTACATAAGGCTATGTTGAAGAGAGAATGATTCATTCTACGTACGATCGTTGTAAGTGGTGGAGAATCGAGTTAAGTGGGATGCGACGTACTGCGTGAATGGTGTTTAGAGGAGTTTAGAGGAAAGCGGAGACATGGAGATAGGAGGTAATGAAGTAATATGGTAGTATTGACTGGCCTTTTTTAGTATAGTAGGTAGGTAGGATACTGAGTACTTCTGACATTCAAAGAGGTTTATGTGGCAGTGCGATTATGGACAAGAAGAAAGAAAAGAAATAAAAAAGAAATCGCTATTTCGATTGGATCTAAACCCGACTGACCCTTACTTGCATTGTACTTTGTAGTTCAGTGGACCTTCCCGCTCCTGGAGTCCATTCCAGCCTGGAGGGTTTGATGAAGTCTTAGCCTAAAGCCCTGGAGGTCTTCAGGTAGGCAGGTGCAGCTGCTATCTGTCAGTCAACGAAAAAAAGCTAAGCATCCATCTATTAATAGGCGGCCTAATTATCCCACTTTAGAAGTCGATAAGCACTAATTTAGCCCCCACCAACACGGACAGTAGGTACCCTTGACAGTAGAGTTCTAGTACTGTTCTACAAGGTGAGTGGTGGTGTCTTGTTTGGAATTCTTGGCAACCTCGTGGCTCCTCCCCTGCAACCCTTGCCAAACCCATGGAACATGAGCAGGTGGGACTCGGGACAATCTGAAAAGTGCAGATTCCAAGATAAGATTGGTCCCTTGCGCGATTTGCTGTGCATTGCGGTGCATTTTTCAGCTGTATCACAATAATTGCTTGCCGCCGGATCTCAGTCGACTAGGCCACCAAGCAGCCAGTCAAGTCACCTAAGCGGACTATTGTTACGAGCCCTGCTGCAGAAGAGAGATCGTTTGATCTGGTCTTATTTCGCCAATTGATACGACATCGATCTGAAAACTCCCCGAATACCTGTTGTCGCTCCGTACCTGCATGCACACTTTACACCTTGCGTCCTCTGTCCGGTGCGGTTAGGCGGCTAGGCTAGGCTACAGCTGTACTGTGTTCTGTGTTCCCCGTATGTTCCCCGACCTGCTTCAAACGATCCGGAGGCAGGGCTGTCCTCCGCGAGGAGCTGTTTATAGCTTGGGATTGGTTGAGCATTATCCCATCATCTTTCGAGGTCCAAACGAGCTGAGTCACCGGCGAGCAGAAAGATGACAAATGTAGATTCAATGAAGGTATATGGATAGAATACTGATGGAGTTTCCCAGTTCGGAGCAATGATCATTATGATTAATAAGGTATCGAGATAAAGTGGAAACAACCAACATAGAAAGAGTATGTGAGTGTGTGTATTGGACCTTTGGTGATTTACTATGTACAATTTCGACAGTACTCGGTATTGACCGAATAATCGTCATTGAATATTTCCTATCCTAGCATAGTGGACCATGTAGTGGTGATGATGGGTGATAAGTCTGCAAGAGCAGAGCCCCTGCTGTAGATGTGCAACAATAGATGGAAACGGGCCGTTGGAGACTACCCAGTGCTAAATCGGGGAGGGTGCCTTGCAGGCCTTGCAGTCCTTGCAGCGAAGAATGAATAAGTATGATGCGCGCAGATGCTGTGATGAGGGTATGTGTGTAATCACGCATGGCGTCTTTGGGAATGATTGGGAGTGGGGATGCGGAAGTGAGATGCTGGCGAGTTGCTTGGCTCTCATGAAAATATCCTCAGTTGATTGGATGTACTAATAGAAAGGCGAAATAAGAAAAAAAAATCGATTGTTATTATTATTCGAGGTCGCACCAATAGGCTTCGATCCCCTTACATCCACCTACGTACCAGACCAGCACCAGACGAGCGATGATGAAAAGCTCATTGGTGAGTGTAAGACCCCTGAAAAGGCTGGAAAGGTGCAAAAATTACTAGGCATGTAAGATAGAACCAAAGAAACAGAAACATTTTGAAGGCACCGACCACGAGGAAACTCTCAGCCCTACAGCGACATGGGTCCAAAAAAGGATTAGAGTCCCGCAAGCGGCCCCCAAAATAGAAGGTTTTAGTTAGCTTCCAAACCTTCCATGCGTCTTCGCTAAATTCTTCGTGCCTGCTATTCAGACGATTTTGTTCTTTGTAAACATGTAGTACTACTAGTAGTAGGAGGTACCTGGCACCTAGCCTGCTAGCCTTACGACCCGACATGCATCGGACCTGCTGCACGGTACCTACCAACAGTTCGGTGCCGCAACCACACAGTGCCCAGACTTGCAGAATACAAGATACAATTATACACTTAAAAAAGTACATTTTCTTTACGATTACCACCCACACACATTTTCAGACAACACGAAAGCGCCATACAGCCCGATCTAGTTATGGAAAATTCATCACATTCCAAAATAGGTCGTAGTAAACCCGAAAAATCCCATAGCCTTGACGCGGGTGATCCACTCTTCGACCGGAACATCTGCTTACAACCCTTCAATATGTCGTGCAGGGGTAGAACGTGGCCCCGTACCTGTTCCATACACCCCCAAACCCACATGTCTTAGACTTGGCTTTCTCGGTACGCGATCCTCCTGGGCGTGACTGCTATCGAGGCTGAAGAACCGCAGCAGTTTTGGTTGTCATCACAACCTTGAACCGGCAGACTGGATTACCAGCCGGGGGGGCATGTCTTCCACCCCCTGCCCACCAACGGACACGGTCAGCTTGAGGAGATTCCCGCGGACCAATCCGTAGACGACGGGTTATATGGGCTGTGTCCGTATACACATGATATATAAGTCCTCGAGGATTCCCTAGCTCTGAGGCATCATTATTCCTCATCACTAGCATCAACAACAAGAACAACACACCAATCTACCATATAGACATCATCAGAGACCATTCTATCTCATAACTGACTATTTCTTCCAACACAAACAAACTCCTTAAAACTTCTGTATAGCTATTACTTTTTCATCACTTTGCTTCTCAATCTTATACCAACTTCATACCCAACCAACAATCATCACAATGGCCGGCTTCACTTTCACCTCTACCTCCCAGATGGCCAACTTCGGCCGAAGCGGATACAACAAGGACGGTGACAACGAAGACAACAAGCGCAACTTTGGACGCAGCGGCTACAACAAGGATGACTCCGACGACGACAAGAAGTGCTTCGGCCGCAGTGGATACAACAAGGACGGCGATGAGGAAGACAGCCGACTACTCGCCAACTTCGGCCGCAGCGGTTACAACTAAAACCCTCACACCACCCAACGGCGATGAACAACAACTAGATTCGGTTGGATCTACTGCCGCTCGCGCGGATACTGGACCAACTATAATATCGTCGCCTTCATCCAACGACCAGCCTAAGCATTGACTGCCATGGCAATGTATCACCACGCTATAGACGATTTCCTATGTTACTGCATCAGATACTCCTTCAGCATTTACGCCGCTGTACCATTATGAATTGTACGATATGGGGGAAGAAAAAAAGAGATCATACCATTAGACTTATAGACTTTGCATCACTGCAATTATGTATCACTAACAAGCAACGCATCAGGAACGGGATAGACATCTGACGACGGAAAGGGAAAAGCATTTACACCTGGAATATTTGGAAGCATTTGGGCGGCGATAGTGGCGAACACACTTCTTTACTATATCTCTGTATTACATAGTTATCTTTATTCAGTCATTTTCCTACACAAAACCTGCCTTGAGTTAGCCTGATACGCTACTAGTGACATGATAATGCCTGTACTCACTTTTCAAATATTACGCCAAGGATCTCCTCCACGTCTCCTACTTCTCCACGACCAGTGATTCGCCCGAGGAAGTTAGCGGCGTAGCGCAGATGCTCGGCCGCCATCGTGATGTCAGCGTCGGATTCTTCAGCCTCGCCGTAGATGTTACTTTCGTCGCTCGTAAAAGTCGTAGAGCCCACGCTCTCAAGGTAGCTCTCCAGATGACCTCGGCACTTGACGAGAAGCTGGCGCTGACGTTCTGTAACACCGTGGAGATCTTGAAGGGTGGCGGGAAGCGATGTCATACTTGTGAACGATGACACCAACTGATCGGTTACCCCCCGTATCCCCCCGGGGTCGGTATGGTCAGAACTTAGATCTTGCGCCTCCTTACAAGATATGAGTATCGGCCGAACGGACTCGAGTCCCCCGATCTTGCCGAGCACCTCGGCCGTGAATCGTCGGACAAGATCCTGCAGTTCGTCATCGGCGACAGCATCACGCTTGTTGATAACCACAAGGCGCGCCTTGGAATCTGCCGCCAGTCTCAGCGTCTCTAAGTCGGAGCAAATCTGGGGTTTGCCAAGAGCATCTGCCTCGACGGAGGCTAGTACGATGATTACATCAGATTGGGTGGCTTTGACCCTCGCCCGGCGGATCCCCTCTTCCTCAATAGCCCCTATCTTGGCCTCGGATCCTCGAGGACCCGTATGATCCTTTCCAGCGGCACTTCTGAACCCGGCGGTATCCGCAAAGGTGCATAGATAACCGCGAATGTCAAGATTAGCCTCGATGATATCTCGTGTCGTACCAGATTCCCCTGACACGATCGACGCCTCCCTGCCGACTACCTGGTTCATGAAGGAGCTTTTACCGACGTTCGGCGGTCCTACAAGCGCGATTTTAATTCCATTACGAAGAAGCTCGCTCCGTTCACTTGCTCCTTCGTGAACGTGTATGCTCTGGAGGATTTGCTTCACCTGCTCCGTCACATTGCTAACAAGGGAAGCTGGCGATTCGTCAAAGTGCTGGTCTTCCGAGAAGTCGATGAGAGCTTCCATTTCAGCCCGGGCTCGCAAGAGCTGCTGACGCCAGTCCTCGTACGTTCGGCCTAGAGATCCACTGCTGCCGCGGACCGCAGCACGTCGCTGCTGCTCTGTCTCCGCTGCTAAGGTCTCGCTGAGGGCTTCGACCTGTGCCAAATCAAGCCTGTCGTTGAGGAATGCGCGCTTGGTGAATTCCCCAGGCTCGGCGTACCGGATGAGCCCGTCTGCAACGCACTTGGGAATTGCTGAGAGGACAGCTTTCACGGTTGCGCTGCCGCCGTGCACGTGCAGTTCCAACACATCATCGCCAGTCACCGTCTTCGGATTTGGAAAGAAAAGCACCAATGCTTCCGGATCGAGTATCTCCGATCCATTAGAGTTCGGATGATATAATGACCTGACGCTGGCATAACGAGGCTTAAGTACAGGTTTTCCCGGACAGAGTCCATGATAAATCTTAAGAATACATCAGTTATATCTATGACAAAGTTGAGCATTAAAAATTCGTACAGATTTGCAAGAAGGTCCCGAGATTCGAATTACTGCGATACCAGCTTTGCCTTCCGCAGTTGACAAGGCATATATTGTGTCATCGCGCTGTTGGAAAGGGGTTTGTCGTGGAAAGACATCTCCATGATCGACGAAATTACGGTGGTTGGAATTTCCAAGAATAGTCGAATACGTAAGAGGCTGATTTGCTAGATGAGTCGGTCTAAATAGTAAAGTATTTCTAGGCCATCTCCAACAGGTGAAAATGCACCTCCTGCCGGCACGATACATGGGCTGTGTTCCTACTTATACTCCGGTAAGGAGCTCGGATTATATGGTAAAAACCATAAAATGACGAAGATTTTGAAGAGACGAACCTGATTGTGAGAATCAACGATGTTCTAAGATATACATTGTTTGAGGTCGCTAGACGAATGTCTAAGCCTGATATTTGCTTGTGCATGCAGCTTGTGGTTAAAAGATGAGACCAAAACATCGTGCAAGTACTAGTATGTAGATTATGAACCTATACATATTGCATAAATCATTATGCACCATTTGATTGGCTGATATGAGATAAGACTAAACCACTTTAGGTGACCGCCTTTGACGATTCACCCACTAAGACCCGCTCCGCAACGGCAGAATTTTTTGAAAAGTTTCCAAACCTAACAATTTCCTAAGAATTTCCAGATGAAGTCGCATCTTTGCTGCTTCATTCAAACACCGACGTTTAACATACCTCGTAATCTGCCAACGAGCTAAAGTGGCTTCAATATCCAGTCAAGATGTCGGACGAGATTATTTGGCAAGTTATCGACAAACAATTCTGCAGTTTTAAACTAAAGTGAGCCCGTCAGCCCTTCGCAAAATCCTATCCTCAATCACGAGTACTAATGTATCGCTAGAACTACGAAAGAAAAGACATTCTGTCGAAATGAGTAAGCCTGTGTTTCGGGATACAGCTTCGTACAACAGTGCTGATTTACGTCCAGGTACAATGTGACAGGTCTCTGCAATAGACAGTCATGTCCTCTCGCCAATTCTCGTTATGCTACTGTCCGAGCGCATCCCACGAAGGGCACTTTATACCTCTACATGAAGACAATTGTTCGTACATTTTCATGTCTTCTCTATATTCCTATTCACTAACCAAATATAGGAGCGAGCACATATGCCGTCGAAATTATGGCAGAGGATCAAGCTGTCGCAGAATTATGCCACCGCCCTGAAGCAGATCGATGATCAACTCATCTACTGGCCCAAATTCCTGATCCACAAGGCGAAACAACGAGTTACCAGACTTACGCAAGTGGCGATAAGGATGAGAAGGCTCGCCAAGGAAGACGAACGCTTAGGCGAGAAGCTCGTGCCTAAAATGGCGCCCAAGATCAGACGGCGAGAAGAGACCAGGGAACGCAAGGCTGAAGCCGCTGCCAAGCTGGAACGCACGATCGAGCGAGAGCTGATGCAGAGACTGCGTGAGGGTGCATACGGTGATCAACCTCTCAACGTTAGCGAAACTATCTGGAAGAAGGTGCTCAACGCCATGGAGCGTGAGGGTGAAGGAACAAGAGACAAGGATCTCGACAAAGGCATCGAAGATGAGGACGAGGATGAGGATGAAGAGGAGGTCGGGTATGAGCAAGAAGAAGAGGACGACATCCCTGATGGAGCTATCGAATACGTCAGTGACTTTGACGAGAGTGAAGACGACCTCGAGGATATCGAAGACTGGCTAGGAAGCGACGAGTCCGATAAGGAAGAAGATTCCGAGGACGAAGAGAGCGAGGAAGAATCGACGAAGAAGGCAGTCGGCGAGAAGAGAAAGAGAGCACGTGTCATCCGCGCGAAGCCGAAGAAGACAGCTCGACGCGGAAAGGAGATTGAACATGAGCACGAGTTTGAGCGGCATAGGGATGAGCTCGCCTTCTAAAGGATAATCTGCTGGTAATTACTGGTATGAACTCAGGCTCCCAGCATCTTCGTTGCATTCAAAACTCTTGATACCCTTTTTGATACTTGGTTCAATGTTGTCCTTAGGTACCCTTATGAGCTTGCCTAGGTTCATATATGTAGATGAAATAGCAACAAGGCAGAGTTGCACACGCAAAGTTTCGTTTGAATCAAATGTATGCAATGTATCTTAAAAGAGGTGAGACTACACGTCTTTAATTTGTGGTTTTTCTGGTTGCACATCTTATTTGTCAATTCGAGCTGTCGGATCTGGGACGGATCTGGTGGTAAACAAGTGATAATTGGGCCCTTTTGTGCCTATTGGGTAGCATTCAGGGGAGTTTCAGGGGTTATGACCTGCTAATGACTTGCTAGTTTGGCGGGGCATCATCCACCGCAGCTGCCATCGTACACCGTCATCCACTGCATTTATCATTTTATCCACCAAGTGAATTCCCAAGGTTTGGCGCATTGATGTTAATCATTCTTACCAAACCTAAGCCCTTTTTTTTGAAACGCATTCCTCAGCACCCTTTTCCTTCTTTCTTTCTTCCACGATCCATCCACCCGAGACCCTATTAACCCTACCTCTGTTCTACAACAAATTGTCCCCTTTTCCGTTCTAAATCTAACACATACCTCGTACTCGACCTGAACACCTACGACATTTGCTCAATTCCGACCGAAACCCTCGAAAACAAGGCTCTCCTCGCATAATCGTACCCGTCCCAGACACACGTAACCTTAAACTTCGCAGTCGCCCCCTCTCCCGGGACCGCTCGAACCGGGCACAGAGCAGCCATGTCGGCGTGGTACAGCAACATCGTCGGCGCGACGAGCTCGAAGATCTCGAACCTGCAGCGCACGTTCCTCAACAGCGAAGCGGACGGCGACACCGAGGACGACACCCACGTGTGCCGCGTCCTGCGCTCGTACTATATCGAGAAGGGGCAGCCGCTGCCCGGCTGGCTGCCGCCGGACCCGAAGGCCCCTCCGCCCGTCGCCGCCGTGTACTCGCAGCCGCAGGCCATGGGCTCGCGCTACGGCGGCCTGACCCAGCAGCCCCAGGGCGGCGGCCTCAGCTCCCTCTGGGACAGCAATCCCGTGTCGCAGCCGCAGGACGCGCAGAGCCTGCGGAGGGGCCGGGGTGCGCCGCCAGCCGCGAGGATGGGCGCGGATCCGAGGGGCAGCGGTAGTAGTAGTAGCAGCAACTTGCTCCGCAATGACGACGTGCCCGCGCGCCCGCTGCCGAGTCAAAGGGCGGGCAGCTACCAGAACACCGGCGGAGGCGCGTATGCTAGGGACACGGGGACGGCGCCCCCGGCTATGGGGGGCTCGGCGCAGGACCGGCTGAAGCAGAGGCTGTTCGGGGGTTCGCGGACGGCGAGTCCCGCGGGGAGCGGCCCGTTTAACCCGCCACCGCAACAGGGCGGTGGTGGAGGTGGAGGTGGCTACGAGGATAGGTTCGCGCCTGGGGGCATGTACGATGGAGGTAGGAACGAGAGTCCGAAGCCTTTCATGGCGGCTAATTCACCGTGGGCGACTAATGAAGCTGATTACAATGGAGCAGGGTCGGGAGGCAGGTCTGCGGGGAGACGGGCGGGCATCTCCGGCGGCGGCTTGCCGAGCGGGCCGAGAATGAGATGATAGAGCGAGCGATTCGATGCGATGCCGAAGGGATTATGCGAGTTGGGGAACACAGTTCTGCCTACATATGTTGCACCTACATATGCTGAGGTTGGGAGTCGTGGTTAGGGGCTTAGGGGTAGTGAGGCTATAGCGAAGGCCAAAATCACAGTGGTTAGGGCGTGGATGTGCATATCGCTGCGATGCGATGCGATACTACTCTGTACTACAAACAAACGGCTGCGCCCCCCTTTTCCCGGTCCGCTCGATTTCGGAAACTCCCTCGCCTCGATCTCGCATCCGACGAACCAGCGAACACGATCGCGATTACATATGTACTGACCTAGGCAAATTAATTACGAAGAAAGAAGGGAGCGGCAGGCAGAAGGGTAAAGGGAGTATAGACTACGCCACACAGGTTGGCTACGGGTCCGGGCCGTTGGGATGGAGATAGATGGGAGAGCGGCATGGAAGAATTGCATTGGATGGTGCAACTCTTGCCTCTTGCGTACATACACTTCTAGTGTTAGTGTTAGGTGGTAGGTGATGGAAGAGGACATAATAATACTGTTGCCTATTTCTGAATTGCGTGTTCTATATGCATAGGCCTCGCAACGTTGCCAACGAGATTCGTGTCCACGCCCCTGCATCTGGGAAGGTCTTGGATAAACATATACAGTGCGGGCTTGTTTAGAGACTTGAGTCGATGGATATATTTAGGAGAACTTCCAGTTCGTTTCAGTTACGAGTGTTGGCAATTTCAAATACATACTATATTCGACAATGAATAATATCACGAGCATGATTTGTCACGCCGATGTCTTAGCCTCTTAGCCCCCAGAATGGAGTGACGGATGGAATGGATTGCAGATGACTGACTGGGTATTTGCGAGCTAATGCTGCAGGTCTTAGTAGCGAATTATAGCGGGCATTCCAGAAGCTTGAACTCTCCAGGAGGGCTCCCTCTTAGCCGTCATTAGCTGGACAAACAGTGGGTTCCAGGGTTGAGGATAAGGGGATAAGGGATTGGCGAGTGGCGGGGCACATGGGACGGCACCTGCTGTCTTCAACACCAGACCACCCCCAAACTTTTAACTTCGTACTCTCACATGTTTGAGCCTTCCTTTGCAAATTTAGCCTCAGAGGATTGCAGACACGAATTTTTTCGATTTGTCAGGGGTCGTGACCCAGTTACTCTATACCATCTCGGAATCCTCACTTCGCCAACTTTCAACTTCCAGCTCATCCGGGCCGGATAACACCACACCCCGCCATGACATCAGCTCCCCCACCGGGTCGAGCCAGCTCGCCTACGGGCAGCTTCTACGCCCTAAGCGACGACGAAGAGGGCGAGTATGACACTATCACACATACAGAGACCGGCAAAGGGGTCAAGCTGTTGTATTCCAAGAGCAAGGTCTACATCCATCCCACCCCGTCGGCAAAGGACAATATTCCGGGGTACATAGCGCTGTTGCAACAAAAAGGACCTCACGGCGAACGACCTACGTCATCATCTTCAAAGAGCTCTAATTCACCAGCTTCCGCGGATCTCCTGCTTGCTTGGCTACCTGAATCTTCTCTCGGCGACGCAGCGAGCATCTATGTCAAAGTCGACTTGATCGATGCCGATTCCCCTCCAAAGCAGAGCTATCTCGTACCACCACCTCCCACCGTGACCACCCATAAAGGATCAGTCGGTCATTACGCCTTTGCAATACCAGTTAGCGCCATATACTCGCTACTAGTACGCGCTCCGAGCTTGGGATGGTGGTTTGGGTCTCTGGTGATCAACACCAGAGCCGGGGACAGTTTTCCGGCTCTATTCTTCCACGATAGCGAATGCCAATCGACCATACTCCAGAAAGAGAAGCGAGCCAGAGACAATTTTGACCCGTTTGGCGAAAATGGACAAATGTTCTGGGGAGGCGACGAAGTTCTCCGCTGGCTGAAACGCTACGTCCGGATCGAGAGGAGCGGTGCTGAGCCCAATATCTACTTAGTAGAGCCTACCAAGGAGGACAGCGAAGCCTTCGGTGGGAAACTAACTTCCAGTACACCCTCATCAATTGGTAGACGGGATAGTTCCCAGGGTCTGCGCCCGCCTCGTGCTGGACGTTCGGCAGCAGGCTCTAGTAGCCAGAATGACGCGGGTATGGACCCTGTTATGAAGTTTGTGAAGGAGACGGGGTGGAATCTTCTGGAGAAATTCAGCAAAGTTACTACATTCACACGTAGAACAGCGCAGGACATAGTAGACAACCCGAGGCTCCCGCCCCAAATACGAAGATTGATGAGAAATCCTGAGGTTCAAACATTGCAGGATGAATTCGACAGTGCTAGGATATACCTCGCCCGATGGGCTATGGGTATGGCCGAACAGAGCGAAAGGGATAGAAACCAAAGGATATGGACTGCTCGCGATGTCATGGAGCTAGAAGATACCGATGTTGGGGAGTTCGAATTGCTGGAGACGAGCAACATGTCTTTGGAAGAGCGAAGAAAAATAGTGACTCTAAAGGAGTGGGAAACTTTCTTCGATCCTAGAACCGGACGTCTGGCAGTTACCATTGATGAGGTCAAAGAGCGAGTCTTCCATGGTGGCTTGGATCCAGATGATGGTGTTCGAAAGGAGGCCTGGCTGTTTCTGCTCGGTGTCTACGATTGGTATAGCACAGCAGAAGAACGAAAGGCTCAAATCGCATCTCTCAGGGACGAGTATGTGAAATTAAAGGCTGCGTGGTGGGAGAGGTTAGTTGATCTTGGTGGTGAAGGCGAGGAAGGTGAATGGTGGCGAGAACAGAGATGCAGAATTGGTAAGCTTTTCTATCCAAAACCGCGATATTAGCATACTAATCGTATATCTAGAAAAGGATGTGCATCGAACGGACCGCACGGTTCCGATTTTCGCAGGGGAAGACCTTCCTCACCCTGACCCTGACTCCCCCTTCGCTGAAGCTGGCACCAATGTGCATATGGAACAGATGAAAGACATGCTTCTCACTTACAACGAGTATAACAAAGATCTCGGCTACGTTCAGGGGATGTCTGATCTACTTGCACCGATATATGCCGTTATGCAAGACGATGCCATTGCTTTCTGGGGCTTCCAGCGCTTCATGGAACGAATGGAACGAAACTTCCTCCGCGACCAGTCTGGCATGAGGAATCAGCTCCTCACACTCGACCACCTGGTTCACTTCATGGATCCGAAGCTATACGCTCATCTCCAATCCGCCGATAGTACCAACTTTTTCTTCTTCTTCCGCATGTTGCTCGTCTGGTATAAACGGGAGTTCAAGTGGATGGATGTTCTACATCTTTGGGAAGTGCTCTGGACAGACTACCTCAGCAGTAGCTTCCACTTATTCATTGCATTGGCTATTCTAGAGAAGCATCGAGATATAATTATGATACATCTAAAACATTTCGACGAGGTTCTCAAATATGGTAAGTTTTCTCGAACACTCCTCCGGAATGATTATGTCTAACTATGTTCTAGTTAACGAACTATCAAACACGATGGATCTTGAGTTGATTTTAATCCGAGCAGAGGCATTATTCCGTCGTTTCAACCGGTTAATCGAGGCCATAGACAAGAAGCAGAACTTTCCGGTGCCGAGGGTCATAAAAGACTCGCCATCTCCAAACTCGACACCTGCTTCCGGGTCGTCAGGGGCGTCTCCACAGCCGAGGGCTAACAATGGGAAAGCTCCCGAGGAACAGACGAAGAAGACGATCACTCCTGAATTACGGAAGTTGTTGAGTAGGACAATAGAGGTTATACCGCACACTAAGAAGGCCCAGAGTGTTACTACTGAATCTACCTAGGAAATGGTCGATTTGATGATCGCTTAGACCAGGGTGAACTTCGAGCTTGAGGCATGTGTATTTTTATCTTGGGAAAAATCCGGATTATGCATCATGAGGTACGTGGGACTTAGATTTTGGAGGATATGGCGTCTTATGTAGTATCATAAATATTGAGAAAGGAGGTATGATACGAAGTATTTCAACACTGCTTTCTATATGCTATGTTTTTCGACGACAAAAGAGAATCATACAATCAAGTTCAAAAGCCAAGGAATTCACAATAGGCACATTTTACGTCGTATGGGATATTTCGATTTAATAGAGACAATGCAATACTCGAAAAGTCTTCGATGATGCTCCGAAAGATGACAACCTATGCCAACCCAATAGTAGTAGTAATCCTTGCCCGCACTCCGTTCAATTCGCATAATACGCATATATATTACAACGACGTAGACTGACCATTTGCCCTTCTCTTACTTCCGATTCCCGTGATCCAGGGGTATTCCGTCGTCCTTTCTCGTCACGAGATCAACTCATCAAAACTCTTGCTCCTCCTGGAAGAACATGCCGAACGAGATGATAGTCCCGTAGATCAGAAGTCCTCCGATAATACTCATGACCATCGCCGGGATGCCGATCAGAGCCGAGTGCGCTAAGACAGCAGGTAAGGCTATATATTAGGAAGACAACTCGTTAGTTTATAGAACAGTTTTACGTTTTGTGCATATACGTCGAATCTACATCTGTACGCGTAATGCGCTCGTGCCCCATCGGAAGCTAAACAGGTGGATTGATAACATAGTAAGGGGAAGGCCTTACCGATCCCCATGACGACCATGAATCCGGTGCAGAAGCGGCCGAGGTCCAGGACTCCATTCCCGGTGCTCTCGACGAAGTCGTCCGGGTTCGCGCAGCGGGTGGCGATCCAGTTGGGCACGGGCGCCAGCACGTAGGTGGCGACGACGAGCAGGGGGTAGTACACCTTGTACAGCGCGCACGAGAGGATGACGAGCAGGAAGCCGATCGCAAGGACGAACGACAGCGCTATGATGGTCTTGAGCCCCGCGGTCGGCATTGTGGGCGAGGCGAGGCGCGGCGGGCTCTACGTGTAAGTGTAGGTGTAGGGTGAGGAAGATTGGAATCGGAGGAGGCTGGCTCCTGGATTAGGCGGAAGCGGATAGCTGTAGCAGGAATCGGAATCGGAATCAAGATCGAGTATCTTCGGCGGCTCGCACGGCGGGACAAAGGAAATCGACTCGCTGCGTTGAGTAATTAGATTGGTTGGGGGTATCGTGGTGATGGTTACGAATTACAAGATGTTGTCGTCAGACTCAGCCTTGGCCGGCTTCAACCTATCGCTGGGGTCTTGCACTTTGGGGTCCGAGCTATGGAGCTTGTACTAGGTACCTCTTAAACAGCTTAAGTAAGTCACTCCCTGCAAGTTTACCTAAGCCCGGAGCTAGGGGCATCTACGCTAGTCCAAAATGGGAGGTGCGACGAAGCTCTTGAGCTGCCTTGCGGTTGCTAAACCACACTACGTCTTGGGTAATTCAGAGCTCTAGCCCAGCCAGTCCAGCCTTGCGTCTCCCCCAATTAATCACTATACAAGCCAACTTTCCGAATACCCTCTCTCCACGCCCACGTCCACGTCCAACCCACGATAATTCAAAAAGACATAAGCTTAACGTATCAGCAATATGTTCAGAAACAACTACGACAACGATTCAGTCACATTGTAAGCTACGAACCACCAAACGATATAACCCTTGTCGGTTGGTTACCCATATCTAACTGACCAACTTCACAGCTCCCCGCAAGGGAGAATATTCCAGGTCGAATATGCTGCTGAGGCCGTGAAGCAGGGTTCGGTAGTGGTGGGCCTGACCAGCAAGACACACGCAGTCCTAGTCGCCATCAAGGTACGAGAACACCACCACACCCCACCTACCTATCATCATCGAGAGTTCCAGGAACGGAGCAGAGAACAGACGAGAATGGAATGAAAATGAGAGCTGACATATATATACCCGCCCACCTAGCGGAACGCAGAAGAACTCTCCTCGTACCAGAAGAAACTCTTCGCCGTCGACGAGCACGTCGGCCTCGCGATCGCGGGCCTGACGTCGGACGCCCGCGTGCTCTCTAACTTCATGAAGCAGCAGTGCCTCTCGCAGCGGCTAACGTACGACCGGGCGATGCCGCTCGAGACGCTAGTCTCGCTGATCGGCGACAAGGCGCAGCTCAACACGCAGCACTACGGCAAGCGGCCCTACGGCGTGGGCCTTCTCGTCGCCGGCGTCGACGAGGCCGGCACGCACCTGTTCGAGTTCCAGCCGAGCGGCCTGACGCAGGAGATGCTGGCGTGCGCCATCGGCGCCCGCTCGCAGATGGCCCGCACCTACCTGGAGAAGAACCTGGACAAGTTCGCCGACTGCGGCCGCGACGAGCTGATCCGCCACGGCCTGAAGGCCCTGAAAGAGACCCTGGTCCAGGACCGCGAGCTGACCGTCGAGAACACGAGCGTCGGCGTCGTCGGCCTCAAGGAGCCCGGCAAGAAGGCGCTCGAGTTCTTCAAGGTGCACGACGGCGCCGAGGTCAAGGAGTGGATTAACAGCGTGGCGGACGATAACGAGGGCGGTGGCGAGGCGGGTGATAATGAGGGTATGCAGGTGGACGAGTAGAATAGAAAGGGGGGGAAATAACCAAAATAAAACAGAAACCCGACTAAGTGGACTTTATAATGTGGTAGATGAATTACTTGCATTTCACTCGGGCGTAAGGACTCGGCGGGTGCGCCTATTGTCGCGGCACCATCTAGATGTATCAATAGACGACAAATAAATCACGAAACAAATCGGAAAAAGCGTTTGGCATCTTTAAACTTTTTTGGGAAGTGCCGAAAAGCGGCGGTACTGTTTTTATTTTATTTTCTCTTACATACGTTATATTTCGTCTTCCTCGTCGTCGAAATCGTCCTCCCGCCCCATCTCATACAATATCCTACCTCCCTCGCCCGCCCCGATGTCTTTCTGGGCGTCAAAGTATGGCAGCACTATTCCCTCCCTGTCTCTCCTCTGCTTCTCCGTCAGCCCGAGGTTAAACGTAGTCTCCATCTCCTCTCCCTCGCCCTCCGCGCCCCCTTGATCATCATCGCCCGGATCCCGGAACGCGGGGTGATCGGACAGGAGATACAGCCTCGACGCCTCGATCTTCCCTCCTCTACTGTTCCCGTTCGCATTCTGTGCCGGCACTGAGACCTGCACCGCCCGCGGCACCAGAACGAACTTCTCGGCCACGGAACGCCCGCTCCGCCGCCGCATCTCCATCTCTAGCACGAACCCGTCCCCGTCTGCGCTTCCGCTTCCATTCCTACCGCCGCCTCTCCCAAGCCCGATCAGCACGCCCTCGCGCCCCTCGGCCAGCCCCCACTCCGGCGCCGGCAAGCTCCGGTTCTCGGCGCGCCGGCGCTCGACGGCCTGGTACAAAGAGCCGACGCGCAGGACGGCGGTGGCGAGGTGGCTCAGGGTGGTCAGGGGGTGCGGCTCGTACTCGTTATACGGGCTAACACTACCACTAGAAGCAGGAGGGGGGAGCACGAGCGGGACGTCGGCGTGGTAGACGCCGACGAGGGAGACGAGGGGCGTGACGAGGCTGGAGAGGAAGAGGGATAGGGAAGAGGGGATGGTCTGCGCGAGCGGGTTCAAAGCGTCGATTACGACGAGAACTTTGTGCGCGTGGCCGGCGGTGCCCGATGGGTAGTGCGATGTTAGTTCGGCCCGGAGCGTCTCGGGGGATTTGCCCCGCGCCTTGATGAATATGTCGACGTCGGCGGGCTTTTTGAGGGTGGAGAATGAGAGGAAGATGGTTTTGCTTTTGGTTGCCTGGGGGGTAGGGTTAGTGTGTGTTCGTGTTCACTGCATTGTGTGTTTGCTTTGAGAGTTTTTTTATATGCTATGTAGTATGTATGAACTACTAGTTCGATGAGGAATAGAAAGCATAGTAAAATGAATGGAATTTATATGAAGGATTTCAAACAAGAAATCAGGTGTGAGATGAACCTCAGATTTCGTGAATAGACGGACCTTAGCTCTGCTCAAGAACTCGCGGATCAGGGGCTTCGCGCTCTGCTCAAGGGTGTCGAGGACCAGAGTTAGCGGGCTGGCGCTATCCCGCAGATTGAGCAGTTTCTGCAGTAGCAGGAGGGCATGCGATCTGGCATGCGACTGAGCGGACGACGGCATGTCTCCGCTCTGTTTGGTGGATAATAGCTGAGAATGCCTAGAGTTTTGATGTTACTGGTATTATTAGCGATTATCGCCCAGCTCTATCCTCGGGTTCAGTTACAGGTCGTAGTTATCGTGTAAAACTTGAGGGTGACTTCTACATCAGTAAGCCGTCTAACGTCATGCAGGTACTATGGATGAAGTATCTCCAGTGCCGAAACCTTAACGGCCCTGGAGTGGTAATCGGTGCAGCAGCTAGGTCTCCCCGCAGTCCTAATTGCGGGATTTCATAGGCGGCTTATAGCGGGCCCCACTACTTTACAGCAGGCAGGTTCGGCTCATGGCAGATCTCCCAATATAATGGACCCTTCAAATACAACCATTTCAGCTTACATCGTCCAACATTTTATATTGCTTAATATATTCAAGATCTCACAGAACAATCGGTGCAATGCCACCCGACCCTGCTTCTAACCTCCTATCTCAGTCTAAGCTTACTGAGATAATATGAAAAAGTCAATGATCGTCAAGATACGTGCTCTACAGCGGCTACGACGTTCCGGTACTCCTAGCACCATGAGCCAATGTGATATGCCCATCATAGCATGTCTAGCGAATAACACCAGCCTCTGCATTCCAATGGGTATCATTAATATACAGCATGCGTTCTCTCCCTCTTGGCCTAATCTATTTACCATGTTCCGCCGTACAGTTGGTACATACTCGCCCATGAGTAATATTGAGAGAGGAAGACAAAATGTACAAATAGATGCTATAGCTCCCTCGTGGAGCTGCTCTCATTCTATGGAGTTTCCGCGTTCATTAAGGTGGCAGTATCCAGCTCTTGTCCCTACTTTATTAGAACCGATTTTCACTTGTGCAGCATGGCCGGATTCATATTACAATGCCTGGTAGGCAGCTTGACCCTTGGGCTTGGGGCTGCTATCCCCGTCGACAACATGCTTCAAACCCGTAACTTTGCAGCCCAAGTCGGGTTGTCTATTACAGACAACTTCCACACACTTGCAAGAGTCAGACGGCAACCGGGGCTCTCGCGGACGTTCGATATTCTTCGCCAGAACCGAAAGAACAAGGCCATTATGAATGACCTCGTTGATGACCCAAACGACCCAGAAGGTGTCGACAATTTGGGAGCCGAACTCAACCAGGTTGAGTATATCATGAAAGTGGGCTTCGGTTCAGAGCAATATTACATGATACCAGACACGGGGAGTAGCGACACTTGGATTATTTCAGATGGATTCAAGTGTCTAAACCCCTATTATGGGCAGGATGTACCTCAAGAAGAGTGTGATTTCGGCCCCTTATTTAAAGGGGACTTCCCGGATGGCAAGATTGACAATCAAAATCTGAATATCTCGTATTTGAGCGGCGACTACTTGAATGGCCCCATGGGGTTTGCAAAGTATGTAAAACTACGATATCTGATCCGAGTATATCCTCAGCTCACACATTCTCAAGCATCACCGTGGCCAATGTCACTATTCCAAAGCAGCAATTTGCTCTTGTGAACGTAGCAGCGTTCGGTGGTGACGGTGTATCGAGTGGTATTCTCGGCCTTGGTTTAAGAGGACTCACAGCAGCATTCACAGGCAACGATCCTCGTAATGATAGCATAGACAACCTCGTGAACTACTCGCCACTTGTCGAAACCATGGCGACGAGCAAGGTCGCCGACCCTATCTTAAGTTTCGCTATGTCGCGTGACGAGAATCGGTCTTTCATTGCCTTTGGTGGTGTTCCTCCTGTCAAGACGGGAGAATACACCACGGTACCCATTCTGCAGGTCAGGCTCTTCGCATTACTAAAATCAACTTTATGTGTTGTGACTAATGTCGTAACGTAGGGAACCACAACCTCTGGCAAGACAGATTACTTTTATTACGACATTGCAATTGACTCTATCTCCTGGAACAGTACCACGATCAATCAGACGGCAACCAACTTGCCGAACCATTTAGTAGACTCAGGTACAACGATTAATCTGTTTCCTGGTGTCGTTGCCGAGGCCATAAATAACGCGTACACGCCTCCTGGTCAGCAGGAGGATAGCATGGTGTGGAGTGTAGAGTGCGATGCCATACCGCCAACTCTTGACATCGTGATCGGCGGAAAGGCGGTACGCACTCATCCAAGCAGCATGATCCTACCCGAAACAGCAGCCGAAGGCTCCAATCGCTGCCTATCCGGCATTGGATCTGGTCAGACCGGATCTTATATCCTCGGTGATACCTTCATGCAGGAGATCGTGGCCGTGTTCGACGTTTCGGATAAGAAGGAGCTGAAGTTTGCTCAGAGGCTGGATTAGACTTTTTCAGCCGAAAACCAAATATTGTCCTATCCAACAAATTATTTGTCCTCTGAAACCTTCGTCACAACCTATGGTTGTCCCATGTACTAATGATTGAATTTATACAACGGGTTAAGTGGTCAGGATGATTTGCAATCCTAGATCTATATTTGTCATTGGGTAGACCTAGGATATATTGCCATAAAACCACAGCTTAGAGTTATTAAGACTAAATGGTTGATTTTACTCTTTCAGCACTTATTGCACGTCTTGCTAAAAGAAGGTAGCAGGTAAGATAGAGGTAGTGAATGCTATCAATGTGACTCAGGGGTTGGTGACTAAGCATGATCTTCATGTCAAGCAAGAATGTTGGCAAAGGGGACGTGATATGTCATAAAGGAACACAGGTAAGTATGGGCTTGTGACGCGTTATTGGAACGTTTTCGGGAGTGCAAGGAATAAATACGCCTATTTAGACTCTTGAGTCACATCCATGGATGAAGATATATAGCTAGGTACCTATCTTCATCAGTTTCCTATGGAGCTGTCTACACAACTTAAGATCTAACTTGGTAACTTTATATATATGTCAAACAAATACATAAGCGCAGCCGGAAATTCCAGATTCTTTTTACAACTCAAGATAGAACCAGGGATGAAGAAAGCATGGGAATAACTGAAACGAAGGAAGTACTGTTTTTGACACAAAATTACCCACCTGGTAAAAATAAATCCGATGTAAACCTTCAAGTAAGGATCTACCTCATAAATCTATCACATCCGGAAGGATATAGAAATAACCAGGCAACGCACCTCCTGGATTTTCGAAAAACTCTTCACCACTTCCTCCAAACAGCAACAACATTTGCCAATAAATAAATACCACGTGGATGGAAAGCGGACAAGAGTTTGGGTGAGCAGATTCTAGGGTACGCGTGATGAGACGACGACAAGTCTAGTCGCCCTCACTGCTCATAACCAGTATCAAAATAGACAGACAGAGAGGCGCACGACCTGTGCGGGATACGAGCCGGGTAATTACCTTCATCATGAGTACCCCTACCCGCTTTTAGCATATCTTGCAGACACGCCTGCTGCAACGGGTCATGGCGAGTAAGGGGTTCGTTGTTGCTCCCGTATAGCCAATGTGATGGTGACGATGGCATGAGGAACCGTGGAACAGTCGTCGACACAGTAATATGTCCACGGTCAATGTAAAACAAAGGTATTCCAACCCCTGGCGACTAGTTAAGCATACTGGTGAAGGTACTCCCATTCGTGACAACCGGGATGAAGATTAGTGCAAGCGAGCAAATTGATGCTCGTCGAAATTACAGAGAACCTTCACCAAGGTCTCAAGAACGTCGACGGCGTTCAGTATACCGCGGAAGGTTTCATACCCAGCAGCGATTATCTGTTATGTGAGGTAGACATAGCCTGAATATTTAGGTGAATACATAAAAGTAACCATCATGGAGCGCTCATGGATATGTGTGTAACGGAAGCCTTAGGTTGGATCTCGCCAGTTGAAACTATGTTCGGTAGCTGAATAGGTCCAGTGCTGTTATCATTTATAAAGACCATGTGATTTATACGTCTCTTGCTAAAAAAAAATAAGGGGATTAGCTAAGGGACCCAAACCTCAAGCTGGTTTTATCTCCAGGTCCCTCAATCAGACTACTATACCATGAGTGCCTAGGTTTATAAAGTCCTACCAATAAACCTGGATAGAACTCTGGGTAGAATAGTTGGCTGCATTGTGACCTGCCTTCTTTTCTCATGATATAACCGGGCTTGCTACGATAATTAGCAGACTCATGAGAATTAGCAGGCCTAGAAAGCAGATGACTAGGCGTACAAATCGCAGATACGGTTTGCCTGATTTTCATTCGCTAGTAGTAAAACGCGTCAACAAGGGTTGCGATAATCATTAAATTAAGAGCACCTAACCTCTGTTCCATGTAAGCCCTATAACCCCTTCAAGGAAAGTCCCCTGCTCCGTAGTCTGATTTGCCGTACACACATTGATAAAACCGTACACAGTACGACTACCGAGTCGGACTGAGCGGGCGGTTGAAACCACCAACACGGTTCATGTATTGTCGGTATTCGGTCTTCTTCTCCTTCCTCACAGCACCGGCATTGTTGCCCGGTATGTGAGTGCCCTTCGTAGTGCCAAATCCGCCGAACCCCATCATCGCTTGCATGGCGCTCAGACCGTCGTCCTCGACGACAACATCCTCCTCATCGACATCCTCATCCATGGCTTCCCCGTGATAAGAGTTCGGCGTCTCGGTCCGTCTTCGTCGATCCTCGGACTCTTCGGTAGACCCTCTAGCATCGTGGAATTTGCTTCCTACCGCGCTCTTACCCGCATGTTTCGCATCGTCATCGTGTTTTCCCCCGACCTTGAACTGCAGCGAGGATCCCGATCCCGATTCCGCTTTTCCACTGCCGAGTCTTGGTCTCGTCGGGAGCGGCGAGTTGTTATGCGCGCTGCGATCTACCCGGGCGGCTGGGCTTCGAGCCGGTGACGCCGAGCGTCGGGGACTTCGATCTCGAGGCGGACCTGCTTCATCGTTAACGCTAAGCCCAAACCCAAACGCATCTTCTTCTCTCTGCCCCCGTCGCGAAGCATCGCCGCTAGGAAAAAACGTACCCTTCGGAGCAGGCTCATCGCGGTCGCGATGGCGGTCTCCCTTGTTCTTCTTCTTCTTCTCGCGCCGCTCGTCCGCCGCCCTAGGCCGCGCCTCGTCGCTCTCGCGCGGCCGGCCCCTGTCGGGCTCGCGGTCCCGGTCGCGGCGGTCGCGGTTCTTCTCCCGCCGGTCTCCTCCTCGCCGCGGAGACCGGGATCTGGAGCGGTAGCGGCGGTTGTCTCGTTCGCGGGGAGGAGGAGGGGGAGCTTCGTCCCGGTCCCGGCCGCGGTCGTCTCGTTTGTCGCGCGCATTGTTGGGCTCGTGGCGGCCGCCGCCGCGACGGTCGGATTCTTCCCACATCTGCTTGCTGTCGGGGCGGTTCCGACGCCGACGGGGTTGGTCGGCCATTTTGGTTTGTCGAGGAAAGTGATTGGCTGGGTCTGCGCGTATGATTACGAGTTCGTTGACGATGTAGGTGTTGGATGTTAAAATAGCCGTGATTCAGTCCAGGTTGAGAATGAAAGAAAGTTATGTAAGGCATCCATGCTGCATATCAATTAAGGTTATCGATTAAAGCTACGCTAACCAGACTAAACGTTTGCTTTAAGCGTTTGTCAAGTACAGCTGGTTTTTTGGTGGGGTTGCCCTGAATTTATAGCGTATGCAACACGTATGCAACCGCGTAGTGCCGAGAGGGTGTAGGGGGTTGGACCCTGACGTCAAAATCAATTGGAGCTTCTCCAAACCTCCAAATTTCCAAAACTGTGTTCACTTTTAAGCTTCTCGAGCTTCTTCTTAGGCTCTTTAGGCTGGTCCGAATAGACTCTTAGAAACTTCCTTATCATCTGCTCTTTGCTCCTTCTTATACGTAAGAAGAGAAAGGACACTACTTCTTCGATGCCATTATGGCATTGCCAAGCCAATTAACAGCGTTGCTGTCGTTTCTTCTTATTTCCTTATTCCCTATCTTGTCGGTATGCGAGGCGCAAGGTGAAGGTGTTCTCAACGCCGAGATTGGTCGTCTGAACAACCAAAGCCTATTATGGGGTCCTTATCGTCCAAACCTGTATTTTGGGGTTCGGCCTAGAATTCCAAAAAGTGTGACGACTGGTCTTTTATGGGCAAAAGTTGATAACTATGTCGATGTTCAGAACAGTAAGACAAATGAGCCCAATGCAGTGAATAAATAAACGTTCGAGTTCATTGTTAATTTAAACAAATAGGCTTCCGATACACATGTGAGCAGAATGAGGGAATGGCTGGTTATGGCTGGGATGAGTACGATACTCGAAAAGGTGGTGTCCAGCATATTCACGATGCTGGGAACAAAATCGACATCACCACCGAATTTGTCAAGATCCCCGGTGGCGGTCACGGTGGAAGCTGGGCAGCCCGGATCAAGGGTGAGCCTCGAGATGATGCACCCCTTGGTCTCAAAACTACGGTCTTATTCTACGTTGCCTCTGAGGCTCTCGGTGACACCGTTGAGGTCGGCAATGGCGATGATACCGGATTCGAAGGCGATGTGACCTTTTTGGGCAAATCCCAGTCTCTTGGGGACTTTAAGTTAGTCGTTACTAAGGGTAAGGGTGAGCACCCCATCAGCGCTCATCCTATATCGGGTAAAAGAGACCTCGAGAAGACTATCGTGCAATCGTTAAGCGTTCCTGAGGAACACTTATGGCAGGCCAAGCAGCTATTATTCCAACAACTCAAGGCCGGTGTAGATGAGATTATTGCGGAATACGGAGCTGACAATGCACCACCACCCTGGCAAGTCTATCTGCTCGCACACAAGCCCAACCCTGGAAACATGCATCTTGTCCAGAAGGTGTTCGAGGGACCTTTCGAGTTCGATATTCTCTTCTCGAGTGGCTCTGCCGGCGCAGAAACTACAAGCGAGGATTTGACCCGAGAGATCAAGTCAACAACGGAATCATTCAATGAGCGCTTCGCGGATGTCTTTGCTCCCCAGGCCCCCTTCAATGCCGACAAGTACCGCAGATTTGGACAAAGCATGCTCTCCAACCTTGCGGGAGGTATAGGATACTTCTACGGGAAGCATGTCGTTGATCGATCATATGCTCCCGAATATGATGAGGAGAATGAAGGTTTCTGGGAGGAGACTGCCGAAGCTCGCGCTCGCAGACAGGAGCAGCTTGAGGGACCTTACGAGCTGTTCTCTAGCATTCCATCTCGTCCCTTCTTCCCCCGTGGATTCCTGTGGGATGAGGGCTTTCACCTTCTCCCAATTGCTGATTGGGATATTGACCTGACCCTCGAAGTTGTGAAGAGCTGGTACAACTTGATGGACGAGGATGGTTGGATTGCGCGAGAGCAGATCCTGGGTGACGAAGCCCGAAGCAAGGTGCCTCCCGAGTTCCAGGTTCAGTATCCTCACTATGCCAACCCTCCGACCTTATATCTCGTCCTTGAGGTCTTCACGGAGAAGTTGATGAAGACGAACGGCAGCCAGAGTACGGGTAAAGAACATCTGTCACCCAACACCGTCCTCGAGAGCGCTCATGTGGACAACCCTGAATTGGGCATTGAGTACCTACGCAGTCTGTACCCTCTACTCCGACGTCAATTCTTATGGTTCAAGAAGACCCAATTCGGCGACATCAAGGGATATGACCGAGAGGCCTATTCTACGAAGGAGGCTTATAGGTGGCGCGGACGATCCGTCCAGCACATTCTCACGAGCGGTCTCGACGATTATCCCCGACCTCAACCCCCTCACCCCGGCGAGCTGCATGTAGACTTGATGTCTTGGATGGGTTTGTCGGCTAAAGTACTAGCAAAGATTGCGGATTTTGTCGGTCTTCCCGAAGATGTGCAGGAGTACAACAAGGCCCTCGACGGTATCTCTCACAACCTGGTAGATCTACACTGGTCTGAGTCCGCCGCCGCCTTCTGCGATGCCACCATTGATGACTTTGAGGAGCACACCTTGGTTTGTCACAAGGGCTACATCTCTCTATTCCCGTTCTTGCTAGGCCTACTAGAGCCCAACGACCCTAAACTTGGTAAAGTTCTCGACCTGTTAGGAGACGAAGAGGAGCTTTTCAGCCCCCACGGTATCAGGAGTCTGAGCAAGAAGTCTGAGTTCTACGGCACGGATGAGAACTACTGGAGGAGCCCCGTGTGGATCAACATGAACTACCTCGCCATTATCCAACTTCGAGTAAGCCTCCCCTCTAAATTATCCCATATTCCCCCTCGGAATTTAGTTTTTTATCGCTAACAAACGTTACAGAACTACGTCCTAAACACGGGCCCCTACTCTTCAAAGGCCAAAGACTTGTATGTCAAGCTGCGCAAGAACGTGGTCGAGACCGTGTACGACAGCTGGGAGGAGACTGGTTTTGCATGGGAACAGTACAATCCCGAGACCGGCAAGGGCCAGCGCACTCAACACTTCACAGGTTGGACCAGTCTCGTCGTCAAGGTAATGGCTCTAGATGATCTGAGCTGGTGGACTGAGGGTAGCCATGAGAGCCATGAGCGAGATGAGTTGTAGAAGTGTAGCTCTAGTCTAGTCTAGGGAGACTAAACTAACTAACAGAGACAAACTTATATTGACAACGTTAGTAGGTAGTCAATAAAAATTGACTAATGAAGAGATGGCTTATGATTCACCGCCCGCACTACCTTCTAGGTAGTACTTGAATAAAAAGAGCAAAAGTTTCCGGACGAAAAATACGATTCGATTTCATGCAATGCCGTGTGGTATCCTATTCTACTATGCGACTCTATGATGAATGAGCTGCGATTTTCCCGCCCGTACCCCTTTCCCATATTTTGTCGTTGAGTTGTACATCCGTCCATTCATATCTACCTTCGATAAATGCTCCGTTGAAGAACACCCATCCTAATCCACATAAGAGGTGCCTAATAACCGCAGATCCTTTCGAGAAAAAAACGTAGGCTCATAAAACGGTACATACACATATATGCCTACCTAGTAGCTTGCGCATGTGTCTGGACATGCGCAAACACACATCACGCCTCATCATCAAAAACGCCCAGCGGCCCCTTCAGCTTCGTAAACATCTCGTCGCGCTCGCCCTCAGCCGTACTCAGGGCCGTCACCGCACCCCCAGCACCTATATGCCAGACCTCGAGATCCAGTGGCTGGTGGTTCGCGGCGGCATCCGCCGACGTGGCCTCAACCCTCTCATCGTCCCAACGGAACAAGCTGCGGATAGTGACGCTCCAGTCGCCCTTCCCGGCGGCATCCATATAGCCCACAACGCCCGAGTACAAGCTGCGCTCCCGTCCGCCCTCGATCTCTTGCAAGATCTCGCAGCTGCGTTTCTTCGGAGCGCCCGTCATGCTGCCGGGAGGTAGGCTGGCCGCGAGCACGTCGAGCCCCGTCTTCGAGCCGTCCTCGGGCAGCCGGCCCTCGACGACGCTGATCATCTGGAAGACGCTGGCGTACTCCTCGACGATGTTGAGCTTGGGGACTTCGACGCGGCCGGGCCCGCACACGCGGTGTAGGTCGTGGCGCACCAGGTCCACGATCATCAAGTTCTCTGCTTCTTCTTTAGGCACGTGGAGGATAGCCTCTGCTTGCTCGAGGGTAGAGACCGCGCGCGACTTGCGGACCGTACCCTTCATGGGACGCATCGAGCATAGGCCATCCGCGCCAAATTCGAGGAAGCGTTCCGGCGAGCTGCTTATCAGCGTGGCACCGCCGAGCCGGATATACGACCCGAAAGGAGCCGGTTGACGCGAGCGTAGGGATCGATATAATTGCCACGAGCTTTGCGGCGGTTTACCGGGTTCTAGGGGGATTAGACGGGAAGACTCTGTGGTCGAAAGACTTCTAGGTCTCGTGATGTGCGTCTGGTCTGTGAGGCACAATTCGTACGAGTCGCCTGAGGCGATATAATCCTGACAAGTTCTCACTTTTGACTCGTATTCATCGGCATCTGGCACTTGTATGGATGCTTTTATAAGAGCAGACTTCGGCGTTGACGGCGGCGTCAGTTGACTTAGTTGTGCGCACTTATTAAAATCCACACGAAGTCCATCCAGCCAAGCTGTCGAAGTGTGGAGTTTCTCAGCGATGGAATCCGCCCATTTTCTCCCTTTAGATTCTGATGGCGATAGATATTGTAGACGTATGGCGCCTTTTGTGTGGTCTATGACAATACTTTTGGTAACCCAGGCAAAGCAGAGGTCTGGCCGATTATGGAGTCTCTCTTGGTTCGACTCGACGTCAATTCCCTCTAGGCCCAGCTCGTAAGTAGTGTATCCCATGAAACCACCAACAAATGGGCTTGAATTGTCCTCCACTGTCATTTTACGCATAGCCCAGAATTCGGCTAATAGCTGCCATATGGTTTGTCCAGGACCAAGATCGATCATTTCGGAGACTTCTTGGGAGAATAGTTGAGAAGTTAGGCCGCGTAAAATAACATGCCTGTCTCCTGTTCTGTATTCCAACTTCAATGCTTCACCTACGTCGAGGGCAATAATGCTGTATCGCCCTCGAACATCAGCCCCGATTCTGTTCGCTTTCGCGCTTGCAGAGTCTAGGATAATGAAATCCTTCTTATCACCTTGCAGTATCTCGACGACGTCTGGAGCTTCGATATGAATGGGGAGATTTAGAGTCCTTGAGCCGTAGTGGTAGCCGATCCCCGACGATGCTAGGTCATCATTGTTATTGATCCACGAGTCTGAATTGCTTAGGTCGGATACTGAACAGTCCATACTTTCCCCAAGGTTACCTGTGGTGAATCTGGGTAGCTCGGTAATGGGCCCGAGTGCAATGGGTATCGAACTCGTTATGCGTTTATTCCCGACATTCCATCGCATTGCTTCGTTGAACCAATTCTTGATAACCTGATGACCAATGGGCTCAGTACATATCGATTCGGGATGGTATTGTAAGCCCCAGAACGGTTTTGCTCTATGCTTCATAGCCATGAGAATTCGCTCTACACAGTCGCCTCGATCTTCATAGACCCACGCCAGGGGCACTACATCTGGGAGATGAGCTGGTGATGCCCATTTGGAACACGCCCACTTCTCCGCAGATATAGAGTCCTGCCCTATATCCGCGTGAAGACTATGGTAGAGTGTGGCCTTGAAAGGAGAAATACCATAGAAGATATTCCCCTCGTGTAAACTAGGCCGATCTGTTGCATGGTCGATTTCTCGAATCATGCCATGTAGACCAGTTCTCAATTTCTTCACAATACCACCACAGCTCACAACTAGGCTCTGAAACCCTAGGCATATACCCAGCACCGGAATTAGATGTTCTGGCTCAAGATCCCATATATATCTCATGAGCCCCACATCCTGGGCTAGTTCCGGTGAGCCGGGTCCTGGTCCGCAAACAACAGCATCGTAACGACGCAGGAGGTTAGTCAACTCCTGAGCAAAATTCGGCTCTTTCGGGTTGAGCTGAGGCGGATCAATAGGTAAGATGTCAACATGAGCATCTAGAGTGGTGGTTAGAAGAGAAACGATATTGTTGCTAAAAGAGTCGTATGCATCAATAAAGAGAATTCTTGGGGTATTCATATTCGTGGCGTTCGTGGCTATGAAAAGGTTTTAACCCTGACTTGGATGTGCATGATGAAGTCTTCTCTGTCTAAGAATAAGAACTTAATGTACTAAGTAGATTATGGTGTAAAGAGGTATTTATCTCTCATTCGTCATTCGCAGGATGAGGATGATAAGCCCAACTTAGAAGAATTTTCAGTTATTTGCTCAAGGGGTAACAGTCGATCTTGAAAGATGTTTGCCGCTGACAAGTAAATGGTAAGTACTTGCGGTACGGAGTATTTATTATAAGCTTAAAATAGAGCAACGAGTCCGGGCACGGACAGTGGATCAGGGATCGCTGTTGCCGATTCCTTTAGACTTTTTCTAGACTTCAACCTAAAGTAGTGTTGGCTAGACCGAAATACATTGTGAGAAGGCTCTGTCAACTTACATATTCTAGGTATGTCAATATGTACATTGAATATGTGGAAATTACCTACCTACCTACCTTTGCACACGTTCCTTGACATGCGAAAAGTAAGAGCAATTGAGTTCTAAACGGGATTCATGGTTGAAGTATCTAGACAGTTGACAACCTTAAAACGGCACCTATCTAGATGGATTTTTGTAACACCCATATGATAAAACTTGGTAGATATGATGGGCTATTTACTATAGTATTCCCAGTCACGATCTATCAATATGCATCCATCTCTGACTACAACATACAATACACAGCACTAGTTTTACGTTCCGTTGCACGGGTGGAGTTGGTACGTCTAGCACAGATCGACTCTGCACTAGTTATCTATACATTGTTGTCTATGGCACCTGTGATAATTCTAATGTAATAGTCCCCTTTACTCGCTACTCCAGTCTAAGCCGTACCGCGCGTCTGAGACCTTGTACTCTCGTAATGCCTTTAGCGCACCTTCGGCATCGGTTGCTGAAACCAAGATATCGGCGTTGCCTGCTTTTACAAAGCCCTCGTCCACCGCCGTCTTGATCCATTCTGTAAGGCCGTTGTAAAACCCATTGATATTCAGTAAGCAGACGCCCTTGCTGTGGATGCCTAGTTGATTCCATGTTGCCGTCTCGAGCAGTTCCTCCATCGTACCGTAGCCACCTGGAAGCGCGATGAAGCCGCTTCCGGGCCCACCCTCAATCACCTCTCGTGCCATCATCAATTTTCGTGTATGCATATCCTTGACAACCGTCGTTCGACCATAGATCTGTTCTTCCGGGACGTGATAACCGTTGGCGTCTGTTTTATCGGAATATGTCGAATCACGCTCCCATTTGACGAGTGCCTCAGGAATAATACCATGCACCGCATCGGGGCCTGATATGGATACTATCGTCTTGGCGACTTCTCCCATCAACCCCACTGTGCCACCACCGTAAACTGGATGATAGATATCAGCCATATATTGGACAGCAGAACAACCTAAATATATATCACGAAGGGATAGAAGAAGGGTAAGGCATACCTAAGGCGATGTTGTTCTTGGCCATGAGCTTGCCCAATTCCTGTGCCGCTTTAAGATAGGCCGGGTTCTTCCCTGGCGAAGAGCCGCAGTAGACGCAAATCTTGGCCTGGGCCAGCGTCACATTGGAGTTCGGGCCGGAAGCCATGATATATCGGATGTGTGCTTCGTAGGTAGCGTCCGCCAGAGATGGAGCGTATCGAAAATGAAAACCGAGAGAGAGAAAGTGCGAAACCGCTGGGCCGGAGTTGTTCAGGGACTGGAATGCCCTACTAGTAACTACTAGTCAACTAACTACCCGGGTATAGTGGTAGAGAAGCAAACAATGTCGTGCCTAAAAGCAACGAAATAAATCCGGATTGTCAAGCTACTAAGAGAGAAGAGCGAAGGGACTTCTATTTAAGAACCCGGAGAAGAAACTTGGTAGAAATATATCGAGATTATATACCTAATCTGTAATGTGTAATGGGCTGCGTTGGTTGTTTCGGGAGGAATGTGGTGTGTCGAGTCACCCGCAGAAATCCAGGAACTTGCAAACACCAAGGGAAAAGTATGGAAGAGTGAAGAGGAGTAGCTTGTGTGTGGCGGGAAGCGGCATCATGAATCTAAGTCAGGGTGTCAGGGTGGGACTTGGGCGTTGAAGCATTTTTGCTGCCCTTCTTTTCAACACAATTTTTTCTGCTTTAGACTGGAGTCACTCGAATCGATCTCACCAATGACGTATCCGGGTCGAAAATAAGGAGTTCGCGAGCTCAACAATTCGTTCTATTAGAGATCATCTTCGATGCATCTGCATTTACCGGGGGACCAATTGTAAACCGGGCCGGTGTGTTGCTACATTGTATTATAGACGAAAAATGTCTTGGGTTTTTCGTAACCAACTAGTTTTAAAAGTTAGGTAGTTGTCTCGAGTCATTGCAGCGTGGCAATGAATTCTGGCAATGATGAAGGAAAATGGTGAAAGATCATTGGATATCCCCTTGCCAGCTGACCCAAAAATGGCTTAAAGTGGCTTACCAAGCTGCGAAAGTAAGGCAAGAACCTTTGGATTCCATAGGTTCCATAAGTTGTACCTACCTAAGCGCACCTACAAGTAGTAAAGTTTAGGTGGTATGTCACTATCCCCCAACGACGGTCCCGCTAGGTACAGGCCAATGTCGTGCACCATCGTCGGCCTATGATTCGCCGGTCTCCCCGCTGTCGGAAGGGTTCTACGACCAACCAAGAGCTGGTTAGAACTTTACAGACCAGGATCTCGGTACCTCCAGCTACACAAATCTTATCAGCACATGTACTAGGTACACTATATTCTATTTTCTCCAGGCGACGTATTACTTACCAAATTCCTGCCAGACTCATCACGACCTCAATCAGTCTGGTTTCGACCCAAGGCAACCCACGCTTTGACAACTCGTCATTGCAATCTCTTGAGTCGGCATTCGGTATTACGGGCTGACCTCATCGTCAGTAGAGATGCCGGAAGACAATGCAGTCCCTCCGGGGGACGCTCGTGAAGAGCAAGGTGTAAGTCGACGCGTCACAGAGCCTCTTAGTTTAATGCGTTCATGACAACGACTTGGAGCTGAAGCTAACGTCTCTTTGTTTGGGTAGTCAATGATTTACAAGATTGTCCAGGGTCTAGCTTTATGGTTCGGTATGCAAATGTTGATGAAGCAATTCACAGGCGGCAACAATGCGCAGACGGCCACGACCCAGGATGCTTCTGGAAATGTTGTTCAGGTTCCTGCAAATACTGGCGACATACCTGCCTACCAACTTCGTCCCAGCAGCCTCGACGAGGGTGCCGTGTGGAACCCAATTCCACAGCGACTAGCTCCCATGTGGCCCACCGATAGCTCCCTCGATATTGTCGTTACACTCTCGTCATCCTTCGTCCCCGTCAAGATTTCTAGCGTGCCGGAGGAGTATGTGGCTCTCAACGAGAAGAGTTTCAAATTGGGCAACTCGACTGATACTCGAGTTGCTGAGACAACCTTCAGCGTGCCATCATCTGTCCAAAAGAATGGGACACTATGGGGGCATTTTTATGTCGGATTGACAGGCTCGAACCTTGACCCTAAGGAGCCAGGATATGATCCCGCATCCGCCTTCCACTTCGTGTATCCCCTAACTCAGTATATCCCTAAGAAAAAGGAAGCGAAAACCCGCAACCTCTTAGAAGATAGGCCAGAAGTGGAAGAGGAAGAGCTCGAAGACGACAATACTGGTCCGATCATCGCAAATTATTATCACCCCAACACCAGCTTGGCTTTTGTTCCTGACACCGGTATCGTCAACTACCCCCAATCGCATCCGGCTATTCGACAGTTTATTCATCCAGAGGTAGGGTCTCGCCTTCATTATACCAAATACAACAAACATCACTAATATTTTGTAGTCCACGGGTGCTCGCGATGGCTCCGGTCAAAACTCTTGGTATTGTATGTTTCCCTTTGCCTACCTAAGTACTTACTTATTTCACATTCATATAGGGGCTAACATATACTGTAGATCCGGTCTTGTACGTCAATACGTTCTGGCAGATGAAGAGTCATATGACCTTGCTTAATGAAACGGTCAAGACCCTCCCGCTACGCCTTGATTTAAGCAACATGAAGAATTGGAAATTCAACATACTAGCCTCCGTTGACTTCAACTCTAAGCAACAGGCTCTCCAAGCCGCTTATGGCGGCCCCATCCCAGGTGGTGGTGATGGAAGTGAGATTGAGATGGTTAAGGAGATGTTCCTGGATACGAATCCCTACCTCCTCGGCGTGACAGCCGCTGTGAGTGTTGCGCATATGCTTCTCGAGATGCTCGCGTTCGGATCCGACATCGCCCATTACCGCAAAAAGAAGGATAATGTTGGCATTTCGGTCCGTTCGATCTTGGCCAATGTCTTCATGCAAACCGTCATCTTCCTCTACCTGATCGACAACTCCCAGAACACGAGTTGGATGATTCTTGGTTCTCAAGGTATCGGCATCCTCATCGAGTTCTGGAAGATCACCACCATTGTCAATGTCAGGCTGCGACCAGCACCGCCGGGATCTTTCATACCGTATCGGATAGCGTTTGAAGATAAGTATCAACTCAGCGAGACCGAGGAAAAGACCAAAGAATACGACGAAATTGCGTTCAAATACATGTACTTCGCTGGTGTGCCTCTGGTCATTGCATATGCCGTCTGGTCTCTTCTCTACGAATCGCACAAGTCGTGGTACTCGTATATACTCACTACCCTCGTAGGATCGGTCTATGCCTACGGCTTCTTGATGATGGTGCCTTCACTTTACATCAACTACCGCCTCAAGAGTGTGGCCCATATGCCGGGAAAGGCCATGATTTACAAGTTCTTAAACACCTTCATCGACGACCTTTTCGCGTTCACCATTAAAATGCCGTTGTTATATCGTTTGGCTACATTCCGAGACGATATTATCTTTTTCATCTATCTGTACCAGCGTTGGGCGTACAGAATTGACTACACTCGTGTCAATGAGTTTGGACAAGGCGGTGACGACGAGCCTGAAGAGACCAAAGCAGAGCCCAAGCCTTTACTGGATGCTGAATCCGTCACGGAGAAGGTTGAAGGGGCCGCAAAGTCTAGTGGCGCTGACACGGGTGCTGCGAAAAAGAGAAAGTAGATAAGAGATTAATGAGAGATGGTGGCATGGATGTACCTACACTCAGGTCCTCACACCTTTTCAGGTTATGTACCTAGGCATGACTAGTTAACACAGAGATGTCTACGGCATCAATATAGCCTTTTCCGTATTAATCTATTCCGAGTTAACCGTGTTATATAAAGATTTGTATGGGCTGAGAGACAGCTTAAGGTCGCATCGTCTCCAATCACCGGCGGTCTGGAACCGAGGTGAACCACTTACCCAATATTTCAGCCCTAAATAGCTAACGATTTACTTGGCATCCCCGGTTCACTTTTGCGCTAAGATATAATGATTACCGGCCTTATGTACGAGATATGTAGGTCTTTCAATCTCTTGCTCCATGCCGGTCGTACACGTCGCAAGTTTGGATGACAAGGCGTTTTGCCAATTTTTACAGCTCTGTGTTTCACTTACAGCCATTTTAACCCGGTTTCTATAAAAAGGATGATCAATGGCCACCCTAATATAATTGAGGTGATGGAACAGCAGGCTTGCTTTTTCTCTTATATATCATGACATGTGCTTTCCATTCCAAGTCCCATGTTTAATTGATAACGGTATCTTATCATATGCCCTGCTCTATGCTTCATCGGTACTAGGTCATCGGCATAAACTTGGAAACGTCTACCTAGTCTAGCTGGGTAGGAGGGTCCCAACTGGAGCTTAGCTTGACGACACTTACGTATTAAGTTTCGACTTTCTGCAACACGCACCTGCAAGAGCAAACTCGGGAATAACCTTTCAACCGCGAAGGATTTCTAATCTTCTTTTCCGGAATCTTTTCCACTTTCCCTTCTTTTCGCCCACTCATCATATCAGAGGAGTTGGGGGAGGAGGAGGTGGTGATGCAGCACAACGACGAACAAAATTACGGATACATACTCTCGCACGTGCGATCGACTGCCCCTATCTCTCATTATCCAACTTATCCCGTCGAATCTGGAGGGAAGAGGACAAAACAAAACAGGATATGAGCCACGAGACCGTTGGCTCGCTGCTAGCCGTCATTGCAAACTCGCTTAATGATGGCCTGCGCATCTTGATGTTCGCCGACAAGCGGGCTTGGGGGTCTGACGAGTTCGAGCAGTTGCGCTTATTAGAGGAGACTCTCGATGAGGCCAAGAAGGACTTTCAGGAATTACCTACTCTTGTCAATGGCCGTTTCTACTATGAGAATGATCGCATAAGTACGCCTCTCCCATCTATTACTCTCTCGCTTCCCTACTTCCTCCTACCATTACTTCCTAGCTTGAAAATATCTATTCTCTGCCCCCATCCGCCACCCTGATAGAGAAGTTGACCCAAGAAGCCCAATCCTAATATCTTCTCTTTACGAACCGTAACAGACGAGTCCCTCGAAGACCTTCGAATTCTCTGCACGCGCTTCGAGCTACACATGCAAACCTTCAAAGATTGGGTGCGCAGCGGTACTACTATCGACCCTTCCTGGGCCCTCGAAACTCTCGAACTACGCCGTGATCTACATAGAGCTCAGTGCCGCGCCGCCCGCCGAATACACGCGGCACAGCAAGTCGACTCCGCCACCGGTAGTGAGAGAACACGATGCCTGGGCGCGCTGCAGGTATACCGTGTGCAAGCGCGGAGGGACGTGAGAGTTGAGGAGGAAAGGGAGATATGCGCACAAACAGGGCGATTCGAGAGATTTGGCGAGCGGGATGTTGCGTTCGTGTGTGATTTCTGCGATGGGTTCCTAGTCTGGGAAGACATGCGCGCCATGCCTACCACGCGGTTGCTCCAACCCCCGGTGCGGACGCAGACGTTGCCTACGCATAATACGAATACCAATGCTCCAAATTCCTCGACGAGCACGACGCCGACCCCGTCCTCAACACAAAGTAACAATGCAAATACAGATGCCCCCGGCGGTGATAGTGACGATGTTAGCCCCGCTATCGCAAATTGGCAGGCTCGTGGGATAGCCCTGTCGACCGGTGAGGCCAAGACTGTTGTGTTCGCTCCGGTAGCTATCGCAAATCACCTACCCCCCGAAGTAGGTGAGTTCCAATGCCGGATCCTATGCCCGCAGTGCGACGAATACTACTACGAGGAACAAGGTGATGACGATATGGACCGCGTGCGGTATACGCAGGATGACCGCGGGCTCGAGAACATGAAGGCGTTTCAGGAACATCTTGAGTGGAGTCATGCTTCTATAGTTCCGGACACGTCAAGTTGTGGGGTTATGTAAGGGGGAAGAGCAATCATGGAAAGCGAAAAGAGCTAGGGGGGGCGGTATATGAAAAAGCGAGCTGAAAAGAAAAGAGAATCTGGGCTGCGCACTGCTTATCATGTTAGGCGTTTAGAGAGAAGGTCGTAGATTGATCGTTTGGGAGGCTATCTGTTGTTCGTCGACTACGGGTCAGAAAGCAAAGGCGTTCAGGGGCCCAGGATCGAGAACCGAGAGCGGTCTCGTGGCATCTAACTAAACACGTTTGCGTAGGTATGTACGCGCTTTTCAACAAATTTCGATCAAGCATTTATCGAGTAGAGCATTGAAGGTTTTGGATAGATCCTCAAATATAATCGGGCTATCGAGTATACGCTTATTAAGGGAGCTCAATTACCAATGTCTCCTTACATGCTTGACGCCTCTGCAAATGCTTTCTATGCCAGTCCAAATCGTACACATCCATCAAGATCGACCACGTTTGCTTTCTGCGTGATTAGGTATATTCATGTCAATCGGTAATGTCTGTACATTCATGAGCTCGTCGCTCGTACTCTCGACGGACAACCCGTCGATTTCCCCCTTTATCACCACCACCAAACCCCGGTTCCAAAAGCAGCAGCCCAAACGCCGAGATCAAAAGAAGCGCAACCAAACAAAGACCAGGACGATCAGCACGAAGACGCCGATGGGGGCGTACTGCTTGACGAGCAGGTCCCAGTTGATCTTGACGGCGGCCTTGCGGTACTTGCGGCTGTCGTCGCGCAGGCGGGAGCTCATCTCGCCCATCTTGTCGAGGCTGTCGCCGCGGTAGAGCAGGTCCTCGATGTTCTTGGTCATGACCTTGGTGACGTCGCGCAGCTCGTCGTTGAGGCGGTCGAGGTTCTGCGCCGCGCGCGCGTCGGCGTACAGCGCCTTGGTGCGGCCGATGAAGGTGTCGAACTCCATGAAGGCGTACGGCCGCAGCGAGGGCGAGGTCAGCTGCGGGCCGTACGACTGCGCGAATTCGAAGGAGAGGTCGGAGAGGTAGGTGAAGGCTAGCTTGCGCGGGTACGACCGCTCGCTGATGCAGATGTAGACTACGTCGTTGGAGATCAGGTAGCTGGGGCGAAAAGTTGGTTAGCGATGGGTATGTATGGTGGGGAGGAGAGTAAGTGTGCAGAGGGGAGGGTGTGCTTAGGTGTTCAGGGGCGGCGCATACTGTAATGTGTAGTTGCCGCTCTCGATGCTGGCTTGGGGTTCGGAATTGTGGTTTAGTCGTCGTAGTATGATCTTCGTTTGTGATTTTACTTCGCTGAGGGATGACTCTGTCTGCCGGTGACGGGATTGTTAGTATAAGACAATGTTTAGGTCCATTGGTCAAATCGTAGATTCGGATAGAGAAGGATCTCTCCTAAAAAAAGGGGTGCTCGGTGCATACTTGTTCATCGTCTACGGATGCGCAAAGCATTAAGCCTATTTCATTGCTATTAGATTGGACTTAGATTTGATATGCCGCCTAGAGATACTACACACCGTCGCCCAGACGGGCTATCTGTGTTGACCTGATCATCTTGTTTGTGTGGTGGTCTGCGGCTTTGAAGGTATGCTTCTGTTAAGTGCTAGAGAGCAGTAGGAGGTTGATTGTGCGCTTGATAAGTAAAGGTGGTGATAATAGTTTCCGTGTCTGAAAAGCGTCGGCAGATGTGTATCGCAATGGTTTAGAAGTGAATCGAGTCTCCTTGGTCCTGTCTTTTGTTTAGATTCAAGAATTATTCCGCTTCGACATTAGAGTGCCAAATATGAACTGGGGTAATTATCAGACAAATGATGATGGTATATTAGCTTAAGAGAACAGTGCTCGATGTCTTCAAATAGAGCGAGTTGACTAACAATTCGTAGCTTAAACCTAGAAGTTAACAGTCTAGAAAGTTGGTTACAAGTTTTACATGGACCCTCCAGGCTGTCTTTCGACGAATTAGGAATGGCGCATTCGCCGCTTTTGCTCAGGCTCGGCTTAGTCTATTATTACCCACGTACCTGGAATACCTATGTCAGGTAACCGGGGGGGGAGGTGTGTGTGCGCTGATGTTAGAAAAAGAAATCAGGAGAAAAAGGAAATTGGACGCGGTCGGATTCGAACCGACAACTCTGGGGGCCGGAAAGTGAGACCCAGAGGGGTACCAGTTACACCACATGCCCTTTAAAGTGTTGTAGATGTACATATCACGGTATATATATTGACGTATTAAATAGATTATCTTCGGAGCGGGAAAACGAAGGTCCGGCCCGGATCGGTACACGTTTCGCCATACAAATCCACGTACAAATTCAGGTATCCCTCTGGCTCATGGTCCGTGCAACCTTAAATCCCTCGCCAAATCATAGCTGCCTTCTTCAATCAATTGTATAAGGCCTGAATCGGCGATATACATTACAAAAAGTTAGCTATTAGAAACGCGTTTCAAGACGGATTGAATGAACCAGGTTGCATCGACGTCACCTGAATATTTGTAGTGAAATAAGAGGTTGAAGTTGAACACAAGGAACGGGAGGCCACCTTCGGTGGCACAATAATCCCTGAGTTTACGCACGCGCGGTGATTGGCTAAATTTCTTATCGATACGCCAGCGCCGCTTCAACTTTTTTGATTGGGTGCATCCACCTTTTAGCTCCTAAACCCTGGCTCTCTTACGTGCCTCCGCGCTCTGACCACCAACCACCTACCCTCGCTACCTCGCAACAACTTATCTCCAGCGCCAGGTTCGATTCCAGCGTTTTGCAACCTTTTTTTTTTTCAATAAGCGCGCGTATGCCGTTACCTGCGTAGCGGGCTCTCGCTAACCGTTGATCTTATTTCCTTATACGTAGTATGATTGGTCGCATTGAGGTGGTCCGTGCCTAAATCCAGGGCTCAGGCTCAGTCTAAAAGCGGCGTGGCTCAGCTTGGCTTCCCATTCCGATTTGGTAATGCAACGTCAGGGAGGTTACAGGGATCACCAGGATAGGGATTGGGGAATTGATGTAGTAGGTGGGGCTAACCTGATGGAAAGAATGGAAAGAACCAATCCACCTATCGTTGGCACCGACCTGCCGATTGGTATTGCCCTTTTAGGCATCATACTGTATGCGCTCACTTATATGCTACCTCTCACAGCCTTCGCCCGTTTAATGTCAGGAATTGGCAAACATGATTTTAGAAATTATATATGATGATTCTCTACTATCAAAGTTCTTTGTACTCTGTACCTAGTACTTAACATAGGTACCTAATTATCGATAACCTGATAACCAAATCACGGTATCGACACCTTCTGAATATATAGAAGAAACTCCAGTGTAGCTTCCATGTTGTCTTTCATCTACTCTCTTTCCTTCCCAAATAGTTCCAGGTTACTTTTCTCCTGAAGTATCCAGGAGTTCCTCCGTTACTATTATTTCCCTACCTGGTATTTACGCTTAATTCTTCAACTTTGCAACCTTCAACTATGCCCCCGCGAAAGAAAAACGCCAGCGCGCCCGCAAGCAACCCCGGAGAGGCCACCAGGAGATCGACCAGGAATACCAAGAAATATAGCCCCACACCTATCCTTACCACTCTCGACTCCTCTGAAGACGAGATCTCATCTACTCGTGCAAATGTTTCCGTGGCTACTGGAACAGAGGATTCACAACAAGATGAACCCGGTGATACGACCACCGTTCGTACCACCCGTTCTAAATCCCACGCAAGCAGCCGCCCGTCAACAGCAAACAGCAATGGCGTCTCTCAGCCCGGAGTAATTTCAACTCCCGCCACGAATAAAGACGTAATGATGATCGATGTGAGCGACGATGAGGGGGAGGATGAGCTCTCTGGCCAGGGACCAGCCTTAAAGAAAACTAAGTCCGTAAAGAATACGCCGACCAGCGCTCGGAAGAGCAGGTCAAAATACGACAACCCCGATGAGATGCTAACTAACCCCCGGGCGCCGTTAGCTAAGGTCAACCTCCGGGTAAGTGTCCCATATATCAACACGTCCATTCAACGATAAAGTGATATATAAACGACTCTCTGCGCTCCAACATACTCTACTAATCTGTTTGTATACGTGTTAACATAAGATGCAGGATTTACTATGCAGCAGTAAGGCATGGGATGTCCTTAGTCCGGAGGAGAAGAAGTCGGTCCTGGACAAATTCCCAGATGAGAAGGAAGTTCTAGACGCCGGGACTGAGAACGCGAGACCAGACATCGCGGCACTCAGGAATAATGATAACTTCCGCCACGACGCAGCCCGGTACCAGGAAGACCTAAGAAAGGGGTGGCATGACCCGGAGTGGATCCGCCAGGCTCAAGCCGCGCATAGGAGGCGCGCGCTCGGCGACTACAACGAGTATCTTGCGGCTCGGTTTGAGGAGGACTGGGGTATACCTATGCCAAAGCAGAGAAATGGGGAGAATAATGAGGTGAGTAGTAAGAAGAAAGATATAACGAGGACTCCCGAGCAACGTGGGATATGGCTAATGCAAGTCCTGCAGATAGGGAACGATATTCTAAAAGACGGAGATAACGACAGCGACGATGATCCCGGTGCGATGCAAGGGGTCGAAACTAATGAAAGAGATCAAGCAGACAAGGAGGGGCCGGAGAATGAGGATAAAGTTCTGAAAGATGGACGTGAGCATCCTCCGGACACGGTGATGGCCTTATGAAGAACTACAGCAATTGTTGCTCTTGGAATTTATCTATACGATGAGACGATCGATACGATGTCTTGAAGTCTTGATGCTACTATAAGTAGCCCATTAGATGTGATGTCTTTGAGCTCTTTAGGAATAAGTCCACCCTTGATACTCACAAACACAATGCCGTAGTCGTCCCAATTCGTTTTTCATATATTATCCAACAGGCACGCAGCGCACTATTTACCCCCTCTATTACACTGGAAATCATCTCAATGAATGTATCAACGGCTAAAACCTCTACTTATCTACAACACATTGTATCCGCATACCTTATATTCCACTGAATCTCCTCCTATCGGGTTGGAGCGAAGCCATTATACTACCATTCTCCTTACCTTATCGAACGTATTCTAGTAGAAGATATGAATATCGATAATCTCATAACCTCCTATCAGACTCAACAAACTACACTAACCTTGGAAGTCAAGGCCGTGTTGGTACGGCTTAGCAATTCTACGGGTATTAATAAGCTTAGGGTTCAATTCCCTAGACGGCCAGATCAACTTTTTACCCCCTTTCCTCATTTCCCAATTGTCTTTATACCTAAATTTTCAATGAGCATTCGGCTTACAATTTATATCGTTTCCCATGAATTATTTGACAATTATTTATCTCATTGTCCATCACTCTCGGTTCCGTCCATTGCATTCTAGTAGGTAGATAGGATATATGGTATACAGGTAGGTAGGTAGGTAGGTAGGTATGCGTAAAATACAAATAAAAAAGACTTGGGATTATCGAGTTAACATTATTCATCTAAAACATGCCTACATAAGTGGAAGAATAGAAGATTAATGAACGTATCCCGTATCCGGGGATGAGGGCCAGCACTGTTTAGCCTGGGAGGATGATGCCCCCTTACAATGCACATCACCCACCGTGCTACATACACGAGCACATCTTTACACAAGATGCTATCTTCCCACGATAACCTACGAACCCATAGTTTACTTACCTACTACCTCATGGTAGCTAGCCAGATGTGGCTCAAGTGTGTCCCATAGGTACACAATCTCAACCTCGTATACCAAGGACAAAACGGCATACACGGCAGTTCCTCGGGATCGTGTAAGCTTTCAAAGATCTCATGATCAGTTACTGTTTCTAAATCTTTTGTACATTGACGTATTTTGTGTTTCCTCGCTCTACCCATTTTCCACCTTCCTTCCGCCCCTACACTTCGCTATGCCTCACTTCGCAATGTCCACGCAACTTCACCCCTCACATGCATCTTTCTTCACTCACCCTCCCTCCACCCGATCTACCTATCTATCGCGCACAAAAACCCTACACGGGCGTCTCGAATGCCAAATGCGCCTCTCCTTCGCGCCGAGCACCGCATCCATCATGATCTCCGTCTCGCTCCTCTCCCTGCCGATCTTCTTACCATCCCCACCTATACCCTTACCCTTACCCTTACCTTGATCGCCGCCCTTATCCGGCGGCGGCGCCTTCCAGAGCCTAGTCTCCTCGACCGACGCCGAGATCTCGAACTCGCCGCGGCAGAGCGGCATCGCGCCGACCGCGACGCGCGCCACTCCCTTGGGCTCGATCGCCGGCAGGCTCTGCTGCAGCGTGCCGATCCACGCGAACTTGCGAGTAAAGTCGAGCGCCACGTTCGGCGGCCGGTGCCGCAGCGCCGGCGTGAGCCGGAGCGTCGGGTAGATGGGCTCGTCCGTGCGGTTCGTCACCACGACCCGGATCTGCGCGAACTCGTCCGTGTAAAGCGCGGCGCCGCCCTCGCCCTCGCCTTCCCGCTCCTCCTCGGCGTCCCCGACGAGGGAGATGTCGATGCCGACCTCGTCGATCTTGATGGCCTCGATCATGCGGGGCGCGAGGCGCAGGCCGCGCAGCTCGATCGTGCCCTGCCTGGCTGGCCCGGACAGCGTCTTCCACGTGCCCGAGAGCTTTTCCAGGATCTTCTCTCGGTACCAGAACGCTTCGCGGTTGCCGCGCTCGATGTCGGGCGTGATCTTGCTGCTGCTGACGACGAATTGGCGCTGTCGGGAGGGGTTGAGCGCTGGTATTGACGCGTGTGGGTCGTCTATGTACACTCTCGGAACCGGGACGACGATGCGATTTGTATTTCCTGGTAGGATGTGTTCCTGGATCACGATGTCACCGTCCGCTTTGAGGCAGACTTGCATATCGCTTGGCCATGCGTTTCGGAGATCCAACAATAGCAAACAGTGGTCATCAGATAATGTAGATCCTGTTTCCGGCCCCTCCGCGCCCAGGCGAGACCAGATGGGTTTAGGCACCTCCCCTTTGATAGGCAGAACATCCATTCTCGCAAGTTCTACACTAGCGTTGACTGTTATGGTCAGGTCAAGGCAGACTTGCCGAGTATGGAATTCGTCAGTGATCTCGGATTGGGGTACACCCAAATGTGCGTAGTCGACTTGGATTGTCGCATCAGTAAGACCGGGTTTCCCGAGAATTTCAAAATCGAAAGTAGCTGTGCCTCCTGGAGCTATATATCTCTTCGAATCATCAATCTTGCGCAATCGCAAGGCTTGTTTCCTTGCCAAAATGAGTTCGTACTCATACAGCTCTGCAGGCGTTGCGTCTCTGCTTGTTAAGGCCGTTTGTAGAGGACCTTGTGTTGAGTCCTGAAATGAGAATAGCAGCAAATCCGCTGGCGTAGTTGATGAAAGGTTTTGAAGCGTCACGGAGAAGACCTGCCGTTCTCCTTCTAGGATCATTACCGAGGATTCGAAGAGGGTCGTAGACTTGATGACGACAACAGGCTGGGCGGAAATAACGCTCAATCCAATGCTATCTGGCTTTAATGGAGGTCCGGGGAAAGGTAGTTTCTTATTTTGCTCCAGTGCCACCAGTCCAATCCCTTTAATTTTAGTTTCCGTATCCGGAGCCCATGCTTGGGGGAAGATAGGGAACCTCCTTTCACGACATCCACGCACCTTCACTATGGCTCCGGTAATTTTCAAGTGGCCTGCGGCTGTAGGTGTGCCGGTGAGCTTTAGGATCTGTGTACGATATGGCCCTATTATTGTGCTCGTTACCGAGGATTCAAAATCGGCTCCTCCCGCATCTAATTTAATGCTTTCGATATCTACATCGATTTCATAAGGGTTTTGGAGTGTGATTCTGAAAGTTGCTGTCTCTCCCGCAACAAGTGTCCTCTCTACTGCCACTTTATCGGGTGCTCGTATGAATGGGTTATAGATGAAAGGGTTTACATCCTGTGAAGTGCGTGTTGTCGTTACACCCGGTAACACATTTTTTGGATGTGATGTGGGTGTCCTAGTAGGTGGTAAAGGATCCATCGTAATGCCTCGGACAAGGAATTCGTCCCAGTATTCCGCGGACAAATGTCCCAGGCCTAGCCTTTGAGAAAGGCTGGATGTCTTGGAAATGTTGGTCGCTAACCTGATCTGCTCCTCTCTCGTGATTGTAGGAGCTGCATCTTCTCGACGTGGCCCTGGCGCAACTCCGCTTCCAGCAGTGCGCAATAAATCGCTGGAGAATTTTAGCACTCCATTAAAGTCCGGTAATGCCTCGGAAAAGTTGATACAGGCTCGAAGAATATTGAGCTTGACATTACTCATACCAAATTGTCGAGTCGTCGATTGATTCTGGATCCTTGAGATGACCTTCTCATCCGTGTCGCTTATCCGACGCGACTCGTCAGAAGGCCCGCAGACAGCATCGTCGAAGTTAACCACTCCGTAAGTTCTGCATAGCAACCCGAGGAAAGCGTCGATTCCATGCTCTATATCCCCTTCACCAAGCTCAAGCGCCAATGCTCCATTACCATGACCGTTCATGGCGTTGAGAGCTACTAGACCAGCAGCTGGATGGATGCCGACTTCAGCGGCGCCTCGTGTCCTTGCCTCGACCAGTCCTCCAATTAATACCGATACCAATTCCCGCACAACCATAGCCTTTTTCCTATGAAATCCCAGTGAGCCAAGTACAGACGCAATTCCACTCAGAATAATCGCACGGTCTACAGTCGTGAGTAATTCGGGCGCAGAGGATGGAAAAGCTTTGAATAAAAGAGTCGTGATCTGGGCGCGAGGCGGAGTAATGGTTAGGCGTGGCGACGTGGTAAGGGATTTCATAGGCAATTTGCCGAGGACAATCCCGTCTAAGAACTCCTTATCTAGCTTGCCGTCACAAAGATGAATACCGGTGAGCAAAGTACAGAATCGGATAATGGACTCTGACAGCGGTAGTGGGGGAAGTTGTTCACCGGATATCCTAGAATATAGACCTACTATTCTCTCCAGGAGGTCCGGTAAGATAGTCTGGAGATTCCATAGATGCTTCGGCTGGTTAGGGTCTCCCTCATCAGCATCCGGCCCCTTAGTACTACTACTAATAACCTTGTCATTTGTAGGTAGGCATATTGTAGGAACCTGAAACTGAACGCCAATCCAGCCAAGTAGGAGTAGGCAAATTGTGATTAGCTCAAGCGCTTTACCATGCCACAGATGATCGTTGATCGATTTCGCAACGGTGGCACCCTCTGCAAGCTCCTTTAGCGCATCAGTCCATCGACCAGCTTGAAGGTATAAGGAACCGACTAGGATTATCGCTCGTCCTCGCCCCTTATTTCTGAATCTTTCATTTAAACCACCGGGACCGAAGCCTTGTACCGAGACCTTGTCTTGATTGGTTGGCTTCATGCCTCCGGCTGAGTCTGGTCGAGATTTCGGGTCGGGACTTGTCGCGTCAGAGACGCTCCCGTTCACGCTAGCAATATCATCAAAGGTAGTTGGCGGGTTAGATAGACCGCTACGATGTACGGGGGTCGTAGGTCGCGCCGAGGGGGTCGAGCTGTTAGATCCAAAAGGGAGCGATTTGAAAGGGACAGGCATTGACATACGGGCCTGGTTCCTATCCCCGGCGCCACTACTAGATGCCGACCTTGTAATAGACGGTATCGAATGCTGCGAGTTGCGTCGCGCTGCCGGGTTTGCATCATCTGAAGTCCAGCTAGAGTTCCCATTCAGGCCCGACCTCGCCGGAGTCTGACCTGGGGAATCTATCGTTGTCTTCCCCTCATAAGACTTGGCAAGAGTCGTCATCTCTGCTAGCAACAGGGATGATATATCACACATTATTGCTTTAATCGTGGTTCTCTTCGACTTTTCCACCGACGGTATCGTTTTGATGCCTTCGGGCATAGGGATCGTATTGTCGGTATGTGGCGCATAGTCGAAAATTAGCACCTCATGAGCGAGTATTTTTGGATATGCGTCTCGCAGATTCTCAAGCTCCTGGTATAGGGACCTTATGTTCCTCTCTGCCATGGTTGGCGCATAGCCGTTGGCCGACTGTCTCTTGCTGAACGCCACATTTTCCAGCTCCTTTCCGTCGGCGATGGCAATAAGAGCAAGAGGTTCGCGGAACAACTCGAAGGGGGCTAAAGCGAGATGTGAGGGGGGCGGCACATAAGTGATTAGATCGTAGAACATAGCACCGTTCGGAAAAGCAAGAGGAGAGAACATGTCTAGTGTGGGGGTTCGTTAGTTTTGCGGCCCTTCACATATTTTCAATAATTTGTCACTGCGAAGGAGCTTACTCCGGTTAGGTCGCCCATCGGGAGTGATGTCGCGAAGGTAGACGACATGTTCCTCGTTCAGTCTCTGGACGAAAGAGGAGAACCTGTCTCGCGTGATCTGGCCGACGGGCAAGACTAATGCCCGCACCCTTGCCGGGGCGACGGGTAACATAGAGTCCAGGCTCATCCTAACATCTGCCTCGACTTTATACCGACATGGCAGAACAGCCGCATGCCTACAGGAAACGGAGGGGTAGGGTAACTCGGAGTCGCGCGGTTCAAATGTTCGTTCGATTCTTAGACGAGCTTAAGTACGTCGCAAACGTCGTTTCAATGTTAAGATTTGGGGGGGTTGCTGGTTTAATCTCGGTATCTGATTGGCTCACAGACGAGTAGAATCATACGCGGGATCGTTATTAATACGTTCAAATGTAATGCTCTTCATAAAAGAAAGCTAAGAATTATGATGCGAACGAAGCCCAAGATCAAGCTCCTGAGCCTCGTGCGCCGTCAAAGATAACTAACCAATCAGGGTCCAGGGTAGTAAACAGGGGTAATCCAGAAAGAGAAACTGCCGTCCGGGGTTTGACAAGCATGTACCTACGTATCCAGGTACGTACATAGCATAGCACCTACGATCCGGGCAAGTGCAGTCTTAATATGATAATCAAATTCGATAAATTGCATGTATAAGTAGACGTCTCTAAAGTATAAAAAGAAGTTAATGCACATGGAAACCCAAATGTTTCAACTTCTCTAAATAAATACTTCAGCAAGTTCAGATCTTGCTCACCTAATTTCGGAATGTCAGGCCACCATGCTCATAAGTGATGAGCTGTGGAATCTACGCAATTTTAGCTTCCAGGATCGCATGTACATAAACAGCATCAGTTCAAGTTCGTGAGAGCAATTCTACTCGGCAGAATATATTCTCACCTTCATATTGACGTTTATTTGTACAATGTATAAGCCCCATATCTCCTACCAACTTCACTATTTACTATGTCGGCGTGGTACTTGACGGAGCTCCGGTTCCTTCGGGTTTCCCTTCCGCCTTAGCTTTACCTTGCGTCGCTTCGTTCTTCAGCTCGGTGTCGAAAATATCAACTGCAACACTTGCTTCGACAAAGTCTTCCAGCTCTTCCGTCACCGTTTTTAACTTCTCCTTCACGGCCTCGGCTCCCTCAAATCCCACTATGTGGCGCGCCGGCGGATTCTCGTGCCCACCAATAGCAGTAAGAGCATACACTGTCTCACCCACGAGACGGTCTATTGAGGAAGGGGGGAGTCTGGGGTACCTTTGAATAATATCCGTTTCTGACGGCTCGAGAGCAGTCTCGGGATTTAGATTCAGCACATTCGTGAGCATATCCCTGACGCTAGGCGCTGGGTTATTTTCGCTGTCATAATATGGCAACGAAGGGGAGAACACGATCTTGTTGGTCAAAGATTGTATCTCCTTGTGCGGTTGCACTATCGTCACCTTGATATTGAAGGGCGCAACTTCATAAGCCAGCGAATCGCAAAATCCTTCAAGCGCCCATGTCGCCGCTGTATATATAGGCATTCCGGGCGTGCCTATATGTCCGCCGAGACTCGTGAGGATCATAATATGACCGGTATGCTGCGTGCGAAATGTTGGAAGCGAAGCTTTTATGAAGTTCACCTGAGAGAAGAAGATGGTCTCGAATTGGTCGCGAACTAAATTCTGCGTCGCCGGGGTGGTGGATAGCTCTTCCACAGTTCCAACAATGGCTGTTTGGAGAAAATCATCTTGTAAGCATCCTGTTTTGCCCCGCTCGAGTGTGCATGTGGAATGTTCGTGGGCTGCGCGTGGAGAACAGTTCGCATACCTTCAGATGTGCAACACAGTAGAATATCTATGCGTCCAAACACATGCTTGGCCTCCGCCACCGCGGCACTGCATTGGCCCATAACTCGACCATCGCAACGTATGCTCCGAATGCGATCTTTCCAACCTTCCCGATCCTTGCGATTGCTCTTGCATTCGTTGACCAGCTCACGGAACTCAGCGCTTCGATCATCGTGCTCGATTTCGTGAGGAGGGAGGCAAGCGACAACATAGTCACCGTGGGTGAGCAATTGCCTTATCAATCGGACGGCCAAAGGAGTCAGGGACGAAGTTAGGAACCATGTTCGCGGGGAATTATGCGTCGCTACAATACGATTCATTAGTCGGGATTCCGGTCGCGAAAGAGCATCTAGCCAAGAAAACTGCGAATTGGCATCTCAGGCTCGCACAATGCGGGCTGCAAAAGTACGGGCGAGGCTAGAGGAGAGCAGTTTCGTCTTGGGACTCTCGAGTCGCGCAAACTTGCGCGATGAAAGAAGGAGAAAAGGAAAAGATATGGCTTAGGGAGCTTAGGTAAGGAAGACAAGGTAGGTGCTGGGTAATAGCAAAGGTAGCTTAGCTTAACGCACGGAAAGATGCTGCAGGGACGGAATGCGAATGTCGTGCTGGACCTGATGACTCGGTGGTCTTCCTTTCGGACATTTCCACCTTTTCCGCTCTTCTCTTTCGCTTGCTTTTGAGGATTCGCTTCAAGCCGCTGGCAAATCAGCAACCGGACGCCACTAAAGACAAATCCAATTCTAGCAACGGGCCCGCATCACCACAACCGCAATCGATCGCAATGGGAAAATAATATACGAGCAAATGCAAGTGAGGGTCAGCCTCTCTCTCATGCAGTAGGGACTGTCTTCCCTTCAACATCACAAGAAACGGGGAATTGGTTCGTGATAATTGTCAAGGAGTGAGCCAAAAGGCCAAGTTTAAACCATCGAGACCAACATATTAATATCTGGATCAATTATATGTCGCCCTATTACACTGCACTTACGTTTGATAGCTATCGTCCCTAACTATCTCAGTCTAATGTGCGGATCAGTCAACCTCGCCTCTAACTCCCCTAATGGGGTTTCCCTGTGGCCCAAGCCGGCAATTGACACATCCCGAAAGGACGAAAAGGGAGGTCAGGAATATCATTGACCCCACTACGCACGCTACAGCCGCGTGAGGAGGTGGGTGAGGAGGGTGAGTAGGCCTAGAAGAAACGTGCTGTTCTTGTCTTGACGAGGTCGAAACAGCTCTCGGCATGGACGAATTCCGCCTGTTCCCAGAGTTGAGGTATCGATGTGTCAGGTACGATGTAATGTCATGCATGTCCTGTAATGACTGAGTAATAAATAAAAGAGGACTAGCTGCGACGCAAGCTAACAAGTCGACCTCTCGGGTGCTGTCCTTGCTCGAGTTGGGGTTTGCGGGATCTCAGCACGGCCGAGGTTGTAGTGTCAGTTTGGTTTCGGCAGCCATCTCGGATATCACAGATGCAATGCAACAGCAGCTCAGTATACTAACACATCGTGTCTCGACCGTTTCTTCATAGTACCCTCTTTTATTCCTTTCTTCTTTAACCCTTTTTAGATAAATCTGGGGAAACCTGGGCCGACACCATTTTTAGACGTTTGTCGGAAGATCGCAAGACTGCCTATGCCACCCACGCGGGCGTGTGGGCGACACCTAGGTAAGCAAAAAAGGATACCGGTAGAGGTTGAGGAGCACATGGCAAGTGTTTGCTGTGAGAATAATCTAAAATATTCGTTTTTAGGAGCTATCTTGTGGTACTATAATTCAAGGTTTCCAAGACCGGCTCGGAGTTGACTACATTAAAGTTCCAGCTATTATTTAGTCCGGTCCGTGATATGTATTGAGTAAGAATTTCTTTTTATCTTATTGCTTCCGACGTCGGGAATCAGAAAACCCGAATCATTCAAGCTGTCACCTGTTTTCACTTGCTACCTACAATTGAAATTCTATCCACTTAGACGATCGGAATCGGATGACTCAGCCCTACGAGACTCAGTTTTACCTTTGAATCAATTTGGATAGAAGCCAATTCCATCATTACATGTCCAATATACTTTCCCTTTGAACATACTTAGTCTATATCTATAATCCTACAAAATGCCCTCCAGGGCCGAGATCACATACTTCGGCGCGGGCCCGGCTTTATTGCCCACTCCCGTGCTTGAAACCGCCTCCCAAGCTCTCCTGAATTACAAAGATACAGGACTTGGCATTGCTGAGCATTCTCATCGCTCTCAATATGCTGCCGACATCATTAATCAAGCAAAGGCTGACTTGGCTACCTACCTCGATATTCCGGACGACTATGAAGTTCTCTTCATGCAAGGCGGCGGAAGTGGCGAATTTTCCGCTACTATGTACAACCTTGTTGGCGCTTGGGTAACTAGGAAAAAGGCCGAAATTCTGAAGCAATTGGGTGCTCAAAGCGAGGAAGAGGCGAACCAAGAAGAACTCGTAGCAGTACTCAAGAAAGCCATCGATTCTGACTTGAAGCTGGACTACCTAGTGACAGGCGGCTGGTCGTTGAAGGCTTATCAAGAAGCCGGCCGTCTTCTCGGCCCGGAGTACACTAACCTGGCTACCGATTCCCGGACCGTGAATCAGGGCAAATTCGGCAAGATTCCAGATGAGAGCACGTGGAATTTGTCCAAGAATGCCGCCATGGTATACTACTGTGACAACGAAACTGTAGACGGAGTTGAGTATCCCAAATTTCCCGATGCTCTTGGTCCCGATTCGAATGGCGTGCGTCCTATTGTCGTCGCGGACATGTCGTCAAACATTTTATCCAGAAGAATTCCTGTCGAAAACTTCTCGCTTATCTTCTTCGGTGCACAGAAGAATCTCGGCTCGACCGGAGTAACCGTAGTAATCATTAAGAAGAGCCTATTGCCACCGGCATGCCCGCAACCTTCTCCGGCATTAATGAGAAAACTCGGGCTCCCCATTCCTCCGGTTATATTCTCATACGAGACCATCGCCAAAAATAACAGTCTGTACAACACACTTAGCATCTTTGAGTACGACCTCTCACCAGTTAATACTTGCGTTCTAATGGTCTAACGTTACAATACAGCGTCTATATAGCCGGTCAAGTGCTCAAGAAGTTGCTTGCGACCTTCCCAGATAAGGTCGACGGCCAAGAAGCCGTCGCCAACCAGAAAGCGGAAATCATCTACAAGGCGCTCGAATCGTACCCGAGCATCTACAGAATTGTTCCCGATAAGTCGGTCCGCTCCAGGATGAACATTTGTTTCCGCGTGACAGCCGTAAGTGAATGCCAAATTTGGCACGTTTTACCTTTTGTAAGTATCGCTAATTTTAATTATAGGGAGGCGACACGGAGAGTACAGAGGCAAAGTTCCTCAAGGACGCAACTGCTCGTGGCCTCACCGGCCTGAAGGGTCATCGAAGTGTTGGCGGCATTCGTGCCAGCAACTATAACTCGATTCCACTCGCAGGGGCCCAGCAGCTCGCCGACTTCATAGTCAATTTTGCTCAGGCTCAGGCGTAATGCTCCTGTATAAGGTAACAGCGACGATAGGAGTAAAACCATCGTCTGCTGTGAAACAAGCGACTATGTACTTCCTGTACGACTCTGGTCTGAACGTGGAGGGACTGATGCGCCAGGAATGCAGAGTTGCTTTGGTAATGGTAAGGATTGTATCGCCGGAGGTGGTAAGTCTGGCATGTTACCATGCCTAATTTTTCTTATTATGCAAGGTCGGCGTTGAGTTCACGCATCGCATGGTACGGCAAAGGGGGGAACCAAAACAGCATTCAACATGGCGGTTAGATCGTCACACACATATAGAAACATTGGCATACGAGGTACGCTAGACAAAATATACTATTCATCTAGGCCCCAAGGCACATCCATTTATATCTATATTGAATCTTTACGTCATTTTCCTATCCAGGTAGGCAGGTAGAAAGGTAAGTACGCAGCTATCGAAAACGGCTAAATCCCCAACTCAGCCTTCAACCACCCAGGGACCTCCGGTGGCTTCTCCCACCCGTCCAAATACGTCTCCTTCGGCACGCCCTCTCCGGACGGCTTCGCGTAGATGGCCGAAACATACGCCACCGTCTGCCCGGCCTTGATCGTGTGCTGCAGCGTCGGGATCACCGTCCGACTCTCCACCAGATTCGAGTTCGGGTCCGCGTTCACCAGGTTCGCGGCGCGCGCGACTCCTCCGCCGTTGCCTTCGAGCGCCTTGATGCCCACGGCCCCCTTCGACACCGCGAACGCGCCCTCGGCACCTCCGGCCCAGCCCGCCGGCGTCGCGAGGTCGTAGTTGCCGATGATCCTGGGAAACGTGCCCTCGCACTTCGCGGCGTCGTACGGGTCGAGGTAGCGCCCGTCCGGCGCGCGCTGGTTGCTGATGGCGAAGGCGCCGTCGGCGGTCATTACCTCTCTGCCGGCGACGATCTGGTGCGCGCGCAGGTGCCAGTTCGGCGTGGCGGCGTCGGGCGGGACGAGCGTGGTGCGCACGGCGACGTCGGGGAACGGGGTCCAGACCGACACGAGGACGGGGGTTTGGTTTTGGGCCGGGCCCCGGTGCTCGAGGGCCGCGTACGAGGACGCGCGGCGCGTCTTCCAGTACTCGCCGCCGTCGTCGGAGAAGCCGAGCTGCGAGGCTAGCGCGTATTGTTCTAAAGTGAAGAGCCCTGGTGGTACTGAGTACGCGTACGCCGAGCTGTACGCGAAGCAGCCGTACTTGGCGTGCGTGCCTTTCATCGGGTAGCTGCAGGCTTGACCGGAGGAGAGGAGCATGCCGTGGTTGCCGAGGTAGCTGCGGGTTTGGGTATCTGGTTAGCGAGATGGAGCTGCAAAGATAGGGGTTTAAGGGGAAAGGGGGTTTGGAGCTTGCCTTGCGATGTGGCCTGGTTGTGGTAGCTCCTTGATCTGTGGAATGACCGGGCTGGCGAACTCTTCCTCAGAGGTCCAGAAGGGGTGCTCTGGGGGTACGGCGAGACAGATGAAGGCTAGGCAGGCCCAATACTTTGATCTTAGTTAGTATGTGAATATCGTATATAGGGCTTGTGACTTACCGGACTACCGGGGCTGTTGTAGTTCTCTGCCATCTATTCTCCATAAGCAAGATTCTATAATTTAGATAAAGGGGTTTGCTATTACTTACATACATATTAGGGTATGAATACCCAATAGTCAGCGTTCCGCTTGGACTCCATATGTCAGGCTGTGTTTGCCACCATCGCAGGTGTCGCAGAACCACGCCTTTCACCATCCCCCAGGTAAGCGGCTCGGGTAACTCAACTCCGGCGTAAGCTAAGGCGCCCCAGAATGACACCATCGCGAATCGATAGCCTACGCTGCGACCAAAGGGGATAGACCGACCTGAAGGGATGTGTTAGATAGTGGGAGGTTTAGGCAAGTGATTACCTTACCTTCGTTGTCGTAGTAGTGGATCAAGTCAAGCGCAACTTGTTTGGCACGGTTTCTAAATTCCTCGGCTCGTGCTGGCTCGTCCTCGCCCGCTAATTTCGCATAGAGAAGCTGCAAGAATTGTATGGCGAAACTTGAAGAGTAGTAGTCCATCTCTATTAAGGGGCTTAAATTTAGTCTCTCAACCATGTTGATGTCTAAGGTGTCGACGTACGGTGAATTCCCTCCGGTCCGTCATTCGACCAACCGCCACCACGGTAGAAGGTATTGAGGTGCTCGATGTCACGATCTAGCCGCTCTTGCGAGAATTTGCCGCCGTTCTTCTTCAGGCCAAGGTTTGCAAAAACACGGAACCAGAGCCAGTTGGTATTGGGCATGCTGGAATACCATTAGTTTTACGATCTGAATAATGAGTTCGGTTGAATTTACTTCTTCTCGTTTATTGAATTGCCCAACCAGTTTTCAACATTTTCTCGTTCTCTTTGATTGAATGATTGCCATATTTCAGGGGCAACGGCTAGCGCATAGCCTGTTTACTCGTAAGCTACAGTCTTGATAGTTGCGATGGCTCCATACCAAGAGGGCACATCTCTACCATTCTTTGGTCGTTATCTCGTGGATATCCCCAGTACTCTGGATTTTCGGGGTCGGTTCCTGACTTGATCCCCTGAATCCACCATTCTTTCCCGTGGTAATCACCGCCTCCGGCCAGAAGACAAGCTAAACCCCAGAGAGGTCGACATATACCTTCTACCTCGGAGGCAGTCTGGTCAAACCTGACAGCAGTAGCTCCAGGACATTTCACTCGGGCTTTCAATGGAGAGAAGAACGGCTCGAGGGGGTCGAGGAGGGTCCTGAGAAGCTCTTGGACGGAAGCGCGGTCGGTGATTTTCACCTTTGAAAAGGGGTGAATGCCATTATAGCCAAGGACAAGTCCGGTCTTCGGCTCCGCCATCGTGAATACCCAGATAAAGCTAGCAGTCAACCCGTCGGGTCTACAAAATGAAAAATACTGAGACTTAGGTAAAAGAGATCAGGGAAAAGAGAGAAACAACCTGCCATGCCTCGTAACATACATGTGTTTAACCTACCTCTCTACGTGGGGCACCGCTTCATCAATCGCCATGTTCGCGAGTTCATGAGGGGCTCCCTTGGGGATTGTGGGGTGATAGAGCTCTCGCGGCTAATATCACAGATGAACTCGTCCATTAAATCCCCACCAATTGACGTAGCTTAGAACTAGCAAGGCAGGTAGGCTCTGTTCGTACATGAGGTAGGCAGCAGAGGTCAAAGATTTCGCCGCTTCGGTCTAGAATAAAGCGACGAGGGCTCTATGATTGGACCGTTAAGATTGCAGCACGCTTAACAATTGGTGTTATTGCTCTTCCAGCATGAACTGCGCAGGATAGCTGTTCGCTGACACATCCTCGTGGGATTGCCCAATTTCGATACTGTTGGTTGCTCATGGAGTAGGGTTCATATGATCATGTTCGTCTAAGCTTCGGTAACTCGTCAAGTAAAAATCCTGGATATCTTCGATATGTAACTATTCATACAGAATAACCCCCTTTTATACTGCTTTCTTTCGTGATACAGAGGCAATTCAATCACTTTCAAGTAGACGAAATGACAAACTGGGCTCTGGGCACTCCAAACTAACAATTAGTAGCTCGATGAAATATCTTCAGCCTTCACCTCAAATTATTAACAACGTGGATGTATACACTTAGGTAGGTTGGTATTAGAAAGAATCAACGATGGCGGACGGCAGTCAATCAAGAATGCGGAGCTTATTGGGGAAAGTGCGGGATGCGGGGCACAGCGGCCAGTATTAGTATCGATATGAATACTGGGTCCTCTAATTTGGCGCAATTCATCGGCTTGTGATTGGTTCTTCTACTAATCATCATCGAAAGGTGTTTTTATATGGATACCAGCTAATTTAGACAGACAGCTGAAGCTTCAAATCTTTAAGTACCTAGTAGGTATATCCTTTTATAGCTGAGTGTAGGTAGGTATTTCCAGAAGATTGAAATCTACGCGGATGTCTTCTGAATCTTCTAAAAAAGGGGGAACAATGAATCCGGACATTGAGGGATTTGGTTTACCCCATCAATAAGCACAGTGCCGAAGGCGCGAGGGTGGCTGGACGGACGTAGCAAAGGCCGGGATCTCCCTCACATGTGCGAGATTCCATCAGACGTCAACCTTAAACTACATACCTGGGTAGTACCTAGGTAGGTGAATCGTCGTAGGAGACTTGCGTGAGACGGCATGGTTACTCGCCCAGGAACTCAAAGCAAAATGGCCACAATTCCAAGGAAGCTGTGGGAGCATCCCAACCCCGAAAAGACACAGATGTATGAGTTGATGCAGCGTTTGAACAATAAGTATAATCTGAGTCTCAAGGTGAGAATGATTGGGTCATAGACGGTTGTTCGGATACTGGCTGACCAATACTAGACATTCCAAGAGCTGTATCAGTATTCTACCTCTAAACGTTCCGACTTTTTCTGCGAGGTCTTTGAGTATGTAAACCTACTTTACACTGGCTCATACAACAGAGCTGTAGATGAGAGCAGGCCAATCGACACTATCCCACCTTGGTTTGAGGGAGTACACGTCAATTGGGCAGAGAATATTCTGTGGTCTCGCAAGTCTCGAGATCCCACCGATCATCATGGCATGATAGGAAAAGAGAATTCTAAGATCGCCGTGACCGAGGTTCGGGAGGGCGTGACCGAAACCAGGCATGTCACATGGGTTACACTACGAAAACTCGCAGCTCTTTACGCATCTGCTCTTCACGTCGGCGGTGTAAGAAGAGGAGACCGAATAGCTGTCGTTGGTTCCAACAGTGTAGAGACCCTTGTCCTCTTCATCGCCACGGGATGGTTGGGTGCCATCTTCAGTAGCAGCTCGACCGATATGGGAGTCCAAGGGATATTGCAGAGGACTGTTCAGATCAACCCTAAGGTAGGATGGACTACTCCTTTTTAAGCATGCGCTAGGTTACTCATGAACACCAGTACATCTTCATGGACGATGCAGCTCTTTACAACGGCAAACGTGTGGACTTGCGTCAGAAGATGGCTGGCATTGTCTCGGGAATGGAGAGCTGTACTAATTTCTCAGGTCTGATCTCGATCCGACGCTTTAGAGATGCCTTGGATATAAGCAACATCCCAAAGGCGCAGACCCTGGAATCGTTCATTGATAAAGGCGACGCAGTGTTGCCCCCGCCAATCATTCGGATTGCCTTTCACGAACCATTCCTCATCTGTTACTCGTCAGGAACGACCGGTGTTCCGAAAGCGATAGGTATAGGATTCCATGGTTACCTTGGTTGATGAAAAGTCCATGATTTAATGATTACTTCTCAGTACACTCCGTCGGCGGTGGTCTTATGAGCCTCCTCAAAGAAGGCCGTCTTCACGAAGATGGTCGGCCAGACAGCGTCGCGCTGCAGTATACGACTACGGGCTGGATTATGTATCTCGTGTCAGTAACCTATCTACTTATCGGTGGTCGATGCGTCTTATATGATGGATCCCCTTTCCAGCCAGACCTTCAAACTTTTGTCAAGTTGATTGGCGATCAGAAAGTCACAAAATTTGGAACTAGCCCTCGATGGTTTTACGAGATCGCTAGGGCGGGAATCTCGCCAAGGCAAATCACGGATCTATCGAGTTTACGGGTTGTGACGAGCACCGGCATGGTACTTCCAGAGCAGACATTCGAATGGTTTTACGACAAGGGATTTCCGGCCCAGGTTCACCTTAGCAACATATCTGGAGGAACTGACATTGTAAGATGTAGAGTATATTTAGAGATAACTGTCTACTGACTTTGTTTTAGGCTGGCTGTTTCGGATTAGGCAACCCACTCACTCCGGTTTACGTGGGAGGAACTCAAGGGCCATCTCTTGGAGTCAAGATAGCATTGTACGATTCACTACTCCCTCCTGGCCCTGGAAAGGAAGTTCCAGATGGAACACCCGGAGAGCTTGTAGCCACAGAATCGTTCCCCAACGTGCCACTTTATCTATGGGGTGATAAAACTCCTGTAGGAGTGCCTGGGTCCAAGTTCCACTCCTCCTATTTCGCTAGGTACGATCATGTATGGGCACACGGAGATTTCTGTGTGTTCCATCCGGTCACGAAGAACCTCACCTTCCTCGGAAGAGCCGATGGCGTTCTGAATCCCGGTGGTGTCCGCTTCGGCTCCGCGGAAATCTACAATGTTCTTGAGAGGAACTTTGCAGATCGGGTGGCTGACTCGATATGTGTGGGACAAAGACGACCTCAAGATAACGATGAGAGTGTATTGTTATTCTTACTCATGCGACCCGGCCATAAATTCGACGCGAAGCTAGTGAACGAAGTCAAAGAGGCTATCGGGAAAGAAATGACCAAGAGGCACGTGCCTAAATATGTGTTTGAGACTCCCGAGATACCCGTAAGCTAAAAAGACCCTTCTTGGTGTCTTTATTACACTTACTAACTTGGGAACAGACTACGGTTAATCTCAAAAAGGTTGAGCTGCCGGTGAAGCAGATCGTGTCAGGCCAAATAATCAAGCCAAGCGGCACACTGCTCAACCCCAAAAGTTTAGATTACTATTACAAGTTTGCCAAGGTTGAAGAGCTAACCAATCCTAGAGCAAAGCTATAACGAAATATTATACGCTTGCCTAGGTACATATATCAACGTGAATCTACGGTGGTAGTAGGTCATCGCCATTAATGGACCGGGAGATGATATTTGACGGGGTATTTTTTAGTATTCAATTTGTAGTAAAATTGGATTGAGCAGCTTGACGATGAATTTTCAACGGAATCGTATAATCTCTAGGTTACGAGATATTGGATAACAGTACCTAAAGAAATGTGTGCTATACATAAATCAACCTAGGCATAAAGATTTGGAATCTATAGGGCTGGAGTACTTTTTGGTATCGTGAACAGTTTGAAATGGTGTAACATATCTACCTAGGTACGAAGTACCTACCGGCATTTGATGAGTGCACATTTCTCAGACTACCAACTTAATAGCTTAGTAATAGCTCGATGCCCTAGTGAGTTCGCTCAACTCTATCTTACTTCTAGACGTAGGTTATCGTTAAGGTTTAGCCGCAAACCAATTTGGCTCTAGTATCATGATCAAGGAACTCAAAAAATAAGGTTACATCCATCAAATTGAAGGTCAACGGCCAGTTCCTCCTTCAGATTTCATAGATGTAGCTATGACTTCTGATTGACACTTCCTTTTATCTAATAAGAAAGACAAAGCACTTAACCGAGGTAGTCAACTTACATAATGCAACAAGTCCGGAAACATTCAGCTTCAAAGGAACGAACTGATGTCTCATGACAGTTCATATCTAGGTAAATCCCGGCTTAGAATAGGGGTGTCAGCTGTCCCTGCAAGTACATATCTTTCCGAATGTCTCTTTTCAGCGCCAACAAAAACGCCCCCTACATACTACTCAGGTAGCTCCCAAAGATACGTGTAAGTCATTGACACCCATCATTCAATGTTGCGTGTGTGGAGATTCCGGCCGGGGGTCTAGTTACCTATCGTTATCGGTGAGGTAGGATGTAGGTACCCCTCGCAACTCGGTAGTGATTATGAGATACTATGATAATTATCATTCACCTTGTCACTCTAGTTCAAATAGGTATTCTTCCATTCAGGAGCAGTCCAATCTCCATATCCTGAGCTTTGATTATTTATGTATGTAGGTAGATATTCTAAGGTATGCATTACCTGCCTGGGAAGATTTAGTACCTCATACATCGTATATTACGAACGGCAGGAACCTAAAACGATAGGTGCCACTCTAGCGAGTCTTAAAACCAATCAGCGTCAATTTACCAAAGCGCTTCCTGCCATAGCTTGTAGGAATGCGTGATGTCTTATCAAATTAGCACAGCATATTAATACATGCAGCAATTACAGCACAGGTACCATAGTACAGTGTAGGGGAATCCACTTTCCACCTACGTGTACCTACTAAGTACGCACTATGAAGTAACTAGCACGCCTAAGCACGGGATTGTGTAGGCTCAACTGTAGGCCATCGATACGTAGGTACAAGGGCATGCATCCACTTTTGTATGCAGCATCCGCCTCCCCTTCCACATCCATTCATTCATCCACCCTATGGATTGCCACATACATTACTACGACGTATGTACCTGCCTACCTAACCCACCAACTAAACAACTACCTAACTGTGTTGATGGTGAACTGTGAACTGTGAAATCTTAACCCCAAACAACAACATCCTTCGAAACCTGAACCCATCAAACTTCGCATTGTTTACCTCGACCTCGTCGTGCACAATCGCCAACTGACGGTCCTAAGGTTAGACTCGTTTCGACTTGTATCGTTGGCCTTCTCGAGCATAACCTACGTACTGGTCAATCACATCACACGTCATATATGTGTCTCGATGTAGATAGAGGCAATCGATCACTTGACAGTTGGAAATCTTGGGAACTTGGGGATACCGGACATCCATTCTTCCCGAATACTAGGCACCGAATACCGAATACTGTACAAGACTCGAGAAAGATCGGTGATAGTACAAACTTGTAATCCGGAAGTTTAGATTCAACCTTAGGTTTACGACCCACACATGACATGAAGTCAGCCATCTTAACGGGCCATCCGTACCGAAAGTTGTCATCCAAGCTTAATTACAACGTCGCCTCCCAGCCATTACTACTTTCCCTCTTCAGTTCACACATACAATCACTAGAACAACCACTGGAACCGCCCGCCCCGCGCACATACATCGACATCGACCTACGTCAGATAGCCTTCAGTCATAGTTCTTATAACTAGTTCACTTCGACGGATAAACCGTACCATCCATCCTTTCGAGACTGCGGGTGTTTCTAGCCCGCGGTGACGAGTAACAAGTCGAAGTGGCAGACCAAACCCCCCAACCTTCATCCACCCCATCCGCCTCCGACCACCCATCCACGCCGCAACTCCCTCGACCTTCTTCCAACACAGTCCTCTCTGCCCCTGTAACATCTTCACCCCCCGCGAACCAAGTCCACTACACTCCGCCCTCCACCTCCGGTGTCGTCCCTGGTACTCAAGAACGCCTGACAGCTATTTCCTCGCAGCGCCAAGTTTTGGGAAGGAGGCAACGGACTCAAGACGATAATAACGACGACAACGATCCCGCCGGCTCTCAGTCGGAGCTTCAGGAAGCTTCAGCTTCCCGCGCCTTACCCGCAGACACTCCTAGGAGGAAACGCAGACGTGCCGACGGTAATATGTTGGCGGACGCAGACAGGCCGGTAGCATCTAATGGCACTTCGAGGCCTTACGCCAATGGGAAATCACATCAGAGGCCTTCAGTATCGGGCACCGCAAATGGAACTAGCAAGGCAGTCAATGGCTCCTCTAAAGCTAGACAGTCGGAGACGTATTTCGGCCATGATCGCGAAGAGGTCACGAGGTTGCTTATACAGGCACTCTCAGACATGGGTTATCAATCTGCAGCGCAGAGCGTGAGCCAAGAGAGCGGGTTCGAGCTAGAAAGTCCGATGGTTGCCGCATTTAGGAACGCCATACTCGACGGAGATTGGGCCGAAGCAGAGCAGCTGCTTTCCGGGGCGATATTCTCTGGTGATCGAGTTGGTGATAACGGCAATGGGTTGGTCTTAGCAAATGGCGCAGACAGGCAGATGATGCGATTCTGGATACGCCAACAGAAGTTCCTAGAATATCTAGAGCAAAGACAAACTGCTCGCGCTCTAGTAGTACTCCGGACTGAGCTCACTCCATTATATCAAGATACGCAGAAGCTTCATTTTCTGTCTAGCTTGCTCATGTGTCAAAAGACAGAAGATTTGAAATCGAAGGCAGAATGGGATGGTGCATACGGGAAATCTCGGCACACTCTCCTATCTCAATTGTCGAGTAAGTTCACCAAGGTATTCTAATTATTCATCTAGGGGCTAATTCGCTCATTCTTTTCGCAGAATGCATTTCGCCATCGGTCATGCTTCCAGAACACCGCTTAGCCATACTGTTACACCAAGTTAAAGCAAACCAAGTTGGAGGATGTCTATGGCACTCCTGTGCTGCATCTCCCTCCTTATACGCAGATCACGTGTGTGAACGACAACAATTTCCAACTGAAAATGTTTATGAACTAGACGAGCACGACGAACAAGTCTGGCAGGTTGTCTTTTCTCACGATGGGACAAAATTAGCCAGCTGCGGCCAGGGTAAACAAGTCATCATTTGGGATGTTCCCTCTTTTACGCCACTCCATTATCTTAGGGATCACGACGATGGGGTTGGAAATGTCGCCTGGAGTTGGGACGATTCAATGATTGTCACGTGTTGTCAGGACCGACATGCAAGATTATGGGATGCTAATGTAAGTCGAAAAATACGCCTTGAAGAGTTCTAGCTAATAGGTTTAGACGGGTGTATGCCTTCAAAAACTTGAACGGTGTCAAGAGCCTGTTACGAGTTGCGTATGGGCTGCAGATGGCCAGACTTTCGTCACCGGCGCTCTTGATAAAACCAACGGCCTCGTTCAGTGGAATCTTTCCGGAGAAAAAGTGTATGACTGGAATAGCTCCCACAGAGTCGAGGATTTGGCTATCTCGCCAGACGGACACTGGTTGGTTGCATCTGATGGAGGAACCAATGTTCACGTCTACAATTTCGTCACGCGCGAACTAGAGTATCAGATGGACCTTCAAGTGAGGTTGACATCTATCAGTATCAGCCAAAACTCGCGACATCTACTGGTAAACCATAATAACGGCATTGCGCAACTCATCGATCTAATCCTACGTGAGCCGGTTCAAAGTTATACGGGTTTTACTAGCGAAAAGTTCATGATCAGAAGTGCATTTGGAGGAGCTGATGAGAGTTTCGTAATTAGCGGAAGCGAAGGTGAGTCCATAGGCGCGTACCGATGCCTGATCTCGACTAACTAGGATGACAGACGGCTCAATTAACATATGGCATAAAACCAGCGCCCAGTTGGTCGAGAAGCTTAATGGACACATTCCGGGGTGTAACTCTGTGTCGTGGAATCCAGCTGATCCATGCCTATTTGCTTCCTGTGGGGACGACGGCAAGATTAAGATGTGCGTGCTCTTTTCATATTTTCATATCAGATATCCCTTTCAAACCGGAATGCTAACTTTGCTCTAGATGGTCCAACAACAGCCGGCGTTCCCAGTACCGTAATATGAACCGGGGAGTGGACGGCTCTTCATAAACTCTAACGCGATTTTAATTTCTGATACTTGCATGGGACTGGCGTATTGGATGACGGTAGCATGGCGCTTCTCATCTCTAACATGTCTCAACTCTCGACAGACGCAGACAAGGAGCGACTACCTCCGGGAGATATCGTCCTGATAGAGTATATGGTCTGTATTGTCACAACAGAGTAGCTTCGGTCTGCAGAGACAATTGGGAAGTGGGAGTCGGTTGCGTCTTTTTATCATTCAGATGATAGACTTGTGAGCCGAGGATGGCATTGTATATCCGCGGGGGTCATGTACAGGTAACCCATCTCGTATCAGACGCAGTGATAAGCTGTGGCTTCATCCAGAAGACAGCTGCGCCTGGTTGTAGTTGATTCAAGCAAACCGTTTAAATATGCACCATATCTGATGCACCACGCTCTGTGATTATTAATTACCTTACCTTGATCGTAATGTTTTTTGGATGTGACTTAATAGGGGTATCTTTTATTCTGGAGTCTGTTTTGCTATGCATCTTACGATACCTAATCAAATGCTTACCTAGTTGAAGGTATGAAGGTTAGGCACCAACAAAATGCTCTCCATAGAAATATAATCTTGTCGTCATTATGTTGGCTTATAGCTGACGCACGCTTGTCAGGCAGCATAATAACTTAATTACCTACGCCGCACTTAATATCATCCATTATGAAGCTATATCCGTTATCAGTCTACCTATTTGATGTGGCTTGATAACGTATCCATAAAGATCCGTTAATGCACGGACCTGTCGATTAGGCTGACATTAACAGATCCCTGTCCTAGTCACATGCCACCTGTGGCTCATGTCTTGATAGGGACAAGGTTGGGTGAGTGCTACGTAAGGTACCTACGTACTTGTAAGGTCGACAAGTGCCACCCGCGTTGCGACTGGCGATTTGATAAATGTTCCCTAACCCAAATGATTCCCAGAGTTTCCTTCTTTTACCAAAAATAACGATATTTCCACATTTCCGTATTTCCATACCCCTTTGCAATTTTACATTTGTGGACTGAGTTCACCTGTGATTAATACGGCTCTAGCTTCTCCCCTCGGACTGGAAAGCGAGACTTGCAAGCTCCACCGACATTTTCCAACCTTGGAACTTTGAAACCCGAGACTATCTGGTCAGGCCAAACACCCACAAAGTCTAGTCTTGAATCCGAATACATACTTGGACAGTGATAGTAAAAATGGCCGATTCGCTGAGTACACCGGGAGGCATCTCAGATCCTGCTCTCATCAAGTATGTGTTGCTGCGTGCCACATTCGTCTGTGCGCATGGTCTGGTAGCTAACACCAAAAACTCTATAGGCTCGTCAACCGGCTTCAGGATGTCTTTACCACGGTTGGCGTCAACAACCCGATCGATCTACCGCAAATAGTTGTCGTCGGAAGTCAGTCTAGCGGCAAGAGTTCCGTGCTGGAGAACATCGTCGGACGAGACTTGTAAATCACCCTTCATCCCCTCATCCCCCTTACCCCTGAGTTCCCTCTGCGTCATCTAAGCTGACTCACTACTTTTGAATAGCTTACCTCGAGGATCCGGTATCGTAACAAGACGACCCCTCATTCTACAGCTTATCAACCGGCCTGCGACGTCCCAAACGAACGGGGTTAGCGAGGGGATCGATAACGCTACCGACAAGGCAGCGAATGTAGACGAGTGGGGAGAGTTCTTGCACATTCCAGGCCAAAAATTCTACGATTTTAACAAGATCCGGGATGAGATTAGCAGGGAAACGGAGGCCAAGGTCGGCCGCAATGCCGGCATCTCTCCCGCGCCTATCAACCTAAGAGTCTACTCCCCCAACGTCCTGACCTTGACGCTCGTCGACTTGCCTGGTCTAACGAAAGTACCTGTGGGCGATCAGCCGAGGGATATCGAACGACAAATCAAAGATATGGTCCTCAAATATATCCAAAAGTCGAATGCCATCATCTTGGCAGTCACCTCCGCCAACATCGATTTGGCTAATTCGGATGGTCTAAAGCTCGCCAGAGAGGTAGATCCCGAAGGACAGAGAACCATCGGTGTTCTGACTAAGGTAGATCTGATGGACGAGGGCACAGATGTTGTGGATATTCTGGCTGGACGCATTATTCCCCTTCGACTTGGATATGTGCCCGTTGTTAACAGAGGACAACGGGATATCGACAACAAGAAGCCTATCTCAGCATCCCTCGAATCAGAGAAGAACTACTTCGAGAACCACAAGGCTTACCGAAACAAGAGCTCGTACTGTGGTACTCCTTATCTGGCAAGGAAGCTGAACCTCATTTTGATGATGCACATCAAACAGACTCTACCCGATATTAAAGCTAGAATTTCCAGTTCGCTGCAGAAGTACTCCGCTGAGCTCGAAAGTCTGGGTCCGTCAATGTTGGGCAACAGCGCAAACATCATCTTAAACATCATCACCGAATTTACAAACGAGTGGCGAACTGTTCTAGAGGGAAACAACGGCGAGCTGTCCAGCACGGAACTCTCCGGTGGTGCCCGAATTAGCTTCGTATTCCACGAGTTGTATTCAAACGGCGTTAAGGCGGTGGATCCCTTCGATGTTGTCAAGGATGTCGACATTCGAACGATATTGTACAACTCCTCTGGTTCCTCTCCTGCGCTTTTCGTTGGGACAACCGCATTCGAAGTGATCGTCAAGCAGCAAATCAAGCGATTAGAGGAGCCTAGTCTCAAGTGTGTCTCGCTCGTTTATGACGAGTTAGTACGCATCTTGACTCAGCTTCTCACCAAAGCACTATATAGGAGATATCCCCAACTAAAGGAGAAGTTCCACAACGTCGTCATCACCTTTTTCAAGAAGTCCATGGAACCTACCAACAAGCTTGTCCGGGATCTTGTTGCCATGGAAGCTTGCTACATCAACACGGCCCACCCCGACTTCCTTAATGGGCATCGAGCAATGGCCATAGTCAACGAGCGATACAACGGAGCAAAGCCAGTTCAAGTTGACCCGAAGACCGGAAAACCTTTGCCGGCGTCAGCTACTCCCGCTCGCGCTGCTAGTCCCTCTTTGGATGGTAACCTCGACAACAACACGGGCTTTTTCGGAAGTTTCTTCGCCGCCAAGAACAAGAAGAAGGCTGCTGCCATGGAGGCTCCTCCACCGACACTAAAGGCCTCTGGAACTCTTTCCGAGAGAGAAAACATTGAAGTCGAAGTTATTAGTAAGTCCAACCAAAAAAAAAAAAATCCCGTCTCAAACGCTATATTAACATGTTATAACAGAGCTATTAATCGCTTCGTACTTCAACATTGTCAAGAGAACTATGATCGATATGGTCCCTAAGGCTATCATGCTGAACCTTGTCCAGTAAGTATAAATGCTAGTTCGGGGTGTTGGTAAATGTTAATTCAAGTTATAGGTTCACGAAGGATGAGATGCAACGAGAACTGCTGGAAAACATGTACCGAAACGAGACTCTAGATGACCTCTTGAAGGAGAGCGACTACACTATCCGCCGACGAAAGGAATGCCAGCAAATGGTTGAGTCTCTTGGTAAGGCCAGCGAGATTGTCAGCCAAGTTCAGTAGTGAATAGGATGGGTATCAGCCCCTGGGGATCAGATCTTTTGATCAGATAGGCATGGTGGCTACGGCGCCGAGCGCCGAGGAAGAACACCAAGCCATCATTGAGTGTAATGCTTTGTTGGTAGTAAGAATTGGGTCGTGTTGAGTACATCTGCCCCCTTTTCATCCACTTTATGAAACTCCTTTAGTCACGTCATACCCAACCCCTTAGACATGTCGTCGGTAGATGAGAATAGCATTCCATAAAAACGGAATAGTTAATGTATCTAAAATGAAAAATTCCTTTACTAGTGAGTTTTTTAATCGCCTTTCGATTGCGTGATATCCGGGGTATTCTTCCCCATCTAATTTCCAGTTTGAGGGTCAATAAGCTTGCGGCGTAAACGCCTACTGGCCGAGATTCTGGGTAGGAAATCATGTTCTAGGATTGCGTTCACCGACGTTCGTGTCAAGTCGATGCTAATAGTTTTCTAATCACCGCCCCTCCTCGCACCTGCAATCGAGTAAAGGAAGAGCAAGTTATTTGGCGAGATCGAGTCACCGCTTCGATCAACCGGAACAATGAATCCGGGACGTGAGGAAAGGCTATGCCGCGCAGAACCAGATATCTTCCTTGGACTCGCTAACGGGTAACCTACATCGCGAGCCAGCACTAGAAGCGAGGACCTTTTTCTCCATGATATGATATCTGACACTGACACAGTCCGGCATCCCGCACCCGAAGCGCCGTTCCTTGCCCATCCCGCGCTCGCTCGCCCGCCCTACACGCCATCTTTAGATAACACGAAGCCGGATTCGCGGTTCGCCTTCTACGGCCCGATCGTAGGACGTGGATACTTAGCTAGGTATGCCCACCTACCTACCTACGTATATATATGTACGTATTTATATGTACATATGAAGGATTAAGATAAGATATCTGAGATCTGACGGGGGTTTTATTTTAAGGATTTTGGGGGTTGGGGCGCGGGGAATTGTCAGTCGATATGTAAGAATATCGAACGGGGATGGGCGTCCATGTTCAAAAAAGGGGGCTCGGTCTAGCCCGTCCCCCCTTACCTTTCTCTCACCTACCTTACATACATAGGTAGGTAAGTAGAGCCACGCATGAAGACGCCTTTTTAGTCTACCCGGCAGAGTGGCCTGAGCCGAGAAATAAATAAACAAATAAAAAGAAGATAACGCGGCTCATGCCGTAGCTTGCTTTATATTCCATATGTTTTTAGATCGGCTTCTGATGCGATTGGAAGAAGCAAAAAGGGGGAACCTGGTGGTTATGTACGGACTTAGGTAAAAGGAGGTTAGACGTGGTGGGAATAGGCGGGCCGCATATGTTGCTTTGGGGGCCACCCGTTCGAATCGTATGTAAGCGCACACCGAAAAGCACGTATTGGAACCCCGTAAATTCGAAGGACCCCTGAAAGAAGAAAAATTAAGCGTTGCATGGGTGTTTTGACGAGGGATAGGCGGTCAAGCAAAGTTAAAGCAGAACAGAGCAGAGCAAGCTTGGTTTATCGTTATTATTATTATTTTCAAAACTTCCTCTTACATAACCAATGTACCGGAAGGAGATCTGTCTCCTCGAGGAAGAAACCGGGAGTTAATATTTACGTGTACATGACGAGCCACGCACAGGTAACGACCTAATGTACTGTATATCCGTTGTTGAAGGCGGTGACACAAGAGATAGAATAAAATTGAATGAATAATAATGTTGGGGCTTCTTGGCTGACCTAAGTGAATGTATACATATACATACTGTTGGCTGTCCTGCCTCATTCTCGGCCGTTTCTCGTTTAGAAATCTCGAAAATCGTGGATCAACTTACCATTACATATATTTGGGTATAGGCTTCGAAGACTCGTCCTTTTCGACTAGCGCTCTGCGTCTCTGTCTGTATCCGGGAAGCTTTCTGCCTCGAACAAAAGACAATCTGACCATTCCGTCTTACTCATCTTGCTTCTCATAGCGGGACTTCTCAATATGGAAGACAAGTCCAGAAGCGATCCTCCGTCTCCTCCACCGCCGCCACCGCCAAGTCCAAGCAAGACATCATGAGTTAGATATTGGATTGGTGCTGTATATTTAGACACACTTGGGGTGAGATTCTCGTACCCCATAAGAACCTCTGGACAGACGAACTTATGATTACTATAAAACCAGTTCCTTGCCAGCGGTGCCCTTGAGGTTGTCGATTAGAAAGAGCCTGTGGTATACTCCCGAGGCAGGTAGACATATGTAAAGAACCAAATCCTTCGAGTAGCTTGATGGCAGTAAATGGGACTCTGGGTTGCATTTGGGACGATGGCAAGAATTCGGTCGGAAGGAATCCTGGCAAGGAAAAGGATAAAAGGCGTTAAAAAAGTGCATGGTTAGGTTGGAATGGGGTATTCTTCGTCCTAGATTTATCCTTCTGGTGTGGCCACCTATAAATTCGACTTAGGCTTCAACACGACGCCTCCATTTTTAATATCAAAGTCTTTTCCCTTCGTCCAGCCAAACCAATTGCTCAAAGCGTGCTCGCCACCTTGGCCCGGAGACAGAAGCTGACCAACGTAACCATCTCCGGGAACTCCGGGACCTTGACCATGGACACTTGGATCGACACCCTTCCCGCCAACTGCTAAACAGGGCGTTTCGCGTAACGTCACCGCTGGACGTTGGTCGCCCTCGCGGCTGACGTCCGCTTCTAACTCGGAATATTCTAGAATAGGAGTGCAGCATGCGTCAGTGCCGTCGAAGATCTCTTCCCACTCCGAGCGTGTTCTGGACTTAAAAATGGTCTCGAATGTCCGTCTCATTTCCGGCCAGAACTCTCGGTCAAGCCGCCGACCTTCCCAGTTCCGGTTACTTAACGCTAAACCTTTGAGAAGGGCTGCATAAAATTGTGGCTCTAGAGCTCCCACGGCCACATACTTACCATCCTTGGTTTCATACGTATCGTAATATGGGCAGCCCCCATCTAGTAGGTTCTGCCCACGCGGATGGTCACCCATCGGGGTTTTCAAACTTTGTCGAGTAAAGGTCGCCAAATAATTGGCACCGTCTACCATGTTTGCCTCGACGACTTGACCTTCTCCTGTTTTCTCTCTAGCTATGACGGCAAGAAGAATACCTTGGAATAATGTAGCACCTCCTCCTGCAAAATCTCCCAGGATATTGGTAGGCGGGTGCGGTTTATCGCCACTTCTGCCTAGTCGGGAAAGTACCCCGGACACGGCAAGGTAATTGATGTCGTGGCCGGCCATCGATGCGTATCGACCATCTCGGCGGAAGCCTGTCATACGGCCGTATATCAGACGGGGGTTGATGGCGCGCAAGACTTCCGGACCAATGCCGAGCTTTTCCAGCACTCCCGGGCGGAAAGGATCGATTATGACGTCGGCACTCTTAGCTAATTTTTTAATAACGTCAACACCATCTGGCGACTTCAGATTGATGGCTATAGAAGATTTGTGTCTTGTGAGCAGATCGCCTGTCGACACAGCTGGAGAGCTAGGTGTATGACGATCTACGCGAAGTACATTGGCGCCGGCGTCAGCGAGAAGCAAACCGGCAAAAGGTCCTGTTGATGAGTCAGTACAATAACCGTAATATTCTCATTGGGGCACAACCTACCAGGAGCGAGCCCAGCAAATTCCAGGACCTTGAGTCCCTGGAGTGGCGGTGGTCCGACCATTTGGGAAGTTAAACCGCCTTAAATGTAATAAAAGATTTTGCTGATATCCTTCTCTATATGAGACATTAATTCTCAATAATGATATATGAACACTACATATTTGAGTGGTCATGCAAGGTTTTGACTTGCTTGATATAGAGCCATAGCTAATGATAGATGTTGAGAGTTCCAGTCATATTGAACGCGGAGAGCCGAGGCATATCGCGGATCACAGTGCGAAGTCAATTATACCCAGCACTGTCGTATACCCCTAATTCTTTCCTGGGCCTTTCTTCTTGCTTGGATTCTCAGAAACCAGGCCAGCTTTAACAAACGCATCTCTCGCAGTTTGATTGATTAGAGCAAATCGGCGTGGACCTAGTTTATGGCCGCCGTACCACCGAGTGACAATCACCATCACATCCCAGAGCTCCATAAGCTGCATGAGATGTAGCAGCCGTCCTCCGGCAGCAGTTTCACCATCATCATCGCAATCTTGAAATGTGGTGTTATTCGGGCCCTTTATACGCCACGCTGTAATATTATGCGTGGCGCTTCGGACTTTCTTATCACTGGCGAGAAGATGCTGAACAAAAGCCTCGGCCTCTTCAGTTGATGAGACGGGCGCGCACCTGGCGACGAAAACTGATTTTAACTCAACGAAAGGATCTGATATAATCCAGGGTGGTTCCGGTATATTAGACACATCTGCATGCATCGTGGTTTTACCTGTAGGCGGAGCATCCGCAGCATCTTCAGGGGTTGCATCTCCGTCTTGGACTTCCTGCTCTTCTGGAGCTGAAGACTCTAGAAGTCGAGCCAGCTCTTCTATGGCATCGAAGAGACAGACATCCCCTGGCTGATAAACGGTGCTTAATGCCTGGACGAATAATGATAATTCCCGGGCAGCATCACCACGCTTCCCAGAATCGCCGGTACTATTAGTACCTAGCACAACGGGAGGCACTGCAGGATAGGTAGGGGGAAACTCGATACGAAGAGATGCTGACTCTCCGGGTGGTTTCAGGACGTACACATTGGGATCGTTCGAAGGGACCAAGCATCCGTCACCATAAATTGAGTTGATTGCCTCGAGTTCGTCTCGAAGCTCTTCAGACATTGCACGGCCTTTTCGTTTGTGCGACTTGTGATGTGGCCAAATTCCGCTATGGTTTAGGAGAAGTGTGTCCAACAACATAAAATAAATAAAAATGGGTGACCAAGGTACCCAAGTACCTGTAGAATCCACATACATGTACCCCTCCAAACGCACCTGCAGTGTTTTGAATCGACTTATGTAAGACTTTAACTCTATTTATCACTTGCAGGGGCCCACTTTAGCTTAATGTTCTAGCGGCTAGCTGATGGAAGGGCTCAGAAACCCCACGCCGTTTAGCCCCTCCAACCCTCCATCTCCAACGACGTAAGCTCCGAATGGCCGACAGGCATTCTTTCTACATAGTAAACGCCGCTTCGAGCAACTACAACCTAACATTGAATTCACCATTCTCAACTTCATGAGTCTTTTTTGGCTCTAAAAAGTCGGATTTCTTTTCGCCTCCTTCTTTCATATTCTTTCATTCTTTCAATCTCTCCTTCTCTCCTTTGGCTCTCCAGTCGCTTCAATATTTTCCTGGAAATTTCCAAGTATTTTCCATAGCTTTCTGCCGACGTCGTCACTTGAGCTGCCGAGGAGGATGGCATCTGCTATAGAGCAGGCCACAGCCTTCAAAAATGACGGAAACAAAGCTTTCGCTGCCCATGATTGGCTTAAAGCAATCGATCTCTATACCAAGGCTATCGAATTAAACGATAAAGAGCCAACATATTTCACAAATAGAGCACAGGTTTGTGGAGCCTCACTCCGGGTCGACTGCTCGCGTGACTAACTGGAACCCGAATCTTAGGCCCATATTAAGTCAGAGGCTTTTGGATATGCTATCGCCGATGCTACAAAGGCTATAGAGCTGAATCCGAAGCTCATAAAGGTATTGTCTCCCAACATGGACTACCATCCTTCAATACAAACTAAACTGGCGGGTATTAGGCCTATTTCCGCCGTGCTGTTGCTTACGCTGCCATCCTCAAACCCAAAGACGCCGTCAAGGATTTTAAGAAATGTGTCGAACTCGACCCATCCAACAAAGATGCTAGACTGAAGCTAGCCGAGTGCCAAAAGATTGTGCGGCAACTAAACTTCTATGCGGCTATCGAAGTTGGAGATGAGCCGTCTGCGGCCGAGGGTCTTGACATTGACTCTATTGCTATAGAGCCAGACTATGACGGAGTGAAACTTGGCGATCAGATGACCCAAGAGTTCGTCGACGACATGATCGAGAGGTTTAAGAACGGCAAGAAGCTCCACAAGAAATATGTCTACCAGATTGTTATTGCGGTCAAGAAGATCGTGTACGACGAGCCAACGATGGTAGAAATGACCATTCCCGATGATGTCAAACTCACGGTTTGCGGTGACACACATGGTTGGTCTAGAAAAGCTATGCGCACTGGACTATAACTAACATTTTCGTAGGACAATACTTCGACTTGATGGAGCTCTTCAGGTTAAATGGTCGGCCAACTGAGAAGCACTGGTACCTATTCAATGGAGATTTCGTAGATCGAGGATCTTGGTCGACGGAGATCGCCCTACTTTTGTATGCCTATAAATGGCTGCGGCCGAATGCCATGTTCCTCAACAGAGGAAACCACGAAACCGATGATATGAACAAAGTCTACGGCTTCGAGGGCGAATGCAAGGCCAAGTACAACGACCGGTATGCTTTAATTTGCTCTTTCAATATGATTTCCAAATTCTGACGAGTTTTTAGAGTCTTCAAGTTATTCTCCGAAAGCTTTTCCGCGTTACCGCTGGCCACGCTCATCGGCTCCAAGTATCTCGTCCTGCACGGTGGTCTGTTCTCGGATGACAACGTTACTTTGGATGACATTCGAAAGGTGGATAGACATTCTCAGAGGCAACCTGGTCAAGCCGGACTGATGATGGAGATGCTGTGGACAGACCCGCAGAAAGCTCCTGGACGAGGTCCTAGCAAGAGAGGCGTGGGTATGCAGTTCGGTCCAGACGTAACAAGGAGATTCTGCGAGAAGAACGGCTTAGATGCTATCATTCGAAGTCACGAAGTTCGTATGGATGGTTACGAGGAGGAACACGACGGGAAATGCATCACAGGTAAGTCGGTCCAATCAGCCATTTTGTCGGTCTTATTTTGCTAATTCGTTTGAAGTCTTCTCGGCACCCAAGTATTGTGACCAGACCGAGAACCGCGGCGCGTATATCAACATTGGACCTGATTATAAGCTCAGCTTCAACCAGTTTGACGCCGTTCCTCATCCGCCAATACGGCCGATGGTAAGTTCTTCTTATCCCAACTAGAAACGTAGATACATCAGCCTAACCGTCTTTTAGGCATATGCCAATAACTCGCTCATGTCGATGATGTGAAGAGTGAATTCAATTTGCGTATTTCCACATGCTGAGCTTCTATCAATGGTGGCATATCATGGGCATTTTTGCATATATGGCACTTCATGGTCATGGAAGCATGGGCGTTGCGGGGATATAGGAGAGGAAACGGGACTCTATACCATATTGGCGATACCAATGAAAAATGAACTTTTAGCACATTTCATTTCTCAGCGTATTGGTGACTTGGTCTCAAACTTCAACCACTCCAGATCTTGTCTTCTCCGGCTCTACCAACCAAGGCACCAAGCCAGTCGGAGCATCCTCGTATTCGAAATGAAGAATGGATCCCGTCCTGGTATGAGCCTTGCCAGGCTGTAATAGCTGCCGAAAATGCTCCTAGATCATCTCGTGGTACTCTCAACCAGCAGTCCTTGCCCTCTACCTTGAGGATATCCAGGGGAATTCCGACACCCGTAGCGCCTAGAAACTGCTTCAGGGCGGATGTACAGTAGGACCGTACTTGAAGAGCATCAAGATCTTCAGCATCCGGTGAATCACTGAAAAGCTCGAGATGTGCATAGGAATAACGTGGTGCCTTGATTGTAGCAGTAACTAATTCGTGAGCCTTTTTCACCTTTGGTGCACTCGAGGTGCCCTCCATTGATATGTCGGCTTGTTCAGTCATGTTGGTCTTTGAGATTGACTGGTTTTTGCTGTGATAATGTATGCGATTAAGACTGGTCTCTATTCTGTAAATCAATTTAATATACGGATCTGCATCTGTATTTAAGTGCATATAGCATGTTTCTAATTGGTCTATCCAGATCTTAATATGAATTTAAGCACTATTCTGGAAATAGTGGATCTCTATGTGGTTGTAAACTTCGGATTGGGGAATAATTTTACTTAAACGTGTTTATGCACCGCCACACAACCCACCACTTCCAACAATTGACTCTTGAGTAAGAAACGCCACAGATTACCACCGCCACAATGGAGGGGTCCGCTCCAATTAAACAAGAGAGCTCTCCAGCTGACTCTGAGGTCAACATTTCTTTGATCCCGACCACCGAACAATTTCCTGAGTCGGAACAATCCGATTCTGACCAACAACTCGTTGAATCTGAGCAATCATCGCAGCCCGACTTCGACAATTCTAACTCCAACACCGACAACATGGCGTCTTCAGAAAGCCCTCTCGCGAATATGTACATTCCGAACAACCAGTGGCGCTATGCCCGTGCCTGTATGGTGTGTTCTATCATCATGACACAGGCTGTAGGTCTTCCCTTGCTTTCCACTCTCTCACTTCTCACCTACGCGTCGCGCTTCAATATACTAACCGTCAGCGCAGGACTTCCGTAACCGAGGTTGTCCCAACTGTCCCTTCCTCGACATGAAGGGCTCCCCCGAAGCGATTGAGAATTGCACGTCCAGCCAATTCAACGACGTTCACCTTGTCGTCCAACCCCAGTCCTCTTGGACCTCCAAGTGGATGCGTCTCAAGGACTTCGTCCCCGGCATTTATGCTATCAAGGTCAACGGCTCGTTGCCCGACGACGTCAAGCAGACGCTGCTTGAAGACAACCATGCCATCGTCCCGTAAGTCGTTCACTTCACACTCTCTAGCTTCCCTCTTTCTCGCCTCCGTCGTTTGTATCTTCGTGGTGGTTAAGAATCCATACTAATCCACGCTTCTTTGTACAGCCGCGACGGCTCCGCTCAAGACATCGACTAGGTTTCGGCTCAGGGCGCAACACAGACAGCGGGTGGTACCAAGGGCACTGGTACCAATGGCACTGGCTTATCACGCCAGGAACGACGACGCCGCGAGCGAGACAACAGTCGTCAGAAGCAGACTCCTGCCACCCCTGCCGCCTCGACCTCGACTTCGGCCTCGGCCTCGGCGGCTGCTGCAGCACTCCTCGCTCCGGCATCCACTACTTCGCAACGCCGCACCTAAGATAACCGCTTAGCGATCCAACTCGGCGGTGGAACGCAACCTGGAGCAAGGATGTGGCCCGGCTTTCGAGAAGGCTCCTTCTAGGCGTCCCGGTAATTCGGTTTTAGTCGTTTCAGTTGCATAGCACGGTGTTACAGGAAGGAATGCAGGGCTCAGATCTTTGCTATACCCCAAAATGGTTGATTTCTCCCTAGGAAAAGGGATTGACACGATATGGGAAAAAAGGTGGAAGGGCTCATAGTTGATTCGGATCACAGATTCATAAGGACTGACTACCTAAGTCGCTGTCATAATTGAGTTGCCTAAATTTTCCCCTATCTACTGTTTTCCCTGACTATTCTACCAAGTGCTATGCTAGCTAACCTTTTCTCCTTTTTATACTGTAGTCTTCTCATTTTTTTGCTCTAGGACAACTTAGATTCGGATTTAGATAAACCCCTTCTTCCTCATCCACACGGCCTCCGGTTCCTTTGAGAAGAACGAGGCGATGTTATCCGCCTTTCTGCGCTCGTTCTCCTCGTCGCTCCCGTCGCCTCCCATCGTGTAGCAGTCGATGATGTCCTCGATCTCCCGGTACAGTATGGTGTCCCGGGAGGGCGGTGCTTTCTCCTGCTTAACCGCGACTAGTTGGCTAAGCCGCCGCTCTTTGGGAGCAGGTCTTTGTGTTACGGGAGTAGCAAATTGGACATGCGCTTCTTTGTGCGCCGGGGCTGGCGCGTTACGCTGCTGCTGCTGCTGCCGGGGCGGCGGGGGCGGCGGCGGTTGTGGTTGCGATTGCGCTTGCAATTTCGATTGCTGGTGACCGCGGTCTATCCCGTACTCGTTCTCGCTCTCGCTCTCAGATTCGCTGCTGGTGACCGGCGACAACGACGCCGCCGAATCGGTCATCCAGGACCCCTCGCTGAGGCTGGGCGAATCGGCACGCGTCGCCGTCGAGGCGTGGGAGTAGCGCGAGTATCTGCTCACGTGCCGGCTTGCGCGGTTCGCGTACGGGTCCGGCCGGAAGGCGGACTTGAATATCGGCTTGAACTTGATTACCGTCGTCTTGCGCCGCGCTACCTTCGGCGACGGCGGCTCCCACCGCACGTCCTGGAACCCGATGTGTTGTTGGTGCTGATGATGCTGCTGCTGCTCCCCGTTGCTGTTGTTATTGTTGTTGTTGTTGCCTTTGCTGGGACCCGACGTGGAGGAGTTCGCAGGCGACAAAGGCTGCACCATGGCCGACTCGTGCTTGTACGCGAACTCGCGTGACGACATCCGCTTCCCCGCGTTGCTGCCAGCAGCAGCCTGCCCCTCGTCGTGGCTCCGGCGCGGGAGCGACGGCCTCGGCGAGTGCTGCTGGGACGGCCGACGGTTCTGCATCGGGCTCTGGTCCGAGCTCGCCGGCGTCGTCGGCGACGTCGGACTATTCGGTGTCGTCGGACTCCGCTGCTGAGCCAGTCCCTGCCCCTGTTGGGTCTGCTGCTGCTGCTGCTGCTGCTGCGCCCGCTTGCCCAACGGCGGCGGCTGCAGCTTGAAGCCGCTGACGCTGCTGAACTTGCTGTTGACCAGCTTCACGGACCCGCGCGGCGCCCGGTTCACCTTCACGTTCTCCGCCAGGCTGACCTTGGTCCCGCCCAGCGCCCTCAGCGCGTCCGCGTCGTCGCCGCGCGCCGGCACCGGCGGCACCGCTGTCGCTATCGCCGTCGCTACCCCGTGGTTCATGCTAGAAGAGTGCGGGCTCGTCCCCTTGCGCCCGAAGAAGGCGCTCTCGCGCGGACACAGCGTCTCGTGGCAGTCGCCGCACAGGTTATCCGCCTTCTCCTGCTCTGTGCGCAGGACGGCCGTGCAGCCCGGCCACGGGCACAGGCGCGGCAGCTCGTCCAAGTGGGTATCTGGGAAATACGCGTCCCGCTCCTCGGCGCCGCGCGGCGGCGGGGCGGGGGTCTTGGGCGAGGTCGGCGGCGAGTGCTGCGTGGTGGACCGTAGTAGCTCTGTTGTGGTGGCGTTCGGGTTGTGGTAGATGGAGTGCCGGTGCGTGTGCTCTGGGTTCGCGTCGCCGAGGGTCAGGTCCGAGGAGCAGTGTCTGCGCTTGTAGAGCGAGAGCGAGCCGTTGGATGAGCGGCGGTTGTCTGCTTCTGCTGAGGAGGGCGGTGGGGTTGGCGGGCCTGAGGAGGCGTGTGGGGTTGCGATGCGTGGGGGTGGTAAGGGTGATGGTGAGGGTAGCGGCGAATATTGGGGTTGGGCTTGGGTTTGGGGCACGGGGGAGGGTGACTTTTTCGGCTTTGGCGGCGAGGGCGCCTTGCGCGGTAACAGCAGGTGAGGTCGCGTCGTCGCGATGTGCCGCACGATCGGGCCCCGATCGAGGACGTCGTTCGAGCACTCGTTGTACACTTGTATGGTCCTCGCGCTAGGCGAGACGGGTGACATCACGGACTGAAGTTGAGACTGAGGTGGCTGCGGCGGAGCCTGAGGCTGGTGTTGGTACTGGAAATGGTCCTTCATGCTCGCGTTCTCCCTCGGCGGCTCTCTCGGCGGCTGCGGCCATTCGTGTCCCTCGAACATGGGAAACGCGGGCGACGCAGGAGAGGCCGAGCTCTTCCTGTGCTTGGGGCTCTTGGACGAGTAGCTGAAGTTGGGCAGGTCGGTCAGCTGCGACGAGGTCCGGCTCGCCGCTCGCTGTTCGTCGGCGCCGTAGTGGCCGCCAGTGTCGTAGTGGACGCCGGTGTTGTAGTGCGACTGGCTTCGCTCCTGCATCCGCTCGATCTCGGCGGCGTACTCGTCGTCCGAGAGGATCGTCTTGACCCGCTTGTCTTGGCTCGGCCGGTCCGGATGGTGCGTGCCCTGGTAATTGGCCGCGGCGACGGCGGCCCAGTCATCGTGGCCTTCGCCGAAGTCCAGCGACGACGATTTCTTTTTCTTTTTATTCCTCTCCTCTCGAATCTTCTGACGGAAGCTACCCAGGACCCGCGAGATGACGCTTCCGTTATTGCTGCTGCCGCTGCTGCTGAGCCGGTGCTTAGACCCTACCCGCCGTTCCTGGCCGGCGCCTTGGTCATGGTGGTGTTCCTGTATCATCTGCCGTTTAATTTCGTGCTTTATTGTTTTCTTTTCTTTTCTTCGCTGAAGCTTTGGTTTTCTCTTCTATATCGATGATATCAAGACGTCTAAATCAAATACAAAAAGATTTCGCTATGCTGTGCTATGCTATGTTATTAAGAGATGTTCTAGATGCTCATGAGTAGATAATCATTTCGTCAGTAACGTATGTCGGTGTCTATAGCGGAAAGTCAAAAATCGTTCTAAAGTTGTAGTCTTGCATTACGGGCATTAGCCTCAAGTCATTTATGACGGGATGCTTTTGTCAGGCAAAAAAAGTTCGATGTGAATAAATATTCCTTTGATTCGAGTCGGGCGTATGACGCTCCCCTTCGTCATAGCTCAGCCATTAGGGGCGCCGTGATTGTTATTGTGTCATTGTAATCCAGAAGGGGTTCACAATGAAGCTTTGTCACTCTCTTCTCTGCTTTCATAACCAACACATTGTGACTCGGTTCAAAGGAGGCTCAATCTATTATGATGATTCTGAACAAAGATTGCCATATGGGTATTGTTAGAGGATTAGGGGGTTGACATCTCTAGCCCATCATCGTTCTCGACTCCAAAAGCCATATAGATCTCGTCCTGGGGGTTTACTCCTGAGCGGTAACAATCCGGATATAATTTGACATTGTAATGGACTGGGCCGAAACCTGGTGATGCCGAAAGGTCATATTCTCTAGGGCATACACCCACCAACTAGATACATAGGTCAATGACTTAGAATATTTGCCTTACTTAGATATCGTGACTAGGGGCTAAAGAACACGATCCGGGATGTACGATGAAACGTTGCTTCTATAAGTGCATGAGTCAGTGAGCGGCTACCTAGTTAAGACGGTAGTAATCTGCTTGCCGACAGCATCATTTGATCACCATCTACAACTCCAATGTGTAACCCATTTCGTATTTATCTTATATCTATAAACCCATTGGGTTTGCCAATGGGTCGTCGGATGAATGAGTATAAGATTCTTTATTATAAGGCAAACACAGAAGCACGACTTATTGTTACACTCTAACGTGGCGCCCTATAAACCTGATTTATGAGTGAAATACATCATTCAAGTCCTACTGAGAAAATTGGTAATTATCATTATTCATAAATTCCAGTGGTATATTTATAGGGAATGTCTATGAGTAATAAGCAGATAGGCTATGTAGGGTAAGGGAGTCATTCCTCACTACCCAGGTTTTGACAAATTTAGGATTAAGACCCCCCAAAAGAAAACGCCGGCATGTGTGAAATTGTTTCTAATAGACGCGAAACCTCTTATGTATACGTGTATCATAAATTAACCGTTACTGTCATGTTATTGCTTAGAACAAGTAGTACTGGCGGAAGCTCGTGGCAGAGAACCTCGATATCGGTCAGATAGCCTAAACTCGCCTCCTCGCTCTGGCAAGTTCCCTCCTCAGGAATCGGTAGAGTCGTGAGAAGCACCGCCGTGTCACTGCTATATTGGCGCATAAGCTCATTAAGAATGAGATGCTGAGCTCGACTTGGCAAATCATTAAATGAAAGAGGGAGGCTTTGCGTTGAATACGTCGAGTGTGCCTCCTCATCTAAATGACGACCAGGATGATATGACGCCAACAGCTCTGGTAAATTAAACTGTACTTCCGAAGATCCCTCCTTTTTCGATGCGGAGTTCCTTCTGGATCTCAGCGGTGTCCCTGATGAGCTAGGCTCCGGCTCAGCAAATGTGAGTCGTGAGCCAATGCCATCTTCATTCTCATTCTCAACTTTTGTCTCAGGAACAGGGCGGCTAGAAAATCGACCAGTAGAAGCATTTCGTGATAGTGGTGGACGTCTAGCCCGGGATGGCTCCTCTTCTCTAGAGAACATAATCCTTGAGCTCTTGTCTCCTTCAACCAAATTTGTAGTCTCGGGTGTTGGTTTACTGGTAAATCGGGTCGCTGATGAGTGGCGTGAAAGCGCCGGTCTAGATGGTGATTTCGGCATAATAGGAGAAGTCTCACTTGGCTCTAATGTAGCGCTAAGGAGACCAGTAGAACTCCGCGATGTACTGATAGGAGGTGTTTGTGTTATAGACGACCCAATCGTCTGTGTTATTGTTCCATATCCTGACGATCTAGTCCCAGTCGAATACCCTGGTCGCTGGGTGCGAGGGTTTTCTGGATTCTTTAACGATCCTGCTCTGTACTTGAGATCTCCGTGACTTCTTCTCCGTCCTTGAAAAGCCAAGAAACTAGGTCTTTGGGGTGGATTTAAACCTTCACCACCATCGCTTGTCGCACTAGCAATGTCGTTGAAATCGACATCTTCGGATGCTATAGATTCGCCATCGTCATCGCTAAAGTCAGGAGAATTGTTTTCAGTTCGCCCACCAAAGGCGGAAGAGTTTAGTTGGTGAGTGTGAATACCAAAATTGACGCCCAACTTCGCAAATGTAGAAACTGTTGGCTGCTTGGATCTGTCTAGAAGCTCATTGACATCTAATCCCCTTGGCAAACTGCCGTGTGGGTCGGACTTAGACACCGAGCTGCCTCTGCGTCTATTAGCATTCAGCATATCCTCTAATGAGGCGAGTTCCTGCGATCGAGACATATCATGACTTTCAGTTCTCAACTTTTGTAGCTCCTGCCACCACTCATCATCCTTCAACAGCTCATTTACGATGTTCCCAAACTCAGAGCGAATTCCGCGACCATTAATGATAGCTTCGTAACTCTGAAGTTGCCCTGAGGCAAGCCAAGATACTCGGATTTCCGCATCTATACGTAGCTTGTCTAATAAGGCCTTGAGCCTTGCTTCTTCTTGTATAACTTCATTTTCATACTCAACGAATACTAGGACGCGCAGTTGATATGCCTTCTTCCAGGCGGGAACACTTTCTAGAATATATCCAAGTTGTAGAATTAAAGTATCTTCAACCACGTATTAGCTTCTCTTTCTTTCTATACCAAGTCTTAGGAGAAACTTACAGGTATCAAAGTTTGTTGTCCACACACTCTGATCACCATCAGTGATTTCAGCTGACATCTGGATCGGCCAGAGATCGATATACTTCTTCGTATTATTTCCACTGCGACGTGGGGTTTCTAGCGCTTGGAATCCTTTGCCAACGGCTACATTTAAACGATGACGGAGTGCAAGATCCTCTAATATTGTCAAATAGCTCGTAACGGACATCATGCCTTCCGTGCGGATAGTGTCAGTCGGGAGAAATCCATCTAGAAGTCGAGCAGACGTATCTCCGCGCCTGCGTCCTGGAACTTTCCCTTCAGCCTTGGTTTCAAATGTCGTTTGAGTAGGCGTACTAGGGACCTCGGGTATTTGAGCGAGTGGCCTAGATTTCCGTAGATCGTCCATGTTATAGAACCCTAAAATGGCGATATTGGGTCGCATGCCGCCCAGGCCAGCGGAAAGAATTAAATTTCGTACCCCCCATTCGATTGTCGGTGACATTGTTAGTTGGACAAAAGCTTTGATTCTCGAGAATTCCGATATATATCGAGTCCAAGCTGACTGCTGCAATCTTGCTTCGTGTACCCCTGAGTTGAAGTCATCTGTTACAATTACATGGCCTAATATGTACAAGGACCCTTTCTTTAAAGAGTTGCAGAACTGAATAAGCCTCGTGTGATGTCGAGGATCGTTGATTAGTAGTATGATCTGGGGTCTCCAGAACTTGATATGTTCAGGCTTTAGTCTCAACAGGTACTTTCGCACTTGGTGATATATCAAATTTTGAGAAACGTCGCCCCAGTGTTTCGGAGGACTTGTGTAATGAATGATAAGAAAGAGGAAGATGAGCACGCAAATTGCCGAAGCAGCGTATGTTTCATCGATGAAGAACATTGCGGCAGCGGAAAGAACGCTTCCCACAAATGCCGTGTGCCAACTAAAGAACTTGAACGCGGGACGAAAATTGGGGGCTGATCCTATCTTCAACAAGAAGCAAGCTAGGTTCATAACAAAGAACGTCATCTATTCCGAGACTTAGCAAATAGGACGCAGTATGTTATCGGTCTTCTCACCTGGTAACCCATGGATATGAAGGTCGCTATTTGATTTAAATCTGCGAATAGAGCAACTTGTGCAATGATGTAGGTGACCAGTACCGCAAGTATGGGGTCGTCTCGCTTATTTCCTTTTCCAAACACAAACAATCCTGGGAGAAGCCTGTCCCGCCCAAGTGCTTGAAGAAGTTTGGCGCCACCAACGATTCCCATCAAAGCTGAGAAGAATGTAGTGGCACACTCCCCAGCTAGAATCACCGGTGACCATAAACTTGTTGTAGAGATGATGTTCGTATCTCTGAGAAAAGAAGGGTGAGTAATGCTAGACGCCATCGACAATATTACGACCAAGTAGAGGACGAAGGTCGCTACCATCGCCCACAACGTCCCTTTCGGGATTGCTTTACTTGGATTTCGCAGATCGCCCGACATTGAAGCCCCAGCAAAGATACCTGATGTAGCACTAAAGAGTATGCCAAATAATTCCCTGAATGTTTCAAGGCCACGGTATGTTGGCCCGGCCGCGTGCGGGTACAAGTTGGAACGCATTGTGTCCAGGCTCCAGCCAGTGAATTCAATTCCAATTATGTCATCCTTGAATGGGCTTCTGGCGATGGTCGATATTGGAACACTTATAATAGCAACTATTAGTATAATAAGAAGAACACCACTTGCCTGGACAAAAAGAGCACGGCCAGCGAGACTGAGGCCTGTGCAGATGACAAGGGCTGCAGTTTGCATAGCATAGCTTTCCCAATAACCATGGGGGACAATACTCCCTAAGTTGAGTTTCAAGCAGTCTATCAGACCAACAATATTGAGTGATGTGTTCACGACCTGGGCAAGGTAGAACAAAATTCCAATAGAACCTCCAAACTCGGGACCAAGAGATCTTGAAATCAGATAATAAGCGCCACCCCCTTTTACTTCTCCATTCGAAGCTATGGCAGAGAGGGAAAGCGTGGTAATGAAGTCGACAATGTAAGCTACAACTAGTAAACCTATATGATTGTTCACATGTAAGACACCAAATTGTTGCGCAGTGTCTGTAGAACCTACCAAGCATCCCGAGCAGACCAATCCTACCCATTATTTTCCCGAAACGAAGGAACATGAGAATACTGATGATATTGAGGACGACGGGGACAAAGACGCCGGCAACGAGGCTAAGCTTGACTTTCTTGCTTGGCGGTGCTGGACCGCCATCCGTCTTATCTCCTCGAGATTCCGGAGGCATCTTGACTTATAGTTATCAAGAGTCTTTGGCAACTGCCTCAAGTTATAAAATCTTGAGATAGTATGGTGGTTCACGACAACGTCGTCTCTGTCCTAACCCGGGATATCTGAGTCCCACAGCGGAAATACTTATAAAAAATCATGGATAATGCTGGCGCGACCAAGCGCTTTGTCCTGGCAAGATACTATGTAATGACCCCGCTTGAGGTTGATCCCGAGAATGATAGCTAGGTAATATCTTCCAACGGGGAGGCAGGGATATAGAAGCATCAGGGAGCTAGCTACACTTGTTTTAGCCTTGTTTTACTCCCCACAAACCGTTTGAATCTGGGTTGGATGTTCATCCAATGACGTCGAGCAGCTGATCCAAGACGAGACATGCGTTTGCTCGTGGAGAGGAGTTAGGTAACTTTTACCAACGGCTATTTCGCATGAAGAAAACAGTAGTCTTGAATTTGGGACAGGGTTAAGCCGAATAGAGATCGAGATATGTAAGATTAAAAATGATATTGACTTTGTTCATATGTATAAAAGTTCTGGTGAAAGTCGGCTGAGTCGGGTATTTAATCCCCTATGAGGGAAGTAATTCGGCTATGCATAAATACATAACGTGTTTATATGCAAGACTATACTGTAGATCTCTACTGTGCAGCGGACCGAGATATTCCCATGCTTAGCTAAGTTTCTTAGCTAAGTTAGCTCCGTCAGACCCCAACCCCTGCGATAATTGGAGAATCTCCAATTGGCCGAGAAATCAAGAGGTACAGGTCCGTCCCGTGAAGGGCCTGGAAGCTGCAGCTGACCGACTTGGGTTAATTCTTCAGGGTCTGACTGATAAGAGCAAGAGCATCACGAGCGCCTGACTCGACTGTGTATGTACTGTCACTGTACTTCGGGCCACCAACAGTCGGTCTTAAGGCTCTTGAAAGACTCTCTAGCTAACCTTCTCTCTTTTGTGTCAATAGTCTCGTCAATTTCTACCTCTTCGCATCTTCTGGTGAGTCTAGATCAGGTTTTCTCGTTAGTTACGTTTTAGAACCCTTAGCGTTCTATCCACCATATCAATTCTTGTCTATTCATCATCCGACTCTCGCAATTGACTTTTTCCATTGCAACTGTGTAGTTCCAAACAGCTTCGCTTCCTTCTAGACGTCTTCATGTGCTTACTGTCAACCCATATAGAGCCTTACTCCGACGCGTCCGATATCTCAATGATTACTTCCTGCTAAACACTAATCATACTTAATCTAACCACCATAATGACGAACTCCGATCAAGAAAGAAGCACGACACCTCAGCCTGGAGGGCCTTTGGCTGTACCATTATCCTCTTCTCCAGGTTCGTTGAGGAGTAGAACGTATGGAACTTCGGTGCCGCGCGCTGATGTCACTGCTCGCCTCGCTTCCCCCGTGCCCTCTCAAATATTCGGAACTCCACCGATACAAAGGCCCCAGCCAACGAATAGGGATGACGAAGTTGCCGAGAACTCAGGACCTCTTGCGGGTGCTGGCCAAAGTTTCACTGGTCCCGGCGTGTCTGCTCTTGCTGCAGCTCTTTCAAATTCCGTAGGAGCCTCGCCCCCAAGATTTGGTACTCCGCCGATACGATCGTCGTCACCAGTCGGGACAGCTTCAGGTCTACAGCCGTCTATAACACCAACAAACTATGGTTCCTTCGAGGCGCGATCAAGACATTTACAAAGTGGTGGTACCGGTGCTTACGAAGACCCTGAAATTATCAAGAGGCATTTGGTCCAACCTACCGACACCGGAGACTCAGGATCTAACAATGGCGATAATTCAAAAGGCAAGCAAGTTGGCGAGGCCGCCGATCCTGGGCGCATTGATGACGAATTTTCGAGTTTGAGATTGCAGGGAGGAGACATAACACGCCAGATCTATCGATGGACCGAAGATGCCGAAGACCGAAGCCGTCATCAGCGTAGCAAGAGTTTCAGTCATGCCAGGGACGATCCTGAAAGCGATGTCCTCGATATAAATTCCATTAAGATCCCTGGCGGTTTTAGACGGAATTATCTTAGGCGAGCTGGCCAAAGCCCGTCCTTGGACCCGCAAAGAGTAGAAGCAGGTCAAAGCACTTCAAGGGGTAGACAGGATCCTCAGTTGTTCACTAACAGTTTCCTGGAGTTTTTGTCTATCTACGGCCACTTTGCAGGTGAAGAGCTTGAAGAGGATGACGAAGTTTTAGGACCTGGCGAGTATTTCTCCTCTGGAGAAAGTGAGGATTACTATGATAGCGAGGAGGAAAGAGAACCGATGGAAGACAGCGCCCTGCTGACACCGTCCAAGCGCAAGAGAAGAAGAAAGGTCAGAGGCGGCAGCGGCAACAATTCCCCTTTCAACGCCGCTTTACTTCTCCTAAAGTCGTTCGTTGGCACAGGAGTGTTGTTCTTACCCCGGGCCTACTTCAATGGTGGTATGATTTTCAGTAACCTAGTTCTGCTCTTCGTCGCGGCACTAAGCTACTACTGCTTCGTGCTGCTAGTCACCACACGGTTGAAAGTCGAAGGGTCTTTTGGTGATATCGGAGGTATCTTGTACGGCGATTGGATGAGAAAACTGATTCTATTTTCGATCGTCGTCAGTCAGATTGGATTTGTCGCAGCCTATATCGTATTCACGGCGGAAAATTTGCAAGCTTTTATCCTTGCTGTCTCTGACTGCAACACATATATTCAAGTCACTTACTTGATCTTGATGCAGATGATTATCTTCCTGCCATTCTCTCTGTTCCGGGACATCGGGAAACTTGGTTTCACAGCTTTAATAGCAGACGCTTTCATTGTTATTGGCCTGGCATATCTTTTCTACTATGATATTCTCACTTTGAGCACTAACGGTCTCGCGGATATCATCCAATTTAACCAAAAAGACTGGACACTCTTCATCGGCACGGCTATCTTCACCTTCGAAGGCATCGGCCTTATCATCCCTATCCAAGAATCGATGAAATCGCCTTCCAAGTTCCCCAAGGTCATGTTTTATGTCATGATCATCATTACAGTCCTCTTCATCACCATGGGTGCGGTATCTTACGCCGCATACGGTTCAAAGACGGAGACTGTTGTTCTTCTGAACCTACCCCAAGATAACAAGCTTGTCAATGGCGTCCAATTTCTATACTCGCTCGCTATCCTCCTCTCAACGCCCTTACAGATTTTCCCTGCTATTCGTATCACCGAGAACGCCCTGTTCACGAGAAGCGGCAAGTACAACCCCTACATCAAGTGGCAGAAGAACATGTTCCGTTTCCTCGTCGTCTTCCTCTGTGCTTTCATTGCCTGGGGAGGCGCAGATGATTTGGACAAGTTCGTTGCCCTTGTCGGGAACTTTGCCTGCATTCCCCTCGTGTATATCTATCCGGTAAGTCTTTTCCGTTAGTTTATGAATATTGATCTGAAATAACGCTGACCCCTCGTAGCCACTGCTCCATTATAAGGGTGTAGCTCGAAGCCGGGTCCGAAAAGTAACCGACATTGCTCTCTGCATATTTGGATTTATCGCCATGGCATACACCACCAGCTTGACGGTAATTAGCTGGGCTAGCGGCCCCTCTGGCCCAAGCCTACCGAAATATTGCGATCCTAACAAGTTCTAAAACTACAAGACAATATTAACATTGTCTTTACCTCTTAAAATTGTATATTACTTGAACCAGCAGCATCGGGGGGTGCCACAGATTTAGAAACTTCCCTATCTACACAGGAGATGGAGATTGTCCACGCGGAATAGAGTTCATATGCATAGCTGTTTAGCATTGGAGTGGATTATCTTCATGTTGTTTTAGTTGCCGGTACTTCTAGGCTGTAGACGTTTCTAGCATGTCGAGAATTCATTATTAGGCTTATAATGATAGTACTCAATGATCCTGAGGATTTTAATAGCCACATCTTAGATTGCCGTACATCTATGTGTAGGTATTTAATTAAGAGCCTACCTCTACTAAGAATTTCAAATCATATCTTACCACCCGCGTAATCTATCCGCGAAAAATTGCATGATTGGTAGCATCTCGTCCTTATTTCTAGGCATAGTATCGTCGCTCTTATTCCACTTGACTTCTCGTACGTCAGTAAACTCTTTCTTTAAGAGATCCATTGCATCCTCATCGAGATACTCGCTCGATCTACCGTGACATGCCAATATTGGTGTTCGAGATTTCTCTCTGGTGCTTAAAGTGGGTATCATGCTTGTAGGCAAAGGACCACCGATTGTCACTACGCCCTTGAAAGTTGTAGTAGAGGTCCCGTTCCCTTCCGTGACATCTACAACCCTTTCACCCTGGCGAGCCCTGGACGATAAGCCAACAGCCAAAGAACCGCCTTGTCCGAAGCCAAATAGTAAGATATCGTTCGTCTCCCAGCCGCATTTTTCAATCAATGTTTCGCGAATGAGCTTCCCGAAAACTAGGTCCTCGGCTTTTGTGAACCCTGGATCCGGGTCTAGGTCTCCTGTCGACGGGGATAAAGTCAAATCATCCCCCCAATGGAAATGCTTAGGCGGACCGGCGTCTGAAGAGGCCAGGGAGCCAAGCAATGCAGGTGGTAGCGGAGAGACGCCGCAGACAGAGATGGCGAGAACACCTGGTAGCTTCAGGTTCTTTGCGAATGTAGCGAATGGTGCCTCTGAATCGCCGAGACCATGAAAGAGGATAAGGATAGCCGTTGTCGTTTCTGGGACTTCGGGGAAGACCAGTGAAATATGTAGTGATGCTGATAAATGATCGAAATCCTCGTGCTTGGGTATTCTAGTCGGCATCGTGCTTTTGTAAGACGCTTATGATATAATCGTGGATCAATGTCCGGGCCGGAAGGCACAACGACGTTCTATGTCGGAGCCGGGGAGGATCCTACCCCACCGGATCTCAAGCTGAAGATCGAAGTTGCTGGTAATCTCGCATCCGCTATTCCATAATAGGGTTAGCGTCAGGTACAGCGGTACCAGATCTTAAACTTGACGGATTCTTCAAGATTCGACGCCTACCGGCGACTTCCATTCGTTATCCATTTCACCAACCACGTGGAGCTCAAGTTGACAAAGTCTAGCGCTACCTCATCTGCTCACCTTTATATCCAATACGACTTTGGTAGGGTATAGTATTGGAAATTCTCCCAGTTAAGAATTATCCTGTATTTCTGACGGATTCCGATTTCAGCGAACATGCATAAGCATTCATGGAGCATCGAACCCGAATTGGCAGTTCAATCTCCGATTAGCCTCGTCACCAGCTTTAGAACTGCCAACCCGCACAAACCAGAAAGCGTCTGTTTAGCACGTGCTAGTTAGACTGACACCAACATCTTGCTCTCCAAGGGCACTAGTTACAATGTGCGGCTGCTCATTGATCAGCTTAAAAATGTCTAGATTTGGAAGAGCAGGGTTGAACCAGTTTTACGAGGAGGGAGATATATTGAGAGCATGGTGTATATATCCATGGTTCGCAACTTCAGTCTTCGGTTTCGTAGATGACTTTCTCTTTTTGTGCTATCTGCGTCGCGCGTCGACGACTGTCAAGAAGATCTAGCCTGTCTTCTGTTTAGAAAGCCGGCGCCATGCGTATCTCACAGCCTTTCGTTCTCTCTTTGGCAAGCAGGGGTGTCCAAGCGAGCGTACCACAATATCTTGCACCGACTCAGGATATCAACTTTCCCTCAAGCAAGACCGCGACTAATCCCCTCCAATGGGTGGGCGCCAACGGACCATGGTATGCTGGTCCCAACGTCTTCGAAATCTCACCCGAGGTCCCTGATAACTGCTATGTCGATAAGGCTGCCTATGTCTCAAGACATGGCTCGAGATATCCAGATCAAAGTGCTTACAATGGGTGGGTAGATATGTATGAAAGGGTTGGTTTTTAGCATATCTAACATATTATCTCGACATTAGCTAAAACACGAGCTTAGTTACAATCCCCTAACTACACTGCACATGGAAGCCTTTCGTTCCTATCAAGTTGGCAACCTGTTCTTACGAACCCAACGGCCCAGATTGCCATGGAGAACCCTACTGGCGCAAAGGAGGCCTATGATTTTGGCTACACGCTTCGAACAAGGTACTTTTAACTCTACCAATTCGTTGTTAGAGCATCTAAATTAATTTTTATAGATACCCGGACCTTTACCAGGATGGTGACCAATTCCTAGTATGGGCTAATAATTATACTCGGGTTCTCCAAACAGCATCGATGTTTGTTCGGGGATTCTTAGGCTACTCCGCTTCCCAGAGTGGAAGTATCGTCTCAGTAACATCTAAAGGCTTCGCGGCTGGCGTTGGGGACTCGCTTGCTCCTTCGGATATGTGCCCAAACTTCAGTGACTCAGAGGGTGGAAACAATAAAACGGTTTGGGATAGCATTTGGGTCCCGCCTGTTCAAAAGCGTCTACAAAAGCTGATCCAAGGAAACCTGACCTTAACCACCAATGACGTGACCCAAATCCCCTATCTGTGTGGCTTCGAGAGCCACATCACTGGTCGACTTTCGCCGTGGTGCGGTGTATTCACCGATGAAGAATTAAGACAGTATGAATATTCTAACGATCTTCGTTACTACTACGGAGTTGGACCAGGCACGGACCTTCCCAAGAAGATGATGACGCCTTTCTTAAATGCTCTTGTTGGCCTTCTGCAGAATGGGTCAGTTAACGGCACCAAGGCTGATGGGTCGACGTTCGCGGTTCCCAAACTTCTGATGTCGTTCTTGAACGACGGCCAGTTAACTGAACTGGTCACCGCAAGTGGCGTTTTCGACGCACAGGCTCCGTTATCTGCCACGAAGAAGGACGATAACAGACTCTGGGTTGGATCACGATATGTTTCTATGAGAGGAACCGTCGCTTTCGAACGATTGAACTGTGCTGTGAAATATAACGGTAACCCGGGTTACTCTTCAAATTTGTCAACATCTGGGCATACATCAACCAACGAAACGTACGTCCGCATCCGGTTAAACGACGCGGTTTATCCCATTCCATCTTGCAAGAGCGGTCCTGGTTCATCTTGCAAGCTAAGCGACTACGCTAGCTACGTCTCGAAGAAGTATGCTGCCGAAGGAAACTGGATTAAGAACTGCAATGTCACGGTTACCAAGGATACGCCGACGACAGTGAAGGGCGCCAGTTTCTATACGGATTTGAGCAAGCCTTGGGTTCAGCAGATTGCCGTTTACTAAAGTGTATAACATATGAGTATTACTTAGAGATTTTTACAACATATAATGTAGTCGGTAATAACAGATATCAATAATTAGAGGGGGTTGTGATAATGGAGGCATCAAGGTACTTAGGTACTTAGTGAAGATGCCGTCATGGGCTTGCCTAATTAATCCCTGACGACAGGGGCTAATAATACAGTGCGAAACTTAAAACAATTACATAACCAACTCCTACTTACGACCATTAAACATCTACGTCCATTCAATCTCGACATCTAATCCCACGACGATATTCGAACGCCCGGAGCGAAACGAAATCGCATTAATTGAATTTCTTACAGGTGTAATTGCATACCTATGTACTGACCACAAGCGAAGAGGTGATTTGCAGCAGAGCTCGAACTCACAGCCTCTGCTAACCTACCGAATGCATCGCTGCGACAATGGCCAATCGATACGGCGGGACATACCGCAGTCGCAATGGCAACGGCACCGCTGGGAGGCAAGATGAAGAATACGATCCTTACGGTGATGGTTACGCCAGCGATCGCTTTGGCACTCCTCCCCAGCAGATGAATCCTCGAAGGCCACCCATCGAATCCGGTCGAAGCGGCGGCTACGGCTCTTCAGCTTCCAGAGTCCAGCGAGCGAATGAACGAGTAAATGAAACGAGCGCCGAGCGACAGATATCCCAGGTTCTCGAACTTATTAAATCTGAATGGCCTGCTATGATCCAAGACGACTGCATACCCGTTTCACTAGCACTTCAGCTACTGGACAATAGCTCTGTCGGCCGAGCCCACGAATACAAGGGCTTCAAGAAGACACATAAATATTTGCAAGATTCTCTGAAGAATATCGTGCACGAACACCATCAGGGCTTCAATAGTTCGATAGGCACCTTTCACAAGATCCAGGGGAGCATACAATCTTCCCAGAAAAGAGTTCGTGCTTTGAAAGAATCTTTAGCTGCATCACGGACGAGCCTTTGTGCAACGGATCCAGAACTCAAGAAGTTATATAAATCGTCACAGATGTACGATGATGTGCTGCAGACGTTGAATGAATTGGAGGATCTGCGAACGGTGCCGGATCAGTTAGAGGCCAGGATATCGGAGAAGCGATTCTTAACTGCTGTTGAAGTACTGCACAATGCTCTGCGGAAGTTGCGCAAACCAGAGCTTGACGATATTGGAGCTCTAAACGATCTAAGGGGTTATCTTGCCAACCAGGAGACCGCACTAATGGATATCCTGACTGAGGAATTGCATGAACACCTGTATCTGAAATCACCCTACTGCCAGGAGCGGTGGCAAAATCTAGCCAAAAAGCAGGGTGTATACAACGAAAACTATAGCGAGCCTAACATGTTGACCCCATTCCATCTAGTTCTGGATACGATGGATCTTAACCAGCCAGTAACCGAAGACCCAGCAAAGAATCCTGAAGCGGACACCTTTTATTACATAAGCCTTGTTGTTGAGTCCCTTAACAAGCTTGGTCGGTTAGAAGGTGCGGTCGATACGTTGAAGCAACGACTCCCGGTCGAGCTCTTCTCTATCGTGAATGAGACGATTAATGAAGTTGATCAGAGACACCCTAGTTCGTTGAGAGGTGGCACAGGAAACGCGCAGGGTCTACACATCTATGGTAATAGGGAGACGCAAATGCGCGCGGATGTCATCTACGACCTTCTGTGGACCTTGTATGGTAAATTTGAGGCTATTGCTGAAGGTCATCGGGTATTCCATGAGGCTATCAAGGCGCTTATTCGACGAGAAGGCGGTGGTAACAACAGTTCCCTTCTCGGAAGTTTTAGGGAGTTATGGAATCTCTATCAAAACGAAATACGCTCCCTTCTACATAACTACGTCACCACAGATGCGGACGTCTATCAATTCAACTCGCCAAGGCAAGGCGCGCTGCTCAATGGCAATAAAGACATCTCTAGGGAACATCTCTTCAAATTCTCCGAAGCAGACCCCAAGTCTGTGGAGATGACTACCGAATACGAGGCCTTAGATGATATTATTAAAGCCGCAGTTCCAGGTCTTACAACTGCTTCCCGAAAAACACAGGCTTCGGATAGAAAATTGGCAGGGAAAGAGTCGAGGAGAAGTGCATACTCCGGGGCTTTCGACAATAGAAATACGCCTGGTTCTTACAAGTCACTCGTGGAGCCAAGCGTATTTAATATGAGTCTCCTTTTACCTCCGACCCTGGTATTCCTGGGACGCTTAAAAGCGATCGTCCCCCCAGGCTCGGATTTGGCTGCGAGCACCTTGACATCTTTCCTCGATAACTTTTTGGTTAATGTTTTTCAGCCACAGCTAGATGAAACCCTCAGCAAACTAAGCGACTCCGTGTTTGGAGAAACAGACTCATTTCAGCAAGATCCTGCATGGGATCTAGTAGCCCGTCGTCCCGTCTTCAAGGGGGCAACCGCGTTCTTCGCTGTTATCACCGCATTCTGCCGGATGCTTGGAACGATTCCGCATGACCAGGCGCTTAGCTCTCTAATTATTTCTCAGATGGTGAGATATTATGAAAGGTGCCTTACGTGGTTTAAATCACTCGTTTCCAAAGCGCAAGAAGCCGGTGTAGGGCCGTGGTCGTTGCGGTATTCCGCAGAATTAGCCATTGGGGATAGCGATATCCAAGAAACGATTAAGAATCTTTGGACTTCGGATAACCTCGATCACGAATTAATAGAAAAGGAAGTTGGGTTACTTATTACGCATGCTAATGGACGGCGCCTCGAGCCGAACGATGTCATCCAAGACCGCGACGTTATTTCGTCTTTATGCCTCCTCTATACTAGCATGAAATGGCTCTCAGTCCGGATTCTTAGTCTACGACATATCACGCGATTCGACACGGATTCTTCTCAGCCCACCTTGCCGAGGAACCAAAACCGCCGCTGGACTTTATTGAATGACCCTAACAAGGCGAACGGAGAACAGCATGGCCCTGTGTACCTTCCAATGACACAGGAAACTGTCCAGTAAGCCCCTCTAATCTTGTCTCTTTGGTTGTTAACGGTTATCTAACTCAGTACTTTGCAGATCATTTGACAATATAGTATCATCCTACGAAGAGTTTGCCGGTACGGTGCTTCTCACGTTACATATGGAAATTCGATGCCGCATTGTGCAATCTCTCAGTGTGGCGCTTTCCCCTAAAGTTGCCCCATACGTCTTAGGTGACCAGGAAATCAAAGAACCGGACCCGGAAATCTTATCATTGAATTCCGAGCTCGTTGCGTATGACGAGACGATCGTACGCTTCCTTCGCGATAAAGAAATTGCGTTCATACGGACGGGCTTAGGACTCCTTATCAACACATACCTTGTGTCCAACGCGCTCACTACGCAGCCTATGAACATGCGCGGGTGCGAACGCATGCAGCTCAACATCCTAGTGCTACAGCAAAACCTCAAAAATATCGAGGAGGGAGTGGACCTCGCGCGGGCAGCCAACTACTTCAGCCTGTTCCAAGAGGGCCCGGACGCGATCGTTAATAAGGCTAAGAAAGACAACGAGCGTGACATCATTCCCGAGGCGGAGAAGTTCACATATGACGAGCTCAAGGCCCTCGTAGAATTATACTACAGCGAGCAGCTAGCCGATCCCGAGAGGGGCATCGCGTCTGCGGCGAAGAGGAAGATGGGCGAGAAGGTGCTGGCCCTAAGCGAGCATATGTGGCAGAGCTAAAGAGGATGTTTGTATATTCTTTCTGCGTTACATCCGGGAGAGGGCGAAGTGTGTGTTCACGAGCTCTAGGTGCTACATTTTGACACGATAGGACGGCGATGGACTTTCTACTGAAGTTCGGACACAGTGTAAACGTTATTGAAAGTGGAAATGCTGGAAGCGACAGGCACAAAATGAGTATTGAGAATCTTGATTTCGTTCCGTTACTAAGTGACATGGTTGGTTCAACCTTCTATTTGCTATTATTGTCCACCGCGAGCCTCTCTAACTTCCATACTCGGAAACAAGTTGTCAAAAGACTGTGGCCATGCTCTGTGGCCATGCTACTTGTATTAATGAGTAACTGTTGTACATGAGGCAAGTGCTAAGAAATGGTGGTGTAGCTTGATGCTCTCTCATTGAATAAACGGCTGCCAACATACGCGTAAGTCTCCCTTATTATAACTCGCTTGAACGAGGCTCTCATACGCTTTTCATGGCATGCGAATATTGAGGCTTCACCCACTAGATTGATAAACGACTCTAACTATTACCTAAATTTGAATCATAAGACCAGCATAAGACCACAACTAATTATAACTCGAATGAAGTATAGCTTGTCAGTTGTAGTTGGCAAACTCCCTTACTCAACACGTTTTCGTGGAAGGTTATCTCCCTATTAACTTAGGTCTGTCTTAGGTAGAGATAGCAATGAGTTGTATTTAGTGGTTCGTGGAGTAATAGAGTCTACGTGGATGAGAGTAGAACACGCAAGCATTCGTCCTAGGGTAGCACAAAACTGCCACGAACGCAAAAGTGGCTTCGGATGGGATGGGGATATCGACATTCACTAGGTCGGGTGGCTTCAAGATATCTGCCCGTCCCGTTTCTTTTATAATTTCCTACCTCGTATCATATACCTCCGAAATGAGAGAGAACTTTACACAAGAACTTCTAAGTACCGGATTAGGATGGTTCGCCAATCAGGTTGAAAGGATCATGGTGCCCGTAGTTTATTGGCTCTGGTTCTATGCGACAAGTTCAGGATATGCGAAAGGCAAACTTCGCCTTTGCAACCATGGTCCATGGCAAGAATGTACCTACTCGGACGTACGATTAGCGTATCGCCCTGCGCGGCTATCGCCAACGCCGAAATGTGCAGCTTTTGTTCCGAGCCCCATCCCTACCTGAATATCCTGAATAGTCGAATGGGCTTGCGGCTGGCTCAGGATCGACAATCGGCAGACGGATAAAACCTTGGCAATTCCCTCCCGATGTGGCGGTGCGTGCGTACCTAGCTCTAAAATGTTGACGGGAATTAAAGAATTTCGATAACCTTTATGCCAAGCGAATCATATCGTAACTCTGCTGTTCCTCGTGCCGGTGCTGGACTCTCCTGGAAAAGTCTGTTGTGCTAGGCATCGGACGGAATATGGCCTCATGTTGGCTAAGATGTTAGATCGGATGGATCTTAGAAGCTTAGGGAATAGAGCGGTTATCAGGCGCTTAATCTGGGCTGCTGGGGTGCTGGACCTTATGTATGTGTACATATCTGTGTATCTGGTATCTAGCGTAGTGCACCTAATAGGCACATGGAGACCAACTTCGCAGGTTCTCGTTCGCTTGCGCGGCTCAGATGCAAGCTCTTTGGGTGGCGTTTCTGCGGTGACGAGACCGCATTGCAACACTGCATGTAAAATTGCAACAGGTATACAATGGGAAATGCATGAATGTTCTCATTGTTAGATCACGAGGCGTCGGCTGTGACCCAACGGATGACTTGCCCCTGGGCGTTTGTGTCCCATGTGGCGTTGCAAGCCGACTATAGCTGATTGGTTAAAGCGACAGGCTAGAAGAAGGGGAAGAAACAAAAATAAGATAACCTCCAATCAGAAGTGGGAGGAGTTAAAGAGGAATAGGAGCAACGTTGCCACTGATGTACTATGACAACAAGCAATCGAATCCATCCATGTTTTTGGGGTTTCGAAGAATAGAATTCCATGACTACATGAATGTATTCTGCCAAGAATCTGATTCTTTTAAAAGACTAGGTATACGTATGACTATATTAAAGGCCAATTGCTGCGTCAGGATAATGAGGTGTATAGGAAAATGAATTACGGAGATAATGTTGAGATTGAGATTTGGAGCTTACACATCCACACATCCACACATCCACATGCCGGGGATAATTATTAAGGTAACTCGCTGTCCAGGTACCCTTATGCTTCATTATTAGTATATTCCCGAGGGTTTGATTCCATTCCACTGGTGAAACTTAACACAGATTTAGTCGAGATGAGACCCTCCGTAGTCTGGAATTATATGGAAGGACCAGGCTACATAAGCACTTTCAGTTACATAACTCACATGTGAGCACCTCTGTTCAAGTCGATGGCTACATACCCACACCTACCTACCTCTATTAGTTAGGTGGTATTTAGAAGTCCCAGTAACAATTGAGCCTCACACTTATTATTAGGATGCTTCCAATATTCTTGTTATTTTTATCTCCCGATGCTATAATAGTGATGGCATGACCATAAAAACAGGAACGGTAGGGCAGTACGCTGTAAGGGTGAAGTAGGATCGAGGCGAATCTTGTCGACCTTCCTCACCAGCTCGCGTACCTGGTACTAAATCTGCTAGTACAGTAGGCTCAATGGGGAGTTAATTTAATACTACCTAATTTGTACAGACTGCCGTAGCACACACGCAAAATTCAGGATTGTGGAGTTAGTCTGAATGTGGTTAGACCGGTAGTTATACTCGGTACTTATCCATACTGTGCTTCACACTGCAATCTTCTCCTCGAGCACAGTAAGCGATAATGTCCCCCTTTAAGTACCTAGCTACTTATGTGCCTAAAGTATCTAAGTACCAAGCATAAAACGGTTTGGAACAAGCGCGTCACCCACCTGCAATAGCAAGCAGGCACCTGGGAAAGGTACCTTAGTGGCAGCACCCACTGGAAAGTCCAATTAATCCCCTTGAAATTCAACATTGGACGAGCCCCCTTCCAAGTTCCAACCTCCATCCCCGGCTCTTCGCAAAGCATTGAAGGGGGAAAACAAAATCATCTCCTTTCCCACCGATCGTCTACAAAATAATTTCATTCGTTTTTTCTTAATCACGGCACAGCGAAAGTGCTCTTGCTGGTTGCACCCGATTTTCCGCGGAGCAGACACGATTGACACGCCAAAATTACGCTCGTTCTAGAAACCGTCACCCCATTTTTTCTGCTAATTCCACCTCCTGAGTCTAAGACTGTAGGTGATTCAGGATCCGGAAGATATTGCGCGTCAGCCAGGACACCAGCAAGAAACCATATCGATTTTCGCGTCATCGTCTGCCTCAACTCGATATCCGCTTCCTTCTCAGCTTGTATCTTACCACATACCGGCCGTTTTCTAGGGACAAGGGAAATTTGGAAATGAAATGACAAAGACATTGACATCTCGACAAAAAAAGCCCCAGTACCCGCTCGTTCTCCACATAGAATTTCAACCTGTCCCATCTACCTCCTTTTTGCGATAAAGGGAAAAAAAAGAAGAGAACTTGTTTTCATTCCACCGTGTTCTCTCTATAGCCTCTGCGAGCGCTTATTAATAACGGCAATATCGGCAATCATTTGGGAATACTAACCCATCACCACCTCGCCCTACGTAACCACCCCTCCCCCGTGGCGGCGCCTCTTGGCCCGTTGTCGATCCTTCTCCCGCGGCCACAGAACGCCAACGCGGTTCTTGTATCGCGTAAATTTGGATTTACCTGCGCCTCTACATTTGAGCGTTTCCAGACCGCTTCGCCTCGTTCGAGCACCGCTCCCATAATACTTCGTCCCAGGCAATTGGTTGTATTGTTAACACCAATTCCTATTTGAAACTACTAAAGATGTCGTAAGTGGGCGTGTAGTCACCAAATTCCGTTTGCAGGTTTGCTAATAATTTCAACTTGTAGGCTTGGGGGAGCTTTTCGCTCATTCTGGCATTCTATGACCAGCTATGACCGACGTAAGTTTAGAATAGTTATTCCGTGTTATGAGGTGTTAACCTGATTTCTAGATTCAACGTACGATTCCCCTCATCGAACAGGCCGCCATGTACCTCTCGATAGACAGAACACGCTCACATCGGTCGCCACCGCCTCCGAATCCCGAGCCGATATCACATCTCCGTACGTCGATGAACTCGGTCGGTTATCTTCTGGCATGGATGGCTCGAGTTATTCCGGTGCTGGGCTCCCAGCAAACTCGCCTATGTCTCCTGGCTCAAACGGACCATACTCTCCCGGATTAAGATCCCTCAACGCTCAGCGCCAGGGCTCCAAGGACGACGGATTTGAAACGGTTAGTAGCCCGGGTGAAATTCCGATGCAGTCATTTGTGGACGGTGGACCACCGGCACCTCCAGTACACCATTCTTGGAGACGGATTGATAAATGGGCGGAGGAAAACTACCCAGAGCTGTTCGACCAATTATGTGAGGGATGCACCAACAACGATCTGAACGAGCTGGAGCATCAGTTGGATTGCACACTCCCCCAGGACGTTAGAGACTCCCTAACAATCCATGATGGACAAGAGCGTGGCGGCATCCCGACAGGTATTATTTTCGGCTCTATGTTACTCGACTGCGAGGAAATGGTTCAAGAATGGGATCAGTGGAGGAAGGTCAACCAGCAATACCTGCTTGATATGACTGTCGTGAAACCCGCCGTACCATCCAAGGCATTTGGAGGCAGTAACCAGGCTTCGTCCTCTAAATCGGTTCCCGGCTCGCCCAGCTCCCACGGTTCCCATAAGGAGTCGTGGAGACAAGAGCTTCAGGCTCGTCAAGATTCCGTTCCCCAAGGTGCTGTGCAACGCGCGTACGCGCATCCCGGCTGGATTCCTCTCGTGCGGGACTGGGGCGGAAACAACCTTGCAGTAGACCTTGCGCCAGGCCCCACGGGCATTTGGGGTCAAATTATCCTTTTCGGCCGAGATTATGACACCAAGTATGTTGTCGCAAAGTCTTGGGCAGCATTCCTTGCAATAGTCGCCGACGATTTGAACAGCGGCAAATGGTTTGTCGACGAGGATACTAATGAGCTCAAGCTGCGCGAGTTTAAGACGACTCGCGTTGAGCCATCCTACTTCGATATTCTAAGATGGAGGATGGATCAGAAACATGGACGTGGCGCAAAAGCAGCTGCGAAACGCAGATCTATGGCCCCGAACGGTGCCGCAACTTCCCCTGGAGGTTCACCTTACGCCAGCCCGACCGACGTCAATGGAGAACCTCGTGGCCGTACATTGCAAAGGCTTAGCAGTCCGTCGCCTTTAGCCAGCCCTAACCGACCTGGCTTCGGAAAGCCGAGTCCCCTTGCACGAGTTACTGAGGAGGCATCGCTCCCGATTCCCGATTCTAAGTTGGAAACCAACGGCGTGAAGCAACCTAAGCTCGTGGAGGTGGAGACCCCTCGGCCTAGCGATGAGGTTAAGGAGCCCACAACCGTAGCTGAGGCTAAAGGCAAGGACGTGGTGCCCCCCAAGGCTACGGTAACAGATGCCGACGAAAAAGAAGAATTGGAGGAGGGAATGAAGACCATCGAGATTTGACACGAAAGTTCAACGACTTGCAACGATACGTATTGTACCACGACTACTTAATAGACAACAAAAAGGAAGGCGTTCAAGGGTCAGATCCGGTGCAAATCGGCATCGTAGTTACTTTCGGCGAAGGTCTTTTGCTTCTTGCGGCCCGCGCGATTCTTTCTGATTAAACATACTCTGCCACAGTTGGCGTTCTCGTCGATTGAACGGATTTGGGCATCCCTTTGCGGAACTAAGCCACGATCCTCAGCGACGGCACTTAAAGGTTGTAATTCAGTCGGTGGCCTGCCGCTACTTTTTTGTACCAATACCACTCACTCTTTTACCGCCTCGAGCTATCTACTTTCTCAATCCCGATTAGGTGCGGAGCCATATGGTGTTGTTCCCATACACCATGCGTGGGTTGAAGTGGCGAAGCGACTAGGACGCGTTTGTACAGTTGATTAGAAAGGCTGGTGGTTGTGATAGCATCTCCGGATGTGGTAGTATTTACAATGGGATAGTAGATAGAATTGTACCGAGGATTCGAGGTGCCGATAGTTACAAATTGGCGTTCAGGGTGACTCCATCGTTGAGTCTCAACAGGCGTTGGCGGCAGTACATCGTTCTCGGTAACGTTCGAGACGCAATAGCATGATGATACATTAAAGGGACTGGCCTTTCAGAAATAGTTGAGTAAGGCAGTTATATGGGAGCTGCGCATACTTTAATATAAAATTTCATCGAAAATGATTTTTGAACCTATTCTACCTTTGGCTACCTGGCTACTTTGAATCTTTGATAAGGTACTGCGTAATTCTAGCATAAGACTTAGCGATGATGTGGAGGCGATGTATTACATAATTCTTAGAGGAACATCAGGGGTAAGTCACGTGACATTTCTCTCCAGTTACACTTACCAGCAGGCGCTAAATAACGCCAAGGCTTTTAGGTAAGCAGTCGTCATCAGCCTCATCAGATTGGCCCCAAGCTTTCCCTAAGCTCTTCAACTTCCGAACTACCTATCAACTTTTCGAAGTCCGCCTTGCGATCAGCGACGAGTCTTCATCAACATCGAACAACCGTTTCTATAACCGACGCTACGAATTTCCTTTCTCGCCCGCCCTAGCATCAATCAATCGAAGAAGCCATGGAGGATGATCGCCTCTGGAAGTTCCGCCGGCCGGAATGGCTCAACACCGCTTGGGCGCGCAGCGCGGGAGTCTACTCCGCGGGTGCTCTGGTACGTCGAGACTTGATTTATCGCCTGCTTATCTCACCATCATCTCGTCTCTTATAACTCGGCTTCTTCGCCGCTATTTCTTCACACATTTCGCGGTGTTTTCCGTCCCGTTCTTAACATTTTGCTTACTACGGAAAAAAACTAACGTGTCCGGTTTTTTTTACGTTCTATATAGTTCTCGCTCGCGTTCTACATCCTGATGGACGCGGCGGTGTGGTCGAAGTCGGCGCTGAACGGGTCGGACGTGCACGTGACGTTCGTGGACTGGCTGCCGCTCATCTTCTCGTCGCTGGGGATGCTGATCATCAACTCGGTGGAGAAGGCGCGGCTGTCGGCCGACTCGTTCTCGTACTCGGGGTCGGGGGTGGCGTGGAAGGCGCGCGTGGTGCTGTTCCTGGGCTTCGCGGCGCTCGCGGGCGGCATGGCGGGCGGCGTGACGGTTTTCGTCTTGAAGTTCGTCGTGCCCAACGTCGAGTGGCCGATGATGGGCATGGGCGTCGAGAACGTGGTCGCGAACGGCCTCGTCATGCTGAGCTCCGTCGTGCTCTGGGTCAGCCAGAATATGGAGGACGAGTACAGCTATAACTTGTCGCTGTGAGGCGGGCGACCGAAACCCGGGAAGAACGAGGTCGACCGTTGAGGCCAACAAGTCGGGTGTGCTCGACCGAAATGACTTACGCGAAGAAGCCGTAAGGCCCAAAATCGAGCTCGAAAACCTAGGGATTGAACCAGAGCTATCATTCGGGGATATCTAGCTGCGGGAAGAAGATTGCGCTTGATTGATTCATTGCTTGTACAGTACTACGGACGTAGCATAGCTGCATATTGGAAGGCTAGGCTGGGCGAAGCTAGGCGTGCGGTAATCCAGGAATTCTATTACTTTGTTTATTTGAACTATAAACCTTTGAGCTACTAGGATAGCATTGGCGATGACGTTTGGTTTTCCGTGCGTCCTTAATATGGAATTCAGAGCATGATTCTAGTCTTGGAATTTGTGCTAAAGACATGAGCTCTACCCGTCCGTGTATTGAGCAACCCAGTCTCACGAGACAATAGCATCGATTAGATTATCTACGTATAATTCAGGGCTCTCTAGCTAACGGTTCGCAATGCGTACTGAGGTACGAAAGGTGTGCTTTGTGCTTCAGTTTGCTCACTGATAGCACCAGATCTATCTGGATGGTCCCTCGGCCAACTTTGAATTCTACGAAGTCGGTTCTGTCATCGTAGTGGGAAAGGGCAAGCAGTCAGTCTGCTACTCTTCTACTTCATATTCAGCATCAATAACAGAAACGATTATCCAAGTCCGTTGCTGAGCTCGGCACAACGAATTAATCACTCGTCCATATCAATAGCTAACATCACAAGAATGGGAAAGTTGGTGCTTGTGAGTGGTATCAGAGTTTATTCGTTACACATTGTGCAGCCGCCAATGAGGGGCGCAATGCAGATAGAGATCAATAATCGGTGATCAACGCCATTCCATCCATATCCATGATGCCCTTGGGTCGGTGACGAATTGCCAATAGTCGAAGTAGTGGCATCAAGAAGTAGTAGTGTTGGTACAAGAGCTTGCGTAGCAGCCGCTTCAACAGTCGCACGAACTAGGAGAGAGGGGATAGCAGCCTGTATATAAGTTAGCTATGTTGTGCTAGAGACTTGTCGCAAAGGTAAAGACATACCGAATCATCGGGGGTCGCGGCTCACTGCGTGTGTAGCCTGTTATTATGCGCTGTCAGTTTTCGTCCGTTTGAGGGTATATACGTCATGGTCTTTCGTGGGCGCATTGAGGCATACCGAGGTAGAGAATCAAAGGCAGGTAGCCACTAGGAATAATATGTTAGCATGAGGAGTTCTCTGGTGATCTGCTCAATTGAGGTAACACATACTAGTGCATCGCGACTCGTCCGATCTCAATGATCTTTCCAATGCGCTCCTTAGACTCCTCCGAGAGAGCGAAAGACATGATGAATAATGCGACTCGCTGAACGAGGAAGATCCGGTGCACGAATTGTTGACAAAGCTGTAACAATTATTCCTCGGTAGGAATCGTCGGTTGCGTTGACTGGTCTGGTGCAAGAAGTAAACGTGAGTTCGTTGTTGTACTTGGTTTGAAGGAAAGTTGTATTGGTTTTGGTGAAGCTTCTGCCAAAAATTCAGAATGATAAGAGTTGATAATGAATTTGGATGAGGCGCTGTTAGAGTTTATTGGTTTAATTATTCAAAGCGGGGTCCTATTGTGACGGGAAAATATCGGTGTCACAGTGTTCCCAGTGGAGCTTATGTAATGCTAGAGCTCCGCTGGGGCTATCTTATCCTTGCAATCAAAACTTAAGGAAGCTACCTATGTACGTACAAGGTTCCAATAGCAAAGAACTTTTGGAAGCTTCAACCAAGGGTCCACAACGACATCGCGCGTCGCGACAATTTGAATCTTGATTGAATTTTTATCTTCACGCAACATCCTTCGATTCGCATTCCCAACAACACCATACACAGAATCGTAATCCACGACACAGTTACTCAATCAAAATGTCGGGGGCGAAGCATTGGTAGGTTCACTATTTTCAACATATTTAATGCAATAATCCGCAGCGATGCTAATTATTATATTCCAGGGAGCAAGATAAAGAAGCCACTGTCTATGTGGGTAATATCGACGAACGTGCTACCGATGCTCTGATATGGGAGCTGATGGTCCAAGCCGGCCCTGTAGTCAACGTACATCTGCCCAAGGATCGAGTTACCCAGTCGCATCAGGGCTTCGGTTTCGTCGAATTCAATGGCGAGGTCGACGCCGACTATGCCGCCAAGATCATGAACGGCATCCGACTATACGGGAAAGCGCTACGTGTTAACAAGGCATCGGCAGACAAGCAAAAGCCTCTAGAGATTGGCGCAGAACTCTTCATCGGCAACCTCGACCCCATGGTGGACGAAAAGGTTCTATACGACACCTTCAGCAGATTTGGAACTCTCATCGCACCCCCCAAGGTGGCTCGTGACGACAACGGGTTGAGTAAGGGGTATGGTTTTGTCAGCTACAGCAGTTTCGAGGCTAGTGACGATGCTATCAACAACATGAACGGCCAATTCCTCATGAACAAGGATGTCAGCGTACAGTATGCCTACAAGAAGGATGGTAAAGGCGAGAGGCACGGAGACGAAGCCGAACGAATGCTCGCTGCTCAAGCAAAGAAGCACAACGTCACTATCGAAAGCCAGCCCATGCCGCCGGGACTTCTCCAAACACCTACCCCCGCCACACCCGCCCCGGCCGCCGTCGCTCCGCCAGTTATGGCTGCTGGCGGATTTGATCCTTCTATGGCTGCTGGTATTCCTCCTCCAAGACCACCCGTCGGCTTCGCCCCTCCTCCCACTGCTCATCGCGGCCCCCCTCCCCCCTTCGGGGTTAATGGCACGCCACTACCTCCCGGAGCCGGAAGATCGAACGCTTTGCCTCCGGCACCGTCAGGTTTGCCTGCCCGTCCGCCGCCATCTCAAGCTGGTTATGGTAGCCCTGCGGACTTTCATCCTGGCGGATTCAGGATGCCACCGCCTGGTTTTGGTCCTCCGCCGGGCAATGTGCCTCCGCCTCCGCCACCTGGATTCACCCCCGGTTACGGCCGCTGAGGTTCGATGCTACTCGGGAACGGACAATGAATCTTATCCCGATATTACCAGTCATTCCGTCCTACGTGGTCTCGGTATCAAGATTTCGTGCTCGTGGAAAAATTGAGGTCCTTGTACAATGATGCCGACGACTGAGCCTATCAAAGTGCGATGAGTAAGGACAAGTCGGCCTTCATATCCTCGCGAACCATGGGTTCATCCATCGACCACTACATGTATGAATAGGCTGGTAACCATTGGGGGCATGAAAAGGGAGTCTAAAACGGCGTTACCTACTTGGAAGATACCCTAGCCGATAACATTTACATAAAAGTCGGCTATGTTGCCATAAAAGATTGGAACTACTTGACTAGGTATTTGATATACCGCGTAGGGGCAAGTCTACCTCTATTTGCGAAACAATGTCATGACTGACTTAAAGTAGCAAAGAAAAGTAGTGCCCGGTAGTTGAATAGATCAACTTCAGGGGAATACTGTTTTCTTCGTGCTTCTATAGTAGTGGCAAATATAGCCCGACCCACGGGTTGATTCCATGATGCCATATTTTCAGGGGTTTGACAGATAAGTACTGACCATTCTAGTCGCCCTTGTTCATATTTGAATCATGCTATCATCTTCAATCACAACAATAAAACGCAGCTTTCTCTATATCGATATTCTGCAGGATATTGAATTTCCCCTTATTACGTCCTACGCCAGAGCGGCTCCAAAATTTCAAGTTTTTGCAATGTAGGCCAAGCCCTATTCAACGTGAGAGCGCTGTGACTACTACTGCAGGTTTCTATGACGTAAACAGCTACCCTTCTGGTATTCAAGATGCAGTGAAATTCTAGCTTTGTAAGCTGTGTGCAGCGACCCTTGTGCTTCTGATGTCTACCAAGGATTCGGGGGAAATATTGAGAACTACCCATGACCGGCGGTGAGGAGGAAATAGCATGTACGGTTTCATAATATTGACATTCCCGAGTTGCTAGATAGGCCGGTCTTCGACTGCAGGCTGTGTACATTAATCTCGACATGGCCACCACACCCTTGTGGAAGCTCTGGGGTAGCCTTACGGGTCAGCAGCGTGAATGCTACCCTAATTATTGCTGTTAAGGTCTGACAGTTAGGCCGGACTGATGATGCCTAACGTAAAGTCCAGACCTCAATCCTCTAACCGAGGGATTGCAATTTCAATATGGGCGTAAGCATGAACCACGTCTGGGTCAGAAGGTCTACTTACGTGTTCCATGCTTCTGCCGGCAAATATGTTGTCCCTTTAACTGGAAGTTATCTCCAGCCAGGGGTTAGGAGGCAAAGCACAGCTTCACGCAGCCTGGCGGGCCAGATCCAGAGTGCCCAGAGCATGAGCGATACATGATTTTACCGCTAACTTACCTTGTAACACTTGTACCAGCGATATCCTAAGCCGAGCCTTCGTGAATGCTTGGGTGTATTTTGGCTCCTAGGTGATCCCTGAATGGTGATAACTGCCAGTTGAATGGTTACAAAGAGTTGGCAAAGGTCTAAATACGAGTATGTCGTGTATTTACGCTATGATATGTTATAGGGAACAAAACTGTCCTCAAATATATGGAGGAAGCGGTCAAGCTCTTGATATATCCCATTGGTATCAGTTACAGGTACCTATGGTGTTCCGACCAAACCATCGTTCGGCTTTGATTCGTGTCTATGGGCATGGACTACTCTAGGTATGAGTCCTCTCTTGCTATCAGATCTCAAAAAGGCAATTTCCTATAGAATACTCAAATATAGCCATTGTTCGGTCGCGTAAGTTGTCTTCGGAACCGGTCCGGGGAAGTTTGTTGAAGGGAAGCGCCCTTGCGTCCGACTCAACACACATCCGTCAGAATAGGAAATTCATATACAGCCAACTCCTACTTCTCGGCAGACTCGGAGATGAAAACGTAGACATTCACATATATAATTGAGCGTTACCGCTTACTTCGATGTCGATAGATGAAACACGTGGAGCATTCCCAACGTGTGATCCTAATGTGACCCCGTTCTCACGCAGTAGCAAGGAAGTGTACGGGAGGTAGTGTTTCACGAAAGTTCATGTATGTCGCTGGATTCATCTCGACTATATTAACACTTCTGTTCAAAGGACGGCAATTACCGTGAGCTCACTGCCTTAGCTAGGCAAGGTGAATTCATTGTGATCTGTATGTGTATATTGCCACCTTCGTAACGAACTACTCTACTTGGAAAATCCTCATTTTCTAAGAGTCGGTCCTATCTAGCACTTTGAAGCTGTGGGATAGCAAGAATTCCTCTCTAAACGATACACGCGTATCCAGTAGTCTAGCCCCTGGGTGAATATTCGAAGTACCTCTACCGAAAACTGAACCGAAACAACTCCACGAGCGTCATTGCGGGCTCGCTACAAGACAATAGGATTAGGAGTTAAGACTCCGGTGTCGTAGCGTACGTGTGGGGACATCTTAGGTGAGGTCTAAAGCAGCTAGGGCATATGTCGTAGATAGGTCATATTTCCTGCTACAGCCAACGATCTTCTCCCTTCTAACGGTCCCTCGACGAGAATCGTCTAGTTCAAGTTGGATATGTCCTATCAACGAATACGTAGGTAGTCATGCGAATGATTGTAATTCCACACTCGCGGAGAGGCCGTTGGAGGGTCGGCTAGAGCCAAGGCGAAACCGAGACTATTGACATCAAGATAGCGTGGTGTCAAAAGGGGTAGTCTCCGAGGCGACACCTCACGATACCATGGGTCGGTAAGATCGCTTACAGGAGCTATCTAACTTTTCAGCTTCTTTTCATAGTTCAGTTCTGCTTTAATCTACTGTCATACCATCATAAGGATCACATCCTGATTAAGAGTCCCGTCCGAATATTCCGAGTTGACTAAGAGGGGTCGTCTTTTCTTCTGTGCCATGTTGTTCACGATGTCTAGTCGTATTTCGTATTGGCGTATGAGATAGCCCTCGATAACGTGCTAGAACACAGGCGTTTTAAAATCCTTCAGGGGGAGCTGACATCAGCTCGCCCCTCTATTTCGTTCAGGCATTCTGATATACATGCGATCTAGAATTCATCATAGCTTGCGAAATCGAAAAGTATCGTGCATATAGGCGATGCGCTGGTCTTCTGGGAAGGACCTATGCCCAACTTACGTGTTCAGATTTTGTTCTGGTCGCTGATAGAGTCGAGTATATCTACGCTAATAAGATTTATTCCCGCCAGCGGTCCAGACCGCAGCGCGGAATTATGAGATATGAGCGACATCATGTATGTAGAGAAGGCGTCATGGCAGATTTACGCCGGTCAAAATCTCAGTTTGATATCAGCCAAACACCCACGTTCGCCACAACGCTATTATGTACGTGCCTGCCTCCTTCAGCTCATGCGGGCGGCAGATCATCTACGAAGTTCATCTTCATACATTCCCGCACCGCACACAGGAGTTGTTAATGCAGGGTCGAGATATGCTTCGGACCAATTGCCTGAACGTAGCAAGGGTTGCGAACAGGTTCTTCCTCCTCTCTTTGAGCCCGCCCGGTCTTCCGCCCGGTCACAAATCGGGTGACACCGCATAGGCGTGCCAGCCGCATTGGGGAAGGGGAATCTATTGTCCAGCCATTCACAGCGCGTAGGAGGAAGATGGGAAGGGAAGGGCAGAGAGGGGGGTTACGGCACTATGTATGTATGTAGTTAGGTTCGAGGAGGGACGACGTATGTATGTAATTGGGACCAAAGTGACAAGTGAGCGATCCGAGGAACTAACCTACAACGTCGCCATCTGTCTAGATCATGCACTGCAAGATCGGGTTACTCCACATGAGCCATCCTCGAACGGGGTAATGTAGGTACACGCTGGTAGGTAGACGGGCAGGTGCGTGACGAAGACCCCCTGGCGATGGCAGGAGGAGACACTGTGTTGAAGTGAAGCGTTCGAGTTTTCCCATTCGCTGTGCATATAGCAGATCCTCTGCTCTGACCTGGGGAGCGGCCTAGTGCCGCACCCGACGAGTACGAATAGTTATTGAACGGTGAAGAGGCAACTCGCCCCTCCCCCACCCCCTTGTGGCGCCGTGGAAGAGACCTACCTATCTTGCCTGTGACCTGTGGGTCATATCGGGGAAGTTTTATAGCGCTTCCGCTCAATATGCAAATTGGCAAACTGTAGGCCGCTTCCACATGCAGTACGTAGACTTGTGCGCAGGTACGTATGTCATCAAGTCTCAGAGATACAAGCTCGACTAGACATGTCGTACCTACCGCAAGGCTGAAGATTGACCCTAAAAACGCCGAGGGGGGGAAGACAATTAGACCCTGTGGCGACAGACCACGTAAAGTCTTCGTTGTATGAGACTTAGGGATTCGTTTTAGGAGGCGAATCGAACGTTGTGGCCTAAAAAGTATGATAAGGGGTTTTAGACTGAATCATTCAGTCTACATACAGCGGGTGTTACGTTGTACGCTATGCAAGCAGTAGCTACGATATGGGGAGTTGTCTCGGGACTTTCGCGCCACGGTTCAGATCTGTCCTGCTGTTTCGGGCACAGATTCAACCCTCTCTAGGGCCTTCCAGCCACCTGGAGGAGTGCGACGTTGAGGACGAGAACCTCCAGAATACAACCTCACTTACGTTGCCGGTTGAACGGGCGGATATCTCTTGATCGAGAACCCCTAAAAGGCCTCGAATTGACCATTAGGGGACTTCTAAACATAGCTGTTGCAATTATACTGTGGTAGCGATCGCAGTCTAGATAGCCTGGGCCGGATGTCACCTTCGCCCACGATATCTTACTTGCCTATGAACCATTTCGATGTTGATTCAGGTTCGACAAGGCTACGCGTAAGCACGATTCTAAGAGAACAGTTACTCCCATTCGGCTGAACTTATTAGAATCCTAGCAAATCTCGGCGTTGCCTCAAAATTTGCCTCACTCTTGATGCCCAATCATACGAAACGGGGGTTTTGGCGAAGCCGAACCACGTACCCTAGTTGAATGATATTGAGAGGCCTGATATCAAGCCAACTCTTAGGTAATATCGTGTTGTTGTTGTTGTTTGTTGATGGTGAGTTATACAGCGGCTAATGGGAAATATTTTGGCCAAGCCTATAATATAATTACTTCCCCACGACCTACCTACCTTTTCGTGTTGTGGCGACGTTCGTGGCTAACCGGCCGCACCAATTTTGTCAGCGCGATGGATCGCGAAACCCTTGCCCGCATACTCGTAGTGTCACACACATAATTATGAGGATACGTACTTGTTTAGAAGAGGTAGCGAGCGCCGTGCAAAACAATGGGTCCTGGTAGGATAATCTGTTTTTGTCTCCCTC